GTAGGTAAATTTTGTATATATTATTAATATAGTTAGATATATTATCTACTAATATATTAATATTTAATTAGTCTAGTATTTTCTTTAATAGTATTAGGCCGATATATCCTAGATATTTATACTATAATTTTATAGAGGATTTCTTATTAGATCTTATAGCTAAGATAGCTTTAGATCGATCTTTTCTTTTTAGGTAGATAATATTAATAGTAGTCTTATATAAGCTATCTTTCTTATAGCCTATAAAGGTTATTTTCTTTTAGTTATTTTTAGTATAGTATATATATACTTTATCTTTAGTAAATAAAGATAGAGTATTATCTAGTCGATTTATACTAAGTATATTGATACCTAGTTCTAGTATATATAAGATATTTCGGATAATATAGATATAGTTAGTATTCGTCCGTATTATAATATTACTAATATATCTAACTTTAATAGATTTAGCTTTTCCCTATAGAATTATTTTATTTATAGTTATATAGCTATAGAAATATTATAGTTTAGATATAGTATAGATAGTAGTAGTAGTATCGATAATTAAATCAACTTTTAGTAGATAGTAGCCTTTTTTAATAGAGTTTTAAATATCTCTTTCTTTAACCTTATATCTATTATGCTTTATATCTAATATAGCTATATTAGTATATATTTCTTCTTAATATATAGGGGTATTTATCTCTATTAGATTGTCTGTTAGATTAAAACTACCTATATCGATATAAATATTATTAAGGTTTATTTAATTATTATATAAGAGGGTATTAGTATTAATATCTTTATTAATATTAATATCTTTATTAATATTAATATCTTTATTAATATTAATATCTTTATTAATATAAGATAAAGTATTAATATCTTTAGTATTATTAGATTTCTAACTAGAAATCTCTAATTTAATTATAGCTACGAAATAGTTAGATTTCTTCTAGTTATTTTAGGTATTTTTGATATTTTGATTATTTTTTATAATTTTATTCTAGTTATTTAGTCTATTTAACCTATTTAAATCGTTTAGTTTTACCTTTTACCTAGCTAGGCGTTTATTAGTATAAAGGAACTAGCAATTATTAATAAGATAGCCTATTTTCTTATAGTTACTATAGAAACGGCTATTTAATATTTATATCTATTTTTTGAATCGATTTAATATATTATATATTTTCTCGTTCGATATCTTTCTGCGAGCCTCATCGATTAGGCTAGCGAATAGTATATTAACGGTATAGGCTTTTAGATCTTATCGAAGCGATTATATAATATTCTATATAAATCCTTAGTAGTCTTTATTAAGACTATTCAGAACCTATATAATTATAGCCTATTCTAGCAGTATTAGATCTTTTAATATAAGATTATCTAATAGAAGTTTAACCTTATTAAGATATTCTTCTATTATATTAAAATTAACTAATAATATATTAAAGAACTCCCTAAACGTTAGATATTTAGTTATAAATCCTTTAGGATTATATAGTATTTCTAGCGTTTACTAGGCCCTATATATATTTTCTTTATATTTAATAAATAGAAAAGGTCTTTTAGCGTAGAATAATTTAATATATACTAAGGCCTTTTAGTTATTTTTAGTAGTTAATAGTTTCTCTTCTAAGATTAGATTAACTAGATCATCTTTAATTAAGGCTAATTTTATCTAAAGAGACTATTCGATATAGTTCTTACTGCTAATAAGTTTTTTAATTAATATCTTTCTAAAAGAAGATATATTAATAATATATATTAAGATATCGAAGATCTTAATAATATATAGTAAGATATAAAATATATTAATAATTTTGATAGTATATAAAAGATATAGAAGAAAAGGTAGGGTAAAAAGATTTTTAGAAAATTTTAGTAGAGTAACTCGGGCTTATAACCTCTAAGCAAGCTAGAGGATACGATAGGAAGGAAGGTAAAAATAGATAGAAAAATAGTAAAGAAGATAGTAAGAAAGCTTAATAATATTATTTCTAGCTAGGGGTTTTTACCTATATTTATAGCTAAGTCTTACTAGGTTATATTAGATATTAATCTAGTATATAGTATTACACTAGTTATATTAGATTATATAATATTAGTTATATTTAGCTAGCCGTATATATTTAGTTATATTAGTCTAGATATATTTAGTTATATAGTAATAGCTATTTTCGGCTAGCTATATTAGTTATATAGTATTTTTAGTATTTTTATATATAAAGGGGTAATGAATGATTTAGCAGAACCTTAGGTTCTTTAATTATCGGACCTATTATAGGCCCTATTGTCAGACCTATTGTAGGCCCTATATCTTATACTCTCTCTAGTTAGCGCTAACTATTCTAGATAAACTTATAAGATATCTTAGAAGTAGTAAGTTTAATTTTACTTATATCTTAATATTTATTAATACTAATCTCTCTAGATACTATCTAATTAATATTACTTATCTTCTAGAAGGCCTATAAGGTAAAGTATCCTATCTTAGTAAGCCTTACCCGAGATATCTTTATAACTCTAGCTAGTAGCTCTAGGGTAGAGAGGCTCTTTAACTCTACTTATAATATATATTACTATTACTAGGGCTTATTAAGCCTATATACTATTTAGGATCTTATAATATTTATATATATAATAAGATTTAATATATAGTTAGAGTAGCTTACGCTAATAGATAAGTTTCTCTCTACCTAAGAGAAGTAAGTAAAGAAAGAGTAAGATAATACTAAGTAAGATAATAAGAAGTTTAATCCTATTAGCGATAATAAAGAAGGTAGGATAATAGACACTTCTATAGAAGTATCTACTTAATAGCCTAGTTAACGAGCGCTAGGGAAGAGAAAGGCTATTAATAGCTAGCTTTCTAAGGTAGAAGATAATAAGATCCCTTTACCTAATTTTAATATCTAGAGGCGTTTATCAGGGCGTATTCTAAAGAGATTAAGATATAATATAGATTTTATATATAATTAGTAGAGATAAAGAATTAGGTTTTTTCGGCCGAAATTATTATTATTAGTTTTTTTCTATAGAAATCCTCTTTAAGCTAGTATTAGCCTATATAAATAAAGAATAAAAGTAGAATACTAAAAAATACTAACTGATTTTACATAAAATATATATATTACGGGGTTTCCTATATTTATCTTATTTACAGGACCGTACGGGGGACCGGGACCGCAGTGGTGCGGTCCTAAAAGTAAGGACCAAGCCCTACATAGTGCGGTCCGGTCCCCGGTCCGGTCTGGTCCCAAGCGGTCTTTGGCGAGGTCTAATCTAACTAGAGGATATCTATAACTTTAACGAGACCGGCTTCGCTATAGGGATTATAGCTACACAGAAGGTCGTTATAAGGGCGGAATATTACGGTCGGCGATCGATTTTATAACTAGGTAATCGTAAATAGGTTACTATAATCGAAGTAGTAAGCGCTAGTGGCTATTCGCTACTACTATACGTAATATTTAAAGGTAAAAACTTTATAGCGTCGTGGTTCAACGAAAAGCTTTATCTTCTAAAGGACTAGCGTATCGAGGTCTCGCTAAATAGTTAGACTACCGATAAAATTAGCCTTCGGTAGCTATAGAAGCTATTCATTCTAGCGACAACGATACATATAAAAGGGAAATATCGGTTATTAATTCTTAATAGCTACGGTAGCTATCTTACGGCTCAATTCGACTAGATCTATATAGAAAATCATATTATACCCCTTTATATACCTCCGTACTCTTCGTATCTTTTATAACCGCTTAATATTAAGTATTTCGCTATATTAAAACGTATATATAGTCGCTATATAAGCGATCTAGCTCGTACGTCGTATAACTACATCGACAAATTCGATTTCCTCGCAGAGTACGCCCGGGATAGAGGCCTTTTAATCTTATATTATTCAAAATAGCTTCGCTACTACTAGTCTTATTCCGGTCGACGTAGATCGAGTACTTTCGAAGCTTAATATCTTACTCCGAACGCCGTCGCCACCGAATAGCTAACCCTACACTAGGTATAGCTAATTTAGCCTAAAAATACTTAGAACCGTCGTCCAATTACAAAAATCAGCTTCGATATTAAAGGGTCTATTAAGATATCGGTTAAATAGCCCTCCGAGCCTATTAAAAACCGTACTAGATCAGATTATCAAAGGCGCTTATATCTCGCTTTATAGGGCCGCGCTATTAGCGCAGGAAAACAGCGTTCTACACACCGCGAATGAGAAAATACGCTAAAAACGCACACGATTAAAATAACAGATAGTGCACGAAGGAGGCCTCACGGTCGAAGAGGGCCTATAGCTAGTTCAGCAGCTGAATCAGCCAATTGAAGACACTCCGGTAGTAGCGCAGCCGTAGGGCGATGAGGCTATTTAACCAGCTCAGCTAATCAGAAAAGCTCCACCGAAGTGTAGTAGGTACGGGCAGGTCGGACATAAGGTCAATTATTGTAAAAACCGCTAGATTAAGGTCAAATTCATGTGTTTTGGTAGAGATATTAATATTCAAAATATCCTAATGGGGGTGGGTGTTCCGGTCGGGCGGGTGTTCCGGTCGGGCGGGAATTACGTTAGGGGTCGGCCTCTCAACAGGCCTTTCCCCCTGATCTTACAGATCATCATCAATCAATCTGATCAACATCATCCCATTGGACATCCTTCGTACTAGTCTATACAGCAATTGCCCATTGCGTCAGGGAACCCTATTAATATTACACAGTCTCGTATTTTCCCTATTACCCCTCTTTGCTCTAAGCTTTTCCCTCCTTCCTGTTTTGACGGAGAGACTATACATAAATGGAGCCATGAGGAGGAGATTTCGAACTCCTCAAGAAACAGTCTTGGAGCAATCTGACTTAGTACCTTTCTCCTACCTGATTAACAGGCATCTACCCTGACTAGTAGACTATCTCTTTACATTATCTTTAAATAGAAATTACAAGGAGCTGAATAAAAATTGAAACACATCGGTGGTTTGTCATTCTCCGCTCACTTTCCCAACCAGTAGTGCCGTGATCTACTTTGTTTCGTTCAACGATTCCTGAGCATGGTTCAGCCATCTCACCATCCGTTCTAGTAGCTCAGACCAGGTCTCTGCTTCAGCCGCTTGTGCCTCTGGAACCAAAAGTTCCAGTGAATACAGGCCACCTCCGAGGGGCAAGACATTGAGCCGCGCCGGCTCTGGGGGATCTGGTCGATCTAACATAACTGGCTGGAGATGAATGTCGTGACTTGTGTTGTGTGACTGCTCCCTTATATTTTGAAAGTAGATGACTGCGCCGAATGATCTCACCCCAGAAGGCCAGTCTGTACAATGCTTTACAATCTCAGACAACCCGACTGTTTCGTGATCAAGCGAGTCGTTGAACTGAGACTGAAGGGAATGGATGATAGCTTTTGTATCTGTTGTCGTGGGCGCTACACCCAGGCCTGTCGAAGGGATTATCACCCTAACGGGAGCAAGGTTCAGACAGGGGCCAATCACATTCTCGATATCTATATCGGGTGAAGAATTTGCGCGTCCCGATACCGCGCGGCCGAAGACGATGTCATTTTTGCCAGTTGTCTGAGATAGAGCGAAGCCCCAGGCTGCTGTGAAGATTGTCGCGACCGTTAGCTCTTTCGAAGAATGTGAGAATTCTACAATCTTGCGTAGTTCGCTGCGCCTCCCTGGTTTCTGCACTGTGCTTTGGTCAGCAACCACCGAGACGGGGATCGAGGAACCCTGTAGCAGCGTACGCCAGTAATTGAACGCAGAGGGAGGAACGGGGACTCGAACAAAGAGCGAGAAGTCAGACACAGGAGGCACTGGATAACCATAGTATAGTGAGCTGATGTACTCTGCTATCCGTGGAAGACTGATTGCATCATAAAGAGCGTGAGAGATCCCCATCAGCAGTCGAGTCTCGTCACTATGCTCTGATTGGAGGATAAAGAAGTTCACGAAGACCGAGCCGGGTTGAATGTCCCCCCGGAGGTCGTTCTCGCAAACCTCCTCGACTGCCTGGTCCAAAGACTTGTCTCGAGTGTAATGGATATGAATATTGGGTTCCGAGTTGTTCAAGATGAGTTGGACAAACTCGCCTTCATAGGAATAAGGCATAAAAACAACCCTCAGAATCTCGAGTGACGAGACAAGTTTTTTGCAGACAGCACTTAGTCTAGGAGCAGCGGATGCATCCTTGAAAGACATGGTCATGTAATTCCACTCTGTACGAGGCTTTTGGAAGGCGCAGTGAACGGCATAGCGCTGAAATTCTGTGACGGGGAGGATATCTGCAATCAAATCATCCGTGAATCCTATCTTCTTTGCAATCTCGGCGATGTTCGGGAGCAATTTGATTGTGGAACAAGAGGCAGAGACATGTTCATTGGTCTTCAAAATAGCGTTCGTGGTGGTAATCTTGTTTGCCATTCGTTCGAGAATCGGATGTTGGAAGATGACAGAGACCGATAGGGGCAGATCATTAGCTCGTGCAGCTCCAACAAGACGGATCGCAGTGATCGAATCACCTCCAAGTTCAAGGAAGCTATCTTGACGGCTGATCAAGTCCGGTGATATATCAAGTACATCTGACCACAACTTCCTCAGGGCCCTCTCTTGGTCTGTTTTGGGCTCTTCCATTGGTCCTCTCTGGTGCATAGTATCCAAGTGTGCGCGTGCGCCAATTTCTTGCAGTTTCTTGCGGTTGAGCTTTCCTGCAGACGACAAAGGGAGTTGCTGCAGTACCATAAAAGCGGTTGGTATCATGTAGAGAGGAAGGATTTGTGTAAGTTTCCTGGTCAAGCCATGGACTATCTCTGGAGATAATGGAATAGGTTCTTCTAGAGAAAGGCTCTTGTTGCTGTCGCTTGAATCAGTGGGCGAGACAAACACGACCAATCGCTGGGACTTGTGAGCCGAGTCTTGCAAGCTCGATATCTCGATTACTTCAGCTGCAACTGCGTATAAAGAATCTGGAAGAAGTTTTCGAACATGGTACTCGACTTCTTCGAGCTCCACACGCTGTCCACGAAGCTTGACTTGAGTATCAATGCGGCCGATATAAGTCAATATCCCTTCATTATTGGATCTCACCAAGTCGCCCGTCCGGTAGAATCGACCCTCCAAGCGTGAGGCAAGTGCTTCTCCTCCACATCGGAGCCATACGGGGGAGGTAATGAACGCAGCGGCTGTTTTATCAGGATTGTTGATGTATCCTCGTCCCACTAATGGACCTTCGAGGACAAGCTCGCCAACCGCCCCGATAGGAACCAGTTTGTCTGGTTGAAGGCAGCTGACGACCCAAGCATTCAATCCCCGTGGAGGGCCAATGTTGACACTGGTCGTAAAATCCGTTCCATAGCGAGCGACTGTACTGGACACCGTGCACTCGGATGGACCATACGAATTGCGGATCTCCACCTCCGGTCCCCATCTGGTAACGTCGTCCATTTGGACGGCTTCACCCCCGAGCGTAATCTTTCTGATCATGGGGAGCGAAGTTGGATCCAGAGTTCGGGCCAAAGAAGGCGTCATGTCAAGATAGTTGACGCGCAGGTCGTGGATAGCGCCGATGATATTGTTCTGGCGCTGGTCATCGGATGGAACGCAAAGGCAACCGCCGGCATAGAACGTGTGAAGAAAATCATACCAAATCATATCAAAACTGTATGATGACAGATCCAGGACACGGGTTGTCTTGTCGAATCCAATGAAGGGGTCAACGTAGGTCATCGCGCTGCAGGCATTGGCGTGTGTGATGACAGCTCCCTTGGGCGCTCCGGTACTACCAGACGTGAATGTCACATAGACTGCATTGTCGGGTGAAATAATGGGGATCCAGGAGTCATCCTTGGCAAGGTCAGGTCCCATAATGCCATGCAACAGCCGTTCATCCACGACATGCACGACGGCTTCAGACAACTGCTCGGCAATGGTCTTCGTCGGGTCTGACGAAAGAACCAGCCGTGGGCTGAGCTGCGAAGTAATAGAGCGTAGACGGTCTACTGCTTGCGACGGATCCATGGTCGCAACACATCCACCTGCTATTATAACAGCCAGCATTGTCACAGGTGTCCACATGCTCTTCGCACAACAAATAGGAACTGCTACCTCAGGCCCGATGCCTTGGTCAACGACGAGCCAGTAGGCCAACAGGCGAGCCTTCTCGTAGAATTGACGGTATGTCAGCTCGCCGTCCCAGGCACAGATTGCTGGCGCATCTGGATAGGCTTCTACACGCTCGGCTATCAAGTGATCCACACGGCGATTAATATTCGGTGGGACTGTGGCATTCCATGACGAGATCCGTAGTCTGTCAACGTGCGAAAGCAAATCAAGCTGCGACAGCAATCTTTCATCCATGGCCTCACTAGGCTTGCAGATATCTTGGAGAACATGTCCGAACTGATTTAGCATTCTTTCTGCTTGGTCGAGGTCAACGACATGCTCGTCAAAGCTCAAATGCACCGAGACCCCACCCGCTGAAGAAGACGAAGGGTCGTCCAAGACACATTCCAAGACAAGAGCGTAGGTCCCTCCTTTCAGATCGTCGTCCCCGAGTTGCAGCCTCAGGATGGTGTTTTCATCAGCGCCAACATCTTCTGGTGGCTGAATGACAAGCAAAGACTGAAACTGGCAAGCCTGCTGGGCAATTGGATTAAGTCGTTGTATACGACCAATACCATACTGTTCGAATGGAATCATGCCAGTCGCGTCTGACTGTATATTTTGAAGTAGCGTTTGCAGTCCCGCCGAGCCCCAGTCTATCTTCACCCGAATTGGGACGGTGGCAATAGTTGGACCGGCGATACGCTCGACTCCAGCAAGGGGTGCTTGTCTGCCCATGACAGTGGATCCAAAGACAACATCACCAAAATTGCAGAATTGAGAGACCAGGATGGCCCAGCTCGCTTTCAATACCGTAGCCGGAGTAAATTCCATAGGCCATGCGATGGAATCAAGTCTCCGCTTCCGGATGCTTGTGGTTGTTGGCCGGTATTGAGGATTTGGTAGAACGGGGAACTGTGGTACGTTGCAATCTGCCAAATAATTCTCCCAAAATTGTTGACACTCTTCCGTGTGGACGTTCTTTGCAAGGTATTGGATGAAGTGGTTGTATGGAAGCAGATTGGGTGTGACAGATTCTCCACGGTATATGGACTCAACCATCCTCATAATGAGTGAAGCAGACCATCGATCATAGACACCATGGTGGATAGTCATGACTAGAGTGGCGTTTGAGGATCTCTTTTTGGACGCCTTTCCAGCAGTTTGTGCAGAGGCATCATCACAGGGGCTGACATCACAATCTGCCATCGCAATATCATGTTGAGATCTCACAAGTGCGAACCAGAGTAGGTGCTCTCCTAGACCGACAGGAAGTTGCTGTACCTCCTCCATGGTATCATACTCCATCCACACAGGAGAACGCTTTGTCACAATCTGCAATAGCCCTTGACCTGCAAACTCCACGATGCGCGTGCGGAGGATTGGGTTCGCAGCAATCGCCTCAAACCACGCTGCTTTCAGTCGCGCAATATCAACGTGGGCTGGAAGATGAATGTAGCCCCGTGAGACAAACTCACCCGCCCGCCGAGCAGTATGCACCAGCATCATATCCTGGATTGGTGAGCACGGATAAGCATCTTCAATGTCTTCTGGCCGAAGATTGCAGGCTATTGCAAGAGATTCTCTGGTCACATTCTGTCCAAGCAGTGAGAATGGTTTGACGCTATCTGTGAGCGAAGACAGTGTTCCTGCAGGTGTTTTCAGGGTTTGTGCAGCCATAGCTGACAGGCGAGGGGTGCGTAAAACTTTGGCAACTGAAAGCGTAAATCCTGCCTCCCTGGTGGCAGCGACAAGTTGCATAGCTTTCAAAGAATCGCCTCCGAGGGCGAGGAAGGAAGTGTTTCTCTTGATCAAGGACTTTTCCACTCCCAATGTAGATGCCCACAGGCCTTGAAGGAGAATCTCATTTTGGGTTCTTGGGGGATCATTGTTGCTTGCCGCAAGCGAGATCAGAGTCGAGCGATTCACTAGTTTGTCTGTCGGTGTCCGTTGTGCGATGTGTCTCAGTTCCTCACGGTCAACACCCCCTGATTCCAATCTTGGCATTTTAGAAAGAGGAAGGAAACAAGAGGGTTTCATATGAGAAGGAAACCTTTCACCCAGTAATTCCATAAGATTAGAGAGGATTGTGTCGGATTGAGAAGATCTGTCTTCATCACATTGTGCGAGGCAGACAAATGCCATCAGCTGCTTCGAGAGAGTTGGAAGCTCGACAACATCGACCGCGGCATCTACTACCTGTTCAGGAAGGGATTTTTTGATATATGATTCAATCTCAATCATCTGGAAGATCTGTCCCTTTTGATTGAAATCGACAATCTGAGCATGTTCCTCCTCTGTCAAGACACCCATCTCCCGCAGCTTGTTGGGCTTCTCAGACTCGGATATGAGAGACCTCACAACATGCTCCATATCGCGTAGCATCTGCTGGACTTTATTCTTCCCGAGAACTGTCTCGTCAAAGCTCGCACGGAGATGTAAACCATCGCGAGCGAGTACACAATCAACCATGATGGCATATGTGTTGAAGGCTTGGATATCGTCTCGACCATCACCCAGATCAAACAGGGGGGTTCTGGTGATCGAATCTCCGACTGAGACACCGGCTGGACAACCAGGAACGTCTGGAATTGACAGGCTCGCTGCATGTCGTAACCCAACTCACGAATGCGCTTGATTCCATGATGGACGAATGGGATCATCTCCGCAGCCTGGTCCTGCATGCGCTGCAGGATATCACGCGCACTCTGTCCATCCCAGTCCACGACGACTCGCATGGGGACTGTTGCAATGATCGGCCCTCCGATTCGCTCGATTCCAGCCAAGGGGATTTGGCGGCCAAGTAGCGTCGCTCCAAAGACTACCTCGCTGGCACAGGAGTGCTTAGACAATACCATTCCCCAGGCAGTTTGTACGATGATGCTCGCGGTGATGCCCGTAGCCTTGGTCCATTCGATTCCAGATATAACGTGGCTATGCAAAGCTGTGGCATTTGGCCTGTAATTTGGTATCGGAAGAATGGGAAACGGGCGCAAATGAATGTCCTTCAGATATCGAGTCCAGAACCGCGAGGCCACGTCATGGTCCAAAGAGTTCAGATGCTGAATGAAGTTTCGATACGGGAGTATACTGTCGTCCAATACTCTCGACACTTCACAACCATAGTACTCCCGGGCTATCTTTTTGCCTAGGAGATCCATTGACCAGCCATCATAGACAGCGTGATGCATGGTAAGAACTGCCTGAAGGCGTAAGGACTGTTGTTCCTTCGACTTGTCTTTTCCGACAATCCCGAGTCGCATCAAAGGCTCCCCCAGTCCCATGCCATTTCCTCTCTCGGCTTGCAAGCACTTGTCAAGGTCGGAGTATTCAGTCCACGGCACGTCGCCACTGACGATGACCTGGGAGAAGGCATGATCATAGTCGGCCGCAATATCACCGATGGCCATTTTCGTATCAACAATACGAGTACGGACGATGGGAACCGACTGTGTGACTTTCTCCCAAGAACGTTGGAATCGAAATAGATCAACACCTGGAGGCAAAGGGAAGACGGCCTGGGTGACGAAGTCTTTCGGGTTACGAGACCCCAATGTGACCATCTCCTCTTGAATAGCGGAGCACGGGAAAATGTCTTCGATCTCGACCGCCTCGCATTTACAGATCTTAGAGGCCTTTTCACAAGCTAAATCGACCAACTTCGCGCTGGGAGTGTCACCAAGTAGCATAGAAAACGGTGTTGATGGCGTCGGCATCGCATCTTGCACGGCTAAAGACTGTCCAAGGCCCTTTTCCATCACTAATGCCATATCAAAAAGACGTGGATGTTGAAAAACGTCTGCGACGTTGATATTACTGTATCCTTCTCGGCGCAAGGCAGTGACAAGTCTCATCGCTGCTAGCGAGTCACCTCCTCGAGCAAAGAAATTATCACCGAGACTGGGGGGCGCATCTTTATTCAGGTTCAGTACCTCCTCCCAGAGCCATTTTAATGTCATTTCCACGGGGTTCATAGATCGATCTAGATCTTGGGCCGGTAACGTTTCACCAGTTTCCGGTAGAGTGTGAACGTTCATAAGCTGATCGGGTGCCACCAGTGCCATTCGCCGAAGGGCCTTGCGATCTGTCTTGCCAGTCGCCGTCATTGGGATCGTGCGCAGTGGGAAATATGCGGATGGGATCATGAATTGAGGCAATCGATCTGATAATTTATCGTCCAGTTTATCGATCAACTGTAAAAGCTGCAGTCCGTCGTCCTGCCCCAAGTAGATGAACGCGAGCAGTTGTTTCTGACCTGATGGCCACTCCACGGCATCCACGATGGCATCGACACCTTCTGGGAGGCATTGACCAACATGATATTCGACCTCGCCAATCTCAACTCGCTGCCCGTTGATTTTGATTTGCGTGTCGGCACGAGCAATGAATGAGATCGATCCATCTGCATTATACCTTGCCAGATCCCGCGTACGAAAGATTGGAACTTCCGGGGCTAACGCGATACCTGGTAAATAACCACCGGGTATATCGACAAGCGACTCTTGAGTTTTGCTCTCATCCCTGAAATAGCCTTGGCCAATAATGGGGCCGTCTATAAGCAGCTCGCCTACTGCACCCACTGGTGCCAAACGATGGATGTTGTGAACATCAGCAATCCAAAGATTTGCACCCAGTGGGAATCCGACGCTCTCAGCGTCTTCGATACAGTTGATATTGCGGTTTGCCGCGCACATTATTGTGCACTCAGATGGCCCGTAGGCGTTAATGACGCGCACTCGGCCCGCAGTCTCTAGCCATGGCTCAAGCACATTGCGGTTAATCTTCTCTCCTGTGAGGAGGAGCGTGCGTAGACGCGGGAGCTTGCTCGGGTCTAGAAGACGGGAGGTAGAAGGGGTGAGCTGCACAAACTCGACCTCCATCGATTGCAGTGCCGATTGCAAGTTGTTGATGCGGTCGTCATCTGATGGGACACACAGACATCCACCGGTGAGGAGAGTATGGAAAGTGTTAAAGACATAGGCGTCGAAGCTGTATGACGAAGAGTCAAAGGTGCGAACTCCAGTATCAAAACCTATCGCCCTTGCCTGGTGTCCGACTCCAGTACAGAGATTTGCATGCGAGATGGTGACACCTTTAGGAAGTCCGGTGCTACCAGATGTGAAAACGATGTATAGCCGGTCGGAGGGAGAAATTTTGCCGCATAAGGCTGGGATCTCAACGGACGAGATATCACTGTTATGTTGTAGAAGGTCTTCATCCACGACTATGACACTTTCAGCCAAGGACCGAGCCAGCTTGGCCGTATCATGCCGCGCAAGAATTGTGGTTGATTGAATCTGCTGCATGATACTCTTCAAGCGACCAAAAGGCTGATGGGGGTCCAGCATTATGAAGACACCTCCCGCCTTTGCGACGGCTAAGAGGGTGATGGTCGTCCACATCGTTTTGTCAAAACAAATAGGGACGATGCGCCGCGGGCCTGCAACGTCAATATGGATGAGCCATGCCGCTAGTTGGGTTGACATTTCATCAAGCTGAGCGTAACTCAGCTCTCCGTCCCATGCGTGCACAGCGCAATAGGGACCGCGTCTCCTGGCTTGATAGGCGAAGAGATCAGTGATGCAAGCATTGGTCTTCCTGGGTCTAGAGCCATTCCATTTCCATAAAAGCTTCTTGTCTTCATCACAAAGAAGATCAAGATCTCCAACTACCCTTCGTGATTGGTGCAGAGCAGGGTCACACAGCTGACGGATCAGATGGGCGAGCTGGAGGCCCATTAGTTGAGCCTGTGCAGCGTCTATGACTGATTCATCGATGTGAAATCGTAGAAGTAGTGTCTGACAAGAACTCGATGGGAAACACTCAATGATCAGAGCTAGGGAGTCTGCAGGTATAGCCCTCTTTTCCGAGAATAGTTGGTTCCCCTAATCACATACCGCAGTGAGGTGGTCAGCGTTGTCGTCATGCACGATGGAATATATATATCGTCAAGCGAGTTGAACGTACCGGATATACTTCTGGCTCTTTATCTCTCAATAGAAGTGATGTCCGAAAATGGCAAGCCTCTCTGGCTTCTGAACAACAGGATTGAATTTGATCCAGGCTCATATAGGGTTGGAACTTCTGCATTGCCGCTACTCGGGACTGATTTGCCTTCAACCACTGTGCTAAGTCGGATTCCGGATTGATAGGTATTCGTAAAGGTAGGAGGGCGTCTTGCAAGGTTGGATCTGCTTGCAAATAATTCATAGTCGTTCCAAATACCACATCTTGAGTGTTGGCATACTGAGCCAAGAGCAACGCCCAGGCGGCCTGTAACTTGGTGGACAGTGTATATGGATCATCGTACCTAGTGGCACAATCAATCCGAACGATTTCATGTTCGATTATGCTAGTTATCGAAGGATGATATCCCAGTGCAGGTAGAACAGGGTATGAAGAGGTTTCGAAGCCGGCAAGTGTATCTTGCCAAAATTGTTCAGCCATTTTGGGCATTTAGTTGAACTTCTGCCACGACCAGTAGAGAGGTGTAGAAAGCGGATCTTTATAAATTTTCTCCGGCATGGTGATATTAAGGGGGATCATTCGGGTCTTGCCGTAGTACCCTATACGAAGGGATTGAATTTGTAAATTACATGATACCGCAACTTGAAAATAACTAGCTGTATGAAACGTAAGGCACTAGCTAGTGCGATGGTGCATAAGCACTAAATGTCTAGGAGACGGGTGGGGCCCTTTATTAGATGATCGCCGGAGGCCCCACTCCCGTCCGCTCAGCCTTCACCGCTTCACATCTCCTCAGCCCAAGGCTCCAGGGCGGGCAATTCTGCTGTTGCCTTCCCCCTGAGAAATTGCCTTTTGGCATCGGAATCCTGCCACAGTCCCGAGCAACAGTCCCGAGCAACAGTCCCGAGCAACAGTCCCGAGCAACAGTCCCGAGCAACAGTCCCGAGCAACAGTCCCGAGCAACACTCACGAGCTGCATCAATCAAAGAACTGGTCGCCGACGTCCTCGTTCATGTTGACACCGCAAGATTCGGAACGGCCGACGCAGGAGACGCCTCTTTTAGGCTCGCGTCGCCACGACGCTATCCCGGACGCCTCTCCTGCGCCTTTGTCACACGCTCAACTGCGCCTTCTGATCCTCGTGTGCATCTCGATTGTCGCAGCTGACTTTGGTAGCTCCCTCACTTTGGCTCCTCAAATTTCGATCTTCGAATCGCTTATATGTCGCCGAATTGGGACCGGTGATAACTGCAAGTCTCCCAAAGTTCAAGGGGAATTGGCATTTCTGATCGGTTGGAAGGAGACTATTGACCAGTTGCCTGGAATTGTCTTTGCCTTACCATATGGCCTCGCGGCGGATCGAATAGGCCGCAAGCCCATTCTTGTGCTCTGCTTGATCGGTCTAATACTAGAAGAGTTTACCACGCGTTTGGTCTGTTGGTGGAATGTGGCCCTTCCCCTCAGGATGATATGGGCAACGCCTGTGTTTCAGCTCATTGGCGGTGGACCTCAGACGGCAACAGCCATGGCCTATGCTATGATTACGGATGTGGTTCCAATGGACCGGCGGTAGGTAAAGCGCGGATTGTTGCCGATTCAGTATGGCGGGTTGCTAATAATTATATCCAATTCACCAGGGCATCCATATTCTACACAATAGCAGCTGTAATACTTCTAGGAGAAATACTTGCCACCCCTATCAGTGCCATTCTCATGACGTGGAGTCCATGGGTTCCTTCATTGCTAGGGATAGTCTTCCAGCTAGGGGGGCTATTGGGCGCAGCTTTAGTTTCCGAGACACGACACGACTCAAAGTCAAACTCGGAGCAAGAAGCTGATTCAGAAGTAATTGTGCATAATAGTGTGGAAGCCGAAATCGATGATGACGAGCCTGAGTACCACAGGTCCGGGTATCGGCGAGTGAAGCAGACAGTGACAGGATACTGGGAACACATCCGGACCACCCACATGGAAGGCTGGGATCTGAACATGGCTTTCATCGTATTTGCATTCCTACTCGCCGGCATCAGCAAGCAGGCCTTTCAGCTGATCATTCCATACGCCTCGAAGCGCTTTTCATGGAGTATCGCACGCGCCAGCTTCCTCATTACATTGAAGGGAGTTATCAACCTTGTCATTCTACTGCTTATTCTTCCTCGGCTGTCTACATGGCTGAGTAGACAGATGTCCTGGTCTCCGGTGCTCAAGGACCTCCGTGTTGTACAGGGAAGTGCATGGATTCTTACTTCAGGTACGGTTCTCATGGCTTTTGCCACCATTCCGGAGTTGTTCATTTCTGGTCTGTGCCTGTTTGCACTTGGCTGGGGCTTCTACTCGGCGCTGCGGAGTCTGGCCACAGCATTGGTTTCTCCATCTCAGGTGGGAGTGTTGAACACAGGTATCGGTTTCGCGCAAAGCTTAGGCTCGCTTGTCGCAGGGCCAATTCTAGCTGCAGCATTTGGAAGCGGCCTGCGACAAGGTGGCATCAGCATGGGCTTGCCATATATGGTAGCTGCAGCATTGTTCTTTATGGCAAGTTGTGTGACTTGTATGATTTGTATCCCGGGAGAGAAGCGTAGAGTATAGTGGAAAGGGTTCAATATTAGGCAACATGGGTCAAAACTATCTGAGTACTAAGTCTAAGGAGAGAAACTTGCAGAAAAACGATTGCAAGCCCCTCTAAATGAGAATCAATGTCTCTATGCACTATTTAACGAACATTATCAGATTTGGATCTCGTCTTCGCAGACGTTCTCCATATCTGATCATCAAAAATGGAATCGGTACAAGTGCCAAAGAAATGAATGCAAGTAGACTGTTCCCCCACCCCATACCCAGAGTATCATATATTCTTTGACCCCCAAGGGGCAACAAAGCACCCACCAGGTTTCGCAGCACGGTAGTCGCTGCCATAGCAGACGCAGCATGTTTTTCAAATGCGGTCACCACGTAGATCTGCACTGGCTGGAAGATGCCCATCATGGCGAACCCAAACACACCTAATCCCACTAGAGGTACTATTGGAAATGCGTTTCTTTGCAGTGACCAGCCGTACCAGAATAGACCTGCAGGGATTAGGAAGCTTGAAGGGAGCATGGGCCAGAGCCAGCCCTCCGGCGGGAGAATTTCCTCTGGATTTGAAGCCTTTGCTTTTCTTCGCTCGGTGACTTTGTCGGATGCATAGCCGATGATAAAAATTCCTGCCATGAAAAGTCAGCTCGTTGCTAATGGATTGGGGCAGGGCAATACCTAGAACTGTCCCAATTCCATTGCCTAAATATACAAGTCCTGATAGACCCGTTGATAGATGATATTGATCTTGGAAGATGTATGAAAGTGTTGTGAAGACTAGATACTGGTACCCATAAACTATAGCAGTGTCCACTGCAATGATTATCACAATTGGCGATGTGAAAAGAATTCGGGGAGGCCGGATGAGAGTGTCAACAACTAGACTTTTCTGAGATAGTTGTCTGCCTATGCGTGATTTCAACCGATGGTTGCCTGTTTCCTTGCGCAGGCGCTTTGCTTTGCGTTCCAAAAGGACCGGAGCATAGCTTTCCTGTACTAAGAAAGGAGACGCGACTGTGAGAATGCCCATCTGAGCCACAGTGATATCATCAGCATGGGCTTTCACCGCGGAGAAGCAATGTTACCCCAGCACATACTAGAATAGCAATCACCCAGAAGATCCACCTCCAGCCTACCGCTTGGCTAATATATCCACCAGCAATAGGAGAGAATACCTACCATAGCATTCGTGTCACGGTGAGTTAAATATTCCTAGGATGAAAACGAGGATAAGGCCATACCGGTGGGGCCAACGAGCCCAGACCCCATATCGCCAGGGCAGTTCCCATCCGTTCAGGCTCCATCATGTCGCTAATTGAGCCTCCACCTAGCGCAAGGGGTGAAGCTCCAGCACAGCCGCAGAGTAGACGAAACGCGAGGAACATTCCTACGTTTGTGCTAAGAGCACATCCGATCGTCCCTCCGAGGAAGATCACATTCGAGACATTGTACACAATCGCGCGACCATAAAGTTCTGACAGCGGCGCCACAAGCAGCGGCGCCACCGCATACCCAATGACATAAATTGAAACAACGAAAGACTCAAGTTCTGAATTATCGGAGTGAAGAGACTTCATTACCTCCGGCACTGCTGGAGCCAACATCGATGAGCCGAGTGACCTAATAGAAGAGCATTAGTCTAGGCTCTGGTATAGAACCCGGGGTAGATGCTGGGACAATGGAAATGGGCATATACGTGGTAAGAGTCAGAAGCGATATGATGACAATATGGGACCACCGGCGTACAACGCTCCAGTTCTTAGGATTTGATTGATCGTCGTCACCATCCCAGAATATTTCATTTGGATCTGTCGTAACAGCATTTTCCCTGGGAGTGGTATCGGCTGTTGGCGGTAATTGAGAGGATATAACACCCTCAGCTGCTCTAAGGGAGACCATATAACCCCTCAGATTGTCAAATTGAGGAATCTCAGGTTGTACAGTCCAAGCGGGACTGGAGAAGAGGGTGGGTAGCTTGCTATTAGACTTGATAGTAGGTGTAGAAGTGAATGTTTCGGCACAGTCTCGCCGACTTTGCTTATCTTTTGGCCTCGTTTCCGATTTTTGTTTCTCACGCCCTGAAATCGAAATCTTTCTTTGTTGTTGACCTGGGGATCGTGAGGTATACCCAAACACACGTGACTCGGACTCGGCTTGTCCTCCGTTGGCTAACGCAAATCGCGAAAGCCAAAAGTCCCCCACCGTGATTTTCTGCGGACTGGTGTCAACTCGAATGGCAAGTTGGTTAGAACTTTAATTAAAGAATGCAACCATAGCCCACCGTCCTGCATGATAGACGGCTATGAGCAATTTGATGCAAATTTGACTCCAGAGGATTTCTTGAATTATGGGCGGATTGAACACCGAATATAGGAAAATAAAGGCTAGTAATTTTCAAAACAGTTCAAAGAGATCCTGGCGGGTCAACCAACCCACAGGGTGGGTGGATAACTATCCACAGCTCCGCTTAGCACGAATTAGGGGAAATTAGCAAAGTGGTAGTGATAGTCGTTCAGGTGGATATCTCAGGATTCTTCGATGTTCCCTATTCGGGTGAACTGCATCAGAACAACTTGATTAGAATATGGTCGGAGATAGCGCTTGATTGCCCCTAACATCTTGCAGCTAATTTCACTGTGCCAAGACGAGATATCACACGTGACAAGCCAGATATATGTCAGAACAAGAAATGACCGTCTAGACTAAGGATGCTGCCTATAGTGCATTTCTGGTCTAGCGGTATTTTACCCTATATTCTGTCCGACAATATACAAGTCCTCAGGGCCATTCGCATTCCTCTTCGGTGTTGTTCGTAGCACTGTACTTCTATAAGTGGAGCGCCGAAATGGACCAAAACCACCATCATTGGCCAAGAGACTAAATTATACATAGGTAAGAGAGTTAAATATACATCAGCTATTATGTTATAGTATTTCATACTCTTCTCTGGCATAGCCTCCGCATTATGGTAGTAGATTCCCACTGCGTCTAATAACATAGAGAGGGTAAATAGTAGGCTTTTCTACATAGGACTTTTTAAGGATTAAAGCCCTTGCAACCTTGCTACATAAGACCTATCCTTAGTTTAGCGCTAAAGAGGTACGGAAAGTTTATAATAAAGTTATAGTAGGTATTTAATTAAATTAATCCTCATCTGCAGAGAACCTATTTACACTTCTATATACCTAGAATTATGGAAGGAAGAGAGCGAAAAGTCTGCTATAACGAGTTAGCCCCCTTAGGAAATAACTCCGAGCTCCGTATAGGAATTCCTTCAGGATTCGAAGTCTCTATATTAGATATAATATAATCGTTAGAAAACTACCTCTTACGATAACCTATTACGCGAATATTACTTGCTTATTATTACTGATTAAGTATATATTACTAATCGAGGAACCTTGAGTATTAGCCTAGAAGATGTATATAGTAATATATATAGAAAGATTAGCATTCTGCAAGCGTAGTATTAAATATATACAGTGGTGTAATATAAGTATTTGACCTCGAGTACTTTGGCCTAAGACCCACTATTTTGATACTGCCCGACAGAAACCTCCAAAATCCAATCCAATTTAATAGCTAGTATGCCACCCTAGAGGATATAGTCTCTCATAGATAATTAAAATTCTCAATTTTTAGGCCTTCCTAAGTTGAAGTGTCCTGGTTTGGCATACTAACAAAGTAGGCGGTAAAGGAGGCGGTCAGGCAAAAGTGGATCTTGAGGTACTCGAGGTTAAATACTTATGTTACACCACTGTATCATTCTCGAAATTTGTCAAGCCCAATTCGACGCAAAATATCCACCCTGAATCACTATTTGATTGAACAAGTTCCAAACTTGCTTAGAACTTTGTGGTTTTATTGCCCCAGCGGCAGATGTCACATTTTTCGAGCGGGAAATCAGGCGCTCACCGCTAGATGTCTCGGTTTGTTTGTTACATACGTCAGGACAGTAGGAAGATAGACTTCAGTTTGATCAGAACTGGAATTGTCACTTGCAAGGATTCAGTTCGCTTTCTTGTATCCACACTACTAAAGTCTCACGTCAGACGAACTCTGTAGTAGCTTGGCTTAGCGCATGGGGCTTACTGTATGTAGCAATTCGTGATGAAAAAGCGCAAAAGGGGGCAGCGAACGGGCTAAAGAAACAGATCCTTCTTCTCAATCTGTTTCTATAGATGGGCATTTCAATTAGTGAATCACAATTACGATACTCAGTCGTATCTCTCAGGGATCGACATGGCACTGGATGGTAAGAGGAACGCTAATTACGCCCCGTTGCTACGTCGGGAACTCGAGGATTAACTACTCTTGTCATTCCTTCCTCCACGAGCATGATAACATAAAATAAAAACGAATTTTGAAAGCGGGCCCGCTAACATTGAAGCGAACTGAACTAAATTCATGCGTCATTTTCTTATAGTTACTTCCGAGATGGAGGAAAAAGGAGCCCGATATAAATCTTATCCAAAGAAGGATTGACATGGGCTATCACATGGTCTTGTGTATTTCGCAACACATTTGATATCTCCAAGCCTCGACTTTGATTATCTCTTGTTCAGACAGCAACATCAAAATGACAGTGACTCAACTACCTCTTGTTGACTTTGGCCTTTTCTTGCATGGAAACGAAGATCAACGGGAACAAGCCGCAAAGCAGCTAGTTGAATCTTTTGTGAATCATGGATTTGTTCGTTTGAAAAACCACGGGATATCTCGAGACTTTGTGAAACAGATCTGGCACTGGGTATTTATTCCATGCGTTGATATCAACTGTTCAGGGAAACAATCTGATAGCTCATGCTTGGCTAGGACCGGGCATTTTTCCAGCTGCCGGATGAGGTGAAAATGAAGATCGTGCATCATCCAGGCTCAAATTTGCAACGAGGGTGGTGCCGGAAAGGTACAGAAACTACGTCGAAATTACACAAGGAGAATGCAGAGAACTCACCCAAGGGAAAAGGCGAATTGCTTGATGAGAAGGTAGGCTTGTATCTATTGACGGTCACATCTAAAATGCAAACAACAGGAAGCTAATTCGTGTCTAGGAGCATTTTGATTGTGGCCCTCGCGGGGATAGCGAGTTTCCTAACAAATTTCCCAGCGAAGGAGATCTTCCGGGCTTTAAGGCATTTATCGAACAGTACTTCGACATCGCACAGGAGGTTTCTCGTCATATCATGAGGGCATGCGAGGTCGGATTCGGGATGCCCAGAAACTCGCTTGTGGAGCGATGTATACCCTCAGCATCGGAGCTTCGAATGCTTCACTATCCTCCTGTATCTGTTGAGAGACTTCAAACCGGAACAATCAAACGGGCCTGGCCGCACACCGACTTTGGAATCATTACACTTCTTTTCCAAGACAGTCTCGGTGGTCTCGAATTTGAAGATAGAAACAAACCATTTACGTTTGTGCCTATTATTTCATCTGATGAGAACGAGCTGATTGTCAACACGAGTCAAACTTTCCAACGCTGGACTAATGGTGTTGTCAAGGCCGGCCTTCACCAGGTGAATGTTCCACCTGAGCTGCGTACCGCTAAAGAAGGCTACATCCCCGCACGTTATTCGTCCGTGTTTTTCTTGAAAGCGCACCGAGAGGTCTCAGTTGGACCAATCGATCAGTTCGTGACGGAGGAGAGGCCCCCGATGTACCCAAATATCACCGCACTCCAGTACCAGCAAGAGATGACAGAGATTCTGTATTAGGAACCTTCACTAGAGGATCAGACGAGTAAAGAGTTGCAAGAGAATTTGATTACCTTTGATATACTCTAAATAGAACTGAATGTTGTGCATTCGTAGGCTATAAAATTGCTATGGACTATTTGAATCTCCCTTCTGTCTTGTAAATAGGCCTCTGTTCGGTTAAATAGAAGAGTATAACACTTGCTCCCCCTAGTCTGCTTCTACTATGCTTACAGAATGCTAATCTTTCTATATATATTGCTATATACGTCTCCTAGGCCAATGCTTAAGGTTCCTCAATTAGCAATATATACTTAATCGGTAATAATAAGCGAGCAATATTCGCGTAATAGGTTATCGTAAGAGGCAGTTTTCTAACGATTATATTATATCTAATATAGAGACTTCGAATCCTGAAGGATTTCCCGTACGGAGCTCGTAGTTACTTTCCTAAGAGAGCTAACTCGTTATAATAGACTTTTCGCTCTTTTTCCTACTATAATTCTAGATATGTAGAAGTGTGTATAGGTTCTCTATAGATAAGAATTAATTCAATTAAGTACCTACCGTAACTTTATTATAAACTTTCCGTACCTCTTTAGCGCTAAACTAAGGATCGGTCTTATACAGCAAGGTTACAAGGGCTTTAATCCTTAAAAAGTCCCATACAGAAAAGCCTACTGTTTACCCTCTCTATGTCATTGGACGCAGTGGGAATCTAATATCGGTTCATAATTCACATATCACATAGATATCTTCTTTTTTTCCATCCTTATAGAGTATTTGCATTGATATTATGGCGTGAAGCATTTATACCCCTCTTCCATTAATGACACCTAAGCCATGCTCAAACAAGGCACTGCACTTTATACTTGATATGTAGATCTAACGTGACATTGTTTTTAAGGAGCAAAATGAATAGATTCCTCTGCCACCCATTGAGAAACCTGCAAACATGAATCAGTGCGTAGACGCCACGTGGGAGAAGGACTGGCTTAGAATCTAAAGGTCATCATACTTTGAGACACACTTTGGCGTATCGGTGATAGCTGAAAGGAAAAAATTTTATTACCAGATTACTGTTCAGTATTACGGATAATTTAGACTTTTAATCGCTGTCTTATCTTTAGTTCACATGGCTGCAGATACACGTTTAAGTTTGCTGGCCATACTATGACATTGAGGCAATATCGCGAGTTGTATATTCCTCCCTCACTAGTGCTGTGGAGCCATTTGCCTTGTGAGTGGTCCAAAGTCTACAAAAAGACGGTGAGTGGAAAGAATCACCCTTATCTCTGAAATGAGGGGACTGCAAGTCAGATGACTTATTGCGTCTGGTGGAGATGAGACAAGCATAGCAGATGGTGATAGTGCATTGTAGTATCATGCCTCTAAATCAGCTCGTCTATAAAGACCACGAGGTTCGCAGCCTGTTTGAAGTAGGCCTCAACTCGCATTGAAAAATCACTCTTTCTATCTCCAAATCTTCTTTATCCTTCATTCACGACCATCATGGGGAGCACTTTTCCTGAGCGAAAATATGACATCCACCATCAGTGGCCCACCCCACACGCAAGCCAAGCTGTGCAATCATGGCGCAAGTTCAGCACTCATATCAAAACCGGCATTATCCACATAGACGGCCAAACATTGGATTTGGCAGCTGTGGTTGCTATTGCAAGGTTGAGGCTTCCAATTCTCACAATATCTTCTCTTTACAGCAAGTTTAAGGCTGACTGGTTATTTCGCTGTTTTCAGGAACGGTGTACGATTAGCCCTCTCTGAGGACCCCAGCGTCATCCGGCGAGTTGAAGCGAGTGTTGAGACCTTACAAGCCTATCTCTCGAAGGGATACTACCTCTATGGTAGGTGACCAGATCATCCTTAGCCCTGCTGGAAGAATCAATTTCCCTAACGAGTATAAAATCAGGGGTCAACACCGGTTTTGGCGGCAGCGCCGACACCCGCACCCCAGACTTATACGGATTGCAGCGAGCGTTGATGCAGCTCACCCAAACCGCTGTGCTGACCCAGGAAGACAAAACCGACTCTCCGAGTCGCCATGAATATCTCGAATCGCACAGTATGCCAAGTGCGTGGACAAGAGCTATGACAGCTATTCGATGCAACGCAAATATTCGCGGTCACTCAGCTATGACTCCCAACATTGTTCACTCGATGATCAAGCTGTTAGACAACGACATTGTGCCCATTGTGCCCCTGCGAGGCTCCGTCTCCGCGTCTGGGGATTTGATGCCTCTGTCATACCTTACTGGAACTATTCAGGGAAGCCCAGATGTTTTTGTTCGTGTTGGAGGACTCAAGGGAGTCCCTCGCATCATGTCAGCGCAGCAAGCCCTCAACGAATTTTCCATTGAGCCCATTGTCTTAGGACCAAAGGAGGGCTTGTCAATGATCAACGGAACTGCTGCTGCCACTGCCGTGGCTAGCCTGGGTCTTTATGAAGCCAACCAGCTTGCCCTCGTGTCGCAGTTGCTGACTGCCCTTTTGTCCGAGGCTCTCTATGCCAACAACGAATGGGCCCATCCGTTCATTGCTGCAGTACGCCCGCATCAAGGTCAAATCGAGGCTGCTCAGAACATTCGAACTTTCCTAAAGGGCTCACGACTTTCATATGGGCTGGAGCGGACCAAAGACCGCTTCTCTGAAGGATTGGCCCAGGAGCGGTATGCACTACGCAGTTCCCCGCAATGGCTCTCGCCACAGATAGAGGACCTCCTCAGTGCCGAGAAGCAGCTTGTAACAGAGCTCAACTCTACCTCTGACAACCCGGTGGTCAACAGTGAGGATAATGACATTCATTGCGGGGCCAATTTCCAGGCTGCAGCAGTAACATCGGCCACAGAGAAGGTTCGATTGGCTTTGCAGTCAATTGGCAAGATGCTATTCAGCCAGGTCAGCGAGGTGATCAATCACGACTTGAGCAATGGTCTCCCGCCAAATTTGGCTGCCGATGATCCTAGTTGCTCATTTTGCTTGAAGGGACTTGACATTGACACCGCTGCTTATACATCTGAATTGGGATTCCTGGCCAATCCAGTCAGTAACCACGTGCAATCGGCCGAGATGCACAATCAAGCCATCAACTCCCTCGGTCTCCTTTCTGCGCGCCAGACAATGGCTGCAGTGGAGTGTCTTTCCTTGATTGTTGCCAATGCACTCTACGCAGGGTGTCAGGGTGTGGATCTTCGTACACTCCACCGCACTTTCATTGCAGGTCTGGAGGAGCCAGCCCGTCAGCTTGTGGGAGGCCTCTTCCCTGATGCCCATGACCTTGATAGAAAGGAAAGGTTCTTCACCACCTTCTGGAAAAAATTTGAGGCTTCTTGGTATGATGCTGCATTATATGATGCTGCCGAAAGATCCCAAAAGGCCGCACAGTCGCTGGTCGTTGCTGTCTTTTCCAACGCCCAGCAGATCCCTATTGTTCTTTCTGTCGAGACAGTGACGAGCTTGGCAAAGTCCTTCGAGACTCTCATTCTCGAGTCATATCTGCGCCACCGCGATGAATTTTTCCAAAATCAAACAACACCGGAGTATCTTGGTCAAGGTACGAAGGCGATCTACCTTTTTGTTCGCGAGAAGCTGGGCGTGCCCCTGCACCGGGGCCTCGTGGAGCACCCCGTGGCAGGAGACAAGCAAGGAAATATGATCGATGGCCGTCCAAAGAGAACCATTGGCTCTTGGGTATCAATCATTTACGCGGCTGTTCGGGATGGGTCATTGTATGATGAAGTGTTTCGGTTTATGGAAGTCACTGGTGGATTGAGTGTGGCGGGTGGTATTCATGGACCCAAGGCTGCCAGGAATGGGTTAGCTGGGAATGGTATTCACTAGTTCCAACATTAGACTGTTAGGGCGATCAATACAACACGTAGCTTTATGCATTTCAATTCTGCACACATGTTGTATAGATCGAGTTGGTGCCTTATCTGAGCCTACAGTAGCTAAAAGAACCTATCAACTGCTGCTGATCTGGACGTGGCTAGCATGCTTGGAATACCATCAGGGCTCAAACTGTAGTCGAATGCGATACTCGGATAGAATAGGACCGGTAGTAGGAAATAGCGGCTAACCCCGGGATGACGCAGATTGTTACTGGTCTCATCCTTAGAGATATTCAAAGGTTGTTCCATCCAGGGCTCCTTCAAGAACACAACATAAAAGCAATTATTTCCCTTACTGAGGAGCGACGGGCCCGGCGGAGCTCTACTAGGCGTTCCGCAACTTCAACATAAGTGGATACAAGGTTTGGGTTCATCAGAACAGGATATACTCGCTCAGATGAGTGAAATTTGTGACTTCATTGAACGGATGGCATCCTAGGCACTTGCTTCGTTGGTCGTCTTGACCACCCAACCGGAATAAGAAACAAATGTTGACCAGCTTGAAGCCCCCCGGGAAGAGATAGGGATTCACATACTGCACTACAAAGTTATTGTTACAGCAAACTGATACTGTATAGCCTAGTATGCGAGGATAACGAATGAGATCAAGCGGAACCAATTTGTATGAATAGAATTGATTGAATCAACAGAGAAACAGGGCCAAAAGCGCTGCTAAAATAGCCCCTGAGGCACACCGCTATTCGCTGTCTCCGTTACTCAGCCGTTACAAGGCTCTCTTTGCTGTCCCATAGACTAATTATATGTGTCAGCACATGAAGGGATAACTTACCACTAGCAACTGATTGGTTGCTGATGGGCCTATATTCGTTTAGCTTTTCTTATGTAATTAGTCTACAGAGCAGCAAAGAGAGCTTTGTGACGGCTGAGTAACAGAGACAGAGCGGATAGCGGTGTGTCTTAGGGGCTATTTTAGCAGCGCTTTTGACCCTGTTTTTCTGTTGATTTAATCAATTCTATTTATACAAATTAGTTCCGCTTGATCTTATTCATTATCCTCGCATACTAGGCTATGTAGTATTAGCTTGCTATAATAGTTATAAGCCCGATAGCCTGTTGATATTATTAAGAAAGATACGTATCAATTCGCCTAGATCTTTCTATCCACGTAAGCTTCCTAAATTAGGCCTATATAGCTACCTAGCGGTAGTTTAACTAATACTAAAAGACTATAGGTCCCGCTCGAAGACCCTATAAATCAGCCTGATTTATATATAAAGATAACGTCTTTCGAGATAACTTAAGCGTTAAATATAATCCCCTAGGATTAACGGCTCCGGTCAGAGGCCTAATAGAGAGTATAGATTAGTTATATTAAATCGGTAGCGATAGCCCTAAGATATAGGGATATCTCGACCCTAACGTTCTAGACGATGATATTAGAAAGCTACCTAATAAACTAAGGGATACCTTCCTTAGGCCGAGCGAAGTTAACGCCGATATAACTAACCCGATGATACTTACCGAAGCTAAATATACTAAATATACCTATATTATTAGACTATTTAAAGAGGAGAGAGCGTTTTGCTATATTATTTATAAGAGTCTCGCCGATATTAACGCCTATATCCTTATAATAACCTACCCCGAAAAGTATAATATCCTAGCTGATAAAAAGACTATAAGAGAGAAGCTAGTTAGATTAGTATAGGAATTTAAGCTAAAGGGGGCTATATAGAAGTAAAACCTTAGAAATATATAGAGATATTAATCTACTACTCTATTTAGTAAGATATCGGTATTAATATATAAATAGCTAACGGACTAGTTAAACCTATACGATAAGGCCTATATAGCGAAAGTGCTAGATATCTAGCGCTATAGCTATATTACCGAGGACTAGACTGCGGCAATATCCTTAATATCCATGGATATCTATCCTCTCTGTAAATTACGGATATAGTATATTACCTAATATCCGCAATCCTTAATTTTATAGATATAGTATACTACCTAATATCCTCTAGATATTTAAGGATATCTAGTAGATATTAAATAGGCTAAATATACCTAGCCTCGTAACCTTTTTAAGTGTATATTATTTATATAGTTTCCTACGTATTTTTTAAGTAATTATAGTATAATTATTATTTTTAAAGATTTTAATTTAGTAAATATAATTCTATTATTTCTATATAATATCGACTATCTTAAATTAATCTAAAATCTATTAGGTAACCTAGGTTACTTCCGAATTCGCCCCGACTGTCTCTATATACCCCTATCTATTAGTATTTCTAGAAGGTTATTATTATCCTTATTGAAAGATTCGGATAATTATTTCTTTAATTATTTACGCTATAGTTACTTACTTCGATTATTAGTCTTCCTATTATCTAAATTATTATTATAGCTCTCGATCTATTATATATCCTCTATACTAGGCTCTTAATCCTCCTTTTTATTATTACTAATTGTTACAGACCTCAAGAAGGCGTAGGGGCCGCAGCTATTTAAGGAGCAACCGTGACCCAATCATTCTACGAACGCTAAGGATTAGCGTTATTATATACGTCTCGATATACTTAGGTATACCTTAAGAAGGCCTAATATAGGAAATAGCTATTATTTTACCTATACCTAGATTATACCCTAAGTACAAGGCACTAGTAAAACAGTATATAATCTCTAGTAGTAGAAGGATAGATCGGTATATAGGTAGATCGTACTAAGACCTATCTACTACTATACTATCTACTATCTATACTATTATAAAGGACTACCTAGATATATAAAGATACTTATTTAGTATTATATATTTAGTTCTTCGCGATTAATTATATATTATTACTTAGTTACTACCTTTAGAACTTTATACTTTACGGTTTACTTTAAGATAATCTAACCTATAAGTAGGGGAGCTTACCTAGTAGTAATACTTAGTAACTAACTTACTCGGTACGTACTCTAGTATATCCTATAAGAGACTTAATAGGATCTAACCCGTAGTAAGGCTTTTTATAGCAACGGTACGATTAAGAAATACTCTTAGGATTCGTAGTAGGACTCGGTAAGTATAACCCTTAGGGCCCTACTCACAGTAACCAGCAGTGCATCCTCGCATCGGTCCACGAATCGGCACCAACAGCATTGGTTTTCCAAGATCGGAATCTCTCATGCATTTTCCGTGCGGGGGATGACTGGCTCATAGGGGAGCTATGCCTTGTGAGGTCTGGGCAGTGCTTGTCCAAGATGCCGGTCTAATTGCTCACCCGCAGCGTGCAGGGACCTTCGGGTCTTGGAATCCCGTTTTCTGTGTTGTCTGCTTGGGTCCAGCAAGAATGGCGCAATTGCTGGGCAATTTCGGCCGTGTTGTAGTCCGAGTCTCTATGTAGCGTTGCATGATTAATACATAAACTCGGAGAGGCGCTCTGTGGGGAAGAGGCAAGCGAATTCTCCGACAGTGACTACTTCCAGTTGTTTCTCTCGCACGAGGTTTTGGTTTACCCCAACTTCAGAAATCATGCAGCTGCTGCGGAGTGTTGTATCCCTGCTGCTGGTGGCCACTAGCCTGGCTATTCCGAGTAGTGAAGGCAGGAGACCGAGGGCTATCCAGCCTCGTGCTGCCAAGTATGCTCTTAAGGAACCACCACTTACGACGCCATGGACGGATAAAGTGGGCCTAAATCCGTGGCCCGAGTATCCACGGCCGCAACTGCAGCGGTCTCAATGGCAAAATCTCAATGGAGTGTGGCAGTATCGAAACGCCTCAAGTCTTGCCCGAATTTGAGCTGACAGAAGGGGTCAAGCTGTTGGATCCCACGCGACTGGTGGATTCCACGACTGGCTGGCATGATCACGGTGCTGGTGACTTCAGCGTCAGTATACCTGTGATGGCCTCACAACGTGCACTACTCATGGAAGGCAGGATAACCACCACTATGCCAACCCTCAATGTGGCAGCCCCTTCTACTCCATCGATTCAAGCCCGTACGATGACACCAGGATCGGCCTCCAAGGTGAATTCGGTGGTCTCGGAAACAATGTTTCTATTGAACAGTGAGTGGTGTGTACATCATAATGGAATGGGAAGATTGCCTGACAGCAATTTTAGTCTCTGGAAGGTCCAGAATGCCATCAATACCATCAACCAGACCTATGAGCTTGATCAAACTATCGACATTTGGAACTACCGCAGCCACATCATGCTGGCTGAACTGCGGGACCAGGTGAAGCGGTTCTCATGCAGTGGGGGTATCTGGACCCAGACTACTGATGTCGAGGGCGAAGTCAACGGGCTGATGACCTACGACCGCCGCTTGGCTCGAGTCGATGAGGCGCAGTGGAAGGCCGATATCCAAGGTCTGTATGACGCTGCCGCCGCACGCAGCAACGCGACCGTGTCGAGTCCGTAAGCGGGGTGAAAGGAATATGTGCAGACTTGTCTTCTCATTTTGCGGAGACTTCCCCGGTCCTGTTGAATTACATTTCTCTACAGAGTACATTTTACGCTTGAATTTCCACATTAATGCCCCCACCCCCCGTGTCCCTTCCAGCATCCGGACGGTGTCTGGCATAGATTATTCTCGAAGTGTGCTGTGATTCATCATATCCCCAATGGTAGATAGCTCAGATTTCTCCCTCAAATTCTGCCATTGAGTTTTGTTTTGCTTGTAAAAGATAAGACCGGTGCCCAAAGCAGACGGCTTCAGTTGTCACTGGCGTCACCAAACTCAATTAGATTGACTTGGCACGTCAAGCCCATGGTGACGATGTCCGAGGCGTGCCGGAACGCGGGGCAGGCACGACGCCTCCAGGCCAATACCCTCTCTGATAGTAGTGATCAACACATGTATTGCTGATTGTCAAGCGCGGCTGTCTGAGAATTGTCCTAGCGCGTCTCAGTTTCAAAGTTGAGCCGTCGGATGTGACGCCAACCGCCAAATAGTTAGTTTGTGGATCTTTCGAGAAAGCAGGCACTGAAGGATTGATCCGCTTCTCTCCTCTATGCCCCTTTTTATGATGTAGATTTGTTCGCAATATTTTTATTCTATTTGTTCACCTAGGAGCCAAGTCCAACCGGAAGCGCTCCTGGTCATCAGCCCATCGGCCGAGTCCACCCGAATAGCATCAGGCCACACCATCACACGGTTCCGGGTTGAGTATAGAGGTCGCTTGTTGGGTGAGATCAGAAGCCTGTCCCAGCAATTGGTAATATGTAGGAATGTAGGCGTTCTCTGACGGGGCGCTTTTTCCCTAGCCCACTGTCGTGTCCTCCTTGGTTTTCCTCCGGTCCCACAATTTTTTTCTTTTGGGTTTTTGGCGCTCCTCTTCCCGTTAGAACAATCTTGGCTCACCGTTTCTAGGAAATTTGCCATGCTATGCCAGAATCCTTCAATTTTTAAGATGCGCTACAAAGGAAGACCTGCGGATGTTGCTTTTTGAACAGTAGCGGCATTGATCCCGAAATTCTTGCACGCCGCCGGTTGCCCATCGCCTGATCATGTCCAAGCAAGATAAAAAAAGCACAGCAAGCACAAAATGGGAACAAATCCTACGTTCCGAGCAGGTCCCGAGCAGAAGTGGATCTGGCCTTGTCCAAAACGAAACCGTTAGGAACCCAGCGGAGTCGGCAGTAATCGTCCGTCAACGGTGAGCCTCCACCGTTTGTGGGAGTCTAGCCTAGACGAGCGCGATTCGGGATTTGCGTCGTATTCCTGTTCTTCGTTCATATCAATGCCCAGTCCCGAGGATTTCGGAATAATGGCGCCGCGACCTAAGCGCAACAGTGCGTCTACACAGGGCTCTAATACGAGCGGGCTTTATCTCCGCTCTCCACGTGGTCGCCCGGTTTATCCTGTACTCTAAGCTAATCTTTCAATAGACCGCGCAACAAAGTTCATGGCTGGTACTTTGGCGTTGTCAGTGGAGGATGCGGGTAGAGGAAATTGCACGGATCAGCCTACACCTGCCGATGCTTTGTTGTCTGCCGGAGCCATAACTTCTTGCCTTTTGTCAGTGGTCTGATTCGATAGAGTATCTTTCTCAGAGACTTCGGATCCTCATTCTTATCCCAAGTGGTGAGCTAGCGTCAGAAAGTGGGCCTCCCCCCCCCCTCCCTTTTTCTGGGATAAAGTTCTACTCCACAGCAGCTTGAAGCCAGTCCCTATTTTGGTCTGATGGGCAGTGTTATCTGGCACGCGATCGTGCTGAATGGTCGGATCGCGCGGACATCGGACATGCGGACGTGCGACGGAGCTGATGAGTATAAATTGGACCGTCCTCACCATGCGGATGTCCCGAGGTACCCCCGTTGTGCCCCCGTATTATTCTCCGGACTTTTACTTGAATCGTGGCACTAACCCCCTTTTGCCACTTCTTTGATCTTTCTAGAAGATATCACTTGTCCGCGACCGAACTGAACCAACGCCTATAATACCACTTTCAACGGTTCCGCGGTCACCCCTTGCCAACAATGCCAGTGGATTATGGATTAGGTCCAGGCCCCGAGCCCAAGCATATCGACCGAAAGGGACTATACGTCAGTCTTGACGACAGAATCAAGTACTTGCATGAGTTTCTTGATTTCAACTCCGGTAAGAATCGTCCCGTTCTGGGCAATTCGGACGACTCATCCTGTGCCGAAGCTAATGCATGTTGTAAACCAGCCGACGTCGAAGCACTCCAAAGTGGATCCAAGTACCTCAAGCAACTCATCCCTGCCGTTGTCAACCTTGTATACAAGAAGCTCCTCCAATATGACATTACCTCGCGTGCCTTCCATACCGGATCAACCGCCATTGAGACGGAGCCCGAGCAAGACTATCTACATGAGGAGACCCCGCAGATTCGGCGGCGCAAGATGTTCCTCCGCTGGTACCTCATCAAGCTATGTCAGGATCCTACCAGCATGGACTTTTGGCGATATCTTAGCAAAGTCGGGTATGTTCACATGTGCAGAGATTTGGTCGAAACACTTTGCTAACTAGCTCCAAGTATGATGCACAGCGGCCAGGGACGCTTGCATCCTCTTAACATTGAATTCATCCACATCAACGCCTGCATGGGCTACATCCAAGATATTTTTATAGAGGCACTCCTGTCCCACCCGCAGATCTCCCTCCGGCGCAAGATTGCGCTTCTCCGGGCAGTCAATAAGATTCTGTGTATCCAGCTTGATCTGTTCGCCAAATGGCGGCTCCGCGACGGCGAAGAGTACGAGGATGAAATGTCTGTGTACAGCTTTGGATCGGGCAAAGAAGGATGTCTCGGAGACAAGACGATTCTGGGAAGCAGTTCTAGTAGCTCTGCCGACGACGATACGGCGAGCATTGCTAGCGTGACGCCGTCCACACATTCTGCCCAAACGACGCAGACGGCCCAGTTCGGTGCATCGAGGGCATCTGTGTGTCCCTTTGCGGACTTGGCACAATCCTCATCTAGTGAGACAAAGATCTGGGCCAATTGAAGAGGGAATGGCGGAAGGCAAGCAATGGCCATGGCATTTTAGGCGTGCGGGAATGGGCTCTCAAAAGAAACATCCAAATGTTCAGGCGTTAAGAATTTTAAATGCATGCGGGGTGGTGTTTGATGTCAACAATTGTTATTTTCCCTTTTGTATTGTTTCGTCATCGTTATGTCTCCCTTCGCGTAAAGCAGTAGGAGTGGACGAAGATGCAGAATCGCGCAGTCGAAGCGGGGCAGCGCGGAATTCCCCCGACAGGCCCGACAGCTCGCAGCTTTGTCAGCCCAACCGCCAAGCTGAGTGATTCTTTCCATGGATGCGAAACTCGGGACTTGTCCCCCACTCGGCTCGCAGTCAAGGAACTTGCAGTCGAGACTGGATCGCTATGAGGCCAGACCCATCTGCCGCGGACATACCCGCCCCCTCTGATCCGGGATCAGGTCGGAGATAGTCTCGAAGACCGGAGCTATAGCCTGCCATCCACTGCCCCTCACCTTCTTCCCCACATGCCCTCCATTCGGCAAAGATCAGCTACCCGACTATCGATGGGTTAAAGTCGATCGACCCCTCGTCCTGCGACTTTACCCCTTGACGAACCTCTTAATCGCAAATCTCGGTCCTTCATCCCGAAACAAGTCATCACCATGGCCCAGAACGGCTCAGAGGCGGTGACCCCGCTTATCATCAACAATGAGTCGGTCGTGACTGACGTCAAATTCGAGGTCCACGCCCCCGCCACCGGCGAGCTGTCTGGCTATTGCGCCGGCGCATCTGTTGACGATGCTATGCGCGCCGTTGACAGCGCAAAGGCTGCCTTCCCGGCCTGGAGCAAGACAAAGGCCTATGATCGCCGCGACATTCTGCTCAAGGCCGCCGAGATCATGGCCTCGCGGAAGGAGGAGCTGATCGCATACCAGCAGGAGGAGACCGGTGCGGGGCGGCCCTTCGTCGAGCACACCTTCAACATGGGTGTCAACTTCATCAAGGATTTTGCCGCGCGTATCCCTACCATTGAGGGAATTGTGCCCAGTGTAACGCTGGATGGAGAGGGTGCTATGGTCTTCAAGGAACCGTACGGGGTGATTCTGGGAATTGCGCCCTGGTAAGGATAGAGCACCTCTGTAAAAGGGATTGATTGAATATGTCACTAACCTCGGAAATGTTCGCAGGAACGCGCCCTATATCCTGGGCGCGCGCGCGGTTGCTCTTCCCCTCGCGGCTGGTAACACTGTCGTCCTCAAGGGCTCCGAGCTTTCTCCCAAGTGCTTCTGGGCCCTCGGCGATATCTTCCGCGCGGCTGGTCTTCCTGCCGGATGCTTGAATGTCATTTACCACCAGCCGGCCGATGCCGCCGCGATCACTACCGCCCTGATTGCCCATCCTGCGGTGCGCAAGGTCAACTTCACGGGTAGCACTAATGTTGGCGCCATCATTGCCTCAACCGCTGGCAAGTACATCAAGCCTGTGCTTCTGGAGCTGGGTGGTAAGGCATCCGCCATTGTCCTGGACGATGCCGACCTTGATAAAGCGGCTATGAGCTGCGCACTCGGCTCGTTCCTGCACGTAAGTTTATCCTGTCGTTTCACGTATAGATCACTGCTCTAATGTTTTGTTTTTGTTTTGTTGCAGTCTGGACAAATTTGCATGTCCACTGAGCGCATCGTCGTGCAGCGTGGTGTTGCCGACCAATTCCGCCAGAAGGTCGCTGAGAACGCCGAGAAGCTATTCGGCAAGGAAGCCCCGGCTCTGGGTCTCGTCAACGCGGCCGCTGTCACCAAGAATAAGAAGCTGGTCTCGGATGCCGTCTCCCGCGGGGCTCATGTGCTGTTTGGTGATCCCAATTCCAACGAGTCTGTCAACACCTGCATGCGCCCCGTGATCCTTGACGGAGTCACTAAGGAGATGGACGTGTATGCGACCGAATCCTTTGGCCCGACCGTGTCGTTGATGGTCGTTGACACGGAGGACGAGGCCATCGCGCTGGCCAATGATACTGAGTACGGCCTGACGGCTGCCGTGTTTACCCAAAACTTGTTCCGCGGCCTGCGCGTCGCTAAGCAGATCGACTCTGGGTAAGCTATACCGAATTGCCCCAATTCCCTATACTGGACCTTCTATTCTAACCCGATCCTCCCTCTAGTGCTGTTCACATCAATGCTTTGACTGTTCATGATGAGCCCACATTGCCACACGGTGGCTGGAAGAGCAGCGGGTTCGGCCGCTTCGGCGGTGTCGCCGGCTATGACGAGTTCCTGCAAACCAAGACTGTCACCTGGATGGAGTAAAATCAGTCAGGCCAGGACGATGAGCAGGATTAGTACCGATGACGTTCTCTCTCACGGTTTTCGGCGGCTGAGCTGGCTCGGCTCGGCTGATTACCGCGCCTTGGGACGGGATTAGTGGGATGATGTCCGTGGTGGTCTGATTGATTGTGTTGATAGGAACATGTGTGGACACCCGACTATCAATAGTATCAAACTATGATGGAAGCGATAGCTCTGTTCAGGCTGTGCACATTACCATGTTCATGTCTTATTCAACATTTTCCAGCTCGAGTCTTTGCACGATTAAAAAAAGGAATACCAAACCAGAAGAGCATTATTCAATCAAGCCCTACTTGTTTCCCAACGACCTCCCGAAGCGCTCTGACCACATAGTCAACATTGCCCTCGTTCAACCCACAAATCCTCACTCGACCCAAGGATAAGAGCTAAATATGGACCTTCTTCCGTAACCGATTTACATGTTCTCGTGTTCTCGATTCCGCCCCGTGTACCTAAACATGCCGACCTATTCTCAATATGTAACCAGTCACCAGATGTACCAAGATCTTCCAACCGCTATCAGAGTTCACGTCTCATATTTTTTTAATTCTAGAGCTCATTCTATTCAGATATTCAGATCTTGTTGCCACCGGTCCGTAAGACGGCGGTCGCCGAGGACAGTTTGGACAATACTAGCTCCAAGGCGCGGAGGATTCGAGTACTCCGATCTAGCCATAGACATCAACTCGGACTATGCGCCCTGCGATAACGAGTGGCGAGGCACAACCAGGTGCACGGCTCCCACACGCTCACCGTAAAGGCCAAACCTCTTGGAGAAAGGTTGGGCGAAGCAACCAACCGGGTATATTCTCTAGGGATATTGTTACTCACAGGTGGTGAAAATTAATCCAACTTCAAAGGTATTGATCAGGGGAACCACTGCTCGTATTGCATCGGCTCCCAGAAATATGTTGCATGTATTTTCCGCTTATTGCCTCCACTTTTGAGATGAGCTTGCCTCTAGGTACTCATTGTTAGTTTATGGTTTACGTAGTACGAGTCGCAACATAGTTACATTAGAGTTGCACTCACCTGTGGTATATGTTTAGCCTATTAGATATCCCTATTAAGCTAGCCCTAGCAAAAAGCGCACTCATAACGGGTATAGGCATTCCCCCTATATCCTCCTCTAGTACCTAGCATAGATCACCATTGAAATAGGTAGTGTGACAACGGTGACGACAAGGCCTCCTCTGAGCCGCCGATGGTGTGGAATCCTCTCGCCGGTGCAAATCTTGATATACTTTCGGATAGTACGGTCTGATAGCCGTCCGCTACCTATGCTCCTAATTAGGAACACTTTGCTAGGAGCTAGGTAGAAAAGACCATCGATAAGTGTAGAAGTTAGGTGAGATCGAGAATTGAAGAGCGTTCTGGCGGAAGTAAGGGCATATTGGAAGAATGCTAGGAAGCCGCAATGTTAAGTCCTGCGAGATATGATTGGTATCTACTTTCGAGCAACAGTAGCGATGAGTATATACAGCCAAAAAAAAGGTATCAAATGGGAGTAGATCCTTGGAGAATATCGAATCTATGGGTCTACGGGATTCTTCAAAGGACAGAAACAACAATCAAGACGCTTCCATTGCAGTTATCTATCGCATATGTGGGAGGCTGACAGGTGGCAGACTCGGCCTCCAAATCCTTTACCGTCTATCCCCATATAAGTACGAATCATCATGTGGGTTGTCAATCAGATAAGTCCCTAGTCTCGCAGGAGCACTCGGCCTCCCGAACCATCGGGAAATATCTACATCATCCCGAGTGCAGACTAAATGGAAAGTAATTATACCGGTGGCAGACTGCGGAGGGGAACACATCCGGCGAAGCAATGTGTTGTCGGCTACGAAGTCGACACGGCGCGCACGTACCCAGGCGAAACGCAAGGGCAGTCCCTGGATATCTTCTACGAGGCCATGTGCAGTGCAGCGACATCAGGTGGTTCTGCACATCAGGAAACCACCGTCAGCTCCGTAGCTAACAGCGCCAGCGCAGCGCCCGCAACATCGCAACACAGCCCATCTCCTGCTTCCGCGCCACGGTCGGGAAATCATCCTCGACCACCCGCTCGCAGGCGGCAAGGACAGCATCCTGCTTGGCGTCAGCAGCCTCGCCTCGCTCCAGAGAAATCTGGCGATGGTGGAGGCGAGTCCGTTGCTGGAGGTGGTCGAGGCACTGGACCAGGCATGATTGGGGCGTGAAGGGTTGACCTTCCGGCCACCCGACCGCGGATCCATGGTCTTCAATAGCCCTACTCTTCTATCCCCGTACTTTACCTGTGATCAGACGTGGTCGCCTAGCAAGACTACATCCTCTTCCACGATATCTTCAGCCGAGATCGAGTAGGGCGCAGGCTGACCCCCACCACCCAATCAACCTCCTGATCGATCTTGGCTGAAGATATCGTGGAAGGGGATATAGTCTTGCTGGGCAGCGACCACGTCTGATACCGGGTGAAGTACTGCGATAGAAGGGTACGGCTATTGAAGACCATGGCCGGAAGGTCATACTACGGTAGTCGAGCTTATCGACAAACCTATACTGCTCGAGGGTGTCCCTAATCCCCATCCCTTCCTAGACCCTCGTCGAATTACTGACACCTCCAGCCGGGATATGCGTGCGAGATGGGAGCCTCGCTGTTCGGGAAGGATGGGGAGATAGGTGCTCCGGAACGCGACTCCGGACATCTCGATGGACTGGGTCCAACTTGGGGTGACGGGCGAGAACCTGGAGAATCTTGTTTCTACCCGACGCTGCAAATAGCACGGAGGCTGGCTGTGAAGCGAGCGATGACATCCGCCACGCGCGGTGCTGTCAGCCGGACGAGGCATTGTCTCGGTCCAGAAGCTGGACTCAGCTGGCGTTCGGGCTCGTAACCGTGTCTCGCCCAAGATCGAGAGAGGTCAGACAGGTTGGCCTTCAGCCCGGTCGTATCGCATCGAGGCTCGCATGACCGCGTCAGCCTAGAATCGGGCCTGAGGGGGGCGTCTGGAAGGATTATGATGCATGTACAGAACACGCATAGTTATCTCCGTGCATCGATACAGAACCAAGAGCAGAACAGGGCTGATATGTCAAGCGCCCCTTCGCAGACCCATCGCGAGCACTAGGTGAGTAGATCGCGATTGGCATCGTATCCGCACCGAGTCGGCTGCGCGAGGGTGCGATCCACGCTGAACTCAAAAGATCATCGATCTTAGTTCACGAGTGGAGAGCAGACACCGCGATTGCTAAGACAACAGCCGTCTCCATACGGAGGCTGTCCTGAGCGAAGGCTACTATTTTGAGCACAGGAGCCATGGACGGGTCTCAATAGTGGCGGGGCCGGTCGGAAAATGGGGTGCGCTGGGAAGTTGGGCCGCTCAGCGCCCGGCGCCCAGCGAGAAGCGAAGACGGTAAACAGGTGCGAAAGGGGAAGCACGTCCCATGAACAAATGGGCCAATGAGACCATGATGTCCGGGGATGCGCTGGGGGAGATGAGTATCCTCTCTGGCCTCATCCCGAGGGAGTTTAGCGGCCTCTCCACCAGGCTGGGTTTTCAGGAACAGGCAATTCGCCCGGCGAATCACCGCGTGCAGCGCTGAGACAATCCAAATTTCCCAAATTTCCCAAATTTCCCAGAAGGCGCGATCAGCCACAACGTGATCTGTGCGTTGAGGTCTCGGTGGTATCGCGTGTCTCGTACTGCGTACAGGTGGTACAACGTGGTCCGAACCAAGCACGCAAACATGGACGTGTCCGGGTGTCCCTGGACCCGTCGCTGCGTCCCGGTGGGCTTCCCGTTGGGTTGGTTCCCCTCCGCTACCCCTGATCAACGGTTGATCGTGACCGGTGGTATCAAAATGCCCGACGAACCGGTGGGATCGGCCGTTTGTGGTGGCTTGGATGGGATGCGATGGGCTGGTGGGTGTGGAGGTGCCACGATCGTCGTGCGATGGGGAGCCACGATCGTGAACAAGCGAGCGTAGGAAAGTCCGATCACTGGCGGCGTGGTTCGACTGGCGGCGTCCGAGTCAGGTCAGGGTCCGTCCGCTGGCTGACGGAGAAATACACACGAGGCGGTGGCGTCCGCTTACAGCGCGGTATCGACGGGCAGAGATCGGACCGCCTTGGCTTCTCTGTCTTCTGTCTTACTCGCTTTTCTTTCGTTTCCTATTTTCCATTCTGGAAGAATTAGGCGTATCCACTCGGACGAGGTCCCCCGCCATGTCTGGCGGCCATCCTCTGGCCGCAAAGGCTCATCATCCTGGGGGATCCATCGCATCCTGCTCATCAACGGTATGGCCGGATATTCTCCGGGGACCGCCCTGTCCCACTTGGCCTGTTTCCTTTTTTCCTCTTTGGTTCGGATCCGTCCTCCAGTATCGAGTTAGTACTGTACCGACCGAGATACAGATCATCCTGTACGGGACCTCGGCATTCTCCCGAGCAGAATCATAATCATCGCCTCGACATTTCTCACCCTAGCCAGCGCCAGGGTATTTCTCACGTCCTCCCCTACTGTTTTCCCTATTCCCATTCCATTCATGTCCATCCACTGAGCCGGGCCGGCCACTGGCATTTTTAATCTTACGGGCCGCATTCCCAAGCACATCAGGCCCGGCGTCCGTATTGAGCGCGTAATGCATGAAGCCCCCGTAATCAAAGGCCCCCCGCCCCAATAAACCCAATAACAGCCCGTGGCCGCCAACCGTGTCGCACTGCCCGCGCCACAGACTAGCCTTGCACGATGGATTAGTTGATTCAGGGATGAATTACGGAGACACCAGTCCATATTCTTGGTACCTGGGTATCTCCCAAGCACACTTGTCTCTGGCCTAGCCATCTTAGCTCCACGAGCCGCAGCCGGGGGGGTCCGCAGGCCCCACGCAATCACAGCATGGCAGCGTTGCATTCAGGCCCGGTACACAGACCTGGCCGATGTACAGTTTCCTCCCGGACGGAAGACCAGGAGACCAGAAGAGCAGAAGATCTGACCCAGAGACCAGAGACCAGAGACCAGAGACCAAAATAGCCGGTGATCTCGTGTCCGGTGGCGTAGTCCTGCAGGGTGACAGCGCGTGTATACTTCCTCCCACCCACGGTCGCTTGGACGAGACACTGAGGGAAGGCCCACTGTGCCCGCTGACGGGAGCTGGTTGGCCCGCGATGCTTGGCGGGGGGCCCGAATGGGGCTCTGAAATGCAGGTCTCGCAAAAGTAGAGCCAGTTTAGGGTAGAGGGGAATACTCCACCCGCCGGGCTCCGTCCCTGTCGTCAACAGTGTACTCTCGTCCTGTCCGGCTTAGCTCTCCTTTTCGCCTGGCCTTTTCTTATTTCACTGCGCTCTTTCCCTCCCTTCTTTTCATCCACAGTCGTTCTTTCCTCCCACCAGTCACTCTTTGCTGCCTTTGTGCACCTTTTCACCTTCCCACCTTCCCACCTTCAGTCATTCTTTGCAGTCCCCTGCCTAAACACTCCAAAATGCGCTTCGCTGCTCTCGTCTCCACCTTCGCGGCCCTGGCTGCTGCCTACACCACCCCCGACTACAACAAGGCACCCGAGGGTAACCCCATCCGCTCCCCCGGCCTGAACGAGCAGGTTCCCGAGGGCCAGGCCTACACCATCAAGTGGGATCCCACTCTCGGCAAGACCATCTCCCTGGTGCTCCTGCGTGGCCCCTCCAGCAATGTCGTTCCCAAGGAGGTCATTGCCGAGAGCATCCCCAACTCTGGCTCCTTCGTGTGGACCCCCTCCACCAGCTTGGACCCCGATGTCACCCACTACGGCATGCTCATCGTCGTCGAGGATGCCGGTGCCAACCACGGTGCCTACCAGTGGTCCACCCAGTTTGGTCTCTCCGCGCCCGCCGGCTCGGACACCACCACCACCACCTCCTCCACCCCCGCCGCCACCACCACCACCACCACCCAGACAACCAGCCAGACTGCCGCGCCCTCCTCCACCCCCTCCCCCTCCAAGCACACTATCGTGACCGTCATCGACAATGTCACCACCACCTACTGCCCCGAGGATGAGGCCAGCTCCTCCGCTGCTGCCCAGTCCACCACGGTCATCAGCTCGTGGGAGGTCACCACCACCATCTGCCCCGAGGAGACCGCCACCGGCCCTGTCGCGCCCCCGACCACGACCCCCGTCGCCTCCACGCTTGCGCCCGGCTCCAGCACCCTGAAGAGCACCCCCTACGTCCAGTCCACCGCCACTGCCTCCCCCAGCGCCTCGGCCACCCCCGCCTTCAACGCCGCTGGCCGCAACGTCATCTCCTTCGGTGCCGTCGTCGCCGGCCTCGTTGCCTTCATGGCTCTGTAAATTGAGCATCTCTTGATCTCAATGGACCGGAGGGGACGTGGTGGGATGGAACGGGACGACCCCTCGTGGGGGCCGGCAGTCTACTTCATCTTTCGACCCACACCCTGTGTTGTTTATCTTACCTTTCTTATGACCTCGCCCAAGAATCTGGTTTGTGTAGGTGCTACTATCCTGCACCAGGCCATTAATGAGGAGGTTATTGAACTTATTGAATCTTGACCTTGATTATGGAAACTCGATTTTTTTTCCTCTCTGTTCTTTTTGAGCTGGGCTTGCGCGCGTTTCAAATACCATGTTTTGTTTTCGGATGTATGTTCAAGGGAATCCAAGCCGTCGACGATCCGGCTTGTAATGTCACGTTCCATGCCTCTTATGCTCTGGTTTCTTCTGGCTGTTATGCTTGGTAGAGGTAGCGGTAGTTGCGGTGACAGTTTGACTGCCCGGCCCCACCCCAGCCTTGTAGATACTAAGGGACCCTGTTCTGGCAGTGGATGAACGTGTCGATCTTCAGCCTCCCTGACCTTCGATGCGCCTCAATCCCCGTCTCCCTTCAACGTCCAACATCCGCCCCAAACACAGTCATCTCGATGAAATCCTTCTCCCCATATTACCTTCTACCCCAGATAATTGAGCACCAGAGTCACCAGTGTAGACATCTACCGCCTCTTTCTACCTGCGCAGACTACTCCGTACGAATCACCACATATACAGTTCATGTATCCCGGATAAACTCAAGTTCAGCAACACGACCGCCTAGTCAAATTCGCAATGGTCCAGACAACCATGCGCACCGGCCCATACCTAGATGTTTGCAAATACGCATTTCCACCGCCTCCGCCATGCCTGGATCACAGCCGCATCCCCACTCCCGAGGAATGCCTGGTCAGGTAATATTAGTCCAGTGTCATCAAAGACGTAGCGTTGGGAAAGATCGATATTTACTCCTATCGACCACCCAGCTCTATACTCTATAAATAGGACCTATTACCCTCTTATTCCCCCCTCTCCTTTTTTTTAAAAAGAGATAAATATTTATTTATTTATTTATTATTTAGTATTTATTATTTATTTATTTATTATTATCAAGGGCCCAACCCAAAACAACACAAAGCCTCACGCTGATTGGCCCACACGGCAACTATATTTTCACATCACGTGACTAGCGATAAGTTGGACTCGATAAGGATTTTTCCCCGACAACCGCCCACCGCGCCTCCAGAATTCGTAATTCGTCTCATTCCACCACAGCCATACCACCGTGCTGCTGGCAGTACTCGATACCTTTCAAAATCCACCCACTCGGTTGACGCTTCCCCGATACCACCAGCATGGCCCAGGGTATCGTCAAGAAGAGCAAGCCGGCCGCGGCGAACGCCAAGCGGTACGATTTATCCCCATCCGCATGAGAAAGCGTCTCAAAGGAGCGATCGATCTAACATTGTGCCGGAATCCCTAGCTCCGCACTCGTCGCTTCCAGAACTAAGCCTGGCCCCCGTCAAATTGCGCCGAAGAAGCGATCCCTGATCAAGGTGGCCAAGCTGAACAAGGTAACGACCACCTCAGCCGCCTAGGGCTCCCAGATCTCAATTCTCATTTTTCCCTACCTTGCGCGGGATGGTCCTGTCTTTGAGACTCCGATACAGATGCCGCGCTGGACTCGAAGGCTGACTATTTCCCTTTAGAAACTCACGTCTGGCCTGGTCTCGAAGACGGAGCGCAGCCTCGCCTCGAAGGCGGGCCACTTGGAGATTCTGGCGGGAGGCAAGAAGGACAAGGGTGGTAAGGGCACCAAGAAGAAGTGAACGGCGGCGGTCGCGAATTGTCGGTTCTTGTGGTTACTTGTTTACTGGTCCTGTGCTGCGCTGCGCTGTGATGGTCATGTCTAGATCGTGCTAGGCTAGCAAGACGATTTCATAAATGTGATACCCTGTTATTCTAATCCTGTGCGTTGCGAGTTTCTCTTGAATTGACGGTTCACTGAAGGTCCTCTTGGCATACATGGACTTGCTCCCTTTGTAAGACGCCAACGAGGGGCTCTGGCTCTGCCTATGTTTTTAAGAGAGGAAGGGGATGGTTTGCTCAAATTTAATCTTTTGATCAACTCGTAACGAGAAGAAGTGGAATTATGTGACATGGAAGCTCAAATCTTTTCATGTGTGAAGATGTGTCAACATGTTTTTGTCGATGGGAAACCAGAAGCGGAGATCGTTAAAACATAAAACGGGCGACGGTGATGTAAAGTATCGAAAGTGTGCAAGTGCATCGGTAGTCGTGATCTGTCCATAAAGCACGCAAATAGAGCCGATCCAGAATAGAAAAGGTTGAAAAAGAAAAGAAATAGAACCAAGAAACGAACTGAGAAATAGGGTATCATTAAGCCAACTCCAGTGCCGCCCACACCCTTGCCATTCCATGCCATGTAAGTATTCCGCTCGATCGAGGAGCGGCCCCTTCAATTCGCCTTAGAACTTGGAGATCCGGCTGGGGACGCCCGATGACTCGATCAGCTCCTGACCGCGGTCCATCCAAGACTGGAAGCCCGCGTCCGAGGGGTCAGACGGGAAATCGTCCCACACCGCATTCTCCGAATCCGCGTACGACGACCAGATGCCCTTCGGCACATCGGAAGTCGACCATGAGGGTAGCTTGGCCAGCACGCAGGTGTAGTAGACGTACAGGATGCGGCAGAGCAGGTCGACACGGTCGATGTAGTGCTGCTGGGACGGGTCGGGGGCCTGGCCTCCGTCGCCCAGACGCTTCCACCACGACACGCGCCAGCGCAGCGTGAGCAGGATCTGGCCCAGTTCGCCCAAGAAGCGGATGTGGGTTTCATGCGAAATCTGCTTCCACTTGATGTTGTAGAAGTCGCGCTCCAGTTTGCGGAAGCCCTCCACTTCGAGCATGCGGCAGACGATGCGAGAGAGCTGCGCGGCGAGCAGGATGTCGCGCCGCTCTTCGGGGTTGTTGATGTCCATCGGGCGTTCTTGGCCATTGCCGTCAAGGGGGACGAAGGTGTACTGGGCGCGCGAAGGCATGTTGTTCCATTGTGAGAGAAGAGTCTGCAAAGGGAGCGGGTTAGTGGGCATAGCACTGTTGTGTGATCAGGAGTTAAAAACTCACGTAGGCTTGGGCCATTGGGTCACAGTCCTTGACACAAGACAACCAATTCTTAGACTTGTCCTTGGATTCCACAATGCGGCGATCGATAAATTCCAGAAAAGTCGATTTCGAGTTGCCGTTGTACTCGCTCAGCCCTTTGAGGAACTTGTAGGTCTCGCCGAGGTCGAGGACATACAGAGAGCCCCAGCCCTGACTGGCGCGGATGTTGAAGCGCCCCTGTCGCTCGTTGAGGAACGACAAAAGTTGACTCAGGTCAAATTCGGACGGAATCGCCATTCGAACTCTACTAGCACCATCCACAGTCGGGTGGTTGACGGCTCGTTGAGCTGAATCAAGTTAGTCCACTGTTCGGCACTCGGTTTGGAAGGGTAAAGAAGGGGGGGGATGCGCACAGATGTAGTTGCAAGTACCAAACTCGACGATGCTAGAGAAGCAGGCACGGGCACATGGTTGCTCGTGGAGGGTAGGGCGGCAGGCATCGCATGGTGCGCTTCCATCACACTGTTCTAATTAGTTTCCGACTTGACTTGACCAAGTAAGTGTGCTCTCAAGACTAACCTTGCGCTTGTTCAACCGGCACTGAACACAAGTATCCTTATTCTTGCGGCGCAAGCCGGCATTAGCCCGTCCGACCATGCTCAGCGGGCCCTTGCGACGAGCACCTCGTGGAGGAGACACGAAATCCGCAGACGCGATTGATCCGCCTTGTCCATCCTCTTGGACGATCTGCAAAGGCTTTGGCAGAGCCTGATCCATGGAAGACCCAGGAGTTCGATTTTTGCGCTTCCGCACTGTAGCCACTGACTGCATGGCAAGAGGCATGGGCCGGCCGGGGGGCGCTGACCAGCCGATGAGGAGGCTCGAGATCGCGCGGGAAGGGTACTCATCATGGATTCGGATGGGGTCTCGCTAACCATAAACGCAGTGGTCTTGGCCATTGGCTGCGCGCTCTCTGGAGAACTCGCGTCTGGAGTCGGGATTTTCCACTGGGCATCGTCATCTAATTGGCAATCGGCGAAAGCCGGCGTCTCGTCACTCGTGGCAGAGTACGAGCACTCGTAGATCCCTGGCACGTCGCCGGAGACCGAAGAGCTCTCAGACTTGTACTGAAATCCATCTTGCGCAGTCCGGCCATGATTCTGCGACGTGTGTAGGGAGGGCCGGGTCATCTGTGTTACAGGGAGTTGCGACTCGAGGCTGTTGAGCCATCGGGATTCGAGCGATCGGATGGATGGTTGGAGATCACGCAGACTCGGGTCCTTGCCATTATTCTGGTTCATCGCCAGCGGGACATCCCCTTGCCCGGGCATATTCGCTATCGAGATGCCGTGTGGGATCTCGGGCCACTGCTCTGCCATCATGGGGAACGATGGCGGCACCTGATGGAACATGATGGTTTCCGCCGGAGCATCTGCGAATCCTTGGCCCTGGGGCATTTCCCCCACGTCTTCCACAATCACAGCGCCAGATGAGTTGGTGGGGACCTTGCCATAAGGGTAAAGCATGGGGTTTTCGAGGTTCACGCCCGCGGAGACCGAGTTGAACAGCTGGAAATGCGACCACGTTTCGTCAGCGTGAAAGTTGTCGTCGGTCGACGAAGGCAGCGTGCGAGGGCTGATGGTGCCGCTGATGGTGCCGCTGCCGGTGCCCTCGACGACACCATCAGTATAGTTGAAGTTGTCTACCGTTCCATTGTGCTTCCTAAACCACGGCACCAAATCAAAGTTAGACTTTCTCTTTTCTCTCACATCAGACCCTCAGCCTCCGCGATGAGGCCTCGGACATTGGGATGGTGCGCACCTATTCTCCAAACGCTGGCGATCACCGGAGCGATCCAGCAGCGCGCCCGTTAGCGGGTCATGAAAGGCGCCTAGGTCCGCGACATCGGCACACTGGCTCGAGTCCTGGCTGGTATCCCACTCGGGAGGTTGGTCGTATCCGAGATGCTCCCACGACGCGACGGAAAAGGCACCGTCTGTTTGCCAATTGTCCAGAATTTTGGGGTCAATCCCCGCAGCCGTTGCAGCGCTTCCACAGTCCATACAGGATATGCAGGGATTGGAAGGTCGTCGTCGGTTGCCGACCAGGCAAGAGCAAAGATCGCAAAAAGATGGCCCTTTGCGAACTTTGCGGGAGAATGTACGCTTTCGCTATGTGGATCGGTCGCCGGGAGCAGCGATGCGCACGGGCAAAGTCGAGGAGGGCGTTTTCGAGAGTTGGGCTGTGTGTTGAGGGTGTGGATGATGGATGATGGTCGAGGGGAAGAAGAAGGCTGACGGGCTTCCCCACCACAAAGTTTTGCGTGCTGCGATCGTCTCTAGCGTGTCTCGGGATCCGCACAGACCGCCGTTGGGAACGAGCAACTAGAGGACGAGGACGGGACCTACGATCCAGCGAGAGTTCTGGGATATATAGTCCTAGCTAGTTGGAATGGCAATGCGCTTTTGGATTCGGAATCTGCCTACGAAGTCTGCCCGCCTTTTTTTGCTTCTTCGCTGCGACAAGGCCACGGCCTGCTGATCCCCGAGCGCACGAGGTGGAATGATCTTACGTGAGTCGATCAGCAAATCGCCCCTGATAGTAAGGACCCGTGGGCATTGACCACGGGTCATGGCCGACGGAGGGGCATTTCCATATTAAACCCCTATAACTCCGGTTTCCTGCGCTAGAAACCTGGATCGGATTATTAAAGCACCACAGGAACAGAAAAAAAATGGACGGAAATGGATCATAGCCAGACCACAAGCTACCGTGTAGTCCGTAGCACCGAGCATGCAGTGCAGATGTATACCGTGGCCCCACATGCCCCTTTGGGCCATGCTGGTGCTCACACTCTTCAGTCGGTATATCGACGAGCTTAGCATGTATAGCTCCACTGAGCCTAGGGACCTGCCTCCTTGATGTCAAGAGACGAAAGCGGAACGACATTTGTTATTATAGCGAGCGTGGTGGTCTATACCCATGACAGGCGAAGGCGCTCCGTTCTGAAGCCTGAAACATAAGGCAGCCTTCCGGACCACATCCGTCATTGGTGGTATGGTGATTAGTCAGAGGGAGAATTATCCTACTGTAGCTTTAGTCTGCTTGGACCCTTGTTCACGCTGATTGGTGCATTCCATACCGGTGATCTGCCCGGGTTGAGCGCTGAAGTATATGCCGGTCCATGAGAACTCCAAGTACAACTAGCATTTCTAGGGAACTATAAAATCATCGAAACATCGAGCCATTGAACAATACGCCATGCCGAATTCGAACAAGACAAATAATTCAGCCACTGATACACCCCCCGAGAAATAATGGCATCCCCTATCTCTGCTCCGATCTCCGCAGCGTCAGACTCTGCCGACCGCAACCGATCGGTTCACCGCAAACTCCATCCGGTCTTCCCACCGTCCATTGCCGCTCCCCGCAGCCTGAACAGCTTCACCGTGGCCAGCCAGTGCCAGATTTCTCCGTTCGGTGTGCCGGTAATTTTAAATGGCTCAATCCGAACCCAATGGCCATGTCCTTTCCCCATATAAGTCGGGGTCCCCAATACCCGTGGGGGTGACTATTCATTGATTCTCCTTGGGCCCTTTTTTGAACTGCCACAGACCTCGGGCACTCTTAGGCTCGACACCAGCCAAGAAAAAGAAACGAAACGAAACACGATCCCCAATAAATTCGACACGCGCTTGACGCTGGCTCAGTAGTCCAGCATGCATATTCTGGTACGTTGATTATTGAATCGGGGAAGCTTTGACTTGATCACGAGAGCTCTTATCGCAAACCCGACTTCCTTTCGTTTCTTTTTCTTTTTTTTTTGCTTGGCCTCTTGTTTCTGAGCGTCGCAGTGGCAATTGGGGGGAAGGGGCCGACCTGCACTGCCAAGTATCAAGAAAACTACAGACAAGAGAAGAAACCACGAAAACGAAGCCTAAATATATTTGCGCAACTCATTTTTGAGGTTTGGGTGTCTATACTGGGTCTTTTCTGCGACATGCGACTGTTTTTGCTTCTATTCTTTCTAGGCACTTTTGCTTTTCTCTTTGCCTGAAGACCCAGAAACTAACCGTTAACCCATTCTCTTGCCCAATAGCTGGTCAACGACGACGGGCCACCCAACAAACGTCTCTCGCCCTACGTGCGCCCGCTCGTGGACGAGCTCCACGCCGTCGGTCACCAAGTCTCGGTCGCCATCCCTGCCGCCTCGCGCTCCTGGATCGGCAAAGCCCACCTGATCGAAGCCTCGCTGACCGCAAGTTTCGTACACCCGGACTCCTTCCGCGACGACGGTTCCTGGGACGAGCACTACGAGCCCAGCCCGGAATCCGCGCACCTGCTCGACTGGGTCGTGATCCAGAACGGCACCCCGGCGAGCTGCGCCCAACTCGGCCTATACAGTCTCTTCCCGGACCGCCCGCCCATCGACCTGGTAATTTCAGGCCCTAACCACGGCCGCAACGCTTCAACCATCTACAATCTGTCCTCGGGCACCGTCGGCGGCGCCCTCGAGGCCGTGTTCTGCGGCCAGCGTGGCATTGCCATCTCCTTCGGCAGCAAAGATCCCCAGCCCGCCGACGTCATTGCCGCGGCGTCACGGCTGGCCGTGCGCATCGTGGACCACCTGGTGCGCAAGTGGGACGAACGCGTTGAGCTGTATAACCTGAATATCCCAATGCGCCTCGACGTCGAGACCCAGCCCGTGCAGTACACCCGCACCCTGCCGTACTACTGGTCGCGCGGCTGTCTGTATGCCGAGGATGGCGCCGAGCCGAACAGCGAGCTGGCGAATGGTACAACGAACGGTGTCCACAAAGAGCAGCGGAATGGCAGTATGGTGAATGGCCTCAACGGGCATGTCGAGGTGGAGAAGCCGCGCCGCAAACAGCGCCACTTCAAGTGGTCGGCTGACTTATCTGATATGAAGAAAAGGCTCCAGGAGAGCGAGGAGGGGACGGATGCGCATACTGTCTTGAACGGAGCGACCAGGTATGTCTGCAGTACAGCGAGCTGCCCTTTCTCCTTTTGCCTGTAGCAGAGCGATATACTAACGCACAATTCAGCGTGACCGCTCTCCGTGCCAACTTCTGGCACGTCCCCGGTCTGGACGGCCCGCTGCATCTGGATCAATAAGAATCCAGGTTCCAGGCTTCGGGCCCATTGACCACCCTGACACGGCTTTATGAATGCATATTTAATGTTTTCTTTTCGTTTCGTGTTCCGACCCGGCGCAGGGCTATTCCATATTGCAGCGCGGAGCATATATCATTTGATTTTTGATGGGTTGTTGATTTTGAATTCTTGTCAGAGCGACGGGTATAGAGGAGCGGAAGTTTCCGCTGGCGCACTTGTACATAGTAGAACGACGTAAACGGAAGGAGGAGGTTTAGATTCGCGGTCTTGAATGGAATTGGAATGGAAATGTCTACACCGTGAAACATCATTTACGATTGACTGTCGCTACCAAGGCGCATAGGATGTCCAGACCAGACCAGACCAGACCGGACATAGCGGGCCGTGTGCGCTAGCAGAACTGGAAATGGTAAAAAAAAATTGAAGTAGGAAAAGGAACGGCAACGCGCAAGCAATAGGAAACCTGAGGGTGTATCACATGAAGAACAGCATGACCTGGCTGTCGCCCAATGACGGCGACAGAAGTCGAGAAGTGTATTGCCCATCTAGATCGCACGCGCCGCCTCCCCAGCACCGCTTTCCACCGTCGACGCCGGCTCAGCCCGCATCTTGCCCTTACCAAAACCGCCCTCGCCAACGCCCATACGACGCGCGACATAGCGCTGCGCAACAACCCCCGCTGCCAGCGATAGCGTCTCCTCCACCCACTCGGCGACCCACTCGCGGGGGTCGACACCGCCGCTCTCGATGATCTCAGCAATAGCCTCGGGGACGACCGCGCGCGGGATATCCGCATCGTCGGAATCCGGGTTCTCGGTCGCCGGCGCCGACGCATCGAGCCATTCGATCCATTTCGCCGGCACGCTCTGCGAAATGGTGTGGAAGGCGATGCCGTGCACGGGGTCGTGCAGGTACAGTGCGAAGGCGATTTCCTCGTCGGTGTCGGGCGCGGCGACGATGCCGGTCGCGGCGTTCTCGGCCGATGCGCCGGCCTTGAAGAGCTCGTCCGACACAGTCTGGCTGATGGCCTGAATGGCGAGGAAGATGTCGCTGCTACGCACAGGGTTAGACTCGCTCAGGTCCTCGCTGGCTTGCTTCGCGGCTTCTTCGATACCGCCCCGCGACGAGAAGTACTCTGATGCATAGCCCTCGGCGCTGGCGCGGGCTAGCTTGGAGGCCTCGGTAGCTCCGCGTACTGCGCTGATGGTGCGAGGAGTACCGGGAGTCACTGTGCGCCACCAGGGCCCGTCGTTCCAGCCTGCGCTGGAAATGTAGCCGCCGACGTCGAGGCCGCGCTTCGGGGCGGATTCTTGGCCCCGCTGGATAACGAGCAGGTCGCCGCCTTCCACTTGGGACATTACCCGTGAGAACACTGCGTAGACGAGCGGGTCAATGCCGGGGTAGCCCGATAGGTCGTGGGTGACGTGTATTTGGAGGCGTTCGTGCGAGGAGATCGGGGGAGCGAGGGTGTGGATGAGGTTGGTGAAAGTTGGGATGGCCATGTTGCGAAGCTCGCCGCCTGTCGAACGAGACATGATTAGCATGTTGTATATAGAGTATGCTATAGAGCGAAGGTATATTTACCAAAGTCTCTCAGGGCGCCGACGTTGCCCTTGACTTGCTGCGCCCATCGCTGGGCTTCCTCGTTTTTCTGGATCTCCTTGACTGCAGCCTCAGCCTGCTTCATGGCAGCACTTGCTGTAGCGAAGAAGCCTCCCCACCATCCACCGCCCTGCTCCTGCTCCTGGGCAGCCGCATTTTCAGCTTCTTGCTTCTGTTGCTCCTGCTTAGCGCCCGCGCGGGAGGCCTCCGTCGATAGTCGGGTCTTATCCTCGCTGCTTCGCTCGATGGTCGCACTGAGGCGAGGAGACCGGGTCGCTGAGCGGCTTTTATCCGCGGATAAACGTGGAGTACCGGGACCACTGCTTGGGCGCTGGGCGGCTTGTTTTTCCAGCTCAGCGAGGACGTCTTCCTGCTCGCCCTTTGCATTGTCGTCAGCGGTGGCTGCTGCTGCGGATTTCGACGACTTGTTGGCCGACTGCTCGATGCCGAGGTTGTCAAACTGAGCTAGCAGCTCATCGCTGGTAGGTTTTGCGCCTTTGGGAGGCATGGTAGGCGAGTTGGAAGGCGAGCGTTGGTTCAGGAGAGGTGACGACACCGTTGTTTGGAGCTCCCAAGGCGGCACTGCGAGTGGGGACCGTGTGCCAAGACCCGCTTCTGCTGCATCCTCAGCACTTTAGTTAGACACAACCTGCCATTAGGAGCTGATTGGGGTTGTAATATATGTCTGTGGGGATCAGATATTATAATTTCCCAAAAGATAGCTTGGGTTCATCCCGAAAGTTCTCATAGGTGGGTGTATAGGTAGGCCTGAACCTATCCCCACGCTCCGAACACGCTAACTATATATCCTCAACAATAGATCACAACACAATGCCTCGGCACAATCCCGGCACAATTCCCTGACAAGGTTAGATACATATATTCATATTTTTTGACTTTCAAGACCAGCCGGGATATGTTATAAGGAGCAAGAACACCAAAATCGTGAATATGGCTGGGAATAGTAGTTGAATAGACTTATTGCCACGCGCGACATTCGCGGGCGCACGGATTTCGCGCTGATCTACATCTTGTTTCAGGATATACTGCCCAGTACAATCTCCATTTGGTTCCGTTGATTCCGCAAGGTTGTACAAGTTCCATGTCTTCTGAAGAGCGGAGCGGATCCAATCCGACACCCGCGGCAGTAAAGGAGAGCCGCGGATCCATCCGGCATGGCGGAACGCGCGGGGGGGAATGGTATAAATAATCACCCTCCCCCCAAGCGGGAGACTTCTTTAAGCCATTGATGTCTTGAAACCCAACAATCTTTCGTTCACAAAGACATTTTCTGCACAGAAACGCCGTAAGTGCCATTGGGCGAGTATTCCGCGGTTACCCGCCAACTAACACGCTTTCTAGATCTACCCCTCTACTCGAGTCCAACCCCAAGAGCACCGTTACAATGCGTATCCCCTACGTCCCCAACCCCCCACCGACTAGCACGCCAGAGGAGGCAAGCGTTCTCTCCAGTGTTCAAGCACGCCGTGGCTCGATCGGCCTTATCCCGCTCGATCTAGCATTGCTGCATTCGTTCCCGGTAACCGAGGGGTGGGGCGCATTCATCGGGGCGATCCGTACTCGGACAAGTCTGCCAGCTTTGATCACGGAGCTTGCGATCAGCCGCGTAGCAGTGGTGAATCGCGCATGGTTTGAGTGGGAGCATCATCAGCCTTTGCTCACCCAAGCCGGACTGAGCGATGAAGCTCTCAAGCTTGTTGGCGATGACCAGGTTGATTTTGCGAGCGAGGTTGCCGAGAAGACATTCAGCCGAGAGGAGAGGGCGGTGTTGAAGTACACGGATGCTATGACCAAGACGGTGACTGTGCCCGATGAGGTCTTTCAGGAACTGAAGGTCCACTTTAGCGACAAGGAAGTAGTCGAGATCACGGCCACCGTGGCAGCGTACAACTGTGTCAGCCGGTTTTTGGTGGCTCTGGATGTCGGCGAGAAGAATGCCTAAGCTGACAGATGGGGACAGATATGGGGGGAAATGTATGTAGAATACCTTGTCGAAAACAATATTGAGCAGCGTTTCTCTGGGCCGGGGCTTGGGTATATCCATTAATCCAACAAACACTTTGGTATTTCCATTACGCACGCTGCAAATATTGTAGGTATCTAGTTGTATATTCCTCCAGACAGATACAAACAACCTTGACGGTTGCAAAGCGCGGGAAATGCTAGGGAATCATACAGTTTGGTGTCAGCTCATCCGACGAGGCGGCGAAGTGCTCAGCGATCACTCTCCCAATCGGCTTAAAAAAAAGATCTGCATAGCAATGATATACCGGTTTTCACTACAGTACATGAGAAGCTTCGTATTCAATATCGAAGGCCCCAGAAATCTGGCGAAGTATCCCGTAAGCGATACGATATAGTTCAGAAGCCAGACGTCGAGGCGTCGCCCCGGGAGGCACCAGAAAGGTAGTAGTTGACGTGGCGATACGAACAGATAATAGTGGTGCGACCGCAGATATCCCTTTTTCCATCGTAATTCACTCTGCAAAGTACCCCAAGTAACTCATTTGACCTCATGATGCGATTGGCCTGCAGCCGTGAGAAATCGGAATAAGATGCAAAGCCAACATGGGGCGGTCCGTGCTCGCGGGTTGAGACAGGCGGATATTGGAACTAAGGGGGCTAACAAGGAGTCGGGGCAAAACCACCACTCTGGGCAGATCAGATCGATGCCTATTTTCTCCCTCCTAGTCATTCACTTGGCCACTATCGATACTATAGTCAAATGTATTCGAGAGCCAACTGAAAACTAGCTGGAGTATAGGGACTGGCCCATGCGGTCCCTGGGCCCGGTCTGTCTCCCCTTGCGGCAGACTGCCCCTGATGATGCCGTCATGGTCGACCAACCGCGCTGGGTCTACGGGCTTGATGTCAAGGCTTGGATGCCAGGCATGCCGTGATTAATAGAGTGAAGTGCTCGTTGCGCCAAAATCATTCCACCTTTTGTACCTTCGGTCTCGGAAGAGACGGGAGATGGGGGGAATCGATCGCGGTCTACCCAGCACGAACGTGCAGATCAGAGCGAGGAATCTGGGACTTGGGGACCATATCGGACGACAAACTCGAGGCTGATAGCGGGCTGTATGGTTCACGGCGGTCGACGGGATAGACAGGATTTAGTGCTTTAGTGCTTTAGTGCTTTAGTGCTTTAGTGCTTTAGTCCTCGCATGGCCCGGCTGACCAGTGAAGTGGCTAGTAGATGGTGGGGATCTGATTGGCCCCGGGGGGCTGTGGGGCCCGTTGTAATGGTCACTAACTCATTCCAGAATTACAGTCAGGCTAACTAAGAGTCTACCAACTCGACCAGATCTGCTTCTGTACAAACTAAACCCGCCCTCAAATCTCTTCCCTTCAGCTTCACCCTGTCCCTGGCCATCCTTCCCTCCATCCCCCACCCAGCTTTTCCTCTGATCTGCTACTCCTTGTACTATCCTTTCGCCCTTTTCATTCTTCCCTTCTCGCTGCCGCCCCGGCTGTAAGATCCTTTTTTTTCTTTCCCTTCCTTTTCCTTCTACATACAACTTTGTACCCCCGGCGCGCCGCGGCCAAAACAACCTGCTTCTTTCGCGGAATTGCTAGCTTGCGCTGCATTCATCTCATCCGACCCTTTCCCACCCTTCCCTCCTTTCTTCTTTCTTGCTTCGTGGCCGCGCTGCTCCAAGCCCGCCCAGCCTTCCCCGTTTTAACAAGTACACATCCCTGGCAGCCGCTCGCGCGCCGCTGCGCCAGTGGCCGAATCACCTCGCTCCTGTCTACTATTAATTGGCCGTTCGGGTTTGTGTCCGTGGATGACTGAGCCTTGTGCGCCCTCTTGATTCTTCTATGGTAAGTCCTTGCTGTCGCGTGTGCTGCCCGTTTTTCCACTGTACTCTGGCAATACACTTCGGGTCAGATCCTGATCCACACAATCTGCCGCGACCGTGTCTGCCTCTATCCTCTGGTGCCCACTCGGGTATCACCCTCCTTCAGAATCACATCCCATCTTTTGGTGTTATCATCGTTGCCGATTTCGTGGCTTCGTGTTTCTCTTGGGATCCCTTTCTGCACCCGCAGTACTCCCCTGACCCGAGCGAGTCCCGGGATTGCGCTGCGATTACTACGGGCGTCTTGGCACCGCAAGCGAACTGCCCACCCGAAAACTAACTCATCTATACAGAACCCGCCACTCATATTTTCCTCTCTTCACGGCACTGCGCGTGCTGCTTGAGCCCAGTCTTGTGTATCTACAGACTGGGATTGCCTTTTTTCTATCTTCCCCTGACTCTTTTCTTTCCCCCTCTCAAAATGGCCCCCATTCCCCGGGGCGATGTGGACATGGACAATCCGTCCTCCGATGTGGGCGATAGCCAGGATTCTCCCCTGCGTCGCCAGTTCTCCGAGCCCTTCCGCCCCCAGTCTACTTCTACTCAAATTTCTCAATCCCCAGAGCCCCAGTCGCACAAAATCAAGTGCGACTGGTGCGGGAAGCTTCTGGACTCCCCACATGATGAGACCATTACGGTAGAAGATGTGTTGAATGCGCACGCTGCTGCCGATCACCCTGATCACATTGACAGTCAATTGGGATTTGATGATGTCGAAGATAGCAACTTTGAAGAACATGATGAACTAAACCTCAATGAGGAAGGCGTTGAGGCAGAAGATGAAGAAGTAGATGAGGACGAAGAAGAAGGAGAAGAGGAAGACGAGGAGGAGGAGGAAGAAGGAGAAGAAGAAGAAGAGGAGGAGGAGGAGGAGGAGGAGGAAGAAGAGGACGAAGCCGAAGCTGAGGGCCTCAATGATGTCAATCAGCCTGAAGAAGGCGAGCCTATCGGAGGAGAGGCTGGCGAGGAAGAGCTTGCCGAGCCTGAGACTGCGGCTCCGTCAGTCAATGGCACTCGCAGCGATACGGAAGCCGAGATCAACCTCGCCAAGTCCTTTGCGCCTACTATTAAGATCAAACCGGACCATAAAGCAAAGGATCCCGTGTCTGAACGACAAGAACGACTTGACAACCTGCTCAACAAGCTTTCCAACCCCCGCAGTGCTTTCCCCGAGGAATACCGCCAGCGCGTGGCAGAATGGCAGGGACCCGAGATGGCTCTTCGCCTTCCTAAAATCTGGACAGTCAATGATGTTAAAAAGTTCTCGCCTACATATGAACAGGAGCAGTCCAAAGTGGACAGCACCTGGCAACACGCCTTCTACGACTTCAAGCCGAAGAAGCGGGATGCGCCTGAGCCGATGATTCGGCCTGACCCTTACAAGAAGACCAAGGTCGAGCAGGGTCAATTCCTTGAGACCAACTCACTCGATGACCTCGTCGAGATGCTGAAGAAGCCCGAATTGCTCTCGTATGATGAGCTCTACGCGGCCACAGAAGCAGCTGGCTTTGCGATGAAAGTTTGGCAGGACGAATACCTTGCCCTGGACAAGCTCTACTTGTTGGCCCACCGTCACCATCGAGTCGCAATCACGGAAGATACCAAGCGAGAGTTCTTGCTGGGTAATAAGAAAAAGGCCGGGTATCCCATGGCCCGACTTCCAGAGCCTGATCTTGACTTCGAAGACAAGAAGGAGGCCATGCTCTACGGCTACAAGTACAATCCGTTCCAGGCGAACACTGCCACAGTAGTCAGCCGCATTCCTCAGAACCCATTTGTCCAAGGAGGATTTGTCCCAACTCCTGCCCAGGGACGAAAGATGGCTTCCAAGGTTCCACCAGGCGAACGCAATCCTGATGACTGGACGCCTGTGGTTCGCGATGGTGTCGAGCTCGTTCCCAAGCTGTGGGAGCAACCGCGGGCGCCCATTCAGGCCAAGGTGACTCGTAAGCGCAAGGCAGCAGAAGTGGATACAAGTATGAGGACCGATACGGAGGAGACTCAGCATGAATCTCCCGAAGCAAATGAGTCTGAAGAAGAGATCCACCCGACCAAGCGCCGTGCTCGAGGCCGTGGTGGCCGCCGCGCTGCTGCTACCTTTGAAGCATACCAGCCAGAGCAAGCCATTGTGAGCACTCCCCGTGGCCGAGGCCGAGGTCGTGGGCGTGGCCGGGGGCGTGGCATTGGCCGTCCGTCCGCTGCTGCTCGCACATCTCTTGATGCAAATCAAACAGGCGCCTACACCCCTACTTCAGGCCGTGGACGGGGCCGCCGTGGCGCCAGTACCATCGTGAGCTCTACTACTACCCCTCAAGCGGCTCGCTCTACGGAGGACCTCACTACCTCGTCCTTCGTTGATATTTCGCCCATGCCCGAAGCGCCTACGTCTGCTAAGACTGCCCCGATCATCAAGAAGGATGCTACAGTGGAGGATCTTGAAGAGGCCCGTCGCCAAAAGATCATGAACTCCAAGAACCCCAAGCGCACCAAGGCCATGCTGGACCACTGGGAGCGATTCAATCGCGAAGGCCGCATCCGTAACCCCAAGCGGTCCAAGGCGCAGATTGAGTCTGATCGGGCGGCTGACGAAACCCGCAAGGTCAAGGATGTCCCGCGCCCTAGCGGCCGCCGTCGTCGCTCACCGTCACTGGCACCAATTCCCACAGGCAACCTTGCCCCTAAGGCCCCTATGGGGATGCCCCCCATGGGTTTACCGCAGCACCTGGGCCCTGGGCCGGCTCCTGGCCCGACTCTGCCGTCGTTGGGCATGACCCACTACGGGGCGCCCAACCCGTTCGCCGCCCAGCCCCCGGTGGCTCAGCTGGGCCAGCCGATGCCGCAGTTCGCGCCGTTCCCGTACCCGCCTCCGTACGGCCTGGGACATCTGCAGGGTCCGCCGCCACCCCATGACCCTCACCACCGAGGTGTCTAGGGGTTGAGCATTGAAACTTCGCCAGTGTCGCGTGATCGGTTTACAAATCGAATCATGATATTTGAGCGAAGAAGACGATTAACAAAACGTATATAGAGATGAAGTGAGCGCTGTTCTGCTTGTGCCGCAGCAGGACAGCTCTGAGTTTCATCTGATGTTCGCATTCATCCCGGCCTCTCACGGCCATCCAGCAGGCTGCGAGAGCGGAGCCGGTCTACTCGATCGGGTTTGCTGGAGGTGGGTTCCATTATAATGTCCTGGCTGGGAGGAGGCGCAATGGGAAGGGTTTGGGTTTCCATGGGTTTGTTTTCAGCGCAAAATTGGGTTGTACATTTAACAGGAGGCCAGTGGCCTGGACTTCGGTCCGGCACTCAGGCCAGGCGTGTATTCTACTTTTCTCTTTCTGTTTGTGTATGATAGTTAAGCACGCGGCCAATGGATGCATGGAGAAGAACCTCAGGTGTCAATCAATCACGTGTGTGAATGTAAATTTATCATGTGACCGGTTTCGCGCAGGGCCAATCTGCGTCACTTCACCTTCGCATATTGCTGCGTCACACTGCAACCGCACCGTCCTAGTCCACTCCGTCTTAAGTCAGTGGCTTCTGAACTCTGAAGTTGTCAGCCTTATATCCTTGCAATCACAATGGGCAAGAAGAGACGTGGTCCCTCGCTGGACGAGCTCATGGCTCGTCCATGGTGCTACTACTGTGAGCGCGACTTCGACGACCTCAAGATTCTGACACTGCACCAGAAGGCCAAGCACTTCAAGTGCGAGCGCTGTTATCGCAGGCTAAACACTGCGGGAGGTAAGTCTCTCATTCATGCCTGCGACAATGTCTTCGACGTCGGGATCTAACACAATGCGCCTGTAGGATTATCGGTGCACATGAGCCAAGTCCATAAGGAACAGCTTACGGAGATCGAAAATGCGCTGCCTAACCGATCAGGCCTCGATGTGGAAATTTTCGGCATGGAAGGTGTCCCCGACGACGTGCTACAAGCTCACCACCAGCGTGTTGCAGCTCAGTTCCACCAAGCAGAGGCCGAGCGCCAGGCTACGACTGGCAACCCTCCAGCGGGCAGTGGAGCCGATGGCCAGCCTCACAAGAAGCCGAAGCTGGAGAATGTATCAGATATAAAGGCGCGATTGGCAGCACACCGTGCGAAGCGCGCTGAGGGCGCTGCAGGAGGTAGTAGTGGAGAGGCAACGCCCGTGGGTGCTGGGCAGTCTGCGCCAACTCCCCCCACATATGTAGGCTTTTTGCTCCCCACTACGCAGGTTATAATCCAGTCCAACTCACAAAGCTTATTTAGGGACGACCACCCGCCATAGCTACAGCTGCGCCCGCACAGCAGCAGCACTCGTACCCGCAACCCTATGGAGGCACCGCAGCTGCAGTCGCAGCCGTAGCCGCGCCCCCTTACCAACAGACCGCAAGCCCCGGCTATCAGACATTCTCCCCGGTTGGTGCAGCGCCTTACGTTCCGGCCGGATATTCACCTCAGCCATTCCCCGGCCAGCTCCCCGCTCCCGGGTACGGAGCTACTCCCCCTCCCTTCCCTCAGCAACAAACTCCCCCGACCGACTCGAATCTTCCCCCTCGACCAGGGAGCCTGCCAACACTTGCCGGCCTCCCCCAAAGGCCCGCCTTCGGCGCACCTCCCGTCAATGCGCAACAAATGCAACAGATGCACATGGGCCACCTAGTCCCGCCCACAGCAGCGCCCGGCTACGTCAACGGCGATGCGAGCCAAGTTTCCGGACAGGTCTCCTCGTCTGTTGATGACCTGATTTCGGGCGCGGCAAAGCAAGCCGCTGCAGCGGAGAAACCAGCTAAGAAGGACAAAACCAAGAATACGCGCATGATATATTCCGACGAAACGACTAGCCCCGAGGAGAAGATGGCCCAACTCCCGCGGTACACATTCGCACGCACCGAGCTCGCCGGCTCGGTGGTCGACCCGGCGCATTAAAACTTTGCGAGCGAGCCTCTAATTAAGCATAATCGATCGGAACGGAACGGAACGGACCGAATGAGGTAGAGCTTGAGACGGAAAACGCGAGGTGCTCTGCGCGTTGCAGGGATGGAGGGATTACCGGGCCCCGGACTCCAGCTAAGTTCGACGCATACTCTAGCTACAGATGAGCATTTGATTTGGCTGGCTGTGTTTTGTTACCTGCCCTGATCCATCAGTAGTTCTGGCGACAAGTGAACATGAACATGCGCATGAGCAAGACGCTGCCACTGCTGATGCCAATGCGTTTGAGACTTATCCCGATGTGCGCGACCATGGTGCTTGTTGGTGAGTCCTGTCGGTTTTGAGTGTCTCCCGCACACTAATCGGGGTCGCTGGTGGACTGGGAAGGATGGATTCCGACCGTACGTCTCCTGCCCTTGCCGAGTCCGTTTTTCTACTTTGTTCTACTCGTTTCTTGTTCCATGGCATTGGATCTGGATCTCCAACTGGATCTGGACGAGGTGGGTCCTTCTGCATGCCGGATCGACGATGCCATCTCACTCTTGATGTAAGTCTTTCTTTTATCTTTAGCGCTCTAGAGGTAGGGAACCACCCTCTTCGATGGTTTTTGAATGTATGATTTGGAACATTATGTCCCATCCTGAGGAGCTTCCACGCCAGAGGCATTGGAGGTCGTAGGTGTACAATATCGTCTTGACACTATAGATAAAGACATCAAAAGACGCCAGACACAAGCTTGATTAATCAATTTGAGGGAGTATCCTCGCTAAAAACACACTAAAGAGAAAAGAAACTGTAGCTCGGGCAGACCTCTTCCCCCCCCAGCCCCAGATTCATGCCGTCCACAGGCTATCCCTATCCCGTACAGCCAAACCAACTGTGTAGGAAAGAATCAACCCCACCGCTCAAGCCGCCCGCTTCTCACGGAACGCAAGCCCAAACACAACAAGCCCATACGTAGCCAGGACAGACAGGCCCATCGGCACAGGCTTGCCGCCGGTCTTGATCACCCGCGGGATCGAGCTACCGCCCAGCACGGCCGACGCTAGCAGGCCGATTTCCTCGCCGTAGGTCTCACCTGCGCGCAGGCGCAGGAAGCTCACAAGGTACAGGGCGCCGACAGAGAGGCCGGCGGCGATCGAGGGGATCGAGCCGGTGCGCGCGTAGCCGATTGCACCGCCCAGGGAGGTGAGGAGGGAGAGGGCGATCGCGGAATTGGTGGGGAGGGGGTTTGCGTTAGACTGGTGGTGGGTTAGTAGGTGGTTTTGATGAGGCTGATGGGGGAGGGACAGTGTACCATTTTGCGATTGAGCGTGTTGAGGGTGCTTTGATGTGGTGAGGGGTGACTGTTCTTGATCGTCCGGACCTGTCGGGGATAACTTTGGAGCTGGGGCATTAGTCAGATGACATGACGTGCGGAGGGGCCGGATGGCCGAGGCCGAAGTATACAAAACACAAAACGTATGACAGGGGTTGTTGGGGCCAGTCTTCAGTCTTCTTTTCCAGCAATGCAAGGGCAACCACAAAGCTATCCTGAGTCATCAAGCATACTAGATCACGAGAAGATTTTTAGTGCACGAAAAAAAAATAAAAATTAGAATTCCTCGACCAGCGCATTTAGCTCTTCCTCCTCCACCTTTCTCCACCCTCTTTTTCGAATCAGATCTCAGATTGGCGACAGTGTTGCGCTCGAGAGCCCTTGCTCCTCATTGTTTCTGGCAATAGTCTCCATAGCAATAAGCTGCGGCCCGATAAGTGCGTCTTTCGCCTGATGGTTCTGCTCGTCGATGTGCACCGCCGAATCCTCTAATATGGCAGTTTGGGCCCCGAAAACATGCCGAGAAGGTCGCGAGAACCCGCGAGTGCGCACAGACGTACCAAATCTAGGCAGGTATATAACTCCAATAAAATATCCGCAGAACTACGCGATCAGAATCAGAAGACCTTGATATTACACATCAGTACTGCTTGCCTGGAAATCGAATCCCAAGTTGGAAACCAACGCCATGATTGATACCAAAATTATCATCAACGCGCCACCCGCTGTAGTTCGGAAGGCTGTATGTACATCTTCTCTTCTACTTACAAACTTTGGTTAAAAAGAAATCATGCCAAACCCTCCCAGTCTAATTTTCTCCCTCTGTATAGTTTCTGAACTTCGCCGCTCTCCCAATCTACCACACCCGCTTTATTGACAGCATCGTCTCCCTGAGCCAAGACACGCAAAACGCCTTCACACCCGGTGACAAGATCCGCATAACGCTCAGTGCGGGAACTTTCACCGCGTCAGTTGAGGCCAACTCCCCCACAGAATTCGCCTGGTGTGGAACGCTTGGGAGCAATTGGGTTTTCCACGGAACGCACAGTTTCAAGTTCCTGCCTGCTAGCGAGACGGAGGAGACGACGCTTTTTGTGCAGACGGAGGTGTTTGGGGGTGTCTTGTCGCTTCTTGAGAAGGTGACTGATGGAAGTCACATGGCGGAGAAGTTTCAGTCGTTCAATGAGGATTTGAAACGGTATGTTGAAGGTGGATCCTGCTAGGGGAAGGTTCATCGAAGATTTGGGGGGCGGAAGAATGTGTAGATATCAGCTGGAGAGGACCTGGGATCTTAACATTACAACGGATCTGGAAGATGGGTGAAGTATGTTTGTGCCAGCAAATACGGCTAGCTAGGACGGGATTGAGAGGCATGATGGTAATGGTAGAGAGGTTGGAACATTTCACATTTCACATTCTATATAAACTTTTTAGTCATCATGCATATACGACTGATTCAAACCATGCCTTTCATAACACATTTAACCCGTATGCACCCGGCTATGCTCGCTGCAACATTAGTCTTGAACCCGCATCGCAAAATTCGCCTCAATCGTCTCGAGTAATCTTCTTCCCGGTGTCGGCTGACACCTCAATAGCACCGTATCCATTGCCGCGAGGCTCCTCGGCGTGGATCTCTTCTTCTTCCTCCTCCTCTCCCTCCTGCTTACGGTAAGGACCCTCCTGCTCAATAATCCAAAACGCAGGAATGACACTCGTCAGTCCAAGCGTGCCCAGTAACCACCAAGGAACAATCACCCAGCCTTGCTTGACCCCCCACGAAAAGGCAGCGCCAATAAGAGCCGGACCTGCCGCACGACCCAAAGCACTGACGCTTGTCCCGACACCGTTCAAAGTGCCGAGCACAGTCATACTCGAGGCGGAGTTGGTCAGTAGGATCGTGCTGCACGGGATTCCGAACACAGTCGCGCCGAGCTTGGCGAGCATGACCGCGAGAACTGCTGGAACCCGCAGCTTCTCGGGCACTAGAGCGGTGAAAGGGGTGATGAAGAAGATTATTGGCAAGATGATGGCGGAGACTTTGAAACATTTCAGGACGCCGTAGCGCTTAGCGACTGGTGGGAAGCAAAGGAACTGGATGACCATGCCGATGATGCCGGTGATGGTGTAGAACATGCCAATTTGGGGAGCATCTTGATGGGTTATTAGCTGGTTGTTACAACTTCCAGTGATTGGGTAAACCCGCAGGAGGATACTGACCGACACCGAAGCCGCTGGCAAATTTGAGGGGGAGCTGTACGTCAGGGTTGTCGTGGAAATTCTGTACAGGGTAGTGCAAGAAAACTGGGAAGACCGAGTCAAACGCCATGGAGAGCCCCGACATCAAAGTGTAAGACAGGAGAACCAGGTTAGACTGAGGCGTGAAGATATGGGACCAGCTCGGCCGCACGACGGGCTTCGTTTTCTTCTGCTGTGGTTGAGTCTCGCCAGGCAGCAAAGACGTCCGTTCCTCATCAACGCCTTTCAACTCAGCCAGGCGCTTCTTGCGCGACGTGCACGGCCTAGTCAGTGCTTTTCCCAGCTCAAGACCAGGGTCATACCGGCCCTTTTTTGTCTCCAGCGTCTCCTCCAAAAACAAAAACCCGGTCGTAATTCCCACAAGAAAGAAACAGGCAGACGCTATATTCGGTAGCACAAAGGGAAACCGTCTGAGGAAAGCTGACCCCCCGAACAGATCAGGGTGCTTCTCCGCCGGGCGTGCCAGGGCCCCGCCAAACGCGGGCCCAAAGATGCTCCCGATCGTCCAGACGAGTGGCATGAGGCTGAAAGCGCGCGGCTGCAGTTCGCGCTCGGGCACGATCTCGGCGACCATGGTGCGCAGGATGCCGACGTTGCCGTTCATCAGGCCGATCAGGGCGCGCGAGACGAGCACCATAGTCAAGGTTTGCGACATGCCCAGCATGATCGAGATCAGCATGGTGCATGTCAGCCCCGAGAGAATAATCGGCTTGCGGCCCACGTGGTCGGACAGCGTCCCCCAGGGCACGGCCATGATGGCTTGACTCACCGATGCGACCGCGGACGCGATGCCGGCCCATTTGGCAACTTCAGGCGCCGGTACGCCGACATATTCGATGAGTTCAGGCTGCGTTGCATTTGTTAGCTAGGTTTGTCTTTTCTTTCCCGGGGGGGTTGGGGTTGCGAAAAAAGAGGAGACGGAGTTTGGGAGGAGGTGGTGGTGAGCTCGGCGAGATGGCCGAGCTTGAAGCCGCGGCATGGTTTTACAACGTACCAGATAGGGCAGGACGGAAGTGAAGACGACTATTTACAGCGCGTTCCTTAGCATGAACCATAGGCCAACACGCAGTTTGAGGCGACTCAAAAAATCTGCGATCTCATAGGTTGGGGGGTGGAACCTACTGGGCTCGGCGAAGCGACATATTGCTAACCACATCAGCTTGAAGGCACTCGATGAGTCAAGAGATGCGAAAAATGAGACTTACACAAGATCAACAGCTGCCGCACCGGCAGCTTAGCTTTGTGCATTTTTTATGGGTTTGACTGCTTCTCGTAATCTAGCGAGCCGGCTCTCTCACGCTCCAAATGCAAGGGGAAAAAAAAATGAAAAAGCTGGAGAGCAGAGGAGAGGAGGAAGAAAAAGAAGAAAGACCAAGGCCCAGATCAGCCGCACTACCAAGACCACTTGAAGGTTCTTACCTTGCTAGACCTTGCTTGGATTAGTTAGTTCGACCTCAAGCCACTCCGTCGATAGTACGGGTGGTCGGTAGAACCCCAGCAGGCCCCGCCCGGCAGACTCGGCAATCGCTGCAGTCAGCCTGCATTCGCGGTGAGGTTGCATCCAATCGAACTTGACCTGCCAAGGCATTAAGGGGTGCAAAGGCATGCTGTAAAATGTAATAGCATATCATAATATCATAACATCCTCTTAGTTTGACTGTACGACAACTAACAATAAGCACAACACGGGTATAAACCGAGAAGTGTATACCGAGTATACTAAAAGTACTCGACTCGACATCCAATGGGACCACCCCGACTACAACCCCGGGTGGAATCCCGCCCGACTAAGACAGCAGCTTGGTCGCTGCGCCGATCCGTTCCTGGATGATACGGCTCCATTTCTATAGGGAACAAAGTAATCAGTAAGGCGGGGCCCTGGGTGTCTGTCCCACACGTTGTCAGAGCTGTCACTCACCTTGGCATTCTCCACATCGCCGGCGTCAAGGCTCTCCACTAGTCCGGGGTAGGTGGCTCCCGAGTAGCCAGTCCAGACGCCCGGCGCAAACACGACGTGCTTGAACCAGTTGCGGCCGTCGAGACCGGGCTGGTACAGGAACGCCCGCTCGATGCCCTTGTACTTGTCATTGGCGATACGGATCTGGAAGTACAGCCGAACCTTCTTCCACCAGTGGTACCAGGGGACGTGCTCGTCCAGCTGCTGGTTCAAGGACGCTGCGTAGGCATCGAACTTGGTTGCGGCCGCCTGGAAGTGGGAGATGGCCCGGTCGAGATGGAGAAAGTCGAAGTGGGCCTTCTCGGGCAGCTTGTCCGCAGCGGGCTTGACTCGTTGCAGATACGAGTCCAGCCCCGCAGCATAGTCGCCGGCGCTAAAGGCGATCAAAGGCGACTCGACCAGGCGTGCGGCTGCCAGTGCCCACAGCTTCGTGGTGGTGATGTGGTAGGACCAGTTCGGATCGCCAAACTTCTCCATCCACGCGAAGCTATCGTAGTTCGAGTGGTAGTGGTAGACAGGATCGTTCTTCCCGCGACTGAAGCCGAAATCCAGACTGGCCACGCCCGCAAAGTCCTGGAAGGCAGTGAAGTCGCTGCCACTGCCCATGGTCGCGATCTTACCATCCCAAACGTCACGCACAGTCTGGCCGGGAACAGTCTGGTTCGGGTGCTCCACCAAACCAGCAACCTCATGGATAAGCTGGTTCAGCAGGGGAGCGGCACGAGGGCCAAAGTCGGTGCCAGAAGCAGCCACATCGACGTTCAGGTATGCGACGTTAGCCTTGGACAGCCAGTGGAGGTTCTCCTCCACCCACTCGGTCGATCCGAGTAGACCATACTCTTCACCGTCCCAACTAGCAAAGACAATAGTGCGCAGCGGCTTCCATCCAGCCTTCAACGCCTCGCCAAAGCTGCGAATCACCTCATTCATCGCTGCAGAGCCGCTGTTCGGGTCTCCGGCACCACCAGCAATCCACGCATCACGGTGATTGCCTAGGATAATGACCTCGTCCGAAATGGTACCCTTAAGAACACCAATGACATTCCACACGGGGGTAGTCACATACTCCTGCTCATTGTTGAGATTGATCACAATGTCCTCGGGCGAAGGCCCGATGTTGTATTCAACACCCTTGTGGCCAAGAGCACCGCCCTGCCAGTACTTGTTGAAGTCAGATGCCTTGGGGCCATGTCCATTGAGGGCCTTTAGGAATGGGATGACCTCTTGATAAGAGATAGGAAGCGACGGGATAGATGGAATGGAGTTGTGAGGGTCTTGACGCTCACAGCCAGGCTTAGATGGATATCCTGGGGTGGTAGGGTCACCAGGAGCAATGCCTATATCAGATAGTTAGATTGCGGGCAGTATGGAGTTTGAAAAAGGATTGTTGCATACTCAGGAACTGTGTGCTACCTCTCTGGATCGCACTGGGATTCCGCGCTGGGCCATTAGGGTATGCCTCGTAACCATTCTCTTCGGTGATCTCGCCATCTTCTTGGGGATCACTGTAGATAAGCACACCGACCATACCGAGCTCCTGTGCTCGCTTCACCTTGAGACCACGGAAGATGCCACCATACTTGACGATAGCAATCTTACCCTCCAGGGTAATATTGGCGTTGAGGAGGTCTTCAAAATCCAGATAGGTACCGAAGTTGGCATACACAAACTGGGCAGTGACATTACCCGTGGCCGAGTACCCGTGGAAAACAGGTACCCGGTCGCGCAAGCCTGAAGTGGGATCTTCCTCCAGCACATCCTCCTCTAGGGTGGCCTCGAAGGTCACCTCGGTATTATCGCCCGACTTCTTGAGCAGGGCCAGGCGGTGGTCCAATGGGTAGTTTAGATAAATATCATAAGAAGCAAGGGTTGTATCCTCCACGCCAAACTCCTTCCACTTCTCCATCGTCCAGAGCGCCTGGCTCAAGTTCTTGCCTGCCAAGTGGGGTCCGGCAGTATAGTACTCGCTCCACTCGCGGGCCTTGGCCGCGGATGGGGTGTTGAGGAGGATCTGCTGGAGCTGGTCATAAGGCAGGCCGTCACCCTGAGGCCAGGCACCATGGGGATATGGGTTCGCCCATGGCAAATAGGACCAAATAGAGCCGTGCTCGCGGGGTAAGATGGCGGACGGAATCAAAAAGAGGATGACGACAATCACGAGAAGCGTGCCGAGCAGAAAGGTACATGTGCGGCGGAGGGTGTGGTGAGGGTACCGATGCCGCCGCGGCGCGACATTGACCTCAAGTAGAGGTGTCGTCTCTGAAAACGGCATTTCTACCTTCTCCCTCATCGTTGACACATTGCAAGAGGGAAAGAAGAGCTGCTTCTCATTCTCCGCACGTTATCGCGTTATCGGATGACTAAGGGTTTCTGGCGGACTGGGCCGCCCCCGGTGGCTATTCACCTGCCTCTTCGGGAAGGCCGATATCTTATCATAGGTCTATGCTGATCTATACTGTAGAAAATTTAGTTTGGTCCCAATTAGATGCCACTTTCATGAACTCACTAATGCTGATACATCCCTATGCTATCATTGACATTCCATAAGAGTAGCACGGATGCCTTCAGTCTCTGTGGATTCCCTCGTATAACATCCACTCTCAACTCCTCGACTTTTGACTGGAGAATGCATATCAATTGAATCTTAGTAAATAGAAGTATACAGCCCCAAGGTATCACGAAAGCTATCATATACAATCGCTAAGGTCGCAAAAAAGAGGCAGCTGAATCCGAAAACAAATGGGGGATCAAAGCTATACAGAGTAGCTCAAGGACCCAGATAAAGCTGTTTTAGATGCGATGACACTACTCCGTGAACGACTCTTCGAGTTCATCTGGAATCGGTACCACATCGTCCAGAGCAGGATTCAGCTTCTCACCGAGAGCAATGCTCTCCCGGAGAATTTGGCGCGCAGTGTCATCACTGACTCCCATGTCCTCTTTGACCAAACGAACTGCGAGCTCGGGAACAAGGACAGACTGAGCGTAGCCGACGACGCCTGCTTGCTTGACGATGTGGTCGGATGTAGCTAATCGGCGTAGTTTCAAGGCGAATCGATCGGTGAGTGCTTGCAGCCTGGCCAGATATCAGTACCGTGAGCACCAACTCATTATGGTATTCTTACATCTTCCCGGATCCTTTTGTCCCATAATACCCGCAAGACATCGTCTCAAGACCGTCGCCAGCAAGGGTAAGACGAAAGTTCTGCGCTTTCCCGCTTCTCAGGGTCGAATTCAGAATATTGCGGTAGAAACAAGAGCAGTCTGGGATGAGAAGCTTCTCAAGCTCGGGGAAGTGCTTTTGTACACGCTCATCGAATGTGTCCCAGTCAATGTCCGGATAGCCTTGGGACTCCCAGTCCTTCTTAGCCGTTTGTTGTTGATGAGATGCACAGAATTGTTGCTGCTCGCGAACACGTTGCTTTGGCTGAGCGAGGAATTGTTCGAGCAAGTTCGGGTCGACTTCTTCCTTGCACATCGGACATAATGCTGGGCGTGGTTGTGCCCTGGCTTCGGAAGATGGAGAGCTGGGGAGTGAACTTAAAGAGGAAAGGAGAGAATCCTCATCATCCAGGTCTTTAGACTGCGGTTCTTTGAAAGATGAGGCCCCTAGGGAGGAATGGGAATTGGAATCAATGGAGAAAGCAGGAGGATTTTTGAACCCGGGCGACGATTTCCTTGTTTTCTTTCCGGGCCGTGGCTTACGCGGACTCGGGGCATGAATCTCCCTGGGAACTTTAAAGCCATCATCCGGCTCGGAGTCTGACAACTTGGTCGCCTTCTTGCCCTGTGCAGTGTGGGCCTGAAGCTTAGTCTGCGGGGAGCGTTTATCAGGCGTGGCGGACGATCGAGCGACGAAGCTGGGAACTCGAGATAATGAGGTTGATGACTTGTATGTGTGTGTTCTGGCCCGCTTGGAGCTCTGAGTGGAGGACCAGGAGGCGAGGAAATCATCCTCATCGCTATCGCCCATCATGTTGCTGAGGGTCCTCGTCATGCCTCCCCTCCGCGCAGACGACGGGGCACTCCAGCTTTCCTCTGCAAGCTTCTCCTCCAAGGTCTTTGTGTGAACGATCTCATTGGGTCTCCGGAATTCGATGCTATCGTCACTCAATTCGTCCTTCAATTCGTCCTCGCTGGAACTGAGAGGATCTGCGTCCGTCGCAGGTTCATTTTTGTCTTCGGGCTTCAGCTCTGCTTCCTGTGGCTCGGGCTCGAATTCATAGTCAATATCGACAGAGTCCAGATCGGTCAAAGGTTCGTCATCGCTCGACAAGGGCACTGTGTTCATAGCAGGCTCCTGCTCATTGGGTTTCGCTTCGGCCGTCGGTTCAACGCTCGCTCCCTCGTCCTTGTTGAAGCTCGACAGCAGATGTCTCTTGGGTTGGTTGTTTCTCGTGAGACGATTCGACGCGTAGCTCGAGTCGGGTTTTGCATGCGCCCGCATTATAGAGGAGGTGACGTCGCGGCTGGAGTGTTGGAAAGGTTAGGATGGCACACGGGATCCGTGGTTGCGCGCGCGCATAAGAAACCGGGGAACGGGTCGCGTCGACCGCGCGAAACGGTTAAGCACGGGCACACGCGATTAACATTAAAGGAGGGATTGACAAAACGATATTACCAGGGGGCCCAACGACCACGAATTGCGATCTGGGCGGGGAGAAAACGAAGACAATACTGTAGTTACGTGAGGGAAACACGCGTGACACACCTCACCAACAACGACAAGCCCCACCACGTGGAGACTCGCAGCAAAGACAGCAAAGACAGCCAAGCACAGATAGCTACGCGAGAGAACAATGGCAAGTGAAGCTGCCTGTTGATTTGATTCACTGTTGCTATACATAACAGCCATTCAGCCATATACACAATTGATCTCCCATACGCTTATGCAAAGCAATGCCCCTTCTAAAGTCCCAGGAAAAGCTATGGAAGTCTGAGGGAAAACAGAAAGAAGGAGTAAAAAACAAAAAGCAATATCCCGTCATTATTCAAACGTCATCTGGATCTCACCATCCATGTGGCCATGGCCATGATCATGATCATAATCGGCCCAAGCATTGGGCTCCATAGCCATGGCCCCAACTGCAGTAGCACCAATGCCCGTAGGCATCGTGGACGAAGACCGCAGTTCGGGCCGCGCTGGCGGGTCGAAATGGTGTTGACGGCCGTCGTGGAAGGAGGTGTCAAATGTCATTTCGACGGGCTCCTCTCTGTGTAAGATGGCGGGATCGGTCGTGATGTGTGTGGTTTGGATTCCCGCGGAAAGCTGTGGCTCCGACGCTGTACGAGGAAGAGAAGGGAGACCGGGCTCCTTCAGCGTTTTCTCTTTCTCGACCGGAGTCGCAGGTCGAACAGACGATGGCTCGGAGGATGGAGGGTTTAGGTTTAGCTTCATCGGGGGAAGAGTAGATTCTAGCTGCTTGACCTCAATCGCTTCCGAAGCCAATTCGGCTCGAATGGCTTCGATATCGAAGAGGACGGAACCCGGGGTACTGTTGGCCTCGGTTAAAGTGTGCTGCGGAGAGTTGCGATCAACACCATATGTCTCCCATGTTCTCTTCTCTGCCATCTTGCCGCGTTTGAAAATACCAAAGCGCTTTTTCTCTGGCTTCAACTCCGCTTCTCGGCGAGCCTCGTCGATCTCCCGAATGAGCTCCCGTTGTCTTTCGGCATGATTGTCGGGATCCGGGTCCTCAATTTCTGCGAATTCATCTTCCAAGACCTCCCATCCGACCTGTCGTAAGATACGGGGCATGGCAGCACGGTAGTCCATATGGCCATTGACGGTTTCAGTGAGGTCGAAGTTCTCCAGGCCTGGGATGCCCTCAATGGGTGCGAGGCCAGACACGCGCATGATACCACCGCTAGTAGCTCGGAAGAGGTATCCCAGAATCCAATCGTTTTTGGAGTAGCCGTTCACAAATCGACCAGAGATCACGCTGCGCGCCTTCAGATATTCATCTTTGCTGGCCACAACCGGCGAACCAAAGAGATAAACATTTTGAACGAGTCCGTGGGCGCCTTTGGCAGCTAGCTCCTTGATGCATGAGAAGATGACGCGTGCACCCAAGGAGAAGCCCAGCAACGTGACGGGCCGGCTTCCAAGGTTTCTGTCCTGTAAGGAATCCGCCAGGACTAGACCTGCCGCATTGGCACGAGCTAGCGAAACGTTCCAGGGATTGTCGATGAGGTAGGCAAGCTTGGTGAGGACGAGTGGAAGCTGCAGCGAGGCCATCAGGGCCATCAATATAGTACTGCCCAGCACTTGCTGTAAACCTTGTGTCAATGCCTAGTAGGAGATTCAGTCAGTCTTGATTCTAGATCACTGTTGAATTGAGATTTACCTCTGTAGCAAGAATGTTGATTGTGTCACCCATACTGAGCAGCATTTCAGGCTCCCAGAGAACAGAGTAAATATCCCCCATGATGGGGTCCACGGTACTGTACGGCAACCGGACATCATCGACTTTGCCAGTCATCCAGCCAGAGACCGTTACAATCAGATTGAGCTTTTTGTTGTTGTGAAGAGGACGGTATTCGAACGTTTGGACCGCTCCCGTACGCCGGTGAGAAGCCTTTAGACCGATGGCACTTCCGCCGAGAGTAGCACTCGAAGCAATGAGGGCAGTACCGCCAACTCCACCCAAGAACGCACTGGTACCAGAAAGGCCCACTGTCGTGAGACCGGCTGCAAGACCAGCTCCAATCACAGGAGCTAATAGCCCTGCCGAGAGACCAATAACAAGACCACCACCGACTGTGGCAAGGCCCATAATCATATATTTTTGCGTCAGGGTCGCCTTTCGGCGCTTTTCCATGTGTTCCGATTCATCCCAGGTCTCTTTCTCGGCTTGCTCTTGCATTTCCAGAGCGTCTGTCACGCGCTTCTCAAATCGGGAGATCTGCAGCCAGGTTACATCCATCGCTGCGCCCACTCTTTCAAGCAATGTCCGTGATCGGGCATCATAAGTTGAGTCGGCAATCAGCAAGAGGAATAGATCACAGAGAACTGTCCACCGAAGGTCAATATCAATTCGGTCAGACGTCGGCAATTGGGATATTGTCTGGACTTCTGGGACATCTTCCTCGCCCTCATGAGCATCATACGGTGGTGGCGAACCGATTTCAGAAGTCTCGGTCTCAGTAAACATCTCGGGGCTTGAATTGGTTTTCACGGTGGGAGATGGGATCGAAGAGGTCGACCTTTTGGGCTCGTCCTCTGCCATGGGGTTCTTGACACGCGCATTCTGCATGAGCGGGCGCACCAGGTCTCCAGGCTGCACACCGTGTCCAGCAAGCTGCTCGATCATGAGTTGCTCGGCTGGGCTAATATCCATATGCATATACAATCGCCCCATCATTGCTTGGCCCCATTTCCTCATGGCATCATGGGCTTTCAGAATCACCTTGCGGGATGCCTTAGTCATGGGTACTTCGCTCAGCTCAAAGTTCATCCCATGAATTGCCAGACGGACTACACCGACATAAGCAATCTTCTGCGTCTCGTTGAGGAGATCCTTCGTGGCTTGAAGCTGGCTGACGGTATCGCGGAGCTCTTCGCCTTCCACACCCGCAGAATTGTCAGCTGCTTCCCGGAAAAGATAGCTCGTATCCTCGTCCATGCTGGTGGCGGATTGAGCGTCTTCATCGAGCTGAACTCGAGTATATCCTTTTCCAGCCCCACCTAGTCCACTGTATACGGCCTCGTCGTCCTCTTCTTGAGCGCCACGAGCGACCATCCTTCCATAGTCATCGTAGTAGTCCATTTCTCCCAGGGCAGGCATTGCCTGCCAATCCAAAGGGTCTTCCTCCTCTTCCTCGCTCTCCTCGCCGTGATGCTGAGGTTGTTGGACCATTCGTTGGTGGGACCATTCTGAGACTTGTGCGCCCTTTGATTTCGACATTGATCTGCGATATGGAGGTGGGGGAGAGGAGGTTTCGCCGCGAAGCTCCTTGGCAGGTGCAACATTGTGCTCTGGAGACTTTGTCTTCGTGTCTTTCTGTGCGGTTTGTTTCTCTAACCCCGCCTCAACAGTCTCGGTCCCTTGCTCTGATTTGGCCTTATCCGTTTCCACATCCACTCCCTCCTCCTTCCCTAGTTTCTCGGCCGCCGGGCTGGCCGTTTCGGGGTGACGATCGGCATCTTCAGGGGAACCGCTAGGGGATTGTTCGGTTTTCGAGCGAGTTCGAATAGGAAGACCGAAGTCATCCAGCTCCTGCGGTATCTCCTTCGATTCCTTCAATCCAGCATTGGATTTCGAATCTGATTCTGTCCCCTCCTGAGGCTTTATGTTCTCCGTTTCGTTGCCCGTATCGTCGGAGGCGGCGGAGCCCGTGTTGGAGGGCTGTGGGGGAGTTGATGCAGGCGGTGCAGGCTGATCGGAGGTGCCATTGATGGTGACACCTGCAGCGGGCATGATTTCACATAGACAGAGGGCCCTTGCGAGCTCAGTGGTTGGTTCGGAAGCCCGGTCTCTGGGTGCGTTCCTTCGCACGTTCGTAGCTCAGCACCCGTGAGTGCACACTCATTCGGCCCCGATATCAGAGGTCCCGCAGCACAGGGCGATGTTGTCTTAAATTTCCCCGGTGTCCGATGATGGTGGATCCTGTGGTGGTCATCGGACTGGGGATATCTCCGCAGATGACGATCGGGCGACCACGCGGGAAAGGGAGGTTGGTTGTGAGGGGCGGAGGAGCGGCGAGGACTGCCGCGGGACCGCCAGAACAGAAGCCACGATAGATTCGACGATCCGTTGTATCACGATAGGTAGCGACTGGAAACAAACAAGAGTCGGTCTCTCAAAAATAGAAAAATCCAGCGTAATCGAAAAGGGCGAAGACAGGCGTGGAAATCACGAACCGCCGGCCACCAAGGAGGAGCCGAATGCGGAAGTGTGTGGCCAGCGGGAATGCCGAGTTGCTACGAAATAAACAGCTTAAATCCCCTACTTCCTATGAAAACAGCACAATCATCCCCCACAGTACGCATCAGCTATGCGATATCTCAATATCTCGCATGCCGACGTATCCAAGCTGCCTGTCAGACGGCCATCGCGAGTCATCTCCAAGGCTTCGGCACTTCTGTGTTTCCTCTACCGGGCCCGTCAACTGCGCCATACTGTACTCCCGTCGGGTCCAGTTCTGTCCCGAAGGTCGGTGGGAGACCTTATCACGACGAGTTGCGACTCCGTCCCGGTCGACTGCATGTGGTTGCGCTCTGCTGGGCGAGAGAGTCCTGATAAAGGCGCAGCGTCGATACGAGGACACGGAGCAGCGGCACGTCATGCCGATCACTGTTCGAGATGGGCTCGTTTGATTACCTGCTTTTCGAGGCAGTGCACGACTGGGTACTTTTGCTGACCGTCGCCCGGGTTTCAAATCAAACGGGGAATCTCATTGTCCTCGCCCGCGCTAGCGCGGGATAGGCTGCAGATCGGCTCCGTTGACCACTTCAGGCCAAAGGGAGACCGTCTGGGGCTCCAGCCATGGCGTCATGCACGCGGGGGCCTCAGCGCTGACGGGCGTGGTTGAGTCACTTGATATGCACAACACTTGCGGCTCTGAAAGAGGGGGGGAACAGGAAGGGTCCAATAGGCCCAGGGCACATTTAATGTTCGACTCGTGGCGACTGCAGTCCTGAGGTATTCCGGACCTCTCGCATCATGTTCATCCGTTCTATCTGTCCTCTCACTACACGACCTGAACCACTGCGCTGAACAGCTGCTGAGAGTTACTCCTCATGACGATGGCGCAAGGCATGAAGACGGATTCGTGCACTGGGTGGACTTCTGATCCACATAAAGGCCCTGAAGCTGCCCTCAACCGCATCGCTGGCGCTGGGTTCCGGCTCTCGCTGCTCCTCAATGCCGCCGCTTGTCAGCTTGCACAATCTAGAATCGAGATACACAGCATCGCCAAGGGCATTTCGCTCTTTGCGTTGAGCCTGAAACATCTCGGGCAGGACCTGGAGAAGCCAAACCTGAAATGCTCCCCCACAGCCACGGAGAAAGCCTGGGAAATCGCTAGCCAGGGACAGATGGTTTTTGTTGAGATCGAGCATATGTTGGATAAGCTGCAAGGCACCGATACCAACGAGGACCTGAGCTGGATTCCCATGCAGGAGAGGTTGAAGTGGTGCTTTCGAAAGCAACACGTCACTTACCTTTTAGCACAACTTGAATCGCTCAAGCTCAGCTTGATCGTGATGACTCGGATTCTGCAACTGGGCGCCTTGCTAAAATCAAGCGAACGCAGCGCCGAGTCGACTGCGTCTGCACTGGTTCCAGACGATATTATTGCACAAGAAAAGGCTGAGACCCAGAATATGATCATCGTCAGATACTGGTCTTTGAAGCGTCTCGATCGCCTATGGGATCTTGTGGAGCAAGAGGCCGTGGATGCTGCGAACGACCCGACGAACCAGAAGATTACCTCCAGTTATTCCTCAAGTACGGCCTCGGCATTGAGGCCCCTGGTGACTGCAACCAAAGGCTTGGATCTCTCAAAACTGCCTGCGGTGACCTTTGGAGATAGTGACACAGGCTTAACTCACCTGGAGCGATCACCAAAGGACATGGTACATCTTTCAGAAGGTGCGATGAATCACCTGCTGCTGATTTGGGTACCTTTGGATCCTTCCAAGCTTCAAGGCACCCGAAACCCATCCCCCGATACCACCAAATCAAGTCCACCACGTGCCTACGTCCTGTCTGACTGCGGAGACGACTCGGATAATTCAGATTGGGACGGCCATAGCTCCCACGGCTATTTTCTGGAGGGTGCAACGGACGATTGGCGCAAGCCTCATTCACAGCAAGCCCGACAACATGCAGCGAAGCTACGTCGGCAATACTCCAGCTATCAAGCACGGGTTGAGAGCGAACCCGAGGCCGATGAATCTCAACGGCGTCGACGAGCCCATCCGAAGAGCCCGCGAATAACCGATTCAAGTGACGAAGGCGAGCAACGATCCACCTCGCGTCCGCTACCAAATAATGTGACGTTCAACGGCAGCCGTGTTCATTCCAACAGCGTTTCTTCCAGATACCCACCCAGTCCCGTTTCGGACCGAGGACCTTCCGCCTATCCCAGCGGTAGCGTCCCACCTCCAAACCAGTCTATCCCCCGTTCACAAGGACCTCTGCCCGGCCAGCCTGCACCAACTCATATCCCGGGACCCCCTCCACAGCCCTACCGATACCACGCGCCCCAAGATTATACCAGCACTCCACCACGATCTATTCCAAACAGTCAGCCCAAAGTACCAACAGCTGCAATGCCCATCCCTTCACCTCGCACCACACCACCGGGTCAATTCGATACTCCATGGACCCGACAGCAGAGCTACAATAACAATCTCCTGCAGCCGCGGCCCCACCCCTCGGCGTACCCGCTCTCATCGTCATCCCCCGAGTCTAGCTTCAGCGTTCGGCCCTCGCCGCCTCGCTCCGCGCAACGATCTCCGACTCGTTCGCACCGTCGATCCTCCCGTGAAGAGGCTAAGGAACGACACAAGTCGCTGACACGCAGCGCCACTCGTGGGCTGGCGGGGATCGGCGCTATTGCAGGGTTCATGGACGCGCTGGAAGCGTTTACGTTACTCTGATATCCTGTTTTGGATTGTTTGTCACTTGATTTCGGTTGCGTCTTTTATGATTTGTCCATTGATCCCCCGGAGCGATTTGATTTTCCGGGACACAGTCGTTTCAAACCCCCCCCTTATTCTAGTCGTGGATAAGTATCACCAGGTGACGGATTCCTTGGGTTCCACAAATTGATGTGTATTGGCGTTCCATCTGTACAGCCCGACTAATAATCAGCGAGATGCACATGAAATGAATTCTATAGCTTTTCTCCCGGAGGAAACCTGACGAATATATCCCGTTTCACACGCACACGCACTCGTAACATAGCGACCTTTGTTTCCAAGCCCCCTGCGACGAAGTTATATGACGCCCCTACCCTAACGGGCCACGTTTCCCTCAAGCAATCAATTAACCGTCACCACATCACAGCATATGACCCGTCGTTTCATTCAACAAAAACCTTCCTCGTAAACCTACACCCTACTAATTGCGGCCTCCTGCTAGCGCAAGCGCAGCGTCGACCTCATGCATGTCATTCCATTCCATCCCCATCTCTGCCTCTGCCTCTGCCTCTGCCTCTGCCCCAATGTCCCCCGGCAGTAAACCCTCCACCCCCAACCAGTCGAAACCACCTCCACTTTTATAGAAATCTCGATCCAGCAAAACAGCCCAACGGACCAAGGAAAATATAGATTGCACCATCGCCAAGCTGCCAACCCATCCGTCCCCACCGGCGCATTTTAGCCGGATCGGGTCTCATTTTTCCGTCCGTCGGACACGCAATGTTAGGCGGAACTTCCGTTTCTACCGATGCGCCGATCCACTGTGCGCTGTGGACTGCCGCTCCGGACTCGGACTCCATTGGGAAGAGGATGAGGGAGGCCTGGGTCGGTTGGGTATTGGGTAAATCGGTCACTGGATGGATGGGATTGGAGGTCTGCTTTTGGGCCAGTTGAGTTCGAGTTTGGTGGTCTGGTTGGGTGTATTTGAATCGGCGAGGCCCTGTGCCGGCGGGCTGGGGCATCTCTTCTTTTTTTTTTTCATTTCGCTCTTCTTATCGGTGCAATACTCGATCTATACCGTGCCGCTTTCTTCTATGGTCCACTGTTCGTTTGCTCTTGTTGCTCTAGGGATGAATATTATCTGCTCTTTGTGAGTGGATATTATATTTTCTTATTCTTATTAATTATGTTCTTGACGTCCTTCCTCATTTCGTGGGCCAGCTTTTTCTACCTTTTTTCTACCTGTTCATACACTTGCCGATGTTGGGATGCATAGATGTATATGTCGAGCATTATGCCAGCGACAGAATGCCATTCGCTCCGCCCGATGCCAATGAAAAAGATCGTCCCAGTTTCCGATGATCTCAACCATGATTTCCCAATATTTTCACCAAATCTATACCCGCCCCCCCTCTTACCCACGATCAGAATTCCGGCAGTGGAGGCATGCCGAAGATGCTCCCGTCCGGAAGCCAACCGTCCAGCTCCATGCCCGTCCCCGGCATGGGGCCTCCGCCCGGTGGAGGCATTCTTTGCGGATCATATGTGAACTGAGGGGGTAGGGTCGTTGCTTGGGGGTGAGATGGGTGATATCCCCCAGGCACGGACGGGAAGAATTGGGGGTGGCCATGGCCTTGACCCCCATCCATGGGCCACATCCCGGCCCCGCTCATCGCCACATATTCATTCCGCATACTGTCGATACCAGGCGGCATATGCGACACAGCCGGAGGGACTGAGAATGAGTCCACTGCTGGCGGATTGACCGGGTCCAGGTGTGTTGGATGGTCCTGTGACCCCGGCAGATGGCCTGACGAGGGAATCGGCTCCGTGGCTGCGGACGGACTCGCTGATACCATCCCCGACCCAACTTCACCGGCGCCGCCTCCAGTATACCGCTTCTCCAACCGCTCGTGCCAGTCCCGTCCCTTGACAGCCACCACATGGTACCACCGACTCGGGATCTTGTATTTGCCGCCGCCGCTCGCCTCACCCAACTTATCCGCCATCGCGTCGAGGTAGTAGCCGACATTCACGGTTTCCGGAGTCACCACCTCGCCGAGGGCACCCGTGCGTACGGAGAAATGGATCTTAAGCAGGGAGGTCATGGCCATAACGAATCGGGTGTATGTCAGGTTCGGCATTCTACGCATCGTGTCCACACTGCAGGTCAGGACTGCGTCGAGCAGTTCCTGTGCCGCGTTCATCCATTTCACGTTGATGTCGATGCGGATCGCACTCATCTGCGGGTCCAATGGCCGGTGGCTGTCTTCATCGAGGGCGGGGAGCGTGAAGTAGCGCTTTTTAAAAGCGTCCGGGTCGCGGTAGCCTTCCCCTACGCCGAGTTCATACATGGCGAGGACGGCGGATCGATATTCGAGGATCATGGGCACTGTCAACGGAACGGTTAGCTCATGATGTGGGATGTCCGGGATGGCAAAGTGAGGACCGACCTGTGAGCATGTCATTCGGGGTGCTCCTCCTCCATGCATCCATCCGCTTATCGAACCATCGCAATACAGCCTGGACCCGCGACTCGGTCAAGGGGGATGAGGCACTCGTGTCGTCCAAGCCGAATGAAGACATCGCTTCATCGGTGATTCGTTGTAATTCGAACCAAACCGCCAATTGCCGGTCTGTTCTATGTGGCGATCGCTCTAACTGTTTCACACACTCATCCATCCAATCGTTGAATTGCAGCAGATTCGGCCGACGGGTCTTCATGGCAACGCTACACGGCCAAATGTTAGGACGATCCAACACCCACTCAGGAAACACCCAGATACTTACGTTGAGCCCAGATGGTAGCAACCCAGAACGGCCCTGGCTTGCTCCGCCAAAAGCTCATCATGGGGCTCATGCCTATTCCTACGGTCGGACTTCTTCTTCGACACCCGGCGCTTTGTGGCCAGGCCGATCTCCAACGCCATCGTCGAGGCGATATGGGTATACTGATAGAACTGCAACTTCAAGGGCGAGCCGGGGGGTAATAGAAGATGACCATGAGCAGCAGCGCTTGCACCAACTCCAACGACTTCTCACCCTCGATGAAGAACCGCGCTGCATAGAGCCGGACCATTTCACGGTTCAAGACGCCCGCTAGTCCCGCATCGATCGAGATCGCCGCCGCCGCTATCACGGAAAGAAAGAGGATCGGTTTGGTCTGTCGCAGCTGGGCGGCCGTTGTAGTGGATGGCAGAACCACCAACGGGAAGAAAAGGGTCAGCTCATGGATGAAGAACGCCACCAGCTGCTCTGCATCATCGAGCGATACGATGCCCCGGTCGATCACATCTTCCGCTGGAGGCTGGGGATCGGGTGAAAAGGTCATATGCAGACCGGAGAACGACGGTGGCGCGGAAAGAGGGCCACTGCCGGCCATCTCCGCGTGTGCAGTATGGATCAACTCCGGCGAGTAGTCCATGAAGCGAACCGAATCCGTCGCACTGGTCGAAGCTTCCGGGATGGGGCCAAGATGGTCGTGCAAGTCCATCTCGCTCGACTCATCGGGGGAGCCATCACTCCCCTCGGGCGACTCTGGCTCGCTTTCTTCCCGGATGCGATCCTTCAGCAGGGAGCGCATCATGCGCATCTCCCTCTCGAGCTGGGCTACGCGCGAGTCGGTGCGTTTTCGGGGCCGCCGCCGCTGGGGAGCGACAAAAACGCAGGCCTTCTTGCCCTTTGCACATCGCTGGCACTGGTTCGGCGTGGACGGGTTGGGCAGACACCGCACCTTCAGGCTGCGGCACGACTCGCATGAGCGGTTCAACTGCTGTGCCGGGAGCGACTGGGCTGTGCTTGGTTCACCATGGGGAGTCGTGGAGGTCTCTGACATGTTCACACAGCCGGTGGGACAATGTCAGAGAGGAAGAAGGCGAAGGGAAGAGAGCGAATCACACTAGATAATGAATGGAAATGAAGATATCTTGAATATTTGCTGTCCATTCAATGGTATGGGATGAGGTATGGATGACTCGATCCAAGTGTCGATCACGCAAAGGAAGCGCCCGAATGAGGAAGAGGGAGGGAGAAAGAACAGGGACTATTCAACCAGGGGATTGCGACTCATCGTATCGAATGCAACTGCAGGTGGGACGGCGAGCATGGAGATGACATGAAATGCCACGTCCACATGAACAAGGAAGAGGGATCGACGACAATCTTCACGAGCAATCATCGATTCACAACTCCTGCAGATCTCGAGATGCCCACGGCTTCGTCCGACGTGCTAGTGTTTTAGCGGACGAGGCAGAAAAAAGCCTCAGGGAAGTTTAATAGGCCCAGCAGCGAGAGGGGGGGGAGGAGGGCCAGGCAGGCTTGGCTCGAGTTACGATCATGTGCGAGCGAGAAGGAAAACCTCGCCAATGCAGCGAGTCTGCCTCAGGGCCGAAGCTTAAAACGAGCAGAATATGACTCCCAGGGGCCGATGCGACAGTGTGTGTGTTCGTGTTAGGTAAGTGGTAGTGGTGCGATGGGTTCATAGCCTAGGCAAACGCGTTCAGTTTTACGGCTCGGTGGTCTGGGTTTAAGGAACTCTCTGCGTAAAGGCCGATTGACCGTTGGTGGTTGGTTAACTGTGTTTTTTTGCCCTTTCGTCCCACAGCGATCCACCGCAACTGTCACCCTTACTATGGGGTAGAAGTCGAGGTGGATTCGGGAAGAGGGGGGAAAGCATCGCCCCCATGGCCCCCCAGGCCCACGAACCAGCACAGGTGCTGCAGGTCGAAAGAGACCGGAATGAATGGGCCGGATGAACGAATTAGGCGAATAAACTGCGGAAGGAAGTCAGGGTCCAACGGGCCGGTGTGCTGGATTAGGGAGGAACAGGCACCGACACCAACGGACGTAAATCTGGCGAGATAGTCGCGAATGAGACGCCGTCCTGTGCTGCCTCTGGGCTGGAGGCGAACCCTAAAACTTAGACATGGCGAATCACTAGCCCTGTGGAATCCCCTTCCCCACCAGCACTGTATTTGGCCCGCCTCAATTGGTTCGCAAGTTTGAAACGATCCCCAGCCCCGACGGGTCCGACCGATTGCCCAATTCGGGTGCTCTTGCGACTCGGTTCCTGAGGTTAACTCCGGGAGTGGATGGGAAGAGAAAGTGGGAAGTGGGAAGTGGGAAGTTGGCAGTGGGCAGTGGGCAGTTGGAATCTTAGTCAGACCTCCGCGGTGGGCATCCTCGACGCGGAAATTGCCCGCGCCGTCCGCTCGTCGTGGTTTTATACTTCGGGCTATTCGAGAACCCGCGGGATTAGGTTGAGGCCGTTCGTAAGCAGGTATGCAGTACCGTGACTATCCGAAGGACAAGGCTGACGCAGGATATTCGGGGATAGCGGCCTTGCGGTATGTAACCCGAGGATAAAGACCAAGCTGGAACCAGAAGAATAGACGAACCAAAGTAAACCTTAGACCCATCCCGGCCCCTGTTTCCTATGACCACCCTGGATGCCAAGCTGATCCAGAACCTCGACGCCACAACCGCCGCGGTTTCGGCGCTGGACGAGCAGGACCGCCAGCTGCAGCATGTGATCGGCTCCAGCGAAAGCTGGAAACGCCCTTCGACACCACGGCTCGCCTCGTGTTCTCGGTATGCCGTGGAGCGCACCGGCATTCCCTGGTGGAGAATTACAAACATATTGATTGAGTCCGTTAGAGCCACCAAGCCATGGCGATCCCGATTGGCGGTTGATCTGAAGCGGTTTGACGCTATTGCCGCCACGGCCGGCCAATCTGCGGATGGATCATTCCAGGTGCAGGATTTCAGAGAGATTGGTGCGGACCCGTTGCTTGTAAGTGTGATATCAATTCACTCCTCTAGGGCTGGTCCCTGCATAGTTGTTCACGAGCGTTCCCGGACTAGAGCGCATCGTCGGCTTCCTGGCTGCCATGTCGGTGGTCGAGGAAGTAGATCGCGATATATACACTTCGACTCCACTGGCCGCGTCCTATGTCTCCAGCTCTCCCCTCTCCGCAGCCGTCATTCATAGGTACGACATACAGTCAATCGATTATGCCACTCATCTAACATATCTCCCCAAGCACCCACTATACAGCAGTCCTGTCGAAGCTCCCCGAATACATCCAATCCAACACATGGCAAAGCCCCTGCGATACCTTCAACGGGCTCTTCCAGTTCGCCTTCCCCTCCCCCACTACTTCGACTTCCTCCGCACCCACCCCTATTACGGCCAAGCCTTCAGCACCGTCATGGCGATGCCCTTCCGCCGGCGTGGCCAGGATTGGTTCGCGTTCTTCCGGTCACAGCGCGGCTGCGGGTATCCCATGAGACGGACCCGCTCCTCGTGGATATCGGCGGGGGCCAAGGCGAAGATCTCAAGAGGCTCCGGCACCAGTTCCCCGATTTGCGTGGCAGACTGATCCTGCAGGACCTCCCCACCGTCATCGCCGGCGCCACGGATCTGCCAGCCGACATCGAGGCCCAAAGTCACGATTTCTTCCAGCCGCAGCCCGTGAAGAACGCCAAGGGGTACTTCATGCGGAGGATCCTGCACGACTGGCCCGACAAACAAGCCGCCCAGATCCTGGGCCATGTCCAATAGGCCATGGGCCCGGACTCGTTCCTGCTCATTAGTGAAACGATGCTCCCGGAGTCGGGGGTGTTGCTGCCCTCGGTGATCTCCGATATGCAAATGATGGGCTCATTCGCTTCGCTCGAGCAAATACGCGACCAGTGGCCCTCCTCAAGAGCGCCGGTCTCGAGCTTGTCCACGTATGGCCCGCGGGATGCGACGTAAGCCCGGTGGCGCTGGCTCAACAGTTAGCTCTCTTAGAAGCCCGCTTGCACAGAGAGGCTGTGTGTGGGTAGGCGCTGTAATGGGACTGGCGCCGGTGCTTTGGCGGAGCTGCGGGACGCACGGTCCTCGCACCTCTTGGGGACGCGTATGCGTTTGGGCACCGGCCGAATCGCATCATTTTGTCTCTCCGCTACTTGCTGCCCTCGACGAGTAGGATCGAAGTTTCTCGGAAGATGGCAGCCGTGGCCGCGTAGGCTACAACCTATATTTTTCCATGCTTGCTTGGGCAACTAGACGGGTAAACTGAGAGTCCAATGAGACTGCAGAGTATACGTAGAACAGAATACCGTGCGCCAAGCGCTCGTACGCTCTTCCTGATCGGTTCTACCGGGCGGTGCGCAGTGCATGTGGGGCCGCTCGTACAGCAAAAGTACGGAGTACAGTATCTTCAAGATCCCTATGACATTCATGCTCTTTGCTTTTGGTTCGCAGGTTAAGTTTCATTGATTTCACCATGGAGTGGAGATGTCTACAGAAATCAGGTACTGACAGGCAGTTTTGTACGAGACCGCTTCGTCACACAATGGATCCGTCCTTTCGGTAGTCGCCCACGATCGGGGAACAAAGACAACATCAAATATCGGCCCATCCGCGTATGAAGATCCAACCACTATAAATAAACCAAAATAAGAGCATTCCACCATTTCTTGGCAGACACCAATCGCGGATCCTCCATAACTGTAAACTGTCCTCCAGAATGGCGGTGCCAAGCAGATTCTCTTATCTGATGTTCCGCCACTGACACGCGGTTCCCCACAATAATCCAGCGATAGCCAAACACTAGCTGACGGCTGACGAGTCTTGACGTAGTCGCGGTCGCAGGCTTTTTTGCGGTCAACCACGGATCCCTCCGGTTACATCAACGCCGGTTTACGCGCTGAACGAATACGATGGTCGGTCTTCGTCCAGGGTATTCGTTGCACGGAGTACAACCATGATAACCAAGACTCCAAGACTGTAGGCGAGAAAGGGGAGAGCCAACGGGAAATCAAATAAGGCTGTCAGCCAAGACCCGAAGGCCAAGCTAACCAAGCTAACCAAGCCAACCAAGCCACGGTCAATTCATAGATCGGAACCCTCGGGGCGGAAAAGATCTGCCGTCGCTGAAACAGGCAACTGACCACACGAAAACGAGTACTCCGTACAGAGCTCCGTGGTTAAAAGTGATTTATCTCCCGCTCCCTTCTTTTCCCCGTTTATCTGCCGGCCCTTCATCCTCCCGGCCCATTCCTCCCCACCGATCCTACTAAAAGATCGAAGTCTTTTAGAGACCAGATTCCCGGCCCGACTCCCCCTTTTTCCTCTCCCTCACCTTTTCTCGTAATTCTCTTTCTGTGGTTGCGGTGTACTGTACATACACATTCGCACAACCTTCCCCCCGATCTCCGAGACGCCGACCCCCTTTCTTTTTTCAGCGCGACAACAGGCTACGCCTCCCTAAAGGCCGACCGCGCCCTGTACAACCTCTGGCTTTGTGTATATACCTTCCGAGCCGAACATATGTCGATTTTTGTATAGCGCTATACGAACCATGAGATTCTCGGCCTCGAGCCTCCTGGGGCTCTCTGGGCTTCTGTCCGCCTCCGTCTTCGTCGTGGCCCAACCCGCGGACAGCACCTTCATGAGCGTACGCGAGAGTGTCGCCAAGGACTACGAAAGCGAAGGCGAGATTCCCAGGACGAAATACTTCAGTGAGTACCATCCACCAGCCATAAGCCTCCCCCGAGGCGCCCGGTCTTGGCAATGGGGCTTTTGGTGATCAGCCGCTGACTGGTGCAATCTTTAGCGGAATCCTCGTATGCTGATCCCTCAAATACGATCCATGCCTAGTGTCACTAACTTACTTCTTCCAGCTTCCACTATCACTATGACGGCCGGTATGCATCCTGATTGTGCACCCCTATCGCATGCGCTGCTAACGCCCTCCCAGCTTCGCGGATAAGCCCCTGCCCGACGATGAAGTCACCCCTCACCTCTCCGCCTTGATCCAGACCTACCTATCAATCATGTCGTCCATCGGCGCCGAAACATGGATCATGCACGGCACATTACTTTCCTGGTGGTGGAACCAAAAGGTACGGTGGTGCCCCCCTTCTGCCGGGCTCCCAGCTCCCCAGCGTCGACCCTGATCCTGACCCCGACCCCTCGGGAGGGGGAGCCATCCAAAGCAACATTGTCGCTAAAGAACTGTTCCCTAGATCTTCCCGTGGGACAACGACCTGGATGTGCAGATTTCCGAGCCGACTATCCATTTCCTGGCGGAATACTACAATATGACCGACCACCACTTCGACCTACCCGGTGTCGACGGCGGCCGCACGTACCTGCTTGAGATCAACCCCAACTACGTCGTGCGTAGCGAGAAAGACCGATTGAACGTGATTGATGCGCGCTGGATCGATAAGTCATCCGGCCTGTTTATTGATATCACCGCCGTGCGCAAGGACGAGGGCAAGCGTCAACGGGGCGACTCCGAGGCGCTGATGTGCAAGGATCGCCATCACTACCAGGAGAGCCAGATTTTCCCGCTGCGCGAGAGTTACTTCGAGGAAGTGCCGGTCAAGATTCCATACTCGTATGTCGAGCTTCTGGAGGAGGAGTATGGGGCGAACTCTTTGACGAACAAGGACTTCCAAGGGTATGCGTTATATCATTACTTACTGTGTTGTGGCATGCGCTCATTGATGACCGTTTTCCAGGCACAAATTCAACGAAGACACCAAGATCTGGGAGCAGATGAAGTGAGTGACACCAGCCCTATCGTCCTGACTGCCCCTGCTAACAACATTCCAGGCGCAAAATGAAACGATTTCTTCGCCGAGGCTGGCGCATGGGCGACATACCCACCCTCTCGGCTAGCAACCGGCCTCTTGTTCGCATGGATGCATCTTGAGCCACTCGCATGGCTTGCCATTTTCTCGGTACTTACATTGCATCTTTGCATTCGTGTTTCACCTTCAGCGTGATGGTTTTGGAGCATTCTCCCTATATTATTTTTGCATTTACATGGCGTTCGAATTGCATAGTGGACATGCATGGCAGGGGCTACCTATATTGACACGCAGCTTGTTTTAAATTTTGTACAGAATCATATGGGTCAATGAGTAAACATTTGTTCATAGGTCTTTTGGTGTGTACTCAGTCCCCTTGAGACTCTCAGATAGATTGTGACTTGGTGAGACTATACGTCAAATCAGATGGACAAGTAGATGGATGATCACCACTGCTATGATTGTATATCGGGAGGGATTCCATTCGAGTTGTGGGGGGAGTCAGAGTGGCAAGGCTACAACACATGTTGGCATTCTTGAATCGGACAAGACTCGATGCAGGAGCTTGTCTCCGAGCAGCATAAATAGAAAAAAAGACAATCCCTTATTTTCTCCTATTCTGATATATGTTGGCATCAGAGTAATAACTCATGTTGAACAATGTCCCTTCTAGGTAGTGTTCTGCCAACAAAAAAACTGACTACTGTATGGAAATATTCAACGTTTTCACAAATACATAGCCTAGCTAGTTATATTTCAACCACAGAGCCCTCTGGCATGGCTGGTGAGGATATCAGTGTGACGGTCCGATCTACTAGTTCAGTAATCGGTTCACACGAAGGCGTCCACATAGGTAGCTAAGGACAAATTTATTCCTTTTGAAAATTAGCCATGTTGATGAACCGAGGAAACTACCTAACGTCCGGGGTGGAAAAAGCTTCCGTAAGCCGTGGATGGGGTTACCGAAGCTACCATGGCTAGTTACTTCCCGGGATTTTACATAAGGCTTTTCTGTATTTGTCAGTTATGGAGCTGACAAATTATTGACAAGGCAGTTCAGCTTCAGTAATTGTAGAAGATTCAATCAGTAGCCTAACATGATAACTTCAGGGGAGATAGGAAAGAAGTCTGTTGCCTCTCCTAAAAACTAGGACCGCAAGGCTGGCAGGCGAGCTGTCGGGGATAGCGCGTAATCCCCCAAACGGGCAGTCTCCGTCCAGAACAGCAGGCTGAGTCACGGGTCACATGTGGATTGGCCCCTATGAATTCTGGCAAACTCCAAGAAACGTTCTGACCTTTTCCGCCCCGTGTATCACATCTGCCTTACTTGGACGGGCGGAGAATGCGGGAGACCTCATCTCCTCTTGCTGTGTTGTTATGTCGTTCAACCCTTCCTCTCCGGAGGCGCTGCTTCCCACCCCCACTAGTGAGAAAGCTCCGAGCAGTGCGCCGCCTGGCATGCCCGCCACCGCCTCCCGCCCGGCCCCGGATATCGCCAGCTCGCGGAGCTGTGTAACGTGTCGCCGCCGCAAGGTCCGCTGCAACAAGCGCTCGCCTTGCTCCAATTGTGTCAAGGCTGGCATTGACTGTGTCTTCCCCCCACCCGGCCGCGCCCCGCGCAGATCCAAGCGTCCGCCCGACACGGAGCTACTCTCGCGCTTGCGGCGCCTGGAGGGCGTCATCGAGCACCTGAACGGGAAAAACTCTGAGAACGGCGGGTCTACATCCAGTGTCTCGCCGACTCAGCCGCCTTTGACTTTTGCGTCCCTCCCCTCTGCTCCTCCTACCGCTGCGACCGCGTCATCAAGCAAAGCCGAAGCATCGACGGCCCCGGACTCTGGTTGCCCATTCGAGAATGACGATCCCAAGAAGCTTGCGCCCAAGAAGTTCGAGAATGAGTTCGGAAGACTGGTTATTGATGAAGGAAGGAGTCGATATGTGAGCAATCGGCTTTGGGCAAGCCTTGGGGACGAGGTACGTTGTTCTCCCTGTCTGCTGACAAGCTGTCCCACCCCAGCAACCAACCTTATTCTAACTATCCCAGATCGAAGAACTTCAGGACCTCCTCGATCACTCTTCATCCGAAGAAGATGATACTCCCTCTCCAGAATCCTCCCATTCAGGCTCCCACCAGGGCTTCCTTTTCGGCTTCTATTCCCTGTCCCACTCGCTTCGAGAGTTCCACCCGGATCTACCCAAGGTGTCGATGTTATGGGAAGCCTATAAAGAGAATGTTGCTCCTTTGATCACCCTTGTGCACAAAGAAACGGCTCGGAATCTCTTGGTCGAGGCAGCGCAGCATCCGGACTCGTTGGATAAAAATAACGAAGCGCTCGTGTTTTCTATCTATTTGTCCGCTATTGTCAGCTTGAAACCTGACGAGTGCATGGCCCGACTAGGTGAGGACCGAACCATTCTGGTCAAACGCTATCGCTTTGCCGTGGAACAAGCACTCTCAAGGGCCGGCCTGCTTAACACACAGAGTTTAATCCTCATTCAGGCGGCGGTTCTCTTTCTGATCTGCGTTCGCCGGGAGGATGATTCCAAGTTTGTGTGGTCCATGAACTCTGTTATCCTGCGCCTCGCTCAGGGTCTGGGCGTACATCGAGATGGGACCAACTTTTCTCTCAAGCCGTTCGAGACGGAGATGCGCCGACGCCTGTGGTGGCATATCTGTCTTCTGGATGTCCGTTCCTCCGAGGATCATGGAACCGATCCGCTGATCAACGAAAGCATGTACGACACTCGGCTCCCGTTGAACATCAATGACGACGATATCACACCAGAAATGACAGTGGCCCCGGAAGAACGGGTTGGTTTCACTGATGTGACCTTCTGCCTCATTCGTTGCGAAATTACGAGCGCTCTACGGCGCGCTAATTACTCTTGCCCCGGTGTCCGATTCCGTATGGGCGAGTCTACTCCTGGGATCGATCGCTGTGAGCGACTGATCCAGGTCATCAGCGACCGTGTCGAGGAGCGATATATCAAACACTGCGACATGAATATCCCGGTCCACTGGGCGACTGCAACGGTAGGACGGCTCATTCTCGCAAAGCTATGGCTGGTTGTTCATCATCCGATGACGCGGAGGGATCGGGTTACCACCGTGTCCCAGGCAACTCGCCAAAGCCTGTTCCTGACCGCCATTGAGGTTCTTGAGTTCGGCCGCCTCCTTGAAACCGATCCCAAGACCGCGAAATGGGGATGGTTGGTCCGGACCAACATGCAATGGCATGGACTCGCCTTTGTCTTGTCTGAGGTGTGCGTCCGTCCAATCTGCCCCGTCACCGACCGGGCTTGGAACGCGGTCAATGGTATTTACACGGACTGGGAACGCCAGGCAACACACAAGAGGGGCATGTTGTGGCGGCCGTTGGCCGCATTGATGAAACGAGCCACTTCATTTAGAGCCAAGCAACAGGAAGAACTTGTCGCCAAGTTCGGTCCGAACCTTACAGCATACAATCCTGAACCGACTGATCTCGTGATGACACATCATCAGACTCTCCCTCATATCCATATGCCAAATGCATCACCGCTTCCTTCGCCAATTCCTCCATCCAATCCAAACAATCAAATGGAATCTGACCTGGACATTAATTTGAATCAGGCGCCGTGGGAAACACTGCAGAGCATCTTCCCTAATACCAACTTCCTTGCTCCAGTGGCCCTCGACAATCCACCTATCCAGGGCCCAGCTCCGGCGGTCAGCATACCCACAGGACAGTCCTTTAATACCCCTATGAGCAACCCTTTCATGTCCCAGGAACATATCCCCGATACTGCCTCGCTCAGCTGGGACGAATGGGACAAAGTCATGCGGGATTTCCAGATGGACGTCGACAACGAGGATTCAAATGCCAAGGTTCCCAATGTTACAGAATGGTTCTCATGATTCTCTCTAGTTAATAATTTGATGGCGTCCCCCTCCCCTCCCCGCCTCCCGGTTCCATTCTGGACTCTGGCGTTCAGATATAGATGATACCTTGGCGGCGCTTTACCTCCTCTGCTCTGGCTTTTGGTTTATCACGACGTGACGAAATACGGTGTTCATGTGTTGGCTTTTTAACGATCTTTACATCCCCCCCGCTCAGTGTTTCTATATTTATCTTCTCTCCTGTGAAAATACCCTGATAATGTCCATATTCAGTAATACAATCTGACCAAATGTGTTACGTTGAATTTCGAGTTCGGCGAATCTATATAATTCTGTGGCTCAAGTTCAAAAAAAGACGATCTATGAACGCGTAGAAATCTAATATCAAACATAGGTACACCTAGAAGGATCTTTCGAATATCTGAAGAGTATTGACCGTCGGCTGGTCTAATGCTGCCGCCTTTTGATGCTAGTCCTGCACAGTTGGTAGACTGGTTGGATAACACACCAGCCAAGTCTGATACCCAGGTTCCCAGACACAAAGGCAGTCAACCCACGATACAAAAGTAAATTATATTAATCAAGCACCTGGGTGCTTGCTTCGTCACCTTTCAATTGACTCTGCCGCTACCAGTGATAGATTAACGAGGATTAAATTGTAAAGCCACACCATCATCGCGCCGCGTAAACAATGACATCATAGGTGCCGCGGGTCCAACAATGTCGCCCAGTGTCACCGAAATCATATAACTTCTCACACCATACCTCTACCCCCAGAATTATCATTATAATCAAACCTACGAGTATTCCACTGTACAAGTTGACTTCTGCAAATTCTATTCTGCAAACCAACCACCAAAGCATACCACATTCTTCTTAAACAATGCCGATCAACTCCTCCCAAGACAGTGGCGTGACGGGTGCTGCCAAATTCGTTACTTCTACAGTCGGCAATACGGTGGGCGGAGTGACTCGCACGGTTGGCGGCGTCGCTGGAGCCGCGACGCGCGGTGTGGGCGATACTATCAACAGTGCGACCGGTAGTGCTGGCAAGCCTGTCGGCGACGCGCTTGGCAGCGCGGGTACCGGGGCTGAAGATGGCGCGAAGCGCGTTGCGAGGGGTGTGGAGGATGCCGGACAGTGGAGATAGTTTGGTGAGGCGCTTGAGAGGATATAATGAAGATGGGGCAATTGTTTGGTATTTCTGTATTTTGGGTTGACTGAATCGAGTAAACGAGCTTCGATTGTTATGTACAGTCCCTAGGATGTGAAGGGAAGCCTGGGTTCTCTGTATTGTTATGGAAATATCTATCACCAGTTCCAGGAATGAAGATAGATAATTATAGCGTTTTCCCAATCAATCAGTAGAGTGTTCTATTACTCAATTTTGGCAGTCACGCTTAATGTTACTATTGACTGCGAACTTGAATCTTCAGAGGGGGGTGGTGTTTACAGAGGATATACTAAATGCAGCATATTGGCCGCAATTAGGTATGAGTATAAGTCCCATTCGAATCAAATGAACAATTTTTAACAGTTTTAGTAGCGTCGCTTTAGAACCACAAATATTCTGTTTGTTGTTGCCTGAATCTCAATGGCACTACGACATCAACGACGAACTGAGACGCTCAGGTAATACCCACCAACAAAACTGCAAAAGGCAGTCCAAGGATAGGAGAACAGTAAGCTTATAGGACGCTTTGGAATAGCTATCTAGCGACGAGCAAGTCTGTAGCACGTCCACATTGCAGTGCCGTTAATACCAACGCGGAAGTGTACCTTCGGCCGCCGTCCAGGATGATTGCATATCTGCCACGTGACCACACCGATAACGAAGCTCCCAGCTGGCATCAATTGATCTTCCTTTCCCCACGCCATTGTGTCATTCAACAACATTGAATCACCTTCAAGAGTGCGTCACTCCGTTTGAGATCTTGCGGAACACTCCCTCGAATTTTCTGAACTTCCACCAACCCTGGACGCTCGTCAGTCTCAGCCATCATGCCTTCCAAACGACACGCGGCCTCAACAACCTCCGCGCCGGCAGCCGTTACGCCCCCAACTCTCTCTTCCGGTCCCTCGACCCTGAAGACCAATGCATCTGCGGCTGAAATTGCGCACCATGTCTGGGGGCAGTACCTCGCCACGACACCGCAGCGGACATTGCTCCTGGACGCCTTCATGGCCTTCCTGGTCCTCGTCGGCGGACTCCAGTTCTTGTACTGCGTGCTGGCCGGAAACTATGTACGTTGATTCTGACCATGCCTCCTGCTCAAAACTTCATCATGGGGGTTTGCTCATCTCTCAATCAATTTGCTATGTGAATATGACACCGATCTGACTGCTCTTCTCCTCGTTAGCCCTTCAACGCTTTCTTGAGTGGCTTCAGCGCTGCCGTTGGCCAGTTCGTGCTCACAGCCAGTCTCCGTATGCAGACGAGTGATGGCGGTTCCGGCTCAGTCAGCAAGCCCAGCTCTAAGGGCAAGAATGCGCGTTTCGCAGACGAGGATAATGAGGCACAGGGCACGAGTACCTCGCACGAGAGGTAAGTTGTTACCGGATATGAATATGCCTTTTGGGTGGTCGTATTTGATACTAATATACCTCATAGAGCCTTTGCCGATTACATTTTCGGAAGCTTGATTCTACACTTCTTCTGCATCAACTTCATCAACTAAACCTCTCAACCCTTTCGATCCATCAAGACATTCGCTCTTCGCTTTGTCTGGCGCTGGTCCGTTCGACGAAGAGCAGGACAAATTTGATTTCTGCTGCTGAGCTTCGTCCTCGTTTCTTCACGGGGTAAATGCAGATGCATACAACTATACCTCCCCTACCGACTTGGACTATCATATTGAATGATCATGTTTCTTTGTATAAAAATTATCAATGCGAGACATGGCGTCAGAATAATGGTGTTGCAAGCAAGTAACTATTTCGCTAAACTGTTTCTAGATGGGGCGCCGGGTATCTTTGTTCCCATGATTCTGAACTTGTCTCACAAGTCCAGGTGTCTAATAAAGGTGCTTCGTATCGTACAAAATCGTATGTATGTTGTTGCCTTTCATGCAAGAGGTTCCCTAAACGACCTCCCGCTAGAATTGCCTTGGCCTCCTAGGTCCTGTGGGTCTCTTCACTACACTGCCCCCAGAACCACTGCTTCCAACGCCGGGTCGGGGTGATGGAGAGGAAGACGCGGCCACAACGCCAACTTGCCTCTTGCCACCCCCGATGACGGCAGACTTGCGCGCAACCGATCCAACCTCAATTTCCTTCTTCCGTCGGGAGGTGCCGTTGCGCTCCTCTTCCTCCTCGCGCGCCTTTTGAGCCTGGGCATGCCTGCGATCCTCATCTAATTGCTTTTCCAAGGCCACACTTTGATTAAATTCCCGCTCTGTGATACGACGGTCACGGTGAGAGTAGCCTTTTTCTTTCATAGAGTAGAAGACGCCGCCGAGCTTGGCAAGCCACTAGGGAAATGGGGTTAGCTGGTCAATGCATGTGCATGGGGGGGTGGAAGAGAAAGAGAATGGAAAGCTTACTTTTGGTTCGACTGCCGTTACAACAGACATGTACTCTCTCACTGTCAACCTCAACTCGTGGTAGACAACGAATGGGGGAGAATCGCTAAGCCCAGACAGGGCGCTTGACCCGTGCAAATTCATAGTCACGCCAGTGCGAAGGTTGATGTACTCCCCCCCTCTTCGTATTACCCCGTCGCGCCGCTTGATGGTAGAAGCCAGAACATATGCACTCGCGGATGATATCCCAGTCCGTGCCACAGGAAATGAGTGGCATCCTCTGAGCTGTCATGATGTCTTGAAACTGGTCACGAACCTCCTGGGCCTGTCTCAAATTTTTGGAATGAAGAAAATGTCTGGTGCACCAGCGATCGGAACAGCCGTTCGCCTTCCACTGTGTATACACATGGAGGAGAGTTAGATGGTCGGAGTCATGCACGAAAAACTTCTCATGGGCGGACTCAGACTCCTCTTCGCGCTCCTTGGGGCGGTAAAAGACATTGGGGACCGTGAGCATGGAGACAATGGTGAGCATTTCCTCGCTGCAGTCATATAGTTCCGCGGCCATGATGATGAGCTTGGCGAGTGCGGGATCGGCAGGGAACGGTGTCATGCGGCGGCCTAGCTGCGTGAGTTCGCCCAAGTTGTCTAGGGCTCCAAGGGCCCAAAGTTCGAAAAGAGATGTGGACATGGTTTCTTGGGAAGGAGGATCCATGAAATCAAAATCGAGGAGGTCCTTAACACCGAGAGATTTCAACAGTAGCACTGTATTGGCAAGACTTGTACGCTGGATTTCCGGGATCGTCTGCATGTAAAGCTCATTCTTGTAGGCTGCCTCAGTGTACAAGCGATAAGCCTTTCCGGGGCCAGTTCGTCCGGCACGACCAGATCGCTGATTGGCGTTGGCTTGGGATATGGGGGTGATCTGAAGATTGTCCATGCCCATTTTGGGGTTGTACATCTTGAGCTTGGAGTACCCTGAATCTACCACATACATGATTCCGTCGATAGTCAAACTGGTTTCGGCAATGTTGGTAGCCACAATGACCTTGCGAACACCTGGATCTGCCCTCTCGAAGACCCTCGCCTGTTGCTCTGCCGGCATTTGACTGTAAATGGGCAATATACTGAGCTTTGGCGGATCATTGAGCAAGTTCAACCGCTCGTCAATGAGATCGCAGGTTGCTTCAATGTCCTCTTGTCCAGTCATGAAAACAAGAATATCGCCGGGACCTTGTGAGACATGGATGGTCAAGACCTGCTTGACCGCGCTGTCGACATAGTCCTCACAAGGGGACCTTGAAAAGTGGAGATCGACTGGGAATGTTCTGCCGGGGATGATGAATTCCGGGGCTCCACCGTAAAAGCGTGAAAAGCGCTCTGAATTCATCGTCGCCGATGTCACAATCAATTTGAGGTCTCTGCGTCGAGCAAGAACCTTTTTGAGAAGACCCATCAAGACATCCGTATTCAAAGCTCTTTCGTGTGCTTCATCCATGATGATGCATGAGTATTTATCTAAATCAGCCTGAGCCAAGGACTCTCGGAGAAGGACACCATCCGTCATATCTGAGAGACTGCATGTTAGCGAGTATGCTCATAGCTCACGTATCGTAATGATGGATGTCACTCACATTTGATTACCGTTTTGTCACTTGTGCAATCTTCGAAACGAATGGCGTATCCAACAAGATCGCCGAGATCTACCTCCATCTCTTCACTGACACGTTTTGCAACACTCATGGCTGCCACGCGACGAGGCTGCGTGCACCCGATCATGCCGAGTTTCGAGTAACCGTCTTCGTGGAGAAACTGAGTCAATTGGGTTGTTTTCCCAGAGCCTGTTTCACCAACAACCACAACAACCTGATTGTCCCGAATCACTCGCAGCAGATCTTCTCGGACCGCAAAGGCAGGAAGATACTCTCTCTGTTCCCGCAAAGATTTGGTTTTGCTGAACGAGCTGGCACCGCCCTCGTCTTTCTTGAGGTGTTGTGCAAACTTGTTTCCCCCCCGCTTGTAAACCTCCTCGACTGGCGCAGCCACAGCGCTATCACCTTCCTCCTCCTCCGTAACACCCATCAGATTCCCCAACGCGGTGCCTGCCATTGTCGTCGCATCCTGCGCCTGCTTCTGCCGCTCCCGCTGCTGCCGGCGTTCTCGTACCACCTTGCTTCCCTTTCGGCTGAAGACAGCCATGTCACTCTGTGGATCTCGAATGGCGGAGATCGGATCCAACTGTGTAGTGAAGATGGTGCGACCATCGAGGAACGGCGGTCGAAGGTCGTGGACATCCAGATAAACTCGAGTATCCTCTTCATCATCGAACATCGAGACACCCGTAGTTTCTGTGTCCTGCGCAAGACCTGACTTCCGCAAGCGATCCCTGTCCCAGTCATTGAATGCTTGGGTTTTGTCTTTTTGGAAGTGACTGGTCCTCTGCCGTTTAGCTGGCGGCAGCCCGTGGCCCGTTCCGCTGCGATCCATGACGAGATTATTGACCCAATCCAGGGGTCAGCTCCACGAAGTCTGGATCAGTTGCGTGACTTGGTGATCTGCAGAGGAAGTTGGATTCTCGCAGCGTGTCTCGCGCGGTGGGAATTCCCAGACAAACAGTGCAAATAAGTTGTTATCAGTCACGTGTCAGTTCAATCTGTTTGGAGGCCACGGCGCCACCTCATGCAGACTGGCTAATTAATAATGAAATGGCCAGATAGTATCCAACCTGATTTCTGGTTCCTATATTGTAATAGATAATTTATCACTTGTTGTTGCTGTCCATTAGTAAAGGTGGGAGAAGATCTCATTGTGGCCACCGGGCCCGCGGAACATTAAGCAGCAGCGGCCCCGCGTCGTCATCTCAGCTTTTGAGCTTCCTGTACCTTACTTGTCTCGAGCCAGCACACCGTCACCATGTCCAGCCAACAGCAGGTAGACCCAAAGAAGCAGCAGGGTAAGGCAACTCCTGGTCCGTATCCTGTCAAAAGAACGCGATGGCTGACACACTCCTCCCCCTACAGAGCTGCAGCTTCAGTACACCAATTTCAAGAACACCCTTCAACAATTAGCGCAAAAGATCGGTGACATCGAGCAGGAGGCCGAGGAGCACAAGTGAGTTTGGTGTGGCTTTCGCTGCCTTCATATCGCCCAGGCACAGAGGGGATACCATTTGATGGGACCTGCCTCTTGGGGTCAAAGAGGGAGCGCATTGGACACCATGGAGACTAATACCATATTGTCGGGCACAGGCTTGTGATCGAGACATTGGACCCTCTTCCGCAAGACCGGAAATGCTTCCGTTTGGTCAACGGTGTTCTGGTCGAGCGCACGGTGCAGGATGTTCTGCCGAACCTCAAGACAAACTCGGATGGCCTGAAGCAGGTGCTGGAGGATATGCTAAAGCAATACAAGTCAAAGCAGACAGAGCTGGATAGCTGGAAGGTACGTTTATGCCCTACTTCCCGGCAGGTGCATGTTGTTGGAAGGATGCTTCTTGAGCCCCTAAAGCACAAGACTGGGACGTGTGGTGTTGACCTTTTCCCTTTTATCTGCCTCTGCAGAAGAAGAACAACATCCAGGTTGTGCAGCCCTGAAAGGAAATCTCCTTCGGTTGTACCTTTTGATACCCGGCTATTCCCTACGGGGTACATTGGAGCCTGTGAGCAGGAGACTATGGGCGTTAATGGGAATGGTACCAAAATTAGAGAAGCTAGCATGATTCACTTCAGCCATGACGAAATAAAAATCCATCATAATCCACACTGCAATAAGATCGGCGGAATGCTTGAGTATACTGGGTCTTGTGCAGCCCATTACTATGCCAATAGTCTTTTTCAAATCTAGCCTACAGATAATTAGTCCGATATCCTCGATATCATTGCACATGCGATGTCAAACCAGGAAAGCAGGGTTCAATGCCCGAAAATTGCACATGGATTATGCCAAATCATCATTTGAAACCCTCGTTGCTTTTGCATGTTGATTGATGCAAGCCTGCGTGCCTGACTCGGGAGCCAACCTGTGTCGTCAGGCCCTGAGCAACCCAACCCCCGGTGACCGGTCTACACAGCTGGTTGTCATCCTGCCAGGTCATAGATTGAAATGATATTTGATCTGATTTCATCATGCAGGTGGAATTATTAAGTATTATCCACTGAAATTGAGGTGGTATGGGGCATACAATTCATTACACTCATTGGGAAGGCAGTCTCCGTTTCCCAGACCGAAGTGCGGTAAATGACGGTTCCTTGTATGTAAGTAAGCCAAACGTCTGCCTGAGGCGGCCAAGATAGGAGACGATTACGACGGCTGGCGGGCTCCCCTCTTCGACTCTTGGACTCGTTACCAACCTCATCCTCGGAAGATCAGTGGAATCCAGCAATCCTAGTGCACTGACTGCGAATGTCCCACTGTGGCTGTGGTGGTTCCTAATTCAAGAATATCTCCCTGCTCATATCTACTTGGGTAAGTAGCCAACCGCCGCGCTCGTTCGGGGGGAGTTCTGGTTCGCCAATTCGCCCTCCGGATGAACCTGGGACCCTCTCCTCCCCAACCCCTCTCCCAGCGCCCTGACCCTAGTGCAGACGAATCGGAATAACCAGAAACTGTACCTAATTACACCGCGATACCCTGGATTGTTTATCCTAAAGGTTAGCTCTGCCCTCCCACCCCCGGCCCTGCGCGACGTGAGTCCAGCTGGGCTCGAGACCCCCGGGCTTGACCCACCTGCGACGCTTCCCGCGTTGCATCCCGCGTCACCACCACCCTCAGCTTGCGCTCACGAGGTTCTCCATTCTCTCACCCCTCCCAACGTGTGAGGCTTGCATAATTGGCATTCGCACTGCAGCTGCTGGTGCGACGCGATCGCGCTTCCTTTACAGAACTTCCTCCCTAACCCTCATCCGATCCATTCCCGTTTTGGCCAAGCTAATCGGGTGTCATCGCGCGCGCGTCCCAAGTACAGATAGCTCCTGCCCATTATTGCCAAATCCCCCACTTGGCTGACATTCTCCTCCCTGAGGCTACCGTGAAGCGGTTTGTACCCAGCCAATACATCTTTCTCTATATCGACCCAGCCTAGGCTGTCTCGGAATCCTTGATCGCGCGCCATCTTACCGATCTGACGTGGTCGTTGCCAGCAGAGTGAACAACAATCCTTGACGCCCAAAGGATCCGCGCGCAACTTTATCTACTCATAATCATGTCTGAATCACAGTCGCACTCCCCCAAGGAGCATGAAGACCCTGGGGTGCAATCCGGCGACGACCAAGAGCAAATGGACAAAGACCAGCAAGACGCCCAGGCACAGGGCCAGGGCGAGTTCGAGGTTAAGGAGCAAGATCGGTGGCTTCCGATTGCGAATGGTTAGTTGCGTTTCCTTGCAGGCTCTCGGTTCTGATTTGCGCGTACCTTACTGCTAATGGTTGACCATCACCATTTACTCTCTTTTTTCCCGCCTCGAACCACCTTATATGCCGACCAGCTCTATTCTCATGTCTTTTTTTGATTCCCTTGCGATAATTTTATGTCTTGTTTGGCCAAATACTGCTTGCTGTCTACAGGCTCAAGACTGATGTCTTTTCTCTCAATTACTGCCATCTCATGTTTTATTTCATTCCCCCTCCATGACAACATTTGACCACTGCCTCTCATTGATGAGAGATCATGCGCTAATGCTCAATTCTGACAGTTGCTCGTATCATGAAGCTCGCCCTGCCTGAAAATGCCAAAATCGCCAAAGAAGCCAAGGAATGTATGCAAGAGTGCGTGAGCGAGTTCATCTCGTTTATCACTAGTGAGGGTGAGACATATTCCCTGTACTTTTCGCTTGCGAGCAGTTGACTGATACGCTTGGTTAGCATCCGAGAAATGCCAGCAGGAAAAGCGCAAGACCGTCAACGGCGAGGATATCCTGTTCGCCATGACATCGCTCGGATTTGAGAACTACGCCGAAGCCCTGAAGATCTACCTCTCCAAGTACCGCGAAGTGAGTTCTACTTCGCATATCATTTGAAAGATGTGGCGCTGATAGCCTTCTAGACTCAATCCGCCCGAGGCGAGAACCAGGGCCGCCCTAGTAGCAGTGGCTATGGGGCCGGTGGCCCCGTAGGCGGGGCCGGCCAGGCTCGTCCTGCTGGGTTTCCGGAGGGTGCCGAGGGTGCAAACAGTATCCTGAACCCAAGCTTGGACCCGGCCGACCAAGATGCCTCTGCGTACGGATACCCTCCCATGGTCGGGCAGCCGCACAACGGTGCTGGCGGAGAGACGTACTAGTGGCACTCGACATTGTCGGAAGGCATCAGTCACGCATTTCTCCCAGTCATTTTCCATAAAGCAAGTCTTGCTAAAGAAGGCTGTCGGCGTTTCGGATTCAAGGAACGGAAGCGTGAGGCGTGCAGGCGCCCTGGGTTTCTTTACCCAGTGTCCTATGAGTACCACTATTGAGATTTTCTCTCTCAACTGTCTGGCTAACAAATCTCTGGGGCTATTCGAGGTGGTGGAGTGATTGATATACATTTGGAACGGCAGAAGGGACCTGTCCTAATCCGGGGGGTTTTTGTGCTTACGCGGCGGCAAGCAGGACCCTTCTAGTAAGGGCTACTCGCCGCTCTGTTACTTCTGGAGTTCTTACGGGAATCGGGTGGTTAAAATAACCGAGTACTTGTGTATTTATGACCGTTGCCTTTCCTAGGGACCCTCTTACGGTCTGCGATAGAAGAAGACAGCCTTCGGCTATACTTCGTTCTTCCCGATAAGCCCTATCAACGCCACCACTATTGGCTGTGTATTACGAGCGCTTTCCAGTCCCCAAGGTGGCATGACTGTAGATGTAGGCGTCTTATCAATGCGATATCTTTCGGTCCTGTATGTCTCCTACGCTTTCCGACTCTTATCTTTCGTGTCTGAGAGTCTTTTCCACCATTCAGTTACATAATCCGCAACATCTCCGCACCACGTGAGACTCCACCGGACCCGATCCCGCAGTCCTTAACTTCCCGAACTTTTCGCTTCCCTGTCGCATTGATTGTCCTTTTACCCTCGGTAATCGCCTGTGTGCCTCATGATGCCCTGAGCGTGTTGGCGAGAATTGCTCGTAGAAGAATGCAGAGCAGTGGCCGATCTGCACATGGAATGATGTCGATGATCCTCCAGCCATGTCCTCCGCCAACGATAACGCTCCCTCGCCGCTCGCGGATGGGGTGAGCAAGCGCAAACAAGGTAAGCACTCTATGAACACCCTGCTCGGGTCTAATTTGTCACACCGAGGAGTCTGATAGCCCTTTTACTTGGGGCTGGCTCCCAAACCCTGTCTTGGCGGAATCAATCACGTTTGCTGATCGGGTGGCTCAAAATCTCTTAGGTTCGGCAGCATGCGTCCATTGTCACCGGCGCAAGGTCCGCTGTGATGCCCGTGTTGTCGGATTGCCTTGCACGAACTGTCGCGGCTCCGGAAAGGCCGACTGCCGCATCCACGAGAAGAAAAAGCGTCTTGCGGTGCGGTCGATTCTTGATCCCGTTCCGATCCGATCTCGGCCTCTACCGACGTCAGATCATATCGCCAACCCTTCGACTACAGCAGGAACACCATTGCCTTCAAGTTTCCCAACCACGTTTCCAAGCGGCACTGGGACAACACCACTGGCAAGCAATCTACAACAACATGGATTTCCGCCGAATCCCGGGTCCGAAGCATTCGTGCGGCAAAGCCCGGACTTGTCGCATGCCCACGAGGCACACACGGAGATGGAACAGCACCTCGTGAAACTCATTGATGAGGAAGAATCTGGTCGAAGAGAAATCCAAAGAGGCGTACGCGCATTCTATGTTGGTCATGAACACTCCAATATGTCCTTCCTGATCCGCCAGCAGCGAGATCAGGATGATGATGTGTACCATTTCGCCAGCAACGAGATCCCACGGCGACAAATGAAAACCGGTCATGATCAGCTGCTCATGGATGCCCTCACTCTCCCCGAGCCCGCACTAGCGGATGAGCTAGTGCAGGCATACTTCACTTGCGTTAACCCGGGATATCCAATAGTCGATGAGGATTTGTTCATGACGCAGTACCGGAATCGGGACCCTGCCGATCCCCCGCCAATCTTGTTGCTCCAAGCGATTCTACTTGTTGGCTCACATGTCTCTCGTCCGAAGGCGGAGCGAGATGCGCTGAAAGAGATCTTCTTCCGCCGTACCAAGTACCTGTTTGACAACCGCATTGAGCGAAATCGAGATATCCTCGTTCAAGTGGCGTTGATTTTGACCTGGCACTCGGACAGTGCAGATGACGATGTTGCCGCAGATGCTCACTTTTGGGTCGGTGTGGCTGCACGAATCGCCACTGGGCTTGGAATGCATCGCAACCCGGTGTCTAGCCGTTTTGTCACCCGCGATCGGCGGATGTGGAGACGACTGTGGTTCATCTTGGTCCAGTTCGACGTGATGGTCTCTCTGTCATACGGTCGTCCTCAAGCTATGTATGTGATGTCGCAAATTGATTCTGAGCCGTGTGGATGCTAACAGCATATTGCTAGCAACTTGGATGATTCAGACGTGTCTCCATTGACCCTCGCCGATTTCGAGAATTGCGGGCCTCATGTACAATCTGACTTTGTGATTCATTTCACAGAGCTCTGTACTATGATTTCATATCTCATCCGAGACCGATTCGGGCTTCGCGCCACGGATGAACGACGCAAGGCGGTTCTCCAGGAAGCCGATGAGTCTCTGGCAAATTGGTCTTTGAAGCTCCCTGATAATCTGCGCCTCCGAGCATCTGACATGGACCCGTGGTCTGCCATGCTTCATCTAACGTATAACAATTTCCTTATTCTGCTGCATCGGCCGCATCCACGAGCGTCAGCGTACTCAGATGACTATGGTCCACACGACGCTGAGATCTGTAGTGCTGCTGCTGGGGTCATCGCTTCCATCTTCGAAGAGCTCAGGCTCAATGACCGCTTGAAGTTCCTCTGGTACACTGGCGTTCATACCTTGTTCACGGCTATGATTCAAGTCCGGGTAGAGCTTCGGTTCTCTAATCCAGTCCTCGCGATCAACGCCCTGCGTCGCTTCGATTCGGCATCCTTTTCTCTCCGGGAACTGGCCGAATATTGGGTTCACGCAGGCACAATCCTGCGCCTCTTCGAGGACTCGAAGCGTCTCCAAGAGGACCTCCGCATGGCAACCAGTGGGGGACCCAAACCGTACGCTGCCGCCCAGGCTCAGCCCCCGCCGCCACCTCCCATCAAGGCTTTGCAAGTTACCTCTCCTCCCGCTCCTGCAGCAGCCATGCAGACTCCACGGCCGATGTCCTTCGGTGTGCCCACACCCGAGCCCACCCCGATGCAACAGACAACACTGTCGCCACAGGCAAATCCGGGATTCGAGAACTGGATCACAGCACCGCTCAGGCTCAATGCTGGCCCCTTGGAAAGGAACGACCCCTACTCGACCGCTATGCAAGTCGATCAGATAGATCAATCTCGCGATTACCCAGACTGGCGACAGCTCTTCTCCTTCACGGACTCCGATCTGCCCGTTCCTATGGCAATGGAAGGTCTGATGGAGCTCGAAGATGAATGGCGGCAGATCTATTGGCAGGACACCCCCATGGCGGACCTCATGCAAGATGGCGGCTGGATCCCCGGCTAGTGTCTTTTCCTTGTTGTATATACTCGATTTATCCTCCCACCACTTTCCTCCCGACTACCCATCCTCCAATCTTTGGGCCAGTTTGAATCTTCATTCCCGACGCCTTTCTTCCCACTATGACCCTGTGGCCTCACGACGAGATGAGATACGCAGGGCAGCGCTTTCTACGAGATGCTACACAAAGACTTCATACGATACCATGTCGAAAACGATCGCACACAACCTTATCCTCATATACCTTCTGATAGAGATATACAGTGTTATATAATTTCGAAAATCTTTATATAGTTGATATTGGGAATGTATTTTGCTCACATTTGTTCGCATTGATGTGCCGTTTGTTCATGTTCCGAGTAATTTCGGTAATTGCGATGCAATGCAGTCCAAATTGCACTAGACCGGGTATGAGACTTGGGAGTGTCAACCGAAGACGAAACGCCTCCAGTTCTCCGCGAGTTGTCGGACGCCTTCCCGCAGCTCCCATCCGCGCACCTCGCAGATTTGCCGCGCCACATCGTCGAGCAGCTTATCCATCTCTAGCCCAGCGACATGGATGTCACTTTCGATCAAGATGCGCTCTGCGGGTAGCGCCTTAATCACATCGGAGACCTTCCGCGCCGGTGCACCGCTGAAGTTAATGACTGCTGAGAAAGAGAAGTAGACATCCGATGGATTCGACTTCTGCAGGAATTGCCGAATTTGTTCGACAGGTCCAGTGTAGGAGTGCATACAGATGCGCGGAGGGAATGAAAGTGGCTGTTGATTATCTTGCGGTCGGCCCTTGTTTTGATGGTTCTGCTTTTCCTCCTCATCATCGGAGAGTGCCCCTTTCAGCATCCTGCAGTCTTTCTCTTTCTCGTCGCGATACGACGGGACGCTCATGCCCTTTCCACAGCTCCTTCAGCACATCAAAGACTGCCCCATGAGCTTGTACGCTATGCACTGAGACGGCGCGCTGCATTTCCCCCGCTAGTCGCAGCTGTGCTTTCAATACTACTCGTTGATGATCTAGCTTCACCTTGTACGGAGAAAGACGCCGCCCTTCGCGCGATCCTGGCGTAAGCTCCTCATCGCGATTATCGAGGTCCTGTTGTGACCAGGCACCGGGCAATCGGAATGACTTGTCCAAGCCCACCTCGCCGACGAGGGCGTTCGGAAACCGCTTCAATCGGTTCCGTGTCTCCGCTATATATGTGGATAACAGCTTTGGTTGTGGCAGGTGTTCAAGAAACTCAGGATCGTCGGCTGGCGAGGGTGTTAGGACGGCTGTGTAGTGCGCATCTTTTTGTTGCGTGCTGTCTGGTTCCGTATCATCCAGGATCTGATGTGAAAACCACGGATGCCAGCCAAAACACGGCACAATTTTATCTTCCTGTGCCACCTTCTGGTGGACATTGAGGGACTCCGCCGTCTGCTGCACAAGCTCCTGATCCTCGCCGCGCGTGGCCATGATCGTGAGGGCCGCCGCCTTCATGGAGGGGATGCTGGCGACCGAGGCCATTGTATCGGTCGGATGGCAGTGCGCGTCGTAAACGCCGAGATCCCAGGGGAAGGCATGCTGGGAAGTCTCCTGGGAAATGGACATGGTGAGCAAGGAGGGAAGTAGCGACGGGGCTCATGGGATGTTGCGGTCGAATCCATGCGGATGATGTAAGTGGGGTATCACATGCATTACTCCGCAATCTCACCTGCAAGAACAACAATAAGAACACGGCTGTGGCCTCGGGGCCTCGCCCTCGAGGAGATTCTCCTCCAGGCTCTCAATGGCCTCGACGTGCGCCTTTCTCGCAGCGCTGTTGGCGCTGCCGATCCTGTGGCTGGTCTGCATCCCACTAATACTATCGGCCTGGCTAACCGTCTCCTTGGCCCTGATCACCTTACTCGTGCGATTTTCCGTGGTCTACCTTGAGGTTGGGTATGGCCTGGTCGCCAGTTTCTTTACGCTTCCGACTTCAAGTTCGTCGTTTTTGACATTCGCTGCATCGGAGCCTTCTACCCCCGCTGCTGGGAACTCACGGCCCACCTCGGCGTATGGTCTGATCCAAGCTCGCCTGAACAACGATGATCCCCTCGCATCCTGGACGCTCACAGGTGTCTCTGATGACCCGTCAAAGCACCGAAAGAAGTCCTACGCAAGGAGCATGACTGAGGCGCACAACTTGCCTGCCACACCTTTCATGAACCTTCCTGTCGGTGGCGATGAGAGACGGGACTTTGAAGGTGTGGGGGGTTGGCGTTCATATCGAAATGCACAGCCTGCTTCGAGACCCCGTACATCCCATTCTGCCCAAGAAAAGCCTTTCAGCTCTCCGTCCTCTTCATCTGCACAGAGCGTCAGCGGCGAAGTCGACCCCGAAGGTGATCTCGATGCCGACGAGCTTGCCTGGCTGTCATTGAACCATCGCCTGGAACTACCTTCACAAGTCGTGACCCTAGGAGCTGGATCAAATACAGCATCTTCTGTAAATACCCCACCTAACATGGATTACATTGATACCCGCAATGGAGGTAGCTTCCATGCCTTCGCATCAACGACTTCCCCTCGCTTTCATCACACTCAACACCGTGGAGACCAAAGACATCACCACCGCTCCCACACCACCTCAGCGCTTACAACCTTCGACCGCCGTACAGGAAGTGGTCTATCTCTCGCACTCTCTACTCGGCCAGACCACACGGCTCGCGCCGTGTCACCTTCGGCATCAAGAGTTGCACCGTTCATGACACCACAACCATACTCGCCAATGCAGACCCGACCTTCCACCCACAATCTAGCGAACAGTAGTGTGTCTCAAACAAACACATATCTCTCAAGCTCTGGGGACGGCTTTAGCTCTGGGTTCCTCGGGAGTAGCGGCGGGAGCTTCGGATCTGGAAGTGGTGGTTACTTCACCCTGCAACGGCCTGGAACCGGGGGATCTTACATTGCCCCGCTCTCGGCACAGGATACACCTTACGCGAGTGGGTATACAACCCCGGGCACGGGTGTATCGAATGAGGACCGAGATGCGTCGTCTCTGGGGTTTACGCGACTGATGGCTCATTATCCTACCAGCGTGAGACACCGGAGACGAAGTATTGCAGGTCCTCATTCAAGGGTAGGCACCATTGGCGAACAAATCGGATGACATTGGACAAATCCCGAATCTTTTCCCCTGTAAATTCCTCCTTGCACAGCATGGTATATAGCCACCGAAGTTCAATTGAAGAACCCAAGCACAAAATCAATCGTCTCTGTTCAAAATCTATGTTCTAGTTATATGGATTATGGTATGTAAATAATTCGAAAGAGACAGAAGTCCAAGTCGAAAGGACAAAATCCAGAAAACTCCTAGAGGGGAACAAAACACCAAATTACCCACGCAAGCTTTCAGATCACGCGATCACGCCTCGATAAATATTCATAGTCCATTACTCGAGGACGACACACTTCTTCAAAGAGTATTAATAGGCTCACGCCCCTCGCTCCCGCCGGTTTACTTCTTCCATCTCGGATAGGACAACCTTGTTGAACTCTTCCCATCCGTCTAGGTAAAGGTGGTGCCCGGCTCTGTTGATGACAACGACCTTGGATGAACCTTGGTCGTTTTGTCGCTCCTCTGGTGTGGCATTTGCCAGGACGCGCTGCTTTTCTTCTTCGAGGCGGTTTGCAGCATCGTGGCCACCGGAGACATCCATCCAGTCGTGGTCACCATACATGAAAACGATTGGAAGGCCCTTCTCGCGGCGAGGGGCTGGCGCTTGGGGTGCGGCTGAGGGAGAAGTCTCTGCTGGAGGGGTTTCAGGAGCTGCAGACAGAACTGATGATTTGGAGAAGATCGAACACGAAGACGGAGACGTCGTGGCGGGGTTGGGCAGTGGGCTGTTATCAGCGTCAATCATTTGGCGTCCAACGCCATGAATGCGGCGGATAAGAGGACTGCGGGCAAATGCGCCGGGCGCGAGGATGTACGCAAGGGCATATTCGCCACTGCCTCGTTGGCTGAAGATCGAGTATGAGTAGTCGTGCAGCGCCTTTGCTTCTTCGGCTGGGAGATGGGAGAACCGGCGCGAGGTCCACCCAGACACTATCCGCGGGCCTAGCGGACCGGTCCAGCGCACCAAGCTGAAGGGGGAAATATTCGCGTCCCACAGATATGCGAACCACTTAGGCATATTGCGACGCGGTGGGCGACTTTCAGCGCCCGGTTCGGGATTGCGGCCGGTGATGAAGCTGCCGTCGGCTGTCTTCGGGGTAGATCCCGGAACCGCGGCCGACGAGGTGATGTCTCGCTGGTCCTGGGTCATCTCGTTGGCAAGCGTGGATTGCGATGGCTCGGGTACGTCCGCCGTCACGGCATATGGGTCCTCGGGGATACCCACAGGAGAGGCTAGGATGAGCTTGTTGAGGTGGCCCGGGTACTTCAGGGCATAGGCAACTGCCATATAACCACCTAGACTGTGACCGAGCAGGGTGAAGCGATCAATCTTTCGCTTGATTCGCCATTCCTCCAAAGCATCCACAAACCATGCTTCGGCCTCACGAATAGCCTCCTCCCTTTCCTTGGCTTTGATCTTGAAAGGCGGCCGCGTGCTCCGGCCCATGCCCAGCATATCCAGAGCATGTAGCTGCCAGCCTCTCAACCGACTGAGCGGCTCGAAATTCTTGTAGAAAAAGCCTAGACCAGCGCCGTAGCCATGAAGCATGACCAAGTGCTGATCGGCCTCTTCGCCCACTCGCTCCACCGAGAACTCATTGAGCGCGCGGTCTTTTCCGGTCAGCTCCACCATGCTGGAGCTCCATCGGCGGGGGCCATAGGGGTCATTGAGAGAGTTGGTTGAAATCTCTCCTTGCTGGTTGCGGTCTGCAGCCTGCAGACTGTCTGGAGTAGATCCATTGGGGAAACCCGCCAAGTTACCAGTCTGGAGGTGGGTTGGGGGCTGGTGATGGAGATATGGAAGGTAGGAAAGGACCTTGTGCTCGGCCGCAGCAGCCGGTAGACGAGCCCACTAGAGCAAGCATAGAGAATGAGCAGTGTATTCAACCGTGATGCGCGTGGCGCAAGCAACCTACCCATTGACTGAATCCTTCGCGGTACCCCAACGGGAAGAACGAGCTGCTGGCCGCCGCCGCCCCAGCAGCGACGCGGGCAGCATATGGCGTTCCCTCTTGGCCTTGCATCCTTGTCCGACGCTGTGCGTGTTCGCGGATGTCCTCTTGAGATGAGTTTAGCGACTCCGAGGTCATTGAGGAGGAATGGCGACGTCCCAGAGAGTAGGTGGCAAACGTAAGCGGGCGCACAGAATTGGCCCAAAATCGCGAGACTGGGAAGAGTATGAAGCGTGACGAATTCGCTGAGAGAGAGCCAGACTGACAGACGCTTTCTGTCACTGGGAGAAGTTGAGTGGCGACGCTCATGGACTGCTGAAGAAGTCGACCCGGAGACAAATCGGCCACGCCGCTTAACCCCGACAGGCAGCCAGGCGCATACGCAGAACCGCAAAAGTCGGAGGGATTAAACGCCGACGGAAGGCAACTGGAATAGATTGAAGAAGTGACCCTCTCTAAGGAACTTTGTCTCTACAGAGAGTGCGACAGAGTCGGATCTCCTAGTCGAGTCGAACGCAGAGTGTATACAGTGGGAAGGTGGGCAAGGCGGGAAGAGATGATGTCGCCGCGATCTGCATCCCCTACCCTACCCTACCCTACCCTTCCGACCCTCTCCTTCCTCCGCTTCCACCCACGATGACGACCGCCCTGGGCCGCCACGGCCGCTAATTTGGGACGCATTTGCTCCTGTGCGACTATAATCTCCAACATCATGACCTCGCCCTTGGACCAGCTCGTCAAGGGCGCTCCGCCCGGCGCCCGCGCTCCCACGCCGGAGCCGGCGAATCCCACCCCAGCACCAACATCGGACTCTTCGTCCGCGCCACGGCCCTCGACGCCAGATCCCTTGGCCACACTGCCTTCCTCTCCGCCACAAATTTACCTGAATCTGCTGATCATGGAAGCATCGCTGCGCGCACAATACCTGGCTCTGCGCGAGCGCCGCCGCCAAAATACGTTCTTCCTGCTGCTCCTTGCCGCTTGGATCGCCTACTTTGCATATGCATTGTTCCTGCGTCCTCGAGAGGATGGGCGCGGTGTTGGTGGCTCAGTATACTGGGTGATTGAAATGGGGGAGAAAGTCGCCCTACTTGGTGGGGTAGTGACAGCGCTGCTTGTCTGGGGAACAGGACAATGGGAGCGCGGTATCCGCTGGCCACGACGATGGCTCGCCGTGGCCAACCGTGGCCTTCGCACGATGAACACCAAAATCATCGTGATCCGTGGACCCTGGTGGCAAGAATTGCTATCCTATGTCTCCTTCCTGTTCCCTTTCTCCGCCCCATTCTTCCCCTCCCCATCAGGCAACTTCCATCTCGTCGAGCGTCACCCCTCCGATAAGCAGCGTAGTCGGCAGCACTACCCGCAGTACTACAATGGCGACAGCGAGTCCGGCCTGGTGGAGGAAGACCTCAGTTCTGGGGGCGACTATATTCGGCTGCTTCTGCTACCCAAATCGTTCTCCCCCGAGTTTCGCGAGAATTGGGACGACTACCGCACTGACTTCTGGGAAAAGGAGAACGAGCGCCGAACTCAGATGCGTCACAAACTGCGCGAGCGTGAGCGCCAGCTTGCCCAGGCTGAAGGCGGTTGGCTTTGGCGTTTCGGGCTGGGCTGGCGCGCCTCGCAGCGCCGCCGCCTGGTCTCAGCCACACTCCACAAACCTCTCGAATCCGAGCCCAGATTCCGGTCTCATGCTCAAAATCAATCTCACGCCCCGTCCATCTCCTCGAAGCTCAACCAGGAGTACCGCGCGACTTCTGTCCGCCGCGATACTCGTTCCGACTCATCCCACTCTCGCACATCCTCACTCAGCAGCACTCCAGTCGATGTCGAGGACCGTCCTCCATCCCGATCCTCTGCCTCTGGCCGTCCCCGCCGCGGAAGCACCACACCATCGATTTCGGGCGCGGAAAGTAGTCCCCAACAGCGGAAGCGCAAGGGCTCCAAATCACTGCGTCGCGGCTTGTCGCCTCTAACACAGGCACAAATCCGCGAGGGTGTCCGTACCCCATCCTTTTCGTCGGACGATTCCGGTATTTTGCCAATGGGCGAGAAAGAGAAGGATTTTTTACCCACTTCCGTACCTGATCCGAGTCCCTCAGTTTAGACCATGAGAATATCTTGCTTCTTTCCTTCCGCCCGGTTCTTCCTGCGCTGTGCCTAGGGTTCCCCCATCATTCCCCGTTGTTGGCTTAGTATTCCCCAGTTTCTGATATTTCCTAGCGTTCGTAGTGCGTCATACCCCGTTCATAGAGATCGTTTCGTGGGATGTTGACCATGCGGTCTATATGGCTATATGTATTGCAAGAGCCAAGTATAGTGGCTTTTAGTGGCTTGAGTCATTGATTCAACGATGCAACAATTCTTCCGTCGTGTCGCGCAGCTTGCCCTCGCAGTTCTCCGGCAGGGTGCGCGATTCAGGAACCGGACTATGAAGGACTACAGGCATCTAGGGATTCTTCGTCCGCCATCGTGTATGTTTCCAATCCGTTCTGTATCGAGCGTCCTAATTGGCACGGGCACTATTTATTCCTTGTATGTTTGGCCAGACAAGCTGATTATAAAATCCTTGAATGTACGAGTCAACGGGATTAAACAGCCGTTTGGCCGCTCCGTCTCTCTATCTTCTTTTACGATCTAGGACAACGCCGCTTTTTGCTGTCTTTCTTTTGGATATGAGCACACTTTTATTTCTTCCTCTCCCTCCTAGGAGAAGAGCTGTGTGTTTGTAATCTCATTCCTGTTTATTGGAAGCATATAAAGTAGTATTTTGCTTGGTGACATCATTGACGTGGTACAAGACTACTATACAACTCCTGCCTCGGATGCTGCTGCTTCGGGTTGGTTCAAAAAATAGGCTTGAGGTCTCATTGATGCCTGGATGGACCGGAGGCTACCAACGATACGTGGCCCCGCAAGAATATAGCATTTAGATGAATAAGGTTACATTGATAGCTCCGCCGGTTATTTCTACAAGACTGGCGCCGACGGCCCTCGACTATCCAGTAAAGAACCCATCTTTAACATCGTAAGATCGCAATTTCTGGCATCGGAAAATTTGGTTAAATATCGGGCATGTGGATTTGGCTACTTGGCTTCAGCCGTTCCGATGCAACGTCCTCAAATACCCGATTACTTGGCTAATTTTCCGCCAAAGAAAACCTGCAGTGGTGCGGGGATTCGATGAAATACCTGGCAAGGGTGACTAGAAAGCGGCGATACTTTCGAGGTTTCGAATTGTTCCGAGAGGAGATTCAACTCATTTAAACCCGCAGTTGGTATGCGCCTAGTTGTGTTATTGTGTTTACCAGAGCCATCTGAAAGGGGTGGAGAAAAACAGTTGCCATGATGCATTGTCTGCTCCTGTTGAGCAGTGGCACACTCGCTGCTGCTGCTGCGTCGTTGTGGTCCTCCAATGCAGCTTCTTGGGACACGACCAATGAAGCCTTTCTTGTTGGAAACGGGAAACTTGGTGGTAAGTCCGCATATACGCCCGGTCTGATTATTTCCAACGCGCCGACTGGTTGTTTGTCCTAGCGATGCCCTTTGCAGCGGCGGGTACTGAGAAGCTCAACCTCAATTACGACGACCTTTGGAGTGGAGGACCTTTTCAGGTTGAGGTACAGCGTATCCCCTCTAGTTGTCAAGAGTTTGGGAATACTGACACCGACTCTCTAGGAATATCGTGGCGGAAACCCAAATGCTAGCCTGGTGGGCATCTTGCGCAACATCCGCTCCGAGATCTGGCAGACAGGAATAGGAAGTGACATTCCCTCAATCTGCGAGAGATGAAACCACGCTTACCTGTTGCAGATGATAGTCTACTGCATGGAGATGAAAGTGGCTATGGCTCCTACCACTCATTGGCCAATCTCACCGTCCATATCGAGGGAATCTCTGAGGTGACTGGATATAACCGAACTTTGGATCTGAGCAACGGCATACATACGACCAGTTATTCCACCGCAGCTGGCACTTACACTACTTTGATCTATTGCAGCTACCCCGATCAAGTGTGTGTCTACCACCTCACTTCTCCTGTGGCTCTGGCAAATGTGTCCGTCTGGTTTGACGAGCTCGTGGAATCGGCATCCCTATATCGTACGACCTGCGGGCCCTCGTTCACCCGTTTGCGCGGCTTGACCCAAGAGGGGCCTCCAATTGGAATGCGTTATGATATCATGGCACAAAGCTCACTTCCAGGGGTCTGCGACAATTCAACGGGAGTTCTTCGCGTTGGTTCTTCTGCAAGCACAAGTCTGACACTTGTGATCGCGGCTGGCACAGACTTTGACCCTGCAAAAGGCAATGCCGCCAATGGCTTCACTTTTCGAGGCGACGACCCTGCAGCAAAGGTTGAGAAACTGGCAGCTGCTGCTCATGCAAAACCAGAGACAAAGCTTCGTGCTGCTCACGTGGCGGACTATGGTTCACTGGCAAACACCTTCACCTTGAATCTGCCGGACAGCCAGGGCTCTTCTGAAGTGGAGTTCTCCGAACTGATTACTAGATATCGCGCCAATTCAACAGCGGGTGACCCTTTCTTGGAGAAGCTGATGTTTGACTATGGAAGGCATTTGTTCATTTCCTCCTCGCGCCAAAACAGTCTCCCGCCGAATCTCCAAGGTATCTGGAGCTCAACCCTGAGCGGAGCGTGGGGTGCAGACTATCATGCCAACATCAATCTGCAAATGAACATGTGGGGCGCGGAAGCCACAGGTCTTGGAGAATTAACGGTGCCTCTTTTCAATTACATGGAGCAGACCTGGATGCCTCGAGGGGCAGAATCCGCCCAGCTAATCTATGGAGGGGACGGATGGGTAACGCACGACGAAATGAATATCTTTGGGCATACGGGGTACGTTGATTGGCGATTTTGGAACTATGCGACGGATGTTGCAACTGACCTGCGATCAGGATGAAAACTTGGCAGACCTCGGCTGATTATCCTGCTGCCCCTGCATGGATGATGCAACATGTTTGGGACCACTACGACTACTCTCGCGACCGCGACTGGCTCCGTAAACAGGGGTGGCCGATGCTCAAAGGCGTTGCGGAGTTTTGGCTGTCTCAGCTACAGCTGGACCAATTCACGAATGATAACTCTCTCGTCGTCAATCCGTGCACCTCCCCGGAGCATGGCCCTGTCACATTTGGATGCACTCACTGGCAACAGCTGATCTACCAGGTATTCGAGAACAGTCTGCAGATAGGCAGCGTGGTTCAAGAGAGCGACCAGACGTTCCTCGCCGACGTGCAAAAGAAGCTTGCCAAGCTGGATAAGGGACTACACATCGGTTCCTGGGGAGAGATCAAAGAATGGAAGCTCCCTGATAGCTACGGGTACGACGAAGAAGGTGACGAGCACCGGCACCTATCCCATTTGGTTGGCTGGTATCCAGGATGGTCAATCTCGTCCTATCAGAATGGATATACCAACTCGACAATCCAACAGGCTGTCAAGACCTCTCTAACCAGTCGCGGGCCCGGGATCTCGGACTCGAATGCGGGATGGGAAAAGGTCTGGAGATCCGCGTGCTGGGCGCGCCTGAACAATACAGAAGAAGCATATTACGAGCTTCGCTTGACCATTGATCAAAACATTGGTTCAAGTGGGCTTTCGCTCTATAGCGGCGGCGATACTGCTTCGGGGCCATTCCAGATTGATGCCAATTTTGGACTGGTGGGCGCAGTGCTCAGCATGCTTGTCGTTGATATGCCTCTTGCTAGCTCCTCCTCCGAGTCTGCGCGCCGCACGGTCGTCCTGGGGCCGGCGATTCCCCGTACTTGGGCGGGTGGTAGCGTTCGGGGCCTCCGCGTACGCGGCGGCGGCACAGTCGACTTTTCTTGGGATGGTGACGGAGTCGTCGATCAAGCGCAGGTTCAAGGACTGGCGAAGAATGTTTATCTGGTTAACGTCAAGGGGAAGCCGCTCGCCTGATCTTCAATAAAGATCCCTGCAGGACCAAGTGTTGGACGGGTCCCTGGTAAGTTAGCACTTCGAAATGGAGTCTCGCATTCCCGTATATAACTACTAGTATAATTAAGAATCATCCATCTGAATCTCAACCAGAATAGAGACATGGTGGTTGAGATATAAGAATACAAAATATCGCCTTTAATATGGTGTTTTGGGGTGTTTCACTGGACCGTGTGTTTCACTTGCCCGTGGAATACGCTAACTAATTAAGTTAGCCATTTTCCACGAAGAGATAGCGGAGGACTCGAGGGGCCCTTTCTTTAAGCAGACCTTTGGCCGCAGTTACCCTGGAGCCACTTAGATTCTCAGAATTTCGTCAATACCCTCGCACCACGCAAGATGTCACTCCCAGAGCCCCATATATGGTGTCGCATGTACGCATCCTTCATTGGGCCTCTCTTGAAACCCGCACTAACGTTTCCAGTACCTTGTTGATCCTCACCGTCGCTTCGTTTCTTCCCCAAATCCTGCGCATCCAGAGGAAGCAGAGCACCCACGGAGTCTCTCCGTTATGCACCCTATGGAATTTAATTCGCGCCACAGAGCAGTTCACACTCTTCGTATACGCACTATACACTGCGTATGAGCCTAATGGCACCGTCCTATTGCATAGTCCTCTTAGCCAAGGGGACCGATTCAATCTGTGGCACTGCGCGGTGGTCACAGCCCCGTTTCTGGCACTGTAGGACTGTTATCATAGTCCACGGAAAGAAGTCTGTGCATGCACTTACACTTTCCCATAGGTTTACGCAGTTCCTTCTCTACAGCGACCGGAAGATCTCGCTACTCACGGGATACATCAGCTTTCTTCTCGTCTCAATCGTTCCTCTGATCATCGATGCAATCTCACCCATTGACGACGATTTAGCTCGAAGAATCTTCTCCTCTATGTTTGGCGAGATACACGTCATGATAATCTTCCCGATTCTCACTTTTCTCGGCTTTTGCGGTATTTACTGTCAAGCCCGGGAGATTCTGGCTGTACCTTTTCCAAACTCCCTGAGTCAGCTGGGTCTGGCCATACAAGCTGTTGTCTTCACGCTGGTATCAGTGACATGGATATGGAGTCTCAAATTTCCTTATGAGACATGGAACGGTGAGTATAGTTGGAATAACTTCAATGGTTGGTACTACACTGTTGGTTGGATCATTTTCGACCACTTTGTCTTCGCACTCGGCCAGGCGGTGCTTCTAGGTCTAGCCTTACATCGTTCGTCTTCGTGCAAAGTCAGCATACGAGGAGAAGGAGGCGAGACCGAACCACTTTTGGGGAACATTGTACATTGACAGACGTCTACCTATCACGACACTTCTTCATAGGTAATGATTACTAGCCATTGTTAACTGCGATAAGGTTGTCATTCAACTAGTGCGAACTCCACCCAATTACTAGCTGGCACGATAAGCACCGGTCGTCCTCCATTGTATCTCGGGTTACATACTATCTCTTCGATCCAGACTACAGTGTCTTCGTGATCTCGAAGATGTCCCCAATCCCACCAGTCAAGCTGTGCTCCTTTAAATCCGTACCGAAATTGATCACCGGGCGCTGCATTCTCCGGGAATTCAGTCACTTCCCGTGTAAAAGACCACGACTCTCCAGGTCTAAGGGCCGCAAATGCATTTTGATCGTTGCGGCCGACAATGTTCGCCACTGGATTAGAATATCTGTACTCGCGGTACCTGTAAGGGTCACTAGGTTCATAAGGACACCATTGGTTATTTTCCCCATAGTAGAGCCTAAATCCCCACACGCGGCGGTCGACCTCTCTGAACCTGAATGTATGAAATGTAACTGGCTCGCCATTCATAGCATCTGAATCTATGTTATACGACAGTGTGCCTGTGATGGTATAACGTAGTCTACCCGCAGAAGTTCGATCTTTGAACGATAGTGTAGGGGGTCCTGCGAGGCTGAGGCTCAAAATTGGAGCGCCACTCACCCTCGCAGACGCCAGGCGAGGCTTCGGTGAAGGTGGCAAAGGGGCCTCCTCGTCGATATCGCTTTCTTCGGCGATAATGCCTAGCGACTTAACGAGCCCGCCGGGAAGGATCAGGGCAGGGGACTTGGGGCTTAGTTTGCCGTTACTGTGCTCCGCTAACGTGCCCCAGTCCCACAGAGGGATTTGCCCTCCTACCCAGAGAATATTGTAGAACTGACCTGGTCGGAAAGAATCGAAGTAGACATCCGGCAGGGGTACCTCCCAGGAGACGCTAGCACCTGGAACCAATTCTTTGAAGCACGGGTCTAACGTCGATACCTCTTGTGGTTGAAGGGACTTTGCTCGTAACTGATCAGGGTCGACCGAAACGGGATGCAGGTAGTGTGAAATCTCAGAAGTGCACTGAAACAGCATTATACCCGGCTGGCCAACCCCATCCTCGATAGGGTCCCTATGGATAATGCATGGTTGTCTCTGGGGATCATCTGCATCCCGCGTGATGGTGAAGGTAATAGGATACGACGTCTCAACCTCGACGTCTAGGTGCATCTCTGCATCAAAACTAAGAGTAAGGCGAGGACATCCTGGTCTGTTTGCTTTAGCTTTGAGCTAGACATGTTCTCAGCGGGCATATTACCGTCTGTCTGCGGAGGAATATCTCAGAAAAGATGAGAAACTATCCATCTGAGTAGCCTTGGTTCAAATGAAGTTGTAAAAGTCAAAAGTTTGGATCCAGCCCCTGGCTTTTGGCTTTTCTTTTTCTCGTTTCTGGAGGGATAGTAGAGAGTACTAGGAAGCAAACGAACTCCATAGCGAGTCGGAGGGCGTTAATTTGCGTATGGTAATTATCACTTATCACTTATCACTTATCACTTATCACTTATCACTCATCACTTATCACCTTGTCACTCCGCCTCTCATTCGCTACAGGGCAGTCACGTGCATCTCGGTGTACCCCGGACCCCCACCATCCCACCATCGGTCTAGCCCGAACACACTCGGTCAACGCCGGAAATTCCCCGAGGCCGGAGAACCAGCGCGAATTGGCTTTTAGCGGGCTTCTGATCCCTTCCCGATAGCTGAATATTCAATTTGACTTCTCTGCGCTTCTCCGCTCTCCGCTCATCTGTTGTATCCTCCGTACAAAAAGTTCACAAGGGACCAGCGCGTCGGTGCTAAAGCAAAGCCCCGCCGAGATTGCCGGGACTCTCCGTGACACACCTGCACGCAGCACGTTTGGCACCCTAGGATTGCCCACCATGGTCAACGACAAGAAAATCGGTGCCTATTATGCACCTACCGGCGGATTGCCGCCACAGACACAGCTTCTCACCGACCGCGCCATGTTCACCGAAGCCTACGCGGTCATCCCGAAGGGCACATTCAGCGACATCGTGACGAGCTTCCTACCCTTCTGGGACAAGACGCGATTGTGGGTGATTGCCCGTCCGCTATCCGGTTTTGCCGAGACCTTTTCGCAATACATTATGGAAGTGCAGCCGGGTGGCGGTAGTGATCGCGCCGAACTCGACGACGGCGCCCAAGGGGTGCTGTTCGTGGTCGAAGGCGAAGTGACCGTTACACTGGCAGGTGAATCGCACACGCTCGCCGAGGGCGGCTATGCCTACCTGCCGCCGCAGAGTGGCTGGACCCTCCGCAACGCGGGCGCGACGACCGCCCGTTTCCATTGGATTCGCAAGGCTTATGAATCGGTGGAGGGGCTCGATAAGCCTGACCCACTGTTCCTCAATGAGAAGGATATCGCGCCCTCGGTGATGCCGGACACCAACGGTGCTTGGGCAACCACTCGCTTCGTGGACCCGACCGACCTGCGTCACGACATGCATGTCACCATCGTGACCTTCGAGCCGGGGGGTGTCATCCCATTCGCAGAAACCCATGTCATGGAACACGGGCTTTATGTTCTGGAAGGCAAAGCCGTGTACCGGCTCAACCAGGACTGGGTGGAGGTCGAAGCAGGCGACTTCATGTGGTTGCGCGCATTCTGCCCGCAGGCCTGCTACGCGGGTGGGCCTGGCAAATTCCGTTACCTGCTCTACAAGGACGTGAACCGCCACATGAAACTATCACGATAGGCGTCTTTTCCGGGGACAGACCGTCAGAAACGATATTGATGAAAAAGACATGTACATATGACTATGAAAAACAGAGGGTTCACTCATCAACGTGCTAAGTTAGGTCGATATAGTTTTTACGATAGGAGGAGAGCAGAGGTTGGTACAACAATGTTTACATTCAATATCCATATATTCTTGATAAAGGGGGCCTATCCGAATTCCGCATGCATCCACTCCATACTCCAAGTAAACACAAACATGATATCATCCCAATGCAACAAACTAGAAAGCATGCTCGTGAATGACGGCCAGAATAGCCTAGCTTCTCCTCTATGACTAGGCATTAAAGAATCGCGTGGTGGCGATAACACCATAGATTAGATACGGTAGACGTTCTCATCGTCGTCGAGGAACCTAATATTAGTTAGTCAACCAAAGCACATAGGTCAACATAAAAGGGTGGGGGGAGGGGGACGTACATCAACAGGTTCTCCTCGTTCATCTTCTGCAAAGCTTGGATAGCCTCGGGACGCGAGAAGACGTGCGCAGCACCGTGTTGCGGTGACGTGCGTACAGCAGTGTTGACGGCCTCAATAAGCTCATCGACGTTAGTCATGTCACCGTCGACAAAGACCTTACTGCCCATAAGAGGACCCAAGGTCTGGCGGAAGACAGCCATGCGGGCAGGCGTGATCGGGGGCGCCGACGCGGAAGTCGACTGCGAGTCATCGGTCTGAGACTGGACCAACTGTGAGGCAGGCTGCGTAGAAGCCACAGACATCTGGGACTCGGTTTGAGTCTGAGTGCGAGTAGTCTGGCTGGACCGTAGACGCTGCGCGCGCGGGCTGGACGTGTACAGGCTGTCTGGCTCGTCGTCTGCGACTGCGGAGCTGGCGGCACCGCGGGTTCTTGTCGTGGCTCCCCGTGCAGGGGTGGCGGTCGAAGTACCGCGGAAGGGGGTATCGTCATCGTCATCATCATTGAGCTCGGGCTCGCTGTCCTCTTCTGACTCGTCATCGAACGTGGTCACCTTGCGGCGCTTGCGGCGCCCATCCTCCAGGATTTCCTTGAACATGGCAAAGCGCAGAATGGCCTCCGCATGCTTAGCATCCTTCTCATCAACACGATTGGACAGGCGGGCCTTGGCGTGTGCGGTAGAAAGGCGGATTAGCGTCTCAAGGGTACGAGGCGTGATAGGAGAGGTGCGGCGCTGGGAACTGGCCAGATCGTCGTTGCGCAGAGCAGAGTACGCGGCGATAATATGGTCGGCGGCGCCCTTGGTCAGAACAGGCTTGATACGAGACTTAGCGTACTGGATGTACTTTTTGATAAAAGGGATGCTGATGATCTCCACGTTCTTTCCACGGTTGCGGCCTGTGTTAACCATGCCGCCATGGAGCATGACGTTGAACTTCTCAAACACTTCCGTAGGCTGGTTGGCATCCGCGCGGTCTTCAATGCCCACTCCAAGGGTCTGGTTGAGCTGCTCGCGCACCGGAGCACCCTCCTCGGTGCCGGGCTGGCGGTAACGGTGCATGCGCAGAACGTGCTCGGAAATCGTTCGATCTTTGGCATCCTCGATGTCGTCCGTGACGACAAAGAGCAAATCAAAACGGGAGAGAAGAGAGTCCGGTAAAGCAATGTTCTTGTGTGGATCCTTATGCGGATCGTACTGGCCGTAGATGGGGTTGGCAGCAGCCAAAACACTGCATCGAGCGTTCAGACTAGTGTGAATACCGGCTTTGGCAATGGTGACGGTCTGCTGTTCCATGACCTCGTGAATAGCAACACGGTCAACATCACTCATCTTGTCGAACTCATCAATGCAGACCACACCACGGTCACCGAGAACCATGGCACCAGCCTCCAACCGACGCTCGCCAGTCTCTTTATCGGAAGTGACGGCAGCGGTCAAACCGACACCAGAGGAACCACGACCAGTAGTGGCAATAGCCAGAGGAGCCGTGTTCAACACAAAACGAAGAAGTTGAGACTTGGCTGTTGAAGGATCACCGACCATGAGGATGTTGATATCACCACGAAGATGAGTACCGTTATCCAGGTTTTTCTCCATACCGCTAAGCAGCATCAGCAGAATGGCCTTCTTGATGTAGTCATGTCCGTGAATGCTAGGAGCGAGCGACTGGGCCAGTAACTCAAAGACATTCTTCTTCTTGGAAATCTTGTTAATGTTTCGGATGTCGGTGTCCGTAATGGTGGTCTGCGCAATGCCACTGCCGCCCTTCGACGAAAGTTGAATGACGTTGTTCGCCATGATGATTGTACGGAAAGTGGACGATCCGGAGCTTGCGTTTCGGTTTCCGAGGGTACGGTAGGTACCGACCAGCTGGATTCTGTCTCCTGGTTTGGCCTTGTCGACAAGATCGTCGTCGAGAATAACATCGACGCTGCGGGGCAGCTGACCGGCCGGGGCTCGTTCCGGCATTTCTTGGATCGATATCGATTGGTGGTCCATGTAGGTCGAGTAACCGTACTCGGTGATAAGCTAGACATAGATGAGATGCTTGTTCCTACCACTTTAGAGTGCATGGATACTACTTACTGGGTTTTTCTCGTCATCTTCTTGGGGGTAAACGTTCAAGCTCGTAGCGCCGCTCGAAGTCATAGTCTGATCACGGTACTTTCTCGACAAGAAACGATCCTTCTTCTCGCTGTAGTGAACACTCTGGATCACCTTTGGCCGAACAAGGGAGCATTTTGTCACAATGCCTTCAAGGGACACCATGCGGTTCAGGTGCTGAGAGCCCAGGGTGCGTGGGTTGCAAGAAAATTCTCCGAAGGCTCCGACATAGGCGCAATAGTAATTCTGTCAAGGCGATGTATTAGCACCCTGTACACACCAAACGCTTTAATCCAGTCCAAAAAACACACCACTTCATCCAGCTTCTCCTTTTCGGGGCGGTTGGGCAGCCGCTTAACCACCTCTTTTAGGGCGTGGTCGAAAGCTTGCGAGTAATCGAATGGGGACATGCAAAGCCTGGTTGAAGGAGAACATCAGTAATCCGATTTTCGCCATACAGGGAAATCTTAAATCCTACCCGTCGGAAAGCTCGCGGTTGTGTGCTCGGATTTCATCGATGCTAACCTGCAGGATCATCAGCCACTTTCTCCCGCCTTTTCAAGGACGAAAAAAAACGCACCGTCAGACGTCGCAATCCTCGGTTCAGCATCACCACGATGTCGGCTCGATAGCTGTTTCATTCTGTCAGTTTGCATTGGGAGGTAGATCAAAGTCTAGACCGACGAACCTGCGTGCTCGTACATCACCTGTAGCCAAAAAAAAAGCCACAACGTTAGATCAATTGCGGTGGGAGCACATGTCGCAGGGACTCACTAGGATCCAGAAACTCGATGGCAGCGCGCACGCGATCCTGCGCAGCCTCGTCTCGCAGCAGAATTCCATCCATGGTTGCGGTGTTCAATGCGGTCGGGGAATGGCGAGTCGAGGGGGAGGAGACGAGCTTGAAAGTTGGGAGGTGCGCGTTCGCCCGATCGGGCAAAATTGAAACGCGTCCACGACGCGGCGCGCGTCTGATTATGTAATACCATCTGTCCTTCCGGATCTATGTTTACTACTCGCCGCGTTTCGCTCTCTGAGTGGATAAGGGGCTAGTCCTGTAAAAGTGTCCTTCTTGTAAAGTCCAGTCCGATCGTAACCAGTATTCGTCATGTCGAGAGTCATAAAGAGTGTTCTTTACTCGTTCGATGTGGGGTTATTGCGTCCTTGTTTGTAAACTTTGGAATGCTCAAGAACAATTGTGTCTTGAGGGCGGTTTCATTCTTCCAAGATGGTAAATAAACCAAGGAAGTTGCCAAGTCTCTTAAAAGACCGTTGGCCTTGTTCTCCGCTGAGAGATTGATATAAGTACTCTCACTTGGCCCTTTACTATCCACTCAGCTGCAGCTTGGTCTTCTGCGAGTATGAGATTGGAACAATCTATGTTGCTCATTCCATCTATTCTAGTCCACGACCCGAAGTCATCGATACAGAGTAGATAGCAACAAATACTTAAGATCTATTCTATATGAATATTTCCTTTCGTATACGGCGTGCAGAGATGGGGTGGTTGATTTTGTTGGACGGGACTTTATCAGTCTCCTCAGCGACAGGCCAAACGGTCAGAATTATATGGTGCTGATAGATGCGATACGGGGTTGGCTGATACATGTCTTAGGTACCAACTCAATTGCAACCTCTCAGGTCAGCCTCTGGTGGGATTCTCGTGTTCACTGCTAGGTTGTATGTCGATCCTCCTCAAAAGTGACGACTGGCGAACTAAACAAAAGCAACCACTCTCCCAACCGTTTGAATGCTAGCCTTTTCCCAGTCCTTCTTGCGCAATCTACCGAAGTCAACAGACCCTTCACAAAAGATGATTCTATACGTGCCGAGTTAAGACTATATCCAGACAGATGACTCGACATGAAACCACGCAGGCCTCAGGGTGTTCCAGCACTGAGACTTGGTAGTGATGGGCTTGTGGGAAACGCAGACATGGCCCACATTTCCTTGGAACCCTATTTCCTGGAATGGCCGAACACCACGAGAGCCCCTCGACGATCCCTTAGCAGCCAATCACGGAATTACCTAGAGTTCCGACGATTGCCTCAAAGCAGCAAAGGCTTCTACAGCACCAGGCGGAGATGGCCTTTCGACACTCGTGTGGAAACGCAGCGTAAGTACATGTGGAGTGTACCACTTCTTGAAACGCAATGACGGGTTGTTTGTGGTGCGAAATGGAGATATAATACATTGGAATCTATGTAGATATGATATACAGTGGCTAAAAGAACAAACACATCACTATACATGAAGGCCACACTTCATTGTGTCTTCTCTCCTGCGGTTTGAGACGCCTCCTCTGCATCTTCAACGCCCTCGGTTTCACGCTCCACTTGAATCTCGTCCTTGAGATCACTTCGTTCGGTCTCAACAATACACTCCTCGGGCTCTTGGCTCTCAGGACGACAATTCTTTGCAAGTTCTCGATTCCTCTTCTCGGAAGGTTGCTTCATCTTGTTGAGACAGACCTTTCGGAAATGGCGGCCCCGAATGGCACTCTCGAGATCAGCCCGATCATCAGGGGCAAAAATTTCCTCCTGCACGTCAGGTCCTGTAGGCTTCGGCCCAAAAACAGCTTGGCGGATTCTCTCGGCTTCCAATTCGGCAGACAATGTCACAGTGGGAGATAGTTGTACCGGCTTTCGTTGAGCACGCCCAGGATGGCCGGCGGGTCCCACGTGTCTACTACGAGAATGAATGCCCAGAATACCACCCCCGGCTACCGATTGCCGGCGAGGTCGCTTCTGCCCGTCTTTGTCGGCTTGTTGTGAACGATGGCGAAGTAGAACGCCTTGGAACTTATCACGGAGGTACGGCATCCTGCCAATCTCCTCTATGGTGTCAGGTGCAGTGGCATGGAGCTTCGCAAGCTCTGTGCCACCTTTCAGAATGCTAAGATCTCGAATGCGTTCGACCGCGGCAGCCAGATATACCATGGAGATGTAGGTAGGCTGCATGAAGCCGGGATTGATGTTGCTCCAATACGGCTTGGAAACTTTGCCAACGCTGCCCGAGGGAGGTGGCAAATGTCGGGGGTCTTCAAGCTGCTGGATAGTGAATGGCACACCAAATGGCTTCAACCCTTGTCCAACCTGAAGTCGCCCCCAATCGGGGAAATTGGGCATGAAAGTACGTTCGAACACACGGAAGGCTTCTACCACATCTTGAAATCGATCAGAAGCCGCCAGCATCTGCACATAGGTTGACCAGTTGAAAGTACTCAACCGGAAACCAGTCCGCTCAAAATTAGCCACCACTTTGATCATCTGCTCGGTCTTGTTCTGATATGCCAATGCTCGCATGTAAATGGATAGAGGGCGTGAGAGAACGAAGCGCTGCGAGGGAATAATGACTGACTCCTGACTCGAAAAGGGTACGCGATCAAGTGACGAGTCTTCCTGGCCATCGAAGATAGACCCTAAAATTAGTGGTTTGGTGGTCCCCGGTAATGACTTCATTGCAGCAGAGTCAATTGGTGAGGACGACTCGGCCCGCAGAAGTTCATCAAGGTCAACACGATTGGCTATCTTCATAGTATTGGAGAGCGCGAGTTGCCAACACTCTTCGACTTCCGGATATTGTTCTGCTCTCAAATGAGCAAGCATCATGGCGGCGATAAGGCGGATTGGTGCGGATTCGGATCCGTTTTCGTGGGAGCTCGTAGCCTTTCTTGTGTCGATGTATTCCTGGAACAGCTGCCGGGCTTCCTCAATCGCACCATTTAAGCCGAAATTCTTGATACGGTAGGCGAGGTAGGAGTCCTGGAAGGCGCCGCCGAGGACCCCCCCGACGGGTTTAGATGAGGGAAGCCTAAAACTTCGGGCGGGGCGATTGATAGACTCAAGAGATGCCAACAAGGTTTGCTCCGCGTTCTTCAAACGTAGATCGGCACCGTCCTTGGTGGAGTCTTCTCGTGCTTGCAGGTCGTGCTCAATCTGGCCTCTGAGTCTCAAGAGGCTAGAGCGCGTCTCGCCTTCACCGAAGCGCTCCTCGATTTCCTGAAAGATGACGTGCACCATTTCCCGATTGCGGCTTTTCACATATCCATACAAAACGATCGCGTAGTGAAGGTCTGTGGCTTGGATGACCCGCTTCTTGTGAAGGTCCCGAAGGGTTTTCCTCGCTTGGTCCGTTTTTCCAACCAAAGCCAGAATGAGCATGTGACTTGCATAAGTGATGGCATCTGGATGTATTCCGGCCGCTTGAAGGTGCCCCCAGATTCGGTTGAGAGCCACAAAGTCTACCCTGAATGCATGGTGAAACAAAAGTGTATTCCACATCCTTAATGGCGACCCTTCAACCTTGAAGTCTCGGCAGGCGAGGGCAAATTGTTCAGCTTGATGCAACAACCCGTTGATGCAGTATACCTGCACAACGGTGTCCAGCATGGGCATCGTTATTTCGACATGGTGCCGCTCCGCTTCTTTGAGCAGGTGACGAGTAGTGTCAATATCTCCCCGCTTCGCAAAGAGAGCCATCAATGTGCCGAACGTGTGTGCACTTGGGGAAATACCGGCTTGCTGCATTTGCGAGAAGATTGAAAAGGCGCCGGCTAAATTCTCCTGGTTGGCATAAGCCTTGAGAAGAATGTTCCAACAAACCGTATTCGGCTGAAGATGGAATTCGTCAGAGATCCTCTGGAACTGTTTGGTGGTTTCCTTAACGTTGCCAGCCCGCGCATGAACATCAAGAAGTGGAGTCAAAAGTTTGCGGCTCCGGGGTGGGCCATGGTCCTCGACGAGTTTATTGAAGACGAAATTGACCTTTTCGACGTCACCCGCTCGTGCAAACGATTTCATAACATCCCTGTACACTAGGAGATTTGGTTTTCCGTAAAAATGGGACAGGTCCTCCAGGAAAAACTGAACCCCAGAGGTGATGCCGAATGAGGCGAGAGCTCTCAACTGACCACTGAACAACGATTCAGGGGGCTTTAATTCCGGCATTTGTCGGCGCATCATGCGGTAGAACACTATTGATCGAACAAAAACCGACCTTGAATCACTCAATTGAAATGTCTTGATCGTGTTGAGGTAGTGCTCAGGCTTCAGAAAACCTGACTCGTGATAAATCCGAAACATCTCCACTAGGGCGCCCATGGAAGCGTATCTGAGCACATAAGGATATCGAAAGATGTGGTCGAGTAGGAAATCGGCAAGGTGGCGGGCATCTTGGTTCAATTTGTGCGCGGCAAATTTCCCAAACGAAATGGCATCCCAAGGAAGCCGTCCTTGTTCAAGTTCACTAAATAATCTTCTCTGTGACGGTTGAGAAGCCCGCCCTGTGGATTGCGACACCAAGCTCCAGATTTCCACGGCACGTCTCCAATTTCGAGCTCTCCAGAAGCGGGTGAATGATAAAGTGCAACATTTTGATCCAAATCCTCTTGCAAGGGCTTGCTGGCAAATCGATATCAGCTTCGAGGGTTCTCGAGAATTAAGCTGAGATTCAGCGGCACGGAGAAAATCGTCTTCTGAAAGGCTATCTTCGGGGATTTGTTGAAACACCTCCCACATCCGACCCTGGTCTACAGTCTCTTTCGACCTGCTGAGGTAGGCACATAGCGCGGAGCGACATTCGGAGGGTCGTCCAGCAGCAATATAAAGCACCCATGCTCGATCGAAGTCGTCTTTCTGCCTTTCCAGCAAACTGATCAAATAACCCTTGGAAGATCTAGTTGCCTCCGCCCCAGCCGTCTCGGAGCTCGCTTCGTATGCGTTCGAATCCTCGACAATAATTGGCTTGGAGGGTGATGAGGCGTTCGATGTGTAGGGTCTCGAAAAGCCAAGCAGGGTCCTTTTCCTGCGGCGCAACCCCAGGCGCTTAGCATGTCGTGAAATGCGGGATACCGCAAACTCCTGGGTTCTTTGTGGATAGAGAAAATCAAGGAACGGCGATCCCCCATCGTTGGCAGCTTTGCTCTCGGCCGGAATGTGAAAAACAGAGGCCGAGGGCTGTTGACAAGGCGGCAGCACTAACGCGACGAAATAGCTGGCAATATCCCCTCCAACGGCATTGTGCTTCCAGAATTGACGAGAAAGGGTCCTTCGGGATCGAATGGCGCCATTGGGATCTCGAAGGAAACGCCTTCCCGCGCTCTCGAGGCAGCCGGCCGCTCGTTCGAGCATCACCCCCGATCGTCGCGGCGTCAAACACTGGAGTCACCTAAAAGGATCCACAGTCTGCATCATATCGTATATGGGGCCTCTAAAGTTGTGGATTGATGTCAGAAATCACTATTCGCGCAGTGTCTTTGCTAGCTCTGGCATCCAAATAAGCTGTTGAGGGTGGTGCCATACCTACCGGGACAAAAAAAGGATTGCAGACAATCTAGCGAAGGAAGCCCTGAGAGTCGACCTTCACAGGAATCACGATTGGCTAGATTGTCTCCAGCCCAAGGTTAGGGCGTTCAGTTGTGAGCAAAGGAAAGCAAAGCAAGAAAAATAGGCTGGAGAAGGCCAACCACGCAAAAGATTCGGAGGTTGGAAATTGCCGGGGACGTCGGGCCATTCGTTTGGCCGAAACGGGGCACCGCCTTCGCATACCCACCAAGTGAATCTGCGGACTTGACCCCCTCAATTTCGCGAATCCAACCCCAGCCATGGAGATCACCGATTACATCTTCAAGGAGCGAGAGGAGGTGCTCCTTGTGGGCGACTACAATGCCTACCGGGCGCATGCCACTCGCAAGCTGCACAAACTCCGCAAGAAGCTGGGACAGGCCACGCCTAAAGGCCGCAAGTACACTGCCAAACCAGCCGTGACTGCTGAGAATGTTGGAGCTAGTGTGTCGTAGGTGTTATTTACTTGCTTATTGCATGTACACTGTTGACTTGTTTCTACGTGCTCCCAGAAATGTGCATCTTCTGCTTCTCGGATCCGAACGAGCATGGGCGCAAGCCATGCATGAGAAATCGACACACTCCGCAGATCCGTCCGCCAAGGGTGTCTCTGGTGCTGCCAGACGTCATATCATTTCGCGACTGCAGAAAGCCACCGGTTATGCTCAACTTCTCGTGACATTGCTTCACGAGCAATCGGTCACCGGGGCCAGCGATATCGACATCCTCGAAGCTCGCGCTTATCTGGCTACAATTTCTGGTGCGCTGTGGCTGGAGAAGCGGAAATGGGACCAATGTCTACATGATTATGCCATCGCTCGGGTGATCTACACGGCATTGGGGCAGAGGGAGAAGAAGGATTCTTTCCGGGACCTCCTTACTGGAACCGTCGACCCCAGCCTGCGCTACGCTGCTTATCAGATGAAGCTTCCTCGCTCCAAGCCGACTTCGTCGTTAGCCATTGAATTCTTCCCCACTGATTCCAAGATTCGTGCGGAAGTCGAGAAGATCGACCCGTCTTGCCTCGCTGAAGAAGCCGCTGGAACGCGGAGGACTGCAGAGGGTGAAGTGCAACAGCTACCCGAGTCCGTGACTTGGAGATCTCGAACTGTCCCGCTGGACGATGCTTCTATTTCTCAGGCATTGGCCGCTGCCTCCGCCGCGGAAACTGGTCTCAGCGCTTGGTTGGCAGATGCTGGAAAATCTGCTACAGCAAAGGATCAAGCTGCTGCCTACGACAATGTCATTATTGCCAGTCAGGACGCAGTCGATGCCACGAAAAGTGCTATTGATGACCTGACCAACGAGGGTGTGGACCCTGGAGATAAGAGAATGCAGGCGCTCCAGATCACTCGGACGGCTGTCAACTACAGCCTTGTTGGATGGCGAGTTGGACGCAACCGTGTGCTGTGTGGAGAACAGGACGGCCTGACGTTCGAAGATGAGCCGACTGACCAGAGTGGCAAGGCTGTCAAGCGCAGCGCGGGCAATGGAAAGAAGCTGAACAAGCTCCGCGAGCGCGTAGTGCTGTATGATTCGACCTTGCAGAGTCTGGAGTTCATTCTGGAGCTGCCTGGTGTTGCTGCCGATACCGCATTTGTGCAGGATCTCGAGGCGAAGCGGCGCTACTTCCGGGCCCTGAGGTAGGTTTTGAGACTTCCTTTTTCCCCCGCTATGCATAACTGACGCTTTCTGTGCTCAGATGCCTCGCTTTGGGACGATCCCACGGCGTTCTGGGCAAGCCCACTGAGGCACTCGCCCTCTTCGCTCAGGCATTTGACCTCGCCAGCTCGGCCACCCCGCAGACTGCCGCCAGCTCCGAGGGCCCTCCCCAGCTGGAGGTCTCGCAGGCCCAAGCAAGCAACTTGGCATCGACTTTGCGCGGTCTTGTCGCTCAGTACCGCGGACTTGTGACGTTGGAGCGCCTGGATGCCGAGTCAGGCTCGAGCCAGCAGCGCCCACTGGTGGAGCGGCTGCACCAGTTCGGTGCCAAAACCGACCTCAGCAATCTGGTGCCGTACCCGCCCCAGATGCAACCTGTTCCTGTCAAGCCGCTTTTCCTTGACGTGGCTTGGAACTACATTGACTACCCACAGGCAGGGCAGCCGCAAGCGCAAGCGCAGGAGCAGGCCCCTTCCCCGGCGCCGGAGGAGAAGAAGAGCCGGGGATGGTTTGGGTTTGGTGGTCGGTGAGAAAAGTACCCAGTAATACTGTCGTTGATTAGGTAGGCGCCATGCATATCCACGTCGATTTTATGTACCCTCCTTGCCTTCGTACTACGTCCGTAACCGTTCGTGATGTTGTACTCGGCACAGTATATGCGGCTGGCCCAATGGGGGCCGCTCCTTAGTCAGAAGGCCGGCTTATCGGCGCACGTGCCGCCCGGAGCCCTCGTTCGAATTTGCATCCGCCAATCATGACGAGCGGGATTTGGCGAGCCGAGTCACGCTATTTCTCATGCCTAGCAGCGAATGGCAAAAGAGTTGGACCTGCAGGGTTTTGGGTGGACTATCGGGAGAGCCATAGATAGCGTCGTACAGGACCAGTGGAGGCGTCATCGCATCGCCGACTATCGCGGACTATCTAGCTTTCTAATCGTCAATCCGGGATGAGGAGAAAGGGTTGCTATAGTGATCACTTATAACAACATATACCCCTATCTCACCCTATAGCCCGTTCGAGATGGTGCCCGAGCATAAAACATAACACAAATTAACTATGCGGAGCCCAGCAGCAGAAACAATAACCTATGCATCTCTATGGCTTATGGCTAATGGCCAAGGCCCCGCCAGTCCTACCATGGCTGGCTTCCCCTGCGGGACCTGAGGGATCCGGGCCCGACGCCGGTGCAAATTGGCGTTCCCGCCCCTGACCAATTTCCTTTCTTCTTCTCTCCACCTCTCCAGCATTGATAGTCCGCGCCCATTCCTGGTCGCTGGATCTTTTTGAAAGAACAAAAAGAAAGAAAGGTCCTCCCATTTCTAGCGTCACCCGGCTGGAATTTCACCATAGTCAACATGACTGGGAGCTTTGCCTCGCCGTCGGCGGATGCGACCATCTCGCCGCAACTTTTCGCGCCGGCGGGCCTCGTCGCCTCTGTTCTGGATGGCTTCACCGTTTGGAAGCTGATCCTGACGCTGTTCATTGGTGCCGTCATTTACGATCAATGTAAGTCTGGTTTTCTCCAGAGTCTCCGAAAAGCTGCTCTTGGAATTTCAACGCGTCTTGGATCAAGTGCTAACGATCACCCCCTTTTCACTAACAACAGTCAAGTACCACTACCTGAAGGGCAAGATCATTGGTCCCGCGTACAAAATCCCCTTTATGGGCCCCTTCCTGCAATCCGTCAATCCCAAGTTCACCGAGTACAAGGCGAAATGGGACAGCGGCGAGCTAAGCTGTGTTTCCGTCTTCCATAAGTGAGCCACCCTACACCTCGATTTGGTAGTTGGTCTTCCCCGTATACGTTGGGTTTCAGTGTACGGTCGACACTTCAGAACTCAGTTGGCTAATATATGCGACAAAGGTTCGTCGTGATTGCCTCGACCCGTGACATGTCCCGCAAGATCTTCAATTCTCCCGGCTACGTCAAGCCCTGTGTCGTGGATGCCGCGCACAAGCTGCTCGGCAAGTCCAACTGGGTCTTCCTGGACGGCAAGGAACACGTCGAGTACCGCAAGGGCCTCAATGGCCTGTTCACCCGCCAGGCCCTGTCCAGCTACTTGCCCCGTGCCGAGGAGGTCTTTGACGAGTACTTCAAGCGCTTCGTGGACAAGTCCGCCGCCACCAAGCACACCCCCACTCCTTGGATGCCGGACTTCCGTGAGCTCATGACTGCCCTCTCTTGCCGCACTTTCGTCGGCTACTACATGTCCGACGAGGCCGTTCAGAAGGTCGCCGACGACTATTACCTGATCACCGCTGCCCTCGAGCTGGTCAATTTCCCTATCATTCTGCCCTTCACCAAGACCTGGTACGGCAAGAAGGCCGCCGATATGGTGCTCGAGGAGTTCTCCAAGTGTACCGCTAAGAGCAAGGCTCGCATGGCTGCCGGTGGTGAGGTTTCGTGTATCATGGACGCCTGGGTTAAGGCCCAGCAGGACTCCGCCAAGTACCGTGAGAAGATCGCCAAGGGTATCCAGGTCGATCCCTCCGAGAAGCCTCCTCAGGTTCTGCGTGATTTCTCCGATTTCGAGATTGCGCAGACTGTCTTCACCTTCCTATTCGCCTCCCAGGATGCCACTAGCGCCGCCTCTACCTGGCTGTTCCAGCTGATGGCCGACCGCCCGGAGATTCTCGACAAGGTCCGCGAGGAGAACTTGGCTGTCCGCGGCGGTGACCGCACCGTCCCGATCTCGATGGACCTGCTCGAGAAGTTGACCTACACCCGCGCCGTCGTCAAGGAGACCCTCCGCTACCGCCCTCCCGTCATTATGGTCCCCTACCTGGTCAAGAAGGATTTCCCCATCACCGACAAGATCACCGTCTCCAAGGGTTCCATGATCATTCCCTCGGTCTGGCCCGCCACTCACGATGAGGAGGCCTACCCCAACGCCGATTCCTTCGAGCCCGAGCGTTGGATCACTGGTACCGCCGAGCAACAAACCAAGAACTGGCTGGTCTTTGGCACGGGTCCCCACTACTGCCTGGGTCAGACCTATGCCCAGCTGTCGCTGATGGCTATGATCGGCAAGGCCAGTATGGAGATGGACTGGGAGCATACCCCCACTCCCCTTTCCGAGGACATCAAGGTGTTCGCCACCATCTTCCCCCAGGTACGTTCTTTAGACCATGGCAATTGTTTTCGTCCCATAAGTCAATAGCTAACACTCCATTTTCAGGATGACTGCCTGCTCACCTTCCGCCCTCGCGCATAATTTCTGGTCCACAGCCAACCCCAAAAGCACCAAGCTGGAAACCCCGGCCCCAACCTCCGGATAGAAAGGGCTCGGCGACGCTTTCAGCACGGTCTTTCTGTCCTGGAGATGGAGGGGCCTTTCTTTCCTCATTTCTTCTCTCACTTTGATTTGACAGGCATGGTTTATTTATCCCATTGGCAGACTCAAAAAGTCGCCACGATTGCCCCGGGCACTCAGTCGTCAGCTAGGAGCGACACTCTCGAAATAACCCCTAATACCCCTTGTGTATGGAAGCGGCCTATGTGGGATCGCTGCAGTTGAGCATTTTTCGGGGTGTTCTGTTTATTGTTTCTTTCCTGGTCGGGAGCAACCGTAGGGCCTTGTTAAGAATAATATTAATTCGGTTGTTTTTGTTTCTCTTTTTCTTTTGAATTGGTTCCATTGGGTTTGGGCCTCTGGATTGTACATAGTTGTATTCATGAGATTTGAGTATTATGAATGTCCAGGCGTGGTAGGCTCAACAATATATATAGTCGTTAGGAAAACCTACGCATCTCAGTCTACTCCCAACATACTTCCTTGATTGATTTGCGCATCAGTCTCTACGTAATTTAGTCGCCATGCAACCCCTACACCATATTTGTCGAATTCGTTGGCAGCTCTTTACCAACCTCAGAAATTGTTAGTTCCCTGAGTAGCTTATCTAGTTGACGGCGTAGTAGTCAGGAATTAATATTAGGAATAGATATGATATCTAGTTGAACGAAGACTATGTCGATTATTCGCTTTTTAGAAAATGAAGCAGTATTTCTGAATCTCTTTAACTCATTATCTAATACCTCGCGTACAAAACTTCTTAGTTATACAACGAATAGTTAACTACTAACTAAGTTACCTAGCGCCGCCTTTACTAATACCTCGGGCTAACTATTCGCCCGTTGCCGCGACCTCCGCCATATAATCCTTCTCCAACTATCTTAGGAAGGTTTGCTACGGATTGCGAGTGGCATGCTTAGGAAAAGGATCCTTTCGCCTTGTAAAACCCAGGAAATGGGAGCCAACTGTCAATGAGCACTCTGGTGGATATACAGTGGCTCGTTTACCATCACTTAGCGCTAGGATGCAAAAGCATCCACCTTGCAATAGAAACAGGTTTCGATTATTTACTTCACCTTCATACCCTCAAAAACATCCAGAAAAACCATTCGATGCAGTATATTGTACCCAGTACAGCCTGCAGTTACTCGACCTTTTTATTGGCAGACCCCAACCCAGCAGGCGGTCACATCCGGCACTGACATCACGGTATACCCGCAACCCATCGGCTTCACCTCCGAGAACCTCCCAGGTCCTATTCTACTCAGTCAACGCCTCAGATACCATGGTTGCATCCTTACAATTCGTTGCTCGGCGCTCAGCCGCTGCCATCACCTCCACTGCCACCAGAGCCTCTGCCCGCCAGACTCTCTCAGCCACCTCGCTCCAGCGCGAAGCTCTCTCCGTCGCCAGCCGAGGACTCAGCTCGGTTACCCAGAGACGCAGCTCTCTCGCGCCAACATGGTCGAAAAATACCCAGAGTACGCTCAGACTCCGCAAGGAAGTTCGGTGGAACAGCGGCGAGTCTGGCCCCGTGCTGCGACAATGGGGCTTTGAAGACGTACGTCAGATATCCACACCCTTCCCTCTTCTCACCCGGCCCCTACAAAACTACTGAGAGAAACGGCCATCTAACAGATAACCATGTCCAGATAAACGCATCCCTCCCCGCCTCAACTCCCTCCCCATCACACACCCCCGTAATCCTAATCGACGTCCGCGAACCCGCCGAGCTCACTGGCACCGGCATAATCCCCAACGCAATCAACATCCCGCTCGCCTCGCAGCCCGACGCACTCTACCTAACACCTGACGAGTTTGAGACAAGATTCGGGTTCCCGAAGCCGAGTGCGGATACGGAGCAGCAAATTGTGTTTTACTGCAAGGCGGGTGTGCGGGCGCGCCGCGGCGCAGTTGGCAGTTCAGGCGGGGTATGATCCTGAGCGTTTGGGCGTTTATGATGGCAGCTGGTTGGATTGGGAGAGGCATGGGGGGAAAACTGAGCGGTGGGATGGAGATGCGTGAATAATAGGAGAGAAGGTGCATGGACTAGTATTGGTAATTTGTACATAGTGAATGGGGTTATGTGGGCTATAAAATGAGCTACATAGGCTGTACGATGACTGTCCTTAGTGTAGATGAAATGTTACTGTGGAGAAGGGTAAGAGGTCTATGGAAATGTGGTCCAAGTCTAACAGTGTGTCCATTAAAAAGAGCAACTATAACAAAAAAAATATTTCTGGTATCAAAACCAGTCAGGGGCCCGCTTTTCTTCCCATGTCATGTACAGAAGACTTGACATCAACTTTTTGAGCCTGGTCCATTCAAGTCGTGGTCATTCATTGGTATGTCCATATCATATCGCAATCAAAAACACAATATAACTTTTCCCGCTTTTTCGATGGCAATAGTCATGTCCCGACATTCTCAGTCGTTCCCACGAGGTTGTGCAAAAATGCCGCATCAAGCAGGTCAGGGGACTATTCCCTACGAGGCATTGTTGTACGATGGGCCAGGGCTGGGTCATCCCGGGGAGAAAAGTAGGTTCTGTATTGTCGGCGGAGCGCCTCCCGTTCAAGGAATGTCGAAGACAGGCTTCAGCTTCTTGACCAGAGCCCACTCCTCCATGGTGACTTCAGACCGGTAGAACTCCTTCAGGGTGTCGATACTGGCACGCGAGATGTGCGAATACAGTTGGTCCTTCTCTTCCAGCTGGCGGCCGTACATGGGCTGGTTGGGTCCCTCGACCTTGATAGCGACGGAGGGCTGGCCCTTCTTGCAGACTGCGATGGCCTTGTGGTCACGTTCGATGGATGTCCTGCAATATTTGTTAGCAAGAGTACACGACTGGATAAGCTAGAAGTGAGTGGTGTGGTCTTACACTCTGCCAATGTCAACAATCTCCTTGACTCCGGCGGCGTTGGTACGGACGGCCGCGAGCGGAGTGTGCATCCGCAGGCTTCCCTCAATGACATCGATACCAATGACGATGGGGTCCTTCTTGTTGAACACAGCAACAGGGCTGATAACGCAAGGGAAGATAGCGAGCAATTTGCTCTCCTCCTTACGCTGCTCGGTCAGTTCAGCCATGTGCTTGGTGAAATCATCGAACAGGTGGTAGATAATGTCTGCAGTGAAGATCTTAACGCCAACTTCGGCAGCGTAGGCAGCGGCTTCCTTGTCGACCTTGACGTCGAAGCAAAGCATAACAGCATACTCCTTAGCCTTCTCAAGCATCGTTCCGGCCATCATGACATCACGCTTGTAGACAGGACCAATAGAGATGTTTGCCACAGGAATCTTAGAGGCCTTCAAGAACTCCAGGAGGGCTTCCAAGGAACCCAAGGTGGAAGCCTGGACGGTGACACCGCGGTTGTCGGTGGCGACACGGCTGAGCAGGTTCTCCAGATCGGACATAACCTCGTCCTCCACGTCCTCCTCGTCGTCATCTGGGCCGACAACAAGCAGACGGGAACCAGCGATAGCGTGCTCCAGGTCGTTGGCGGCGATCTTGACACCAAGGGCGGCCTTGACCTCCTTGTTGTGAACGTACTGCGACTTCAGACGCAATTCCTTAAGTGGGGCGGGCGTCAATAGTGCACGAATATTCGTTGTTATAGGTCCATTGAGGCCGCACAGGACAATGCGATCACCTTCGCGAAGGATACCGTTGGACAAGATGACGTCAATAGTGGTACCAAGACCTTCGATAACCTTCACCTCCAGAACAGTACATTCAACCTCAGACAGATACATGAGCGAGTTGGTCATACGCTCCTGACTCAGGGTGGTCAGAAGCTTCAGCATGTCGGGAATACCCTCGCCAGTGTGGGCGGAGGTTGGCACCAGGGAGACATTGCGAGCCATGGACTTGTTTTCGTAGAAGAGCTCGGAATTGAAACCCTGTTCGGCGAAAGCAAGCTTGGTGGCCTCCAGACGAGAGCGGAACTCGTTCTGGACACCCTTGTTCTGCATGTTCAGACTATCCTCGAAGCCGTTGTTGTCGATTTTCTTCCAGCCGTACAGACGATCGATCTTGTTCAGGGCCACAATGAAGGGAGTGCGTCGGTCACGCAGCAAGCGCATAGACTCCAAGGTCTGGGGCTCGAGACCGTGCATGATATCGACGACCAGAATGGCGATGTTACAAAGCGAGGAACCTCTTGAACGAAGGTTGGAGAAGGACTCGTGACCAGGGGTATCGATGACCAACAGACCTGGGACCTTGAATTCGAACTTGCCGTCCTTGTTCACGACAGCAGTCTTCTGCTGCAGGGCGTCGACAGGGAAGTATGTAGCACCAATCTGCTGGGTGATACCACCAGCTTCGCCTTCTTGCACATTGGTCTGACGAATCTTGTCCAGAAGCTTGGTCTTTCCGGTATCGACGTGACCAAGAATACAGCAAATGGGCGAGCGGAGGTTGTCCTTGGAACGAGCAGCCATGGCCTCCTCGTGCTGTTTCTTTCTCCTCTCCGCGGCCTCAGCCTTGCGCAGAGCGATGGCCTTCTTGTTGGCGGACTGCTCCTCGTCCTCAGAGTCCTCCTCAGAAGAAGAGTCTTCTTCAGAGTCGTCCTCATCCCCTTCTTCGTCCTTGGCCTCTGCGGCGCCATTGGTAGCAGACTTCTCGTCGTCGGTAGAAGCATCCCAGCTGTCCTTGACGTCGTCGTCAGCCTCGGCGGCTTGCTCCCAGTCATCAACGGCATCTACATCCTCTGCCGGAGCAGACTCGACCTTAGCCGCAGCCTCAGCCTTGGCCTTTTCCTCGGCCTCCTTCTTCCGGCGCTCATCTTCAGCTTCACGCAGAGCACGAGCCCGCTCGGCAGCAGCCTCAAGATCCTCCTCTGGCTTCTTGACACCCTTCTTCTTGCGATTCTCGTAGACAGGACGCTTCTTCTCGGCGCCGGGCTCCAGACCAGCAACCTTGCCACCAGCGGCCAACATCTGCTTCATACGCATCTCGTTCTTTAGTTGAGCCTCCCTTTGAGCCTTGGTTAACAGTTTGCCCTCCTTGCGAAGCTGTTCCTTCTTCTCACGCTCCCTCTCCTTCTTTCGCTGACGGGCCTCCTCGCGCTTCGCTTCCTCCTCGGCTTCCAGACGTGCTTGCTCTTCCAGTGCAGCCTGTTCTTCAGCTGCAAGACGCTCTTCCTCCTCACGCTGTAGGCGAAGCAGCTCCTGTTGCTTCTGAAGAGCTGCGAGACGAGCAGGGAGCTTCTTGGCCTTACCAGCAGGCTCTGCGGCAGCCGAAACGGGTTCTGGTTCATCCTTCTTGATTTCGGCGGCAGGCTTGGAAGGCGCAGCCTCAGCAGGAGTGGTCTTCTTCTTTTGAGCAGCCTATGTCGCGGGTATGGGGTCAGTAAAGCCGAACCTGGATAGAATAGTAAAATGAAGATCTCCCACAAACATACCTGCTCCTTCTTACGCTGCTTCTCACGCTCCTTCTTTTCCTTCTCCTTCTCCTTCTTCGACTTCACGCGGAACTCGCCATCATCAGCCGCCGCGGGAGGAGGCACATCCTTGACGGGTTTCTGGGCTTTGCCAGCGAAGACATCATCCTCGTCTACAGTACCCTCCTCTGGCTGCTTGCTGGCTAGATCGGCGCCGGCATCCTCGCCCTCAACGAAGTCGTTGACGGGCTTGCCCTTCTTGGCCTTGCGGGCCTTGTTCTTACGGAGGGCAGCCATCAGGCCACCGCCACCGGACTCTTCTTCAGCGTCATTCTCGCCGCCGTCCTGGTCCTGGCCCTCCGCGGGAGCCTCAACGTTGGAGGCAGTCTCGCCGAGCTCGGCCTCCCAGTCCTCCTCCTGGCGCTTGTTTCCCTTCTTCTTGGGCGCCATTGTATCGGGTGCTTGTTCTTGTGTCTTTTATGGTTCTTCGAAATCCGAGTCGAGGGGCGATCGGAGGAACGCAGTGGGCGCACAAACGGAGCTAACCGTTCACTTGCGGGCTGCGGGTCGCCGAGGGAAATGTACGGCGAAAAGTCGGTAAAGGAGTAGAAAAAGACGAGTTCTATGCACCAAATTCGAATCCCCGGTAAAGAAGGTCTGATTTGGTAGGCCAAGGGAGAGGGGTGGGTGAGGAAAAGAATTTCGGGAAGAATCCATCGAATGGTGGGGAACAATGCTGTTTGACTTCACCCGCGGTCTTCCAAGATTGCCACTGTCCACAACAACCGCCTGACAGCCTCATTTGGTTTGTTATCTAATTGTGTCATATGAACGAGCCTGTAATAACATATTACATGTTTCTACGTCTTTTTTAATTACACTTGCAGATACAAGTGCGAATAGAACGTATTTTCATATTCTAACGGACCTCGACTAGGTTCATCTCTTTTCGCCGCACGGGGAAAATCATAATAAACGACTGCCCGCATCCAAAGAAAGAAATCACGAGAAGTGGCTGAAGTTGAGATGCCCCGGATACATAGTTAGTTACGCATCAAATCTCGACGTGAAGCAGCTGCCGAAGCCATCCCACGACCTGATGGACGTAGTTGTCTGAGGGTCCCAACACTTTGAGCGCGGCGTTCCGCATAAAAGAGTCGTATGTTGGGTATGAGTCTCGCTTTTGATCAAGGGCATTGATCCGGTCCTCGAGATAGTCTACCCTGCGCTGAGCTAGACGCTTCAGAATATCCCCGTCCACCTGGCAATTGTCCCTCCTAGGATCAGCCCAAGAGAACCTCTTGCGTTTCTCGCGCGCACTCAGGGACGTGTAAAGGGTTTCGTCTCTTCGGCATATATCCTGCAAGGCTAGGAGAAGACGGACTTCATCCTCTCGAAGGATTGAGAAGCGGTAGACCGCTCCGTTGAGAGCGACACCGTAAATCGCACCGCCTCTCTCCCGGGGCGACTTTGGGAGATGATCGATCTTGGAGCTAGGAAGAAATTGCAGAACGGAGTCAAACAGGGAGTTGTCTTCCGGTGCTGGGGTGGTGAGAACCTGATCCGTGTGAAGTTCGGTGCTACTCAAAAGTTTTCCGACGCGAATGCTTCCACCGCGGGCGCTCAAGAACGCAAGAGAGGATTCACCAGGCGTCACGTAGTGAGTCAATCCGTCAAGTGGCCTGGAATCATGACCAAGAAGCGTCAGGAAGTGGAGTCCGTGCCCATCGTCCAGGACTTCTAAGATAATAAATCCGTGCCGTGCGGTAGTGACGTAGACGAACGGCTTTGAAACAGTGATGGCCACCGCTGGGGAAGGGATTTCTTTCCAGCCTCTCGAAGCCCATTTGATCGTCGCTCCTTTGGGAGCCACTGGACGGATGGTCTTTCCTGCGCCAATAAGAAGTGTATTGTCATAGGCTGCGATTGCACGCACCGGGCCGTCAAGGCAATCCTGGACATGTTTTGTCACGAATCGCACCTCGGAGGGATCATTTGGATCTCGAGTCGCGGACACGAGGATAAGTCGACCTCGCAGTCCGAGATCCATTGTCCCCGATATTCCTGTTCCGATTGCAACGAGGTGATACATGTGACCCCCTCTTTCAAACACCCAGTCCATTATGCAAGTGATCTTTTCTCCCCGAGAGGTGTGAGGGAGAGGAATGAAAGACTGGTCTGGTGAGTCAACAGGTGCCTGTGTATCTGGACGTACGAATGCAAGCCATGAGCGCATAGTAATATCACCTGGCCTACTAGGATCTTCGACTTCTGCCATATCGTAAGACATGATAAGTCTGTCGAGGTGACTCGAATATACTAGCTTCCTAGTGGTGCCAGTCACGCCTATCCGGCGAGGAACGATCTTGGCTTCACGATCCAAAGAGCAAATCAGAAGCTGTCGGTCTGCAAAGCAGAACAATGGACCCAACGAAAATTGAGTCTCTAGACCTTGCGAGTTGATAAGTCCAAAGCCATGAATCCCGATAGGGAAGTAAGCAGGCTAGATTTGGAGTGAGCGGCTATTCGATATCGATCAGATGAATGGCTGATTTGCACTTACATTGCTCTGATCTGTGATCCAGACTCGCGAGAGGAAGCATTCATTCGGGACGCCGTCGGCATTAATTGATACACGCCACAACTCGTTGTCGCAGATCAACATGGCAAAGGCACCCTTACTCTGGAGTCGAAGCGATGTCATTCCAACATGCTTCGGTGGCATTTGATTTAAACCTAGACCTGAACATCAGTCTTGTTCAAAAGTATTTCCTTTGAATGCCCAGGCTCGGAACATTTGACGGACTTACCGATCAGAGTACGGGCATTGAAGTCAATCTGAAATGGCACAAGTATGCCGCTGCGCAGGCCGCACAACAGATGTGCGCGCAGAACACCATGGTAGGTTTGGCGGATCATGGCAAGACTATCGATGGCTCTAGAAATGTCGTCGGCTCGGTCAACTGAGATCTTGGCATCCAAGAAGAACGTAATGGTCTCCTGCTCGACATGGAAGACTGTGATTGTGCCATCACCGTCGCCCATAAAAGCAAATGTTGTTTGTCCCAACGTCTGAAGGGACATACACACGGGCTCTCTGTTGATTTCAACTGATTGGGTAGTCTCCAGACGAACATTGGCATCATCCACGACAACCCGTGTGAGGAGAAGTCTAAGCTCATTGTTACTTCGAATAGCGGTAATCACCGCCGAGCTTGGACCATCAACAGCCACCGCAACAACGGTAGAAGCAGGCGGATGTGGAACGCATGCATTTAGAGAGATATCGTCAGGGACGAAAAGGTGTGTGGCTTTTTCTGTGACCTGAATGAGGACGCCCGTAGGTGTGCAGCCCGCTGCCAGGGTTTGTGCGGTATCAAGGCCAGTTTCTGCCTCGTCAAGTGCGCTTATTCCATCTTCAAGACTTGGGTTCATGTAGAGAAGCAAGGTGGACATAGGATCGGAGATCAAGACATAGACGGCCCCGCTGGCGTCGTAACTGATAGTCCACAAATCCCGTATGCTTGACATATCATCGAGAGGGACTGTAATTCCAACCTGGGCTTCGAAACCATACCGAAGTTCATGAAGTGCGCTGCCACCGGAGGCAGATGCAGAACAAACAAATAGACGATCTCGCGACACGTCGCATTGAAGCTTTCCATGGGTCTTTGATGGCACTATAACAGCATCCGTAACAGGGGCCCAGTTGAGGAACCTCTGAACACATTGAGGTTTGTCTCGTGCTTCTTGAATGAAGAGGCCGCCATCTCCCATGCTCCCGGCAGCGAGAATGAAGTCACCTCCCTCGTGACCCATGTCCAGGACATCAAATGCAGAATCGACGTCACAGTGAAGCTGACCCAAACTAGTTTGGGTTTCTAGTGCACCTTCGTTACCGAACTCTAGATAATAGATCCAGCCATCTTCGCGGCAAAGATAGATGCCGTCGTATTTCTGGCTATAAAGCCAGTTGCGAGCGGGTCGTGCCCATTGGGTCCACAAAGAAGTCTCTTTGAAAATGGCATCGGGTGCTATGAGCGGATATCTGGTGGGTCGAGCATGCGACGAGTCGGAAGGGTACACTGCCATGGATATGCTGGTGACGACCAGAAATGCAGACTCCTTGGTCAGTGGCACGATCATTGTGGGCAATCTATCCTCCTTTCGGAGTTTGAACTCGGTACACCTTTGACGAAGTAGTGTGGTGTCGTCCTCGTCCCATTGGAAAATCCTGGCAAATGAGCCTTCGGCTCCAGATGTGATGATAAGCAGAATAATTCGCTTGTCATCGGCGGTCCTTGGATACAGAAACTCCATAAATTGGATAGTTCCATCACAGCTGTAGAAGTGTTCCTGCAGAAGTCCCAATCAATATGAATGTAAAACGTATGAATGTACCAAGACATACCCGCTTGATAGGATCGAGCTTCCCTTCAGTCATCTGCTGCTGAATTTCCTTGGGAGACTTGAGAAGAAACAGTCCAAAATAGTGGTTCGAGGCACTGACAGCGACTGCTCGTGATCTACACATGGTTTAGCTCAGCACCTCTGTGAATCCTAAAAGAGGATCATACTCACTTTGGGTCCACGGCGATATGCTTGCCGAACCTATCGGCGAGGTCGACGTCAACCGGCAAAGGCCGGCGGTGTGTAACGAACTTGTCTTCCCCAGAAATTGGACAGTAAAGGAACTGAAGCTCTTTCATCTCCAGTGAAAGCACGAGAATTTGAGAAGGGAGGCGGTCGAGGACTTCGAGATCATCTTGAATATCGACGCCAGTTGTATGTAATTGCGTCTCCCATGGAAGTTGGGTGTTCACATCGATTACCTTTGCCCCCACGATGGGGTGATCAAAATCGTTCTTCTCAGTGACATCTTCAAGAAAGCCACCAGGGGAAGCTTGTTTGATCTGCACCCGGCGTTGGCCCACAAATACAACATCATTATGGTGCTTGCTGCGGAGACGGGCGGGAAGAATCCACTGGACGATAGGGCTAGGGAGGATAGTTTGGGTGAAGAGGCCAGTGACTTCACGCGCCGAGCGCGTGAGAAACTGTTCCTCCTCCATCTCAGACTCAAAAATGATCACTGAATGATTATTGAAAGTATTTTTCTAGCCACAAGTGAGTCGTGTTGAGAGGGATTCATGAAGTGATAGAGAGTTGAAAGGCGAATCGTGGGATTTTGAAAGGCAGGAGACGAGGGCGATGAGGTTTCAGTTGAAGAAGAGTCGCCAGAATCAACCGGGATTGTGTAAATATACCCTGAAGCCAAGCGCGGATATAACAGTCCTAAACGGGAGGACTACTAATAAATATTCAAGTGGACAGCGGGGGCTGTATTCAGTTCACGTTGTGCCAGGATATCCACCCTAAGAGAACGCCACTTAAGAGTGGAAGACGTCCAATAGTGCGTTGAAATGAGAGGGCACACTGAAATCTCTGAACTTAAATGAAAGGATTGGCCAATCTTGCTGATCGTTGTAGTGGACCATAGGTCCAAGGCAATGGCGCTTAACACAGTTGTTCAACCCGTAAATGCCAAAGTGACGGGATTGTATATGAATGCAGACACAATACTTTTATTGCTAGTCTGGAATACAGTCTCGATTGGCATCGACTGATTCATGGCAATCCTTGGGCTTTATTTTTCTTCAGATCCCTATGATGAACGTTAATATATGCAAGTTCCCGTATAAACGCGGTGATCAAATCCTAGGACCTACAGCTGATGAGCCAGCAAATGCAAATTGTGGATCTTTTAGATCCTTTATGAAGCCATATCAGAGGCTTTATCCTCCTTCACTCTCCACAAGTCGACCAAGTCTAGTTTGTGGCTGAACGTTGTTTAAAGTAGCTCTGGTTGTGAGCTACACGCACCGCCTGCGGGGTGATTTTTGGAAAGGCAGTAGGACCCCCGGACTCCAAGGCAGTGTGGTAAACAAGTGGCAACTGCGTTGAACTTGATTCTCTCTCGATTTCTTGCCGCGATGCCCTCCAAGATCAGCCGTCGATGCACTTAGGCGTAGGAACCGGCGCTACCGTCCCGTGTTTTGTAGGTGGGAGGGAATCACGTTGTTTGGTGCCTCAGGCTACGAGGTGGGACCGCCGCCGTTCTGACTCTGGGCAAAGGTGCGTTGCTGGCTTCATTTGCAACAGACCTTTTCAAACAAAAAACGATCACGCCGCCCATAATTGGCCTCCGGTATCCATTTCGAAGCTTACAGTGACCTGGCTCGGCTTGAAAATCGTTCCTTTGTATCTTCACTAGGGGTGCCGACGGTTATCGACGCCGCGGTCATTGAACTGTATCCCTGGGAAGTCGGATACATGAAAATTGCCCTTGATCGGATGGCCTGATAAAATATTACGGTTTTCATAGCAAGCTCATTTCCCACTCAAGCCATCCTACCGTTGTACAAAAGCTCTAGACACCTGAGCTAGCAATGGACCCATCAAACGCGAACCCACGCGATAGCAGTTCTGGAACAAGGCTAGTCTCATATGACGAGAAGCAGTCGTCCATATCCAGGGAGCCGTCAGAAGAATCGGTCGGGGCCCAACAGCGGGCCAATGTCAGAGCGGAGAAAGCAGCCGCTATCCGCCGCGCATGCGATGCGCGCGATGTGGAAGCGTTGGTCTTGTATGCCACCAGTGAAGGCGGATTGCTGGACGACGAATTGAGACAGATAGCATGTAAGAAATCGAAAAAGTAGTGGGAGGTGAGTGGGAGTAATGTCTTGATACAGGGCCGATTTTCTTACAATGTGACACAAACTCACGACCTGACGACTTGAAACCCCTAAACGACTTACCACGACATGCCGACGAGGACCAAGTACAGCTTGATGTCAACCGGTCTTTTGTCTATTATCCTGCTGGTAAGTCTGACGAAGATACTGGTGAGTGATTGAAGATGACTGACCGGTTAGCTAGTCCCTGAGGAGGAGCTCTTAGAAAAGAAAGAGCAATTATCGGACCTAATCACGCTGATCCTGAGGAACTATCCTATGCTATGCTATTTCCAAGGATATCACGATATCGTGCAAGTCTTGCTTCTGGTACTAGGGGCCCAGAAGGCTGCGTCGGCCATGGCGCACGTATCCCTCTTCAAAATTAGGGACTATATGCTCCCGTCGCTCACTCCAGCCTTGAAACATCTACAGCTGATTCCTGCAATTGTCGGAACCGTCGATCCCGCACTGTGGAGGCATCTCGCGAATATTCAACCCTTTTTTGCCCTTGCCGCGACCCTCACTCTCTATGCTCATGACATTCAAGAGTATAGCGATATTGCCCGTTTGTTCGACTTTCTTCTTGCTCGGGAGCCAGTGGTAGCTATCTACCTGTTTGCGGCGATCATCCTCTCCCGAAAGAAAGAACTATTGGATATCCCGGTGGATGAGCCGGAGATGCTGCACTTTACTCTGTCCAAACTGCCATGTCCACTTAATCTGGATGGACTTATCTTGAGTGCATCTCAGCTTTTCAAAGACAATCCCCCCGAGTCGTTGCCTCTTCGCGCGTGGAAACGTATTCCAAACTGCAGCGTACTCAAAACCTCGCGAGATTCATCTCAACCATACAACGTCGAGGAAGCCATACAATTGTTCCAACAACAAACACGGCAGCTGCAGGATGAGGAGCGTCGGAAGCAAGCTCTCGAGTTCGCGTGGAAGCACCGGAGGACGGTCGGATCTGTGGCATTAGCTATACTGGTTGGCGCTGCATCCATCTACATCCGAAGAAAGAGTCTTGATTTTTCATTCTGGTCCTATGTCGGCCAACTTCAGGCCATGCTCAAGGGCTGAACTCGGTCTTCAGAACCTCTCATAGACAACTAGCTTGGATTTATTGATCTGTACATTATTATTCAACGAAGCGAACGTGAAAAATATGTGTCCCATCCTTTACAAGGATATTCGAAAACCAAGCCTAGCTACTGTTGTTTGTGCTGCGAGGCAGTGTGTGTACCTAATCCATGCACGGACGGCCCGCAGAGTGGCTAAGTGTGGCGTTCCGTCCGCCGGCAAGCTGATGTGTACACTTCTACCTCTCCGATAACACGCCAGCTCTCCAACTCAATCCACACCATGGCGAACCGGGGCTACGACGTGGTTGTAGACGTGGATGCCGAGGTAGGTGCAGCATCAATCGGCTTTACCATCTTCAATTCTCACAGCATAACAGGGCGACCTCGGGCATACCGACCTGCAAGAGGACCTTGAGTTCCACCCGTCCAGTGAGTCCCCTCCGAGCGCACAACCGACGCATTACATCGAAAGCTCTAACCACTGAACTTTTCAACACGCAGACTTCGAGAACGATCAACGCAGCCCCAAGGTTCATGGCGATTCGGCACCGTTCCTGGGAGGCGGATCCTCGCGTGGCCGTGACCGGTCTCCAGGCGGCACCCCGACCAAGCACAGCTGGTGGTCGATCCACTACTACGAGCGATTTTTTGACGTCGACACAAATGAGGTGCTGCGGCGCTGTATGGCCGCCCTTTACCCACGATCGAACTTCCTGGATGTCCTCGAGGGCAACGCCGATCTGTACGGACCCATCTGGATCGCGACTACCGTCGTGGTCATCCTGTTCCTGACAGGAACTATCTCGCAGTGGCTGTCGAACAATGACGACGAGCACTTCGAGTATGACTTTACCCTGTTATCTGGTGCGGCGGGCCTGATCTATGGATACACCGGTGTGCTGCCTATTGCGCTATGGGGTGCACTGCGCTGGTTCGGGAGCTCGACGGCTGACCTGATCGAGTGCTGGGCACTGTATGGATACTCGAACTTGGTCTGGATCGGCATTGCGCTTGTCAGCTGGAGCCCGCTGACTGCGCTGAACTGGGCGCTTGTTGGTGTTGGCTTTGCGTGGACGGTCTTCTTCCTCCTGCGGAACCTGTACCCGGTCCTGAACGCTACGGATGCTAAGGCCAGCAAGATATTGTTGATCCTGGTTGTCGTGCTGCATGCGGGCCTGGCTATTGCTATCAAGATTCTCTTCTTTGCGTGAGTTGCCCTCGTTTTGTTCGTTGTTAATCTACCGCATTCTGACATACTTTCTAGCCACGGGAGCCCTGTGTCGAAGAAGAACAAGGTGGATCACAATGATAACGATGATGATAAGCGGCGGGTGATGTTCTAGTCATGAAGGGACATTGGTGACGTGTAGGACAATTGGTTTTAAACGGTTCTGGACATCTCGTCGACATTGCTCAGGTAGCACGTGGTTCCGTTTTCTTACAGGCGTTGTATTCCACACGGGTGATGCATGTATTCTATTTGTCATCGCTAGCCGTCAACGGCTGGCGTGGTTTCAATCGGAATTGTATTTGCACTTGAATTGTTAAGTATGGCTGATGCTCCAACTTGTAGCTAATTCCTCGGGTGGTACAACGTAATGCGTGTATATATATTAGGTACCTATGGGTACTCGCCTAGGCACTCTTTCTTACACATGGAGATGATTTAGTAGGTACGGCATTGCTTCTACCTACCTAACCGGTCAGACTATATATCTCTTATCGCTCGTTTCGCAGTCTTAAGTCCCAGATATATATTTCAATTACATCATTGGCCCATTTAGCACGGACCTGCCTGGATCATCGCACCGGAGATCAAACCTGGGTCGTAAATAGACGAAACTAAATATAGACACTAAAGTTCGATCCTACGTTCTACTTTCGGCTGGGCCGGATGGTAACGAAGAAGGGTCAAAGGCTGGGAGATATATGTATGTTTTGAACTTTTACTTCAATTCATGGATTGCGACGTGAAAGCCGGGAGGCGCCAACTAAAGATAGTATGACTGTGGCTGTGATTGTCTCATCATTTCTAACGCCATATGAAAACCTCTCCGTGTCGCAGTCCAGCCAAACCCCAGACCTGGATTCTGCACCACAGCGCACCGAGCACAACACCGAAAAGCGAATCGTCTATTTCAGCTTCTTCTTGGGGCGGAGCTGGTTGGTGTGGCCGCACTTTCTCTTACGGCAGTTGGTGGCACGAGGGGGGAGACGGGCCTATAGAAAATATGTTAGCCTTTCGATCAAGATCGTGGGTTTGCGACGCCCAGCAGGAGGAATTGTCGAATAATGCAGGAGAGCTTCTCGACGCCTGCGCGTGGAGGGGTAGGGTGCACGTACGTAGCACTTGCGGCAGATGGACTTCTCGCAGTTGTACTTGGAGGCAAGGGCCTTGAGGGAAGGCTCAATAATACCACCACGCAGGCGCAGGACAAGGTGGAGGGTGGACTCCTATAAAGTTGAATCCGAGGTTAGTCACAAATTCCAAGTATGTCGCAGTCCTGAATCCGGCACAGATGGATATATCTCCTCCTCGTTTGTATCACAGTGAACAATATGCAAAGTTGTAGTTTGCATATTGAACCACGATTCCACCGTGAATACACCCAATGCCCATATCCGATCCATGCCGTCATCAAATATAAAATCTGGGTCCACATCATCGTACCTTCTGGATGTTGTAGTCGCTCAGAGTGCGGCCATCCTCGAGCTGCTTGCCGGCGAAGATCAGGCGCTGCTGGTCAGGGGGGATGCCCTCCTTGTCCTGGATCTTGGTCTTGACGTTGTCGATGGTGTCGCTCGACTCGACGTCGAGGGTAATGGTCTTACCCGTCAGGGTCTTGACGAAACTATATTGAGCCGTATTAGCCCACACTCTTTCCTTTCAATTCCGGGTGCATTTGGTGCGAGTTGGCGGGCCGTCGGTGGGCAATTCGCGGGCATGAGGCATTTGGAGATTCAAGGAGACGTACATCTGCACTAGAAACACGCGGAAAAAAGAAAACGTTAGCTTATGAGTTCACACGGGTCACAGGAATGCGTCCAGGCGCGTTTCACGATACGTACTGGTTGCGATATTTCGTTGGTGTCGGCGGTCGGTCGCTGAGTTCGAGGCGGAGGAGGCGATGACAATTTGAGGAATTCTCGCTTAGCAAGGGTGGGCAGATTCGCGGGCCGGCGTTGCCCTAAGCCCTAGTCAGCGGCTGCCGTTTGAGGTTGCATCACGTGAGCAAATCGCTCCCGCCGGTTTTGGCCCAGCCGTCATCCGAACTATAACTAACTACAACAGCTCGCAGAGAAATGATCAGCAGCCTACCCTACTCGCCGGAAACTTGTCAACAAGATCATGAATTTGGGCATGCAACCCCCACTCGAAGAAGTTCAAGTCAATTGATTTCCTAGAAGGAATCCATCGATTCAAGTTTACCTAATGGACCAATCTATTGTCTAAAAGCTTGGACATGATGGTTAATGGGCAAAGCACATTCCATGATCAACATCTGTCAACGAAGGAAATGGTTAAATATCAATCAAGCCTAATCTTATATTGCAAGTAATATATTATGATCCATCTCCAACACCCAACTCATCCAGCTCCTCCAGCTCCTCCATATCATCGGCACTGTCGTCATTTGCACCCTCCATATCCAGATCCATTGCCAGACTGAAATATTCCGCCCGTCGCTGATCTTCTATAGTTTTTGCAATTCTCCATTCAGTTACATTGACAGCATGGAGGAGCGCCGGCAAGGAGATAGCCGCGAGCTGCGCAGCCAGTTTGTAAAAAGCCCTGGCCGTCTCGGGGAGTTGCGATTCCCATCGATATCGCCGGTACCAAGAGCCCGGTCGGCGTTCGTCTTCTTCTTGATCCGGATCGACCTTTTTTGGCTTCAGTTCTTGCATGACTGTGCGTACGAGGACATCCAGGGCTTCTTCTGGGTCAGCGGCGGTCGCTAGGGTTGAAGCCGGCATCGGCTGCCGTTGAGCGGCTGTATCTGTCGTCCGGCTGGTTGGGAACATATCTGCAACTGGATTCATGGTCCGGGAACTATCTATCCAGTTGCTCTCATACCAGTCCATATACTCGTCGAGCTGACTGGGTGCCATGTTCAGTACATCTTTATCAGTGAGCTGAATGACTTGGTCTTTCCCAATATTTCCGCAGGCAATTTCACGATTATCGAAGTGATTCTGGGATCGCACCCACAGGGGCCATTCTATAGCTTGAGTGGCGGGCTCTTTGGCTGTGGCGGGGTGCCTTTCCAGATCGTCGAAAGGGAAGAGTAATTTGGTGGCTATAACGACGAGCGCCATCAACTGGACTTCCGGTAGGTGTAGTGTCTGCTTCCGTTTGGTGCCTTGTGCCGGTGCAGAAAATGCATAGGTAAAACCAACGAGGCCTTTCAAGGTCTTGACCGTCTCATACACGTCAACTGGTAATATGTTAGGTTCAGCTATTTGGTAAATTATTGGATGAATTGTCTCCATACTTGGGACAGCAAGTCTCTTAATGTGACGATATAGGATAAGAGATGAGTTTAAAGGCGGAAGAGCGATCTCAAACCGACGCTGGTAATGAAGTGCAAGCTGCACGAAACCCCGATGTAGAGTTTCTATTCTGGGAAGTTGCTTTTGGAGAACAAATTAGCTCTTAGTCTTGATCAAAGTGAACGGGTTACATAGATTGCTCACATGAATATCTAGTCTTGCAAAAAATTCAGGAGGAAGTTTATCTCTCATTTCGTGAGGGATAGCCCTTGTAGCCCGAATATAAGGGACATCCTGGCGTATTATCAAGCTATACACAAACCGAGGGTTAATAGACATAAATGAGATGAGTAGTATGCTCATTGCTAGGAGACTTACCGGTGAAAGTCGCTGACACAAACAGGTAGCCGCATTAGAACGGCCGCCAGATAGCAAAGGCCGACAGAATCTAAAAGACGAGGCCACTCAAGAAACCTCCCTCTTGACTTGAAGCCTGGGTCGTCGGAGGTATCTGTCTCAGGCTGGGAGCTAAAGAGTTCCCTTTCGTCATCATCATCATCGTCTGCGGTTGCATTGATCCTCAGGGCGAAGTCTTGTAGCCTGAAGCCCCACAGATCACGAACCACGGCCTGAAAAATGCTGTGAGATTCTTTTGCTTCTTTCAATCATACAGGTACTTTCGTAATAGACCTACCTCGAACTGCACGGGAAATCCATGATCGTGGACTAAAGCGTGGCACTGCTTCCAAAGAATTATCTGATAAGCTTGCAGAAAGAGAGTATGCGCCTGGCGACCACGATATGCTATAAGTATTGGTTAATGACGACTGATAACCGTGGGAAAAAAGGTGTCTACACACTCTTCCGTGATCTCTCTTCCCTTTCCTTTCTCACCCGGTGCTTTTTGCCTTGGGTCCCGAAATCATCCGGATCTTCTTCGACTTGTCGGCCCTGTACGAAAAAATAAGTGTGACTATCGATGTCTTCCCCGCTTTGTGGCTTTTAATGACGCCGGTGGTAAATCAAGGCAGTCAGGTGCGGCCGGGGTCCTTTACCTCTTGCAAATGGCCGCGCCGGCAAAACCAGAGGCCATTATCGAGATAGTATCGTCGCTCACGACATCCCTCCTGGCCGCAAACCCCTCGGATGACATACTCCATGCCGAGGCAATGTGGTCATGCTGGTTGGGAGGGAATGTTTGCGATAAGATGTTGTTGCGGTTGCTGAACGTTGGGAACATTTTTTTTCTGCCTCATTTGCTAGCGACCGCCAGGAGTAGATTCCCGAATCTTTGGCCTACAACACTAAATTTCTTGTATAGAAAGGAAACGGCTGAACAGAGACTGTCTGGAAGATCATTATTTCTTTCCTTTTTCTTTACTTTCTCTACCTTAAACTTAAAGCAAGTATTTTGGCGATCGCTTCAAATCTATGGCTTTCATGGAACTAGAAATTGGGACCAAGCAAAGGTTTACGGAATTATTCATTCGTCACACTATCATGAGATGCTGGGACGCAGAACTGTTCTTCGGACAACACGTATCATGCCAACCAAAGCAACTCTTCTCGTCGGTCCAGCCTACACCCAAGGCTTGATGATGGACAGACCTTGTAGCAATGGACAATCGGTCAATTGTCCAAAAATCGTATCCTCCATGGAACCATTGAAGATGAATTTTTTGGGGGGCTGAGGCCCATTTTGAACATAACGGTTGACATAAAATGCGAGAGATCCAAGGACCAGGCGCTTATTTGGGGGCCTCCTTGGCCTCAATGGCGGCCTCCTCACCCATGGCGGTCTGGATGATGACGTCTAGAAGGGGAGTCAGAACAAACGGTGCCTTGACGGAATACACGAAACAAGTTCAGGGATTACTTACTGACGTCCTTCTCCTCATCACGGAACATCTTGACGATACGCTCGCCAACCTCGCTATCGGGCAGCTTGACGTCGTCCTTGGTGTCACCGTCATCCTTCATCAGGGAGAGGAAGTCATCGTCGGTGATGTCCAGCTAGAACAAGAGTTGTTAGCCGAGGGGTGTGCGTGGAACAGAGGGAGGGGTAAGCTGGCGCATGGCGAGGAGGGGCAAAGACTCACCAGCTGGTACTCCCGGCGGGTGACATGGGGGACATCCATGTTGTGGGTGGAGGGAGACAGATCCTCCAGCTTCTTGCCGGTGAAGATATCGGTGGCAACCAGGTGGACCTTGGCGTGACCGTGCTTGCCGGTCTTGGAGGTTGACATGTCGATGATCTTGCAGGGGCGGCCCTTGATCACAACGTGACCGTTCTTGCGCAGAGCAGAGCACTGCATGGGGAAGGTCGTCGACGCACCGGCATCGGTGGTCTCGAAGGTCATCTCATGCTATAGATCGCGTTAGTGACATAAGTGGCATTGTGCCTTGTGTGCGCTTCGAGGGGCGTCCCAATGCTCGAGAGGGGTTGTTGCATGTTGCACCGAAAGAGGGGAGGCTCAAGATGCGGGGCTGATGAACAACCCAGCCGAGCGATTGGGGAGGGGGGGTTGTATGGGGGAGAGCACATGAGGCGAGTGTCTAAGGGTGGGCGTACCTCGTCAGCCATGGTGAATGAAGTGGGGGTAAAAAGAGATGGGTGGGAGAGAGTAGCAAGGTGGTGAGAGTGAAAAGAGGAGAAGTTTTCTCGACAGAAAAAGGCTTTGTGGTGGGGGGCTTAGTCGCTACGGCCTGATTGGGTTTAGTGCCCCCGGGGGCGGTTAGAAGGCCAGCTGCTTCTTTACGCGCTCTCTGCGGGAGTGGTATTGTGAGCGACGTGTATATACTCCCCTGGTATTCTTTCGCTTTCTCTCGACCATCGGCCCCCGGGAGTCCTTTTTTCTCCCATGCACCTCCTCCTACCCGGTGCACAATGTGGCGCGACCGCATTTCCGGCCAGTCGACTCCCCCCAGCGTGAATCGCGCTCCCTCTCTACCCCGGTCATCCTCCGCCCAACTCTCCCGGGGCCCCTATAACAACCGACCCGGCGCGACCCCAAGAACCTCGTCCACATCTTTACTATTGACCCCGAGTGACTCGACGACCTCCCTTCCAGGTACGGGGCGTGGATCAAATGGCACGGGATTGAGACAAACAAGCGGCCAGCGGCCCCGTCCGGCCTCCGTCCCGGACCCATTAGAGGTATTGAATGGGATCATTGGCACAGGAAAGGCGGACAAGGTCGCCCCGCAGCTAGCGACCCAGTCAGGATCAAGGCCAACGGACCTGGTAGAGGCGATTGATTTCAATGGATTGAGCCTGGAGCAGTTCGTTGCCAAAGTCGACGTGGCGCAGTCAACCCGAAAGACCACGAGAAGTGAGGTCAACGCGCAAACAGTGAAGCAATTCGATCAAGAGCGGGATAAGTTCCAGGACCTACACACGTCAATAACTGGCTGTGATGATGTATCGAAGTCGGTCGAGCTATACTTGAATGATTTTCAGACGGAACTGGGTGTAGTCTCAGCCGAGATTGAAACCCTGCAGACACGCTCCACGCAACTGAACGCGATGCTGGAGAACCGACGGAACGTGGAACGACTATTGGGCCCGGCAGTGGAGGAAATAAGCATCTCGCCCAAAGCGGTTCGCACGCTTGTCGAGGGCCCTATGGATGAGAACTGGGTGCGCGCATTGAATGAGATGGACGCCCGGACAACCAGCATAGAAGACAAGGCATCATCTTCAAGCGGTTTTAAGGCAATTGAAGATGTGCGGCCACTTTTGGTGGATGTGAAAAACAAGGTACGTCGCATTGGAGTCAGAGCTAAGACCAGGAGGTGGAATGACCGTGGGAATAGGCGATTGAACGAATCCGAGATTATCTGGTGTCGCAGATTCGAGCCATGCGGTCCCCAAACGTCAATTCCCAAATTATCCAGCAGCTACGGCTGGTGAAGTTCAAGGACCTTTACAGTTATCTCTTGAAGGCACATCCGAAGCTTGCAGAGGAGATCTCCCAGGCCTATATCAATACCATGCGCTGGTATTATACTTCCAACTTCACCCGTTACCTCCAGGCCCTTGAGAAGATCAAGACTTACCCGAGTGATCGGAACGAAGTGCTAGGAGGCGATCCCTCCGCCCACCGAACAGGCAATATTCTCTCTGGCGGCCGAGCTGGCTCTGCCGCCCACGATCCTTTCTCCCTGGGTCGGCGGATCGATATTCTTCGAAACGGCAACCAACAGGCCTTGTCGTCCTACCTAGCGGAAGAAGACAATGCCTATCATGGAATCGAAGTACCATTCCGAAATTTCAATGTTGCGCTGGTGGACAACGTGTCTGCTGAGTATTCATTCCTCACCGAGTTTTTCTCTCCATTGACATTCCATCAAATCTCGCGCAAGGTGATGGAAATCTTCGAGGCGGTCTTCGCCCTGGGACAAAATCTTACGAAGAAGCTGATCGACACCACTACCGACTCACTGGGTGTCTTGATGTGTGTGCGTCTAAACCAGCACTCAGCCTTTGAGCTCCAGCGCCGTAAAGTTCCTGTCGCCGATTCCTACGTGAATGGCATCAACATGCGTCTTTGGCCGCGCTTCCAGGTGATCATGGATCTTCATGGGGAATCTCTCAAGCGAGTTGGCTCCAACACCGGACGCAGTGCGGTTTCGGCGCTCTCTCTTGTGGGCGGAGACGATTTGAAGCAGTCATCGGCACCACACTTTTTGACACAACGTTTTGGGCAGCTTTTACACGGCATCCTTGTCCTCAGCAGTGACGCTGGGGATGATGAGCCTGTCGCAAACAGCTTGGCCCGATTGAGAAGTGAATTCGACACGCTTCTGGCGAAGCTGAGTCGAAATGGCACCGACGCCAAGCGCAGAGAGCGATTTCTGTTTAACAATTATTCATTGATATTGACCATCATTAGTGTACGCTCACTTCCTCAAATGATTGTTAGGGGCGGATGCTGACCAGACCCCAGGATACCCAAGGCAAATTAGCAACCGAGCAGAGACAGGTGAGATGTTTTCCCGGTGAAAGTCATCCACATACGCTAATATAACTGTATAGCATTTGGACGAGATGCTCAAAAACTGCAGCAAGCGTTAGCGATCACACGGCGTCTGGGAAATGTACATTCTACCACATGGACTCCATGAGCATTAGATAGCCTCTATTTGAATAGAATCATTTAATTGGCCTTAAGTAATATATCTTGTTTCCGCAGCTACCCTGCACCGTACTTGGTAGATGTCTTGCAATCGGGAGTTGATCGACCGAGGCAGAGCCGGCGATCGGCGCGATCTCCGTCCGCGGGGTCACCTCCGTATCCCGTCGCCAATTGCTGGTCAATTGTTGCAACTCCTCAATCCGCTCTACCTGGCATGTCGGTACGTGGGATCGCGGGAAGAGCTCCCGCGCTTCGCCGCTGCTTTTCTAGCGCGAGAGTCCACCGCGCGGACTTCACACATGCTGTGAGTCCTTCCTTGTTGCACCAGGCGATAGAGCGCTATACCTCCCAGCTCCCATACATTCCAAGCGCTCTTGACTGACTTGGAACAGGTAATTGGTGCCGGTGTCGTTGGGCTTGCAGTCGCAAGACAACTGGCAGCGCACGAGGGCACGTCTACCATCCTCCTCGAGCGACACGATGCACCGGGGACCGAGACCAGCAGTCGCAACTCCGAGGTGAGACCCTACCCCTGTCTACCACGAACACACCTGGCACCCAGGCACCCGAAACCAATATATACGTGAGCTTACACAATCCTATTACAACCAGGTCATCCATGCCGGCCTCTATTACCCGGCCGACTCCCTGAAAACAAAGCTCTGCATTCGTGGCCGCAACCTCCTCTACGATCTCTGCTCTAAGCACGCCATCCCCCACCGCAACACCAAAAAATGGATTGTTGCTCAAACCCCCGAACAATGGGAAGCCTGCCTACGTGTCCACGCCCATGCTCAGTCCTTAGGGGACGCCCCGACCCGGCTCGTCGGCGCCGCAGAAGCGGCCGCCCGCGAGCCTGACGTCAAAGCCGACGCCGGCATCGTCGAGAGTGAGACCACCGGAATCGTGGACAGCCACTCACTGATGACATATCTACAAGGCGACTTTGAAGACCGTGGCGGCGACTGCGTGTTCAAGACGCGTGTTACCGGCGTCGAGCCTGTCGCTGGCGGCGGGTATCAGATTACGGCTGTATCAGACGAAGATGGCTCCGTGACGAGCATTACCGCTGACACATTGATCAACAGCGCAGGACACGGCGCTTGCGCGATAAACAACCTCATGCTCCCGGCGGAGCGTCATCGTTTCCCGCATTATGCGAAGGGCACATACTTCTCGTATGGTGCGTCGCGACCGCGCACGTCGGTGCTGGTGTACCCAGTGACTCTTCCGGGCTATGGTGGTCTGGGCACGCATTTGACGCTTGACATGGGCGGGCGGATTCGCTTCGGGCCGGATGTCGAATGGGTGGATGATCCGAATGATCTGCAGCCTAGTAGTGCGCGTTTGGAACAGGCTATCCCGGAGATCTTGTCCTATATGCCTGGCGTGGACCCATCCGCTATTGCGTTGGATTACTGCGGTATCCGGCCAAAGCTGGGTCGTGGCGGTGCGGTGAATGTGGGCAAGGGATTTCAGGATTTTGTCATCCAGGAGGAAGAGGGCTTCCCTGGGTTCGTGAACCTGTTGGGGATTGAGAGTCCTGGGTTGACGAGTTGCCTGGCTATTGGGGAGATGGTTGATGAGATCCTCTATCGGTAAGGAGGGGACTATGAATTGTTGGCATGCTGCGTATTTAGCGTCATGAGTTATTTCCCAGCGTGTAAAAATGGGATCTGCATGAGATATAGAGAACATAGATCGGTCTCGAAGCAAAATATTGAGTATGTTCACCTATTCGTCTGTCGTTCAGGTCATATTCATCACAGGTCTAGCCATCAATCCTCCCAGCCGTCTAGGCCCGGGAGAGTAAACTAGTATACACAAGATCGGAAGAGTGGGTATGCTCTCCAGGGTAAAGACCGTCTCAAGCTTCACTCCACATCCATCAGCACATCACTCATGATATGAAGCACATACGAGAACTTCTTGACACTCCATTTGCCCGAGTCCTTGAGCAGGTTCGCATAATCAAGGAGAATCCGCCGCGCAGACTGGTACCCGCCTTGGAAGGGCACGCCACGCAAGTAGATCGTTGCACCGTTGCGAATAAAGTTCACAGCTGGATTATCTGTTGGAGAGAAGGCCTGGCTTCCCCGTGGCTCCATGAAGCTCGTGAAGCCCTCGGTGCCGACCTGTTGCCAATCGATATCGTCCATCAGCTCGATAGATCCGACATTGGAAAGCGTGCTGGAGAAGGTGGGAACCATGAACGTGTAGAGACCCAGGATGAGGGCCGCGGAGAAGAGTGAGAAGACTGAGTGGAAGGTGGGGTGGTCGGAGGCTTTGCGGTTAGTCATGGCTTTGTATATGTGCGCAGCGTGCAGACATGCTCGCCTCGCCGCTGGCGTCTGCGACCATTCGGCAATATCATCAAGTGCCTTTCGCGCTGGGGCTGGCCCAGCTCGTCCAGCGGCGAAGTCGAAAATCTGGATGTCAGCTGTGAGCATCATGCACATGTGATGCCACATGACGAGGGCGTTGGGATTCAGTCGCTCCATCGTTTCACCATAGGTGCTTGAGATTTGGGACTGAAGAGAGGGGAGGCATCTTGCACGGCCATCCATGGCGTACGTATGACAGGGAGCGAACGGATAGCTTGCGCGATTGGAGAGGAGGCGGTGGTAGGCCTCGGACTGGCGGAGCTGAATCATTGCGAGGACCGCCTGGATGCAGAATTCATCCATCGGTCCTTCGAGGGTGGGAATGTTGATGTTTTCAGACGGTGCCAGCACCGTGGGCATCAGGATTCGCTTGCCGCTGCGGATCAGCTGGGTCCATCGCATGGATGAATGAGCCCGAAAAAGAGCTTCTTTGCAGGGTATGATGATTTGGATCGAATCGGGGACAACTATTGGGCTTGTTGAGAGAAGTGCAGAGTACCACGAGTCTAGAAGGAGTAATCCGATAATGATTCTGGTCAAAAAGAGTTAGTAGCTGATAAATGGTTGGACGTGGAGGGGAGTTTACCTTTTCGTAGACTCAACCTTACTCCATGCCTTCCATCTCATGTCAATGTCGGGTACTGCCTCAAACAGACTCATATCGAGAATCTGACCCTCGGTTGCAGCAAAGAGCCCATGGCGTTGGGTTATCTGCCAAATCATTAAATTAGCTTGTTAACCACAGAAGAGATACTCGTAAGTGCACTTACCGACATGAGATTGACATAGAGCATCTGGCACTGTTCCAAATGACTTTTCTCCTGTAAAAACCATCAGCCACAACAACCACTAACAAAAGTAAGAGAGATTATACCCCCGTAAGAACAGCTAGGTTCAAGAATAAGAAAGCTGTAGCAAAAATGGACATCGCGCTGGCTGGAGATTCAACCCCCATTGTACACTTTGCAAGATCAGCTGTGACTTTCTCGAGCATATGCTATAGCCTGCATTAGCACTTCATACGTGCATCTCACAATATACAGGATACCCACTGTGAAATTTCTTGAGACAAAATTCGCGGTCCCCTTAGTCCCTAGCAACATCATGCCAATAAGACACATTACATAGAGAAGCGACAGGCGCGTCTTCTTTGCGGAAAACGTCGGAAGGTGTACAAATGGTACAAGGGGGTGAAAAGTGCGGAAGTACAGATCTAGAGCCATGTCTAAAATCTCTGCCGGAGGGAAGTTCGCAAAAGAAATGGAAGCCGAGCCCGCTGTACAAGGGGATGCAGTCCCGTTGCGAGGTGACTGCAATTGCGGATAGGTAAAGGCCTGGCCAAATGCAGCCTGGAGGCGCCTCCTGCAATCGTCGTCCACGCCACATCGAGATCCTTGAAGCAGGCCATTTTCGCCGGGAGTAGTTAACGAGTAAGCAGAAAAGATATTATCAGCGTCGGTGTAAACAATGTCACGCCACAAGCTGTTCATGAGTCGACCGGTGTGATTTGGCGGCGCGAGCCAACACCGCTGAACCTTGTTGAAACGTTCAGTTGGAATATTATCACAGCCAGATTTGCCGCTGTCCATGGAATTACGGTTCTGGGGGTCCGGAGTGAGCAACACACTGTCGCTTATTGTAGGGAAATGACCATCTCGCATCAGATCTAGAGAACCGTGATTGGATCCTGTATCGGTACGCGGCTCGAGCCATAGCTGTAGCATATCATTCGGCACGGTTTCGAATTCTATACCATTCCGCTGCGCATGTTGGTCTGCAGGGGTCACTTCATTCCAGCCGAAGTATGGCTGCTGCTCATCGAGCATCATAGAATTAATGTCGGGTTCGGTGCGGCCATGATGAGCAGAGATATCCGCCAAGAAGTCCAATGATGACGGCGGTATCCCTGTAGCTGAGGGGGCCATGTCGCGCGGGGTAGGAAGGTTTGGTATTTGGTGCGCCTCTGCGCCGACAGTGGGGAGAAGAGATGTCCCATCTTCTGAACCGCGCAGCGTTGGCGACGCGCCGGTGATGATAGAAGCCCGTCGATCTTGAGCTTGTTCCCCTAGCGACCCATTTCGCGCAGCCAAATTTGCACCGGGACCGGGTTGGTTGTGTCCCTTGGCATGTCGGCTCAGGACATCGCTGCATACCACTCTCCGTCAGAATTTTTGCAACAAGCATGACTAGCAGGCCCTGCCACAGTGGTGCGGAGCCCTTGACGCAGGTCAATTGGTCTTACCTGCGGGAAAAGCGTTTATGGCATACACTGCACTCATACGGACGCTCCTTAGTATCTGCTCGGCGAGTTAGACTTGTCAACTCGTCCATCCATTCCCTCGAAGACGGGATACTGACGTGACCGTTCGTGGCGCTTGAAATGCTCTGTCTTCTTGAACTTTCGGTCACAGATGGTGCACTTTCGAAGGACCATGACGGAGCACGCGGTTTAACAACACATCAGAAAACCCGGTGCATTGTTTATTTTTTTCCAAGAGTGAAAAGGGATAAAAGCTCACCAGCGCACGAGGCTTGGGAAAGATCGGAGAGAGGGGAACGGGTTAGTCAGCCCCCGGAATTAAGCCGACCGCGACGCGTTGAACGTTCTGTTCTTTTAGGATGGACAATCTGGCTGCTACGGAGCACTGCTCTCCAGAGGACTGTTCTAACGAGGATATCCCGCTCCTCACGTCCAATAGGGCTGGTGCGGGACCGAGTCCCTGCAACTCTACGAGACGCAGTTGGGGGGACTGGGCTACGGTGAGCATGTCGCATTGGCCCCTCTAGTGCAAGCCACTGGAAATTCCCCGTGGGGAGCGATGGGGGAGCAGTTCCGAGCCCTAAGCAGCGGCCCAGCCCTTCCGCCGATCCATACGAGTCAGTCTGCTTTGCCATGCGCTGTTGCCCTGGGGAGCAGAGGAAAAGAGGATTCAATTTATGAGTCGCATTTAGAGTAGACGAACTTCTGTAGTACATTCATCGCATTCATCTGGGATCTTGTCCCGCTGAATCAGCGAGCTTGCCGAGTTGCTCATTGGCCAAAACATTTATCCTCCCCGCCGGCAGTTAGGAGTGGCCCCAAATACCGACGCGGTTGACGTCAGGCTGGAGAACGAAGCAACTGGAGGCTATTATGGTATAAGGAATGACAGTTGCATAGCTGCGTTCGAGACAAGGAGTCTTGAGACTCTCTTATTGACAGACTAGCTCTGCCAGCCGGCCATCATCATAGTAAGTCTCCGACCGCTGCTTGCGTGCCTCATTGTCTGCTTTGACCTGCCTGAGGATCTTGTGGATATTCGGATACAACGAGAATTTGTCCTGCATACATTGATTAGACCTGCACGGTCTTGGCTGGCGTCGATGACAACATACCGGCAACGCATCCCACACCTTCGGGTCGGTGCCTTGATTCTTGAAAGCCCCGCAGCCAGTGCGTGCATATTCTGTGAATAGGAATGACCGACTGCTTTCGATCATAATGGTCATTTGGTCTGCAATGATTAGTACGAACTCTCTCGGCGGCTGAAGACAATAATGGCTCACTTTCCAGAATCCTGCGTGGCTCGTTCACTTGGTTCTTCATCTCATACACGTAGGCTTCGTTGAAGTTGCCATGCGGCGTGTGGCTAATTTCAACACTCCCGCCGCCCGGCAAGAAGTCATTAGATCGACCGAGACCGTTGCCGTACAAACTTGCCAGGAACTCGGTGGCCGAGTTGCGGTGGAAGTATGGCAGACGGAAGGTGTTGGAAGCTACATCCCAGCGCGGGCCAAACCACAAAAAGTCGGCCAGGGGAGTGACAGGGTCGCGAGATGGGGCTGTTAGGACACAATTGACCGATGGATCGGTGTGGTCGATAGAGGTGGCGTTTTGCGAGGAGAACTTGGTCAAGTCGTACTGCAAGCGTCGTGTGAGCATGTACGCTGTTTCGGTACACGGTTGACTGACCTTATAAGGAACAACATTTCCATGCCACGCAACCAGATCGAACGGGCTGTGATCCTGCTCAATAGCATGGTACAGCCCATTCGCTTTATTCACAATCGACCACTCCTCGTGCAGATTCTCATCAATATAAGCCACAGGATGCAGGAAATCGCGAGGATTAGCAAGACCATGCCCACCCAAGGGACCCAAATCCGGCAATGCCCAGCTTGACCCCCAGATCTCGGTGATATAACCTCGTGCAACACTGTGGCCAGGACCTAGACGAACCAGAAACCGGATGCCACGAGGCACAACACATATTTCGCCGGGCTGCAGGAACAGCTTGCCCAGCTCTGTCTGGATATCCAAATTGCCCAGCTGGGCGACGATGAGGAAGTCGCCATCTGTATTACAAAACGCACGATGATTCATATCCGTATTGATCATAAAGACATACAAGGCAATGCCCTCGCGCAGATTGGGATCTCCACTTCCACCAAGTGTGTGCAGACCATCGACAAAGTCGATCTCCTCGTCCTCCCTGGGTAACGGAAAGGGTGCCCATTCGCATTGCTCTGCTAGTGTCGCCACCTTAGGGTTGAGGGTGAGGAAACAATTCTCAATGTCGGACTTGTGGGGAATATGGGCTTTGTAGCCATCTGTAGAAGTAGAGTCAGCACCAGGAGCCCATAGCTATGTGCTGGGAGTAAATCTTCATGACGTACTGTGAGCAGCGGCAGGTCGTACCCTGTACATATAGGTGCTGAAATTGGCGTGGCGAGGAGCCGCAAAGGCCGAGTAGGTAATGCCCTCGGTATACAATCCAAAGCGGGCTTCTTGGGGATTATTCTGTCCTGCCGGGAGAGTACCGGGGATGAGCTCAGATTGGTGGCGGTTACCAAAACCTGCCTGGTATTCATAGGGATCATTGTCTCGCGTTGGCTTGCGCGACATCGTGTCCGTATAATGAAACGCCTTTTGCAGGTCTTTCACCGGCTTCCTCTCCTGAATCAGCGGAGCAGACATTGTTGTCGACAGTGTAGATGGATCCGAATACTATAGGTGCTTTGAATCAGAGTTTGCGATGGAGTAACATGAGTATAGTCAAATGGCAGCGGAATGGTTGCCACGCGCTTTTCTTAGCTTATAACGCGGCTTTTGCTAAAAGGGCATCCCATTCTGTGCTTTGCAAGACCCATATGGAGCACTTGGATCAACCGCAGCGGATTAACCCCCACATTCTACAGGACCCACATCGACCTCGTGAGGCCCTGTCGAGATTTCAGTTTTGGTCGTGGGTCGGTCGGGGATTGTTTGTCCATGGGCCCATGAGTTCCTTCTTGCGGGGCCTTGTGGATGTGGAGCAGGTGAACATAGCCTGCACTTAGGGGTTGGTGAGTGAAAACAATGCATGGCCTCTTTCATACTGTGGAGTTTACTTTCGTTGCCCCTGGATGCTCTTAGGAATAGCATAGCAATACTGATTCAGAGAGTTAAGGTCTAATCAATGCTTCATGGCTGATGCTATTTACAGTGGCTCAAACCAAGATAGACAATTGCTTGGTAGGCAAGATCTATTCAATCGACGGCTAGTACATTATCCACCATCCTTGATGATGCGCCCAGGTAGTTGACAGGATCGCACAGCTCAGCCAGGCGCCCTTGGCTCATTTTGGAGGTTACTTCTTCCTTTTCCAGAAGACATTCGAGGAGCGTACGCTTATTCTCGATACTCTCGCGGCATGCTTCGTAGACAATATCGTGAGCTCGCTGACGGCCCACATGAGGAGCCATGCCCATCATCACAGCCTCTCCCACAATCAATCCCTTGGTAGAGTGAAGATTCTCCAGCATTTGCTTGGTGTTGACAGAGAGTCCAGATAGTGCAAATTGAGTCTGAGATAACGCACCAACGGCAATCACAAAGCTCTCTGGAATGGCAACCCACTCCAAGTGCCAGGGGCCTGAGGCGCGTTCGAAATCAGCAACCATGCCATCAAGGACTAGGCCTGCGTTTGAGCGGAGGAGTTTGGAGGCAGCCAGGATCACCTCACTCGAGATGGGATTGCGCTTTTGCGGCATGGTAGACGAGGCTCCCCGATGAGGCATAAAGGGCTCCGCCACTTCGCTAAACTCGTTGGACGACATGATGATAATGTCTAGTGCCAACTTGCCCATAGAACCGCCCATCAGGGCCAGGAAGTTGGTAATCTCCGCTACGCCGTCACGAGCAACGTGCCATGTAATGGAAGGATCATTCAGACCGAGTTCCTTTGCTAGAGCCTTTCGAACACGCAGTCCGTCGTCGCCGGACCCCAGAGATGCAAGAGAGCCTGCGGCACCACCAAACTGCACCAACAGTGCCCGATCCCGGAGTTGTTCCAGTCGCTCAAGGTGGCGTTGAAAGCTTGATAGCCAGACGGCGCACTTGTATCCGAAGGTAACCGGCAGCGCATGTTGTAAATGCGTACGTCCAGCCATAGGGGTGTTTCTGTACTTCGCCGAGAGCTCTCGCAGAGTCTTGATCACATCCTTCAGCAGCCTCTCGATAATGTCCAATCCTTCCTTCATTTGTAATACGCTCGCCAGATCCATGATGTCCTGTGTGGTGGCTCCCCAGTGCACATACTTGCCGGCATCGTCGCCGCAAATCGCTGAGAGCTGACGGACAAGAGGCAGAATGGGGTAGCCGACGATCTCGGTTTCGTGCCGCAGTCGCTCGAAGTCCAGCTTTGATTCTTGCAATCTTTGTGTCACCATTGCTCCAATCTCTGATGGGATGACATTGCATTGGGATTGCGCCCGTGCCAGAGCTGCCTCTGCATCTACACACCGGCGGATATATGCTTCGTCATCGAAGACCTGCATGAAATTAGCAATATTCAGCGAGAAGAAAGTGCCAAATCTTCTGCATAATAAACCCACCTTGCGAATTTCTTCGGTACCAAAGAGCGTGCGAAAGATACGCGAGTCAATTGCGCTCACGAAGCCAATTGACCTCCGCCCGCTGGTGATGTTGACGAGAACACTGGGCCGGGTCAAAGTCATCCGCGACAGCCGTGCGAGACACACAGATGGCGACATTGTATTCAAGGAAGTTCCTATATGGACAAGAGAATTCAAAGGTGTTAGTTAAGAGCTATGAAAATCTACACCCTTGCAATTGGATTGACGCTGTCGAAATACTGCCCCGGAGGGTCCACCATCCTAAGAGGGGCGATGGCTCTCCCGCACTGCAGACTCTGACCCCACTTGCACAACTCGTCCCATGTGGGGCTGAGAGTGATGAAAGGCGAAGCTGAAGATGAAATTGTACATGATGGCTATAGGAGTTCGCTCGCAAAAGTCATCGAAACATTTTTATACCTAACGAGTCTACGGTAATCCCTCTTCCACAGTTCCATGCACATTCCTCATCTCTCAAACCAACGCTCTCTCCTGACATCCATACGTAAAACGGTCGCCCTCTATGAGAAGAACAGAAGTGAGATTACAAACAAAGTAGAAGGTAAAGGCAAAATATGGAGGGGACTGAGGCAAGGCATCCAGCCTTTATAACTTTTTACGTTGTATAGCTGTAGCTGGGATCTAGTCTATCACAACATCTACTCTCGGATGAAAAGAGATGCAACTCCTATACCAGTACTAGAAGTAGGTGGTCAGTCCAAGAGGTATGGATACAGATACGGAAGACTAACCTGGCACACATGCTCACAATACCCATCTCCTTATCCTGTCGCTGCAATTCCGCGAGAAGAGTAGCAACTTGTCGGGCACCAGTCGCGCCAACAGGATGTCCAAGGGCAATAGCACCACCATTTGGATTGACTTTGGCCATGTCGATACCTAGCTCTCGGAGGCAGTAGATCGACTGACTTGCAAAGGCCTCATTCATCTCCACAATGTCGACGTCCTTGTTCTCAATGCCAAGATACTTGTACAAGTTTCGTATAGCAAAGATAGGACCGATTCCCATCTCATCCGGCGCACACCCAGCGACCTGGGTACCGGCGAAACGGGCAATGGGCAATAGGCCATGTGCTTCAGCCCAGGACCGGCGCGCAAGAATAGCACTTGATGCACCGTCAGATATTTGTGATCTGTAGAGAAAGGTTATTAGCTATGGGCCAAGTAAAAATATCCGCAGATAGAGACGAACGAGTTTCCAGCTGTACTGGAACCATTTTCCAGAACAGGCTTGAGAGTTGACAGCCTCTCAACAGTAGCTCCATGGCGAACGCCTTCATCGCGCTCCACAACCTGGAAGGTCATCTCGTCGATACCTTCACTGACATGCCGGACTCGAATCGGCACAATTTCAGCATTGAATTTGCCCGCCTTCTGTGCCTCACTAGCCCGCTTCTGGCTTTCCGCTGCGAACTCGTCTTGCTCGCGCCGACTAATTCCATACCGCGATGCGACGTTCTCCGAAGTCTGCAGCATAGGCAGAATACAGTCCCGGGCATCCTTTACAGGCGACTCCTTCAGAGTTGCAGACACATCTACAGGAATACCTCGTGTCGCATAGTTCCGCGACATGCTTTCCACACCGCCACCAAGTCCGACATCGATTTGTCCAGCCAAGATGGAGTGTGAAATATGCGTGATAGCCTGTAGACTGCTCGAACATTGTCGGTTGACGGTATGGAAGGTTGTCGAGTTGGGAAAGCCAGCTGCATTGAGAGCCATGCGACCGGTTTTCGCGAACCCCAGCTCCGCAAGCACATTTCCGATGAGGGCGTCGTTCACCTGGCCCGGCTCGATATTAGCTCGATGCACGGCAGCTTGCATGACCTGGAAGTGTCAGAGATATGTGATGAAGAAATCAATGAATCCAACCCATACTAGTCACATACAGGCATCAGAATCTCTTCGGGATAGGTATCCTTGAAACCACCTTTAAATGCCCGTGCGATGGGACTCCGCACTGCGGACAGGACAACCACATCATTAGGGCCCTTCTTGAGGGCCTCGCCAGCGGTCCTGCGTAACATGTTTCTGTCGTACTTGGACTATGAACTGTAGTATAACAGGTCACCAGAAGTTGTGAACATCCAACTTGCAGAATTGTGGATTTGATCCGGCTACATCATGGCGAGCTCCGAGGCAGCTCCCCATGGTGGTGGTGGGGCACTCCCACCCTATGAAGATCCTTGCCGTCTTCCTTACAAGACTATACTTGGGGATTCGAGTGGGATGATTGTGTACACTGCTTGGATAGACTATAACTGACGCAACGAAGTCGTCCTTGTCCATATGCATCCCATCATGTGTGTTAGGATCTACAAAGATTAGAGTTACCTATCCTTCGATATTACAGAACGGTTATGAACCACTGACTCACCATTTACCTGGTGAAATTGAATTTTAGCTAGCCTGTTTTGAGACGCTTAGGGGAGTTGTCATACCATCCATCAACTAGCTTCGTTGCAAACTCCACATGTCTTTACCTGGCACAGCTCGGTGCTCATCCATGGTTTCATAGAATGCATTGTCGCTTAGGCCCTGAGGCACAGGAACCTGTGTTATATCGCGCTGTGATTTGGTGGCGATATTAAAGATAGCGGACTTGGCTTGCTGAGCCTTTGCAAAGAGTCGTACTGGTGTTGCAGGGACGGTATTTCCGGTAGCCATTGTAGCACACCAGAACATTTACAACTTCTGATATCCAGCAGTGCCCCTCTTTCTAGCCTTGCTTGTGCTTGAGTGCTAGGGGTAATCCCGCGTGCGCGGCTCAAGGTTCAAGATTATTGGACCATAAGTCTATGATTACAAGAAGCTAAAGAACCCCACGATATGAGGTGATATGATTGCACTGACAAGTCTTTAGTGGAACGGGATTACCCCAGTTCTGTAATCTTATTAGTTATACTATTATCCATTACCTCATCCATTAAATATAATAATTTGAAAGATGGGATCTTTTATTATTTTTGTTTTATAGTCAGCAGAGGAGGTAGGTGCTTGCACACATTGAGACGGTCTAGATGCACAGAGAGCGGAGAAGTGAGGGGAACGGCCCGCCCGTTGATCTGCAAGTACGGAGTACAGAGGGTTCAAATCGAGTGGAAAAGGTAAAGCAGGCAAGGTCTAACGGATTCATCATTTTGTCTCGTTTCTGCGAACCTAGGGTTCCGTCTGTTGTCACCGGCATCGCAAGTCGACCACGGACCGCGAGGATCGGGTTGCGTACCGCCCCAGGCAGTTCCGACATCTTCTCACCTGCCGACGCCAGTTCCGCCCGTAAAGTACACGTCACAATACGCTGAATTTACCATACAGCGCGGTGCAGTTGACTTTTGGTGACGGGCGAAAACACTCTTCCACCTATATCAGACTTTCTCCATCGACACTATCGTGTGCGAGATGCCACAATGTTATCCTCCGCATTGTGCGAGCTGTCATCCACCCCGCATCACGACCTCTGATCCTGAGAGCACAAACCCACATTCCCTGGGGCGTCACCAACCCGGACTAATATCGGGTAGGCTTGTGGGGTCGGCTTCCGATGGCGGCAAAAGCCTTAGGGGCTCGCCGCTCTCCCTCTCCGAGCGTGTGGGGAAATAGGCGGTAGCTGCCCCGGCTAAGCGTTTTTTCGGCTTCTATGGGTCAGTTCCTAGCCGAAGGGTGCTTTGCGGGATGGGGTCAACTTCGCGATGGGAGTCTTTTTTCCCTTCTTTCTTCTCTTTCTGCTGGTTCAGAAATCACCTACCTCAGTGATCTCTCAAAGCTAATCGACAGCACCATGTCGCGGCCTTTCCCTGCGGCGTCGGTGTTCCGCCCCATTTGGCGGCGGAACTTCTCTGCCTCGACCTCCAAGCGAGCCATAGACAAGCGCGCGAGCTCTGCCGCCGATGCTATCAAGGACATGAAGGGTCCGGCCACCGTCCTGGTCGGTGGCTTTGGTTTCTCGGGTGTCCCCAACACCCTGATCAACGCTGTGCGTGACCGCCCCGACATCAAGGACCTCACTGTTGTCTCGAACAATGCTGGTATGCCCGGCGCTGGGCTCGGTATGTCCTCTCACACTGTCAATTGCAATTGTGGCAATTTGTTCTTGAAGAAGAGCATGTGCTGACATATTCCCCCCCTGCAGGTCAGCTACTCGAGTCCAAGCAGATCAGTAAGATGATCGCTTCCTTCATTGGCGAGAACAAGGTGTTCGAGAAGATGTATCTTAGCGGTGACCTAGCCCTGGAGCTCACTCCCCAAGGCACCATCGCTGAGAAGTGTGCTGCTGGAGCCTCTGGTGTTCCCGCTTTCTATACCCCCGCTGCTTTTGGTACAATTGGTGAGTTACTTCAGTCTGGATGCTCGAGCGATGTGCGGAACTGACCACATGGCCCTATAGTTCAAACTGGTGAACTCCCCGTTCGGTACAACAAGGATGGCTCTGTGGCTGAAAAGTCCAAGCCTAAGGAGACCCGCGTTTTCAACGGCAAGGAATACCTTCTGGAAGAATCGATCTTTGGTGACTACGCTCTGGTGAAGGCCCACAAGGCCGATAAGCTGGGTAACTGCCAATTCCGCAAGTCTATGAACAACTTCAATGAGGCTATGGGCAAGAACGCCAAGTTCACCATTGTCGAGGCCGATGAGATTGTTGAGGTCGGCGAGATTGCTCCCGAGAACGTTCACCTGCCAGGCATCTACGTCGACGCGGTCATCAAGAGCACCGAGAAGAAGCAGATCGAGAAGGTCACCTACGCCAAGGACCCCTCTGAGATGCTTGCTGCTGGCTCCGGTGATGCGACCGCCCGGCGTGAGCGTATCGTCAAGCGTGCCGCCAAGGAGTTCAAGGACGGCATGTACGTCAACCTCGGTATTGGTATCCCCCTGATTGCCCCGTCCTACCTTCCCGAGGGTGTCGAGGTTGTCCTGCAGGCTGAGAACGGTATCCTGGGTCTGGGTGGCTACCCCCAGCCCGGCCAGGAGGACCCCGATCTGATCAACCCCGGCAAGGAGACTGTCACTCTGGGCCGTGGTGCTTCCCTGTTCGGCTCTCACGAGAGCTTCGGCATGATTCGCGCTGGCAAGATTGATCTCACAATGCTGGGTGCCCTCCAGGTCAGCCAGTACGGTGGTATGTACACCCAATTTTTATCATGAAGATCCACGCTTGGATACACTAACACGCACTAGATCTGGCCAACTTCATGCTTCCCGGCAAGGTTAAGGGTATTGGCGGTGCCATGGATCTGGTTGCCAACCCCGAGAAGACCAAGGTTGTTGTGACCATGGAGCACACCGACAAGAAGGGCAACCCCAAGATTCTGGCCGGTACGTTGACACATTTTCTTGACCCTCTTGACCCTCTACCTTCATACACCACTAACACCTTCTCTAGACTGCACCTTCCCCCTGACCGGCCCCCGCTGCGTCTCTACCATCATTACCGACCTAGCTGTCTTTGACGTCAGCACCTCCGAGGGTCTGACCCTGATCGAGCACGCCGAGGGTATCACCGTGGAGGAGATCCGCAGCAAGACTGCCGCTCCCTTCAAGGTCTCTGAGCACCTCAAGCCCATGCAGCTGTAACTGCATAGGGAAACATACACCCCATTAGAATTTTTCCGGATATGGTGTTCTTTTTTTTTTCTCTCCGCATGTCAATACTCCATGTAGATAGTGCAAATTGAATTTTCTTTCCTTTTCAATCTCAACTGTTCTCTGAGTTATAATCCAACACAATCTTCTGTTTCACTCGGAGATGTAATCCTATGCACTGCACGCTGTATCGACGCCCAGGATTGAGCCCAGGTGGGGTCGAACCCACCTGCGGATCGAGCAGTGGGGCTCTCCACGACCAGGGAGCGGAGTAAAACACGCTGTGCTCTGGAGTCAATTGAAAATGTTGGAGAAGTATACATTCTCAACAGAGCAATAGCCCCTGTCTCTGTTTCCATTCGGTATGAATTGCCTCTCATTGTCTAGGGTAGCCTTGGTGGCAAGGGTTTCACCTCCCCCTGCATGGCCTGGCAGGCTATGCTTTCGCCGAGGCTTGGCCACGGCTGCGAAGTCGCCAGACAGACAGAAACTCCCGCTGGCAGGCGTTCGCGTGCTGGATATGAGTCGGATCCTGGCTGGAGTAGGTGTCATTTACTCATGGCAGCTTTGATAAATGCTGTATAAAAGAAATCAATGGATACTGACAGAGGGTCTCAGCCTTACTGCACACAGATACTTGGTGACTTGGGGTATGTACTGAATCATGTTGGGTAGCAGATGATTGATGCAACCGACTGATCAAGTCCTTTCTCTTAGGGCCGAGATTATTAAGATCGAGCATCCCGTCCGAGGCGACGACACCCGCGCTTGGGGCCCTCCCTTTGCCGCATACACCGACGGTCGAACAGGCAACGGCGAAAGCGCATACTATCTTGCTGTGAGCATTTAATCGGTGAAATTCTATCCTTTCATGAAACTAAAAGACGCACAGGTCAACCGAAACAAGAAATCCCTCGGCCTCTCATTCGCCCAACCCGAGGGCATCGAAATCATCCAGCAACTCGTCCGCGATTGTGACGTCCTCGTTGAAAATTACCTCCCAGGCTCCTTGAAGAAATACAACCTGGACTATGAGACCATCAGCAGAATCAACCCACGTCTCATATATACAAGTATCACAGGCTACGGCCAAACAGGCCCCTATAGCAACCGACCCGGCTTCGACGTGATGGTCGAGGCTGAGTTTGGGCTGATGCATTTAACGGGTACCAGGGACGGTCCACCAGTCAAGGTTGGGGTTGCGGTCACCGATCTGACGACAGGCCTGTATGCCTGTAACTCCATTATGGCGGCGCTATTGGCGCGGGCCAACACGGGAGAGGGACAGCATCTTGATGTGTGCTTGAGTGATTGCCAGGTTGCAACCCTGGCTAATATGGGACAGTCGGTGTTGATCAGCGGGACGAAGGATTCGGGAAGATGGGGAACGGCTCATCGTGAGAAAAACTGATCGTGCTACTCTCAAGTGGGAATACTAATATTGGGTTGTTGACAGCATCTGTTGTACCGTACCAGGGATTCAAGACTGCGGATGGTGACATCTTCGTTGGTGGAGCGAATGATCGTCTCTTTGGCATCCTCTGCGACAAGATCGGCAAGCCTGAGTGGAAGGATGATGCTCGGTTTGTGACCAACAATGACCGCGTAACTAACCGCGCTGAGCTGGAGCCTTTACTGGAAGCGGAGTTGGTGAAGCGTACAACGCGCCGGTGGCAAGAGGTTTTCGAGGGGAGTGGTTTACCGTATGCGGCTGTCAATGACATTCAAGGGACAATGAACCATGAACATGGCAAGTCGCGCTTGAGCCCTTATTGGAGTAGAGGTATGCTTACTGTAATACAGTGCAAGCCCGCGGTATGGTTCAGACGATTGACCATCCGACCTGTGGCCCAATCAAGGTGATAAGTCCACCAGTCAAGTTTTCAAAGGCAGAGCCGAGTATCCGCAGTGCGCCTCCGCTTTTGGGGGAGCACACAGATGTGTTACTCCGGGATGTGGTGGGGCTTAGTCAAGAGCGCATTGAGGAGTTGAAGAGCAAAGGAGTTGTCGCATGATGGGAGTTAATCTACGATGTTACAGAGGCTTAGATAGATTTACCTTAGATCATTGGATGCTGCTTTCTTGTCTCAGCGAAGTTCAGCTGAAGCAAGATACCTCAAGGCGATGTGAAGCATAAATGGAGTTTCTAGTAGTTTTCTATATCGAATTGACCAATAATGCAGGTGCAGATTTGTTTGCTGATTGAAAATGAAAGGCGCTGTGATCGTGGAGGTATGTCGCTATGCAGTCTGTAGTTATGAAGGTCGTGGTTCCCAACGGTGGTTCATCAAGAAAGGGTAGTGAGACCCTTATATATCCATCATCGGCATTGAGGTCCACTCATTGGTTTCTTTCGCGGGTTCTTCAGAGATGCATCGTTCGCACTGGCATATGAATCTGAACGATTTTCGCAGATGTTCGCGGCGCGAAGTTAGGTCCGTATATTTCGTTAGGTCGAAGTAAGAGATGCAACATTCCTGGCCTGGAAGAATGTCTCGAGAGGCGGTAAAAACCATGTGGCCGTCTTGATCGGGCTTGTGTATTAGCTGAGGGAAGTTAGTTTTCGAGACTGTCCCTTCACGATCAAGGGAGGCATGCTTACATTGGGCATACACGAGTGGTTCGCGATTGCCGCAGTTGGATAGACGGCCGCAGCATATTGCTCTCCTCGATCGACCGGCGGATGCGGAGGTGGGAAAATGCCCGTTTCTCGTGGGTAGAGACCAAACGAATTCGCTTCTTCTTGACAGATCAGGTGAAGAACGCGATCCACGGTCAATCCATGCGGTAGGACGGGGCTGTCCCGGAGATACTTCTTCACCAGGGTAGTCCATGATCGAACCTGCTCATGCGACCAGGTATCGGAAGATCCACATAACGAGGCAATGCCGGACCAGCCATATTTCCATTGCTGAGTCTTCGGTGCGACATTCTCACCATGCGGATCTCTATCCCGAGAGGCAAGCAGCCGAACAATCAGCCATAACATGCCGAAATCGTACTCGCCCCATTTATTTCGGATGGGCTGGGCATATCGTTTTAACCAAGTGCATTCGAAGTCATGGCGGGCTTTGTCAGCGTCTCTGCAAGTGCTGCTGCACCATGCCACGTCCGGTATGCATGCATTTGAGCACAGGAACCGGCCCAGATGGCGCGGGCTTTGACGATTACAAGCGGGATTGCTGCAAATGAGATCCTCGTTGGCCGCTGGTTCATCCACGACAGGAATAATGGCATAGGGGTGGTCGACAAGGACGCGGGTGCCTTTCGGAATGAGGTCCGACGCACGTATCTGGCGGCCCTTAACGGGGTCGACGCTCTCAATTAAATTCGGATGGACCCAATGGGGCTGTCTTTTCGGGACATCGTCTACACGATCCGACTCCGATGGTTCCAGCGTGATGTATACAACCTGGGACATGGTGGTGGGGTGGTGCGTGGGGGATTGTACTGAGCGTGGTTCTACGGCTTCCTATTTTATGGGGGCAACTCTGAGACCGGCAAATTTTTGCAGTCAGGAACTGGGCTTATCGGAGAACCACTCTGAGGCTTTTTGTTTGGGTTTGCTCGGCTAGTGGGGGCTTTTCATGGCCATTCTGATCGGCGGGCCAATCCGAAGGCTCTCCGTGCCCCCGGGGCGAGGTTATTCCTAGCGATAGCCGCTGATTAGCGCATCTACCGAGTATACTGTTAGCCCTGTTAGAGCATAACGAACCCGTTTAAGCTATGCTATATAAGTTACTAAAGTGATTCACCTAACTCATTAGTTGGCTCAAGCCTAAATGCCCTCGGAAATGCGAAGAGGTCCTGCCAAGCTACCGGCGCACAAGCTCAAGCGAACTGTCCAGCGGTTCGTGATAGGTGAACGCTGCCTTGGTCTTCGCCCCCACCCTAACGGAGAGTGTATATTAGCCGGATGTGACTCTGCCCACGCTAACAGACAGATTGTTCCTTCAAGCACCGAATAATGGACGACCAAATCCGTCCCTATGTGACATTCACCGACGCCGACCGGTCGTGAGTCCTCATCTTTGATTCGTTTCGGTCGAGAACCCCCGAAAGAGAGCGGGGACCAGCCAGACTGATCTCTCGCTAGGCTAGATACCCCCTACCTGCAACTGGACATCGATAGCTCCCTTCGCTTCCTCTTTACTATCCGGCGACTTCCGACTCACAGGGACCACGATAGCAGACCGTGTCTGTTCAAGTGGAGCCCAGTTGGTGATGGCTTCGTGCGTGGCGGATTCATCCTGCTCTGTCACGTCCCCTCCGCCGATGGAGATGGACCTGCCGATGAGAGTATCGCGCTGCAGAAGGTCGAGATTGCACCAGAGCCCAATTACAACCCGGCACTGGTCCAATCTGGTTCTGTCCGCATTACCAAGTGGACTCCGCGTCTCTGGGAGTTGAAGACGGGAGAGTCGATATCCTTTCAGTCTAGCTTGCCGGAGCACTGGGAACGGCAGCTGCGGCCGGGGGAGACGTATGAACTGCTCTGGCCGGGGGGCACGATTGGGCTGTGGGACTGGGGGTCGAAGCAGGAGCGTCTCGGGCAGGAGCTGAGGGCTTGTTCAGAGACGGGGAGGGATGTCTTAGTATTACCAGGGGGAGTGCGTACGCTCTTCTCGGTACGGAGTGTGCCTTCTCTTCCAGTGCCCAGGGCATCTCCAGAGCCTGTTCGGGATGAGGATCGTGTGTATGTTTTCTCTCTCTCTCTCTATCTTTTCTCATGTTATCAGATCTAACCAGAGGTGGATGGTAGGCCTGGAGCCCCCATTCTCAGCGTGGAACTGCAATGTCCTCCCACGATCCATCGCCAGGTTCCCTACCAGGTCACCGGAAAAGTCCACTACCACCCCTCTATATCACAGAAGGCAAAGGCAATTACATTCCACACCGTGATCTTTCACCGATTCATAGTGGCAAATGACTGCTTCCAACTCTATCGACGCAAAGGGGCAGACCTCGAACCAATTGACACCGACGACCCTCACGACGCATACAGAATCTACGATGATCCGGACGTGCTCGTCAACGTCACCGGGCACGATAATTTCACCACTCTCCGACCGGGGGAATCGTGGGCGTTTTCACGGTATATCCAGGGACGGAGCTGGACGTATATTCCCCGCGATGCGCATGTTGGGGAGACGTTCTGCGTGCAGTACCATGGGGGCACCGTCAACTGGTGGGATTGGGGCGGGAAGGAGGACCATGCCGGCACGAAGGTGACTTTATCCAGTTCGATATGTGGACGGGTAGTCGACCCGGCAGATAATGGGGGGAGACCGCGGTTGGTAATTCCGGCATCGAATATAGTAGAGTTCACCTTGGCCGGTTCTGACTGAGATGGCATCATCCTTAACTTCGGTTTTTGATCATGATCTTCCAAGTAGTTCATAGTAGAGCAGTAAACAGTGTGTACGAAGAAGAAGGAAGATGGTGGATGAGGTACCGTTTAATGGATGAATCTGAATATTCATTAATGAATCAAAAGAAGACGCAGTATACATTAGACCTATCGACAAAATTCATCTAAATAGTAAGGAGTGGTCAAAGCCTGATCATGCTTAGGCTTCTCTTTTATGCCTGGGTCGTTGCTTCATCCTTCCCGCTATTCTCTTTCTCAAATGCTTGGCAAACGGGGAGTATTACATGGGATCACCGTGGCCGTTGTTGAATGTCCACGCCTCCCACACGCTTCTCCTCCTCACCGTTGATTTAGACAGCCCGGCATGTGCCCTCGATCTGGGTCTGAGGAGGGCCGACATCGACCGTCGCCGGTCCAGTGACAGAGGTGACACTGTGGTCAATACCTCTGAAGGTGCAGGAAACACCCGCAGCATCGATCTCAATGTGAGAGATACTCAGGGGGTTCGCTGTTGCAGTTAGCCTTGTTTATTCATCTCCCAATATCATTGTCTGATGTATATCGGTGGACATACTAATTTGCACAGCAGAGCCGTCAGTGGGCAATACCTGCTCAAACTTGGCATCGGCGGCCCCGATAAAGGTGACCGAGACAGTATTTCCACGGGGCTGAGTCTGCTTGTGGCAGGATCCAGAGACCTGTGTCTGAGGGGGGGCCGACGTCGACACTCTCAGCGCCATTGACGGTGGTCACACTGTTGTCAATACCGTGGAAGGTGCAATCAATGCCGTTGGTGCTGGATGCGATATGCGAGATGCTCAGTGGGTTCGCTAGAGGAGTTAGAAATTGGTACCGGAGGCTGTGAGAATGTAAATCAGGGATAAACTCACTAATGGAGACATCAGAACCGTCGGTGGGGAAGCTCTGAGCAAATTGAGCATCGGCCACGCCGATGAAAGTGATCTGAACCTCTTCAGTACGCTTGATCGGGCTGGCGTTCGCAGTGGTAGCGAGGGCAATGGAGAGAGCTAAAATCTCGGAGAACTTCATTTTGTAGAGAGGAAGAGAAGGTAGGAGGGGTGCTTTGCTAGGGTTGATGCTTGGGTGTATATCGTACTTGTTCGTCTGTCTGAATTCGTTGTATCTTACTGGGAACCAGAGACCTTTTATATATCTCGAATGTCCTGTCTTCGCAAGGACATCGGCATTTCCCCAAGGACAATTTTAGAACTCACAATGGCTTTCCAACTACTTGATGGTCTGCCTTACTTGGAAACACGAATGGTGACGCTGATATCGAGTATCCTGAGACAGTCTTGGCGCGTCGAACCTGCAGAAATGGGAAAGAGTGACCAACTCAACAGGGCGGAGCTCTTCGTATGCTCTCCATAATCCTCACTATGCAGTTTCTCAATTGGGGTATCCGTAATCAAGTCCTGTTACCATTTCAATCCTAACCTCCTGGTGTTCCATGGTAGAAGGGCACTAAAAATAGTCGACCCGCCAAACGGTCGGTCACGAGGGGAAATTCCTGGTACAATGCGGATGTCAACCACCTAGACATTGTTTTAGGCATGACGCGCTCTACCCAAGAAGAGCAAGGAAAAAGAACGATGAGAAGTGAGAAAATACGAATCATGCTGCTGATTAGTGGTTTGTCGGGTATCGCCACCTCCGGAGGAACTCAGGCGTGAGCGCAGCTGACCGCGGGGGACCAAAAGCCTCCGGTTGGCGGTGCAGCCCGCCTACCCGCCATTCGCTGCGATCTTGCCCGCACAGCAATTACGAACGGTGGTTGACCTCATCAGGCCACCCTGTCGAGCCGTACGTTGAGGCTGAGCGACGCGAGTTTTCTGTCTGATGCGCTGGCCGGAGTCCTAAGCGCGAACACGTAATGTCGAGGGATCAGGGATCTTTCGGACAGTATAGAGAGGAGGGGTTCATGACTATCCGTAAGCTCCGGAGACTGCGAGAGTCTTAGCCAAGAGCTTACGCTGGGGTGGGGATCTGGATCTGACCAGAATTAACTGAGTTGAATCGGCTTGAACAGGACCATCATAGGGGTTCTGCCACTGCATATGAGTTTCAAAACGCAATGTTCGTTCTGACAGCGCAGGAGCTGTGAAAACACTATAAGGGGTTCCATGTGCGGCGCCCCATGTAAACTACAGCTAACTATTCCTGTTCAAGTATTGAAAGGAGCAACAGGTGGGCTTGGTCAACTTGGGGAAGGACAAGGCGTTCAGGCTGAACCATATTACCTGCAGCATGGCTGAGAATATTGCATTGTACTCAAGCATCGATTCGAACTTTGGTTGGAGGCGTGAGACCAAAACGTGATTGTCGTCCTCGTGACTTCTGTCTTGGGCGATTAATAAGTCCAAATCCACCAGAGGGACGCAACTACATGGACGGTCTGATTTACCAATCACGCCACCTTCTTCTGCATTTTCCTGAACTCACCGTCGAGATGAAGGCGTAGGTCTCGACCTAGAACTGATCCATATTTGAGTCAACAACGTTGAATGGCTGTGTGGGCAAACGGGAAATGCGGGCGGAACCCTTGAATATTGGGTGTCCCAAAGTAGTAAATAACTTCTTTCCTTTATAGGGCATAGGCTATCCGACAAGATCATCGTTGAGAAGGCCCAGGGGTATAGTCATTGGAGTACTCCTGGGGCTCGTCATATTCTTCCGGCGTCAAGCGACGCAGATAGCCGCCCTCTAATAGCCCCTTGACGTTGGTATATGTCACGAATTGAGTGCCCATGCCCGGTTGCTCGAACCACGGCGCAATAGGCCCCATCCCCACGACGAAACTCTTCGTCACTTGGTACACATAATAATTGAATGGATGATCACCATCATAGGTATCCAAGTTACTCGGTGGTAGCGACCGCTCAATGTACGGTGCACTGAGCGGTGCCAGGAACGAACCGTACTCCGAGCCGAAGCGGTCGACTTTCTGGCCCACGGATAGAGTGGCATTGCCCACGATCGGGGCACCGTGAGTGTTGGCAACAAAGCCATTCGCGGGTGGGTATTTGTATGACGCGCTGGAACTGGCAGAGCCGGCCCACTTTTCGAGAAAGGTTGCAGGACACAGCGAGCCAAATCGCGCATAGGTTCGGAGCTGGTTGTCTAAGGGAAACTTTCTCGGTGCCTGAACAGGCCCCAGACGCGAATCACCGCAAACATAGCTGTCATTTTGAAATGTGATGCCGGCGCAAGGATTGGGGTAGCAATGGCTGGGGAATTTAAACTGTCGGCTGTTAGATATGATTTTTCTCCTGGTTCCCTGGGTGCTGTACCTCGGGAGTGTGTCGGGCAGCACCAACAGAGTGAGGAACCGCGGTGGAGGGCAGCACCAGCGCAGTGAGCGCCACGAGCGCTGTCATGTACTGCATTTTGGAAGCGCGGGTCGTACAACAGGGAAGAGAGGGCTATGAAGAGTCGAACACCTGAACATATTTATGAATTTTTTTCATCTTTCGCGTCTGTGGTCAGTGCCTGAACAGCTGAGCTGAGGATTGTATTCTCAATTGCCCAATCTGGGGTGATCCCCGCTGATCACTGGCGGGTATTGTTCCATCGCATGCCTTGGCGATGTACCTACTTTCAATAGTGCGATTTAGTTTTCCCTGTTGATCTCTTGGCACAGACAGGAGATTCAGCTCATCCACTTTCGATTCTGCCTACCCGCATTTTGTTCAGCTCATCCACCTTGTTTGCTTCTCGGCCTTCCGATTCTGACCGCTCTTTTGGGGAAATTGGACGAGATTAGATGGAATCTTCTCTAATTACATGGGCTCCTCAAAGCAGACATGTTGGATGCTGGGAGAAGGCCCACTGGCCCACTGCCCAAATCACGGTCTCAGACGGTGGCGCAGTTGGCATCAATGGATATCGAAAGGAAGAATACAGAAAGAGTGGTCATGAACATTATTCTACCCCTTCTATCCTGACTTCATTCTGAAAATGAGATATACCCGTCCAACGACCCGTGCAAATAGTACTCACTTCCAATATCGAACGGCATTGAAGGTAGTGTCTGCTTGAATTCTTCCCGAGGACTACCAGCTCTCGTATTATCTCATGCCATGCGTGGAGTGCACTCTGATTTCACGAGCTTAATCCCTCTTCTCCATGTAGGGCAAGCACGCCTCATAAATCTCCCCATAGCCGGGGTACTTGATGATCCTCTGAAACACACCTTCGTCCACCATCCGCGCACACTGAAGAGTTCCCGCAATGAAGAAGTCGGTATAGATTGGGTGGGCTCCCAGCACAAATGGCCCCTCTGCCTTATTTGTCAGCATTAATTCGCCCACGGCACGGATCCGGTCATCTAAAGCGTTCCAATTGTCCTCTTCTTTGTCCAGTAGCTTCTCAAGCGGGTGTCCAAGCGATTCCTCGCGAGTTCGTCGGAAGTACTCCTGCGCGCGAGGCGAGAGGATGCCTATCTCGCGGGGCAACAGTGAGGTACGTAAGACTGTGCCGACCACAGCGCTGGCTTGAGCTTCGATCTCGCGACCGAGCTCAGACGTCAGCTGCACGGGTGGATCGGGATAGGTTGACTCGAGGAATTGCGCGATAGGGATCGAGTCAATCATATACGTGTTGGTCGCCACATGATGGATGGCGGGGACCGTGTATTTGGTCTGGGTTTCTAGGCCGCTGGAGAATCATGCGAGATTAGACGGATATTCGGATATTGAATGACAAGAGCAGAAATTGCAGACCGCACTCACAGTCCTTTCAGCGTTGGCTCAATGTCTGGAAACTCGAGGAATATGGTTCTGTATGGGATCCGTTTGTAGTTGAGCATGAGGCGGATGCGCCAGACCGCCGGAGAGAAACAGGCGTTCTTGGTGCAGGCCAGATCATACAGGACAATCTCGGGCTCGGGAGGATGGACCATTTTCAACTACGGACTATGCAATACTTCTTATCGGGTTGTTTTTCAGTAGAAGGGCGTGAAGGGATTCAGCACGGCCAAGAAGCGTTTTAGTTGAAGGGAAGCAATGGTGAGTCATCCATGCCTCGTATTTGCCCGCCGCATTAGGTGAAATTACAAATCAGAAGGGGACCAGCTGACAAGGAGCAGAGGTGCTCAAACAACATTCTGAATGCCGTAGTATCTTTCTATTAGACATGCTTCTTTTGGGGCGTCAACACCTGAAAGGAGACAGGGCGGTTTCTTGCGAGCTGCGCTTGGCGGGCCACGCTGGAAACATTCTCCGTGCGGTGATCGACCTCCTCCACCCCGCATTGTTCAAGCCGTATGCTCCGGCTTATCGAGAATCTTTGAAACGGCCGCATATTCTCTTGCACCCAAATCCTGTATGCTATACAATGTACATGGATTCTGGTTTATCCCGGGGTGTGGTCACTGTTCAAATGATCGGTAGATTTCCCTTGCAGGCAGCACATAGACTTTGAAAGCTTCGAGAAATAATGCAACTCACAACGCTATTTCAGTGGTGATATTGTTCGTTTGATCAGGAAGAATGCTATGAGTTCAGAACGAGATCTACCTGACCTATGCCAAGACCGATGCGGTCGGAGATAACGTTGCGCTCTATACCACAATTCTCATCCTGGTTCAATGGGAGAATTGAACCATACATGGACCAACAGACAAAGAATTAATATGAGTTAGTTGGAAGGTTAAGAGATGTTCTGAGTTTCCCGCAAGGTCCAACATCTGCGCGCCGATTATCTCGGATCCGAGTTCGGATCCGAACTATATAGACTGGACCCCGAGTTTGTTGCGTGAAAGCACTATTTAGGGAACAAAATTTCCAGTGATAATTGTTTATAGGATTATCTGCTATCAAATCCATTTTCCCGAGACTCATCAACTACCGCCCATCGACCTTCTTTGGCCCTAGTGCCCACTCTCCTGCCAACGATACTCTAAAATGCATGTTCTCACTATCGGCGGAAGTGGCCGTACTGGCAAGCTCGTTATCGAAGAGCTACTGCGACGAGGTAGGTTAGTCGAGCTATTGTATTTCCACCTGAGTCGTGATCTGATACATTTCTATCAGGACTTGGAGTTACAGCTCTGGTGCGGGACCCGGTGGCGATGGAAGGCTTCGACGGCATCAAGCTTGTCCAAGGTGCGTTTGATTTCTCCGAGGTCGAAGAACTACTTAGTGACTTAGTGACTCTGAAATAGGAGCACCAACGAGCATTTCCGATGTGAGGAGAGCGTTCAACCACTTTATCCCTGACGTCGTGATCGTCACTCTGAATGCCCCACGAGCCTCCGACAACCCGTTCGCCGCCCCGAGATCGCCGCCGCGACTCATGGCAGATAGCAACGCCAATGTGGTAACGGCTATGAAAGAGGTCGGGGTGAAGAAACTTGTCATCTTGCAAGCCTTTGGCGTGGGCCACTCGTGGCCCAACATGTCTTGCTTACTGCGCGGATTGATGAGCAAGTCAAATATGAGCTATCAGTATGAAGATCACAACCATACTGATCAAGAGGTTCGAGATAGTGGGGTCACATATGTAATGGTCCGCCCGGCTAGGCTGGTGGAGACGGATGTGACAACGGTGCGCGAGTGGCCTCAGAATGGAAAGGGTGTGCCCCTGATGGCGAGTGCAAGCCGGAAAAGCGTGGCTTCTTTTCTCGTGGACGCTGCCACTGAGTCGCGGTGGGATAACAGCGCGCCAGTTATCACGAACTGAAGGATTTATTGACCCTTTTGGTATTTTTTGAGTGCACGTCACATAGACAAGAGTGGCTCATTGGTTAATTGCATGTTACATCGAGCGTGGTGGTTGGAGGAGCCAATCAATTCCTGAAGTCATGAATAGTCCAAGTACAAAAGATTGTCATTCTCAATCCGATCACCCTCGAAGAAAACACATGTACTTGGTGTGTCTCCACTGCTTCTTCTCTATTTCCCAGCGGATTGTGTCTCCATTCCAGCTTGAGTTCCATTTCTCTGGTTCACATGTTCCACATGTATGATTCATCACCAATTGAAAATAGATCTCCGACAAAACTGTCAAACTCGGCTGCGAGTGCAGATGGCGGTTGCTCGATGTCCCCAAATTGAAACTGAGGAGTGGATACCCGCTGCCGACTATGGCTATGTAAAGCGATAGGCTCTATAGGCTGTATCTGTTGGCATGTGAGCAAGTGATTCAAATTGTATGACAGGGCAGATACCATGTGTGCCAAATCTGCCAGATCAGATGACACGAACTGCTCGGTAGCCTTCGAAAGAAGATACTGACGGCAGGCAGAGAGGATGCTTTTTGCTCCCTGTAGCATTCGCTGCTCTCTTTGTTCCGCTGATCCACGGAAACGTGCGGATTGAAGAACAACGGTGAGAAGAAGGAGATCTTTCACGTTGCTGCCTTTCTCGTGTATCCGCCGCGTGAGACTGTCGAGTGTGTTGTCGACAAGCCGGCTGAGACTAGCTTTGCTAGGCGCTTGGCTACAGAAACTGAAAGGGCTGGGAAGTATCACAGGCTGGGGATGGGGCTGTTAAGCGTTGGGCGGGCAGTTTCATGTGCTCGCATACACTAAGAGCTGCCCACAATATGTCATTCTGACAGAAGGCTTGGAAGACATTCCAGTACGCGTTTGGGTTAACAACATCAAGCCCGGTGATGTTGGGGTCAAAGTAATCTTGATACGAAAGAACGGCAAGCGAGGAATCCAAGCATGCTCGTTGCATGCTGTGGAAGGATGGATCTTCAGGGGTGCTATGAGTGATAACAGGTCGAAAGAGGCAGAGTAGAGGGCGACGAAGAAATATGTCAAGCAGAACGCGGTTCAAAACAAGGGCGGGACTCGCATTTTCTGCATCATGTCTTGGGTTCAAGTGGGAAGGAACCTCGGAGATATACTCCTGCAGCCTTTGGCCCTGCTTGACACGCTCACTGAGGTTGTCACGCGGGCTTGTATGTTGCACTGTGTTCATCACCCTGACCCGATGTGATAACGAGGCAGCTAGAGTGATCTGAGCGATAGAGTCGGTCTCCTCGCTCAGTGGAATGGCAGATGGCCGATCAGATGTTGACTCGTCAAAATCAGCATCATTGAGATTGGACGGTGTCAGAGGCCCAAAATCCAGCTCGGGGGTCATAACCGGCATGCCAGACGTAATGGAGGCCTGGAGATCCATTTCCACAATGGTGATCCAAAGTCGTCGACGGCACTCTGCCTGGAAGAAAGACAGGTTGGAAGACTGGGAGAGATTGACATGCAAGCCCATCATCATCCCAGAGCGGACAAGGGAGCCGCTGGCTTTCCATAACTCTTCTGGGGGTTCAAGACGTAGTTGATAGGAGAGCAACAGGAGCGTTTCAACTTGCAGTGTGGCAAAATCAACTCGCTGTTTTCGTGGAAGCTTGGACAACCAGGCCTGTAATGACTTTACCGCATCTTGTGTCAGGTACTCCCATGATGATGAATCATCGGAGGAGGTTGTCTGGGGATCAAAGGAAATAGCAACGGCCAGGATCGCTGTGAGAAGGGGTACAACGGTAGGCACAGACTGCTGATCAGATTGCTGCCAAAAGGATGTGTACAGGCGAAGGAAAGAAGGAACATGAATGATTCTGAGAGTTTTCTCCAAGTTGGTGATATAGACTTCCAGGAGCTTGTCACAGGCGGATTTAGGAGGAAGAGAACTCAGAAGATTCTGCAGCTCGGCAGAACTATCCAACCCAGAAAGAGACTCGGGAGAGGTGGTTGAAGCCAGCGATTTTGTTTGGAGAAACTGGACTTCTTTGGCCAACCCCACAAGTGTAGAGTCTGCAGAGCAGTGATTGATAAATGCCTTGGCTTCGGGGAACTTGAGACGCGTCAGCAGAGCACAGCGTGATATTTTAATCCCACCAGCTTACCTGGTTCAGAAGTGTGATGCGATGATTTTGCCCGTGGTAGCGAGAGCGTGATCCCTTGACAACTAGCGTCCCTAGGAAAGGTGAGGTGGACGAATTGGAGTCAGATGGAGGCCTGATGCAAGATTGGTATAAGAAGAGAAGATTAAAAGGGAAAAGTAGGACGGGACCTACCAAGGATTCTGAACAAAGGCATCTCTGATCGGGCCAAAATTGCCCGCATCTGGCTGAAGCGCGATGAGTTCCTCTAGCTTGACCACGCGCTGGTGGAGATCCTCGATGATACCCGCCCCGGGGCCCCCAAGCGTTCGCCGGCCATCCTCAAGCACTTCGGCAGGTAAGTGAGCTCGCTTCGGCTTGGGGGGAGAGTCAATGGGATGGGGATGCTGATTGTAGGTGCAGCGGGCACCGCAGCCCGCTTTGGTGCAGTTCTGACAGGGCGTAGCCCGGTCGCATTTCAGCTTCTTCTCCCTGCATCGGAGGCAAGATACCACAGGCCGTGGCCGCTTGCGAGAAGATGTTGTCTCCATGACGGTCAAAATAATTGCATTCTCGACATTGGGCCGAGGAACGTGCGTCAAATGGCGGGCGCTGGCGGGGTGTTGTTGATGATTGATGAAGTCTACACGACCGCCAATCATCGCGGACAGGCAGGCAAAGCGCCCCCAAAATGGTGGCGCCAGGGCCATTCTTCCGATTCACCTCCCAAAAGCTCGGTCGCCATCCTATGCGACTACTTGTTTCTTGCTTGGGGCGTATCGCTTATGAAATTTTACATCGGTTTACGGAAAATTATGAATAGGTGAGGCAGTAAGACCAGAACGATCTTTAACGAAGCTAATCTTAACGAAGCTAATCTTAACGAAAGTACGCTTCTGAGAGCATGACGCCAGGTTGAATGGCGTCGAAACATACAAAGCCAGTTTCACAGGTGAGGGCCATGTTGGATGGCATCGAGAAACATCAACTCAACTCACCCTACGCACAGCCATCTCAGGGTTTGTGTCAGTAGTCGGCTCCGCGACTGATAACCTCTTTGCCCGATTCACGGAGCAGAAAAGTCTAGAATGGTCAGCTGTGACATGACACCGAAATGTGGATTCGCATACATGTTCGAATTGCGCCGAGTAAGAGCCTTCAATGTCCATCAAAGGCTGGTACATTTCGACCACACCTTGTGAAACCAGGTTGTTCATCTGTTATGGTCAGCACACAAGTCAATTGCCAGTACGGGACATGCTTACACCCGCCAGGTATCGCTCAACGCCGAGCCTCTCGAGATATCGGCGGCAGAAGACGAGAGTGCCGAAGTTCTCATTGATCTTCTGATAGAGAGACCGGGCAGAAGCCAGGTGCGACGTAATCCTTTTCGGCGCATCCAGGTCTTTTCCATAACCGTACACGCCAGGCTGATGGGAATGTTAGTCTCGCTTTCTTCGGATATCCATTGAATGGGCAAGCACTCACACCATCGATTGTCATTCCTCTCCCCGTTGACCCAAATGTCTCACAGGCGAAGATCTCCCCTTCTTCCATCTTAGTCTGATCCTTGGTCTTGACGAATGGAATTGATTTGCCGCCGTGGATCTGATATTGCTTGATATTGTGGCCACTGAGATTTCGAACGGGCTTCACCGGGAAGGTCTTTCCATTGATCTCAACCTCGTAGCTTTCCATGGTCTCCTGGATAGCGGCGCTAACATCGCTGATGCGGACGTCAATTCCAGAGTTCTAGGAACCGTAAGTACCCATTCGACATGCGGCAAATCGATCCTTTTTCTTACCTTGATGCCAGTATTTGTTGCATCCTTGACGGCCGCAAGCAGATTGTCATGGCATGGATCAAACGACATAGTAAACGCACTGTCAACAATCCAGCCATTGATATGAACACCAAAGTCGACCTTCATGACGTCGCTGGATTGCAAAATGATCTCCTTCTGTCCAGGATTGGGTGTGTAGTGCGCAACGCAATGGTTCAGCGCTAGTCCCGTTGGGAATCCCAGGCCCGAAACCAGGCCAGCTCCAGGCTCGAGACCATCATTGCCTAGCAAGGCTCTCACGCCATCATCAATCCCCTCGGCGATCTCTGTGAGGGTCTTGCCCGGGCGAGCAAATTCCTGGGTCCATCGCCGGACCTGACGGTGCACTTCAGCCGCCTTTCGATAGTCATTTAAGAGGCTGTCATCTTCAAGATGCGTGCGCCCTTGGTATCGAATTTCCTCGGCAGTGGTGCGAGCGGTGTTCTCCACTGGTGCATAACTCTGTATTTCTCCAACTGGGTACTGGCCAGGAGGGAACAATTCACTCAACGGAATCCGCGGGGGAGATGACTGGGTCAATGACGAAGCCTTCTTCTTTGACTTCTTTCGCTTTTTGTTCTTTTTCTTGGAAGTAGTTTCCGATCCTGGTTGGCCGGTTAGCGACAAGGGAGCAGCGCAGGCCCCGTTGTCAGCATCGCCGTCGTCATCTCCGCCGTCATCTCCAAGGCTGCCGTCACCATCGCGGGACAGATGGGCTCCGCGTGGCTCTCCGCCGGTGGCATTTGCTGGCGAGCTCGGGGGCTCATCTGCTGAGAATAAGCATTCGTCAGAAGCAGGTTATTGGCCGCTTCGTGGTCAGGCTTCTACGTACTACCGCCATTTCGGCCTTCGTTCTCGGGTGTTTTGGAGCCCATCTCGACATGAAGAGCTAGAGCTGCAATAAATGTTGATGGATGACAAGACGTACTGGAGAAAACCTGCTGCCGTTTGAGTGTCGCGTGTGGCGCCAAAGGCGGTGTAGTGCCAGGCCGAGGCCCGTTTGGAGACCCACGGAGGCCAATGTAACCATGGAGGAGACAATCGATTGTCTCGCTCATGCGGGAAGTCCCAATCCCAAAAGGCTCGGCTTAGTGGCTAGCAAACGAAGAGAGAAAAAAAGATAGTCGCCAGTGAAGGAATTACCGCCACTAGGAAAGCAAAGTTTCTCTCAGAAAGTCGACGAGTAGACGTAGATTCAATTCCATCTAAGCTACAAGTATGAACACAAATAACGCGCGACAAGTTGAGCCTTCTACCACGTTTCAGAAACGCATAGATAGATACCGACGTAATTGAATAATTTTTCATTGAAATGAAAAGTGGGTCCTCTATAATTTAGCACCGTCAGCGAAGTCCGTATAGTACCGCGTCATATCATGCCGCAGAACTTCTAGACCCTATTTTCAAAATTAGCAGTTATTCACGAAAGTAAGCTTGAACGGAGCAATCAGACTCACCAATGCCAACTCCTTTGCCAGTTCTTCGTCAGACTCCGCTTTAAGGAGCATCTGGAAAAACTCGTCATTTTCACGCGCGCTGTCTGGATCCTGGTCGTGCAGCCTGCGGAAATTATCACGAGACATGGGATCAATTATTTCGGTCCAGATACGTTTCCGGACCGCACTATAAATATCCAAAATGCTTTCATCTGCAAGACCGTTATGAATACCTATCAGCGAGTCGTAGAGACAGCCCACATCGGCGATGCCGCCGGTCAGACCCAGCCCTCCGCTTCCATCAAGTCAGCGCCCGGTCTAGTGTTTTCCAAGGGTATTGAAACTCACAACGGGTTACAAAGATGAGCTGCATCCGCTGCCAAGAGAATTCTCCCTACACGAAAATCTGGGGCGCACCGCTGCTGCAGCTTATAGGGGCTTATGTTGGTGATCTTGTAATCGCCTGGCTTGGGATTCCCGGGAAGGATCTCCGCATATCGTTGTGGCTGGCGTGCAATATATTCCTCCCTAGTGAGCCCAGGAGTATCACCGTAGGATACTCGATACAATCCATCTGTGGTGATGCGCGCTGCCATGTACCAGTTTTTGGGATGAACAATGAAGTTGCTATCCCAGTAGCCATAGCGACTGAAATCGTAGTATACCTAAGTCTGGCAATTAGCAGCCCTTCATCTGTCTAACTGGGTGAAAGCCACAATGACCGACATTCGTAGCAATGATCTGTGCGTTCAGAGTCTCTCCAGGGAACTCGGGGCCGAACAACTCCCGTCGCACTGTGCTGCTAGCTCCATCGCAACCAATTACATAGTCTGCTGCAGACCGCGTGGTGCCGTTTGGTGTTTCAACGTCTACCCACGCTTTGTCTTGGTCCTGGCCAATGCGCGCGACGCGATGTGACCATTTGACCGTTGCTGTGGGCTGTTTCTGGATATGCTCGTATAATACCTTCCCTAGTCGGTCGAGAGGAAGCACGACCATACTGTAGGGATAATCCGCCGGTAGCACATCGTGTTTCATACCCGCGATGAATGTGGTATCCATTTTCCTCCAGGCAAAACTCTTACACTGAATACCCACTGCTTTTACCTCATCGAGAACTCCGGCTCGCGCCAGTTCGTAGGCTGCAGGTGTTGCATAGTGAGCTGCACGAGGCTGCTCATCGAGGTATGCACCGGCATCGAGGAATTCGACTTCAATTCCCTGTTTGGCGAGCAGAAGACCGAGAATCAGGCCCGAGGGCCCGGCGCCAACGATAATCACCTAAAAGAGAATTCAATAAAGTCACTGACGAAAATACCCGGCCGGGTGGGGATACCTTTTTGATGGCCATTGTTTTAACAGCTAAACTGGAAGACTGCACTGCCGACGTGCCCGAGGGGAATTTATGAATGCATGGAAAAGAAACACTCTGAGAAAGCTGCCCATATCCTGGGGCCAATCTGACTTGTGGATCACGAAGCCCCAACACCAAGACAGTGACCCCTTTTCCCCCGCCTCGTGGGGCTATTCCACTTGGTCAACTGCATGCCCGCCTACGCCGCCAAGATCAAAGCGTAAATGGCAGTGTTGCGGGGAAACCTCCAGACGACGAGCAGTGCGCTGCGGGGCGCCAGCCGGGGTAATTCCGGGGGTGCGGAGGATCACCGTTCTGTTCAAGGCGTCAAATTGGAACAGCCCAATGGATTGTACTATCCTTGAAGTTCATTTTTCACCAAAGAAACTTCTGTTGGAAGTCGAGGGAGGGTGCTCCCTCCCAGGAACTGGTGATCTTCTCTGCGGCATTTCCATCTGCATGCATCGATGCATTGGCTGCTGCATCGGCACCTGTAGCCTCATTGGACTCATCTCTATTTGGATCAAGATCAATCTGAGTCTCTGAATGAAGCAATGAGTGCCCTTGGATCCGGTGAAACGCAATCGGCGAAGACAGTGTTTCAAGCCCGCAGTGAGATCCAGGTATTCCAGAGACCCGACCATTAGTGCCCGAAACTTGCCTGTCCGTCTCTTCGAATGCTGCATGTTTCCTCTTTCGACTATCTTGAGGGGCTGGATGAATGGCAGAACGATCGGCATCAACGACCCGTCGCTTAGAGCCACTCGTCTCTGGGCCGATGCAGACGTGCTGCCATTGTCGGATGTTGTCCGCCGTGTCGAGGGGGAATTGTGGCCAGTGTTCGATTCCTTGCTTCTCAAGTCTTGCGAGTGGCGTATATCCATGAGGGCTGTCTTGTTTGAAAGATGCGTCATCGGGGAATGCATCCAACAATTGCGAGTCCGAGACTTGTGCGAGCAATTTCAAGAAGGCGTTCTCCGTCACCTGCAGCCGATGCTCCAAGGCTTCAATGTATCCTTTGGCAGGTCCCCTGAAAGGCATAGTCAGCTCCTGAGCGTCTCGCCTCGCACTAAGAGGCAGTCCCCACGTACCGCCTGAGTTGCTCTGGCCAGTTGCAAGGGCGATTGTACTCCAAGCACTGTCGACAAACCGGACTTTATCATTCAAGAGGCGCCGTTAGATCTAACTTACTCTATAAGGTACTGCCTGGAATAATCGATAGTCTTACTTCTCCCCACTGCACTAAAATAGATTCCGAATGCGTTAGCGACAGGCCAAAATGCCTGTGGACCAAGACAGCGTACCTTCTGCTTCCTCGACCGACAAGCATTGCAGGCCATCGTAATTCTAGACGGCTTTTTCTCCTTCATTTTCGCCATTTTTTCGCCAAAGTTGGGAGCGTGAAATTGGAAGAAAGGAAGAAGGAAATCGGCGAAAGCGGGGAATAAAACCGCCTAAAAGTTCTGCCGATGAGGTGTACAGCCTCCGGCAGTGCCCAATGATCTCGTTGGCCAGAAAAATGTATATATATGTTCATTCAAGAGGCCAGATTCCCCTTCTTCATTGAATCCTCGGTCTACTTGGATACCAGTTACAAGTGCATTTCCTCGTGGTTGTGATAATTCCAGATGGCTCCGTCGTACAAGATTGCCTCCATTCCCGGAGACGGCATCGGGCCCGAGGTCGTCAGCGCCACCATTCAGGTGGTCGAGAAACTGGCAAAGACGTTGGGAGCATTTCAAATTGAATTTACCCATATCCCGTGGGGAACCGCGTACTACAAGGAAACCGGACGATATTTGTCGGAAGATGCACTTGACACTCTTCGCAAATTCGATGCAGGGATCTTCGGTGCGGTGGGTGCTCCAGGTACGCTGCACAATCATTCCACTTATTAACCGCACATTGTCTAACTTTGCTCCAGACGTACCGGACCATATCTCTTTGTGGGGCCTTCTCCTTGCCATTCGAGGCCCTCTGCAACTATATGCCAATGTCCGACCGGTGCGGACTTTCCCTGGAACCAAATGCCCTCTCAACACAGCAACTGAGGGAATCGATTGGATGTTGGTTCGTGAGAACTCCGAAGGCGAGTACTCGGGCCAAGGAGGCCGATCGCATGTGGGACAGCCGTGGGAGGCAGCCACAGAGGTGGCCATGTTCACCCGTGTCGGTATTGAACGCATCATGCGATTTGCGTTCGAGACGGCGCGGTCACGGCCTCGGAAGTTGTTGACTGTGGTGACGAAGAGCAACTCCATGCGTAATGGCATGGTTCTCTGGGATGAGGTTGCGGCTTCTGTCGCCCAGGACTTTCCCGATGTCACCTGGGATAAAATGCTGGTGGACGCAATGACGGTGCGCATGGTGACCAAGCCGCAGTCCATTGACACCATTGTCGGCACCAACTTGCATATGGATATCCTATCCGATCTGGCTGCGGCCCTGGCTGGATCGATTGGTGTCGCGCCATCGAGTAATCTGGATCCCACCCGTAAGAACCCATCTCTGTTCGAGCCTGTGCATGGCAGTGCATTCGACATTACTGGCAAGGGTGTCGCGAACCCGGTCGCGACTTTCTGGTCGGCTGCAGAAATGCTCAAGTGGATTGGCGAGAAGAATGCGGCTGACAAGCTGATGACTTGTGTGGAGAACGTATGTGCGGCGGGCATCTTGACACCAGATCTGGGCGGCACCTCGAGCACGCAGGAAGTGGTGGACGCGGTATGTGTCGAGATTGGCAAGATCAAAGCGTGAGACGCTTGAGACCATGGGAAAATCTACCTGGGGGGTGAATGGACAACAAAAGGAAAGGATATTCTCAATAGCTGGACTTCTTTTACTCACCATTGCCTCTTATACCTTTGAAAGATATAAATAAATACCTGAAGAAAGACCCACCCAAACCATCCCCGGACAATGGGCCACTGGATATACAAAGAACTGATTCAGGACAGTGTACAGCCCGTGTTTTGTCTCCGAACAGTACATTTAGGCGGCCTCATCCCCCTCCCTTCATACCGGTCTCACCACAAAAGGCACTTGGAATACTCAATAACACTTGAGATTCAGTTTACCCAAGCTTGTCAGTCTGTCAACCTTGAAGTCTTAACGTCTCGAACCGCAACATGCAAGTCCCCGGGAGCAAACCTCTAACCCGTGCTCTTTTGGAAGCGTGCAAAAGTTTGGAGGCTAATACTGATGCGAAGCATGGGGTGATGGACGCTCTTGATACTCACATAGCTAGGTGGGTGTATGACCACAGTGAAGCTACGAAGGCGGAACACACACCGAAGCTACCTGATGAACGTGATAGCAAGGAACTAGCTTACGATGGTCCCAATAAACGCTGGGTGAATGTGAAACTCGATCCTGAAAGGGACAGCCACCTGACGCCCTACCGACTGCTGCAGAAAATGCGGTCTGCCATTCGGGACCAGCTTGCGACTATCACCAAAAATCCCAAGTGCACAGGGGAGCCTTTCTGGGTCTCTATCGAGGTGGTTGGTGGCTTTACGGACAATGAGGCAGTTCATGGAGCAGCAGAACAAATTGTTTTGTCTTGGATGAGGCGTGTGCACGCCGAAGGGCTGCCTTTCGACCACCGAGCTGTGTTCCGGAAAATTCATAGTGACAAATCAATCCTACACTAGTATGCTCTGCCGATTCCCCCTCCTCATAATCCTATGCAGTGATATGGTACAGATGAGTGGGAATAGAAAGGAGGAATTAGGCACATCAATTATTCCCCTTTGCTTATCTATAGGTTTTCAATTGCGTTTCATGTTATGCAACTGAAGAGCTCTTGTTTTTCAAACTTGTGTCTTTCTTGATACTAACATATAAGGTGTGAAAAGTAAGTGCCATTGCCAGATAGATACCTACTCAATGGGCATATCTAGAAACTGGGATATCGTTGCCCAACTATATCAAGTAACGAATCAAAATCCGCCCCACCAAGTAGATCGACCATGTTCAAATCAAAGCTCGGGCCTAGGGTTGAATAGTTTGGAGTTGTATCTTGAAAATCCAGTGTCTGGGATGGTGGAGTTTCGGCCGGTAAAGGTTCCTCATTGAAGTTGGTCGAATGCTGAGACCTTACTGATACCGGATCAAATCCAGGTCCCCTGTGGCCATACCCTGAGTTTTCGATTGTTTCCGCCATGATAGGGCGTGGCCGGTCTGCTGGGATTGTAGAGTGGCTGTGAGACTTTCTTTTTGATTGCACATTTAGATCAGACGTGTCCAAGAAATCATTTTCTCTCTCCATGTTTCTCAGAGCATAGGCGTGCGACGTGGCTGCCGCATCCGGGTTGATTTCCATCTGCTTGATCTTGGCAGATAGCACTGACAAGGTCATACAACAGTGCCTGGCAGTCTCCCATTGCGTAGACATACGCCGTAAAAACGACGAACACTCGTCAATTTCCCTGAGGAGACTTAGCATTCCGGGATACAATCCATCTTAGCATAATGGCTGGACTTACTGCAACCCCTTTGTAAGAACATACTGCTTGAGCTGACAAGAAAAGGCTAGCACTAGCCCTGACATCCAAGCAGCTGACAGGAATCCCGGCCAGAAAAAGGCTTGCTGGCGATCCACCTGCGTCCTTAACGCCGCAAGAATCGCCCGGGCCGCGCTAATGCATGTCTGCAGCCCAGAACAAAATTCTGCTGTTGCAGGGTCCAATGAAAGTGATGGTCGGTGGATAATCAAGATAAGGTGCTGATACAAGACGGTAAAGAATGGCCCGAAATCAAAAGGGCTGTCGGTATCTGAGGAAGCCGCCTCCTTGTTGGCAACTGCCGACTGTCCTTGAAGGTCGAGAGGAAGGCTATTCCACCACTTGTGAACATCTGTTACCAAGAATAGTACTGCGCTTCGACGAATTGAACGAACTAGGATAGACTTGTGGAATAGCTCCAGAGCCCGGCCAGTGAGTGTGCCGGAGGCAACGTAGCTGGCCAGGACACTTTCTTTCAGGCAGTGTTCCGCCTCATCACTCTTATGGCTGGTGGCAACCAGACCATGGCAGTGCTCGGTATTATCACTGCATCCAATGAGATGCTCAGGCTCAAAGTCAGCAGTTGTTGAACCCGAAGTAGACCGTTTCGCAGACAAATTCTTCCCGCACGCCGGGAAGTGCATCTCCGGCGCTGCAGGCAAGCAGACATCGATATCCGAATCTTGAATACCGAGTGGCAGGCCAAGGGCCTGACTCAGGTACCGATCGATAGCATACGCACACCAGAAAATCCGCTTCCGTAATTGGCGATCATGCGACGAGAGCTGGGCATAGCGGAACGGACAACGATGCAATCCAGCATGAAGCATAGAGCGCAGAACACACCCGCCAAACGTTGACGCCAGTCTGAGCGACATGGTTGCCACAAGATAGACCTGAACAGCGAGGAGTGCTTGTAGAGAGGCGATATCGTGCCGTGTTGAGAAATTCCCTAGTAAAGCAGTCATGCTGCCCGGGGAGTGGATTCGGCATTCGGGCGAGAGCTCCAAATCAGGACGGAGAAAGGCTCCGAGGTTAAATATACATTGAAAAATCACCGTCCAACAGGTTCTTCGGTGGTCTGGGCTGGTGTCCTCGCTCGACGGTTCTTCCAGCGTGCTCGAATAGAAGCTCTCCATCGCCTGCAAGAAGGTGGGACCGTGCAGGAACGGGAAGAGAGGATGCCAGACTTTGAAGTAGGCCATCATAAGCTCCTTTGCTAGGTCCAATGGCGGCGCATTGCCTAGATAGGCTGCAACTTCAGTGCTATACTCCCATTGGGAGGGTGACTCCCCCTGCTCTCGGCGAGGAGGCGGAATTCGCTCTGGAAGGTGTAGCGCGCCGTCTCTTCAGCCTTGGTGAGTCCTCGGCCCCTACCAGCGTATCTTCGGCAGTAGGGAACTCTGTCTCTAAGGATCTAGATGTATCAAGGCCGTTTGAAAAGGCCCGCTTGACAGTGTTGATGAAGTAGACGCCGCTGGAGCTGCCGACAAACTGGCTGTCCTCATTGGAATGTGCCGTCAACGAGCCGATCTCGGTACCGGGCACATACTCTGGCCGTTCCATCCTGGGCAGATCATTACGATACAACCCATGTGAATTTTGAAGCAACAGCCTCTGACTCAACTAGTTCGCCCGATGTCTCGATGAAAACCGGCCCACGCCGGTCAATCTACGTGCTGAGTAAGCAGCTTGAATCAGACTTCCACTCGGCACGAAGAATTCGATTGATTAATAAGGAAGATTATTTGAAAGCAAAGTGGGCTCATAGCCATCCCATTTCTTGACAGCGCTACGCTGATGAACCAGAGCGCAGCAGCAGAGACCTGTTAAAAGGTCCTTTCGTGCGGAAGACGTAAAACTCTATCTTACATTCGCAGGGGATAAAAATTCAATATACGAGGTAGACACGAAGCAGCAGATCGGTGAACAAGAAGAGAAAGACGTCACAACTCCAACCCGGCAAACGATAACCATCAAGAAAAAAAAATGGAAGGTAGAACATAAATCGCATCCAGCGCCCAATGAGGAGAGGGAAAAATTTTTACCGACCCCCAGATACAGCGCTAAGTCCCCTCAGGCCTCTGAACCCAGGCGGGGAAAGGAAATGGGGGCGTTCCAGGAAGTGTAGAAAGTGTACGAGAGGCAGAAGAGAGAGAAAAAAAATTGGAATCGAATGTCGTGCCGCGTTCACTAAACACCAGTAGGTGACACTGCCTAAGACAGAACTTTTCAAACCGAGGGATATCAGGATTTCGGAGGGGAAGAGCGAGAAATAGGGGTCAATGGTAGAAAGGAAATAAAAAAGAAAAGAAAATTGTCATCAAAACGTGCGTCCAAGCTTTTCCGAGCGGTGCAGAAAGCAACAGCGAGCTGGAGCTTTCGGTCACGATCGTATGCGAGGCGTTCGACCATCGAGACAGGTCACTTAAGACTTGTTCTCCTCCGAGGAAGCCTCCTTAGCGGCCTCCTTGGGCTTGGACTCGCCAGTCGCCTCACCCTCGGTACCCTTGTTCTTCATATACTCATCATAAACGTTGAGGGCCTCGTCAACCTTGGCACGGAGAGCCTCCTCATCATCCAGCCTGGGAGAAGGATTAGCATATAGTACTCCAATCGTCAGAGGTTAGATAGATACTTACAGGCCAAGGAGCTCAGTGTTGTCCATCTCCAAAAGCATACCAGTGATCTTGCCGGCGAGCTCTGGCTGCTGAGCCTGAATCTTGGGGTAGAGAGCCTCACCGAGCATCTGCTTCTGCTGGGCAGGGGGGGCGGAGGTGAGAGCCTGAGAGCTCATGCCGGCGGCGGGAGCGGACTCGTCACGGCCGGGCTGGCCGGCAGGGGCGGGCTGACCACGGCCCTGACCACGGCCCATCTGGCCACCGGGGGGACCACGGAAACCACCGCGCATGCCCTGGCCCATAGGCATACCAGGGACCTGACCACGACCACCAGCGCCGCGGCCGAACTGACCTTGCATAGGGTAGCCCATGTTGTTGGGCATACCACCGGGTACCTGCATTCCCATGGGCATGCCCTGGAAGTTACCGGGAATCTGCTGGTTGGGGCCCATGCCGCGGCCGCCCTGCTGACCGGGGAAGGGGCCGGGGTACTGGCCGGGGCGTCCACCAGGGATGCCAGCCATGACCATACCAGGCTGAGGAGGGAAAGGCATGCCACCACGCTGGGCGCCGGGGATGAAGCCCTGCTGGCCGGGGGGATAGAAGACGGCGGGCTGCATGTAAGGCTGAGGCATACCGGCGGCGGCAGCGGCCTGCTGCTGGCGGATGGTGTTGCGGGCCTGGATGCTGGCCTCAAGCTGGCTGCGGCGGACATCCTTGCGCTGAGCAAGAGCGACGTAGAGGGGCTTGCCGTTAACCATGCGCTGGTTCATCTCGGTGACAGCCTTGGAGGCCTCGTCGGGGCTAGAGAAGCAGACGAAACCGAAGCCCTTGCTCTTGCCAAGAAGCTTCTTCTCACCCATCTCACCCTCCTGCTCCTCCTCACCGTCCTCCTTCTTCTCCTCCTCCTCCTCCTTCTTCTCCTCATCCTCCTTCTTCTCCTCCTCCTTCTCTTCCTTCTCCTCCTCCTTCTCCTCCTCCTCCTTGGCCTCGCCCTCCTTCTCAGAGTCGGGAGAGATGCTGCCATCAGTGGCGGAATCGCGCATGACCTTGGCGGAGGTGATGGTGCCGTAGGGGCTGAAGAGGTCACGCAGCTTCTCGTCGTCGACGTCGTCAGTCAGGTTCTTGACGTACAGGTTAACGCCCTGGTACTTGGAGGCCTTCTCCATACGGGCAGCCTCGTACTGCTTGCGGAGCTCCTCTTCGCGCTCGTGCTTCTTCTGGGCACGGCCAACGTAGAGCTTCTGGGACTTGATGTCCTTGTCATTCATCTCCTCAACGGCGGCCTGCGCGCTCTCGTGGGTGGAGTAGTTGACGAAACCGAAGCCACGGCTCTTGCCCTCCTGGTCGTGGCTCAGAGTAGCGGAGGTGATCTCGCCGAACTGCTCGAACATAACGCGGAACTCATCATCGGAAATCTCCTGGTCGAGGTTCTTGACGTAGATGTTCGTGAAGTTGGCCTTCATCTCCTCGAACTTGCTCTGGCGGTCCTTCTTGGAGATGTGGTGGCCGACGAAGACCTTCTTGTCATTCAGCAGCATGCCATTAACATGCTTGATGGCGTTGTTGGCGGCCTCAGCGGTCTCGTAGTGGACGAAACCGTAGCCCTTGGAGTTGCCGAATTCATCCTGAGCAACCTTGCAGCTCAGAATATTGCCGAAGGCTGCAAAAGTGTCGTGCAGAGCCTTGTTGTCAATGGCGTTGTCCAAGTTCTTGATGAAAACGTTGCCTTGGCCGGTCTTGCGCAGAGCGGGGTCACGCTGCGACCACATGATACGGCAGGGCTTGCCCTTGATGAGGGTGTAGTTGAGATCCTCGAGAGCGCGCTCACCATCAGCAGTGTTGTTGTAGTTCACGTAGGCGTAGCCCAGGGAGCGGCGGGTGACGGCATCACGGCAGACACGGATGGAAGCAACCTGGCCGATGGAAGAAAACAGCTCGTAGAGCATGGCCTCGGTCACGGAGGGGTCGAGCTCGCCGACATAAAGGGAAGCCGAGTGGGGCTGGTTGTTGGCAGCAGCCGCAGCGCCCTCGCCGGTGGTCTCGGGAGCGTCGGCAGCATCCTGGGCACCGTTGGCCTCGGGGGTGCCGTTGACAGGAGCCTCAGCGGCGGGGGGGTTGGTGGCAGCCTCAGCAGACATTTTGGATTTTTTCTGTCTTTACTGTGAAAGTTTAGCAGGGACTCGCCAAGTTTCGCTGTGGGGAGGGGGCGGAAGAGAAAGAATCCACGACGTTCCACTGCAGGCCATGCAGTCCGTTTGGCAAGAACCACCATTTCGTCGATCAGGAAGAGGATCAAGGGAAGCAGTGTGAAAGGGGTATGCGGCTATGGCCATACACAGGGGAGTGATTCCACGAAAACAAAGAGCTCTGGAGGAATTGCACCGATGGGAGCGAAGTCGCGGGCAGGATTAATGGAGATCCCCAGGGACACACAATCCACTGACTGCACAGCGAAGCGAAGGAACGGGGCGGTGATGTGCGTAGAGAGAGATTGAGGGACGCGACCAACCTTGAAAGGGGAAGGAGAAGGCGGTTGAATGAAAATCTTCCACACACCGCACAATGGGGAGGGGTGAGATAAGATAAATGAAAGGGTTTTTCGAGGGGGTTTTTCTGGTTTTTTTTGGGGATTTTTTTTTAGGCTTTCGAAAAAGGTCGAAAGGTAAAAAGACTTCCCTGAGAAAGAGAGGGGGAGTGTAGAAGATCGAGGGATGAAGAAAAAAAAAAAGTGAACCCGCGAAGGCGGCGTTCTGGAAAACTCGGAGGGAAGTGAGAGGGCCGCGCTAGTACCGATGTGGCAGGCGGTGGGTGCTGCTTTAAGGGCTTGTCGTTGAGGTGGGCAGTCACGAGACGGGAAGTATAAAAGAAGACGAAAAGGCAGAACGAACTAGATAGAATGGTTCAGGGGCTAGAAGACAATGAATTAAAATCGGCTATCTAAAAGATGTCACACTTGGTTCTTGAAAGAAGTACACCCTCATCCAACGGCTTCCGGCGGGCACGAGTCTGGCCGAGGCGGCCACGAGGCTAACGCAGTACATCACTATCTAAGGGATTTCCCACATTACGATAACATTCTGCCCTCGGCTGATCTCGTGCACCAATGAACAGCCCGTTATTTGCTCGACGCCAAAGCTATGCACACACGAGTCGCAGATAAATGAGAACTGTGGATCTGCATACAGAGTACGAAAAAAATGAGGCAAAAAAAATATAGAATCAAAAATCGAGATGAGAGCCAGGATGGATAACATCAACTCAAATCAAACCCAGCCCCGGAACTCACCGCATAGAGCAGCTTATTGCGCAGTGTGTCGGCATTAGCGTAGCGGGGCAGTTTGAGGAGATTGACGCAAGTGCTTGTACTCGGAAGTCGCTCCTGATCCTCACTAGAATCCCGGATACTGAAGCGCGGATTGAGATGGCTGAACCCGAGCAGCGGAGCACGCGGTGTCGAGGTCACAAATCGGATCACCTTCTGTCGCTCCTCGTTATTCATCTCATGCATCACCTTCCAAAACAGCTGGACGGTCGGGTGCTCCTCATTGTCATCGCCAATGGTATACACGCCGCCGTACTGTGTGTTCCGCCGGAGATCCTCCACATCGATATCACCGGTCTCGCCGCTCACCAGGGTCTGCAGCTCGGACTGGTTGAACATGGACAGCCAAGCGGGCTGGATGATCTGCCCGAGACCCTGCAGAAAAGCGTTGGTCTGCATGGCAGGCTGCACCTGCAATCGATACCGCGCGATATACGATATGTAAACTAAGCGGTTCTGGTTCGTGACGGGGGTCTTGGAGCCATTGTATCGCAGTTCCTTCGTCACCGTGCGGTTCGCCGACCCAGGCATCGGAATGGTATCAGTCACCGTGAAGTCCAGGGAGAAATCCTCCACGTCACCAGGGTAGTTCTTCAGTTGCAGCTGGAGCAAAGGAATTAGTTAAATGTGCGGTGATAAAATGATGTTACGTAATTACTCACCAGGCCTTGATATAGCCCCTGGTCAAGATCCTTTAGGTCATTCAGGTTGGCCCGGTAGGAGGACTCCTTCATCGCCGATCCAGTGCCACCAGTCAAGGCCCATTTCAGGAGGAAAAACGGCACAAAATTGACGTCAACTAGAATCCCCTCATAGAGACATTTGCCAATTACCCGGCCAAGGAACTCATATCGACGGAGAAGATCACGAATTTGCCCGGTCCATTCAGCACTCGACTCGTTCAGTCCATTCTGACGCAGTTGCTCCTTGCACTGTTCGACAGCTGTGGGGTTAGGATACAGCAAATGCTGATCATTCTCTGCAAACATGCTAAAGCCATCTTCAGTCTTGAATGCCTCGCTGGTGATGCTTGTGAGAAACTCTTTGGTCACCCCCCGCCATCAATGCCAGCCTCCATGGCACCGAATCGATCGATGAAACTGATCTGGATAGGCTCCTTAAGGCCATCCCCCAAGGGATAAAATTGGGCCAGGGCATCATCAAACACATGATCGCGTCGAATTTCGGCTTGATGGCGAGCCAGGACATCCTGAACAGCAGGATGCCCATTGATCATCTGGCCCATGGTAGCCTGAGCTACAGAGGCACGCCAGGAATCCGGATCGACCAGTCCGTGCCGCCGACGGTGCTGGTCATGGTAGATGAATTCGCGAAAGATTTGTACTCGGGTGGTAAATGGAATGAAAAATGGCATGTTTCGAAGAATCTCAAGTCGGGGTGCAATAGCCGCCAGTACTCTACCACGAGCGACCTGCTGCTGATGACGGCGCAAAGACTCTAGGCGGATAGTCTGCTGTGCATGACCGGTACCCGCTAGGCCAACCGGCGTGTTCGTGTCGGCATTCATCAGATCGGTATCATCGGAATCTTCCGCTCGAGCTTGGAATTCATGCCTTCTCTCCTCCTCTCCAACAACAGCGGAGATAAAGCCTTCCATGTCAAATCGACTGGTCATAAGCCAATGATCTTTAGGCAGGAATTTCCGTCGCGAGCTAAAGATGAACCAAATGTGAGTATCAGGCCCCCAATCTTCAATTATTTGACTTACTCTCGTTCATGCAACATTCGTAACAGGCCCGTCACAAGCCCCTTAAAGTACTCGAGAGGAATACCTGTCACCCCAGGAAGATTGTTGTTTTGGGTCTTGGATCCAAGATCCTTCGTGTCGGGAACGGACTCTGAAGGACCGGATGTCTGCTTGGTACTGTTGAAATAGCTGCTCAGATTTACAGCTGTCGATCCCAGTTCTGGCTCAGTCAAGTCAACCGCGTTCCAGTACAGTGTGAAAGCAAGGTTCTTGAGGAACACCGTCATGTCCTTGATATCGCCCAGCGGCAATGCACTTTCCCTGGTCCATGATATCTTGGTGTTGTCGGAGGATGTAAGAGAAGACGTGCTAGAAAAGAATTCATCGTCATCCATAACCTTCAAGACAAAGGTATAAAGCTCAAGGAAGAGAAGTATGGTAGTCCATTCCTGATCACGTTGGTCCTGAGGCAGATCGACAGCTTCCTTCGCTTGCTGCAACAGTGGAAGGACTCTTGTGGAATCGCTGCTGATGATCTGAAAAACGCGACTTGATCTAGATGCGTGCCAGAAATATTTGATAGCCGGTATCTTCGCGTCTGCTTGGCCAGATGCCAGTTCTCCAGATGGAGCCGACCCTAAGTACAGCCACATCCGGATATCATCGCCTCGTCGGGGAAATATTCGCAGTAAATTCAATGCATACTTTGCAAGGACTCTGGCTTCTTTCGCTGCTTCAGAGCTGTCTCTTGTCAAGGTTGTCTGGGGAACTGGAGACGATCGAATACGGGAAAGCAGTCCAGTGACGCTGTTTTGGTTTAAGAGACCGTTGATCTGGTCCTTGATGAAAGGGTGCAAAGGCCGTACGCCTCTGGGAGAGTCCATATCGGTCGAGTCCTCCACCTCTAAGCCCTGCATAAGATACGCAGCCGTTGAAGTCAACAAGTCCGACACGACGGTCACAAACTCCAGCTCTGGGGCATGCGAGCTATTCTGGGTGCCCGAGGTATGTTGTTGGAAGAAAATCAAGTATGCTAACAGCCAAGTGCGCGCCTGCATATCGTCTAGTAGGCCAGATCTTTGTGCGGAAACACTCAGACGACTAGAGACTGCCAGTGCTAGCATTCTGTAATTTATTTGTCCGGCGAGCCCATCCAGTTTGCCCAGGTAGGCCTCGAGACTGGGGATTGTGAGGTACGAAACGGCAAACGATTCGTAAGCAGACATAGTCTCGGAAGTGATTGGTCGGAGAACAGCGAGAACAGCTTCTTTGAGAAGCTCAGGGTTGACCCCTGGCCTGTCTATTCCGTTGCTGTGTTCCGATAGACGCAAGTTCGACATGTTGGTGGTCAAATATGCCATAGTATCGTAATAAGTGTCTGCGAGAGCTGCCATTTGTTTCGGTATCAATCCCGCGAGAAATATCACAGCTCGTAGAAGAGGCTCCACTGCTGTAAGAGGGACAGAATGATTGGAGGCTGAGTGCAGCACATTTAGGACCACTTTGGCAAGCCCTCTGAGAAGGTTGGTCCATTCGCCCTCAGCTGCGATCGTCGGTAGGGTGCGAAACGTTTGTTCGAAGGCATCGACAAAATAGACAAGTCGTAGGACATCTTCACGGCTTCGTGCTGACACAAATTGGACAAGGAGGCGGAGTTGGATCAGGCACTGGTCCGCGGTGGCATACGGTGAAGGACGGTGCGATGCAAGTGCCAGATCATCGGCAGAGCCCTCGATACCTGCCATAAAGCCACTCGCCCCCGCCATTTCTCGCTCGTTGTTATCCCACTCTAACCTCCACAAGCCATATGTAGCTTTTCTGCTGCGATAACCCCGCCACCCTCGCTGGACGACGCGGACGGCATTCTGCTTTTCCCTCTCCCGCTGTCTCTGAAGGCGTTCTTGCTGAGCGATTGCAACCGCACTCTGTGGAGTCGTGGCATGAGGAGTAGTTCGGCCGGGAGAACTGCCCGGAAACGCAGCGAAGGGGTTGTTGGTGCGGCCGCTGAGGTTGACCTGCCTCGGACGCCGAGAGCTGCCGGTGAACGACTGGAACATCGTGGTGTTGGCCTCCAGCCCTAGGGCGCAGAAGAGGTATCGAAGGAAGTGGTCTATGCAAAAGAGAGGCGCTGTAGATGCAAGAAACACATGAGGTGCAAGCCCATAGCGCGCCTCTGGGCAAATGGAAGCGAGCGTGAAGAACTATGACATACGCCGGCTCCGATACGGGCGCATGGCGGTCTTATCGGGTTCGGCACACGTGCCACGCACCGCTTGTCTAATCGTGTGGGTACTGCCACGCTATTGCTACGCACTCGGCAAAGATCCTACGCTGTGCCTGAAAAAAGGTACGAGGCTGACCACAGGCTAAACGCAGGCTCAGCGAGTATGAGCTCTCTACAGGATAATACTCAGTGATTTTTATAACCACAATTGAATTTAAATGTGGATTGAGAAAGTCATCCCATATTCCCATCCCAACTCCTTGTTACCGAGACTTGGTCCAGCACTATGCAGATGATGATGAAGACATCCGTAAGTGCTGCATGCTGATGGGCCCTGCGCCCAATGTGAATCAAATATGCTGTACATATAATACATGAAGGATACGATCGGCCAGCGAGCGGTGTAATGGTAGATCGGAGGGTATGCAGCCGTCGGGAGGTGTAGAAATAGATGACAAAGTGAATTGCTCAGCCACTGAAATTAGATGAAGGTCAGAATCATGGGATGGCAAGAGACACGAGGGGGACTATCACACACTTACAGCGTGGTGGCGGTCGTGGAAGCTTCAAGTCAAGTGTCTATGACTGATGAGAGCATTGCATTATTGCTTCGAGGCCCGTCCTGCGCCCTCCAACTCATCCGAGGCTTCCATCTCGGCCGTTTCGCGTTCCAAAACCTCCTCTGGGTTGCTTGCATACCATAGATCCAGGAAAGCAGGACCCTTGAGGCTGTCAATCACAGTGACCGTTCGTCCGTTCCGTTCGATCTCTTTCTTGTACACAGAGGGTGTTGGCTCCACGCGTTTCGAGACGAAAGGAGTAAGCTGTTACCGGTGAGCAGGGTTGTACAAGCGATGGGAATGTCTAGTACTGCGATTGAGCCTACCTTGAATGAGTCCAGGTCCTCGGGGACGACGTAAGTGCGGACTTTCTTCCAGTCGATCACATAGTTGCCCTTCCGGTCAAAGAAGCCCATCGAGCCCGTCCGGTTACCCTTGTAGTAGCCGCCATTGACTTGCTTAGTAGTCAGGCGCAAGCGCGCCATCATTGGCTGTGAGGGCTTGAACATGTTGGTGGGGATTGAAGTAGGCAAAAGACAGGAAGAGCGGGTGTCGCGAAGTTCCGTCAGGTGTGAGGGCGAAAGTTTGGGCGGTCGGGCCCGCGCTAATCGCTACGCCGAGAACTTTTTTCTGGAGCAAAAAAAAAGTTGGAACGCAAGTTAAACAATCCACCAAACCCCTCCACCACACAGTGACTGGGTTCATTTTGTACTACATTGTACGAACCAGAAGCTGTTGGTCTTCTTCGTTCATTTCTTTTCACCTCGGAGCCATGCCTCGCCAACAGACACAGTCGCGGGGTCCGAAAGACCGTGGTGCGCCGCGGCCACCAGCCCAAAAACGCCAGAAGGGCAGCGGACTAGACGCGCTCTCTCGCGCGGAAGAACAAATCCCCACCAAATTGGGTGTGCGGCGCAATCGTCTTGGTGACTACGATGACGGAGAATGGCGGAAAAGGCCCACAGGCCAGGACGACGATGACGAGAATGAGCGCCCGATTTACAAGAAGCGCCGAACCGACGCATCAGACGAAGGCGGAAGCGATAGCGAAGGCCACGCGTGGAAGCTGGGACAAGTTGACAGCGATGATGACGAATCTCTAGACAGCGATGAGGCCCTCGGATCCAGTGACGAGGAGCGATTCGAGGGTTTCACCTTCCGCGGCAGCTCTTCGCACACGTCCAAGCCCAAGGCAAAGAGAGCCGATAAGAAGAAGCGTGCAGGAATCAATCTATCCGAAGATGTCGACGGGTCCGAGGAAGAGGAATCTGGTGAGGAGGATGACGACGATGAAGATGGTATTGATCTTCTTACCGCCTGGGATATGAATACAGCAGCCGAGGAGAAGGAGGCCAAGAAGGCTGCAGATAAGGCCAGGAAGGCTGCGAACGGGGACTATAGCGACGAGGATTCAGGCTCGGAGGGCGACAGTGAAGATGACCCCAGTGACGACGATACCGAACTGTCTCTCTCAGACGACGATGCAGCTGCTCAGAAACATGGTTTATCCAAACTTCAAGATTTTGTTAAGTCGATGGAGAGTGAAAGAGCCAGAAAACCCAAGCAGAAGTCGCAAGAACAGGGCACACCGACCGTATACGGATTAACGTCTTCTCGCAAATTGACCGTTGCCGATCTGCTACCCACCATTACGGATTCCCGCCTCAAAAGCTCGTTGAAGCATGTGGATGCTATTGCTCAGGCATCTAAAACGGGCATTCCAGGCAAGCTTGATGCTCCTTTGGCGAAGCGCCAACAGGATAAGCTTGACCGGACTGCCGCCTACGAGAAGAGCAAGGAGACTCTCGATCGATGGCTCGAGACGGTCAAGGCCAACCGCAAAGCCGAGCACCTCACATTCCCCCTACCCGACCCCGATGCGCAACAGTTCCATCGTCTAGATGTGGCTAAGCCTAAGACCGACTTGGAGAGCACTATTCACGATATTCTGGTGGAGAGTGGACTGGCTGAAGCCAATGGCAAGTCCGCCGAAGACCAAGTCCAAGGCTTTGAAGAACTTCAGGCCCGCACGCTGCCTATTGAAGAAATCCAGGCTCGGCGAGCTGAGCTGAGAAAGCGACGGGACTTGCTCTTCCGAGAGGAAGTTCGTGCCAAGCGGATCAAAAAGATCAAGAGCAAATCCTATCGCCGCGTCCACCGAAAAGAGCGCGAGAGACTGGAGCAGCGGGAGCGCCAGGCTCTTCTCGAATCTGGTGTCGATCTCGACGAGATGGAGCGGGACGAGAACGAGCGGAAGAGAGCTGAGGCCCGTATGGGCTCTAAGCACCGTGATAGCAAATGGGCTAAGAGCAACAAGGAGTCTGGACGCACGGCGTGGGACGAAGAAGCCCGGAACAGTGCTGCTGATCTGGCCATGAGAGAGGAGGAATTGCGGAAGCGCATCGAAGGAAAGCGTGTGTCTCGGGGAGATGAAGATTACCTGGGTTCTTCGAGTTCTGAGTCAGAAGATGAGGATCCTTGGGCCTCCGACGCTGAAGATAGAGAGAAGCGCAAGATGCGCGAACAGCTCGCCGCTCTGGAAGGTGGCGCTTCTGATGATGGGGGTAAGGGTGCTCATTCCAGCCTATTCTCCATGAAGTTCATGAAGAACGCCGAAGCTGCTCGCAAGGAACAAAATGATGCGGAGCTCCGTCGGCTCAACCGTGAGCTGCATGGCGAGGACTCGCAGTCTGAGGCCGAGTCGGAGACCGGCCGACGCAAGTTCGGCCAGTCAGACAAGACGGAGGCAAATCCCCAGGCGAAAGCTCTGCCGAGGAACGAGTTTGAAGAGGCCTCTGACTCGGAAGACGAGACCCGACAGCACGCCGTGACTGATCACAATGTTGACATCATTGTCGACCGTTCTGCGAAGCAGAACACTGCTCTATTTGCTTCCAACACCACGTCTCGATCAACACAGAAGATGTTCAGTCAGCAAAAGGAGCCGCCGGCCGAAGAAGAAAATCCCTGGTTGGTTCAAACTGAACGCAACAACCGCCGACGCGCTGGTGCGGATGCTCAGGAGACCGTCGATATCTCCCTTGACGCGCAACCTCAGGTTTCGCAGATCAAGTCCCCTGCCAAGGAAATCAAAACTGTCAAAGCAGTGGCTTCTAGGCAACAGCAGGAGGAGAACGACAGTGACGATGAGGACAGTGTGCCTGTTCTGTTGAAGAACCATGACCTTGTCAAGAGAGCGTTCGCTGGTGATGAGGTTGTTCAAGATTTCGAGCAGGAGAAGATGGACACCATTGCAGAGGAGGGTGACAAAGTTGTCGACAACACGCTCGATGGATGGGGGAGCTGGGCCGGTGACGGCATCAGTAACAGGCAGAAGAAGAAGCAAAAGCGCGACCTGACTGTTGTTGAGGGTGTGAAGCCCGAGAAGCGCAAGGATGCCAAGCTTTCTCGTGTTATCATCAACGAGAAGCGGATCCAGAAGGTATGTTATCTCTGCTTATACCAATTCGCACATCAGAGCTAACTCTTTTCCTCCAGAACAAAAAGTACCTGGCTAGCCAGCTGCCTCATGAGTTTGAGACCAAGGCGCAGTACGAGCGGTCTCTGCGGATGCCCATCGGGCCTGAGTGGTCTACTAAGGAGACCTACCAGAGCAGCACCAAGCCTCGTGTGATGCTCAAGCCGGGCATTATCAAGCCCATGGAGAAGCCCATCTAGTGAAGATCTGTCACGATACCCTCTTGAAGACATGTACATTCATTTTCATTGCCCATTTTGGCACGGCAGACATAGCTGCAGTGCTCAGCTGCCCAAAAAGAATACCATTTAGCTTACACTGTGTCTATCGCATGGGTAAATTGGCTTGTATCTCACCACTTTGGACGCTGTCCAGAGTACGTACTTGGTATGCTTCTTATGTAGATGGGCTGATCACTTTGGGTTGCCGTAGAACTCACCCCGACATCATCCACCATGTATCACTCCCAGCCTTCTTCTCACATGGCCCGGGATGTCGTCACCGCGCTGCTCAAGCGTCTTCTGATGACGAGGAGGCGCCGTAGGGCAAAACGGGCCAGCCTCAACCGAGCACTGGAATGTTGCGCACCATCGCGGCTTTCAATGCCGTGCTGGGTAAACCCTCCCGCCGACCACGACATGCCTCATGGATGAATCACTCGGACCCTCAGATAGCACCATGGATCTGCTAGTAATGCATCGGCTTCGAGTCATCGCGGACTCTCACAAAATTGAGAGTGGGTTGACGGGGGTTCCGCGAGCTCCACATCCTTGGCACTGCCACGACAAACACCGTGGCCTACGACCCCATCGGACTCACACATCCCTCGCGGAGCGCTCCTTTACAAGATTCAACTCCCTGAACAGTCTGCTTGAATTGAAGCGCCCTGTGGGGACAGACATCGAACACCGTGTGCAATATACTGTGGCCAGCACCGAGTACGCCGCACTGTTTACCAAACCCGCGACACATTCCTGGTAGTGGAGACAACATCCGCGGACGGGGCGTGCACCATCTCAGCAAGCCATTGTTGTCTTTAACTTACGCCCTACATTGCTGGACTAAACACGCACTACCCACCCCGCGGCAGCTCCGGCCACTCGTTTCTGTTGCTGTGAGGACATCCACGCACCTGATTTCCATGAGGATCTGCGGTCCCGGAATTCTTTCTGCACGCCATTCACAACAATCCAGCCTGAGCTTGCTGGGAGCTCACTGCATCTCCTGGAATTTATAGAGCATACTTGTAAGTCGCTGTCCCCTCGATCCCGATCCTCTTCTCCTTGTTGGTGTATATTCGATTCTCCCTCTCGAGAATCCAGCAGCTGCACTGTGCTGTTTAGTTCGTGTCCTCAAGACGACGAGTTGAAGCATAGATATAGCTTGTTGTTTACAGTGTCAATTGAATCCACTGGATTAATCCATTTTCTTATTTGGACCAATTGACATCCGGTGCCATGGCTGCTTTCTGGAAAACTACAGCCGTGCTAACATGGCTTCTTGCTGCAGATACAGTAAACTCTCTGCCGCAACCGGTGGGCACTGCTGTTGAAAAGATCTTGAAGCCATCAGCAACACAACCAAAAACAGATTTCAAGACTCAGTATCCTCCGTCAAATCAGCGACTAGCCATCCCTGCGGCGGAACCAGTATGTGCTTGAACCAAGCCGATTGATGTGTACAAATCAAGCTATATGAGTTGTAATACTAACGTCCCTCGCCAGGCCTATCGAGTTGCACTTGAGAACGGCGGGCATCCATCGCGGCTTCCTTTTCCGACTTTCGACGTTGGTCACTTCCTTGACGACATTGGCGGCTTGTTATTGCCGGAGAGCACCTCCTTGCCAGCCGCATCGCAGCCGACGGACGCTCCTGCGGACGACTCGCCGAACGACTCACCAGACGACTCACCAGACGACTCACCAGACGACTCACCAGACGACTCACCAGACGATTCACCAGACGATTCACCAAACGACTTACCAGACGACTCACCAGACGACTCACCAGACGACTCACCAGACGATTCACCAGACGATTCACCAAACGACTTACCAGACGACTCACCAGACGATTCACCAGACGATTCACCAAACGACTTACCAGACGACTCACAAGACGATTCACAAGACGACTCACCAGACGACTCACCAGACGACTCACCAGACGACTCACCAGACGACTCACCAGACGATTCGTCAGACGCCCCCTCAGCCACGTCATCTTCTGTTGCAGGTGGGTATAACACAGTTGCCATCATCAATGCCTTCCACAAGCTGACCCTAAATAGTCGGCGTTCCTACTGGACCTCCGGGAGGCCACCCGGTACCGATGAACAACCAAGATATCTTCCAGCCAGTCGCAACTGGTGCGGTCCCCGCAAACATAAAGACTCGTCATGACCACCCGGTTCAAAACAAATATGTAAGTCGTGGAGGACTTCTGTCACGGCCGAAATTATTCTAATGTTGATCAGGCGAATACTACCAATCCAATTGAGACCAACAAATTCTATGCAGGTCTCTTTCTGGGATCGCAAACGAACGCAAGCTTCACACAGCCGTATTCTCTCGCCTGGTCTCGAGGAGGTGGAACCCTGAAGAGCTGGGGGATGAGTATTACTCATGTGGCGGCCAATGTTCTCGCCTATGGTCCTCAGAACCACGAGATCCCTGGCAGCCCAGTGGCATACTATATCAACCCCGTCGGCATACAGCACATTATTCTGTCTGCAGCTGAGTTGGATGAATCCAGTGTTCTTAGCATTGCAGAGCCAAAGGCATTTTCAGCTCATGCTGTCCTGAAGCGATCGGGTGGTTCCGCTCAGCACATAACATTCCCCGTTGTTCAGGGCATGGGCTATGTGACTGGTGTGTACAGCGATTTGCAGCCCCTCATTGAGAGTGGAGTCTTCTTCCGGAAGGTCGTCGATGCTGGATCCCCCAAGCCGGGCATTTTCAAGTATCAGGTCTTCTTTGAGGATGACACCGAGTGGCTGCTCTACGCTACGCCTGATGATGGCAAGAACCCCGATTTCAAGTTGATTTCCACGTCCAGCCTCCGCGGTCCTCCTGGATTCAGTGGTACCATCCAAATTGCAAAGAACCCTGCTGGTAAGTCAGGCGAGAAGTTCTATGACAACTCTGCTGGTGTGTATCCTGTTGCAGGCGCTGTGTCTGGGTCCGTAACTGGAACGGCGGGCACTTATAAGTTTTCGTGGACCAAGGCTGGCAAGAACGCGGATGGCACCCCCCTTATCATGTTCGCTCTGCCTCATCACCTTGAGTCCTTTGATGGCAGCACCCGAGGGCGTACCACCGACATCCACTTGCGCACTACCACCAAAGGCAACGCAACTGCTGTCATTGGAGAGAGTTGGATCATGGCCGAGCCTGATCTTCCGATGGATATGGGTTTCGCGCCGTGGTCGCCTACAAAGGGAAATGTCCACACACTTTCTGAGCATGCTCAGATCGCCATTGGCCAGATTGCTCCTGTCGAGTTGCAGCAAGATATCGATGGCCAGACCAACCTCAACAGTATGTACTATAGTGGCAAGGCCCTGAGCAAGTTCGCGACCTTGATTTGGACCGTCAGTAACCTGGGCAATAACCCTGGTGTTGCCCACGAAGCTTTGCTGAAACTCAAGAAGTCCTTCGCTCGCTTCGTGCAGAATCAGCAGCAGTATCCACTCGCCTATGACTCGGTCTGGAAGGGTGTTGTTTCGACTGCTGGCTATGCTGGTGACTTGAACGCCGATTTCGGAAACACTGCCTACAATGATCATCACTTCCACTATGGCTACTTCATTCAGGCTGCCGCTATTATCGGCTCCCTTGACCCAACCTGGCTGGCTCAAAACAAGGAGTGGGTCAACATGCTTGTTCGCGATGCCGGCAACTCTGTTGAGAATGACCCTCACTTCCCCTTCTCCCGCTCCTTTGACTGGTTCAATGGCCACTCGTGGGCAAAGGGTCTCTTCGAGTCCTTCGATGGAAAGGACCAAGAGTCGACATCCGAAGATACCATGTTTGCCTATGCTATCAAAATGTGGGGGCGGACTACTGGGGATGCCAGCATGGAAGCCCGTGGTAACATGATGCTGGGTATCCTGCGCCGCTCGCTCCACAACTACTTCCTCATGCAGAGCAACAACACCAACCAGCCGCCTAATTTCATCGCGAACAAGGTGACTGGCATTCTGTTCGAAAATAAGGTCGACCACACCACCTATTTCGGCAACAACCTGGAGTATATTCAGGGCATCCACATGCTGCCTTTGCTCCCCAATTCCGGCTATACCCGCCAGCCACAGTTTGTCGCTGAGGAGTGGCAAGCGATGTTTTCCCCCAACGCTTCAACCCCTGCCTCTGGGGTGGATGGTGGCTGGAAGGGTGTTCTGTTCGCCAATCTTGCCCTCATCAACCCCCGGGCCTCGTGGGACTTCTTTGTTCAGCACAAGTTTGACTACAGCTGGATTGACGGGGGTGCTTCCCGGACTTGGTACCTGGCCTATGCTGCCGGTGAGTTTTCATATTTCCAAAGTCTTATCAAATACTAATCCGTACTAGGTCTCGGTGGTGCCTGAAGGACTTGACACTCTTTTTCACGATTTAGACCCTCTTATTCAGGTGTTGGTGGCTCATTTGCGTCGGATTCCCGGATATTCTTCCTTCCTTGGTTTTTACTTCCTGTTCATGCTCCCGGGGCCGGTATCTCGTTTTCCTATTACGGCGGCTTGCGGTATGGATTCATTTTATGGGGTTATTCTTAGTAGCTATTTCTGCAATGCAGTCCTTGAGTATATATTAGTAGGTATGTCATGATAATCACTGTCTAGCTCCTGGGAAGAGTCTGAAGAAAGACAGAAAAAACAATGCCACGTATTTTACATTCGCTCGATGAACTTTCAGGGCTACAGCCAGGTCGATGTAGTCGTACTACGTAGCATCCGACCCACTTCCATGTCGATTCCCTCACTGACTTATTCTCGTCTCATTCCATTATGATATTCAGGTTTGAGAATTTTCGGACAAGACAATGTGGTGGGGTAGTTCAATCTGTGGTACAGCATAATGAGCTTAGCAGACAGCAACTCCAGATATATATCGTCTCGGCGAAGGGGGCATAGGTAGGTACCTACCCATCACCATTCAACCGTTACTAATTCTATCCCCCTAGAATATCCTGACAGACCAAAAAGGTCAATACCGAATAGCTGCCTGAGCCTCTAATGTCTGAATCCTATTCCATGCCAGGCAAAAAGCCTAACACAAGACATCCATTATGCGGGCCAAGTCGGAGACCCACCTCTCAGAACGCTGCTGATTTGCCTCAAATTCTTGGCATTGAAGCGGGACTGGAGCTGGTCCCGACGAGCATGCTTGTGGTGTCTATCTCCAAAGCATGGACGCGTTGTCAATTCTGCAGCATTACTGGTTTCACAAGACCAATTTCTCACAGCATGGGGTTACAATTAGGTCTTCGGAAGACCGAAAGAGGGAATTGATAGCATCCCTTGCGGGCCTGTTGTGGAATGTGAGATGCGGCTTCATGGTTGGTATGGATATGTGTTGCGGAAGAGGGGCGTCTGTTGACGATCTCCTGGGAAAGGAAAGGCTTTTGAAGATTATTTTGCAGCCCTTCTACCTCATTATCCTATATACACGCACACACACACTCTCTCTCTCTCCCCCTCTCTCTCTCTCCGCCGTAGAGAATGGCATCTTAAGTCTATGCATTGAGAATTAAGGTGTTGAAAGGTACTCCCAGGACGGAGATGAAGGCTTCATTAAAGAGCGAGGTCCAAAAATATCTACCTCGTACGCTCACAATTTTCATTTCTCATCAAATCATAGCCATATGTGTACAAGCAACAGATCATGTCCGCTCATTGGCGCGCGGAAGATCCAAATCTACCACCCAGGGCGCATTATATGGATGGTATCCAAGTGTCATAATGCTGGCGTTTACAAAGAGCGTTTCCGCCCCGTACTGCAGCGGCCGCTGACTCTCCGAGCTGATATCGCAGAATGCCGCCCGCTGCTCCAGCATGTCTTCCTTGTCAGTAGGGACCTCTTCTTGTTTGATTCCACCAGAGGCATCCCACGTCCCGCGCATAGCTCCCCATCCCTCGTGGATATGCCCGAACATATATAGGCGTGGCCGGGCACGCTCGGCTGCTCGGAGGAGATGTTGGCACCCGACATGTTGCTCGTGGCCGTGGTCTCTGCCAACGAGATCAAGGACGCTGGCCGGAGGGCCGTGGGTGAGCATAATGTCGATTGTAGGGTAGCTCGGGACGGGGTTTTCGGGTGCGGGGTTGCTTGTGCCGGGGAGGGAGAGGGTTGAAGCGGTCTTGGGAGCGCGGGTAGGCGAAAGCCCAGCGACAGAATTCGGGCTGGTATGGCGAGGCATAAACGGTCAGCTTTGCGCCGTTCGATAGGGTGAAGCTGTGGACGCCTTCCTCGAGGTATCGGATTCCCGCCGCGCGGGCCGATTCATTAGTGTACATGTCTTTGACGCGCCGCACGTAGGTCTGCATTTCTTCTAGCGGCGGCTCGCCGCCGGCTCGAATAGCCTTCATAAGGGACTGTTCGTCATCTTCGAGGAGGATACCTTTGCCACCGAGCCACTCCGGCCGACGGTGGCGCCGATATCCGAAGCTGGTGAAGTGCTCTTCGTCGAGGGTGATGTCGTGATTCCCGGCGATGACAAGCTTCAGCTCTGCATCGGCCGCTTTGAGTAACGAGACCATTGCCTCGTGCTCGACGCTATAACCGACTTTGGTAAGATCACCGCCATGGAGGAGGACATCGGCCTTTGGGAGTGGGCTGCGGTAGGCGTAGGAGGTTTGGTGTGGGGAGTAGGGGATAGCGGTATGCGTGTCGGAGATCATGCAAATGCGGGTTTTGATCCCCGCGGAGGAAGCCATCGTGGCCGTGGGGGTACGTTGAGAACAGTGGGAGAGATTTTAAGGGAAAAAGGGGAAGAGAGGAAGGAAAAGGAAGCGTCAACTCGAGAAATTCGGGTGGGAGGCAACGGTCAGTCAGCGAAGTTCCTCGCCCCGCCAAATCGAAGCAGCTACTACGGAGGTCTACAAGGTTACCGTGAATCGAGGAAGGCAAAGTAACGTAAACAGGAATCATTCCCATGTAATTGACGGCTCAGAGCTCTACAGACATTGCATCCGTGGATGCCCAGATCATGAAAGTTTTCTGGCAAACATAGTTGAAACTCCGATAACCACCCGTGCAACGACAACCCATGCGGCCTCCAAACCGAATGGTTTTCCCTTTTGCTTTTTCGTTTACTTGCGGATCGCACGCTGGTAGAAAGCCAGCTCATCACCCTCCAGGATGTAGCCGTCAACGCGGCCGGACTGGCCGGGACGCGAAGAGACGACAGCAAACAGGCGACCGGACTCGAACTGACGCTCGATGGCACCCTCGACCTTGCCCTGCTCGGCAAAGCGGGCGGCCTGCTTCTTGGCAACCGACTTGCTCTTCTTCTCCTCGGTGGTCTCACCAGCCTTCTGCTGGCGTCTGCGGCCGATGCCCTGGCCGTAGTGAGCCTCGTACCATTGGCGGAAGGGGGCGGCGTCGATCTGGACGACGGCGGACTTGGTCAGGGTGTTGGTGCGGACCAGCTCGTTGTTGGAAGGGTGGTAAGAGACACCGATGACACGGGTCTTGCGGGCAACACCCTCGGAGCCCCACGAGAAGTTACCGGACTCGAGACGCAGAGCACGGTACTTCTGGTTGCCACCACGAGTGCGGACCAAGTGGATGCGCTTGGTGCCAATACGGGTGTTGGCGGGCTGGCGGCCCTTCTCGAAGGCTCTGTTGGAAGACTAGTAAGAATTCGTTCCCAAATGTAGATGACCCCATATCACCACACAACTCGCTCCTGCCTCCAAAAATTCACCACCCCCGTTTCAGTTGGCAGAGATATCGTACCTCTTCTTGCGGTAGAAAGCACGCTTGGCACCGGTGGCGCTGCGCTTGTGGCGAGAATCACGAGAGATACCCATGTTTGCGGTTTGATGGAGGGGTCTGCTTCAAGGTCATAAAAATTAGAACTCGAACTCGTCCGGCGTGATATTCCTCCAACTCCCAGTCCTTCTGGTTCGTTCCAAGCGAGTATCGGTATTGATCGTAGTTATTTGAGGGTTCAGCTCATTGGCGAAAGGTGGTGGAGAGTCGTAGACGAGGCGAGACAAATCTCGAATTGAATATGGCCCCGAACGTGGTGGTCGAAAACCCCGAATGTCGACTCGGACGAAGCAGAAGAAAAGGAACGAGGGGTTGAAAAGGCGTCTGTGTAAACTCACCTCTAACCTGCGGCCCTTCACCAGAAACACGGATAGGTTGTCGTAGGGTGTCGTTGGGAGATGCGATGCTGTCTTAGAGTCTGTCGAATTTCGCAGGGCCAGTGTGTCGCTCGCTTGTGCGGTTGCCCTAAGCGACGCTAGCCCCTAAGAAGCTAGCGCCAATTCTGTGTGGTCCCGTGCAGGTCTCGTGATTACAGAACTCGGCTGCTGACTCATCGGACTTGCCTCTTCCAGCCGACTGAGAGTGGCTTACCCTCTTGTCTAACTACTGTTTACTCCGTACTTTTCGGATGTCATGAAGATTGAATTTGAAGATTGAATAGTCATTTCCCGAGAACAGCTCTGAATGTGCCTTTTCCCTCTTCTATTGGCACAGCAGTGCCTTTAAGCATCCTGTTCACTCCATTTTCGTACCCTTCCTCGCCCGCTCCTCGCGAACGATAGCCCCGATCCGCACGAACGCTCCGAAGCCCTCAATAAAGCACGAACCCACCCAGGTGAACCACAACTTCGATCCGAAGGGCACACCGAGAGGCCGCAGGCGCAGCACCGCCAGTGCAACCGTCTCCAAGACATGAATGCCGACCACGGAGGGGAAAAAGACCGGCCAGATGTTGTAGATGAAGTGGGCGAAGTCCGGGACGAACTTGAATCCCATATTTTCGTAGACGAATGCGCCCGGCAGGAGGTTGCCGCGACTCCAGCAGGTGGCGTAGGTGAACAGAACCAGCGCAAAGATGACGGCCTGGTAGCCTCGTGGCGCGCGGTATTCGGTGAGGGTGACATCCGAGCGGCCCATCTTCTTGAGGCTGTCCTTGTGCAATGTGACTAGGCGTCCCCGGGCCTCATTGTAGTCTTTCATCGGGGGCTGGATGGGAACGCTGTAGCGGGTGCCGTGAGCGCTGATGATCAGGTTGGAAAGGGTCAGATCCTCGAGGGATGCTCCTTTGGCTTTGCGGGCACTGATCTCGCAGAAAGCTTGCAGGTACAGCTGGAGAGAATCGCCATGGTCGGCGTTCATGTGCTTGATGATGAACTCTTTCGACATGGTGGGGGGATATGGGAGTGAAGTGAGCACTGCAATCGGATGACGAGGATGCAGGCTGTTTTGCTTAGGTAAAGTTTGGAGGATTGAGGGAACACTGAAGCTGGGGGGGGAACTGGACTGCGCTGGGCGAAAAGTGAAGGTTGCGGAGTGAAAGGGAAAGTAGACCTGCACCCGTCGATCTGCGCCAAGCCCCGAACCTCGGCCCTCCACCATGTTCAGAGATCCGAGACGTGCAGATGTGCATACCTCATCACTCGGTGGACAAGACTGCGGTCGGAAATCAAATTATCATGGAGTACAGATGAATGGATCTTCTGGAACCTGTCACTGTGACCCTTGCACCTAGGTACCGACAAACTTTGATTGCTGAGGAAATATATACATGGGAGTACTCAGTAAGTAGTACAAGATCGGTTATGTTTGACTCTCCTACGCCGCGCCCATCACACATCACACATGGTTTCAAGGAATCCAGAACAAATGAGACGGGAAAGAAAATAACAACCGGTTCAGTAAAAAAAGAAATTGAAAAAGGTAAATGAAGCGATGATCAAGACGGGGGACGGCTCTATGGGCGAAGGATGCAGACAGAGCAGAGCAAGCAAGAACTGAGAGGCAAAGTCATTGGTCGTAACTATCATGGGCATTCGGAGAGCGGATCCAGCTGCGCGATATTATTTCGAAGAGACCGGTCGACCTGAGAGGAAAAAGGAAGAGACAGGGCGAAGTTTATGCACTATAGTTGGAAATCAACTCCTAGTTCACGTTGAGCAATCGGTCCTTTACGGGCCCCTAGCAGGGAACACCAGTCAGGGTCATAACTTACATCAGAGCCAGAGTCAAGTCGCCGTGGATGCGAGCCTTGAGTTCCACTTCAATCTCTAAATTCAATTCCAGCTTCAGCTTCATGCCTTCCTCGTCGAGGAGGCTCTTCTTCTCCTCGTTGATGACGTTCATGCCGCCCGTCGGGGCCATATTGGTGGTGCCCTGCGAATAGGGCTGCATGGACTTGCCCTGCATCAGGTCGTCATCGGAGTAGTCGTCATCGTATTCCTCAGATTCATAGTCGTCGTCGTCGTCGGAATACTCATCCAGCTGCTTTTGGGGCTGCTGCTTTGGCCGTCGGCGCTGGAGCTGCTGGTTCTTCGGGGCTGGCTGGTCGTCGGCCTCGTCTTCGGAGTACTCAATGTCATCGGCACTGTCATAGTCTTCGCCTGATTCGTACTCATCGGGCACCTTGAACTGCTTCTGCTGCTCCTGGGTCTTCTCGGCAGTCGCCATGGTGGATGTGTGAGGGTCTTCGATGAAGGACACGAAAGAACAATATGAAAGGGGGACGACAAGAAGTGCCTCTGATTCAGGAACCAAAAGTAGAGCAGCTAGAGAAGAAAGAGATTTGAGAAATAAAGAGGCAAGCGGTGATATGATATGATTTGATTGAACCGACAGAGGCACGGCTGCGGGACAACCCAGGAGGGCGAGCATCATAGGCGCACTCTACCATGACGTTGGCGGCGGCTTTGCAACGCATCTCCACGTTGGTTGATTTTGTTACCAATGAATTTCTTCAGACGAGGACCGCGTCATGCCATAAACCATAGGCCATAGGCCACCGGCATGTCCCACCGTGCCAGGCCTGACCCCGTGGGTATAGGCCGGGCTGCGGTATGCGCACCAGGGCCTATACTTCCCCCGACTCGGGTAGGTCACTGCCGGCCTGCCTCGCGTGGAACGTCCCGTGGAAACAGCCACATCCTCGTGGCCCGAACCAGTCCAGCCCAAAGACAACTGGGCACGTCCTGGACCCATCGTCATTTGGGACTGTGGCTGAACAACTGTCTTGTTGGACGTACGGACCATGCCGTGCACCCGTGCGACTTCTCCACGCCTGATTTCTGACGCCGGGTGGCGTCATTGCACCGCTTTCCCAGCTTCCCAGAGAGTACCACAGCCAACCCTGCAACGGTCTTACGTCTACTTAATTTATAATAGTGGAGAACGGGGCTGATGCCAGTGTCAAAATGCCCCGACCAGCACGGTGATTGGCGGATCCCCGGGTGGGCCTCGAATTCTGTGCCTGCTTCGCAGCCCGCGATCTGCTGCCATTCGCTGGTCCGGGCGTCGTGCCGCAACGACCGACGCGGTCCCGACAGGGATATTGACTCTATCGACTCTCAGATGGCAGTACGATTGAGACGACCGATCCCTGGTACGGATGATATGGTCGGCGAGAAAACGCCACGCCTGTGCGCTACATAGCCTCCCCTCCATACGGAGCCATTCCAGGTCTTGATCCTGTTCCCGACAAACGTCATATCCCTCCCCACTTTCAGATATTTCGACTGCAATCACTGGAGGGTTGGGTGTGTGCTGGAATATCACCCAGGGTACCACCCATAGAGTACCACCGCTCAATTGCACGGTACCTTGTCGCTAGGCGTCCAAGCCACAAGAGGCTGCAGCATCCAAAAAAAGCATATACCCCAGACCTCTCCATCTGACGTCGGAGGCGGCACTCATGCACCCAGCAGCACCGGTTTTGTTCCCGTCTTGTGGCTCCATGATATAAACTGGTTCAAACAAGCGGCGTCGTGTGGTATCCGCCTACATCATATACCGCAAGGGTCAATTACATAGTTCGCCTTTGTCTATCTGCAGCTGGACCCTCCCACATCCCTCGCACAACTGCCCTGGTGACGCTTGGTCCTTCATAACCCGAGTCTCCATCCGATCAGTTCATATTTCCCCTCCACCCCGCCCCTCGTCCCATCTTCTTCTTTTCTTTCCACCATGGCCGATCAGGAACCGTCCACTTCCAACCCCAACTCCTCCCCCAGCACCCCCAGCAAACCCAAGCGTGCTCCTCCCAAGCTAGGCAAGAAGTCCCCAGCCAAGCAAGAACAGACCCCGCCTCCTTCTGAGCAGGGACAAGATCAAGAGCAAGAACAAGAGCAAGAGCAAGAGCAAGAAGAGTCCCAACAACCTCAAGCAGAAGACGCCGACGAGGACCAAGCACAGCCCGAGCCGCGCGAGCAAGAGCCCGACTCAGACGACCAGAACGAAGACGAGAACCAGCAGAACGGCGCTGAGCCCGAGCCCGAACCCGAACCCAAACCTCAGGCTCAACCCGAACGTCGTCGCCGCAAAACGCGCCCACCCCAGCGCGTGCAAGACTCAGACATTGAATCTATCCCGCGCAACGACATGGACGCCCAGCCACAGCAGCGTCAGCGCACCCGCCGCACGCGCCAGCCGCAGCAGCAGCAAGGCCAAGACGGTGGCCCGCTCGGCGGCCTCGGCGGCGTCGACCAGGCCGGCCAGCTAGTCCAGAACACCGCGGGCAATGCGCTGAACGGGGTCACCGGGTCGGCGGGCAAGGCCGTCGGCGGGATCCTGGGCGGCGGGCAGAAGGAGGAGAAGGATGATGGCGGCCGTGACGAGCAGTTGCGGCTGCGGCTGGATCTGAATCTGGACATTGAGATCCAGCTGAAGGCCAAGATCCATGGTGATCTGACCTTGGGATTGCTGTCAGTATCCTTCTTTCCGTACACCCACTCCGACATACTTTGCTTGATCTGAATGATCGGTTTTGCGCTAGTTGACCTTTTTTTTTTTTGACGTGTTCTTTTCACTGACTGACGTTCTAGTAATTAATTTATCCTGTCTACAGCGGCTAGACAAAGTGTTATATCTGCGCTTGTTGGTCTATCTGCTCCGCATGATTGATTCAGCCCTAGTGGCTACGTTTCCGCGACGACTTGTCTATGGTTCCGGTGATGCAAGATGCAGGACTGCATGGCTTGGGCATGTTTTTCTTTTGTTTTCTTACTGCTTTTGTGTCTTCTTTTTCTTTCCCAGTTTTGTCTCGGCTGCCCATTTCTTTAGATCTGGCCCGGCCGCTCTGGTATCTGGTCTGTGATGAACATTTCTATGTACTGTACAGTAGTCTCCCATATAGTGTGGTCAGTTTCGGCCGAATGGGATAATGAAGACCACATGATTCAGACTCGGGCTGTGGTGCGAATAATACCTCGCCGTAGACACTCGTGTGGCGGCCGCGTCTATTGAAAGTTTCCAGTTGGACCTTTCCCTAACCCTTTAACCCATTGGGCGGCGGGCTTAAGACCGTAGTAAGGGCTGAAGACCGTAGTAAACCGGGTCTGTGGGACAAGTGTCATTGGCCGTCTGAGTTCAGTGGCTAGACGTATTGCTGGGCTTACTTGGTTGATATCAAAAATGATAGTACCAAACTGACTACATCGAGACCACCGGTCTACCCATTAGTTATCCATTGATCTACTATAATCTGACTGAAGTATGTGCAGTCCGGCAATCTTCCATCCACCAATCTATTCACACTTGTAAACCGATAGCAGTAAAACATGTGGGGCATCGGTCAGCGTAGAAAACCCCGAGCAGGACGGTGAAGAACGAGGAACATAAGGACAGGCGGAGGGTAAGTCACGCTTTATATACCGTTCTTTACTTTATTATCTTTCAATCGTGAACTCCCAACAAGTCGCGTCAACTGACAACCACGGACATACCACAAAACAAGGACAAGACAGACAACTCCCAGTATAAGAAGAGATCTTACAACCCCGCAACATACATCAGTCCATACCCAATGGTCACAATCACTACAAAGGCCATCAGACTGGACGGGATGCCGCAGGTGAGGAAATGGCGGACCTGAAGGTAGCGCTGGCCGGTCTGCGGGACCTCGGTCATGATAGCAGCTAGTGGCAAACGCAGTCAGTAATGGTTTCGGATAGCAAAAGAACATGAAAATTCGACCAAGAAACGCACTCATATTAGGGAACCCGCTCGTGGGCAACGCCATCGCGACGGAGCACATGAGTGCACCAGCCATGACCAGCAGGTTCGGGTGGGGGTCCTCCATGCCGACACCGATCTGGCGAACAAGGGGCAGCATAATTAAAGCGGCGACGGTGTGCGAAATGAAAGTGGCGATGACGAGAATCAATGCCGAGAAGACGAGAAGCAGACTGTACAGGCTGAGATGCTCGACCTTGGCCGTGATACCGGAGGCGATGGTGTGCAGCAAGCCAGAAGAGGTGACAGCTTTGCCGAGGCACAGACCACCAGCGGCGAGGATGATGATCGTCCAGAGGAAATTGTTGAAGTCTTCCTTGTTGAGGATACCGGTTCCGAAGAATAGGACCAGTGGGATGATGGCGATGACGCCCATGTCACCGAAGACATGCTCGAGCTGGTGGCTAGCGCACCAGAGGGCAATGGTGACGAGAGTGACTGCGCTGATGAAGTACTGGGTCCCGGTGAAGCGGTCCTTAACGGGGCGCATGGGGATCACAGTTGCGTTGCGGCCGGGGCGGAATGTGACCAGCAGCAGGCCCCATATCAGCAGGATCGAGATAATACACACAGGCAGCGAGATGAAGAACCAAGTTCCCCAGCTGATACTCGGGTACATATTCTGCAGGGCAATGATATTCTGTGGAGATGCAATTGGAGACGCAGCACCGCCGACGTTGGCAGCCAACGCGATACCCAGGACGAGCGCCTTGCCGAAATCGGAATCGGGAGACAAGTTGCGGAGCAATGGTTGGATGATTGAGTAACAGAGCACGGGAGAGGCGACGTTACTGATCCACATACTCAAGAACATGCTCACAAACATGTTGGTTAGCAGGACAATCCTTGGCTCGGACCCAGCCTTGCTTAGAACAAACATGGCCATGCGTCGGGCGATATCGTATTTGGACAAAGCTGCGGCAATGGTAAAGCCACCGAGCAGAAGCATAATCACTGGAGTCCACATAGATGAGAATACCAAGCCTGTTGCCTCCTTCGGCCCTAGGCGCTTGTGGGGCTTGTCTTCTGAACGCATAATACCCAGAATGACGACCAAGAATGGGATCAACAGCGAAGTGACGAAGAGCGGAATGGCCTATACGGAAAATCGTTAGCGACAGAAATTCATTCGAACAATACAGGGTTTCTACCTCAGTCGCCCACAAAATGCTGACAAGCACTAGCATCGCCAGGCAGTTCTGCTGTTCGGGGGTTTCCATAATCGGCACTGAGAGCATGGCTCCAAACACAGCAAAACTGAGAATCAAAGTGCCGAAGCTCAAGCTGCAGAGCCACACGGGGAAATGAATTCGACCGAGAGGAGTAGCAACTTCCTGCGTCCGGATCTCTTGCTTGTCACCTTGGCGCCGGGCAGTGGCTGGATCCTCATCACCTCCCAGAAGGGTCCGGCGAATACCCACATTCGCAGCCTGGGCACGCCGTTCAATCTCGATCATCTCACGCCAAACGGTGTTTCGCTCCCAGACCACATGCTCGCGTAGGTGGAGACGCAACTCGCGACTCGCAAGTTCACGGTTGCCCTTGGTGACGACGTCCGCGTAAACGCCCTCGACCTTATCGATGTGGCTGTCCACGGCAGCCATGGTGGTATCAGTGAACGGCACTGCTGAGTTGACCACAGAGGCCAGATAGTCCCGGCGCAAGTTGCGGAACAAGGTTTTGTCGTACTTCTTCAGCGCCTTGGAGAAGCCAGTCTTGTTTAACTCAATGAAGGACCTCAACTCGCAGAGAGAAACGTAGGTTTCAATGAGACGCTTCTTCAGCGACACGCCCGCATTATACAGAGCCAAGAAAGCCTGGTCGCTCAAGTTAGAATTCCGACGGCTGCGGCTGCCTGCCTGGCCAAAGAACGTGGAATCTGCCATATCACCCGCGTGTGGGTCGTCGGTTGTAGACTCGCCATCGGTCGACTGCATCGTCCGCCGGCGCAGGGTGAGCGACGCTGAAGGATCCTGATCATCGTCGCTATCTCCGTCTTCCTCGCTCACACTCGAACGCCGGCGCTGGCCATTTCCAAAATTACGGAAGACGCTTCCAGCGCTCCATCGCGAGGCTGAACTCAACATCCTTGCCTTGATGACGGTCTCGCTGACAGGGTCCATATTGACTCCGTCTGTTTCTGACAGATAATCCATGGCCTCTTGCATCAGCTTTTCCGTGTTATGGAAGATCTCAGCCTGCTTCTGCTCATAGAAGGTACAGATTTTGTCCAGCTCCGCATCAAGGGCACGCTTGAAGATCCCGTCCGGGTTGTTTAATTGGGAAGTGCCCAGTAAGGGCGCGGACTCGACATCCGCGCTGGACTGCCCCTCAGTTCGGTTAACTTGCTTCTCGAGAGTATAAATCCTGAGCACCAAATCGCAATGTTAGCACACTCAATAGTACAAGAGCTCCACACATATCCCACCCATGCATCCACATCATTCTGTGCGATGTAACACCCGCGCTAAGTTGCAGCTTGAGCTGTATCCACGAGCATATCCAAAACTCAACCCAAAGCGGAAACAAGTCACCCGGACGCTCAAAGAAAGGCAACAGGCAAAAGTCAACTCACGATTTCTTGAGATTGCTGTAGGCAATGTAATTGGAGCTCCAGTCTGGAACCGCATTGAACTGAATGCTATGCGAGAATTTCATCTTGGCGGCAGTCTCGAGGTCACCGGCAACCAGCACACGGTTTGGGTTTGCACGATGAGCCCGGCGGCGAAGGGCCTCGGCCCAGAACCTAAGTCTTGTGGAGCGAGAGGCCCGTAGACGATTCTGCGACGAAGCTGTCTTCTCCGGGCTCGCCTCTGCGTGTGGTTCCGAACCAAGTCTCGCTAGCGACCGTGAGCTGGCGGCAGGCTCGAAAAGCTTAACAGCGTATCTGGATTGGCGTGCGCGAGCAGCTACAAACTCGGCTGCTCTCGCGATGGGGGACCGACTGGCGGCGTTGAAGTCGACGAGCTCGAAAGATTCGCGGTTCGAGGGGGGAGCCACCGTCGTTTGGGGGGGCCGGAGGGGGATCGGCCTGGATGATGCGATTGTCCGGCTGGAAGGAGGGGGTCCGATTGAGGAAAGAGGAAATATTGCGGGGCGCGCCAGGCGGATCGAAGTGTGGTCAGCTGGGGTCGACCGGCTGTGCGGGTTGCACTGGTGGTCAGGCTGGGACTGGATGGCGCGCGGCTGATCAACTGGATTCGACCCTGGTTCTTATTCTCCGAGACACGACCTGAGACGATGAGGCATCTTTCTGGCTAGGGGTTTCTCTTCGGGGCGTTCGCGACAGCCGTGAATGGCATCAGGAACTTGCCTGCCCGATCGGGTATGGGCCGGGCTGTCTGAGTCAGCGACGTCACCGCCTATCACGGTACTGCTATACCAAGCGAAGATGGAGGTCTAAATATCAAAAAAGTTGAGTCCCGATGAACGAGAAAAAAAAAACCAACGAGCTCTGTGGCAGAAATTATGTGTGCCTGCGAATCCTAATTGAAAAGAAGGAGCGGGATACAACCAGGATTCAAATCCATATGACCAGACTAAATATACTACATGTACAGACGATGCTGAAAAGAATGCTCGGATTCCACGAACAAAGACCCCTCCTTCGACCCATTAACAAAGGAATTGACCAGGAGAAAGAAGAAAGAGAAAACACCAGGGCTGATAGTTTACCGACGACGAGGGGCAAGTCCCAGGTTCGCACGGCCAGAGATACCAATCTTGTGCTGCTGATCTCTGCGTTCCCATACACCACTACGGCCCTCAGCAACTGCCACCAGCTCGTTGGCCACGCGGTGTGCTAGCTGTGCGTCACGTCGCTTTTCGGATGCATCAAGAATCCACTTGATTGCGGCGCGGCGGCGCTGACGGAGGTTGAGCGGGTGAGGAACCTGCACAGCAGTGCCACCACCGGCGATACCCTTCTGCTGGCGAATACGGAAGAGAGGTGCCACGGAGTCAACGATGCAAGTGAGGTAGAGGACGGGGTCAAGAGGCAGCTGGGGAGCGGGAGGGCCGCCCATGAGAGCACGGCGGGGGTTGATGTTGGGAGGTGAGGAGGTACGGAGGTGGTCCAGAATAATAGACATGTTCTAGAGAAATTGGAAGGTGAGTTCATATTGCCGAGACAAGACAAATTGGACACACCTTTTGGGCGCGGGCCAGCTTCCCATCCTGCATCAGCATCTTGGTGAACTGGTCCTGCATCGTGTCGTAGCGTTTCCGGAAGTTCAGCGTCTTCTTCTCGGATGGTAGCACCGGCACATCAAACTTCAAGCCCTCGGGCAACCGCGCAGCGGTCTGCTCGTTGACCTGCTCGATCATTTCGGCAAGAACCGCGGCGGAAATGTCGTCCTGGGATTCGGTGTTCTGCATGTCTGGCAGAAGGCTGCGAGCGGAAGTTGAGAATGAGCGGGAGCCGCCAGACTTCTTCAATTGGTCTTGCATGACCTTCGGCATGTGCTTCAGGCCATCTTTGTCGCGTTTCAGGATCTGCTCGAAAAGGCCATGGTCAATTGAATCGTCCTGCAGTACCTCTGTGACCAAGAAATACACGTTGTAGGCTACTCACATCAGCAACCGGACTCCCTTGTTCCAACTCCGGACTTGACGGCTGTCCATCACAGCTCTTCTCCTTGCTCATAATCCGGTCCATCTCGGCAGCCTCTTCACCGACATGGGGCAGCTGGTCCTGGGTGGGAAATTTCTGCTCATCCGGCGAAAGGGCTTTCTTGTTTCTCTGCGACGAGTTCCATCTTTTCTGGTCGTGGAGTCGGAGAGGCAGAGCGACGCTCCGCTGCGCGCGCGGGGCAGAGGAGCGCTGGCAAAGGGCGGAAATCGCCTTGTTCGCTGTGAAGAGGTTGAGCCGGGGTGGCATTATGTAAAAAAGAACCCCTGGGCTGTGGATTGGGTTGTGGTCGTGATCTTGATGTCTGCAGACTCAGCGGGTTGCGGTCTGCATGGGACTTTTCCCGGTTCTGCTTAGTAAACGGCTTCTCGCCGCAGATGATGTAAACGCACATTCAAAGGAAGGCCGCAATTCCTTGCTACGAACCGCTAAAGACAAGGTCTTAGAGAAATTTTGATTTAACTAGTCGGCTGCAATAATTCGTTACTCAGCTTTCTATGACTCTTTTGAAGCTGGATTACATTACAAAACAGCGGCCTTCGGACAGCAATATGCTTTGACATGCGGCTCGGCCATCAACAAATACGAGCTCAGAAACCAATAGCCATGACCACGGAACTCTTGAGGTGAATTTCGGTTATACGTGAACGAGAATGACCACTATAACACTCCCTGAACTTCCATCAGAGATTCTTTGCAATATTGCATTACATATTCCAAGTGCCTACGGAATCACGCGCCTGGCACAGACTTGCCGCCGAATATATAAGATCATCGCTGCCGAAGAGTCATGGTTGTTCCGAGCATTCATTCAGGATAAATTTCCAGCAATTCAAACACCACCCTTTTGGAAAGATGCAGCATGTGCACTTACCTCGCGCTCACGCGCTGTTGACCGGCTGGGTATTGTTGGTCGATTCGTGATCCTGCCTGAGACCATTACCCGCATTGGGATTCAAAGGGAGACGCGACGGGACAATCCCACCATGGGATATCGCCCTCCCATTGACTCTTATGAAGCCTGGAATGGCGGGTCCTGGGCAGACAAGAAAGAAGTTCTTGCATGGGGCGCTGGTGAGAAACTCTTGATGCGAACCAAGCAGTCCGGAAAACATCAGCGTAACAATTGGGTCCTATTCAACGACGTGAATGAGCCCAGTAGCCATGATGATATTCTTGGCCTACACCTCCTGGAACCGGAGCACGGCAAAGAAATAGATACTGAGAATGTGATCTTTGGTCGGAGACAAGGCGATATTCGCCATATCGCACTCTCCATAGCCGATGCCACCTACGATGACAAGAAGATATTTCGGACCCAAGGGCTGGAACTCAACGAGACAGACTTGATAAATGGTTCTACCTCCATAATGTGTGCTCAATTTCTTCAAGGGTCTACGGCACTCTACCATACTGACACCGATGAGCAAGACGTTCAGCCGTTCGCATGGATTCGCCCTGAACGATCCTCGCGTGGCCGCAAGTCAAAGCTGTTATCATCGTCGCGGATCGCCGTCGCCACTATGGATGGCAAGGACTCTCTGGTGATTTCGAGAATCTCACCAGATGGCCTCTTCCCTGAGCAGACGATACGCGTCTCTTCTCTGGATGTAGAAAGCAAAATGGGCCATTATACTTGCCAGGCGATCAGCGCCATCGAGCCCCTCAATTACCATCCACTAGCCGGGTCTCCCGGTGATGTTTTCCTTGCCGCCTGGGGTGACCGTACTGTTCGGTATGACTCTCGTGGTTGATCAAAAATGCCGGACGTCGAGCTAACGAATCTTTAGACTTCACGATCTCAGGTCTCCCCGGGCCTATGAAGGAACCTACGAAGATCCAACAGACGACAATTTTATATACAGCGTGAGGGCATTTGGACATGATCGATTCCTCATTGGATCGGGGGGCAATGCCTTGATAAAGCTGTTTGATCTCCGCTGCACCAGCTATAGTTACCTGGAAGCACGGGGTCCCCAAGCAGCAGCACCAAGCAACGCCCCAATTGAGCATAATCAAGGCCAATATCCCAGCAAAGACTTCAACATTTTCCTTTCTGCTCAACCCCCTCCTTCCTTCAATCGACACATCACTTCTCGTCCTACCCGAATGGGCTCCTATTCCTACCGGGGCCCTATATACAGCATGTCCACTCCCTCGCCGTCCTCGCCAACTGTGTACACTGGCATTGCAGGCGGCCTAATCCGCCTTGACTTTGCGTCAACGGATGACCTGACTGGACCTGTGAAGGAGTGGTATGATTGCAATCTCGACCTCGGCTTTGATGCAGAGATGAAGCCAGCGGACGAGTCCAGCTTAATCACGGTGGCGGGATATGAGAGACCGGACCCAGATGATCTGACCACCACTTCCAAGCTGAGGAAACAACATGGCTCCTGGAATCTCAGACTCAAAGATGCTCACAGGGGTGCCGAGACTGGCTGGGATCGCCGGTGGGAAGCCCTGGAGAAGCCTGGGGCATGGCGGCGGCAGGACGGTTAAAGCATTTTTGCATACAGACTTATAAAGTTATAGAGCGAAGTTTAGACATCAGACATTATCGATCTTGCCGCCAAGCGAAGCTCGATGAAAACCAAAAATATCAATGTGGAGTGATAAATCGCGGCCTAAGCTTCTTCTGCCGCCTGTTCGATCCGGGTTGCTTATCGGGGACGTCACTGACAAGCTTGGTGAACTTATTGGTCATCGTCATTATGCAGTCGAAACCCTTCTTGGACAGTGGTAAACCGATGATGAAGTCGATCGTCAGCGTATGGAAGGGTACCGGCCGGCTCGAGACAAGCTGCAGGCTACCGTACGGAACATGACGGGGACCCGCGTTCTCCCTGCGTTCGCGGGCAGTACCGGATGCGTTCCATTCAGAAAATTCGCTCCTTGCAGAAAGTCAAACCCTGCAGCTTTCGGGGGGTTGCATCAAATTCTTGGTGGAATTGGTCGTCATACACAAGCTCGAAATTTTCCTTGGACACCGAGGGGGATCGATTCGGTATCGTTGTAGTTAAGTAAAAATGACTCCGATACAGTCATTCCAAGCTAATAGAGTGAACGGACGCAAAGAATCGGCAGTATTGTATGCTTGACACTGTCTGCCATGTAGGTGAGTACCATTCGATGGGAACTAGTCACAGAAGTATCTAACTTTTAGTAATATTCTAACAGATGCAAGCAAATATGTAACAAAGCAAATCATAGGATCGGAAAGATCGCCCGGAGCTCCTTAAGCGCCATGCTGAGTAAAAAGGGGTAGCTCGTCCACAGGCAGTGAATCAAGTGCGTAGCGACGTGATATGATCACCGAAAGCTAAAAAACTAGGTAAAAGGGAACCCAGCGATGTGTCGCGCCCCTCTCAGGCGGTAAAAAGTAAAGCAACTCCCACAGGAATAATGAGCTGGAAGAAAGCTGATGCAGCCTCTATTGGTTTCCGTATCGCCTAAATGAAGCAAAGGAACTGATACAATGGGAAAGCGAGGAAGTCGTTTAATCGTCGAACTTGAAGGACTTGCCACCTGAGATATCGATGGGGCCGCCACGGTAAGAGCCGCGCTTCTTCTTGTTTTTTTCCTTGGTGAAACCCTTGCCGCGCGTAACGGAGAGATCGGCATAGGCGCGGTCTGCGTAGGCGTAGGAGACATATTCGTTAGAGAAACCGTCATAGGGCTGCGCGCTCAGAGCAGCCAGAGGGGTCGGACGAGCACCGACATGCTTCTTCTTGGTTGAGCCATTTCCGGGGGCGGGGCTGGCACTGGATGAAGAAGAAGTCTGCGCATGCTGCAGAGGCTTGTTTTCGGTGACTGGAGAGGCAGACATAGTGGCGCTGGTATCGGAAGACGAGTTGCTGGCCACGGGAACACCACCAGTCTTCTCCTCGTCAGAGCTGTCGCTCGAAGATTCTGGAAGCGGGGTCTTTGAAGCCTTCTTCAAGACCTTTGCAGCTGCCTTCTCGGTGGCTTCTTTCTCCGAATCGGAGGAGTCGGAGGAATCAGAATCAGAGCTTGAGCTGGACGAGCTGCTGGAGCTAGAATCAGAGTCGGAAGACGATTCAGAGCTGGAGTCGGAGGAAGATTCTTTGCTGGAAACCTTGGCCTTCTTCGTCTTAGGCGCTTCATCCTCAGATTCAGAATCCGAACTGGAGTCCGAGGAGGAGCTGCTAGACTCGGCCTTGCGCTTCACACCAGCAACCTTCTGAGCAACAGGGGCGGGAGCAGGAGCCGCAACATCTTCCTCCTCATCATCAGCATCGCTGTCAGAGCTCGAGGAAGAAGAGGAAGAGGAAGTGGGAGACGAGGAGCGCGCCTTGGAGATATCTTCCATCTTAGTATCGGAGTCGCTAGCGTCGCTCTCGGAATCAGAGCTGCTGTCACTATCGGAGCTGCTGCTCGAACTAGAAGATCCCGAGCTGGAAGAGGTAGTGTCCCGTCTCTGGAAGAGTTCAATCAGAGACGGGGCGTTCTTTCCATCAACCTTGGCGTTGCCGGTCTTCTTCAACTCATCGGAGAATGCAGCACTGGTAGCGGTGAAGCCATTCTTGGACAGGAAAGACGCAATTGCACCGAGTAGCTGAGGGGTTAAAGCGGCGGTTTTCTTTTCGACCTATCCACGAGAGTCCCCCGTTAGCTGTCTGGTGATTGGGAAAGAGCACGTCATATCTACCTTTTTGGCCGAAGCCTTCTTTGAGGGGGGCCATGGATCCTGACCGAGACAGGTATATGTAGCCCAGTTGCGCGATCGCCAAAGACCGAGAAGGAAAGTGACACAGGGGGGAAACGGGGACTGTTTAGAGAGTCGCTTTCCAGGAACCCAAAAAAAGAGGGAAAAAAAAGTATAGACAGGGCGGTGAGAAAGGACTGATTGATTATTAGTGGAACCAGAAGAGGAGCCGGCCAGGCGGTCGTCCAGATGCCACTCGCACGTGATTCTATATTTCTGCCGTAGTGCCTTGTGGGATCGGTACTCCGCGTGAGTATACGCAAATGCAGATTTAAAGAAAAGGCGATCAAGAGTTGACAAAAAAAGATCGTAAATGAAAGCACAAGCAGATACCGCTCGGACTGATCTGATTATAAGCTACCTTGATCTGATAGAAAACAGAGCTATCAGAGTGTAAGTAGCGGTTGCAGCCGGGCTAAGCCAATTACCTGTTCCCACGAGCTCTCTCCGCCCTGCCCGCAACCCCAAACATAATGAGCTAATTCACCTCCAACTCCTCCCACTTGGCATTGCTTCCAACGACCCCCTCGTTGCACCCCTGCTTGCCGTGATTGACCATAGTACCCGCATTCTCACTTAGCGGACGGCAATTTGGCTTTAGGTACCGTGCGCACGGGAGTCCACTGTGAGACCAACCCCGTCATCCCGACCATGTCCCCTTGATCTTGTGGATTTCAGAATCGTACCCGGTGACCCCTGGCTGGGCAGAGACGCGATAATGAACGGCCGTGACCGTCCCCGCCCGCCACCGCCGAGTGATGCGCGACGCGGAGGCGATCCTCGCAATGGCTCCGGCTCCGGCTCCGGAGACACCTCCATGTCCAGGGCCGAGAAATTCGAGGACGAAAAGAAGCGCATCGTTCAAAGTTGCTACTCCAAGAAGGATAATGACGGAACTTGTATGTGACATGGCCATATTTGCCCCTTTGAGCCTACGAAGTGGGATACTTTCTTCCTCAGGGGATGACAACACGTGCTGGAGTGACGTTTACTGGGTACTCGGCCGAAGTCGACTTGTCTAGTTTGTTGCTCACTGGGCATTGTCACATCCGACTGAGAAAGGCGATATTATAGTTCTTCAAGCTGATAATTCTGGCGTCTACAGTGATCGAGTCCTATATCACCCACGTCCGCATCACCGAAGATGCATCTCACCCCTCTGCCCCTGCCCCGCCAGATTCAGCTCCCGGAAATAAGAAACCTCGCGTCATTATCGTGTCGGTTCGAAGATCAGGCCGTGTGCGAATGCATAAGGCCCGTGAGAATAATGATGGCACCTTCTCAATTGGTAAAACCTGGATGCTCGACGATCTTACCGCGATCCAATCATATAGCGCTTTCGTGCCGAAGTCTCCAGCCGAACAACAACAAAAGGATTGGGCAGGGGATCTTGGGTTTATCGTGACTGTGGGAAAGCCTTATTATTGGCATGCTAGAAGTGCTAAGGAGAAGGATTTCTTCATTGGCAGTTTGGTGAAGATCTACAAGAAGTATACCGGAGGCAAAGCACCGAACCTCATTGGGTTCGATGAGAGAGAACGACAGCTGCTTGTCGGCAGTGCAGACCCTTCAGCGGCTCCAGGTCCAGCTCCACTGGGTTCACGAGGTGATCTTGGCTCAACGCCGGAAATCACTAAACCTCCCCAGCAACAACCCCCGCCGCGGCCATCATTCAAGCGCGATCCGAGCCGCGATGGAGCTCGAGAACTTCGGCGCAGACCCTCGGAGGATCCCGTGCTCCGGTCTCAGAAGAGTCATGAACAAATGAACCGCCCATCCACTGCTTCAAAGCCGGCTCCTTCACCCTTCGGACCACCTCAGATTCCACCACCCACTGCCCCACCCCCGCGAGCGGAACTAAAAAGCAAAGACTCACCAACAACGTTTCTCAATACTGCCGATGAAATTAGCCATACCACTGCTCAAGACGAATCCCGGCCACCGCCCTCCCGAGAAGGCCGTGGACCGATCCCGCCGTCACTTCGCGCAGCTCCACCACCCGAACCTAGACCATTGGAACCGAAGCGTAGCACAGATGTTCTGCGCCCTATTACCCCTGGCTCATTTACCAGCGACACTCGAGGCGTCACTGCAAGCCCTGGAAGCAGCATCGGTCCGAAATCCCCGTATCGTGATGGTGTTGAGACAGCATCTGCGGCGGCCCAGGACCAGGACCACCCTACACCAGATACTATCACCCCGACAGCTGCACTGGATGTACCAAAGCCAATACCCACACCTGAAGCTGAGGCGCCATCTTCGCCACTAGCTGTGGAGCCTGAAGTTGCAGCAGCTGTCGCGGCTGCTGAAGAACTATCGAAATCCGCAGCGGCGGAAACCGAAGTCCCGAAGGGTGAATCTCCGACTAGTCCCTCTCAGGCGGCAGATGAAGGGGCAGAGGCACATCGCCCAGGCCTAGGCCCAATGATTAAAAAGAAGTCCGCAAAAGATATTGCGACCGCTTTCCGCAAAGCTGCAACCACCTATGGTGCTTTCAAACCACGCCCTGGTGGGGCCGGCGAGCGTCTCCTCGCAGCAGCAAAGAAACAACAGGCTGAGGCGGTAGGCCCAGATGGTATAACGGGGGTTGTTCCAGCCCCCTCCAGATCTACCAATGATACATTGAAAACCTCTGTAGATGATGCCGCAGAAAGGGAGACGTCGGTGGCATCGGCGGCCGCTAGTTCACAACCTCCTACACCAACTGTTGAAATCACCCAACATGCAGTTGAGGAGCCTTTACTTTCTCCGGATCCTACCCCCGAAGAGTCCAAAGATTCATTGTCAGATCTTGCAAAGGTTGATAGTCGTTCGAGAAGTCCATCCCCAGCTGCCCAGGGTCGTCGCCGGAGACGCCGTGAAGACCATACCATCAAATACTGCCAGTCCCTTGGAATCGACCCCAGTGTCCTCGATGGACGTGGTATCGATTTTGACGATATTCTGACAGATCTGGGATGGAACGGGCGACTGGGCGAAGAGCAGAAGATTGAGGACCTGGAAGCAGATGTGCGCCGTGAGATCGGCCGCGTCGAAGCGACCAGCTGGCTTGGCAATCTTGAGCAGCAGGAGGGCAAGGTGGAGCAACTGGCTGTCCTCATTGACAAGACCATTGAAGAGTGTGAGGAGCTGGATGGCCTACTTACTCTGTACTCGCACGAGTTGAACACTCTCCACGAAGATGTTGCATACATTGAAGCTCAGTCTCAGGGTTTGCAGGTGCAAACTGCCAACCAGAAGCTCCTGCAGAATGAGCTGCAGACTCTTCTCAAGACTTTGTCAATCTCAACATCTGAGATGCGCCCCCTCAAGGAGGCTTCTTTGAGTAACCCTGATGGGTTGAAGGATACCGAAAGCGCCCTGTCGACGCTGTACAAGGCCATGCTCATGATTGACGCTGATATTGGTCAAAACAAAAAGCGCCAGGCTGACGCCAGCGTTGGTGTTTATGCAAACACTGAATTCGGCCAAATGCGTGCCATCAAGGAGAAGAAGGGCGAGTACCGCCATTCCGCCATGACATTCCTGCAACGGCTCAAGCCATTCATGGCTCTTGCCTTCAAGATGGCCGAACAAAAACGGGTGGATGCTCTGACCAGCTCGCCCAGGGATCCCATGAAGTTGGACGGCTCTGCACGGCAGCAATTCCGTGGAGAAGTGTGGAGATATCATCCATTGATGCTGTTTGCCAAGGAAATCAGTATGTCGGAATGGAATGATCTCGTTCAGCTCTACGAACAACAATCCAAGCCGTCCTATCAGAACGATTTCCGTGACAACACACTGGCATGGAAGAAAATGGCTCGTAAACCGACTGGAGAGGAGCAAGAGCTCCTTTTCACTCACCAGGAGAAAGAGAAGGAAGGCGAGGGCATCACCATGGCAGCTCGTAAGCTTACTGTTCGTCGCGGCAAGACCATCCGAGCTGCAACCGGTCTCCGCTTGGCTTCGGGTGAAAAGAAACACACCGGCAAGGTGGAGCCGTGCGAGGCCTTTGCTTCCACTCTGCGAGAGACAGTGAGCATGATCACGGATGAGCAGAATTTTGTTGTTCAATTCTTCCATCTAGACTCCCTTGCTAGCGCTGACTTCTCGGATTTGGTGGCTGCTGCAAGCCCAGAGGATCGTCAGTGCCCAGACTTCTCTGCCAAACTGTCGCATGACCCCGACCGGCAGATGGCGAAGCGCGTTGAGCAGATTATGGATGAGGTCTATTCTTTCTGGCCAAATGACCTGCAGAGCATGGTGGACTGGGCAGTCCAAGCTGATCCTATGTAAGTTTTGCCGGTCTTGAATGCTGTTGTGGATGATCAAACCTACTAACACACCTTCAGGCAAGGGATTGGCATCTTGTTCGCTCTCGAATCTGCTATGTCTGAACTCGACGATAGTAATCAAGAATTCATCATCCACGCGCTGCAGAAGCTCCACTCGCGTCTAATGGGCTTATTCAATCGCTTCGTGGATGAACAGCTTCGCGGTATCGAGGACACCAAGGTGAAGGTCAACAAGCGAAAGGGCGTGATCTCCTTTATGCGAGTCTTCCCCCACTTCTGCACAGCTGTCGAAAACATGCTGGCCCACTCGGTCGCTGAGACTTGTGACATCCGAGTCAGCGTCAACGATGCATATGACCGCATCAACCGGGCCATGTGGGAGTCGCTCAAGTTCATCGCCAAAGAAGCGCCGGGTCAAGCTCCGGGTGTCGCTGCCAGCGCCGGAGACCCCGAGGACAAGGAGGTGCTGAATTACCACATTCTCCTCATTGAGAACATGAATCACTATGTCGAGGAGGTTGATGTGCACAGCCTGCCGGTACTCGAACGGTGGGCGGACCGAGCGCGCCAAGACTTCGAGGCGCACATGAAACTTTATCTGGACGCTGTCATACATCGGCCGCTGGGCAAATTGCTTGATTTCATCCAGTCCATTGAGATTTTGCAGGCCAATGGTAACCTCGTCGAGATTGCAACACGCGCCAGCCACTCACGCATGGTGGCCAAGAAGGTGCTTTCCTCATATGATGCAAAGGAAATCAAGCGAGGCGTGGAGATGCTGAAGAAGCGGGTGGAAAAACACTTCGGCGACGCCGACGACCCTGGTCTTAGCCGCAGCCTGGTGCTTAAGGTGCTCCGGGAATGCGAGCTTCGCTACGAGGATGCATGGGACCGCACCCGGCGAATCATCGACACAGTGTACGAGGGACAGCTGGAGATGGAATGGCGCAAGGAGGATGCCCTTACCATGTTTCGCAAATGAGAAAATTGACTTTGTGCCGTCTTCACTTTTGCCTTTCTTCGCTTCTACTTCCTCCCCGTTGGCTTTTTCTTCTCATGTTTGAGGTTCTTGGAGGCATTTGGGTCATTCGCCAGGCGCAATATTGAGGTTGCGGTTCTTGTTTGTGTCATATACATAGCCACCATATATCCCGTTCTGCAGGAAGTTGATTATAGAGTGCCCATGTTCCATAACGTGTTCTGCTATTCTTCTTGATCCCTCTTTCACTCTTAATTCTTATTTTCGACACCTTACCATGTTCTGCCCTGTCCCGCAGGAGGTGATTGGTGCATCCGCACGCCCTGGCCCACTGGTTCGAGGCCATCTCATCTTACGCTCAGGGGCACACTCTGGTCTGTGCTCCAACGACTCGACGATGCGAGGATGGCAGTGCATGTTGCACAGGGTGATGAAGAGATAGCAATGGAAGCGACCTACATCCCTCGCGAATCAATCATTAGCTATTATCATAGATTTAGGCCGATGGGGAGCCACCGGGATAGGGCGGTAACTCCGCCCGTTCAGTCTCATAGCTCTCCTCCCAACTACCTCGCGATAGTCTCGGGCATTGTTGTTCTGCGAGGAAACACTCGCCTGAACAAGCTCCAATTCCGAACACAATTTGTTTCATCTGACGCAGCAGCAGTCAGCTCCCGCATTAGTTATCCTCGCCAGCTGGAACTACGACTGGGTTTGCCAACTGGGCTAGTGAACCTGAACGGAGTATGTCCCAGCGGTCGGTGTGGGGAGAGAAACTTAAGATCGGTGATTTGCGTTCTTTGATCCTTTACTTTCCCCCATTTCTCGTGTCCCCATTTTTTTCTTCTTCATCTGCGTCCATTCCATCTTTACCTTCTTCTGATTCTTCTTAATTTTACGCCCGGCTCTCCTTCTTCTCACGGTGAGTTCCCCTCCAGTAACGCCCCTGTTTCCCCACTGTTCCTCGCCAAGGGGAGCAAGTTCGTCTCCACAACGCGAAAGGTTTCGCAAGGGGGCACGGATACCCAATGCAACTTTTTGGACCCTTCGAGGCGTCGATTGCGGTGGCAGGTGATCGTGACAACTGTCGCTCTCTCCTGCATTGCTTTTGCTTCTTTTCCTCAACCCCTTCGGCCCCCAACAGCCCGTGCCAATTGAGCCACACTCTCCCCCGAGAACCCCAGCGCCTCCTAATCATGACCCGCTAGATCTTTCCAGCTGTCGCATTCCTTCGATCGCACCATTCCTCTCCTTTTTCCCCCGGACCCGATGAGCTGGAACCTCCACTGCATGACGCGTTTCAGTGACCAGACCAACATTCCCCCGTCGTGAACCCCAGGCCTCCCTTGCCTGAATTATCGCGATCGGAATTCCCCAGTCCGCCCGTTGCGGGGATCGGCACACAACGTTGAGAGCCGAAGCTCGTGGCCTCATTCTTCAGATCGCGCCCACTGAACCAGCTTCGTCGCCGCAGTTATGCCCTGGCGGCCGCTGCCTCGCATTGCCTTTGCGGTGGCCATCTACCCGTTCCACCCCTCCTCTCCGGCGGACCTCCCCCTCGAACTCGGCGATGAATTGTACATAATTGAACAAGGTGGCTTGAACGGTGAATGGTGCCGTGGATATCTTGTTGCGCCGCCGTCGTTGCTGGCGGGATTGACCAGTACCAAGGGCCAGACTCTCGAGGCCCGCGTTTTCTCCGGCATCTTTCCGCGGAACTGCATCGAGATCCGCGAAGTGCTGGGTGACGGCGAGGGATATAAAGCGCTACTTAATGGCGACGGTGATCGGAAGAGCATCGATCGCGTGCCCTTGTCCGGGCCAGAAGCAGAGCTACTGTCGCGGAGCAGTGTGGCCTACTCTATCACCGACTCCCAGACCGGCGGTGAGGTGTCGGATGTAGTGGTCGCAAAGAAGGGCAAGCCCGCGCAGATTGTCATTCACAAAATAGACGAGTCCGGCCTGTCCAGTCCAAGATCTGTTCATACCTACCGAACCGGTTCGATCCCGCACACGCCTGTGACTTTTGCTCCCCGGGACCCCGATGCGCCCAAGCCTGCTGCCCCTGTGCCTATGCTTAAGATTGGCGACGAGACACCCACGTCCCTCACAGAGCCACTGGTCGACGAAATCGCTTCATGCCTGCGCGAATGGCACTCAACGAATTTACATGAATTGCTGCTGGCACGTCAGTATGATGTGTTGGAGGAAATGTCAACAATCGTGCAAGAGTTGGACTTTGCCAGGCGCCAATTGCTCCACAATGTGTTGACTGGCAAGGAGAAGGACGCGCTTCGAGATGAGACAGTTTGGAAGCTTGTCAAAGCCAACAGAATGTTGAGCGGAGATATTATTGTGCGCGATCCTGAGCAGAGAGGCCGATTGTTGACCGGTGACGACTCGGCTATTCAGCTAGCGAAGCTTCAGTCCGAAATGAGCATGCTGGATAGTAGCCCCGTCGCCCACTCTGATACAACTGCCTTGAACCACCTGTTATTGGAAATCAATGCAGTATCCGGAAATGCACCCGGGCCTGTATCTCTCGGAATCCAGCTGTACTCCCGATCTGACAGTGGAGCATTCAACCCATTGTCTGAAACCTACAGCCTGGACATTCCATCTCCTGATAAGTTTGTCAGCCTGACGCAGAGCAACAGACTGAAGACGCTCTTCACTGAACTCGCAGCTACTGATATTGGTGATGGCTCTCCGAACGGTCGTCAGCTTTATGTTGTTGCTTCCGTGCGTGCCGCAGAATCCCGTTCCACCGTTGACAACACGCCTGTTTCCCGATCATCGATGTCACGAGAAAATCCCTCTGCCCCCAAGACAGCCGCTGCTGGCGGGATTCAACCTTCAGTCAAGGGCAGCTTGAGAACACGACGCAGCATGATGTGGGCACCCAAAGCTCGGGGCTCACCAACTCTGGATCAAACGCCCCGGCCTGCTGCCCAGGGAGTCCCACGGTCATCGAGTAGCTCATCCCACCTACAGAAACCCGTGACTCCCCAGCCTGCCCCAGCAAAGGAGAGCTCGGCCATCCGGACCATTGGTATAGGCATCCTGGAAGTCTCTCCAATCCTCCGACAAGATCGGGATACGGAATCCATCATCAACATCTGGTCTCCTCCTCGCGAGGGTGAGGAAGGTGAAGGGCACCCTGACGGATTTGAAAAGTTGCTTCACATCCTGCTCCCGAGCCCAACTGGACGCTATGTGCGTGCTGATACTGCCCGTCTACATCTTCATCTGCACCCATTTACTAGCTTCGACCCGGAGTCTCTTGTGCGCCAGAATCCCACAATTCTTCAAGATGTTGTTCAGACCCGCCGCATCGGTTTCTCTAAGGCGCCAGCGAAGCCACGATCGGATATCTACATTACAATCTCGCAAGCTGTATTTCCCACGGATGCTCTTCTCTCTCATCCGACCGCTGGCCAGATTCCTCTGCAACCAACTACCGGCCTTCGCAATCTTCAGCTTACCTTAGAGGTTCGGGATGCGTCTGGTGCTCGGGTAGATAAATGTGTCTTCCCCTCGTCTGCCAATACTTCACACACTGCCTGGAGAACTACAATTGCCCAACGTGGCACGCCATGGTATCAGACCATTCGTCTGAATATTCCGACTGAGAAGATTCCCGGCTCACATATGATCATGAGCGTCGCTGATGCACCGGAATTTCCCTTTGCCCTGGCCTGGATGCCTCTTTGGGACCAGCAAGCTTTCATCCGAGATGGCCAACACTCTTTGCTGCTCCACGCCTATGACAAGCAGACCTCCAGCATGGAGAACGGGAAGGGTGCCTACCTGAACCTACCCTGGAGTGCACTTGGCAAGAATGAGTCGGCCAAGGATGAAGCGGTGACGGGACCTCTGGCAACCTTGCGCCTCGAGACCCACCTGTGCAGCACAGAGTATTCGCAAGATCAGGTCATCTTGAGTCTGTTGAACTGGAAAGAGCGACCCGTCGACGAGGTGTTCGATACCCTCAAGCGCTTGCCTTTCGTACCTGAGATCGAGATCGTGAAGCAGCTTCGCGGGGTCTTCGATGCTCTCTTCGGAATTCTTGTCGAGAACGCCGGTAATGAGGAATACGAGGACCTTATTTTCAATAACCTGGTTACTGTGCTCGGTATTGTTCACGACCGACGGTTCAACCTGGGTCCTTTGGTTGACCATTACGCCGACGAGCAATTCAACTTCCCCTTCGTCACACCATGCCTTATCCGCAGCTACCTACGGCTTCTCAACGCTGCTACTGATGTCCACCAGTCTCGCCATCTCCGCGCGGCGTTCAAGGTTGGAAGACACCTGCTCAAGTTCATCATCAATGCCCGTGAGCAACAAAAAGCAAAGGAGGAAGGCATCGGAATTACCTCTGTCCAGTCGACCTTCAACCGGGACTTGCACACCATTTTCAAGTCCATGGAAAGCCTTATGAAGAACCCCTCCCCATCTTTGGTTGGAAGCAAGACCCTGATTGTGCAGCACTTCCATTCGTGGTTGCCTGAGCTTTCCAAGGTCCTTGGCCGCGATGAAATGATTATGATCGCTTTGAGTTTCATGGATTCCTGCAAGGATGTGACTGGCATGTTGGTTCTCTACAAGCTGATCCTCATTCAGAGCTACACCCAATTTGAGATCTTCGTTTCAGGCGAGGAGAGGCAGACTCTTATCTCCAGCTGCGTCGGCTGGCTGGCACCATACTGGGGCTCTACCGCCAATGTTTCAGATCAGTATCGTGACCAGGTTCGCCTGAGCAGTGCAATTGTGGCTCAATTGTTAACCCAGCCGGATGCCCAACTGTACGACTTCATGCCAAGCATTGTTGCCTCTTACTGCGCTATTGCGACTGAGGGGGTGGACGACACGGAATATTTGTCCATCCTCTTCAGCAAGACTTTTCCCTTCCAAGTCAAGCTATCCAATACTCCCCAGAGGTTTGATGAGGCATTGGTTGAGCTGTCTGCCATAATGGCTGCTCTGTCCAAGATTGTGTCTCCCAAGACTCCTAAGCTCAAGGAGCTGGAGCTTGCGACCTTCGTTGCCCAAGCACTTGAGGCCCACAACTCGATTCTTGATTGCGAGGCCTATCCTGAGAGCTGGTTTAGTTTCCATGTGTATAACCATCGTGCAACAATCAAGAGTCTGGAACACCTTGCCCTGCTCCTGATCGATAAGCTCCTACCTGATGCCGATGACGCCGATGACTTCGATACAAAGCTCTGGGAGTCGTTCTTCATGACGCTACTTAAGGTCATATCCAGCGATACGCTTGCTTTGGAAACCTTCCCTGAACAGAAACGCCGTGCGGTCTGGAAGATTGCCGGTGATGTTCGTGAACAGGGTGCTGATCTGTTACACTCTACATGGGAGGCAATTGGATGGGATACTACTGACGAGGAGAGAGAACGGTTTGGTCTGAAGAAGCTGGGTGGTTATCAGGTTCAGTATGTTCCGAACCTGGTGCCTCCTATCATTGGACTCTGTCTGAGCGTCCATGAGGGTCTTCGCCATGCCGCTGTTCACATTCTCCGGACAATGATCCTCAGCGAGTGGGACTTGAATCAGGACATCTCCATCATCGAGACCGAAATCATCTCCAGCCTAGACTCTCTCTTCAAGGTCAAGCATATGAGTGAGAGTGTTAGTCAGAAGATCTTCATTGGCGAGCTGCTGGACCTATTTGAGGGTGATGTGGCATCTGAAGAGGATCTGTTCAATGCTGTCAAGGGGCTCATCGCCACCGTTGATGAACTTCTTGACCTTCTGGTGGCCTCTCAGAGTAGCACCTCGACCCAGAGCTTGCATGCGTTGAAGCTTATGGAGTACATGAAGGATATGGGCCGCGAGGATATCTTCATCCGCTATGTCCACGAACTAGCCGATCACCAGGCTGCCTGCGACAATTTTACTGAAGCTGGCCTTGCACTCCAGTTCCACGCCGATCTTTACGAATGGGATGTCAACAAACTTCTCCCAGAGCTGATGACTCCAGCCTTCCCAGCACAGACGGCGTTCGAGCGAAAAGAGTCTTTATATTTCTCGATCATCCAGCATTTCGAGAACGCCATGGCCTGGGCCCCTGCTCTGGCCTGCTACAAGGAGCTTGCTGCACACTACGAGAGCACGACAATGGACTTCGCGAAGCTTTCCCGGGCGCAGAGCTCTATGGCTCGTATCTACGAATCTGTTGCCAAGGGCGGCAAACAGTTCCCCCGGTACTTCCGCGTTGTTTATAAGGGTCTTGGATTCCCACCCAGTCTGCGCGATAAGGAGTTCATCTTCGAAGGACCCCCCACAGAGCGCATAGCATCTTTCGTGGATCGTATGCAGCGGGAGCACCCGACTGCTCAGATTATGTCCTCGGGTGAAATTCCCGACTACGAGGGCCAGTTTCTTCAGATTAGCAGCGTCACAGCTCACCGTGACACTTCTCATCCTGTTTATCAACGGTCCAAGGTTCCTGGCTCTGTGCGTGAGCACTTGCTCATCTCGGATCCTTCCCGTTTCTCGGCCACGTCTCGGAGACACACTAGCAGCTCAGACGTACGTGAGCAGTATGTGGAGAAACTTATTTTCACCACTGGGGAGCCTTTCCCCAACATCCTTCGCCGCAGCGAAGTTATTTCCGTTCAGGAGATTGCCTTGTCTCCCCTGCAGACCGCCGTTGAACGGACATGGCGCAAGACGCAGGAACTGCAAATCCTCGAGCACCGCGCTGCATCGGGCGAGGATAACGGCTTGTCGAACCTGACCGAGGCACTAGAGCAGCTGCTCGAGATGCGGTCGTCCTCCTCCAATTGCGTTGCACTCTACCGCGGGTTCCTGAGTGGTGCCCAAGGAACGAAGGAAGAAAAGTACGAGGAGACGGCGGAGGGTGAAGACGCTGATGCTGAGGTGAATGATGAGCCAGAGACCATGGACCCGATGGAAAATGCTCTTGCAGTTGCTCTCATCGACCATGCCCTGGCAATCAAGCACGCGCTGTCGCTTTACCAACGACCTGCTCAACAAGCAACCCAGGCCGAGCTCCTTCGCCGCTTCGAGGCGGTCTTTGATCCTGAGCTCGCCTCCCTCTCGACCTCCCCGCCCGAGTATTCATCACCAACACCCACCCAGCCCGCTCGCCAGTCTTCATCATTGGAGACGCGTCGCAACCCGGCCGCGCAGCGATCCCTCAGCCCGGAACAAGAACTCATCCGGGCCTCCCGGGGTAATGCACACACCCGTAAGCGGTCGGAACGGCAGTCGGTTAGCCATCGCATCAGCATCATCAACCCCTTCAAGCGGTCGCATGGTACCTCGAACTCAATTTTCACTATTCAGCAGTCTGACAGCAAGGGCCTGAATGGTGCAGGTGACCTAGAAGAAGGTGCCGAGGACGACACCGCCACCATCCACAGCCGAGCCACTAGCCAGTCCCGGGGTGGGAAGAGCGACAAGCGTCGCAGCTGGTTCGGCGGAGAGAAGATCAAGCATGGCTCCTCTCCATCCGTCGCAGCTGCTGGCGATGATGCCTACGGCACATCCCTGAAGAAGCGCCCCTCGCGGAGTGCATCCCGCGACACTGCCGCCCAGTCTCAGGACGGTCGCAGTCGCGCGGGCTCGCAACACCGAGGCCCTGCCGCGAGCGCTGCGCTCGGCTCACCCTCCGGGCGGCCGGCCCCTGCCTCCAGCGGAGGTTGGTCTACTCTCCCACCCACGCGCGATTATCCGCATCCAGTTACCAGGGATAGTGCCCACCCCGGCCGCGACATTCCAGGCAGCTTGAACGGTACCTCTATGGCATCAGTGTCAGTATCTGACCACCCGGCCCACAGCTCCAACAGCGGGGTGCGCGACTCGGTTTTCCGACGCTTCAGTCTGCTGAAGGGGGTTGGCCGCAAAAGCAGTCGGATGGACTTTAAAGCCAACGACACGCTTCCTGAGGAGTGATAATCTCCTTCATTCCATTCTACAGCACCCTTTTTTTCACGTTTACGCTCCCTTCCTTTCTACCTTCCTTTCTCCCTTCCTTCCTCTTCTTGATGTGACTCACTATTCCCTTGATGTAACTCTCCCTTATCTTTATTCTCTTTATACTCTACTGTATCTTTCTGTTACCTGTGGACCGGGGGATTTTTCTGTTTTGGGTGTTCCGAGATAGATACCATGTGTTATAACTCCTGTCTCTGCATAGTCTTCCCTAGTCAGTCTATACGTCGTCTGCTTCCGAAGGATGGATGTAGCTTATTACTAGCCACATAAAATACGTCTTCTCAGCCAACAGTTGATGACAACCCTTGACAGCTCACAGCTTCAAGTCTTGGCTTTCCACCATGAAACCTCTTCGGATGCAGAATGCTCTGTGGCAGTGCATTCCTTGGCTCGCCGCGGGCCCAATCACACCCCGCGCCGCGAATGCGGGGTGGGCCTTCCGATCCGCGTCCCAAGTTTCCAAGCCCCCCATACCGTTCCATTCTCCCACCTACTCCGCCAACCCAGACCCGAAAGGCGCTAGTGTCGTGTGCTGTGACAAGAAATCGAGGCTGTGCATCACCGCAAATGCCCACCGATTCTCGTCCGTCGTCATCAAATGGTCCTTGCGCACCTGTTTGCACGACGGACCCTCACCCTCGCCGGTTACGTCGCAAGTAGAACAACTGGAACCACAGATTTGTGGCTGGAACCCCCCGCCGATTTCTCCGCTTGCCTCCGTTGGAAGTTTGGCTCGTGGCTCGCAACAAAAGAATATGTGTAGGTTGATCTGGGCTCTTGTCTCTTCCGCTCCTTCCGCCTACGACATATACCGACCCCCCAAATGAGCCAGAAATTTCTGACTTTCGCTTTGCACATCTCGCTGACTCCTGTTCCTCTCCCTCAGCTTCCGTTGAGTTTCGAACGCAAGTGCGGAGGCATAGCGGTCTGGGCAGGAAGATGAGCTCCTCGGGCAATGGCCACCTTGAGCCTGGTGAGCACACCGCGCTGTTGGGTCACATTGGACATCGGTCTTCTTCCGTCTCCGGCCTCACGCCGCATGAGCAGACCGAGCATGGCAGCCATCATCACCATCTAAAGGATGACCGTGTCTGGGTGCGCTGGCCGCTGCATGTCGCGCGTCTGACCTGGTTGACCCTGGTGCGCGACTACGTGAACGTCCTGTTGATCTTTGTGCCCTTGGGCATCATCGCCGGGGTCCTCCATTGGGACTCGAGCGCCATCTTTGTGCTCAATTTCTTGGCTATCGTTCCGCTTGCTTCGCTGCTGAGTTTTGCGACGGAGGAGCTTGCGGCTACGATGGGTCAGGCCCTGGGCGGTCTGATGAACGCCACATTTGGCAATGCTGTTGAATTGATTGTAAGTACTGACTGGATGGGCCTTTTTTGTACTGATTGATTCGAATGCTGATGACCTGATGCCATTGTAGGTTAGCATCATTGCCCTCAAGGACCGCCAGATTCGTGTCGTCCAGGCCAGCATGCTGGGCAGTATTCTTTCCAATATTCTCTTGGTTTTGGGCTGCTGCTTTTTGGTCGGCGGTCTCCGTCACAGCGAGCAGTCCTTCAACAGCACTGTGGCCTCCACGATGTCATCCCTGATGGCGGTGGCATCTGCTTCGCTAATCATCCCGGCCACTCTTTACGCTGCCCTGTCGCAGTCCGAGAAAAGCGCACGCGATAACATCCTGACTTTGTCCCACGGCACGTCCATAATTTTGCTCATCATCTACGTGATGTACCTCTACTTCCAACTCCGCTCCCACGCCTACCTCTTCGAAGAATGCAATGACGCAGAGAACTCCAACGGCGGTGGTGAGGAGGAGGAGGAGGAGGAGGAAGAGGAGCGCCTGCTCAACCCATGGGCCGCTACGGTGGTACTGATCGTCGTGACCATTCTGGTGGCGATCTGTGCCGATTACCTGGTCGGCAGCATTGACAGCATCGTGAAGAAGACGGGCATGAGCAAGACCTTCATCGGCCTGGTGCTGATCCCAATCGTCGGCAACGCCGCCGAACACGTTACCGCAGTGGTGGTTGCATACAAGGATAAGATGGATCTCGCGATCGGGGTTGCGATCGGCAGTAGTCTGCAGATTGCACTCTTTGTCACACCTTTCCTGGTCATCCTAGGCTGGATCATGGACATCGAAATGACCTTGCATTTCCAGACCTTCGAGACTGTTGCGTTCTTTATTTCTGGGTTGGTCGTGACTCTGCTGATCCAGGATGGAAAGTCGAATTACCTGGAGGGTGGCATGTGCCTGGGAATGTATGTTCTTTCGTCCCTGCCTAGACCGCTTTTCCGTCTATATTCTAACCATATTGTCGCTCACCAGGTACTTAATACTAGCCCTGGCATTCTATGTCTACCCCGACGACGTCAGCGACGGTGCTGGTATCTTCAGCAAGCTGTTAAATTGAGTTAGGACATGCATGTCCGATATGTGTTTGAATTGAAGCAATTTTTCTGATACTTCCCTTCACCGCTGTGGGGGATTCTTACCAGCCGATCGCTCGGACTGGGATTGTGTCTTTTGTCTTTCTACAGTGCATGTAGCTAGCTGGTCTCTCCGTGGTAGCTCGTGTGCACACCCTATTGTCGCTTCTGAGGTAAAAATTTCACGCGTCTATAGTTTCTCTGCTCAAGGTCGATCAACTTGAAATCACCAGGAAGGGTTTTGGGTAAGCTCTCAACGGTCAAAGCCTAGTACCCTTCGAAAGGATAAGTACGAAGTCGGTAGTCCTACTTAAAATTTGGTTTGGGGGGGAGGGTTTCCTCCCAGTACTCCGCATGAATGTAAGCCCTCTTTCTACCAACATTCAGGAGTTTCGTGGCGACGGGCGTGGCCGACTTCTGTATGGACGCCATCTTCTCGATCATGCTCCTATCTCTTTGTTGGATTAATGCAAACTTTCACTAGATATGCTTCTGCTCAACTGGGGCCCGCCGCAGCGGTGCTACTTGCAAGGTCGATTCTACCGGCATGCAACGGGCACCTCGACCTAAGGACGGCATGTGTATGGAACTGAGACCATTTAACTCATTCTGAATCCCTTCAGAAAACAAGAGGCGTGTAGTAACTTGGGTGTATAAATTTGCGGCTTTCTCCACTCTGTTGCCGGATCGCCTATCCAGACTGGCGTTCTAGGTGTACATGAGTAGTCCGAGCTAAAGCGATATGGAGAGAGATCAGGGCTCTCGGGTCCTAACTGTATGATCGCTCTATACGTCTACCTATACTGTGTTTCATGATGATCTGTGTGGTATGTTAAATTTTTTACTGTAGCTTTAGGGTTAGGGGTCCTGATAAGACAGAATATCAGACATCAGAGCAAAAGCCAGGTCCCAGCCAGATCCCAGCCAGCACACCATGAGACGTGAACCCTAAATGAGCGGGTAAAACGTCCTCAATTCCCTTGTCCAATCTATAGGTACAAGCTTAGAAAGTACTTATACGATGGCGTTCCGTACTAGAACCATAGGCTCCGCTCCAAATGGCGCGACTAGACGACACTATGCCTTCAGAGGATACAAGATGCCCAACATCCATCCATATTTAGCTGTTGCTGGAAGCCCAACCCTGGTGGATCTGCTGGAGCTCCACTTTGATCAACCCCATCTCCTCGACTTACCAGTTTCGGACCATCCCAATCGCTCTCCTCACGCGGGGCCTGCTCCATTACCTAACCCGGCGGAACAAGATAAGAGCCCGGGAGTGCCACCAACGACCACTGACCACCAACCACACCAAGATCACACAGAGAATCGGGCAAAGAATGTGCAGTTTCTCGTGACATGGCTGTCTCGATTCCTGTCATCACGGCCGTGGTCCTCGCGGCCGTGGTCTTGTACAAGGCCGTCATCTACCCGGCCTTTGTCTCTCCGCTGGCTAAGATCCCCAATGCACACTGGAGCGTGCCCCTCTCTCCGGTTTGGATGCTCTGGAGGCGCTTTCGAATGCAGAATAACCGGACAATTCAGGCCGCACATGAGAGGTTGGGTCCGATTGTGAGACTCGGGCCGTCCGAGATCTCGGTGAACTGCGTCGACGGGGGCATCAAGTCAGTCTATACTGGCGGATTCGAGAAGCATGAGTGGTATCCGCGAGTTTTCGGATCACTTGGGTAGGTTGGAATAACGCGGACAACTGAGATGAGATAAGGGGTTCCTTTCTAACATGGCTCTATAGGACTGTGAGTATGTTCACCATGGTCGGAAGCAAGACACATTCTATCCGCAAGAGGATGCTGTCCAATATTTATTCCAAATCAACCCTGCAGACATCCCCGAATCTGCAGTTGGTCTCTAAGACGGTCATTCTAGATCGTTTGTTACCAATTCTGCAGGAAGCAGCACGCTTGGAGGAACCCCTTGATGTACACGACCTGAACCAAGGACTAACGATGGACTTTGTCTCTTGCTACCTCTTTGGTCTCCAGAATGGCACCAACCATCTTCAAGACCATTCCTTCAGAAAGCACTGGCTTCATTTGTACTTCTGCCGGAAGCCATTCGAGTTCTACCACCAAGAGATGCCCTCTTTGACTGGGTGGCTGAAGTGCCTGGGACTTCATGTCATCCCCAAGTACTGTGATGAAGCCAACGACATGCTGGATTCCTGGATTCTGGATCTATGTGGCAAGGCAGAACAATCAGTTGACTCGACCGACCCTGCAGTTGAGCCTATCGTCTACAAGCAGCTGAAACAGAGCCTGGATAGACAAGCCGCTAAAGAAGGTGTCAAACCAGACCGCCTCCAACAGCTAAATGATATCGCATGCGAGATGTACGATCAGCTCACTGCGGGATTCGAGACCAGCGCGGTTGGCTTGACATATCTGCTCTGGCAACTGTCCCGACACCCGGAGATCCAAGAAGAGCTTCGCGAGGAGCTGCTCACCCTGGAGCCTCCAATTTCCTTCCCGGGATCTTCGGAATTGCCGGCCGCAAAGTCCATTGATAACCTGCCCTTGCTCGAAGCCATCGTCACAGAGACGCTGCGTCTTCACGCCCCAATTCCGGGCATCCAGCCTCGTGTCACCCCGGAGCCATCCTGCAGTTTAGCTGGGTATGACAACATCCCACCAAACGTGCGCGTCAATGCGCAGGCTTACTCGCTGCACCGCAACCCAGAAGTTTTCCCTGACCCGGAGTCCTGGCAACCCAGGCGATGGCTCAAAGAAGAGAATTCACTCGAGGAGTTAGAGGAGCGACGCCGCTGGTTCTGGGCATTCGGGAGTGGAGGACGGATGTGCGTGGGAAGTAATCTCGCGCTGCAAGGTACTGTTGAACCCTGACATCAATAGTCAATCGCTCTGCTGATAAATCGATAGATATAAAACTTGTGGCTGCGGCTATCTATACCAGTTTCCGCACGACCATCGTTAACGATGACAACATTGAAGCTATTGATGCTTACACTGTCCACCCGAGAGGGAATAAGCTAATATTAAAATTCCAGAAGGTTTGACACCGAGCAAACTGGATTCAGTAGAAATCTTGGAATGTTCCAAGCGTGCTGAGATAATGATACAATCAATTCTTTTCTGAGGCGATGCCATGTTCCACGGAGGTATATGTACTGTACAGATGTGCAAAAAAAAGACCAACTCCCGTATCACCTCATGCAGGCCGTAGCCAGGGCATTAAACCTCGATCTCGAGACCTGTGGCTGGCACTGGTTCCTGCAAGATATGTGTGATCCCAAAACTCCTGTATGAAGATTTCGATAATTGGCACGGAGGCCCCGTCCCTGTCGAAAACGACGTTTACCCCAGAACACCGTCCTTCTTGCGCGGCCCCACGACCTTAGGGTACATTCTCATCAAGTGGTAGTTGACAGTGTTCTTCTTCTTCTCTTGTGATTTCTGGAGGGTGCGAGAGGGATTGTCAGCGGGTTGTTGGGGGAGGTGGAAGAATACAGAAGGTGAAACGTACCGGTGCGTCCATGCACTTGCGCAATTGCGCCTCAAGAGCGGCGCAGCCCTCGTGGCCGTACCCTTGGGAAGCCCAGCAGTCTGGTTGCAGCACACTGTGGTCAGCAGTTCATCCAATGTGAGGAGTTCGACAATTGTTGTAGCTGCCCGCTTGTATCCAGGCAAGCTCGGCATCAATCGGTGCCTGGGCAAGCCTGAATGCAACGGGCCAGGGAAATACGTACTCAGCATCGATGACATGACCGTAACGCACGCATTCTGCTCATTCTGGTTCGGCCGGCGGACACGGAGGTGGTTGATGGTGTTGAGGCGGAGCGGGTTGAGCCGGGTGGTAATATTGCCCTTGGGAGCCATGGCGAAAGAATAGCACGATGTGACGCGAGTGTGACGGAGAAAAGAAGAAAGGGTGTGAATGGAAATGCTGCAATGAGCCCCGCAGTCGAGGTGGTGGACAGCAATCGAGTTGGCGCGCCTGCGACGGAGAGATGCGCAGCAAAATCCCTAGAAGTTTTGGCGCCGCGGAGGTGGATGACATAAGCAAGATGGATCTCGGGGCAGCTTGCCACTACTCGAGAACCTGTTTTCTTACATCTTGAAGGGAGAGCTTTGTTTGTGTATCTTAGGAGCCTTCTGTGTGTCAACGGAACAGTTGTTTCTATGTCTGGAGCAAAGCTTTGGAGTGCCCAATTATGTCGGGTGTCTGTACATGCATCGAGACATGCAGCTCCCGCGTCCAGACGGCTCCCGGCGGCGTGCCAACGAAGACAACAGAATACGGAGTCTTCCTCGGTCGAGGCAGAAGCAAAACGCAGAGATGAGCCCGCGAAGGAAGAAGAGACGAGCGAAGGTGCTATGAGTCGCCGTTTGTCTCAGATGACCGAGGATGCGATCCTAGAGGGCGGCCGGTCCGCGCGCCGCAACATCGAGCATGCGGGCTTTTCAGAGGACTTAAAGAAACAACTAGAGGAGAGAGTTAAAGCAGCTTCATTCAAGAGTGAACATGCAGCAGCACATTCTATTCTCAATATGCCGGTGAGTTCATGCATCCGATACCATGGTCCGGCCGCCACAACTAATACACCTATGTCGAACCTATAGGCAAGTGCGGGTCAAGGCTCACGCGAAACAGCCGCATCCCAAGCGTGGACAGGAACAGAAGCCCTCCACGACTCCGCCCTCCGCATGCTTGACGATGCTAGCAAACCGATCCGCACTCCATATAAGATCCCCCAGCCCGTGAACCTAAAACCCGCCCCGAAGCCCAAACGCTCCCCGGGAGCTCGCCTCGCCGCCGCAAAAGAACGCACCTCAAAATATGCATTGAGTCAGGCCCCAGGCGTCTCCGACGAGGAGCGGGAAACAATACGCCGCGAAATGCGAGAGAAGCTGACGCCCGGCGCGCACGCAATGCCCATGTCTATCCAGGGCCTGTCATCCCTAGCCAACGAGCGAATCGAAGATGCGATTGCGCGAGGACAATTCCAGAAAATCAAACGCGGGAAAGGCGTCAATACCGAGACGGACCATAATGCGAATAGTGCCTTTATTGATACCACGGAGTACTTCATGAATAAGATTATTCAGCGGCAGGAGATTGTACCTCCGTGGATCGAGAAACAGCAAGAACTTGCTTCGGAGCTGAGCCGATTCCGACAACGGATACGCATGGAGTGGAAGAGGCATGCTGCGAGGTTAATTGCAAGCCAGGGCGGGTCCCTGGAGGCGCAGATGAAGCGGGCGAGAGGGTACGCTGCAGCCGAGGCACGTCTAGCTAAGAAAGCGAAGGTGGAAGCTTCACTGCGGGACGACAAGGACAAGGAGGCGGTGTCCGAAATTTCATCTGATGGTCGGATTGTATCGAAGCGTGAAACGCCTGAAGCATCGGTTGAGAGTGATGAGAGTGCGGAAGAGACGCTACATCTTCCACCGCTGCGAGATGAAAGTTACCTTGCACTTGAGCGTTCCTACCACGAGCTGGCCGTCAAACAACTGAACGCTATCGCCCGCTCATACAATCTACAAGCGCCGCGTTCTGCGCAAAAACCATACATCAACCTCGACCGCGAGCTAAACTCCTGCTTCGCCGAGGTCGCTCCACAGCTCGCAGAAGAGATCCGACGACGCGCAACAGAGCGTGCGCGCATCCCAGCACCCGTGGGAGGATCAAAGTCGAGCATGCTCGGGTCACTGGGCACAGCGCAGTCGGTGCGTGTATATGAGGAGAATGCAGAGAAGGGGTACGGAATGAAGGAACTCTGGAGGGATTTATTCTCTAAAAAGGACTAGGAATAGGACAGCTGGGGCCATGGGGCATGATGTTGTGTGGATAATATGGATCGGGTCGAAAGAATAATGATAACGCCAGGACACGACTTCAATGACCGTCCATTTTCAGTTGACCAGAACTCGCCACCTGTGCGTCGAATGTGCGTCGAATAAGGGTTTAACGCACTGATTTACCATGAGGCAACTTCGAAGAACCCGCTCATTAATCACGCTTTCCCACCAAGATCTTCCGAGCCTTGATGCATTCGAGATAAATACATAGCACGAACCGGTCTGTGTTTCCAGATCAAATTGACGAGGTCGATGAGACGGTAAAGGATCGAAGCGATGACCAGTATACCTTCAGGCATAACGCTTAGCGGTCATCGATGCAGTGCAAAGAGCAAAGCCAAACGTGGCGAGCCCAATCCCGAGATGTATCGAATTGATCGGGTCCCAGTTCTCGTAGAAGGCGAAGTAGCCCATCCATTGTAGTAAAGTAAAGTTCGGTCAAGGGAAGGTTGACTGCGATAAAGTTGGGCTTGAGAGGACGGCCAAATGTCTGGCGATGCATGACAGTTTAGGGCTGTTGCTGCAGATGAGCCGCTCTTTGCTCAAAGGCAATTCGTGTGTGTGTGAATAGAGAGGTTGATGGGAGTTGCAAATAGAAATAGAATCAATTCTCTTTGATTGAGGCGTCCTTGAACAAGACGTGAGATGCCCTTCCGAAGCTTTTCCGGGGGCTTCCACAGGAGTCTACCAAACTCCCTTGAAAATTCAGAAACAGGAAGGTGGTACGATACTAATGATCATACACACGACGAAGGGCTATTTTCCTCATCGAGGTCTCGCAGATGCGTCAAACGAGCTCGTTTGTGCTTCAAAATCAACCGCAAAACACCGAAAACAAGGAACACCAGCAGAATGCCTAGGTGGATCAACATGAACCGGTCTTTGTAGTCCTTGAATGATCTCACCGTAGTTGAATTGGATTGGTACTCGGAATCGGCGTAGACCGTCTTGAGATCACGTTTCAAAGGGATGATAAAATGATGCCACGGAATCTTGGGCCATTTGCCCGGAGACCAGCCAGCTTGACTGATGTCTGAATCGCCGAAGGGGAGTCTGGAGATGATCTCGACGTCTCCAACCCAGATTTCGTTGATAGCGTTCCCTTGTTCGTAGAACTTGTCCGATTTGACACCATGAACGACGGAAAATTTGTGGCCCATGATCGATGGTAAGAGGGAGGAGATGAGCTGGAAAGAATCATGGTGAAGGGGAAAAGAAAACATTGCAGTGGATGATAGCTGTATAGCGTGCAAGTAGGAAGGAATCCCATCGCGGAGGGAAGGTGTGATGCTCGGAGAATCGAGACAACGGCAGGAACAGAAGTATACAAGGCACGTGAGATGAGCCTATTCACACCACTCCGCTCCACCGCGAGTCTCTCCAATAGCTACTCCCTACCCCTCGGCTTATGCGACTGCAGACCCTCGCCAACTATTTCCTGCACTTGCCCCAAAACGAACTGGTTGGCTGGTGTTTTGTCTCCCAGATGCCAAGATCACACTGTGGAGACTGCATGTCGGCTTCTGACTGGCCCCCAGTAGGTGACAAGCCTGCATGCGGGCGCTTACTGGCGACCAACGACAGGCCTTATTGACCGGGTGCTTCACCTGCAGCCCCGGCATGCCCTTCACCTTGTCACACCAGGTGGCTCCCGATGTTTTATACGGATCCCCTCCCCACCTGCCGCCTCGTCACTTCTGGAACACAATGTGCCACTCGCTCGCACCAGATTCGACGGCACCACCGCTCCGACATGTCGATCAGGCCGAGTTGACTGCACGCTACACTTAAAATTGAATTGATCCCATTTCTCTCTCTTCCCCGCCGTGACTGATCTCCTGGTCACATACTGGTGCCGGCAATGACTTCCCCCCGGTCGCCTCTTTCTCCCCTTTTCATTCAGTGCTCTGTCTTCTGGTTCTCCATACAGTACCAGTTTTTGGATCTAGCCGAGTGCATGTTGAGCGTTTTGCTGAGAGTCGTCCTCTAGTGGATAAGTCGCTCCTTGGAATTCAGATTGGCAGTATTGCGGGAGCCTACTTGATATTTGTCGCGATTCTTCTTGCCCTGCTGCTGGTTGTCGGACGGAGACTTCGTCAAACAGTCCACTCATCCAACTACTCTCTTCAGATGGAAATGTTGCAGCCGCTCAAGCAATCTCTCAACATGGATCCCAGCCCCATTTCTCCCAGGTTGCAGAACATGCCCAGCCCGAGCAAGGCCAGTGGGGTTACCACCTCTTGGGGCAACATTCCTCATGGAGGCCGACCTTCACAGACCTCGGTCAACGGCAGCATGGTCACCGTTGACGAATCGGTTGTGGCGTCAGACCGCCAACGAGCTCAGGATGAAATGGAAATGCTCTATGCGGCAGTTATGGAGCATGATGCCCAGAAGGCCTCCGGAGTTAGTGTCGCCGCGAGAGATGCGGACTCGCAGACCAACTCTCCGGATAGCCAGTACACCAATCCGTTCACCGATCGACATGCATCGCAGGCCACAGAACACTCGTACAGAGAGCCATTACAGTCTCCTAAGTCTCCCAAGTCGAGTGGATCTCGCCTGTCCAAGCTGTTCAGCTCAAAGTCGCAATCAAATCCCGACGGAGGCAAGCTGCGGTCTCCCCGATTCCCCCTCCGCAAGCTGGGGATTTCCTCGCCGCTCGCTTCACCAGATAGGAGCGCATCTACGTCTTATGGCCATGAGCAAGCACCTCTCTCTCCGCGATTTTATAACCCCGGGCCCCCTCCAACTGCGCCGCGACCAGGTCCTGCGACAGCACAGATAATGCCTCCCACTGGTCAAATCCGTGCACCACCTACTCCCCTAAATCTGTCCACTGTGGGCCAGCCTCCGTCTAACCTGCCATTCCGTGATGCATATCCCTTACAAAGCGCACCGGCAACGAAGACTACCATTTTAGAACGCCCGATGAAGACACGTAATGGACCAGTCACCGGCATGCCTACACCATACAGTGCTTACATGCCCTTCACCCCAGTAACACCATTCACACCTGGGCGAACAGTGACAAAGCGCGAGCGCAGACGCGAAGAGCGTGAAAACGGCCTTCGAGTATTGAACGAAGATGATTTGGTCAAGGATGACAAGGACATGTGGGGATGATCGTATCCTGACATTATTCATTTTGCGTTTCCCGATGGCGTTTGTCGGGATTTTGGCTTTATTTTATCTCATGCCCTGGAGGCACCATTTACTTATCAAATCCACTGTGTACACCTGGTGTATCTTCCCAGTCTGTACATCTGTACCCGGTGTCTAGCAATCTATATCTATTTCTATTAATTCGTCTTCTTCAAATGCTCTGTGCCTTTAATGATTGCCTCTGCAAAATCCGCCCGACTTCCTGCCTTCTCCAGCGCCAGCAGCGCCTGAATTGTGCATCCTCGTGGAGATGAGATACTCTCACGAAGGACCGCGGGATGAATTCCAGACTCAAGAGCAGCGGAGAGACCCCGCAGACCAGCGAGCAGCAGTTCCATTGCATCTGGTCGCTTCATTCCTTCGGCCACACATCCGTCTAGGATACCTTCGATGGGCACAGTCATGGCCGCTAGTGCTGATCCGGCGAGCACAGATCCAAGGTCCATCTGACTTTGCGGAAGATACTTGATCTCGCCGACTTGCTTGAAAATCCATTCCACCGCCTCAGTCATATGCTCAGGAATCGGGCTTTCGGGGGTCTCAATCACGCTAATCGACTTGCGAAACTGCGCACCCATATTTGGGATTGCCTTGACAATCACTGGCTCGTTGGCGGAGCTAACTGAGCCTTCACGAATGATACTTGCCAACTTCTGCGGTGTCAATCCGGCGAGCAGACTAATGACTAGCTTGCCCGCAAGCGCTTCTTTTACACCCTTGGTCCTGAGAATTTCGTCTGCCATAAACGGCTTGAAGCCGAGAATGACAATGTCTGCGTCCTTCATAGTGTCCACGGGGACAGCCTGGGAGGAGAGAACATGCACATGAGTCTTCTGCTCAGCGGGGATAGAGGCTTCTAGGCGCTGGGCCGAGGAGGCGGTCTTCGTGCAAGCGATGAATTTGGATACTGGCCGCGACTGCGAGGAGCTTGATTCTTTGCTTGAAAATGCAGCATCGAGCACGCCGTGCAAAATGGCGCCTCCCATGTTCCCTGGGGGTTGTTTATGAGTTAATTGCATTGTGATTGACAGAATAACCACTTACCACACCCGATGAATGCGACGCTCCGCCCTGAAGGTTCCATTGTGTAAGATAGTATGTTGTGATCTATAGTCCCTTTACTCCGGGACCATGAGTTATTAAAGGTTTGGAAGAATGGCGGTACGTCATTAAGGGGACAATTGCGCACTTCGGGGCGGGGGAGGGGTCCGAGATCGGGTTCGATCTCGGGTGGAGGTACCGATTAGGATGGAGGGGGGTTATACAGTGTATCTGCCACCAATCTGGTGCAACAAAATATAAAGTAATTTTTCGCATGCATTTTAGACCCCTACTGTTCAATATTAGCCTCAATTACAAGGTGGTAAAGCTACAGCTCCGGCAAAAAAGAAGTCTTCGGACTACAAACCGATCTCAGAGTCTTCGGTGATAAGATAGTGCGGTGGGGTATCACGGCGGGGGATAGAATCAAACATGATAAGCATGATGAGAAATGAAAACTGGACCAGTGTTTCCAGTCTGGAGGAAGAAGTCCGGTAGAAGGAATAAGTAACAAACGAACCTGCCGCTACCAACGAGTTACCCACCACGCTTGATTTATCCAGACGCGTAGGACATTGGCAATGCCAGGAGCCTGGCCTTCTTGGAGGGGCCAGATGAGAAAAGACTACCAGTGGTGTCTTCGGAGCCTGGGACGCATTCATCACACTCAAAGATGGCCTCGGCTGCCGATGCCTAGACACTTTCCTGGTGGCGGATGTTGTCGAGGGTAAAGCGGCAACGTCTGCCGCGAGGCTCGCCGGGAAGCATTGAAGATGCATGATTATTCGCTCATCAAGAAGCTGAATAGCTTTACCTAGAAGCCCATTTATTCTCAGGGAAGTCGCAGGGACGAATTCACTGTACATTATAGATGACAAGGGGCTGGAGTACTGGTATCACTCAAGTTAAGTCAGTTTTCTTTCCCTAATTGGGATTTTGTATGAATTTGATAACAGCCAAAAATAGAGAAATCATAGAACAGAATTTTGGGAATGTGTTGATCTCTCTAAGTTATGGTAGAAAGCCTTGTGGATAAATATAATATGCGTTGAAAGCCTTCGCGATAACTACACTACCTTACGCATAACAGCGGTATGCACTAGACCCGGAGTTTTACAGAGCATCCCTTACTCTTAATCAATTCAACTTTCCAGAGATCCCGAGATGCATTGAATTACCAGTATCAATATATGAACTGCAAACAGTCCTCACCTCGTCATTCCATCAGAGCAGAACTCTGAACGACTGGTCCAAACTCGTATTCAAATGAAGAAAATCAGCAACACGGCCCAGGTGATCAATGCCCCAAAAGCCCTCTTTCTCGCCATCGGCGTTGATACATTCAAACCAAGGTAATCCAAAAGCTCCTGAATCAAACGCCCTCTGCGTGTTGTCTGTCAAAAGCTCTTTCGACTCCAGATTTTCTGCCTGTTTGGTTGGTGGGGAATTGATTAGCTTAGCTAGCCAAAGATGGGAGAGATCGGTACTACATACCACCTGTAAAATCCGGCTGGCAACTTCTTGGTCAAGCTCTCTCTCGATTAGTGGAAAGAGATTTGCTGCTGTGCTAATGGATGTATCGCCTTTTGCCCAAAATGTGTGAAAGAGCTGACCAGTGACACCGACAAGCTTCTCGGGTGAACTCTCAGCAATCAGGCTCAGCACCGTCTGGGCGTCGATCGTCGAGGCGGGAAAGCCTTTGGGCACTGCCTCGGTCATCGGAACGCCAAACCGACGAGCCCAATAAAGGCGCTCTCGGTTGATCCATTGCGCCTTATCTGAAAGAAGAATTCATTTTGAATTTAGGTAAACTAGTTCAAGGCAAACAATGGTTGATTTGTCAAACATACTCTTAACTAAGATTGGAGGTGGATTTTGGCACTTTTGGAACAAATCCCGGAGAAGTACAGGTACATAGTCGATTATGCATTCCGTGAACAGAGGAGAATTCTGCGATTTCATTAGCAAGCGAAGAATTACCCGTCAATTGAGAGCAAAGCTGATTTTAAATATGGGACCAGGTACCTGAAGAACGTGAAATGCGGTGTAGCTGAACGGGCTACCAATGTCAAAGTAGAAGGTGATCCTGGGTGGTCCCATAGTGATTGCAATTATATCTTCCCTGACTTTCTATTTTAGAATCACTCCTACTATAGAGAGCTTGCAATTTATCTTAAAGGAATTGAGTTCGACTTTTTGATTATTCATCATCTGAGTCACTGTAGCGCCCCCAACCATTTCTGTCCGACCAAAACGCACAACTTCTTGGGCGATGAGTCGGCGCGAGGAACAAACTTTGTTGAGGAATCGGTATGCTTTGGAGTGCTTGACCCCAACGGCCTCCTAAATGCTTCCAATTCACAACAATAAAGCTCGCAGCATAGTCATAGAGAGGAATACCAGATTCAATTCGACCGGAAAACTACGAGAACTATCACAAGGCTGGGATGAGATATACTTCCGCATTAAATCTAGTACCTGAGTTGCAGTTACCATAAATAGCCAAGTAGGCAAGCTAACCTGCCAGTGGCGGACGAAATATACTGATGGGCTGTCTGGCTATTTAATTGAGAGTTCAAGGGGAAGGCCCGGCCTCGGGAAAAAGGCGCCCGTGAGGTCGACTCGCGTGTCGCAACAAATACAAGGTGTACATGCTCCAACCAATCTATCAGTGCAAGCGGATACTATATAGCCTAGTATGCAAAGACGATGAGTAATATTAAGCGGGCCTAATAAAGATGAATAATATTGATTGATTTAGTAGAAAGATAGGGGGGAAGCGCTATTAAAAATACCCTATAAGACACACCGCTACTCGCTATATCTCTACTACTTAGCTATTACAAAGTCTATATTGCTATCCTACACCCTTATCATATATGAAATACTAAGCGGATATAGGCCAATCAGCAACCAATCAGTTGCAAGCGGTAAGTTATCCCTTCATGTGCTAACACAATCTTAGGCGATACCCACGCGCGCTGGCAGTCTAGTGCTCGGGCAGCTTAAGACTTGCCGCGCTGAGCGGGTGTCTGGCCTCCTGCTACTCTCGAGGCGCGTACGTCTTTGATTCCGGAGTTTGACCAAGAACTTGGCCAAAAATAGAGTAGCACCCAACTGGATCCAAGGGCCATTCTGGCCTGTCCTTGGGGCCGCCCCCTTTTGTTAGCCCAACCACAACATCTCTCCACGCGCCCGCATCAAGTTAGTACTATGGCCCGAATATACGTGTCACATTGTCGAGGTCCTATGATTCCTCTAATTTTCTATCTCGGCCGTGAGTGAAAACTCCCTAGACATAGATGCAACTCTTTCACCTGCTGTATAGCTCTCAGTCCGATCTCAAAACAACAAAACAAGCAATTCTAGAACGATGGATCTTTGCAAAGCCGCGAGCCAAGGCGACACCGGTGGCATAGAATCTGCGATTGAGGAAGGGTGCGATGTCAATGCCCCCAACAAATACGGGAAAACACCTCTCTGGTCCGCTGTACAGAGTGGCCAGGCAGATGCATGCAGACTTCTGATTGCTGAAGGAGCTAGCATGGAAAGGCAAAAGCCCGGTATTCTCGAAGTCGCTGTTCAAGGAGAGCATACTGAGGTTGTCGAACTGCTGTGGCCACACTGCGGAATGGAAGAAAAACATCGCTCTCTAGAAACTGCTATCTCACTGGGCTTTCACGGGATTGCAGATTTTCTGATAGGAACTGGGGTATTCGAATACCAGCACTCTCCAGCAAATGGCACCAAACTGCTCATAGAAGACGGATGTCCTAGACGACAACTGGCAGCTTTTCAACAATGGGAGAGATTTCTCTTCGTTCGACACGGGGAGAAGCTGCATTTGCATCGGACTTTTTTCGACTATGCCCTTCTCCTCGCTGCGAAGGCCGATCGCAACGCGGGGCTTCGATTGGTAAATTTATTGCTTGAGGAACGGGAATTTATGGCCGACGCAAATTGCAAGATCAAGATCGACGAGCAAACCGAAACACCTTTGACGGCGGCGGCTGAGAAAGGCAACCTGGAAATTCTCGCGACTTTGATGGACCGCCCGAACACAAAACTGACGATTTGTGGCAAATATAAATGGCCCGCCTTTCTGCACCTTCTGGCGACTTCCGAGTCTATCACCACTGAAAGAGGTCGGGCCATCGCACGGAAATTGTCCTCCGAGACCTTTTCCAATCCGTTCCTAGTTGATAGCAAGGTGGCTCCCCTGGAAACTGTGTTCGAAAACGTCCTTCGGTACGGCGATGATGGTTTTGTGAAGCAGGTAATTGACCTCGTTCAAGGCTCCGCAGGAAATGTGATTCTGCCGCCGTTAATTCGAGCGAATGAGACTCATGGCCTGCGATGGATTCTGAATGGCGACATAGCGCGTGCATCCAAGCCTCCACCAATGCTCTGGGTCTTGCTTTGCGATTTTTTCCAACGTCATCCCCATGCGGAGGCTCTGAACCTTTTTTCTCAAGTGGCAGAATTTATGGTACAAAATGCGATCTGGAACCGGATCATACTAGTGTGTCTTCATTCACGCAACTTCTGTTTTCTCAAGCAATTCTTCTACCCTCTCCACGAGATCCCACCGAGGGAAGTGACGGAAGAAACATTGGTCGGATTTCCACAAGCGTCTGTTGATCGGTTTCTCGTACGGAAGTGGGTTGAGACTGGCTTTGCCAACGCAGCACTGTGGAGCGCCATTCAATCCGGGATATGGAAGAGTCCAAACTTTGAAAGCCTTCTTTCCTGCCCCCATATTGACCTGAATCGGCCACAACCGCAAGAGAGGGGCTCAGAAACGGCAGAAGCAAGAAATGATTTTCCTCCCTTCTCCAGCACTTTAACTAGCGAGAAACAAAAGTTTTCTTTTAGAGACACTGCCGGAATTCCCCTAAGATTCCTGGACGACTCCGGTGTGCCGGGTCAGCGTGCCTTCGAGGACTATCAAATGCAACTCTGCATACTGGAGCAGCAGAATAAAAGGCGATTATTGATGGCCCGAAATGAAATAGTGGATACGAATGGGGGAAAGAGCCCTTTGGCTTGGGCCGCGACAAGTCGTAATGTTCAGCTTGTGGAAGTTCTTCTGCGCAGTCCTCGTGTCAACGTCAATTCACAGGATGCTCATAATCGAACCCCCCCTCATGCACGCCATTGCAGTCAATGATAAGCAAATCGTGGAAAAATTGCTGAAAGTTAGAGATATTGATCTCAATTTGCGGGATGGTGAAACTGCTGTCTTTCACGCCGCACAAGGGGGAGACTTGCATGTTATACAATTGCTAACTGGGACCCAGAAGGTGGACTTTTCCATCCGGGATTTCAACGGCGAAAGTGTCCAGACACTTGCAAAAAAGATGGGGAAGCAAGATGTTGTAGCTGCTCTTACTATTTGAGAGCCTACAGGCGTGATCAAAATATTAGCATTGAACTTTGCATGGGCTTGAACTGTTTGGCTGAGGGTCCCAGTGCGGTGATGTACATTGGAAGAGTTGCCGACTGGCGTAATCAATCCCTTGTCGGTGGGTCTCGATACTCCCCCGGATCATTATTGCTTGAATTTCAATCCATACAAGAGCCCTCTACATAATAGCGGATTCCCTTCCATAGTTTCTTCCTTCTTCACTTTAGTTGTTTCGTTGACTGCACCTCGTTCTTCTAGCCGGCTTCTTTTGTAGCAACAACCATGACTGATCCGCAGCCGGAACCTACCTCGATTGACGTTGAATTTGTCGCAAACATCTGTCGAAGTCTGAACTCCGCCGGTATACCAAACCTGCTTTGGGGCACCTGTTTGTTAGCTGTTTATGGAGTCCCCTCAATCGTTGACGTTGGTCTTCTGTGATTCCATTTTGTGTCAATAACTAAATTGCGCAGGGTGTGGCTTTCGTTATCCCCGATGGATATGTAGCCACTGCCTTATCCTCTCTGAAGGAATCCGGATTCGTTCATTGCACGCAAGGCTTGAGCTGTCCGTTTCTCCATGACTCTCATACTCTGCCTCCTTCTCAGCATCTGCACATCGACAAGGAGCTTGCGATTTCTCTGTACTAGAAATCAGACGTCCTTTGGGAATTTGACGATGCAGGATTCAGTCAGTTCTAGAAGTCCTCGGGTATTGTTAGTGCCTCGGATTCTTCCCTCCCATCAGAAGGACGGTTTCCCCGGGAACTTTCATTTGTGCGGATCCCGCATGCTGTGAAATTTTGCGAGGCCTTGATCCTTCTAATCTGCCGAGATCTCGACACTCTTTATGAAACCTACTGGATGGCGCAATTAATCTATATTTTAGAATACGTGGATGGAACGGATCTATTTGATGAAGATCTCGAGGAAGAATATCGCGGATTTTATCATGCTCTAAGGGTTGGAGATTCACGTGTTTGGCTGCTCTTCGATTAGCTTTGCCATAACCTCACCCTAAGGGTCGCCTCCAGAATAGGTGAAATCAACAATCATGTCTCCACGGGTTACTTGAAATCTTTACTCGTTACTAGAGCTGAGATAATGAATTTCTTTATTGTATTTCCTTGTGTATCGATCTCGAACCTTCCGTATGAATCGCTGGTGGTGCACTGAGATGGAGGAGGTGTATGGCTAATAAAATATGGGAACAATGCCGTCCGTGAAATTGGCTAGATTTCAATTATTTTGGCGGCGTCAAAACTTGCAGCCTGGGAAAAATAGTATCCCCTTTGGTTCGAAATCACTCGTTTTTCGTGATTGAAATCCCGGAAGTCACAGTTGAAATGAGTGTGACCAAAGGCCCAAAGCTTGACAACGCTGCCCTTCCAACAACGTTCACTTGACAAATCGGTCATGAAGCCCGATGAGATCTTGCTGTATCGGTGCCGAGGATCCACAACGTTGTTGCTGGTCAATGGGCAGTAATGGGTCAATACGACAACTTTGCGACCGGGTTCCAGGCGCGAGATAGAATCGATTTCGGAGTTTAGCCAGTCAAGGTCAGCACGGTGCGCTTCTCGATGTGCTTCAACTGACCAATCATCAATATGATAGAAGTCATTCAGGCCGAGTCTGACATGGTCTACCTGTTCATCGACCACTTGCGAGAACAAAGTACACCCGAGCACGCTGAGAGTTGGTGAAATGTCATAGCGTGTTTTATCAAGGAAAACAAATTGACCGCGCGTCTCGCTTGGCTTGGACGTTGCGATGCCCACTTCGAAGCGTTTTATCCGGGACTTTGTCTCGTTCCAGCTGCTGTGGTATGGTTCATGGTTCCCTAGGACCAGGAACACAGTGCGGAAAATCTCGAGTTGTCGGTGAAGGAAGTCGAAAAAGCCGTCGTCCTTGACGTAGCCGATGTCGCCAACTAATGCCAAGTATGGTGCCTTTGGTTCGATATGGAAAAGATCATATGCACTGGGAGATTCCAGATGAAGATCCGAAAGAATCTGTATCTGTGTTTCGGCCATCAGCGGCAACTGGGACGCAGATGGTTTCAAGACTGGATTTTTCAAGGAGGAGAAGGTGGGGTGTGCGCCAGCGTCAACAACGCGACTATCAAGGGAAGTGAGGCTAGGCGGTCAATGGGCGATGAGCGTACATAATACTACCGCAAACAACTTCACAATTGACGGCTATTAAGATAGGGTGGATTCCCTACGCAAAAGTCTAAGGAAGGATCATTATTTACGACAAACGCAATCATGTAGTTTTACCGGAGATCAGCCGCATAATTGAGTGAATGAAAAAAATACGATCCAGAAAAACAAACTTAGTATACAGGATATCGGAGAGGGACACGAGACTATAAAGCTTAAGGGCAAGAGTATCCCGAAACTGTTCAAAAGGATATCACTCCAGATGGAACCGACGTACCTTTTACAAAGGAAGTGATAGGTACGGGCATGACTTCGCACAAGGTAGGAAGCTTGATGAAAGAAGACCGCTGAGAATCGTCAGCCGGATATATCAAGTTTTGAATTAAAGGTAAAAACTACCTAGGTAGGTGCTTGCATAGTAACTACCTAAACTGCTACTCCGTGCCACTATATAATGTTCTTTGGTGATCAGCAAGTATTCGACATCTGATAGATTTCCATCAGCCGTCTTGCCATGCCCGCTCGCCAGGCGCCATATAGTCGAATCTAGGTTTGAACAACGACCAATAGCCCTAATCCTGTTCCATTGAGGCTGAATAAATGTCAGAGTCGAACTCGTGCTTCAAATACCATCAGGGCGTAGTGGTAGCCTACACCTCCCACATAGCTTCCGCCTAGCACTAGGTGCATAGATCGGCCCTCCATCAACGACTCTATTGGTAATGATCGTCTCACGGTGCCAGCAGCTGACGTAGGGCGAACGGCAGATTGTCCACATGCAGACATTGATTGCGCCCCGATAGCACCTTGAGTGGTTTGAATGATTTGAGCGATCCCCCCCCTCAGTGGGTATGAGGGGCATGGACACATTTTCTCGCTGCCTTGCCGCAGATGATAAGGCCTACAGGGGTCCCTAGCACTAATCTTAAAGAACGCTGCGACCGCAATTGGGCGATGCTCTGTAAAGAATCTCACATTGCATTATCATCATGGCGGTCTCCCAGTCCGACCGTGGATATCAACTCGGCGTGGATGTTGGTGGCACATTCACTGACGTGTATGTTCTCACCCCACATGGCCACACCGTGCGGGCAAAGGTCCCCACCACCATCCCCGACCAGAGTATTGGCATCCAAAACGGCATCGTGAAAGCTCGCAAATACCTCAAAGACCAGTTCGACTGGACAGGAAAGTTTCAGTTTATTCACCATGGCACCACTACCGCGACAAACGCGGTTCTGGAAGGGAAAGGCGCCCGCACCGCCCTCGTGGTGACCGCAGGCCACAAAGATATCCTCGCGCTGCGTCGCTCTCAGATTCCAGGGGGCCTAGGGGCATGGCTACACTGGACACCTCCAGAGCCTATTGTGCCCCTCGAGCGGGTCGTCCAGTGCAAAGAGCGGATGTCGGTGCGGGGCGAACCTGTCCAGGCTGTTGACATTGCCGATTTGCGGCGAGGCCTGCGTGAGCTCGCTCACCAGAAGCCCGAGGCGGTGGCTATTTCGCTCTTGAACTCCTACAGCAATGACTCCCATGAGAGACTGGTGAAACAAACCATTCGCGAGGAACTTGGCGCCGATGTAGCCATTACCTGCTCTGCCGACGTGTTACGTGAGGTGGGCGAGTACGAGCGAACGGTGACGACGTGTACGAATACACTAGTCAAGCCCGTGGTACAGAGGTATTTGCAGAATCTGTCCGACAAACTTGGTGCAGAGAGCGAGAATATTCGAGTGCTGAAGAGTGACGGGGGCTTGACCAGCCTGGCTCTTGCCGCGGAACTCCCCGTGAATATTTTGATGTCGGGCCCAGCTGGAGGCGTGAAGGGAGTGGCGGATGTCGTTGCTCGGAGCACCCCATACAAAAACTTGATTACTTTGGATATGGGCGGAACTTCAACTGATTGCGCGTTGATCTGCGATGGCCAGCCTCGGTTGAGAAGAGAGACAGTGGTCGGCGACTTGTCCGTGCGCGCTCCAGCAGTGGACATCAAGACCGTCGGTGCAGGCGGAGGGTCTATCACAACATATATGGAGCTCACGGAAACCCTCCGAGTAGGACCTGAAAGTGCGGGTGCAATGCCGGGGCCCGCATGCTATGGAAACGGTGGGCGACAAGCGACTGTGACGGATGCAAACCTGGTGTTGGGATATCTACCCAAGACCCTGCTGGGTGGCGATTTCGCTCTGGATATTAATGCAGCCATTGCGGCTGTAGAGGACATTGCTTCACAGATGAACCTCCCCGTCACTCAGACAGCCGAGGACATTATCACCATCATCAACGAAACCATGTATGGGGCCTTGCGCCTTGTGTCTGTCGAACAGGGGTATGACCCACGCGAGTTTGCACTCGTGGCCTTTGGAGGAGCCGGGCCTCTTCATGCAAACGCCGTTGGTCAGCTTCTAGGAGCGTGGCCTGTCATTATCCCTCCTTCCCCTGGTATTCTGTGTGCTCAGGGTGATGTGACTACTAAGCTGCGCCATGAACAATCGGCTAGCTTCATCCGCCTCGCCTCGGGGACCACCATTGAGGAGGTCCGAGGGCAGTATAACTCACTAGAGAAACAAGGTCGAGACACACTTTGGAAATCATGCGGGGAATCCTGGCCGGTGGCATGGAAGGCAGACTACCAGGCAGATCTCCGCTACAAGGGACAGGCCCTTACTATCACCGTCGACCTCACGGCAGATGAACTAGCATTGGAGACTGTTGAGTGGCATCGCTTGCTGCGAGAGAAGTTTGATCAGCAGCACCAGCAACTGTTCACCTACTGCCTCCCTGATTTTGAGCTGGAGTTGATGCGACTGGGAGTGGTTCTCGAGGATGCGTCTCCAAGCGTTGATTTTCCTGAAGTCACCCGGGCAGCGAGTAACGAACCGCCTGCTGAGGCAAGAATCGGAGAGCAGACCATTACTGTAGCAGGAAAAGAGCAAACGGCAACTCTGTGGGACCGTCAGAAAATCACCAAGCAGGGGACTTGCATGTTGGGACCATGTATCATCTCAGAGATGGACAGCAACACACTCATCCTGCCTGGGTACTTTGGCGAGATCGACAACATTGGAAATATATTGATCAATCCACTCGACAAGAAGCCGGCTGTGCCGACCAATCACACCACTGAGTCGGCCAGGGATCTTGTCAAGAGCAGTCCGTTAGTCCCAACACTGATATCGGCCACTCTGGCCTCTATTCGTGGGGAGATGGACCAGATGATGTTGCGCTGCAGTATGTCTCCCGCAATTCGAGAACAGCAAGATGAATTTAATGTCATCACCGATGCGAGTGGAAAGATGTTGGTTGGCCAATTCGGCAGTTTCATCACTGAGTTCCTGAACATCTGGCACGGAACCATTGAGGAGGGTGATGTGTTTATTACAAACGACACCTACCAAGTTCAGGGGGCCATCAGCCATCTGAACGACGTAATCGTCTTTCTTCCCATCTTTCACGAGCATCGCCTCATTGGATACGCCTCTCAGTTTGGACACCTGACTGATGTTGGAGGTACTGTTCCCGGAAGCATGTCAATCAATGCCACCTCGGTGTTCGAGGACGGCGTGCAAATTCCCTGCATCAAGCTGTACTCCAAGGGTGTGATGAACTCCGACCTGGTGGATCTTCTGTGTCGCAATTCCCGCCAGCCTGCATGGTATCGATCCGATCTGACTGCAATTGTGGCAGCATGCTCCATGGCAGCAACTCGCGTGCGAGAACTGGCTACCCGCTTCGGCACCGAAGTCTACCTAGCCTCCTGCGATGAGTTGCTCTACCGGAACTGGTCCGGGTTCAGAAAGATTGTTGAGCGACAGTTCGACGATAAGGACAGCACATTCACGGACTTTGTGGATGATGATGGTCACGGCGTAGGACCCTGGGCTCTGCAGTGTTGCATGAAAAAGATTGACGGCCACCGGCTGCTATTTGACTGGAGTGGTACCTCTCCCCAGAGCGAACACGGCATCAATTTCTTCCTGTCGGAGACTATGTTCAAAATGTTCATCGGGTTTTACCTGGTCGCCGCCGCCGCCCCCGGAACGGTCATCAACGATGGTTTCCACGATTTGATCGATGTATATATCCCCGAGGGTTCAGTGCTCAAGCCCGTTCGACCTGCCCCTATCTCCTGCCGAACTCACTTTCTCGGACGCACTTTGGACATCGTACAGGCTCTCATCGGACAAAAGAATGAGGCATATCAGGCAGCCGCCGGCTTCAGCGACTCCCCTCACTTCTTCTATTCCGGTTTCACGCCCGACGGCGAGTGGTACCAGCTATATCAGATTGGATTTGGTGGTGTCCCCGCCCGACAAGCAGGTGATGGACCCGATTGTCACTGCCTCTTCCCGGCGATCAAGTCCATCCCCACTGAGAGCATTGAGCTCAATTACCCCTTGCGCATCGAGGTCAACGAGAGTGTCGCAGATAGCGGTGGACCTGGCTACTACCGTGGTGGCAATGCACAGCGCACCCGTTACCGGTTCTTGGCCAGGGGTGAATTCAGTCTGCATGACGATCGCTGGTTCACGAAGCCGTGGGGCCTGAAGGGAGGACAACCTGGTCAGCGGTCTCGCAAAATTCTGTACCGGTACTCGAAGTCTGCCGAGAGTCCGCCCACCGAGGTTCTACCGTCCAAATGCGATCACATTCGCATCGACCCCGGGGATGTTCTCGAATGGGTGACGTGGGGTGGAGGCGGATTGGGCGATCCACTGACCCGACCCACTGAGAAGGTCGCGCTGGAAGTCTCCCGGAAGCTGGTGACAATGGACGGGGCACGTCGAGGATATGGAGTCGTCGTGAAACGCAACTTCACGGTGGATACGGAGGAAACTGAGAAACTGCGAGCACGGATGCACATGGAGCGTGCTCAACTGGGTGATGCTCCTATTTATGACCGTGGTGGCAGCATCGAGGCTCTGCGGGAGACATGTTTGCAAGAGACGGGGCTGAGTGCTCCTCTGCCTCAGTGGGAAACGGATGTATATGGTCCTCACGCAGGGCTCGAGTACGTGAAAAGGTGGTATGCCGAAATGAAGGTTCAGAATGGTTGGAAACTCAGTTGAGGTATTTCAGATCTGAGGAAGGGCAACAATGGAGCTAAATACTTTCTTTCTAAGGAATGACTTGATAAGTAGCTAGACTATCAGCAATCAGAATTAAACAATTGAATGTATGTCTCAGCCCGAGTAAAGTTGTGCGGGGTAGAGAAGCCACAATTCTTCGGAGAGACGCCGTTGTGCCTCTTCAGCCGCCCTGTCCAAACCGTGGAGCAGAACATTATGGTGTAATTGTTGCAGTCGACGTTCAGGATCCATGAATCTATTAATAGGCCGGTCCAGTCAGCGCGTCCGCCTTGAGGCAGTCAGGCAGTAACTGATCGGCGGCCGACGACAAACTGCCGCATCAAGCCATGCTGAAAGCGGCAGGGATCCGTCGCTGTCAAAGAGGCGATCGCCTGCTCTCTTTCGCTGCTTTACTTGCCGCTCTCCTTCACTTTCCTGCGACACTTACCTGAACTTGTCATCTGTGCATTACACAGCTGAGAAGACCCGGGCGCTACTCTGCGGGTATTTTCTCCTATGAACGGCCCACCTCGCTGATCAACCCCGCTCCCCCCACCCTCAACGGTTGCGTCTGTCGTCATCTTCGGAGACATCGCAGATCAAGACGCGCCCGAGTTGGATTAAATTGGAGCCTTTCCATACCTTTTACCTGACTCCCCCTTGGCGTGGTTGGTGATTTTGTGTATGCGCTTGGTGGATTAAGTTGCCCCTCCGTGAGTTGATTTCGCAGTATCTTGGCGAATGGGCGGCCCGTGGCACGTTGACGCTGACTCGCAACGTTGAATCGCAGATAGGGCCGGGCATTTCTGTCTCTACCTTATCACCCTTTTTCCATCCCTCCATCTGCTCCTACATACTCGTCAATCATCGTTTCGAATCCGAACCACCCACATGCCGCTCACCATCCTCTCCCGGTCGCAGCTCCGGGAGCTGCTGCACTCCCTCACACGCGATGAGGTTTTTGACCTCCAGCAAAATCTCTCTGAAGCCCTACGGGAATACTCGACTGGATCCCAGGACCAAGGTTGCTCGGCTACCTATCAGCCACAGCGAACTGCAATTACCCGCTCGAATGGTTGCACCACCCTCTTCATGCCCGCCTCCACGGGTCGGACGCTCGGGATCAAGATGATCTCACTGCAGGACGGCGGCACTGCGGGGTGCGCCGTGGAACGCGCGCTGTTTGACGTCGCCGAGGGTGAGCCAACATCGTCCCGATCGCGAGGGAGTTCCGTACGGAACTCAGTGGCCTCGCTCTCATCAGATATGAGTGATCTGTCTGTGGGGTCCTCTCTCGAAGAAAGCAACTCGATCAGCCCTTCCACCACCACAGGGAGCAGCGGCGGGGCCGACAGCACCGATAGCTCGACACTCCTCTCTGGATGCGTCAACCAGCTACCCATCACCACAAACATCTCATCCACACTGGGTGCCTGGCCCGGGGCAGGGACGCGCGACACCTCACCCAGAGGAAGTGTGACTCTTTTGGACGGAGAATCCCTTCCCTTTGGACTGATCAATGCCCATGAGCTCACAGCCTTCCGCACGGCCCTAGCAGCGCTGATGCTTTTCAACAAGCGAAAGAAGGTCCGCACTCTTTTAATATTCGGTGCAGGCACCCAGGCTTATTGGCATATCCGGCTGGCTCTGATCCTGCGTGGCGATGAGATTCGGCGCGTCTACATTGTCAACCGCTCTTTCGACCGCGCTGCAAAGCTTCTTAGTGACATCTACTTGCCAGAGAACACCGAGTGGCGCCGCGATGTGAAATTCTCGGCTGTCAGCAGCGACTTTGGCGAATACCACCGCATCCTGAAGGAGCACGTTCGGAAGGCCGATGCCATTTTTTGCTGTACCCCGTCAGCTACCCCCCTCTTCCCGGCCGAGTTCCTTACATCGCGAGAAGGTCGTCAGAAGGGCCGTTTCATTAGCGCTGTGGGCTCGTACAAGCAACACATGGCTGAAATTCACCCCGATATTATCCGAGACGAGGTCAATGTGACGCCGCCCCACCGCCACTTCCACAAGCACACGAGGCGCAGCGGAGTCGTTGTCGTCGACAGTTTAGATGCGGCTATGAAGGAGGCCGGCGAGATCATCCAGGCAGGCATCAAGCCGAACCAGGTTGTTGAGTTGGGCGAGCTAATGATGGTGGGGCACGCCACTAGCAAGGCCAGCGAGCAAAACGTTGTCGATGAAGATAAAAGTCTGCGCGAGTGGGTGGAGCGGGGGAATGTCATCTACAAGAGTGTCGGGCTGGGCCTGATGGATTTGGTGACGGGCGGAGACCTGGTGCGCTTGGCGCGAGAGCGGAATCTGGGAACGACTGTGGACGACTTCTGATTTGCATCTTGTATGACTTTGTAGTATACCCTCTGGTCTTAATATCCTTTCTGCAGTTATATGAATGCCCATATTACCCTGTTTTTTTGAGTGGGAAACTCGGAGATCCTTGCCCAACCAGTCCGGCGTAGGAAAAAAAGACTAACCGTTACAAGCTCCACTTGCCTTCAATTCTTCCAGGGGCCTGTATACCAATAGCAACCCACATAAATGGAGTCAAAAAATCGTATCGCTGACCAAAAGCCGTCGTGTGTATGGCGCGTGGCGTGGTGTGGTGTTAAAGAGTCCGTCGCGGGAGCCTGCGTCATCGCCAACATCATAAATCATCACCTCCCCCCACCATGCGACTCCCATCGCCCTCACCGTTTCTCTCTCTCCTCTCATCCGGTCAGTCATCGAGTCCGTGCAGACTTCCTGACTTCTCTGTGACTCCAGCACGATACCTTTAAGCGCATCCATTGGTGCACTGTTGCATTGTTGCTCGCGCAAGTGAGGGGCAAAGTCAAAAAGCACGCGAGTCCGTCTCGTGCTTCCGACCCTTCCTGCGCAGCGCCGGCTCCAATTCTTTGCACCTCGAGAAGCAGCAGCTTCGCTGTTCAATCACCATGCGACACACCAGCTGCCACCTCCCCAATGGCCTCTCGTTCACCGTGACGCCCGTTTTTGGCGGGGTCACCTTCAAATCGAACGACGCGCTCTCGCACAGCTCGAACTCAACCTTCCCGCCGGGCTGGACGATCATCATCCACAGTGAAAAGGTCCTCAAGAATCCTCCTGCCGAAGAACGAGGACGGACAGGCTCTGAGGATGGGCACCCTTCGTCCAGCGGTAGCGACGATAACATCACTCGCTTCACCACCCCCACTTTGAACCGCGACTGCCTCTATATTTCCTACATTGTCAACCCGCCGTCCAGCGATTTCAAGCCAGTGGCCTCGCTGACGCGCCAGATTGCGATGATGCTCTGGGCTACTCTCTGGTGGTACTTCCACGAACCCGAGCCCGATCTGCATCTCGAAACAGTTGCTTCAAGCGCGACACCGCACGATGGACGGCCGAAGGGAGAGTGGCTGCTGAACATCAAACGAGAGGGCATTTTCCAGGGCCGGAACTTGCTGCAGAAGCTCGAGCGCATGGGCTTGATTGCTAGCCAGGACTCTTCCGTCGGTCTGCAGCCCATGGAGACGCGCGACTCAAGCAGCTGGTCGAACATGTTCGTGAGCCGCCGGAGCTTCTGGCAGCTCGACCCTCGTCTGTTCCTTTTCACACTGACGCCGCGTGGGTCTCTTCCGTCGCCCTCGCTGACGCCCTTCCAGTCTCGACATGCCTCTCCAGCACGGGATACTCTGTCGAGTCCGGGTACCTTGTCGCCGGCGGAAGCTTTGTTTCATACTGCCAATGTTGGGACGTTCACCTCTGCCGGACCCTTTACATCGGCTAGTCATCTGCCAACATACTACCCACCGGCACCCACTCAGTACACCTTCACCAACGGTGTGCGCCATCCCGTCCGTCCCAAGCCGCCGCATCAAGGGGAGGTCTTCTATGTGCGCCATGTTCCCAGCGTGACCCAGTATCTCTCATTCCGAGTACCCTTCCTGCCGATGACCAAACCAGGTGCTGGACAAGGAGGCAGCACGGGGAGTCGGCCATCCACACCTAACCGGGCCGTTAGCTCCTCGGTATTATCCATTGAGCAACATCTCAGCGAGAACGTATCATCTGACCTCGACACGTTGCATCGGTGGATGAACGATCCCCGGGTTGAAGCCATGTGGCAAGTCAGTGGCGAGCGGGATGTCCAAGAGAAATTCCTGCTGGGCAATCTCACCAGTCGCCACAGCTTCCCCGCGATCGGCTGCTGGGATGGAAAGCCATTCGGATACTTTGAGATCTACTGGGTGAAAGAAGACCCGCTGGGACGGTTGGTAGACCATGTGGACAACTACGATCGGGGCATCCACGTTCTTGTTGGCGAGCAGGAGTTCCGAGGTCCGCACCGCGTCGCCATCTGGTTGAGTGCACTGGTGCACTATTGCTTTTTGTCTGATATGCGGACTGAGACGGTTTACCTGGAGCCGCGGGTGGATAATGCCAAGTAGGTCACTGATTAGGCGCTTTGTTGAGTCGGTCAAGGATCCGTTGCTAATGTGGATTTCAGGTTCATCAAGTATCTTCAGGAAGCTGGCTTCTATAAAGAAGGCGAGGTGAGCTTTCCGCACAAGCAATCGGCCGTGATGAAGATCAAGCGTGATTCCTGGGAAGCTCCGGCTCTGTGATGGCGCCGTGGGGTCATCCTCTCCTTCTTGCGGTGAATCATAACGATTAACGAATAAGTTGCATCTTGCGCAACTCCTGGTGCTTTGGTTCACAATCATCATTAACATATCTGGGATCGGGTCTGTCGCGGTTGTCATTGCATGGTGGGATAGACGATGATGGAACCGGAGGCGGTACTTTTGATTTCAGATTCTCCATTATTAGACAGAATACATCAAGCAAACAGCTCACCTCCGCAAGAAGCTCTAATGTGCATCTCAATTGCATCCCATCTATGTTTCTACCCAGCGTCCGAGGCATCTTGCGGGCCCTTCCCGCACTCGATGACTGCCTGTGGGAGAGGTTCGCTGTGGACCTCGGGGGGTGATCCCCTGATCACAACCAGATCCGAGTCGGAATTCCCAGTGTTGTCGAGGCTACTCTTCTCCTCGGGTTAATCGGCTGGGGCCGCACTAGGCAGCTCCTCATGCTGGGCGAGAATATGCCGAGGCGGCGAGGATGCTAGGCCCTTTCTTCACGGACGGGGCTAAGATCTAGGCAGACCAGCCTGGGGAACTCGTATCCGTTTGCAGGGAGGAAATCCATTTAATATTGCTCCAAGTCTTTTTGGTAGCTCTATGCCGAAACCCATCCACCGTTCCGTTCCCAACGGCCGGTTTGTGACCACAATGCACCCACATAGCGTACACAACACGAATCCAGCTGTCTAAATCATACATATACAATCCCTGCCAGTGCTTCCAGCATGCCACTCCCTCATACGGCAACCGTCCCACTAGTCAACCACTGTTTTACAGCTTGAACTGCAGCAAGTTGCCAACCATCTCGCGCGCGGTAATGCGCGTCGTCGCCCACAGGGTGGGGAAGTCCAGTGTGCTCGAGAAGGTGTCGGCGTAGCCGAAGAACAGCATAGGGGGGATCCAGCCGCGAGCGTACTCAAGCGCGAAGCAGGCAGTGTCCATCTTGTACTGCTTGACCTCGCCGCGAACCAGGTGGTGGACGCTGCCGGCGGGGTACGTCTCGGGCTCGAAGGATCCAGGAACGTAGGCGAGCTGGGTGCCGTGCAGGATGTTGAAGTAGTCGTCCGCAGTGTGGCGGCCGGTGTGGCCCTCGGTGCCGATGGCAGTCCCTAGCGAAAGACGGTGGTTAGGATGCGAACCAGGGGAGATCAATGGAGAGGGGGTGTCAGTGAGATGGCGTACCGAAGATGATCAGGTACTCAGTGATACCTAGGTAGGGAAATTAGTAAGTTGGGCCCAATTCGAAGGAAGGGGAACCGTAGATTCAGTTTCAATGCGCCGCGCTTGCGCCATTGGTTTCGAACAGTTTCACTTACTGGCATGAATGACGTACATCGCGCCCATCGCACCACCGGCATTGTTGAACACCCACTCCTCCTCCGTGCTCAGATACTTCTCACCAACTTTCTCCTGCAGCTCCGCGACGATGAAGTCGACAATGGAGCGCGTATCCTCGCCATGGGTCTTGATCGCGCGCTGCGACAGATCGTGCAGGTGCTCCGGATCAAAGATATAGAACTGGTTGAGACGAGCGTCGAGGAAGCTGTACAGGGCCGAGAACAGCGCCAGGAAGACCGCCAGGAGGCTCAGGTTCCGGAGGGAAAAGCAGCGGCAGCCGCAGCCGGAGGAGGACTTCTTGCCGGCGGAGGATTGAGACGGCATCGTGAGTGGGTTGCGCGAGGATGGGGCTGTTGAGGAAGGGGGAAGCTCGCCCTGGTGAAATTTAATTTATTCCGGGCCCCCTGGCGCACCGCCCCCGCAATAAACATCGGTCCACCATCCACACGCCATGTCGGATGGAGCCAATCCGAATCACCGCCGCTCTCATTGGGCCTCCGCGCTCAACCGAACCGAGCTGCCGAAAGTTCCAAAATACTTCGAGAATCCAGGATCCGTTGGCGGGATTGATCGTGCAGGAGGGCTGGTTGCTACGCCGAGCTACCGTCTCGAGTTCTGCGGGCACCGCCCGAGTGGTCGGATGCCTTCGGCAATGGGGACATGAGGCGGCAGAGCGGTTGAATGGATTGCATTCTCCCGCGCACTCACAAAGTCTGGACTCTCCTTATGACCTCAGGCCCTTCGTAACAGAAAGGCCTGCAAACGTACCATCGATGCAAGGTAGTGGGAAGCCGGGGAGAAACAGTTGGTGAGTTTCGCCTACTCCCAAAAATATATAGTGCATAGGAGGTTCCCGTGCACTCCAAGCCATATAGTCCAGTTCACCCCCACCAACTTAACTAGGTCCAGGTGTAACCCACTGAATGAAGTCATTCTTTGACAAAGGAATGCCGTCATCGCTTTGGGACTGTCTCCTTTGGTACTCCGTCCGGCTCGCGGGTTCCACCACCCTTCACTGATCGAGCGTGGATACAACCCTGCTGATCATCGCCAAGTATAAAACGGCCCTCTCTCCGATCATGCCCCGACGTTCACACCACAGGCTCAACGGCTGCGACTCTAAACGTCGATCCGGGGTCAAATGCAGCTCTTCCGACTCAGAGAGGTATGCGGGGTGCATGACCGGCGGCTGAGCCCGTCAACCAGGATAGAGACTTGGCCGTCGGTGGCTGAAAATCGGTCACTGTTTCCCACCAATCTCGGCACAAGCGCAGAAAAGCATCTCTCCCTCACACAGGCGTCGTCAGATCTATATTGCATTCTTGAAGGCGCTATCGAGTCTCGCCGATGCTCTGAGGGACTCCACCTGCGGCAGATAGACCCAGATCTACGTGTGTAAGCTCACTAGTTATCACTAGTTACCCCTGAAACCCCCTGATGGCGGAACCCGGCCATGCTGTTCGAGTATAGATATGAATGGGGCCCACGTTCTGCCACCAACTGCAATCCTCCGGCGAATGTTCGGACAAGCAACGCGACCGGTCCACTCTATTTTCTCGATCTAGCTGGTTCCCGTCCACCCAACCGGCGCCGGCGTCTCAAGTTTGGTATGCCCGGAGATCTTCCCGTATCTGCACAGACAACTCCAACTCTAAACGCGTCTCAGGGTGAAATTTCCAGTCGCGGAAAAATTCACTAAACGAGGCTGGGACGTGTAAACCGAGGCCGTGGCGATCGTTTTCTCGACACCGGGCAAGCACTTGCACGAATGAACGCACTGAAACCCGAATTCATCCTCCCAAAAAGCACAAGGCAGGAAGGGGGAGCTCTATTTTGCCCGACGACGGCTTGCTTTCTTGAATATCCGGTTAGTGGAGTGCCGCGTAGAGCAGTAATATGCAATATGAGACACGGCCGCTCCCACGGAGCTGGTCACCCGCAATGGAAGTCCCCGGGGAAATTGAAGCCATATAAGATGGGGAAGACCCCCGGTAATATCGTCGCTGCGTAGTTGAATCCACAACCTACGTTCCTTAACCCTATTTGCCTTCTATCCTTCTATCAATCCTCCTGCGAGTCAGTGCCTTTCCTTTCACCAAGGCCTCCATCACGATGAAGTCCTTCGCCCCTCTCTCCCTCTTTTCCCTGGCGCTTGCGGGCCTGAGCAATGCCGCTACCATCCCGACCAAGTCGCTGACTCGTCGCGCCGACTTCTGCGACCAGTGGGGATCGACCACCACGGGCAGCTATATCGTGTACAACAACCTCTGGGGCCAGAGCTCCGACACGTCCGGCACCCAGTGCACGGGTGTTGACTCGCTGAGCGGAACCACCATCGCCTGGCACACCTCTTTCTCGTGGTCGGGAGCTTCGTCATCGGTGAAGAGCTTCGCCGATGTTGCGCTGCAGTTCACCGCCAAGACCCTGAGCAGCGTCAAGAGCATTAAGTCTACCTGGAAGTGGAGGTAAGCTTTCGACCTCGGACCGATTGGAGATAGATTGCTGACCACCGGTTGTCCTGTCATAGCTACTCGACTACCAACATCGTCGCCGACGTCGCCTACGACATGTTCCTGAGCTCCAGCGCCAGCGGCTCCGACGAGTATGAGATCATGGTCTGGCTCGCTGCCCTGGGCGGTGCTGGCCCGATCTCCTCCACCGGCTCGGCCATTGCGACCACCACCATCGACGGGATCAGCTGGAGCTTGTACAAGGGCTTGAACGGGCAGATGACCGTGTACAGCTTCGTTGCGAGCTCCCCCGTCACCAGCTTCTCCGGTGACATGCTCAACTTCTTCACCTACCTGATCAAGAATCAGGGTCTGAGCTCCAGCCTGTACCTGGTTGACGTTCAGGCCGGCACGGAGCCCTTCACCGGCACCGCCAAGCTGACGGTCTCTTCGTACTCTGTCGTCGTTGCATGAGTGGGAAGTGCATGGTGGCTGTGGAGAAGGACGGCATGAGAAAGAGAGGCGACGGAAGTGGTGTACCTTGCAAGTTCGGATGCCTCCTGCCCTCGGATGAGATGCCACACACTGCCTGTGATGTATTATTCCCTCTCTTCTCCCTTTTTAGCACGAGATTCTGCGATTAGCTCAGGACCCTTCGCTTCTCTCCCTCCTTTTTGCCCTTGCTTTCTTTGTGTTCGCAGTGAGTGCCACTGCTGTCAATAGGGAATTCGTTTCTCGTACAAAGTCTTTGGATAGGAATGGATCTGGAATCTTGTTCCACTAAGCGTGTCTTGAACATGTGTCGTAAACCTAGCTGAAATGAGGACAAGACTATTCGTACCCGGTCATAAGTAGATATGTCGTATTAATAAAGGCTGCAACCAACTCCGATTCCACCAAGCAGAGTCTAGCTCGCTGGCTGTTTCAGCCTGCCACGCTGGCCGGGGGTCTAGCGAGAGGGTGACTTCACTAGTCGCTCAGCAGGACGAAGCCATCGCTGAAACAACGTGCCATGGCAACCTGAAACGAGCCCATGTTTCAAGCTCCCCTGTCATTCGTCTGATCGTTCGTCGTGGACCCGCCGGCACCCACCAGTGCACGGGGGCATCACCACTGAACGATCCCATGGCAGCCTCTCATCCTCACAGAGACATGCCACCCAGTCCATCTGTCATCATGCCACTGCGCGAGACGCTCATCGCCTCAAAGAGCAACACCATCTGACAACCAAATCATTGAGACCGGCTGCCGGTGTCCGAACCTCAGCGGGAGCGCGTGCAATTCGGGAGCATCCGATCAGCGGGTCCCCAACCGAGCGCATAGGGGAGCTAAGAATAACAGGGCTGTTCTATCAATAGATTTAGCGTGACAAAAGTGTTCCCAGGAGAATTTAGCAACAGTGGGAGGGTCCCAACTGAATGGCCAGCAAGCGTGCTGGACGAGCAGAGGGGTGTAGGCGCTGGCGGGGGAGACGGGCGCTTATATAGAGGGGATGGGATGGGCCTGGAACCACACAGCGCTGACGAGAGGTTCCCCAGTGGCTTTTTTTTAGAACGGCAGTCGCGATGCAAGTCACGGTCCGGGGCCGGTCGGAATATTGCATGCATCGCTAGCATCCGAGTCCATGTTCGTGCAGGGACGCAGAGGAAAGGTGCACACTGGGCATGGGTCGATAGATCGATTCCCAGCCCTCCAACCGAGGAGATAACTCGAAACTAGGGCTTGGAAAATATGACTCTCCTCATGCGAGGTAGTTAGACTATTCCCATTGCCATCCATGGGTCTGTACGGACGGACACCCCCTCCCCCTCCCCCCCCTCGGCCCATCCTGCTATCCTGCCATCCTGCCATCCCTTCTGATGTGTCGGATGGCACTCCCGCCCTGTCATCTGGCATGTTGGCTCTCCTCGAACACGCTCCGCGACCCACCACTCGTGGCTCGGCGTGTGACAGGGGTCATTTGGCATGAAGGCAGGGATCAGGGGCACCAATGACCCCGCGAGTGTGGTGCACAGACACCCTCTTAGTGACGGTCGCCAACTGTGCGGCTGGGGGAGATGATTGGGCCCATATCTCGCGGGCGCCAAATTGAAACGCGACTTGCCACATTGCTCGGCGAGGCCATAGGTCATTTCTTTTGGCTTCCCCCCGTACGACATGAGCAGACCTAGTGGGATGTCCCTTTCAGCTGAGACGTGGAACCTGAAATCCTTCCGGGATGGTTCCCTCCTTTGCCTCCCTGTGACTGGCTCTCAGGGGGCTATCGCTGGCGGGCTCAGTGCCTGGGTTCATTATCCTGGCCGGTGACAGATTCTATTGGGTTTCTAGGAGGTTCTGGACGGCCACTCCTATCTGGGGCCCATTGTTCGCGCCTCGGAGTCGGGCGCGTTCAAGGAACACAAACACCGTGGCTACTCTTGGTTTTGACCCTCCGGTCGAGCCATTCTCCGGAACGGGGAAGAAGGAATGGTATCTGACCGGGTGGCTTCCTCCTGTCCCCCGCGTCTCGGACAGGAAATTTTGCGACAGTCGCCAGTTTCATGGTCGATCGAAAGTATATCAGTGGGAGGGTGAAGGGCACGTACTTTTCCCCTCCCCGCCGAGGACCCAGCCAGGATCGGACAGACGAAGCCACCGGCCTTGATTCGTGGGATGGCGCTGGCCAGCCCGACTCCACTGCGGACCCGAGTGGGCCTGGGCGGTTGATCTCCTCGCCAGGGGACGGCGGGGTGGATGCTAGCCGACTTGGTGATCGCCCCCAGTTTTCTCGAGGGGGTTTGGTTTCGACGGGCTACAAGCGCTGGGGGGAACTATTCTCGGAAACCCTGTGAGGAAGGAGCTCGCTTCTGACATGGGGTCAAGTAATCCGGGTCGCGGCCGTGCAATATTGGGGGCGCGCATGAATCTAGGGATGGTGGTGAACCATGAACCACAATCGGAGTAAGAAAGAACGGCGTTGGGCCCGCGAGACAAAGTTGGCCGATAGTCAATAGTTACATGCCCGGGCGTTGACCGTATGGTTAGACTTTAATGCAGCGACAGTGCGTTGAATTCCGGGACTATACACTCTACTCGGTTCTGTAAAAGCGACTGTATAGTCAAATGAGTCCTTAGGCTGGACACTTTACTGCTGACACGCTAGTCAGGCATTTTGCATTTTGGGCCTGTAATCGCCGACGCTCCACCACATTCCAAGCTCGACAAATCACCGCCCAAGCCCTGCTGGCCCAGCTCCTGTCGCCGTCTCAGGTTCGCGCGCGAAAAGGGTCGAGTATCTCAGATCCAACTATGCAGCCTCGCGCGGGCTCGTCCGCGACCCCCCTGGCCCCGTCGTTTCTCCCCACGGCCCTTCTGACTGGCCCCGGCACCTTGCAGCATCCTGGAGACCCCTCCCCAGCCGCCTGGTTGGCGCATACCGGAGCTATATCTAGTCAAGTATTCCCAGCTCGCCTCCCAGATTCTTCACGGGATTCATCCGCATGCCCACCGTCGTCACCATCCTCTCCTTTTCCTTTTAGCTGGTCCTTTTCTTTGCCGTTTCCCCCGCTCCCCCGAAGCCGAATCCAAGAATCCACGAACCTGCAGAATCAAGTCAAATAATTTGTCGGTCACAGACATTGTCCGATCTATTGCCATAGTCCAGCGGGCTGTCTCTCCGGTTCAATTCTCCGCTTCGGCAGGTCTCAGTCCCTCGTCTCTCAGTTAGGGCTATCGGGCGATAAGAGGGTTGACACGACAACCTCAACTATCCTTGCTGCAACATTCCTTCACCCTCCCAGCACTACTTGATTGCATCGTCCTCCTGCTGGCCAGGAATTTACGTGCTTGCTATTCATTCTCATTACTTGCATTCTTGTGTCGACGTTTTTTTCTTCTTTTGTTCTCGTCCGATCTTATCATCGTCGATATACCACTCAACCCCCCCCTCGAGTCTCATCGTGACAAAGTATACCCTGTCTCGCCGTGATTCAGAGCAGCACAAAGATTCCAATCATCCATTGTGCCAACACCGAGACAAGCGGATTATCATCGGCTAATTGTCGCTGGTCAACGGTTTTCTCTCTCCCCCGACGGCATTATTTACCAGTGTCGACGGTCATCACTTACCCATACCAGCATGATGGCGATGGACCAACACAGCACGATGTCACCCAGCCGGACGCTCCACCGCGCTGCCCTGGATGAGTTCGTCACTCACCGAGTCTCGCGCGAGATGGTGACACACCTGGCCCAGCAAGCATCGCAGGTCATCCGATGCGAGGCCCATGTGACCAACACCGTTAGCCAGCACGGCCAACCGACGCCGCCCTCCACCCCCCCCATGGATGGGGCCGACTCCCTGCCGCCACTGCCCTCCATCGAAGAGTTCATTGCATCCCTCGTGGCTCGGTCGCAGGTCCAGGTGCCCACCCTCATGAGCTCCCTCGTGTACCTGGGCCGCCTGCAGGCCCGTCTCCCGCCCGTGGCCAAGGGCATGCGATGCACCGTCCACCGCATCTTCCTGGCCTCGCTGATCCTTTCCGCCAAGAACCTGAATGACTCGAGCCCGAAGAACAAGCATTGGGCTCGATACACCGCGGTGAAGGGCTACGATGGGTTTGGCTTCTCGCTACCGGAGGTGAACTTGATGGAGCGGCAGCTGCTCTTCCTGTTGGACTGGGAGACTCGTGTGACGGAAGACGACCTCTTGACCTACCTGGAGCCGTTCCTGGCCCCGATTCGGCTCCGCATGGAGCAGGAACGTGAACGGAAAGCGGAGGAGGAGCACCAGTGGAAGCAGCATCACCGGTATGGCCCCCATCATCCCCAGATACCCTCGATTCCTCGTGCTCATACTTCCCCCAGACGACGTCTCGGCACCCCTGCGGATCTGCTGGCCAACCGCCTGCGGCGTCAAAAGCTGGAGACCCGGGTTGACTCCCGCCGAACGAGCGAAGTCACCGGCCTGCGTCGGCTACCGAGCCATGTCTCCTGCCCTGCCATCCACAACACCCATAACTCCCCCCAATCTGTTGCGGAGCTGGAGCGCTACAACCCCTATCATCGCCATCGCACTTCCCCCCACCGTGCCGGCCGGTCCATCTCGCCGCCCTCCATCCGCGATGTTCCTGCCCTCTCGCACGCCGAGACATTCAACTCGCTTTGCTCTCGCTCATCCAGCGCTGCTCCTAGTTCCCGCGGCACTCCTGCCAGCATCAGCACTTGCTCTTCCCACGGCGCGGACGACCTGATGGTGACCGATTCCACCACTAGCCCGTCTGTCTCCTTGACATACAGCTTCGTCAACGTCGACGCGAAGCAACCCTTTGAGCCCGTTCGCCAGCCCAGCAAGAAGATGAAGGTCTCTGGCCACGGCCACGGGGGCGGTTTTGTCGCGCGGTTCCTGGCTTCCGCGACTGGTTCCTATATGGGGAGCCGCATCGGTCGGCCTCACGCCTAATCGAGCAGGTCTCGATGAGTTTGTGACTGGTGTGCCGTCGATTTAATCTTATGTTATCACTACATGCCAGCACCTATGCCGCATGTACCCTTTTATTAACCCCTTCTATTATCTTGCCTTCTGATCTGGCCCTCTCTCCTATTCCTTCTTGGCAAAAGCTTTCCCCCCGTTGATACGCATCTTCTGTCACAATACCCTTCGTTCACGCCGCCGATGCTTTCTTTCCTACCATTTCTTGATATCATGTCCACTATGCAGACATGCGTTCTCCCCCTACCTTCGTTTCAATATCCTACACTCTTTATTACTGCATGCGCCGTTCAAGGGGTCAGTACGGTCTCGGCGTTTCGGTGGCAGGGTTCTTCGTGTTCTATCTCTGGTTTTGGTTATTGGGTCCTGGGTCTTATGTTCTCTCTCGGATCATGTCATATGAGTCTTGGACGTCAGGTTGGGATGAAATGCCCTTTAGACACGTCTACCATTACAGATGTATTTATCCATTTTTTTATGCTCGCGGCGTTGGACAATAATGATACAATACAAGTATGACTTCTTTGGATCACCTCCTTGAGTGAGCTCCTAATTGCCACCATTCTTCGCCCCACATTCATATTGGATTCCGTACGTCGCGTCTGAAACATTGCTTGGGCAGAAGTACCACCGAAATGATTTCCCCGCATCCCTTACATCTCAACGCCTTCGGTACTTATGTACAACGGGCCGAGACCGGTAGAATGGACGCAGGACGATCAATATGCGAACCAGGCAGATTCTCAGACAAGGCCCGTTCGCCAGGTTCGGCTAAGTGCTTCGGCTACCTCCCGACGCTCGGCACGGCAGTTCAGTTCTGCTTTCCCGAGTTGCTCGATGTGGATCTCAACGTTTCGGCCAAAGCGACTTGCCGCTGGGAGAGACCGTCCAAGACTTCCATGGATCTTTATAATGTACTCTTCCCGCCTACCCGCCAATAGACGAAGAAGATACCGAGGACGCCACAGTAGAGCAGCTCTTCAGCGATGCATCTTTCGCTGATAAGCGTGACCGTAAGAGCTCAGAAGGATATATCGGCATGATTTTGGGTGGACCTGTCGATTGGAAGGCTTCTAAACGGAAGACCGTCCCCACAGCACCACGGAGGCCAAGTTACCCCATACGCTGGCATGTATCTCGACGATGTTCGTCGGTCTCGAAACGATCAAGTCAATACTTGGCCGGTAAGGATGGTCCTAGACTGGGAGATCGTGAGGGATGTACAGTAGCCTTCCATAAGTTTCCGACCGCCTCGTATTCCGCCTACCTCTAAGGTTACCGCTTAGATCGTCGGAAGTAGCTTATACTCATTCGTCCGAGTATAACGCCTAAATATACTACTATATATCTTTAGTACCTAGGCATTCGAATATCGATACTTTGTCACCGAAAATTAGGACTCAGCTTCTACTCTAACGAATATACAGTCGAACGGGGTATCGACGAGCGTCGCGAGTATATATTTACGCCACGAGATAAGTAGATTATTGAGTGCAACATTCGGGGACTACCGACGAAGAGAAAATGAACTAAGTAGATATTTTAGGCTGCGTTTTCGCGCGCTATCTGATAAATGGGCCTAACTCTACGCTTTGGTGATCTTACCAGGGATGACTAGCGATATAGATCGCTTTATTATTCGCGAATTAAATCTACGGATATTACTTACATTGATTGGTAATAGCGATAGAATTTATTTTTTTGCAAGATAATACGATAACATATCCTACGATCCTCGTACGCGAGGGTTTACGTGAGATAGGCCTTACTATTTTAGATTAGCTAGCAAAACCACCGGATTTAAACATGAGTAAAAGCGCGACCGGTCAATACTGCGCGCAAAAACGCGTGGGGCCAAAGGTGGAACCCGAGCGCGTCTGTCCGCCGCTGTTTGGCTGTTGGGCTGTTTGGCTCTTTGGTTCGGTCGCGGAGATCATCACCACTTGGGGAAGCTTGGCAGCATCATATCTTCGTTGGTCACCAAATTCTTTAGGATCCAGCGTCAGGACTTCCCTTTTCACTTGCTTCTTGGTTTGTTAAAACTGGCTACTGCCTGAATTGATTTATCAGCAAACACCCTAGCACTCACAACAACCGGCCGAGAAAGCGCTATCCGGAGAGGACCGCTCCGTTTTAGTGCGCGGTAGCTGCCTAGTCCGCCGCATAAAAGGGCTTCATCGCCCTCTCTCTCTCTGCTTCCTCGTCTTCATCAACTCTCAGCTTTTCAACCTTTGTCAACTTTATCAACCTGACACCCATAATACCCAGTCTAACTCGCCTCACATCCCACTCCCGCAGTCATGCCGGACTACTGTGGTTGTTGCTTCTGGAGCGCCAACGCCTGGCAGTATCTGCCGCAGGTCTCGCTCCAGGCACACGCCACGATTCTTTCCTCTGCTGCCCGTACTACTCTCACGCAGACCTTTGTCAACCCATCAAAAGCTCTCGTCCAAGAGGTGTCATACACCTTCCCCCTCTACGATGGCGTTAGCGTGGTGGGTTTCGAGTGTCGCGTGGGGTCGCGCCTGCTCCACAGCAAAGTGAAGACGAAGGAGCAGGCCAATGCCGATTACCAGGATGCGGTCGCTAATCAGCAAACAGCGGCCATCATGGACCACTCCAGCAGCGAGAACGATGTCTTCGTCATCCGCCTTGGCAATGTTCCCGCAAAGGAAACAATCACCGTTAAGATCACCTTCATCGGTGAGCTAAAGCAAGACGCTCAGAACGATGGCATCCGCTACACCTTGCCGAATTCCATTGCCCCCCGCTATGGAAACCTCGTGAGCCAGGCCCATGACTCCTTTTTCTCTTCAGGAGGTGGTCTACCCGCAAACCTTCAAGGTATCTCCATTACGGTCGATGTTTTGATGGAAAAAACTTCTATCATTCGGGAAATACAATCCCCCAGTCACCCTATTAAATTCTCCCTTGGCCGGATCTCATCCACCTCGATAGATTCTTCCTCTTCATTCGAACCATCCAGGGCGTCTGCAACCTTGCAGCTCGCCAAAGAGAACCATGTTTTACTGGAACGAGACTTTGTTCTCATTGTCAAAGCGGATGGACTTGATAACCCTTGTGCGTTACTTGAAATTCACCCCACCATCGCGGGCCAGCGCGCCTTAATGGCCACCCTGGTTCCCAAATTCAATCTACCACCCGCTCAACCAGAGGTGGTTTTTGTCATTGACAGGAGCGGAAGCATGCGTGACAAAATTCCCACTCTGAAGGCCGCTCTTCAGATCTTCCTCAAATCCCTGCCAGTCGGCATCTGTTTCAATATTTGCTCATTTGGATCTCACCATTCCTTCCTTTGGCCAACCAGCAGAGTCTACGATGCATCCAGCCTGAATGATGCTTTGAGCTTTGTATCTACCGTTGACAGCAACATGGGAGGTACAGAGATGCAACGTGCAGTGGTTGCCACTGTTACAAATCGTCTCCGGAACAGAGATCTGGAAGTTCTCATACTCACTGATGGACAAATTTTCAGTCAGGATGATCTCTTTTCCTTTGTCCGCACATCCGCCGCCGATAACACTGCTCGATTTTTCTCCCTGGCAATTGGCGATGCAGCATCGCACTCATTGGTCGAAGGAATCGCACGATCAGGTAATGGTTTCTCGCAGTCTGTTCTTGAATATGAAGATTTGGATCGAAAGGTAGTAAGAATGCTCAAGGGGGCTCTCACTCCTCATATCTACGACTACAAGCTCGAGGTGCAGTATGATGGTAAGGCGGACGATGACTTCGAAGTCCTAGAAACGGATGAGACCATGGCAGGTTCCGAAACAGAGGTAGAAGAGGCCCCCGAGACGCCCAAAGCGGCCGCTACTCAACAGCATATCTCACTCTTCGATGCCAACTTTCAAGAGTCCGACGCAGAGCTTCAGTCCTGTCAGCAGGCAAATGACCAGGGCCTCCCAAGTATCTCTCCCCCTCGCACCCTTCAAGCGCCTTACCAAATTCGATCCCTTTACCCATTCATCAGGACCTCGGTTTATCTCCTTCTGGACCCTCGATCGTCTGACCGCGCTCCGCGGTCTCTTACCTTGCGTGCTAGTTCCAAGTGGGGTTCCTTGGAATTGCAAATTCCCATCGGTGATTCAGTCAGGGGTGAGACCATTCATCAACTTGCTTCACGCAAAGCAATGATCGAACTGGAGGAAAAGCACGGATGGCTGGAAGACGCCTGTGATGACAACGGAAACTCATTCAAACAACTCCACGTGCACACACAGCAGCGTATAGTGGCCCGCGAGTGCCAGAGCCTAGGAATCAGGTATCAGGTCACTGGAAAATATTGCTCATTTGTAGCCTTGGAAAGCGATGCCACAACGGAGCACTCCGCGACACGGAAGCCCAAGGAGACCGAAGCAGGAACAGTGCCACTTTACTCCCCCGGGCTATTCGGGGGTCCCGCCAGGCAAGCCACACGTGGGCTGAGCCCAAGCTACGCACAGATGCCCATGATGAGGTTGTCCTGCAGTTCTGCAGTACCGAGTGCGTTCGGCTCCAGAGGTGGTCCATGTATGCAACAAAATATGCAACAAGCTGGGGTATCCGCATTTGGAGCTGCTCCGCAAAACGCACATCAAGGTTTCCGAGGGACTTCGTTGTTTGGAGGATCGAATGCGAGGGAAAGGCGGTTTATGGACTCCACACCAAGTCCGCCCGCATCAACGGGCCTTTTCCAGGCAGCCTCTGCCCAAGCCCAACCCTCAACAATATTTGGTGGAGGACGTTCATCCGCGGGGCCGTTTGGTTCGTTCGCTCAACCAGCCACCGAGAGCTCCTTTTTGGAAGCACTGGTCATGGCTCTACTCCCTTGTTTGGAGGTGCTGCCAGAGGACCGGCACCGGCCAGATTGTCAGCAGAAACATCACCTTTCGCTAGACAGGAGCATGATAAAGGAGGTTTTACCTCCACCACGACGCAGCCATCAAAGGTCCATGCACTTGTAGCACTGCAAACTTTCCAAGGAAACTGGGAGTGGAACCAAGCGTTATTTGATGTGCTCGGCTTGAACATGGCCGAAATTCAAGCCAAGATTCTCCATTTGGTTCAGGTTGACACTCTTCACATAGAAGCAGTAAAATCTGTTGCTACTCTGCTGGCGATGGGTTTCCTTGTTAACAAGAATTCAGACTCACAAAGCGTTTGGGAATTGGTATACGGTAAGGCTGAAACATGGATCAGCAACACATTGCCTGGACTAGGCTTCCTTGGCCACTCCATCGAAACTATGAAGACCGATATCATGGCTCTCGTCTGAGAGGAGCTCTTAACTTTCCCCCAATTAGCTCAATTTTTGAAAAATAGAAACAAGAAAAAAAGATAGTTAGCGCAGATGAGGAATAATTGAATTTCTTTTGCTGAAGTCGCTCTTGAAATGAACATGCATTTAGTCACTGTCATTGAACTATTCAGGTAAGAACCAAATTGTAGAAAAATAGACTAAGATCTGGGCGTGGGGCCCAAATCGGAACTCCGCTAGAGCCTCAGCTTCGCCGGAACGTTTCGAGAGACTCAATTCGCCACTTCAAGCCATGTTGTTTAGCAAACCAAAATGTCTTGACGTGGCGTCTCAGGCTGTGCACTCAACCTCGAAGGGACGAATGAGCAGTGGGATGCACTTGCTCATTGCCATTATAGAGACGTTTCCCCGATACACGCTCAAGCAGGCACCGGGAACGTTCGGAATGGATGCAACTGCCACGAACAGAAATTAACACTCCAAATACGACGCTCTTTTCTACTCCTATACGTTATTAAAGCTTTGATTGTTTAATGTCATATCTCTAGCGCTATACGGCCATATTCCAATGCTTTGTTCGAGATTTGCTGGGCCGAATACATGGTCAGAATTTGGAGAGCAGGTCTTCAGCATTCGTCTTTAGAACCTGCTTTCTTATTTCCGGTCCAAATTGAGTCTCCAGCCCCTCATCCAATCTCTTCGCCAGAGATGCTGCAATGGGCGCCGATGTGAATGGATAGTCGCTCCCGTATAGTAATCTAGAGGAGTCGACATGTCGAAGGAGACCATGAATCTGATCTGGAAATGGGACACCAGCGAGGTCAATATAAAAGCGATTCTGTAGGAGCTGTTTGATGTCATCGACGCTAATTGGAACTCCTGACTCCATAAGAAGATGGGAGAATTCGGCAATCCGAGCTACGATTGGGGGAAAGGTTGCACCGCCATGGCAAACTATGAACGTAATGCCTGGGCATCGGGTGACGGTCCCAGATGTAAAAAGACTCGTGAGAGCCCGCGTGGTGTCAAACATGAATTCCATGAGTGGACTTGGGACTCCAGGCAGGGGGTTCACTCGCTCGACCGCTCCGTTCTCTGCATTTTGAAGGTGGCAACTTGTCGGATGGAAGAAGACAATAGCATTGCGTTCGCTCAGCTTGTCGAAAACTTGACTGAACCGTGGATCTCCGGGGTAAATGCCATGCGAGTTGGTGAGTATTTGGAATCCCACAGCACCCAACCGGTCAAGGGCATAATCAATTTCAATTAGGGCGCCGTGGACATCTGGAAGCGGAAGAGACGCGAAGAACAGAAAATGTTCCTTGTGTTCGGCACAGACTGTGGACATATATGTATTAACCTGTCGAGTGAGGACCCGGGCTTGCTGGTTGTCGCCGGGAAACATATGAGTGCCAGGCGACGACGTGCTGAGGATAGATTTCGTGATGCCGATGTCTTTCATTGTCGCAATATGTGCTTCTACATCCCACTCCTAACCTTCTTTAGTAAATTAAAACAAAGGAACGGTTTTCTAGTGAACTCACCGGGACTGCTGGCATTCCATCTGGGTGACCTTTTCCCGCAAACTCATTCTGGAGGCAACACTCTCGATAGATGGGTGGGAGACAGTGAGCATGAACGTCGATTCTCTCCATGTTCCTTGAGCACGAGATGGTGAAACTTGGATTATGTTTTTTGCGGGTATGACGGACCCAAAATGATCGATCCCTTCGGTGTTAATGTACTCGTGTGCATTGACGCGGGGTAGCTCATAGTTTCCGAAATCGACCCGGCTTACGCGGCGGGCCAGCAACCTGGGCTGCACGCGGAGCTCAATGTGGTAGATTGAAATATCGACCGGCTTTTTAATTGCATCAGTTAAACCGATTCTCATATGTATTTCCAGCACGCTGATGACACTCAGTGACCTTCAGCCATCCTAACACACCGCATCCTCTTGGTGTATGCGTTTGGCAAACACGACAGTAAGGAGCTACGAGGCACCTGTTAGCTACTTCCCGGTCCTGGTCTTTCATATGATTGGGTAAATCATGGATTGAATCGTCGCTAATGGACTAGGATTCATGCTGCATGTCATGCTGGAATATACGGTGTACGTGCTCTCGTTCTGTTGACACTTGTCTAACCGAAATCGCTAGTTGGCTGTTCCTGGCTGGGTGGTTGTGGCCCCACGCAAACCAACAAACAACAAGCCTGTGTGGATTTCACTAGGCGATAGGTACTTTCCAAATCTCAGGCTTGATATCCCCGCCCGCAGAGGATTTTCCAGGTTCACTTCCACTTCGGCCCGGTTGCCTTTGTCAACACCACCTAGCAGGTAGCTCGATTAGCGTAGCGTCAATCATGTCATTCACTCGGAGTTTTGGCAATTGATAGTGACATTTTTGCTTTACTGAGTGGCATTAGGTGCAGGCAGGTTCCATTTGGCTTTAGATCAACATCGCGCGATATCTAGTAGAACAAACAAACACATTTGATTAGGGGAGATCTACTTCTCAGCTTTCTTCAGAAACAGTTAGTAGAGACCCGCTTACCCTCCATGGTGCATTATTCCATTTAGCATCCTGTCTTACAGCACCGTTGACAGAGATCGATTAGAGTCGAAGTAGAATATGGTCCTCGTGAGATATCGAGGCCCTAATCTGCAAAATCGTTGCCACCGAGAGAGGTTATTGGGATTGAAAGACGAGTTGAAGGAGGTACAGCTTCGCCATTTAACAAATGTTACATAATCCCATCTGCGCGGTCCTTTTAAGCTCTCCGGTTCAACTAATGGTACCAATGCATCAAGATATAGCGGGCAATAGCATGCTTAGAATCCACTGCATCACCATTAATAATCATGTGGTTTTGGAAAAGCCGCAGAATGTAACTCGAATAGGAATTTCAACGAATCTTTTCTGGTGCCAAGGCCACAGAGAATTTGTCACAATCTCATCGCACTATGGCGGTCGCCGATCATCGAGCCCCGAAGGACGAAGGGGGGCCCGTCGACTCCCCAAGCATGAGAAGTCATGATTTCATTCATGCGTTAGATTCGGCAGAAAATGAGAAGTCTACTTTTGGACAGCGGGAATGCACATTCCAACCGTCGACTTACTTCCCTTCCGTGAGCCTGAATTCGGTATGTGATCTGCTGAGCCAGAATCTTCTGTCACGTAGACATGTGAAGTTTGTGATGAAAATTCATCTTGTGGCTGATGTACTGTCTGCTTCTTTATCAATTCCTGCATGTTGGGTTTGCTTCCGTAGGCGCAAGACCAGGATTATGCATGAAGCAGTGAATACTTGACCACTACCCCCTAACCACGTGGGCCGAGGCGCGGAATTAATGTTCATAGGTTTACTCAAGGCAAGGGTAGCTTACCGTGCAAACCGCGAACTAAGGGTAACCGAACACGGCCATAGAGCCGGGCCTAGGACCATATTCTAGCAATGATATGTCGTAGAACCCACTGATACAGTCAGCACCAATGCAATAGACAATCAGTTGCCCTTTTCATATCTTCGAGCGCTAGCATCGATCGCGCTACGCTATATGAATGGTTCCCGCTCCAAAGGCGGCCCCTGCAGTGTGGGTTACACAACCTGCGCCCCCCCTCACCTTGGGTGCAAACCCCGTATATTTCCATTTGGCGCTCATCAGAGGTTTTCGCTTAGGTTGTATGTCTTCAGAAGAAAAATTACTTGTTTTCAGGGGTCCAAACTTGCTTGGAGACCGGGTGCTTTTACTTGCCTAATTATATAGTTCGCGGGAGACCCACCCAAAGCTCCTATCATAGCAATAGTTCTTTACTCTTAAGTTCTCCCTCGCTTCTTGAAAAAATTCAAAAAGCCAGACCAGCTTCATTATCCAGCAACTATGATATGGGAATACTATAATGGGAAGATCCTGTTCGTTACGGGTGGAACAGGATTCATTGGCACTGCTGTGCTTTACCGGCTTTTAACCCAAGCAACCCCGAAGCACGTCTACGTGCTTTGCCGAGGTGGTTTTACGTAGGTTTCCAAAGTCCTCTCAAATAGACGTGCAGATATAGGTATTACCTACTGACAATATACTTTAGGAAAGCAGAGTCAAAATGGAACAACATGCTACCAGTATCCATTGCGAATACACTTACTCGGAGCAAATGCATGACCATTCTGGATGGTGAATTGGGTGACACTGCAACGATGAATCTTCCTGATGAAGACTTACAAATGCTTAAAAGAAGAGTCCATATCCTCATTCATGCTGCATCATCAATCGAACTCAAAAATTCGCTCCGAGAACTATCTTACAGTGTTATTGCGCCGACGCTCTGTCTTACAAAATATGCCCTGAAATTCCAGAATCTCGAGAAATTTGTATTTCTTTCCAGCGCCTATGTCAATGCGCACCTTTGGAAATTGAGCGAATCTTCCGATGTGGCTGTCCAAGAGCGGGTATATACCCTCGATGGAAAGAGCGAAGACATCTATGAGAGCGCTCCTGCAATATGGAGGGAGTTGCAAACGAACGGTACCTCTCAAGAGTACGAAAGTCACGACTTTCCTTGGCCATATGCCTATGCCAAGCATCTTGCCGAACGACTAATTCTGCAGAAGGCCTCCGAACAAAATGCTCTGGACAAGATTCTTATCATTCGGCCTTCAGTAGTCGGACCGGCGGATGAGTTTCCTTATCATGGCTTCACAACTTCATATTCAACGCCATCAACAGCCTGTGCGGCTGCCTATGCCATACATCCGCGGCGGAAGATAGTTCTTGCAACCCGTTGTGAGAACCCTGACCAAGAGGCCACAATCGACGAGGTTCCAGTGGATGTCGTGGCTGATCGACTCCTGGTACATACTGCCGTGGGATCAAGTGGATGTGTCCATGCAGTGAGCGGCGAGAAGCGCCGATTACGTCTCGAAGACTGGTGGGTTGCCTTCAAGAACGAGCGCCGTCTCCCTTGGCATGTCAAACCAGTCTGGACCAAAGAAGATTGGCATTCATCTAATCTCCACCATATCGCGCGGAACTTCAAAATCATCGGGACATCATTCGCCTTTGCGGAGGATAAGTCTGACCAGGTAGCTGATACGCTTACTTCAGACGATTTGGAGCACCTCAATTTGTTCGCAGATCGTTCTCGGCCCTATCATCATTCTCTGATTCATCGAAGGCATCATATCCACCATTTGGCGAAGCAGATGGCAAAGAAAAACAAAATTCCGGCCTGTATGGCTGGATTGTTCTGCCACAAAGGGAAGCCACCACAGCACCATCAAATACAAAACGAGAAAGCCACAGCGTAAACCCCTCGGAGTCCCTTGGCAAATGGAAAATCCCTCAGTTGTCAACTGTTTTCGGGAAGTCTCTGTGATCTTCGCCTGCAAATATTCTGACTTGAAATATTCATATTTTAACCTTTCCCCTTGGAAAGAAAAGTTCTACATTATCTGGAGAGTGAAGTTTATCAAAGTTCAGTTGGTAACAGCAGCAAATATCTCAAATTAAAGTGAAGGTCAATCCTTGCGCATCGAATGAACCCCCGACAGTAACTTTATACTTCACACTCGCCGGGTTATCTAAGCACGGACCACGCGGGGAAAATAAATTCTTTTTTGCCCCTCCGCTGCATGTCCCAACCACCACCACGCACACCATGGCCCCAACGGCGTGTTTCAACTGTAAGGAGGCTCGGGCGGTCATCATACGCCCGAAGAACCGACACAAACTATGCCGGGCGTGCTTCCTGGAGGTCTTCGAGACTGAAGTGCACGAGACGATCACCGGGACGAAGCTATTCTACCCGGGCGAGCGAGTCGCGATCGGAGCCAGCGGTGGCAAGGACAGCACGGTTCTTGCAGCAGTCCTGAAGACCCTGAATGAGCGATATGGATACGGCCTAGACCTATGTCTCTTGTCCATCGACGAGGGAATCCGCGGTTATCGTGATGACAGCCTGGAAACCGTGAAGCGCAATGCGGTGCAGTATGACATGCCGCTCGAGATCTTGGGATACGGCGAGCTGTACGGATGGACAATGGATCAAGTGGTGGCACAGATTGGCAAGAAGGGGAACTGCACATACTGCGGTGTCTTTCGGCGACAGGCCCTCGACCGAGGCGCTGCGAAATTGGGTATCAAGCACGTCGTGACTGGCCACAATGCGGACGACGTAGCGGAGACTGTGATGATGAACTTGCTACGCGCCGACCTGCCCCGACTCTCTCGTGGAACCAGTATCGTGACTGCTTCCGGCGCATCAGATATCAAGCGCAGCAAGCCACTCAAGTACGCATATGAGAAGGAGATCGTGCTCTACGCCCACCACCGCCAACTCGATTACTTTTCTACCGAATGTATCTACTCCCCAGAGGCATTCCGCGGCAGTGCCCGTACACTGATCAAAGACCTGGAGAAGATCCGCCCCAGTTCAATTCTGGATATCGTCAAAAGCGGCGAGGATATGGCTGCACTCGTGCCACGGGACGTTAACCAGGCCGGCAACAAATGCGGATCCACTGTGGCAGCCGATGACGATATTGGTGGCTGCGGAAGCCAGAATGGACGATCCAGCGGGGGCGAGATGGCTGCTATGGAGAAGACACTTGTCGAGAATGAGTCTGCTGAGTCCCGCGAGACTGAGATCAAACTTCCGAAGGGCCGGCCGTCGAATGCCTCCCAACAAAAGGGGGTCAAAAAACAAACCTTGGGCCACTGCGAACGCTGCGGCTACATCTCAAGTCAGCGCATCTGCAAAGCGTGCAATCTGCTGGACGGTCTGAACCGGAACCGGCCCAAGACTGCAATTGAAGTTAGCGTCAATCTGGAGGATGAGGAAACCAGCTCAGCACTCTTGAAGCAAATGGAACGGGCTCAGTTGACCAACGGGTGAACTCTCCGGTCTGATGGTACAAACTACACAACTTAGGGTCAAGCCCCGGCCCAAAGCACCATCATGGTCACCAAGGCACTGAAAATGGTCTTCCTAACAAAACGGTTCAAGGGCCCACCGTTCAGCTATCCACACTGCACCAATGCTGCTTTGTGCAGCATTCAGCCGATTTGGATGGTGAGGCACTTCCCGGTGTCCAGACATCCGTTCCATCTGACATGGTGGCCCTGCGAGTTGGTTTCCCAATAATCCCGAAGTGGGAAAGCAACAGAATGCTGAACTCTCATACCGGCGCCACTGCGCGAGAATACTGTACATATCTAAATAGAGATAGATATTCATCTGTGCGACACAATCGAATCTGCGTCGAATATGCTCAATATCTTATTTGTACAATCGCCATCAAATAGTAGTATACAAGCCCAGTAAAAGATAACGCCGATTTATCTTTATGTATGCACAACCTGGAGCTCCGAATTATCACGCAGGGGCCACGGACAATGCATAACTGCCAACCGGTCGGTGTTCCATCCCTCCTATATCGGGATTGCCAGACAGCGCAGATTCATGCCAGTCAAAGATATCCTAAGCAATGAGCCAATGAGCCTACCGAGTGCCGACCAAGGACACTCAGAGCGTGCGTGCTGTGCTTCTACCCCGGCTCGTTGCTGGAGAAGTAGAGCCGGTGCACGAATCTTAAAAGCCCCATTACTCCTCCTTTGAACTCTTCCCCCCTCTGGAACATGCAAGTGAGGCAAATTAAATCCAACTCGCCGAGCCGTCAATCGAATGCGCTCCTCCTCCTCCATATCCCAGCCAGAATTATACCGCTTCAGCAGCTCGTTATATGTGCGCTGCGCCCTGGCATACTGCGCCAACTGCTCGGCCTCCTGGAGGCGGATGGCTTGTTCCTCGGGTGAGGAGGGAATGGAAAAAGTGCTGGGCGTGGTGGAAGAGGAGGCGGCCACGGTGGATGGGTGTGAGGGGACCGGCGCGAATGGTGTGGAGGGCATCTGCTCTTCGGCGCGGAAGACGGAGCGGAGGCGCTGGTGCAGTGGGGAGGGCGTGGAGAGCTTTTGGCGCGGGAGTTCGCGGAGGAGGGCACGGTAGGTAGAGCGCGCCTGGCTGGCGAGTGATTGGGTCATTTTGGATTGGCGGGATTCGGGGGTGTGTTGTTTGCTTAGGATTGAGATAGATCTTTTTGTCTTCGGATTTCCACTGGAGATGCGCAACGGCGGATGGCAGAATCTGATCACGTGATATGCTAGCTATGCGGTCATGGCCGCCAAACTCAAACCTACGAGGGAAGTGGCGGGCAGAGGATCGGAATTAAATGCAGCACAGCGATGACGCAATTCCAGAAACGCGGATTTTACGGATAGAAACGACATCAGAGTATGTCCGGAGGTAGAGATTGTGCTCCGCACCGCACCGCACCGCGGCAGATGATTACCACTCCACAACCGCTTATTATGTACAAAAAAAAGCAGTGTTGCGCAGCTTCTTCCCTCATGCTCGTTCCAAGGGGCATCTCGTTCACACAGGGGAGTCCATTTCAGAAAAGCATGCAAGCAAAAAGAAAAATGAAGTTGGAGCCAATATATCAATCATGGAAGCGTAGCGACGTGAGATGGGGGTATGGCGAACAGACTGGCAGAGAGGTAGGTGTAGGTAAACATGGGATCTGAGCAAATAGCAAATGATCCAGGGAAGATGAGCACCCTTTAAGAGGAGAGTGGTACATGGTCTTACGCACGAAGCCAGCCGAACTTCCTGCGCCCAGTTTCCCCACCCGTGGATGGTTCGACTTGCAAGCTGCGAGCATACAGATCCTATTTGAGTCAAGTCAGATACGGTAAGAGAGAGGGTTGGGGGTTGGGATAGCATACCTCTTCATCACCGGATAGTTTCGAGTCCAGGATTAGCCGTTCAATATCATCGAATTTCTGGGCTTGAGGATGAGGGCTCTTCTGGCTCCGTTGGATACCGAGAACAACCTCTCCCATAACCTCGAACTTTTTCCAGTTGATGCGAGATTTATTTTCGCCCACAAAGGTTTTGTTTCCTTCCTCTGCGGAGACGAGGTCCCGCCGATGCAGAGGGAGGAAGGGGATACGCTCCGAGAAGGAGTTATCCCAGGCAAGACGGTAGGCGAAGTGGCTTTTCTGCGTGCTCATGAGAATGACCAGTCGCATGAATTCTTTTTGACTGGCGACCGGGATCAGTTCCCTGGTCTGCGTCAGTCGGTGGACGGGGGTGCCGTTAATGGCTGCGATCACGGAACCCAGGGCATTGTAGTTGTTTTGGCGGCGGAGTTTCTGGGAATGTGGTTAGCGAACGCGGATTTACTAAAACACGGCATATGTAGAAAACCTACCACTGCGATGTTCATAAACTTCTCCAGGCACCTCGCTCGGTGCTTGGGTTTATCGCGCAAGAGAATCATGCTTGCCACAAAGAACGCCACATGGTTGAACTGCCTGATCATCCGATTAACATTCTGCAAGCTCTTGATCTTGTCTTTGTCCACGCCCGAGAGGCTGACATGGCGCACAAGATCGCGAGGGCGGAATGAATTGTACATAATCCAGTCAATGCGGGTCAGTTCCCGGGCGAATTCTTCGTCAGATGTCTCCATGAAGAATCGCCACTGAATTTTGCTGAGCGATGTCCGGCCAGTCATTTCAAGACGCAGCGCCTCTTTTTGGGCCGCTTCTACCGTCACAAGTGTGAAGGATTGGTTAAGGGTGCTGGAGGGTTTGTCGGCATTTGATGAGATAGAGAGGGTTCCGGAGAGCCGTGACGTGGAATCATGCGGCCCTTCGCCAAGATCCAAGCCGCTCATGCTGTAGATGGGGTCTTCTTCCTCTTCGTCCTCTTCGTCGTCATAGATCCCAGTAAGGAAGGGAGCAGGGGAGCTTCGGCCGGAGGTGTTGAAGAACGTCTCCGTGAGACTTGGTTCGTCGGCAGCGCCATCCCCGAAAGCCCATCCGATGTCGTCATCCTCGGCATTCGAGTCGAGATATGATCCGATTTCTTTCGCGGCGAACATATAGAAATGGCTTTTTTCAAGCGTCGAAACAAACTCGTTGATGCGTTTCTTCGTTTTAGGGTTTGCAAAGTCGCCGGGGTATTCGGAGGCCCAGGATGCGATCACATTCAAAAGGCGCAGCTGGTCTGCCATACGGGCAAGCTGATCCGCATTGCTCGTCTCATTCTTCTCAAACCGACTGATCAAGGCATTGAGTAGGGTAGAAGGGGCAGCGAACTTCCGGTAGAGGCAGAGGAAGATCGCGGTAAATTTTGAGTCTTGCTTCGACATGGGCAAGGCGACCAGCCGATCGACGAGTTCATCAAAGCTCAATCCAGACTCGGCACTCGCATTGCTCTCGCTACTCGGCTTCGGGCGCACGACGGCGCTGGGGCTGGCGGGCTGTCCTCCCTCCTCCATTTCGTCATCCATATTCAAAAAGCTGTTAAAGGTGTCGGAGCCTCCGCTGTGTCGCCAGGCAGGCTGCAGTCGCTGGCGGGTATGGTCCCGGATTGGAGAATTCTCTCCTTGTGCAGACGGTCGGCGTGGATTCAGCCGCGCGCCAGTTGGCGGAGTCTGCGGTCGCACCGGTTGAGAGTTACTCCTGGCATTTCGAGACGAACTGGAAACATGCTGTTGCGCCAGGTTGGACGGATGGGAGGGGTCGGTGGGCAGACGGTGATCGCCGTTCCCATCGACACTTCGATCCGCGACCGACGTTGCTGAGCCGCCAGCGGCTCCAGGTTGGACGGCACTATAGGTTTCCGAAATGGCGCGGGTGTGGTGCCAATCGCGGGGAGAGATGGGTTGAAAAGATTTGGTGGTCGTCCTCGGCGGGGGAGGGGCGGACGGGGGATGTTGAGGTTGAGGCGGAGGCGGAGAAGGATCAGGACCCCGGTCAGACGCAGCGGCTAGGTCTGGGCGAATGAGAGAGAAAGTCAGCCGTCAGGAAGAGCGGAACGCCACGAATTTATTGAGAGTTTCTCCCCTCTCTTCATTCTCCTTGGGGCTTGTGTCGATCGGTGGGCTCAAGGCAAGAGTGCAAAGGGTAACGAATGCTAGGCCCGCGCCCCACTTAGTTCGCCGGGGCGACGGCTCAGCCCATAACAATCCCGTTGTCGCCCAGGATGCGAGCGGACCAGCAAAGTAAAAAAGTGCTTCAGGGGGATATCAACAAAGAAACCGAAACTCACCTGCTCGACGGGCAATAACCGACCGCAGCACCAGCGCAATGCACATCTGCTGGGATCGCGGTAAATCGGGGGATGTCCGGTAGATCTCGTGTCGCTCGTGGATCGAACCCAGTTGGCTGTTTTCGGGCTGCCGATCACATTTGCAGGCAACCAGGAGGAACGGCACAGGAGAAGCATGCAGCGCATCTAGATGTCATACGGGGGTAAGTGACGAAAGCTAAAAGATTGAGGAGTAGCTGCACCACCTCCAACGTTCTCAGGGTCTGCAAAGAAACGCCGGCGCGGCGGGCACATCATGGGCTTGGTCGGGCAGGCCGAACCGGACGTACCTGCGAGTGGTTCGTTCTTTTCCAGCTTGTCTGGCTGAGTTGCATCATGCAACAGCAACACCCCGTCGATGATCGGAGCGGCAGAATCCTTGCCCACACGAGGCCATCGGATGTTGTTGTCTCGGTCGAGCGAGACTTGCTTCAGGTCGATCTCCAGCAAACGCACAATGTAAACCGCGCCATCCAGAGACATCTTCTTCCTCGTGGGCACGGAAGAAGGGGCACCCCTCATGTCCAATGCGCACTTGATAAAGCTCGTCTTGCCAGCATTGTCCTCCCCCACCACCGCAATCGTCACTTCCGGTAAGCTCAGCTTGGAGGGTTCCTGCAGGCAAGAGGACTGCAGTTAGTCGAGGGTCCTTCTGCGTCGCACATTCAAGAGAGACCTGATCGGCCCCGCGGATTGACAAATACACACCTCATTCCCACGGTGCCGGGAGCGTGAACGCTTCGGAGTATCATGGCTCGTGCCCGACGATCCCTCATCCTCCTCCACCAACGTGTGTCTAGCCTTCGCCGAGCTCGAGCTCGGTCTCCGTCCCACGTCCAGTTTGTAAAATCCACCTGCCGGGGCGGACGAAGTACGGCTCCCCATGCCGGGGCGCTGCATTCCCCCAGCCGGAATTGCCTGCGCTCTGTCGCTCGACACCCGCTCGCGGCGGGTCTGCTGGGAACTCATCGCAGCGTGCGGGCACAGCTCGGAAGCAAGGGAGAGATTGGGGGGGGTGGCCCAGCAAGCAGGGACGCGGAGTCAGGTTATTGCGTGTGTCCGAAGAGCCCGCACTGCCGCGCATCCATTGTCGGTTTGGATGGGATCGGGACCAGACTAGGACGCAAAGACAGTCTTCCGGGGAGGTGTTTGAGGCCAACGGTCACCGTTGATAGAGCGACGAAGTGCTGCGGCGACCACTGTAGCGAATCCAGCGATTAGCGTCCACAAAAAATGGTGGAGGAACTTGCACCGAGTCTTCCGAGGAGATAGCTGAGTTGCGGCGGCCAAGGAACCGTGGAACGGGGCCAGGTGAACCAGCGCCCGACAATCAAAAGAGATAGTATAAAGAGGAACGAGAGTATAAACGGATGTGGATAAAAGCAGCTGGCACAACAGTGGCCGTGTAATTCAAATATAGAAATCCAGCAGGTGGACAGATCACAATGTACGGAGTAGTGTGGAGCAGTCCGGAATGAATGTCCAGGCCTCTTTTTTTTTGGGCGCGCAAAAGCTGCGTTCTCTGCTCTCATTGGAGTGTGCGGTGGTCCCCTTCTCCAGATCTTTCGCCCACTCCATCTAAACTAAACGCCTCCGGACTCGTCATTCGCTGAGCAAAATGCTGCCCTGAGCTGACCTGAGCTGAACTGGGGCCAGCTTGAACGAACACATGAACAGGCCACTTTCCACCGGCCAGCACACACGCAAATCGTGAGGGCCCGCAGGTCTCGTCGTGGCGGCGCCACTGCCAAAACCGCACGGCTGACGGGAGCGTCGGGCTCGCTTAAGAGACAGCTGCCACACATCCGGCTCGCTGATACTGGCCGATGCCATTCCTTGCCCTTTGCTGGCGCTTGCTCGGCCTGCTGTGATTCCTTCGGCCAAGATCCAATACCATCGCAGCGGAGGCCATCCGGTGTGGGATTCGCTCATTCAATAGCTCTGCCTCCAGACTGCCGTGGTGGTAATTCCTGCCCCTTAGGGGAGAACTCTCCCGCTGTGCAGAACGAGCAGATCAGCATGGCCCTAGGGGCTTGTGCTGGTGCTTCTCCTTTCGGCTTCTCCTTTTGGCCTCTGGGATTGCCTATTAGGGGCAAGCCTCAAGTTCGACTCGTCGATTGTGACGCCCGTGCAAAGGCCTGCTGCCGGAGTATCCAATTTTAGGGCTTGTTCATGCCGCTGGTTGGTCTCTAAGGGTCTGGCCGCGCGCGGTCTCCCCGGGCGGGCATGAGCTCGGGACGCTAAAGGCTGCTATCTGCGCTGCTAACCCACCGGCCCCAGGGCTTGATTCAGCTGTCAGACAATCCTCTGGGGACTGCATTGAACCATGGGTCTATTTGCCCCTTTATCTAGCTCAGGAAGTGTGTCCGGTTGACTAGCTGTCTCTGTAATCCGAAAATCCTCCTTGGGTTGAGGATCGCCGACTCTGTAATTGTGCGCTCCGTACTCCGTACTTCGGACTTCGTTCCCTTGTCCCGCAATGAATAGAGCCTCAAACCTAATAACATGCGGGCAAATCAGATCCCCACGGAAAACCTGTCTGCGACCAGTTACGCCGTTTCCTGTCATTGAGGCGTCTGGGCCTTGTTCACCAGAGCCAGGAACTCCATAAAAGCCTCTACACTAACACCTGTCTCGGACCCTTCTTCATAATCTTGCCGGAGCTTGCGCACTTTGCCTAGGCCACGGTTGAACCCCTTCTCTGCCGTCCATGGACCTCGACTGCGCCGGGAGGATCCTCGGCCTCCTCGGCCATATGGTCTTCCTCTCGTGGGGGGATTATACCATTCCTGCCATTCCTCTTCCTGGGTCGCTTGGTAGATGTCGTGCAATTGACTGCGGAGCTGAGGGTAGCGAGAAAGTAGCTCCTGTAGCTCGGGCGATGCCGCGATCACTGCTGGGGCGGACGGGCTTCTCTTGGTCGCCATATCTCTCGCAGCGTCTGGGGCGATATCGCCGTTTTGGAGGGGAGACTGTGTAGCCGCAGCCGCAGCCGCAGCCGCAGAATTGTCGGTCGGTTCTTCGTTCGTCGGCGTAGCCTTGGGGGCACAGTATATTTTATGGGACTGTGAACAGGCGAGCGAGCAACTAAATAGAGCAGCACGATTAGAGAGTTTGCACAAATAGAGACCGGCAGCGGCAAGTCGGGTTTCGTACCTCATAAGCGCACATGTTGGACAACGATATTTGGACGGTTCGGACGAGCAGACCTCGCAGGAACCGGGCATGTTGTCAGGTGGGTCACGGCACTGCGTTTCAGATCTTGTCCCTCACATCTGGCTAGTCAACACCCCAAATTCTGTGGAGGGGAGACGAGGCGCAAACCCTGGCGCACACCCCTCTCCAACCATCGCGAGGAAAAATTGAAGCTCGGGCTTTTCATGCCTCAGGCCACAAAGGCCCGCCGATTTCCCCAAGGCCGACCAGTCACAGTCGTTCTTGCCGTTTTCCGGGTTTGCGGCGTGCGCTGCCGAGTTGCTAATCTATAGTACAAGGCTATATGGCGAAGCTCTGTAAACTGTTCACAGCCGCGTTCGCTCAGGACGGAAGAGCGGCCAGGACGCCCTATTTGCCACTGTGGTTTTCCAAATATACGAGGTATAACTGCTGTGGTCGAAACGGTATGTCGAGAAATCGCATGCTCAGATTGTAGTCGGTTGATCAGTTCCTTGCGTCTATCGGAAGAAACAGTAATCGTCATCGCCGGAGACAGAGAGTGGTTGAGGTCGATCAAAGCCCGCTGAATCCGACGATCTAAATAGAATGGGGACACCGTATCATGTTCTCTACCATACCCTGAGGTAGGACGATGTGTGGAAAGGCCAGTATACAGATTCTTGTATTAGGATTCCAATTCACTTTCTTTGATTAGCAGTGAAATGCTTTCCATGCGGTCTGGAGAACTATACCCGCAGCACTGTCCGAATATCGGCCAGCTTCATGTACAATGCATTTCCTCTGATTGGCCCATTTGAGAGATAGATTTGTCATCTCCCCTTGTCTATGATCACGTGACAGGCGAATTGCGTCAGAGTCCCGCCTCCGGCGCCTCTTGATTTTTTGATAAACATCTTTCTCACACTGTACCTACTGGAATTTGCATCACAGATCCTGGGATATAATCTTCAGATATGTCTGTGAGCTACACATCGACCAACATGCTCCGGCGAGCCCTTGCCGGCGCCCGGTTGACCACCCCCTCTCCGAGGCTGGCGTCCGAACCGCCAGGCCCGCGGCATTCAACGCATCCCGCAGTGTCTCCAGCGCGGCGCGGCTCCCTACCCTCACAGCGTCCGAAACCCGCCGCCGGCCGGTGGTACGGCTGCACCAGCAGCCTGTGGCGCAGAGCCGGGTGAACGGGCTGTCTCCGTCCAGCAAGCGGACGATCTTCATACAGACGGAAAACACACCCAACCCGGATGTATGTTTCAAATTCCCCTTTCTTCGGCGGTCATGGTTATCACACGATTTCTAACACTCTCCCTCTCTCATTTCAGGCCCTGAAGTTCATCCCCAACTCCCGCGTCCTTCCCGAAGACTTCCCGACCACCTTCCTCGAATACCTGTCCCCTCGCTCCACCCTCGCTCCGCCGCACCCCTCGCCTCTCGCCGCTAAACTCCTCGACGTCGAAGGCGTCACCTCCGTCTTCTACGGCCCCGACTTTATCACCGTGATCAAGTCCAGCGACGCGCAGTGGGCACACATCAAGCCCGAGATCTTCAGTCTGATCACGCAGGCCGTGACCGCGGGCGAGACCATTGTGACGACGGTGGAGGCGGATGGCAGCGACAACGCGCAAGAGGGCGGCATGAACGACTCGCTCGTTTATGACGAGGAGGATGACGAGGTTGTAAGCATGATCAAGGAGCTACTGGAGACCCGTATCCGGCCTGCCATCCAGGAGGATGGCGGCGATATCGAGCTGCGCGGCTTTGAGAATGGCATCGTGTTGTTGAAGCTGCGGGGTGCGTGCCGGACCTGTGACTCCAGTACCGTGACTCTGAAGAATGGCATTGAGTCGATGCTGATGCACTACGTAAGGTCCCCCTGCTTTTTCCAACCCTGTTTGATTGGCCAATCCCCGAGCAGTGCACTGATTTGGGATTATTCTAGATCGAGGAGGTCAAGGGCGTCGAGCAAGTCATCGACCAGGAGGAGGCGATCTCCATGCACGAGTTTGCTCGGTTTGAGGAGAAGCTGCGCCAGCAGAAGGGTGCTGCCGCTACGGCTAGCAGCCCGCTGGACAGTGCGCCATGAGTCCTTTCGTGTCTTGTATCCCTCAATGAGAACACCATTGCCTGGACGAGGAATTTCTGAAACTCTGCTGTTGCCGTTCCCACCCCCTTCCCTCTCAAATTCTGTATATTATGTTCTAGCCACGCCAACTACATCTCGTGCATTGATCTATTCCTTGGCATGATGTGAATGACCATTCTCGACGTAATCCACCATTCTAGGCCCACCTCTCGTGCCAGGCACTGGTATGGGCGGCGATCTAGACGAGGTCTGGGTCGAGCGAGGCTCGCGCAGAGGGGAAACCGGACCGCCTGCATGGGGAGGGCCCATGGGATCTTGTGTTGTATTTGGGCCACTGGGAGTGCGGGGTGGAGTAACCGACCTCCTCTGAGGCCGCACTTTTCAATTCCGGGTTCGTATCATGCTCAGCCAGGTTCACATGTAAGGATGTTTCTCCATTGTGGAATGAAAGTCATGCATATCAAAGTATACTATAATGTATATCGATCCCCGCGGGGGTGGCGAGGCTTTTCTCTGTTTGCTGCTGCCTCATACCATTCCAGCGCTCTGCAACATTCGGAAACCCAATCCACCGCACCCACCTACGTCAACCACTACGCGCTGGCCATTGACCATGGGGCCCATGGTCTACATGATGCAGGCTGTCCAGTCAGTCGCGGCCTGTTAAACGGCCAAACAGCCAAGAGTCCCGTGGGGTGCCCGGCCAGTTCAGTCCTGGGCCTGTTGCAAGTGCAAGGCAAGGAATAAATTCGGTCGGAGGTTCGGAGCACCCAGTGATTCGCGGCGCCGGCCGTGGCAGTAACGCCCACGTCGTGTGCATCCCTTCCGCCTTCTAGGAAACGACGGAGAATCCGAGAAAAAAAAAAAGGATAAGTAAATTAGGTTGGTGCCGGGGTGGTGACGGGCTTGGTCCTTCGGGGAGGCCTTTGCTCTCGCACCTTCAGGTCTGTAGGACTGTATGACAGTATGACAGCCAGTGTGGTTCTGTGGCACGAGTCGACCATTGATATGCTGTCTGGCCTGGTCCAGATCGGGGTCGATGGGGAGAGGCAGCCAGCAGGAAGGCGGGCGGAAGGTATCTCCAGCCCATCGCGGTAGCGTGTGAGATCGGCTGCCCCAGAGCAAGGGCTGCCGAGGGGGCCCATCGCGAGGGACCTAGTTAGTGGTTTAGTCGCGGGTTATGCTCTCCACTAGTAGTGGGGGGATTGGTGAGCACGCCCGCCTCTTATGCATGAGCTTCCCCCGCAAAACGCAAATCCTGGCCCGAGAGAGCAGCAGAGAATCATCCGATGGATTAGCCCCTCCTGGGGACTGGGGGGAATTCAGCCTATTGGGCTCCTCCCTCCATACCGGATGACATCCCATGCTGGCCCGCCAAGGGGCCCATCAGGCCGAGAAAGGAGGGCAGAGTCGACAGGGATGCTGGCACCCCCGGGGGTTGGGGGTTGTCCGCGATGTGATGACGATGGACGAGGGATAGCATGAGGAAGAGGGCCTAGGCAAGTCGTCTCCCCGTAGCAAGGTAGTATATCTCGTTTGGGGTATAGCTAAGAGGCGGGGCGAAGAGCAGAGCAGTGGCCGACCCCGCAAGAGTGTGCGACCCTCATGGGCCGTGCGAGAGATATAGATGCATTGTACGAAAACATGGATATCCAGTAACTCGGCACCTGACTGTATGGTGATTGAGGGGTATACTACAGTATATTACTGTACACGAGTCCGTACTGATCGTACTTGGGATACTCGGATACTGTATTTCGGTGGGCTGACAGGGGCTGCAGGCGCATGGCGGCTTTAAATACTGCGGCCGACTCGCTTCCCACACCAATCCAGACCCCAGACGATCGTCGGCTTCCTCCTCCTCCAAAGGACCCGCACGAGCCAGCCCTCCCTGCATGGGGCCTAGGGCCGAACAGCTACCTATGGCAACTTGTGTGAGGGACTTTCGTAAACGACCCTAGGTCGAAGAGTTCAGTAGTCCAGGAACACTACGAAGGTAGAGTGGTAGGGTCGTGGTACGACTCCAAAGTCATACGCCGTGGAATCATCTGTAGTGGTCCGTGTCCCCTGAACATCGGAGCGACGTTGCCAGATCCGTTCTCCCCCCATTTTACCCCAGTTCCACCGGTTCTCTCGACTCTCGCGCTCTCTTCCACAAACACCCCCCCTCCTCTCACGGCCTCATCTTGCTTTCTTTCTTTCCCCTCTCTGCCTCATCATCCCACTACCCATCCTCTCGGTCAACCTTCATCTCTTTCTTCTTTTCCGCTCTTCAACCACCGCCATCTCATTCCACACCATGCGCCGCCCGTAAAGGGTTCCGGTTGCTCCACAACGTCATCCGTGGTCACGCTACCAGCTCCCCTCCAACCTTCCGAGCGCATTCCCTCACCTTGTCCGGCGGTCATTCGATCTTCCATAGAGATAGATAAGAACCGCCAATTCAGACTCGCGGAATCACCTCTACCTCTCGCCCTCCGATCGTTGTGGGAGACCTCCCACTCCCTACTCGCGCGCATTCAGCCCAGTTCAAACTGCGGCGCGTTCCCACCTCCCCCCCCCCCCCCCCCCCAAAATTCGAGGTCCCGCGGTCGCATTTGCTTCCCATTCCTCCTGGAAACCGGGACGCCTCGTGTAAAGGAGCCGGCGATTCTCACGAGACCTACGAATTCACGCTGGCGCATCTGTTGTTCACCCCGATAGAGTGACTGCTTCCTCCTCACGACGGCACAATCTCCTTAGAGTGGTGAGTCGCGCATCGCAATTCCTCCTCCGTACCCTTTCTGAATGCGCCCCAACACTCACACTCGAGGGATTCATCGCTCGGCGACAGATACGATTACGATCCCGGCTGCTTTCTGTCTCCTTTCGTTGATACTCTGCGTTATCGATCCGCTTTCCCAACGGCGTCTGGTTGGCCCCTCCCGGTCGAGGTAAAATCTTACTAGAATTATCAGCCCGCCAGGTACGTGTTGGCGAGAGAGAAACGGTTGTCCATTTGTTGCCTGGTCCTATTGCATGTCGCACGCCACGCGATCTTGCGGCTGCGCATATCCATACTTGCGATCTTGAGAGTCTGCGGTCCTGTCCGTGGGAGCTCTGACCCCTCATGCTGCCTGCGCCAAGCTGTCTCGTGGGATTTAGTTCTATCAGTCGTCGGCGATGGGATGGGGCAATACGCTGCAGGAGCGTGTCGCAGGTGGTGGAGATTCCCCGCTTTGGCTTGATGCGGCTCATCATGCTACCTCCCTCCAGCCGTGGCTCTCGAGACCAAGACATGTTTCTGTACCTGCTGTTTCTCCTGCAACTCACTTATCTCTGTGATTCTTATGACGATTATAGATTTTATGACTGACTCTTTTTTTGTCTAGTGTTGCACATAGCGCATCCATCTAGCCATCCATCGTATCCTCGAAAAATCGAGATTGACCTCTTATCTCCAACCTCATCGATCGCGTGGAACAAAGACTGGTGCTTTGTTGTGTGTGTTCGACTTGATCCATTAGGCGCCTATACAATACAGCCTTCTCACGTATCTTCCGACCATCATACACGCTTGCCCAACTTCCGGTTCGTCTTACCCTGGCGCTTAGCCACCCCAGTGCTTGCCTTTTTCTCTCTCGTCACTTCGCCCTCTCTCAGACGGGTCCAAAGTTGCGCCGGCTGAGTCTTTCTGCATGAATACAATCTTCTCTTCCAGGGTTCTGTATGCTGATGTTTCCCCTAGGATTCCTAATCAGAGACCATGGCTGCGCCATCTAACAAACAACACCCCATAATGACATCCAGCACCCCGTCGGCGCCTGGGGCGACTGCGTCCGCTCGACTCGAGAGGAGTCACCCGGGGGTGCGCCGTTCGACACCTGACTCAGAGGCGCTGGCCTCGTCCGACGATGATGGAGACCATGCCCCTCTGACTCAGACCATCACGGCGCCTCCAATGAAACCTGCGCGCCGGACTTCGTGGCTGAACGAGGTACCCCTGTCGGTCCAACGCAAGCATTCCTTGCCTGGAGGCCCTCTCTCTTCTGGCCCCTCAAATCCCGCAAGCCCGTCCAGTGAACAGGCACCATGGGCAGCCAACACCACCAGCCCCGGCTTGAGCGGCTCTTTCAACTGGAACCAAGCTGGAGGAAGCTCGTTCCCATGGGGCACTGGTATCTGGAATCCAGAGTCCCGCAAGGAACCCCCCTCACGCCTGTCCGAAATTGTGCCTTCTCCAACTATGACCAACCCACCCCCTGCGACTGGACCTCTCGGCGAGGAGATGCTCAGCCCCATCACTCGAACGATCTCTGGCGAGTCGGCCATTCCATTCTCGATCCCGCTGCACCCAACCCCCAAGACATACCGGTCCCAGTCGTATTCAGTCGGGCAGATGGACCCGGAGCTCCTGGGTATGATGGCAAACCAGCAGTCAGGTGGTGGAGCCCAGTATCCGAGTGGTCGATCTCGTGGCCCGGGACAGATGTCTTCGGGCCAGCCCCGTGCTTCACGGCCAAGTGTGCTTGGTGAACTAGGTCACGATCCTGCCATGCTCGGTCGTGTTCGAGAGGACGATGACGGCGATGAAAGCCCCAACGGCTCGGACGGCGACATGAACTATTCCGCCAGCCAGGCCCGCACCATCGAACAGCTCGCCCGTGAGAACGCGATCCTCCGTCAGCAGGCCGCCGCAGGCCAAGTGGATAACCGCTTCCGCGATCGTGCGTCTTCATCTGCCTCTGTCGCAGGCGGAGTTCACCCGCTTCACCGCATCCGAGGCGGTGTCCCAGAAGAAGATTTGGCTGTTGAAGATCTGGGTGAATTGCGGGATATTCAGGGCTATGGCCCCATGCGCGGCAACACCAGACGGCGCTTCTCCGAGCACTCGGCCAATTTAGAGCCGCAGTTCTCCTCCTTTGCCTCGCCTCTTGAGAACCGCGCTCTGGAAAATGTGCGTAAGGCTCATTGGCAGACTTCTCTCGGGTTTGGAGGCGCTGCCGATATGCCACAGAGCCGTCGCCACTCGTTTGCCGACATCCCCATGCGTCAGACCTCGATCAGCTCCGTCGACTCGGCTGCCCCTCGAGCTGCGCTCGGAGAGCACGACGACGGATATGGCAATATTGGTGACTATTCTAATCCGTCCATGCAGCCGCGTAAGCCCCTTCTATTACCATCAATACAATGTTCACGTTGACTGATATTGGCTCTAGAATCCTACTACTCCCGGGAGCAGACCTTGCGCGGCGATGGTTCCTCTGGCATCCCGGCCTCTCTGAACCAATATGCCATGTCTGGCGCCTATAGTCGTCAACCACCTGCTTTGTCCCATGCTCATCAGAACCAGCTTCTGTATATCGTCTCCTTCAAATGCCACCGTGCCGACGTCTTCTACATCCAAGAGGATACCGGCCTTCAAGTCAAGCCTGGCGATCTTGTCATTGTCGAGGCAGATCGAGGTACGGACTTAGGCACCGTTCAACATGCCAACGTGTCTCTGCAGAAGGCGCGTGAGCTCAAGCAGCAATATGCCGAGGAGCATTACAAATGGCTCATGATGTTCTCCCGCCAGGGACAACTTGAGGGTTCGAATGTCGGCAGTACTGGCTTGAACACCCGCAGTGCTACTGGCGGAATGGGTCCCCATGCCCATGGTGTCCAAGAGATCGCTACAGATATCAAGCCCAAGCTTATCAAGCGTCTGGCGCAGAATCATGAGATTCTCACGCTGCGTGACAAGGAAGGGAATGAGGCCAAGGCCAAGCGAGTATGTCAGCAGAAGGTTGCTGAACATCGACTGAATATGGAAATTTTGGATGCCGAGTTCCAAATGTAAGTTGACCTGCTGTGGCTCTTGCGGGAACTGTGAACTTAACTTCATTTACAGGGACTGGAAAAAGCTCACCTTCTACTACTTCGCGGACTCGTATATCAATTTCAACTCCCTGGTCACCGATCTGTTCAAGATCTATAAGACCAGAATCTGGATGTCTGCTATCAACCCCGCGTCATTTGTGACCCCGCCCTCGGCCGGCCTTCAAGGACCATCGGCTGGCATGAGCAACCCTCTCTACAGCCAGGACGCATCGCAACCCGACCGTCATCCCCAGCACGACACAGGAGCCTACCCTGGAGCTCGGGAGGAAACTAGCCGCGAGGGCATGGAAAACCCAGTCGGCATGCTTCGTACTACGTTCACAGACTCGTACCAGCCCTTCGCCCAGCCATCGCGACAGGTCGACAGCCCCTCAGCCGATCCCTTCGGCCCCTATTCGCCCACTAACTTCGGGCCCCTGGAGACCGGCTTCTCAGATTATCCAGCCGGCAGCACCGGCTCCAACGTGGCCGCTCGCATACATCCCCCACAGGGAGAATGGTTTGGCCGGTTTCAGGGCCTTTCGCTCAACTCCTGACCTTGTTTATCCTTACCTCTCCCTACAATCAATCCTCTGTACAATTCGTCAGCACCGTGATTCTCTCTTCCACTCCGACTTTCCTCCTTTCTTTTTCTCCTTAGTAACCAAAGAGATTTGTGCACCTAGACGGTTCGATAACTGCGTTTTCCATTGCTGTTTCTGCTTTTTCTGTTTTTCCGCCCCTTCGGTGTCTTCTGCACGTTCAGACCCAAAACTTTGCGCCTTGTGTTTTTTTCCCGCGAAAGAATGTTCCTTACCCCCGATGGCCCGTAACGCCATGGCCGGATGCCAATTTTTTCCTATTTCTTAGCATGTCCTTCTTGTCTCCTTTCCTTCGTTCTTGCGTCGTGGGCCCGTGTGTACTACTCCGTGCAGTCCATCTCTGTCCAAGTTAGAATCCATACCCTGGGGTCTGTTCTAGGTATACAGGCCCCGCACATTCGTTACACTTACTGCTTACTTTCTCCATTCTACATGTTACTTTCGTGCTTTCCCTTATGTGACCCAGCCTCTTTATCTCAATAGATTCGAGTGAGCTCGGCTCGCATGACCAGAATCAGATTGTGTGGATAATCCAAGACTGCCTTCGGATGCGCGTGCCCCTGCGCTTTATTATCTTGCCTACCTTGCTTGTGCCTTTTACTCAACATTTCAGCATATATTGATTTATCCTGTGGATTATGGGTTCTTGAATCCCGCTTCGCTTTGTTGGTATCCCGACGACGGCTTGAAGATACGTGTCTTCGAAGGCTGGACAGGGCCTTCAGCCCCTGATACTATGTTTTCCAGTCGCATACCTTCTATAAAAGATACGTGTGGAGCACATGCTAGGGCTAAAATCTGCTTGGTCGGCATTGAGGGCTGAATGAGAAAGCCATGTCATGTGTGTCTGTCTGCCCTAGAGCTCATGTGGTGAATTTGCTCAGACCAGATCCCGCCTAACTCGCGGAATGACTGGATTACACGGTCTGAGTTTGCTCCGTCGCGACAGTCTGGGGGTATTTAGTCCAGCGCTCAAGTGGAGCGGATATTGAGCCTGGGAAAACGCCAGACGTCCAAAATTCTGCCTCGCGAAGCAGATTCTTTCCAGCATTGGGACCAGACTGTAGAATCCACTCGGGGTCCTCGTAACTGGGTACTGATCTGGTGTCAATATATGTTAATAACGATGGTACGGACTCTTTACAAAGCGATTCACATTGTTTTCAAGACATTTGGTGGCAGCACGAATGCTTTTCGCGGTGATATTGTCCTGGTATAGTTATAGTTCGTGCATTTGTGCATTGATAGTGGGTAATACATTGGGCCCCAGCAGCTCAGTCTTTTCATATCGTCATCTCCTACCGAATCGCCATTCGCTTCGGTCGTGGTCGACTGACTGATAGAGGTGAGCCGCTAAAGGTTCGAGTGGAATTTCTCGCTGGAGTGGTCCACGGTGCCGTTTGGGATAGACAGATTGGTACATCCAGGACGTAATAAGCGAGAATGAGCGTGAGCATTGAACGGGATTAGCACCTAATCTTATTAGATCTAGTATATAGGAAAATCAAGGGCCCATCAGCTATCCGGCATTGCAGTTGTACCGATCGGTCCTATGGCCGGCCGACACTTCGCCCGCTGCCCGGGACTCACCCCGCTGGCCGAGGGGGTCTGAGGATGGATCTACGGGAAATTGAAATTCTCCTGCGAAAGGACCTGTCACCGCGGTATATTTGCTATTGACCATTTTCTCGTCATGCCTACATTATCTGGCTTCTCTGACAATCCCTTCCGTACCAGGCGCGATATGGTAAATGCGACCTTGGCCATATTGCGACCGTTGACCCGTCACTTTTCACCCTCTAACGCCCGCATCCGCCTTCCTGTTTCCACGAGAGTTCACTTCGACGAAGGTGCCGCGCAGCTTGAAGGGTTCGCCCGACCTCTCTGGGCAGTAGCTTCCCTCCTTGCGTGGCAGTCTTCGGTGGAGACAAACACTTGCCCCGACAGTACTCTTGCCGAGGCGATTGAGGAAGTTATAGAGCCATGGATCCCGGGCTTTGTTGCGGGAACCGATCCCGATCATCCAGAATATTGGGGTCCGATTCGCGACATGGACCAGCGCATGGTGGAAGCCGAGGTGGTTAGCTATGCGCTCCTGTCCGCTCCAGGGAAGCTATATCACAGCCGCGACGAGAAAACCCGGAGAAACATCACGTTTTGGCTGCGAGGGATAAATGGGAAGCAGATGCCCGATAACAATTGGCGATGGTTTCGGGTGTTTGCCAATCTCGCGCTCATTCAGATCTGTGGTGTGCCTGCTGCGGAGGTGCTCGATGAGATGCATGCAGATTTCCAAGTTCTCGATTCCTTTTATCTCGTTGATGGCTGGTCTAGCGATGGTCCATGGCTCACGGCACAAGAAGAAGAGGAAGAAGCGGCAGAATTCGAGCGAACGAGGCGACGGGATGCAATTGGCAAAGGGCGACAGGTCGACTACTACTCTGGGAGCTTTGCCATTCAGTTCAGCCAGTTGCTGTACACCAAGTTCGCAGGGGATCTGGATCCCGAGAGAATCGCAAGATATAAACAGCAGGCCCGGGAATTTGGTGCCTATTTCTGGCAGTATTTTGACTCGAGTGGTATGGCAGTCGACTTGGTTCTGCGAGCTCAAAGTTTTTGAACACGGGGCTGACGGGATACTTGCTAGGCTCTGCTATACCGTTCGGCCGATCTCTCACCTACAGATTCGCATGCGGTGCCTTTTTTGCTGCGCTTGCAGTGAGTCCCGTGTCTGATATGCCATGGCCTCTGTCCAGCCCAGGCCGAGTCAAAGGCTTCCTTCTGCGACATCTGCGATGGTGGGCCGCTCATTCGGACGACATTTTCCATTCGGACGGAACCCTGAACATTGGATGGCTTTACCCGTGAGTCGATCATGCCTCACTATATGGTTCAAACCCATCCTCATCGCTTGCTGCAGGAACATGTATATGTGCGAGGACTACAACTCCCCACAATCACCCTACTGGAGCCTCAAGACTTTGATCGCGGTTGCTCTCACACAAGATAACGATTTCTGGTCTGCAAACGAAGTGCAGTATCCGCCTTGTTTCCCACCGCGCCTTGTTCCTGCTCCTCGACAGATCCTCACGAATCATCCGGCGGGAAATCATCATTTCTGCCTGTCGCCGGCTCAGTTTCTCGCCTGGCCGATGAAAGCAACTCAAGCCAAGTACTCCAAGTTTGAATTCTCATCCACTTTTGCTTTCTCGGTGCCCACCGGACCCCTTATCCAGCAGGTTGCACCCGACTGCACCTTGGCACTGAGTAGAGATGGCGCTGAAACGTGGGCAGTAAAATGGCGTTCTTGCGAGCCTCGATTCACTACCGTTTCTCTGAAAGCACATTCACGTACATCCTCTGTTGAGGCTGCATCGGTTCGATGGTACCCGTGGGGGGACAGACAAGTTGAGGTTGACACGACACTAATCCCACCGACAGACCAGTGGCCGGACTGGCATGTTCGGGTTCATCGAGTCCGAATCAACTCCGCGCTTCGTAGCCTGCACACTGTTGAGGGCGGCTTTGCCTCGCCAGGCCGGTGCTCCCGAGACGGATGGAAGCTCCCCGACATTTGTGCTTTAAGAACAGATATGGATGTTGGCTCTAGTGAAGGAGTGATGGAGACGGGTGACTCGGTCTTAATGCTATCAGTAGCCGGAGCCAGTGGTCTTGCTCCTGGTGTGGGAAAAGACTCATCGGCGTGTGTAGTAACTAGAGCTCATGCTCTGAAGCCGGATGCAAATACGAATCTGGCACATCAGAGAACGCTTATCCCGATTATCACGCGTGATATCGCTCAGGACCTCCAAGCGGGGGATGAGTTTATGTTTGTCACCCGAGTCTTTGCCAGTTCGGCCACTGCGAACGGCCACCGAAGAGTCCGCGGAAGCCTTGCAGATCGATGGGCAGACAAGCCCGCCGTGTCGTTGTCGACTTCGGATGACTTGGGATCGGACGCAAATTGTATAGTTCTATTTCCATAGCTGAATCAAGATGGTGGCTCCTTGAGCTACTTTTCGAAGGCTGGGGTCTGCTTCTAGCTTCTAGCCCTTTGCGGATATGAGAGATTGCCGCCAACCCCCGTAGTTGACTCAGATATATAAAGGCCCTCCAAGTTCGGCGTCTTTTTGGATGGATAGTGACCTATCGAGCGGATGCCAGGCAGCTGTGACCACATCAGTGCCCCCTCCAGGAACAAGATTTCCATGTCGAGACAAACAAATGCACAACCCACTAAGATCAAGCAAACTTATCATGCTTCCCCTTCACCTTGACATCAAGCACCTCCTCATGGAAATTCCCCTCCCGCCTCGCCCTCCGCAACCTCCGCACCTCATCCTCCTCTAGCTTCCTTCCCACAATACCTTCCAACTCCTTCCGACTAATCTTCTCATATGCCTTATTCTCCTTCGCTACGCGAAGCCGCGGCTTAAACCGCGCCTGCATCCGGATGCGCACCGTCGTCTCGAACGATATCGCGCTCGCGTCGCCGCGGATCTCCACGCCGCCAGTCGCCTTGGCGCTTTCTTTGACGCAAAGGAAGGATTCGGCATCGCCACCCCGTGTTTGAAGGGAAAAGGTTCCGGGGATATCGGGGGAGGGAATTGCGAGGAAGGATTCGTAGTGCGACACAGCAGCAGCGCTCGCGCTGAAAAGGCCGTGGCTGTCGCAGGAGAGGTATCTATACCGCGTGGTTAGTTTGGTTCATCACCCAGCACGGTCGTACAGTATAGCCACCACTCACTTTCCATGGTGCCCCTTAAAGCTAAACGACTCTGTCCCCGCTACTCTCGTCGCAACCCACACCTGCCGCACATCATGCGGCTCGGCCGTCCCGGGGTCCCCCTCGATCAGATTCTCCAGCGCACTCGCGTAAACCTTGCCAATCGCATCGCTTGCCACACATGTCGGCTCATCGGACGGAAGGACGAGGACCACAGGGCCCGCAATATCGCTCGGCGTGTCGGCGGAAACCCAGCTCTGATCGTCGGGCGGGTTGTCGTCGGTCTCCGCAACGTCAGGCGCGTCGGTTTTGCGGGTCTTGGGGGTCTTCTCGCTGTCTGGGTCACGGTGCTTGCGCTTTTTTGGCTTGTCGCCCTTAAATGTCAGGGGCTTGACCATTGTGTAGGTGGGATTGGGGGAGTTGAGCGTGAAGTCGGAGGTTGGAGAATGAGGTTTGAATGCGGTGGAGTGGAGCGGGCTTATCGATAGCTGCCAGCTCCGCGCGGACAACTCAACTATAAGTGGGCCTCTACCGATTAGACACGGTCTTGCCCTTACGGAGTACATGCAAATGTATAACAGGGAATTCAATCTCTAGATTCTGGACAATTGGAAAGCACCTGTCACGTTAGACCATTCCTGCGTGTTGCTGTTATTCGAACTGCCATCACGGAGTATGCTGTCCGTTCTAGATGGTCATGTGCAGGAACCAAAAATTGGCCATCCAAGACTACTAAGAAACTGAGAAAGGTCAGCTATTTTCCAGTTCCACCTTAAATTTCACATTTTAAGACCAAATGTGGAACCAGGTTCGAAGCAACGGGTTTACCATCGCGCTACACAATGCCATGCTACGTCTCACCAATTCCTGGGACCTTGGTGGTTACTCAGCGCACCTCAAGGTCCTCACGCCGCGCCTCTTTTTAAAAAGCCGATTCTCCCATAGCGAACCCCGCGGAATACTAACACTTCCAAAACATGCATGTCTGCAAGAAGGCAATCTTATTGTTCTATTTCAAGAATCATCCTATTTGCCGAAAGAAAATGGGTATGAAACGCTCGCATCTCATCAAATCGTAAAGGTTTTCAAACGCATCCCATCGACCCACAACCAGACCCGAGTTCTAAATCTAGTCAAAAGTGATGGCTGCCTTGATGGCACTCTTGTTGCGCATGGCCTCGAGGCACTCCTCCCACTGGTCGATCCTGTACACCTTGTTGACAATGCCGTCGACCTTGACCTTGCCGGAGTCCAGGTAGTCGACCGCGGCAGGGAACTTGTAAGTCTCAGAGAAGCTGCCGAGAATGGTGATCTCGTCACCGACTGGGTCACTGTTAGAATTGGTCTTTTGGTAAACATGAGGACTGATGTCAACTTACAGATCTTGGAAGGAGGCCACGAGACACGGGCAGAGTCGGAGTACACGCCGTACACGACGAGCTTGCCGCCGCGGCGGACATAGTTAATGGAGTCCTCAAGGATGCTGACACTGCCAGTAGCCTCGACGACGATGTCGAAACCGTAGGGGTTCTGGGCCTTCAGCTGGGCGTACTGGGCAGAGGCATCCTGGCGCGACAGCTCGACATACTCATCACCAGCTCCCAGCTTCTTCGCAAGCTCCATTTTCAGACCACCGGGGGCGGCGACGACAACACGGCAGCCACCGCATTGGCGCAGCAGCTGGGCGAGAACCAGACCAGTCGGACCGGCACCGAAGATGAGGACGGAGGAACCCATCTTGGGGGCAATCTTGTCCAGACCGTGGGCCGCGCAGGAGGCAGGCTCAAGCAGGGTGGCATCGATATCAGACAGGTTCTTGATCTTGAACACGCGGCCGGCCGGGTAGGCGCAGTACTCCGCAAACCCACCGTTCATGGTAACACCGTGAGCCTGGAAGTCCTCGCAGAACAGCTCATCACCGCGACGGCAGTAGAAGCAGGTGCCGCACAGCTCCGAGTTGTCGGCCACGACGCGCTCGCCGATCTGGAAGTCCTTCACCTTGGGGCCAACGGCGGCCACAACGCCAACTGTCTCGTGGCCGGGAACCAGGGGGAACTTGGCAATGAATTCACCCTCATGGATGTGCAGGTCAGTACCACAAACACCGCAAGCCTTGACCTTGATCTGGTTTCCCAATGCTGGTTAGCCACGCTGTTTCAACTATTGTTCCGGGGCCGACTTACCAGGATGTCATTCTCGCGCAGCTCCGGCAGAGGGATCTCGACGAGGCTGTGCTTCTTAGGCTCCGAGTACTGGAGGGCCCTCATGGTCTTGGGGAGTGTGGAACCCATTATGGATGTTTGAAGTGAGGTTTCTGCGCCAGCGAGTCAGCTATCATGTCATTTATAGCAACGAGGCAGGGATTTCCGCAGCAAGCGGTGGTCCATGCGACATACATTGGGAGAGGTGTGAGTATGTAAGAAATTTGACAGCAAAAGTCGAGGTCCAGAAACGGAAGCTACGGAAGTACAGTTACAAAGAATATCGAAAGAGAGGGAAAAGCAGGCCTGGCCTGGGGGACTTAAATACCCTCCACGAAGGAGGGGCAATTCTCCTGCCGAAGGCTCGACGCTCATGCAACTCGCCCCAGGCCACCGAAAAAACAAACCTCAGCAAGGGCCGATGAAGTCACAGCTTGGATTGGACAGGTGTGGGTCCCAGATCGGCGCCGGTGACACCCATAAGCATACTTGCATCGGCTCAACTACTTTTGCGACCCTCAATTGACACACTCGTGCCGGGCCCCGAGCTGCTGCTGCTGCTGTGCGCGACTCCACCGCATAGACTGCCTCAATTCCGAACATGGACAGCTTGTACAGCTTGTACAGCACAGCCAGGGCCAAAGGGTGTTACGAAGACCCCTCGCCCAGCCGCTACGTCGTCCAATGGCATCGGCCGCCACGCCGCGCCGCCGAGTTTACGGTGCGCATATTGGGGTCGCGTCGTGGCGCACCGACTCCGGCGAGCAACCAGGTCGACCAGATCGATCCAAATTCAAGTGTTCTGGGTCGTCCCACTTTGCAAATGGCAGATCCATCTTGACGATGACTTCAGGGCGTTGCGGGCTTGGGAAATGACTTCATTGTTCGACTCCACGGCCCCGCCTCGGAAAACAAGGCACCGAGAACCCACCACCAGCAAGAAGATCGGTTTCGGAGGTCGCTTCTCCGACGGTTCACCGGTGCATTTGGCCCGGCTCGGTATCTACGCGGTGCCAGCGAGGAAACAGCAAATCTTCTCTCGATCTTCTGGCTTGATCTGACTCGAATTGACTGGAATTGACTGGAATTCGAAGCCCGTCGCGAGACGCGAATAGGAACAAGCGTTGGCTACGTCCGCCTCACCGCTGAACTCCACCACTGCCCCTCCTGCGGCCAGCCACAAAACCGTTCGGCCCCGCATTCATCATTAAAGCAGTCTCCGAACAGTCGCCCACACTAGCGTTGGTCACGCGGCTGTGGTATTGGGTGACAGCTCAGTTTTGGGCTGAGAGAGACAGGGGCATTGAATTGGACTCATCGAGCCCGGCCTGGACGCGGTCTCTCGAAACGGCCGCGAAGGGCGACAACGGGGACTATCTAGTCATGAACCACAGCCAAACCAACGACAGGTTCCGTCGTGGAAAATCGATGGACCGAGAGTTCCAGCCAGGTCTGATTTCCGAGGTTTGATTGTTTCAATGCGGTTGAACGGTTGAGATCTTACAGTGGCGACTGCGGTGTGGGTGTTCGACACGTCGCAAGGGGCTACCCCAGACTGGCCGTTCAATGGTTCTAGACTTGACCAGTGACTTTCCCAATTGTGTCTTCAATTGACAGTGTGCCTGGCCTGAATCTCCCTTGATCTCAGCTGCTATGATCAACTTGAAATTGCGACTGTGGGATTGTAGAACGTCGCCGTCCTCCGTATCAGGACCGGAATTCTGTGCAAATATGATTTAATTAGGACTTTTGATCCGGAGAATCGGTAAACATTGCTAATGCTATCTGGTTTTCAATATGCACCGTCCCAGGCTGCTCTTCTATCTTACTCCAGCTACCACCCATTTGCCAAAGAAACGAGTGCACCTACACTGAAACCGTCTTACTTGGAAAGGCAGTCAAGAAGATTGAACTGGTCCATGTTCAGGCACCCGAAAACGTCTAATGTAACATAGCCCACCTCGAGATACCTCATGTATGCATAAACATTAGTGCTGCAATTCTCGGTAGTCACCCCATCCTCACAAGTTTCATGTCAGAGCGGTTTTGATGCTTTTAGAAAGTCATATGCTTTCACATGGGACAGTCACAGGTACTTGACTGCACTCTTTAAGGATTCCTTGAGCCAAGAAAACAACAATCATCGCTTTAACCAGGCTACAGTGCTTATATATAAAGTTTTGATACCCCCGAAATACCCACTTAGAGCTCTTTGGCCATGTAAATGGCAGACCTGCAGCTTCAAAAGCCTCACTCATTCCACCTATCGGCGAGAGCTCCCCCCGGAAGGAATGCCTGTATAGCACCATTCTCTTTATGATATCGCCGCAGATACAAGCAAATTGAAGGACATTCCACTCTAGCCCTAAGTTCAATCCACCATATACTGCGACCTGCTTTGCGGTACCATAGATAGAGCAACAATAGCGCTACAGGGTATTTTCTCCGGAGCAAGTCTTGGAAAGTGCCATGGATAATCCGCATGAAGAGTTGGGTCGGACCTGTTGTGACCTCGCTATCCGGGAGGTCCAGAATCTGGGATACCGCGTAGGCGGCATGAAAGTACGGGTTAGTTTCCGCCGTAGATGAGTCTGTGAGGTCACACACGGCGGCCAAGGGCGCGGGTATACCATCTATGCCTCCCTCTGGCAATGGTGAATGCATCTGAGCATAGGTCGCCGCCATGACGCGGAAAAGGCTGTCCGGTCGCAGCGGGTTAACCATGTGCCACAATGACATTTTACCCTTGCTCATATGCAACCAGTCCAAGTCGGAGGCGTCGGAGGACTTGAGAGGCCACGCTTGTTCCGGTGTACATGCGTCAGGGGATGAGAAGGTTAAGATAACCAGAGCAGCGGCAGTGCCCCAAATTGGATCCTTATCTTCCGCCTGAATCGGTTCTCTTAGCCGCTTGTTCAAGAGAACTGTGCTTTGAGACCAGTGATAACACTCTTCTAGAGTGCGACGACAGCCTAAGGAGCCATTCAGATGGCGGTCATATGTAAGCGCCACAGCTAGAGAGGCATGCATTAAGAAAGGGTACTGTAGACCATCCGTTAGCCGAGCTCAGGCCCATAATGGATCATCCGGCTTCCATGTTGTCTCATGAAACAGAATCTTGGTATAGTAAAACTTACGGCGAAGGCTAGTTTCAGGAGCTTGCGATTAACTTGTATCATATTAGGGTCGTCGGGGGTAATGAGACTTCGTCCAAGATACCGGGTTATAAAATCTTGACATTTTGTGTTCAGTTGATAGGATGTCGATGCGTCGGATGTCCAAACCGCATTTGTGAGAGGGGGCTGAAGCTCTGCTTTTCCTCTCACTGCCAATGGCCGCCCTGCATCAGCGGCGACGGGCTGGAGGTCGGGGATGTTCGACATGAAGTTGCATAATACCCCGAAGGAACTACATCTCTTGCACTGTGGTTTGCCTTCGTCGCACTAGCAGACCAAGGAAATTCGATCAGCCAAGCGCCAGATTATTGAAAGCCTACGGCCACCCACCTTGAGTTTTCGAAGCTTGCAATTTCGGCAGCCAAATCTCGACCTCCGCGGAGGCCTACCCTCCCGCGCCTCTCTAGGACAAGTCGAAGCCATGCCTGGTTAATGTTAATTACCCAATGCCTCGCGCAGCTTGGCTGTGTGGGACTTTTCCCGAGTTCGATGGGGATTCAATGACGGAGGGATCCGGAGCAGGTGGAGACGGTCTTGCTAAGTAGGTTCACATCGCCATAGGCACGCATAAGCTAACCCTCTTTCGGATCTTCCACCTTTCACGCTAGCCGTTCCTCGGGTGCAGAAGTCTCTGATTGGCTGCGCGACATCTGCCCTGAAGCCATCCGCCATCTCTAATCAATACCAGATTGCGTTGGACGCATCACTGCCCCAAAGAATACTGGGCTTGGAATAATAGCTTAATATATAAGAAGAAGAGTATTCCTCGATATCCTACGAAGAAATGCTACTGCCAACGGCATCCGACGCATGACTCGTTAACTTGAATACCAAACTCGGTCCACATAAAGTTCTATACCTCGAAAGCCTTCGCTTCCATATACAAGCAGTCCAGAATGGCCACCCACCTCGCCGCCGTCGCCCTCGCAAAAGGTGCACCCTTCGAGGTCCAAGCCCGCCCCACGCCAAAACCAGGCCCAGGCGAGCTCCTCATCGCGGTCAAATCCGTGGCCCTCAACCCAGCGGACTGCCACATGCGTGATCAAGGCCTCTTCATACCCACCTACCCCACGGTCATTGGCTTTGACATCGCGGGGCTAGTTCTCGAAGTCGGCGACAACGTCCCCGTCGGTGCTTTCCAACCGGGGATCACCCGCGTCGCCGCGTACGCCGCCTCCTTCTGGAGGTCCTACAATCCTAACTACGGCGCCTTTCAGGAGCGGTGCCTGGTCCCTTGGCAGCATGTCCTGCCTCTTCCTGATAAGGGTATTTCTTGGAACCAAGCGGCAACCTTGCCCGTCGCCGTCGAGGTACCCCTTAGCGCGTGGGATATCATGGGGATTTCGCGGGTGGGAGAAGCCACTGCTCCTCCTTCTTCATCTTCTTCTGCCGTCTCCGCTGCCCTAGTCGGCGCCGATACTAGCAGAGAAGCTCAGGAAAATAAGGCTCAAAAGAGAGAGGCTCTCTTAGTCTGGGGCGCTTCCTCTAGCGTGGGCACAATGGGCGTGCAAACCGCCCGGCTACTGCGGGAATATCGCGACTCTCCCTTTGCTGCGGTCTACGCCACGGCCGGGGCGGCGAATGAGAAGTATGTGCGCTCCCTAGGCGCGGATCGCGTTTTCGATTACAAAGAGCCGCGGGTTGTGGATGCGATTGTGTCCGCAGCCAGAGAGGACGGTCTAGTGATTCGCCACTGCTTTCTTGCCACGGGGCAGCTGGCGCCATGCCAGGCCGTGCTGAAAGCTTTCTTCAGGGATGATCAAGGCTTCAGGGATAATCAAGGGAGAGAGAAGCTGAAGGCGAAGATCGGGTCGGCGCCGCTTATTCCTCTAGATGCGGAGGAGGTAGACGGGGTGGAAACCATCTTTGTGATGCCGTCGATGGACGAAGGCGAGAGGGTAGCTCAGTTCCAATATTGGATGGGGCCGTGGCTGAGGGAGAAACTGGCCAACGGGACGATCAGGCCGAGCCCGGAACCGAGGGTTGTGGGAAAGGGTTTGGAGGCTATTAATGCTGGGTTGGATGTGCTAGCCCGGGGGGTGAGTCGTACGAAGTTGGTGATAGAGGTTGCAGAGTGAGGGTTTCTAGGAGGCGGACACCAGGTCCTTGATGTAAAGGAGTAGTATAGGTATTTAGATAGGAAGATAGGATGCCTACTTAGTTAGTAAAGGATTAGGGGGCTCGTACGGCTATAGCTAGAAGCCTCCTATTCCCTGTTTGTCGATATAGCATAGGGCTCATTGTTATAAATCTTTTCCTCCACTCCAGGAACGTGCTGCCTACTTCTAGGGGCTATATAGCTTCCGGGATACTAAAAGTAGCTTCTAGGGGGTTGTTGGAAACCCGAGAGGGCGTGCCTTACGCTCGGGGCATGACACTAAGTAAAAGAAGGAGGCTTTCTCGTGTTTAGGTGAAGGCGGATGCACCATGTGGATCCCGCGTATCCCATCTCTTTCACTTCTCATGTAGGCCTCATGTGTATCCCTCGCATTTTCGTACCAAACGAGGCAGTAGGAGACGGCCAACGTGGAATCCGAACTCCCTCGCCGCAAAAAAAGGTATGGTCTGAGTAGTGTCTGAGAGTGATATTTTTGATGAGAGAAGCATCGGAGACAGAGAGTCCTATCGCACAAGCGTTATGGGGCAGCTCTTTAATGTCTTTTTCATGCCATCGTTCAGTGCCCGCCGGTGGAACTATACAGCGCTTTGTTGCAAAACCCACCGCCAATTAGGCACATCTTCTAATTGGTTAATTCAGTTTATGGGACCGCGGTTCCGGGGTCTGATAACTTAGAAATAACAGCCCCCAAGTAAGCGTGATAGCAATTTACTATCGTTTCTCATCCACCCGCCATGGATGTCCTGCCTCCGCCAGACTACCCTCCGGTCAAGCCGAGCGAGTACCCTCAAATTCCAACACGAACGCCACTAGTGACTCTTGATACATTGCATGCTTCCTGCGTCAGTGGTGATATCCAGAAATTTCGGGAGATTCTTGACTCACAAAGTTCTTCGCCGGAGGGCTTTGACATAGGCGACTTCTATGCGATAATGATCGCAGCCATCGAGCGAGATGATGCGCAGGTCATCAAAGAGCTTCTTGATCGCGGCTTGCCCATGGATCCACTATATGCATTGGAAGCCGTCAAAGTGAAGGGGAAGGATGCTCTGAAAGCTTTCCCCCAAAATGGATGGGATATCAATCAGCCCACGAGCGAGCTTAAACCTCCCGTACTAGGGTGAGACTCAGTATCCCAATAATCTTGACGATGTCATCAAGGATAACATTGTAACATTTCTCTAGTTATGCTATTGCAGATGAGGAGATGGCAGCTTGGCTCCTTGATCATGGAGCTGATTCCAATCGGCAATGCGTTATTGATCTCACACCATTCTCCTTTGCTGTCCAAAGTGCCCCAATATCCGTGATTCACCTCATTCTCAAACATGGCGGAGATGTTCGGAAAGGCCAGCTTCTTCATCATGCAATCGAACGTCGATCGGACACCATCGAGGTCTTAAGGCTTCTCCTCGAAAAAGGAGCCCCAATTAATTCAACTATGTACGAGAATCATTATCCTTCTCGGGCGTTATTCCAGTTTATGAGTCTCGGAACCCCCCTGCACAAAGCATCTGAACTCGGCAAAGCTGACGTGGTGCAATACTTGCTCGGCGAAGGTGCCAGCCAGAGTATCAAAGATGCAAATGGTTGTACAGCTATGGAGTGTGCGCAAATGTCGAGCCAATGGGAAGTCATCGAGGCGTTAACAACGGGATGTAGCTCGTCTGTTCCGTATTCATTTTACATGTTTTCACCGCGCTTGTGAGTTTTTCAGACCAGTTAGAGCGACCTTGTCAACACATTACTCACACGAAAACTAAGATACAATAAGACCAGCCCTTCCGGGATTGCTTTAGGTTGAAATCTTATGGGAGATACACAATCCTTAAACACAGTTCCGAATCCTCTAAGAAATTTGTGTTGTTCAATTGCCTCTTCTGGACTTGCCAGGACAGTAACTACTAATCGACTACACGAATGACGCCACAGCGACCACAATATTCTCTTTAACTCCGTGTCTCATTAACTGTACCGGATTGGCTGGGGCCAAGATGTCCCACTAAAACAAGTCTTCGAGTCGCGATCCAATGGAGACTCCGATTAGCTAAGATTTTAGCCCCATTGTTTTCCACGCTTATAAGGGTAAGGTGTTGTCCCCCGACTCTCAACATCCCTTAATCTCCACTAAAAATAACATCATTTGACAAAGATGAGCTCTCTCCTCACAGCTCTTGGCCTCCGTGCCGCCGATTCACTCGACTCTCGAATCCCGAACTTGGGTCCTGCCTTCCTGGGTTTCCATTTTGTTTGGGCATACGGCGTCCTCTCCTCGCGCACCCTGAAGCAATGGTACGGCATCGACCACCAAGCATCACCTCGTGAGGACCTGGTCAAATATGGAGATGCAGCTGTGCGAGACGGCAAAATCACCCGCAAACAACTGAACATGCTTAAGCGCAATGAAGCGGCCCATGCCAACTCGGTCGAAAACTACTCTCTACTCGTCGGCAGTCTGCTGTTTGCGTCGTATGCTGGCGTTCCCGCGCAGACAATCAATGTGGCGGGCTTATCGTACACTATCGCTCGCATTCTATACGGGGCGGTCTATATCTTCATTGACAGCCCGAAATGGAGTTACACTCGTGCGGTGGCGTGGTGGTGGGGCAATGTCAGCTGCTTCACTCTTCTGTATCAGGCTGGAAAGCTTCTGAGTGTCTGATCGACCTACCGTTGTAAATATTTGTCGCTGAAATGAATCGGCTATCACGTACTATATACCAGGGTCTACAATGCACAGCTTGGGGAAATGGTCATCATAATATTGATACTTGATTCCAGGTCACAATGGACGCGTAAGTAAGTCTACAACTCGTCAAAAATTCCAAGCTTTACAAACTTCTCAAGGGCTGTCATCAGTGACGACTTTCATAGAGGCAGTCAGAGGAAGGTCCCTGCTCGAGGAGCCAACATAGAGGTTATAGCTTCCACTCTGCAACAACCACTTCTGCGCAACGACATCCCAAGTGCTTAGATCCCGGCGAGTCAGCGGGAATGAAACCTTGACAGACTTTCCAACTGGGATCAGGACCTTGTCGAATCCACGGAGCTGTTTCACTGGGCCACCGGGGATTCCAACATAGATTTGAGCAACTTCAGCGCCCGCTCTACGTCCGGTATTGTGGACATTGGCAGTGACTGTTGCAACTGTGTCCCAGAGATCAAGGGCACCACCTTGCTCGATGGCTCCGCTGGGGTATGCAGCGATACCATTCTTCGGCGTAGAGACCTTGAGGTCGGAAAAGGAGAAGGTGGTGTATGAGAGACCGAAGCCGAATTCGTAGCGCGGTGTAATATCGTGCTTGTCGAAATACCGATAATCAGTGAGGACACCCTCGTCAAAGTCCGACTGGGGGAAAAGGCCGTAAGGTGTGACTGCACCATCATGGAACAATGTCGCGTAATCGGATTCGTTCTTGGCAACGGTATAAGGCAGCTTGCCGCTGAAGTTCGCGTCGCCGTAAAGCAGAGAGACGATGGCGCGGCCAGAATCTTGGCCAGGGAGATGAGCAAAGACAATTGCAGTGACGTTCTCGTTGTCGGCGAATTGGTCCACCAGACGAGTGCCGGCGTTGTGGATAACAACGATGGTGTTGGCGCAAGTCTTGGCGACTTTGTTCACCAACGCATCGGAGTAGTTGTCATGCAGCCCAGAACGGTCCATACCCTCGGTGGCAAAGGCATTAATGAAGACGAGGCAGGCGTCGGATGCCTCCATCAGCCCAATGGCGCTGGGAGCGACTGAGGTATCCCACATCAAGACGGTGCCATCTTCATAGGCCCGCTGTTGCAGAGCATCAAGAGGAGCACTTAAGTAAGGCCCACTGTTGGCACCAGAGCCACCACCGACGGACAGGGTGCCATTAAATGCGATCTGGTAATCATAAGGCTCATCAGTGACGGTAGTCGAGAATGCATCAGCAATCTGGAAGATTGCCGGCTCGAAGCCCAAAGCCCAGGGGTTGTCAAGGAAAAACTGTCCATTGGGCATGTAGGTGTCAGGAGCTTTGGCATCATAGCCGAAGACAGAAACCAGTTTGGGCGACTGAAGGGGCAGAGCGTTCTTCGTGTTCTTGACCAAAACATGGCCTTCCACCGCACCATCATACAAAGTTGGCTTCGCATCACGAGTGAGTGCATTTACAATGGTATGAGGCTCGCTGATATTGTACGGCATGCCAACACCAGGGGCAGGGAAGCTCGATTGATCTTGTCCCATCTGATACCAAGTCGCGATGATGCTGTCGTTTCCGTTAGCCAAAAACTATGTGGAACCAGTATCAGACTGTCGGTGGTTACTTACCGAGTTGCCATATCATCCAGGCGAGACACAGGAACACTACCGTTGGTAAACGCTTCGGTGAAGTTGTTGCCCCAGAAGGAGAGGCCGTTAGGCATAGCCATGTCGAGACCAGCGAGGGCAGCTCCAACACCAGAGTGTTGAGCATCCCAATCAGTGACGACAAATCCGTTGAAACCAAGCTCAGTCTTGAGAAGTCCGTTCAGGGTCTTGCTGTTCTGGCAGCCATATGAGTTGTTCACTCGGTTGTAAGAGCACCTAAAAAGAAGTTAGCTCCCGCTTGTGAAAAAGCCCTTCTCATCTTGCAGCTGACATGATGTTCCCAGCTCCTGCCTTGAGAGCATCCTGGAAGGGCCAAAGATACAGCTCATGCATTGTCTTGTCATCAATGTTGCTAGATATTGACTCGACAGTCTGATTCTCGGAATTGACAGTGGGGTTTCGGTACAGCTCCTGCTCATTAGCAATGAAGTGCTATTCGAATTTAGTATGAACACCTGCTAACATAATCTCCGGTATGGATTGATTTACCTTCACGCTGGTGATAACACCTTGCTCCTGGATTCCTTGCACAGTTGCAGCAGCAATTGCACCACCCAGGTAAGGATCATTTGAGGGGCCTTCCAGAAGTTAGCAGATGCAAAGATCTTATTCCCTCTTGCAGGCACCAACCTTCCCAATTTCTTCCACCCGTGGTGGTTCTCCCCAACGGTCCAACAACAGGGCCAAGCGCTACTTGGACACCCTTCTTTCTGAATTCACCCCCCATATGCCAGCCACGCTCATAGGCAAGAGACTTATTCCAGCTATCATTGTCCCACAGATTAGACTTGGGGGAGTTTAGGATTTGGTACATCTTTTGACTCACCTAGCACCCACATGTATACCACTTGCATAGCTGTTGACAAAGTCTGTAATACGCACGCCGTTTCCTGCATCCTGGAGACACATGCCAGTGAACCCAAGTCGCGGAATGGGTGCAATATTTCCGGAGCATCCGTTCTCGGTACTAGTGACTCCGTACGTAAGATTGTTCTGGGAAAGCCATGGTCAGTATAAGTATAGAAGTGTAAGTGAGCCTACGGATGAAACTGACTTTCTCTTCCAGCGTCATCTTTGATACCAAGATTGCGGCCTTTTCATAGGCCTTGGCCCAATCGCCAGATCCTGTGCCATTGGCTGCGTGGCGTTAGATAGCACACATGGGGATTTATGGAAAGCAGTCCAACCTACGTGAAGGGTACACCGGCTCAGACTGGCCGTAGAAGTGTATATCGGAAGTAATATTGCTTTCCGCATAGCCAAGGCCACACACCGAGAGAATGGCCACTGCCACTCCCAGCTGCTGTGCAGAAACCATGGTGCAATTCTCCAATCAATGAGGCCTTGCCCAGTTTCTTGTGAGTCTGTGATCAACAGGCGTATCCGAAGGTGGCTCAAGCCCCTCTAAATACTTTTCCGCGCCTTCGCAAGACACACGGCATTAAATGTCTGCCGACGGTGATGACATGCCCCGAGTATCACGTAAAGTCCGGGCAGAGACCTTTTCCACCATCAATTTCCTCTTTTGTAAAACCCATGACGATATCCGAGGCTGGTACAGTACGAATTTTCTCCACGCTTGGCATGAGGCCAAATAAGCTAACCCCGCATTTCGGCTCTTGGTTGGGGAAATTGCCTTCTGTAGTTGTGGAGGGGCCTATGAGAGCTAACTTGCAACTAGTGGCCATCTTACTTTGCGGCGGCTAAACTTCGGGTGTATGCCGTCTTGTCGTGCAGGGAGGTTTTGCAGAAGAGACATACGAGATCCCTTGATAAATGCTTTCTAAATACGCACATAATCTCAACAAGGTGACTTTAACTACGCAATAGCCACTTGTTCTCCTCGATAGGTCTCCTTTCCACGAATTTTCGTTAGATCTGGCAAAGGGTGTTGCACACAGGCAACTGGAGGAACCCTCAAGGCTACGGGAATTTATCGGGTTTCCACTTAACTACCCCCTCTAGCAACGTATCCACTCATAATTGGATACCCACCCAACTGACGGCACCGCAGGAGAGTATAGCACACACAATAATGTGCAGGCTCGTGGAAGGCGGGGAGGATGTGGGGCTCGGTGCAGGGCATGCATGAGGTTCCATAATCTGGGGCGCGAAAGAGCGCGGTGCGGGTGTTTTAATCAAAAAAGGAAAGAAAAGACCAAGCGTTATGGCTTGAATGACTCCAGAAACTTGGCGTTTTACACAGGGGCAGTGCAGGTAGTGTCCGTTGATATTTAGTCTATACGTTCTACGGCTCGCGTGGCGTGCGGGGGTGGTTGGGATAGATCTACCATGGCTCTCAAGGCCAAGCAGCTGAGCGATACCACCTCGGTGGAGCTTAGCAGACCATTAACATCAGTGATTATACCCGATCCCACATATACTTCCCCCGGCATATACACGGAATCTGGGTGGGGTGAATTCGTTCTTGTAGTACCAGACAAGGCTCGGCAAAGCGGACGGCATGCCCTATGACTCGACCATAGGCTGGTCTGGCGGATAGATGCCGAGGACGGGAATTTGATCTAGATTTGTACTCATATCCGTTATGCGGCGTAAAGGGTGGGTAGGTGGAATGAGGCGGAGTGAGGAGTTGCAGCATACATCGGCATCTATGGAAACCACATCAGCCGAACATAAGGCTTGTGGATACTGTACAGGACCATGCTACCTTGATATCCTCGAACTACTGCTTGATTTACGTGCTATTGTTCCTTCTAACTGGAAGACTGGATGGCAGCCTAGAGATATCGTATTTCGATAAGAGCAATTAACCCAGCAAACGCCGCCATGTGGATTCTAACCCCCAGCAAAAAGAAATAAGAGTCCAGAATGCACCGCGTCGAGGAAACGCACAACCAACGAACGTCCAGCGTCCATAAAACATTCATAGCCATCATGAGTGGCCCAGCCATGAGCAGGAGCAAAAAAAAAAAAAAAAAAAAGACTCATTTCAATCCAAAGCCCTCGCTATTCACAACTGCATCCCAAAGCAGCTTTTGGAGCTTCTCCTGGGAGCCGTAGCGGTACAAACCCAGGGTGTTGAAACAGGTCCGTGCGATCGGATAACGGGTGCAGTCGTCTCCGAGACAAGCGAGCCGCATGGACAGGCTAGTCGCGCCCATGGCGGGTATCCGGTCACTACCGGTGACGAAAGACAAAATCTTACGTTGTGCCTGGGGCGGAGCGGTTTCGAAGAAATCCCAGAACCATTGCACCACCGCCACTGATTCGGGTCGGTGAGTTGACCAGTTATCATAGGTAGCAACTGCCCGTAAGGACGTCACGTCAAGGGGTTCATCTGAGCCGCGAACCAGTAACTCGATTTCATCCGATCGAAATAGTGACAGAGCATTACCGCCGCACACTGTAAAGAATCCCCGTTTAAACGGCTCAAACTGCTTGGTCACCGCTGTATCGAGGAGGTAGCGAACATACAAGTCCACGAATTCACGTCGGTTCGAATTGGTCACTGGGCGATTTTCGCCTCCTGTGCACAGCGGCACAGTCACAACTTCTCCGTACCGATCGACTTGAGCGACAAAGTCATAGCAGAAAGTCTCAGCGACATCGCCTTCGAAATCCAGTAGGCCTCGAAGGCCTTTAGCAAGTGCAGGTCGGAACTCAGCAAGGTCATCTAATGTGCACTTGAACCTCGAACGGTGATGGTTTAATGGATGCGAGCCAGTATTCTGTGGTGGAGCTGCAAGCAATTTTCGAAAGGCAAATGGCGGCAAGGCAATATCAAGAATCGTGGAGTTGTAAATCGCAAGTCCGAGCAAGACTCCAACCAAGTAAAATTGCTCGGATGATTCGAAGCAATAAGGGTTGAAGTAGCAGTACTTGGAGTCGTCATCGTAAATGAACAGACCTGCCCAGCATAAGTCAAGGATTTCAATCAGCTAAGATTTGATTTTACTTACCATGGTGCGGATCGAAAACCTCCCGGACAAGCAGAAGAAACCACTCCTTGCGCAGACCACCAGCATCAACGCCTTCCTCTCCGACGAATTCGATACGGAGGCCCTTCTTGATCTCCTCAGACCCTGCCCCGACGGACTCACTCACAGCGCGCATACTGTCTTCAACGAGACATTCTCGCCGCACCTTCAGAATCAGATATTGGCTGACCGCCCGATGGTTGAGAATGCTGCTGAAAAAGGCCTCGCGAGCTTGGACTTCCATTTGACGACGAGCATCATGCTCCATTATGTGAATCTTAGCCCAGATACTAAGTAGAAACGGGTATTGGCAGAACGAAAACTTGGAGCTTTTTGACTCCCAGATTTCGAAGTCGGCTATCAGATCGGAATAGTCCAGCAAGGTGTTGTAGAAGGCACTGATAGGGACCATGTAATTGTCACGACGTCCTGACTGGTTCGCAGCAGGGGTAGCATAGCGCAGGGTCCTTGGGTCCCACGAATGCACGTCGGACTTCCTAGATCCTTCGGTGTTCGCGGTGAACAACAGAGACAGAATTCTTGAGCCGGCTCGGATCTGCCAGTCTTCCGCATATGCCACCGGTGCTTCCTTCTTCTGCGCTGGCTTTTTGTTCGGGCTTCGTCGATTATTGAGAGCCGCATGTAGCTCGGCTGGCGTGTTACCGGCAGCGCTGGCGAAGCTTGGAACAAGCTCATCTCCATCATTCGTGATCTCGCAGCGCTTACGGCCATGTTGACGAGTCAATCGATAGGTGAGAAAGCCGCCTATCAGTTCCACAATCCGTTCGAATTGACTGGGAGGAAATCGAGCGAACCAGGAGATAAAATGGTGATGGCATTCGTTAGAAACATTGGACATCAGACCTAGAATCCGCTTCACGATTCCATAATGATGATTTGAGCCCCCGTGGCGAGTGTGGTCTTTGCGAGAAGACTTGCCGTCCCTGGTTGCTGGTCGTGGGCCTTCATTCGGGTGGGATGGCCGTCGACCATCACGGTGTGGAACTTGTGCAGATCGTGTCGGAGTATAAGCACTGGGTGATGACAGCAAAGGATTGGCAAGCAATATGAACAACCACCTGGTGTCGTCCGCCTTCTTCACGAGACGGCGTGGGCGCTTCAAAAGATTTTCGACCGTTTTCAGGAATGTCCGCTGGAGGTGTAGGCGTGAATCAATAATCTCTCTTTCCAGACGAGACAGATCCGCCGACTCCCATCTCATGTACCGGACTGAATCGGCTTCTGAACGTGAACGATCAGGCTTCTTAGCCACCCAGCGCTCTGCCCAAGAGCTGCCCGCAGTGAGAAGCAATTGATACCACCGGCCCACTTCGGCCCAGTTGATTCGAGGAGTTCTCGAGGATACTAAGCGAGAATCGTGACTGGCTCCATCCTTAGCTGAGGAAGGCATGTGGCCCTCGGCCTGGGCCCATTCTGTCATCCACCAAGACGAGTTCTCAGCCAAGTCTCCCAAAAGAAGAGTTTTGGCATCTGGCTCAAATACTGCTTCATTTAATGCTGGTTCCATCATGGCACTTGGGTCGAGCTTCATCCTCGGGGGGTTGCCGCTACTAGCCGACCGAATGGAGGGTTGATGGGTTGAGAACGATGAATTGATAACGTCGATGCCTTTGAAAGCAGCAATCAGGTAATTTTCCAATCGTTCAAATACCCAGGAGCGAGATTCACGGTCTTTGTTCTCCAAATCCGAATGTTGAGTTGGACGATCGTGGGGTTTGCGATCGACCTTTGGACTAGTCTGTAGATCCGAGTTGGCTCGAGTTCGGATTGGCGCGTCCTTGCCTCCCCACTGAACCGTGTGCGGCATCAATAAGGTGGATTTATCCTTCGGCAGGCCGAGTCGTTGACCAGATCCAGACGTGCTGCGGCTGCGAGGGTCTCGAGAAGCCGACAGGTAACCGCCACTAGGGCTATGTGTGGCCAATGACGACGAGCCCTCTGGCTTTGAAGGACAGACTCGGCCACTGTAGTTGTCCTCTTGTGCCGATCTCAATCGGGATCCATCTAGAAGACCGTCAAAGTACATCGAAAGACATCTGTCAATCAGGTCACTGAGGCGCTTAGCTGACAAAAGCATCTCTAAGACAGCAGTTAGTAACTCCTACCCAAGAGTAGAAAGTCAACAGCTTTGGTGGTCACATACCTGGCCTCGGCTCTAACGGCCGTGCTGATGGCGGCAGCGGTGGTAATGGGCGTTCGTCGTAGGGGTGCTTCTTAAAACGTCCCTCTCGAGACCGGTCTTCACCGTCTGGTTTGATGGAGCCTTTCGATTCGGTCGAACGAGTCGAAGATTCGCCATCAAGGTCGGTGACCATCAAGCAAGCAGAACAGCGAAATGTCTTCAAGTTCTGTGGCCATCGTACAGTCGAGTTGCAGGTTTGACATTTCGTTTCTGCGAGGTCCCCTCCTCCTTTCGAGTCTTTGCGGGGGCTCCCTTCAACAGGCTTCGGCGGGTATGTGACCTCGTCGGAGTCTGAATCTGAATTCCACATGTTGGCTTTTGCCCTGCCACGTCTTCTCCCGAGTCCAGCAAATGGGAACGGGTGACTGATTGACCGATGGTGCCCCCGGCGGTATGGGCCGGTGGGGGTAGTGCCGTTCATCATGGCCATCGTCGGCGCATTCTGGTGCTCTGCTGGGCGTCTCTGAGCGCCTTCGGGGGCAGGAACCACGGTAGTCTTGCGAGGAGGATTCGAAGGGGCAGCAGGCACGCCGGAGCTCAAGATCGGAGGCAGCGGCGGGTCACGTCCAGGCCGGGAGGACATGAGGGCGCATCTGTCCGACTCGGGTTGGTGGAATCACCGCTATAAGGAAATCCAGAAGTTGAGCCAGCGTATGGAGCTCGGTATTTGTACTCGACGCATGCGAATCGACCGTGGGGTAGTGACCGGTAACGAGGATCCGAGCGAGTGGAAGGCACGAGTTCTTTGTATCACGATCAAGGGCTACAGCCGAAAAGAAGCAATCCAGACAAAGAGAACAAATGATCCAAGCTTGAGGTGATGCAGTATACCCAAAGACGCTTGCACAAAGGGTGAACTGAGGAGATGTCGTAGCAATAGCTCATAGTCAGCCTAGAGACCAGACGGATTGGGCAAGCCGCCGACCAGAGCAGGGGTGCACTCAATTAGGTGCCTCAGGCACATAAGCGGCGGGTAACTTGACTTATTTTAGCTATTTTTGGCACGTCCAACAAAGTGCCTGGCAGTGCCCATCTTTCGTCAAGTAACGGAGTAACATTGTGGTCATTCAAGCTAGCATCTATCCCAGTGATCCACTGAAGATCATCCCAGTCGACTGGATCCAGGCGCTAGAGGACGCGAACCGAGCGGCCCCGGACAAAGCACACGAGCACCCGCTTAGGCCGGTGGAAATTCTCCTAGGCCAACAATTCAAGACCAAACGTGAGTACAATGAATCTTACAGTAACTACAGAGCCTTAGCGCCGGTATGGAGTTGAACCAGTCATACTTCGTTAATCAGGGGGAATTCAACATAAAACAAAGATGGCTTTTTGGCTAGAAACAGATCCTGCCGGTCTGCATTAAACTCGAACCCAGCGTAGATGAAACGATCCGGGAGAGAATTGATCGAAAAGATAACCACATGCAGCCAATATTTTCCACCACAAAACACCGAATAAGTGCATTAACGCACTTAACGGTAACGCCAGTAGCTCTGGGTGTTCTGGAGCTTCCAGGTGTGGCGGCGGCCAGCCTTGGTGTTGTTGTAACGATGACCCTTGTTGATACCACGGGACTTCTTGCCGGTAGCGGTGAGACCACGGGCCTCGCGGTGCTATAATGAGAAATTGAATCAGTATGGCCATTTTCATCTTATTGAATAAATTTTCTTCTGGGAAAAAACGCACCTTGTGGACGGGGTTGCAGATCCAGTTGATGCGGGCATCGCGGCGGATAGCCTTGTGCTGGGGGTCCACACAGATAACCTCGAAGTACTTGTAGGTGGAGTCCTGGTTGATCCAGTAGGAGTTCAGGACACGCAGGTTGGCGCAGCGGCGGCCAACACGCTCCTCAGCGGTAGCGCGCAGAGCACGCTGGTACTTGAGCTGGTTGATACCATGGTTGGTGGGCTTGCCGTAGGTGGCACCCTTGGGGGCAGGGCGCTTACGGCCACCGCGGCGGACACGGATGCGGTAGACGACGTAGCCCTGCTTGGCCTTGTAACCGAGACGGCGAGCCTTGTCGGGACGAGAGGGGCGCGAAGCACGGTGGATGGCGTTCAGCTGGCGGAGCTATATTGATGCACTCTCAGCAAAGTTCAACGAGTGTATAGCAAGACACATGAGACCCAAAAAGAAGTCTCATTGCTGTGCCACAAAAAAATTCATTTCCGCCAAAGGAGGTTCGGTTCTGAGCCGTCCAGTAATGCCAGGAATCCAGGCATTTCCTATGGCTACGCACACGAGCGCTCGGCGGAGATGTCAGGCAATCGAGGGTCGGGGAGATTCTATCTTACCTCCCAGCAGCGAACGCGGAGCAGGAACCGAATGACATCGGACTGCTTCTTCTTCTGGATCTCTTCGACGTACTTGAGGGCACCCATCTAGAACAACTGCAAGTCAGAATACTATTGGGTCGAGGTGTAATTGGGTATCTGGCGTGAGCGTACCTTGTCGGCTTCACGAGGTCGTCGGTTGTCGTTGTCGCAATTGCGAAAAGTTCGAGGGAGAAAGGTTAGCGAAAGAGAATGTGTGTGGGACGCTAGTCGATTAGCCGAGTCTGGTTTGTGGGGCCAATCACGGGCTCGCAGTCACGGGGCTGGGCCACATGAAACCTTTTGCCTCAGGTGTCTACTGCTTTCATCACTTAACCAGTTAACTAGGAGTTAACAATACTACGAGTTTGATTCGGAATACATCTCTCGCTACAGCACAAAATTTCCTGAAGCGAACAACACTCTTGAGAAACATGTATCTTTAACAATAATTGACAAAAAGGATATTCATATTACATAACACTTTGCGCCCTTCTAACACAACTAGTAAATCTCGTGTGTGAATATTTGCTCGAGATGGAGAAAGGAGGCTAACAAACAAATCGCTTCATATTCACAAAAATGCTGGTTGATGCTGGCTATTTACGATGATCCCCATTTTTTTCAGAACTTTGCGGAACGAATATTAATCTTCAAGTCCCTCCTCGTGCGGCCTGTTCTTGGCGAACCATTGCGTTCGTCACAGGGATATTAATCGAGCTCGACGGCAGAACGCTCTTCTTGCACAATGGACACAGACTGCTTGTCTCCATAAGGTAGGGGTCGATACAGGCAGCGTCGAAGATGTGTCCGCAGGGAAGTTCGCGGACCGTCGATGATGCAATGACAAAATCATCAAGGCAAATCGCACAGGTGGTTTGTGTATGGCTCAGTCGATATGGGTTTGGGGAGGCAGCGTGCTCCTCACTCCCTGGGTTTATCACTGCTGGCTTCGGTCGTCTAATGCCAACAACCTTTTGAGTCTCCTCGTGGGCTTCCTCGAGGGCTCCCTCGTGGGCTTCCTCATGGGCTTGGTCTTGGGGTGGCTCGGGAGACTGACTGCCGAAATCAAGCTCTGCCATATTTGTGTCGACCTCTTCTTTGACTAGTGTTGTTTCAGATGCAGGCCTTGGGCCCGCATAGGTGTAAATATGCAACTCTTCAACGACTTCGCGAGGGACCCGGATTTGATTCATCGCTAATCTCTCGATATCAACTTCACCGGCACTAATACGTTGGCGAAGAGCTTGTCGCCGTCTGTGGTTGACAACATGATAGATGATGAACATTATCAGGCTCAATCCGAAAATTGTTCCCAGGATTGCGAGGACGAAGCTCCATAGGCTCGGATTGGAGCTTGTCTGAGTTTCTGCCATCCGATCTATTAGCGACTAATTGAGAATGGAGCTTGGGTATTGAGATGGCTCACCATTATCAATCATGGTGAACAATCTATCACTGCTATCGCGTCGCTGCACGGACGGATGGCTTCCGTTACGAGTTCGATTCATCTGTCCATCGGAGAACCAGGCAAGTTCACGCATCAGAGTCGTGCCTGCGGGGCCAGGTATCGCGTAGATTGGGTAATGGTTATCGATTTTCCACTGACCACCGTCGTTGAGGTTCCAACGATCATCACTAGCCGGAGGGGGGATTCCAGACTCCTTATAAGAGGGTTCGAAGAACACGAGGGCGTACGTGCCAACCTCTCGTGAGGCAGCCAGAAACGATTGGGTACAATCAACAGAAACCCATGGGGCGATGCCAATAATCGGGTATCCGAAGTTTGAAACATCTTTGTGGCGAGTGACAGTTTCTGGTATGAACGCCCCCGCGATATCATTGCATGGGTCTTGTGGCGCCAAGCTGGGGACGAACAGCAGGCCAGAGGTAGAACCGGAGTCAGGTATCCCATTGGCTGAGAGGGTCTGGACAGTGCGGTCGAGGACGAAGCGAAATCCAACATTTTCCTAATTAGAATCTCGCGTGAGCACACTCGCTTTCGAGAGCATTCCAGGGCTGAGGCTTATACATACATTGACCGATGCTGAAGAATTAGACGCACTGCCCGGGCCAGCAAAAAGCGTGGCAACTGTGGCTAGCGAATGAGGGGCTGTCGTACGCGACATAGTTGTGATCGATCTGTAAAGTATGCAGAATTCTCTATTTGCGAGAACAAGAGATGTAGACGGCTGTTGGATCGGGGTGACCGAGATAGGTGCATGCACATGATGAGTTGCACGCCGGTGGCTGGACGAGGAAGCGAAAGAATATCGTGAGGTTGCGAGAAAGGTCTTTTATTTTGAGTAACTGCACTGAGTCAATGCCTGATCGATCCCGGCGACTAATCCCAACTACGGCCATTTTGACCTATTCCGCATCAGCATCGGGCAAGGAATGCGACGGCAAATCGTGTCCGTCGCAAGAATGTGGACGGCGTCGCCGGCCACGAGGCAAAAAAGGTCCGTGACCTTGGTTTCAGAGTGGGAAAAAGAGAAATATTAGCCGCAATCGCCGGGCATGTATGAGGAAATCCATACGAAGGGGAGGGAGTGAATGTTGACCGGATTAGGAATGCTGTTTGCGGATGCCGGTTGCAGGGGGATCGGTTCGCCCTTCAACGGCCCTCTGTTTTGACAGTAGATAGCAGTGCTTTCTTCTTCACATCGTCCTGAGAATATCAATGAGGACCTAGAAGATAAGATTTTAATGAGCAGCTAAGAGTTGAGAATAAAGAATGGGCTTCTTCAAAATCCGATCTGAGCTTGTCTCAAGACTGCCCACCTTGTAAAGGCCGTAGAACTCCGAGGATTATATATAGGTAGTTCAACCTGGTCGGTATCCCTCCGTTTAGACCGGGATACATTTGTACTCTGCTTGTACAAAGCCTATAATAGGCTATCAGTGACCTGATATAAAGTATTCTATTATTCATGAATTGCTACAAAGGACAACAATAATACAGAAAATGTCCAGTCTGGAGCGATCGCAGGCCTCAAAAACAACCTGCAGAATGGACATGAACTACTCACCGCGCTTCCCACCGCCTCGGAGATTAGCTTTTCCGAAACGCCGGAGGTGCAATATCACGTGGGGAGATTGCCCCAGATCGGAGAGCACCGCGCGACTTTGGGTGCTTACTGCTCTGTCAAATCACCTTAAGCTTTCGGATCATCTTATCCACGGTAGCTCTCATCCCCTTCATCGACCGGGGAAGATTCCTACTTCCCTTGAGTTGAATTTTGACCTAGCAGCTCTTGGCAGCATGCGTCATCTAACATCCACGGATGCCCTCTGAGAACCGCCCAACTCACAGATCGATACCTCTATCTGCCTATCGTTGCCCCCAGATCGGCCGGTTGACCTAACTTATCGTTTCCGCTGCCAAATTGAAGCAGGCAGAATGCCTTCCGCTTATAAGAGCAAGGGTAAAGGCCGTGATGCGCGCCAGTCGCGTAGCCGCAACACAACTCCATCGAATGCGGGCGGCGCACCTGGTGTTGCAGTGCCGCTAATACCAAGCTATCTTGAGAATGATGTAACGAAGCTCATCGACCTGGCAAATGGCCAATACACTGATCTGCTTGACCTCGTGGCCGGGCCAAACATCCCGGATTCGAAAACCCTCGAGACCCTTGTGGAACACTTGAAGAGCCTCAGTGATATGGCGGATGCTCGTGGAGACGCTTGCAATGCTGGGATGCGAGAGATGTCTCAGAAGCGGAAGGAGGTCATGGAGGACCAGGAGCTTAGTCGTGAGGTTGGAGAGCGTGCAAAGTTGAAGCGGGAGACCGAGGATGATGACGACCAGGTGCACAAAGGAAAGTTGAAAAAGCGGAAGGAGAGGTCGAGCACAAAGGAGGAACGGCCGTTGAGCCATGGGGCCCACGAACTCGCCCGGCAGGATGGGGCCGAGACGAAGATTGAGGGAGGTGCGTGATGCGACTCATAGCTCGATTGCTGAGCTCCCACTCCACTTTCCTTTTACCCATTACTCCACACCTCACTTTTCCCCTTCATTTGACAACGACTGACTAGCCACAGCTGCTTCTCCAGTTTCCAAGCACTCGAAGAACGCAGCTTCCGACAGGAGCTCCTCACTTTCACCCCCTTCCATGCTATCTCCGAATGGCGCCGCTACCGGGGCTGACGGCGCAGCTGCGCCTAGATCTCCCGGCTCGGAATCCAGTGAGGACTCTCACCAGCCTGAACCCCAGCCAGCCATTCCCCAGATTCAAGTTTTCGGCGACAATCCGCTTAAGTTCGACGATCCCACCGTCTACCATATTCGCGACGTCCAGCCTGAAATGGGCGATGATGAGAAGAAGGAAATCTACAGTGTGGCCCGCTTCCCCAAGAGCGATCTTGCCCATATGATGGCTGGTGTGCCGCCGGACAAGGACTTTAGCAATGCCAAGCCTTCCAACCAGGTTAGCGCCAACACTTTCCAGGCCTACATTGAGCCATACGTGCGACCTCTCACGGAGGAGGATATTGCGTGGTTAAAGGAAAGAGTAAGTTCTACAACCTGATTTCACGGGTTTCCACCACTAACAGATACAAGGGGGATCGCGCGACTCCATTCATCATCCCGCGTCGCGGAAAGAAGAGCTACCGTCAGATCTGGGCGGAGGAGGATGGCATCTCTTACGACCCCAGCCAGGATGAAAAGGATCAGCTCCCTTTGAATCAGGGCCGTGGCAACATCGAACAGTTGACTGACGACAAGACCGAAACCAACGACATCTCGATCGGACCCCTGCTCAGCCGTCTGGTCTCTCTTCTGCGCTACGAGCACCGCACCCTTCCTGAGGACAGTGCAACCTCCACTAATGGCGATGCACCTGCCAACGATAGTCTGGGCGGGGACGCAATGGATTTAGACCCGCCTAACGGTAGCTTGGAGCCCAAGTCTTCTGACAGCAAGTCCCTTCCGCCGGCTACTGCATTCCGTGACGCTTCCCCAACTGGCTTTAAGACTTCTGTCGCCAAACTCGACCACGCCCAGCTCGATGAGCGTGCCAAGGCAGAGCTGCGGTATATTGGCTTCCTGGGAGCTGATGACAATCCCGACTATGATGCGCACTATGATGATGAAGTGGCTGAGCGCCTGCGCCTTCTCCAGGGCGAGCTGAAGAAACAGATTGTTACCAACAACGCGCGCAAGGCTCGCATCTTGAAGATCGCTCAGGAGCACATGGCCCTTCTTGAATTCACCACCATCCAGGACGACCTGGACTCCCAGGTTCAGCAGGCCTACCTCAAGCGCACTCGTACCATGGGCAAGAGTAAGAAGGGCTCGCAGGCCAAGCACCGCCCCGGCGGTGCTGGTGGTGGCAGCCACGTTGCCAGCGCTGGTGTTTCCCGTCCTGCTGTCGGTGATGCCGCTAAGATCGTCATGGACCGACGTAAGCGCTGGAACGATGCCTTCCTGCCTATCTTCGACGACATAATGACCACTATCCCATCTGAGAACGAAACCATCTTCGACTCGGCAACCATGGCCGAGTACGAGAAGGCCGAGCTGGAGGCTTGGGATGAGGAGTAAATCTTTCCTTGAAACTACCCGCCATCTCAACCACTCACCCTTTCGTCTCACCCGCAAAACTTCCACCCCATGCAGTCTCTGACCACATCTCCATTACTTTTATTCTTTTTTTCTGCGCACATGATACCTAGGCACGACACGACTGGTACGACGGACACGGCGTTGGTGGGATTTTTCTTTCGTTTTCTATCTCTCTTCTTAATAAGGTCTAAACCCAACGGGAGCCACCATTTGTGCTCGATACTGGTTTTGTCTTGAAAGATACACTCTTTGTTGATCGCATCCTCGGCAGTATGTAGAGGGTTGATGTTTTTCTTTCTGGGCAGGTGCACGTGGTTGCTTCTAGGCAGCCGGGGAACTGTCAAAGTCAAAACCAACGATAATCAACTGAGTCTGTTCTTGACCTACCTTGCCGAACCAGCAGATCTACTAGGTCAAAATTAGGCTTGCTTGAAATTGGACTATTAGTCAAATTCTTTAACCAATGAATGCTAGGGCCCGTCGGAGAACACCCAGCAGGCTCTGGTCATCCTTAGTTGAACGTAACGCTATCCCTTCTAAGTCATTGCTATCCTTCATGTAAGACAGCAACAGTTTCGCATATGAAGCAGCCGTTGCCGCCGCATATTCCTGAAACTGTTTGTTCTTGTGACTGTCCGAGTAGTCGCATATCCCTCTGATAACCAGACAAGGCAAGGTGTTCATGATGCCGGCTGCTTCCATCTCGAAACAAAGCACATTTCTCTCCACGCTCCACCTGTCGCGCAATTTGGCATCTTTCATGACTCGATTACCTGATGCAATCAGTCCATAGTGTATCTGCGGGTGCTGATTCGACCGACTTGGCCGCGTCGTGACATGGGCAACACTGCAAGGATCACACGTAGCGTGGTGGGAGTTGTGCGTGTACACGCTAGAAAATAAGCGATCATTCTCTGGCCCTGGATACCGATACTCCTTCCTGCACGCTGCGATCTCTCTGATGTATTCTTGGAGCGGGGCGTCGGGTAGATGGGGGTCAGACTTCAGGCTGCTGAGTGCAGTCATTACTAGTCGTGGAGGAGGCTGGAGAAATCCACATGGCTCAAAAACACCGTTTTCGAGAGCCTTGCCCATGTCGTACTGAATAACGCCGGGGCTCGCGCCAATCGGCTTGCTCACCACGACGTCGCCTAGGCGGATATCATTTCTGGATGATGGAACACCACCGCCGATGCCCACCATCAAACAGAATTTGACGTGGTGAAAGCTCCTTCTCAAGTTGGACGCGACATCCGCTGCAGAGTTTGTGCCATATTCACCATCTGGAAGACAAGCAGCGACGACCTTGTGTCGCCCTATACTACCTAGCGCATAGTGGTTCGAATCCGCAGCCGAGAGGCAGAGATCAGGATGGGTTTGGTCGAATAAAGCGCGAACAGCCAGGAGCTCCAGCGGTAACGCGCACACAATACCGACAGTGTAATCCTCGGGCCTGAGAGATTCCAAGTTCCATCTCGTGTACGATCGGACCAGTGGCTTGGGTCGTGCCGACTCATTGTCAGCAGAGGTACTTTCAATGGTGTCTTCCGTCGACATCGAAGTGACCTGGGTGCTCGACAGTCGGAGGGAATCACTCTCGGACCCAACTGAGAGTGCATTGCTGCTGCCATGTCCAGTCTCATCGTTTGGGGAAAGGGGGTATGTTTCATTAGCCATGATGTCGTGCCTTTCAGGGTCCCCAGCATCGCCCCATCGCCACTGGCAGTTTCGATTATATCCAAAGACCACTGCCCCATCAGGAGCCAGACTTATAGCATCACTATATTTCTCTGGACTACTTGACAGGGTAGCCGGTAGTATCACCTGGACCATGTCGGCGTGATCTGCGGCAGCATCGTCGCAGCCACAGGACTCGAGGACCGTAGCTGAGTTGTGCCACGCGAGGTTTTCGCTCAACCGTATCGGGTTTGTTGTCAAATCACCAGTATATTCGAGAACCATCTTCAAATCTGCAATTCCAGCAGCCAGATAGTATTGACCTTTGGGAAGCGAGGCCCAGTGAGGACATGTAACGCCAGATGGCTCCAGAAGGGCCCCAAATCCACGGCCCAGAAGATTGATTGCATGGATTGAGCGCGTAAAGTCAACCCAAGTCTTTCCCTTCGATGCGAAGGTCGCTAATCGGGGGTGTAGCGGGTCTGATTCAGTGGCAAGATCGTGAAAATCCCAGCCTTCGAAATGTGCGCGGGGAATACACTTGGAACTGTATCCGCTGCCATCTGGCCCGACACTATGTACTTGATAATCAAAGATTTGCTCCAGGATGTTCAAGAAGTGCTCCACTCGATCTTCAAACTGCACCTGGTCATCTTTGCCCGGATAGATCGTTAAGGCTCGGTTAGTCTCGTTCAAAAGCACTGCAACAGCGGACCCGGGGGTGCTTCTTGAATCGCCTGGTGGTTCCTTCAGGTTCTCCCATTTGAACACACACGCTGAACTGAGAGGGCCCGTACTGTCATGCACTATGGAGGCACGCACAAGATGCAGGAGAGCGCTTGCTCCATTCAACAGCCATCCGCGCTTTGCTTCTTCGTCCCATAGGACCACAGACTTCTGGATGATCCACTTAAGCTTTCTGAGGTATCCACCCCGAGACACATGGAAAGGCCTGTCTTTGTATCCGACCAAGAAAGACACGCCGCCTGTAATTATCTGTCCGCTGGAAATGAAAGCCTGGCTAAGGAGCCCATCCTCGCGTGGCCGGGGAAGCCGGGAACCTGATACTTCTTCATATTTGGCTTCTCGCGTCCCTAAAAAACAAAACTCTTAGCGAAGTAAGTTATGTAGCGCATTAACACATACCGGCGAGGTATTTGGCATCCGAACACCATCCTAGGATGTGACGTGTCTGTGAAAACCGCCCAGCTGTCACTCCATCCGCAGGGACCACCGGGCTATCGAGGTATGAAATTCGATCGCCATTTTTGTTGTGTACCAAATGCCAGATAATAACCTCCTGGTGATTTTCGGTGGGAACTAACATAGCAGAGAAGCCTTTGATGACTGGTCCGCCCAGGAAGGTATTCACATAGTTCGCCCGTGCAAGACGAGCCATCATCTGAAGGGGGATTTCAAGGCCACTTACAGCACCAACTTCAGGTCGTCGGGATATTGGGTAGCCTTCGACAACAACAGCACTCCGGAAGAGATTGTGCCAGCACTCCCCATTCATCTTGGAAGGAAATGCCTTGTCGTTGATCGTAAACGAGATATCTGCACTTAACTCTGCAGCGTATTGTCGCTCTGCACCTTGCCTTTTATCCTGAATGACCTTGAATCCCTCAACATGGGGCTGACAGTATGCTGTGTGATCTGGACAGGATGAAGATCGAAGGGCGGATCCCAGCCAGGAGAGCTGCTCCCCAATTTCCGCGATTGTATAGGCGGAACCCATTACTTCAACCTCAACCTTGCGGTTCTTCGAGTGCTCAGACGACTGAAACCAAACAACGATCTTTGTTCCATCAGGGAATTCACCTAGAGGAGCCAGTCAGCTGGTAATAAAACAATACATGCCTTCTGAAAATGAGCCTAGATAGCATACCTAAGACTTTAATTATGGGTTCAGTTTCTAGCAGGGTCTGAACAAGCTTGGGATTCTTCGAGTACTGAAACGACGGAATCCAGGTAACAATTCTCATGTCATCAGGGAGTTCACCTAGATGAGCCAATCAGCCGTCAATAAAACAATATATACCTCCTGGGAATGATCCTAGATAGTATACCTAAGGCTCCAATTCTGTTTTCATAATCTAGCAGGGTCTGAAGTAACTCGAGAATCACTCCCGCAGATGATGGCCATGTCTGATGCAGATATTGTGAACATGTGAGTGCCTGGGCTGCTTCCCGAGAGCCCGTGAGAGTGATGACCAACGGTAGTGCTTTGGAATTTTCTTCGCTGTACTCCTGGTCCTGCAAAAATGAAACCAGGTCCCACTCCACCGTGTATGTCATTTTATAGGAAGGGACCAATTCTCGTCTGCTGAAACGAAGCTGTGAAGGCAAGCCTTGCAGAATGGTTCGGCGAATTTCTGCCATCACATCGGGGCGTGATGGAATGAGAAGACAATGCCTCTGGATATCACCAAGGAGCCAGTCATATGCTGGGTTTCCGAGAATGCACTCGCGGTACTTCTGTAATCCTGGCATCACGGGATCAACGTCTTCATCTGTGTTAATTTCTGGAGGCGGCATGGTAAAAAGGCCGGCAAGGTCCGCCTCGTCGTCTCCAAAGATTGGGGCTAAGGTATCATCACCCTCGGAGTCCTCATTATGCTGCAACCAGAGCTGCATTTTCTCGTTTAATGCCATGTCACCCGCCCTGGACTTGGGTGCCGTAGTTGTAGCATCCAGTGACTTGTTGAACGCATCGGCGATGTCTCTTTTTTATTATTTGTTGTCAGCTATTGGAATACGGTGTGCCTGGGGATAAAGTTGACTCAGTACTCACTGTCGATATTTATGAATAAACACAGGAACATCTCGGTGGACCTGTTGGGATGATTCCACGGACCCAAGTCTCGAGGAAAAGGCTTTGAGGCAATCGGGCAGGGCGCTTGTGACCCGGTCCATGGATGACGAGTCTATCTGCAAACTGGAAACAGCTTTGAGGAGCTCAGCAACGAGCTCGTCGACATAAGCCTCCTTTATTGAACCATCCATGGTGAGAGTATCAGAATATATGGTGTGCAAATCGTCCAGCTCCAACACTGATGCTGTCTGCGCGATCTGGGTATTCAAAGTCGAGAGTGGTCCTGTAGAAAATACTCGATCAGACCTGTATTGGAACTCGGAGTCTATCGCGGTATCAAGTTGATGTGCCACAGTCGAATTTTCCGTGACAACAAAGTCCATGGCATCTGGATTCTGGCTCAATACCCCAGCATCTCCCGAGCTTGACCCAGGAAATCTTGCAATGAGAAAGGCTTCAGCCATCTCTGTGTCCATGATGTGAGCCACCTGGATATCCTCGATACGTTGGCCCGTTGCCTTGAGACGGTGACCTAAGGCATGAATACCCAATGGCAAACAATCGCAGCGTTCCACAAGCTCGACGGCTCGGAGAGTCTGGTCTGGCGTTGGTATCTCTATTCCGAGCTCCTTATAGAGAAGCTTACAAGCTTCTTCTACCGTTAGCCGAGGAATGGATAAGCAGTATGGCTCGAAAAGACGAATATTGTTTCCAAGAGTGGCGTCGACCGAAGTATATATGATACTGCATCGCGTGTTCCATGGAAGAAAAGATCTGAAGGTATTAAGATCATCATCATCGGTGAATTTGATCCCATCGAAGACTAAAAGCCATTCTTGGCGCGTCTCAAACCAGCGACGAACGGCAGAGACTAGGGGTTTTTCAAACACGGGACTCTGAACTCCGTCGAATTCTAGGCCACGAAGCCTAGCTACTCCGGCGATCTCCATGAAGCATTGGTATTTCGATTCACGGGAGGTAGCATTAATCCAGAAAATTCCGCCCGGGTAGGACTCACGATGCGTGTAGACGTACTCTCGTGCCAGGTGTGTCTTGCCGGATCCCGCGATCCCAGAAATAAGAACAGCCTTGGTTCGATATGCATGAGCTCTCTGCTGGAACAAGCGATAGTGTAATACTTCTAGCTCTTTCTGCATGCCGAAAAAACCTGCGTTGGGACGGAATCCTGGTGGTACGATAAAGAGCTGCTGGTTCGTCGAGACTGGCAAGCTACTATGGTCTTCGCCAAGGATCATGAAGTTATCCAGATCTGGCAGAGAGTGCCCTCACAGGTAGTCAAATTAGCAATTGCCCTGAGGGAGGGAGTGGGAGGAGCAGCCAAAATGAGGATGACCCTTAGGAACATATCCTCTCTGGCAGACCAACTTGCTCGAGCTGATCAGTACCCGATTCAAATTCTAGCCACTAACTCTATATTTGACTGTTCAACAGTACTGATCCCATACTCAAGTACCAAGTGGGTAGTGTGCGGACAATGAATCGAGCGGTAAAGAGCAGGCTTACCGGCATCGTCTTCTCGGGGACCGCCTGGCCCTTCATAGGCATTTTTCTTCCCCTCCTCATTCCACCAGCGGTCTGCGATAATGAAGGGTGCTTCGCGGGAGTATTTGAGGAGAGATTTCGCTATAGTCTCAAAGCCAGGAGCATTTTGATCACTAAATTTGCAAATATGGACGTGGTCTGCTTCGATACCCATTCTGTCAACGCCTAGTATAGGTGGTGCCGCCGATGCTTCATCCACGATAATCATCTCAGTACTCTTGATGAGATTGACTTCATCGACCCTCTTCATCCTGTCGGATGAAATCTCAGGCTCTTCAACATTCTCTTGCAATGGTTGTGGCTTTGTATGAGTCGATGTGCGACTCAGGCTGTTGGGAGATCCCGTGCGGATGTTCGTTCTAAACGGGGATCTCTTATCACGCCCCTCCAACGCAGGCCATGCGGGGTATTGTGCAAGCCATGATTCTGAAGCTGTTTCCAAGGGTGTTGCATGCTTGAGTTCCGTTGGGCGAAGTTCGTAGAGGAAGTAGATACGGAACCGGGATATGATGTCTAAGAATCGAGTGTTGATGCTTTCCAAGTTTGTGCTCTCATACCGCAGTTTCATCAATAGTGAGGAATTCTCTCTAGACTCTGTGGGGTTAATGGCATAGTAGATACCTTGCAACAACGAACCCCAATCGGCGATGTCGGGCCCGTTGTGCGGCGTGCCAAAGAAAAGAATGCCGAACGTCGAAATATAAACGGATCGCAGGTGGTTAGTCTTCTCATCGGATGAAATAAGGGCGTATTTGACGATTAGCCCACCCAGCGAATGGCTGACGAAAATAATCGGTCGCTCAGAACAGTTTCGGAACTGTCATTCATATTCAGTTCTTGCTCTGGAATGGTCTGTCCACCAGGCCATGTATATGTAGGTGGATAATCCATTTGGAATACGAATAACTCACCTTTCTATCGGCCACCAGGTCGGATAACAGCGTCTCCGCTTGTATGAGAAGGGGATGGCGCGCAGCGGCGACCGAGGGAACAGTCGCGTTGTAGCCGTAAGTGAGGACACGCGGGTGCACCGAAGCCAGAGCTTGAGGTAAGAGGTCGGCAGGCCAGAAGCAGCCGGTCTGGCTGGTCCACGAGTTACGGGGGTGGCCGCTGAGCCCATGAACAAAGACAATATCTACGGTGGGGTTGGCGCGGGGACTGTAAATCTGCGTCAAGCCAACCGTCTTGACGGGGCGGGGATCAGACATGGTAGGATCCGGTCACGTTGAAGTCATTCTGTAGAAATAGTAAGGTGCAAGAGAAGAAGACGAAGAAGAAGCGGTTGATAAGCGAGCAGGCAGCTGAGCCGCAGGTGATACTGATCAATGAGGCTGTGGGCGCTGTGGGCGGCAAGATCTGATTCTACTCGATCCACGTTGCGCCACGATTGCGTCTAGGGCAAGGTCGATCTATACCTTGCTGACTCTTATCCAGCCACTGCTCTAAACAGCGAACAGCAAATGCAGGGACGAATGAAAGTACAAACAGCGCTTACAGTCATGATTCGGGTATCTACTGGCGACAGACTTCAAAGTACCAAGTATCCAGCCCCACCCAAGATTCTCCATCGAGATCACCGATGGAGAATCAGTACCTCCCCGGGTACCGCTTCAGTCTAACAGTCAACTCTCGCTCACTAATCTCCAACTCTGTACATATTTGATCGAAGCTGTGCGTTCCGTCAAGATACTTCGAAAGCGTCCGATCATCGATCTCATTCTCCTCGTCCCCATACAGCCCAGACGGCGCACTCCCAGACCCAGTCCCACCGCGGCTCCCGCTATGGAAGGACGCCGCACGTTCACGGCTGGCATCTCGCCGGGCGGAGATAGGCGCGTCGTCCCCGACGCTGGATGCCGCGTAGGGCGTGTTGTTACCGGTTGTGGTACGGGACGATGGGCCGGTGGAAAGGTTGACGGGGACGACAGATGAGGAGCGTGGTGCCGGAGCTGGCTGGCCAGTGGCGCAAGCGTACTTGTGCACGCGGTAAAGGAAGCCCTTGATCACGCCAAAAGTGATGAAGCGGCGGATATCGATGTTAGCGAGCGCGCGGCTGTGTTGCGCGTACCACTGTTTCACGCTCTGGCCCTGTTTCAGGCCCGCGTAGAGTTCGACGATTCCTACGCCATCGACGACGCGGGGCCCTTGGCCCGCAGGTACCGTGTCATTCTCGGGTGTCTCGGCAACTTTGCGGCTGCCGTTTGGCGCGTCTTCTAGATCGCCCATCAATGGCCATATTTCCTCCGCGTCGAAGCGGGAGTCGTCGCGAGACAGGCTAGGGGCGGCATCGGTGAGCGGACTTGATAGAGGCCCAGCACCGCCAGGACTGCCGGCACTGGATGCCGCTGCTGCTGGAGCTATCTGCGACGGGAGTGGTGACTGAGGGCCGATGGGAGGATGTGGTGCGAAGCGCGTGTTTACATAACGCGCACACTCGAGTTGCATGGCCTCGTCCGAGCCGATTGCGGAGCTGAACTGCGCCGTTGGCGCGTATATGGCTGAGAAAGAGAAGATATCCAAGAGAAAGAGACAGCCGTAATACAACAGGTGTCGGATTGCACGGCAGGTGAGAGAGAAGTCGGTGTCTGCGAGAATAGAGATGATACGGACGCTGTTGACGCCATTGATATACGGCACTATCTGCTGGGTTTTAGCCAACGAGCTCAAGTATCTCGTAGAAAGTGTGTCCGTACCCGTTGCAGGGACAGGTCCCAGTTCTCGTCCATGAAGGCCTGGTACCGTACCGTGAATAAAGGCACCTGCCACGCCTTGACTGGCGGCGGGGAGGGATAGATGGGGAACAACTTGATGTTCAAAGTGTTGAGCTCATCTAAGCCACCGTCAGCATCATCACAATCCAAGCAAAAGCGCAGCAACCTACCAATAGGAATCATGCATTCGCAATAATTATTCAAATCTTCCATCAACATCTCGCAAAGACTATACACCTTTCCCTCGCCACTCTTCGAGAAGTCCCTCGACAAGAACCCGTTCTGTTCTTCCAAGGCGTGCATCAAATCTGCCAGCTTCTGCACCACACTCTTGTACTGACTAAAGTCTTCCTCCTCAGTCAGCACGATGCAGAAATTGAAGATGAACTCATTGCGAGCGTAGCGGTCCGATTTCATGCATATTGGATACCCCAGGATACGGTAACCATTTGTACAAACCTGCAGCAGGTTACCGCAAAGCTCCTGGCGGGGGATCACGAAGAAGGAGACGTCAGAGAAGGTTAGGAAGAGGGGCTGCGCGGGAGCGGTGGAGGAGGGTACGATGGCACCGTCGGGGACTTGATGGACGACTTTAGGACCTGTAGGATGATCCTGTCAGCAATGAAATCAGCTGAAAGGATGAAGAGCTCGCGATCTTACCCTCCTGGGTGTCGAATTTGCTATAGAAGATTGCCCTGATCATCCTGGAGGTAGTGCGACGATCGGAGCTAGGGATGGGCTATTAGGCATATGGGAACAGCTGTCGATTGAGCGAGAGATTTTGGAAGGCTCTAGCGACCCATGATTTTAGTGCGATCGAGTAGCAAAGAAGGAGAAGCAGAAGCAAAGCACGGCGCCCGCAGCGCGCCGGTACGCATTGTGAAGTCGGAGAGGTGGGAGTCGATCGACGTCCTTATCGGCGGGTCCACCGCAAGAGCTCCGCGGTGGTCGCGATTATGTACTCCGTACTGATGTACTCAGCAGGGCAATTTCTACAGTCCTCTTTCCTGAGTCCACGAGTACATCTAAGACATGAAATTCAGTGAGATGCAAAGCTCAGAATAAATAATAGAAAAATTCAATTGTATCAGCGACCACAAAATGACACAGCAAATGGGCCGAGGGTATTAAATAAAACAGGAAATCGTGAGCCGTACGACGGCCCGGAGACAATCTTGAAATATCTATCCGCAGAGAGATTTCGTCCCCTGGGGTTTTGTGAACCTTGAGCAGTAACCGCGATAAAAAAGAAAGTGACAAATATGGATAGAAACAGCAAAGAGAAACGCCCGGAACGGAGCCAGTCCACTTCGGAGAGAAGAATGCGAAAGGGAGATATCGAGGGGAAATGCGCCAGCAAATGCAGTCCGTGGGTCATGTCGAATGGCTTTTGGGGGTCAGTCATAACAAAAGCAAAAGCAGGCGATCAGCGTGCTGTATTGGAAGTGCGGGGGGCCTGAGGTGGAGGGGTGAAGACGTGGTCCAAATCATCCTCCGAGAGAAGCTCGCCCCAGTTCAGATAGTGACGAGGGGCCACTAAGTATTCGGTGGTGTCTGGAGGGTCCGGATAGTAGGCAGTATTCCTAGCCCGAGAGATTTCATGTGTCCGGATGACCTCTACTTGCATTGAGCGGGTTCGCGCGCCAAAAGCGTCAGTGATTGGACTTGGAGGGGATGAGACCGTCGCCTCGGGGAATCCCAATGGCTGGTTTGCGCGAATCGCCTCAACCATCCAGTTGTAGCCACCGCGCTCGTTGGCCTCCTTCAACCACTGTTCGTAGTCCTCGTCGAGAGGCACGTCGGCACCCTGGGCGCGTGCAGCCGTTGCAGCCAGTAGCCGATGGTTGAGGGCCACGCCGCAGCTCTCCACCTCCTCGTCGCTGTACTCATCGTCGCCCAAGGGGGAGCGGAAATCGGACAGAACACTAGAGCTACGTGAACCGCTCGCGCGGACAGTGTCATCACTCCGGGTCTCAGCAGCCATGTCGTAGTCTTCCTCTTCCCAGCTCTCTGTCAAGGTGAAGAAGTCGGGATGAATGGTCACAGAGGGCAGAGGTGGTGGTGTCGCAATGCGGATGTCGTCGCCGGTTGTGTCCCGCACCGTGATGCCTTCTTCCAACTCATAGCGCCGGCGCGCAGACTTCGTGCCTTCCCAGCAGCAGAGCTCCGAGATTTCATCTTCCGTTAGTCTGAGCTCATCGAATGCGCGGAAGAGGCGGCGGTGCCACTGGAAACGGCCCAGCCTCACGCGGTGCGGTTGGTAGGCATAATCCAGGCCGGGGTACTGGGCTTCGATGCAGTCGAGTGGGCCATAGAAGGCATTTGTTTCGATTCGTACCTCCGGAACGAGATTGCGAGTGATATGGGCAGCAAATGACACCGGGTCACTGGAGCGCGCGCGAGGGAAGAGCGTGTCGTGCACAGTCTGAGCGAGCGAAGGCTTGCGCATGGTTGGTGAGAGAGTGAAGGGTGAGTGGAAGGAGGGGAGAGGACAGAGATGTGAAAATGAAAGAAATGAAAGGATCGGGATTGAGGGGTGTGAATCTGCCAGGAGCCCGCGGCGCTCAGCCGCAGGTGTGAAACAACTCAGGCGCTCAGGCGAACCGCCCCTCTCTTGTCGACGATGCTGGGGAGCTCCCGGCGGTGGGGTGGTCTAGACGCTGGTGGGGGGAGAACAAGTCATCAGGAGAGTTTGACGGGTGGAGATGGCGAGAGAGGGAGAAGGTGGACGACCGACAGGAAGAGTTACGTAGAGAAAGAAGAAAACAAAAAGAGAGGAGGCAGAGGCAGCGGAGTAAAGGAGTAAAGGAGTAAGAACGAGGCTACGTGAAGTTTGGGGCTGGTCACGGGCAAGCCCAACGACTCATCCTCATATGCCCCGACGACTAATCGATCGCATCGCCAACACCAACACCACGTTGGCCTGTTGGCCGGTGCTGCGTTGTCGTGTCCTGCACCACCACACCCTCCTGCACGACAACTGCAGCGCCAGCTGGACTTGGTGGATTCGCATCGCGGCCAGACTCGCTCCACTCACCAAATACACCAAGCGCACGCCTAGCCTAAGCCCGGCTAGCACCGCGCAGCCCGGCCCCCATCATGTCAACCTTCAACGGGGTCGTTGCAGGCAAGTGGCACTTCGCCAACATACCGCAAGTACCACGGCTGACAGTTAATTCTAGAGTTCCCGGACATACAGAGTATGTATAACCTTTGAGAAAGACCCTGGGACATCAGCTGAGAAGAGCATCTAGTCGACTACTTCCGGAAGAGCGCTGATCGCCCGCCGCCACTGGCTTGCTTCCTCAGCCATGTGCACACCGATCATCTCCAGGGCCTTGAGTCCTTTCGGGCGCCGTTTATCTACTGTTCTCCGGCCACACGCGAGGTAGGATTTTCCCCAATGCGACTCGAAGCGGCTCCAACTGACCGGGGCCGAAACAGCTACTGTTGCGTCTTGAACGGTTTCCGCATCGCATTAATTTCGGATCGGGAATTCTAGAAGCACGGGAGGTCACATACAGGCACCTCGGAAAGCTAGTGGTAAGGATCAATCAACCTGTCATTTCGGGAACTTTTGAATGGATTTCCGTGGCTAACAACTTCAGCGTCCGATCCCGCTCAATACACCAACGGAGATCGAACTTACCCCTCTCAAGCGGATTCGGGTGACTCTTGTCGATGCCAACCATTGCCCTGGAAGTGTCATGTTCCTGATTGAAGGGGACGGCAAGGCAATACTTTACACTGGCGATATCCGAGGTCAGCGGGGCTGAATCCACTGACTTAACTCCCCAGCTAACAGAATTCCAGCGGAGAATTGGTGGGTCAACAGCCTGGTCCGAAATCCCGTCCTGATTCCATACACGCTGGCCGGCAAGAAGCTCGATAATTTGTACCTCGACACTACGCACCTGTATAGCGACGGTGTGCCTCCCGAAACCTTTCTCTCCAAGGCCGACAGCATTGCGGAGCTTCTCGAAAAGGTGCAGCGCTTTCCGCCGGACACCATCTTCCACCTTTCAGCCTGGACATTCGGGTACGAGGAAGTATGGGTTGCCCTTGCAGCGGCGCTGAATACAAAGGTGAGCCCAAAATCCCTGCCCCTCTTTCAAACTCTCGCATATCTTATGTTGTTACTGACTCGCATCGCAGGTTCATCCTGATCCATACCAGCTGAGGCTCTATCAGTCTTTCGCCGAGGCTGGCAGAGGGATCCATGAGTCTGCAGCTTACAATGGCTTCGAGCTGGGCAACACAAGCATTCCAGGCTGTCTGACCAACGATATCTGTGAGGCTCGAATTCACCTCTGTGTGCCTCCCTGTATTATGATCTGTCGACCGGATACCGTCCTCATCAAGCCATTCCTCCAGCGCGGCCAGGATGGGTTTGAAGCGCCGGATATGGGGTCTGGGGTGGGTTCGGGCGATGCGTACACGCAACACGAAGTTGAATTCCCGGAAGGAATGACAGCCATGGATCTAGTGAAAATCTGCCACGAGCGCATGACCGACAACACCAAACAAGAAAAACTCACACTGGAATGGCGGCTGGTCACCGACTTCCGGGTCCGCAACGGAAAACTTTCGCTCACCAAGTATGGTATCATGCCGGATTCGAATTTGACTATTGATGAGCTCGCGGACCAGCTCATTGCCAATGTCCTTGATTTTGACGACACCGTGGAGCGCGTGTGCATGGAGAATTTGGCCGGCAAGCCTCGGAGAAAGGTCATTGTGAGCACTACCCGTTCTCATCTGGTGCCGTCTGCTATACTCACCCTTCATAGCGCTTTCCCTACGCACGGCACTCTTCGTATTCCGAGCTCTGCCATCTCATCCGTGTCTTCAAACCTAAGAATATCCATGCCTGCGTAGTGCACGACCGAGACCTCTCAGAGGGAAATGACCTCGTCCACGAATTCTTTAATCACCTGCTCGCCGACACTCCTGGTCTCCCCATCGGGCTTGAAACGCGCAAGCAAGCTGCTCAGAAGGCACGAGAGGTTCAAGAAGCAAAGGCAGAGCTGCGAAAAAGCTACAAAAAGGGGAGTTCTCCTCAACATGTCATAGATGATCCTGACGCCCCTACCGAGCTGAACCCCTGGCCCGGAGGCATCCCGCCGACTTATGAACAGCTTCGAGCCATTAAACCGGGCTGGCTGCTTCTCGCAACGGTCGAGCAAGATGATTCAGTGCCTCCCGTCCAAGAACCGGACCAGTCCAGCAACTCGCTTGCAGATGCCCGCCCGTCCACCCCTGATACCATCAAAGAAAAGCGGAACGAAGTTCGACGCGCACACGAATACCTTCAGGAACATGCTGATCCCGAAGAGTTGCAAATCGGACCCCTTCCTTCCACATGTTCCACCGGGAAGGTGGATTGTTCAGATGACGCGGAGTCTGAGAAGCGAGGCGACATCGAAGGAGCTGCAACTCAAGGGCCCCAGGAACCATCGTCTCTGCACGTTCAGATGCCGTCCGAGTCGACTTTGGGTACTCTAGACAGCCAGGTATCACTCCCCGAGTCCGCATTCGCTCCGTCTCCGACACCGGAGGGGTCCGAAGAGCTTACCCGCGAGCGGCTCGAAGAACTTGATGCCCAGCAGAAGAAGGAAGGGTCTTCATCAGGGCGCCGACGCGCCAGAGTCGCGGCATACCTTGCCGCCAAGGAGGACAGCTACTCCGCCTGGGCGGATATCCCGCTCACCTCGGCGGGTGACAACCACGGCGAAGAGGAGATCGAGCTGTGAATGATGCGCAAAATCAGGCTGTCGGGAGAGGACTTGGTTCTGCGATGATGACCGACGACGGCACCTGACTGGGTTTGACGAGCCAATGTCCCTGGTCTTGCGGTTGGATGTTGGATGTCTCCAGACGCTGCGGATGATTGATGGCAACGGCTGTAGCAAAGAGATGTGGTTCCTCGCATCCCGCGGCCTCCTGCTGTCCATTGAATGTCGGCAGATGGCAAGACTGCCCCGGCGAACCTGCTCGGAAAAGACAAGTCTAGTGATACCCTACATAGTTTTTGGAAGCGCCCATGCTCATATTTCATATTTCTCACGAGATGGCAGAAGATAGGTTTCTTATGGATCTCTGCCGGAGATGTTTATTTCTATTTCTCACCCCCTCATGTACCTGCCAGTCTACCAATCAAAAGTGACTTTCAACTTGAGCTGAAACCCGAGTGCAGTTCGTGGCCAGACCGCACCCGCGTAAGACGCTAGTCTAACCCTCTTAACTCGTTTGCTAAAAACGACCCTTCTCTGCATTCCATGTGCAGAGCATTTTCCTAGCGTGGCGTCCAGTTATAAATCGGACGTGTCCGAGCCTGACTGTCTGGCTGTGGGCGAACACCCGTCCTGTCACGGCGGTCCGGTGGGTCTGGGTTGACCTGGCCGGGGGTAACCCTTCAACCAGAATAGAATGAGCATTCTTAGACGAAAGGTACTATGAATCTATACACGGTGTAATTCGTCAAAGGAGATGAGGGTATGTGTGGTCTAAAGTCTCCACGCTCGATCTTCAACAGCATTGGACCACCTCATTTCACACATTACTCTGGAATCTAACTAGTACTCGATATACAAAATCCAATCCTAATCCTATCTATGCAACATACATCACACTTCACACGTCCCAATACAACTTACTGGAACTAATCCCTTGGAATCTCAAAAATCGCATCCGCCAACTCCTGCATCTCCAGCACTCCAAACCCCCTCACCACGCCCAAAATGCGCTCCACCATGCCCTCGCCCAGGCCCGCCCTCCGCCGCGAATACACATCGATCCCCGCCGGCGTGAACAGCGTCTTCGCAAAATAAGTCACAACCCACTCATTCCCATCATCCTCCCGTCCAAACCCCAAACACTCCCAATGCGAGCTGGCAATCACCAACCAGCCCTTCCCACGCCAGTCCCACGCCCCCTGGTTCGATCGGGATGGCGTGTCGACGCCATGCACGGACTTGATTTTGTCTGAGCCGGAAGCCTGGTACTGTACCCGATCGTCGAGTTTGGTGATTCCAGATTGGGCGGGGAGGGCAGTGTAGGTGATCTGGACGTTGCGCTTGTTTTTCCAGAGCGGTAGGCTTGAGTGCGTGACGTGCCAGGTGCCGGTGAGGAAGTCGTTGGTTGGCGGGGTGCTTTTGTTGTGTTTGGTTGTGGCGTGGATCTGGGGCAGGCCCAGTGAGAGGGTGGGAGTGGCCATGGGGGGATGGGAATGGGGCGCGGCGCCAGGTATCCGAATGGACGAGGGCGCATGGGTTTTGATGCCTTGTTAATGACGGGGGAGGTCCGGGCGGGCCTGGAGTGGCGCCCGGCGGGGGCTGGCGGGGGCTGGCGGGGGCCGATCGCTGGCCGCAGGGGTGGACGGATGCAGAGCTGTGGTCACTATACAAGTTCCGTATTTCTATCATAGATGGCAGTGGCGACGAGCAATTCTACAAATAGTACGTCAGGAACCTACAAGAACCCAATAGGCCAGAAATAAAAGAGAAACGAGTCGTCACTTTCGTAGCTACCGCACTAAAACTCAAAGCAATGCAAACCACAAGCAGGGCGCTCTCTTGCTAGACGAAACAAATTCCCGAAGATAGTAAGAGACGCTCGAGAGGTATACGAGAACCGGCCAATGCGGGGGGGGATAGTGGCAAACGGCAAAAAGAAAACCAAAGCGAGAAAGGGAGAAAGGGAAAAACAAAAAGTGACACAAGAAACAGAGGCAGGGAGGCAGAGGCAGGGAGCGGAAGCGATAGCGAACGAGGAACACAGGCGCCGCCTGCAGGCACCAAAGTATCGCACAGCTCCAGCCCCGAACTTAGAAGATATAGTATGCCTGTGTCAGCGGTAACTCGGCCGCCGGCTCCGCGTCGCACAGCTTGCCATCAGCCTCGACCGTCTATCGTCAAATCGGTATTAGCACAATCCTCACGCCTGGCCATTGAGATCTCGCCCATGCAAGAAAGCCGTGATCGGACCGGTAAGGGGCGGACGGGGCCAACTTACATAACTCTCCGGGTCAACCTTCATCTTCGGCATGGTCGCGTTGAACTTCATGTCTTTCTTGCCAACAGTGCGGCAGCCCTTGACAGCCTCGATGCGCTTGCGCAAGCCGTAGCTCTGCACGGTGCCGTTATCAATGGAAGCTTGCGAGACGAACATGATCGATGTGCTTGGAACGCGGGCCTATTCGCTGTTAGCGATGTCGTTCGGGGAATAGGTAGTAGGGGAGGAAGAGAGGGGGCCTGGTGGGGGGCACGGGGGACAACATACGCCAAACATCGGGCGGATGATCATGGGCTCGATCGTGGGGATGGAGGCGTTAGCATCACCCTGTACTGCAGTTAGCGACACGCAATGGAAAGCGCAGGTCCGTAGTCAGGAGGACGCATACCATCTCCGCAACTGCAATCATTCCACTCTTCAGCACCTGCACGGGTTTCGTGCCAAACGTGCTCGGTTTCCACAACACCAAATCTGCCACCTTGCCCACTTCCACACTCCCAATGAGATGGGCCATACCCTGCGCCAGTGCGGGATTAATCGTGTACTTGCTAATATACCGCTTGACGCGGAAATTGTCATTATCCGTGCCCTCGTCCTGCGCCAGCTTGCCGCGCTGCGCCTTGTTCTTGTGCGCGGTGTGCCAGGTGCGCAAGATGACTTCGCCGCAGCGGCCCATAGCCTGCGAGTCCGACGACATCATGCTGATCGCGCCGAGATCGTGCAGCACGTCCTCGGCCGCAATGGTCTCGGCGCGGATGCGGCTCTCGGCGAAGGCGACGTCCTCGGGGATGTTCTTGGACAGGTGGTGGCAGACCATCAGCATGTCGAGGTGCTCGTCCAGCGTGTTGAGGGTGAAGGGGCGGGTGGGATTGGTGCTGCTGGGGAGCACGTTCGGGTGCTCCACGACCGAGATGATGTCTGGCGCGTGGCCGCCGCCTGCACCTTCGGTGTGGTAAGTGTGGATGGTGCGGCCCTTGAAGGCTTCGATGGTTTGCTCGACGAAGCCAGATTCGTTGAGCGTGTCGGTGTGAATCATGCACTGCACATCATACTGGTCACAGACGGCAAGGCAGTTGTCGATAGCGGCCGGGGTGGAGCCCCAGTCTTCGTGCAGCTTGAGGCCGGCGGCACCGGCCTTGATTTGTTCTTCGAGGCTAATGACACCGCAGTCGTTGCCCTTTCCGGTAATACCAATGTTGATGGGGAGGCTGTCACAGGCTTGCATCATGTTCTTCAAGTGGTTGGGCCCGGGGGTGCAGGTGGTCGCGTTCGAGCCGGTACTGGGGCCGGTGCCGCCGCCAAGGAAGGTGGTGATACCGGAGGCCAGAGCCTCGTCCACTTGCTGCGGGCAAATCAGGTGGATGTGCGTGTCAAAGCCACCGGCCGTGACGATCTTGTTCTCGCCGGCAATCACGTCCGTGGACGCGCCCACCACCAGGTCGGGATGTACTCCGTTCATGACATCCGGGTTGCCAGCCTTGCCAATTCCAGCAATCATGCCATCCTTGATACCAATGTCGGCCTTATAGATGCCAGTGTAATCGATAATCAGGGCGTTCGTAATAACTGTGTCCACGCACTCAGCCGCCGAGCGTCCAGATGCCTGACCCATTCCCTCACGCAGAGTTTTGCCTCCTCCAAAGGCACACTCATCACCGTAGCTGGTCATATCTTTCTCAACCTGAATCCACAAGTTTGTTAAGCCCAGGCGCACCAAGTCCCCAGTCGTTGGGCCGAACATGCGCGAGTATGCCTCGCGCTCCATTGAGAACCCAGTCACCAGGGCACTATCCGCCATCGGCTCCGGCACATGCGCGAACCCGGCCGCCTGCAGCTTGGTGAGAATCTCCTCCGTCCGACTCATATCCAACGGCCCATTGGCCAGCCAATTGCCTCCGCGGATAACCTTGTGGCCAGCGATCTCAACAAGCGTAACTGTCTTCGTATCTCCGGGCTCAAAACGGACGGATGTGCCAGCGGGAATGTCCAAACGAAACCCATAGGACTGTATGCGGTCAAAGTGCAGTTGCGGGTTCGTCTCGATGAAGTGGTAATGCGATCCGACCTAATGTTGTTCCGCGTCAGTTATTGGTCTCTCGGCTTGCAGCTCAGCACAGCACCACTCCCCACCACTTACCTGGATCGGCCGGTCTCCCTTGCTCATAACCTTCAGACGAATGCGTTTCCGTCCCTCGTTCAGTGCAATGCGGGCATTCTTCGCCGGGATCACCGCACCGGGCATTTTCTCGGGCATATAGTCCTCGGGGTCCGGGTCGGGGAATGCCTCGCGCCGCGGGACGGGCAGGAAGCTCCCGTACAGAGCACGCTCCAGATCGCCCTCGTCGCTACTGATCGGGTGGTGCACGGTGACCAGATACGTACCGGACACAAAGGTGCCCTCGACCTGGAGCTCGACCAGCGTCGCCACCACGGAGGGCAAGACGTGCCGCCGGCCCAGCATCGTCTTCCCGATCGACATCAGATCGGCCACGGAGTAGTGTCCATCACGAATAAGCTATACGCAGGTTATGCCGTTAGCCCCGGGCTCCATTGGCGCATGCTATGCCATCAATCAAGAAAAGTGGAGATCATACCTCATGCAGAACGCTGGAGATCAAGGCCTGTGATGTAAATAGTAAAGAAGAAAATCTCAGCGACGTGCCCCGCAAAACAAAGCAATTTACAGTCAAAACGTACCACGGCCTCTGCATGATTCAGCCTCACGCCTCTCGCCAAACGCCGCTGCGCCAGGAACCCGAGGTGCACGATCGTGAGCTTGTCAAGCTGTGCGGGCAGTTAGCGTCATTGCCATCCTGGCCAGTCTTGGCTGGTCGACCTACCTCCTTCGGAACAAGCTGCATGGCGCAGGTGGAACCCGGAGCTTGGCGTACAGGAGGGAACTGCTATCGGGAGGGAGGGGTGGATCAGGAGAGGGAATTCGTATATTAAAGCAGAGGGAGGAGGATTCAGTGTCTCAATTCCGGTAGAGCCAGGGATACGAGGGAGGAGGATTGAGAATGTGGGGGGAGAGTCATTGATGGGATGCGAGACTAATCTTATCCATTCGTTTTCTACCCCGTCGACTGCCGTGGCCGCGATAACAAAAGATAAGCTCGCTGCCGGCCTGGCCGACTGGCGATTGGGCGCCTGGATGGCGGGGGCTCGGGTTAGTCACGCTGTTGCTAATGTCTTGCGGCAAGTCCACCAAGGGGAAGTTAGTGGAGGTTCCCCGCCCTATATGCGCCCGGAACTAAGCAGCGGGGAAGATTATACGCCCGAAACTACGGGATATACTAGACGACAAGCACTGATATCTACGGGTTAGACAGGTCGACCGATCAATGATGAATAACATTCAAGACACAGGCCCCATAAATACACTTTTAACACATAAAACGCCCTTGCGATCAGATCAACAAGACAAAGACTGCGCTCCCGCCATCAAATCCCCCGATTATCCTCCGAACCAAAAAAAAAAAGAAAGAAAAGAGAGAAAGGAGAAAAGGCGATCTCGTTCCCCTACCACTCAGCAATAGCATCATATCTCTCTCTCTCCCCGAGTTCAGTGGCAGTTGCAGTTAAGATACATTTACCATCTTAAGCCTCGCTCTTGCGCTTCTTGGCCTTGCGCTTAGGCTCCACAGGAGTGGATTTCACCGACGCAGGCTCCGCGGCCTTGCGGCCCTTCTTCACAGGCGAGGCCTTGACCGGCGACTCGGCGACCTCCTTCACGGCCTTGATGTCGCTGCGGCGGCGCTTGGCGGCGCTCTTTGGCGGGGTTTTCTGCTTGACGGGCTGAGGGGGGGAGGGAGACTCCTCCTCCTCGGACTCCGAGGTTTCAGAGTCGGATGACTCGGACTCGGCATTCTCGACTCCCGCGATACTCTGCTGGAGCTGGTTGGCGGCGTCGTCATCGCCAGTCTTGCGGCCCGCCTTGTAGGCGGCCATGTCGCGCTTGTACGCCTCGTAGTTCTCGAGGTACTGGTTCTTGTAGGTCTATTCAAGGGTACCTGGTTAGCTAGAGACATCCCACAGTTGACGCTGACCGGAGTTCGGAATCAAGAGAAAGCGGCACAAAAGAGAAAATACGAACCTCCTTCTCGGCAGCAGGCATGGTTTGCCAGCGGTGAGTTCCCTCGTCCGCAACATCCTTAGGCTTAGCGCTACCGCCCAGATCCTCGGCGATCTTGGTGCGGTTCTGCTGCATGTACAGGAAGTAGGGAGTTAGGGCGCGCTTGGGCGCGTTGGGGTCCACTGGGGCGCGCTTGCGCTTCTTGAGACCGCCGGCCTCAGACTTGACGCCGGGGCTGGCGACGCGGTTGAGATCAAATTGACCGGACAAGCCGGTGGGCATGGCGGGGATGTCAATGGTGGCGGGGCCGCCGTTGATGACATTGTTGACATGCTCGACGTACGCCTTGCTCAGATCCGCAATGTAGGATTGCAGGGCCATTAGGCGCATGATGACCTGGGGCCAATGTTAGTGACATATGCACATGGCAGAGGGATAGCTACGAGGGGTCGAGTCCATCTTGATTTCTTCAGGGTTCAACTGAATGCGGGGTGAAGGGGTTGGAGGGTTGGGGGTTTAGTGCAGGGACAGGTAGGTAAGCAAGCCGGGGGCTGAGGGGGTTCACTGCGGGAAACATGACGCGCGGGCTGGCATGGCTCATGGGTGACGCGCCGCCCACACGAGAGGAATAACATATTTACAAAGCTTTCATGGGGAAGGTAAAGATGCCGCGACAGAGCCCCGAAGTTCAGCGAGGGCCATAGGCCTTGTGCGCGCAAACTGGAAAGCTCTGTTTATATGCGACGCGTAGGGCACCGCGCAAGCGGGTGCGGCGGGCCACGGGGGCAAGCACCGCGACGAGCAAAAACAGGCGCGAAAAAGTCAGGGGAAAGGCAATAGGAAAAGAAATGACTTACAGCATCCTTGGAGTTGCGCAGCTCTTCGATATTCACGGCCACAGTGGCCTCAGAATCTTGCTTAGGAGCCATAATAATGATGTGACGGTGGTGGTGGGTAGGCCGGAGGGGGGGGGAGGGAAGAAGAAAATTTGTTGGGTTTTGGGGGCGAGGGAAGCCGGTGGGAATAGGGGAGCCGTTCGGCTCAGACGGGGGATGAGGTCCACTAAATACCAGGGCGCGTCTCTCGCCCGTCCACCAGCTGGCTCCCGCACAAACCACCCGCAAGCACTCCCCCCAAATCCCCCGGGCATTCTCCCAAGCACCACCCCGGCAGGCTCGGCCCTCAGCTACCTCCTGTCGCTGCTTTAGGCTTAGGCTCTCCCCCATTGTGCCTTTCCCCCCTCTAGGACTCCCCTCATTCACAGGCGCTTAGCTTAACTGTGTCGCCTCAACCAGGTCATGCGTCAGTCAGCCCCGTCCCGCGCAACACCACACCTTTCCCCCCCCCCTTCAAACTACCCAGCCTACCCGAGGCGCCCGCCCCCTCCGGCGGTGACATAATGACTAGTTGTGCCCCAACCCTGTCAGCTGAAAATAGACGACTTATCGAGTTGCATTTTCTTCGTTACTTTTCCTTATTTTCCATTCATTAAATAGGTGCAATATTCAACAGATGTAGCGACTGATATCTACATTTGGGTTCTAAATTGATTGAACTCATGGTGGCCGTTTTGCACAGGTGTTCGGGAGTGATATATTTGGGTCTCCCGGGTCCTGCACTGCCACACAGCAGGCTTGCGACCAGTAATCCCCATGCGCCAGATGAGCAACCCAGCGCAGCGCCGACATGAGTTCTGTCTTCTACCCTAGCTTTGAACTAGTCTTGAACACGAAACGAAAATTCACCGAATGGTACAAGGTATGTTAGAAATTCTACCTATGACATCAATAACACCATCGCGGAGACACCGCGGCGCATTAGGGTACGCGCCTAACAACCACCGACGCGTCAATGTATATGCTGAGCTGTGCGCACACGCTCCGCCGGCCCATCTATTCTACAGTCAAAAGTAATCTAGAACTTAAAGACTTGGTCCTTGGAGTAGCCCAGCTCCTTCAGGATACCAGAAAGTTCACCCTGGTCCTGGGGGCTGACCTTGCCGCCGCTAATGGCCTTGTACAGACCAGGCGGGCCGCACACAAACAACTTGATGTTCTCCTCTTTGGGTTCGGGGAGGACAGTCTTCAGCAGCTCCTTGGTGATGAAGCCCTTGCCGCCGGTCCAGCCCTCAGGCGGGTTGTCCAGGACGTAGAACGCGCGGAACCGCTGCGGGTACGTGTTCTCCAGATCCTGCAGCTCCTTCTTCAGCAGGATGTCGTCCTCGCTGACGTTGCCGAAAACCAGCGTCACCTTGGTGCGGTCCTCGGGGTTCTTGAAGATCCGGCGCGCCAGCTGGTACATCGGCGTGATGCCCGTGCCGCCGGCGATCAGGCAGATGTGGTCGTGCTTGTTGGCCTCCCAGGGGTATTTGGGGAGCGGACCCTTGAACGACAGGCGCTGATCGACGTTCATGGAGTGGATGTGCTCGGACATGGGGCCGCCGGGGTAGGCCTTGATCACGAGCTCGAGGTAGCCGGGAACATCTAGGTGGGCCCGGTGTTAATTACACGGATTGGGATCCAAGGGGGGTATGGGAGGACCTACCTTCATCGCTGGTGGGGGTGTAGGGACGAAGGACGTTCTTCTCAGCACCCGCGGGCTTGAACCTGGTCAGCAACGCAGCTGTACATGGGTGTCAGTGGGAGCCCAGAAACGGATAGGAACTCTGATCGAGGGGGCAGGTGCACTGACAGGCAACAGGGAGACCAGAGACAGCTTCCTTGTCATCGAACTCAAAGCGGAAGCGCTTGGTGTTGTGGCTCAGTGTCTCAATGTTGGCAAGCTTGAGGTCCACCCATTCGCCATTGAAGACCTTGGGGCGGTCCTTGAGCTCGATAGGCGCGGAGTTGGAGCTGGCGCTGGAGCTGTAACGGTAGAAACCAGCACCGAGACCGGCGAGGCCGACGGCGACATAGATTGGGGTGAGGTTGGACTTCTTGGGCGCCGGCTCGGCGGTGTTGGGAGCGGCCTTGGGGGCACCCTCAGCAGAGTACTTGCGGAAGCTCTGTTGATGACGAAGCAACGGTTAGACTTGTTTTGTAATTGTGCGGACGTTTGGGGGACTAGCCGCGAGGCTTACCTGCTTCAGGGGCTGCGCGCAGCGGAAAGTCTGGCGAGCGAACATGGTGGCTTCAAATTGAATGGATGGTATTAGAATTGGGGAGAGATGGGGGAAGTGGGTTTGGGGGAGGCCGGGGAGGGAAGAAATCGGATGTAAAAGCGGACAGGGCGCTCCGCTGTCGACCCAGCGCAATGACGCAATAAGCGGTTCTTGACCTCGCGGATATAGCGACTTTCGGCTGTTGCGTACTACGAGCGAGATGTGATAATCCTCACTTACTCTGCATTGTTATTTGCCCATGTTGGGTGCTTCCCAAACACCCCTAGTTGAGCGTCGCCGGGGTATACCCGTGAAGGGTACCCGCCCCTGCTTAGGAAACTCTCCAGGCTTGCCCTGGCGCTCGGGCTCGGGCTCGGGACATGCTGAACCCCCGAAGCATCGGCCGCTTCGCCCCGAAATGATAGTTCAACGGAGGACCTTAGGCTCGTCTCTAGTTAACGATCTTCAATAATCAAGTCGAATGTTCTCTATAGATAGCAGATGGGTCTGGACCGCGTGCCCTCCAGGTCATAATATAGTCGATATAACCAAACTCAAATGGCCGTAAGTACAATTCGAGTTGGTGGTTCCAACTACGTTCACATACATGGCAGGAGTAGGGTCGCATGTGAGCGCCTACGATGCACGAGACTGAACTTGAACCCGATGATTTTTTGAATTTATCCTCAGATGCCACTACACGGGACTAGCGACATCCAACCCATCCCCCATAACTGGGTACAAACAGGCCGTTTCCACGCGACCAGTATCTTTCATGCATGCTATTGGCCATATCGCAGTTATTTCATCCACACACTCCATCTCCGAAACCCCAAAAACATCACATTTAAGCAAAGGTCGAGGGACGAGAGTAGGAGAACAGCTTCTTGCCCGGGTTGGCGGAACGGTGGGGCAGGGGGAACTTGAGGTTCTTGGTGAGGAGCTGCTTGATGTAGGGACGGCGGATGCTGTCGGCATCGGTGACCTCAACAACCTTCAGGATCTGCAAGGGTCTGTTAGAACATTGTATTCAGAATTTGCCAGGCTACAATGGGAACGTACGTGGATGGAGCCGAAGCGAGCACGGTGGCGGGCAGCCATGTCCTGGTAGAGAGCCTCGACGGCGTCGGTGCGGGACATCTCGCGGAACTCCTTGTACATGTTGTGGGTACCGGAGCGCGAGTCGTAGCGGAGCCAGACACCGAAGTTCTTAACCTTCAGGGGGTGCTTCTCGGCAATCTAGAGAGGGAGAAATCGAATGAGTAACGAATGCAAATCAACAGGAATTTATGATGGCAGTTCTCTCCACTTACGACGTTCAGGCTGACGATCTCGCCGTTGGACTTCTTCAGCTTGCGGAGCTGAGACATGAAGTACCAGAACCGCGACTTGGCCACAACGGTGTTGGGCGCAAAGATGCGCATGCGGTACAGCTTGGGCGTGGGGTTCGCCTCGGTGGGCAGGTGACGCCCGATAACCTGGTACTCAGTAAGACGCCCTAGGAATCCGTCAGTCATGGCTCTGGTTGAGTGCTGATTTTTTGAATCCCGGTGCTGATTTCCTTGCGATGATGAAACGGTGCGTGCGATTTCGGAGGAGAAGTCCCAGCAGATGAAGGGGGAAGATATGTGCGGATGTGGGTGATGGGAGTTGAAAATTTCGAGATGGACCGCGACGTATGCTTGATCGACAGCGTTGTGCCAATTCCTCCATATCGATCATTTCCAATCAAGTCAATCATCTATTCTCCTCCTCTTGTGGTTTGTCCTGGAATTATTGCGCTGCTGTCGGGGTTGTCGCTCCGCATGATATTTCATCTGACCGTATCGCACACACCGTAGTCGCCTCGAGGAAATCGCTGGAATATCGAAAAAAGGCGACTTACCCATCTGGAAAGATGAATGTTAGCAGTGGACTTGCAACAGATCAAATGGGGGTGATACGTACTGTGATTGTCGCTGTGGTGGTTGAGTCGTTAGTGGTGCCGTCGGGAGAGAAATCAAAGATTGTGTTGCAATGTGCTTAGGGCTACCACCCTTCGGTTAAGCGAGTGGAGGCCCTTGAACCACGCTAACCGGCTTAGGAAATTATCCCACTAGCCACACTTGGGGCTTGGAGGGAGGGCTTCACCGCCACATCATGATGCACCGCCACGACACGCTCCACCAGCTGCGGCTGCTCATCGGTTGTCCAAACGTGCCGCGACTTGGTCCATACACTTGGCGAAGGGACTAACTACATTAACAACCCGAGCACCGCCACCAAGTTCAACACGCTCCCTGCAAGCTTCTTAGGTTTCCGAGATATACACCCGGCTATCGGGGCTATCGCAACATGGAGCTAGCTAACCAGTTTAGACGCGCCTACAGCACCGCTTCAGGCCCAGACCTCGCTGCAGTCCTGACGCCAATTGCGACCCCAAACAACCCACATCGGCTGCACTCCTTCTACCAGTTCACAAATATCCAATACCTCAACAAAGACCTCCATACCAACCTATTCCATGGCAAGAGCCCGAAAGTGCCAAAACCCGAACAGAATGCGTGGGTCGACATCTTTGCGGCGTACTGGGAAGCAGTGGGGGAGGTGCTGAAGTGTGAGGACCGACACCCTGGATCCAGTGCCGTCGCAATCTTCACTGCCTGGAAGAAGCTTGCCAATGCCCTTATCAGAGGGTATTCGGGCTCTTCTGGCCTCCCTGCCTGGACGCTGCCGTGCTTGTACACAGTCGGCAAATTCCTGCGCACCTTTGCGATCAAAGCCGATGTCGAAGCAGCGTCGCAGGATTCGTCGGGCTTCGGCTTCCAGGATGATCTTTCGGTGGAGGTTGAGAAGAATGCAAACTTGGAGGAGGCGGCGCGAATTATGAATCGAATGTTTACTCTTTGTCTTAGCGACCGGTGAGTCAAAACTGATTCATATACTCGCGGTTCATTGCTGACCGAGATAGGGCGCCCATCGAGGAATCCCGCAAGTGGGGCATCTATGAAACTACCAATCTGCTGTTCAAGACCTATTTTAAGGTATAGATGCTTGGCTTCCATAGAGAGCGACTACTGACTTGATATAGATCAACTCCGTTGGCCTGACAAAGAACCTCCTCCGTGCCCTCAATGCTCAATCTGATGACCTGCCGCCTCTTGAAGCGTTTCCAAAGTCTCATATCGTCACATTTGAGTACTATGTCGGAGTCATACACTTTTTGGATGAAAACTATGCAGAGGTACGGAAGGACCTGTGGTCATGAGCGGACTGAAGACTAATTCGAGGCAACAATCGCAGGCTGAGAAGCACCTGTCTACTGCGTGGAGGTTGTGCCATCGTGGGGCCTTTAAGAACCGAGAGTCAGTATGCCCCCATTTATCTATTGGGATTCCTTCTCATGAGTCCATCTAGGTTGATTCTCACATACCTTATTCCCTGCCACTTGGTCACGAACCATCACCTCCCCCGAAAAGAACTTCTCGCGCCCTTCCCACGGTTAGAGCAACTATTCGGTTCTTTGTCGAACTGCATTCGCAAGGGCGACCTTGTGGGCTTCGACCAGGCTATGTCTGCGGGCGAGGCAGAGTTCGTCAAGAGGCGCATCTACCTTCCGCTCGAGCGAGGGCGCGATATTGCGTTGCGCAACCTGTTTCGCAAAGTCTTCATTGCTGGTGGGTTTGAAGAGGCCAAAGATGGCCAGCCGCCTATTCGGCGGACCCGTGTTCCCGTGGCTGAGTTTGCGGCTGCCCTGAGGATTGGTACACATGCGACAGGCCGGACACGGGTGGATACTGATGAGGTCGAGTGCTTGTTAGCCAATCTCGTGTACAAGGTCAGTATTCACCATCCTTGAACAATTGCTCGGTGCATTAGCTGACTGTGATCCCTTATGATTTGCCTGTGCAGGGTCTCATGAAGGGTTATATCGCGCGAGAACGAGGCATAGTCGTTTTGAGCAAGAATAACACCGCCTTCCCCGGCACCGGCGTATAGAATGGCCTGCACATAGGAAACCCCTCTCAAAATATCAAGCGTTCTCATCTGTGATGAGCACCTTTCTACGACGACTTGCACCTCTGGATACCCCCGGCCTCAGTCACAGCCCAAGGAAGCCGAACGACTTTTAGTCGACTCAAGATTACGACTGTTCTCGGTCCAGCATGAAAACTAAACGCCGCAGGCCATGATAGAATTCATCGCGTCCAGCAATTGCCGATCAACTGGTTGAATTTATGGGGTTCCAGCGTCAACCGACCATACACATGGCGCACTCTCGAAAAAGCCACATTTTTAATTCGTCTGCCCATGAGACGATATGGGGGTTACAACAAATCCCTACGGGTCACAATGAACATTGATACGGAAGAGTCAATAGCATGAGTTCATATTCAAGATATGGACGAATTCCATTCCAACATCAATCTACCTTGCAGTCAACAATATATCTAGTGGTACACGGGTATTAAATATTAGGCCACCGACCCTGCAGCGGTAAAAAAAATTATTAAAAAAAGAACCATTCCCACATACCAACCCTTATCCACCCCCATTACGCCCAACAAGACCGCCTTACCTATCGACCCTGCCCGTGCCCCAGCGCCGAACTACAAACCGACATCGCCGACGGAAACACATCATCCTACCAAACATCAGTTAGCAACCCCCCCTCGCCGCCTCCCATTCAATAGGAAATAAGCATGCAAGCCCCAGACTCACCATATGATTACACATCGCAACAAACAAATCGAAAAACAATTTCCCACCCTGCTCCATCTCAACCTGCATCGTCCCGCTCTTCTTGAAAGTCCCCCGACACCGAATAATCAGCGCCAAATAATGCGCCCGCAGCCGCGACTCCGTGTCCGGCGTATGCGCATAGGCGAACCGCGCGCTGGCTAGGATCGTGCTGGCTGGTATCCCGGCCTGCAGACCCTGCTTGCGCAGCGCCAGGCGCGCCAGCGCGGGAAGCCCGTAGCTCGTTGCGGCGCAGTATACGGCTGTGTCGCGCAGGATCGGGGCGTTCACGCTGTGATGCCAGATGACTGCGCTGGGGGAGAGAGCGGGCGAGGAGGGCGGGGGCAGGGCGTCTTCGAGTGTCCAGGTTCCGCGGGCGGGATTGTGTTGGAGACGCGGGGAGTAGTCGCCTTTGTAGAGGTACTCGAGGATACAGGAGAGGACTTCGGGTTGTTCGTGCGGGAGCTCAATGCGTTTGCTGGGTGCGGTGATGTGTGGGTGGGAGGGGGGTGGGGGGCTGGGCGTTTGGGTGGTGCAGTGGGCTGCGAAGAAGGGCGAGGCGCTGAGGATGGACTCGTGCGCGGCGAAGAGGCGCTGTTGAGGGCCGACGCGGAGCATTACAATGGGTGATGTGGGGGGTCGTGTTGGGCTGCTGGAGATGGGGGTTAGCATCGATGTAGAGGGATATGGGTGGTTACGGGTAGGGATGCATTGGGGGCAAGGAATGGGAATCAATGGGGATATGGAGTGCTCCATTCGGGGCGATTTAGATAGGCCCTATGTTTGATCGTGGAAGATGAGAGAGGCATGGAAGGAGACGTACGATATATCAGGTGGGCACACCGGTCTTCTCCGAACCCGTCTCGAACCACTCGAGCTGGAGCTATCGCGGAACCCTCTTCTCGACCGGACGGCCGAGGCCTTCGCAGCGCGATACCTGGAGAAATGCTCCGACGGAGCGACCTTTCTCGACAGCATTGCCCGTTTGCGACTCCTCTCATCCATGTTCTAGAGCAACTGCGAGCGCTGACACGTACCAAATACAAGGAAATGATGATGCAGAAGCAAAATCGTTCTACGATTCAGGGGCGTCCAGTCCCTATTTATCCCTTGGGACTAGCAGCTCAGCTCCGACCAAAGGGCCACCCGGGTTGGGGGGGTGTTCTGTCATGATTGTATGGAGTACAGGACGGGGACCCAGACGGTGGTTATACACCGTACCTGCAGGCTCTGCCTGCCGATCAGCCTATCTAATATAACCCGATTTGGGCAAGAGAAGGGCCCTCGACGCGTCATGACGGGTTTGAAACGCGTATAAAGGGTGATGGGGCCCGGGTGGGCGTCGCCAAATGAGCGCGTGGTCACGGGACCGCTAGCACTGCTAGGGCCGGTTAGGGGCGAGTTAGGCTGCTTCGGGCACGGTTTAGGAGAGTTGGTGAGGTCGGAGAGTGGAGAAGTGGGAAATGAAGTGCTGGTGGCGCATGTACAGCTGATCATCTGGCATTTGACTACGAGCAACTTTCAGACTAGCCAAGAAACAAGGCAAAAGAGAAAGGGGGAAAAAAAGAGACCGGAAGGGTGTGTTCTGTCCCAAGTGAAACGCCGATACCTTCCCCGAACGCCGATCCTAAATTACCGAAGAGTCCGTAGTCCCGAAATTGCCGTTCCGTCATGAGTAGGGGAGAAGTGCAACGGAAAGGATCCAGTCAGTTCGTCACAGGAACACCTTCCGGGCGTCTTTCATGTGGCTTTCGCTTGGGCAGTAGGGACACTTGAACCGGCTGCCCTTGCTGAGTCGCTTGAGGGACTCTTCCGCGATAACATGCCCGCATGGCATCATCATGGGCGGATTCGCATCCGTGGCTTGCTCCTTGGAGACGGGGCAAACGAAAATCGAGTGGAAAAGGTACGAGGGGGGCAGTGAAATTTCGACCTGGACACCGCATGTGAGTGATATCATTCAAATATTTTTCGATACTGGAACTTACCGGTAGCTCATTCTCACTCGTCCATTCCGTGCGCTTCGCCTTCATGATCGTTTGTAGTTTCAGTAGTGTCGGTAGAGCGATCGCACCGGCTGTCGCAGCAATATACAGCGGCGAGTCCGCCGACAACCCCAGTAACGAGCAGAACTCGCGGGTAAAGAACTGGGCCACGTCATCCCACACCGTCGAATTATTGAAAATGGAGGAATACGGCGAGTCCTGCAGGTTTGGGCAAAACGCCATGGCGCCCATCAACTGCTGCACCTCGCGGAGGTAGCGCGGGATAAAGGCGTGGAATTCACGCTTGGCATAGGCCATCGCCGCGCGCCAGTTCCCGGGCGCATTCTGACCCGGCTCCGACTCGCCGTGGTACAGCCAGACAAACTGCAACCGGCACAGCTCAAATTCCAGGTTGCTGCCGCGGGCTTCCAGCGCCTCGCGGTTCTCACAAGACCATTCGATGGCCGGGAGAAGGTTCTTCTTCTCTTTGAGCTGGGACAGGATGTAGTACATAGAGGCGAACTCCTTGCGAATCTCGGGTGAGGGGACCTCGTCGAGGTCTAGGAGGCTGGTGGCTTGCTCGGGGGAAGCGGGTGAGGATTGGTGGTTCTGCATGAAGGCTTTCTTCTCGGCAATTTCGGAGAGGAAGGTGGCTGCGACGGAGAACTGGCCTTCACGGAGGAGGTGCATCGCGATGGCGCGGTTGATAAGATGTTCTTGCTCGGAAAGGGCATCGTGCTCGGTACTGGGGAGGGGCCTGTCTTTGAAGAGCTGGAGATGGTTAGTATACTGCATGCGGGGGAGCATCGGGAGGTGAAAGGGGCCGTGGCGAGAGAGGTACCTTATCGAGAGACTTGGTGTACTTGTTTAGCCCGCTGTGGGTTTCTTTGAGGCTGTCGTTAATTGAGTTGAGAGATGCTTTAACGGGATTCTGGAGCTTGGCCAAGGTGACTGCTGCCTGGTTTGGGTCTACGAGAGTGAAGGTGAGATTCAGTCAGCTAGCGGTGCTTCACAGCGGGACGGCATATCCCGAATGCCACGATATCTGGGCGATCTTGACTGACCAGCAGCGATAGTGTCCCGGGCGGACTGGAGCAGATCGATGGTCGCTTGGACATTGTTGATACCCTGTGAGGCCTTCAGCCTCTTCAGAAGCCTGTCGTGCTCCTTCTGAACCAGATCCATTGTGGTGCACAGGCTGCGGAGTACTCGATGCGGAGTCGCTCAGGGTACCGCCCGGCAAGGCCTCAGAGTGCCATGGAGAGGGTCCGGCACGGAGGAAGGGGTTTCTAGCTGTAGTCTGGGGCACTCTGGAGACTCAGTAAACCTATTATGGGCCCTATCGTCAGTTTTTATGGGGAGTTGATAGGTGAAAGAGTCAACAATCGCCGAGGCGACCCGGGGCTTGAGCTGTTCCGGATGATCGTCGTGCCTTACGACATAGGCACGTGACTGATTCCACCACCCCTCCTTCACAGGTAAATAGTACGACCAAGGGAAAAGAGTCTGTGATTCAACAATACTGCTATATTCGAAATCAGATTTCCCCTCCTACACTGACAAATTGTTTTCCGAGCCCCATTTTGAAAGCACGCTAGCCTGGATGTAGTTAGTTCACCCCCAAACCATCGTCAATTTGTATCATGTTGCATGAACGGAGATACATGATCATCGTTATAGTACAGTAAGCCTCTGAAGGGCTAAAATACGATTTGGATATAACTTGAAGCCTTATGATATCGATTATATCTCTCAGCCCGAAGAGCCGAACAGTAGGCATAGACCTTCTAATGTCTATAACCCTCATTGCTTAGGATCTAGGTTAGGTAAGAAGGGAGATAGGTAAGCGTTCAACTTCCATGTAGACTGGGCAAACCCCATAGATAAATTCAGGTAGGTCCAGGTATATAATTTCAAATAACAGAACTTAGTTGTTAATCCGCTTCTAGTTCTTATTTCGCAACCTCCGCTAAGATTAATACGATACATACTGGCTATACATAATTTTAGCACTGCACTAACGCTAGATCGCTAGCCTATATCGATAGTATGATATAGGCAGCTGATCAAGGTATATTGAATTTTGGACCAGCAGGAAACTTACTAGTAATAAGTCCACGCCCTCCGCAATCTGCACCTCCCACTGCGGCAAAGCCCCCGATAGGGTATGATAATTCATTATCTTCTTGCGCCGAATCCAGATGATAGTCCGATCTCCCATCATCACCGTCGACACCGCGTTGCTGAGCTGTAGCACCTCTAGCTCTTCTTGATTATTTGCTGCCGTTCCCGAGTATTGTGTCGCTGGCGTGAACGTAGAGGAGGAAGATGGCGCCGGCTCCAGTGGCGGCTCTAATGCCTGTAGTAAATCCTGTAGAGATTGATGGCTCGAGCAGTACTGCGAGGAGTCGTAAGATGGCGGTAATATACTAGTGTTATCGTCATCGTTTAAGTATAGTAAGCCGTTGTCGTCCTCAGCCAGGCCCCTCGTGTTGCTGTTGTTACTGCTTGTGAAGTAGTCGCTAGTGTGATTGGCGATCACGGCGCTATATGGCGGTGGGGGTCGCGCCTGTGGTGGAGGGCAGCGATTTGCGGGCCTCTGACTTACTACGGCATGTCGATTGGCTTGGAGTTGCGCGTGCTGCTCAAGCTGCTGCTGATTGCACTCGTCTAGTTGACTCGGGGCTAGTAGTGCGTTCGTTACTTGTATCAAGATCTTCATCCCAATCGCAAAGCTTATCTTTGCGCTTAGAAGCTCCTCCCCACCGCCTCCGGCCTGCTCAACACTCCAGATCCGCTGCCGCCACTGTCGCCGTAGCTCTAATAGCGGCCGCCCTGACGCGTCTCGGATTTGTCGGCGCTGCGAGTTGCGCCAGAACTTGCTGGTTACGGTAAAGAGTAGCGACTGCCCCTGTCGCGAGTGTAGAGACTTGTGCCACCGCAGCAGGTGTACTAAAAAGTCCGGCCCAAATAGCGTGTTCTCCCGAGTGATAATAAGTGTGGTCGCTGAGTCGGTCAGCAGATCTGGCATCGAGGCGAGGAGGTGGGTTGGCCGCAGTGCGATTGGGTGACCTGGGGGCTGGAGTGTCGTTGACATCGCGGTATGGTTTGGGCGGGCTTGGATCGAAGAAGTAACTGGTAGTAAGATGAAGAGAGATAAATATGTAGGAATATAGATAACGGAGCTCAGATGAATAGATTCAAGGTATTATTAGTGTAGGGAGAGTCTAAGAGGCAAACGGCGCGAAGACTGGTGCACTCATGGGAATTCAGTCCTATCATATGATTCGTCACGGCCATGCTTAGTCCTTGGGCGGGAGTTTGTCGATGACGGCGCTGGACCTGTTTTCACATCAACACGGCTTGTTTTCTGTTTACACAAGCCTGCCCTCGCGGTTCGACCACCACATAGTCTAGACGAGCTAATGAGAGCCTTCCTTAATGATACTATAAAAACTACTTTAGGCTTTGCTAGCCTTTGTGATTACTGAGAAATTTGCTCTTAAAGTTTTGCGTTGATTCTGCCGCTTGTGCTACCGCCTTATAGGGGAGGAAGCAGACAGCTTTAGTAAACTGAGATTTTCGAGTACTTTTGAACAAGCATAGTAAGTTATTAGAACCATTTAAGAATAAGGTCTTATATCATACCATGCACAGATGTTCTGGTACGCACGGGCGAATGCCCCACTGATAGCTGCTAAACGGAACTAGTCCCCTTTGAGGAGCCACCCGGAAGGGATGAGTCATCTCAGAGTCACCGCAGCACACAGACCAATAGCATGCTGTTGTTTGGAGGTCCGACCCCACCTCGCTTATGCTAGCGCCATGTAGGCGAGGGTATAAATACTGCCGTCCCTCACGCTGCTTTCCCCTTCTTTTTCTTTTCTTCTTCATCCTAGTGCACGGGTTTTACACGTATCAGTGAGGAGACATCCGAGATCGTGTTTTTGCTAGTTGAAAACTACCAAACTGACCACTCTGTCTGGTCTTCGGATCGGACAGGAATTTTTGAAAATTGAAGTTGCCCCAACTCCCTTGGCTGCCAGGTCATCGGGCTTGGATTCGGTGCTCGTTTTGACATGGCCCAGCCGGTCGACGAGTGCCATCGCGGTATTCTTTTCACTACTGTTGTCACCCAGGTTGGTGGCCTTTAGAGAAGAGTTATATTCCAGATGCAATCAGTTTTCATGTTGGACGCGCCCGGATGGGGTTGTAGGTCACTGAGGACCTTGATACTTTAGCTCCTGTAGACCGTCTACGTCGACTTCAAACCCCCTCATTCCATGCATGAATACTGTAGCTTGCTCAGGAACGATAGATGACCCTTGCTGGGCCATTCCCCTGCTCCGTACTGCTGCCTCTCGTCTCGCATTGTAGAAGCTCCCTCAGAGTGGGTGCCTGATGCCGAGTCACTCACCGCCCACATCTGCAGTGACGTCGGCCTTCCTGTAGCCTCGGAGGTTCCCCACGCTCGACCTTCTTTCGATTGACAGGGTGATAGACCCCTTTGTGTTCTATATTATTGCATGTGCCAGCGCTGGATCATGCCGCGACAGCCTTCGCCAGGATATGTTCCTGTCGCCTCTACCTGACCCGTACTGCAGGAGGATCGAAGGACGCTCGGCGCCTGCCTGAGTGACCGAGGTGTGGCGGTGGGCGTGCGTGGGTTCAAATGGTGCTGTCCCCTTAGGCTCCTTACCATCCTCTCCTGGACTGCCTGGTCGTCCGCAGTCCTGCCATTGACCAACAGCGGTGATGCAGGCCAACGCACCGCCTTCGTCGGCGGTCGCCCGCAGTGACTCTGCCAAGGCATTCGACGGCATACGTGCAAGCCCTGCCTCGAAGACGACTGGGCCCGACCAGCGTCCTACGTCCCAGGGTCACCAGAAAATTGTCTTCACCGATGCGGTCGCCCTCCGATACCTGGAAGAAGACCCTTCGACCGACGTGCTGCACCGCCGCGAGACGCTGCAGGGCTACGAGATATACGTCGTCGAACAATGGGCCTGCTCACGCTCGCACCCGACTTTTATTATTTCGACCTACACTGGAGACCCGTCACATACGGTGGTCGTGGGCGTGCTTAGCGTCCCAACGGATGAGTCGACATGGTCGCCGCGGTTGCGGATGTACTTTAACGCCGTGAAGCAATACCATGCTCGGAGGAAGGAGACGCCGCTGGGAGCGGTCATGGTGACGGATCTGGGCTCGTTTCCGTCTGCCCTGACCGTGATTCCGGTGCCTGACGGCGATCTCAAGAAACATAGATTAGACTTTATCGTGAACGAGGACCTGAAACGGCTCGGTTGCGCGGGTCGTGCGGGCTTGAAGCTTCAGCCGCCGTTGGCTGCTACCGAAGCCAAGTTTCATCAGCTCTACCGGACGAGTGAGCGGGTACCTCTCTATACCGCAGTTCTTGAGCTGGTGAAGCAGTGCCAAATTGCCTTGATGGTGTTTGACAAGCTAGCCCCCGAGTATGTGGACGGTCTGCTATGCGACGTGACTGAGACGGCGATCAGCGACTGGTGGGCGGATATCGGAACCGACCTGTACAATGTTGAGCCAAGTGATGGTGTTTTGGGGCCCACGACTGTCGCCGCTCTGCTGGGCACGCTTCTGGGGGCTCGGAATCGACTACATGCCTACGGTGCCCCGGTGGGAAAGGATGCCTTCGACATCGATAACCTTAAGAGGGGAATCGGCGGCTTTCAGAAGGCCCAGAAAATGAATCGGTCTCGCAGATTGGACCGGCGGACTCTGGATAAACTACATCGTGCTACTGCCAAGGCAGCCAATGCAGACGGATGGACCGATGCGATCAAGTCAACCATGACGGAGCTTAGTGGACAGGGTGGTGAAATGGTCATGGGTATGGTCCGCCGCCGCGAGAAGGGCGGAATTGCCGATGTCGAGACTCTTGATCTCGACAACTTTGTACAGTACGTGTACGGCTCCAGGGCGAAATGGCTGTGGCTCGGGAAGCCGCGCAAAAGTGGAATTGACAGTGGTTTCACACGAGGTCCGGGGACAGACATGATGTTTACGACGGATGACCAAGGGGGTTACGTCTGGACGAGTCGGAAGAAACACTCCACAGAGGACTTGCACGCCGAGCGGGTGGCTTCTGGTCTTGATCGACAATGGAGGGCTCCTGAGTTGGTGATCCCAGAAGAAAGGGATCATCGGAAAAGGGGTGTCAGTGGCAGAGTTTCAGATGCCCGGGCTGGTCTGGGTCGTTTTAAAGATGCCGTTGGGCTACAGGGCCTGCGTTCACATCACCACAAGCATTCACGAGAAGGGGTGGACTTGACCCACGATATTGCGTATTATCCGCAGATCGACAGCGATACTGAGACGTCCGCTCAAAAGTCCAAAAGTGGCTCTGGTCCGTCAGAAACGAAGGTGGGCGATGAGTTCGGAACTCGACCAGAGGACGAACAGAATAATCAGCTTTCCGCCACGGCGGAGTTTGTCACTGAGGTCCAGCCTCCCGAAATCCACGTTGAGACTGTGCCGCCCACATTTGAAGTCGACGAGCAGTCCGAGCAAGCAGACCAAGTAGCATGGCTGCAGCCCATCCCAACGATAGACGAGGAATCAGGCCTCGAACGCGTCAGGAGCCGGTCTAGCGCTGCTTCAAGCGACCGAGGACAGGGCCGAGATGAGCCTGGCTCCGATTTAGCTATGATGGCCCTCCGTCGTCCACAGAGCTGCGAAGAACTTCGGACTATCGACAACCAAGACCCACGACGGAACGATTGGTGCGCGCGACACCTCTCCTTCAGCAATGTCGAAGAGGCTGTACTCAGCTGGGTTCCGCTGGGCGGTCGGCCTACAATCAAAGACCCGACGAACCTAGAAGAGGCTATTGCAGAAGAGGATATGCTTGCATCGGACGCTCGCATCTTCAGCACCCGCATCCTAGAACTCAGCGAACATACTGTGCCATGGGTTGAGCGCCAGGTCGATTCCGTCGATGGTCTGAATAACATCTTGTATGACCATCACGAAGAGCTGAACGCCGTGTACCTGGAACGCTTCCGTGATTACCAGCGGCTGCGCGAACGATCTAGCGACCTCCTCACAGACGAGCACGCCCATCTCAGCGACAGCGTGAAGCACGTCGAGCTGTTGGGCGCGAAATTGGATTACGAGCTGCATGTTCTCGAGTCTAAAGTCGAGGATATGGAGGCGGGCCTGGGCGATTTCGAGCGGCACATCATGAACGTGGAAACACGCATTAAGGGCTTGCTCCAGGGCGAGGAGAAGCATAGCGTTTCCTGGATTACCTGGTTACGGCGGTCGATCGGGCTTACTGCGCAGTGACGTTGACGTCTGCTTCAAGACCACGTGTTGTATAGTACTTCCTTTTTTTCCATTTGCCCCTTTTCCTGTCCTATTGTACATAAACATCGGCGTTCCGCGCCGGCAAACAACTGTGATGATATAGGCGTGGTTCATCACGACGACATAAAACAAATACTGCCTGGGCGGCCGGGCGCGCTCGAGGCTAGCAGTAGATCAACATCTAGTTGTACTCGGCATTTCATCACGAATTCGTCCACTGCCAGCTCCCTGCCCCAGCTGCTCCAGTTTCTACATCCCCGTTTCCTCCGTAGCGGGCTTGCTCATCGTGTCCGGCAGGTACTGCCGCTTTACATGCTGAGGCCCATGCCGCCACCCTGCTGGCCGGCGCCCTGCTGCATCTTCTCGCTGACCTTAATGTTGACGTCGAAGAACTTGGAGACGCAGCGGTCGAGGCAGACGGACTCCCCCTTGTTCAGGTCACCCTCGCGGTAGTCGGTCGGAATACACTTCTTGGAGCAGGACTCGGTGAGACTGGTCGGATTGAATTGTTAGCAAGATTTATCCCCGGAAGATGGATGACGTGAAGTTATTTCTGTTATTGGATATGCTTACCGAGTGAACATGTCCGAGATCATCTCGACTTCAGTCTCGGCAGCAGCGATCTTCTGCTCCGAGGACATCTTGGGCTGGCCACCGAAGAGGAACGACATGGTGATGGGAGGTGGTAGGAAATGGGAAGTAGAGTCAAACTATCGACGGGTATTAGTAAGAGCTATCTTTGGAGGGAGTTTGATGTCCTACTCACGTAGTTGGGCTAGTTGGAGTCGGGATGTGGTTCTTGCAGGGTAAATGCGGAAGTCTTGAGGTCGGAGGTCGCGAAGCTTGGGCCACTTCCCACTTGGCGCGGCTGTCCGCCCGCGCCGAGTTTTCCCTCGTCTTTTTTTTTTCGATTTCCCCTTCCTCTTTCCTTCTTCACCCACGCGATGTGAGTGGGAGTCTGCATCGGCTTTCTATGCATTCAATTCGCCCCCGGGCGCTGCGAGGCCTTGCAGGTCTGCGGAGCAGGTAAGCTTTGCCTTTTTTTGTCTTCTGTTTTCGTTTCCTTTGCTATATGATGAGTTTTTCCCACTTGCTTCAGAACCGCTGCAACTGATGCCCTCTCGGGCACATGAACTTACTGGAATTCTATTTCTGATCTTTTATTGCCTCTTTCTCTATTGCCTGCCATCAATTGGTTATGATTATAAGCTAACTCGGCTTTGCAGTGCAGGCCTGCGCCCTTCCAACCCCCGTATCCCAGCTCCCTGGGGTCTGTCCCGACTAACCCCCCAGCTTAAGCTCCGGTCCATCCGGTATTCGAGTTCCCATGCATCGCCCGAGAAGGCCTTCCAGGAGCGTGTGCAGGAAATTCGCACTGTCTGCGCCGAACCCTATCCGCGGCTGGCGGTGGACTCGCGGACCCTCAGCTGTGCCGAGTTCCGCAGTCGCTATGCCCACCTGAAGGATAATGAATCAGTAGATGCAGACTCGGTCGTGGTATCTGGTAGGTCGCCTTTTCCCGGCCCTGCGGTATCAGGACATGTACTTAGATTAGCTAGGTAGGATTCGTACCTATAGACTTGCCGGGAGCAAATTGATCTTCTTCGATATCGTGCAAGACGGACACAAAGTCCAGGTGATGTGCAATAAGCGTCAACTCGAGGGGGGTGAGGGCCCCGAGTTTAAGAAATTCTACCGGCTCCTGCGCCGCGGAGATGCTTTCTGTATGTGTTGCTGGCTTGACTAGTACATGCTTTCTTCTAATGAAGCTCCATCCTAGCCGTCACTGGACGACCGCACCGTACTGGCCGGGGCGAGCTCACCATCGACGCCACGGAACTGCCACGGCTGCTGTCGCCGTGTCTGCACGATGTCCCCGTCCACGATCGCTCGCACGAAACCTCGCCCTACCCTCGTCATGTCCAGTTCCTGGCCGACCCAGCGACGGCGGAGATCATCCGGGCCCGGGCCTCTCTGATCCAGTATCTGCGCCAATTCTTCGTGGACCGGTCCTTTATGGAGGTCACTACCCCCATCATTGGGTCGGTGGCGGGTGGTGCGATTGCCCGGCCCTTCTCGACGGCGGCCACCGAGTTCCCCGAGCGTCAACTGTCGCTGCGCATTGCACCGGAGCTGTGGCTTAAGCGGCTGGTGGTCGGTGGGTTCGACAAGGTGTTTGAGATTGGGCCATCTTTCCGGAATGAAGGTACGCAACTCGGCCCAAGATGAAGTCAAGAGACTATTAACTCAGAATGTACAGGTTTGGACAAGACACACAACCCCGAGTTCACCACCTGTGAATTCTATCAGGCCTACGCCAACCTGGACGACCTGATGCGCATCACGGAGACTCTCCTGTCCGGCATGGCCGAGCACATCAAGGCCTTCAACCAGGACGGCCTCCTCAACCCGACCACCGCGACCTTCACCACACCCTTTCGCCGCGTGGACTTCATCACCGGCATTGAAACCCAAATCAACCGCTCCCTGCCCGACCTCTCCGCCCCCGACGCCCTCGCCAACATGCACACCCTCTTCCACGACCTCTCCCTCCCCCTTCCCACGAACGCAACACTGCCCCGTCTCCTCGACGAGCTGTGTGCCATCTACCTCGAGCCCACCTGTATCGACCCAACCTTCATCATCAACCCGCCCGAGTGCCTCTCCCCACTATCGAAGTCCTTCATTCACCCAACGACCAAGCAAGTCGTCGCTGCCCGCGGCGAGCTGTTTATCGAAGGGAAGGAGGTGGTCAACACCTACGAAGAGGAGAATTCGCCGTTTGAGCAGCGCCGCAAGTTTGAGGACCAGCTACGCTATAGCAGGGCCGCTGATGAGCCTGGCGAAATTGACGAGAGCTATCTCGAAGCACTTGAGTGGGGGCTGCCCGCCACGGGCGGCTGGGGCTGCGGAATTGACCGGTTGGTCATGCTGTTTACGGGGGCAAAGCGGATTGGCGATGTCTTGTCATTTGGGAACTTGAGGGCAGTGACGAGACGGCCTGGTGGTGTGAATGAATAGGGGAAGGGGAGAGCAGAAGGCGGTGGTGAGATATCTGGCTTTGTACACTAGTTTTCGTCTGTTCATATCCTCTCGGTTCAATGGCATGTAATTCCGATATTGTGTCGTTTCAATCTCTTCCTCCATAGCTCCTATCGTATATAATGAAATATAGATAATAGATCATACACTATGACTTGTAGAATATCAGTTCTGCTTTGAGTCTATAAGAAGTTTCCAACTCATTCGTCGCTGGGGGATCGATATAGATCGAGGTATATATAAAGAGACGAGTAGCAGACCCTTCCGTCCAGCTCAATACATTCCCCGCCAGCGACCTCGAGCATTCTACAAGAACAAAACATTCCGGTAGGCTAGCAAAAAGGACCCGGTGAGTTACCGACCTCATGTTTGGCGATGCAGCAGATGATGCCGGCCCTCTTGGAATCTAGCCCAGAAGCCAAGGAGATCGATGGCCCTAGTTCCGCCAAGGCCGGTGCGTCCATCGGCACTCATACTTACGCCCCTACAATCAAATAAACCATCACACCGGATTGGCCTGTTCCAGCTTGGGGTTTGCTTATATTTCTGTGGCCAACGGAACACGCAGAGGAAAGTATGTATGCAGTCCCCTGTACGGAGTAGGTGCGGCTGACAGCGGTGGTGGGGTATCCGGTTATGTACGACAGTTTTTGTATATTCAATTTCTCTGAGATCAAGGGCATGCCATACCCTACAGTTTTTCCAATCGCTCCGGCGTAGAGGCCCTGGTTCGATTGCACCAGGCTCGCCCGGCGATAGCCGTGGCTGCCTCGGCGCGGCCCGTCGTGTTTTATCGACCTGGATCGCGAAGCGGGGAAAACATGCATTTGTTTCTGCCTTCAACCACCATGAGCACCACCCAAGCGCCCGTGGCCCAGGCGGTCACTGTCAGTCTCAAAGATCTTGAAAACGGTCTGACTGCTCCTGGATAACACATTGCCTGTCCAGATACTGATATCGGCACAGGCACCGTCTCCTTCGACACCCTCACCGAGGCTTTCGGTCCCTCCTCGCTCGGCATTATCATTGTGAAAGACCTCCCCCAGCACTTCGCCCAATTGCGGGCGCAGGTCCTCTCCCATGCATCGTATCTCGCAGCACTTCCAGAATCAGAACTGGGTGAGAAGCAGCCCTCCGGCCCCCCCGCTCCCAAGATCTCATCGCATCCGTCCACTCGCTAACCGCCACAGAATCCCTCGAAAGCCCCGAGTCCAAGTACCTAGTCGGCTGGTCCTGCGGCAAGGAAACGCTCAAGTCAGGAACTTTCGACACGCTCAAGGGCTCATACTACGTCAATTGTGCGTTCTATCAGGATCCAGCTCTGCAGGGCGCCCCCGCCGACGGATTCCCCGATCTGCCCCAGTACACCGCGCCGAATATCTGGCCACCAGAGGCTAAGCTGCCCAGCTTCCGGCCCAGCGTCGAGGCACTCTGCTCGCTAATCATCGACACGGCGGCGCTCGTCGCGAAAGCCTGTGATCGGTACGCCGAGGCAAATGTCGAGGGCTATAAGCCCGGGTACCTCACACATGTGGTGAAGACCAGTCTCACGACCAAGGCGCGCCTGCTACACTATTTCCCCGCAGCAGCACTCACCTCCTCGGCAACGGAGGAGCCCAATGTTGATGACGATGACTGGTGCGCCACACACGTCGATCACGGCTGCCTGACCGGCCTGACATCGGCCATGTTCCTCGACGAAGCAGCCACCCTGCCCATTCCAGACCCCTCGCCCACCACCTCCCTCCGCGAACTGCCCCAGTCCCCCGACCCTGCAGCGGGCCTGTACATCCGTTCGCGCACAGGCGCCATCGTCAAAGTCAACATCCCCAAGGACTGCCTCGCGTTCCAGACGGGCGAGGCGCTGCAGCTCATCACGCAGGGCAAGTTCCGGGCCGTGCCGCACTTTGTGAAGGGGGCGAAGTGCCCCGGTGGAAAGCAGAAGATTGCGCGCAATACGCTGGCGGTGTTTACGCAGCCGAATCTGGAGGAGGAGGTGCAGAAGGGGCTGACCTTTGCGGAGTTTGCGAGGGGGGTTGTTGCGAAGAATTACGAAGGGGCGGCTGTATAGGTTCGTTGGGAGGATTAGATTTTAGATTTGTATATGCTGTGAATGAAAGAGAATGGAATGGCCAGTGCTTGCTCCTTCCTTCAGGGCAAATTGGTGCTTGGGTGGTGTAGAGTTGGGACGATCCTGCCTGTCACTTCCCGACGGCAATCAAACCAGGACGTCAAATGTAATACTGGAACATCCGAGTCTACCAGCTCCGAGCTCCGAGCTGCCCACACATTGCTTGAATTCTTCAGGTCCATTTCATCGCTAGGTTATGTTACAAGGTATTGCATGCAAGTCATCAGTCGTTAAGCCCCCGAATATCAAATCGCCTCGTCCTGAGTTGGATCAGTAGATCGACAAAGCTGCAGACCATCAATCACCGCTTGGACTGAAAATTCCTTGCAACAAATGTCCACAAGCAAGAGGCTCCGCTTCAATCCACGTACTCCGGCCCTTCGCTCTGCTCACGGATTGGAATCACAACCATAAGCTCGCTCTCAGAGAGATCCATATCCGACGTGGTGCCCTCATCAGTTGCAGAATTATTCCCCTCCTCCTCGTTTTCAGTAGTGGCACCCAGCCCGGTACTAACAAGCTTGCTCATCTTGCTCACCTCACTGAATGTTTTCTTCGACGGAGGCCGGCCCACGCTCTTCGAGCTCGGCAGATCTGCAAGCCTCACGTCCACGTCCGATGTACTCCCGTGCAGAATCCGCAGAATGGCTTGCCATCGCACAGGATCATCGCGTTGCTCAGCGGCTGGTCCGACGTCGACCCCGTTCATGGTGGCCAGGCCGAGCGTTTCCACACGCGAGTCGCCCCAGAAGAACTCCACGCCTTCAGGGATGCGCCCGTCAGCCTGAGTCGAGAAGCGGCGGCCGCTCAGCACGCCGTGCAGGTCATAGTCCAGATTAAAGCTCCCGTAGTGCAGGTACGTAGCCTCGGGCTCGTAGCACCGGCCGAGTATCATGCCCGGGGTCACGACGCAGGTCTTGCCCCCCGCGACCCGGTACCACTTGCCATACACGCGCATGCCCACCTGCCGGAAAGTATTGTCAATCTCCCAAGAGGTGAGCTTCTGCAACGGGTCCGTGGCAAAGGGCATTTCCCGTTCCAGCCGGCGCGGGTCGAGCGTGTAAACCTTGCCCGCGATGTAGGGGACCGTCTTCCGCGCGAGCTGCTCGTTGCTTGGGTCCGCGTTACACTCGTCGAGCTGTAACCATATCGCCTCGATGACCATCACGTCCGTGACCGTCGGGCCCATGTCCCCTCTCACCTGGCCCTGTTTGTCCTCCAGGTCACTGGCCTTCATGCCGAAGGGCTTCAGGCGGACCGTGTCCATGACAGCGAGGAGCTCCGGGCCAATGAAGATGCCTTTACAGTAGACCCGCGCGTTGGGCCATTTACCCTTGAAGCGGACCTTATGCAGCAGGCTGTACGACGACATGGTCGTTAGCGCGTTTTCGATGGACGGGTGCAGTTTCTCACGCGGCGTCGGGTACAGGAAGCGCTCGAAGGCGCCGAAGGGCTTGATGCATTTCAGGGGGAGGTATTTATACTGCATCGAGTAGGACTTGTCGTCTTCGACGGGGTCGGGGAGCGTTTCGACCCGGAACCCGGAGTACGAGATCGGATTCTTCTTGGTGGTTTCCTGGACGATGTCGAGGTAGCTGGATTCTTCTTCTGCGATCTGCGTGACGACGCCGGCACGCCAGTCCGGCATGCCGAGCCATGTGCCGTCTTCGGCGCGCATCTGCACCGATTGAGTCTGCTCATTGTACTCCAGTCTACCGTCGAGGGTTGCAGTCCAGAGGACGACTTCGCCGCGGCGGGGAACGAAGGCCGGCTGCAGGGTCAGACGGATGAAGTAGTCAGTGAGGAAGTCGTGGGTAAGGACCCAGTCCAAGTTGAAAGGGTGGTTGATTTCCTCGTCCAGCTCGCCCTTATCTTTGAGGTCCTTGATGTGAATTTTCCAGTAATCAGGGCCCTCTACATCGAGGGGAAGCTTGGGAGAAGCTGTCTTGCCGCTCGATTTTATCCTGTCTGCCTCCATTTCGGCTTTGGTGCGCCCTAGGTGATGGTGAGCAGACGTTCCGGCTTGTCATGGAGCACGAATGACGGTAGAGCGAGGGCGACTTACGCTTCCGAGGCTTGAAACCCCGATTCTGCTTGGCACAGGGAATACACTCGCACGGTTGAGCTCGATCCGTCATCAGCCAGTAGAAATGAGGGAAGAAAGTGACCCGGGACTGGAAGTACTTTCCACTGGGATGCCCGAAGAGAAAGGAATCTCGCTGTTGCATCGTCAATCAGGATGTTTTGTCAGATATCAGAGATCACAGGATCAGAGCAACTTACTATGGCATGATTGGTTCCTCGAGGCCGGTCCATCAAAGCATAACCCTCAGGCAGCTTTTCCAGAATGTAGGTCACGCCTTTTCAAAGTGAATAGTTAGCACATGTAGCGAATAAGCAATGTAAAGTAACGAATAATTCCACCGTGCAATATAAACCTGTGAGGAAACATGGTCCAAAGGATGGGAGCGCCATCAGTCACATTAAGCTCATCAAAGCATAGGGCCCACACATAGGTATAGCCGGAACGCGTGAAGAGCGCACCGGTTTTGGAACAGCACCGTATAGATCTTCTTCAACCCCATAAACGCGTCGTTCGGACCAAAGAACGCGCTCAAGCAAACAAAGGGGGTAGAACCTGAATCAAAAGGAAGGTGTCACCACTTACCATCCTCTAGACGACCCATCTCCTTCGTAACCCACTTCTCAGCGAGGTCAACTCTCCAGCGATAGTCATCCTGCATTTTGTAGATGAATTGAGAATTTTTGTCATTAACAGGCCAGGTAGCTTTGCTCCCATCACTCTTGGAGTCTTCAACTGGAATGACAACCACGTTTGGGTCATCGGATATCTCATTGTCGCTCGACATATTGGGATATCAATGGCCCGATCAGTGTGAGGGTGTTTTGCGGGGCGATGAAGGCCCCTGTGATAGATAGGACAACCAGGATTGAGATAGTGAATTTCAAAAGTGCTCAGGATCTTTTGACGAGAGGAGATTGGAGAATATGCAGTATAATGGAGCGGATGGATGGGGGGTGTATTTGCGGCGATGCCCTGGAGCTCAAACAATAACGTACACGTGATGTTGCCAGACAAAGAGAGTGGTTTTTTTAGGGCAGGCGGTGTGATCTATTATCGCACTTTACAAATAGCGGTGAAGTCACAATCAGGCAGAATAAATCCACTTTATCTTTCCTACCTTTATTGATTCGCAAAAAGTCGGTTGCAACGGAGAGTAAAGAGTAAACATGCATTGAACGAGGCGCTTCGAATATACGAGAACTCAAATACAAATCATTCCATCATCATGACATTCATATGTTTGCCTCAGACGGTGGCTTCGACAGGCGCCTCTACGTCGTTCTCTGACGCTAGTTTCTCCTCCTCTTCTTGGTAAGGAGGGGGCGCGATCTCTCTGCCATGGGCCCAAACCTTGCAAAGTTCACTTTCAATCTCCTCCCGGCGCTTCTTCCACCCCTCGACCTTGTCTAGACGCTTATGCAGCTCCTGGAGCTCCTTTTCGACGCCGAGTTTCTCCTTCTCCGTGCCGATCCTCTCAAACTCCCACCGCTCACCTTCTTCGCCGAGGCCGAGAGTCATATTGTAAGTGTGGTACTTCTTCAGAGATGCGCGGGTTGAGATCGTGATGAGAGTAATACCACGCTCCTTGGCTCGCTCATACAGCAAGCCCTCCACATCGGACGAGACGGCCGATGTTCCTTCATCGACGAATGCGTAACGAGGCTCGTGGTAGAACAAGCGGGCCATCGCCATACGCTGCTTCTCTCCACCACTCAAAACATCCTTCCACTCCTTGCGAGCATCCCAGCCACCTTCACGTTGAGGCAGGTAGCCCAGATGCGCGGCATCGAGGATCTTCTGCAAGTTTGCATCGGACTCACCAGCCTCGCGCATGTCGATCTCGGTGTGAGGGTAGATGACTTGGTCGCGCAGAGTGCCCACGCTCAGGTAGGGCCGCTGAGGGAGGAACATGATGCCGTCGAGTCCCACAGGCCTGGGTCGGCTGACCAGGCCGCGATAGACGGGCCACAGGCCAGCCACAATGCGGGGGATTGCAGACTTGCCAACGCCGTTGGGGCCTGAGATGAGGAGGTGGTCGCCCGAATGAACGATGAATGACAATGACTCAATCAACTCATCGCCGCCCATCGGGTAGAGGGATGGCGCCACGATGGGGACCTGCTCCAGGCGGACTCCATCGAAGCCATTGTGGGTGGTGCCCTGGGCATCGGCAAGGGAGTACAGCTCAGGGTGCGAGCCACGCGGCGGGTAGTAGGCGCTGGCGTGGACTCGGTGCAGGGTGGAGATCAAAGTGTAAATTCGCGAGGTGTAGCCTGCCAGCTCTGAGATATCCTTGATGCTGTACATCATGCGACCACCTGCATCAGCCAGCGAGAGCATCAGCCGCTTGTTGGTGATGAACTCCTTCATTCTGCCTCGTTCACGGCCCACTCCCTCTGGTGCATCGGCGAGCTCCATCGTACCACCCAAGCCGCCCCAGGCGGGAAGGAAGACGGGCAAGGAGGTCACAAGGTAGCCAAACGCCGACCAGGAGTACTTCAAGATCATGTCCTCGAGCATGTTGTAGCGAATCCTGAGGCTGTAGATCCCCTCCATCCACCGCTGCAAGTCCTTGAAGCTTCGGACAAGGAACACGCGCTCAATATCGGCTCCGCCGTAAAAAGAAATCTCCTCGGCATTTGCCAGAAGTCTCGCGTGTAGGCCCCGGAAGTCGCCTTCCTTCTTGCCCTCGACGGCCTTGAGCTTCCCAAATGGCGGGGACAACTTCCGGAGCACCACCGCCGTACTGAGATACCCGGCGAGGATTCCACTCAGCGCAAGAGGGCCAAGAGAGCGGTAGAGTTGGTAATTGAACACAAACAGGTCCACCATGGGCTTGCCCATCGACGAGTACAGCGACGCTGCGGCCGTGCAGAAGAGAGTGAGGTCCTGCGTGATGAACTGATCGGGGCCATGACCGATGCCGCCATCCAGGTTCATCAACTTGTAGTAATTATTGTTATCGGTCAAGTAAAGGTCATGGATATATCTCGTCAAGCGGGTCCGGAAAGCGATCGACACCTTGGACTGCAGGAACTTAATCATAGCATTTGTGTACGAGGCGAGAGTACCGATGCCACACCACTTCACGATGCCCCAGAGGAAGGCTTTTCCTCTCCCTGCGACCAGGTCCCTGACGATCTCACCATCTAGCCGCGCAATCAGCAGGGAGAGGTATGTTCTCAGCAGAAGGAAAAGGCCGTGGCTCATCAGCAATCCGGTTTCCTTGCTGCCCCATCTTGGTACCATGATGCTTCCCAGACTCAAAAATTGATGCAGAAAGGCTAGGTTCAGGCCCGGTTTGGTTGTCGGTGGAGGGATCTGATTTGCCGAGCCCTCTTCGATGCTCCGAGCCGATGCGGGGGGATTCAAGAACAATCGCCGGTGGGCATCGAAGGTGGTCGGTTTTGTCGGATGGATCAAGACCTTCGAGGTTCGCGATCCCTTGTAGGGAACATAGATAGTACGGGATCCATCTTTGCCTCTGATGCCGGAGTTTCGACGAAGTAACCGACGGCCCTGGGCGCGATCCTTGGCCCGCTCGCGGAACCACCTGTATCCTCCATACCCCGAACCGACGATCGACAATAGCAGCGCAACGATCGCGACCAGCCGAGTCGTTCGCGAAGTCCGTTTCACTCGGGATCGGACTATCTCTGAGTAGTGTAAGTAGAGTGCCAGGAGGGGATCCTCCGGGCGCCGGAGGGTCGACTGGGCGGCCATTTGCTAAGCCCTAGGTCGGCCTCCGTCTTCTTGGGCCCAAGTGGCGTGTTAACGGGAGGTGTATGCCATGGGCGAGCAAGAGGCTAGCTCCTAGGACGTTGGTAGTCGAGGTCAAAGTATGGAGTCGAATGGCGAAGTTGGAGAGAGTGAGATGCCACGAAAGAACAGGCCGAGCCAAGGGAGAGTTGCATCATTGCATGTGAACCTCGGGATGCGGAGAAGGGCACGTGCCCGGGGAAAGCTCCAGCGGAGGTACACGCAGGCGCAGGACGGCTACATACTTGGATCTTCTGATCCTCTTCACCCCCGGATCATCATGGGAGACATGGAAGGAAACATGGTCCGGCGAACGCTCAACACTTGCCCAACAGGGCGAGTCGATCCCTTCTTGCCACCACCAGGTCACCACAAGGTCGTCGCAAGGCAATCTGACGGCAAACACGAGCTGGGCCTCAATTCTTACCCGGGCAACTATAAGGGTTATACTGTAGTTGCAACGATGGGACTATGCTTGGTATTTACTCCATAGGAAGTGCCATCGAACGAGACAGCAGGTGCTGCTGCTGGTCAGGCTGGTCAACGCTCTTTCCCCCCACAGCCATTCCCCCATGCCTGCTCTCTCTCCCCCTCCGCTCGCGCGCCATGCCCGCAGGCCCTCATGTCGGTCGGGGATTGGTCACAGTCACCTCCAATCCCCGTTGCAGTAGGCCCCCGTTTCCGCCAATAGTGGCTGCCAATGCATCCACTTGGCTTAAGGTCAAAGCTCCTCCACGAGGGGATTATCAGTACGCTGTAGGCGAAAACACCAGCTCAAAAAAGGGGGCAGACCTGGGCTGAGCCTTCCACTCGATCTCCGGTGGGGGCCAGCCCGATCGTGCATCCCGACTAGAATCATGAACGGGAGTCTTCTGCAGGAGCTGCTGCTGGCTCAGGCCCTGCGCTAGTTGTCCTGAGTCCGTAACCCTGTTTCCCCAGCACTCTCTGCCCCCTCTGCCCGCACTGCCGAGCAGTACGCAGTTCTACATGCAGGAGGTACTCCGTACCTGTCATTCATTTCTACTGGTCATCCGCTGGGATGAGATACAGTGGCCTAAGCCCGAGTTGGGTGGCGCGCCCCGGTGTGATAATAGGTGATAATTAGACCGTAGCCGCCGAGGGCTTGCAATAGTGCGTGAAAGGAGAGTAGAACCGCAGAAGCGCAAGAAGGCGACCAGGACGTAAGATGGCCCGTGAAAGACAGGCCCCTTAGCCACGCCCATGACATAGGTACTCTGTACTCCGTAGAGAGCATACCATAGCCTATGTTACATGTTACTGGCCCTGGTCCGTCCCTCAGTGCAGACTCCGGACGAAAAGGCCCAGTCCTGAAGGGAACGTCCAGCCCGGCCCCAGTCACCTCCCCACACGTGACATCCTCGACTCCTCTCTTGCCTCCCCCATAACATTCTCCCCTCCAGCATCATCCGCGTCGCATTCTCCCTTTTTGCTTGGGCTGGTCTCGTCAGCCTTGGCGTTCTAACGTTGCTGGTTCACCCCGGGGGTACGTGCGAACAAAGCCCGCTTTTGCCCGCCTGCTGCTTCCAGGAGGTGTGTTGACTTCGTCAGTAGCCGCGCTCTCGACCTGCTGAGCTTTTGAGCTCGCTGCGCCACTTTGCTCTTATATCTGCTTGCTTTGATACGTTTGCTGGACCTTGCAGATTCACGCTATCTGCAGCTACCCCCGATGGTAGAAACGAGCACGGGGCGAGATCCCTCTGCTTCAGCTCCTGAGCCTGCGGGTAAAGAACCCATGAATTCCTCTGGGAACTTGGATCTGAGTGGTCAGTAATTCCCTTTCGCACAGGCAGCGCAAGCCATTCATGATGCGCTCTCATCGGGAAATTCACGGTTGTTGACTCTCCTCGTTGCTACCAGATCCGGAACAACCTTCTGACCAGTCAGCCCCCGATGCTGCTGACATTCAGAAATCGAACGCTGGCGCATCCTCTCAGCCGGTCTCTGCATCGGCCGCATTGCCTCCGAGTGCTTCCGAGCCCGCGGAGGGTGCCGAAGCACCCAAGAAGCGCCATCTGCTGATCCCAATTCCCTCGCGACGGTCCTCCAAGACAGATAAACAATCGGCTTCGGGAAAGGCCGAGGAGGCAACACAGGACGAGTCCACTCGGAGAGGCTCCAAGGTCAGCATCTTGAAGATTAGACGGGATCGTAGTCGGGCGAGTAGTCGACGGTCGCGACGGACACAAGAAGTGGCGAATGTCGAAAAGGGCCAGGAGACGACGACTCCGACTACCCCTGAGATGAATGGGCCCTCGAAGCCTGAGCAGAAGATGGGATCCAAGCTATTTGCGTTCCTGACCTGCTGTTCTTCGCCCGATGTCGATGGTGACGACAGTACCGTGCCTCCGAAGAGGACGTCGAAACAGCCACCTGCATCGACTCGATTGCCCACTCCAGACAAAGCAGATGCCCATACTGGTGACTCGAGTACCGCTGAGTCTCGGGACCCGACATACTTCGGGGACGAGAAGGTTGTTGCGATCACCGCCGACCATTCTCAACCTCAAGAGGAGGAGCGCATCTCTGAAGTTCCGGCCGATGCGCCAGGTGAGGGGGCTTCTGCTGGGGCCAGTCAGCCTGATGGCCCGGTGGTGGGCGCCAAAGAGCAGGAAGATACTGCTGTGGCGGCGAATGGGATAATCCCAGAGTCCAAGTCCGATATTCCGAGATCAGACGAGCAGACTGCAGCGACAGAAGCTTCCACGGCTACCGAGACCACCCCGAAGAAGTCGGCGACGGGCGAGGGCGAAACCATAGCGCATGAAGAGGAAGTTGCACAGGCATCGGCCGTGCTTCCCCCTCCACCACCACCACCGGCCCCTGAGGTTTCCACCATGTCGGAGGGAGGTCAGCAGCAATGGTTGCTTCCGCCGGCCCTGCCACACCTGTCGAACCGCAAATGTCTGGTGCTGGATCTTGATGAAACGCTGGTGCACAGTAGCTTTAAAGTACGTGCGCTGCTTGGAGGAACAGTCGTATGCAATGCCGACTAACTGTGGTTATAGGTCCTCGAGCGTGCCGATTTCACCATCCCCGTGGAGATTGAAGGTCAGTATCACAACATTTACGTGATCAAAAGGCCTGGTGTGGATCAGTTCATGAAGCGCGTGGGTGAGTTGTATGAGGTTGTGGTGTTCACAGCCTCAGTTTCAAAGGTAAGTTGGCCATCTTCCTAGGCACGTTCGCCCCCGACCCGGGGGAGGGCGCCGACTAAGAAACAACATTGACGACTAATCGTTATACACAGTATGGTGACCCCCTGTTGGATCAACTGGACATCCATAATGTGGTGCACCACCGCCTGTTCCGCGAGAGCTGCTACAATCACCAGGGGAACTACGTCAAGGTCAGTTCCGCTCCACCTCCCATGTCATCTTCAGCGATGACGGTCTTCTAACCTGCAAACAGGACCTTTCACAAGTAGGCCGCGACTTACGGGAAACCATCATCATCGACAACTCGCCCACCTCCTACATCTTCCATCCCCAACACGCGATACCCATCAGCAGCTGGTTCTCTGACGCACACGACAATGAACTGCTGGACCTCATTCCGGTTCTCGAGGATCTTGCTGGGGCGCAAGTCCAAGATGTCAGCATGGTTCTGGACATTACCCTTTGAAACGAATGTCGTGTCCGGATCTCTCTTACGCCTAAGATTCCCCATTAAGCGAGTCCTTCCCTTTTGTTCATTTTTGGTCGCGAGAAAAAGCTCTTTTTTCCCACTGCAGTTCCTGTTCCAGTTTCAACCCCAGCCCCTGCTCTATATTTCCAGCATTTCGGTGATGGGCATGGACCCTTCCTGCTCACATCACCTTGCCTTCTACTTCGCTTCTTCTTCGACGCCCGGCCATTGACCCAGATTGGAACTGGTTCCCCGGGGGTCGTGGCCCATCTGATGTATTTGTCGTCGTTTCCCCGGCGGGATGGCCCGCCATAAGCCTGGCATTTCGTGTTTTCCTATCCCCCCTTATATTCTTTCCTCTTCTGTGTTTTCGAGCTTGGGCATTGTGATCTTACTTATCTGACCATGCTCCGAGCGGGCCACTTGACCATCCCTCCATTTCCTAGCCACCCACTCCCCGTCGATTCGATTCGATTCGATTCGATTCCCTGTCATGCTCCCTGTTATTTCCTTGCCGTCTTGCCTTGATCTCCTCTTCCCAAGTGCCGCATTCTCCAATGCATTCTGCAGGCGTCTGTTGGTTGTCATGTTCCCCCTGTATCCCTCCCCTGCCTTGTCCTCGTCCCTTGTTCTTTCCCCACCCTTGCTACCCTGCTGCCAGCTCTTCCAATATAAGACTATGCAGTCGATCTGTCTTCTTTGGTAGTGCTGAGTCTGGTATACCTCCTGGGCGGTGTCAGCTAATGCCGTTCTTTCTGCACACTGCCGGCGGGTTGGTCGTTTGGATTGTATCGCTGGATTGATTTCTACGTGCAATGTACATGGCTCGTTTGGCTGCGACTCTGCCGCGCTTTATGCTGTACATAATCCCTGAGAAGGAGAAGACATCTTGTCCGAATTAACAGTAGCTTGGCGCAGTGTGAAGTACTTGTGTAGATCTGGTAGAGGTAAAGACGTAAAAGACGTAAAAGACGTGAAACGTGATGTGAAGATGGTAGATTTCCGTGGTAAAGCCCGTGGGATGCCGCATCGAACAGTTCCCCCCGGCCCGCATTCGGATGATGTATTGAGCGTTCATGTTGATCCAGCTCAGATAGAGCTTAAATCCTCGAGATCTTCATGCTCGCATGTCAATTGATGCGATCGCGCTCCGGCAGAAATCATCGCCACAAATTCCAGGCTCACTCCGGAACCTCGGCCAGCCCGCCCGCAAGCTCCCCGCAATCGCATCGCACCATCCCACCGCCCGCCACCGTCAACCCTTCCATCATTCAACATGCCCATCATGAAGAACAAGGAAGGCTGGGACGGCAAACTACGCGTCGACGCCAAGGCTGTCATCACAAACCCCGAGGCTCTGGAGGACTCGGACTATTCGGACCCGGACGCACCGCCCGTGGAGGAGATTGACGCGGACGAGGGTAAGGTTTTTGGCGGCGCACGCGCGGGGTTTACAGCTTTGAACAAGGCGCTGATGGGTGGTAGACTTGCTCGCGCATGAGGATGTTAATGTTGAGGTTTGTGGTTCTGCTGGATGGCCTCGCTTTCGGGTGACAAGGTGATCGCTGATGGGTTTGGTTTTGAGGATAGGATATTGATCTGGTCCATTTCCGCATATCGTCGATCACCGCGTTACGCTTGGAACGGTTCACAAAACTTCAGGTATATCTCCCTCGTACCCTATGTTCGGTCCGACAAAGAGGAGAGGGTGGGAAATGGGTTGTCCAACGCCGATTATATCTCGCGTGAACACGGCGGACCCTTTGCGCTCGACAGGTCTCAAATTTTGTTAACGGCGGGCTGACAACGGACTTCTCAGCGACTATGCCTGCGCCAGAACCAAATAACACGCATCAACTTTCCGCCCAACATCGCCGAGACTTTGACCGAGCTCGATCTCTACGATAACCTCATTTCACATATCAAGGGCCTGGATGAGTTCCGCGACCTCATCAACCTCGACCTCAGCTTCAATAAGATCAAGCATATTAAGAATGTGGATCATCTCAAGAAGTTGACGGATCTCTTTTTCGTCCAGAACAAGATCTCCCGGATCGAAGGGCTGGAGGGTTTAGATCAGCTACGGAATTTGGAACTGGGTGCTAATCGGATTCGGGTATGTGGCTCTGGTTTCGCATGGAAGAGAATAATTGGGATTTGGGAGATTGGTTCTGGGGATTGACGTGTCTGTATAGGAAATCGAAAACCTGGAAACACTCACCTCCCTGGAAGAACTTTGGCTCGGAAAGAACAAGATTACGGAGATGAAGGTGCGTTTCTACGCTTGCGGTTGCACTGCGTCCAACAAGTTTTTTACCATTAACCCATCTATAGAACCTGGACGCCCTGTCAAACCTTCGCATTATCTCCATTCAATCCAACCGCCTCACCAATATTACCGGCCTCTCCTCACTCCCCAAACTGGAAGAACTCTACCTCTCTCACAACGCCGTCACCGACCTCTCTGGCCTCGAGTCCAACACTACCCTGCGCATACTGGACTTCTCCAACAACCAGGTCTCGCACTTGGAACACCTCGGCACACTCAAGAACCTCGAAGAGCTGTGGGCATCTAATAACCAGCTGACCAGCTTCGCCGAGGTTGAGCGCGAGCTGAAGGATAAAGAGAAGCTGGAGACGGTGTATTTCGAGGGGAATCCGCTGCAAACCAATGGGCCGGCTGTGTACCGGAATAAGGTGCGGTTGGCATTGCCGCACATTAAGCAAATCGATGCTAGTATGTTTACGCAACGTTTGTCCTTGGGTTTGGTTGATACCGTGCTAACCCTGTGTTCTTTGCAGCCTATGTACGAGTTTGAGAACGCACACTGGCCTAGGTCCTCTATACACTCTTATGTGACCTGACGGCTGGGGTGGGATGATGGCTCTGGGAATTCTGTCTTATAGTCTGCTTTTAGCAGGGGGATCACCTCATGAGAAACGAAACGGGTCATGGCCTTGCAAGGGCACCATATACTTTTTGAGGTCTACAGTACTAATAGATCACTATAGATACGTAGATCGAGCTTTGGGATAGGATGTATGGCGGGGGTATCATTTATGCTATTATCTACGACCAAGGCTCACATATCTTGGTCAGGCTTGTCCAATGCTTATATAAACCGCTCCCGGTTTAAAAATATCGTGAATCCCACCCTTAATACCGACTGGGGCGTGAGAGCGCGGAGTATGCCACCCGAAGCAACCCGTCCCGTAGAATGGATATGCCTGAATGGGTTTTGATGGATCCATCAAGGATCATGCGTGAGATCGCTAGCTCATGGGCAAGCACGATATGACGGCCAGGGCCGGAGATGTTGTCTGCTCGGACCTAGCCAGGGTTCAACTTGACGTGGGTTCAGAGCGTTGAGGCAGCAAGCCTTCCGGATAGGCTTGCAGAATATGTGAAAGCAGACTTCGGCACCCCTTCTATCCCGCGAATTGAGCGCCAGCTGACTTCATCCGAGTCTCCTGCGACCCCAACCACTGTTATCCGTGCGCTTTGCGCTTCGTAACTTGTCATAGCTCACACGGGCGAGCTGCGACCTCGGCGCTCCGTCTTCTGGACTTGGAAGGCCCATCTCGTCTCTCTGCTCTTCCGCCTCTGCCTCCCCTCCCTCCAATCCCAGTATTCCCCTCACCTTCTTCCTCTCCTGTTGTTTCTCAGGATTCCTCGACATGGCATGTCTACTCTGTCTATTTTTCTGGCCCATCTCCCAGAGCTTCGTCAAGCTGCCGGCGCCCATCCGCTCAGAATGCACCCGATTCCCGAACCGCTGGTTCACGGATGTGGGCCTTCTCGAGCGCTGGAGGACGTCCGCTAATCCTGCAAGTGGCGTGCCAGTCTCTTCGCTCATCATGTCCTTGTAGATCGGGCTTCGCTCATCGACCATAAATCCATGAAAAAATGGGTTGCGCCGCGTCGACCGCTCATAGTTATGCCTGGCAGCCTCGATGGTGCATGTTAGTGTTGTTGGCTTCGGATCTGAGGGACTCAGAGCTTGAGGTGATTGAGGTGTTTCGGTGGACGAGGCAGACGAGGAGGCGAAGGGATTGGGTGTGAGCGCTGAGGTAGTTGCCGGGGGGAGGGAGATCGTCAGCGGCGACGCGGCGATGGCGCGCTCGGCGGCATCGCTGGAGTCGAACATGGCGAGGAGTGGTCGTTCTCTTCCGGTGTCATTGCGAATGTCATACTTACACCAGTGTTAATCGCAGCTCGCAATCGCGAAGGGTAGGGCGTTGCCACTGAAGACTTACCTTGAGATTCCGGAAGCTCACTATCTCGCCGAAGCTTTGCAGTGCGGCGAAGATCTGCTTGCTTTCGGCCAGGGTTCGTGGCCTGGGCGTCGGGCTGATGTGTACCTGGCATGATAGCCGCGTGAGGGGTCTCAAGGCGAGTGCCGCCGGGGACGTCATTTGGAATAGAAAGTTGGGGTTGAAGTTGAGGAGTAAAGGGCAGCAGCACGTGGAGTGCGGAGAAAAGTGAAGTCCCGCTGGTTCTCTCCGCTCTTGGCGGTTTGGCCTACCCGGTCCCTCTTCAGGCTGCTTGATGGATTCACACCGCCCTTACACTCTTCTTTACAGAAATTTACACTGTTCCATGTGAACATGATGAGTCCATTCAAATCCAGTTGAATTCTATTTCGTTCATTTCGTATTACACATGAGCACCCGAGGTCATGGAGTCGGGGGATCTCGCCAAGGCTAATATCTAGTGCATCCTCGTATGATCATCCAGCCCTTGATCGGACAGCTTAGAAGATGGTAATGTCCAGTCCGTACTAATAAATCATGTCAGAATAACATCGGGATGCCCAGAGGCCAGAATCGTGACTTACGTTGAGAGGGTCGTTGAAACGCAGACCCTGGTTCAGGGCGCTAATAGACTCAAGCTCGCTGGCCGCCAGGTCGAAGTCGGTGACCTGCAGGTTCTGCGCCAGCCGAGTGGGGTCGTTGCTCTTGGGGATCACCGCAATGTTGCGCTGAGTCGCCCAGCGCAGCAGTACCTGCGCGGGTGTGCGGTTATACTTCGTGGCCAGGGACGTGATGGTAGCGTGGTCAAACAGCTTGGGGGTGTCCTGCGCATTCTTGAGTTCCAGCTCGACGAAGCTGAGCGGGCCGAACGACGAGTACGCGGTCACAGCAATACCCTCCTTCTGAGCGTAGTTGACCAGCGACTTCTGAGTGAGGTAGGGGTGGTGCTCGATCTGCAGGGTGGCGGGGCGGACGCGGGCATAGCGCAGCAGATCCATCAGCAGCTGTGGGCTGAAGTTGCTGACACCAATGCTGCGGGCCAGCTTCTGGTCGACCAGCGACTCCATGGCGGTCCAGGTCTCTTGGATCGTGGCCTTGCCCAGCTTCACCACGCCCTCTGCGTTTTGCCAGCTAGGCGGGTAGCGCACCTTGGGGTCGACGTACTCCAGGGAGACGGGGAAGTGCACGATGTACAGGTCGAAGTAGTCGATGCCCAGATCAGCCAGCTGCTTGCGGCAGATGGGCTCGACCTGCTCGCCGTCGTGGAAGCTGTTCCACAGCTTGGAAACGAGGAAGAGATCCTCGCGCTTGACAATCCCCTCCTTGATGGCGCGGGCGACGCCCTGGCCGACCTCGACCTCATTGCCGTAGTCTGCATTGTCCCGATTAGCCCTGCGAAAAAGGTAGAAAGAATGGCGAACGCTTTGCAAACATACCACAGGCGCCGTCAAACAGGCGGTAGCCGGCCTTGATGGCGCTGTAGACCTGGTCGGCGCAGGTGTCGTTGTTGACCTTCCACAGACCGAAGCCCACGAGGGGCATTTCGAAGCCGCTATTCAGCGTGACGGTAGGAGAAACCATTTTGAAAGAGTTCGGACAAATAACTTTTCTGCCCGATCGTTAGCAATTGCGGTGCGGGAGCAGGTCTGGTCGTATCACTGACTGGAAGTTGCGGAGAAAAGGAGGGACCGAACAGCGAGCGCCAGATTTAAAGACAAGTTAATCCCTCCAGGGGCAGTGCGACATTCGACTCGGACAGGCTAAAGTCCGGCGTTTAAGCCCCTCTCCCACGCCCCTCCACGCCCCTCCACGCTCCTCCATGCCCCTCTACGCCCTCCTTCCACTGGTAAACACGCATCTCCGGGGCCCCACTTGATACCGGCTAAAGTGGCCTGCGGTTAAACTGCAAATTGTACCAATTTATCCGCCCCGGCAGACGGGCCATTCTTGACCAGAAACCGGAGAATTGGAATTGGACATCGCCCCCCACGGTAATTCTCCCCTAGAATTCACGTCATTCAGGATTGCGGTGATTGGCAGAGTGTACGTTTGCGAGACATGTGGTACGGCGTCACAGTGCTCAGTCATCAGAACCAGTCCTTTCCCTGCAGCCCGGCAACGAACTACACAGTGGCTGCGCAATTATCCCTCGGGGCGTGGTAGGCGCGTGGGCGCGGAGTGCCGCATGGCCCCGCGCCCCCGACTCCGCGCTATCTGTTTCCTCTGGCTTGGCTAGTACACCTGAGGTGTTGCTGGAGTGTTTTCATTTGACGGTGCATGCAGCACAGCTCCTCCCTGCATTTCCCTGCTGCAGTCTGCACCCCGGTCACTTTAACAACAGAGGCAGAAGTACGTGCTTTATCGTGCTTGATCATGCCTTATAATTCCTTTCCCCGCTTTTCCCCAGTTTCCTCCCTCCCCTCCATTTCCCCCCAACCCAACACTATCCGGTACCAACAATGGGAACGACGAAACTCGAGGCGCGTCAGACCAAAGGTGATCTGGGATCCCCAAAGATCGACTATGATCAACCATTATTTTCGTGAGCTCTCTCAATCTATTGGCGCGAGACGGAATCTGACGTTTTGTGGACCATACGAACTTCCAATCGTCACAGTCACGATCGGGAATCAGAATTATGGCGTTCCGGAGACTTTTCTTCGGAAATGCCCGCGATTTCGCGGATCCTTGCTGAATTCAAGCATTGACCTGTCGGATGTTCACGAGGATGCTGGCCATACACTTGTGCATTTCTTGTATTCAGGAAGTTACGAGACGGCTCACCTCCTGCTCAACGACGGCCTATCCGATGTTGCTCGAGAATTTAGGAAAAGCGTCCTCGTCTACCACGCATCCAGGATATACGAGCTTCCTGCGCTCGAAGCCCTTGCCAAAAAGTACATAGAACGCTTTGGCGAAGACATGTCGATGTTTGATATACTGCAAATCACAAGGGAGGTGCTTTCAAAGCTCCCGAAAGACGAAACCTGGCTGCAGAATTATATTGAAAGAAACCTCCGAGAATCGTTGCCATCTGGCGAATCTGAGCCAAATTGGGATGAGCTTCATAACGCTTTTGGTCAGGATCACTATTTTGACAACACGGTGATGAGAATGATGATCAACGTACTCTCCACTCGCTTGCGTTCTGGGGTAAATCCCGAGAACGTGAAGAGTCATTGCGGTCAGACAAACAATCGGGTAGACGAAACCGAAGTCCTTCCGGCGAGATACGCCGGGGAGAGCTTCTGGAATGGGCTGAGACCCTATGCGGGAGAGCCTCCTGCCAAGGAATTTTTAGTTCCGGAGTGCCCAACGCCCGAAGAACCTTTCGTGGAAGAAAATCCTGCTCCAAAACAGCCGTGTGCTGAGGAGGATTCTCTTCTGGAATACCCACCACCTGATCCAGAGAGTTCTGCTCCAGAAGATTCTCTTGATGTATATCCGGATCCGGAGTACCCAACGCCCGACGAACCCTCTGTGGAAGAGAATCCTGCTCCAGAAGATCCAGAAGATCCAGAAGATCCAGAAGATCCAGAAGATCCAGAAGATCCTCCTGCTGAGGGCTATCCTGTTCCGGAGTACCCAACATCCGAAGAGCTTTCTGTTGATGAGAATGTTGTCCCCGCAGAACCAGAAGACGCTTTTGCTGAGGATATCCCTGTTCCGGAGTACGCAGGTCCCGAAGAGCCTCCTACTGATAACCTTGCTCCGGGTAAATGTAAATCTCCTGCTAGGCGCCGCCTGACCAAGGCCTTATTAACGAATCTGGGTCTGTACGAAGATTGGAGAAGTCTCTCGTCAAAGAAGAGGCAAAGAAGGACCAAAATACTCAGGGCAAACGGTCTTCCCGTCCCCGATAGAGATGGGGTGGTTTTAGCCTTGCTCGTCTGAGCTTTCACAGTACGGTTGAACTGCTGCATAAGAGTATGCTTAGAACCGGACCTGCCTTCCAACATAGGGTAACCGGATATAGTTTGCCACAAATATATGCTTCGAGTTCTTGGGGCGTGTCTCATCCCAACTCGCGGGCTTGTAGGGCGCATTCGCACCGTCCACAAAAGTAACACCCCAGGACTCCTATCTAATTCGAAGGACCTCTTGCTCCGCCTCAAATATCAGCACGCACAGTCAGGACACATCAGGCAGCCTCTATATTTGTATTCTTAGTCAAATCTAGTTCGACCGTTAAGATAGGCCCCTCAATACGGTAGATTTGTGGTAACGATGAAAGCAACGGTACAATTGGCGTTGAATAGCTCTGATCACAACTACCAGCCCAATGCCGAGCAGAAACCCGAGATGCTGAGGAAATCTTTCAAGACGCTTTCCAACGTCTAAGCGCCTGTATCAGATATGCGCCAGTTTCACTCGTCTTGCTCCGAAGCTGGCCGAGTTCCCAACCGTTGTCTTTCTGGTTTTCTGACGCACAGGATAGTTCGTTGAAGTTAATTCATCCTTCAGATGGGGAGCCTGTATTTAATCCTAGGACGCATTTGAGGTAGACGATATGAGTCAGATCACTTCGCCATATGCCACTGATATCTTGAACCCCAGCCAAGAGGGGCAGGAAGCCTTCCTGGTCTCGAGGGGGGAAATGAGGGGGAAATATTTCCTAGGTTGGTTGGTCCTTTGGTAGCCTCACAGTTTGAACGAGGCTACGCAGCATCATATAGATCACTGTCATAGACTGGAGCCTCTATAGAATATCTGGTGAAAGGCATCAATCCTCGGTATATACAGGACCTATTGCTCGATGATTGCAAGGAGTACGGAGGGTTGGGATGAAGGTTCTCTATTTACTATGTATATCATAATTTCAATGAATTTTGCACATAATTCACAGTTTCCTCAATCTGATGAACAGCCGTAAATCAGTAGAAGACAAGCACAGCACAGCGTGCTAGGTTGAAAGTGGAAAAGCTGGATCTTTAAATACACGAGGAGACCTGCTGAGCCGTTGGGGCTTTGAATCTGCGTTGGAGTGATTCTTAGAATTGAGAGAGCGAAAGCCGCTGTAGCCCTCCTCTAATCCTCTCATCCAACGGGCATAGTCGCTTTCCAACTCGTTGAGACGCGGCTCGTCATTATCTTCAAGAGGAGCATAGATTTCAAATATCTTGGCGCAGTGTTTTTCTGCGTCGGCATACCTTGGATGCCATTGCGGAAACCAACGCAGTTTTTCGCCCGTTTTAAGCGTAATCATCTCCAGAACGGACGGTCCTCTGAGTTCAAAGAACCGCTTTGCAAAGTCTTGTGCTTTTGACTCAGTCAAAACTCGCGCAAACTTCTCCTCCATTGAATCATCATTTTTCACATGAGCAATTCCTAGTCCGACATGAATGGAAAGTCGGCAAAGATTCTTGAAGCCGGTTGCTATAACACTGACAATATCGTCGGGCTAAATCGATAAAGATTAACTCCAGCAGCGGAAGGGATCCTAGTCACGACTTACCCATGTGCCATTGGGATCCAAATCAATTTCCAGGGTTGTAAGCTTGGGGCAATGCTGACTTAAGTCTTTTATCTGCTCAACGTCCAGAGTCTCTCTTTCCCTATCAGGGTCTTCGATCGTATGTAAGCAAATATGCTTCAGATTGGATTGATGAATCACCGAAGTCAATGAAGGGACTGCTCCTTTGGCGGTCAGAATTTCCAGAGTATCAAAGGAGCACAAAAAGGCATCAAGTTCGGCTGACGAGCTTAAAGGATCGTAGCTAGTAATTTGAAATTCTTTCAAATTGGCCACCTTTCCTGTGGCTAGCTCCAAAAACCCTGGGGTAGACTCTGGTAGCTGGACGCCAAGACTGAGAGAGTGTAGTCTGTCCCAAGGGAACCTATCTCGCCAGAGAGCCACTTCATCATCTTCCACGGGATCATCTTGGACAGGATAACCGCTCAGTGAGAGGCTTTTAAGCGGAGGGAATGTTGCATCTTCGGATAGATCAAGCCCTAGTATCCTCGTAGGAGAGGGCCGGCCACCCATCGCACAGCCTCCTCGCAGCCAATTGACAGATACTGAGAGTTCTTCAAGATTCGGAAAGGCATTGAAAAGCTCATGCAAAGCCAACCTCTGCGGCTCCCACGCGTGAAACCCGGATCTATCTGTCTCCGGATGGTCTATGGGAGCTCTAGCTTGGGTGTCCACAGAAGTATGCAGTTTCTGTACAAAGGGCATCTTAATGTTGACCCTAGTTGTGCCATCTTCTCCCAGGAGATGAAGCTTCGGAGATTTCTTATGGCTGAGAAGCGCATTCACAAACCTATCTGTTATTGGAAGCTTCCTCTCGAAGCTATATCCGAATTTTAGCATAGGCTGATCAACGGTGTAGAGAATTTAAAAGGGCCAGTTTGCAACCTACTGTATGACCTCTAAATTTGGTAGACAATTTACCAAGGTAGCGAGAACATCGTTGGGCGGCTGCAGCTTGCACCAAACACGATCTACTGTTCTCGTATCGTTCAATTCTCCTTCAAAAATAATTTCACGCACAAACACCCGTAGCATATCATTGCGGTCGTCCAGAAGTCTGCACAAGAGGCCAAAGGAGAGATCATCGGCCTCATCTTGTGTCTTCACATCTTCATCATCTGGAAACTTGGACCAGTGACGTCCGTTGATAGGTTCATCGCGAAAAATAAGTGACCGGTACAAGAAAGGGGTTGCGATTGCATCAAATAGTCGGCATACACTGCACACATTTCTGAGATCATTCCTAGTAGCTAACTGTATGGCATTTCAGGATAAGTTAGATTCTGGAGCATGCATCAGAAAAGAACTGAGTATAAAGCGTACAAATTGGAAAACCAGAGACCATATCTCTGGTATCATATTGAGCGCACTCATGGCTTGGAACGTTCTTTGCTCGAAGCTAGAGCTGAAGTTTCGTGCAAAAGGTAGAACGTGAGATCAAGCAAGTTTCTTGTGAGGGTAGTGGGGGCTATTTAGGGGTCTCGGGCCGATTGGTTATTTTTGGAGCCGCAATCAGCCGTGACTTCAAGAACGGGCGTGTTTTGTACCGAGCGGAGCTAGCCCCGCACCGATGACCCGGGGGAGGGCCCGAACCCCCTCCCACACCCAACGAGGGGCAACGTTTTTCACGCTCGAGAACTTCGAACGTCGTGCCTCACAAGAGAAGAAACCCTCGCCATGGGAATGAAGCCACCACTGTCGCATGCTCGAACCCCGAGTTTGCAAGCACCGAAGAAAGTAATGGGCAGGTGACATTTACATCGCTTAGTATCTAGTTCGACTCGGTAGAGGGAGCCGATTTCACCCTCGATAAAGGTCTCCTAGTCGGCCAAAGATACATCGGGAGTGTAGAGCGCCGTGAGATTAAGAAGAAAAGATACTTCCAGTGCGATGACACCGCGCGGCTTCAAGGACCGCAAGAGACTGGACCGGACCGCACCACTACGGATCTCCAGCACTTCAGATAGATCTCTCGCAGAGACTGTTCTCGCCGGAGGATGATAACAACTCGATTTGCCTGAATTCCAATGAGCGAGGAACTTCCTAACATACTTCCAAAGTCCATATCATAGAACTGGAGGTCAGCCCAACTTGTAAATGTAAGATCCCGTGAACCAAATAGATCCCAGCCCACAAAAACAGCCCAGTAATATTCATGGAATCGCCTCGGTGACTGTCTCCAGTAATAGATCACGAGTTGATGGACGATTGAGATTGCTCAATGCAATCGCAGAGCTTGGCGAGCGACCAAACAATCAATTCATTGCACAGATATAGCCAAGTCTCTAGCTGAAGCTAAAATGAAGCATAGCATTTCCGAAAAGTGGTATACAGGCTACATACCCACCCTCGGCATTTCCCGAGGGTGTTGTATTACTTTGAAACTAAGTGAATGTATCGGTGCTGAAGTTTAAATTGTATTTCCAGGATTTTTTTTGGCAACATCCTAACGAAGCTGCCTCAACCCATGTAAAGGTAAAATGGAGGAAGAAGAGAAGAAAGGAAAGGACAAAAAAGAGAAAGGTAAAGAGGAAGGGAAAGAGAAAGAGAAAGGGGGAGGGAGAGAGGACAGGGGAAAGAGAAAGAGAGATATGAAAGACGAGGTATAAGAGTACAGGGATCCAGAAATAAGATTATCATTACCAATACGTTCTGTTTCTTTTCAGTTGGTCAAGTTCAGTTCATTAAACCGCATCCACGGTTCCATTCTCCGCATATGCGGCATTCGCATGCTCAGGGCCCGCCCCATGCATGTTGGAACTGTTGGACATACGTCCGACGATCTTGTCCATCAGATCATCCGGAGGCATGAGACCGTCGAAGTGGTGCGGCTGTTGCGATTCACGCGACGCGGACGCCTGGTGCTCCGTCTGGAAAGGGATGTGGTGGTAGCCGCCGGCGCTAACATCGCCGGTGATGGAATTAGAGTGGGCACCCCACGAGGCCTGCCCGTTGCCTAGATCGTCAAGGGACTGAGCATTTCCGGGAAAGAAGCCACTCAGGACACTGTTGCTGTCGTGCAGATTGACACCGTGTTGCTGTGAGGGCACGTATTGACTAGCGTCGTGGCCCATGGTGTAGCCCAGGCTTTGGTGGGAAAGGGGCAGGTCGTGCATGTTCATCATCACAGGCCCGCCGCTGGAGACGTTCAGCCTGGTGGGCTGAGATGTCTCTGGAGCCAAGCTGGCGGAAAAAGAGTCCAGCACCGAGGTAACGGCTGTCTTCTCACCCATGCCGTCCTCGGGTTTAGTGATCGCGGTCAAAAAATCAAGGTGACCGGAGGAGTTGAAAATATTAGCCACGTTGTCGTGGGACGAAGGGTACATCGGCCATTGCGATTGGGATTGGCTTTGGTGGTGGAGGAGGTCTTGCGGCTGCGGCGTTTGGTAGACGCCCTGGGGGGGTTTGTTGAGAAGAATGGAGTCCAGGGACAGCGGGGGGAGATCAACCCCAGAGCTGGGACGTGGGCTGTTGGTCGAAGTACGATCTGGGGGAGGGACCAGTCGTCGCCAAGTGGTTGTTCCAACCTCGCCAGGCCGGGTCTGGCGGAACTTCCAGACCAAAATGGCCATGCGCTCGCTTTCCTCATGATGCCCCTGAAATTGGTTCGAGAGGCGGCGAGAGCTGGGGGGAACAGCGCGGATCTCCTGCACTGCAGACAGAGAACGGAAGAAACGGCGCGTACGTTCATCAGTGGCGTGAATGCTTTCGGGCTGCCCGGAGTCTTCGGCAATGCGCTTATCCTGTGTCAACTCCGTGAAGAGTCTGGCCCACCAAGATGATTCGAAAAGTGGCTTGACCTTGGTTGATTGAGGCTTAGGAAGGTCATGGTAAGTCTCCCATAGCTCCCGTCCATCTTCGTATAACCGAGTGCTGCAGGTCCAGTTTTCCATCTGGCTCACCATGAGCACATCGCCGGCAGTGGGATGACCGAAGTCTAGATCAAGCTGTATTCCGAGCCGGGAACCCGAAGGAGGGAAGTCGGTCATGAGCTGGAGGTTCACTTCCAGCATGATAATGTCACAGTCAAGGGGGGCATTGAGGTCATCAATCAACGAAGACACATGGGGAAATGATGAACGCCATCCGCTAACATTCTCTAGAGGCATGGGAGCGGCAATAGGGTGGTGGAGATCTCCCTGAAGCCGAGTATATGCGTGAAGGGCTTTGTCGATGCGGTTCGCCTGCTGAGGCGCGCTCACCCACATATCAAAACTAAAGCCATGGATGTTCTTGGTTCCGGCATCCTGCATGCTGGAGCCCAGGGTATAGTGAGGCGGTGGCAGGTTTTCTCCGTAAGGCTGCCCTGCCCTCATGAGATCATGATATTGAGGATGCCCATGACCGCCATAATGGCTAGATGTCGCATGGTGATCCATAGACGACCTCCACTTGGGCCCGGATGCTGAAGCATGTCCACTGGATCGGTCGACGGACTGTTCCCGAACGAGTCGCTCCCCTAACAAACCCAATATTAGTACATCATTCACAGTGGTTTCCTGCTGCCCCTCAGAACGGGAACTCACAATCGGGGTCACCCTTCAGGAATGAGTCAAGCACCTGGAGGTGACTCGAGACTTGCTTTCTGGTCCGTCGCTTGCCGGTCAATTTGTAGATATACTCGGCAATCAGCTCGTTCCGCCCGTAGGACTTTCCTCGCTCAGACCACTTCCTCCGGCCCATAGGAGGGTTTGCTTCGAGGGCTATATTGATGTTGTTCGTATTAGAAAGCCCACTTTGCACCGAATTAAGGGAGTGACCCGACCAGACACATACCTTGCTGGAACGCATCTTCCAACTCATCGGACCAGACCGGCTCCCCATCCTTGCCGGTGTCTCGTCGAGGACGGGCCCGATATTCCAAGTACTTCTGGGACTTGAGGTAGCTTCGTCCTCGGCGGGGCGCTACATTGGGCCCAACGGAGTGGAGCCGACGTAGCTTTCTCGCATGAAGCCGAGCCGCCACAGCCTGGTGGTGGAGGTTGGGAGCTGATACTGGGTGAGGGGCAACAGGGTGCTGAGGATACTTGAATGCTAGCTGCTGGAGGTGTTCCTCTCGTCCAGCGACATCATGTTGTGCGAGACTATCCGAGTATGACTGGACGTTCCCGGAGGTGTTTTGAAGAGCTCGATCCGAATGAGCTCCCACAGCCTCCAACGAAGGCTGGTTCTGAGGCACGAGGCACTCGGGTTGCCAGTCAGCAGCCATGGAGCGTACCAAGGACGGGCTTCTCTCAAAAGAATGACAGATTCCAAAGAGGAGGGGGAGTAGAGAGGCACCGCCCAATGCTTACTGCCTGGCAAAGAACGCAGCTGTCTGAAGAGAATGTCAGAACCTGGGAAAGAGAATGTGAGAGGCGAGCACGATGGTGTTTATAGGGAAGCATAATTCCCTTGGGGAGGGGGTCTGTAGTCCCAGTAGCAACATTGCTAGGTACGCCAGGTTTGCTTTGGCCTGGCACCACGTCCCTCGAACGCCAACTCCCATACTCCTAGGACAGGCCCCCTCTCGACCAGAGAGCCTTCGGCGCGTCCAGGCACTTGCCGTGGAGAAGCAAAGGACCAGCCGGCCTGCCGTCCTTGCCGCAGCAAATCAGGAGTAAAGAAAGGGCACGATATGAAGGAACTGTTCCCGGATGCAAGGGATGCTGGAGCAGCACGATCCAGTGACGAGCGGTTCGGAGATTTTGAGCTGCGTGAAGTGGCCTTAGAGCACCATCGCGCGGACGAGTGCCGACAACAGTCGACTATCATCAGTGGCAATTGAAGATTGGCAGGAATGTTGAACGGTGAACGGCGCCATCCTATTTGCCCAGGGCCAGGAATGTACCACCACACACAAACAGCAACTGGCGTTGGAATGTAGGTCAACATGATCTGGAGGATGGACCGCGCAGGATCCAGTGACACAAAAAATAACTCATGACCCTGCCGTTCAAGGTCGGGGTGGTGTTGAGTTGTGGAAGCAGAGAACAGGTGTAGGTAGGTATACAGTTGAGGGGTGGTGAGTTAGGGCTAAAGTAGGGCGGCCACCTTCCATGAGGAGAATACGGCAAGATACAAAGCAGGTACAGTAGAAGCACACGAGCTGCACGCGGATCTTAACTGCAGGCCAAATTTGACAGCCGCAGGAACGTGTTCGGGGGTATCTCTTTTCTCTGTCGAGCGCAGGTACAAAAAACAAAAGTGTATGCAAGAAATCGTACATGGTCGTCTCCTCCCCACCACGCAAGGGATGGCCAACCGGGCCAATCCACTCGACGCCCTTCTCGCAGGGAGAGCAAAAGGGGACGGGCTACCTTCATGCTTCGTCCTCCTCTCCCCCTACAGTGAATTTCTTTCGCCCCCCGCCCGTAAGCTGCTGGAGCTTGACCCTGTCCACCTGTTCCCCTACCTTCTTCTCTATCTTCGCGATCTCCTCCTCGGGATCGACAGCCTCCTCGTTCGCGAATTCCAGCACCAGTCGGCGACCCAGGAGATGCGTGTTTTTCAACGCGTCCATGGCATTTTCCGCCTCGCGAGCGCTGATAAAGTCGGCAAAGCCAAAACCGCGAGCTGACCGATCGAACTTTTGAGGCAAACGCACGGAGCGGAGCTGTCCGTAGGCTCCGAACAAGGACCGGATGTCTTTCTTGGTAGTCTGGAACGGCAAGTTCTTGATGATGATCTTCGTCCGTCTGGCCGCGATTTTCTTGGCGGTATCTTCGCGTCTCCGCTCCTCCGCGGCATCCATGGCCTTGTGAGAGGCGCGGATAACAAGCTCGTGCTGGTCAAGTTTGTAGCCGTTCATAGCCGCAAGAGCTGCTTGAGCCTGAGCCTTAGTCCTGAATTCCGCAAAACCGAAGCCCATGCTGAGGGTCTGCCCAGGTCGCTTGGGGTCGGGCTTGGTCTTGATGCGCCCGGTAACGAAGCCTTCCAATGGTCGGAAGGTCTCTAGGAACTTCTCATTGGTAGTTGAGAAGTTCAGGTTCTTGACGAAGAGGGTTGAGGTCACGCCTGTCTCAGCCTCTTCAGCCGCGAAGGTGTCGGACGTAGAAAATCCTTGAGACTTGACTTGAGCCTCAGGAAGAGTGATCGCAGTCGCCGTGCCATCGAACAAGTTTTTGGGCGCCTTCTCTAAAAACAGGATAGAGTCACCTATCTTGCGATATGCAAGGCCCTTGAACGCACTTTGGGCCTGGTCGGGCCTTGCGAACTCGACAATAGCGATGGTCCCACTTGGTGGCATAAGCAGCCGAAGGATCTGACCATATGGTTCGAACAAGCTCCTGAGCTCAGCGGACTTTACGCCGAATGAAAAGTTCTTGACCAGGATTGCGGTGTTTCCACGCTCGTGACCCTTGAAAGCTTCAATATTCACTCCATTCGATGCAAAGTAGGCTTTTGTTTCTTGAATGACATGCGTTTCAGCATGTGCTTGCTTGACAGCTGCGTCGGAAGATGTGGGGTCCAGTAAATCTGCCTTGGTCACCCCAAGTCTTTCTGCCACTGAGGACATGACAGCATCGGCCTAGAATGATCAGTATACAGGGCTACTTTTAAAACAAGGAGAAGACAACTCACATTCATGTAAAGAGAATTCCAACTAAAGGCTGATGACGTAGCACCCATCTTGCGCTTAATTTGCTTCTGTTTTTTCAAGGGAAGCTTTGACAGCTCAATATCATCAATCTTGTACGTCTTCTTGGCGGCAGCTGGAAGAACGTGCAGGAGACGGCCCTGGAAATGCTTTCCATCGAGAGCCCGATAGGCCTCGACGGCTGCATCCGCATTCGCATATTGAATGTAAGCGAAGCCTTTGCTTGTCTCAGTGCGAGTATCGAAAGCGACATGAACCTGCATCATCATTAGCACTCGGCCAAAGAGAAATTGCAAGTTGTATGTGTAAAAGTGTTGATTGAGTGTGGCTCTTTCAGAAAATCGAGAAGCATCTACTAAAATCTCTCGCCTGTTGACATCATTTGCTTTTGCATCGGATGTCCCTATCAGGACAATCATCATACGAGCACTCTGCTAGCACATGGGGGGAGGTACATGGCAGCATAATCGGCTGGGGTAATGGGAAATATGGGGGGGAATAGGGAATTTGATAGTAACAAACTAACCTCATCGAGTTTTCCAAACGGAGCAAAAAGCGGCTGGAGATCCGCATCGGTTGTGTCATAGGCGAGGTTCCTAAGGAACAAGCGGGCCGAATCACGAATTAGGTCAACATTCGTGTCCGGCTGCTCAGGAGTCGGCTCGACTACATCTTCAACCGAATCCTCATCGTTAGTTGCAACTTGAGGCGCGTCTTTCTCGAAGGCAGCCGTGCGAGATTCTTCCTTGCTGGGACTGCGAGATTCAGCTGGCTCGGTATCCTTGTGTTGCTCGAATTCAGCTTGCTCATCTTCATCCAGAAGACCAAGAAGACGACTTGTCTTTGAGCGAAGCCAGTCAGCATCTGATACTGGACCTGATTCGGCCTCCGCGGCCTCCGCGACCTCAGCGTCCTCCTGCGCCGATGTGTCTCTATCCTCATCCTCACCACTCTTGTCCACCTCCATGGGCTGAGGTTGCTCGGCATTGTCATCAGTGACAGGTTCTTGTACACGAACTTTCTTGGGTTGCGAAGAAAACTCCTCCTTTGTGTTGTCATCCTGTGTCGGCTTGTTAATTGTAACCTCGGGCTGCTCGGACGCCTGGGCCATGGCCGTGCTATCATCATTGGCCCATGTTCGGGTCTTGGACGAGTTTTGCATCAGAGCAAGATACTCTTGCAGCTTGGGGTCCTGCGACTTGGCGTCGGCATCCCTCTTACGCTTGAGGCCATTATCCGGTGAGATATCATCCGCAGCATCACGTTTCCGTGTAGGATGGGCGTGCTCTGTGGGGTTGGAACCAATCTACAACAATACTGGGTCAGTCTCAAGACCAACTGAACTGGTCAGCGGGAACGCAGGCAAAAGAAAGAAGAAAACGCAGCAAGTTGACGACAAACTTCACGTACCGGTCGAGCAAGATCTACCGAGATCTTGGACATTTTCATATATGTCCTGTTGAAGTAGCTGACAGCTTCCTTGGCTACTTCATTGCTTTTGAAGCCGACAAAGCCCATCCGCCGCTTGGGTAGGACATGGGCATCTGTGACAGCAAAGCGAGTTGCAAAATGATTGCGAAGCTGATCATTAGAGCAAGAAGGCGGAAGGCCACTGACAAACACCCGAGTGTTCTCCATTATGAGTGTTTGCGGGAGGTAAAGCCCAGGGCGAGTGCAGTTGTTGAAAGTTCCGGGAAATTTTTTTTTCTGTCTTGTATGGGCCGAAGGCGGTAGGGGCAGAGCCTTTTGGTGTGGACGCTTAAATCCAGCAATAACTGTGTCGTCCAAAAGGCGGTCAGTCGAGGGCTTGACGCGCTCCTTCACCACGCAGCTGCTGCGATCCGAACATCACTCTGCCACTCCGACGATATCCTTACGTCCAGACCTATCGGGTTCTTGAGAAACCGACCGCAACTATGGCCGCCGAGAAGAAAGACAAGATGGAGGGTAAGTCGCCCTTATCCCGAGTTGGACTTCCGCCTGCTAACCTTCTCCCGCAGCGCAGATTAAGTCTGTCGATATGGTAGGACACACTGGCTCCTATGCCCCCGAAACGAGCTCTCACACCCTTAAATAGACGGAGGATATGCAACAGGAGGCCATTGCTCTCGGTAGGAGCCCAGGATTCCCGGGACAGTTGAATCGCAGCTGACTTATTCCTCAGCGATCGAGGCTATGGAGAAGTACCACATTGAGAAGGTACGGACCTCTACAATCACTCCCAGGAGCTATTCAGTGGAACACGACACTAATTGTCAACAGGACATTGCGCAGTACATCAAGAAAGAAGTTCGTTATCCCTCGCCCTGTCCCTCCCCACATCGCCGCTAATGACCTCCCTAGTTTGATTCGCGGAAGGGCGCTACCTGGCATTGCGTCGTCGGACGGAACTTTGGAAGTTTTGTCACTCATGGTTAGTGTCAATTGTTCCTCTGTGACCAAGAATCCCCCGCTCATAACTTTCGGCAGAGACGAAGCACTTCATCTACTTCTACCTCGGCCACTGCGCCATCCTCCTCTTCAAGACCCAGTAATCGGGATATGTGCGCTTGGGGGAAACAGAAATGGAATCCTTCATGGGGAAGTCTCGCGAAATTGCCTTTCCACAGCGATCATTTTGTCTTCGTGTCATGACTCAGCTTTTTTGCCGGAGCGCTTTCTGCACGAGAATTGTTGCACTTTGTACACAAATTTTATTTTACCTAAATACCGATGAGACATTTTTTCTGCAAAACGAGCGTCTCTTAGAATTCTGGCTTCTTTGCGGGGAAGTCTGCTTGTAGTCTCTTGTTGTCACTTCAACCTTAAATCACATGGGCCTCACGTGCCCGCCAAGCAGCTAAGCCACAGCGCCCCTACGCCGCTGCCTTCGCATGCTCCCTTCATCTCTCTTTTGCTCTCTACTCAGCCTTCATCGACACCATGGCAATCTGTATTACATTTGGCACGCATGGTGAGTTACAGTTCTGGTTGAAGCAGCTTCAGACATCGGAGTGGGACTTGTCGTCAGGACTTGTCTCCGGTGTTTACCCTGGCGGGACCCAGTCCACCCCATCTATATTACACCAGACTGACACGCGCACAGAGTTCACTTCCATGCTGGAGGGCTACGAGAATGTCCGAGCTTATTGCTACAACTGTGAGCCAATGCTGTTCTTTCTTTGGCCTTTTGGGTGATGGTCATGCACGTGAACCCTTAACTGATTAACATCGCTCCGCACAGGCCAACACTGGAACGGACATTGTCTGACACGATGGTACGTGGCTAATAGAAATAGACATGGCCCCAATTTCCAATTAGAACTAACGGCTTTGAACCAGGCCATTCTTTACTGTCTGCTTTGTTGTACGCTTTTATCAAATTCAATCTAGTCCTCTAGGATTTATACATGACGACTGACATTGCCCTTATCCAGCCTTTGATCCCACTTGCTATGCACAAGTATAAAGTCAGTATTATATCCATATTCCGCTGATATGATAATGGCTAACACCCTCGTAGGAAGTCACCTGCTATACTTGCCGCTTCACTCAAGACCTACGGTAAGTTGCCCAGCGTCCGTATGAAAGTTGAATCGAAATTTGATTCTGACAAAATTCAGGGACCGGCCTGACATCACGCCGGACACAAGACCGCCCCCAAATATGCAATGGGGGCCTCAACCTCCCCCTGGGGCTCAATGGCAACAACCTCAACCGCAGCCGCCCCCACAGGCTCATGGGGCCCAGCAGTTGCCCGATGGCTACAAGTAACTTCAAGTGAGAAGGTCCCTGGAGTTACACATTTCCATGACGAAGCAGTATCCAAGTGTTTTCTTGAAATGACTGGAGGGGCAAAAGCAGGATGGATTTCAAATATTTTTCGGCAAACAGTTACTTTTAGGCGTTGAGTTTCTTGGTCTTTAGTGATGCCACCAACGGCCATTCTCCAGAAATCTACCTTTGCTTGATATCAAATTAGTCCAAAAAAATTGTTGATATTATAAAGACACTCATATCAAGGGGTATACATAAATTAAATCCCGATCAGGAGAAGAAGGCCCGGCCAAGCAGACATTACAAGTAGATCCATCAAATCAAGCAGACGCCTCAAGCGCCCCCTTATCTTCCTCTCCAATCTTTTCTGCCGGTGTCGCGATGCCAGAAGCCTGCGCGCCATCCGCCTTGTGGGCCCGATAGACCGTAGGCTTGCGACCCATCAGATCGAGACTCATCATCCGCACAACGCGCACAATACTGGCGCGACCTTCATAAAGTGGGAATAAGACGACGCCAAAGAGTGTGCAGAACAGCCAGATGATGCCAACGACAACCCAGCCAGTGAAGAACTTCTTGCTGAAGACGTATGATGATCCGTACATGGGGATAGGCCACAGGATCATGAGAGCCAGCGTCATGAAGATCGTCAGGGAACGCGAGTAGAACGCAGCGCGGTTCAGCTTGCGAGTTTCTTCTTCCGATTCTGTTGCCGAGGGGCCGGTACCTTCACCTGGAACGAGCTCAAGATCGATATGCGCTGCGGCCGCGACGTCTGTGTCGTCAACCTTGCGGATCGCGCGCATGGACTCATAGTCATAGTTCTGGGAGCCGAAGACAAAGGTGAAGATGGGGACAAAGATGACCGGGCTAAGGAGGGCAGCGACGTTGCCGGCAAGCATGGGGTAGCTGAGAAGAATTTTGTCAGTAAAGATGTTTAGCATGGGACGCAAATTCGAGTTACTCACTTGGAACCAGTAGTCTCTACGGTCAGAGTGCCGTACTCCTTCTTCGCAGTCACCAGCCAGGCAATCAGCGATACGGCAAGACCGAGCGGCGGCGATGCAGCTGCGGCAATCCAGTTCTGGCCCTTCCAGAGCAGAGTCATAGCGCCCGGGAACACAGCTGAGGAGATGATAACTCCCATCAGAAGGTACAGGTATCCCATGCCAATACCAGCATAGTAGAGACCAGTAGCGAAGCCCGCCATGATGATGGCGTACACAATACAAGCCATGTGCGAGACCCAGACAAGCCTTTTGCCCTTGGCAGCGGGGTCAATATAAGCCTGATAGATATCATATGTGACGATAGAAGAGACAGCGATCAACTGGGCGGAGAAGGCGGATGTAACGGCCATGAAGATCATCAAGGTTGTTGCGACGGCACCACTGTAGCCAAGCAGCCTGACGGCCGCAAAAGGGAGAACTAGACCAGCGGTCACATCGCCACTGCTCATCCGCTGAGAGCCCTCAAGGGCCAGTGCTGAGATGCCCATAGTGGTGGCGCACAGCCATGGGATGGCGAACCAGCAGAGTCCACCGATCACGTAGCCGGGGAATGCGTGGACAGGGCTTGCAGCAATGGCCTTGTTGTAGTAGCCGTTATCAAGGAAGACGGTACCGAAGTTTCCAATCAGGTTGATAATCCAAAAGATGCCGCCCTCCTTGGATCTCATAGTGAGATAGCTTCCTTCCGCATTGCCTTCCACGGGGTGCGCCTTGGCGGCCGCAACCAACGCATCGTACACTTTCCCTGGCGAGCCGAGCTCAGCGTTGGTTGCATACGCGGAGAACGCGAAAAGGAAGATGACGACTAAGATTACCACGGTATGCATGTAATCCGTGATGAAAGTGGCCTTGATACCGCCAAACAGCGTATACAGAACGACACCAATTGGAAGCAGGAAGCACGCAGCAGCAGTGGGTACTCCTGTGAGGGATGTCATGACAGCGGATCCACCGGTCAGCAGCATCGCCGTGACAAGGACATTCGTCATGAGGCAGAAGACGATGAAGACGACGTGGACGGTGGTTCCGTAGCGAGCGCGAATGACTTCGAGGAAGGTGTGGGCGTTCGGGGCGCGGCGCTTCAATTCGATTGCGATGGTTGCGAAGAGGAGAATCTGGACCGTTGCACCTGTTCTAGATTAGCGTTTGGTTCCTATTTCTCGTCATGGTATATATCCATCTCGAAACGTAACACTTACCGGACGCATAGTAGAAGGGGCCTGAAATTCCGTAGTTGTATGCCACGGCAGAAGACTGGAGCAGAGTTGCGGCCCATGTCCAACTACTCACGACTGCAGCGGCGACCAGGCCCGATTTGACGGATCGTCCTGCGGTCGAGAACATTTCGGATGTCTGAACTTCATTCTGATAGCTGGGGTTCGAGAGCCTGTTAGTTGACTCGCGCCGCAAGGGGTAGAAAAGTACTGCTCACCGTTTCAGAGCCCAGGTGATGAAGATCATCAGCAGCGCAAAAGCAAATCCCAGGCCCAGGATAATGCCATAGCCAAAGCCCTGCGTCAATGGCGCTTCAAAGGTAGCCACCCCTTCCGACATGATTGTGGGGTACGATTGTTCGGCCGATAGAGGCAGGGGGAAAGGGAAGAGCAACGGGACTGATCAATTGTCGATGCCGTGGAGTGTATGACGTCTAATAGATAAACGTGAACCTAATTGAAGGTATCACAGAGAATTGAATTCCCGCCTGCAGTGAAACAGGTTTGAAACAAGAGCCTACAGAATGCAAAATATCCTCATTCCATGGCGGGGACAACATAGATATATGCGAGCAACCACGCACATCTGAGTCAAGTTCCCAAGCTCCGAGTTCGCTCGCATCAAACCCCGGAAACACACGCATGGGTCTTCAGGAGCTTGGATAGCAAGATACGACCCGCAAAATTGAGGCGTCGATAAGGATGGCATTGCTCTCGTAATGGCTTGGGCGCTGGGACCGGGACGCGCCGTCGGCGGGCCCTTCGCCCACGGCAGGACGACCACGGCACCACATGGGAGGAATGAGGACCGAAGGGGCTTGACCCGGGATTGAGGGTGGAATTGGAGCGTGAAGGTGGGAATCAACCTATCATCGTGGTGGTTGGGCTTATCAGACCATCTTGACTGGAGGCTGCGATTGGCTCCGCGGAGCCCACAAGATAAGAGGCAGCGCGAAAATCAGCCGATGGGCCAGTCGGCGGCCATCCCAAAGGGCTATCTCGCCTATGATAAACCATGTTTGGTTTAGCTACCAAATCCCACCTTGGAGTGCATTCTCTATCGTGTCTATGCAAAACCTAAGCGTATTATATAACGAACGTGTGCTCGTGTTCACGCTTACCGAACCTGTACTCTGTAGCCTCTCAGTCTCGGTCTCCCTCAGCCAGGCTCAGAGGCTTGCGCCATTCGCGCCAGCAAGACAATATGTCCGGACTCCTTCCAGACCTATGTACGGAATACGAAGTACTCATAGGGCTATCGGATCGCGAAAACTCTAGATTGCCCATTGTACGGGGAATTGAACAACATAATTGGTGAGATAGTGATACATAGTTGCGTTATTGTCAGCCGTGCACTTCCTCACGACGAGACATTCTAGATCGGGCTTCCAGCATTCACCGTGGCGCTTGTTTGGGCCACAGAGCTGGCCTTGCGCTCGCAATAGCGAGATCGGGGAAAATAAAGAAGAATCTAGTGTCCGTGTCAGTGAAGCTGGACCAATCGCTTGTTTGGATATTAGTCACTATTTCTTCCACGCGATGCATTTCCCGACTACGCTTTGAAAGGTAGCAGTGCTTCAATCATATGAAAAAATCTTCTTGCCAGCATGCCTCTTTCATGTCCGCCAAGTTATCTGTCGGCCGATACTCGTGCCAGCGGTTGCAAGATTACGGCGCAGGTAATCATCACTTATCTGCTACAGGACAAGCATGGTTATGGAGCTCCTCAAGTCAGCTTCAATTGCCTTTTGAATACTTCAGTTTCAAAATACAACGGAAGCCCACCCACATATAGCGCATCCGTGCAGATAATGCTGGTGGATCGGCAAACAGACAATATTCTGTCTGCATGATCTTGCCTAAATAGCTATCCGGCAAAAGTCTTCCAACTATCATTTCCCCACCTCCAAAAAATGCTCCAAGTTATGGATTATTTGCCTGGTGTCACTCGGCTGGGTGTGGAGATTTAGTCCTCGACATCCTGGGGATCGCAGCTGCAATACCCATTGCAATTCAAACACAAGAACGCATCACATCCCAGGAAAGTAGTGTACATACAATACTAGTCAGCCACTAAGCTCCTTGGAGGAAGGTCATCCTGTAATTGAGAGGGCCCTTCGGCTAATATGGCCCATCTTTGAGACGTGGGGAAACTGAAACGCATCCCGCCGGACACTGTGAGGTCACATCAAAGTGGAAGTCGATATAGACTTACAAGGTTTTGCAGGCTGCGCCTCGCACGGCCTCCCAGCCTTGCCATGTAGCGGTAAAAGGGAAAAGGAGTTCATTTCTAGCCCATTAATATATATTTAACTTACATAGCTAATCCCGGTTTTTAAGGGACATATATAGCCGAAGTATTAAATATAAACTAGTATATTATCCCATGAGGTGCTCCAGTATACAAAGTCCTACATCTCCCCATCTCCTCCTGATTCCTTAACAATCAGTCTCTGTTCAAAAGTGACTACACTGGTTCCTCCTTACCTGATCAACAGGCCCTCTACCCTGCAAGTAGATACTGTAACATAAATCTAGTAGTATTTGTGCTATGAGTACTTTCACGCGTTACTAAAGATAGCCTAGGCTCCATCCTTCGGGCCACAGTGGAGAAATTGGGTTACCATAGGTAATAGGTTAGTCAAGTATGGCCTTGGCGCACTTCAAATGGTCGAGGCCACATGTACACTCGCCCGGCGAAGGGAAGAATCTGCTTCTTGACTATTCCTGAGATTATCTCGTGAACAATAGCCCCAATTAATCACCATGTACATCACCACTCTCCCAGTTGAGCTGATATGTATGGTATGCAGCTATTTGGACCTGTCGACGTGGAATGCACTCCGACTGACCTGCTCGACGTTATACACGAATACGCTCGACGCTTTTGCAGAGGAAAATTTTTACAAGTATTCGCTTCATCGCCACTAGCAACGGTCTCCATGAACTAGAAAGTATCACCGAAAATGATCTAGTACGCAATCAGATTCGGGAACTCTGGATGATACCCACAGTATTCGAAGGTTTTCACGAAATGAAGCAAGTGCAATTTGGATCTTCCGATTGGGCAGTCTCCTCTAAAAGTTGTCAGAAGGTCAAGGATAGCGAGCTTGCAGCACGCTATAAGACGTATCAATCGATCGTCGCAGATCATCTCACCCTTGTTCAATCGCGGGATTTTACCGCTAGGCTTGGCAACTGCGTGAAAAGGTTCAAGAAACTCGAGGCAGTCGGGCTATTAAATTGTCCAACTCCATTCCTACTCGATCCCCGACAAAATCGATTTCGCTGTCTTGGATATCGCAGTATAAAGAAGCAAATTGACTTTCGCCTTGGAAGAGATCACTTAGTCTTCTATGAATTTTAGCCGTACGCGACTTCAATTCTATGATGCTATCGAAGCTTCTTCAAACACTCACAGAACCCAACTGTCGGTTCAATAAAGTCAAGAAACCGAGCACCTGTGGTCCCATCACTTGCGCCCAGATATCTTTGAGTCTTGACCTTGATTAGAGCCAGTACAACTCGGTGTTAGTGGTACTGGACGAGTTGAAGGATCTTCACATGTGCATAAGCCATGAGTCAATCAGTTCAGATGAAAAGCTGGGTTCTGAAACTGCCCTTGATCTTCTGTACATAGTTGCACCAAAGCTGGAAGTGCTCAGCTTTTCATATCACACAATGAGGCAGCAGTCTTTCGACGGGCTTTCCAAAGGCATCAAATTTGGTCACCTCAAAGAGCTTCGCTTGCATTCTATTGATGTGACTTATAACGCCTTACGAGTGCTTTTCAGCACGGCCAAGACAACTCTGGCGATCCTTACCCTTACATCTGTCAACTTGAAGGATGGCCTCCCTCCGACGGACGAGGAGGGAAATGATGGACACAATCGAGCCAGGTCGTATTCGCAGCGCTTTGACAGTCATGCATGTGAGATGTGGAAAAGGATCTGGGGGATGATATACACCACTCTCTCGATTCAAAGCTTTTCCATGACAAATATTTGTTATTTCCAGCGAAAAATAGCCATACAGGAGACTGGGGCTTCCCGTGGACTGAATTACCACGCGGTGTTTGACTCCGAGGTCATGGAAATCTCTTTAGGTGATTGGTTTGACCGATTGAATCCGGTGGTAATGAGAGAAGATCACTCCAAACAGCATGAGTATCACAGTAACTGTTACGCGACTCTGACAACTTATTCTTCCCCCGTCCCCCACATTAACAATTAATAGAGTGGTTCGACCAAATGGCATGGTGGGATACTGACTTCCCTGGCTCTGAGTCGTGTACTTGTGATCCGGACTACCCTACTCGTAAATCATCCGTTGCCTGGAATCTTGAGATCTTATCACTAATACATATGACTTCTGGATGCGGCGATACAAGCTCAACACCCTATCTAATGACATTGACGCTATTGGAAATGGCCGCAAAAAGATATCCAACATAAAGACCGAGATAGTCACAGCGTAGGCCAGTCTAGCCACCGTAGACGAAGCACTTTGAGGTACGAAGCTCGAAAGGCTTTCTCTAGCTACAAGGTCTGTATTGCAGTTGGCAATCACGAACTGTAAAAGGGCGTATGATAACTTCCGCGTTAAACTCAAGAAGCAAGAAATCCTCCAGACGAAAGACACCTGCTACCGAGGTAGATCTGACACTGGAAAGTCTCTCAAGTAATGATGACGAGGAAGACATGAGTGAGACAGTTTCGCCGCTGAAGGATTATCACTTTGCCCTTCGATGCATCCCAAAAAGTCTATGAATGATTAGTATCCGAGACACGCCGTGCCGCACTGCACTAAATATCAGCAACGTTGTTTGACTGATGGAGGCAAGCTGCTTGTTGAGCCGATCAACACATATGGGGAAACCGTGAGATTGGGGAAATGGTTTGTGACATCAAGGCTACAACCCATGGAAAGGGTCATATCAATATTGTGATAGGGTTTGATATCGATGCATTTTTCAAGATTAGGCTAGTGGATGAAATGAGGTATCGTATACTGGCTCCACTAATAGTTTAATGCAAGACAGATTGATTCTGGTTTGATATGGTACAGACAATGCCAGATGTCACTTCGCCGCCCGGGCAGTCTCGGTCCACGCAGGGCTGCCGCTGCTTATTCTAGCGCGAACCCCGATAGGGCGAGGAAGCATTCGGGTAACCGACTCGGTGCTATCCAACCCGACCTATACAGCAGATAGGTCTTCCCACGTTCGCTCATTCGTAGAAGCACCGCCGAATAAAATAAAGAAAAACACCGCAGATGTCAAGAAAACGGAATCACACCAGCAAAGCCAAAACTGGAGATCCCCTGCGCCGCCACCGACAAGGTTTCGAAAGGACTAAATGTCTCGGGGTATAGGAGGAAGGGTTGTTGAGAATGAGGATGGTGGTGTCACGCAAGTAGCCGATTGTCAAGGAGCGGATCCATTGAATGCGTGAAATTGAGGTCGTCGATGGGAGAACTCGCTTATGCGGAGAACTTGCGGGTGATCTTGGCGATGACTGTAACATGCACGTTAGCCCTTCAGTCCCCATGCAGATATGTCATTAGCATGAGATATAATCTTACCGTGCAGACCAACGACGGAGAAAATGAAGCCCAGGCTGAGCACCAGCACAACAACGGGGTCAACACGCAGACCGGGGCTCTCATCAGTGTACAGCTTCAGCATGGTGCCAGATGAGCCGCCAGCACCGGCGGAGCGGGTAGAGGCAGGGCGGGCATTACGCAGGGATTCCTTGTGGTCGGCGGCGGCGCGGCGGCGCATAGCAGCACGGGGACCGCCGGGGGGAGTGGGCGAAGAAGGACGGCTGATAGACGAGCCAGAGGCGGCCGCTGCACCTGCGGACTTGGAGTCGGGGCCAGATTCGGCACCCGAGGTGAGAGGAGAGGCGGGACGTGGGGAGGCCTGTTCGACGAGAGATAATGTTAGCTGGATTTTGGGATTGGGACTAGAAAGGAGGTTTTGGCAGGGGGCTTTGGGTAGTGGCGACTTTCGAGGGTGCCAATGGCGCGTCAATTGAAGTTTGTAACATGAACGTACCATTGTGATTAAAGTGATGTAAAGGATTGAAAGGAAAGAGAGGGGGAGAGAGAGGAAGAGAAAGAAGTAGGTTGGGGGTGAAGGGGAGAGGTCCAAAGTTGCGGAGTTGAGGCCACGATCGCGGTTTCCTGATTGATACTAGTGTATGTATTGACACCGTCACGCACAGGGTATCCCACTCGATTCCGGCGTATGTTATGTATGAAATACTGCCAATCCACCAATGAGAAAGCTTCAGCGTTGATGTTACTGTACACTGCGGTTTACTTTGGCATTCGTTTTAAGTACAGTATGGTGTTTACTCAATACTCTGCTAATTGTTCTATAAAAGATTGCGTAATTCATAATATATTGAGTATTTTGAGATTCCTGAGATCCTAGATAGAACTAAGTCACGGTCATAGAGGGGGAGTGCCAGCGGGCATCTGTCATCATAAGTGACATGTGGTCAAACAGAAAGGGACAAGAACACGCCCGGGAATCATATCCAGAAAGAAAAATAAAATAAAAACGCCACCAGTGCACTTCATGAAGGATGTGTTAGGAAGGGAAAGAAATGAAGCAAGGCCAAGTCAAGTCACAGGAATTTTGAATACAGCACACTTCCGATGTAGAAGGCGTGCGCATGTTGAGAAGGAGGATAGAGGAAGACCATACAGTAGCTTCGACGAGGGTGAGGTATCATATCGAAAGGCCAAAATATTCAAACACGCAGGGAAGATTCAAGCGTAAGTATCAAGATGTGCGAAGGGACACAAGACGCAAGCAGTGGGCAAGGAAAAAGGAAATGGAATACCCGCTCCAAGTTGCAACGTCGGCAAAGAAGACCGAAGAGATCAATTAGTCAATCATCATCCGGGAAGGAACTTGGCTGTTGACGTTGTCTGAGAGCTCGGTGGTCTTCTCTTCGGATTGGCCCTTCTTCTTGTTGATGTGCGGCTTCAAGCCATGGTGGAAATTGTGCACGCACATGCAGGCGTTGATGATGGTAATCACGATCAGGATTAGGGTGATGATGGCGAAAAATGTCATCGACGGGCGAGCGGTTAGGTATTGCGTGAAAGTTACCGGCGCGTACATGCGGAACAGCTTGAAGCAGAAGTATCCCATGGCCGCGAAGAAAAGCAACTAAAACAGAACCGGTTAGAGATAAGTCGTATCCTGCGCCCAGCTGGGACCACTTACGATAATGATGATCATGCCGGCAGTGGATTCCCGACGGACGAACCAGGCACCGCAGACCAGGATAATGATGGTCCCAGGGACAGCGATAATGGTCAAATAGAACTCCGCGTTGTGTTCCGCCACCACGACCAAAAACTGTACGGTGAAGCCGAGGAAGAAAAAGAAATCGAACTTCAGCAGAGCGATGTAGATCTGATAGGTTAGGAAGCGGCGCTTCATGCGCAGATCTGCGCTGATGTGCTTGTAGATTGTCCATGCAAACTCGTCGTACAGCTTCCATGCCACAAATATCATCAGGATGGATCCGAGCCCGACAATGCACGGAATGATGATCAGAAATGGCTGTGACTCGGCCCAGACGACCATGTCAATGACGCCGTTGTCGTGCATGATGGAAACTGCATTCTGTATCTGTTTCACTTGGACGGCGCCATAGATCAGGAGACCGATATTGCACGCACACAGCCCGATCACCTGAATGGTGTTCTTCATCTTCAGCGCATCGTACACGAGGACTAATTCGTAGATAAACCCGAAACTGTAGAGAGCTAGGAAGGTTGGGATTGTTTTGGAGGTGGGGCTCGTGTTCGATTTTTCCTGAATCTGGAAATTGGCGAAGATGTAACTATGTGCGACCGTTAGATTCGATTCATGTGCTCACAATATTCATCCCACGAGACTTTCAAATAAGCGCATACCATTCTAGGGCCAGCGTTACCACTGTCTGGACGAGGGTGACGATGGCAAAGGACCACGTCCACAGGGTGTTTGGGATATACATCCTGGAAGCTTTTGGTGCCGGTGCTACATTTGCGTACCCTTCGCGACCCCGAAACCCACCAGGGAGTGGCCGAAACGAAGGGTCAAATGAAGGGTCAAACGAAGCCCCTCCGAGGAGAGAGGCGCGCGACCCGTGAGAGTGAATCTTGCCGAAGTGTTCCGAGACGGAGCTCGGTTCGGCGGCGTGCTGAGCGGCGGAAGGCACAGTGACGGTTTTGCCCACCGGGGAACCGGTGGGATGTGCTATTTAAGAGAGAGGGGCGAGGGAGGACAAGTCAGGTGCGAAACGCAGTGCAGCTGTCTGCCAGTCCCTGATACGTGGGTGTGTTGAAACGCCGAGAGGCTCGTGTGCCCGGTGGCTTGGCGATTTCGTTGGATGGGGGCCGGGTGAATCAAACACGAGTAGCGAGCCGCAGGAACATCGGAGGGTGAAGGTGCACTGCTCGAGCCAGCCGAGTCGTGGGCGAGGGTGATGTTGCGACGATAAATGGTGGAACGAGCACTCGTCTCTATGCTTGAATTATTGTTTGGGCCAGGCCGCAGGGTACAGTAGGCGGGGAGTGGGAGGCGAGGTCGGGATCAGCGATTGAAGAAAGGAGGAGCCAGAAGCCTTTCCCTTCCTCTCTTTCTCTCAAGAGGAAAAGAGATACGTAAATGGGGGAGGATGAACGAGTGTCGGGAGGGAGGAGAGAAGTGGATTGTGGAAAACAATGAATGGCAGCCTCAACGGTAAAAGGGGGATCCATCCGGGGTTTACCAGTCACGACCCTCACCCATGTCACTGGACTCCCAGACACACCCGCCTCGTCCACATACCAGCGCCGGGCGGGCCACACAACCATCCCTCCTCCACCACACAGCTTCGACGGGCTAGACTCTCCTAGGTCTTACGGCCTCCTCTCACATTGCTGGGAACCTATTTCCCTTTTCTTCCGTTTCTTTTCTTTTTCTTTTTTCTCGAGGTTCTAGACACTCGCAGCTCGATGGGTTTCTCCAGCGAGCCGACCCTGGTTGGGCGGTGGTTCCTGTGGGTCCAGGCCCATCGGCGCGCAACAGGTACGCCAAACCTTGTCGGGCCAGATCCATCTCCGTTGCTCACCTGCAGCTGGCCACATCAATTCGCTCTTCGCCTTTTGGCGGCTGCCTTGCCTCTGGCGAGCGTTCCTCGCGTTCCCTTTCCTCCACTCTTGGCCCCGGCTCCAAAGCAGAGCTGATCGTCTTCCTGTCATGACGCTTCAGCCCCTGTTCACTCATTGCGAAACCGCGGGGTCTCTAGCGCACTTGCAGTGGCTCCCCAAATTGCCCTGGCTCTGGTCAAAACCCCCCACGCCACACGCCTCAAGGCCAAAACATGCTGTCGGCTCCACCACAGCCAAGAATCCGGCCAGTCAGATGGCTGTGGCTGGTTACCACCGTGAAATATGCTGAATTGGTGGCTGGGGCGCGGCTGGGCGCCGGAGTTCCGGCCCTCTGGAATGCTACTCTGTACACGGCCCTCCATAGTCGTATCCCATTGAAGCCCCATGTTTTATGCCCGCATTGTATGAGGTCCGCACCCTTACTGCGCCAATTGGACTCGAAAGAGCTTTGTGTGCTCCTTTTTGCGTGGACTTAGTCTGGGAATACTAGTTATGGCTGAGCGACACCATTGACCTAATCCGGGAGTTGCTCAGTAAGCCAACTTCCCGTAAGCACCATTTACGGTGGGACTAACTAATAGTATCACTATTGTTTATTTCCGGACGCAGTTACCGCAACTTGCTTGCACATGTTGTTCCCAATACCCCCGTCTCGACAAATTCTTGCGCTCATTAGCTAGATCAATAGCTATACATAACTCCGACTTGATGTATGCCTTAGCTGACTGCCAGCCTGAAACAGCCTTCATGTCGATGATGACAGTTCCCTGTCTTATCACTTATCATCGCACTCTAACTACCAGTATCTATCCTTTAATTGTTTTCCTCTAGCCGCAAATTACGGAATTTGCAGGGTGATTTGTGTAACTCTTCTTCTTAGAACTCAGGGGGCCTGTGCATGCGGAAACCCTCCCGGGGCAGGTGCATATGCAAGGTCCAAACCGAAGGTGCAGAGTATCGCTTGGGGCAAGACGGTCCAGCTCCATCCTACAATACTCTTCGAAATCAGGTATACTTCTTCAGACAGATGCATTAACTTCCGAACCCCAATTCAAACCGAGCTAATAATCTGAGTTTACTCCTTTCTTGTGTGAGTCTCCTGCTCTCCAAGGCACATTCGAATGTTTATCGGTAGCTTCCGGCTAATTGCCAGTCTGCCATTCCGTGCACAAGCCAGCGACCCGACCGGCAATAGGATGCAAATAGAGAGTGGGGGAGCGCGGATCAACTTACTCGATCACTCTCATATCCCTTCTTATCGGCTCGTCTTGAATCTCAAAGTGCAACTTTACGACAGGATTTGAATTCCTTGCCCTACCACGCATATAACGCTGGAATGGGCATGAGCCCCCTTCCATATTCCATGAGCCGCATACCACCCTGGCCAACCTCAATCGGGAGCTGAGTCTCAAATAAGGCCTCTAACCCATCTGAACTTGCCTATATATTCCTCGGGACCCCAGTATACCGGCCACATGAATCAAAACACAATTCACTGCATGCAAGGAACACACATCCAGTTCACCCATTTCTTGTTTTCGTTTAAAAATTATGCTAGTGAGCTTAGAGGATCTCCAGTGAGGTTGAGACGGATTTGTGTCGGTGGATCCTTGGACGTTTCTTCGTCGCTGGGAAGTCTATTTTGAGACATGGGATGTCAATCACTTAGCTTCCATTTACCATACTTCTGCCACGATAGGGGTCAGATGGGCTAGCCGGCAAGGGCGAGGAGTAAGCTTGGTCTGCCAATCCACCAAACGGGCTACTAGCCGATCCCTTTGATGACGTTGATTCGTGGCATCTCCTCCGCCTTCCTAATTGGGGCTAAGTGCCATATGTTATCGGGGCATCACCAAGCCATTCAGCGCGCGTCTACCCCCTCATCCCCGCACGATTCGATGAGCGGCGGATATTGGGTACATTGAGGGGATCGGCGGTCCCTTTATCGGCGTCTTTATAGTATACACGAATTATCTAATAGGAACCCTGATGGGATCAGTGCTCTGGTATAAATATTTAGGGCCGTGAACAGCCTTCTCAAATACCCACTACCCCCCACGGAGCTCTCAAGACAGTTCATTCTACGGACAAAAACTTGCATTTCACAGTAGGTATGACTATGTCATCGGTGTGGGTGGGCGCTGTCCTTCTCTTTGGCTATTTTGTCGCCAAAGGGCTTGTCTCACCTCTATCCAAGGTACCAGGTCCTTGGTACACTCGCTTCACAAGTCTTTGGATCAAGTACCAGGAGTTTACAGCGAATAGACGGGAGTCCATCCATCGTCTTCATCAAGTATATGGCCCTGTTGTACGTTTGGGACCCAATGAGGTATCCTTCACGGGTTCAGATGCTATCAAAGAGATTTACGCCTCTGGAGGCAGTGGCTATGACAAGACTGAATTCTATACCCTTTTCAAACAATTCAAAACCAAGTGGGTTACCGTGATGATGCCGTGGGTTGACTTAGACTAATCCTACGTGAAAGGACCTTGTTTTCAACACTATCCAAGGACGATGTAAGTTGACATCTGCATGAAGACTCTCATAGCAACTATTTGACAATTGTGCAGCATAGCAAGAGAAAGCGTCTGTTTGCCGAGCGGTATGCGATGACCAACGTCATGAAAGCAAGGCCTCTTGCTGCTATTACGGATCGGGCAATGGCTTTCGTATCCAAGTGCACAGAAGCTGGCAAGAAAAGCGTTGATGTTTATGTACGCTTACTGAACCCTCCCAACTTCCCTCCTGCCTGCTAACCTTACAGTTCAGGTGCTCCTCCATTGCTATGCTGTCGACTGTGTCACACATTTCATGTTCAGCCCGGGCGGGCTCAAGTCACTAAATATTGAAAAGGACTTTGAGATAATGAAAGAGCTGACTTACCACCAAAGCCTTCAGAGTAAATATTACTCTTTCCCTTACTGTTTCGGATTACTTTGTGCTGATTAGTGAAACCAGAAAGCCTTCTGGCATATTATCTTCCCTCCTGGGAGCCCTATTTCCCCAAGTTCCTCTACCCACGCAGCGCACCGAAGACCAACCAGTTCGTTCTGGACATGGCTGCACAAACCCAGGTTGAGGAATATACGCTTCTGGAAAAGCTTAAGCGTAAAGAATCGGGCCTCGAACTCATGCAAGCAGCTGCCGAATGCAAGGACCACATGGCCGCGGGCATCGACACTACCGGCGACGGACTGTGCTTCTTGATGTGGGAGCTCTCACGGCCCCATAATCTTGAATTTCAGGAAAAATTACAACATGAGTTGAAAAGTTCATCATCTGACGCCTCGTTCGATAGCCTTGTGTATCTTGATGCAGTGATCAAAGAAGCCTTGCGCTGTTCCCCACCGATCCCGATGTCTTTACCGCGATATGTGCCCGCAGGAGGAAGATTGATCGATAGATACTTCATCCCAGCACAAACAATTGTAAGCTGTCAGCCATACACTGTGCACCGGAGCTGCGAGGAGGTGTTTCCAGACCCAGACCGGTTTTATCCCGATCGATGGCTCGATGCCAAAGGCGCTGCGGAGCGAAATAGGCATTTCTTTGCCTTTGCAGTCGGTGGGAGGGGGTGCACTGGGAAGAAGTGAGTTTTCTATCTTACACTTTCTAGATTAAGATGTGTACTAATATTTAATGTGTTAGCCTTGCCCTGGTTGAGATGAAAATACTTGTTCGGGAAGTGTACTCTCGATTTACTACCACAGTGGCGCCTGACATGAATGGTTCTATGAAGCTGGATGATCAAATCATCTCGGCACGACCGAAGGGCCAGACGTGCAAATTGACTTTTACGGAGATATAGGTGCATCTTCATGTTTGAAATGAGATTAATGAATGACCTTTCGCGTGTGAAGAGTTACCATTGATGTTTGTAGACAAGTTGAAAAGTGAAAATTCGATACCAGGGAATATTTGTTAGCACGTTCATTTTCAGACGTACCTAGTGAAGCATTGCGGCCTAGGGCCATATACAGTCCATGTTATATAAAAATTCAAGCCCGACTCTAAACTCCTGCTCAAATTTTTTCATATCTTAGGTGGTATTCTATTCCATATGCTTCTGTCCTTTGATCACCACCACTTTCCTCATTATCATCTTCTTGATCGCCATATTCCTGGACATGGAGGCAGCCTTCAGCGCGGACCCCTGGACATTCCAAACCTCCATTGGATTCATACCTTGATCTAAGAGCATTTGTACAATCTCAGCGTGGCCTTCCACGATTGCCCACATTAGCGTTGCGGCGAGCTGCTTTTGAGTGAATCGTCTTCTGGATCATTCGGGTCGAGGTTGTGATAAGAAAGAAGAACTTTCACTATGCCGGCTTTTTACTTTGTTCCCGCAGCTTCTAATGGCACCGTTGCATAATACGGACGATAGTTAAGCGGGACACTCAGGTGTGATCAACCACCATGGAGTCCGTGTTCCAAAAGAGCTGCTCGAGCCGATGTGCGGGGCATGAGGGGAAGCCGATAAGGCCCGCAGCGATCGGTGTGTCGTTTAGCGACACCCACCTTATAGGCTGCGCATTCTTCTCCTCGACATACCCAATTCGTCTCTATCGCAGGCCCTACTTTCTAGGGTTTAAAGTTCAAATACCCGCAGCGACCTACAAACTTCCCTATTAGGGCCCACGGAATCTGGAGAACTCCGATCCATCCGACAGCATCCAGTCATTGCAAGGGCGCTTTTGTTCCCCTAAATGCCCCTTGACTTCATTGATTCCTTTTCCAAGGATAGGAGACCGATCAAGTTTTAATATGGCCAATACCGGTAATCCCGCAGCTTCGTCTTGTCGCTTCTCCACCCGTATTTCCCTACGATGGCTCCCCGAGCCTGCGCAGGAAACGACGGATACAATCGTCATGTCTGTTAAGGACTGGTACCTAGACTTGCGAATGGACAAAGAGACCGGTCAAGTGGACTGGGCAATTGCTGGACAACGACTGATTGAAAGTCAAGAGCCTCGTCTGTAGTACCAAGTACTCTCGTCTAATCTCGAGTCAAAGCTAATCGCTTCTCTAGTGCGCGTATCCTTCACTCACGAGCTCGACTCGCATAATGCCTTCGAGAGCGTTGATTGCGGCACGTTTGTCTCACTGCCAAACGGTGATGACCTTGAGACAGGATCCATGCCCCGCCCTGACCTGCCGGGGGCACCTGTAACGGAGTACGAGGAGGTCTGGCGGGAGTTGCCCTTTAGAGAAGGTCCCGAGGGGATGAGTAAAGGAATGTCGTGGGTGCTAGAGTCTGACGACAGTGAGCTGGAAAGAGAGGGCGAGATTACCGTGACCAAGACATTCCTCGGCCGGATCTGGGGCACCTATCTTGCACTGCAGCAGTCTCAGACTCATAAACGACAGAAGAATAAGTCTGGAGCTTGGACTGTGATTAAGACTGGGGCCGATGTTAGTGTCAGAAGGGAGGAATGGAGCTCAGCCTGGAAGGATCGGTATGTAGTTGGAACGGCAGGAGCGGTGCTGCCGTCTATGAGAACTGGATTTGAAGGCGAGGGTAAAGGGCCTTGGAGAGTGCCTGGAGAGAAACTGAACATTGATGGGAGGTCTTTTATTGTTCGAGCGTTTGAAGAGATTTGATTTCAACAAATCAAAGTATCTGGAGGATGGGGAATCCGGGCTGTATAGTTCGGCTTGAGCTCGCTGCCTTACAAAACATATCGTGATAATTTGATCAAGCTACGCAGTGTTCCCGGCTTCCAACCCAGAGCTTTGGACAGGGCAATCCATTCAAATAAATTCAAACTTTCTCTCATCGTCCAAAAAGGCATTCTCGATAGTGATAGCCAGGTGCACGACCATAGCTTAGGAGGCTTTCCTCCACTCCGCGGCAGAATCCCAACTAGCACCCACTCCAGAAGGCGGTCAACATGACAGCCCACAGCTTCCCATTTTCTTTTGACTCACTTCCTCTCTTCTTTTTTTCTTTTCCTCAAGCGCCATCCCTGCCAATGCTGCGTTTCTTTGCTACACACGACAGCGGGTTCGCCCCTGTCCTTGGTGCCCTGGACTTCGTCCAGCCCAAGACCTTTTGCAAATGAGAAATTCGGAGAAATCTCCAACTACCCTACCCGCCCTCTCTTCGCCCGCGAAGTCCGGGGGCCGGTGCTGCCCGCGAGGGCCTGGTGTGACCTAGTCGACACACCTGCATTCGGCATCAGAAATACCGGGGAAACGGCTGGTTCCTTCGGGGGCTGGTTCGATACCCTATGGGAGCGTCGGTGCGGAGATTGTGTGTGATGACACTTTAGTGCAATACGCGGCATACTGTGCTCCTCTCCTTTACGGGGAGGGGGTGGTATCATTCGATTCCGATCATTCTGGCGGGGGTGGCGCTTCACCTTTTTTCTCCCCCCAGGTCAGTATTTTACCCCCGTTCCACTTGCTGTTGCTGCGTTGTGCGCCAGGAGTGGGTCTGAAAAGGATTGATTTTTGGCGACTCTGCTAATTAGTGGGGTTGCGGGCCATGTCCCTGCTAGGTCTCTCTTATGGGGTCCTTGACTGTACATGGTGTTTGATGGGCTGGGCTTTAGGGTTGGGTTGTTTGTATGATTCGTTAAAGAAAGGAAATCGAAGATTTTGCGAGATATGGAAGCATCCTTGTACCTCCCATTGTTGTGGGCTAGTAGTACAGAACGTGCAAAATGGAAGATTTCAGCACCGGAACTCTTTACTGGTAATATGCAAGGTGGGTAGATGAAATAGCCCAAGAGCCTTTAATTAGACCACACGGGATGTAATTGGAACAAACTATCATGGGAAAAAAAACTTTGCCATCCCTTCTATTCCGGGACGACGTAGGGCAGAAAAAAGTAACAAGTCATTGCCTCCGTCAGGGGATCTCCATTATCGTAGGGGCTTCGTTTTGCCTGGTCTTGACCAGTTCATGTGATCTACTCCTCATCGCCGATCTGTGGAAAAGAGAGCGGGTTAGCATTGCTCGCACAGGCTCGGAAGTAGTTTCACATACCTTAGGGGCGAGGTAGAACCGCAGGTGGCCGCTGCCAAGAGGGTACTCAACAAGCAGAGGCACCTCCTGGGACAGGTTCAGCCTTACGGAGCCGGACAGGTTCGACGCCTTGCAGAAGTTGACGAGGTACTTGAGGGAGAAGGTCAGGGCGACAGGCTCGGAAAGGTCAATGGTAACGTTCTGGTCGGGCTTGTCGACGTTGGTGTGCTGGCGGATGGTAACGGAGCCGTTGCCAATGTCACCGGAGCAGGAGAACTTGACACCCTCCTTGCTGGCCTCAATGACGACTGGAGATAAGCGAATTAGCCTCACGTTTCTCGTTCCGCAGAATACGGCAATCTGATATACTCACCGGACTCGGAGAGAGCGTTAAGATCTCTGCAGATGCGCTGGAACTCCATGGAGGGCATCTCAACGGTTGCGGCATATTCAGTCTCGGGGATGGCCAGGTGCTCCTGGTCAATGTCCATGAGCTTGATATCATACTCACTTAGCCTGTCGGTCTCGGCACTCTCGAACATCAGGTTAACAGCATCCGGCGAGTCCTCAGCCTTCAGGGTCAAGATGTCTTCATTCTGGGCAGCCCGCAGGACCTTGGTGAGGGAGAGCAGGTTGATGCCGAGGGCAATGTTACGGTCGCAGCGGTAGGGAGAGAATCCCTCAGCACGGAGCAGCATGGAGACCAGGGCAACGTGCGAGTTGTCCATGGCCTGGAGGGCAATGCCGGAGTCATTGCAGTCGAAGTTGCAGTCCTGGACAAGGTCCTTGATGGCGTCGACGACCTAGAAGAGCGAAAGTCAGCATAGAGGACCGACGGCGAGGAAAGTATCCATGCTAGGGGGTTACATACGCGCTTCAGAAGGCTTGCCTGTTCCAATCGTGCCTCAAGCACTGTTCCAGCGTGTTAATTGGGCTCTTCGCACAACGGTCGGGTTGGAGTTTGTGCACTTACTGTTGATGTGGGGTTGCGTTTGTGGGTTTTTGAAAAAGGAAATGTATTAAGAGAATGGGGGAGACGGGGAAACGGCGGATTGACGGCGAAGGTGTGAGGAGGAGGGAGAGGGGAATCCAGAGTTGAGGCTGCTAATGAAGGTAGAAGAGTCAGCGGTCTGAATCTCAGGCGAAATCGCGTTCGAGGGCTAGTGGGGAAACACGCGCGCACGCGTTTGGCGATATGACCACTTTCGGTTAGCGTGGTGCCCAAGGCTGCAAGGTGTCTACATCCGTCTCTATGTATGAGGGGCAACTCAGGAGAGGCGTGAAAAATAATCAAATACAGGTCCATTGGTAACGAGGAAAGCTGCAATGTACAAAAAGGCCTGGAATGAGACCCCAAAATCCCAACCTGCAAGCGAGAAAACTGTACCGAGGAGCGAAACAAACCCTCCAATAAGTGATAATACAAACGAAATGAGACAAGCCACATATAGCCCTGTATAGCCAAATAGCGAAAAAAATATGAAAATAAAGAAAGTTTGACAACATTGAAAACACCACCATCGCCGGATCCTTCTATAAATTTCATGGGTATCGTGTCAGCAAGCTATGGCGACGTGAAGCCATGCTTCGCATTGAGCAAGAAAACAAAAAGAACAAGAGAGCGCGAGGCTGTGTGGGTGCTGAAGCTTCTGGGGACAGTATTTGGTTAGATACTGGTCACCCGTTTTGAGGTATTGTTGCGAGGTCTTTGCTGGATGACCATCTCCAGTTCCTTGAGCATATTGGTTTTTGCATTTGCCTTATCTTGAACTGCCACTTTATTCGCACGGGCTTCTCGAACGCGTGCCAAACGCTCATCTCTTGTCAGAGACGCTCTCTTGTTTCGCGAGGCAGGGAGAACGACTGCTTCAAAGATCTCCTCGTCATCGAAGCTATGTGTCAAATCTGGACGGCTCTCCCCATTCAGGGCTTTGAGAGCGTCGGTCGGACTACCCTCAACGGCGGTAGTACCGCCAAGACTAGGGGTGGGAGACAGTGGAAAGGCTGTACTTGGGGGCCTGGAGCTATCTGTGGCACTGAGACGACCTGGATTGTTGACAATGGCGGCTCTCCCTAATTCCCACTCTTGGAGTAGAGCCCTGATATCGCCACCGATGGCATCGTATTGCACAAGGAGATTCGCTTCAAATTCCCCAGCCTCTGACTTTTCGAGATTGGCGTTGGACTCCTCGCTGATGATGTGCATTTTGGCATGCAAGGCACGAACGGCCTGAGATAAGGAGTTGAGTCGCCGAAATTGCGCACGCATATGCTCCTTGCTTGGAGAGGCGGACGGTAACGGCGACGGCGGGATGGCGTCCCCTGCAAAAATTAGCTGGTGTCTCTCGGAGCAGGTCAAAAAAGACAAAAGAGACACTCACGATCCTCCTCGTTCAAGATGTTGGCCATCTTGGCCATGCTAGTTCCAGTAACTGCAGCAAGCTCGCGCATCTCCTCCACGGCGGCACTCCACCTCGTGATATCAGATCCATCTCCATCGGCACTGAGCGCCAGGAGGCAGCATAGAACACTCTTTCTCACAGTGTATAGTTTTCCAAACAATTCGCGCAGAAACCGCAACGAATACTGGTCTTCCATGGACCGATGCGATAATGCTGACTCGATTGCTTCGAGGTCCTCGAGTGCGATATCGTAGATATCGTAGTATTTGGCTAGGTTAGCTTCATCGGTCAGAGGCCGTAATATATTTTGCGACCGAATATAGCGTTCAAGGATTGACCAAAAACATTCAGACACAGCTCTCCGAAGTCGCAAGCACCGTCGGATTTGCACCTGGTCCTCCAGTCGACTGATAGGGGGCAAGGGGGTACTTCTGGAAGGCCAAGTCAGTTCGTACTCTTTCCCCGACCTGATGCACAAATCTTACATCCGGTAGCCTCTGGAAACCAGCTCCACCTCTTGTATGAAGACCACCGAAGCTGAAGCAGCCGAGTCAAATCCCTGAGCATTGCCCACAAAAGTCCCGGCAGCTTCCACCGCCTGGTGCCGCAAGTACTTCAGCCATTGTCGTTTCGCGAATGCATAGAAAAAGACTCCGAGAACCGGGACTAAAACCAGCAAAATCCCGACTTTACGTGGATTGAGCCCAGATCCAGTCTTCGAACGGCCCCAGTGTAGTGACCAAACTATCGAGAAGGATGTAGCGGCAGTGACAAGGGCGCCTTGCAAGCCGAAAGTTGTGGAGAGGGAGGGGAGTTCGGCCGGTTGCGATGCTGAAAGGACGTCCACAGCGGATGTGTAGGAGGGCGCGCTGTGCTCGTTCAATAACTGGGAGGCGACGATGACATATCCGAATTGTTCCAGGAATCTCTCATTGTCTCCTCTTGCAATACGTGCATTTAGGGCAGACTAAACAGATGGGCACATAGGTTAGGATATATTTCCCATCATTGTATCGCAGGAGCCATACCGTGCAGGCACTGTATAGTTTCTCGACAATCGCCCCATGTGGCGAGTGCCGGAGGTTCAAGGGCTTTGGGAGCTTGTTGCGAACACGTTTTTGGAAGCGAGAAGCTCCGCGAGGAGCAAAGTCAGAGGGCGGGACATCGTGTTCACTATCGCCGTTCGCTTCCGACGCTGGCCATTTCTCCTCACTTTCACCCACCCCTAGAGCCAAAGCGTGTCAGTATGCGGGCCCTCCGTATTGCGTCGCAAGGCCACACGTACCTTGGAGGTAGTCGTCCAGAGGCGAGTCCTTAGGCACAAAAGACTCCATAGCCGACAATCATGCCGGAGAGCAGAGCGAGGAATGGAAGTGGAGGTGGCGGGCTGGCGGAATGGTGACGGAGTGGAGGGGGATGGCGAAGGTTGTTACAGGAAAAGGCGCGCGCCTAGGGACATGTCGCAGAACAACCAACACACTCCAGTCACAATATCATGCTAGTCCAACAGTCTCAGACAAGAAACAAAGAACAAGGAGCTTAGGGGCGCGGCCACGTTGACGGATCATCCGGGGAAAGGAGAAGTCACGAGAGTCTAACTTGTCTAAATTAGGGCTGCTGACCCACTCGCCTCCTTTTCTCGCAATGACATAGCTTTGCCCTGCATGTTCAACCAGTCAACCAATACGATGACCCTGATCTCCATCCATCTGATTGGTAGCCTATACAACAACCGATTGTGATCAACTCATCTACTATATCCGCCGGTAGATCCGAGGTGAACGAGGAGTAGGGTGTCGTCGTTTAGAATATGCCAGGGGGCGGGACAAAGGCAAAGTACCTGCGACCGAGCTTCCGGCTGCAGCCTACGCAGATTACACGGTGGATAGCGCCGAATGTAGTTGGATACAAAGATAGACTTTGGGACTGTCTCCGTACATTGAACAAGTAGATGACAAAGATAGTTAGCCGGTTTGGGTTTATGCAAGTGCACACCTACCTGGTTGGGCCATGTCGGTGCTATTCTCCTTTGGGAAGGAGCGATGCTCAACAGTCACGTTTGTATGCCCCACCTATATTAGGTAATAATAGTTGCCCTAGACAACGCGCGTGTCAACAGCACGGAGGGTGCTTTGGATCACAGACACGCGATAGATACGCGTGGTTCGTCAGTAGCAGTCGTGTTTATCGTCAGCTACCACTTCTAATCAACTATCCTACTCGACATTCCAACAAGTGTGTGTTGGGAAACACCCCACGCATCAACCTCACCGCTTCTCTGTGATCAGCAAGCTGCAAGGTTGCACTGCACTATCGACTACCGCAACCTCCAAACTACATTCCAACGACCTTATGCGCCGATAAAATATCTGCCTTCAACCGCCCGTGCCTCGACAGCATGTCTGGAATTCTCAATGAAGCCTTCACACCATGCCCGTCGAGGTCGCGGTCCTCTGGATTTAGTGAACACAGCGGTAGCGACACGTTCGACAGCTTGTTGGATGGCGAATCGGTCTTCGAACCGACGGGACAGATTGAATACACTACCGAAGTACGAGCACCGATCCTGACCGGGGTTCGCCCTCGACGAGCCAATCGAGCCGGAAATACATTCCATGTCCACGAAGATATTGCCGAGAAGCCGGCTGGCCCAGCAGAGAAACGGAGGAGACCAAATGCAGTGCCTCGAGGCCCTTCTGATCGCAAGTCATCCTTGCTTGCTCAACCCGCCCAGCGATTCCGCCCAAAAGTCAACTTTGCCCCGAGTCCGCCATCCCGACATTTGAAACTGGAGTCTGAAACACTACAAATACCGCAAACACTCCAACTGAAGACCAGTGACGGATCCCTGTCTGTCGCACGACCTGCCCTCAAAGGATTGAATTGGGAGGATCAGGGAAACGGCTTGAAAAAGAATGTTCGGCGTAACACAGTCTATATCCCACCAGATGATACCACCGTGGCTAGCGTTTTCATGGGACTTTTTAGTCCGCTCAAAAACCCTTGTGGAAATGCCGTGCCTCCGGTAGCGGAAGATACCCAAGTCAATACCCTTGAAGCACAAATTGCAAAACGACAAGCCAGGAAGTCCTTGGCAGTATCTGCCCGCAGGGCTCCCCTCCAACCTAGTACGAAAATCGCGCAGGAAGCTACGTTCAGGGTGGATGTTGCGGGCAAAAATGGCGGCAAGGAGAATGTTCCTCCCGGAGCTGTCGTCAAAATTGAAAAGAAAAGCACCACGGAAGCCAGTGTGCCATCAAAGCCGAAAAGAATCAGTACAGCCCCGGTATCGAAACCTGCTCGCCGCACCACAACAACCCACCAGCTGAGAAAGTCAGAGTCTACGAGCTCTGTCGCCGGAGCAAAGAAGCAGTCAGCAAAGCGGGGTGTCTTAGGTGAAAAGCAGAATAGTGTCCAACTCTTGCCACCTTCTCTTCATCTTGGAAAAGGACTTCGCACTGAGTCAAAGGATCGTCTGAAAAATGCATCCGCATCGCTCAACGCCCGCGCATCTGCATTGTCAGAACGACGTGATCATCCGCAGACTGGGCGTGCTTCGAAGGTTGGAAATGTTTTGAGATTGAAGGAGTTGAACCACCAATATCCGATGTTGACAGAGAACATCTCGGAACCCTCTCTGTACGAAGACAACTGGCTCTCGCATCAGGAAACTGTGATCACTCAGTTGGTCAATGCTTTGTTTGAGTGCACTAATGGAGACCCAACTGCCATTGATCCACATGCACTTCGCCTAGAATTTCTTGAACTCTACCACACCGAATACTTTACACAACTCTATCAACGACTTCAGGCATCCTTATCATGTGGAATATTGAGTATCCCCAAAGATGTCCTTGCCCGGGACAGTCGTCTCAAGCAAGATGTGGGCTTACGGAGGAAGTATCTTGACATCTGGATCCAGTCGTATGACCTTCGCGCATTGGTGCCAGCTTTGGAGACGGTCGTGGGTCGAAAGGTTTCCAGCGATTCCAATCTGTTTGATCATGCGAGCGAGCCCTTTGGGAACGAACTCAAAGCCAGAAACGCGATTTCCCGAAAAATCGAACGCTTTCTGGACGCATTCTTGCTGCACAACGATGATATCGATCATGTGATTGATGCCCACGCAGAAACGCACGCAAAGTCTTATCGTCGGACGGTTCTTCGAAGCATTGTGCTCGTTATCCTTTTGGACCAAGCAAGACAAAATCTGGGCACCGGTTTACCTCGTCGGCTGTTTGTATCATCATCTCCTTACAAGTCTTCTGTTGAAGTCCTCCATGCTCTATCCCGTCTGTTATTACCTTCTGCTGGCGACATCACGAAGGCTCTGGGCCATCTTGGCTGTTATGTTTCTTACAAACAGCATCAGCTGCAAGAATATGACTACCTAATGGACAACATCGCCGTGGACTTGAGAGATGGCGTGCGCCTGACTAGGATTGTTGAAGTTCTTTTTTATACCTCAGAGCACCTGCAGACTGAGCTCGAAGACCTGACCGAAGTCACTCTGTCTTCGGGAGAGGCGCTTTCACTTCTTGGCGATGAAAGGGATTTGCCTCTCTCCAAACATCTGAAGTACCCCTGCGTCAGCCGGGCAACGAAAATTCACAATGTTCAAATCGCACTCTCCGCTTTGAATCCCATCAAGGGTTCCGGCGCAATACTTCGTGATGTACGCGCAGAAGATATTGTGGACGGTTATCGTGAAAAGACCATCGCGCTCCTCTGGGCTCTGGTCAGCAAATGGGGCCTTTCTGGCCTTGTTGACTGGGAGGATCTCAGTAAAGACATTGCGAGGCTCCAGCGCAAGGCTTGTTCGCAACTTGGCTATGACTGGGTCAAGGACGAACAATGGTTTACACGGAAACCGTCTTCCAATAATGATGAGCATGCTGCATCGCTCCAGCAGTGGGCTGCAATCCTGGCAGCTCTTAATGGCCTGACCATCAGCAACATGACAACCAGCTTTGCTGATGGCAAAATCTATGGGAGCATCATCGATGAGTATGAGCCTTATATCACTGGCAGTGCCCATCAAGACACCGAATTGATGAATAGACATTCAGTGTTGATGTCTTTAGAGCCTCGCCTGCGATTGTTGGGATGTAGCTCTCAGTTTGGTAAGGGAATTCACAGAGAGAAAGAAGTGGTTCTTCAAGACAAAGACTAATATATGACAATAGCATGCCTCGTCTCCCCAGGCAAAGCCTCATCGCATCTCCTTGACGGAGACTTCACACTTGCTGCCCTTGCATTCCTCTGCTCTCGATTGCTCTCAGCTTCGAAGCGCGCCCGCGCAGCCACAGTGCTGCAGCGCGCTTGGCGAGCTCACATTTCAAAGCGGGATGAGTTCCGTCGCATGATTGCACGCAATCTTGCTGCGCACTGCGCGGCCGTCGTCCAAACAAGGAACGAAATTATCTGGGCGAAGGAGGTGATCACTCGTTATTGGAGGAAACACCAGGCCTGGAAAGGAAAAGCGAGCAACACACGATATCGGACTTTGCAAAAAGCTCAACGTCAGCAGCGAAAGACCGCTGGACGGCCGCTCTAGACGCCTCCATTTCTACCCCACATTGACATTACTGTCATTCCATGCCTCAACACTGTTGAACCGGCATCATGATCATGATTACGAAAGCCTTTGACACGTTCATTTTTGGGACTTCTGATTTGTTTTCTTTGGTCGCTGCTTACGGAGTTGATTGGTATTATGATTGGGCATTGAAGCGTGTTAGGACTGGACACAGGAGCTGGTGTCCGGTTTACTGATGTCCACATACCCTGATTGTACTCGCAAGCATTCATTTACTTCAAGATATCCCGTATCAAATCGTATTTTCCCGCTTCTGATACTTTGCTTCATGCCGATCATGCGATCCTTGAGTTCCCCGTCTTGACGCCTAATCATGATGTATCTCGGCACGTCGCAGATACCACTAAATTGTCATGGTGCATTGAAGCAGAATGTTCATTGACATTCCTTCGTGGGGCTCATATGCAGCTTGTCATGCCCGATCCCTTTCCACCCGCACCTCATACCCATTTCCGTACGTACTCCGCTTACCAGCCGCCGCGCTAAGAAGACGTCAGAGCTTAGACAGGCCAGGTTGACTGCAAGATAGTATATTGACTTACTCCACCGGGGCCGCCAGGGCCGCCACCAGGGCCACCGTGAGGGCCACCTCCAGGCCCGCCGTGGTGACCAGGTCCTCCAAAGCCACCAGGTCGTCCAAAGCCACCAGGTCGTCCAAAGCCACCAGGTCCTCCAAAGCCACCAGGGCCACCAGGGCCGCCGGGACCACCATGAGGGCCGCCATGAGGACCGCCATGAGGAGGGCCTCCAAATCCACCAGGACCACCAGGGCCGCCGGGGCCTCCGTGAGGGCCGCCATGGGGTCCGCCATGGGGTCCGCCATGAGGACCGCCAGGGCCCCCAAAGCCACCAGGGCCGCCAGCGCCTCCAAATCCTCCAGGACCACCAGGACCGCCGGGGCCTCCCTGGTGGTTGCCGGGAGGAGGGCCACCTTCAGGTTGATTGTGGTGGTGGTGATGATGCGAGAAAAGACCCATCTTTGCTTTTTGGTGTAGTATATCTGATAGAAAGAAGGTCAAAGAGAGGAATGGATGGAGAGGTTGTAGTTTGCGCTCGTAAGTGGGACGTAGCTTGCGACCCTTATATACGGCTATGCTAAGAATAAATCTTGTGGCTCAGAGTTGAGGATGTCCACCATGGTGGCGTATTGAAATCGAACCGGGGGTCTGCCGAGCAGCCCTACGATGCCAAGAACTTTCGAACTTGGGGATCATCAACGGTTGCCTACCAAGACCTCTCCGGATATTTGCTCAATCTGTGGCTCGAGTTTAGGGCGGGCGGGTTATATTTTTGCCTGAGTTTTTTTCCTCACATAAGCTATCGGCGATCGTCCGGGATAAGCTTTGCCACAAGTTACAAAAGGGTTGACGGCCAATCTACTCCGTAGATATCTTCAGCAGTCCAGATATCTCAAGGACAGTGACATCACACGGATCAATGAAATGCATACTGAAAACGTCGTCCCCAATTAGCCAGTTATGTCCACGCAAGCAAATGCGAAGCCACCAATCTTGCATAGCCCTACCCGCACCGCAGCACTCGGTGGATCCACAGCGGAGAGAGCGTGGCGCTGAGTTACGCGGCCCAGGGGCACCACTGACGCAGAGTGAATAACTGAGCACAAGTTTGGCAAGATCAGCAAAAAAAGAAGCATGAAGGGGATAAATCTGTGGAACGAGCCATTGATTCGGCATCGCAGGTTGCGCTTTCCTGAGGATCTACCTTTGCTTTGCTTGTCATCTTTTCTTCTTGTGCAAGACCGATCTATTCGTCATGTTCGGAACCATCAAGAGCTGGTTCCAGCCGGCCCGGAAGTCCATCTCGAGAACAAATGGGATGCCAATACGGTAGCCATGCAACAGCCGAACCGCCCGGCCGCCCCGGCCATGAATCAGACTGTCTCAGCGCAGCCAGTAAGCATCCTGTTTGACGTCTTGCCCAGAGATTGCCAAGTGTTGACCAGTAACTTTAGGGATCTCCTGGATTCATGGACGTGCACGTGTGGCGGTGACTTGAGGATGTCTGCTGTGGACTATGAGTTTTGATTTGTTCCAATGAGATTTCTGGTATCCAGGATCTAACGAGAACTCTGTTTAGATGCGACAAATTTAGCTGCTGTGAGTACTGCGAGTGCTGTTGGGGATTGCTGCGGTCCAGAGGCTGCTTCCCCATGGACGACCCCCTTAGCCCTCCGTCAAGGAGAATAGCACCCGTAAACACATCTGAATCAATGTGATCAGTCCGAGCCTCGACGATTTGGGGGGGGGGAAGGGTGTACCAGGACGATCTTGAATGCGAATCGAGATGCCTTTGAAAATGGTTGGCATGGCAGGACACATATGATTCCCGGAGTCACCAGCCCTGCACTAGGGATTCATTGACCTTCGACTCAGACATACTAGGATCGTGTGTTTCGAGGTGAATATAACGTTTGCAAACCTTCTCCAGGTACCCCCAAACCAGAGTCAAGTACGAGATTTGGCACACACATCTTCCTTACATTAGCATCAAATCTTTTTTTTTCTCGGGCAAACAATCTAGAGAGACAGCTTCCCTCTCTTTGATCTAATCAATAAGTGGTCCGCAGCTTCCATATTGCTGTAGATACTCGTTAATCGTTGATTATTGAGCAAACCTGACTTTCGAGCATGGGAGACGAACCTAGCTTGGGAAGTAACATACAAAATTATCACGACTCTGTTCCATCTTTCAATATCAAGTTCGCCAATACTGGCATTGGACTCTCAAGTTTGTTTTGGTTTGTTCGACAATTGGACCTCAAAAGCCACTCAAGAGTGCGCACCCGAAGAGCGAGCTGAATGGCGCCTTCATGTTTACTTTTTTAAGAGCAAGCCACCGAAATGTCCCCTGTGAAACATTGCTGAAGGATCGCTCTGAGCCAGAAGCAGACCCTGTATCAACTCCGCGTTCACGAAAGTGGTATAACGGTGCCATCTCCGTAAAATGGAAGGCGACGAGATAACTGTGTGGGTGATGTGGACAGAGAACCCGGTCACAGCATTCACAGCATGGCAATATCATGGCTAGAGGAAGAAAAGCGTCTGCCAAAGCTATCAGGTACCTAAGACCTATTATGAAGTCCGCTTGAAATATCAACATTCGCTTCGGCAGTAGCCACGAGATGTATCTGCCGCCCGTTATCGTTGATATGGTCAATATCTCACGAATGCCCTGCGATTCCATCATAGCAAACACCGCAGGCCTCCACTCCAAATATTAGCTGCTTTTTCCCATTCTTCACGCCCTTGTCCTATCTTCTGCTATTGACTTGCTCACGCATGCTCTATACGGGTAGTCGTTGCCAAAACAAGTGTTTCCCAGAAGATCATATTAGCGGCCATTCTGGCGACATCCCAGTGAAGAAATATATGAGATGACAGCATTATACATTGCATAGCGTGTTGTGGGGCCGCCGGTTCTCTAATGGCGTCCTGGCACATATCAAGCGACGTCATCGTGCCTGAAGAACCCCCCGCTCCTCGCCCAAAAATGCAGATTTCCACGTCGTCAAAGCAGACGTCAAACCAACATGATTTAATTCATCCAAGGGTCTACGTATCAGATCGTCGTAGTCAATGATGTTAGCGTTGGTGATGATATTTCGAAAAGAATCTTTGTTCGTACACATCATATAAGTAATGTATATTACATATCATTAGAGACTCATCTACCGGAAAAGAGTAATCGCGAACTCGTGAGTTGTAATCAGATGAGAGGCACGCAAAACACTCAGAGTTAAAGAGACAAGGGTTATATCATGTATCCAGGCTAGTAAAGCAAAAAAAAACTCCTTGGCATGCGAGTGGAAGATTTCGAAAGTGCGGGGCCAGAAAAGAAGACCAATGCGAAGGGCGCGGTCAGACGCCGAGAGTATCCGCATTCCAAATGACAGAAGCAAAAAGCCCGATAAGAGGCGCTTGTCATATCGAATACCGCTTCGGGACGGAAGTGTCATAACGGACGATTGGAGACCAGATCTGCAAGTCAATGGAATTCGAAGGAACCCTGCTCGACGTCATGGATCGGGCGATATTCGCCCGCGGAGCGCTTCAGCCGCCCCTCCCAACCCCCTTTCAGGTAACAACGGAGTAATCGTCACCGTACAGGTCCGCATCGTCAAAGAAAACTGCAGACTGGCGTCGCACTTCCTCCATCAGGCTGCCCCGCCGGGAATTCGGGGTCTGAGGGCGGGAGGACGTGGTGGACTGGGACATGCTATCGGACTCCCCGTAACGCGAGTCGTCCTTGTCGTGTCGTTCGGGGAAACTGGCGTCCAATCTCTGGGAAAGCGCGTCTGAAGGCTCGAGCTGTGAATTTTGGAGCCGACGAGATAGGATCGGGGAGAGAGAGCGACCCCCCGTCGTGGAACATTGCTGGAGGCCCCTCATGATAGCTCTTTCTATATTGAGGCGATTCTTGATAAACTGGATTTTGGGAAAGGTGCTTTGCTGACCAACGTGGATCATGCGCGCCAGCCGCTCCGGTGTTGGATCCGAGAGAATGTGGTAGAAATCAGACGGGACGCTCTTTGGCCAGATCGTGACCGTGCCACTGAATTTCTGTAGCCAGATCTCACTCCAGTCTTGACCCAATGGCCGGGGAAGAAGCTCCAAGTGCCGTAAGACGCGGAGCCATTTGTTCAGGTCGAGTTTGATATATTGTTCGATCGCAGTACCGAGGAATCCGCCGCGCCAGCCACGGCCCTTGCGGTGCGTGACCGGCCGCCCCACGGTTCCTCGGGAACTGAAGAAGAATAAGTTGATGTGGGGGTTGACCTAGAGGCGAGAAAGAAAAAGAAAAGTCAGAGAAACCACACGTCAAAGTAGTTGGCGGGAGGGGGATCGACAAACCTGAGACACGATTGTAAAATTGACGTTGAAATGCAGATTTAACGCTTTAATGGGAATGTCCGTCCGCAGACTGCCGTCCTTCCACTTGTGTCCAAACGAGTACGGCGCTAGTGTGCCGTCGCGCTTTTTGGTCAGCAGAACGACCGGATTCAGAATGCCGGGCACAGCAGCTGAAGCCAATACAGCACTCCAAATAACGCAATCCGGGCAAGTCAGATAGTTTGCTAGGATCGTGGGTGAGTGAGGGTCTGAGGGTACGCAAGACACATTCAAGATGCGACCAGTCCGTTCATAGGCTTCCCGAAATGTCGTCGATCCCCGGCAGAACCAGCTACACTGCCGCGCCCAGTCTAGCGTGTCGAACCGAGCGCCGGTTCTCCACCAACGGCGAATCCACGTTGTGAAGCCTTCATGACATGCCCGAATTCGGTGTGCTAGAGCCGGAACTAACAGTTGCTTTAGCTCTTCATCGGTTCGGGTCGCCACGAGGCCTGCGACTAGCGCTCCCCCTGACGTGCCAGTGATGATTTCTGGCAGGACCCCATTATCCAGCAAGGCCTTGACGACCCCGAAATGGTAATATGCAAAAGTTGCTCCGCCCGACAAACAAAGTGCCGTGCGCCCGAAGTTGGTGTCGAGGTGCTTGAAGTGCTCGTACTTGGCCTCCTTGTCGATCTGTCGGCTATCCAGGACCAACTGGATACATGTATGTACCTCGTCGATGTATTCCTGGACGAGATCCTTTGTCCCGGAATAGGCCTCGCTGTACATCCGAGGATTCTCCACCCCGGCAAAGTTGTTCTTCACGCAGGCCTCCAGCAGAGCCCGAAGCTCTTCGACCGCCGGCACATCATTGACCGAGGCCCCACCACTCATTTCCCGCTCGACTTCGTATCTCACGCTCTTCAGCTGATCCACCACCTTGTTGATCGTGAGGTGATCATAGTAAGCGTATTCATCAGCCTGCTTCCACTTCTCATTGCCAAGATGGGCGTCCAGCGCCTGAGCGGCACTCAGCCAGCTGGGGTAATCCGTCTGCGTCCAGAGCGCCCGTCTGAGCCGCTGCCTCTTGCCACGCCATGTCACCCACTGCTCATACAGAAAGATGTACACGCGGACCAGGACGTAGCCGCAGCTCAGCACGGCAATCCATGCGAACACCGTGATCAAGAGCGGCCACTTCAGCACCGTATACAACACGCCTTCCCTCGTTTCATCCCTGCTTCGCTGCGGATTCTTGCGACGGCCTCGGGTCTTGCGCACCCGCTGGTTGATCGGGCGCCAGTCATTGATGGCCACCACGGGGGATGCTTCGGGGGCATTCAGTGCATTCTCGAAACATTGCAGCTCGCCCGGTTGAAGAAATTCTCGATCGTAGTCCGGCAGACCGGCCGGGTCATATTGGTCGTGTAGCGCTGCCTTCTCTGCGGCGGCCATGGTTCAACACATGGTGCAGACGCAGGTGGTTGAGGTACCGTCGGTCAGTCAGGCCACAGCTTCACGAATCCGGGTTGGGGAGCTCTCAGCGACGTCAGCGTCACGTGTACCCCACCCCTTCCGAGCCACTCCGCAGTGGGGTGTGGCTGGTGCGGCGGTTGAACTTGGATCTCCCCCTTGGGATCTTTAATCGCCGTGCCCCGCGGCCAACAGATAAGGCACTGGTTCGATCCCACGGTTGTCCCGCTGGGAACATACTAGTCGCTCAACACCAACATTTTCTCAATGTCCGACCGGATAACCCCGCCCGGCCGTTTATCTACACAAGGACCACGGTATAATATACAATCCCAATTGCGCCAATCTACGACTCAACCACCCTCCCACCGCGGGGCAGCGCATGTCCCTAGGCAATTGGTCATGTCCCATCCCACCTCGCCATGCTACGCGAGAAAATTGAATTTGCACTTGCACTTGCATCTGCATTTCGCGCATGCTCGTTAGAAAGTCAATCTCGTGGCACGACATTCGCCCGGTTGTTCTTGTTCTCCCTATGGAATGCGCGCTGGCCGGTTCGGCCGTGCGACACCCAGCAGCATCCCCCCCCCCCCCACTCAATCCTTCCTCCAGCGTCATTCCGGCGCGCGTCACCGTCTCAGAGGATTCAGAGCGGAGTCTATCGCGCTCGCACGGCGATCCGCAATCCCGGGTCTTGGGTGCGGCGACGTCGAAGCTCCGGCAGAGCACGGCATGGCTTCACCGCTAGATACTAGCCTCTTCCTGATCTCAAGGTTTGATAGGAGACGGCGGTGGCTGTGATTGGCGGACCCCAGTAGAGTTTTTTCTTTACTTGGATTGCGGTGTTTGGTTCGGCCTTGGAGGGACCGGAAAGCACCCTATGGGCTGCTGAGGGCGGGGGCTGCTATCATACCTTTTAGCCGCATTTGTGACCAGGGTGGCGGGCGATATCGGAATATTGTGTCGAGGATGTCTGAAGAAGGTCGGAGTGTGTTGGTGACTGGTGACCGTCCGGATCGAAATCTGTCGAGATGGGGTAGGTGGGATACTCCGTGCCATCGATTCTTATAAATAGCGTCCTCTAACGTAGTTCATTACCTGCTTCATGCTCAGACGCTCCGAATGGGCCCCATCAGCGACTCTGTGGAACCAACTCCCCCATGATGTGCAGATGTGCAGATGTGCAGATGTGCAGATGTGCAGATGTGCAGCACCCAGTCGGGCGGGATTGGTGGCTAATTTGGCTAATTAGGCTCGGGACCGGGCTTCTCTTCCTGTCATCTGCGCCCCTTGATGCTGATCATGCTGATCCACCTGTGTCATCCTCGACAGAAAAGCAAACATGACGCCTCCAGTCGTCCCGATCTCAATCCTCCCTACCATCTCCCGCAGAATGAGAGATCGGGTCGGGACGAGGGAGGTCGGACGCGGTCCTACTGTAGTTGGTACTGTAGTTTCGAGCCGTGAATGGATTATCCCGTTTGCGCGGTAGCCGCCCGTCTTTTTAGGCTGCCCTTAGCTAATTAGTTCAACTTGCCGGCCTTTGAACAGGGAGGGATGGGCCGTGGGCTAGCGGGGTGGATAGGGTGAAGACCTCTAACCGCGTCCCTACGATACTCGTCCTCCAGCACGGGAGGTAACGTGCTCCTTCCTCCAGCCTCTCACCATCCAGCACTTTGACATCCAAACGGCTCAACTCCAGTGGTCCCTGCCTCATTGGGCCATATGCAGATCGCTAACCTTCCCATCGCACGCATTCGACGACGGTGGCGCTAGGATGGGACTGCCCACTTTCCCCCGCTCGCAGCGATCCCTCGTTCTCCCCGATGGGCCAAATGAGCAAATGAGCCAAAAGAAAAAGAAAACATGGCGATGATGCAGGCTCAGCGAGCCACACGGGGCTTGGCACGGTGATTGCGTCTTGCAAATGATCATGCCGCTCTCCCCCAATAAGCAGGCCGCCCGCGATATCGCCCTCCGTATCCTCGTGCTGTGTGGATCGCCTGCGGTGTGGAAGGCGCCCATGCCTCTAATCGTTCTCATTGATTGATTGGACTCTTTGATTGCGATGGCTCTGATTCTGGCGGGCGCTCCTACTGAATCCGGCCGTACGGGACGATCGTATAGGCAGATCAGCTGTTTCCCCCCCCCTTTGAGATGTCGCCATTTCTTATGCGAGCATTCCTTCAGCTGGAGGGCATGGAGGGGGTGGGTATAGTCAGAGGGAGGGTCAGAGGCAGGGTCATCACAGTCATGGCTCGCATCACGCAGCCGGGGAGCTGAAGCGAACGGAGCCTCTAGGCGCGAATCTCTGCGAGCCTCTCGAGGAGAGGCAGGTCCATTATGTACGGTACGGAGTAACTCACGTACGTCCACGGGGCTGCTGCAAGGATAGGCATGCGAACTACTCCTGGCTCGCAAGTGCAGGGTCACTGCAGCGAGGCTGGGACTGGCGCTGGAGTCCTGAGGCGCAGGAATGTGACAGAAAGGCCCGTCCTACGTAATTCCCGGTTTACAGGAACTTATAATGGGAGTCGATTGATGCCATTTCCCGCGCTCCCACGGGCATCTGCTCTTGGGATGGGGACAGTGGCATCGCGTTCGTAGGACTGTACTCCATATATACTCTGTACTTAGCGTACTTGCTGCAAGAACCGGAGACGGGTATGGTCCTGGATCCTGGATCCTTGATCCTTGGCCCTGAGCCACGAATGAAATGGGGTTCCACGTTATGCGGAATCCTAAATCTGTCCCCTCCGCAAACTCAACTGGACTCCTGAGACGCGGTGGCACCGGCTGCCGAAGACACAGGCGATCTATCGTGCTGCAGTCCACCCCTGCCTCCACATTGGTCTTCACATTAATGAATTAATGCATTCACGAAACGAGCAGGGCGGATGCGTTACCATGGCTCGGATCACGCCAGGTGTGTGGGTTTGCTTCAGTGCTGGGATGTGGGAGCGGTGTGACTGATCGCGGGGGTTCCGATGAGCAGATGAGCAGGAGCATCAATCACAGCCGGAATATGTGTTCCAAACCCCATCGCGAGTCCCTCATGCACCCAGCGATGACGGCACCCTTTGATCTTTTGATGCCGGACCGTGGAGGGCATCCCGAATATTCCAGGACTGATCCAAGGCCCACCGTGGAATGTCAGATGTCAGTGCGAGCTGACTCGGCTTGGCCCCATCGCGGACGTCCGAGTGCCAGTGAAGTGCCAGATAGCGTAAGGTCCATGTCCGTGCGGCCTGCTGATTGGCCCGTCCATAGTTCATCGACTCCCTCGAAAGCGCCAAACGGCCCGCGCTCTCGTTGGCGCCCCCCCCCCCCCCCTGCCATCTTTTATTTTTGGCCCGGGAATCTTTTTGGAGGTCATTCTTAACGGCCAGATTGGCACCTTGGAAGGACTTTTGCAATGCAGATATCTTCTGCACCTGCGGGGCCACTGGCGCGATGGAGCTGTCCACTGCAGATGGCCCAGTACCCGGCAAGGATGGACTCGGGAAACACGGCGCTACGCTAGCTACAGGACGCTCCGCCCTGTACGCGGGCTTGCGGCACTAAAGGGAAAAAAAAAAAGCGGGCCAGGGAGCACGGGGCAACTGACGCTCGGCATTCCCACCCGGGCTGCACTGCGGGTTGCCTGTGGCGGTTGCTGGGGGGAAGGGGAAGCAGATCACCAGCTGGCCGCCACCGTAGAAATCAGAGATAATCATCCCGAGATACAGCGATACGTAGATACATACGTAGATACGCGATAGCGGCAAAGTGGTGTGGATATATGGGTCCTGTATACTTTCTGTGTGGCCGATCGGGAGGGGAACGGACCAGGGACTGCAAAGCGACCCACCGCGGAGCGTGATAGACAGACGCATCCTTACTCGAGGGGATCGACTTAGAATGCTGGGACTATCCACGGTTCAGACCATGCAGGACGAAGCAACCCATCAGCGGGGCATTCCCAGTCCATCCCATACTCCCGCCATCGTGCCATACATTCACGCAGACCGCACACTGGACGGACACTGGACGCTGGACTGCAGCATTTCGGTCGATCCAACCGAAGGGTCTGATAGACGCGGCCGAACTAAACCTGCGACCCCCTCCATAGGCTCGCCACTGCCAGTAGCTGCAGGAAAATTAGCCTCCTATTATTATTAGTCGCATTAACTCGGATTTGTCCGTGTACGGTCACCATAGACCCGCGATGCTGGGTTCTCAGTTGCTTCATAGAAATTGGAGGGGAAAAACAGAGACATTCAGCGTGGTCGCTCTCGGCATGTAGCACCGGCGCATTGAAGAGAGCACCGACCGGTGATGTGGTTCTGCTGTTATGTTGTTTATCGTGGTCCCGACGTGAGGGGAGACGTCCCCCCCGAAGCATCGGGAAATGAGCATCGCGATCAGACCACAGTCAGTTCATTTAGGATTCTGCTTAGTAGGGGGGAAAGGGTAATACTGCGACAATCAAGAACCATAATGACCATTCAGATGATCTTTCCCCCCCCCTAAATAACCCCGAATAATCTGCCCTAAGCCCGATGAAACTTTAGCCCCGTCCGTACTGGTAAAAACGTATTTACCTTCTGCCACTTATCTCGCGATCAACGCCATTCTTATTTAGCGGTTACCCCGTGCCACCAATTTCTGTCGCTTCTCTTTCCTCCTCTTCAGCCCTCCCATTCATCCAACCTTCCCCCTCCCCCTGAACCCCCTCGAAATCCTCGACGATTTCGACTCGATCCCTTGGGGTTTCTTTTCTGACTCGTCGACTGGCCACGCTCCTTTTGCACGAGGTACCTGCCCCCCCCTCACACCACCGGACCAATCGACCAGACCACCCGCTAACTGCTCACATCGCCTAGGCGACAGCGACCACACGTTCCTTCAATCGCATCGGGTCACACCAGCAAAATGTCGACTCTCTCTGATAGCACCTATTGAGCGATCCATCTTCAGAGTTCTCCGGGCTACTCTCCTGCCTCGCTGGAACCCGTTTCTACCATGGAGAAGCTAAACACTGAAGATGGACAACTCTTCATCAAGGTGTGTCCGGTCCCCGAAGAGATGGGAGAACCACTCCCCCTGAGCATGTCGGCTAACCTAGAGGTTTCCCCCCGCAACAGAACCTTGCCAGCTTCGTCCGCACGCATGAAAAGGCGCTCGCAAATGCGTTGCAGCTCCGCCGCCAGTCCAAGAATGTTGTAACCCCTCAGTCGCCGACCAGCTCCTCGAGCGCCGGCTCCTCCTTATCCTCCACCTCCCTGACCCTGGCGGCGGCCTTGTCCTTTGGGGCATTGAAATTTACTTCGCAGAACATCAAGCCGGCCAAACTGACCCTGACCCCCCACCACCTCTTCTACCTGTTGTCGCGCTTTGAGGATCTGTCCATTGCGGTGGGCCCCATGAACGTCCGGTTGGAGAACATCCACACCGAAGTGTCCCAATCCTACGTGTCCTTCCTGAATAAACCCCAGCGGTCCAAGGGGGATGGGGCGTCGATCCACTCCGTGTCCAGCGTGCGTAGCGTCATGTCCGGTATGAGTGGCCTCTGGTCTTCCTTTGGTCTGGGATTCAAGGACTCGAGCTCCAAGCCCGACAGAGCCAAGGCCGCCTTGGAAGCGGACCTGAAGTATCTCTACTCGGCCTTCACCAAGATCCCCTGCCTGCGCCTGGCTCCAGACCACCGCGCGCGCCTGATCCGCGGATATGAAGAGTTTCCTTTCGACACCGCGGTGCCGCTCCATTCCTTCAAAAATTTGAGCGCATTAGAGATCATTGACATAGACTACCGCTCCTTCTATGGTTGGGACCGCTTGTCCGAGCAGCTGCGCACCTTGTCCATCAAGCGGGCTCATTTGGATGACCCGGCGGATCTGTTGACGAGGATCGTGCTGGACGACATCGACAAGCGCCGTCGTCGATCGGCCAAGTCCCAACAGTCGCCGCCGCTTGGCTGGACCAGTAGTACGGGTGCTCAACCCGTTCATACGCCCGACCATACTTCCATCTCGGCGCCGGGCTCTCCGGTGGCCGACACCGCGCTCGCGAGCAGCACCAGTCCCAAGTCGGTTCCGATGATGCGGGCGGGCTCGGAGGGCGCAAGGATTCGCGCCCGGGCGGAGAGCATCTCGCCGACGCGGCCGGCGACCAAGCATAGTCAACGTCATAGTCGTGGGCAGTCGGCGCGGATTCGTCGCACGGGCTCGGGCAGCTCGAACTCCAGCGATACATCGGGTGGCTATCGGACTGGAAGCTCGTCGACGCTTCTTCCGGGCGTCCTCCCTCCATCCAAATGGCGGTTCTTGCGACACCTTGGCCTTCCGGAGAACTCGTTAACCTCCATCTCTGCTGCCAGCCTTGCGCCCGTGGCGAACACCCTCAACTCCCTCGACCTGTCCTCAAACCTCTTGACTGAGATTCCTGACAGTCTGGCATCGCTGATGGCTTTGCGTGCGCTCAACCTGTCCCACTGCATGATCGATTCCCTTCACTCCCTTTCGCGCAATCCGCTGCCCGCGATCACTGCTCTCAACCTCCGTGGCAACCGGCTGCGCTCCCTCGCTGGCATTGAACGACTGCTTTCCCTGGAACGATTGGATCTCCGCGACAATAACTTGATGGACCCGACGGAAATGGCTCGACTGACCAGTCTCCCTGAGATACGAGAGATCTGGGTTTCCGGAAACCCGTTCGTGAAGACTCACTCCGGCTACCGCGTCGTGATCATGAACCTCTTCCGTCGGACTCCCGGCTATGCAGAGGACATTATCATCGATGGCCGTGGACCCGGCTTCACCGAGCGAAAGCAACTGGTCGACCGTGTTGCCGAGCCTGAAGGTGCCCCGGTGGTGCGCTCGAGTGCAGCAGACCAGTCGACTGTGGTGCACAAGTCAACCGGTGTCGTAGTGACCCAGGGGACTCCCCCACCAGTGCCTCCGAAAGATGATGTGGACTGGCATCCGAAAGGTGTCCAGCGGACTGAGACCGACGGCGGGACCAACCGTCGGAAGAAGATCCAGCGGCGACGCATCGTCGACCTCTCCACCGACAACCCGTTCACCACCGATGGCCTGGGAACCCCTGGGCCTATGATCCCTGCAGTCCTGCCGACCCAACAGCTTCACGGCCCGGCCCACTCCTCCGTCGTGCTCCCATATGAACATCAGTTGCGGCTCGACAGCGGGACACCGTCGGGATCTTCCAGTATCCAGAGCCCGGTCAAGCAAGCGCACTCCTCGAGCCCCCAGCCCGCGGTGGTACCACCAACCCCCAGCAAAGACTGGACTTTGGACGAGGAGCTGTGCCGCCAACAGTTGGAGGTTCTGCGGCAGGAAGTGGGACACAGCTGGATCACCGTCCTGGCAGACCATCCTTGGGATAATTCGCAGACTGGTCTGGCGACGCACCATCTAGCGGGGGCAGGGCTGGACCACCCTGCGCTTCCAACCGCGCCTCTTGCCCGCGCAAACAGTCATGCTATCCTGAGTGGAGGACATACGTTGGGTGGTTGAAGGGCATCTTACTTTTTGGAACCACCCCCCCCCCCCCCCCCCGGGGCCTCTCTCCCACCTTCTCCTCCCACCCTCTTGCATCCATTGATTTCATCATACTCGGCCCCTCTTCCTCTCTTCGGCCGTTTTATATCTTTTCGCTGCTTCCGACTCCTCGGAAAGTACCATGAAAACCACTTCCCCCCTTCAGACGAATTAGTCTATTTGAGTAAGCCTCGCGCTGCTCCCCATTTGCATTTTCCGGCGTTGGATAACTTACGAAATATGGCGGGTTGGATGTATGAACAATTTACGGCCTTGCGTTTGCTTTCATCGTTTTTGGGCTTCTCTGGTCTTCTTTTGGTCTTTGTTTTTCGTTTCTGTTTCTCATGCTTGAGTGCTGCGCTGTTTCCCTTTCCCGCTTCAAAACGCATGCTTCTGCAGCTTCTTTCTGCTCGTCATGTTCTGGAGGGCACCGTGAAAGATGACTTGGTTTCTAGAGCGCGTGTATCGTACATGTGGTTTCTGTTTTTTTTGCTGTGTTGGCGCTGGTGGCATGATTCCTTATTCCCCTTTTGTTTCTGTTTCTTCACCTTGCGTGGTTCTCTTCTGGTGGATTTTTGCCGTTTTCAATCTCCATTTTCAATCATCATGCTCTTCTTTGCAGAGCAAGACTCGCAATGAGCGAGAACCAGTTCGGAAAACAATATCAGCCTTGTTCCAATCATGATCTTCGGCACGTAGTCAAAGTAGTTTAGCCTGCCGAGCAGCCAGGATGAGCCGTAGTCGAAGCTGTGAGTAGTCAAGCCAACGCCAGCACGTAATTTAGCTCCAGGGCCCACCGGTCCAGGCGTTGGGTAGGCCCGGGCCCAGGTCGGCAACTTCGCAGCGCTGGTCGGGATGGTGTATCACAGCCGGACAAGGGCATCGGGAAGAGTCTTATATATTCGGGAGGTACCCTGGTGTATTTTTGGGCACGTATCTCAACCGGGATGTGCTCTGGTTGGTGCTATGGTCGCTTTGACTGTCTGATGAGGAGGGTCTCGCCCGGCAGCCACTGCAGGAGCCCCCTCCACTGACGCCGACAATGTGGCAAGGAGTGGTAATCGAGAGGCGAGGGAAAAGGAAGACGGGAAAACAGGGGAGTAAAAGGGGCTACGAAGATGTCAGTCATCATTCTGCCATCATTAGTGTTCTCTGAAACTCAGAAAAGGCCCGGCAGGGTGGAAGTGAGCTCACCAGCGCGAAGTATACGGCAAGCCAAACAGCCGCTGCAAACACAAACCAGAACTTCCATTCCCGCTCCCTCCTCCTCTCCCTGCAAGATTCTCCCTCTTCATCCTTTGAGGCTCCCCACGCATCAACTCGCGTTCCCGTGCTTTTGGATATTCTTCGTGCCGTTGCGCCCGCAGAAAACTTTTCTCCCTTGATTGCCATCCTCCTGCCTCCTTCGCACTCGCTGCTGCCGCCCCCCGGAAAACTTCGATCGCTCCATCTCGGAATCCCCCTCCCTTCATCCCGCTCGAATCGACCGCTCGCGATCGCATTCTACCGCACCCTCACTCTTCTTGAGGCGCTCAGCAGCCTGTCTACCTCTTTCTCTATCCCCTATTCAGTCGCTCGTCGCTAGTTGGAAGAGGCTACGCTCCGTCCACACCCCCCGTCCGGCATCCCTGCCAGATCCTTCCCCCAACAGCTTGTCGCGGCCGTAAGGCCTCAGCCTAGAGTTTTTGGTTTGATTGAATTTCATTTCGGTACGTGCTCATCTTGCTCATCTCTCTTATCGACATATCTCGTCCAAGGAGGGCCACACCAGGGCGACATAGTCTTGAGCCTGCCGGTGAAGAGAAAAAAAATTCCATCGGAGACGACGCGTCTGGCGCCCCTCTGATGACGATTTCACGATTTGAGAATCGGCCCCCTATCTTTGCCACCGATGAACCCATGCCTAACTGACTGTTACCTTTGTGGCCGTTGCAGAAACATAGCCGCCGCGTCATCAATCCTTCACCCGCTGCGGAAGACATACCTTCCCATCGCGCGTGCTCTTTCGTTTCCCTTTTCTTTTCTTCGTTTCTTTCCCGTCCTTCGTTTAGAGGCCGCCCGTCATGGCCGACCAAGAAGTGGATTTGGACTCTATCATCGACCGCCTGTTGGAGGTGAGGGGCAGCCGTCCGGGAAAGCAGGTGCAGTTGTTGGAATCCGAGATCCGTTATCTCTGCACCAAGGCCCGTGAGATTTTCATCTCACAGCCTATTCTGCTAGAGCTGGAAGCCCCCATCAAGGTGCGTATCCTGCCCCAGCATCTTTGCTCGGTCTTCCTGGAAATGACGGCTCTAACCTATGTTTGTCTTGTTTTGATTACAGATCTGCGGTGATATCCACGGCCAATACTACGATCTCCTCCGTCTGTTCGAGTACGGTGGTTTCCCCCCCAGGCCAACTACCTGTTCCTCGGTGATTACGTCGACCGTGGTAAGCAGTCGCTCGAGACCATCTGCCTGCTCCTCGCGTACAAGATCAAGTACCCCGAGAACTTCTTCATTTTGCGTGGCAACCACGAGTGTGCCTCCATCAACCGTATCTATGGCTTCTACGATGAGTGCAAGCGACGATACAACATCAAGCTGTGGAAGACCTTCACCGACTGCTTCAACTGCCTGCCCATTGCCGCCATCATTGACGAGAAGATTTTCACTATGCACGGCGGTCTGAGCCCCGATCTCAACTCGATGGAGCAGATCCGCCGTGTTATGCGTCCCACTGATGTAAGTTTTCTGTTCCGTGGCTGTTTTTCTTCGCCTTGGCCTCTGGCACCGGTGCGGTTATGTTTGGACCGGACTCGAGAGGTGGCAGACATTATCTACAAATGAATTGCCAAAGCTTCCGCGGCTTAAAGGCCACATTCGCTGACACTGACTACACTAGATCCCCGACTGCGGCCTCCTCTGCGATCTGCTGTGGTCTGATCCGGACAAGGATATCACGGGTTGGAGCGAAAATGACCGTGGTGTCTCGTTCACATTCGGCCCCGATGTGGTGTCACGTTTCCTCCAGAAACACGATATGGACTTGATATGCCGTGCGCACCAGGTTGTGGAGGATGGATACGAGTTCTTCTCGAAGCGACAGCTGGTCACGCTATTCAGCGCGCCCAACTACTGCGGTGAATTCGACAATGCGGGTGCGATGATGAGCGTCGACGAGTCTCTGCTCTGCTCCTTCCAGGTGAGTGGATCTCATATCCCTCTTCCTCCTCCCACCGTCGATTTGCAGAACACCACGTCTAACCTAGGACTTTTCTTCCCCTCCTTAGATCCTAAAACCAGCCGAAAAGAAACAAAAGTACGTCTACGGTGGCATGAGCTCCGGCGGGTCCATCACTCCTCCGCGCAAGCAAAAGAAGAAATAAAAAAAGAGTCAATACGAGCTTTCCCATGTGCAGCAGGTTCGGGCGGAGATAAGCCATTTTTGCAACACACCTTGTTCAACTATCGCCTACCGACAAATACAACAACCACCATGCCCCACGCCCTTCCCTCCAACCTCTCGCCGCGAGTTATATTCCCACCCCCTCCTTCACAACTCCCCACGAAGCGATGAACGACCGAAGATTCCTATCAACGCACGGGTCTAGCCCAACACCACCCACCCGTCTTAGCACAACCATCGCCGCAACGATAATACCACATCTTTTTCTCTCATCCTCCGTTTAGGGCTAACCCGGCGCGCCATTCGACACCTTCTCGTCTGTCTTCCCCTCATTTCTTCTGCTTCTGGCCGGATCCGGATCACGCGACCAACACATGTACACCGCGGACGGACGATTTTTCATTTCTCTTATTAACTTTTCTTCTTCGAACTCATTTCGCACCTTTTCCCCCTTTTTTTCTTCTTCCTGACTAGTCGTTCATCTGCTGTTACTGCTGTTTCTCGCTTTACCATCTGGACGGAATGTTTACTCTCGGCATCCTGGAAGGGCAGGAAATCCTGGTTTATCCCTATCTTATTCATTTTTTATTTCTTTCTTTTTTCTGTCCTCTGATTGTTTCTGTCTTATCGGTCGAGTTGTTTTGAGTTTCAATGGATCGCATCTGTTTGCCTGAGTTCTAAATTTTGATTGATGTGGTGTTGGTTGCGTAGTTTGTAGTTGATATGCGCCATAATGCCGCCTGTAGGGTAGGCGTTGCTAAGTCTAGGCTGTATACAAACTATGCATACGTCACAATGGAACTCTTGCTCGTGGTGGGAGGTGGGAGGTGATCAGGATGGGACGATCTACCATCTACCCCCCGACACATCTCTGCATTCCCTCCTTGACAACATCCATTTCAATTTCAATATTCAATTTCAATTTCAATCTACACCACTCCCGCTGCCTCGCTGGACTCGGAGCCAGCCGAAGCGCCACATTCCACCCATCCAAAAGCGAGCCTTGTCTACTTCTACTCCGCCCAGCTAGACGATAGACGAGTTATCCGAACCCACGTCTCATAGTTTCAAACCATTGTATTCAGCAAGACCAAAAGAAAAAGTTCACCGGCTAACTGGCTGCAGTGTAGGGACAAAAGCGCAACGCAAAGCATAGGCAGGGAGAATAACAGCATGCATTCGAGGGTACAGAGTAGTTAGCCCTAGGCCGAGCCTGGGCCTGGGTAGGGGCTAGGCGAGGCTAGACTTGGCTTGTGGAGTAAAAGTGCTGTGACAAGTCACGATATCGGTATATGCGTGTTGAAGGCGTGGAATAAAGGGGGGGGGGGTAACGAGGATTGGCGTTGGGTGTAGGGGGAGATTTGTCGGAGCGATAAGTCGGGTTGGGTTGTTTGGGTCGGGATGGGTTGGGTTCGGTTGCCTGGGGACTGAAGCTACACGGGGACTGGTTGTCGAGTTTAGACGTATTGGGACAGCCAGCGGATACCCTCGCCATAGCCTAGATGGTCAGGTTAGCTGCCCGGCTTTCCTCGGGACAGTCAAGCACTCGGGAGTCCCGCTGCGCGGGGCGGGGGACACTCACCCTGTCGCATGACAACACTGCACATGAAGAGCTCGATCGGCCGGATGCCCTCGAGAGGGACCTTACCCTTGCCGGTGGTCTGGTAGAGGCCCAGCTGGTGGCGCAGCTCATCCTCCGAAACGGCGTCGGGGTGGTCGATCTTGTTGCCGAGAACGAGGAAAGGCACCTTGGCGAGGTCCTCCATGGCGAGCAGAGCGTCCAGCTCGGCCTTGGATTCGGGGAAGCGCTCGTAGTCCTTGGCGTCGACCAGGAAGACAATGCCGCTGACTTCGGGGAAGTAGTCTTTCCACAGGCGGCGGGCTAGCGGTGCGAGAGAGTTGGGGACTTGGTTAGCTGCATTGTTCCCTTCTTGCCTTAAAACAGTCAATCGCTGGCGTCAGACTCACCCTGCTGGTGACCGCCCAGATCGAAGGTCGTGAAGCGGTTGTTGCCGATGGCCAGCTCCTCCGAGGTCGGGTGTGCCGTGGGCGACAGGACGGCGACACGGTCGTTCTAGGTGAGCACTATCGTTAGCGCCTGCGTTCCATCTTGCAACCACCCATCCATCAATCCATCCATCCATATCTGCGCAGACATATCAACCCATCCACCAAGAAGTTTCCGCACGCATCAGGGTCCAATAATCTCGGCACTAAGCCTCGGCCCTGGCTTGCATCCCGCCTTCCGCAGCAGCTCTCCACTTCACACCCGCGAACTCACCTTCAGCATGTGCAGCAGGGTAGTCTTGCCGGCATTGTCGAGACCGAGGAACAGGAGCTTGGCGTGCTTGTTGAGGAGGCCGAGCGAGGCCAGGACATCGTAGACTGCAGCAGGAGAAAGGCATCCATTAGCAAACGCATTTTTGCAAGGTCGCCCCGAAATCACGGGCGCTGGAGCCGCGGCATTGCGATGGGCTGAATGGGAACAGTCCCGAGTGCCGTCAATGTGCTCCTCAAAGCCCAAGAAGCTCGGTCCGCAGATGGGAAGAGCTGGGTTCCCTTTCTCTGGTATGTCCTGGGCGCGGAGGACTTGTCAGGCGATGGGGTCAGGTAGGTCACTTACACCAGTTGACGATCCACATGGCGGAGATGAGGATTCAGGGGGCGACGGTGGAAGGGTCGAACAAAGGAAAGCGGATACGGCGAGCGTGCAGACGAGAGTGAGGCGTCAAGGTGGATGGAGAGGGGGGAAGAGGCAAAAAGACAGGTTGATGTTGTTTTCGGGATCGGCCAGTGGTTTGGGTGCCTGAGGCATAAAGGGATCAGCGGTGGCGGACTTGGACAAAAATAGAGGCCACCAACTTCCGCTAGAAGGCGAATGTGAATGATAGCTAACGGAAATTCTACAGTATGCTAGATTCAGTTTGCTGTTACTCGAGCAAGAGAGTACAAGTGGTTAAAATGTGTATATGGTTCATTCGTGATCACAAGCACGAAGACTTGCGCTAGCACAACTCACATTCATCCGCCCACTATATCCACAATGCAGCAAATTAAGCTAAGGGGTATATGCACCGCAACCATGCAAGATCAAAAGGAAAGTGGCCTCCTCAGACAAGTGTTGGCAAGACAAGAAAAATGTACTGGAAAAGAGTATGGAAAAACGGTATTGGAAATGCAAGGATATATGGTTCTCCCCCGGAATGATTAGAAGAGGGTATGGTAAATATGGTCAGGAGGATCGAAAAGAGGATCACATCCCATCAAAAAATAAAGGAAAACCATCAAGTGGATGACATGAAGTTGGTTAAGTATGTATCAGCGAAAGGCACCCAGATCGCTAGCTGGGTGAGAAAATAAACATGTGAAGGAAGAGAAAGAGGTAATGTATGTACAATGACGAAGAAGAGGTAGTAGGTATTGGGGTAAAAAAAGGGGGGGGAAACAAGAGACATCCAATTGCGGAGTCCAGTCCCAGGGGGCTTAAACGGATAGGACGAGCTGGGCGTCTTGACCGACGCCGTAAGCCCTGCACCTCTCAGCAACTTCGAGGCCAAGCTCCTTCATCCGTTCAGCACCCTTGCCGGGTATCGGCCGCCGCACCATCTGCTCCTTGGCAGCTTTGCGGCAATGCTGGCGCCAAAACTTCTCTTTGCGTTTCTGGCGTTTCTTTTCGAGACCCTCGACAATATCGATGGGTCCACGCGTATGCATTTCGCGCGTGCGCGAGTGCTCACGCTCAGGCGACTCGGTCAGAGGCGGAATCCCTTGCCACCGATGGGACTTGTCCAAGCTCGTGAAGAACGGGTTGGGCGTACGCGGCAACGACTTGGTCCTGACCAAGTGCGGGCGCTGAACCAGGTGGCTGATGTTCAGACCTTGCGGGGATGAAGACTCGATGGCGGGGATGTCCTCCGATAGACCGGTCCATTTCGTGGGCAAGGGCGACTTGGCTCGGGCCCGGGGAGGAGGGGACTTGAGGCGCTTGGGGGAGATGCGGCCAGCCCGGCGAGGCGGGGGAGACATCATGCGCTTGGGTGGGGGAGACACCATACGCTTGGGCGAGTGCCGGGGCGAGTGCTTGTCATCCGTACGGCCACGTGTAGGCTCGAAGACGAAGTCATCGAGATCGCCGTGAGAAATGTCCTCGAGGTCCTCGAGGTCATCCTCTGGGTCGCTGGTCGGAAAGCTCGGGTCAATGTCTTGCGGGATGACGACAAGCTTCTCGAGACGACGTTGTTCCATGCAGGACTTGTAGGCGGCCTCCAGCGGACGATCCTCATCGAGTGTTCCACAGACAAAGTCGGTGCTATCCGGCAGGTTGGGGGTACCGGGGCGCATCATAGGCACCTTACAAGCGCGAGGGACCGCAGTTCTCCGAACGGGGGCCGGCAGCCATTTCGGGGGACGGTCATCGGTCGTCGAGTCGACGGAAGTGTTCGAGGCACGACGCTGCAGGGCAGATGGGAAAACATCGAGAGGCTGAGTGCTAGGTGCCGGCCGGACGGCCGACGGGGCCCAGAACTCGTAGTCTGAGCCGTCGTCATCGCTCTCGTCGGACTCGGCGAAACCAGCCTCGTTGTCGGACTCGTTTCCATCATCGTCAGAGAAGTGGACAGTCGAGTCATCATCGCCAAGGTCCTCAACGTCGTCTTCCTCATCCTCCTCATCCTGGGCTTCCTCCTCGGCTTGTTCACCCAGTCGTCGAATTGCATTCTCTTTCTTCATGCAATCGTTCAATGTAATTTTCTGGGAGTAATCAGTCGACTTAGTGACCCACTCGTCATCCTCTTCGACGGAGCTGGCAAACTCGTGGAACCGGGTAGCCTCTGATTCCTCGAACTTGCCCAGGCCGCTCGTCGGGACACCTTTAGGCACAACCTTGGCCGGGAGCTTCTCATCCTTGGCACCCTCGACGCGTTCTTGGGAAGGCTTGCGCGCCACCGGAGCCGGGGAACCGCGACAACGAGCGCGGAAGGTGGTCGGACGACCCGGGGAGCGCTCGCGCGAGACAGCGGACTGACGTCCAGGGCAGACGAAGGTGAGAGTCGTCTTGCGCTTGGGAGGTTCGAGGGTACTCTTGGTCGATTCAGGTGAGGGTCGGGGTGGCGCGGCGGGCTTTTGAGTAGTCGAGTCCTCGGTCTTGCGGCCGCAGGCAAAGCTGATGCACCGCTTGCGTCCCAAGTTGGCCTCGACGGTGGTCTCATTGGTGTTGGCGTCGGCGATTTTGACCTTGGGAGCCGTTTCTCTCTTGCCGTTCATCGGGGCCGCCTTGCCCATCATTTGCGGCGGCAAAGGCGGGCTCGGGGTGTTGGATAAGGACGGGCTCGTCAGGCCCCCATCACTGGTCAGCTCGGCGGTAGAGATGCCACTGATGTTGCTGTGAGGGTAGGAGCGGTAGGAGTAGGTGGAGTCGTGGAAGGAGGGGTGTGGTTCGGTGGGGGACATCTCCGGGCTGCTCTTGAGGGCGCGGGTGAGCAGAGATTCCTTGTGGACCATGGGCGGTCGTGCAAAGACCGTCTCGTCATGATGGTCCAGAGAAGTCGCATGCAGAATGTGATGTTGATCGGGGGGTTCATCCAAGTCCTCGGCCAGCTCGGCCTCGTCGTGGGCCGGCCGGGTGGCGGCGTTTGGCGCGATGAGCATCTTGAGGAGGTTGTGAAATGAGAAGGGTCGTTCTCCACGGGTTTGTGCCATTATTCGAGCAAAGCAATGTTCCAGGCAATCGCCAAGAAGGGGGGGAATGGTTTGAGGGGGTCGAAAGTGGTGGCGAGCTTCACGATGTGTAGTCGTGACTCGCACAGGCAATGCTCGATATCGATTACGAATCGCAATCGATCAACCCAGCGGGCAGAGCAGTAGTCCCGTGAAGGACGCCGGTCATGATATGTAACGCATGGCTTGGAGGCGCAGGGAGTAAAAAGGGTGACGAGAGAGGGTCGCCAAGGAGGATAATTGTCTTTCAAGAATGGCCGTTCAATAGAGCACCGGGGCAAGAATACCTCTAGTCTTAGCGCCAAGCGTCCGTGCTGGAGAGGGGAGGGCGACTAAAGAAGAAGAAAAAAGCAAGAATGTGAAGAGACCACAAATGGAGTCGAAGAGGGAGAGAAGGAGGGGAAGAGTGGAGAGTGTTAAAAGGAAGGAATCAAGAGAGGGTATAGTCAGTTGCAGATGTAGTCGTGAGGGCTCGTCGTAAGAGGGGGGCGCATGGGGGAGTCTCCGGCCTCGCAGTACTGCGTACTCACTGTACTCGGTACTCTTGGTACTGACCGTACCGTACAGCAACAGACCCTGCTTTCATGCCCTCACTATGGCCGACCCGGCCAGTGGCTCGTCACGACATGACCATCCGGGCAATACACGGGAAGGCGGCATGGTCGGCTTGGGTTTAGCGTGGGAAAGGTGCAAAAAAATTTCACGAAATCAGCTTTTGCTCCTCGCCACAAAACGTCCCTTCCACGCTTTTTCCAAGCCCCACTTTTTGACCTGCACCTTTCCATGCAGCGCTGCGCATCGGACGGGGATATGGTTCCTGCGCCTTGAGCCAACCTGCTTCGTTTTCTATTTATTGTTCTTTCAGACAAAACAGTGATTGTTCGTTCTTCTATGATCCTGTGCTGATGATCGATACCCTCTTGCTGATCCCGCGGCCAGTGCCACACAGTCAGGGTTTCATCAGCGTTCAATGAAACCGAGTGGAGCGTGATGACTATTGTCGAGTTGGCGGATGGTTGCTGGACTATGAGGCATTTTGTGCCGGCTAAACCCCTTCAGGGCACCCACGCTAGCACCCCGTCCCGTTCGAGTGTAACGGAGTAATGCACCCCGTCACGAAAATTATGTACTCAATAGACCAAGTATACAGATGTGTAGACATCACCATGCTCGCCTGGAAATTCCGTTGAATGCTCCGATCGCCCTTCTCCCGCATTCCCGCCATGACACGTTGCTCGATGCGGTCCAGCTTCAGGAATGCTTCTACTGAGGGCGCAGCTGAATTCATCGGTCCCCGTACCGTCATCCGACGTTTCAGGAGCCTGTTGGGGTGCCGATCGGCGGTATGGTTCCGTAACCGCCCTCGTCCCAAAGCGGCTGTGCCCTGAACGCTCTCGTCCAGCACTAGCAAGATTGGGACGGACGCTCCAACCCGTAGCGAACTGTTCAAACCCTAGTGCACCCTCCTCACGACCCCGCCCCCAAAATACTACACACGCGCTCTGCGCGCTTCGTGTTGCGTCGGGTCCATGGTCTTGGCGGGGTTTGCCCATACTGGAAGATCTGGCGATAGGATGCAATTGCTCCTTAATGCGGACACCTCTGACGTACTGGTGCCATCCACCGATCCTGTGAGGAGACGTGGTATGGGGCCCTCAGCCCACAACAACACATAGATGTGTAGGTACTCCGTATAGATGCATTCAACCATTCAACACGACTGATCTGTAAACAATCGCCACCGCCATCTCTCCAATAATCGATCCTGACAAGGCAGTGAATCAAAAAAGTATCCACCGTCCACGTCCTCTGATCGGGTCCCTCCCCCAGGAAGGGCAATGTCTTGGCCCTGCTCCGTGCCGGGCGATCGGGCTTGGTATCCAGCGTCGACTACCCACTGTCATGATCCTCCGTGCAGGTTATTCCAAAGCATGCCAAGTCCACAGGCTGCACTCTTCGGCATAGCGCCAAGGACGATCCCATCCTGCTGCTGCGCTGTCCACGGCAGTGAGGTCGCTCATGTACTACGCTAGGATCGAGGATCGAGGATCGCCAGGGCGTCATCCTCCGAGGCGATGCTCCAGGCATACTCATATCATGCCGACTTCGTCAACTCCAGAGGTACCGCGGTTGAAACACTGACCGATGCACCGGGTAGTGAAGTTCGCGTGGACACTCGGAGATCGGTCTCGCAGGTCCTGCCGTCCACCGTCGGAGTGTCCTCCGAACGGGAGGTGTGTCCTCCTCAACCCGCTCCTCGACTGACTCCACCAACGCAGGCTGTTGGAGTCGCTCCCCGACTCTCAATTCCGACCGGGTAGGAGAAATCATGTGGATTGCGTTGCCAAATGACCGCGGCGCACCACTCGCCGAACACGCGGATGAGGGCCACGAGCGCAGGAGGAGCGGTCAGCCGCGATCGCAATCAGCCCTGGCGGACCGTTCATACGAGCAAGAAAGATACTAATTCGCGGCATTTAGCCAGCATCCGAATGGGGCCCTCAGCAGGTACCCAAGTACCCAAGTACCCAAATACACGAGTACACGAGTACTTGGGTACCGCAGGTAGCTGAGGAGCTCGGCAGTTCGGCAACGCCCACAAGATCACATCTCCTCCGGCTTCATACTTGACGCGTCCTGTCATGTCTGTGCAGCGAACACGGCCCCAAGATGGAGCGCTGAGATCGTGACAAGCTTCGCGAATCCGAGGAGATCACCCCACACTGTGGTGCGAGCAGGCATGGCCCCTGTCGCCCGCGCGAGCCCTCAGTGGGCCGCACATTCGCCCACGAACCGGTCAGCGAGCCCGCAGTTGAGATTGCAATACTGGCGAAGCTTGTTCATCGAAACGGTGATGCAGGGCTGGGATCGCCGGAGGTGACCAGGTGCACGCTGCGCTTGAGTCGAGGGAAGTGAGGCCCGTGAGTCGAGGGGAGGCTTTCTCCGATGGGAGTTTGGCCGGAGTGGGATGGTCGAGTCTTGCTGATTGGGGGAGGGCCCCTGCTGCTGATCCTTTGGACGAGAGGCTCGCTGCTGTTTGGCTGATAGTCATCCATCATTTCGCAAGCTCGCTACGTCCTGGCGAGCAAAGCGGGCCACCTAGCACCCGTTCATCCTGTACCACGGAGTACATGTACAATCAGGGATGGGCGATATACTTGGCAGGCGCCATCTCTTTGTAGGAAAATAAATCCCACGCCCCCCACACCAGAACCAAAAACCCGTCCAATCGCTCACTGCGGCATGTTTTTCGCGCCACTGCGCGGACATTGCCCGTGCGATTGGGATTGGAGAATGGGCCGAGAAACATGCCCCCCCAATTGCCCGGCATCCCCTCATGCCGATCCATTGGACAGTCTACTATAGTAAACCACGAATAATAATACGGGAGAGTCTCTCCCTCATTCCAATCATCGCGCCGGAGACTCTTCACAATTACCTCGGGCCAAGAGTAGGATCCCGTCCCTAACGGGATAGCGTTTCGCTCGAGGCCCGAGGGCGGGAAGGGTTCGGCCGGGGTCCGTGGAGAAACAATGGGCATTCAGAATCGAAAAAAAGGGGAATGAGGAGCTCGGAATTGAAGAGTGGAGAATTGGGAAACGTATTCTATCTCGGCCCGTTTCTACCCAGGTTGCGCCGTCCAAAAACAATAAGGTGTGAACTGTGCAGGTGGAGTCCAGCGCTAGGGCCAAGAGCGGGCACGATAGCAGAAGAGCGGGCGACGAACTAACTCATACGGTCCTAGGGGATGTGTTGTACATTTGAATGTTCCGCAGTTGCTGACCGGAGCACAACCGGGGGAAGTGGAGTCGATGCAGACGTACCAGATTGGCCGAGCAGCAGGCAAAGCAAGAGCGACGCGAACTATGGAAGGAGCAGATGCCGCTGGCTTGCTGGCTCGTTGGCTAGCAGGAGGCAGCGAGTTTCGCCACGTCCCGAGGCAGCTTCTTCCCGCAGGTGTCCAGAACTGCACTGTATGAGGCATTTTCAACCGATCCCCACCGCGCACCTGCGCTGTGCTCTAAAAACAGTTAAGTCAGCCCGGTTCAAGAGGGGCAAGAACATTTTGACAGCGGCAGTCCCGCTTGGCGGGGACATGGTGGTTCATGGAACCCCGAACCCCTCTGGGTTTCTCGACTTTCTTTTTCTTCGCCTCGGACGGGATGCTCTGCGACGTCAAGTTGTCAATTGCGTGGATGGGAGAAGATTACTATTCGCCGGTCAATTCCTTTCCATGCGGCGGTGCTTCGTGTCACCGGTGTCGTGACGACGCTGCTGCTGCCGGGCGAGACTAACCTTCCAGATTGGCATACAATATACCACCAGAAACCTATCCAGATCGGGTGCCATTACCCGTGCATTCCTGCCGTGCCCATTGGGCTGTCACAGTTATACGATGACACCAGACGGCCTCTCACAGCAATCCTGGGACTTCTGCTTCTGCTGCGACCGACGGGATCGGATGTTCCACGCGTTGCAGGGCCGGGGCTATTGGGGACCCGAGGTTGTGCACGATGCCAGAGTTACTTGAAGGTGACTTCCATTTGGCCCACGTCTCCTTCCTCCCCGCCCCGGGCAGTTGAATGTCCGTTCCGAGGAGCCTCTTCTCCTTGGCCGTGTCCCTTCTACTCCGACTCCGACTCTGTATAGGTCCTGTATATCAAAGCATACTGCCTCTCCTATCGCTCACAGCCAAGGAATTCAGACAAGACAGGAACTCACAAGTCCAATGGATTTGTCATTCGCAACCTCGCCAAGACAGCCTACGCAACACCATTCCCCCTCATGCACCGATCATGCTTGGAAGCCAGGCAGGTCCATGAACACACCCGGCAGTGCCGCCAGCACAGCACCGCCCAGCCCACGAAGACACCCAGCCCGTCGCCGCCACCAGCACATATCCATTCCAGCACAATGCTGGGCGACAACCGATCTTCTAGCCTGCCAAGCCCCGGCCATCGTCCTCGCCTTCAGAATGCGGCCGGTGTGATGCCGGAGCAGCGATTGACCCACGATCAGGCTATTCTACTCGTCCAAGCCAAGTTAGGGATGGACGCCCCAAATTCACTGACAAGACATGACCCCACAAACCCGGGGGCGTGGAATGAACCCACACGAATAGGGAGGGTCGCCCCATTTTCCTTTTTCCTTTTCTTTTTTTATCTCGAGGCCAAGGTCTTACCTCTGCTTCTGCGGGAGAAGGTTCAGGGGGGAGAAGAAGGGGCAGGGGGGCGCTTCTTGACCCAGGACTCGGACGCATCACGGACTCCGTGTAGAGAGGAATGCTGTCCGCTCGGCGCCAAGACCCTCCCTTCGCAGCAGGTCTCCTCCGTACCAGCAGCAACAAACTTGGCCGCCTGGAGTTCGGCTCCATTGGCCTGCGCCAAGGGCGATCACGCCGATCATGCTACCCCGAGCCGTGCATCAAGGGGCTTGGCGCTTCTCCGTTAAAGGGGCCGGCGAGCTATTGGTTTGGCGCCAAGCCGTCGCACGGCACGACGGTGGCTGCTGGCCGGTGAGGGGGCGGTTTTGGGTGCAGAGCACTGTGGTGTGAGATCGTGCTTCTCCAGTACCGAGTGCAGGCCAGGACTGTTTGGCGCCCCGGGATCGACCGGCTACAGGCTTGGCTTGTGGGTATCGGTCGGACCGATCAGGTAGGTTCGTGACATCGGGAACCGGGGGCCCGCTGGGCTGAGTGCATACGGCGCCAATGCTGATGTTGCTGATCGGCCCTTGGATATACCGGACGGAGACGCTTGCCCTGGTGTGTGTGAAGTATACAAAGAACTGCACCAGGTGACGGACGGCGCGTCACCGCCGAGAACGACCCTATGCTGCGCCTGGCCCCTTGGCACAAACACCCTCGCGATCGTCCAGGCCATCGGATGGCCAGTCTCACGAGCTACTGTAAGCTGAGTGAGCTGGGCAACCCATGTCCTGGCGGTCCACAAACGTAGAACCTGACTGGGACTCTTAGGCCCGAGCCGGCGCGCTATCTTACTGGGTAATATACGGAGCCCTAGCAGTGAACGATTAGGTCCTCACCTAATCAGCTGCTGACGGTCATCATTTCTCTCTGCGTGCTTGTCCAATATGACAGTATCCATACTCCGTACAGGATACCAGTTACGAAACAAGAATACCAAAATGTTCACGCTGCTCGGAAATTCCCCCAATACCATGATTCCTCCTATCCGCTGATCTGCTGGATCTGCCTTAGCACTCCGTAGCGCACTGACTGGACACTCCGATCACCTCGAAATCTGGTGATCGCCAATCGACCGTCCGCAAACCAACTTGGTTGGCCAACTGCACTAGTCACCGGGCACGCTCCTCGCGCAGCTCACCTACCAATAGCAACCCAGCATCCCGCCAGCAGGCCCGGCGTCGCACTAAGATTGCCATAGCAGTTCACGAGCGACTCGCACGAGCCCGGAGTTTTCTTGCCTAGCGCTTGTTTGGATTTTGCTGGCTAGGACGACGGATTCGACGATTGAGAAAGGGGGGAGTTCAGCTTGATTTTGATGTCGATGTTGATGTTGATGCCACCTGCGGCCCCCACGCCAGCCATGCCATCATCAGTCAGCCCTGCGGTGGGCTGGGATGCCTTGTCTCCACCCGCGGCGTGGACCGACGGTTTCTGTTTTGTGCTATGTGCGCTGATGAAAGTAAGGCTGGCGGGGGACTGTGATATCATTTTGCTCGAGAAAAGATAGGCCTGAACAGACGACAGTGCCTCCAGGTCCGTGCCGGCGCGATGACTCTATGAGTATAGCAGTGCTATTCTATACACGGAGACCCTGCTCCACTAGTAATCAATGCCCTATTGAGGGGTTATGGCCAGTTGCTGCGATCTGGTTTGAGCCGAACAACCCTGTCGATGGACACGCTGTAGACGGCGACTTGGATGGCCTCAAGCGCTCGTTGACGACATACCCGACCAACACAACGCATCCCGTCGCTCCTCATTCGCCCACACTTCGGCCTCCACCCTTGTCCACACACAACACACGCAACGTCTCAGTAGGTTAAGCTAGGACCCCCACGCAAATGGTAGGCGGCCAGTAGGCGAGGGCGTTGGATGCGCATTCCAGCGGTCGGGGGAGGCCGTTTTGGGGGATGGACGGTACGGGACGCCGCTCTCATCATCGGTGATGTCACGGTTGGGCGGAGGTCAACCCAGGATCGCTTGGGCATGCGACGAGACGTGGGTGGGAGAAATCTATCTGTGAAAGAGGGTAATCTCGACGCTACCGAGGGTTGTACCTGGAACAGACTACGTCACACTGGGGTTTGGTGTCGGGGAATGGTAACGGAGGACGATGCGATATACATATCCGGATAGTCAAGAAATCTCCTAAATGCTGTAGGTATTGCGCGTCGAGATGGACTACCCACCCGGACTACCATATGGGTTGTTCTCTTCCATAGAGGTACCTGGGTTAGAAATCGATGCCTAGGTATATACCCATGAACAGGAATTCTTGAGTGTGTCCTCGATGCATATATTGAGCTGCAACAAACCTTGGAATTGGAACAATATGGCCATCTTGAGATCCTAGGTTCGAAGCGTATCATACATGTACGTTCTCGCGTTCTCATTATATATCTTGGCGATGGTATCATAGGCACAATTGGGAATTCGGAAACTCAGAATAGAAGGAGAGGTGTTGTCGTACCTGACTATGAAAGATAATGGGTACGATAATTCTAATAGTCAGATCAGATGTCAATTAATTCTAATAGTCAGAGCAAATGTCACCTTCTTCCAATAAATTGCCCTTGTTTGGATCATTTTGACGTTTGCTCTGGCCAATCTCACTTGCCTATATACAGCTTCGGTTGCAGAGGCTCAATGCTATTTCCATCTGTATACGAGCTTTAAGCGAAAGCCCCGACGCTAAAACCAACAAACCCCTCCCGACATGCCGTGAATACGAGGTCGCTCAGAAACTACCCCTGTCAAAGGGCCAATACCCCTCGAACTATCTCCTGAGTGAACCAGGGGATAATCTTCCGAGTCGAAACTTATCACCCTCAAAATATCTATTCAGGTGTCGAGGACAGCACGATGGATCCCCTCTCCATCTCCGCCTCGGTCGCCGGCCTCATCACCATATCAACTCAAATCCTCGGCATCATTGGCACGATCAAGTCCAAGAACAATCGGGGACTGGAAACTCTCTCGCGTGAAGTTGGCGCCGTTCGAGGTATCCTCTGGCACATCCAAGAGATCATCCAGTTCCAATCCACACAGCCGACCAAAAGTGCGGAATGGCTGGATGCGCTCAACAACACCCTGGACGACTGTGGAGACGTGTATCTCACATTGCGGAAAGATCTGGAGGGTTTGCATTCGAGCTCGCGGCTTGACTCCCTTAAGATGAAAGTCAAGTGGACACTGAAGGAGAAGGATATCCAGGACATGTTGAGAAGGTTAGAGAGCTATAAGCTCTCACTGGATTTATTGCTGTCGGTCCAGACCAGGTATGTCTATGTCTCTGCGGACAATGACCTCTATCGATGCTCACGGTTGGTAGTACTACCACGACAAATATCGAGGAAGTTCTTGGGCAGGTGCAGAAGAAGCTGTCGCTCAAGCCCGCGGAATCTCCTGCCGTAAAAACACCGCTATCCTGGCGAAAGAAGCTGGCAGGACTCGATTCAGGGCCTACGCAGGAGAGGGGGAATAGCTCTGATGCGACGCCCCCTACAGTGGTACGTCCTGACAGCTCTGGGGCCATTGGGAGTGATATGTCCCATATCCTTCCTGGGCCCAAAGCAACCGGTTGGCAGGAGCCAGGAGTCTACGGCATCACCCGCGATGAAGGCCAAGAAGCTCCTGATCTCAACAGCCCAAACCTCACCTCGGTCTGTGAAATGTAAGTGGCCCCGAGACTCCACCATCAGTACCACGGCTCATAGCCATCCTTTTGTATCAGAAACGTTGGGAAACAAAAACTCAGTCTGGTCTGTGGCTGGGAGAAACCAAACGAAGCAAATGAAGCGATCATTCCGATACGTGTACATCTTCTGTTCAAAGGGCCGTCACCGGGAGATCTATATTTTATGCATTTAAAAGACTGTGAGTAAGGCCATGACGTATGCGAACGGAAGACTAATCTCACCTAGCGTTATCCATGATACTATCGGAGCGCATTTTCGTTCCAGCTGGGAAATGCAGTCTCATACTAGCACGCTGTGATATGAAAGACTTGGTATGCCCCCTCAATGACCTCTCAGCACAGGAGAACCCGGAGGACTTCAAACTTGCATTAGGAGCCTATGCGTTGAAATCAAGCTCCAAAGCAGAACAGGTGTTGGTAAACTTTGAGGAACCACAAGGTACGATGGCAATCTGACTTGGGTTCGGGGAAAAACGCTCAATGTTGCAGATCGCGATAGATTTCTGGGCCATCTGTATGCTGTGCGATACCTGCAACGGATGGACCCTGCATTTGCTATGCCCAATAAGCTTTACCATGGTTCAGCAGTCAGGAAAAGGTTATACCTAGCAGAGATACGCGGACGAAGTCAACCGTGCTAACTTGTGGATGCAGAACGCAACATGTTCAAGTGGGCTATGCCGATGGCACTGAAAAGTCCTACATCTATCCTTATCTCTGCATTGAGTACAGTCTGGAAGATAAGGCTCCACGGCTCTCATGTGCAGCAAAGCCCACTGATCTTGAGGCGATCTTCCAAGAGGACTGTAAGCAGGAGCACGTCGCAGTAGTCTTCGAACAGGGTTGGACTGATAGCGTCTAGTACCAAGCCTTGATATTCAAATAGTGGGAGACGAGACTATTGTCTGCAACACCCCGGACGGAAATAAAATCCGCACATTCTCAATAACGTTTGGGTCTCTAAGTGGTATGGACTGTGGGCCAAATGATTCCTTGGGAGTGATATTAACTCCCGTCTACAGAGGTCGTTCAGATGTACCACCGCCTGCAAGATATCGTGCGGGAATGGACCGCACTAGGCAGGAGGAAACTGGACGACTACAAAACAAAGAAGGAATGGTAAGGGTCTACTCCTTCGTTTCTTTGGGTATGTGAACCACGCTTCTGAACACGGTCCGATATAGGAAGGTCAAAAAACTGGAATTCTGGGAAGGATCGCAAGCCCCTGGAGAGCCATTTCACAATGTCATCGTCGTCGCCAAATCAGACTGCGTTCTCAAGAGATTGATGATGGATATCTATGACTCCAGGCGAATTGAAAAACTGGCATCTTTCTATGGTACGTGGAAATGCAAGATTGCCCATACCTTATCTTTTTATCTTCTCTCGCCCTTTACTTACCTCTAGGAGTGATGTCATCATCTATCCTCTTCTATAAACGCCATATGCGAGCATCCTCTCCGGACTTCTTTGTTTCCCCGGTTTTTCAAACTGGCTTTTGGGATCTGAGAAATGGTGGTGGCACAACGGCGGAAAACTTCCAAGCCGGCCAAGTGAGAATGTACGGCCCAGGTGAGAAGTACCTATGTGATGAGCTGGAAGTCTTTGTTGAGGCTTTAATGGAGGAGAGTAAGGAAGCTCAGAAGGGGTTCATGATGGAAGCCAGTTCGATTTGAGGACGTTGCTCGATAGTTAGCGACGTAGAGGTCCTTCATCTAGCTTGCATCCGTGCTCCGATTGAGCTTACCGAATGTATTTGATTTTCTCTCTGCAGTGCCACATATTGAAAGATGATGAAACTGTTTGCTGTTTAACAACCTGTTCTACTTAAGTATAACCACGCGATCATAACTCCCCGCCTGGCTGCATTCCGGGGAAAGAATCCGGGGTCAACAAACTTCACAGCCTGAACTTCAAGGCTGTCAGGCGGCTGAACTCTGGGGCAGGAAAGCACGTGTCTGCAAGGAACCCCGTGTCAAGGTATAAATCTGATATTCTATATACAATGATGGTGAAAAATATAGACTGGAAGGTGAAAACAATCCCCTGCCCCCTTCATCAAGACTAGTGACTTTCTTAAGCGCCCTCGCTTGCGGTCTTCGTCATTCTTGCGCTGCGCCTCTTTTCAGACCATGGGAAATGAACGACAGGAACGATAAAAAAGCTGTTGCTATTGTCAGCAATTCCAGCGAAGGCGTTATACCAAGCCAGAAAAGCTCCAAGGAAAGCCAAAAGACCGCCTGCTTTCATAAGGCCCTCGTTGGGCATTTCATGTGCGTTCGGGTAGAAATACGCAAGGGCGATGAGAAGAATGGAGAGATCGACGACGAAAAAGAGGGAAAAGAAGGCGACAGTAGATTTGACCGTGCATAGCATGATGAGGAAGGTAAAGATGAACCACGCCTAAAACGGTGAGCATTGTTTCTGACAAGGGAGCGAAAGTAGTCACGAACCATGAGGTACAGGGCGAAGGAATTATAGAACAAGATAGGGGACCCCTTATCGGCTTCTTCAAGGGCACCTATAATGTTGAATCCGCCGGGAATGAAGGTAATAGCAATTGAGATCCAGAATCCGCCATATGAGGAGAGAACAGTAGCGCCAAAGGTGTTCCCAGCTGCCATTTCCCTGTTGATAGCCATTAGATACTCCCTTTATCCAACACTTGAGTTCAAGGTAGCTCACCACATCCCCGAAAGGAGCTGTACCAGTCCCCCGTAAACCAGGGCAGGTCCAACAATGATGTTTGGCTTGGTAATCCCTCTCACGTTCATTTGAATACACCCAAGCATAAACGTTGTCAGAGCAAACCCGCATAGACCGAGGGGTGCTGGATTGGCGATCTTGCGGTTCTTAGGGGATCGATAGAGACCCGGTTGGAACTCACCACCAAAGGCAGGGACTCGACTTTCGGCCGTGTTGATGTGTGCCAGCGGGCCATAACGGCCAGCTTCAACGTCATCAGTATTGGAATCCGAAGAAGACATATTGTTACCAGCCTTTATGTCGGGGTTATTGTCGTAAGTCATAACGGAGAAAAGGTATGCAGTCAAAGGGAACAACAGTGTCAAAATGTTTCGATTAGGAGGCTAGCCCACGGAAGTATACGTGAAAATCCACCAAGTCTAGGGATGCTACACTCAGCCTACTCAGATTCATACCCTCTTTATATAAACATCGTGATGCGTCTGCCTCCTCTTATCCATGACGATTCAACTCCAAGCGGCACTTACCATCGGGAACCCGCAGCAAACCAATGGAGCAGTGATCATGGAATGGAGACAATAAAACGCCAACAATTGAAACCCTGGGTTACAGGTAGAGTGAGAAAACAGCTCCATCCGTTCGTAGATTCCCCCTATTGATCCTGACAACCGATATATTTCCCAGCTCAGAGCTGCGGAGGTGGATCTCTTGTAATTAAGATGGTGTGGAGAAACCCCAGATGGGGGACAAACTTTATGTGCCTAAAATAAAGTGAATAGGTGGGGATCGGAGCACATTTCGGCACATCACCCAAACAGGGTCCCATATTAACCTTTAGTGCGAGTCACGGGAAAGTTATGGGTGCCGAATCTAGAGCCGATCTCTGTGATTGACTTTTCGGATCGCTAGTTGGTGGATTGGCCGTGAGTGGCGGTAATGCTGGACTGACCCCAGGTTCCGCGGAACCCATTTTGGTTTGCTGGCCATGGGTGGCAAAAGAGCAGCTAGGAGAGCTGTATGAGATCCCGTGATTGGGAACAAGTGGATTCGTTGACCCAGTCTCTGGTTGTGGAGATACTGCTAAGGTGGACAGAAGTAGGAGTATTCAGATGAAATGGTCCCCATATGAGAGTTCAGAAGAAGGACGGTGATATCTCTATACACACCTCACTTATAACAGGTGACCTGTGGCTTTCCCAGCAATGGAGTAGATAGAGCAGAGCAATCACCTTTCCTGCTCGTTCGTGTTGTTCAGGGAAACTTGCGCATTTCAGTCTTGCCCATAATCTTCGGCTAAGGCCTGGGTTGGGCCACGCTACTGAGTGGTATTACTTGACGGATCATTGCTCGATGAGATGATCCATCTGTCTCGAGTATTTATGGGTTTCGTTCGGTACGTGTAATACGAATGGAAGCTCAACGATGTTAAGGTAGCGGGATTTCCAACGAGATAGCAGATTTAGTTCTCGGTGTAAAAGTTTGGCTGGGTTTCCCGCTAGTCTGATATCACAAATAACGTGTTATTGCAAAAAGTAGAAATGAGCTTTTGAGTAACGCCGCCTTCTATGCGACCCATCAAAAACACCATCCGCTAACTATAGGAGCAATTGCCAAAGTAGATCTGCATCATATGACAAGCCACTTGTCAGTAACATCCTTGGCAGTGTTTGTATCGTCACCGAGCACATAGAGGCATTGCAAAGCAAAAGCAGCCTCGTGCGAGAAATCCTCGACAAAGTTCTGGCCCGCAGTCACAGCAACGTCGCCAGCCCTATCCATATCCACATCAGCTCCATCTGTTGCACTAATTGATGGCCCAGCCAACTGTTCCCGGGTCTGCTGCTGAATCTCTTCACCTATTTTGAGCACACGCTCATACCCTTCGATGGCCAAATGGGCCAAATTCAGGCCATGCCACATGCGAGCAAAATTGAATTCAACCTCCTGACACTCTTGCATTGAAGCTCCACGCTTCGCACGAACGCGGCGGTACTCGTGCATGAACGACAGGCCCTGCATTATAAGATAGTGTCGGTTCTCCGATTGTCGCTTCTGAGAATGGTGGATGAAGCAGAGAGCAATAGAGAGAAGAACAACCGGGTTCTGGTCATCGAGTGCGTAGGCACGGAAGAAGTAGTTCAGGGCTGGATAGAAGCTGTTGCCTGAATAGAGAATATGACCGTACAGCACCAGCAAAGCGATATCCAGCTCATACGCTGGAATTGGTTCGCCATTCTCGTCTTTGGTTGAGAGTGCAGCACGTTCCCTCCAGACAGATTGCCGCGGCGGCTGGGGCTTATTCTCCATGTCTGGCAAAGTAAAGTCCATAGCCTTGATCTGGCGGAGCATGAACTTCATACTTGGGGAGGAGTTGAAAAGTGATTTTTGAGGGTTCCCAGCTAGATGGCTCAGCATCGAAAAAAGGCGATACGTGTCTGTGACGAACTGATACTCCTTCACAAACCAACGAGCCTCACTAGTGAGAGCCTCTTCGTCCTGGGCTCGAAGTGCACAAGCTGTGAAGATATTAGCTGCTGAACCAAAAATTCCATGCCGATGAAAGACTCACTGAACCAACAGACATGGATCATACGAGACTTTCGCTTATCGTGGAACCAAATACTAGCAGTCGCAGCAGCTTCGAGGGCTTCATATGCTTCAACTGGCTCACCCTGGTCGGTGATGGTGAGGGCATACTGTAGGAAGATGTCTAGCCACGAGTCAAAGGAAATGCCATGATATTCCGTTGGAACAACGTCATGCAGTGCTTCTTCTTGAACGTCGCCACCTGCACCATGCCGTTAGCTCAGTGTCAATGACTGTGTATTCAAACAAGACGTACCCCTCGACCTCTGCAACCGTCCCGCTATTTCTTGCATTTCATCCAAGAAAACGCTGGTCTTAACGCCGCCGCTCTTCCGTTGTGCTTGGCTCGAATAGCCCTGGAATTCGGTAGTGCGTGCCATCGGGTAAAAGATTCGGTTTGATCGAAAATCGCGCAACAGAGCATCAGCAATATCAAGCCAGTCCTCGGTCGCATCGACATCGCCATCCTTGACTTTGGGCTCCAATTGCTGCATTTTTGCATACAGAAATTGGATGTCATCTGCACGGTGACTATCAACTCTCTCAACACGCCCCTGCCCAGAAGTAGTTGCTGTCCACGTGTCGAGTGGTCCGGGTTTAGGTGCGATGGGCCTCAGGGCCCCTGGGTCCGACCTCCTGAATTCGGCGGCAAGTTGTTCTAGCCGAGCATCCTTTCTCCTCCGGCGGGTTCTGGTCTCCTGTCGGCCAATCAAGACGGCCTCGTTGACATACTTGAATGCCTGATCGCTCATTCCGAGACTATCATAGAGCTTCGCTAGCTGCGCGCGTGACTCCATGTTCCTCGAGTCATGATCGGCAACGGTAAGATAGCAACTTTCAGCCTCTTCCACCCTGCCCAGCTGCATGCAACAGTCGGCCATGGCGAGGAAGAAGCTGATGTCAGCATATTCCGTAGTTTGCTGGATGGGCTCGTAGAAGCGGAGCGCTTCTTCTAGCATTCCAACATCTTTCAAAGCGTCTGCAACTTCTCGGAACAGATCCCCGTAATCAAAGATCCGGGCCCCTTCAGAGGTATCATCAGGGTTCAGATATTCCAGATGGTGCTAGTTAAGCCCGATGTTAGGTGTGTGGGTCTCCGAATATCACCGTTGATGCATTTTAACTCACCATTGCCTCTTGGTGATGCTTATCACCCATCCTCAGGCGGAACAACCCCATCTTGACCCGAAGCTCGAGAGGGAGGCCCAGTCCATAGCTATCCCGCGGCCAATGACCAGGAATGAATCCATCAGTCTTGATTCGGCGAGGTGAATCCTCCGAGTCCCATTCCCGGTCATCGTCCTCGAAATTCACCCACATAATGTCATCTTTGCGACCCAGCAGCCATCTAGAAAGTGACTTAAGATGGTAGAGCCCTTCTCGTGGCCGGCCCACATAGCCGAAGAGCTCGGCATAGATGTTGATGTCGGACCAAGAGAAATCACGAACTTGATCTGGGTCAAGGGAGGTAAAGTAGTCGACACTTATTGACCAATGAGTAACTGCCCGGTCAACATCGTTGAGATCAATGAAAATCTCTGCTAGGTGTCGAAGAGCTCTGGTGTTGTGCGGCCGTTCGTTCAGAATACGCTCGTACTCGCTGGCGGCCTTGCCATTGTGTCCGAGCTCCCGGTATAGTGCAGCTCTCTGAAATCGAACATTGAAATTTCTCGGTTGAATATCAATCACACGGCTGTAACAATAAACAACGTCATTCAGCGCACTCCCACGGTTGTCACCAGCGCGTTCCAGAAGGAGTCGTGCAACCTTCATCCAAACAGTAGGATCTTTTGGTCGGGTGTGAGCACCGTTCCAAAGAGCTTGCAAGGCTCGAACCTTATCTCCTTTGGCCAGCCAAATTTCTGACAGCAGTGAATGAGCCGGAAACATCTCGGGGTTGACCTGAATTGCCTGATTCACGAACTCATGGGCGCGGTCATAATCGCCATCAATGAAAGCAGAAGTGGCTTCTGAATGGTACAATTTGAATTCTGGGCCCGGGTCCAGCGGTTTGCGCGGCCCTCGTTTGATGCCCTTTCCACCGCGGGCACCATAACGACCTGAGAAACGCCCTCCACCTCGGCGCCGCCGCCGCCGCGCCGCACCAGAGTCATCAGAATCTTCACCTTCAGGAGGCTCGTCGTCCTCGTCACTGAGACGATTGATCAATTCAAGCACGAACTTGGAGGTGGACGACGTAGCACACATACCTTTCGCTTCCATCTTCTGAAATCTCGTAGTCTGAATCGTCGTTGCTCATGTCGTCCGCATAAAGTCTGGGCTGGGATACTTGGCTATCCTCGGATAATAGACCAGCTTCGTCACCCAAATACTCTTGCTCAGGGTTTTCGGGCGCGTTTTGAGAAAATAACGACTGATACAAGCGAGGGTCGATCACCGAGGCCGGGACGTTCTGAGCCTGGGCGGCAACAGCATTATTCTCCCGCCAAGGGTACTGAATGGCCTCATCGATATCAGGATACACGTATGCCTCTCCCGAAGGAGAGGTATAGTCCATAGGAGGATCCGGGTCTGCCATGGTGACAAGGCGACGCGCGGGTCGTGCGGACCATCAAACAGAGATTTTGAAGGGGAAGGCGTGGGGAAAGATCTTCTCAATGAGCTGCAGGGAATCGCACTGGTTACAATGATGCAGTTGTTGTTGTAACTCTAAAGCTAGTGCGTCAAGAACCAGTGCGCTGGGACCATGGGCCCAGACCGTATAGTCGAGGCGGCGAGTCTCTCCAGGCGTTTCAGATGCAGCAGCCCAGATTATTCATAGTAACAGCTCCACCAGGGGCGATGCAATGGATGAATCAGAAAAGAAACCGCTGGGTGACAAGCACTGTCAAGGTGCAGACCGAGGAATGCAGAGTTGAGGTTCCTCATTCCCTCATTCCCGGAGTTTGTGTCGCGGAACCCGTGACCCTGAAACAGAAAAGCCTCTTTTTCACGGCCGCATTTCTTCTCCCCTCTGTCCTTTTCCCACCATCCAACTTCCACCCTCCTCCTCTCTTCTCTCCTCCTCTCCCGTTTTCCTTTCTTTGGGCACTGGGCTTGGCTTGCTGTGTTTGACACACTATTGCCTCCTGGTCCCTAACTTTCCTTCGTTCGAGTCCTCCTCCTAATATTGCGGAGTCTTTGCGTCTGGTCTCCCCCCAATCCCACACCAACCCCCAAAACTCGAGGTGCAGCCACTGGCCTGGTCTGTGCCCGCCCAACTGTGGTCGCCTAGAGTCGAGATTCAGGCTTCGCAGTTCTCGTCGGCATCCGTGAATCTCCGCGACTGGGTCCTTCGGTCAGGTTTTTTTTTGATTCTATTTTGTTACGCAAACTCAGCAGGTTCTGCAGGTGTTTTGCAGTAATCTTTTCCATCATCATCTCCACTGTATTTACTATTCACTTTTCCAACTCCCTCGTCCCATCCCGGTGAGCCATGGCCAGCCATATCATCGGCAACCGCAACAGCACCCCGGAGGCGGCCCCGAATTCCACCCTGCGTCCTCCGTCGTCTGCCCGCAACCTCGGATCGCACCAGCTGCGGGCCTCCGCCGACATGTCCGGATTCCCCTCGCCGCTGTCCTCCCGCAGCATGCGTCCATCCTCGGAGGTTTTCTTCAACCCACAATCCCAAGGTCAAAACACAACGGAGGATGCCTTGGATCGGGCAGCCCAGCAGTGGCTGGCGGATATTGATCAGTACGAGGCAACACTGGAGGAGATGGCAGCGGCCACTCTCGACCAGGACTTCAAAGATGAACTCAGTGCCATCGAGCAGTGGTTCCGCGTCCTGAGCGAGGCGGAGCGGACGGCAGCGCTATATGCGTTATTGCAGCAGACCACCCAAGTGCAGATTCGGTTTTTCATCCAAGTCCTGCAGCAGATGTCCCAGAGTCATCCCATGTCTGGGCTTCTTTCTCCGGCCAACTTTGGTGAAAAAGGTAATCAACGCAACGATCTACATTTTCATGCATCCCAAAACAAACAAATGGCTAACTCCATCTTCCCTATCGCAGATGCTATGTCTAGCCGCTTGAGCGATGCCATGTCGAAACTCAATATGGACACCTCCCGGGGTTCCTTGGGCCGGCCCCCGCCATCCCCCGGCGCGAAGCGTAACTCGGGTCTCGATTCGTCTACTATAAACGCGATGTTCCCGGATGCTGCGGCCGCGATCGCGAAGAAGAAGGCGGAGTTCACACAACAGACGGGCAATGCCCCTCCATCGAACCGGAACAGTGCGGTCTTCGGAGACCGTACCTCGTTCGTTGCACCCACCATCTCCGCTCCTGATAACAGCTCGGACAACCTGGGCCAGCCCCCAACCTCCCCATGGGGTCAACGTGGCGGTCTCCCCGACACCCAGCCTCCGATTGCTCGACCGAAATCCTCTTCGGGACATCAGCCCATGGGCCAGTTCAGCCAGACTGTCAACACCTCGGGCATGCGTTCTCCTCTACCCCAGACCGCCAACATGCCCGCGCCTGACATTGAGCCCCCTATGCTCTCACCATACAACGTTGGAAATCACAGCTGGGCGTCGATGACCAATACCCCGATGACCGCAACCTTCGGCCAGCAGCAGCAGAACAATGGACAGCACTCTCAGGCTGACATGGTGGCCAACGCGACCGCGATGAAGTTGGCTGCTTTGTCTACGGTGAACAACCGCATTGCGCTGGATGATGCTCGGAAGTACCGCCGGGCCCGCTCCAACGATGGCCAGGGCAAGAACTCGGCCGCCAACCCTACCATCTCCCAAGGTCTGGCCAGCCCAGGTCTGCACGGATCGATGGCCAGCCAGCTGCTGAATGCGCAGCAACTGGCCGCATTACAGGCCCAGCAGCAGGCTGCCATGGCGGGACGGCGATCTCGCCCGACCTCCCCCGGCATCGCTATGCAGGGGGGTGGCCTCGGTGCGATGAGTTTCACCTCCCCGCAGAACAATGGTTTCCTGGCAGCCTACGACCCGAACAACCCGCTGATGGGTAACGGGCTGGCCTCGCTGGGTATTGGGCAGTTCGGTCTAGGTGGTGAGGGCTACCTCTCTGACCATTCTGAGGTCGCCCGTGGACGGTCGCCACGTGGTCGTCGTGGCAGCTCGAAGCCGCCAGAGGACCCCACGGACCCCGCTCTTCTGAAGGACATCCCCAGCTGGCTGCGATCCCTTCGGCTGCACAAGTACACCGACAACCTGAAGGACCTCAAGTGGACGGAGTTGGTCGAGCTTGATGACAAGGCCCTGGAGGACCGTGGTGTCAACGCGTTGGGTGCGCGGAACAAGATGCTCAAGGTGAGTCTTGCTTCTTATCTTTCGCTTTTCTCAAGATAATGTCAGACGACTAATTCATTCCCCTCAGGTCTTCGACCAGGTCCGAGAAGCCCGTGCAGACGGCAAGCTTGATAACGTTCAGGGACTGTGATTGTGATTTTGATGGTGACTGTTATTGTGATTTTTGATTCCGGAGCATGGCGTGGGAAACTGGTTCGAGGTCTTCTCAATCAGGCCCCGATTCGATTGCCCAGCGATATCATGGAATTGGCATTCGCGTTCCATCATGTGCGGTTGTTCCTTTCTTCTTCTCCTTCTCCTTTTTGCCTTTTTCTTGTTTTTCTTTTCCATTTCCTTCCTTCTGTCTCATTCGTTCTGTGATCTTTTGGTTCACCCTAATATGACGGATGTGGGTTCGGCATGTATCAAACGCAGTGATGTCTTCAAGCAACGGCTTCATGAGGAGGGGACACTTCGGGCTACTGAACATTGAAAATGACTGGGTCAATCGTAGATATGGACATGATTTGTTCGAGTCTGTGGTTTTCTTGATTACTTCAGTAGTGTATATGATCTTCTTAGGGAATTTCTTTACTGGTATGTGCGTGGGTGATGCTGTTCTCCGTACCACGCACAGCGCCCGTCCACATGGCCCGTGCGCTTCTAGAAACCCGCGCCCGAGCCTCCGCTCAACCTCATCTCTCCTCCCCGCCAGGAATATCCTCCACTACGACGTCCTCGTTGCTGCGTACGATCTTCTCCCGTGCCAGCTACCCATTGCCAGCCGTGGTCCTCGCCATCACAGCACATCGGTTCTCAGCCCGCAATCCCGGAAGCGGACCACCGACGCATCTCTTTCACTTGGCCACGCCAGCAACACAGCTTCGTGAACTCGACAGAAGTATCCGCGCCCAGAGCTCTCCATTACAACACATCGGCCACAATGGCACCCACAAAGCAGGAGCTCTCCCTGCTCGTCAACCCCCTCGTCCCCGAGGCTGTGCAGCACAATAACCGGGTACGTTTCCGAGTCCCAAGTCCAACCAGCCCACCCATCTATCTACCGCACCCAACCCCCCCACCACACTACAGCACGGCACAGCACAGCACCTCACCTCACACCATGCCTCACCATTCTCCCCTTCTATTCCAATGCATCCGTCGTATTCGCACTAAACTAACACCCTCAACCAGGTTCTATCCTCCCTTCACTCCCTAACAGCCTTCCTCCTCGGCCTCTCCGCCGGCGTCCTCGCCCTCCAATCCACCTTCGGCTTCGCCTTCTACTTCACCGGCACCGTGCTCGTCTCCGCCCTCTTCCACGCCGTCCTCCTGCAGCGCTCCTCTGGCGCCGGGGCCGGCGCCTTCTTCCCCGGCAGCAACGGCGAAATTGAGGGCCGCATTGGCATTGATAAGAATGGGGTGGTGCGTATGGAGAAGAAGGGGGGGCCTGGTGGATTTGTGTTGCGTTCGGGTGCTTGGAGGGATGTTTGGTTTGGAGGGGGTGTTTTGAGTGAGGCCCTTAGTGGGTTTGTGTTGGGGTGGGCTGGTGTTGGGGGAGTTCTGAGGTAGTGCCGAGATTGGGATAGGGGGGAGGGGGTAGACGTGAATATTAGTCTTGCTGTACTCGGTACTGGTGATAAATCAAGGATTTGTGATGGGGATGGGCCCCTGGTCTGGAATACATTAACAGGAAAATCATCTCAAGGGTCCCAATCTGTGGATATTGTTCAGGGACCTATTGCCCGTATAATACATACCCAGCGTGGGTGCCACGCAGACGGATGGTCTTTCCGATACTGTATCAACTAAACTTAGACGGGAGAACGATACGGCAAATGGTACGAATCAACGAAGATCGTGGAAGTAGATCAGAGTAAATGACACGGTCTATAGATTCAAGGGTATCCCGAGCGAGTATTGAGGCGGGCCCAAGCCCAAGCAAAAAGATGATAGGTATAGGTAGGTAGGTATATATGGTGGATCCAGACAAGATAGATACCCCGATTGAAGGCTAGCAATCCAGCCAAGTTCCAGATGCGGCCAATCCCAAAGACTCAATCAACAGATATTACGCCGAGGAGTCAGCAGCGTAATCATAGCAAAAAAGAACAGGTGGAAAGAAAAAAAGACAAGAAATAGCAAAGAATATTATTGTCAGGTCGTATCAGGGCATATCAATTGGGCTCCAAACCAGGGAGAGGTCCATGATCGATGCATGCGTAGAGGAGGAGAAAGGGTAGGGGAGGTAGGTGGGAGGAGAGTGACGCGGGCTTTTCTTGTTCTTGTTCTTTTCTTTCTTAAACGTGCGGGATCTCGTTCGACGAGTTCGCCACCGCACTCTGCAGCGCACTGGTCAAGTCGATATGGAAGAACGGCCTGTTCATGCCCTGCAGGATTGCGACCTTGCGACGGCTGCGGTACGCCTTGCTGTCTGTCAGATCGCGCGCCAGCTTGTCCTCGTAGATAGCGCGGCTCTCCTCGGACGAGGTCTCGATACCGTGCGTCTCGGTCTCCGTCGTGGCGGGGTCGTTCTTCAGCCCCGATTCGACGTCCTTGGTGCGCGGGTGCTCGCGCGCATTGTTGACCATCTCGGCGTGCGCGGCCGCCGACGCGCTGCCTTCAATCTCGGCGACGCTGAAGATCGGCTTCCAGCGGTGGAAGCCCTCGCTGGAGGGCTTGGTGGGGTAGCCGAAGCCGGCGGCGGCGAGGCCGCGCTTTGTCCAGCGGTTGTTAATGTGCGCAAAGTGCCATTGCACTGACCGCGGCGAGGCGTATCGATCCAGCTGGTTGCGAACGTCGATCAGGTTCTGGATCGAGGTGACGTCCACATTGTTGACAGAGGAGAAGTCCAGGATGACAGCTTGCAGGAGCGGGCGCGCGTTCTCCTCGGCTGCTTTGCCACGTGCGGGGCCGGGTTCGTTCCACGGGCGGTCACCGTTGTTGCGGAAGGCATTCGGGTTTGTGCGACGGGTGTTCTGGAAGATGGTTTGCACCAGGTAGTCGGTGTAGTGGTTGGCGTTGGGATAGTTGAAGCCCTCGGAGAAGCGGTAAATGAAGATACCCGGGTGAGGCTGCTCAATATCCACATCGGGGTTGGAGCCGTCATTGTGGTTGATGGGCAGGAAGATGGACCGGTGGGCATGGTCCTCATCCTCGGAGGAAGTGCGGGTGGTACCGAAGGAGCCATACTTGCCATCATCATCCACCAGATGGTCGCCGACCACGGAGTGGACCTTGACCTGGCCGAGGAAATGGCCACGGGCCTTGGCCACGCGGAAGAGCAGAACAGCCACGGACACACAGATGGTGCAGTAGATGCCGTTCTCAATAGATGTGAAGACCGTCACGAAAACGCCGATGAAGAAAATGATGGCATCCAGAGGGGCGACTCGCCAGAACTGGTACACCGTGTTGGGAGGAGTGATCAAGTCACCCACGGCGTGGATAATCACACCCGCGAGGGAGGCACTGGGGATGTAGAAGAAGAGGGCAGGCAATGCGTAGATAGCGAGCAGCACCACAACGGCGGTGATAACACCCGCCAGGGGAGTGCGCACACCAGCCTTAGACTTGATCGCAGTGCGGGAGAAAGAACCGGTGGCAGGGTAGGCACCCAGAAAAGGACCCAGCAAGTTACTAATGCCAATGGCCACAAACTCCTGCGAAGGGTCGATGGTGTAGTTGTTGACACGACCGAAGGACTTGGAAATGGCAATGTGCTCGATCAGGAGCACGATCACGGCCGCGGGGATCTGGCCCGCAAAGGCGCTGATGACCTTGCGGTCCATTTTCGGCACGGCGGCATTCTGGAAACCGCGAGGCACATGACCCAGCACCTTGAAGGCCGGGTGATCCTTACGGTGCAGGTTCACCGCAGCACTAATCATGGTGTAGAACAGGATGACAAAGACGGTACGCAGGGTCGAGGCAAAGAACCAGATCTTCGCGCGGTGCGGCTGCTTCTTCGCGCCGTAGGTGCAGCCGGAACGGATTATGTACAACATGGCCAAGGCCGTGACACCCATTGCCGCATCGAGGGACGAACTGGGGAGATGTTTGAGCGTATTGATGATCGTCAGGTACGTAGCACCGCGGGTCGAGAACTTGGCCGTCTCGCCCAGCATCGTAGACACCTGGCCAGCGCAGATGTTGAGGGCCGAGCCTGTCATAAAGGCCGAGATGGCCGGGAGCGGGATGAAATCCACGATGAAACCAAATTTGATCAGACCCATGAAGCACACGATGCCACCCAGGATCACGGCCAAAGTGGAGGCCACCTCATGGCCGGGGATATCCGGATACTTATCCTGGACGTCGAGCACAATCTGGCCGGTCAGAGTCGACATGACGGCCACGGGCTGTGGACAGGGTCAACATGGTTAGCTGTTTTGTATTTTTGGGCGGAGGGGGTTGGGGGGTTTTCATTTCAGTTGGCACTTACACCGATGGTGATATCTTTAGAAGTAGCAAAGAACCAGTAGAGCAGAACACCCATAAAGGACGAGTACAAACCGAACTGCACAGGCAGCTCAGCCAGCTTGGCGTAGGCCATACCCTGCGGCACGACCACCGCTCCCACGGTGATACCTGTTCCCAAAAAGAAAATTCGTCAGCTTCGGTCGTTCGCGACAGATCTAGCGTCGTTTGTCACGAACTTACCTGCAACGAGGTCACCATACAGCCACTGCATGTTGTAGCGGCCAATCCAGTTGAGGAAGGGGAAGAGGCCAATCAGATAGTTGAGCAGCTGCTTGCCGGAGGGCGTAATCTCACGAATCCACTCGACGCTGGTGGGTTCGGGCTCGCTGTAGGAATAGGTATCGACGGTGCCGACGGAAAAGGTCGACTCGCCGCGGGTGACGGGGTCCGTTGAGGCACCCAGCGGATCTCTGTAAGGGACCTTGATCCCCAGGCCCTTGGCGAGGGCATTGCCCACCTTGGTGGCACGGTCACCCATGTTGGTGATGGGTCGACACGAAGGGTGTCGGGTTCAACTCGCTGGAGATGGGGGAGGGAGAGGGGAACGATTGAAATCCCGTCCAGTCCAGTCCAGGGTCCAGGCCCAAAAGGGTCGAGAGGATCACTCAAAAGTGAAGAAAGTGGGAGGTGTCAGAGTAGTGAGATCTCGGGTGACAGGTCTCAAAAACGTGGCGACGATTCCAGAATATATACAAGGGCGGAAGAATTTCAGACGATCACGCACGGTGCATGGCGACCAGGCCCACGGACAAGAGAAAATTAAAAGAAAAAAGCATATATGAAGACGACAGGGGAGGAGAGCAGAGTGGAGGTGTTGTGCGTGATTCGGGGGCCGATGGCGTAATATCAAAGCTCCCCAGATTTCGAAGAATAATTAGTGTTGATGTGGGTTCCTCACCGGTCGCGGCGTTGGCGTTTGATGAAATGATCGGAGTCCGTTCGGTCCAGCATTCTCAGAGCCAGGACGCGGCCATAAGAATGAAACGAGTGACTACGGTGGCCATGGCCCTGGCCCACTGCCCGAAGATCGCATTGAGCAGCAAGTGCCGGGTGGAACCCCAAGCGGACGGTCTGGACGCGATGGGTTCTGATGACGACGGAGTGTGGAGCATACCTTCCGCTCCGAGGAGACGGTGGATGATAGAACATGACGGTGCTGTGAAACCGCGTTTGATCATTTCCCGTCCATGTCTTGCGCTTGCTACTGCGCCGGCTCCTGCTGGGCGTCCATGGCAGCGTCTACTATAGTCTACTATACGGAGGACGGAGGACGGAGGACGAAGTAGTGATGTCGGCATCAAACTCAGTGCCCAGCGTCAAATCAAGCAAGATCGAGTGGTGATGACATAAGCTGCCAAGCTAAACCCATGACGAATCAGGGTGGCCGCGCGGGCGCCGACGATCGATTATGGACCCCCGCAGCCAATCAGCGAGCCGCCCGATGGTGAAATCAGCCGCGCCGATGGTGCCAGCAGGAAAAGACGACAACAGCAAGGCAAGTGGAAATTACCTGGCCGCAGACAATGGACGAACGGAGTCTTCTTCCACGGACGACGCACTGCCCAGGCTCTGTAGTCTCCTCCGGTCTCGCTTCGCGACCCCTCGAACTGACGGTCCCGCTCCAGGTCGTGCTCGTGAAAAGAACCTTTACGCACGCCACGCTCGAGACCCACCTGAGCCTACGGTTGCCGCGCCGTGGCCTTGTTGACGAGCCCGAAGCTACAGAGGACAGCCCACTGCGCTCAACCGCCCCCGGTCCGTGCTTGGCAGGGGTGGACTCCCGCTCTTTTATTTGTGTCTCCGACGGTTCGTTATCCCCGAGGTCCCCTTTCTCGTCCGGTGTAGGAATGCTCCCCATAGGGACTCCGTACGGAGTACGTCCCTTCACGGACCCTCTTTACTTTGGAACCTCCTGATCCGCCCACGCTGCCACTCCCAGCGAAGACCCTACCGCATGCTCCGCCAAAGAAAAACAAACCATCCAGCATGGCACGCATAGACCGGTGGGTACTCGGAGGCCATCACACGCAACGGGCGTCGCAAGGCCCCGGACTGGTTAGCTACAGCTGCGGCCTGCAGATACGTTGCCCTAGTCTCCGCCGCAGCAAAGTCGCCATTCAGATCCAAATCACGTCATACAGCGTATCGCGGCTAGGGGTCTATGACTTTAAACAATGATGCCAGGCGCTGTCTTGCCGGAGGGACTAACGCCGTCTGCGTTATTCGTGGCTCTGCCTGTTTGGGGCTTAGTCGGGTGAGGGGATTATCCCATGCAACTTTCTGATCTAACTGAGTATTGAGTTCATCGAGAGGGCAGCAGTCTACTTGGGGCGTTACGCCGCGGTTGTGTTCGCAGCCCATGGCTTGTCCGTCTAAGCGAGCATGCAGCTGCCACATCCTGACTGGCGGAAACGGGTGGCTTGCACCATAGGCATTCATGTACCACAGGACGAACGCGACATACGGGACATCCTCCAAGGGAATCTACGCTTCGCGTGGCCCAAGGTTATCTTCTTCCTCCGACCAATGTGGCCAATCCCCATCCATACCGCGCACGCCTTCACTTCCCTATCCTCTTTCCATCCCATCTGTGTTGTTGCCCCGCGACTCCGTGATACGAGGCCGTCATGCGGCGCGACACCCTCCATCAGTGATCACGCCACCACCAAGCCAAGCTCGAGCTTCCTCTTGGCCCCGCGCATGGTAGACCATCGACCACCGACCACCTATGCCCAGTCTCGCCGCTGCACCCCATCCTTCGCCCCGGCTAGCGTACTCCGCACGTTCCAAGGGGCGCCAGCACAGGCTCAAACGGAACTGATGCCATCGCCGTCCTCGCGCGCGCCATCCGCCTGAATCTCGAGGGGACCGGTGCCAAGGGCATAGCGACCGACACGATGCTCTCGGGGTTCCTCAATTCGTAATCCGTTGTATCCTCCGTGCACCGCAGGCTGGCCATGATGTTGTCTGTCCGTGGGGTGATGCTAGGTCGACTAGAGGAGTCCGAGGCTCAGGGTCCCTATGTGGACATCGGGTGTGCGCATCGTGCATATGCAGGGCACGTGGTTGCGGCCAGGCTTTGCTAGGCGTCGGCGTGATGCTGCATGGTTACCTGGTATGGGCGATGCCAGCCGCGCTGGGTCTGGGGATCGGGAATGGGGCCGGGGGAAACCACTTTGCGGAATTATGGTGCAGTGTAAGGTATATGGGCGTGTCGGAGGATAAACTGCGTTGGACGAGACCAGGTTTGGGACGCCAACGCGGACTGTTCCCGGTCCACCCAGACAAGGGTATCCCCAAATGCACCCGTAGAGATGTAATATATACCTCTATAATGGCGGGGCACGGAAAGCAACATCCCTCCACCGCCACTAACAAAGCCATTGTTCTGATAGCAGGTGTTGATGGGAGGATAAACGAAGATAGAAGTCGGACAATGAACAACTAGAAGTCCAAATAGTAGAATACTGACTGCTCGGGCTGAGAACCCTGCGGGCCGAGCGAGCTAGGTATTCATCTCGCTTCTGCGGAGCGGGGACCTCGAGCGATAGTGCAGGACGGACACAATCTTGACTTTCCTGCTGAGATTCCAACCCTTTCCCTTTCGCTCTTCCAGTGGAAGCTCTCGTTGTCAGATCACATATTTGGAAATTTGGGCTATTTCCTCAGCTCGCTGAAATGACGACTGGAATGAGCTGGCATCTCCTATCACTCTTGTCAACCGGAACATAAACCAAGACCTACGAGTCCGACGTCGACAAAAGCTCCAGGGGCCCTGAAGCGGAACTCACATGATGGCCTCTCTGGTGTGTCTGCTTGAGCTACTACGGGATAGGGCATCATTCGACGAAGGAATACCCTAAGCTACAAGATCCTTTACTGACCACGAATCATGCCATGAACAATGCATTAAACCAAAAACAACGCAATGTCTATTCCGAGTCATCATCAGTGCGGGCTAGAAAAGGAAAAAAAAAATAAGAAGATAAAGGAAGCACAATGGAAAAGAAGAAAGAGAATCCCCATCTGGTTCACTCCACGATCCCCTCCAAAGTCCGACCACGGGACGCCGAGAAAGCGAAAATTCCGGTTCAAATCCCCTGCACACATCGTGGTCTCATCCAGCTTCGTGTCGTCGGAATAAGCACCGTCGCAAAAAGGTCACGATCCCTCTTCGAAGCCAGCTGCTCGTAACCGCCTGCCGCCTCCGCCTCCGCCGCCCGCCGAAATCAATCCAAGGAAAAGAAAAGCAGAAAGATGGAGGTCATGGCCGGGTGCGGAGAGCAGAATAAGGATGACTAGGATCCAGAAGAAGAGACAATACGAAGGTCGGTGAGAGCCATGCATCTTCCAGTTCTTCAAAGCGAACGCCAGTGCAAAGCAGGAAAAAAAAAGAGGTTGGTGAACCATCCATATGACCAGAAACGAAAAAAAAAAAGAAATCACAGCCCCGGACACATCTCTATCTCATTGGTCGGGGATGGGGGAGAGCCGGGCGCCCCTTCACATGGTATCATAAGCGAGGTTTCATCAAGTCAGCCCGGGCATTGTGCAATTTTTGTTTCGCCTTCCCCGAATCAATCACGGCCTCGTTGGCGGAGCCGTTTATTGAGAGGCGCACTGCACCCGCTCGGCGCCGGGGGGAACATCGTCATCGTCCTCGTCCATGCCGGAGCCAGCGGCACCGTGGGCGCGGGCCTGCGAGTTCTCGTTGCCGTCGATGTCCTCCAGCTCAAAGTCCTCAACCATCGCGTCGGGCGGGGGGATATTCTGGTGCACACGAGGCGGGAGCACCTTCTCGAGCAGCTCGAGATTCTGCAGCTGGTCCTTCTCGGGGAACTTGACGTCGAACTTGATGTACAGGTTGCCGTGGTCGTGATGGCGGAACGAGGGCATACCTTGACCGTGGATAACCTTGATGGAATCTACAGGCGGATGTCATGTTAGCGAATGAAACCTATGGGGGTTACAGAGGAAGGATGGAGGAAACTCACCAGGAACAATGACCTCGCCAGGGGCGATATTCACGGTCAACCACCGCTCGTCAAGGTGCTCAATGTGGATGGAGCCGCCGGCAAGCGCGGTCAGCAGGTCAATCTCGGCCTGGTAGAATAGGTCGTCGTTCTTGCGCTGGAAGCGGGGGTGGGGCTTCTGCTCAATCTCGAAAACAACGTCGCCGGGCATCACACCAGGCATCTGGTCACCCTCGCCGCGGAATTCGATCTTGTGGCCATCGCGCACACCCTTGTCCACGTGAACGTGCAGCACCTTGCGCTCAACAATAGTCTTCTTGCCGTTGCACTTCTTGCAGCGGTCCTTCTCGCGGATGATCTCGCCCTCACCGTTGCAGTCGGGGCAGACAGTTTGGAAGCGCTGGATCATGGGACCCATCTGACGCATCATCGTCTTCATACCACTACCGTTGCAGCCTGAGCACTCCTTGACGGCACCCTCCTTGCCGCCACGGCCCTCACACCCCGAGCAGATGACCGACTTCTGCAGCGCCAATTTGGACACCTTACCGCGGTAAATGTCCTCCAGGTTGACTTTGTGGACATGGTGGATGGTGCGGGCCTTCTTGGGCCCGGTTTCCCGCATGCCGCCGCCGAACATACCGCCGAACGCGCCGCCGCCGCCGAAGAACTGCGAGAACAGGTCCTCGGCATTCATACCACCGCCGGCGCCGCCACCTTCCAGACCCTCCTCACCATATTGGTCGTAGATCTGACGCTTCTGGGGATCGGAAAGAATCTCGTAGGCGTGCGACAGCTCCTTGAACTTCTCCGCAGCGTCCGGGTTGTTGGTGTTCTTGTCTGCATGGGAGCGGAAGATTGCGTGTCAGCCAGATTGGTTCTAGGCGATGTCTGTTTGGTGGGGGAGGGGGGGGGAATCATCTTTCATCTCCCCCCTCTAGGGCATTTACGTACCAGGGTGGAACTTCAAGGCACCCTTCTTGTAGGCGCTCTTCAGCTGAGCCTCAGAAGCCGAGGGGTCAACCTATAACAGAAAACAAAAAGCGCTCGGTCAGTTTCCATATTCACTCCGTCAAACCAGACAAGGGAAATTTCGACATACCCCGAGGCACTCGTAGTACTTGGTGTCTTTGACCATTGTGCCGAGATCAGGCGAAAGAATGTCGAGGGGGAGAGATGAGAAAGGGGATCACGAGGAGGAGGGAAGGGGAATCGAGAGAGAATGGAACCTCAGGATCGAAGGAGATCGCGATGCCCGGAAGGTCAAAAGGGTCAAATGGCGGAGGAGGGGGAGGATGGAGATAGAAGGAAGATGAATATCTTTGGATAAGAATAGAGAATAGGAGCCCACCAGCGAAAGGCTGAGTAACTTTTTTCAGGTACTGTACGGGGTGTGTACAGAAGTCGACCGAATAGATTACCAGGGCCCGAACAGCGAACTCCGGCCTATTCCAGCGAGAATGAACGCTCTGGAGCAATCAACGATCCTAACAGATCTCAACTTTCTAAATTTCGATCACCCAGCCAGAGGCTATATCTACCTTTCTACCTTGCTACGATGAACCGGTCCCTCGGTCGCCTGCTTTTCTGGCGGCTTCTTTCACGCGGTGCTGGAAACTGATTTGGTCCGAGCGCTGGTTCGACGGGATTCTGCGGCCTTCGATGGCTTTCGTTGGATTTCTCCGGGTTCCGTGGTTTCCTGTAATTCCATTTCACGACAGCTGAGTAATGGCGATCATTGATGCTCTGCTGACTGTACCAGGGCAATGATTATTCATGTTAAGATCCAATGGCGAAGGCTGCCGGTGCAGGATCTGATATAGTTCCAGGGTTCTTGTTGAGGGGGCGAATCCTGGTCTTCCCCGGCCAGCCTACTATAGTAGTATACATCTCTGTATCACTGCAGTACAGAATAATACAGAATTATACGGCGTTCTTCAATGTAGGACTGTTCTTACATCTTGAAAAAAAATGAACGAAATGTGTAAGCCTGCCGAGTTTTCGTCTCACGTTTTCTGCCACCTCCCCCGCCACAGTGCTAGCCACAAGCCAGCCACCGGCCTTATCGATAAGCCAAGGAGGGGGAAAAGTTCGTCGAGAACTCCGAGATCCACTCATGCCGCCCTTGTCAAATCGTCATCGAGCGGGCCTGTCCGAGGGAAACCTGTAGATAAGCGGTAGAAGAGTCATCTTTCGGCCCCTGGAGTAGCAAGCATTTCCAAAGCTTCCCCTCGTATCCCCGCACCACCCGCACCACCCGCACCACCCGCACCACCTCAATTGCAATTGCTCGTATCACCACCATGGAGCAGGACGCCGGATTCATCGCTGCCGTGGAAGAGGCCAAGCAGGGCGCCGCAGAGGGCGGCGTGCCCATTGGCGCGTGCTTGGTTTCCAAGGACGGCAAGATCTTGGGCCGAGGCCATAACATGCGTGTGCAGAAGGGCAGCGCCGTCCTGCATGTTAGTAACACCTGCCGACCCAGAACCCTGCCTCAGAACCATGGAAGTAGGCACTGGAACACAAGCTAATGTCATATGCTAGGCTGAGATGTCCGCTCTCGAGAACTCCGGCCGTCTCCCTGCTTCGGCCTACGAGGGCGCTACCATGTACACCACCCTGTCCCCTTGCGACATGTGCACCGGTGCCTGCATTCTCTACAAGGTCAAGCGGGTTGTCATTGGCGAGAACCAGAACTTCGTGGGCGGAGAAGAGCTCCTCCTCAACCGCGGCAAGGAGGTTGTCGTCCTGGATAACCAGGAGTGCAAGGACTTCATGGCCAAGTTTATCAAGGAGAAGCCGGAGCTGTGGTAGGTCATGCTTTTTTTTTTTTGTCGAACAGCTTGGACGCAAGGCGGCAGAGGGAGTTGTTGATGCCATTTACAAGAGCTGTGCTAATCGCAATGCTCGCCGTACAGGAACGAAGATATCGCCGTTTAAAGACCATAGAAATTGATTTAGAAGCCCGAATAGATGCGGTGGGCGGGTCCATGAGTCCGCCCAAAATCATACTCATATTTCGAACAGGCGGATGAATGTTCTAATGTGTCGTGAAACTTTTTTCTAGACTTAGCGCCTAGGATGGGAATGTTTGAGAACCCGCCCATTTCATAAAACCAAGATTTAGACGCCTATTTCGTTAGACGGTGAATTTCCTCAAAGAAGAACTTGAGGTGCTCGGGGTCCACGAATGGAGTGACACCTGTTGCATATGTCAATATCGTAGCTCCTGTCTCAATGGATAGCCTCACGTACCGTGTCCGAGGTTGCAAATCCAGCCCTGCTTGCCCTTCTGGAATCCCTCAACCATCCGCTCCACCGTAGCAGTAATGGCAGGACGGCCACCGTAGAGCATACCGGGATCGGCATTACCCTGGATGGTTACCCGGCCGTTGGCGATCCGGAAGGCCTCGGCAGGGTCGTGTAGCCAGTCAAGACCGACAACATTGTACCCAGACTCGCAAAGGTCGTCCAGGGCGTACCAGGCACCCTTGGCAAAAACGGTCATTGGGACAGGCTCCAAGCCCATCTCCTTCAATCGCTTGGGCAGGTTGGCGGAAATGTGACGCAGGTAAGGCAGCGAGAAGGAGGCGAACGAAGCGGGCGACAGCTCGCCGGCCCACGAGTCAAACACCTGCACCAGCTGCGCGCCGGCCGCAACCTGGAGCGCCAGGTACTCCACACAGATCTCAGCAATCTTTTGCAGCAGTGCCTGCGACTCGGTCGGGTACTTGTAGACCCAGGTCTTAGACTGAATGAACATCTTGCTGCCGCCGCCCTCGACCATGTAGCACAGCAGCGTCCACGGCGCGCCACAGAACCCGATGAGTGGTACACGGCCCTTCAGCTTGAAGCGTGTGAGCGAAATTGCCTTGTAGACATAGTCAAGTTCCGCCTTCACGTCCACCGTCTTAGCCATGACCTTCTCGTACTGTCCGTCTGTTGGCGACTTGAGAGGCTCAGGGAAGTGCGGGCCCTTCTTGTCCACCATTTCCACCACCATGCCCATGGCCTGCGGGATGACCAGGATATCGGAGAAAATAATGGCCGCATCGATCAGGCCCTCGTAGCGGTCAATCGGCTGGAGGGTCAGGGTCGAGGCGATCTCCGGCGAGCGGCAGCACTCAAAGAAGTCACGGTTGGCCTTGGCCTCGTGATACTCGGGGAGGTAGCGACCGGCTAGAAATAATTGCATAAAAACAGTCAGATTGGTTGGGTTCTCGTGCACGATGGCAGCCTCGGACGTGGGGTCGAGCTCACCCTGTCGCATAACCCATATCGGCGGACGCTCCACCTTCTCACCTGCGATTGTCAGTGATCGTGTAGAGATTAGGAATGAAGAACTGAAGTACCCCGCGCGGCCCTCAGCAACAGGTCGTTCTTTAGCGGCTCGAATTGTTCCTGCATGGTGGGTGATTGAATAGTTGAAGAGGATGGGAAGTGGCGGAATTCTCGGGATACCGCGGGCCAGCCGAGGATTTGGCGGGAGGACCTTGGCTGGAGACGAAAGAATCGACACATCCTTCTACTGAAAGCAAGTAGCCAAGGTAGAAAGTCCCTCAGTCTATATTACGCTTCAACTAAAATCTGGAATAATTATGACACCATTCGCTACGACTGGAGGGATAGAACAGAGGATGCTCACCTCAGGTGGCACGCTCGACGTGCCGGAAGACCATAGATGCATCCGTGCAGCCAAAAACAACGCAATTTAATGCAATTGTAATTGTTTGCCATAAGAGGGCAACGACGATGAAGGGCTTGAATTATCCTCTCTGTCTAATTCAGTCCAAATCTGCATTCTTCAACCATAACAGCTTTTTAGGCTCTCTGGATAATAATTTTAGAAAAAAAAAAGGTGAGCAAAAAAGAATCAAACGTCACCTGCAGGATTCGAACCTACGCTCACGAATGAACGCCCTAACAAGATGTGGTGGTCCATATGGACTATCACTGAATAGCAGGGGCGCGCCTTAACCACTCGGCCAAAGTGACAATGGAGTTATAGACTTTGATTTTCATTCGAAACCCAATTGCAGTAGATCAGATGTTTTTCGGTGACCTATGGGATTTAACTGGTCACAAATGAACGCCCTCATAGTATATGTGTAAGCGGTATCAAGAAGTACACTCCTGAAAATAAATGACTAGAGGTAGGGCGTGACCACGGACAAAATGGTGGGTAGGTCACTACCGACATCAGAGTAGGAGCATCCAGTAAATAGGAAGCGAAGTATGAACCACACACAAAGAATTTTCCAAGGTTTAGTTGGCCCCCAAGTTTGGCTGTAATGGGTTTGCATGTAACCACAAGGTTGCCGGCTAGTTCGAAGGAATGCTGCTTCTTTCTTTATGGGTAAGGGAGGCTCTATCGAACTATAATCAAGATTCATCATCGATCAATTCTTGTACAAGATAGGCTGGACCTTTTTTGCTTCAAGGAGAATTATGAACTCAGGCACACTCAACTACCAGGTGGATTGAGTAGCTACTCCGGTATGACTTTATGGATTTTAGGGCTTACTGAAGCATAGAGGACCTTGTCATGGACCCGATGACCATACAAGGGTAGAGGAGTTCGTTCTGCGTACGGTTTAGTGAGTGATTTCACTAATATGTCTCCACTGTTGAGCCAACACGTATCGATAAATAAAAGGATATTGGTTATCTCATCAGTGAAGCATAGATTGGAGCTACATTTCAACACCAACTGGCCCATCTCAATTAATAAAGGGGTGCCCCCAAGGCAGCAAAGACCAATTACCCAGAATATTGGAAAAGTGAAGTGTGGAATACTTGGTAATCTTACAATTATTGCTGAAGCCACCATGTCATATACCTCTGCTCATTTGATGTGACAAGAGTTACGGCGGGCAACAGGGAGATTGTCAGACTTTAATCACCAGGTTGTTTTACTATTATCTTCAGCTCCGGTTTTGAGAATATTGGCTACCTTTTCTTCGCTGTTCGCTTTTAAGGTGGATATGATGGTTGCAGTAACTCGTAGTAGGCAGGTGCGTTGCTACTGGTATATCAAGTCTCGTTAAAATCTTCATCAATATGTCTGTGCATTCCTGTTTCACCAGGTTTACTCTCTTGGCTGAACGATGTGGAGACCGGTATACCGTAGAGGAATATTATATATGTACGTACAAAAAACTCTCCCCTTCAGTCGCCATAACTCTTCTTCCGAGTGTTACCCAGATTGTACAAAGCATCGTCAATTGCCTTCCTTGCCTTAGCTTCCAACGTGGTAGAGAGATCCGAGGTGCCCGCGGCATTGATGATGGCCAGTTTGGAATCTTCCGCAACGGACCACTTCAGGCTTCCCTCGAAAGAATTGGCCCGGAGACTTTCAAGGAGAATCTGGGGAGAAGCCGGGCCCGACTTCCACGTATCCGTACAGTTAGGCTCCCGTACAGTGTCCACCGAGACGACAACAGAGCCCGGCAAATCCATGCTAACCAGGTCCAGCACGTTTCCAGAAAGCTGAATAGTATCTTGGAGCGTGAGTGTGCTGTCACTTTCGAGTGAGTAGTGGAGGAGCTGAGAAGAGCTATTTTACCTATTAGCAGAAATCTTTTTGATCTGGATAGAGATCGAAACGTACCCTTCGAGGTTGACAAAGATTGCCCTCACAGGGTCCCTGGTACCCACCGGCTGGTCAAGAGAGATATCCCAGATTCCACTAACAACAGAATCCTGGAATGAATCACCCAGAAGGATCTTTTGAAGTAGCTCTCCTTCACTCCAGTTCCACACGAGCAAAAGGCCATCACCGCCGCCGGAAATTAGGACATTGGGCGCCCACGAAGGAACGCATATTTTGCTAACAAGCGAAGTGTGACCCAAGCATTGTTGCTCAATGACATGAGCCTGGGGAATACCACGAGACACCCGGATATGCTCATCACGATCCGCAGTCAGGATATAATTCCGTGGGCGACTCCCCGAAGGACCAGGCAGAGAGACGGAGATTAGATCGGTCAGCATCGAGACATGGCCAAGGATCAGCTGGTGCTCAAAGTTAAGCATGTTTTTCTCCTCTACTTCCTCTTGTGGCTTTTCAACACCTTCAGCCTTCTCAGCCTTTTCAGCCCTTTCAGCCTGGCGTAGCTGCTGCTCTAGCGAGAGTAGGTTGCGCTTCGAGTGCACAGTGAGTGTGGTAGCGGCTGGCTTAGAGGCTTTAACTTGGGCACGAGTCTTCACGTACTCCCCAGGGATCAAGGGCAAAGAATAGACGTCGCCGAACTTGTCAGCACAGAGGATAGTCTGACCATCAGGCGTCAGATCCAGTGCGCATGGCTTCTTGGGCATGTTTCTTCACTGACATTAATATTTGCTGATTGTGGGATAAAGGGGGAAGCACTTACCGAGAGCTCAGCTCCTGTAATTTTCCGTCTTCACTCAAGCTAAAAACTCGGATGCATTTGTCCTCAGCAGTCAGAGCAACTACATATTTGCCATCTGGAGATGCCAAGACCATGGGGATATTTGTCCAAGAGGGAGATTTGCTGTTGAGGATCTCCTCTGTAGGCTTCTCCTCAGCCTGAGTCTCAGGCGACGAGAGCTTTCTCCTCTTCTCTGGTGGCGCTTGATCCTCCGAAGTAGATTTTGGACCAGAAGCAACTTTGGAGCTGATCTCTACATGCTGGGGCCACACGTCCAGGCGCCGGCCGCTCTCGGCCTCGTAGCAGTAGATATGCCGGCCTGCGGAGGCGATCAACACATCAGAAAGACCTTGATGCTGTCGCTTGACATATTTCAAGCTCCGGAAGGGGTGTTGAAAGCTGGCCATAGTGAATGCCGGCTTCTCTCGACTAGAATCGGCAGAATTTGATCGGCGCGGGAGGCCGTGGTGGACTTGCGTGAAGTTCCGGGGTCAATTAGGTGAATCAATCGGTGGAAGAGACATTCACAAGAGACCAAAGAGAAGACCCAAATGATCAATCACAAGAGGGGAGCCTCAACTCTTTTTTTGTCGTCGCTCTACTCGGCTTCCCAAACGCAGCAAATCGACGGCTGCTCACGTGACCCACACTAGCCGAAGCGCACCACAAAAAAACTTTCCAAATTCGCACCTCCGCGACTTCTTCCTTCATTCAACAACCACCAATTGACTACCCTTAAACAGCCTATCTTCGTGCAAATAAGGAGAAATGGGGGCAAGTCCGCAACCAAGGCCGCTTACTTCGATAAGCTCAAGGCCCTTCTCGATGAGTACCGCACCGTCTTCATTGTCGGTGTCGACAATGTCAGCTCTCAGCAGATGCACGAGATCCGTATCACGCTCCGTGGCCAGGCTGTTGTCCTGATGGGCAAGAACACCATGGTTCGCCGTGCCCTCAAGGGTTTCGTCACCGAGAACCCTGAGTTCGAGCGTCTCCTGCCCCACGTCAAGGGTAAGTTCCTCGTCGCTTCGAATATTCGAATTCCTGCATTTCGGAGACCCGTCGACTAACTCGCATGTGTGCTTGTGTACAGGCAACGTTGGTTTCATCTTCACCAACGGTGACATGAAGGATGTCAAGGCCAAGATCCTTGCCAACCGTGTCGCTGCCCCCGCCCGTGCCGGTGCCGTCGCCCCCGATGATGTCTGGGTCCCCGCCGGTAACACCGGTATGGAGCCCGGTAAGACCTCGTTCTTCCAGGCTCTCGGTGTCCCCACCAAGATTGCTCGTGGTACCATCGAAATTGTGTCCGACCTCAAGCTTATTGAGGCTGGCAACAAGGTCGGTGCCTCTGAGGCTTCGCTGCTCAACCTGCTGAACATCTCTCCCTTCACCTACGGTATGAGCATTGCCCAGGTGTACGACCAGGGCCAGACCTTCAGCGCCGATGTCCTTGACATCGACGATGAGCAGCTCCTGAAGACCTTCAGCCAGGCCATTGCCACCATCACTGCTCTCTCCCTGGCCACCGGCATCCCCACTCTGCCTTCTGCCATCCACTCCCTCATCAACTCCTACAAGAAGGTTCTTGCTGTTGCTCTTGAGACTGAGATCACCTGGCCCGAGATTGAGGAGCTCAAGGACCGTATCGCTAACCCCGATGCCTACGCCTCTGCTGCTCCTGTCGCCGCTGCCGCCGCTACTTCCGGTGGTGATGCCCCTGCCGCTGCCGCTCCCGAGGAGGAGGCTGAGGAGTCTGACGAGGACATGGGCTTCGGTCTCTTCGACTAAGCGCCTTTTCCTTGATAGGATACGAAAGCCATGTGTTAGATACCTTATTTGACCCTAGCCCTGAAAAGGGCCGGGAAATGAAAAATGACTATGACTTGGCAACGAAGCTTAGTTGTTTCGCCCTTCAGACATACTTAATGGAACGTAGAAAACACGCTCCATTACCTGTCCTGACCAAAATGGTAAGCTTCACATCCCCCCCCTTTTTTTCTTTGCTATTTCCTTGCACACCGTCGATTACATATGTACTCGACTTGGCGGATGATGAAACATTTTTAACCCCGAGCATGCGTCTCCCGTGAGACCGCGCTGACGATTAAAAACGCAACAACAACACTCTAATTTTTTGCTGACGCCTTGCCTTGTTTTGCTCTTGCCTTACATTACATTTTTAATATGATTGAGGAGCAATTGCTGACTATTTCTCAGCTTCACAGATACTATACCTCACTTTAGCGCTCCTGGTATGTGCTACGTAGTCGTACGTAGAATAGTTGGCGTTTGGACTGGCTGGATTTGACATAGGAAGATTCATCGGGTTGAATAGTCATGGTATACGAAATGAAATGCATGGGTTGTATCATACAAGAAATTTCCATTGGTAGATGGACACCATTCCATCAGCTTTTCCGCCAGTAATACTTGACGTGAGATGATCAAGTCACCTCGACATGAGAAGGTAAACTCCAGAATCTATTTGTGGCATGCATGCTTGATCACAAAATTAAATAACAGCCCACATCCTGCAAAGAGGAAGGAAAGCAAGAAAAGGTATCTCAATACGTTTTAACCAGCTACGCAGCATCGTCGGCGCCACGCCCAAACCGTCCTCCAAAACCACCTAGATCACGCCGGAAGAACTTCCCAATATTCTTGAGATTCTCATTGAGGTTACCAGCTGCAGTGGTCTCCGATGAAGTGTGAGCATGACTGGCTTGCTGGACAGAGGTACTTGGCGCGGGAGAGGGAGCGCCAGTTGTCCCGGCGAAACCAGAGGTCGACGGGGGCGTGTTTGTCATACCAGGAACACCAGAAGCACCCAATGCGCCGAGGCTGGGGTTCCCGAAGCGGTCAACGCCATCCTTAGCGGCGGACATGATGGCAGAGCCGAGCATTGAGGCATCAAAGCGCGAAGGCATGGATGCGGTACCGCCGAGTCCCAGACCTTGTGAGACAGAGCCCGTCGTGGTAGCGGCAGGCGCTTGAAGAGATGTGAGGATCGGGTTGCTTTGTTGTAGACTGGATGCGTAGCGGTCCGATGCACGGTGCAGCTGGAAGAGTTCGACAAGGTGGTTTTGCTCTTGTCGGCTGCGAATGCCCTTGAGGTCGAGGATCTTGCGGAAGTTGTTGTTGTTTCGATCCGCGATGTGGATCAGATATGCCTGCACCAGGGCTTCGGGAGGTGATGGTCGGACTTGCAGCGTTTTGAGGAGGGTTTCGATCTTGAAGAAACTGCTGTTTACGCGCTTCACGAAGCCAGCTGGGGCGGGGGCAGGAAGGAGGGATGAGAGGCCGCTCTTGAGGGTATAGGAGTCGAGGAGCATCTAGGTAGACTTGTAAGCTTGCGGGGGCCCAACAGACAAAATAAGGATCATTAAAAACAGCACGTACCTGTTCAGCGCCTGTCTCTGAAACAGGCCTGCATTGGAAAATGTTGCTGATGAACAGACTCGACATCAACTCAACCAGATGGTCAGAGAAGGCCCGCGCATACTGCTGCTTATGCAACAATTGTAGGATCTCCGCGGTTTTATCCTTTGTTCGAGATACGAGCTCGCCAACATAGGAGCTCTGGTCACTGACAGCCTCCATCTTACTCCACGGCGTGTTGCGCATTTCTCGCCAGGATGGTTCTAGGTCGACCTCAACTTGCCGTACAAGCCCTCGCACAGCTGCAGAAGCAATGCCCATGAACGAATCTGCCTGGCTTTGTAGATCCACTGATTGTTTCAGGGACTCATCCAACCGACCCTTGATTTTCTCTTCCAGCTGGGTACATGTAGTGTAACAGTAATCAGCGGTGTTAAGAACGGAAATGAGGTCTTCAATGGTCGGTACTTTCGAGGGTGTGTGAGCGCTGGGCCGTTCACTGATATAGTTAAGGAGGACCTGCTGCGCATATTGATCCAAGTATTTCGCAAACACCTTAGCCAACTCGGCCAGACTGCCACCTGTTGAGAGTTTCGCGCATTGTTGCAAAGATTGACGATAGAATGTGAAAAGTTCAGTCGAGGAGGAGATCACAATGTGCGAGTTGAACTCCTCATCTAGGGGCCTCAGAGGCTGTTGGCGGTACTTGGGTAACAGCGCGGCGAGCTGCTTGTCCTGTGCATCCACCCAAACGCTCAGATATGGTTCGAAAGCCTCGGAGATAGACTGACTGAACACAGGTGATTCATTTGAGGAGGCGAAGGTGTCCGTGGATAGGCGCGAAGGCGCAAAGCGACTCTCGAGTGAATGCTCAAATTCAAGCGTTTCTTGCAGGCACGAGAGCAGTAGATTGACATCAATAACCTGTCCGCTGCGCACTGACCGGGACAAGATGCCTTTGAAATCATCCCGAGTACCCTCACAGAAAACGTTGGCCAAGATTTCGTTAACCCGCCAGGAGGCCGGAAAGATAGCAGCGTTCTCCTCATCATAGATCTTCAGTATGCGCCGGAACCACGAATACCTGCGGGAAATGTTGTCCAATGACCCGGCTTCTTCGTTGTTTCGGAAGACCTGGCGGTACTCACGAAGCTGGGTATTGCAGTACCAGGTTACTAGTCTGGACCGAGCGTGCTCGCCTAGTGCATCTACCACCTGACATGCCTCCGAGAGCATCCCGCGCTTCTGAGCAACTTCGCCCTTAGCAAAAGCTATTTCAAAGTCCTCACAGACCTGTTCCAGAAGGTCCCGCTGGATCTCCGCCACATTTCGGCTCAGGATCGCAATTTGGTCGATCGATCGGTGTGACTTGAAATGGGCCATTAGCTGGATCACCGCCTGCAGAAGCTGCGCGCAGTCTCGGTATTGTCGCGTTCGACTGAGAGCTTGGAGCTGATCATATGCGGTGGTGAGCATCTGTAGCCGCTTCAGCGCCGTCATGGACAAAGTGAGGTTCCTCTTCGCATTGTCTAATTGCTTGATGTCGGCCGTCATGTCCGTGATGGCTTGCTCGGTCTTCATCGCACGCTCCCGCACGTCGTCGATCTTCTTGAACAGCTCCGACAAATCAGCTTTCGCTGTCTGGATACGTTCCACACTGTCCGCATTGGAGGTGACCTGCTCCTCGACCAGGATGCTGATCTCGTCATCCAATTCATCTTCGTATGTGTGGAGGGTGCCGGAGACCTGGGAGACGGAGGAGAGGGTAGAGGGATGGGAGAATATGGCGTTTAAATGGTCGACAGGATCATAGTCCACTGAAGGTTCACCACACCGAGTTAGTATTAGGTTATGCGAACAGCAGTGGTTGTCGGTCCGTACCTGCATCCAAGGCGTCGAGGGTGGGCTCCTCATTTGGCGGCATATGGCCGGTGGTCGAGACTGTAATCGCAGTCATCCCATGGATTCTTCAAGCCAGACTCATCCTGCTCTTCACCGAGAGACAATTCCTGTGACAGGCCAATGCCGACTGTGTGAGGACCGAGAAGGCGGGAATTGGGGAATTAGAGTTGCTCGGACCAGGCGCGGGTCGCATGTCTCCCGGGCCAGCTTGGCATCTTACGCAACCCTACAAACATCGGAAAGTATAGCCTACAACGACAGAACTAGAACTGCGGATTGATTTTTGTTGTGTGGCCTGCAAATGAGCGTTACGAACACTCACAGCGGCAAGGGCTTGGGCTCCCTAAGGTCATCAATAATCAGGGGTTGGGCCTCCGAATAATCGGAAGCCATACTGGTAGTGGGGATTCAGCTACGTCAACGGGACCAACCACAATACACGCAATCTCATAGTAGACCATCTTTTTGAAAATTTGCAACTATGGTTTTGAGAGATATTTCTCTTCGTCCTTAACCACATGTGGCAGATGTTAAACTAGAATACAGAAAAACAAATTTATAAAACCCTTGCCCATTCGCCCGAGCCATGCAAAATTCAGAAAGCCACCTCGGGTGCCATGTTTCCTTGTAGCATACAGCTCCACCGCAACTCCAGAATGTCCTCGCAGTCATATGTAAGGTCTTTTATAGCGGTATGATCGAAAGTAGATGTGTGAGCCAGCGAACGAGTCGTTGAAGCCGCTTAGGCGGCAGAGAGAAAAGCGGTAGCGGGAAGCGTGCCCGACGCCTGGAAATCAAGTTACTACCAGATCTTCGTATATCATTTCAATCGAGTATGCTTACCTTCAGCTCTTCGAAATTCTTCCATGCGGCATCAAGATTCCAGCCATTGCCTGACAAAGCCATTTCCGAGAATTGAAGCGTCATGCCGGACTTGGCGCTCATCTGTGCGACCAGCTGCTCCTGCTGAACTTGAATATCGGTTTTTCCAGGAGCAGGAGCACCGTATCCATTGGGGATGCCAGGCTGGGCAAGGAGTGCGGGTGCGAGTGCGGGTGCGGGTGCGGGTGCAGGCACAGATGCAGGCGCGGGTGCAATGGGAGCAGTTGCGGTTGCCTGAGGGATAGCCTGGTTCTCCGGACTCCATGCCTCGAAACCACCGTATGCGCGAAGACACAAAAGGTCACTTATAACTCGAATCCCACCCACACCACCACCGGGGCCAATAACGAATGTTCTATCGAAGCTGCGCGTCTCAACCTTGCCTCCAACACTCTCCTCAAACTCTCCATGAACCATGACCATGAGACCACCTACACCGGTAGGACTTTGCCCATGAGGGTCAGGAAGTCCAGGGACCTGGTGGCACTCGATAAGGTACTTTTCTGGGCGGGCTGCCATGTCGGGGTGGCGGGTTTGCGGAAGGGTGTTCCACAGCTCAGAGATTTTGTCTGTGCCCACAAAGGTACGCGACATGCGAGCAGGGAGGTGACTGATTTTGAGGAGGTTCCGGCTCTTCTTGATGTATGGATCCCAGCCTGCCGCTTCCGTCTGCTGGGCCTTCGGAGCCTGAGTGTTGATATTCATGGTGAACGTGGAGTGATTGTCGTAGACGCTCTTAACGAGATCGTTGCGAGAGTTGTCGAAGCCCGTGAAGAAGGCGCGGATGAAGTTCTCCCCGATCTGGCCTTCATCCTGGAAGTGGGGTGGCTGAACAGGAATGGGTGTCTTCTTCTGAGCTGCAATATCCTCTGCGGTGCGAACGACGACGTTGTTCAGCGTTTGCAGCTTAGGGTACCATTTTAGTAGGGTTTCCTTGAAATTTGGCTCGGCACTAAACGGGTTCTCAGTCAAATCGAGGAACTCGAGGTTGCGGAACTTCCAGCGCCATGCCATCACGGAACGGGAATCCTTGAGATTGTTGTGGGATAGATCCAGGTTCTTGAGATCCGGAAACGTTTGAGCGAGCGTTGTAACAGCCGTGATGTTTGTGAGTTGGTTGTGAGCTAGGCTAACACTCTCTACCGCCGCCCGTCGCTGAGCCGGGTCGTCGAATCCCATTTCCCAAACCTTCATCAGGGCAGGAAAGAATTTGGATTCAGTCGAAGTCTGGTTGAAAATGCCCATGGCCACCAGATCTGGATCGGATGCGAGTTTCGAAAGGTCGAGAAGTTTGGTGTCCGGATAGTAACGCTTGCTCAGGATCGTCGTCATCTTGGACTTGGTATCGGCAGTAGCAGCGGAAGTGCCGTTGGTGGTACCCAGTTCGCGATCGAGTGCTGCACTTGAAGAGGCATCGTAAGGTTCCACGACGACGTGGACGCCAGCGAAAAGATTGCCATTAATCCGAAGCATCCTGTCTGCCAAGTCGGGGCGAACGAACACAACGAGAGAGTCGCCCTCGACGCGCGACTATGATCGAATGTTAGCAAGGCACGAAGGACCTTGACAACCGCGGCCACTTGAAAGAACAAATTCCAGTGATGCCCAAGGAATGCCGGCCGTCGTGCTGAGAGAAAGGCCATCCTTGGAAACACAGAACACACTGGATCGGGTGGCGTCGAGATTGGTGATTGATGATCGCCCCTTCGGATGTTGAACATACCTTTGTGATTTTAGCGCGGGGTCCTGATTTCGTATGGGCGTTCATTCGTCTCTCGATAAACGCGACAAGGCTTTCGACACCACCGTCGCGGTTGGTTGCAGCCTTGCTGGCCTTCCAGCCACGAACGCTGAACTGTTCAAGGCTGCTTCCACCACCGCTTTTGCCCTGTCGGATATTGACCTGAGAATCCTTGGTGTTTGAGATCGCTTTCTGGATCGCTTCCAAAGTCTTCTCGCGTGCCTGCGGCCGATCCCCCACGCCAGAGCGAGTGGGACGACCAGCGCCAGTCGGACGAACAGCGCCACCGCGACCACGCTTGCCTCCACGAGCACCAGATGCATCCATGTCCATATCGCCATCTCGGTCGGTGCGAGTCGGGCCCCGCTTGCGAATGCCCCCGCGGTCACCACCGCCTGAACGGCGGGACTTCATGGTCTTCATAATGCTCAAGAGAGGAGGAAGAGGCGAAAAATGGGGGATTTGCAAGTGTGCGGAAAGTAACAAAGAGCGAAAATTGGCCTGAAGCCTTCGTAAAGCGGGTTGCGCGTTGCGCGCCTCAGATTGAGCAGAAAGATTCGATTCGCATGCGGGTATATCGCAGAGTTGTCGAAAGGAAGGGAGCGAGAGAGACAAATTGGGGGAATCACAGAGACCAGAAGATGAGAATAAACGAGTAAGAAGCGATTTAGGCAACGGCTGCGTGCCTACAGCTTTTTCAAGGCAATCGCGGCGTGAACCGTTATTGAGCCCCAAAAAAAGTGACGCACAGATCACGTGTGCCATTGATATGCAGCTAGGCTGCCATCAGGTGACTTAAATCTATGAGTCAGCCTCCTACCTCAGTGCAGCCAATCAGCATTTGTCCTCTGTCCTTTCTGCCGGAATTCAGAATACGGTAATTCCCATACAATCGGCCCGCCCTTTGCTCCGTTTGAGTATACGGCCGCTGTCGATCTAGCCAGCTTGCTGCTAGCATCCTTGACGGGCTCGATAAAGAACAGGGCCAACAGGCAATTGAGTTGACTCTGGTTAGGTATGTTATTTGGCCTTGAGGATCGATCCTTCTCCCACGGCGAAATTCCCCATTCGACCGAAGCAGCTTGCGCGTTTCACGGCCCCCCTCGGGCTAATGTCTCCACGTACTCTTTAACAGGAAACACACGCAACGCTGCCCTCCACTCTTTTCTTGAGTCTTTGGCTCACCACATGCTTGTCCATTGCTCCGCGAGATGGCCGCAAAGTCGCGATTCACGAGGCTAGACGCCTTTGCTAAGACAGTCGAAGATGCGCGCATTCGCACTAACTCCGGCGGCATCATCACCATAGCTTCGTTGCTGGTGGTGCTATGGCTTGTGTGGGGAGAATGGGCGGACTATCGCCGGATTGTGGTCCAGCCAGAGCTGATTGTTGACAAGTCAAGAGGTATGCATTGCAAACTCAATTAAAAATGCTCGCGGCGAGCCGATGTCTTGAAAGGAAGCTGACATGGACGGGGCTTGCCTTGAGCAGGAGAGAGGATGGAGATCCATTTGAATATGACATTCCCGCGGCTGCCTTGCGAGCTCTTGACGTTGGATGTTATGGATGTGTCTGGTGAAATGCAGGTTGGCGTGGCGCACGGTGTGAGCAAGGTCCGTCTAGGCCCGGTTGCGGAAGGAGGTCGAGTGATCGATGTCCAAGCTCTCGACTTGTGAGTTTATTCCCGGCAGGGAACTTTCAATTCCAGCGGTTTCCTACCAATCCAGCAAGTTGATCACGAGCTCACCTACTCTTTCCATTGCGTTCTAGACACTCTCCAGCTGATGCTGCCGCGCACCTGGACCCGGATTACTGTGGCGAGTGTTATGGAGCGGATGCGCCCCCTAATGCGTTGAAGGCAGGCTGCTGTAACACCTGTGATGAAGTGCGAGAGGCATATGCGACCAAGCAATGGGCGTTTGGAATTGGTGAGAATGTGGAGCAGTGTACGCGCGAGGGATATGGCGAAAAGCTGCTGGCCCAGCGGCGAGAGGGTTGCCGCGTTGAGGGCGTCCTGCGAGTCAACAAGGTGGTGGGCAACTTCCACATTGCGCCGGGGCGCAGCTACACAAGCGGCAATATGCATGCGCACGATATGGACAATTATTTCATGCGAGATGCGCCAACTCCGGAACATCACACTATGACCCACGAGATCCATGAGCTTCGATTTGGACCTCAGCTTCCTGCCGAGCTTGCGGACCGCTGGCAGTGGACCGACCATCACCACACCAACCCGTTGGATGATACCAAGCAGTCCACAGAGGAGCCTGCTTTCAACTTCATGTATTTCATCAAGGTTGTCTCGACTTCCTATCTTCCCCTCGGCTGGGATCCGACTTTCTCGTCTGCCATCCATACCGCCTATGATAAGGCGCCTCTTGGCTCCCACGGCCTTGCCTACGGTGCTCAGGGCAGCATCGAGGCCCACCAGTACTCTGTGACCTCCCACAAGCGTCCGCTCGTGGGCGGCGACGATGCTGCTGAGGGTCATAAGGAGCGCATGCACGCCGCTGGTGGTATTCCCGGTGTCTTCTTCAACTATGATATCTCTCCCATGAAGGTCATCAACCGCGAGACTCGACCTAAGACTTTCATCAACTTCTTGACCGGGGTTTGTGCCATTATTGGTGGCACCCTGACTGTGGCCGCGGCTCTGGACCGCGGTCTCTACGAAGGTGGCATGCGTATCAAGAAGTTGCACTCCAACTGAATTTTGCCTCGGTGTTCCGGAGGAGAGAGAGACACTGACGGCATCGCATACCCACCGCAACCCCCAGCCTGAAAAGGAAAGGAAAGACATGGGAGGCAAGTGGGCATTCGTGGCGTTATTGGGATACCTCTATATATTGAATTTCGTTTCGTTTCGTCGTGTCTTAGGTTGGAGTGTGTGTACTACGTTATCAAACGACATTGGTTGTTTTGCAGGGCAGATATTCGTTCTATGTTCACCGCCTTGAGCTTCAATAGTCCCGCATGGCATTGTGACTAGGGCCTCACGCTCTGCTTCAGTAAGCTTAATGAGAACACCACCAGGCAAAGTAGCTTCTCAATCCTCCTGGAAGAGCTTAGAGGTTCGCTGCGGAGCTGGTACTCAACAACACCATGGAAAACCCACGCAAAGTAGAAGCACAATCCAAACCCAGGATATCAGGAAATAAAACAAGAACACAGTTCCCAAGTGAAACATGCTGAAAGACCTATATATTGAGATGTTCCTACAGCACAGGGATAGATATACTATAGGTACAGCGTACAACTTACAAAGGTCCACTGAGAAAATAGCCTGCAGCAAGCAATCCATTCTGTACGCATCTCTCGACCGAAGGAATCTAGATAATCAAGAATACAGACAAAAACACAAGGGGTCAGATCAACAAAGAAAGGCTAAAGGAGATGAGGACAAGCAGTAGCAGCATGGCCTAAGCGATAGCAATAACAAAATGATAGCAAAGCAGACCGCACGCAAAAGAGAACAGAAGAACCTATCGCGCCAGACCGATATGCAACTCCATTCTGATGCGCAATGCAAGAACTAGGAAAAAGAAAAAGAGGCAAGCAAATGAAATGATAGGAGCGAGTAATGAGGGCAGATCAATGAGAGAGGAAAAATGAAGGCGGAGGACCAAGAACCGTCGAACTATGCAGGAAGTCTAGATCTAAGGCGGTAGGTAGATATGCAGTTTGAAGTTTGGACATGGAAGAAAAGAGCTGGAAGGACTGTGGCGGGACGTGGAGTTGAGTTGGGACCAACTCAATGGAAAAGATAGGAGATCGTAACATTTTATGGATGCATGGTGCTGTGGTTGGCCGGGTAGCCACCCTGCTGAGCAAAGTGCTGGCTCTGTTGGTAACTCGGCGGTGTCTGCGAAGCCTGGGCGAGCTGGCCGTACCAAGACCTGCGGCGGGGCTCGTCGGAGCGGTTCATCTGGTGAAGGGCGTCCCAGGTCTGGCTGGCGCCAGGGAGATTGTACATCCCATCCCTAGTCTGGGGTGGGTACACTGAGCCAGCGTACTGAGACGCATATTGCTGCTGATGCTGTTGCTGATGCTGCTGGCGCTGAGCAATGGCATGCTGGACCATTTGGTTCGACATGCCCTCCTTCATCTCACGCTTCTCGCGCTCGCGGGCATCGATTGTCGATACGAGACCCATGGGGTTCATTTGCGGCTGGGCCTTGTTGCTGTCACTCGACAGGTCGAAGAACGAAGAGCCGGTCATGCGTGCGACGTGCTCCCGTTCGCGAGCAGAAAGGTGGTTTCCCACGTCATTGTAGTTGGTGAGCATCGTGTTGGTACCACGAGAAGAGGGGCGGTAATTGGGATCTTGATAGGTCATGCGTGAGCTAGGCCGAACATGTTGCGCCCAGTCTCCCGATACTGGCCGGACCGGTGGTGGGGTGTTGTTTGATGAGGCACGCTGGTGCATGTGCACCGGAGGGCTGGGTGCGGCTCGCTGTTGCACGAACTGCTCCGGAGTAAGACCGCCTCCTGGAGTGGTGGGTCGACCACTCGCCATACCAGGCTGCCACAGAACACTTCTTCGGCGCTCTTCTTGACTCGGGGACCGATTGTGACCACGTTCCATAGGGTTGGTTGGAACTGACAACTTGAAATCAGATTCGTTTCGCTGGTGTGACGCTCTTTTCAAGGTATCACCTGTGCTCGGACGGCCGGTGGTGGGCATGTAAGTCAAGGTAGGGCCAAAATCAACAGTGGGAATATCTGGGTTGGCCTCGACTGGCTTGTCGGTCGAGTAGTGAGCGTCACCAATGACGAGATCCTGCTTGGCTGGCACTCCAACAGTCTTCATGACACCCATCCGTTTCGCAGACTTCTTGCTGTAAACAGATTCATGGGTGCTGGCGTAGTCAGGCGTTACGGTAGATGACGCATCGCCATACACGCTCTCTTCCTCGTTTTGGGTTGGGGAAATAGGAGATGGAAGGTGAGGGGCGACTCGGCTAAGCGCATCTTCATCGAGGGTATGGCGCAGGTCGTCAAAGCTAGGCTCTCCACCATCAGGTGACAAAGGTGGCTCCCCAAAGAGCTGTTTGTGAGGAAGGGGTTTACGCCTGACTGCCTTGACAGTATCAATTTGTAGGTTTCGCTGAGGTGAGGGAGTTCCCCCGGAACTAGGGGTGTCCGGAAGGGCCTCCGATGTAGGAGCATGGCGCACAGGGAACGCAAGACCGATACCCTCGTCACTAGATCGATTCCTAAGTGGAGACCCCCTCGATTCAAGAGATTGCGAAGAGTAGGCGTGGTAAGAAGCATGGTAAGGCGCCTGATTTTGGGGTCGTTCATTGTTGCTCAGTTCGGCCTGTTGCGGGTGGTGGTGGTCCTGGTATGCAACTGCAGCACCGCTCATTCCCATACCTGTTTTACCAACCTGGTGGAATTGCATCAGAGTTGTGTGAGACATTCGGTTGTTAGCGCGTCTCTGCTCGTTGCTCGCTTCAGGGCGGTTGGTGGGCATTTCTCGAGGGCCATGAGCAAAAGCAGGTGGGCTGAGGACGGGAGAAGGCGGCGTTCGGGGCGGAAGCTGTTCGCCAAGAGCAAATGGTTGTGCAGGCACACCGGAGTTACGATCACTTTCAGAGCTCGTACGTTCAGCGATGGGAGCAGCCAGAGCTTGCGTCCGGTCACGTTGCACCAAATCTTGGGCCGACGAGTCGGGCGAGCTTTCAACCATAGAACCGTAGCCGGGCCTGGGGCGCGTCTGCAGTCCTGTGATGTCCGACATTCCCCTAGAATGATAGATCACAGGATCATTCTTTGGAACTTCATGAATGATGGCCTCTGCAGAACGGTTAAACTCGGGTTGGGTCTCCGGAGAGAAAGGTTGGCGGAATGCGTTCAAGGGGCTCTCGCCAGGGCGACTGCAGATGCTGGCACGGTAACGAGGCCGACTGCTGTTGACGCTGTTGGTTCGACTCCTGCCGGTGCTCATCCGCTGTTGCGCCGCATCCTTCAACTGTTTCCTCCACTCGGCTTCGCTCCACTCCTGGCTTCCGGGATTTTGAAGGAGATTCGTGATATCCAAAATATCCAAGTACCCATAGCGACGTTGCTTGGGAAAGGCGAACATGATGCTTTTAATGTGGTTCACGTCGGCTACAAGGCGCGTTGGACGGCCATAAAGGTTGAAGGTATCGAAGGTGGGGAAAAGGAAGCGAAGCATCATCTCGAAGCCGGAGACAGCAGCGTGCAGCTCTGGCATGACGAACACAAATCCTTCCGTTGACGCCTGGGATCCCGAGTGTATAGTGATCCGGCCTTCCAGCTTCACCAGAGTAGATTGATCGATGAGTGCCTTGGACTGAGGGTAAATCGCATACGCCGAGTACACGTTGGTCACCGTCGCGATCGGCTGCACCTTTTTGGTCTTCTTGGTCTCGTAAAATTTGATGCATCCAGTGACTGGAATCGAAAGACGGTCGTAGGCGGACTTTTTCATCAACTTCCGAGCCTTATGGAGTTCCTTCTCATCTGGCGGGCTAATCACGAACCAGCATCGCCTCCAGGGCGTTCCCGCACCAAATCGCACCCGCGCCCAATCCTCGTACTTAAACTTGGTAGGAGCCAGAATGGACTGGATGCCATTGAGGGTTTTACCTTTGGCAGCAATAAGCGAGCCGGTGTACGCTTCATACAAAGAGGTATGTTCGTACATCGAGAGGCGAATCGCCGCAGTCCACTGAGTCATCGAATGGAATGAGCTAAAATGCAGCAAATATCGGTTTTTCCCTGCGGACGATAGACTAAGGACGTTCTTTAACGGTTGCACGGCTCCGTTCCTGATTGGCAGTGTTTCGATCTGGGGGGCAAAATCATGGATTAGCTTATGCTTTGCGACCGCGCCCGGGCTCACACCCCATAATCCAAAGAGAAAAACAGAAAAGAAACCCCGAAAAGGACCATACCATCTTAATTGACGCATCTGCGAGGTTGATAAACGTTGCCGGGACCTCTTCCCCGCCCGCTGCGTCCAGCGCAGCAGCATCCCAGAGGGAGAGGACGGTTCCGACGAGCTGCGCATAGCATTCCACCCACTGTCGATCGGCCCAAGGTCGCCCGTCTGCGCTTTGCAATCAGCCCACTTTTCCCCGCAAGAAATGTATACCCTTGGTCATAGGGATTCAAACATACGGGAGTCCTGGTCATTCAACTTCAAAAAGTAACCTTCCTGGTAGACCTTGTTGGTGTGGATATTGAGGAAGGAGAAGATCGGCGACAGCTCCGGTGGGGTATCATCCTCATGGGTCATCAGCGGCGGATTGCGCGAGAAGATCATCGACGCTGGCCGCGAACCAATTCCCTGACCTCGTGGAGTTGAGCCACCACCCGGTGACAATTCGGAGGGGGTGACGGGGTATCGGGTGAAGGAGTCTGCCACCGCGGAGGTGTTTCGACGGGCGTCACGTTGCGGGAGGACCTCTTACTCTCCTTCCCCGAGCCATTGCTCTTTGGGCCTCCCAGGGCTGATATAAACGAGAGTACTAGAGCAGGGACGCAAGGGCGAGTCAATAATGCAGTTCCGCAAAAAGCTCCGACGGAGCCACCGATCAACTGAACTTACCACGCGAGCGACCCATGACGTCGAGCGAATGAATCACCAGCCAAAACCACAATCTGGCCTTCAACCAGTGCTGGAAGCGCTGTGCGACCTTTGAATGGAGAGCAGAGCAGAGACCGTGAAGATACAGGGGGGTTGAGTAATATTCCAGAAGGCACGGCAGCGCACGGTCTTGGGTTGGAGGGTGTGGAGCTGGGAGGCAGGAAACCCACTGGAACCAAAACACAGAGGAGCCGGTTAATCCATGGAGGGAAGGAGGAGGGCGAAGGGTGGGAAGTTGCACGGGGGATCGGGGGGATAAGAATAGGACCCAAGGACCCCAGAACCCAAGAACCCTAAAAAGTAGGACCAGGGAAGTCGGTAGGCGGGTGGAAGGTCTGGTGGACAAGCGCCGCCAAGCGGGTGTGATGACGTTGCGGCCTTGGTTTTAATCGCGGTGAATATAAGCAGCGGGAAGTGAGTGGCGGGGGAAGATGAAAACAAAAGGCAGTTGGGGAATGAAGAGAGTGAATGAGAGTGAAGAGAGCAGTAGGTGAGAAGGAATTATGCCATTGAGGAGGCAAATGGGTTGGCATGCGCCGTGGGTCTGGCTGGAGAGGCGCGTAGGGACGATGCTGCAGGCCATCACCAACCCACAGGGCCGGGGACTGGGCTACACTCAGGAGGGAGTATTAGTTATGCTTACCCACGCAGTCTACGGAGTACTCCGTTCTAGCGGTCGACTATTGGCAGCTGGTGGGACAACCCGAGGGGCTAGGTGACGCAAATAATCATCGATTAGTTTAAAGGAGTAACTCCGTATCCGTAGTTAGTTAGTCCGTAGTAGTCAGTAACTAGTGCATGATCATCATTACCGCGGATATATGCCTGCCTACTCCGTAGTGATTTGTGTGAGACCCAAGCTGAATCCGCCACTCTGCTCAGATGGCGAGAATATGAAATATCTGCCGGAATGGCCCGCAGCAGGAACCAGCAAGGAAAAAAAAAAAAAAAAAAGAAGCGGCTGCGTCATGCTGGACCCTCGGTGGGTGGGATCATCAGTGGAGGGCATCCTGTCTTGGTCCCAAATTTAGCAGTGCGTGTCTTAGCCAAGTTTAACTACTCCGGCTGTCGGTTTGTCATTGCGAGAGCTGGCCCTTTGTTTCTACTCCGCACTCAATACTCTTCTGAGCCAAGTACGCTAGCACTCCTCTTCTTCGGTTGTTCGGCTGGTAGACACGCCATTTCTATGGAAGATTTGATCTCCCCTGCCCACGCCGTCCACACCGTTTTCCGTCCCCTCTTCTTCGCCACCCCTCGACCAGGACTCACCACGCACCATGCACCACTCACTACGGAGTACTCTCGACGAACCAAGTTTTCCCGCTTGTGTGATCTAATGCATGGCCAGAGCGGGTCAGCGCGGCCAAGGACAGTTGTTCCTTCCCTCTTTATTCTGCCGGGACGCGCAACGCCTGCGCCGGAACGGACTGCCACATTGGCCGAGACGCGCCCACCGCCGGCCCCTGGGCGGTCCAAGCTACGGGTTGATTCCAGGGCTACCCGCTATCCTGGTTGGCCCTCGCTGGCAGGCAGGAGGCAGGCAGGCAGGCAGATCAGGCTCGGTGGCCAGCTGCAGGCGATCATCCCCGTGCCTGTCGCGCTGGATACCTGCCGCTGGTCGCCTCGGGTTCAGGCGCGAAAACCCGACTCACGAACACGCACGAACATGCTTATTAGCTCTCGGGCTTTTCCTCGCACTCCTGCGTTAGACCCCTCCGCCACCCCAGCCACAAATTGGCACTCAAGCCTAACCGATGCTCCTAGGCTGCTAGCTGCTAGCTGCTCTTGGGGTGAGATCTTGGCCCGCCTGATCAAAGGCCGGCCGGCACTCACGTCCGGGTGCTTCCCCCTCTCCCCTTCTGATCTTCTGATCTGCCGAAGATGGGCCGGGTGATTCAAGATCGGCTACATTGCTTTCATTCCCCAGGAGAACCCTGCCCCCATTCTTGCCACGGAGCATGCAGGTATTTGTAGCTGAAGCTCCCGACGTACCGTACGGACTACTGCGCGCAAGATGAACTAACTACAGTTAATAGGGGGTCAGGGTGTCATCGCCGTAACCCCAAACTACAATACCGAGCGCACGTAAACACTGTGGCGCCGGATAAACCCGGTTCCAGTTAGGCGTCCGACAACAAATGCCTGCCTTTGTTGACGGGCTTTTACTAGTTATCATTTCTATGATTTATTATGGATTAATTAACTCCGGCGAGCAGGGTCGGGGTCTTCCGGCAGGATTTACAGAGCATCTTCGACTGTGTCTTTGCTTTGGTCATGGGATTCTTGCCCGCCCTTGAGGGCCCGAGGCCTTGGCACATGGCATGGCGCGGGGGTAAAGTCACGCAAACGTGGGTGTCACATTATGGGGTCCCGCGGGTCATCCCTTGCGGAGGGGACTAATAATAATTCACCCCCACCACCCCCCCACTTCATTCCTGCACACATCTTTTCCGGCTCACGTCCATATAAACTTATAGTTTGCATGCAGTCCACGTCGCAAATAAGCAACGTCTGCCTCTGCCTACCAGATCACACACAACTAATCTGCTAATTAAGTAGGGTTCCACCAGGAACCACCTCCACTAGAAACAAAAACAGAAAGATATGCTCATCATTCCAACTAGTCTAGTTCTTGATGCGGTAGGTAATTCAGAACATAATTTGATCGGACCTCTCTGCTTAATCTAGATATGGAGCCAGGATCACGTATAAAGTTACTCTTGACATGTCACTGTAGACTTTGACCTCTCTAGCGAGCGTTTAAGAAGAGATAAGCACAGCGTGCTAATGCATATTTGTCATCTTCATCTGATCCTTAGTGTATTCGAGCGAGTAGTAGCACTCTACTCGAAGCTCCTTTGACGCTTAGTAGTGCCAGAGTTGAAGCTCGCCCCCTGTGTGCATTACTAGTATTGTCCACAGTGGCACTCATTTTCTATACTAAGACGCGAGGGTTTGAGCTCTGAGCTTTTCTTCTCCCTGAAGCATTTCCCAGGTCGCTTTTGATGGCCGTCATCATTTCCAATCTGACCTGCTCAGCCCTTGGTCCTTTCCCCACCAGTCGTTTTTGACACCCGTCAGAATCCCATTCTCGATCTTGCCCTCGCCTCTCCCTGAGCAGCTGCTAAGCCGGTTGAAACTAAGGCAACGGTTAGACAGGGAGAGGGTTAGACAGACGTCGAGGGTGAGGCGAGGCCAAGATCAAGAATGGGATTTCTGACGGGTGGTCAAAAACGACTGGTGGGGAAACGACCAAGGGCTGAGCAGGTCAGATTGGAAATGTTGACGGCCATCAAAAGCGACCTGGGAAATGCTTCAGGGAGAAGAGAGGTCCAGGGGCAGAAAAGTTGGGGGAAAAACGAGGGAAGGTTGATCCGGGCAGGGGAGCCAGTATTTATATCCATAATTCTTTAAAAAGCGAACGTAGCCAACGGGTTATAGACAGAACTAATGCCTATAATTTGGTACAGTGCCAGTAGGAGCTTGTTCATGGGATGGCATGTTGTCTCAGAGTAGGTTGCCCTTGAAGATGAATGTAGCTGCTTTGATAACTGACTTTAGCGACGTATCTCGCAGTCTCTGGAATGGTTCACTAGGCTCCTAACTTATGCCGTGCTAGCTTTGTATGAATGATTGCAAACAGAACTCAAGCCTGCATACAAAGCACCAAAAATCCGCACCATGGTTGTCTGCCCGTCCCTCGTGATACCAATATGTCCCAGGGGCTATCTAACATGAGAATGTCTCGATCGGCCATCAATCTACTAACAAACACGTGAATGATTATGAAAAAAATATTCCATAGACACTCTTGCCAAGCCTAGTGCAAGCTTGGTAGACTGTACTAGATTATACTGGCCCCAGGCAGGAATCTGGGTCGCCAGCCAGATTCCTGCATCTGTAACACAGCTGAACGGGACTCAGTAAATAGTTGTGAATGCTGCAAACTAGACGTCGATCGCGGCCTGTATGGTGGCCCAGCGGGCTGTTCCGTATTGTACGTAAGTGCGAAACACGCATGGGTAGTGAATTGGTACTAACTGGATGCCAGGTCACTGCGAAAGAGACGCTGCGGCTGTATCTGATCTATCATGTTCAATGGTCATTGTATTCACCATTGGTTGGTCGAGCCATTATATGTGTTCCTTCATAGACCATTTTCACTGGCAGCTTCTTAATATCTAGCTAGTTACCCGGCATCAGCAGCTCAAATCTGCATGCTGGGGCTGATATATCGAGAGTGGCGAGGTTGTGCGATGAAGGTCCGAATCAAAACATGGGTTGACCATAAGATGATAATCCTGGTGGAGTATGTCAACGAATGAGTACATTAACATGGCCGGCTTCCACAACCTTGTCCTACTGAGCAAGCCCCACCAGTGCGCTGTGTCGACGAGTCAACACAGCGTGAATCCGCAGCTTATAGAGAAGTACGCGCAAGAATAGATTGACCAGTACAGATAATATTGTGAGTGCATGAGAAAAGCTATCGTGAAATCGTAATGGCGGTCCCAAAACAAACTCCACGAAGCATATATGGGCAGATTAACAACCAAGCACAGTATCTGGGGCTTGTATCCGAGAAATTATAACTCAAATCCAGGTATTCCTCTTCACTCTTCCATCAAATGATATGCCTGAGCCGGATCAATGAATGCCATGTCATTATGGCTGGGTATCATAGCATCAATATCTCCCTCCGTCCTTTCCGAAAAAGCGTCATGCATCAACAAGTCAGAGTCCAGTCCAGTCCGCTGCTCCGTGGAGGGAAGTTCGTTTGTCGCACCCGGATCAAAAGAAAAGGCCTGATCAAATTCAAGACCGTAGATACCGAGCGAGTTCCCTCCAGGGCCGGTTTGGTCGGACAACAGGGCACGCTGCATGAATAGACCTTGTACCTGGTCTTCGGAGCAGCCATGCTTGGCAGTCATATGCCCCCACAGGTCGTAGTCGCGGTGGAATCGGTGTTCGCATGACTCGTAGAAGCAAGCAATATGGCGACCTGTTTCTTCTGCATAGCCCTGACCCGTGAGAGCTGCCAATGTCGAGATCTGGTGGTGGTTGCTTGGCTTGTTGGTCAGTCCAAGTCGCTCGCGTCGCTCTGCCTTGGAGTTTTTGAATCCCATATGCGCTGTGCGAACATGTTCTTCAAGTACGAGCTTAGTGCCATATCGCTTTCCGCAGCCACAACCATCCCATCCGGCGACCTTTTTCGAGGTGGAAAGGTCTGTTTCACCACACACGAACCGCTTTTCGCCTTCATGGAAGGTGCGAATATGAACAGTCAGATTGCCCTTTTTGGTAAAGCTGCGGTCGCAGCTATCAAAGGTACACTTAAAGACTTTCCTCTCTTCAAGGCTGACATCGCCGTGTGCGACTTCAAGATGGCGACGTAGTTCACGAGATGTGGAACAGATAATAGGGCATTTCGGACATTTTGGAGGATGTGCGGTCCGGATATGAGCTTGTAGCAGAGCGTAGGTAGGGAATACGAAAGATTGATCGGAGTGGTTTTCGGTGGTATCCATGTTTGAGGATTGCTGCTGAAATCGTTCGGCGCATTCTGTGCAGCTGAACCGCTTTTCGGTGTGTACTCGGCTCTCGTGGGATCGAAGATTGCCAGCGGTATCGAATGCCATTTGGCACTCCTCTCCAGTATTTTCATCGACATGGGTGCAAGGGTATGGTTTTTGATGCAGATGGACCGTTATGATGTGCTTTTGGAGGGTAGAATGCTTCCGAAAGGTCTGGTCGCAAGGCGGGTACTCGGTGCAGCGGAACTTATCTCGACCATCATGCGCAGCAAGGTGACGACGAAGACGTGATCCGGTCACAAAGCTCTTCCCACAGTCTGGGCGATCGCAGACATAGTCACGGACTCCGGTATGGGCACTTTTCACATGATGTTGGAGATGGGAGGCACGCAGGAAGGTTTTGTCGCAACCTTCATGTGTACACTTGAAGACTCGCTCATTTTTGTGCGACCGAATATGTTCATGCAGTCGAGCAGGGCGATTGAAGGCTTTGAAACATCCTTCAAACGGGCAGAGATGAGTTTTCAGCTCTGACGGGTATCGTGTGGAGGTGGTAGAGACTGGTGTCGCAGGAGTCTCATTTATATCATCGCTCACAAGGCTGGGGGTCTCAGATGCCGAGTATGCGGCGTCAGAATGCGCTTCCCCGTAGATTAGGTCTATTGGGAATTGTCAGTAACCTGACGGGTCTTATCGTAGCTTCATAGGGCGGTATCGCCCCTTACCATCGTGATCCAGAAGGGGCTGATGCCGTCGTTTAGATGGCGAAACCTCTTCTATGGAGGCCTTTCGCTTCGTGGCCATGACTGAATGTCCCTCAAGGCGACAGAGACATTCGCCATCGATATGGGGATGGATGATGTCGCAGTGTCGGTGTGAAATAAAATTATTTTGCCGCAGCAAGAAGGCGGTGACCCCAAGAACGGACTAGTGTGGTGGAAGATTTTCCGCCTCTTTGCATCGCGAATCATCACTTTTGGTCCTGCGCTCAGGGTTTCTCTCTCATTGATCCCCTCGGACTCCACTCATTGCCATCCAACATGTCTGACTACGGCGGCGACCACGAGGCCGAGGAAAAGTAAGCATTTTTGCCATTCGGAGCTATTGAGGCGGCGCGAAAGATCCTTGCAGCTATGGGTCGCCCCGGAGTCCTTGACAGCTCTGAAAGAAGGAAGGGCAATTGCTGACTTGAATTCCTATGTAGCTACGACTTCGAGCCTCAAGAGGAGGTCTTCGACGAGAATGAGCCCGAGGATTTCATTGATCATGAGGGTCTCGAGGGCGAGGATGGTATCGAAGGCGATTCATACGAGCCAGCCGTCAATGGCGAGAATGTGGTTGTTTCGGGCGATCCCAATGCTGGCTATTCAGGCAAAGTGATGGAACAGTCGCGCGAAAAGAAGGTGCCGAACGACCAGCGCACGACTACCCCATACTTGACCAAGTACGAGCGCGCGCGTGTCCTCGGCACTCGGGCTCTGCAGATCAGGTGCGTTTGCTTGCAACATTGGCGAATGCCATGCGAACACTACGGCTTTTGCGGATTACCCCTAACTAATGATTCTGCAATGCAGCATGAACGCTCCAGTACTCGTCGATCTCGAGGGTGAAACCGACCCCCTGCAGATTGCCATGAAGGAGTTGAACCAGAAGAAGATCCCGTTGATCGTGCGCCGGTATCTGCCTGATGGATGGTAAGGATTTCTGGATTGTTGGCGAAAAGGAACCTGCAACTAATGCTTCATAGGTACGAGGATTGGTCTTGCGAGGAGCTGCTTTAGACTGATACCAGCTTCCTTTCTGGGACTTTGAGGATTCTTCTTGCTTTTGGGTGGGTTCAGCATAGCGTTCGGAGTTTGGGAGTCTAGAAACCGTGGCTCAAAAAGAAAACTCAGGCGTAATCGCCATTGACATGGGCACGAAATGTACATGAGATCTAGAAAGACCAAAAAAAGCAATGACGGTTTCTATATTACTTACGATGACAGTAGAGCTTGACTATCAGAGGGACGGCGAAAGATAGTCCACAAAGCAAATCAAATCAGGTAGAATAGCAGCTCAGTGCGCTGAACAAGCCAACTTCTATAAGCCTGGTGTAGATCGTACGATAAGCACTTTATGTACACAGGCCGGCCATTCCCCTGCCACGTGAGCCGTGCGTTTATCTTCGGGGAGGAACTTTCCGAGCCCGAAGTCCCACTTTTCCCTTGGTTCATCCCCTACGGAGTACTTGTGAATTGGGGTATGGCACTAAGAATCATGATGATTCAACCTCCAGGGACCGCACAGATCGGCTCTTGGCCCCCTCTCGCCTCGGGAATCGGCACACCTCCCAAGGATCATCATTGGTTACGCCCTCTACTCGACATCCCACCCCATGCCAGTGAGGCCAAGCAAGATGGCTTTGCCGCCTGCTACCCCATGGTCGAGGCAGGTGGATGCCGGTGGGCCACACTTCTTGCCTAAAGCTGCTTCTTTTCGGGGCCTTCCGCCCTCCAACCTGCATTTTACCAAGGGGCCCCGCTTGTCTGCGACTCGGGGTTGGTCCAGAATTTATAATCCTTCCTAAGGATTTCCTTTTCTATGATTCACTAATCTTTTCTTTCCTGCCCCTTTCGTGCATCCTTACTTTGTACCCTCTGTTTTGGAGGGACTCTCACTCCGAGCAACAACCAGTGTCTGTTCCAATACGAGCGTCGAAAGTGGAAAGATGGGTTCGACTAATGTGGAAATAGAGCAAAAGGTCATCGCGGACACTCCGATTACCAACGACGAGGAAAATGCGAACTCTTCTGGGATCAGTTCTCCTGCTGAAAAGGAACTTGAGGAGCAAACATTCGACACGGGTTTCTCCGCATGGATGCAGGTCTTGGGCTCATTCTTCCTCTTCTTCAACTCATGGTATGTGGTTCTAAAATGACAGAAGCATAGAAATCAAAACGCAGACGCTAACAGATGACTAAATAGGGGCGTGATCAACACTTGGGGTGCATACCAAACCTACTACGAGCAAAATCTGCTAGCCAGCACTTCGTCATCCACCATCGCATGGATTGGATCTCTGCAGTCGTTTCTTCTGATGATGATCGGTGTCATTACGGGTCCTCTTTTCGATGCAGGCTATTTTCGCGGGCTGATCTGCTTCGCCAATTTCATGTTGCCCTTCGGCCTGATGATGACCAGCATTTCGACCAAGTACTGGCACCTGATTCTTGCGCAAGGTATCTGCGTGGGCCTGGCGGCTGGATGTCTCTTCGTCCCCTCAGTTGCCCTTCTGCCGCAGTACTTCCGTCGGAAGAGAGGTCTCGCTAACGGTCTCGCTGCCAGCGGTAGCAGCATTGGTGGTGTGGTCTATCCCATCATGTTCAACCAGCTGCAGAAGAAGGTTGGTTTTCCCTGGGCTACTCGTGCACTTGGATTCCTCTGCTTCGGAACTATCCTTATTTCGTTGAGTATCATGCGTATCCGGTTTGCGCCAAAGGAGAAGCGCAAGCTTTACCAGTTCTCTGCCTTCAAGGACCCCGCATACTGCCTTTTTACTGCAGCTATGTTCCTGGGCTTCCTGGGCTTCTACAACTTCCTCTTCTACGTACAGTCCTACGCTATCGATACGGGGGTTGTGGATCATAACCTGGGCTTCTACCTGGTGTCCATGCTGAATGCAGCCTCAACCTTCGGCCGTATTGGGCCGAACTTCCTCGCCGACCATCTCGGCCCGCTCAATATGCTCACTCCCGCTGTGACCATCACCTCCATTTTAGCCTTTGCATGGATTGGGGTTCACACAGTTGCCGGTCTCATTATTCTCGCTGTTCTATACGGCTTCTTCTCCGGCGGCTTCGTTTCCCTGCCTCCAGTGGTGATGGCTAGTATGACGCCCGATGTCCGGGACCTCGGAACTCGCCTTGGCATGGTCTTTGCTGCTACCTCCCTCGGTGTCTTGATTGGTACTCCAATTGGTGGTGCGATCTTGGCCGACACGAACAGGTATCTTGGTGTCCAATTGTTCACCGCTTGCTGCCTGATAGCATCTGCGTGTCTCATGGCTACGTTGAGATTTGTGCGATCCGGCCCCAGACTTATGTACAAGGCCTGAGTGATTTTATTAGATCCTTTGGTGAAAAATTGGTGAGGGTGTGTGTTGGATAATAACTAGGGTGCAGCCCATCAAGTGTCAAGGCCTCAACCAAGCTTCTTATCATAGACTATAGAGGAGTTGGTGTTGTGAGGATCCGCTGCCTCGTCTGCAAGCACAGCACCTCACTACCTTCTGCCTCTCGGGGAATCATAATTGGTGTCTCTCTTGTCTTTCCGAGTCCACAGTCCGACTCGGAGAAAGGGGTTTAATCGTGGGCGTTGATTAGGACTTGCATATACCGTCGGAGCTTTTGGCGTCCAACAAGATTCCTGTACTTGAGACCCCGTCAAGGACGACTATCCAGACGCGGGCATCGTCATTGGTCAACGCTTGGAGACTACTTTATATTGTAGTGTCTTATTAATGACAAAAATATGATATACTATCACTCCTTGAAAGTGGTGTATAAGTGACGCGCCATTTGTATGCGAGCTCCGGAACACCATGTACAAGCCCCTATACAAAGTCCATGAAAAATCCCTTTTCTTTTAGATACCCGTAGATCCATTGCATTCCCGCCTTGCCATTGGGGATTATGAGACGTCCTCCGGGTTCACAAGGAAGTCTTCACCCTTATCGCGCACGTGTTCAAGTTTCTTGTCCCGGCTACAGGGTTTGCGCATGTCGAATGCATCTTCTCCGGATTCTGAAACGCCTGTCGGATCATCGCTGTAGTAATTCATCACTCGTCTGAAGACAGAATACCTGCATGGACATGTTAGCTTGCGCGATCCTTCCATGAATTCCCTCGCCCTCCTTCCCACTTACCCCATGCCCTTATACATATCCACCGCTACCTTGTTCCCTGCGCGGACATATAGATCTACAAACCAAGCGTCATTGATATCCGATCCCTGTTCCAGCTGCTCTGTCAACCGACGGGCGTAGCCGAGTCTGCGCCAGGCTGGCGCAACGGTCAACACGGTGATATGTCCGTGCCACGGGGTATAGTGCTCGGATTGTTTCATGGAAGGATGCTGTTCTTCGAGTTTACCCATAACTGCAAGCCGTCAGTTCCAAACTTCCCTCACGCTCCATACAAAGGGTCACGGGAGATCCATACTATAGCCCACAACGCCAGCATCGCGGTCCTTCACCGTGCTGAAGAGCGACGGCCACTTGGTCAGGTAATTCAGATAGAAGCCCAGGTCATAGTTCTCGGTCAAAGGGTCCAGATTGGTCAAGTTCAGGTCCAGCAGGTCCAATGGGGACATCCGAGTAATGGCGCTCATCTTGTTGCGGCGGCGAGCTTCTTGCTGGCTGGGAAGAATGTGGGGTTGAGCGTTGAAGACGCCTTTTTTGCCAGGCGGTGACGGCGGGTTTTGGTTATCATTCAGGGACTCAACTTGGTCCCTGACGACGCACGGCCAGCTTGCGGTGCTGTCCTTGATTCCGGTCTCTAAATTGCTGTCTTTCTTTCCACCTGGACGGAATCTCTCGTTCATTGCTCAGGCCATGTCGCGATAGATGCCACCAAGCACCGTCATTCTTGGGCTTCAAACAATCGCTCGAACTGGTAGACCGTCAACACTACATGCCAATGCGTGTCGATGGTGTCCTCCTTTCAGTTGACGCTTCTTTCACCTTGATTTTCCTCTTCATTCTCCCCGGTCTCTGAATTATCTCTATTTTCCCTCAGAGCCCGAGTGCTCCTGTCCATGCGATGCCGGTCCCCCCACCATCTCCCCTGAAACTCTCTCACCGCCGCCCTTCAGATATGGACGACTCATTGATCTCCCCCGGCGCAGGAGAAGTCAATGTGTTCGCTCCCCAGAGTCCTCTTTCGCCTCGAACTCCGCGGCTATCCGCCCCGCCATCTCCCGTCACACCCCGCCGCAATACAAACGCCATGAACGGTTCTCACCGAGAGTCTATGGATTTCTCCGCCGAAACAGGCGGGGGTGGTCTGGGAAACCTTGCCGATGAACTGGCAGATGCGTGGGAACAGGAGGAGGAAGGATATGGCTATGCGTCGGGGCAAGAGACCGGCCCCGTGGGGTCCCAGCAGATGGACCACAGTGATGAAGAGGATGGGTACATGCAGTCCATTCGCGATATGCGCGCTCCATCTCCATCAGTGGACTCACCAGACCGCAGGAACCGACTCCGCGCCGCACAGCTTCGACAGCACCGGAGGCAGGAATCCCACTACGATGGATCAGACTATGGCAATGACTCGGATCTTGACGAGGCGACGGAGATCTCCCCCGCATTAGAGAGCCAGATGGCTGATATCGAGAGCCTGGCCCGGCGGGGCATTGAGAACAATGGCAGTGAGAGCGATCATGTCATTCAGCGGACGGTTGAGGCTCTCCGGGACCTGGGTGCACAGAGCGGCATCGAGAACAGTGCTATGCGGTAAGTACCTTGTTACCCATGCATCATGCTCAACAGAGAACTAAATCTTGATAGACTGATCACCGCCCACTCCTCCATCACATCTCACCTTACCCACCAAACCCGTACTCTCCAATCTCTGATCCACCCTCTCCTCTTCTCTCCATTCCCCCTTCTCTCCGAAGACGCCATCGACTCCCTCATGCCCCTCATCGATGAAGGCCTCCTGCCCAGCCTCCCATACCCATTTCCCGAACAGACCCGCCGGGGCTCCCGACCCTCCACCCCCTCACAACAAAATACTCAGCACCCTCTTGTATCTCTGCAAGCTCTTGTCTCACAAACGGCCGACATCACCGCCTCCCTCCGCAGCTTGGGTGACACCCTCTATGAGTCCCGTCAGCTAACATCCACAGCATCTCGACGCCTGCGGTCTGCGCGCGAACTCGTCGCGGACCTACGTCGCGAGGAAGAAAGCCGCGAGGAGGGCTCGCGGTGGATTGAGCGTGGTGACTGGGATCGCCGGCTGAAGGATCGCGAGGCGGGCCAGGAGTGCAGAGATGTCGTCAGCGGCTTTGAGGCTGTATGCGGCGAGTGGCGCGAGAAGCTGTTCGGGGCTGGCGCCGAAGTGGCTGCTGCGTAGCCAACCTGCCATGACACTGTCCCCTTTGCGTTTGAACTCGGGAAGGAAATCTCTACTCCTTCCAAGGTGCACCTAGACTGCCATGAGCTTTCTTGGGTCTTTTCTTGTCAGATATCCACTTGATTCCATTATTCCTTTGCTTGTGTTGATCTCCGCCCTTCATACAGTCCTATCCCGCCCTGGAGGGGTGTCCATATATTCCCCTATGTTGCTGCTGAGATCGATATACCATACAGTATATACAGCTAGACGTAGCTTGAAGGCTATTTTATACCACTCTCTTGCTTCGATAGGTTCTGGTCTGTTCTTCGTTGTGTTTGTGTCGATGGAGGGTTCGTTTAATCTTGCCAGGTGGATATCTTAACGACACACTACACTAGCCCCAACATTATCACTTCGGAAGCAAACACCCTATTCCGCTAGAAATATGGCCTTCTCGCCCGAAACACCCTCCGCAGCATATCACATCCCACTTGACTTCTCCGATGCCTGGGTGAAGCTCTGGTTCCAGATACCCAGAATATCGGCATGATTATTACCAAATAACATCTTCGCTCGCACACCTACAGGAACCATGCCCAGTTGCAACAGTGTGGTCGCAATGACAAGACATATGCTATGCTGTTTCCAGAACGGGAAGAAGAGACTCGTTTGGACCGGCGGGTTGGGAGATTCCCGCACAGGGAGAGCCACTATCCACCTCGGAGGCAATATCTGCCACCACAGATTCACTGATATTATCCCAGATCTTGCTAGAAAGTTTTTCCACATACTTGAAGTTCGGTTACGATGCTGCAGTACGCCCGCCATGCACGCCTCGCATTCCAACCAACAGCAGATGCACCACCCCAGATAAAGCAACCAAGTTGCCGGTGCTACCAGAGACGGAGGTCACCTTAAAAAGCTGGCAGCGCCGGCATCTGGCTATCAATCAGCGCATGTGCCGCCCTTGTTAAAGCCAGTGGAAAGACTTGCTTCCGCGGACCCCATCCACTGAGGGTTCGGACAGGTCAGAGCCATGTCCACGACATGCTCCTGTAATTCACCCATAGGGCACCACATGCGCCGCCTTGTATGAAGGCGAGGAGGTGGTACTTGGTCTTAAGGTGTGGTGTGTACTGGTTTCAGTGTCGACAGATACGACCATGCCGGTCGTGTCTTCACTCACAACCGCGGGGTACTTGACGAAGAGCAGAGAAGTGTCTTGCAAGATGTGGTTAGCTAGGTTTATGGCGCAGGCGTGCGCTTTGATGAGGAGTTGTGTTAATGCGAGGTCTGTTTCGTACGGAGTTGCGTAGACAGATAGAGAGGGACGTTGGCTTGTCTTGCTAGGCTGTGTGGTTTGGGGCACGGTCGGTGGTTGAAAGGCGACATGAGTAGATATGCATCGTCCTGAACTTGATGTTCTTGATGTCCTGCGGTTGTACGCATATCCCTTTGGTCGGTTCTGGGGATATACGGGCTTTATAGATGCTCATATCCAACGTATTCGAATGCTGCGTTGTCCTGGGCATTCGGACTGGTTCACCTCCGTGTATGAAGAGGGCCTCTCTACCTAAGACGTTATCTAACTATTGAACGGCTGCCGTGGGGCTTTTGAAGTTATCTCTCATTTTCATATCATTTTCTCCGGTCGATCGCACTGAACGATGTGATCTATCGTGGCGTCCTGTCTCTGATCTGAAGGCCCACTTCATGATTATTGCAACCAAATGAATGGAATGAAGCGAGAGCTATGTTCAGCCTGAATCCGCCAAGTCTGTTCCCTAACATAGGGCCGCTAAACACCGTCGACACATCAGTCTACAGAATATGCTGAAGCTACAGGACAACCTGACAGAAACCAAACTTATTGAATCGTCTAGAGATGATCCTATTCACTGATATCCCACTCCAATTGGGACTAGAAGTACTAGAGCAAGCATGATATTGGCATCACGGATGATGAATATAGTAACCCATCCGGAGAAAAACGAGGAAATGCGGGAATTAAACACATGGAACACGCGTGAAGGCACACATCAATAAAAAAACGATGGACCAGGAGGCCACCCAGTGGAGAGAGGCAAGGAGGCCTGGCCGATGATACAGGGTCATTGCAAGATGGGTCATGAAAAAGAAACATGCGCCGGATACGAAAAAGCTTCCGTGTCACTTTTTGGTTCGCTCCCTAAAGGTGTAGGTGAAAAGAAGAAAACATAGTGATCACTCGTGCACCAGCTTAAGACTGCTGCTGCTTCCAACGGGGCACCCATTTACCGCCGCTGCTGGGCTTGGGCTCCTCAGACTTGGCGGCGGGGGGAGCATCGGGCGTAGACGAGGACGGGTCGCGGAGGTGGCGGGGGACGAAGCGGTCGGTAGGGCCATTCTCACGGGCAGGCTCACGAGTAAATTCACGAACAGGCTCACGAGTAAACTCACGGGCAGGCTCACGGGTAGGCTCACGGGCAAACTCACGGGCAGGCTCACGGGTAGGCTCACGGGCAAACTCACGGGCAGGCTCACGGGTAGGCTCACGGATAGGCGCACGGGCAGGCGGGGCGGAGCCAGAGGCAGCGCCGCGCAGATGAGGAGGCACGTATCCACCCTTGCGGGGAGCGGGCTCTTCCCGAGCGGGCTCGGGGGCTGCACCGCCAGAGACCTCCTTGGCAGCCAGACGGTCTCTCCAGCCACCACCACCAGCAGTAGCAGCAACAGGGCGGGAAGCGAGATTGAGACGGGGTGCGGTACGCTCGGAGGTGGCTGCAGGGGTAGGCTCGGCAGCGAAGCCACCACCAGTCTTGCGGGACGCACGGCGGGCTTCTGCCTCTTCCTCGCGCTGCTTCTGCTTGATAGCCATCTCGTCGAGTTTGCTATAAAAATCATGTTAGCTTGGACGGAATATAAGACGGGATGTTGATGAAGATGAACTAACGCTCGCTCCTCCTCGCGCTTGGCCTTCTCCTCGGCCATAGCACGACGACGCTCCTCCTCGCGGGCAACACGCTCCTCTTCCTCGCGAGCGGCACGCTCTTCCTCCTCCTTGAGGCGGCGCTCCTCCTCCTCGCGCTCCTGCTTCTCGCGGCGGCGGCGCTCCTGGACTTCCTTGACACGCTGCTTCTTCTTGGCCTCGAATTCTCGCTCGGCGGCCTTGCGGCGCTTCTCGAATTCCTCGTGGCGCTTCTCGGACAGCTCCTTGCGGAAGCTGGAAAACTGGGGCACGAGACGGCCTAGACGGTGCTTCAGGGCGACGGCCTCGGTGTGCTTTTGCTTGGCCTCCTGAAGGGTCTCGGCCTTTTGGGCCTCGTAGAGCTCCAGGTCGTGCTTCCTCTGAGCCTCGTAGTCGGCGGGGACGTGCTTAATCTCCTCGCGACGGAAGGCACGCTCCAAGTGGTCAATACGCTTGGCAGTGGTGCGCACACGGTCGTTGAGCTCGTTCTTCTCCTTCTCAAGATGAGCCAGCTTGATAGCACGTAGACGGTTGGCATCCAACTCCTCAGTATCAAACTCGCTCATGTCGAGACCCTTGACACCGGTCTTAAGCTCCTCCAGCTGCTTCTTGAGCTCCTCAGCGCGGATGCGGTCCTGCTCATCCTTGACGCGCTTGAGTTCACGCTCACGCTGCTCATCAGCAAGACGCTGCTTCTCAGCCTCCTGGAGTTGCTGGGTACGGATGCGCTTGCGAGTCTCCTCCTCGCGCTGCTTGCGGTTGAGAGCATCAGTGGCAGCCTCCTTCTTCTTGTCGATGATGACGCGACGAGCGAGGGTCTCCTCGTGCTCCTGGGCAGCGCCGGCCAGAGCGCGGGCCTGAGCGGTCTGCTTGGCCTGGAGGCGAGCCTCGTTGTACGAGGGATCCACATACATGCAAGTAACGTGGAGAGTCTTGGCCAAGCGGGCAACCTGGAAACGAGCAATCTCAGCAGGAGTGTGCTGAAGACGCTGGACGGAGCCAAACTCGCTTTCAGCGGAGCCAGCAGCGCTACCGGCGTGCATGGCCTTGGACGAAGAGAAGACATCCGAGTCGAAGGTCAGGACACCAGAAATGTGGTCCACGCGGATGGCAAGATCACCCTTCTTGCAACCGTTCATGATGAACTTCTCGATCATGGCAGGGGTGATCTGGAAAGGATCGGGGAACTGGGCAAGCTCGTACACGAACTTGAGCTCAACGGACTCGTAGACCTGAGACAGCTGCTGGAACAGGCGGGTCAGGATAACCTGCTGCAGAGGCACAACGTACTTCTCCATCTCGGGGTCGGCACCGATCTTCTCCAGGATGGGGGTGATCTTCTTGCAGATAGAGAGCGGGTGGAAGTCGACCTCAAGGATGTTGTACAGATCACGGATCTCAGGGCGAACACGCTTGAGCAGACCCTTGTTAAGGGCATCCCGGAACAGAACCTGGCGGGAAGGAGGTTGAGCCATACCCAGCAGGTTGGTGAGGCGGGTGTTCTTGTTCTTGCGGGCCTCATCAACGTCGACCAGAGCGCCACGGGAACGGGTGGTGCTGATGACGGGGATGGACAGAGCGGAAAGGAGGACGAATGAAGCGGCCTTGGTCATATCGGCCTCGGTAACAGAGGGATTCTCCTTCTTGGTGCTCTGACCGGTAGCCAGAGCGACGGTGGAGAGACGAAGCAGGTTGTAGTACCGGTTCCAGGCGGCAGCGTGGAAGAGGTAGTTCTCGCTGACGAGGAAGATGCGAGCCAGCTTCTCGTAGTAGTTAGCCATCATGACGTTCTTGGCCGGGCGCTTGCTCAGGTTCAGTAGAGTGTGGATGTCCTCAATGCTACGGAAGGCTTCCTGCCACAATTCCAATTCAACGGCAACATTCAGCTGCTGGAAACGGGTGTCCAAGTGGCGCTGCAGGGTATCCGGGTCGCTCAGGTTGATAGCATGCATCTGGGTGGAGTACTTGGCGGCATTCTGGACGTGGTTGCGCAGCAGCTCGCAAAGACGGCGGAACTCAGTCTTGCGCGTGTACTTGAGGCAGAACTGGAAGGCCTGCAGGGCGGTGGCCTGGTACATGATCTCGAGACGGGCGTTGTTCTTCAGGATCTCGAGGACGGTACGGTAGGTCTCCCACAGGAACTTGAGCCAGGGAGTGACGACGGCGCGGTCAGTGCGATCACGAGATTGCTCGCCCGAGACGGTAGCCAACAGGATGGTCTCGGGAGTCTCGATGGCTTCCAGGTCGTCAACGTTGGTGGAGGAGGGGGCGGCAGATTCAAGGGAGGACTGAATCTCGTCGGCCTTGGCCTGGGCCTCAGTGACCTTCTGTTCGGCGAGCTCGATAAACTTCTTGAGAACGACCTCGATGGTGCCGACATTTGTGTTCTGCGCGATGTTCTTGTACTGGTACAGGCCATCCTTGGCAGCCTTTCCTTTGCGCAGGTCGACACACAACTCAACGAAGAGGAGCATGACCGGCTCGAGCGAAGCAATCGGGCTGCTGCGAGTACGCTTGGAGGTGACATGTTCGTGGAGGACGGTCAGAGCGGCGGGGGCCTGACCGACAGCGATAAGTTCCTGAGCCCTCTGTAAATAGGGCCGTAGACGTCAGTAACCAAGTCCTCCGAGTTTCTTCTTCGCCCTGAGATTGGGTGGTGATGATCGTGACGCACCTTGAGGACATTCTCAGGCTTGATGTGTGGTGGTGGCGGCATGTTGGGCAACGCAGCCCTTTGGGCGATAGATTTTCGGGGGGTATTCGAAAAGTCGAAGAGGGGAAACAAGTGCAGACGTCTCACACACGGGCAGTGGTCAAAGACCAGAGTTGAAAATGCTGCCACGCGAAGTCCCTTGACCTAGAGGGGGAGAAGTGCCTGTTGTGTGGGTGCCAACGAAAATTGCCCGAGTGTTCCACTTCGGGCTAAGCGATGGGTCAACCACGTGACTATTGCCTGAGGCAGTTCAACTCGCGAACAATTTCACGGTGGTGTACAGTATGAAAAGGAGAAAAGAAAATACAGGCTTACCGTGCAAACTACAGTATGAAGGTACCATGTTGTAAGTATTGCCAGGTCCGAGACTGGCTATGTAGTTTACTTTCTAAATGGATCTGGAAATATAACTCTTCTTCTGAGGTCGGCCAATTCGCACCGGGGGGCTCATGCTTTTGGATGGGTCAGTTTTGCGCGGGTCACCTTGGTACCTCGGGGCGGGCTTGAGCTATTGTCGCACTATTGACGAGTCGCGCGTATAATGCAATACGGAGTACGGGGGGTCCTTCCAGTACACCCATCATACTGTACCACCCCCATGGTACAGTACATTGAATAAAAGGGGAGAGCAACCCACAGACCCCCGTATGCCCCGTACCTCCTCCCATTCCTCCGTACAATACCCCCCGTACCACCCCCCAAAACCGCTCGGACAAACCAGCCAAACTGCCCAGCCAGCCAGCCAGCCAGCCAAACAGCCAAACAGCCAAACAGCCAACCGGGAAAATCCCTCTCCAACCGTTTCTCCCCCCGACCTCATCTTGTCCCTTCCTTTGACCTGCCGCTCTCTTTCTCTCTTTTTCGTTCTTTGTTCGGCGTCGAGTCGACTACTTTTCCCACTGACGCGAAGCTCCAAATCCCCCTTTGGAAATCCCCGGCATCCTCCCGTTGTCCACATAACTGCGGACCCGGGCCCCCCCTTTCTCGATCGCGCGCCTCTATCCACATACCTCTCGATTCGCCGACCGTCACAATGCCCGCTTACGAACTTCGCTCAGGGGGTGATGTCAAGAACAAGAAGCAGAGTGTCGCTGACCTCAAGTACCGCCGATTGACCGAGCTCAATGCCCGTCTGAAGGAGGATCTCGACCGTCCGCGGGTGAAGGTCTCCGAAGCAGCTCTCTCGTGAGTTTGGCCCCTCTCCCTGATGATCACCACCCACGCTACGCAACCAATCAACCAAAGCTGACCAGAGCCCCTGTTACTGCCTCGACACAGACTCATCAACTACTGCAACAATACTCGCGACTTCATGGTACCCTCTGTATGGGGACAGGTATGCGACCGTTGACTGTGGGCGCACACGCGCAAATCCCGCTAACTCAGTTCGTTCAGGTCGACAAGCGGGAGGACCCCTACGCTCCCCAGCAGCAAGGTGGCTGCTGCACCGTTATGTAATGGCCCTCATGACGACCACTTCTCTTGATCGCCACGACACGATTTCTTTCTTCTGCTCGCCCTTTTCACCTAATTCTCCTGGATCCTCACCCCACCAATGATCGTCTTGACCCTTCCCGACAACTATTCCCCCCTTGGACGCGAACACCACCACATCCGCCGATCGCTCAACTGCTGGACGCGAACAAGCGAGAGACATGCGCCTGAAGAAATCGTCTGCTGGCCCTGCACGAAACCCTTCCCACGCCTCGGGATCATGCGGGTAAATTGATCATTCTCAAGTCCAGTCCTCGTTCCCGGATGGTAGCTCCGGTCGATCGCACTGGACGATGCGATCTACCGTGTTACCCTGTCTCTTCTACTATTGCTTCGCATTTTTTTTTACTACTTCGTCGTCCACTTCTTCAATTTCTCTCCTATAGTATCATTCCCCTTTTGTCGTCTCTGTGTTTTGAAGCCAAATTTCCTTTGTTCTCTGGGTTCCTCCAAAATCCTCTCTGCACCGCACGAGAGTCGGGTTGCCATTCGTGTATCATAGATTCGATTCGCATCCAATGACCAAATACAATAACCGATCTAATCCCAATTCCTCTTCCTTTTTCCCTGTTCTCTCTCTTTGTTCCTGGCCCCAAATTCCCCACATGGTAGAGTGTTTCAGCCTCACGCTCGGGCCTGGGTACACGTCGTCCATAAGATGCAGAACATGCAGCTCTTGAGACGAACCCTCCCAAATCAGGCAAGTTCCCTCCCCCACGGACCCGGCTGACATCATCCCACCAACGTCGGGCTGTCTAGACTGTCGCGAAATCCTTTATCTTCACCATCGACTATAGTGTCGCCGTGACGTCCCTCTTTCTGTCGCTTCCACTTGGCAGAATACCCCGCTCCGCTTCCACGCTCTTGCGTCACCCCCACGAGGATACCTCGGGTTTCCACGCTTTCCGGAGTATCTCCCGCATCCTGGACTGAACATGACCGAACCAACTTCACCAATTGAGAACAGTCTCGCATCAGAGACTGCGTCGTCCGCTCCCACCACTCAACCCTCGACCGCGGAGAGTAGTGCATTCGAGCGTGTTCATCTTCCCCGCATTGCGATCAAGTTCTGTACGCAATGTCGATGGATGCTGCGGGCTGCATATGTATGTGCATCATCAGTTACCTCCCATCGTATTCTGTTCTTCGTGGTTTTTTCCCTCTACGATTATCAAATCCTCCATTGTATATCTTCCTTCCACCTGAAACTATCGCCTGTCATCCTTCTTCAATTCCAATCACGCCCATGTTCAAATTTGCAAAGACATATACAATCCAACTGCTAATGTCCTACAGTTTGCCCAAGAATTGCTCTCCACGTTTAGCACAGACCTTGGCGAGGTTGCCCTGGTCCCAATGACTGGTGGCGTCTTCACGGTGACCATCTGGCATGCAGCAGAGACATCGGCCTCGGGAGAAGTTACGACACAAGAGTCGCTTCTCTGGGATCGGAAGCGGGATGGCGGATTTCCCGGTATGTATAGGATGTTTGAAGTCTTCTGGATTATCTTCCGCTCCTTGGGGAGCTATACAATGACTGACAATTATATGAACGTAGAAGTGAAAGCTCTCAAATCTCTCGTTCGGAACATAATTGCCCCAAATCGGGACTTGGGACATACAGATCGAGCATTGAAGAAGGAAGAGGAGAAGAGAATCGAGAAGGAGGCTCAAGGCAAGCAGCAAAAAGATTGCGAAGACTGCTCCTAACTTTCCGCTTTATACCATGCATACGGCTAGGTCACGACCATGGATAGCATTAAGCTATGGCTCATCTGGACAGCAAATGTACTTTATAAGATTGCAGACACCCTTTAAAAAGTAATATCATCTGAGGTGTATTCAAGTATCTTGCTCGGCTATCGAACAATACCAGATCCGTATGTGGAAGCGTCTTGTTCTCCCATAGCGACACCAACCCCTACGGCAACTCTTCCTCAGAGGGACCTTCGTTGTATCCATTCGATGTCTGGGGCTTTGCGTGACGAGTACGGTCACCACCTATGATGTTTGAGCGACTGATGGCCTCCTTTTCGTCCATTTCTATGATCATTGTCGTGTTAGCAGATCGTCGAGTGAACTAATAGAGATCAATAGAGTCCGTAACGAACCCAGTTGCTGGTCGGTATCGGCGAAGTTCTCATCCATGAGGTCTTCAACGTCTTGAGTGTCGTCCTGGACGGGGATTTCCTGCTCCTTGGTTGCGTAGGAATCGGCCATTGTCATAGGAAGTATTCGGTATTTGGAAACCGAAAAACGGATTTGTAAATTGTGAGAATTGCGATGCTTCAATAATGATGAGAAGCTAGATAGAAAGTTTATCAGGCAAGATGCTAGTATTTATATCTTTGCTCGGGTCTATGGGCGTCACACAAGCTCATCATCCATCGGTCAACCCGAACGACAACAATCAAGTTCTTCAGCTCCGCAACAATCCCGATCAAGATCTAAAACCTAATCGACGAGAGGGCAAGATCTCCGATCTAGAAGATCATTCGAGATCGGTATGTCCCAAGTACAACCATTATCGCCGTTATTCCGCATTCGTCCCTGATTACGTTGCGCTGACGATAGAATATCTCCCCCCAATTAAGGTTGAATTTTGGAGGCTCTAGATTGCGAGTTTTACTAATTTGAGGATTCACTCCTTTTTCCTCTAGTCCAGAATATCTGACTTCTGGGATTCATGACGCTTTGAGAATGCGATATCGCCGAGGGATCTCATAGGCCGAAGCTCGCCCTGTAATGTCGGGGGCATTCGAAGGGAGCAAAACCAGTTTTAGCCAAGTAATTTCCGGTCTACGCCAAGTCTCGGCCTTTTCCGGCTTTCTATTATGTGCACTTGACCGTTGATCATCAACTCATGACTTCCCAAGGATCGCAGTAAATTAAAATTGCTAATTGATTGGTGTAAAAATCAGACATCCAAAGTCCTGAACATTGATCTGAAATTATACTACAAAGCCTCTGATCACCATGCAATATCAATATGCCCCAGCGGAGTGACGCAACCCCGGCCTCGGAGCGCTTCCCAAAATTTGGGTGCACCCAAATTCTCCGCTGAACTAAGTGGCACGTCGCCCACTGTCAACCCGTCCAACCTGCCGCCTGCAACAATGACTTGACACCATGCCACCTCCAAGCTCAACCCAATCGTCACAAACACATAAGCGGTACTGCACCCCGCCATGACCACCGATGACCTGCTCTCGAAGCTGCGCACGGCCATAAAGTACGTTATCATTTACCTGACCCTACCGTTACCCAGGGCCAGGGCGAGGGACCACTTTCTCTCCGCAGACATTTCCTAACTGGAGCAGAGGACCACATGCGTCAATCCACAGACTGAACCTCGCGCGCATCGCGCTCTGCCTGCCGCCGCGCGTAGATGGAGTTGGTCTCTATGCGCTGGGGCTGTCGCGGTATGCGGAGTTGTTTTATGAGGTTGAGGCGGCGTGGGCTTCATTAATCGGGGACCCCGGGGATATTACGTATCAACAAGCCGAGATCATCGGCCAAGAGCAGGGGGGATTGGATCCCAAAACCCGCGTCCAGACTTTGCTGCGCCGATTATATATGCCGGAGCTACAGCGCACGCGGGCGCTGAAGACTGATCTGCAGTTTTTGCGAGCCCTGGATGTGACTAGAAATCCGGACATTTGGGAGTCTATCAATGACTGGAATGCGGGACGTCAAGTCAGGCAGGAGATCCATCGGCGCATTCTAGATAAACCACATATCCTTGTCGCGTATATCTGGATCATGTACTCGTCCATGCTCTACGGTGGACGGGTAATCCGCGCGCAACTCCTCAAGGCTGGTCCGGATTTCTGGGGGTTGTCGGCGGCGGAATTAAGTCCTCATCGGAGGACGCCGTGTCCCTTATCATTTTGGCAGATTGATGACGACGTGGGCGTCAAAGTCAAGTTCCGTGTCCGCGTTGCTGAGGTGGAACAGTTCTTGAGCTCTCGAGAACAGCAGGATATCTTCGAGGAGGCGAGGGCGATATTCGGCATGTTTGAGATGCTCACGAGGAGCTTGGATGAGGAGGCAAAACGTATCAATGCTGCCTAATGTCGGAAACAGACCTAACATGTATATACGATCCCCCGGCGGTGGTACATGAGAGAGGGATAGATGTCTACCGATCTGCGATAGCGAGACAATCACAAAGTCCCTCCCAGTCTACTCCAAACTCTGTCCACCGCCGTTTTTCGCCTGTTCTGCAAGATGTCCGATTTGCATGCTTGGCAGGCCGATTTGTTCCTGTTGGTAAATTCTCTCCATTTTAAGGTACATGCATATTTTAACAACATTCAAGGAAAAATGGCAAGATGACTCGTCGCTATCGACTGATAGCCAACGAGAACACATTTTCTCTGAATTTGTAGCACTCGGAATCCGTGGTCGTAAGGTAAATTAATCTTGGGCCCCTGCTACTCCTGAAACGAAAAGGCTAACCTATCGGAATAGCCCTATGCGAATCAACAGAGAAGACTAAAGGGCAGATCTGTGCTAAGCCTTCCAACCTCCAGCCAAGAGCTATTGGATCGTGTTCGTCAGCCGAGCATTGAGCGTCGGTTGACCGAGGGTCCTTATTGAGTCCGCACCTACTATGAGCCTTCCTCCGAGAGCTCTTGGGCTGCGATTCAAAGTCATCTTGAACACAAATATAGGGAGCCTGATATTTGCAACGACTCGTCCCTGTATAACTTCGGTTCTAACTGGGAGAGGATTTTTCTTCGTCTGCCACAGCTTCTGGACAATCTTTACTCTGCTGAAAAATACGAAGAGGATGCCCAAGAGTCCCTATAGGCTGGAATTGAGGCTGAGGCTTTTGATCCGCAGGTGGCGGAAGAAAGCGGCTATGACCCGGCGGAGGACGAAAACCCATGGACCTCGTTTTATTCAGACTACCACATGCAGCTAGTCATGAACCGCATCCATATCGTTGATAAAACAACGCTTGCTTCCAAGGGCCGCGACGCGGGGAAGGTTCCTGTGGTGTTTGTTGACGAGTGCGGACGGCCAATCCGCTACTCTCGCCTAGAGCTAGAGGAAGCAGCGGATATTGTAAATCTCGAAAATTTCATGCTTATAGAACATGGGTCTTGGGCCAATGCGCAGGTTGGCGAATCCTATGAATGGGGGGCGCCCTTGGGACCCCCCTATGGCGAGAATGGTGGGGATACTTCCGAGTAGCAAATTTCACCTTAGTGGACCTCGGGAGTAGTCTCGGATACAAGACTTTCCTAGCCTACATAGTTAATACAACTTTGGAAGCACCTGCAGCATAAATACTATTATCGGCGAAATTGACGGGTGGAAAATCAAAGGTATGCTAGAGCTGATGCATTGAATTAAAATTTACAAACTGATAGCAGACAGGAATCGAGATCGACAGAAACGCTGAGGTTATCGCCGCAGTCTCCAACTTCGTACTGCAAGGCGAATGGCTGCCAGCGATATATGAAGACTAGGCGGAGGAAAGAAGACTGCCTCATACGTAGTTTCAGTGCGTTGCTTTCTTAACATCGAGGGTATCATGAGAAGCCATCCAAAGCCAGAGATAGTCATCGTAAAAAATTCAGGATTGTGAAGTTCGAAACCTAAGACTTTAGAAGAGGAGTTTTCTATCGAACTTGTTATATAGGCCCCTAGGAGGGTCACAGAAACTAGACATGGACTGAATTTATCCGTGTCTAATAAGGCTAGTCTAGGCCATTGATCGACATGTATTTTGGAACCGGTGATTCCATTCTGAAAAGCGAAAGGCTAAAGCGTGTTGGTGCCTAGGGTACCTGTTGAATCGAGCCATAGGGAGCAGACAGAGAATAATCTATTTGAAGAACGAAGAGACTATGAAGGCTGAGCAAATACACTGTGAACGAATAATCTGTAGCGTATTGCTCTTCTAAAAGCCTTGCAACCTCCTCACTACGCCGAGAGGCCGAATAACTCCAATCCTAACAATGAATTATGAAGGCAACAAGGGCTCAGCCGCAGTGTACGACCGAAAAAACAGAAAGGGTTAAGAGGCGGGCAGGACAAGTGGGTTATCCGATTGGGCGGCGAAATTGTAGGGGCGGAGCGATGAGTGCAGGATAGAGAAGTAGGGGAAATGAAAAAGTGAGAAAGGGGAGGAGGAAAAGCGAAGACAACTCTGTTATATTGGGAGCATCAATGGGAGGTTACGTGACGGCGTACTAAGGTACTAAACTTAAAAATGGCAAAACTAACTTGAAAGGACATTTCACAGGTCCACCGTTTACATGTCAAAAAATTCAATATGTATATTGAAGTGTATAAATAGTGACCCAAGCTCACTACTCTCAAATCAACGAAAATGAGGAGGCACAAGCCTGGCCAAAATGAATCAAATGTAAAAACAAGTCGAGAGACGAAAGAGGGACGAAACCAACGCCGCCGGTCCCCGTTCCAAGCTCTAAGATGACCGACCCAAAACAAAATCAAATGCAGCCCCCAAGGGCACAACGCACGTGCAAATAGGTAGACAGACAAAATATAAACAAACAGCAGTAGAAGACGTATTGTGTCAATGATCGTCACGGAGGCAGACGCAGATGCGGGGTCAGGACCCGATGCAATAGAGACAAGTAAAGCAATTACTCGAGACGAGAAGCGAGAACATAGCCACCGGTGCCGGGAGTGCGTATTCAAGCGAGCATGCGAGGCATAGGTAGAGCACTGCCTGCTGTGTTAGGGAGGAAGAAAAAAAAAGGCTATAGACAATAGCAAATGACTGATTCTGGTTCTGCAGAGACAGAACCGAACGAGAATTGCGTTTGCTTTTTGCCCAGGCATCTGGAGTCGAACCGCGCCAACAGGTAATCGTCTCTGAGATCATCAGATGGGAGAAATACCGGGACCTGAAGGGGCAGACAGAGGGCAGAAACCAGGAGAAAAAAAAGACAAGGAGATCAGATCGTGAAAATCATGTAACACAGTCGAAGCCTCGACACTCATCACAACAACAAAAGATGCACCATTCGTGAGACCATGATCGCATAATACAGCCGCTTAGCCAGTGAAAGCATCCACCAGCCTGGGACGAGAATGGGACAAAAGGGAAAGAAATCAAGATTCGCCATGGACCTCCTGCTGATGGTGGTTGCGGCGCTTCCAAAATGCGAGCCGCAGCCGACTGCGTCGTTTGGGAAGGCGGCGCAGCACACCATTGTGAGAGTCGTCAGGAGGTCCCTGGGGGCTTTCATGTTTGATGCTCTCCCCGGTGGTGGTAGACTGGGTCGGGCTGCGTGTGCCATTAGCTGCTGGCTGAGGGAAGTCTTTGTGGTTTCCATCCTCAGACGGCGGATGACTGATGTCCTTGGTAAAGCTGGGACTGCGGCTGTAGGTGCTCTCCTGGTCTCCTGCGTGGGAAGCATACGACGTGCTAGGACGTGTGCTGCTGTCATCAGGAGCCCCAAGGTCGCTCTGGGCTGCACTGTCGTCCGAAACACGCTTCTCATCCCCACTGTCCACCTGCAAGAAACTGGATGCGTTGGTCGCGGGCGAGATAGGAGTCATGTTGTTGCTATAAGTGCTGACACTTTGGGTGCGAGTGCAGCTGTTGCGGTTGGAACTTGACGGACCGGACGTGCGAACAGAGGAGCTGTGGTGCGCATGGTGGCGATTCGTACTTTGTTGTTGTCCTTGGCGAGAGCTAGTCGGTCTTTCATTCGATGCTAACTCGTTTGCGTAATCGCGTTCCTCGGTGTTTGTTGATGCGTTACCACCATTCGTAACCGAGTTGGCATACAACGCAGCAGCTAAAACGGCCGGCTCTCCGGAAGGGCGAGTCGGATCGGTGAGAGGATTCTGATATTGTCTTCCAACTGATCCTCGTGCTGATTGCGGCGCCGTCGGGATGGAGAAATAAGAGAGGTCGGGTATGGCACTAGATGATTTTCGTGATGATGGTACCTCGCCGGCGATGGGGGTGCCGGTGATCTCAATCTGTGGACCTGGAGTGTCCGGCGACACGACCGGCTCGATGTTGTTCTCGTTGTACGCACCAGACTGTGATTCCGCGCGGTCCGATGATTCAGGCGAATCGGAGTCATCTGGAGCATGCTCTCCAGCAGCGGTAGCTTTTGGTGTACTCTCCTCAGACTCAGCGACGGGAGCGGCCGGGCTGAGCGAACGAGGCGAAAGAATACTATCTGTTCGCTTTTCCATGGGAAGGCCCTGCTTTCGCAGCTCGTCGTTTGCATGCTGCTGCCACTGCGCCTGATTGCGCCGGAGGTGGTCTGCCGTGAATTGCAGCTGTGGCAGAAGATCGGAAACCCCTTCGAAAAGTGGAAGAGCAAATATGGACATAAATCCGATCTGGCCTGTGGCCAGTTTATAAATATTGCCCAGCTCCGGTGGACCGCCAAAGAGTGCAGTCTCCATACCTACTTCTTTCTCCATCTCGCCTTGGTTGGCGAATTCCTCCTGCAGGATTTGAGTCCACTTCTCTGCAATGCTCCACGGCCGCGCCACGTTACTGATGTCGGCGCACTTTATCAGCAACCCACAGAGAAGCGTCTTGTACAGCTCAATATCCTGAGGCTTCCAGCCATCGACCGACCTGCGGTTTTCGTAAAACTTCTCCTGCAGTGATCCCATGCGCTCCATGAACTTCTGGTGGACGCCCATGTCGGTCGCCAGAATAGAGCTGATGAGCAGCTTCCGAAGTTGTTTGTCCTTGAACGCAGCCGGCCAGTGACGGCGAAGAATCTGAGAGAAAGCAGCACAATGGAATGCTTCGAGGACCGAGTTATCGTTATACAGTTGTGCCAAGGGGGCATTTAGCTTGACAAGGAAGAAATTGTTGACTCCAGGATGGCCGACATCGTGACCAATTGCTGAGATCAGGAGAGTAAGAGCGTCAAATGGTGAGATGAGAGAGGCGATGGGGGATTTCGTGATCGGAGTCTGGCCAATTTGATCGTACGGAGGTAAGGCACCAATGCGAAGCAAAAAGCAAAACACAGACTGCAACACGTCGATCGCATGGCGGAAATTGTGATAGAGGACGAAGGAGTTGTAAGCGGCCCGGCAGGCGAGCAAGAAGGTTTGCAATTCACCCGGGGTCAATCGCCAGTGTTCCAACCCCGGCATATTGAAGGCGTGAGAAATCATCTCGCAGGCACCAAAGACTAGCTCATCCTCTGTGAAGATGTGAGCGGAGAAGTTCCAGCTTCCGATCTGCTCTCTGATGAAAGCTCCGCGCTCCCGGTCGACATCGAGATCGCGTTCTTGAAACTCCGCGATGATTTCCTCCGGATTACAGATTCCCTTCATGAGTTTGGACACCATTGCCTCTCTCAAATAAGCATACGGCTCTTCATCGTGCACTCCGACCCACGACATCTTGCGCAGCTTCTTCCGTGCCAGGAAGCGAGACATCTCCTTCTGGGCATTGCGGCGTGCCCGGTACGCATGGACCACTAGCCCCTGGATCCGGGATCGATCAAGTGGAGTAATCAAGACATCCACCGCACCTGCATCAAGGCACCGGGCGATTTGCTTGTGCTCCAAAGTGACCAAACTCCGACTCTGCGCTTCGCTGGTTGGGCCCATCGGAGCGTTACCGGGCGCATCCGAGCCAACGGCGCGCAGAATGGCGACCGGAACGACGAGATTCGGGCCATCTTGAACTTGGATATCGTTGGAAACTCCGGAGAGAAGTGACAGGCCAGGTGCCTCATCCGAATGCGAGGAGAACGTGAAAGTTCGTTGAATGGAACCGGGGGATGGAGGAGCGGTATCTCCCCACGAGACGCGGCCGGCCTTCCGTCGGGCGATATTCGATTCGTCGATGTTAAAGTCAATGCCAAAGAAAGCGAAGATCGGGGTACAGTCTTTGCCAGCGTATTCACTGAGCTCGGCAAGCTTGTTGGCAAAGGATGCTCCGGTCTGACAGAGGTAGACTGGGAGAAGGTTAACAGGAGAGACTACCATGCAAATGAGGCACAATGAACAAAAACCTACTCTTTCTACACACTTCCAGCAGCTGCTCCACATTAGCCTGTAGTGCATCCGGCTCATCGGGGACTGCCAAGGAACCGGCAGACGACAGTGTCGATGCATCGATCGACTCTCGGCGCACCCATCTTTCCGATCGGACGCGGTCGTCGATGTAGACGCCCGTACACTCCACGCGGTCTACCATCATGTAACACACAGGGGGTGAGTGATCGCTCCGATTCAGGCGACGCCGCCAGAATCACAGGGCTGCAGCCAAGAACGTAGGAGAGAAAACGAAAACGAGGCGACCGGACCTGCCCTGGTTTGCATATGGCTCCAATGACCGGAGAAACGCAGGGGATGAAACGGTTGGAGGACAACAGACGGTAAGGGGGGGTTGAGACGATTGAGATGAAATGCGGAAAAGGTGGAAGTGAAGAGAGGAGGAGAAGTGAGTTGTGGTCGTTGGACGTTCCGGGATCAGACCGAAGGGGAAGGGAAAAATAACGAGCGGCGAGTCGGACTTGAAGCGAACCGACGAGAAATCCGAGCGAAGGAACGACTAGAGTCGGCCACAACTCCTAACGGCAGGATCAAACAATGCAGTTGTTCCCTGCAGCGATTCAGCCCGAGTCGCGCCGTGGACCGGACGATCCGAGACAAGTGCGACGGACTTTGTCGCACTGGGGGTGGGAGCCGTCGCGCGCGACCGGGCAGCTCGAAGAAATGGTGATAATTACTGAGGCCGATGTTACTGCGGATGGCAGGTGAGGGAGAAAGACGACCTGTGGTGACAGGTAGGAAGGGGCGAGGAGAGATTGTGTTGCGTTCAGCAGTTGGGTCGGGTTCAGGGAGGAAGTCGTCAAGGCGACATGGTCGAGGCCGGGCGAGGGAGCAGGTGGATGGGCCGGTGGCCGGTGGGCGAGAGAGATGAGGAGAGTGATGGCGTGCAAGAAGTGGTGAGAGGGGGAGGTTGCAAAGGGCAAAACAGAAGTGGAGGGGGGGGCACACGGGGAAGGGGCTTCTTTCCTCCTTCCAGAAGGCCTGGAGGGGGGGGGCGGGACGGGATGATCGTCTCTGCACGATACGCCGGTCGCAGTACCCTAACAGTGTCCAGAGTGCTTGTTACCGACTACTGGCGACTCAACTATCCTTTGCATGCGATATCTCGTGACTGCTTCTCAACTACGTTTAATTTCAAGTTCAATCCTTCCCTCCTTCCCTCCTTCGCCTCCTTTCTGCCAACTCTCTGTCCTCTCCATCCTGCAGAGCCTCGATCCGTCCCCAAGTGGACCATGACGCCTCCTCTCATTTGCGTACGATTTTTTTTCTAGAAGGCCCACGGTCTTAGGTAAGCCCACCGAAAGTTCCATGGCGCCCACTTGCGGATTCGCGGCCGGTCAATCAGTCCTGCTGATTGGCTACACCTGCAGGATCCCGTCGAGGCTCCGGGGAGTCCGCCGGGCGCAAAGCACCCAACTGCACTCTGCACAGGCCGACCGGCTGGATTGATGCGACAGGTTGGAGAGGAAGGGGGGGCCCCCCATTTCGGGGGCTTTCTCCTCGAAATTACCCTGCCGCCCCCCAGTCCTTTCCCCCGAGTCCGGTCCCCTCCCAGACGGCGTGCGTGCCCTCGTCAACTGGATCCTCGCCTCCATTCTCGTTCGTCCCTCGGTTCCGCCCCGGTGCTTATTCCGCGATGATCTCATTCACCAGATGCGTCACTTTTCGTCGCAACACTGGACCTTCTGGCAGAAACGCCACCGTTCCTGGCCGTTGCGCGCTTCCCTACATCACCGGATTTAACTTCCTCTGACCTAACCAGACTAACCTATCATCGCGGCCCTGGGCCCCTTCGCTCCATCATTCCACCCTCCGCTGCAACGCGTTTGTCCGTGGTTCGGAGGGCGATCGCAGCCTACGGGTGGATGGCCGGCCAATCAGGGGTCCGCAATAGCCAGCACTAGTTTGACCTCCAACCAGGCTGAACCCGTAGAGGCGGTAGAAATCCCGGAAACAGTCGTGCAGCTCGGCCCTAACTGAGGTTCGGTGCTGTTGGTTGGTGTCGGGTCGTTTGAGAATGCTTAGCCTGCTTACTATCGACAAGGGTCTCTCAGCCAGGGTCCCTACACATAATACTCGATTGCACTAGGGTCGCACTGATAATACGCTTCATGCGATGCCATTGGTACCCCGTTCCGCAAGGCCGGATCCTGCATAGCCCGACTACCTGTTACATAGGAGCTACCGTTTTCTATTGGTCTAGTCCCCCTAACAAAGAATTTATTATCCTAGGGAACTATGCGGTGCTGTCAAAAAGGACGAGACTTTGCGATCGGTGGATCCATCCTCCTTCCATGGACAAGAATGGCCCGCCACTCTGAACCGAACTGTGCATACTCTCCTTCATAGGACTAGATAAGATCAAGGGAAGTAGTACAAGACAGGATGCTTTAAGTCGTGATATGATACCGAAAGAGCCACCGAGCGTTCTCCTAGCCACCCACTATTCACTCTCCTTACTCACCATTCATTACACAAATAATCTTTCCCTTCGTCTGATTACTCTCCAACAACTGGTGCGCCGTAACAATCTCCTCAAACGGAAACACCTTCTCAACAAAGACCTTGAACGTCCCATCACAGAACTTCGGCAGCGCATGCTCCGCCAGCGTATCCCTCAAACGCCCCTGGTACTCCACGTCCCGACTACGCAGCGTACTCCCCTCAACACGAATCCTCTTAAACAGCAGCGGCGCAATATTCACCCCATCCGGCAACTTGCCTCCGCCCATTAGGCCCAGCAACACGACACGCCCATCGCGCGCCGCCACGTCCAGGTCGCCCTGGAAATAGGGCGCGCCGATAAAGTCGATGGTGAGGTTGACGCCGGCGCCGCCGGTGGCCTTCTGGATCTCGGCGGCCCAGTCGTCGGTCTTGTAGTTGAAGGCTTTAGTGACGCCGAGCTCTCTTTCGAGGAAATCGATCTTCTCTTGCGAGCCCGCTGTCGCGTAGATTGCGGACGCGCCTTCGGCTTTGGCGAGCTGGATGCCCGATATGGAGACGGAGGAGGCACCGGCGTGCCAGAGGACGGACTGGCCGGCTTTGAATTCGCCGATAAGGAAGAGTGCTTGAGAGGCGGTGATCCAGGTCTGTACGGGCAGATTTAGTATCTAGAATCGGGCATGGTGGGAAACTGGAGCTGGGAGGAGACTCACCTCTGGCACACCGGCCGCTTCTTCCCAGGAGAGCTCCTTCGGCTTGTGGACAAGCATCTTCGTCGAGACAACAATGTACTCGGCATAAGCACCTACACGGCCGAGCTCATTAGCCCAACCACCCGGTCAGGAATGAATAAAGAAATCAAACATACCACCATACGCCAACCCAAACACCTCATCCCCGCGCTGGAAACCACACCCCGCAGCAGCAGCCTCATCCCCAAATCCCTCCACCACACCGCTAAACTCCACACCAAGCGTCTCCGGTGCCTGTGGCGGCAGCGGATACAAGCCCTCGCGCTGTAGCAGGTCCATGCGGTTGAGCCCGAAGGCGCGGATCTTGATGAGAGCTTGGCCTGGTGCGGGGATCGGCTTGGGGATGTCAGTGACGTGTAGGGCTGTGGCGGGGCCCTTGCCGCCGTGGACGCCTTTGTGTCATAGTTAGTATGGATCCATGAGCTTATGGAATGGGAAATTGGATCTGCGGTTGAAGACTGAGGTATATAAAAGGCCCGGGGCGAGCGGCGTGTTTCTTATATCGCGCGACATAGCTCCCGGGACTCCGGTATGTGAGGGAGGGGTTGCTAGGGGGGGTGAGTTGGGGCAGATGTACCGATTGCGCGCATGGTAGTAGTCATTCTTGTGATGGGAAGTCGATCAAGTCGAGCTTGGATGTGGGGATGATATTTCTGCAAGGACTCGATGTTCTTTTATTTCCCGCAGCTCGGGAGTGCTGGGCAAGCTGGGAGAATCTGGAGCGGATGAAGCGCGTATTTGTCAGCGCCCACTTTGACGTTGGGTGGGCCTGCGGATATCCACAATCACCAACCCTCCTAAGGTTGGCAATCACGGTTAACCGGCACAAGCTACGTCCCTGCCGAGGGGCCGACTCACTGGAACATTGAGTCGAGTCCACAAAGGGAATGGCACGGAAAGCGCAAGGGGTAAAGTAAAAAGGTGAAAGCCGAGTAAAGAGAATAGCAAATGCAAATCAATTCTTCTAGCCGTAATCACGGGGGAATGGTAATCAATCAATCGTCATAGCTGTAAATGGAGAAAGTCACCAGCCTTATAGTACTCCATGCAACCCACGAACCCCGTCCCATCCAGTCCCATCCAGTGTAGTCCAGCCGATTGTAGTCAAGGCACACCACCCATCGAAACTTCGCATTGCTTTTCCAGCCGCGATCCGTAATCGAAAAACGCCGAGAAGATGTCAGACAAAGGGAAAAGACGGGAGAAAATGTAATGTCAAGGGAGAAAAGTAGAAAATAAACAGAAGATAACGGATGAATATGGGAACAGAGGTTCAAACACACAGACGCCATATGGGGGTGTGGACAATTTCCATCAAGTGAGAAGAACAGAATAATGCAGGGCACTTTTTGTGTCAAGATGCCACCCACGCACAGATGCAATAAGGGCAGAAGAGAATAAAAGAAAAAAGATCTGAGCAGGTATCATACAATCCGACGGGGCGCTAAAGAGCTACCGCAGGAAGAACGGGAGGAATCAAGAGAGAAGGTTCTTGAGCGACGGGCTCGCGCTCGCTCCTGACCCAGTACTCGTAGCGTTCATGCCCGAGTGCCGCCTCGCGTGGGGAGTCCCGCCAAGTATACTAGCCAGCGATTGAGTCGAGTCGACTCGAGTGGGAGGGGAAGGCCCGCGCGGGTCAGGACGTCCTTGAACTGACGGTGGTGAGCGGGAGGAAGCCCCCATTTCACGATCAACGGAGTACATGCGCGGCGGCGGACCACCGTTCAGGGCACTGAGGGAGGTCTGCGGAGACCGGTTGACCGTCGCCTGCACGATCGGCGGAGAGGCAGATGCCGGGTATGGGCGCGGGGGAGCTTGCGAGAGATGCGGCGACCGAGCGGACATGGGGGCATAGGGGCTCTGGTGAGCCGAGTATGTCTGCGTGGGCGGTGGCGGAGGGGGGCCAGTGCCGAAAGGAGACGGCGGATGAGCAGGCGGATGAGTCGGCGGGTAGCTGCCTATGTGATGTGGAGGGAGAGGCGCCGCAGGATACGCAGGCGGCGACATGCCGTTGCGCACGTCGGGACCAGGCCGCTGGTCATACCCAGGATAGCCCGGAAGGGCACTGTGCGAATGAGCCGGAGGCAATGGCCGTCCAAGTACGCCCGTTGGCACACTTGCTGGCACACCCGTTGGCGTGGGGTGTTGGTGTGAATGCGGATGCGAATGCGAATGCGGCACGAAGGTATGGCCATGGTTGTGGTTCTGGTTCTGGTTGTGATTGTGGTTGTGACTGTGACTGTGGCCAGTAGCAATGCGAGGGGTTGGGAGCATGGTAGGGCGCTGGGCCGCATAGGGCGAGGGCCGGGGCTCTGGTGCGGGCTCAGGCACAGGCGGGTGCTTCAGGTGACATTTGTGGCATTCGTAGGCAGGCTCCCCAATGTCCCCGTTGGAATGCACCAAAGATAGTCGCCGGGGGGAAAGGACGGGCTGTTGGTGTTGTTGCCTACTCCATTGGTCGCCAAGGGGGCTCGGGGTTCGTTGCGTAGTTGGCTGGGCCACCATCTGGGGCTGAAATCGGTCGTGCATCGAACACATCTCCGGTTTGTCGAGTTACCTGTGACAGGCTTTGGCACAGGTACATTTTCCTCCGTGTCTATTTCCATTTCATCGGCGGCATCGTCGGGGGCAGGTTGGGACTTGTGGTTGTCTTTAGGAGCTGCCAACACGCTGCTTGTGGAAGTCCGTCGGTGGACTGCGCCGATGCCGTAGTAAACAGGGGCTGCAACCGACTGCTGCACATACGCTGCCTTTCGAGACGTTCCGGTAAGTGTGAGATCCGCCTGCTTGTATGTCTGAGCGAACAGCTGCAGTGCATTGAGGCCATCGGGGCCTGCCGCCTCGCCAATATCATGCACAGTATTCGACACGCTGTGGCTAGGGCAATAGATGACAGGCGTAGCCACACCAAGTTCGGAGCCAAGGCGAATGGTCTGTACACTGTCTTTCCGCGTGCTCTTCACAGGTGTAACATCAATCCCAAGGCGGTACCCTGCCTGGAACGCACAGCCAACATGGAAATGGCTGTTGCATCCAGTAGAGTGGCAGGAAACACACGCGCCCTTAGACGACTTGCAAATCTTGCACACCTCGCGCCACCGGTCTTTAGGAATAGACCCAAATCCCTCCGCAGGTTCCAACTCTTTCGCATCCCCGAACTTGATCTCTGGGGTCCACAAGGAGCACATCACGTGGGCCCAATTGTTGCCGGCAGTGCGCTTCAGAGGCTCCCGAGGACTGACAGGCTTGCCCACTGCTTCCTGACGCTGGCGGTAAAGCTTGATGGCTTCGGTGACCATCTCCTTCTCTAGCCGTTCCTTTTCCTTGTCCCGGTCTGACTTCTTCCGGCTGGTGTTCTTAGTGGTTTCCATCAGATCGTGCTCGGTCCATGTTACTGGGCAGAGAACGCATTCGTAGGTTGTAGAGATTGAAGGGCTGCGGTCGTTGGAGCACATATCGCATAGCCACTTGTTGCCAGCTCGGAAGGACGAGATTCCGTAGCAGTTGCGGTGAACGGTCAGGCGGCAGTCTCGGCAAGAGAGGTGCTCATCGCCAGACGGCTCGACCTTGCGACAAATCGCACATGGAAGAGTCTTCGCCCTAGGCGGATCGGGGACAATTGGCGGTCCCTCAGAACTAGTCTTCTCGGCACCCACCTTCTTCTTCGGCATGGGCTCGACCGATGTCGCAGTGGATGTCGCAGTGCTCGGCACATCAGCACGCGGTTTCTTCTTATCCAACTTGCTTTCGTGCTGCAGGTGAGGGTTGACATCAACTGAAATTCCGATGGAGGAGGCGGTGGCCGCTGTGACACTGTTGATGGTGAACGGTGTTTCGGTAGCCACAATCATCTGGGCCAGCAACTCCTCGTCAATGCGTCTCCTCCATGACTTGTTGCCGCTGGTTGCAATTCTCTTCCCGACTTCATCAATATCCTCATACTGAATGGCGTATTTGCGCCATAGCAAGGCACAGCGAAGGCAGAGGGAAACGGTAAGCAAGGGCCCTTTATCCTTCTTTGCAGAAGGGTCCGAAGGAACCGTGGTCCCGGGAGGGACCAGGGGTGCACGTCGCCACTGCCGGGAGCTGCGAGTGGAGCAGAACTTGCACTGAAATCCGCGTTTCTGAATGACTGCTTTCTCGTTATCAAAGGCTGAATCATCGTGATCATCGGCGACATCATCGAGTAGTTTGGAGGTAGCCACACTCTGGCGGCGAACCTCCTTCTTGCCTCGTCGCCCTTCATAACTGCCCCATACTTGTCGACCTCGGGGAGTTTTCTTCCACATGTAGTAGAACCGCACAATCTGGTAGTGTGGAACAGTCTTGACATGCTTGGTGATATTGCGCCATTCGGAACCATACTTGGCAACTCCTTGCTCAAACAACTTTAACTCCTCGGGTCGAAGATGAGGCTCCTTGAGATCCTTGTACTTGTTGACTTTCTTCAACTTGGCGAGAGCTGCGTCCGCATTGAAGCTTTCGGAATATAGCAGCTCCAGAGCCTTGTCCAAAAAGTTGGTGCAGTACTTCTCAACTCCAACATCGGGAGCCAAGTCCTTCGCTCGTCGCATATAGTCATCAATAAAAGCCTCCCGGTCAGCATCGCTCAGATGAGCGCCCGGCGCATCGTCTTCACCTCGTGCGGGGAGCTGCTCCGCAGCCGGCATCTTGAACACGAGCTCGGCCGTGCGCGCCTGCTTCCCATTACTCATCGTAACCGGCTCGTCCTCTCCACGTTGAATATACCCTGGTGGCAGATCCTGGACCCATTTAGGCCGAGTGGCCTTTTCTTGTTTCGCAGCCTCCATGGCAGCCTTGCTGTCAGTGGTCAGTTTCCCGACTTTGGGACCGCCCGACTGCCTTGCGTACTTCTTCTTGAGCTCAAGTGGCTTCACGTATTCCACTGGACGTCCAAACCAAGGATTGACGATGGCTTGGTGTCGCGGTCCGAGTCGGGAACTGGCACGAGGGTAGATCCGATCATCGTAGTCGAGAGCGTCCTCCACGCGGCAATGCATGCCCAAATAGCGATACGGCCACATCCTCGCCTGTGCCATCTGCTCCGCGGTTTCCGGCTGGGGCATGGAGTCCTCGATGGCTGCCGGAGTGCTGACAGAGGTGTCGTTGACGACAGCTTTGGCGTGGTGCTCTTCGTCTTCCTCTTCCATAACCTCGTCCTCCCCGTCCGCTTTGGCCCCGCCGATAATTGGCGTGTTGCGAGCTTCCAATTTGCGTTCTTGGGCCCGACTGCAGGGCGCACAAGCCCAGGCAAATCCGCGAGCAGGCTTCTTTGTGAGGGCAGGTCGGACACAGGACATGTGGTAGGTCGAGCGACACACCGCGCAATCAACCGACTCGGAATTTGCCGCGAACAGGTGGCATCGCTTGCAGGTCTTCACGGCGCCCGTCAATTCCTTGCTCTTCCCGATTTCGACGAGGATGAACTTCCAACGATCATCCAAGACGCGCTTGACATTGGGTGGCACATTGACCACATCCTTGGTGGGAATCACGTCGTATAGGCGATGAATATAACGATCGAACATCTTGTCGTACCAAAACGAATCTCGCATCTTTTTATATGAGGTCAGGTCGTCGATCTCCGAGGCATGGCGAATCTGACACTTCCCGCGTAGCGAAGAAAGGGGACATGTATCCGAGTGCATCGATGCATATACAAATCGCGTGTCGGCGCTGTGGCGCTGAATGTCGCGTGGGCGGTAGTACCAGTTTACCCGCAACGCTTCAATCACGCCCGACTCTTTCGTCTTCGAAGGCAAAAACTCCATGATTCGAGCCAGGTAATATGGCTCACCAGGAGGTTCACAAATTAAATATACATGATCTAGCCACTGGAGTTAGCTGGTTGGCCTTGGAAGATCACAAACCCATGGCACCGGTGGTGCAAGGTTTCGGGCTCACCATTTACGGCAAATGTGGTGCCATCGTCCGATTTGATTTGGCCATTTTCAAGATAGGGACCCGAGGCCTCAAAGCTCATCATGTTAGTGAAATAACCACCGTCCGAATCACCCGGCGCGGCGGTGAAGATCCTCTTTGCGGCATTACCACCGGAGCTCGCACTGGAATTCGGGGTGCTCGCAGGCTGCTTGCGCTTCCGTAAGGAGCCGGTGCCATTCACATCGTCGGGACGCGCCGAGAAGGACGACGTGCCGGGGATGGAGTCTTTGGGCGCGGCATTGGCAGTGCCGTTGGGTAGACTCTTCCGGGGTTGCACTGGTGAGGACTTCTCGCTGTCGGTTTTGGATCCGTTGACGATGTTATTGAGGGCCACGCCACTATTGCGCTTGTTGGCGGTCTTGGCGGGAGCGGCCTCAAAGTCCACGTCGAGGTCCCGGTCCTCGGCGTAATTGGGCCGAGGAGCGTTACGCCCTCTCGATCGCGTCCCATACGGGACCGCGGCGGAGGCGCTGGCCGGGTCGGCCACAGCCTCCGGGGAGTTGCTCGCGGTCATTGAGGACGAGTCTTAGTCATCCACGGCAGGCATAGACGGAATTCCTGCGTGGCGATGGCAAGAGCGTGACCGGCACGTTGCGCGAGATGGCTGTGGAGTATGATCAGTCACAGGCTTGGGTGGGATGGCGGAGGGTGGAAGGGAAGTGGGAGATGGAAGGTGGTGGTGGAAAAGGAAGGTGGAATGGGAGGCCAAACACGCTATCAGACGTGGCGCGGATGCATGGACGTGGATGGTGCGGTATGTGGAAACGAAATGTGGGAACACTAAATGACCGGGGGCGAAAATCTCAAAGGCGGGTAGATGGGATATGCCGAGGCGGGATACGAACACCAGATGAGATCGGGGTGGGGGGGAGATAGGCAGAGAAAGTGTCGCAAATAGAAGACGAAGGATTGGGGGAATTGGGGGGGAGAAAGAAAAACAGGTGGGCACAGCAGTAGGTAAATGGCACAAAGAGTGGGCCGTGTCAGATCTGATTCTCTGCAGGGGTTGAGTAGGGCGCAGGTAGGGCGGCCGGGGCCAGATGGGGAGGATGGGTAGATGGGCCGATATCAAGGTGATATGAGGGGGGGAGACGGAATGGGGGGAACAGGATGATAGGCTCATAGACTGATGGGATTATGGGAGACTGGGCATATGACCACGGAAGAGAGAGACAGCAGATGGTGGGGAGCCGAATTCCATACGGGCGATAGAGCACGAGCATGGAAAAGGGAAATCACGAGTAGACCGGTCGAGGGGGAAGGGGGAGCGGACAACTTACCAACAGCAGACCGAGGGGGTCGAGATCGAGAGAGAGTGGGAAGGGGCCCAAAGATCCAGAGACGCGAGATGGGCGGGAGGAAGAGTAGGCCAGTGCGAAACAAAACAAGCGCGCAGCGGAAGGGAAAGGATACTGGGATGTGTGGAAATGTGGAGTGATAAAAGTGGTGGCAGTGGTCGAGCGGAGAGAATGAATGTATTATACGGGACGAGCAGAAAAGAACCCGACAGATTGGGAAAGATGGGAAGTGGAAGATGGGAAGTTGGGAAGATGGGAGGGAGATATGGGGAATTATGGAACGAAGAATATGGACGGGGGGGAAAGAAGAGAAAAAGCGTCGAGCTTCCCGAGCGTGCCCCTAGTCCCGATATGTTAATATGACGGATCCCCAGCACGCTCGAACCAAGGGAAGACCCCAGGGAGATGGGCTGCGATGGCTGTAATTCACTACTCGATCCGCCCCTCAGAAGACCGCGCCCATCCCACGGTATGCCGGTAGAAGGTATATGGCGGTATGATCGAGGATACAGACAGGATTGGGCCCGTCCCCGTGCTGGTTGGACGGTCCGGGAGATTCGCAGCGGGAGACTACGACGGATTCGATCGGGACAAGCAGATGAGCAGATGAGCAGATGAGTGGATGACTACCCTGACGAGGAGAACCAGCGACCGGATCTTCTTGGGACGGAGGGAGAGGTGTCAGAACGGCCGGAAAGGTCAGAAAGGTCAGAAAGGTCAGAAAGGCCACTAGGCTGGCTGGGCAGAACTCTAGACTCTAGTATCGCCCGAAGAATAATTAGATAGGGTCGCGGATTTCCGGTCTACACAGCCTAGAAAGCTGCAGAAAACGGCCCGCAAATCGCGCCAATTATGAGGGAATGGACCCAATCCGTAAATGACTAGGAATGCTGTCACGTAGGAGGCGCGTATGGGCCTGTAGAGTTCAACCGTACGAAGAATCAATGGGATACGGGGGATGGGGGTCGTTAACCACCCCCTCCAGACGCGGGTCCGTAGGCGATCATTCTTGCATGGCTCGTCATCCGTCAGGGCCCTCCGATCTCTCCACGCCAACCTTTGGGGCATGTTGTGTGAGGTCTGGTTTGAGCTCTGCGCTCTGCGACTTGCGGTTCCCCGTGGTGAGTTTTTCCCGGGGGGAAACCGATTGACGGGGACGGGGTACGATCATATTTAAGACGATCATATTTAGGTGCCTATCTGGAGATGGGATATCTGGGAGGGGAATTATCTGCCTTAGGGGGGAGTTCATGACTGATATCGGAAGAGGCTTGTGGTCAAGAGTAACGAGTAGCGTGGTGGGCAGGGCACTAGTGAGCAGTTAGCTAGTGAGGGACTCCACCTCCATCCACGATCCCTGCGGAAAAATTACGGGTACCCATGCATTACGGAGTAAAGTACACTTCCTCACAGTGGCCCATTCTCCCGCACCACTGTGGGTTTCAATGGGGCCGCCATACCTTGATTCGGCTTGTACCACCTCTCCGGGGACTCTCATTCACCGCAAGCGAGTCCATTAAACACCCCTTCTTCCACGGGCCAATGGAACCGCGTGGGATATTATACTCCGTGTATCAATGAACCAGAGAGCTCCAGGATATGGTTCACCTAGATTTTTCGATCTAGGATGATGTCCTGATATCTATCTCCCTGCGTCTGGTTTCGTTGTACGGCCCATCATGATCAACGAGGGGGCCCAGGTGTGACGCCGCCAGGGGAGTGTGCATGGGTGGGACTACCTCATAATATTGCCTTCCCGCGCAAGTCCGTCGGGCCTCATTTGGTGACCAATGTAATAAAGGGAAACGAGGAAAACGGAAAACGGAAAAAAAAAAAAAGAAAAGAAAAAACGGAAGCAAGGGAAAGGATGATTCGTGCCGGTCACCATCGAAATGCCGACCAGCAGGACGAACGGCCAGGCCTGTAAGATTCAGTTTCATCCAGGTGCACTCCATCTGGAGGGCGTCAGAAAAGCGAGAGAGTAAAAAAAAACCAAATCCCCTTCATCGGTCCCCGTGTATTCTAACCCGAGGGAGGGACTAATTAATGAGTGCCTGTCTTCCTGAATTAAACTTCTACCGCCCACTCGGTCCAATGACGATCGAAGGCGCCGAGAACCGGCCGCTGTTGGCCGAGGATGATTTGCTCCCGGCGGCTGTTGCGTGTCGCCACCTTGCATCCGGTGGGCCAAAGCTCCAGAACGTGCCGGGTACTGGAGTTGGGGATCTTACCTAACACAGTAATATCCTCCATCGACTGAAATCGGAGTCGACGGGGAGGGGAGGGGAGATGGGGAATCACATAGTCAGAGTAAGCTGAAAACCCCGAGATCGTATTTGGTTCCTGGCGGCCAGACACTATCCTGTGATGCAGTGCGATCGGACCTCTCTTGGGGGGCAATATACCTCGCGAGCCGCTCACGGGGGCTTTGGGTGCACACGACACCCAAGAGGGTAGGAAATCACGGTAAGAACCTACTATGTGATTCGCCCACGTAAGCCCTAGTGGACTGGCAACTGTACTAATTTATCAATTAATCCACTCCTATGTACAGTGTATAGGATATATATATGTGTCTTGATCCGGCACCACCACCACATTCCACCGTCATGTATATTGATGGCCTGAATTCCAGACTGTCGATCCGCATATTGACCTCCCTCGATCCGGAGCACTATGTATACATGTATACAGTGAAAAAATTTTCACCGTCCACAGCCACAGCTCCATTTGAGTAGGGAGATTTCCAGACCCGCGATCCACCGACGCGACCGGGTCTCGGAGGAAGGATTCGCAAGCCAAGCTGGGCGTTCCGGGACATAGCTTGGCTACGATAGACTGCTCCGGGCAGGCAGCAGCCTACCGAATGGACAGTTCCTTCGTAGTATACTCCGGAGACACCAAAGACATACAAAGCCACCACAATCTACGCAAATGCCATGCCCCAATCACTCGCATTAAGACTGTCCCGCAGGCAGAGCCGCCCGTGGGCCGAGATCGTCAGACCGTCCATCCAGCAGCGACACGTTGGTCATCAAACCATGAACACATCAATCAGTGCTATTCAACCAGACCTGGACGGGGTTGATTGACCCCGAGCAAGGAGTCAATTCTCATGTGGGTTTCATGGGCCCCGTCCTCAGTCCCAGTCTCAGATCATTTCGCGCATTGAACCTTCGGCGGGAACCTTACCTGCTGCGGACCTGCTGGCTCCATCCAGGAACCGATTACATAAGGGCCCTGACATGTTCTGCCTGAGGCACTTCACCTTCCCGGCATCAAACGCGGTGGTCGCGTAGACTTCAAATCAACGTAGCGGGCAGCAAAGATGACTGACTTGCATTACCGTATTTGTCGCACCTAAACTACCCTCGCCCCTCCCCCAAATCCAGCCTACATGAATGGTTCAGGCCCCAGGAATGTCGACACCGGGCCCGCCGCCCGCCCAGTCTCGCGGATACGAGACCACGATTGATATCGCGCGCCACCAGGCTTATCATGTAGCACCAGTGGCAGGAATCAAGAGGTCGACGACGACTCGGTCTCCTGAGCCTCCCACCTCCGGCGTAGGCGCCCCCACCCACTCTACATTCCGGCGCGGACCAAACAGCCCCGCAGATGGTATCCGGGAATCAACACCGCTGGAGTTCACTCGAGCCTCGCTGATCCCTCTCCCAAACCGATTTCACCCCAGCAAGATCCATCCGGGCCCGGGCGCGCCAGGCCCTGAGGAGCCCAAGGACGGGCAAAAGGGCGCCTCCGCCCCGGGTTCCAGCCAGAATCCGCTGCTGTCGCTAACCAATCCCAAGTACGGGCTGCCGCCGGCACTGACGGCCAATTTCGCTGCCCTCGGCGTCAGCAATATCTATCCGTGGCAGGCGTCGTGTCTGCTTGCGCGCGGGTTGTTGGCGGGTGGGCGGCACCTGGTCTACACGGCCCCCACCGGCGGAGGCAAGTCCCTTGTCGCGGACGTACTGCTACTAAAACGGATTATTGAGGATCCCGCCCGCAAGGCGCTCCTCGTGCTGCCGTATGTAGCGCTGGTTCAGGAGAAGCTGAAATGGATGCGCCGGATTGTCCAGGGCGTGGAGAGGAATGTGCCTGAGGACGACGAGGACGATGCGCACTACCCGCGCAAACGCTGGAAGAAACTGCAGAGGCAGATCCGGGTGACGGGATTTTTCGGCGGAAGCCGGACGACGGCGACCTGGGCGGATACCGATGTTGCCGTCTGTACTATAGAGAAGGTGTGCTATTTTCTGATGATTGAATGTCTGGTTTTCTATGTTCTGATGTATGTCTTAGGCCAACTCCTTGATAAATACGGCAATCGAGGAGTGTAGTATTGGGGACTTGGGGGTGGTTGTGTTAGATGAGCTGCACATGCTTGACGATGAGCACCGGGGCTATCTCTTGGAGCTCATGGTAACGAAATTGCTGTTGCTCCGGCAGGATATCCAAATTGTGGGCATGAGTGCTACACTCTCCGTAAGAGCCTGTGCGTGTGGATCCTATAGCTGGCGACTAACAAAACAATAGAACACAGAGATGCTAGCACAGTGGATGAACGCAAAGTTCTTCATTTCCACATACCGACCGGTTCCCATTGATGAATATCTCGTCTATGAGAATGCTATCTACCCAGCCGCAACCTCGAGACAATTGTTTCAGACAGCATCAAAACTGACAGCCGCAAATTTAACCTCACTACACGACTCGATACCGCCTCATAGACTCATCGATGCTTCTGAATACAAGGAGCTTTGTAATGCTGCCACCAATTCCATGGTGGCATTGGCTGTTGAAACTGCTTCTGCTGGTTACGGCGCATTGATATTCTGCAGTAGTCGTGGCGCTTGTCAAATCCATGCTGCTACCATTAGCGAGGCAATGCCTAGTCTAGCACCACATGAGTCAGAAGAGCTGAGCAAGCGGTTGGACCTGCTTGCGGAGCTGCGAAGTCTTGCGTGTGGATTGGATCCAGTTCTGGAGAAGACAATCGTCAAGGGAGGAGGATTTCACCGTAAGGTCGTTCCTTAGATGGCGGAGTTGTCCATAAAACTGACAACTGGTAGATGCCGGTATGACCATGGAAGAGCGGGAGTTGATTGCACAAGCCTACGATCAAGGTGTGTTGAGAGTGCTGGTTGCTACATGCAGTCTTGCTGCTGGCGTCAATCTCCCTGCTCGACGGGTAATTATCAATGGAGCTCGGATGGGCCGGGAATTGGTTGGGCCTGCAATGCTGTACGTACCAATCGGTCTGATTATTCCAAAGGGAAACTTAAAACTGATGGAATTAGACGTCAAATGTGCGGACGCGCTGGACGCAAAGGCAAGGATGACGCGGGCGAGACATATCTGATATGCATCAAGGCTGATTTGGAAGCTGTTTGTGACCTACTGGATGCGGACATGCCTGCAATCGAGAGCTGCTTGGCTCCCGAGAAAAGAGGTCTGAAAAGGTACAGGGATTGCTCTCATTAGCTCCTTTTCTCTGGCTTACCTTATACAGGGCCCTTCTTGAAGCGATAGCAACGGGCTTAGTATCGGGCGGCGAGGCAATTAAAGAGTACGTCCGCTGTACCCTTCTCTACCGCACCATCGACAAGAAACTTGTGTACAGCATCATGAAATCGGCCCTGCAGGAATTGATCGACGAAGGGCTCTTGATTTTCAAAGATGATGAGTCCTACGGGGCAACCCTCTTAGGTCAGGCAGTCGTCGCCTCGGCATTTTCCCCCGAAGATGGGCTTTTTGTGTACGAGGAGCTCAAACGTGCCCTGCAGGCATTCGTCATGGATGGTGATATGCACATATTCTATATCTTCACACCACTGCAAGTTGCCACGAACACACCAATCGACTGGCAGATATTCCGCAACCAATTGGACCGCATGGATGAAAGCGGCCTACGAGCGCTGCAATTCATCGGTGTCCAGCCAGGATTCGTGAATAACATGTAAGTGACTCTCCCCGAACGCCCTTCCAGAACATACTCACCCTACGACAAACCCAATGCTCATCAAACTGCCAGGGTCCAATCTGGCGCTTCCCTCAAAGAGAACACCCCCGACCAACAAAAACAAGCGCGTATATACCGCCGTGCCTATACAGCCTTCCAACTCCGCGACTTGAGTAATGAAGTACCGCTTTCCACCATCGCCACCCGCTACCGCATCCCCCGCGGCGCGGTCCAAACCCTTGCCCAGCAGTGCCACGGCTTCGCGGCCGGGATCGTCAAGTTCTGCCAGCGCATGAATTGGGGTATGATGGCGGCTGCGTTGGATCATATGCGGGATCGGCTGGAGGCTGGAGCGCGGGCGGATCTGCTGGAGATGGCGCAGGTCACGTTTGTAAAAAGCTGGACGGCACGGTGCTTGAGGGAGAATGGATTCCGTAATTTGAGATCCTTGGCCGAGGCAGAACCGAAGGATTTGGTGCCGGTACTTATGATGGTAGGTGACAGTGGCTGTGTGTGATGCGTGGGGGGTGAGTGCTGACTTGTGTGTGGGGTTTAGGTCAACCGGCGAAAGACTCAGAAGAGTCAGCTCCATCCCACCGAAGCCGAACGGTATGCCGCGAAGGTATTGGCGAAAGCGGAGACTATTGTTGCCTCTGCGAACAAAATATGGGGTATGTTTAAACTCATGTTTGAGGATCACAGATAGTCGCTGACATCGTCTGATAGAACGGGAGATGCAGATCGAGCTGGAGGAATGAAACAAGACGCTAGAGAAAAACCTTTGATATTTGGCATCGACACATGACAATTCGTTAGCATTAGAGAGCGTTGGCGCTTGCAAAAACAGCCTCTGTATGACATCACATTCAATAACATTCATTCTAAGAACTTGCCACTATAGATAGTGGCCATGTTAATAACGTGTACATGATCACTCGGACCTCCTCTAGAACCCGTTCAACTCATTCTGTGCCTCAATAACATTCCCTTTATCCACGAAGTCCGCCAACACAACGTTCGGCGCCCTGTTATATAATGCCTCGCACACTGCAGCCTGTGCGCCAATGCTGCCTTTGCCAGTCGCTGCATTCGTTGTGGCCGCTGCATCACGGTCTGGCACTTTCACGCCCAGGATGTCCACGTCGAGGAAGTGGTTGACAATGTACATACGGCCGGAGGCGGAGGCACCTGACGGCCTGTCGATGCTGCAGCCCGAGAAACTCGAATCGGTGACGTCGTAGGGGGTTTCAAAGTAGTAGGCGAATTCGTCGAGGATGTAGTTTACTTTGCTCGTGTCGGCACCGTAGTCTGTCGTGAGTGGGTGGTGTTAGAATGATTGAATGGCCCATTTATGATAAATAGTATGCAAGACTTTTCCATGGCTTTCTCTCAAGAGAAACTTGGGACGGAACATACCCAGGAAAACGACCAATCTCTTCCCGCTCGAGATCAAATCACCGATAGTCGGCCAATCGCCAATAGACAATGGGCTGGAGGATGGTGCAAAGGCGTAGCTATCAATCCCGCTGCTCGAGAAGGTGCTACCGAACTCGGTGATACTGACAGAATCGCCGTTTGTGAGGAGGAGTGTGACAACCTCGTTTGCGTTGGCATCTAGAAAGGCCTTCACGGTACCAAGGAAAGACTTCAGAGTACCCGCGTCCTCAAGAAGACAAGAGGTGTGGCACAGCTCCAAGACATTATCGTCGAAGAGGGAATGATGTGTTTGCGCCTGCAGAAATCGAATACCCATATTCAATTGTGCCGTGACATCAAGATTCTGGTTTTGCTGGGGAAGATCTCCAACAAAAGCAGAGTCATGAGAGCCTACAAAGGTGACACTCGAGTAGGATCGCGAGCAATACTCTGCCCACCCGTTGCAGACTGATGCGGCGGCTCGGGGGAGCACATCTGCAGCAGGGATTCCAAGCACCGGCTGAAGAAGCAGCAGGATGCCGAGCAGAGCTCGTGTCAGTCCGCAGACAGGACTCATTGCGTCAGGCTTATGCGTGCAAGGAGGACAGGATCCAGTCTGGAACCTGGAGCAAAGGTGCGATGCCTGGGGGCTTCACGGTCTTTTCAAAACCTTTCAGCTCACTTCACTACTTCAAGTGCCGTGACACCTCTAGTAGGACATCGTGATCAATATATAGCCGTCGCGGATGGTCATGCAGGCCCTCCGACGGGGAAATGATCAAAACTCCCCAGCATTCCACATGACGACGATCATTAGCCAGAAAGGAGGATAGGCAACTGATCAAGATCACGGCCTCATGTCTGCACTGGCCATGGTGATAGGAGAAGCCGGGCATGCGAGCGCCCTAGTGGATCGATGTAACCGCACGCCCCGCACTTGTGAAGGTGGACGACGAGGTTGGGACAACTAGGCAGTTTCCACGCTGTCAGGGGTCGGCCAGGAAGCTTAGCGCTGGGGCGACCTTTCCACATCTTGGATCTGGGCAGCGGACTTTGGCGATGGATAAAGCTATGGCACCGCCGCGGGCGCATCTGGACCAGGAGAACCTGCCAATGATAGTGTAAGATACGCGCAGGAGGATTCACAGGGGCGGGAGGGGTGTGATGCAACCGAGAAGTGATGCGCATCGGGGCACATCCTATAAGGGGAAGTCTGCTCAAAGTAGACTGCAGGCCGTGACTGGTGGATGCGATGTTAATAGTGATCTGTAGTGGCTTTAATCAATAGTTAGGTGGAGCTGGACCGAGTCGGTCTTGTCCTCTGTACGGAGTAGTGTCGCTCTTGTGATAGGAAGACGTGGGACGCCCGCGCGTAGTACTCGTCCGACCGTCTAAACATTATATTTCCAATATTTCCGAGAACCCTAGAGGCTCTGGAAATCTCATATGAGCTACTGAAAAAGAGAGAAAGAATGTCCGATTACCCATGTATGAAAAAAGGTGAGGGTGAGCATACTCCGTACAAGAGTATGCGGTAAGCCACTGTGGCTGGGGTCTCTCAGCCCCTAAAACGGGCCGATCCAGGCAACCGGAGCTCTGCACTCATCGCGACTCCACATGTTTACAACGTCCAAGCTCGACTCTCTCGTCCGCACCCATCCGCCTCATCTTCGCTCGCCGACATTGCCGACACTGCGAGCTCGACTCTCTCTCTAGCCCCGAATTTTTTGCTCGCCCCTCCACTCCCGCTGGCCCCGGCCACGCCTCACTCCGTAACCCGCCTCCAGCTATGATCATTCGGAGACCTTGCCCATGAGCTCGATGGCTGAGGGCAGTGAGGGTTGGCCACGAGAGGATGAGCTTGATCTGGGCCAGGATGAGCAAGACTCCCGATCCCCGGACTATGACGCCGCCCTCGACCATGGCCACCCTGAGCCTTCCCCGCAGGAGCCAGTCGAAGTGGAGGCGGAATTGGACACGCTAGACAATGCGCAGGACCACGAATCTGAGAAGACGCTGGAAGCAGAGGGCCCTCAAATACCGCACACCCCACCGCCCCGGCGTGCGCAGGTGAATGCGACACCGGGGAGTGTTGATGAGACGGCCTCGACCCCCGATGATACCCCATCCTTACATGTGAGTAGTTGCGATTAGGCGTCGCCCGCCTGGGGGATGATCTAATCGATGATAGGACTCTATACCATCTTCTCAGAGCAGCGGTGTTTTAGCTTTTCGAGGCTCGCCTCGAGTCAGCCCCAGCCCCAGTCCAGCCCATCGTCCATTCGACCTTCGCTTCCAGTCCCGGCTATCTTCGTCGCCGTTGAGCGCACCGAGGTCGGGCTCCCCGTTTCTGGCGTACCTACACTCCCGACAGTCGTCAATTACAAGTCAAGTTTCACCGACCCCGGAATCAGATAACGAAGTGCCGCCGAGTCCCTGGGATGTTGTACGATGGACGAAGCTGCGGAAGATCACTGGGCAGGCTTTCTCGGAGATCGGAAAGCGCAATTTTGGGAGGCCAACCTGCCTGGCAGTTTCAACTACAATTGTGATTGGTACTTCTAAAGGAATCATCTTGGTGTTCGACTATCAGCAGAGCTTGAAGACAATTATTGGAACAGGCACAAAAGGTATGTCTAGCGCTTTCTTGTCGTGAACTGCACTAGGCTAACAATATTTCAGCTGTTGAATGCGGACCGATTACCTCGCTGGCACTATCTGCAGATCATTCGACTGTCGCTGGAGGCCATGAGTCTGGCGACATTTTCACTTGGGAAATCTCCCGGTCGGCGCGGCCTTTTCTCCATCTACCTCCAATCCCTGTGCACCAAGTTGAGACTAGGATATCAGATGGCCATATTTCCGGCTCTGCAGTCATCCATGTGGGATTTCTGGGAACAAGGCGCACGGCAGTCATTTCAGCGGATACACGGGGCATGGCTTTCTCTCATTTGGCAACACGAGGCACGGGGGCACTTGGACGAACGGTCAAGACAACTCGAATCTTAGGTCGTTATCCGCAGACTGCACCGGAGGAGATGCGGAAGCGAAAACCCAGCTCGGTCTTAGCTTTCTCTCCGCTTCCTCTAGGCAACGTGGAGCAACCGTCTGATTCTTTAGGCCTCGTTGCCATGTTGACTCCTTATCTTTTAGTCATCGTGTCGACTACCCCCGTCGCTCAGACTCAACACAAATCGCCGCGTCCAAAAGAGGTTCCGGCCCATAGTGCTATGACTGGCGCTCTAGCTTGGTTCCCTGCAATTCGGTTGAAGGGCAAAGATACCGAAACGTCACACACAAAGCTTGTTTATTGTTGGTCAAACGTCCTGACCGTGCTGGAGGTGACCGAAGCCGAGACAGATGAGCTCGTGGACAGGGATCGACCCCCAAGCCTTGTTTTTCGAGCACGCAGCAGATGGAAGGCCGATGAGGCTATTGTGGCTGTCCAATGGCTCAGCCGTTCCGTGCTAGCAGTGTTCACAATCACCCAGCGCCTCCTCATCCTTGAGGACTATTCCATGCATGTAACAGACTCCATCGACCTTGCAAACCGACATATCTACCATACCGATCTCTTTTCATCACAACTCCACAACCTAGTCGAACAACTCGACGAGGAAGACACATCCATGCATGGGGTGGTGGCTGACGCTTTCTATATGAGTTTCCGTTCCTATAAAGGGCGTCTGTTCCTCCTTGGCTATAATGAGGTGCAGGTTGGCAGTCTTTCAAATTGGGCTGATCGACTCCTGGCACTTATGGAGGCAGGTGATTTCATTGGTGCCATCCGCCTGGCGACTTCATACTACACAGGAAGTGCGGAGAGACTCACGGTTGGGCTTCCCGAGGAGGATACGTTGAGGCAACCGATCGTCCAAGAAAAGCTCCTAGAGATGATTTCGGCATCTTTGAAGTATGCTTTTGGTCGCAATGCTGAAGCAAGCAATGAACAGCTGGAGAACCAACAGCTCAAGGAGCTTGCTGAGGTATCCGTCGCTGCTTGCCTCTACATGGCGGACGAGGAACTGCTTTGGGAGGAGGTGTTTACCTGGTATGAGGAGCACAACTCTGCAGGGGTTTTCTTAGACGTCCTAGAACCGCGCATCGTTGACGGAACTATTCGCTCGTTGCCTCCAACTGCAGTCAAAGCTCTTATTGATCATTTCATTTTCACTCATTCGGCTGGTCGACTGGAGGAGATCATTTGTCTTCTCGATACCACGACGATGGACATCGACCAGGTGACCACACTATGCAAACAGCACAACCTATACGATGCATATATTTATGTCTGGAATCGCTGTTTGATGGACTACGTGGGACCCCTGGAGGAACTCTTACGTATGATCCCCTCCCAGACGGAGGAGTCCCTGGTCAACGGAGACTACACCATTGAAACGAAGCGCCACACGAACGCGATGAAGATGTTTCCCTATCTGTCCTTCGTCTTTACGGGCCGTATCTATCCAACCGGTGACGACATGGAGGAAGCCGAAGCACTGCGAGCTAAAACCGCCCTGTACAAATACCTCTTTTCAGGTCACCTGTCTGGGACAGGTTCCGCGAATGCCTCTACAGAGGCTGATTCGTTCGCTGAATTGCGGGCCATGCTCAAATTCGACGCGTCGAGCTTCATGAGCATGCTCAACGAGGCGTTTGAGGATAGTTTCTTGAACGATCCCGAGTCTGAAGAGGCCCCCGCTCCTGGCGTGTCCATTAACCGCCAGTACCTGATCAGTATTCTACTTCAAGTCATGGATGCATCCTTTTTCGCCCCTTCCGATACTATTTACTTGGACATGTTTGTTGCGCGCAATCTTCCCAAATACCCCCAGTATATTCTTCTTTCGGGCACGACTCTGCATCAGGTGCTTACCCGGCTGTGCCAGTATCCGGAGGAGGATATGGCTGATGACTGTGAGTTGAGTGCGGAGTATTTGCTGTCTTTCTATCATCCACCGGACATCCAGAGCATGGTGCCGTTGTTCAAGGAGGCTCGATTCTTCCGGATTCTGAAGTCGACGTATCGCTCTGAGAAACAGTATCCCCAGTGGATTATGACGTACCTTGATGATCCGCATGACAAGGAGGCTATTTATACTGCTCTGTATGATTGTCTCCGCTCAGGATCAGGGCTTGGCAAAAAGCAGAGGAGAGATGTGGTCGAGGTGGCCAAGAAGCATGCCAAAGAGATTGCCGATATCAATGTCAAGCGAACTGCGCAGACAATGCAGGATCTGGCTCCTGAGACCCACTCTACCTTCCTACCCGTGTTGGAAGATGATCCATTCAACCAATATCAGTACCTCCAGGTTTTGGTGGAACCTCATAGCCAAGCCGGCGAAAACCAATCCGCTCCATCTGTTGAGAACTGGATGATTGAACGCTACGTGCAGCTTCTATGCAAATACAATCCGTCTCATGTTGCAGACTTTGTTGATGGCCTCCGAGTTGGGGAAATCCACCTCGAGGAACTACTCCCTTCTATCGAAGAGAGTGGTGCCATTGATGCTGCGGTTATCCTGCTCACTCGACAAGGCCAAGTGCGGGCGGCCCTGGACCGTCTTGTAGCACACCTGAGTACACTTGAATCGGGCTTGGTAGGCATTCTGCAGAGTGTGGGCGAAGCCCCAGATACTGCTAGCACAGCTGAAGCGATTGATGACCTTCTTGAGTCTCTGAGCAAGTACGCTGGGGTCGGAACCTGGCTCTGTCAAAGTCAGACCCAGACAGCCAAGCAATCCCGGGCGAGCACAAATGGCCAGAAGGCCGTCCCACCACTTGAACAACCCCTGGCATTGGACGAGACACTGTGGTTGGATCTTATCGAAGCAGTGGTTCGCATTGCAAGCGACGTGTTTGCCCTCCTACGAGACCAACAGGTCAAAGATCTCGAACCAGCCCAGCCCACCGTATCCTTGAGTGAAGATACTGGCCGTTTGACGATCTCTTTCCGCACCCTGGTCCAACAAGTATTCACCTCGCTGCTCGCTAGCACCGTGAAAGGCGGCCGCCCTTCCAGTAGCGAACGCACCGACCTCTCTTTCCTCCGCATCCTGCGTGCCTTCCTCACCCGCGCCGCCAGCTGGTCCCCGTCCCTCCTTGAGCTGCGTGCCGTGCTCGCCTCCGTCTTCTCCGCCTACTCCTACGAAAAGTCGCTTCTGACGCTGGCCAACGGCATGCTGGACCGCGACCTGTTCGTGCACGTCGACGAGGTCACCCGGCTGCGGCAGCACGGGTGGCGTCCCCGCGGGCAGGTCTGTGAGGTCTGTCGGCGGCGCATCTGGGGGCCTAACGTGGGCTTCTCGCACTGGACCTTCTGGGAGCAGAAGCAGGCCGGCATCCACCAGCGTCGCATGGTCAAGCGTCTTGAAGAAAGTTATGATCCTGTGACCGAGCGGGGAAAGGGTAAAGCGGCAGCCGTGCCGCCTGTCCATGCCGGGTCCCACCCGGTCGACCACGCCCATGGTTCCCCGGCTGGCGATGGGCTTCCAGGGACTGGGCCAGGGACCGGGGTGGTGGAAGAGCATCCCCCTGAACCTGTGGTGGTTTTCTCCTGTAGACATCTCTACCATCGGCAGTGCGTTCTTGATGCGATTAGCGGGATCCATCGGCCCACGGGTGCACATGGCCCTGCTTTCCGACGCGAGCATCCAGACTGGCCGGTGGATGAACTGTTCTGTCCAGCTTGTACATAGTGACGAATGGCGTCCTTTCTTTCCTTGTTTTATGTTACTTGACCTGTGTACTTTCCCCTTGATCATTCTGATTGGGACGAGATCTTATGAAGGCATTTTGCGCGACGAATGCGATGGATGTGTCATATAGTTCATTTCCACCGGAATCAATCATCACGTCGAGTCGAGTCGAGTCGAAGCCCATGGTGATCCGTCGGCGCAATCTGTCTACTCCTTGATACCATGTGTCCGCCCCATGTTTGAGGACTGTAACAGGGCCTCGTAGTCACACCCTGGGCACAGTCGTTCAAATAAGCCCCTCCTGATCCAGTCCCACGCCCGGAGTGGCGTACATGCTATATGGTCAGCATTCTGCTCGCAAAGGGCCCCCCCTGGCTAGGCTCTATACGGGGCCGCCATCCTGGCGAACCACCGAACCCTCTGGAGTAGATCCGCCCCGAGGTCATCTATCTGCGACGAGCACGCGGCCGTGTGGGGTCGCATCGCAGAATTTTAGATCGCCTGATGGGGCCCCCGCCAGCCGTGATCAGCCATGGTTTTGTCCGAACGGGGTATGTTCAGGGCTGGCCAGGCACCTCGGGGAGACCATGAGATGCGACTTTAATTTTGCAGCAGGGCTTTAGTGCCGGTAGATTGCGATCGTGCTTGTTGCAGCTGGGCTATTGTGATACTCGTGAAACGGGGGCAATGATGGGGTGGTGGGCAGTACTGGAGGGCGCGTAGCAATAGTCGCAATAGCAGACACCGTTCACCGTTCACCGCAGGGGAAGGGGCGTCCCAAGTGACAGACTCTCTGACCAACTAGAATATTCTGTACTCTCTTCTCTTCTCCCATGAGAGGGCACAGACTGACCAAGCATTGCCAGTCTCGACCGTCTCCAAGATGGCAGACTGCTTTCTCAGCGGGCCAATCGGCGCCGCTTCAACTTTCTTGTCCAATCTTTCGATCGTTCTCCCTCCACGTTGACTCGCATATCTGCCGACCAGCTTGTGCAAAGAACCGCGGAATCATCCTTCGGAACCAAATGAGAAGGATCCAAATGAGAAAAAATCTGAAAGATCAAACCCAAAAAGCTTAATCATACGGCAAACTCGCCCGGCGATTCGTGGATCCTCGCCTCGCCACCGTGATGGGCTGGCGTGATTGGATCATCCTCGCAGCTGAGGACAACCAGTGACAAGCCGGCAAGGGCTGGTACCAGCCAGAGATCGACAAGACCCGGCCAGAAAAGCCGGATAAAGCAGATGCCTGCATCTCCGCCAGCCAGTGAGAGCGCTCGCAGGAGTCGTTATGCGCCCGGCCCCAGCTCTTTGATTTCCGTCGTGGTTGACCGAGCGAGTCAGCAGCCGCACGGCGGTGATCGTCCTGCGCTTCCGAAACGCCCAGGCGAATAAGTGCAAACTTTCTCTACGTTTGAATATGAAACCAGGAGGGGCTGGGCTACGATGTTACAGTAGCTGGCTGCCGGCTGGTGAGGTGCTCGGCTGAAAACCTCGACTAACTGGATCCAGAATATAGTAAAGAACCAAAAAGAGGCACACTGGAAGACCAGAATACCAGACATGCAAATGAGCCATTCTCCACCAGCCTTCCAGCCAAGGTGACCATGCCCTGGCCTCAGAAGAGGTGGCGTGCCCCTCCCATCTGATGCATAATATCGTGCGTGGATAGTCGATGCCACGCAGATGATGCGCAACCCACAAACCACACCCCAGCTCAGATGGCATGCGCCGGACTCGTCGGCTCGACGGCTCGAGGGGAAGGGCGGAGGGTCTGATGGTCGGTCCGCAGTCTCGACCCCCTCCCTCTCCAGGATTTATCGAATATTTGGTTCCGGGCCCACGCAGTCCCTTAGGACCCGGCCAGTGGATATCCTTTCCACGGCCCTACGACAACCAGCCTACGAGGCCTGATAGCGCGGCCTGCAGCCAGCGTTTTTATTTGGGCTGTGAGGATGAGGGCTTGTCCTATCTGGGCAAGCGTTTCAATTCTCGGGACCCGCCGTTCGGTGCAGGGATCCTGCCTGTATCTCTTTTTTTTTTTGCTCTCCCACTTGCCGTAGAGGGAAGACTCCTCCGCGTTTCGTTTCGCATCTCTCACATGGGTCTGGTCCCAGTATCCTGTCATGCATGTTCCACTCCAGTCTCAAGATCGGGTCGGGTGGATGCAGGGTCAGGGCCCGCGTTGCGTTGCCGCCACGCGGCCGGTTCCCTTGCCTCTGGCCCTTTATGCTTGGTCCTTTGACGCTGGCCCTGTTTAAATGGTTGGCTGATTCCCCCCCCGTTCCTGTCGGGGGATTTTGTTCCTGAAGATGTCCATCGGCACCTAGTCCTTCCTTTGTCTCGCTTTGCGTTATACTTCACTTTTCATTCCTTTCTGCTTTCTGGTATATACGGTCCCTTCTTTCTCTCGAGGGTTGTATATCGCCTTTCTTTTAGATTTTCTGATTTTTACATTCCTTCCTCCGGTTTGCTTAGCCTAGTGCTGGCATCCGGTATACTGGGCAGCTCGTCTTTGATAGACTGCGTCCAATCCTTTTCTCTACCGATTTCTATCGATCTCGCACGCGGGAACAATGCACGTCCTCTCTACGCTCATTCCGAGTCTGGGACTGTTGGCCCACCTCAGCACCGCTGCCTACACGTTGCAGGACGACTATGGCACCACTGACTCGTTTTTTGACAACTTCGACTTTTACACGGTACTGTCTGACCTTTGTAGTATCGATCTGGAAGTGTCTCACCCATACTGACTCAACCGTCTGATAGGATTCGGATCCCACCAATGGCTACGTCAACTACCTCGACCGCTCAAGTGCTAGCAGCGGTCGCCTTATCAGCACTTCTGGTGGTTCCGTGTACATTGGTGTCGACACTGTCAACACTGCCAGTGACCCTGGCCGCTCGAGCGTGCGCCTGACGAGCAAAAACACCTACACCCATGGATTGGTGATTTTGGATCTGGAGCACATGCCTGGCAGTGTCTGCGGTACCTGGCCTGCCTTGTAAGTCATCTTATCTTTACGCATGGCGACTGAGTTACAAAGAAGACAAACGGAAACTAACAGTTACCAGCTGGATGCTCGGCTCAGACTGGCCCAGCAACGGCGAGATCGACATCATTGAAGGCGTCAACACCCAAACCAACAACCAGATGACCCTGCACACCAGCGATGGCTGTTCTATCAACGACTCTGGCTTCAGTGGCTCCGCCGAGACCACCAACTGCTACGTCGAGGCCTCGGATCAGTCCGCCAACGCCGGCTGTGCCATCATTGGCTCCAGCGACCAGTCCTACGGTGACGGATTCAATAAAGCCGGCGGCGGCGTCTACGCCACCGAGTGGACCTCCTCGGGCATCAGCGTCTGGTACTTCGCCAACGCCAGCATCCCCTCGGATATCACCAGTGGCAACCCCGACCCTTCGGGCTGGGGCACGCCCTCTGCTGCATTCACCGGAAGCTGCGATATTGACTCGCACTTTAAGAACCTGCAAATCGTATGTTTCAGCCTCTCTGCCTCTGTCTCCTGTTGATGCCCAGAAGCACAAAATCACTAACACCATCTGTTCAGGTCTTTGACATCAGTTTCTGCGGCGACTGGGCCGGCGATGTGTGGTCCTCCAGCAGCTGCGCCTCCAAAGACAGCACCTGCAACTCCTACGTGCAGAACAACCCCTCCGCCTTCCAGGAGAGTTACTGGAGCATCAACTCGCTCAAGGTCTACAAGGAAGGCAGCAGCAGCTCCAAACACAGCGCGCACGTGCACGGTGGGCACAAGCGCGATGAGCAGGCTATCGGCGAGGGCACGTCGCGCCGCTCGGCGCCGTATGTTCGCCCGGGGCCCCGCCCGGCCTGGAAGCACCGCCGCGGTCAGTATAAGCATGGCCATGTGTAACAGATGACAATGTTTGTCTGATTGAGATGGATTGAATTGATGATATGAATTGGGATCAGGGATCTGTGATTCCTATTTGTGGTGTTTTTGGAGAACTTTTGCGATTTCTCTTCTTTAGCTGGACTTTTTTGGACTTCTGCATGGTGTCTGTTTACAGGCTCCCCCTTTTGGAGGACTTTTCATGATGGATCTGGGCGATGATGTATTGATGTTTTTGAAATACCCCCTGACACTCGTTCACATTGCATTTTTTTTGCATTGCGACTGCATGTGCATTGAAATAGAAAACTATTGCTTGGTCTAGCCCAATTTCTACGCTGCCAAAGCAACAACTACACTCCTGTTCCCGTAAGATCAACAACCCGTAGATGATTAGGGAATAGCGTGCACGGTGTGTGAAGCTTATTTCATCGGAACCATGACATATTTACTAAACGCGAATCTAGAACAACCCAATAATCCAAGTATTGCAGGAACAATACTCAAAATCATAACCTATATCCGAGTACATCTCGTTGATCATCCGTGAGGCGTCCCCACTCTAGGAGCAGCCGGAAGAAATAGATCTCCATATCCTCTTTGCGGAGTGCAACCTCGGTCCACTTGCGTCCCTGCTCGGCAATCCACCAGCCCTCGTTCACATGCGCATCCATGATCATTGGGGCCCCGTTGGGATCGTGCTCGTTGGGTTTGGGATTTGGTACGCCGGCGAAATATGCCAATGTGCTCCAGAGGCCATGCAGACGGATGTCGATGGGGACAAAATGCAGCCATGAGATAACCCGGGAGTCAAACCATTGCCGAAAGAGACCGGTCCTTAAGGGGAGACTATGACTCTGCAGGAAGGGCAGGAAACGGCCACTAAAACCGGCTCCATCAAGATCGAACAGGTATCGGTAAGACCAGTGCGCCTGAAAGTCTACCCTGCCGCTCGTGCCCAATTCATCACGCTGAGTATCACAGTCTCCACAACGGGTAATAGGATCGGCGATGTGAACATTTGTGCGCAGATTGAGCTCCTTAGTGGGTGCAAATCCATCCATGATCTTGTACTGGTAGGAGCCAGGGCCAGCTGGTAAGAGCACAGAGACTTGGCTGTGAGTGTTGTTATTGATTAGGTGGGAGAACCGCTGCCGTGGCATACCCTTCCATTCATTGAATCGGCTATAGCCTTCGGACGTGCTGCCAACCCAGAACAAAGAGTTGTCCTTCTGTCCATACTCCGGGTCAGGATTCTCTTTCGAAGGCTTGTATTCCACCTTATCCATGTAGTTCCATGGGCTGGGGAAAAGAATGTCGTTGAAGCCAGCCAGAGCGCTTTGACTGAACACCGGTATAAGGTCTTGGGATACCTTGAATGAGGCCGGAGATATCAGGAGGCCATGCAGGAAAGCGAGATCAGGTTGGTGGCAGATCTCTGTGGCGAGGTTGAAGTCTAATGGAAATTGGCCCATGGTATGTGGCGCCGCGCAGCTCAAACAGATATCATGTCGGTTCCAGACCCGTCCTGTGCGCACTCGGGACGAGGGTGGGCAGACTGCGCTGACATACGGATCGAAAATGCCTCTCCAAGCGCCGTCGGTGAAAATCGTCTCATTTGTTTGGTCAGCCGGCTCAATTGGACCCCAGCCAAGCTCCCGGTCTCCTGACCACCGGTCTAACAGTTCCTCCTGGGGGACAGGTTTTTGTGCTCGCGCAGCCTGGTTAAGGAGCAACATCTTCTCCCACGGCACGGCGACTCGCGGCTCATCGTTGAGATTAAACACAAGATCCATGTCTGGCAGGTGTTGGGCAAAATTCTCAATCATTTGTGCTGCACCTTTCACCATCCACGCATGAGTTGGCTTGATGCCCTCTTGAACTCTGACCTGACCAGCACGGATGCTGATCGCTCCGAGGTCGTTGAAAGGATTTGTCGCTAATTTCTGTGTCATTTCTCGGATCTCTGCAGGGCGAATGGCTCGGAAAGGCAGGAGGTTCTCGTAAATCTGGTCGAAATCGTCGATAATGATTGAAGACCGGTTGACTGCATATTCAAACCACTTATCAAATCCAGGTGGTGGATGCTGCCGATATCGCTTTCGATATTCCCAAATGGCTTCTTCCAGATTCTTGCTGGCGCTAGCTTGCAGAAGGTAGTTGTCATAGTGTATAGTGCCTTTGTGGATAAGGAGATCGATCGGGTGTGTGTGGGAGAATTGATGCTTGGTCGTCGCAAAGATCAAGCCAATTCCTCCGATAACGAGGAACAAAATTTGGAGGACAATGTTGGTGCGATATAATGGTTTCGACTCGTCTTCGGACAATATCCTGGAGAAAAGGAATAGGATTACACCGGTTGACGATGCAATCAAAGGGACAACAGCATGAGTTTGGGAGATGTGAGGAAATGGCATCTGTTCGAAGAGCAGGGTCGATGTCGCAGGGAAGAATACAAAAACAAAGCCGCCCAAGATAGAGAGCCCGAGAATGCCAAAATGGGGTAGCTTCACAAGTCAGCAGCCATAGAATAAATCAGATGCTGGTAGGACCAACCATTTGCCATGCCGATAGAACGAAAAATACAACTAACATCGCTTGACCAAACGCACTCCGCGAGTACTTCGCATCCAAGAAGGGCTGACCGCTGTGTTCAGGACGACTGTTGCTGACAAAATGCCCAATAATAGTCCAAACGATGGCAACGATCTATAGCGTATTGTTAAAAATATTATCATTAGGTTCTCAGCGTTGCGACCTACCAGAAGACCAGCTCCTAGCGATACGATTGCTCGCTTTCTCCCAGCCTCTTCAATTTCGCCACTACTTCGGCACAGTTCAGCAATCCCGATAAGAAGAATTGAATCTATCACCACGTTGGCGGCTCTCATAGTCTGTAGACGTGCTGCTCCATTGAGAACTATCGGGCAAATGTACGTTGACTGGCTGCCAGCGAGAAGCGACGAAGCCGCATATCCACCCACTGAGATCAAGGCTGCGGAAAACACCCCTCTGAAGCGACCTTGCGTAAGGTTATAGAAGCCGCGCCGACAGACGTAATAGGCTACATTGGACGACAAATTTTGGGGCGTCTGCAGTGGAGAGTAGCCATCCCTTGAGCGTAATCGCTGATGGGCGAGGTAATCATATAGTGAAATGACGAATGGAATCGCATACTAAATGTATCAAAGATGATTAGTCGTGTGCAATTTGTCATGGAACCCAAGGTGTAGCCTTACGGCATATCCAGTAGGCGCGCACTCGTTGTGGAGAGTCACTCGACGGAATAACTCGACGCGCAAACCAAAGATTCCTAGAAGCAGGCCAAATTTCAACCAGAAATGGGTTCGGGGTGGTGGAAGTCCCTGGGGACCCAAGATTGGGGACGAAGAGGAGACCCGCGATGGGAGTTCGAATTGGTCGGCGAGCGGAATGCCAGGCCGTTTCCTCGTCGGAGACAAGGGTCGAGACACTGATGGGACGAACCGCCCTAGAACTGAGAAGACTGCTCCAAGAAGGAAACAGACTAGGACGGACGTACTGACCGGGCGGTCTTCATGGACATGGGGATCAGTCTATGGCAGCTCGGGGGAATTTCATTTGTCGAACGCGACTCACCAAAGGCGTATGTGGCATTATAAGATGATGCAAGGAAGAAAGAGCTCAAGAAGAAGATTCTAATTCGAACGCGATCTTTAGCGACCGTCTTCTCCTCCCGCAATCGAGCTTCAACATGGCATTGCTCAAAGCTTACTCACCCCACACAGACCTTAAGCCCCGTGTCGGCGGAGAATGGGACCATCATGCACCCAACTCTTTATCATTCCACGCGGACTAGATCATAGACCATCGTGCCACATTGCAATAAAGTTGGATACCAGGGAGAAAGGGCGTACCTCACGCGTGTGAAGGCGGAAAGAGAAAAGACTGGCAGGGCGGCATGGCGAGAGGAACAAGAGCCCGGACCCTCCACTGTGGAAACCTCAGGGGATTAACAAAAGATCATGGGCTAGCCAGAGCTTTTGACCAGGTTGTGACATGCCGGCGGCTAATCAAGAGCAGCCGACATGGGCCTCCACGCAGACTGGCGAGCACGTTGCGTCAGCGGGGGACATTTGGTTTTCGGTTGAGCACGCAACCATGGGCCCTTCCTATGCATGTTGCATCTTCCGGCCAATGATACGGGTGAGATACATGCAATTTCCACTGGCTTCCAAGCCCTTGATTCATGCACCTGGGAATGCGTCGAAGAAAGCAAGATATGCGGGCGATCGGCGGCCAGAATCAAGACTTGGCTCCCGGAGCTCCACTTGGCGCGGTCTGGGCGTCTGAGCGCGCGCCATATCAATATGAGTTGACCTTGTACGGTTGTACCTTAACATCTTGACTTTCAACGTTTTCCACCGACAAAGGTGATTGGCAAGGAGAGTGTAACGGTAGACGCATGCATGCGTCATACAAAGGAAGGGTGGAGTTGCGAGGAGTTCAGATGCGGAATGGAGACTGATTGCCCAATCAGGAAATCATCATCAGGAGGGGATCCCGTTTCACGTGATCTATTACATAATATTTAAGGTCCTTGAAGGCGGTGACGAGCCCAAGGTGAAAGTAGCAGGCGGTGTGTGAAAGCAGTATGATTTTTTTTCTTTTTGGACCATTTTGGGATGCTGGAGACCGGGCGAGACCTTTTTCTCAGATCAACAACTCTGAAATTGCCTTCATACATCGAGGGCCCGACTATCGATAGCCTCGGACAGCACTCAGCCATCCTGTCTATTCTCCCGACAGGCAATCCGACGGCGAGCGTTAAAGCCCCGACGATACTCGCGGCCAGCTCCGCAACCTCATCATGCCGCGCAAAGCGATTGACTCGCGCATCCCTGCCCTCATCCGAAATGGCGTGCAGGAGAAGAAGCGTAGCTTCTTCGTCGTGGTTGGAGACCGAGCGAAGGATGTGATCGTGCATCTCCACTACATCATGTCCAGCGTCGATGTGAAGCAGAACAAGTCGGTCCTGTGGGCGTACAAGAAGGATTTGCTGGGCTTCACGAGTCACCGGAAGAAGCGCGAAAACAAGATCAAGAAGGAGGTCAAGTACGGCATTCGCGAACCGAACCAGGAGGATCCCTTCGAGCTCTTCATCACACTCAACCAGATCCGCTATGTGTACTACAAGGAGACGGAAAAAATTCTGGGTAACACCTACGGGATGTGTATCTTGCAGGACTTCGAGGCTATGACCCCGAACTTGCTGGCACGCACTGTTGAAACCGTCGAGGGAGGTGGTATGGTGTTGCTACTGCTGAAGAGCATGAACAGCTTGAAGCAGTTGTACACCCTGTCCATGGACATCCACTCCCGTTACCGGACAGAGGCGCATGATGATGTGGTGGCCCGCTTCAACGAGCGCTTTATTCTCTCTCTGGGAAGCTGTGAATCCTGCCTGGTGGTTGACGATGAACTGAATGTCCTGCCCATCTCCGGCGGCAAGAATGTCAAGCCCCTCCCTCCCCTCGAATCCACCGACGAATCCAGTTCAGGGCCCAAGAAGGAGTTGAAGCAAATCAAGGAGAGTTTGGCAGAGTCACAGCCGGTTGGGCCGCTCTTGAACTTGGCTCGTACTGTGGATCAGGCAAAGGCTCTTTTGACCTTTGTTGACGCAATTGCTGAGAAGACGCTGAAGAGCACTGTTACACTTACTGCCGCCCGTGGTCGTGGAAAATCCGCTGCCCTCGGTGTTGCAATCGCCGCCGCTATTGCCCATGGTTACAGCAATATCTTCATCACCTCCCCTAGCCCTGAGAACTTGAAGACGCTCTTCGAATTTGTGTTCAAGGGCTTTGATGCTCTGGGCTACTTGGACCACGTCGACTACACTATCTTGCAATCGACTAACCCGGATTTCAACAAGGCTATCGTGCGTGTTAACATCCACCGCAACCACCGTCAAACTATCCAGTACATTCAACCGCAGGATGCGCATGTCCTGGGACAAGCAGAGCTATTGGTTATTGACGAGGCGGCCGCTATCCCTCTGCCACTTGTGCGCAAGCTGATGGGCCCTTACCTGGTGTTCATGGCCTCGACCATCAACGGTTACGAGGGAACTGGTCGGTCTCTTTCCTTGAAGCTGATCCAGCAGCTTCGGGAGCAGGCGCGCGGTGGTGTCAAGACTGCCGACGCCGATGTTGCTGACCGCAGCACCGGCAAGATCTCCAAGAGCACAGACAAGAACCTCGGCGGTCGGTCACTGCGTGAAATTACTCTTGCTGAGCCCATCCGTTACGCCCCCGGCGACGCCGTTGAGAAGTGGCTGAATAAGGTCCTGTGTCTCGATGCAACCCTTCCCAAGTCGCGCATGAACACTCAGGGATGCCCCCACCCGTCGCAGTGCCAGCTGCTCCAGGTCAATCGTGACACGCTTTTCTCTTTCCACCCGGTCTCCGAGAAGTTCTTGCAGCAGATGATGGCTTTGTATGTTGCCAGTCACTACAAGAACACGCCTAATGACCTTCAGCTCATGAGTGATGCCCCCGCCCACCAACTCTACGTGCTTGTTCCCCCCATTGATGAAGAAGCTACCAAGCTTCCAGAGCCACTTTGCGTTATTCAAGTCGCTCTCGAAGGCCGGATCAGCAGACAGAGTGTTCTGAACAGCCTAAGCCGCGGCCAGCGTGCTGGTGGCGATCTGATCCCCTGGCTGGTGTCCCAGCAGTTCCAGGATGAGGACTTCGCGGGTCTCTCTGGTGCTCGTGTCGTCCGTATCGCCACCAACCCCGAATACGTTGGCATGGGTTATGGTTCTCGTGCCCTTGAACTTCTTACCGACTTCTACGAGGGCAAGTTCACCAGCCTCGACGAGAAGATGGCTGAACCGCAGGAGGAGATGGTCCGCGTCACCGACGAGGAGCTCGCTAACTCGAGCCTGCTCGATGACAACGTCCAAGTTCGGGATATCCGCTCCATGCCACCGCTCTTCGGTAAGCTGACCGAGCGTCGTCCTGATTCTCTGGACTATCTCGGTGTCAGTTACGGCCTCACCCCGACGCTGCACAAGTTCTGGAAACGCTCTTCCTTCCACCCGGTTTACCTGCGCCAGACTCCTAATGATCTGACCGGCGAGCACTCGTGCGTCATGCTGCGCACTCTGAGTACCGGCACCAATGATGCCAGCTGGTTGGGCGCTTTCTCTCGGGACTTCCACCGCCGATTCCTCGCCTTGCTTTCTTATCAATTCCGTCAATTCCCCTCAGTTCTCTCCCTGAGCATCTGCGAGTCCGCCACTTCTGGCGCCAAGCTTGACTCCTCCGCCGTGCTGCGCACTCTGAATAAGGGTGACCTTGATGCTGCCTTCTCGCCGTTCGACCTGAAGCGTCTGGACAGCTATGCGAACAACCTCCTCGACCACCACGTCATCCTGGACATGGTCCCCGCTATTTCCGAGTACTACTTCTCCAACCGCCTGGGCGGTAAGGTCAGCCTTTCCGGCGTACAGCAGTCGATTCTCCTGGCCATTGGTCTGCAGCGTAAGAGCATGGACGATCTGGAGAAGGAGCTGAACCTTCCTTCGTCCCAGCTTCTTGCCATGTTCCTCAAGATCATGCGCAAGATGTCGACTCACTTCCGCGGCCTGATTGAGGGTGCTGTTGCAGACACCATGCCTGCAGAGCAAATTCGCCCCTCTGCTTCCGCCGGTGGTGCCCATGACGATGATGTGATCGAGGACCGATTCAAGCCTTTGGAGACCGGTTTGGAAGATGAACTCCGTGAGGGTGGCGAAGTAATCAACGCGGAGTTGCGCGAGAAGCAGCGTGCATTGATTGACGCTCTTCCGCTGGACAAGTAAGTGGCCCTCCGCCTCAAAACTACTTAGTCAAGTCATGGAATGAGCAATAACTGATTCCTAGTCTTCAGATACGAAATTGACCACGGTACTGCGTCTTGGGAGGATGCTGAGAAGCAGATCCGTGCCGGCGGTGCTGCCACTGTTAGCGTGAAGTCGAAGCAGTCGAAACGGAAGAAGGGTGAGACGGCGCGGGATATCTTCGACAAGGAAGTCGACTCCAAGCGTCAAAAGATGATCAAGAAGGGCACCGAGGGCCGCAAAAAATAAGTGGTTGGGATTACTAGTGTTCTGACGGCGTTCCTCTGCATTTTTTTCACGGTGTTTCACGCGGCTTTTCACTTCCTGTACTCTTCGAAGAGCGTGATGTTCCGGTTATTCCATGTTGCACTGGATATTCACCTCTTGTATATATGAAATGACTTGATATGTCTTTCCATACAAGTGCTTGTTTTACGTAGATGCAGAGAAGGCTGCCTCTGGTAATGACATACATGTGGGGTAAGATGCAATTGCTATCGAGCTAAAGACAAGATGGTATAGACTGACAGGGTTAGATCACCCGGAGGTGTTCAAGCTCTTACAACTCATCGTGCTCCGGGTCCTCGGCCTCCTCAGCCTTGGGCTCATTGACAATGCCCTCGGGTAGCTTCTCCTTGGCGCCTTCTCCAAGGCGGATGGCATCAACCCACCCTTCCACGGCGGCGAGGCCGTAGTCCTCTGTGTTGCCATACCGACGGTACCATCCGCGGCGGGCATTGATGGCCACAATCTCTACAGTCTCGCTTCCCCCAAGGCCGAGCGCATTGCGCAAGATCTGGGAGGCAGAGTTGATCTCTGGGACGCCGTACATCGGGAAGAGATGCGTGCCACGTTGGGCGTGCTTGTGCGCAATCTCAGCCAGACTGGCGAGCGCAGCAGTGGCTGATGATGGAAGCACAGCGTCCGGCTCACTTGTTGCCGGAAGGAGGGCCAGCAAACAGGTGGTTGACTTCGGGCCTAGACAGGCGGATTCGAGAGATTCGGGGGTAGCGAGCGTAGGAATGGGAGGCACAATCGGAACCTGAGCGGGCTTGGCTTCGGGCGTTTTCTCCGCGTCTGCCGATGCATCTTCGTCATCAGGGACAACTGGAGGCTTGGGTGCAGGCTTGGAAGGCTTGGACTTCTTGGGCTTAGCTGCAGGGGACGCAGCCTGCCCGGTAGCGTCGGGATTGGGCGAGGCGAACTTGCTGAGGAACTCGGTGATGGGCTGCTTTTTAAGCTCGCCCTCATATACCTTGGGCTCCTCGTCCTCGCCCGAGACCACAATCAGCGTCGGGAACTCAGAGACGCCAAACTTCTTGACCGACACAGACTCCTTGTTGCGCACCTGGGCGACGTCGATCGCGCCCAGGAAGTCAATGGCCAGCGCGCGGATCATCGGGCTGGTTGTGCCCTTCTCCGTGAATAAGATGGCCTTGGGCCGCTCCTCATTCTGAGCTAGCCACTTGTCCAGGTCCTTGTCCGTTGCGCGCTTCACATGGTTGGGGATGCGGTCAACAACCGCGTCGACGATGGCCTTGGCGGTGCGCGCGCCCTGGTAGTCCTCCACGCGTGGTTTTCCAACATTCTTCGAGGGGGTCACGATCTTGAGAGTGGGGAAGCCCTGGACGCCCATCTGGCCGCAGAAGGGCTTGTTTTCGTCTTCATCGCAGTTGACGGCGGCGACCTTCGCTAGGCCGTTCAGGTTTTGAGCGGCTTTCTCGTAGGCAGGTTTAAGGCTCTGGCAATGACCACACCATGGGGCATAGAATCTGGCGAATGCACAGGTCAGCGTGGTGAAAACTCGGGGGAATCGTTCGACGGTGCGGGGAGAGCTCACTCGACGATCTATGGAAGTTAGCTCTCGATCGGTCCCATTGGGCAAATCTACGACAAAAGGCGCGCTTACCGAAGTATAGTTCGAGTTTGCAATGAGCGACCCATAGGTCTTCTGATTGAGTTGCAGCACCGGCGACTTTTTGGTGTAGATCCCGTCGGCGTTGGCTGGCAGCGCCGCCAGCAACGAGGCGACAAGCAATAACGAGCTGTGTGGCAGCATGATGGCAGTAGGTAGGAAATAATTGAAGGGTTAGCTGTGCACAAAAGCTATGCGGGCGCTCAGGGGAGCATCGCAAGTCGACAGCGCGAGGGAAGAAGCAAAGAAGCCAGATCGATCAAAAGCGCGTCATTACGCAAGGTGTCCGGAAGCTCTTGGCGTGCGGAGGGAATAGCTTCTCCAATGAGAAGCTGCGGCGTGTGATGTTCCTTAACTTTTTACCACTACGATGCCGCACAGCAATGACCGCCCCTCCCTGCAACAGTCAGGGCACCTGTCATGACCTCGCATTCCTGCCCCAGGACCTTTTCTGGCTCGTCTTGGACTATTTGGCCCCCACGGATCTTGTCCGATGCCGCCGCGTCTCACGAGCATGGAACGAGGCGTTCAGCAACCCAGTCCACTTGGTGGCACTTTTCAAACGGCACTTCCCATGGACGCAAGAAGTGAAGGATCTGCAAGCTGGCTCTCCTGCCACGGGGGACGCTGTCCGCCAGGTCTTTGACCAAGTGGTCGCCCGGTATGACCATCTGGAGCGAGGAAAGCCCCGCTCCGTGCAAAAGTTCCGCCTGTGCGACGACTTCGGTGGTTCACGGGAACGAGAATGGTTTCAGGTGCAGCCGTGGGAGTCGCACGCCAGTCATCATTCGGGCACCGTCGACCGCCAGTTCGGGGAAGCAATGTGGACGCACGAAGATGGGTTGCTCGTCTTCCCCCGAGCGGAACACCAGTGTCTGGTGCTTATGGACCTGAGCAGCGACAGACAATTCATGGTCCCGTTTATCATTCAGGGCAGGGTCATCCGCAGAGTTCGACTGCAGAAGCGTTTACTGGTAGTGGAGTGGGCGGAGCCAAAAGCCTTCCACTGGCTCAATGACAGCGACGGCGTGCACCGGCATTTCGCCTCGTCTTTCGATGTGACACCGAAAGCTGACGATGGCGGATGGAACATCGTCCCGCGCAATGAGTGGAAGATTATGTTTCTAGGCCATCCCCTCAGTGAACGGGATCGGTTCTTCTCCGCGCACTCCAATACGCACTATGTTATCTACATCTGGCAGCCCAATCGCAGCTTGTACACCGCAGATGAAGATGCCCCGATCGAGTCGCTGTTTGTGTGGGATATCTCGAAACAATCTTCCTATCGCCCATCTCTGGATCCCACAGGAACTCAGACAGGTCACGATGTAGACCAGTCCCCGTCGATTGTGGCTCGGTTCGGATACCGTGATCTTGAGTTTTTCTCAATTCGCCAGAGGGGATTCCCATGTCTGCAGCGGCTAGCGGTCACTGGTGATGGCCAGGCCGTGGAAATCACCGAAAATGCCCGCATTGTTGGGGAATCCGATGAGCTTTGGGTTCGTCCGTTGGGTGTGCCTCAGACCGTAACTACGAGCATTCCGTTGACTGGAAATGGACCCCATGACCGACGCCCTGCCGGATGGACCACGCCAGCGTATCGCAGTAACTGCACGTTACAACAGATGCCTCTCTTTGAGTGGTCCCACTTGCCCGACTCGTGGTACAGCATCATCTCACAGGTGGCAGACCCTGGAGCCGGCCTTTTCTTTTGGCTCCATTTCGAGGATCTCGAAGGTGCGGAAGACCAAGATACCATATACCTGACTATTGAAACAAACAAGACGCGAGTCACTATGGAGGCGCTGGATCTCAGTGGCAGAGCAAAAATATGTGGATGTGATAGATATATCGTAGGCGAGAGTCGGAACCGTGAATTGGTAATCTACAGATTCGATCGATGAGGATATCATTGATGAGTGACAACCCTCGCCCATACCTGAGACTGTAGTTCTCGCCTGGCATGAGTCTACGTAAACACGAGAGCAAGAAAACCCACCAACGCTAACATTTTCTGCCCAGAGTCTGCCCCGTATGCTGACCGAGGGTCCTGGTCCTACAATAAATTAGAGGTCGATACGAGGGTTGTTGTTCGGCGTACCCTAACCGTCTTTTAACAGCGTGAATACAACTAGCTGCCTGTGCTTCGACTTCCTCTCGTTCCAATGGCACCTTTCAATTTTGTAAAACGCAGGGTTTAGAGCTCACAGTTTCTCGACAAAGATAGGACTTGGAAAGCAGAGGGCGTGGAAGTCACTGAGACAAGCCTGGAAGGTGAGGAGGAAGGGCTCGAAGGTGAAAGCAAAGGGATGTTTCTATCACCCATCAAGAGCATGCTGCAATAGCGACCGAAAGACTGAAAGACTGCAGCAGAACTGCTCGAAGACCCAGGGCTGAACAGCAGAGATCAACTGAATCCAAGCTCAGTCTAGATGGCTATTCTACTCGTTCAAGCGCGATTATCATGCATAGTACGCATCTATGAACAAGTTGGAAACTTGAACTATTGGGTTTACGACATGGATTGAAGGGCAAGGACGTAAGCTTGGTAGAATAAACCGAGATCCCAGCCCACGCCATGATTGGAAATAGTGCTTTCCCTCAAATCCGAAAGCCCGAGGCCTTCCTTGCGTACTGTTTCGTCAAACAGAATAGCACACAGAGGGATGAGCTGTCCACCATACCATCATAACTCACTTGGTCGACCCGTCAGTACTACCATTCTTAAACTTGCAGCGTACGCATTTCTTCGCACCACAACCCGGGCAGGTCAAGATATAGAGCGGCTTCCAGAGACCACAGTTCTCACATTCGGGCATGTCAAACCTCTTGTGCCAGAAACCGAGATGCGAACAAGTAGAACTGACATTCATAGCGGCCAGCGGGCTCGCATTGGGACACGAGAGACGAGTGCTCTCTAGCCAGCCACAGACAGACTCCATAACAAGACCGATGAGCTCCTGGTACATATCGTCGGGGGTATAACGTCCACTAGAATCGTTCAACTTGGCCATGAGGTACAGGATGAAAGGGCGCAATGAGCCCTCGATGTCGGGGTACTTAGTAGGTTGCTCACGCTCCTGGGGAAACTGCTCTGTGCTCAATGAGGTTGGGTTGGAGCTGGAAATGGCTCGGCCATTATTGGAAAAAGATAGAGCCCAAATCGCACAATCAAAATTCGTATCCTCGCCGTCGGTTTGGGTCTCAAGGTCAGGAAGGTGCATTCCACCTGACCCGATGCTACTGTCGCGGTGACTGAATTGAGATCCATTGGAGAGCTGGCAATTCCCATCACTGCTGTCGTGTAAATAGGACGCCACACTGGCGTATTCAGTCGACTGATGAACGGATGTGCTTGCCTCGCTGCCAGGACTAGCACCGTCGGGTTCGATACCTGAACCCTGTTTCACGTCATGCTCTTCCACTGTCCCGTCATCTTCGGCCGCCAACTCTTCCTCATCACGCAAAACCCGAGCCTGCATCCCCCCTTGCGTATTTCAGCTCGTGCCTTCTGGACTCCAGGATCAATGCAGGCGTAATCATCCTCCCATTGGCCCTTTCCCGCCTCAAAGTCCCATTGGTCCATTTCTGGCTGATCTTCCCTTATATGTGTTTCTGCCCAAAGAGAAACTTTCTCCTTCGGCTTCAGCTCCTCAAACATTGTGTCCATTTGCACGTTCTTCTTGCAGCTGCCTCGTGTATCGTCGAGGTTGCTTCTGTGATTATCTTCTCCACAAGGTTGCTTGCGCTCCTCCCAATTTTGCGAAGTATCTGCCGGGTAAGAACGAGAGTTCTTCCAGGAGTAAGCAGAGGAGGTCCGGGATGAACGTTGATACCAGCCTGTCCGAGAGGGATGATTGTTGTCGAGTTCTTCGTCGTGCTGGCGACGCCGTTCAAAATCGCGGAGGACCTCTATAGCCTCCTGCCCCTGTTATCCCGGTTTGTCAATGCCGAGAAACTCTTATGTTTGTAGGGTCAAGCGGGTACGGCTAACCTTCCGGAACTGGTCAATAGCATTATCAGATTGGCTGCACTTGTCTGGGTGGTGCTTGAGTGCAAACTTCTTCCAGGCGACGTTTATTTCCTTTGTTGATGCATGGCGTGCGACGCCTAGGATAGCGTAGTGATCTGTAAACTGTGTTGTCGACATCTTGGCTATTCAACAGCGGTGTCTTCGTGACAGCAAAAGCCCTGTCAATGAGAATAGTGTGACAACTAGGGAGAACTTTGAGATTGGTGAGATATAGTGACCGCAGCGGTGGGGCTGGGTGTTTTCGTGTGATTAAGGTGGCGCATAAGGGTTGGAAGGAGAGGGAAAACGTGAGAATATGATTGAGGAAGTGCTCGAAGCAGTGTGAAAAGATGAGAGCAGCGGTTGGCTGTCAAAGTAAGACAATCAGAGAGGGAGAGATGCGACAAAAAAAGGTGAGGGTGAAGAGAGGAAGCAGCTTGAGCCACGAAACTGGGGAGCTGCAGGAGCTTACGAGGGGAGGGCACACAGAATAGGAAGAGGATAGGCAGCGACAACAGCGGCCCCTAGTCAATTTGATAAGTTAATGACGGCCTATTGGGTCGGCCGAAGAGCACAAAAGAAATCGGAATGGATTGACACTGATTTTACAAAACGGAGGGTCGATCTAAATATCAACAAGTCTACACTGAAGGTGACTTCATCCCGTAGAAGCAGATCAAGGCTTCTACATTTCGGCAGAGGCGGTGGCACCGGTGATAATCTCAACCAGCTCACCGGTAATGGCGGCTTGACGCTGACGGTTGTACAGAATCTGGAATTTGTTGATCATCTCACCAGCGTTCTTGGAAGCGTTCTCCATGGCGTTGCGGCGAGCCTAATTCTTGATTAGCAACATGATTCGTCGCAATGAAAGGGTTTGTTAACGCATACCGAGATCTCGCAGGCGTGGCCCTCAGCCATGGCCCAGAAGAGGTTGTTGGCGAGAGCATACTCGCGGAGACCAGCAAGAGCCTCGTCGTCGATCTCGTAGGCAGAGATGTTGGCTGAAAGGATTGAATGTAAGCAATTGAAGATGGACAGCATCTGTGGAGTGCAGAAATATCATACCGGACTGGGTGATCGCCTCCTCGGAGAAAGCCTCAACGACGGAAGCCTCGTAGCTCTGCGCGTTGATGAACTTGTTGTAGATGATCTTGATGCTGGCGTAGTCGGTGGGCAGCAGAGAGATCTGGTCGGCAATAGCCTGGGCGTCGGCGAAGGTCGGAATATCCTTGCAGACATTGGCGAAGCTCAGGAGGATCTTCTCGGGGGCGAAACGGGACAGCTGGGCCTTGGCCTTCTCGCCGAGGATGACAATGTCGGCCTCAGGGTTCTGAGCCAACATGCGGCGGGTGGCCTTGGAGAGACCGGAGTGAATACCACCGCAAAGACCCTTGTCGGAGCTGGCCACCACATACAGAGTCTTCTTATCCTCCAGCGGCTTGGTCTCGGCCTGCTCGAAGACAGTGTTGGAGGTCTGACCGTAGCTGCGGGACTCATCCATGGCCTTCTGGGCGCGGGTGAGACGGGTCGAGGCAACAATCTTCATGGTGTTGGTGATCTTCTCGATGTTCTTGATGGACTTGAGGCGGCCCTCAATCTCACGCAGAGTCGCGAAGTTGGCGGCATTGGCAGGGGCAGCGCTTGATCGGGAGTTAGCAATCGATGGAGCTTCCTGTGCTGGGTGGTATCCTCGATTCAATCGAGACAGTATCGAGGTGGTGGTGTCGAGGGCGTCGGGTGAAAGGACCTGACCACGAGGCGGGCATCGGAAGAGGACTTACCGAGTGGCAGCAGCACTGCCAGCCCGAAGGGCCGGGCGGACGGCACGGGAGAACATCGTGAAGAGTTGATGGGGTGGTTGATAGCAGAAATGAACTGCGGAGAGAGGGGAGGGTGAGCAGGGCAGGGTTGCAGAAGCCTCTCTTTGCTATCGTTACTGGGACTGTCGGGAAGTGCGAAGTCGAACTCCTGGCTGCCGCTCCTGCGCTAAACCCAAAGGGGCAGGGTCCTACGGTGTGCTGTTCCGGCTTCCGGCGTAATTTGTGGCCTTAGGGCCTGTGCGCCTGATTTATGCCCCGTTATCCAGGCAACAAACCAGGCAAATCTGGTAGTGTTTTGGCCTCAGGCAGAATGAGGTCAAGGCCTCGCTTTCCATTCCATTCCCTCCATTCCCATTCCCCCCAAGCTTCCCAACTCTCTTCTCCTCTCCTCTCGTCTCCTCGACTCCGCGCTCCTCTCTCTCCTCTTCCTCGAGCCTCCCCCCACCACACAACTCTCCCTTCGCATCATTGATGCCTGGTCGCCTCTACTGAAGTCAACTTTGTCTTCATTGGTCAGAATTTCCCTGACTTCGTCGTTCTATCAAGCGGTTCGATTTGCCCGACTCGACGTACGAGGCCTCCTCCCAAACCCCAGCCCTCGGTTGTTCCACTCATACTCTCGTGTGCGCCCTCTGGGCATTCGAACAACCACAATGAGCTCGTCCGAAGATGACATTCCCCTCGCGCGTGCCAACGGCCGCGCCAATGGTAAGCTTTCCCCGGGTGGCTTCGCCAACATGCGGCCCCCTCGGCACTTATTTTCGAGGACACCTTTCATCTCATCACATCACACATCACACTCTCTTCAACTTCTGTCTACTGTCTGCTACAGTCTGCCCTGTCATTGGTCTTATCTATTCACTTACTCTCAGTCTTGAGCTTACCTAACATGCGAATTTCTACCTCTCTAGCCACGCCCTCTTCGGCCAAGTCTCCCACGACAAATGGAGATCTTGACCCCGGTATATCGGTTCGATTTGGCCCCGTGCAAGACAAAGACGTGGAGATGAAGGATGTGAATGCGCATGCCGTGAGCAAGCGCAAGTCTCGGATAAGCATTGACAAGAAGTCGTATGCGGAGGCCGAGAGCAGTGAAGATGACCAGCCATTGGTACGCTACGTATCGGCCTGAAATGCCCTGTATTCGCGACTTTGATGTCGCTCTTGGTTTCAGCGACTGACCATGTTCGACAGAGCAAACGCCGGCGAACCTCGGTTAAGCACGAGGACCCCGAAACAGACGATGACGTGCCTCTGGCCCTCAACGGACGGAAGCTCCCCAAGGCTTCCGAGACGGCCATTGGCGAAGAGTCTGACTCCGACGTCCCGATTGAGAGGAAACTCTCCGCGCAGAAGAAGAAGATTGAGAAGAAGGCAGAGAAAGATGCCAGTGTTGCGCGCAAGCCCTCAGCCTCGAAAGCCAAGCCCGTGACCTCCGCCAAGAAACAAGCAAATGGCGTCAAGAAGGAAGCCGTGGATGACAAGTCTTCCATCAAGAAGGTCAAGGCCAAGGTGAAGGCTGAGAGCGAGGACGCGGAAGATGCGGAGGAAGAATATCGCTGGTGGGAGGATCCCACCAAGGGCGATGGGACCAAAAAGTGGACGACCCTGGAGCACAACGGTGTGGTGTTTCCTCCACCCTACGAACCTCTCCCCAAGAATGTCAAGTTGAAGTACGACGGAGTTCCTGTTACTCTTCATCCCGAGGCCGAGGAAGTCGCTGGTTTCTTCGGAGGCATGCTCAACTCGACCCACAATGTGGAAAACCCGGTGTTTCAGAAGAATTTCTTTGGGGATTTCAAGGATATTCTCAAGAAGACTGGTGGTGCCAAGGATCTCAAGGGCAACAAGGTCGAAATCAAGGAGTTCGCCAAGTGCGACTTCAAGCATATCTTCGAGTTCTACGAAGCGCAGCGCGAGGAGAAGCGGAGTCTACCTCCGGCCGAGAAGAAGCGCCTGAAGGCTGAGAAAGATGAGCAAGAAGCCTGTTATACGACTTGCATATGGGATGGTCGCCAGCAGAAGGTCGGCAACTTCCGCGTGGAACCTCCCTCGCTATTCCGTGGCCGAGGTGAACATCCGAAGACTGGACGCGTCAAGACCCGTGTCCAGCCCGAGCAAATCACTATCAACATCGGCAAGGAGGCAACAGTTCCCCCACCACCGCCCGGTCACAACTGGAAGGAAGTGAAGCATGACCAGGAGGGCACCTGGCTCGCTATGTGGCAGGAGAATATCAACGGCAATTACAAGTACGTCATGTTGGCTGCCAATTCCGATGTCAAGGGCCAAAGCGACTACAAGAAGTTCGAGAAGGCCCGCGAGCTCAAGAAGTACATTTCCAAGATTCGCAAGGACTACACGAAGAACATGAAGAATGATCTGATGGTTGAGCGTCAAAAGGCGACTGCCGTCTATCTCATTGATAAGTTCGCTCTGCGTGCTGGCAACGAGAAAGGTGAAGACGAGGCAGAGACTGTCGGCTGTTGTTCGCTGAAGTACGAAAACATCACCCTGAAGCCACCAAACACTGTCGTCTTCGATTTTCTGGGTAAAGATAGTATTCGGTTCTACGATGAAGTTCAGGTCGACCCGCAAGTCTTCAAGAACTTGAAGATTTTTAAGAAGGCACCCAAGAAGAACGGCGATGAGGTGTTTGACCGTCTGACGGTATGTGTTTTCTTCCCATGCCCTTCATTCATGGACTCAACTAATCAAGCATAGACCTCGGCTCTCAACAAGCACTTGCAGAACTATATGAGCGGTCTGACCGCCAAGGTCTTCCGTACCTACAACGCCTCCTACACCATGAGCAACCTGCTCAAAGAAATGAAAGCATCGGGCACGGTTGCCGAGAAGGTCAAGGCCTACAACGACGCTAATCGCAAGGTTGCAATCCTGTGTAATCACAAGCGAACCGTTGGAGCTAGTCACGCCAACCAGATGGAGAAACTGGGTGAACGGGTAGGTCTTTCTGAGTGCCAATCGGTCATGCCAAGAAACTAACAGGTTTTGATTAATAGATCAAGGGGCTTCGCTACGAAAAGTGGCGGTTGAAGATGCAGATGCTCGATCTGGAGCCCTCCCTCAAAAAGAAGAAGGGCGCCTCGTTCTTCGAGCTTGATGAGGACCTGACCCCCGAGTGGGTCAAGGAATATCAAGCCTTCAAGCTTGAAGAGATGACTCAGAAAATCAAGAAGAAGTTTGAGAAGGACAATGAAAGGCGTGTTGCTGAAGGCGAAAAGGAACTGAAGGCATCTGACCTTACAGAGCGCCTGGAAGCCGTCAAGGACTTGGAAAAGAAGTACAAGAAAGAGAACAAGACCGGAAAAGTTGAGGCCGAGGGCCGGGGCCCGACTGTTGACAAGCTCGAGGGCAACATTCAGAAGATGGATCAGCGCATTGATACCATGTCACTCCAGGCTCAGGACAAGGAAGACAACAAGGAGGTCGCCTTAGGCACCTCAAAAATCGTGAGTTTTGAACTGCTCTTGTTACGGGATGATTGTGCACATGTCTAACTGTCTTCTACAGAACTACATTGATCCCCGTCTCACCGTCGTGTTCAGCAAGAAGTTCAATGTGCCCATTGAGAAATTCTTCTCCAAGGCTCTCCGCGAGAAGTTTGAGTGGGCCATCAAGTCCGTCGATGAGGATTGGGAGTTCTGAACATCTTCCATATGCAACCAGTCTGTCGCCTACAGTTCTCTTTGCCACGTACAATATCGCCTTTTTTCAACCCTGGACAGTGGAGAGGTGACTGTTTTCTTCGATATCTTCACTTTTTCTGTTAAATTTTTTTTTGTCACCATAAGCATGAGATCTGGCTCTCTCACTGGTTTCTTTTCACGTTGATAGCATCCAACTCGAAAAAGGTGTTATATCAACGGGTCACGTCACGTTATACGCACAAACACCATGGATGGCTCTCGTGGGTGAGTTTCTAAAAGAAAACAAGACAAGGACAAGAAAACGCCTGCAAAAGACCAAAAAAAGACCAGAAAGACGCATTGCATTGCACATGGTTGTTTCCGTTTCGATTTCCAGATCGCCTTTGCATTCAACCCGGTATTGACTCTGCTTTCCCGGTCAGTCCATAGAAGCTCAATTTAGCTAGAAAGGAAGATCGCAATGTATTCTACCTATTACTCCTTACCTATCTCTTCGTAGACTCGGTAATTTCCCTACTCCAAACGGGGCAATCATGCTGCCTCTCTCCTGGCAAGTGAAGCGTACAGGCGTGGCTTAGTAGTGAATCCTGCACGATATGTATGCATGCAGACAAATGGAATCACGAACTCAAGGCCGACCATCACGCCCATATTGAGAACCAGAGGAAAAGCGGGGTGAGATGCTATAAGGGCAGATTCTGGGGGCTAACGAACATTCGAGTCAATTCTAAAGTACATACAAATCCAACGAAGTGTCGATGCATACAGAATACTGTGTCAAAGAAAGCGGATGAGAAGGAAAAGCCACCACCAGATGGAAAGACGAAAAGGCTCAATATGCAAAATGCATCCTCGATCAAACAATAGGGGGTGAGAACGGGAACGAAAATGGAAAGAGGATATATGCAAGAAATGGAATCAAAATCCCGCGCAACGGAGTCAGGGTTATTAGTACAAAAGGAGGTAGCAGTCCAGCATGCGGGTCTGGGCGGCGGCGATATATAAGGGAATCTGGAAATTTGACAAACATGTAGAAGGGGAAGTGCAAAGATGGAGGAATCAATCATCAAAGACGTCGTGCCGTGTCAGGGCTAGGGGAATGCTTGCTTTGAGGACACAATGCGATGCGATGCGGAGACCGGGACTCTCTCGACAGGGGAAACAGACCGTTCACAATCATACGAGGAGGTAAGGAGAGGGGAAAGACCGTAAGACGGAACGAGAAGGGGGTTGTTTACGGCCACCAGCCCATCCGCTTGTAACTCTCGATTATCTCGCGGACGCTCTCGGTGCCGAAGTGCTCATACTTCGGCTTCCAGCCGACTGTCGACTCGAACAGCGAGCCGTCAATCGACATGTCTTGGTCCTTGAGCACATCGCGCTCCAGGAACGGACCGATAGGCCCGGGCCGCTCGATCTTGCTCTTGGCGACCAGATCGGCCCACTCCTGCAGACTGACCTCGTTCATTTCGTCCACGACATCATCCAGGTTCATCTTGGCCAGCTGCGAGGCCAGCGAGCCGAGGAAGGAGACCTTGAAGTCGAACACCTCGGCCAGGGCGTTGGCGACGTGTTGCTGCGAGGTTTCGTTGTGGTCAACGACGTTGAAGGCCACCGTCATGTTCGGGTCCTTGAACAAAGACGGCAGGGAGTCGTCGTTGCGGTCCAGTTTGCCCTTGCTGGCGCGCCACTCGGCCGCCATCCAGAGCGCACTCGCCGCGTCCTTGACGTGCAGCGTGTTCACCTTGATGTCCTTGGAGTATAACAACTCGAGGTCCTGTTCCATCTCTTTGTGCACACGGGCCAGGCAGATGGCCACGGAAAAGTAGCCTGGGTCGTAGGCGCCGTAGACGTGCGGCAGGCGCAAGGCACAGTACTGCAGGCCAGGGAAGTTGAGCAACTCCTCGGCGGCCTTCAACTTCCATTTGGCTAGCTTGTGCCACGGCTGCAACTTGTCGGCCTCCTTGCGCGGCGAGGACCCGCTCTTGTAGACGTGCGCAGTCGAGCACTCAACGAAGGCAGAGATACCGCGCTTGGCAACCTCTTTGCCCAGGGTAATGCTAAGGCTGCAACTGCGGGCTTCGTAGACATCGTCGGGTTGGGAATGCCGTGTCTCGCCGCCGCAGTTGATCACATAGTCAAATTGTTCGCCATTGGCCCGGTCGAAGATACGCGGGAGGTGTTCTATAGCAAGGAAGTTGGGTGTATGAGTACTCTGTGCCGACCATGTAATTGCCAGGGAATTGGGATTCGCAAGTCCACATACGTTCACGACTGGCGTCTGCCTGTACAAACTTCTCCTTGGAGCAGGCCTCTTCGAATTCGGGAGCCAGCCACGCCAGTTGCGGCAGAACCTTGTCGACAATGCGGACCTCGGAGGCCAGGTTATTCTCATGGATATGGAGTGCCAGATGGCGACCGATGAAGCCTACGCCATCAGGCTATGTGTCAGCGGCATGTTTCCGGACGAGGTCCGAGAGAATTGAGAAGGGCGAGGCGGGCGAGAGGAGGAAGGAGGAGGGGGAGTGGTCCGCGGGGGGATACGTACCGAGGCCACCGATAATCAAGACGGCGGGCTTTTTTGCGTCGGTCATGGTGAACGAACGGGCTGGTTTCAATTGCAGCGGCCCACAGCCCGAGTTTCCAGGTTGGAGGAATAAGAAATAAAGAAAAGGGGAGGGTAAGGGGAGGGGAGCGAGGAGGAGAGAGGGGGGAAAGAGAGTGGTGAATCGATGAATCGACGAATGCAAAAGAGGGGGACGGAAAGGGAGACCAAAAGCCTAAATGGAATCGCGTGTCAGCCGGGGGAACTCTCTCCTCTTCGGGCCGTTTTCCCTCCACCAGAAATTAACATCTCCGCTGCAGCCTGAACAACAAACCCTCACCAGGACCCCACGGCGGCCCGCTAACCCATCGCTAGAAAATTCGGGAAGATCACACACCCTGGCTGGTCCCAAACTTCGCGGGCCACACCCCTGCCAAGCGCCTCCGCTCCAACCGCTCTAACAACGCCGTGGATCTATAGTCGCCGAGCTAAGTGGGCTTAGCGGGCTCGCGGTGGGGACTACCTGCGCACCGCAGATTTGAGGCGCAGGACTGGAGTTGCCGGTGACGTCGGCCCTGTGTGCAGACAGCGCGCTGGGAGGGACTCCGGAACTACCCTCGGGAGCTAGAGGACGAGCAAAGTGTGGTACTGGGATCTGCCCGGACCCAAACATTTGTGCGTGCTTAATTGCCATCTGGGGTTCCTCGGTTCCCCAGTTCCTCTACATCAACTGGACACCCTCGCCGGCAACAGCCCTGCTCCCTGATCCCGTTCTGATCGGGTTGTTGTGTTCATCTCATCCCTTCATCCCGGAGATAGCCAGCCTGCCGTTCACGGTTCACGGTTCACGGTTCACGGTTCACGGTTCACTCCATCCTCAATGTCACCTCCACCGCAAACTCAAATGCCTGCAATTCTCCCTCCTCCTTCGCTCGCCATGCACAGCCGATTCGGTTCATCAGTGACTGGAGATCGTCGGTTTCACGGCGCATCACGAAGGACACTCCCGACCACCGGAGCAGTACTACTGCGTACGAGCAGTGCGGAATATCAGCAAACAGCTGCAGCAGGCTTCCATCATGCTCGAAACGGCACCTCTTCTCCATTTCGTCCAGGAAGTCGTCAGTAGTCTGAGATTCCTCGAAATTGTGGAAGGGAACACACACTGGCTCCCGTCGGCTTCGATCTTCTCGAACCAGAAAGTAGGTCGCCAGGGTGTTGGGGGCAGTACTTATGGAACGAGTGAACAAGTTCTCCGACTTCTGCAGGCTTTCTGTTGAATCATTTAGCGAGGTTAAGTCAGCCAGTACTTATCACAAAGAGTTCACTTACCTCGCCGGGAAGGCTGAGTGCTGTGCCCACTTGGAGCGCCTCGGGCCGCGGTGGTCGAGGCCACGAGCGCCGTTCCAGGCATTGCACAACGCCCTCGAGTCAAGGGGGTGGGGGTGAATTGGGCTGCATCCTTTGGAGACTTGCCTGTAAGTACCAAACTCTGACTTCGCTTGGTCTTGGGAGCCGTGGGACTCTTGGTCTTGGAAGACTTGGACTTAGGAGTCGATAGCGGGTTGCTCTTCTTGGCCACCGCAATAGTCCCACATTCGGATGAGGGTGGCTCGGATATCATGCTGCTTGACGGAGACGGGGTTTTCGACACCTGGGGTTTGTCAGTATCAAGCCACCCGGAATGCAACCGGTAGGAAACTAGACCCTCAAATTCGGGAAGCTTACCTCCTGCGAGATTAACTCCCGCCGGTTTTTGGCATCCTTCTCGAGCAGGAACGAGAGCGCTTGGACCATTCTGGTGAATGTCAACTCCGTCCTCCCCTTAGTTAACAAAGCCAATAGGACCACCACACTCACGGTTTTCTGTCTCTTGGATAGACACAAATATGACCCGCCTGAATATGTGCTTCAAGCAGGTACCGTTCTGCGTGCTTTCGACCCCAATACTCGTAGCCGACCTCATCAATGAAGCTCTCGGCAACCATCTTCCGCTGTGACTCGTTGTCTTGCATAGCTGCCCAGGACGAAGAGAGCGAGACGTGATCCTTAAGCTTTTTGTGGAACTTGTTCCAGAATTCATGCTTGAAGTCAAAGAACAGACGGAACTCATCCAGTCTGCTTTTTGCAGTAAGTTCCTTAGCATTGATCAGATCCATGAGGGGATTCATTTCCTCGGGAAACGAAGGCGTTTTGTTGTTTCTGGTCGAGCGTGGTGGATTAAACATCACGTCGCGTCGGTGGGTGCTGAGGGGACGTTGAAGTGAGGGGAAAAAGAAGATATCGATAATCTCGGTAGTGAGAGATGGTGAATGAAGGATAACACTCCTGGGGATTTGAGCTTTGAACGGGTATGGAATACTCAAGTCGTCGAGTGTGGGAGTGAATGGAGAGGATGCGGGGATGTAGACAACAGGAGACAAGGCACAACCAAGTAAGGTGGGGGAGAGCTGCGATGCTGGAGGAGTCTGGTGTAGGCAAGTGAGTGGGAGAAAACAAAACCGCTCAGGTAAAGAGGGTTCTTTCACCCTGCCTCGAACTTCGTTATATTCGCTACAAGGCACTACACTACCTAATATAAAGTATTGACAAAACATCTCATCAAGCTGAACAAACTGAACGGCAGAACCGACTGGCAAGATATCGGCCCCAGAGACCGGTCACTAGACAGTTATGTCGATGCCACGTATGAATGATCAAGACGAGCAAGAGATATGCACGTTGTGGAATTATCAAAGCCGCACCACCAAACTAATAAAACTGTTCAAGAGTGCTTAGGGAAACTCATTCTGCACCAAGGTATCTCAAAGAATTCTTCAGCTCTTTGATCGCTGTATTCACATCGTCAAAGGTGAGAGCCGAGACAGCCCAGCGAGCGTGTTTCTGCGCCATGGAGATATTATGGTCATCGACTGAGTGCGATGGCTGACTCGGGGCCGCTGGTGCAGGAGCAGGGGATGCCCGAGCAGCAGCAGGCACCGATGGAGATGCTGCTGGGGGAGAAATATGGGTACTAGCACTTGGTGGGTTGTAGAAAGAAGTTGGGTCTGGTGCCGCGATTGACGGGCTTGTTGTAGAGGGTGGTGGGAAGGAATGGAAGGAGTTAGAATGACGCGATGCATGAGTCGTGTGGAGATCGGAAGTTCCAGGTGTATCGGGTAGATCTATGATAGGACCAGGGCCGCCAGCCTTGCCACCGATGGTGCTAGGGGTGGAGGGAAGTTCCAGTTCATCAGATTGCCGCGGGTAAACGTCTCGTGCCTTTCCCGGGGTGCCGGGTGCATTGCTGGGCACAGAAGGAATTTCGGGTCCCGAGGAAGCAGGTGCCCGCGGCATGGAGGATGTTCGGGACGGATGCAGTGACTCGTCCAAGGTTGATTGATGGGCCAGTTGGCGCCCAAGCCGCTCGGCTTCGTCTGGAACTTCCTCCACGGATGCCTGGCGTGGCCTTGAGGCCTGCTCTGCCACGGACTCGTCAAACGCTTGCACTTCAGGGTCAGCCACTGTCACCTCTTCCTCCTCTGCCTTAGGTGCAGGGTTCGTGGCATTAGGATCCTCTCCAGCCTTGAAGGCTTTCACAATCCGAACCGCGTGGTATTTGGCGAACTTGATTCTCCCCGCAATCTCCGGGTCCAGGTCTCCCCAAATCTGGCACAGCTCAAGGAAAACAGCTGCTGCTTGGAACGTATCGGCAGTTTGTCTGGATATCTATAAACAGGTGTGGACTCGTTGACTGGTGACGTGGGGAAGCTCACTTTGTAACCTTGTTGGCGGCCATGGCAGCCTCGGCGCGATTGAAGACCTCTAGTCCGAATTGCTCGACATACGCATTCGCCGCAACGTCATCTGTCACAGTTTCATTCTCAGGGTTCTCGAGTTTGAACTATTCCCCAGGTCAAGTAGTCAGTTATCGTGCTGCGCAGGTAGCAGCGGGCAGTGATGCGGCGGGGAGTGCGGGGGAAGTGCGCCTGACCTGCTCGAGCTTATCCACGAGGCTGGTCGTGTAAATTCTGATTTCATCATCGGAGTTGTGAAGTCCTCTCCCAATGATCTGATTCACAACGTGAAAGTTGCCTATCGCGTGGGGGAACCTGGGTTAGTTCGAAAGTCGCATGGCGGGGGAATCAGCACCACCCACACCAATAGGCCACCACGGGCTTTGCCTTCTCGATCTGCGCCGCCCTGACGGCAAAGCGCCCAATGTCAGCAGATCGCAGCGCGGCGGGGATATTGCTGGCCATAGCGGAGGTTGGCGCAGGAGAATGGTGGGGGAAGGGCCAGATGACGTTTGGAGCTTGGAGCTTGGAGCTTGGGGGATTCCACCGCCCGTGCGGAGACGCGATAACAAAGCAACGTCATCTTTTGGCAGTCTTTCATCAACATCAACGTTGCGCTAGTTCTCTTTCTGTAGCCAAGTATGGCTCCAACACTTGCTGCAAAGTATGCTTCCTTCGGATTAATCCTTGTGCTAAGATCCTCTTATTAATTCATACATTATGGTGGCAGGTCTCTAACGATAACGCTTATCCGGTCCGAATGGTTGCATGTCCTCGCATCGTCACCTGACTATTCTAGTGTTGCTTTGCTCTTCGGAGTTTCCCTAGTGCCCAGCTCCGAGGCTTTGTACCGAGGTGCGTGAGTGACAGGAGCCGGAAGCAAGTGCCGTCTCTTGCGGTGTTCATCTACTCAGGGCTCGGACGGAGGCAGCCTAGCCCGGGCCGCACCAAGGCCAACGCCAATTTTGGTGTTGATCACTGGGTCAGATGATGCCGGGCCGCTCAGCAGGCTGAAGCTCAAGGGGAGCCTTCTCGAGTCACCGAGGTGGAGTCCATGGACTTGGATGTCTTTATGACGGCATTTAATAAGAATGATTGGGTTCATCGTAGAGCTCAAAGGATCCCAAAGTGGTCAGTGATTTGGATTCAAGCATCTTCGACAATCCACTCGCCAATCTCTACTCGCTCCTCAGCCATGGCCTCTACCTGAAATTGATCTTCCACTTGTCCCCCAGGCCCTCCAATGCGCTCAATGACAATCCAAGTTTTGCCCCGCGAGGCAGGAGTCGGCATGAGATTAAAGTCATCCACCCGCACCCCGGACGGGGCATCGCAATGACTACCATCTTCGGAAACGGCCAATGTCTCCTTGTACGGGCCTTGGCCCAGTTCCACGGTCATCAAAACAGGCGACGGGGCGACGGAACGAGATCCAATCATGGATAATTTACTCTTTGCCACGAGTTTGATCTGTGTCATCCGCGATACTTGCAATGACGCTAGCATCCGGTCTTTTCCTGGAGTTAGAACGCCGACACTAGACACAGTGATTCGGCGGCCGGCGGACTCGGAGGCCAATGGTTGTACCACACATGGAATCGAAGAGGAGATCCAGAGCATGAAGCGGCCAAGTTGGTCAGGCGCGAAGGTAGAACAGACAATGGTGTACATACCCTTGTCGAGGGACTTCGTTTCGGCTAGGGCACATCCTCGACGATAATCTCCGCTGTCGGCAATGATGTCTCGGCTTCGAACTCTCGCGATACGTTGACCATTTGACCAAAAGAGCTTCACATGCATCGCGAGCTCGGCCTCGTGAGATTCGAGTAAAATTGAAACATCTGTCATTTCAGGGACCTGAAGACTGAATTGCGGGTTGGAAGAATACCGGGTAGACTCTGCGTTCCCGCCGGCTGTCAATGCTGTCCAGGAGCCACTTGATTTGTGAAGACACATGTGTTTGTCTCTTGAGGGGGCCAGGGAAACCGGCGATGTTGAGAATGCTGAAAGAGTAAAATTCTGGCTTGATGAGGGTAGTGACTGTTCTGAGATCACGGCAGTGTAGGTAGTCCTTGGAGGCATATCGAGTCTCATGAGAGTGTTCGGAGCATCCACATAGGGCCCGCGATGTAGGGCTCCATCGCTCAAAGAAACTCTGGTGCCATCTGCTTGGAAAATGTAGATGCTGATAAAGCCCAGCTCGCCACTTTCATTTTTCAAGTAGTGCTGGTCGCCCTTGAAATGCTTGCCTAGCAACAACCAAACGGTGCCTCCCACCTCGCTATAGACCGAGAACTGGGGATTCCTGACAAAGCACCCAGCAAGGACCCGTCCCTGAGAAAGGTCCCAGGTGAAATGTATGTCTTCACGATGCTTGAATAAACCTGGGTTCCAATTGAGATAGAGGTTCTCGAAATTTTGGAAGACCTGTTCGCAATCCATCCAGAAAGTCCCTGGAGATAGTGGTGACGAGGGGTTTGCAGAGGCCGCCGGCTCAAGCCGGCTAGTCTGGATGATGCTAGGCTCCGCACCTGCCCATGGATTTTTGAGCAGGAACTGACGCCGCCCGTTGTTCTCCTTCATATGTAAGATAGCATAGTCATGCTCGCTCACTAAGCCCAGGCCTTGTTGTTCCCGTTCGGTCAATTTGCCGGTTCCGATGGTCAGAACGACATCACCATAGGAGAACGCTTGGTACAAACGTTTCCAAATCTCTTCCGATGTTGCATCCTCATTGTGTAGGAAGACTTGTTCAGGAATCCAGCCGGTCAACACCCAGAGATCTGTCCCTGAGTTGCTGCCAGGAAAGTCATACCCACCGCGAACTTTCAGATATGCTTTCTCGACAAGAGCAGGCCATAAGAAGTTGAGGTTATTCCGGTCAATCACATGAAGTGATCGTTCTGTATTCGAAGATGGCAACCGGTCATCTATGACGACTTTTCGAAAAGACCCGTTGAAATAGAAACAGAAGACGTATTTCCCTGATGGCGATAGAGCCGGTTGGTCTGAGCCGGTCTCACAGGGATACATCGCTGGCGAGGCATGCTATGTGATTCGGTCAGTCCCACATCCCCCAATGCCACCAAGGCTCAATACATACATTTCCTAGTCCGCGCTCCGATCTCGAGGTAGTTGCACAAAGACTTGCAACTACAGAACAATCGGTCAAGACATCTTGCACGAGATCGGCTGTCCCTGTGACAGACATCACTGCCGCAACTGCCGGTTGGGTTTTGTTTGCCGTATTTCTTGCATGTAGCAAATCGGACGGTCGCTTCCATCCTGCAAATATTTCCGTCTGACATTGAGACAGATGCAGATCGGGCGAATCACTGTATAAACAATCAGACAGGACACAAAGACACAAGCATCTAAACAACACGTGTTCCACACATACGTGAATGGCTGATCGAATTCAGCGGAGGCCGGCGGGCGCTCCCATGGTGGAAAGATAAAGCCATTCAGCTTTGCTCCCTCCAATATGATGATCTCTTCACGGGTTGTGAGCTTGCGCTTGGACGTGGGGGGTCGCAAGCCGGCGACACGTTTCTGGCGGGCCGCCGGTTGCCAATCCGCGGCAGCCTTTATCCGCTCGGCCCGGGTGAGGAGTTCCTTGCATTTGGAATCGAGTAGCTTCCTGTCATCAGAAGATGCCAGGCGCAATGCCTTCATGTAATGTTCAGCGGCATTAATGGCTGCTTCCAGAGCTGCTTTCTGCGAGGTTGCGGTGGCTATCGCTCCTTCGGCTTGCTAACTGCCGATTAGCTATTCCGGGGTTCGGTGTTCCAGTCTGGGGAAATTAAGGTAGTGGGCATTACCACTGCTTGAGAAACATGCAAATTCTGCGTGGCCCCGTGGGGTTTCGACATGGCTTGCGCTTGCGCTAGGTCGCCGTCATGAAAGCCGCTCGTCGCGCTGGTTCACTACAGGCTAGCCAGCAAGTTTGCCGAATGTGGTTGGAGCCGAATGTGGTTGGAGCCGACGTGCCCCGCAAGGAAGTCCGTTCAGGAATCCATCAACCACCACTTCCTCCACCGAAACAACCGCCGATGCGCTGTTAAGTCTCGGGATAGGCAATTTATTAGCACCGCTCCCAATGCCGAATCATTTGCGCAAAATCCGCCGACACGGTGCTATGTAGCTCCGGCGTAGCTCCGGCGTCTCTCCTGGTCTGGCTGACATAAGCTTGCCAGGCGGAGTGGACCTCGGCTTGCACCGCCGCTCCACCGCAGCGCCGAGGTGCGTGCAGCGCCTGTGCCATCCGCTTTCCTGGCTCGGCCCTTCCTCTCTTCGGGTGCCATCGGTTACTATGATCCTGACTATCCTGGAGATGCGTCCGAGTCCCTCTTCTCCGAATTCCTGATCGAGTCTCTTCCTGCTCGTCATCTGTCTGTGGTCGCTCCCGTCTTCAGAGCAGTCGTCTAGAGGCCCCACTCCGGTTTCTCCTGTCGGTCTTAACACGCCTCGACTTGCCACTGACACTTTTCACCCATCACTGACCAGGCGCCATCAAGCGTCTGTTTGATATTCATATTCACCATGGCTGGACAATCGAAGCCCGTGCGCCTGTCTCCTTGGGGAAGCGCAGTTGCGGGCGCAACGGGCGCTGTTCTAGCGAATGCGCTGGTATACCCATTGGACCTGTGAGAAACACTCCCGGTTGAGCGGAGGGGCTCCTAATATCCCGGAGATGCCAATTCGCTGACCGCATTTGCTTTTTAATAGGGTGAAGACGAAACTGCAGGTTCAAGTCAAGCAGACGAAAGGCGCCGAGGAACAAAATGAACAAAATCAAGTCGAGCACTATGAGGGGACCGTGGATGCCATCACTAAGATCATGGGGAAGGAAGGTGTCACCGGCTTGTACTCGGGCATTGCTGGCTCGCTGCTGGGAGTTGCCTCAACAAACTTTGCGTACTTTTACTGGTACAGCGTCGTTCGCACTCTCTACATGGCTTACAGCAAGGCCGAGAAGAACCCCGGCACTGCGATCGAGCTGTCTCTTGGTGCGGTTGCGGGTGCAGTCGCCCAGGTCTTCACCATTCCCGTGGCGGTCATCACCACACGGCAGCAGACACAGCCCAAGGGAGAGAGGGAAGGGCCTTATCGAGACCGGTCGCGAGGTTGTTGACAGTGAGGACGGCTGGTCCGGCCTGTGGCGCGGCCTGAAAGCCAGTTTGATTCTGGTTGTCAACCCCGCTATTACCTACGGAGCTTATCAGCGTCTGAAGGAGGTGCTTTTCCCGGGCAAAAATAGCCTTAAGCCTTGGGAGGCTTTCTGTGAGTGGATGCAGTTACGGCCTATTGATCTGTCTCTTGCTAATAAACGTCACAGTGCTCGGTGCCATGTCCAAGGCTCTTGCGACCATTGCGACCCAGCCTCTAATCGTCGCGAAGGTGGGTCTGCAGTCTCGTCCTCCCCCAGGCCGACAAGGCAAGCCCTTCAAGACCTTTGGTGAGGTCATGAAGTACATTATTGAGCATGAGGGTGCCCTCTCTCTCTTCAAGGGCATTGGTCCCCAGATCATGAAGGGACTTATGGTGCAGGGTCTGCTGATGATGACCAAGGAGAGGTATGTTTGACATTTCTTGTTTTTGTCCATGCTGGGTCTTTTTCTAATGCTTCTTTTAGGATGGAACTCCTCTTTGTTGTCCTGTTTGCGTACCTCCGCCGGGTCAGAAAAGAGAAGCTGCAAAAGGCACTGGATTCCGCGGCGGCAAAGGCTAAGACCAGCATGCCCGCGACCCTCAAATAGACAAAGCCGCTTAAGGCCGCCCCCACTACTTCTTCTTTTGTACCCAATTGTTCCTTTGGAGACGCTTCACGGGTCTCGTTTTACGGCGTATCGGTCTTCACTTTTGCGATTTATTTGAGTAGTCTAGACACCTGTTGGCTCTTGGATTCTTGGAGGACGGCTGATGCAAGCAAATGCGTCTGTTTCTACCCTGAAATTTGAGATAGACCTGTACATAAACGCTCAGTTTGCAGCTTGTCCCGCTTCATTGAATGTTTTCAATCAATTCCGCACTGCAGTACATGAGACTTATCAATAGCGAATATTAAAGTATCCTACAAAGGCTGAGAATCTGCGCGGTGGACCCGCAGTATATAATTACGTATCTGCGGCAACGATCATCGGCGTCTCGACTGCCGCGGCGGCGATCACCACCCTTCCCCAACAACTCTCACTCAACACTCCCTCGCCCGTTTCACATCCTGCATACAGCAGGGGCATGGGTCGTCATGCGATGGCCGCAATGGAGTTCCGAGTCGATCAATGACGATAAACAGCCCCAGGAGCGCAGCTCCTCAACCGCGTCATCGCACCCCACACCCGAAACAAACAACACCCGCTCCGCACTAGACTTGGCCGCCTTCACAGAGTCTAGGACACTCCTCTCGACCCTTCTCTTGACAAGCAGTATCTTGCTTGCTGTACGCTTCCATCGCAGCTACCTGCGCCGTATCCCCGATGCTCCCAGCATCTTGCCTTCGTTTCTCCGGCGGCGGACCGTCTTCGGTCAAGTGACCAGCGTCGGCGATGGGGACAACTTCAGGATATTTCACACCCCTGGTGGCCGACTCGCTGGATGGGGCTGGCTGCCATGGAAGAGAGTTCCTACAACGAAAAAGGGACTGAAAGATAATACTGTTCGTCGCATATTGCTCCCTGCTCCTTGTTTTCACCCCAGCTTCAACTTAGAGTCTCTCATAACTGACACACTCATCTGTTGCCGCTAGATCCACATCCGTCTAGCAGGCGTAGATGCCCCTGAACTTGCACATTTCGGCCGCCCCGAACAACCATTCGCCCGTGAAGCCCATGAGTGGCTCATATCCTACCTACAAAATCGTCGCGTGCGGGCTTCCGTCTACCGCCAGGACCAGTACCATCGTGTTGTGGCCAGTGTATACGTGCGGCGCGCCTTTGACTTCCCGCCGTTCCGCCGAAGGGATGTATCATATGAGATGTTGAGGCGCGGCCTGGCGACTGTATATGAAGCCAAGGTCGGCGCGGAGTTTGGAGGCGAGAAGATGGAGCAGAAGTACCGCCGCGCGGAGTGGTGGGCAAAAGCACGGTCCAAGGGTCTTTGGAAGGATTACCGCCGCATCGGGTCAGATTGGGAAAGCCCAAGAGATTATAAGAACCGCATGGGAATGGGCGATCCCTCCGACAATGGTGGTAAGTCAAAATCATAGTCGCCGGATATTGGGTTCCCGTGGCGTGCGATGTCCTGCGATATATGCATGATAAGATGACATGACTATACTGTAAATGTTGGCAACGATTATAGACTCGAGGCAGTCATTTAATACCATTGTAGATATGTATATCGTACACCGACGTGGTAATAGCTATAGCTGTACAGAGTGTTCGAGTTCCCAGAGACCACCAACGCCCCAGACAACGCCCCAGATTAGAACGGGGTATAATAGGGCCCAGGCATCCCAAAACTGCAAAGCACGCGCCCATTGTAATGCGGCCCGATTAAATGTATGTTTACATACTTGGCATCAGCTTACACTTCAGCAGAACCTTCGCTCAATCTCCGCGAACAATTGGGGAGAAATCTCATCGCTCGAGTTGCCTTCCACCCGCCAGAGACAGCCGCGGCGGTCGTAATGCTCCAGAAGGGCCTTGCTAGTCTCCTCAAACTTCTGCAGCCGCTGCCTCCAGGTATCTATTGAGTCGTCTACTCTCTGTGTCAAGGGCTCACCCGTGACATCGTCCTTTCCGGGGACCTTGGGCACATGGAAATCCGTGTTATAGACCCGACCTGATGGCTCGTGCACCCAGCGGGATCCAATACGAGCGAGAATGACTGAAGGTGGTGTGATGAGGTTCACGACGAAGTTCACCGGGACAAGACTGTCCAGGCTCTTTGCTTGAACGGCGGTGCGGGGGAAGCCGTCGAGGATGAATGAGGCGGAAGGTGATAGTGTGGGGGAGAGGCTTGGAGGGCTGGGAGAAAGAAGACGCAGAAGACGTGGAGGATTCGGACGGTGACGAGGGAGGGAGCCAGCCCTTGGATTCCAGTTCAGAGGAGATAAGGCTGAGAATTGTTGAGTCCGGGACGAGGTTACCGGACTGCATTACGGCCTCGGCTTGAACACCTATCAACACTGTTAGAGGCGATTGCCCTCTTCGAAGGAGCAAATGAGGGAGAATAATGGGCGCAATTTACCAATCGGTGTCCTCCGGCGCACATTCTCGCGCAAGAGGTCCCCGGAGCTGATTGAGGCCAGCTGGGGAAATCGGGCCAGCAGTCGCTCTGATTGCGTTCCCTTCCCTACCCCCGGCGCGCCAACGAGGATGATGCGCGCAGCCTTTTTGAGCTGCTTGGTTGTGGGCGACATGCTGAGGCGACGTCTGGCCGGTCCTGTTGTTGTTGGGGTATATCAAAGTTATCTCCAAGAACGATGGCCCGGAACGGAATCTTTTTAGCCGCTCTTGCGGCAGACAGGGGCGTGAACGGATCGCGACACAGGAAGCTAGGAACGAAGAAACGCGACAAACAAAATCCGCTTTATTGCTGATGCATGCCGGACGAGGGAATGTCGGAGGGGACTCAATATAAGCACCGCAGCTGTCTAGCGCATTTAACCGATCCCGAATTTTGTGGGGTTGCTTTTGCGGATTCTTTCTTCGGCCCCCGGTGAGGAGAGCTCCGAGGGAAACGACGCGCGGGAGCAGAGTGAATATTACAATGAAGATGGGCAGGTAGAAATAGAGATATTCAAACCTCCGGAAGTGTCCACCACGGGGGCATCTGCCCGATAGGAACTGTTTGGAGGAGATTCGGCACAACAACTGGCTCTCACATGCTTTCACCGGCGAAACGGTTGAGCGTTTTTGTGGCCTGAGTTCCAAGGCCAATAATCGCATGGCTTCACGTGACTGCTTCCGTCGCGTGCACGCGTCGCGTCGGCCAATTTAGTGACGGGGTGATAACGGGAGATCCTGCACACCACTCCAAATCGGACTCTGGCAACATATCCACGCAACTCCGCGTCGCCGACAGCATGATTCGACAAGACGCGCATCGAATTGATCCCAAACGCAGAGCTACTATCGACCCTAAAAAGAGACAGTTCGCTACTCCGACCTACAAGCAGCAGGACTACCCGCATCGTCTGAACATATACGACACGCCGCCCACGGCGGAAATCACCCTTGAGCAGTTCGAACAATGGGCTATCGACCGATTAAAGGGTATGAGTCTTGCGGCAATGCCAAAATCCCCGGGTACTAATGTCGAACAGTCTTGGCTGAGATTGAAGCATGCTCTTACCGGAACAAGTCCCCTGCGGAGACTGAATCCCACATCACACCTCTTCTCCAGAAATTTCTCCCTCTCTCCTCCAATACTGCCTCCTCGAACGGTGCTGCGGACCCTCGCTTGAGAAATGAACGCCAAAAGGACCACTACTCACACTTTATCCTCCGCCTCGCCTTCTCCGCCACGGAGGATCTCCGCCGACGATTCGCACGGGCCGAGACAATGCTTTTCAGATATCGCTTCCAGAAAGATGATTCACGAGAGAGACGGGCGTTTATCGAGAGCCTGAATCTTGATTGGGAGCCAGTGAGCGAGGAAGAACGGAACCAGGTTGCCGAGAACTTGATCGGTGCGACTTTGGGATTGCGGCGTGTGGACGAAGAGACATGGTATAAAGTCGATTGGGAGAAGGTTGCGGAGCTAGTTGAGCGACGATCTGTGTTCATGAAGCGGGGCAAGGCCTATGTTCCTGGTAGGGAGCAGCTTAGCATGATAATGGCCGAATTCACGGCTCGTCTGGAGCGATCACTGGAGGTATGTTTTGCATGGACCTTTTTTGATTAACTACGGACCTCCCACTGACATATCCAAGCTCACAAGCCGAGCGCTGCCGCGTCTGGATGAGGATGATCGTCTGACCCCCATTTTGAACCACCTTTCCAAGAACTTCGGCAGTGCCGAGTCTGTCTACTCCGAAAGCGAAGGCCATGTCGACGGCGCAGCAATCACAGCCAGCTCCATTGACTCGCTTTCCCAGCACTTCCCACTGTGCATGCGCAGTTTGCACATGAACCTGCGGAAGAACAATCACCTGAAGCACTTCGGACGACTTCAATACACGCTCTTCCTAAAGGGTATTGGCCTCTCGCTCGAGGAGTGTATTCTTTTCTGGCGCCAGTCCTTTAAAGGAAAGACGGATGACGAGTTCAATTCGCAGTACAAATACAACATCCGTCACGCCTACGGCGATGTCGGCGGTGATGTGAACCGTCGTGGTCGTGGATACCCTCCCTACTCATGCCAGAAGATCCTGGGGGACAACAACGTTGGTATTGGCCAAACCCACGGATGCCCCTACCGCCATTACTCCGTCGACAACCTGGTCGGACTGCTCCAGTCCACCGGTGTTCACGACAAGGAAGTACTCCGCGGTGTCCGTGAAGATGTGGGAAAGCAAAGATACCACATTGCGTGCAATCGGGTCTTCGAATTCAGCCATAAGAACGAGATCAAGAAGGTTAAGGAGGATGGGACATGGAGCCAGGCGGATCTGGACACGATCGTCCATCCAAACACCTATTTCAAGCGCAGCTATTTGCTGAAGACGCTGGCCAAGGCTCCGCCCCGAGGAGAGGCTTGATCCCGCGCATGTGAAATTTTTATGATATTATGTCGGCCTCTTATCAGCACGTGCACGGCAGTCCAATGGGACAATTGGCGTTGGGATTCGGGAATTGTACAATTGCAGATGGCATTTAGGTAGATTCATTCTTATAATGTGAGAGAGTATAGCATTGCATCAGGAACTTCAGTATTATGGGAGGAGGTCTGTGACCACAGCTGATTCCCAGTAAATCCGAAAGGATCGAAACGACCTTTCAAAACCAGGTGCCCAGCAACGGGTCAAGTCGATCTTCGCTCGACGCGAAAACAACTTCATCATTGAATTGACAGAAGCTGTCGACAATAATGTGATATTTTGTCGGCGTGAAAAAAACATGAAGAAGAGAAAGAAAAGCGGGACGAAGCCGAGTTTTAAGGATGTTTGGTTCCGGCGGGCGGGAGAGACCAGTAGTGCTGCAACCTGGCCTTACTGCTGGCGGGCATCCTCACACAACATACTCCTCTACCTTGCGCTCGAACATCTTCCCCTAGCTGACATTGGGGTCTTTTGTTTTGGGACTGGGTTATGCTCTGGTGAGGTCCTATTGTCTAGAACGTTTCTTGGAGTAGTCCGATATCGCGGTGCCCTTGCGATTTGACTCGCTCCGTTCCCCCTCTCCTTGTCAACACCGGACCGAGACCTCGAACAGCAACCGCCACGATGGATTACGAAGCGCTTAAGGATCAATGGAGTGATGTGGAGGATCGTGATGGTATCAGGCTCAGTTGGAACACTTTCCCGAGCTCTCGCATGGTGCGTGTTTGGTCGGGCGGTAGCCCCTCTTACTCCATGTCGCATCGTCCTCTAAACCTGGAAATAGGAAGCCTCTCGACTGGTTGTCCCCATTGGCGCCATCTATACGCCTCTTAAGGAGAAGCCAGACTCCCCACTGCTTCAATATGAGCCTGTTACCTGCAAACAACCCTGCCGGGCTGTGCTCAACCCATATGCGTACGTTCGGCCGTAGTGGTGCTCCTTCCCCGGATCTTGCGGTGAGCTGACATTGAGCTAGCACCGTCGACACCCGCGCAAAAGTTTGGATTTGTCCCTTCTGTTTGATGCGTAATCCTCTTCCACCGCACTACAAGGACATTACAGAGAACACAATACCCCCGGAGCTCCACCCGCAAAGCACCACAATCGAGTACCAATTGGCCCGACCCGCCCCAGCTCCTCCGATCTTTGTCTATGTTGTCGACACTTGCCAGGAGGAGGATAGCCTGCAGGCCCTCCGAGACTCGCTCGTCATGAGCTTGTCTCTGCTGCCGCCCAATGCGCTCGTCGGTCTGATTACCTACGGCACCATGGTAGGATGCACCCCCTTCCTACTTGGAAGAGATAGGATATTGACCACAGGATATTAGACCCAAGTCCATGAGCTTGGCTACGCCGAGTGTGCCAAGTCTTATGTATTCCGAGGCAACAAGGACTACAACGCCAAACAGGTTCAGGAGATGCTGGGCCTCGTTGCTGGCGCCGCGCGCCCTGGCATGCCCCCTCAGCAGCAACCGCCACGCCCTCCCCTCGGCCCGGCTGCCCGTTTCCTCCTCCCCGTCCAGCAGGCTGAGTTCCAGATCACCAATGTCCTCGAGCAAATGCAACGCGACCCGTGGCCCGTGGCCAACGACAAGCGACCTCTACGCTGCACTGGTGTCGCCCTGAGCGTCGCCGTTGGCTTGCTCGAATCCAGCTTCCAGAATGCCGGTGGTCGTATCATGGCCTTCCTGAGTGGTGCGGCTACTGAGGGTCCTGGCCACGTTGTTTCGCCTGAGCTGAAGGAGCCCATCCGTTCGCATCACGATATTGATCGGGATAACATCAAGTACTACAAGAAGGCCGTGAAGTTTTACGATGCTCTTGCCAAGCGTGCTGCCAACAACGGCCACATAGTCGACATCTTTGCCGGCTGTCTCGACCAGGTCGGCCTTTTGGAGATGAAGAACCTTTCCAACTACACCGGTGGCCACATGCTCCTAACGGACAGCTTCACCTCGTCTCAATTCAAGCAATCTTTCGTCCGGGTATTCGACAAGGACGCCAACGACAACCTACTGATGGGCTTCAATGCCTCTCTGGAGGTCCTGACCACCAAGGAGCTCAAGGTTACTGGTCTTATTGGTCACGCAATTTCTCTGAACAAGAAGTCCAGTTCGGTTGGTGAAACGGAATGCGGTATTGGAAACACTTGTGCGTGGAAGATGTGCGGTATCGATCCGTCCTCCAGCTACGGTGTTTACTTTGAGATTGCCAACCAAGGTGGCCCCGCTGCCGTGCAGGCCGGTCCCCAACGGGGCATGATGCAGTTCTTGACATACTACCAGCACTCCTCCGGGCATTACCACCTGCGTGTGACTACGACCGCACGGCCACTCAGCGGCCCTGCCGGCGACCCCACGCTGGCGCAATCTTTCGACCAGGAGGCCGCTGCCGTGCTCATGGCTCGTATTGCCGTCTTCAAAGCTGAGGTGGATGATGGTCCCGATGTGCTGCGCTGGGTGGACCGCATGTTGATTAGACTCTGCTCACGGTTTGCCGACTACCGGAAGGACGACCCAACATCATTTAGATTGGAGAAGAACTTCACTTTGTACCCGCAGTTCATGTTCCACCTGCGGCGAAGCCAGTTCTTGCAGGTGTTTAACAACTCCCCCGACGAGACTGCTTTCTACCGCCACGTCCTGAATCACGAGGATGCCGGTGACTCGCTGGTCATGATCCAGCCCACTTTGGACTCGTACTCTCTGGAGCAAGAGGGTAGCCAGCCCGTCCTGCTGGACTCTGCCTCCATCCAGCCCACGCATATTCTTCTCCTCGACACCTTCTTCCACATCCTCATCTTCCACGGTGAGACAATTGCCGAATGGCGGAAAGCTGGTTACCAGGACCAGGAGGGCTACGAGAACCTCAAGGTGCTCCTGGACCAGCCCAAGGAGGACGCTAGGGTTCGTTACACAGATTTCATGCCGATATTGACTCTCAAGCTAATTTTATTTACTTAGGAACTCATTGCCGACCGTTTCCCTCTGCCCCGTTTCATTGTCTGTGACGCCGGTGGCTCTCAGGCCCGTTTCCTTCTGTCCAAGCTGAACCCGTCGACCACTCACACCACCGGCGGTTATGGCGGCGGCGTCTCGTCGCAGACCATCTTCACTGATGATGTCTCGCTGCAGACATTCATGGATCACTTGATGAAGTGAGTGGTTTTTCAAACTCTGCAAATGACATTCTGATCGTTTACTAACTTAACTTGATAGGCTGGCGGTATCTGGTACGAGCTAATTGTAACTAGACGATGAGCCATGAGAGCAAAGGGCGGTCTTACATCGATCCCTCGGGTCATGTGTATCTTTAGCGGTAATTTAGCTACTTTCTTTTTTGATTCAATATAGGTCCTAGTAGATTGGATTGATTGATACCAGGGCATCGTATCGCCTCCTCTAGATCTAATAACATCCAAGCCGAGGTGCTAAGCTTCGGTTCTCCCGCATCTACCACATTACCCGATCGGGTAAGCGTCCGTTTATGTCATGTGATTGGGGCTGTGCCCTATGTTCCAGTTGGGTCTTTCGCTTAGACTAGCTGGTAGTGTGGATCCCCGGCTGCTCCTAATGACTTCTCTTCAGATCGGCTGGGAATTCTTTCTTTCCTTCTTCATCCACCCCTTCGACAACCCAAGGCAGATTGACTACCTTTCGCACTCGCCATGCGTAAGTATCATCGCCTGGGTCAATTCTTCAATGGCGACTAACACATCTTTCTGTAGCTCCCAAGTTCGATCCCAATGAGGTGAAGGTTATTCACCTGCGTGTGACTGGTGGTGAGGTCGGCGCCCAATCTGCGCTCGCCCCCAAGATCGGTCCCCTGGGTCTGTCTCCCAAGAAGATCGGTGAAGACATTGCCAAGAACACTGGTGACTGGAAGGGTCTCCGTGTGACTGTCAAGCTCACCATCCAGAACCGTCAGGCCGCGGTCTCTGTTGTTCCCTCCGCCTCTTCCCTGGTCATCAAGGCCCTCAAGGAGCCTCCTCGTGACCGCAAGAAGGAGAAGAACATCAAGCACACCAAGTCCATCCCCTTCGATGACATTGTTGAGATTGCCCGCACCATGAAGCACCGCTCCATGGCCAAGTCTCTCCAGGGTGTTGTCCTCGAGATTCTGGGTACTGCTTTCTCCGTCGGCTGCCAGGTCGATGGCCGCAGCCCCAAGGATGTCTCCGACGATGTCAAGGCTGGCGAGATTGACGGTGAGTTTTCCTTATGATCGGGTATATCATCTGTCCCTGTCTTCTTACTGACAAATGTGCAGTTCCGGAGGAGTAAATTCCTCTCTGCTGAACGGAAAAGAGGAGGACGCTACTTACTCTTGTAACAACAAGCATTTCCGCTGAAAATGTGGAGCTAGTTGCAGAATAGGACCGTTTCCTCCAAACAAAAAGAAACCCATGTTCATGAGCTATGACCTGATACCTTGTTTTCTTCGTTCTCTCGCGAGTCTCCGAATGAACAGTTCGATCGCCCGCGCTCTTCTCTCCCGTTCGTATAGATTTTCTCTCCCTTTTGATCCATCTAACCTTGACTGCTTCCTCTCGTTTCACCCCTACTTGGCGACGAGGATGCAGGCCAAGGCATATATCCCTGCCCGGTGCAGTACATCTTCCATCACTCCCTTCGGGGAACCGTTGCAACACTCTGGCCCTTACCGTTCTCTCCCTACGGGGTTTGGACACTATTCCAATGTGGTTTAGGCTTATTTTAAGCAACGAAGAGCAATTGACCCATTACTCACCGCGGTAGCCTTGGTGGCAGACTTTATGTCTGTCGCTGTGGTTACAGTGGTCCATTTTTGTGGTCTACATCCTTCGATCGAGAATCTCACCTGTTCTCGATTTCGTAGTTGTCGCTTACTCAGTTGGACTATATCTTTATTCTCAGTTAATGAATCTTTCTCATACTTGCAATTCTGTACATCCTTTTCCCTAGAATACTGCATGTAAGGAGGCTTCGTCTTGTGTGACATGTTATTTTCGCAGCTACTTCTATGTGCAAGAATGCTGCGATCACCATGGGACATGATCTACACCAAATCTGCATATTGGGTGGACTCTCAGGGATATAGGCGTACCTCAACCCGACAGCTTCTTTCCCGGATTTTGTCTGGTAAGCTCTTCGGGAATCAACGCTGGACTATGGGTGTCCTTGTCCCGAGCGAGACTGTCGGATGACCGCATGGCCCCGGTACTTCTACGGGCAAGATGCGTGAGATATATATATAGGTTATCAAATCATGAACCCAAGCTACATGAACACCGGTCCCATTTAATTTGATTAGCAGCCCTTTGCTCGGCCGAACTCCCCCCACCCAGCAGTGATCACCCACACAGGACTGTGGCTTTAATTGATGCATCGCGTTATGTGGACTACATCCACTATAAGAATGTGCAGTATCGGTGGATGCTGCCCACATCGCGATCCCTCCCCCCGGCCATATGGCGATGAGCTTGTCTGCGCCATCGCCAGCACCCGTGGAACAAACCATAGCATTCTGGACCATCTGGAACACCCCAACGGCCCCAACATTCAGGACCGCCTGAACCTCGGGCTCTCTGCCCCAGCCGCCGACCCTACACGACAAACAGTCTCGAGCAACGCGTCGAGCCTCCGCAGGCGCCACGGTGATTGGACCCTCTCCCAGCAGACTCTGTCCTGCGATGTCAATCGCCAGTCGGTCGGTTCATCTGTCCCCCAGGCCCCCAGGTCGACCGTCAGCAAGGGCACACCGAGAGCACCGAAACCGACGGGCATGCAGCTCAGACTGGTGGTGGCCCCCAGAGCCACTCCACCCACCCCGCCGATCATTGCTGGTTGGCCGCCCCTGATAAGGCGGGCGTGCTGGGCGCCTCCACTGGGACACCACTAAGGAGGGGGGGAGGGGGAAACGGGAGTGGAGACGAGCCGGGAGTTGTATACACTGGAGCGGTCGTGCGCTGCTTTGCGGATAGGGTGGGGGAATATCGACGGGCAAATGAGGCTGGGGGGAGATGACGGTAGCGAAGAGAATTCTACTTCAGGGGAATAATCTACGTATACCAGTGCTGGGGAAATTGGTTGATCACTTTTGTTATATTGGCGTGAGAATATCGACCGCCTGGGATTCGTAGCGCCTACACTTATTCGGTCGATCCTCGTGTCGACGTGTTCTACAGCCCATCTGTACTTACTGATGAGAGTGGAGGTCGCGTCCACGTGAAACCCGGTATTTCTATGCATTTGAAACGGTGTGGACAGTGTGGACAGTGTAGACGGTGTACCTGCCTGTACCACTCGACCCGCATGCCACTTGGACGATGTGCAGGCCAAGGATGTCATGGTGGGGAGGGTGAGTTTGCCGATCGCGGCGGCAGGTGACATGGAGGGCGTTGAATCCAGAGTGTCCCCCATAGAAAACATCGCGCATCCTGTTGGTGCTTACACCGTACGTCTGCTGGAGGCCAGGGAGGTGGTGTGGGATGCCGGTATAGAAGATTCAATCATTCCCCAGAACGACCGTGCATTGCGCCCAGCAAATAGCGAACGAAGGATGCGAGGTCATATTTATTGTTGGGTGCTGTGTTCGGTAGTGAGTCAGCTAGCTCGATGTAGGGCTAGAAAATAGGCAATTCTTCCAAGCGATCCGAGCGATCCACAGTCTCGGGTCTATTTTGAGAGGGAAAATCTCGAAAATCAGAGACGATGGCTTTGAGCATCCTTGTCCGCATCCCCAGAAATCAGGCCCAAGTCGGAAACGATCGCAGGCTGAGGCGGCGACCGGAGAGGCAAACAGGGGGCCTGCTGCGCTTGTCACCCGGACACGAGAAACCGAGACGGTCGGTGGAGGTGGTGGCTTGCATGGGTGTAGCAAGTGGCAGCAAGTCAGAGGCCACTAGTCATCTTATTACCGGTGTTTCCCTTTCCTTCCCGGCCAGGGTCCTTGAGAAGGGGGAGTCCATAGTTAAGGCTAGCCTGGGAGTGCGTGGCTCGCCGCAGTGCCCGGGAAAATCGTGTGTGATGGGAGGAACAATCGAGCGTCAGACCTGGCAAGGTTCAGCTCATTAGTTAAGCTGCGAGCAGTCCCGCAATCGGGGCGGGATCCACCTCTCGCAACGCAGGACAAGACCGGGCTCGACTCGATCACCGCGGCGGGGCGTCACCGATCCATGACTAGTCGCCCGGGACGGAACCAATGGTCCACTGACGTGGGCTGCTGGCTGGAGACTCCAGCCTAGAAGAGGGTTCAGCCGTTGGATGGAGTGGGTCGGTGGGCCCGGGGCGAGAGAGAGAGAGGCAGAGAGGCAGAGAGGCAGGGAGGCAGGGAGGCAGGGAGAAAGCGATCGAAGAGAGGAGAGAGGAGGAGAAAAAGGAGGTTGGCAGGGAGTAGAAGACGAAGGTCGAGAGAAGTGAGAGGAGCGCGATGGTAGAAGAGGTAGAAGAGGTAGAAGAGACGGCCCAGTGGGCGATCCGCACGTCCTTCCCCCCACTGCGCTTGGCTGGGTCCTGGCGTAGTAACTACTCTGTGAGCTCTTCTGTGTAGTTATGTGACGGACTGTGCGACGCTTCGAGACTTGGCCTGACACCTTCACCTCGTCCCCTCTTCTCTTCCCTTCCCCCTTCTCCTCCTCACGCTCCTCATCTCCGGGAGACACCAGCGAGAACGCTGGTCCAACGGATCTCCTCCCTCCTCCTCCTCCGCACGCTTGGTCTCTCCCGCGATTCCGACCCTCACCCAATTCCTGCCAAGATCGCCCGCATTTGATTGGCCCACCCCGTCTCGGACACCAGCAGATTGCGAGCTGGACTTCTTTCCCTTCTCCCTTGCGTCCCCAAAATATCGAAATCTTCTGTATCCTTACACCTGGCCTCTCGCCCGGACCAACCTTCAGCATTCTTATCCGACCTGCTCCCGCGACACCACCCGACTTCAAAGACAGACCTCGATGACGATACTGTGAAGCCTCCACTACGCGCCCTACGGTTGCTCCCTTCCTCTCTCACGCCCGCCACCGTTTGAGAGCTGGCTTGGTACCCATAATGCGGTGTCGGAAACGATTCAAGGAGGATGCTTGTTGATTGTCCACGAGTTCAACTGACCTGTGTTGATTTTTCCCGAATCTGAACCCCTCTGCTGCCCGATCGGACCCTCTCGAACGAGACGGGCCGCGGTGGTCGAGGCGAGGTGAAGATGTTTCCGACCGTCGCGTCTTTCCCTTCGGTGCAGCCTCATCACCGCCTTCACCACTATCCCGCCCATGACGCTATCAACCAACCTCTTTACGACGTGAATGACCCAAACTTTCCCGCATATAACGACCCCTCGAAACCTTTGTTCAATCCAATATCGCGATCGCGCCTCCAACTGCCGCACCCCGTCCAACGACTCGATGTCCGCGATGTGACTGGCTCCGGCTCCAATGCAAATGCTGCGGGCGAGCATGCCTTGAGGCGGAAGACCCCGAACGGAACCCTGGCCGCAGGCTACGATGGATCGCTCGGTGATACCACGATTCAACCCGCGACGAAACATATCCTGGTCTCGCCGCTGGACTCGACCCAGTTTCTGTCGGCGCAGGCAGGACTGCAGCCAGACAGCTGGCAGCAGCCGGCCCTGGACCCGTCAGGTTCTAAGCATATGAATTTCCCGCCTGTGTTCAAGAACGACGGCAGCAACGCCCTTGCTGCTGGCGAGGTAGTGCAAGATGCCCACGGCACGAGCTGGGTGCGCCCCGTCAACTATCCGCCAGGCATCGACTCGGTATTGAATCAAAGTTTACCCTTGCAGGTGCCTCAACGGTTCATCTTGCATAACGGTGCCTACGTCCCGACCGTGCTGCCAGCGACCCTTCAGCCGTGTGTTGGACCGACTGCCTCAGCTGGCACTGGTCCGTTTGGTCCATACTGGCCAGACGGCGTGTATATTCCATATCGCCCTGCAGCGTTTCGTGATTCGCGTTTTGGCTCTCCTAATCCGAACGGCCCGCCATTTGTTGACCTGAACCAGCCGGCCTTCAACCAACCTCAGATCCCGCTGGGCAGCCACCCAGATACGTCCTTCGCATGGAGCCAATCTGCGTCTGGCTTGCCCACCCCAGACCCTCTTTTAAAACCCATCTTCCCTCCGCGACACTCGGATCAATTGCCATTCCATGCTCGCGTCAATCGACCCGTCGCGGGGCTTGCAGCAAATCCGCTCAGTGCCGAGCCAATGAATTGGACCGGCCGTCCTTCGGGACGCGGTTTCCAGGCCCCCGGACCAACAGTTGCCGTGAATGTGGAATTCAAGGAGAAGATCTTATCCTGGGCACATGGTGTCTATGTCGATCTTCTGGCCACGATTCACCAAGCTCGCCGCAACAGTCTGTCTAACGGCGGTGCTGATGGGCAGAGCCAACGCTTTTTGAAACCGAGTATTTACCCCAAACCTCCCCGCCAACCCGGCCTCGACTTCTCTCAACACTCCTCCGAGATACCCCGCCACAACAGCTACCCATCCAGCCAATATGACTTACAAAGACAGAAGCTTGGCCTTTTGGCCAACTCGAGGATGGATGATTCCCATTCCCCCCGCATTCCCAAAGCAGCATGCACGTTCGACGCCCGTCATTGAGCCAGTTCTCTCAACACCACAGAGGCTCAGACTCGCAGATGAGAGATGCTGGTCGATTCCCGGGATCCGCCAGCTCGCGGTTCTCTGGTTCTCTCTTCAATGAGGGATCCCCTGTGACCAATGCGGTATCTGCTTTGGAAATGCTGTCTCATCTGTGCATGGAAAGCCACTGGGAATGGATTGATGGGATGCTACTTGGTGGCTGTTTGGCTTATGGATTGGGTGATTACCACAAAGCTATGCGCTGGTATTCCAGGATTATCGCTCGCGACTCAACGTGAGTTATACTTGTCGTTTCCCAACCGTCTTTTGGATTCACCCTAATATTGCTGCAGACACGTGGAAGCTATTTCTAACCTTGCCGCAACGCTGTTGGCGCTGGACCGGCGAGAAGAGGCCCAGCAGAATTGGCTGCGTGCCGTGAAATTACGGCCTAGTTTCTTTGAGGCTGTCGAACATTTGATTGGCCTCTTGTGCACCAGCCATCGTGGCAGGGAAGCCGTCAATCTCATCGAATTTGTTCAGAACTCGCTCCGCCATCCGCAGGATGGTGATTGCTTCAAGGTAGATGAGCATACCAGCGAGTCGGAGAGCGATGCCGAGAGTAACGTGTCCGATGTTGGCATGTGCGACAAGGTATCGTTCGATTACGAGGATGATATGGGAGGTGCCCCAGGATTGAATCTGGGCTCGCTCGATATCACTACCCCCTTGGCTTTGCGACTAGCGGGTATGCTATCCCCGGCTCTGACAATGGGCGAATGCTCGCACTGGTTCATGCCAAGGGGAATATGCTGTATGCTCTTGGCGACAATGCGGGGGCGGCATCTGCTTTTGAAGATGCGGTTTTGATTGCCGCTGGGAGACGGCGGCATGGTATCCAGAGCCTCATCAAGCAGATATTTGCCGCCTTTTCTCATCGGCCAAGTAACGGCTATCACCAGCCCGAGACTGAGTCCAACGAGAGCGTTCTCTTGTATCCTGACAGAGCTCTGCAGACATCCAAACTCGTCTTCCGGGCCGGTGGGACCCCGCCAGGGCTGAAGTACGTTGCTGAAGGTATCTCCCGAAACGCTGCCGTGTCCACCACCAGTAACTCGCTCCTATCGCTTGCAAAGATTTACCAGGATGGAATGTCGACCGTTTCATCCGGTGCTCCAAAGTCCACACCCGGTGTGCGGGATATCCTCGCCCTCTACTACCTTTCTCTTTCTTTACAGCCGAGTCCTTCTACAGCCAACAACGTTGGAATCTTGTTGGCTGGCATTCAAAATAACCCACCAGCTAGAGGGTTGGTTCGTCCCAATGGCGAGAGCCAGCATCCTGAGATCCCAGGTGTTGTGCCCGGCAGCGGAATTTCTCTGGCATTGGCATACTACAACTACGGCTTGCATCTTGACTCTCGCCATGCCCACCTGTATACCAACCTGGGCAGTTTGCTGAAGGACATTGGTCAACTCCAGGCTGCTATCAAGATGTATGAGCAAGCTGTCCAGTGCGATGGTAATTTTGACATCGCTCTGGCCAACTTGGCCAACGCCGTCAAGGACGCTGGTCGGGTCAATGATGCTATCTCGTACTACAAGCGCGCTGTCAAGGTAAACCCGGAATTCGCCGAGGCTGTTTGTGGCTTGGCCAATGCGCTGAACTCGGTGTGCAACTGGGTCGGTCGTGGAGGCATTGTCCATAGCCGTGGCTTCCGTGATCGCTGGCATGTGGACGACAAAGGCATGCTTCGAGATGCTCAAAGCAATGAAACAGGCGCTGGCTGGATCAAGCGAGTGGTGGATATTGTCGACCGACAACTCCGGGAAGGTGAATACTGGGGCCGGGGTCTGTTGACTCCAAGCACCGCCGAGCACTTTGTTGCTCAATTGGCGACTGCTTTGGAGTCGGGCCGCTTTGGCTCGAGTCGGAGGTCGTCCCTGGCCAAGATTCTCCAGTCGTGGGCCGGGAAGAAATGGGAAGGCTCTCGTATTGTCCGTCTCATTGAGCGTGCCATCCGGTCAATCACATGGCAGTGGTATCAGGACCGCTATGTCTATGGCAAGGACTATCCTGCTTCGAAGTATCGTCGACCTCAACTCCCAACCACACTCACGGCTCCAAACGCCCCGACAGTCCTGCCTTTCCATACCTTCACCTGCCCACTCTCTGCCAAGCAGATCCGACAGATCTCCCAGCGCAACGGCCTGCGCATCTCATGCTCGACCTTGCGACTACCCTGGCTCCCTGCGACAGTCTATCGGCCACCCTCTCCTCCTAATCCGTACCTTCGAGTCGGCTATGTGTCCTCGGACTTTAATAACCATCCCCTGGCCCACCTGATGCAGTCAGTATTTGGGCTGCACAATCCCAGCAAGGTCAAAGCGTACTGCTATGCCACCACTGCCAGCGACAGGTCCCTCCATCGCCAACAGATTGAGAGGGAGGCGCCTGTCTTCCATGACGCCAGCGGATGGCCGGTGGACCGGCTAGTCCAGCAAATAGTTGACGATGGGATTCACATCCTGATCAATCTGAATGGCTACACTCGCGGAGCCCGCAATGAAGTCTTCGCCGCACGGCCTGCACCCATCCACATGTCCTTCATGGGCTTCGCTGGAACTCTTGGCGCAGAGTGGTGCGATTACATCCTTGCTGATCAGATTTCGATTCCGCCCGAGACCCTGAGCCCTGGACGACGCACTACGCGCATCGAGGATCGGATCCTCGAAGAGGACAATGGCGAGGAACTTGAAGACTGGGTCTACGGCGAGAAGATCGTTTTCACGCGGGATACGTTCTTCTGCTGCGATCATCGGCAGAGCGCCCCGGATGCAGGTGAGCGACCGCTCTCGTGGGATGAGGAACAGATGCGCCGCTGGAGGATGCGGAAGGAGCTGTTTCCCAAGCTGAGCGATGATACTATAATCCTCGGGAATTTCAATCAGCTGTACAAGGTACGCTTTGCGCTCGACGACTTCTTCTCTCCCCTCTCGGGGTTTCTTGACTAACTCTGTTCCAGATTGAACCCACGACATTTCGAACATGGTTGCGCATTTTAGCGCGCATCCCTAACGCCGTCCTCTGGCTGCTCCGGTTCCCGGAGACGGGCGAACAGAATCTGCGCGACATCGCCAAGGCATGGGCCGGGGAAGAAACAGCCTCCCGGATCATCTTCACGGACGTGGCGCCGAAGAATACGCATATTGCGCGGGCCAAGGTCCTTGATCTTTTCCTCGACACGCCCGAGTGCAATGCGCACACAACCGCCACTGACGTCCTGTGGAGTGGAACCCCGCTGCTCACACTCCCGCGATACAAGTACAAGATGTGCTCGCGGATGGCAAGTAGTATCCTGAGCAGCGCACTCCCTAGTAGTGAGACCAGCCAACGGGCTCGAGAGGAGCTCATCGCCTCGTCGGACGATGACTACGAGAACAAAGCAATCCGGCTGTGCATGGACCTGCAATATGTGCCTGGCGGCGAGGGCCGCGCGCGCGGCCGGCTGGCCGACATTCGACAGATGCTGTTTATGCAGCGATACAAGAACAAGCTCTTCGACACCGCGCGCTGGGTGCGCGACCTCGAAGATGCGTACGAGGCGGTGTGGGCGCAATGGGTGAATGGCGAAGAAGGCGATATCTGGTTATGATGTGCACAGCGAAATATACCCCTTAAGCGATTCTTTTTCCTACTTTGGTTCGGACTTGACATCTTTCTCTGAGAATTGTTTTGCATCTACCTCGGGGGGTTTTGTTTTTCTTTTCTCTGATTTCCGCTGGATTCTGATCTGATACTTTACTTATTCTCCCCCTGGGATGGGGATTTCTGTGTGTACTGTTCCTCTTCTACACGTCCACCTCGGGGTCATTTTATTTTCTTGGAATTTTCATGTTGTGCTTGGGTGTTGGATGGGCAGATGTATGCAAGCCGGCTGCGTTTGGGAAACTCCGGGAGTTTGTGTTGGAATTCCTCGCTGCGATATAGAATGCCTTTTTCTGCATACGGTTGCGACTGGCCTCACTGAAGTCAGGGAATACATTCACTTTTACGGCGAAGAATATTTTCTAGGTTGAGATTGGACCTTTTAAGGCATAGCGTTGCATCCTCTCTCTCTCTCTCTCTCTCTCTCTCTCTCTCATCTCTCTCTCTATCTCTCTCTCTCTCTCTCTCTATCTCTCTCTATCTCTCTCTCTCTCTATCTCTCTCTCTCGGTCCACTAGGTATCCATGTGCCTTATTCTCCTGTTATCCCGAGGTTGGTTGTTGGTCGCTTGGTCAATTGGGTTGGGCAGAATGTGCCCTAGCAGGGCTAGGCCTAGCCAGAGCCGAATCGAACCTAGCATCCGCAGTATGTGCTGGAGGTGGCGGACACTTGGCCAGTGCACCGGGCATGGGGCGAGCCGTGGTGATGAGGTGCGGGAGTCGACACCCGTCGCAACCGAATATGAGTCCTTCATGTACGGAGAACGCCGTGCAGACCGGCTAGTGCGTACTGTCTCCGTAGCTGGTCTCGCCGGAGGAGACAGGGGGGATCCACCACCTGGTCTACCGTGCTCCGTGCTCCGTCCTCCGTACTCCGTACGCCGTGTACCGGGTCAGGCCTACGGATCGATCGATGCTGGCGCTGACGGGAACGGCTGGTCTCGGTCATGACCGGTCCCTGAACCTGGACCTGAACTGCACGCTGCGCCCCTGACCCGCGCACCGGGTCTCGGTGGACGAGAGGACGGAGGATAACCGTGTTCAGCCAGACGGACAGAAAGACAGGGAGGGGAAAGCGTGATTTGTGATTTTCAGAGCTAGCAGGGCTACCATATTTGGTGCCCCTGCCAAAAGCGCAAATCATTCGGAGTGCGCTCCCAATCCTGTCCGCCAGTGCGACCCATCCCGACAGGCGGGTACCTCTGTTGCGCTAGTGCTGGTTGGGACCAGCGCACCAAATGGCACCGAGATCCTCCGTTCTCCAATCAGCACCCAGGAAGGGGGTTAGGGGGTGGGGAGGGGAACACATCCCCCTGGGGCGAGGACTGTTGCACGACGGGGCCGGGGGGGTTGATGTCATTGAGGATAGACGGCGTCTCCCTGTGTATCGAGAATGGTGATGGGAGGCGTGGATCTTGTTTTGGAGACGTGAAGAGCGATCTTCTTCATGGATGCCGGTACCTGGTGAATGTACGGAGTCGTTTCATCCTGTACCTCAACCCCATGTTACAGCCTCATGCCAGGATCGGGCGTAGCGGATACGATCGAACAATAGAAACAATAGAAAAGCGAGAGAAAAAGAGAAAAGTGCTCCGCGATGGACTCGAACAGGGCGCGCGTCAAGGGTACCGTTCGGGTGAGCCGAGGCGTCGATCGCAGGATCCGGTGGCTTGGGACGCAACGGGCGATACCGAACGAGACAGGGATCCATACCATACTGAGAGTACAGTACGGAGTACTGTCTCTGTACAGTACTGTATGGAGTACATACCCTTTGCATAACCACACGATAGCATCCCCCGCGATCATCGCGACAGTCTCGAGAAGGAAGATGGAGTCGGGTGTATCTTTCTTCTTCTTCCCCCTGACCCATTTACCGACGACCCACGGGTCGTGCGGCAGCTCTGTACTCCGTACTGTACCAAGGTACTGGCCCAACGGCCAGGTAAACAGACAGGAGGTCGCATACCGCGATCGCCTTGGCACCGTTTGCCCGTCATCGCGCGCAGGAGCCGGGACCTGGTCCTGGCAGGGTCAGGAACTAGTGGCCGCCGCCAAACTCTACTCCTGCGCAGGGAAGAATTGGGCCGATCTGGGACCAGCACGGGATGGTCTGGCTGTCTCCCGTGACTCTCGGGGACCAGGATCGAAGTCTGGGGACGATTGACGATTTCCGTCCAACGGTGGAAAAGGGGGTCGGGCGCGAGCATTCCTGGTTTGGCGTCCGAAAGAGTCAAGGTCAAGACATCCCAAGTCACCGGGCACTATTCAGTTTTTTCTTTCATCCTTTTCTTGGTCCTTTTCCCCTCTCCCTTGTCTCTCCCGTCCGGACCCACCTTTCCACCGGGTTTTCGGGGGTCTTTTTATCTGATGTCCCGTCCCCATTTTCGGTCCCAATCCCGTGGGAAGCGTGTACGGTATTATGCACGTCCCGTCATACCGGATAATTACGACGATTCTAATTCCAAATCACGGGCAGCTGGCCCTAACTCGTTTGGTCGCTCGTGCGCCCTGCGTTGAGTCGATCGTAGTCCGCCCCCTCGACTCCAGCCTCGAGGCCTGCGGCGGTAGCGCGATTGCTGCTGGTGGTGACCTGAAGCCAGAGATCAGCTCTCGACTATTGATTTGCTGTACCCCCGATGATCACTCGGGATGGTCGTTCTGCGGCGCTGATTCGATGGCCATCTGATTTCATATCATCCCGGATCATTTCCCCTCGTGCATCCATCTCCATTCGTCTGGCTATTCTCGCGCTGGTTCGGGGCGGGGCCTACCCTCCTCGACCTCGATCACGATGCTCGGCCCCCGATCACGACCGTGGTCGGCTGTGGATGTGGCGGGATGGTTCCAGCTGAAAACAACAAACCAATAGGATCAGGGTCCAATTGTCTCGGGAGGGTGGTGTTTCCCCGTCCTGCGTACGGAGTACAGTAGGTGGTGTTGTCGTTCCCCTCGCTCTGCATGGCAAACCTCGGCATCGAGCCGTATGCAACGCCCATCGTACTTCTGTTCCTGCCGCAGCGTAGCCGATCCGCCCATCGCCCGTCCTCCACCTCCCGCCGCGCCCCCCATTGTCCAGGCCCAGCCCAACAAGTGGCCCACGATCCTGATCGCACGGCGCAAAAACCCGCCCAAAGAGCACCCAAAAAGTGGATCGGATCACCCGCCGCCACCACTCACGGCCACCGCCGCACGCCCGGCACCGGCTAGGGCAACACACATCGGCAACGGTCCAACGTTCGTTGTTGGCCGAGAGATCTCGCTTGCACACTGTGCGGCGACGACTGGGGCCGTGGCCGGAAATTGAGTCCGGGCCGTTGTAGTGTAGTGAGACGCACCGTGGTTTGTTGTGCAGGATGGAATGTGACGGGAGCTACGAACCGGCCAGCCATGTCCATGTCCATGTCCATGTCCATGTACGTCCACGTCCACGTCCACGGTTCATCTAAAGGTCCCTGTTTTCGCCAGCCATACAGGGAGTAGTCATGGTCCTGTCTCAGCATGCACGACCACCCTAGCCCCGCCGTTCATTCCGTCAGAAGTGACCAGTCCGATGGATGCATCAGGCGATTGGTCGGTCGCGCGGGTCCCCGGCGGGCGGGGGAACGAGCGGCGCCACTCCAGCGCAGACGGCGTCGCATCGGCCAGCGATCGGGGCGGCGTGGTTGGCGACGGGACCGTTGGGCGATGGGCCTGCTGCAAGCGCGGACGAACCTCTCGTTTAAACTTTGGCCTGGTCGTGCAGGACGACCGGGGGGTTTTCCCGTCTGTGGCATTCCTGCGACATGCGATATGCGATATGCGATGTGCGATGTGCGATGTGCGATGTGCGATGTGCGATGTGCGATGTGTGATGTGCCAAGGCATCGGCGAGAGTCTCGAGTCTAGAGTCTCGAAGGTGTCCTCCGTCTCTGTCCTCCTACTGTACGGAGTGGTTCAGTCGGTTCAGTCGTCACCGTGCAGTGGCCCTGCTTGGTGAAGTGCATTGTATGCACCCCGGTGGATCCGGCCTGCCACCCCATCTTGCCATCTTGCCATCTTGCCTCTTCGCTGGGGCTTTTTCCGGGCTCGTCGTGCCTTTTGCCCCCCTCCCCCCGAAGGATGGAAAACGATCCTCATGCTGATGGCATCCCTTGCATTGCGGCCTCGTGAGCGTTTCGGTGGCGCATTCTTCACTGAGAACCGTGGGTCGTGGGTTTCCCCTTCTCCCCCATCCTCCCTGACACAGGAGGGGGAGGCCAAGAAGGGAGATTGGGAGGGGATGGCACCGGCAGGTACGGGCAGTAGGCACCTGGCCGGTGTGATGACAGATACGGTCACGCGGTGCCTTGGACCATACTCGAGAACTGGAGGCTAGGATGTAGCACTGTCGTAGTGGTGACGCAGTACGTACATTGGGTCTATCAAGACTCGCAATTGCCAATGGACGGCCAGGCCCAGGATGGTAAACCGTGGAGGAGGGAATGGCGCTGATGGATGGGCATTGTGCGTGGTGAAGGTTGGGGGGGGAAGATCCTCTCTATCTGGAACCTGGCACTGTTCAACATCCCAGTTCGTGCCAGGACGATTCCAGTCCATGCGATAGCCAAGTTCGAGGATTATAGTATGCGGGTACATGGCTAGGGAGTTTAGTCAAGTCGAAACAACAATCGATTCCTTATGCGCAAGGGGGTATTATGCTAGACATCCCAAAACCCAAAAGTGAACTTCAATTCACCATTTTCCCTTTTTTATTTGGACATCTCCTCTCCGTCCAGAAAACCGATCCAACTCCGGGCACACAAAGCTAAGCCCCATGAAACACAGGAGAAAAGGGGGAGAGGAAAAACAAAACAAAACATAAAAAGCCCCAGATTAAGAGGTCCCCCACATTGACCGAGAAACACCCAGGTTTTTCAAGATCCGAACCGTGGTAATACACATTAAGAGTACAAAGGAAAAGGTGACCAGAAACAGAAAAGCAAGCCGTGGGGGGGGGGGGGGGGGAGGGTTTGGCACATGTACAAATCGCGGCCGTCCTCGCCGGACGTGAGCCTGCGAAGAGGGGGAATTGAGAAGTATAGAACAGAGAGAAAATGAAGAGACAAGAAAAGTCGTACAGTCGTAACAAAGGGGATGCGTCAAGAGAAAACAAAAGTTCGTAGGGTGGGGGCTTCTCCTTCCCCCCCTTTTTAGTTGAGGAGGTTATTCAGACCCATCCGCGTGTCGCGGGTGGGCTCGACAGGACTGGTTTCCCACGCCCTGGAAAGCGAGTCGGTGGGTTGATGCCAGGAAGCCAGGGTCGGCTGGTGCTCCATCCACCGCCGTTTGGAGGCGGTGTCCGAGAGCGGCTCCAGCGAACGGGCGGGACAGCTGGGTGGGGAGTCGTCCACCACATGGACGGAAGGAGCGCTGGACCGCCGGGCGTCATACTGTGAGCGCAGGTCCACCGGCAGCGGAAGGAGCTGCGGCGATGGCAATGTGCGAGGCGACGACGAACAGACGGAATTGTGATCTGAGACCATGGACGGTGGCTCAATCGAGTGGGCATTCGAGACCTCGGAAAAGGCAGGAGAGGTCAAAGGGGTCTCGATGGGGCGGTTGATGGAGGGAAGGGTATAGATGGGAGAGAGCTGGCGGGTTGAGACGGTCGACTCGCGGCGCGAGTGGGAGAAGTGGTCGGACGAGTCCCTGGGCGATTCGGCCCACGGGCGAGTTGCAAAGCGCGGGCGGGAGGGGCTCACCAGGGAGGCGCGGGCGAAGGGGGCCTCGATGCGGCCATTGAAGGTGCGCGAGGCCGTGGGGGTGGAGAGACCACGGCGCTTGCGGTTCATGCTGCCGTTCCACCAGTTCTTGACGGCGTTGTCGCTGCGGTTGCCCAGGCGGCGGGCGATCTCGGCCCAACGCTTGCCCATCTCATTGACCATGCGCTCAATCAGCAGGCCCTCGTCGGCGGAGATGGGCTCGCGGTTGAGAGAGGGCTTGAGGTTTTGGTGGAAGCGTTCGCGGCATTGCTTGGGCGAGCGGTAGTGCATGTGTTGGGAGATGCGCACCCAGTTGTTGGGGCCTTGTTCGCGCACCAGTTGGAGGAGCAGTTGGTCTTCCTCGGGGACCCAAGGTCCACGGCGGTGAGAGGGAGCCATGGCGGAGTGTTGTGTGTTGGGGGGGTGGCGGAGAGAGAAGAGAGGAAGGAGGGGAGGAGGGAAGGAGGTATAGAGAGTATAGCAAGTATCCACGTATTCAAGTATAGAAGGCGGAGGTAGAGAGGATTGCAGTCGAGGTCGAGATCAAGGTCGCGGTCCGTGGGGGAGGTGAGGTTAAAGTAAGTTGGATGGGTTGGAGGAGGGCAGAGTGCAAAATCAAGCCACCAAGAGCAGCACGGCGATAATTATATTTACAACCCAGGGGGACGGGTCCAAGGAAAATGCCCAGCTCCACCTGCACACGCTATGGGAGGAAGATCACGATCCAAGATCTCGGAGCTGACAGTTTGGAACAATACAGGTATGGTTTGGTATGGGATTATGACTGGGTATTGTTTCAGGGCGTACGGTGGGTATGGTGGTGGTGAGGACGGAGTAGGGTTAGTCGGGTTAGTCGGTTAGTATGGGTTAGTATGGGTTAGTATGGGGGTGTCGACGAGGGGGCTCCACTCTGGAGGACGTACGGGGGAACTCCGGCACCCTGTGCTTCGTACCGTACGGACCAAACTGGCCCTCCCGGTGGTTCTCTCCCCTCAAAGGAGATAACCATCAACATTGAAGAACCATGGGTCAGGACTATAACTCCTCAGTCCATTCGCATCCTCCTACACTATCACCAACAAAAACATCCAAATGCTCCGGAGATCGTCAGTACGACCCGGGAATCCGGGCTGAGGAAATACCGTAATGATCGGAGGGATCGACCATGAGCCCCGTTGCTGGAATTCCAAATCACTGCCCGCGCTAAAGCAAGCTATTTTTTTTTATTTTTCTTCTTTTTCCTTTATTTTTTGGGGGGGGGAAACCCGTCTGAGCGCACTACGTCAAAATGAATTCATCCTTTCTAGAATAGATGAGGATTCATAATTTATTCTGACATGAATTATGTTTTTTTTTTTTTTTTTTTTTTTTTTTTTTCAATTCCATCCTTTTCCCGGCCGAGGCGGGACGAGAGTACCTTTTGGTCGTGCAGAAGGGACCCAAAGCGCCGGTTCAGATGCGGGTGCACCGTAAGACGCCAGAAAAAAGCAACGGCCAGAATTCAAGGCACGAAAACGCAAATGCTGTCTGGGCCGATCGCGAAGTAAAAACCGGATGTACCACAAGATGTCAGTTCGTCGATTGCCCGGTTGAGACGAGGGGGACCGTGGACGGAGGGTCGTACATACTTCCAAGGGGGGGCCTCGTATACACGCGGGACTAGCAACGCCTTCTCGCGGATCAGGGGGAGGAACCTCGTCCAAGCGCTCTTCCCAAGCCTCGCGCTCAATGCTACACCCCCCTGACAGGGACGTCCAAACGAGCCAGGGGCAGATCTTAGCTTCCGAAAGTGACAAGCGAGAGGCGCCAGGAGGGTCACGATTCCCCCAGTCTTCAGCCAGCCATGCACGACACGCCCCCCGATCGTGTCCGATCCATGTGCAGTCAACCAGCAGCGGTGTCCTATTGGCTCGATCGGCGGCTCCTCTCAAGCTCGACGTTCCACCGGCCGAATCCACCGGCCGAATCCACCGCGGTGGATCAGCCGGTGGAGCGCGGATCGTGACAAATTCCCTACCGGGTCTGAAGAAGGCCATTGGAATATGGGGAAGCCCCCTCTGTCTCTGCCGCTGCGCTACCCGGGCCCATAGACGTTCAAACGGCAACTCCGTGCGCAGGGAGCTGGATCATAGCTCCCTGGTCATCCAGCTCCTGACGCCCCTGGCTCCTCCCCGAGCATGTCCGAGTCCGACGTTTCTCGTGGCTGACGGGGTGGATCGACGAGCGTTGCACGTCTCGCCCTTCCCAGTGCACACCCCCCTTCTCCGCTCACTCTCCCCCATTCTGTCTCCGTGCCTTGCAGCTCCCGGGGCCTCGTCTCCAATCAAGTCGGCGAGCAGATTGCCAGTCTCTCCTACCCATCCCCTCCGTTGCCCACATTTGTCGCCACTATTAAATTCTATATGAGGATTTCCATCGCCATCTTGCAAGCCTGCAGGAACTGGGAAACCTTGGCTGATGCCGAGCATCACCGAGGAACCACAGAAGAACCCCTCTTCCCCAATGGAAGGGGGAAAAAAAAGAAAAGAAAAAAGAAGAAAAAAAAAAAAAAAGAAGGAAAAAGTGCATGGACCACCTGCCACCTGTCACGGTGCGGTTTGGGGCGATCTCCGTGACGTGATGTATAGAGCTCGAGACAAAAGAAAAGAAATAAGAAAATCCACGATCGGGCCAGAGTGCGGGCGATCATCTCTGGCTCGGCTGCACGCTGCGCGCAATTAGCTGTCGGAACTACTGGTAACCAATCTATGTCCCGTCCCTTTCCCACTATTTCCTTCCTAACGGCCTGGTGTACCAGACTCCAGCGATGGGGACCCCGTTGGGTCCTCCCCCCACTCTTCCCTCTCTCGACGGTCGTAGGGAGCGCTGGGTTGATGGCCGGGGACTGTCTAGGCTTGTTGGACGCCCAGCGGCCCGATACATCCAATTCGATCGAGGCTAGAGGGATCGACTGCCCTGTGTGGAATTACCCGGTTGGGATGCTTGCAGGGCTCTCCACTCTGGTGGAAACCGTTGAAAAAGAGGGATGATTCGTACGCCACACCTTTTTTTTGGCTTTCGGTTTTGACGTGGTCGGTTTTACAGTACCGCCTCACCGTACGGTATTCTGGCACCTACAGCAGCACCTACAGTGGGGTTGAAGTATAGCCGGAGTACGGAAGACAATCTCGTAGGGCATGGCCTAACCTCCTGTCCAAAAACACTCCCGCTTGGACGAGCCTGTGCGTATACTGTAGTATGTATTGTATCCTGTCCGGCGTACAGAGGACGGACTGTCAGTATTACCCCCCTAACGCACACGCTACTGGCGGGCCCACCGTGACGAACCTCTCTCCGCCCTTCCCCACTCACTCGGATGGGCCTAGGTATTTGTCATTGTTCCCATTCCGGCAGGGATCGCAGAGTGCATATAGACAGCCTCTCGGGAAGGTAATCTCAACGATACTTAATCTATTCCAGACGAACGGCCCCTTCTCCCAGCTGTCTACAATGCTCCACCGCTGTGGTCTACGTTTACTCAAAGAGGAAGAAGAAAAAGCCGCAGTGGAGCTAATTTAGGGCTGTGCGATTTCTGCTGCTGTACCTCCTCCCACGGTTCATCTATATGGACTCATTACTTGAAGGAGAGACAAACAAACAATCGGAACCTGAAGAGCAGTCCTGGACGGAATCGAAGTAAACAGGACTGGAGGGAAGAATCCGTCAGGACCAGGACCAGGACCAAGACCAGGACCAAGACCAGGACCAGGACCATGCGAGATCACCTCGTGTGTGGACCCGATCGGGTTTTCCATCCTTCTGGGCCGAAAGCCGTTGCAGGCGGAACCCGTCTTCCTGGAATGCATTCCAACATGGGAGCACCAGCAGAGGTCTGGCAACCCGATAGCTTCGCCTGCCAGTGGTGACCTCATCAGCGATCCGCATCATTATCCCCACTAGTGAAATGGCTATCCTCCAGGCCCTCATCCGCTTGCAGTCAACGGCGCGAGCAATTGCATGTCGGGCCCTGAGATGTGACCTGTCAGTTCCGTCCTCACCAATCAAGACCACCGTAAGTATTTGAGATAAATCCTTGTCGCGCTGCAGGGATCACCGCTGATCGCGCCCGTGCACGGCCTGAATGGAATCGGTCTCCTGTCGACGGGGCTTGCGCCGGCTCAACAGCTACCGTCGACAGCGCAACCGCGACACAGCCGAAACCGCTAGCTCGAGAACTATGTCTCTTGTACCCTGTTGGGGATGGCCCTAGTCAAGTGTCTTGTGAGGTGTTTATTTTATTTTATTTTTCATACACACACACTCTCTCTCTCTCTCTCTCTCTCTCTCCGGGCGAGTGAGCAAATACCTAAATCGGACATATTGACCGCTTGCCCTTTACCCCCCTGCTACCCTCGCGAGAACCTTGTCCTTAACTCAAGGAGGGGAAACTAGCTAGAAAGGGGTCGGGACAGGGAATGAAATCAACGAGCTACGGTAGACTGTATGCAACACAGCTATCTACATAAGATCAAATCATCGAAATCATCGAAATCATCGAAATCACTAGTCAACCGAACGGCCTCGCATCCGCCGCAGCTTCCTGACTGTCGGGCCTCCCGCGTGGGAGGTCCGAGCCCGTCACGTGGTATTTGCTCAGGCTCGGATTTCGGGTTTCTGGCTGGTTGGGATGACGATTGGGGGTTTCACAATTACAATTCACAGAGTGATGCGGGTAAAGGGGGACGAAAGAGAGAGAGAAAGGAAGAAAGGAAGAAAGGAAGAAAAAAAAAAAAACAATAGTCGGATACAATGCAAATGGGGTGAAGCGAGTCAGAATACTCCGCAACTTGCACAGGGATTGTTTTGAATTTGCCGTAGTGTTCCCCGTTTTCCACCCGTACCAGTACTCCGTACAGCCCATACGGTCCATTCCAGACCCACAGTTGAAGTCCGGTCCGTCCCTGATTGGATAGGCGCTTCGGGCTTTAGATGTCGGGGACCACTGCCATGGTGCCCGATCGATGGGGAAACCTTGGTGCAACGCTAGACTACGTTGGATCCCTCGTACATCCTCCTGGTGGCAACGCTATTGTGCATTGATGCATTGAATCAGAGATTCATCCTGGACACAGGACAACCTCCGACGCCTGTCCGGTGATCTGAAACCAGCCTTCCTGTGGATGGCTTTGCGTTCCCTCTTTCGGGCTCGAAGGGCTCCTGGTACAGAATACAGCGTACTTTGTACTCTGTCCTCCGTCCTCCGTCCTCCGTCCTCTGAGGAGCTCCGCAAAAGCAGGTGGACTGCCAGGGGGGGGCGCCGTGGATCCACCCGTTGGAGCCGTTTTTTTCCCTGTGTCAGTCTGTCAGTGTGAGAATGACAGCATCCTGGCAGGTCCGATTTACACTATGCAGCTGTCAACATCGTATGGAACCGACCGGCGGACTCGGTGGTATCATGTACGAAGTGCATATGACGGTGTCAAACATCGAACGGTATATCAGTTTCCAGCCGCAGGTCCCCGGTATAGGCCGTTACCGATCTCTCCTCCTCGTCCTGCTACCCAGATACATCTAGATGCATTGTATACTACACTCGAAGAGGGAAGCTCTACCGCTACCCTCAACGGCTACACCCTCTTGGGTACCCGCTTTCGCCCCCCTCGAGACCACCAGGAAGGGCCGTTCGTCCGTTCTGGACTGCTGCCGATGGAGAACGGGCCCCGCTCGCCCCGCTCTGGACCGTCACCGTCACGCAGCATACGCAATGACTGGCTGGAGAGCGCTCACCCGACGGGTTTGACAGCGGTCTCACGAACCAGTTCGCTTGCGCTGGGTCCCCGCCAGGCCGTGATTCCCTGCCCGTTCCCTGCCCGTTTCCTGCCCAGGAGGAGACGGGAAGGGGAGGGGAAATCGACAAGGTTCGCGGACGAGATACCCAATTTGTTGTCTGTCACCACCACCACCACCATCCCGACTGGGGAGTATACGGAGCACCCCCTTCTCATATTCATCCACTTCTCACTGCTCCGTAACACCCCCTACAGACGGCAGAGCAGCTCGACCCCGTTCGCGCCAATCGGTTCGGTTAGAGAGCGAGGGAGGTGTTCTTTCGCTCCACAATCCTCCGCCTCCGCCAGGAGCAGCCCGTCCAACCAACCACGTTGCGCCGCAGAAACCGGGCCAACCCTATCTACCCGGTTCAAACTCAATCGGCCCAGACGAACACGCTTCCCAGCGCAAAGGTAACCATGACATCTGCCTCTTCGTTCCGGTGAACTTCCGGAAAACCTCCGATCGGAGCCTGATCCCCGATACCTACATATTCCATACAGGATTCCGTTGGCCACAGGTCGGTCAGTGTTCTGGATGGAGATACAATCCTTGACTCTGTCCAGTCTCGGAAAACTTTGTTCTGATTCTGGTTTGGCTTTGGCTTGGCCCCCGTTAGGATGTGGCTACTGTATACTACAGTATACACTATACACTCACGATACAAAAACAGGGCCAGCCTCGTTCCATCTCTTCTTTTGTTGGACGATGTTTACAGTAGCGAGCATTTTTCCGGCTTGGCTTTGATTTTTTTTTTTTTTTTTCCCCGTACCATTTCCCATACCGGGCGCTCCGTACGAACTATACAGCTAAATCCAACCAGGCCCAACGTAAGAAGAAGAAGAATAATAATAATAAAATAGAAAAAGGACGCGGTCTCATTCTCGTTTCTGATTCTGCGTTTGAGCCGCACCCCTCAGGGCCCGGGGCTGACCGTCACATCGTGAACTCCTTCACTCGTTCCTCTTGTCCGGACTGGGATCCAGCTAGTAGGTCCTTAAGCAGAAGGAGCTGACGGCGCCAACAGTTGATCTGGTGGCGGGCAGTCACGTCACTTGGTTCATGCATCGTTGGATATGCATGGCGACTAGTGTCCGGAGGAAATATGTCAAATGTACCTACCTACCGGTTCGGCGCCCGCGAGGGGCGTATCACTCTTCCTGACTTGCTGCTCTCGAGGGCCCGTTCCCTCGTCGACGCTGCCTGACTCGACTAGCTGGCGCCACGTCTGGGTCGCGGCCTCGTGAAAGGAACTGGGCCTGGGCTTGGACCCCGGCTTGGGGGGTTCTGGCTAGGTGCATTCGCCGGCAGGAGCAAGACCCTATACCGTAGGAGGATGCACCTGCGACTCGGATTTGCCGAGGCAGATGGGCATGACAGCCAGGCTGCCTGACGTGTCTCCGGTTTCTCGTTTGGGTCATATATCTCACGTGACGTGGACTTGCCCGATGGGGATTAGTTGGAGGGCTGGCAATTAGGGTTGGACGGAGTATACTGGATGAGTTGGGGTTACCAGTGTACCAGTCTGTGCTGGAACTAAAGTGTTCTGTTTGAGAGCCAATGTGCGAGAGAAAAACAGACCTCTTCTCCGTATAGCTGGAGATCCTCACCATGGTCCTGGGAGGCTAGCTGCTCCAGCACACACCTCGTATTGGCCCGTCCCGTTTCATCCTCGTACCACAGACGGGATATATATCTCCAACCGCCAGGCTTCGCAGAGTCTAGAACCACCACCCCCACCTTGTTCATCCGACCAACAGAACCCATGATGGAGAAAGCCCCTAGTTAGAAAGCGGTCCTCTTTCAGCGGGAGCGCGATCGATCCAACGCCCCCGAACCGCCATGGCAAGTGGCGCCCGCCGCTGCATGCCACACCAGTGAAATCGCAGCACAGCCGAATGCAGTGTCGGACATAGTGCCTGTCACACCACCCCTTGACCCCACCCCGTGGCAAGATGACACGGCACATGGAAGGAAGGGGAATAAAAAGTACGCCTTATTGAAAAGCATTACGGGCGGTTTTCTTACGGAGGGATGGTGAATTGGGGGGGGGGGGGGGGGGGAGAGCGCAATTCCCGGAGTTGGGAGAGACCAACGAGGGCGTTGCTGCAAGGGATGCGCAGGAAAAACTGGGAGGGGCGGAGATCAGAAGATCAGAAGATCAGTGGATGCAAGGCGTAGGCGTTTTAGGTTTGCCGGCTTGCCGTCTTTGCTTTGTTGCAAGCTTGGTTTCGCACTTTGGGATAGTGTGCTCTTGTGCCTTGATTTTGTTCGCGCCCACTCGCGACTAACCTGCCGATCGGATCTTTGCATTGGATATCTGGTCGATGGAGGTGACTTGCATCTCGTACTTTGGACCGATCCCCTCCACGCAGGAAGAAGGCCATAGCCAGCTACAGTCGCTAGCCTCTTTCCTCCTTCTTTGCGGCATGTGGAAACAATGCGTTTATCGCTGTGACCTCACTCCGTTCCAGGTTCCTGGATTGCCCCTCCTGTGTACCACCATGTGGCGCCCGCGCCCAGAAGGAAACCTGCAGCGAGAACGAGGGCCATCGTGGCGACGGGGGCATGTCTCATTCAGAACAGGGCGGTCTCCCCCCCCTCCCTTGTTACCACACTGCCAGTGCTGATGCTCACGCCCGAGCTCACGCTCATTCTCACGCTGGTGGTTTCGTGTGGTCACAGGCGACGGGTCGTCAATCCAGTCCAGTCCAGGAGAGGGTCGGCCGCGCTTAACTCTAGAATCAGGGCCCATGGCTCGTTCGTGGCCCAGGTACGCTCTGGTGGGCTTGGGCCGTTCGTTGATCCCACCTGGCCGCCAGTCGATCCATCATCACGGACGCTCGGCCGAAAGGGCCTTGATGCTCGGGCTGTTGGTGTCGTGATATCGGAGTGGGGCAGCGATGGCATGTCAGGAGGTGTTTCAGCTCGGGTATGTGCTCTGATTTTCATCGTTTGGCGTATCGGCTTGGGCTGGCTGAGGGATTTTGCTCATCGCCTTTATTGGCTGTGGTCCGGGCGGGTGGTTGGTTCTGTGTACCTTAGAAAGGGCCGTTGGATGCGTAGACTTCGGAGCCGGGGCCGGGGCCGGGGCCTGAGAGCTGCATATATCTAAACCCTGGCGCCGACTAGTCGTCATGTAACTGGATTGCAGGCGCCGGACGATTACCCCCGATTACGGTGGAAACAGGTTTGAATTACGCTCGTAATGGTCATGCTCGTGCAAGGATGCTGGCTCTGGCTCGAAGGTCGAAGCCTTAGGAACTACAGGGAGGTTGCTCAGGCATTCACGCGGTAGAACACAGGCATCGTCTCAATCGGACAGTTCACCTCAACCTCGCGGCCACCCTGATAGATCCTCGGGATGTCTCCGATCGGGATGCGCACCTTGTCCCAGAGCGTCCAGATGGCCCCCGCAGGCAGATAGACCTTGATGGTGCGCTGCTCAGGCTCCAAGATGGGTGCCACCAGATACCGAGAGCCGAACATGTACGCCGTCTCAACGTCCCAGGCCCGCGCGTCCTGCGGGAACTCATAGAACAGCGTGCGCATCACCGGCGTACCCTTCTCATGCGCTTCTCTCATCAATCCCCGCGTATACTCGCGCAGCTCCTCGCGAACGCTGATGAACTTCTTGCAGATCTCGTATACCTCCTCGCCATACGACCAAATCTCATTGTCGGAGCCGCTGGCGGTCGGTTGGCCCTCTGGCTTGGGCTCACGGTCTCCGTGCAATCGCATCACCGGACAGAAGGTTCCCCACTGGAACCATCGTGTGAATAGTTCCCGGAAGGTTGGGTCAGCGGGGTTGCCGCCGTGGAATCCGCCAATATCTGTCGTCCACCAGGGAATTCCGGCGAGACCCATGTTCAAGCCGGCAGCGAGCTGGTTCCGGAACGAGCTCCATGAGGATGCAATATCGCCGCTCCAGACGAGCGCGCCATACTTCTGGCTCCCGGCCCATGCGCAACGCACCAAGTTGACAACATTCGTCTGGCCCTCGGCCTGCATCCCCTCATAGAATCCGCGTGCGTACTCCTTAGGATAAATATTACCAATTTGCAGGTTACTGCCGGCATGATAGCGGTAGATATCAAAGTCGTAGATCGAGTACTCGGGCTCTGCCTCGTCGAGCCAGAACACCTTGATTCCACGATCGTAGTAGTTCTTCTTCGCCTGGCTCCAGACAAACTGCCGGGCTTCGGGGTTGGTAGCATCAAAGTGAGTGATATCGCCATCACATTGCATTGCCACGCGCAGGCCACGGTCGTGTCGGATCAAGAGTCCACGCTCCAGCATTTCGGGGAAGTTCTTCGAGGCACTCTCGACCGTTGGCCAGACCGAGACCATGAGTTCTACCTTGAGCTCTTTGAGCTCTTTGATCATGGCGTCTGGAGGGTAGAGTATTTACATGTCAGCAACCGCCAGTGGGATATGCAGCTGAAAAGCGCACATAGAGGATAAGGCAGGGCTCACCAGGATCAGGCCAAAACTCGGGATCAAAACTCCACTCTCCCTGATGCTTCCAGTGGAAGAAATCAATGACAATAAGGTCCAGTGGAACTTCACGGCGCCGATACTCCCTCGCTACGTCAAGTAACTGCTCCTGATTCCAATAACGGAGCTTGCACTGCCAGAACCCCAGGCCGTACTCGGGCATCATGGGGACACATCCAGTCACCTTCGCATAAGCCTCCTCAATCTCCGCCGGCGAATCCCCCGCTACAACCCAATAATCTAAAGCCCGAGTGGAGTATGCCTCAAAGCTCATCACATTGGTCCCCAGAGTAGCTCGCCCAATACCAGGATTATTCCAAAGAAAGCCATAGCCCCGCGACGACACTGCAAAAGGCACACTCGCTTGCGAGTTTCGATGCGCAAGCTCCAGAACAGCACCCTTCAGATTGAGATACGGCTGCTGATACTGACCCATCCCGAAGATCTTCTCCCGTGGATCGAGAGATTCAAACCGCTGCATCAGATGAAAGTCGCCGCCGAGAATGGGCCGCAGCTCGCGCGCTTCAATCAAGAGGGCACTGCATTTGGGATCTTGAGGGTCCTGCCGGTGCCGGGCGTATTCTTCGAGGAGCTTTGTGCCGTTTGAGTCGTAGATGATCACCTTGCCACGCCGTGAGACGGTAGCCCGGATTTTGCCATTGGAGATGCTTGCATCTTCGCCAACGGGGGTCTCAATCGTGACTGATGGACTGTCTGGCTTTGTTTCGAGGGCCCAATCGTTCGTTGGCATGGAGGCGAGCTTGGTTGCTCGCACGCGGAACGCATTCTCGCCCCAGGGTTGGACCCAGAGGAGGTGGTCGTCGAAACGGAAGACAAGCTTGTCGTCCTCGGCGTACAGCATTTTGACTCAGTAGTTACTCATAGATCTAGGATGAGAGGTCCGGTCTGTTGCATAGAATCCCGTTGGGCTTGGTGCGGGGTGCTGGGTGGACGAGGAGGCGTAGGCTCATCGGATCAAAGCCCGAGGGCCTGGGGGTGTCCAATGACGCCGCTGACGACCCCTCTCCCCTGCGGCGCTGACATCTGGACCCTCGTGGACTGATTGGTGATCCACATTGCCCAAAGGTCGTATAGGAGAGGCGAGCGATCCAACTGTTCTCTGAAAGATAGTAGCACTGCGGTGGACAGGGATTGGACTAGCCCTAATCGATTTTCCCTGAAGGATGCGGCCCCGCTCCGTTCTCCGTTGACACTCGACGTGAACTCCCAAAAGGTCAGACCAGACTAAACCATGAGAAGTCAAAGATAATTTTGAGATTGAACCCTCCGGGAGATTCTGTCTTCAATATGTGTGTTGGTCTTCCATTGCTCGGTTGACATCTGTTCAAGCGGCTCTGACAGTCGACCCCCACCTCCCCCGCCTTTTCAACCTCCCGCGTTTCCCGCCTCGTCTCTTTCATGCAACCTATGGAGGGCTTTGCATAGACCTTGCTGTGTCCAATCACCCCGGAGCGGGGACTTTCCTTATTGAGTCCCCGAATGAATATATAATGCGCGATGCTCCTATGCGGGTGATGGCCTGAGCAGTATATTGAGACGAGATGTGTACCAAACTTGGCTGGACTGCGCTAGAGAAAGACCGCTGGATGGATTTGACTCTCCCATTGTGGCATGGAGAATGGATATTGTTCACGGAAGATTGATCAAATCAACATTCGGGGCTCCTCAATTGCGGGCTCGCAATTCGTGACTGCGATCCAAGATGAGGGATGAGGTCTTCACAGAATGCCAGAAGTGCGTCCATCGCATGTTAGCCTTCGAGCTCCTATCCCATGTCAAGGATTCCTGCATCAAGTGGCCTTATTGAATCCGTTCAAATGCCACCCCCAAGCCTCGGCCGAGGACACGGTGGCGTGAGCTTAGCAGGGGGCCTTTGTTGCTCAGCCTCAACCGCGTGAGAAAGAATGGAAAACGTGCTCCTTGAAAGTGCCATTAACCGTGAGGCACGACGGTATCCAGACACGACGATAAAGATCGTGTTCATCCTGATACGAAGACCGGCGGTCCACAGAGGTCCAAGCCGATCTCCCTTTCAAAATGCATCGTCCCCTGCAACAAACTTGATGAACGTTGGAACGGATCCCCCACACGCGCTAAGCCCAACTGGGAAACACGCGGGAAGCTCTCGCCGGCGGCTTTTCTCAACTCACCACCTGCCACCGCTGCCTCACTTGACCTTCACCCCCCCCCCATCACCACCGGTCTTTACACTATACTGAGCCAGTCTGCGCTTGTGAACGGAGACCAGGGCTCTATTCCCGACGCCATCATGGATATCGACATGGATCTCGATCTGGGCCTGGAGCCGGAGCCGGAGCAGCCAGTGCCCGAGCCCATTGTCACCGTGAGTGATGGAGTGGGTTGGCGCAATGCGCTTCGGTCGCGGGACAATTGCTGACCTGATCATCTTCTCTCAACAGGACTCCCTTACACAAGAAGACACTGTGGATTCCCTCTCTGAGGAGGCCGTTTACGAAAAAGTCCACGTTCGCGGGGTGGATGAATTGACTACCGAAGATATCAAGCAATTCGCCATTGCCCATTTCGTAAATGAGGCACCCTCACGAGTGGAGTGGATCGACGATACATCCGCCAATGTCATCTACTCTTCTGCCGAGGTAGGCCTCCAGGCGCTGGCAGCGTTGACGCAGGTCAGCGAGGAAGAAGATGCGACGGCCCTGCCACCTTTGCGCCTACGGTCGGCCAAGCTCCTCTCCACCCACCCAGACTCCGTCCTTCAAGTGCGATCCGCCGTCAAGGCGGACCGGAAGCAAGCGCGTGCCCATGAGAAGAGTCGCTTCTACCTCATGCACCCCGAACACGATCCCCGCGAGCGCCTGCGACAGGAAATATCGGACCGACGACGTGGTGGTGACTCGAGCGATGGTGATTACCGGAGACGCCAGTTTGATGATAGGGAATTGCGTCGGCGCAAGGACCGTGACCATGACGACCGCTTCGATGCCAATATGTACGACGACCAGCCTCAGGGTGATAGTTACTCCGACTCGGAACGCGACCGAGGGGCCCGGAGACGGCGCGGTCCCAGAGAGTTATTCCCGGAGGACGAACGCTCATCAGGACGTCTTCGCAACCGCAGCGCATCCCCTGGCCGAGACACTCTCGATGATGAAAAGCTCGTTGATACCCGCCGAAGATTCCGTGAGCGATCACCACAAGTCAGCCGTCGGAATCAGGGCAAGGAGCTCTTCTCATCTGGTGACTCGAACGCCCGCGAGCTATTCCCTAACAAGCCGTCCTCCAGCTATCTCAAGAAGGAACTATTCCCGAGCAAACCCAGCAACCACCGTCGGTCGGATGCTTTCGATGCCGCAGATGAGACGGCAGACCTCTTGGGACGAAGGATTTCGGTTCCCGTTACCGATGGCAACAACTCGGCGCAGCGAAACCGTAATGTTGAGCTTTTCCCTGATTCGACCCCCGGGGGCATCTCTCGTACGGAAGACCAAGGCTTTGCGATGCGGAACGCAGGGCGCGGCATGTCGATCAAAGGCCGGGGCTCATCGGTTCGCGAGCTCTTCCCCAACAAGTATAAGAATAATGCTGGAAAGGAGTTATTCTCTGAAAAGCTGGAGGGACGCGGAGGTCGTCGCCAGCGCGCAGAGGATATGTTTAGCTAAAGAGAAGCCTCCAAGAGGATGGCAGCAAGGACCTATTTACTTTTTTTTATGTTCATGAGAGCTGGATTCACTGGGAGCATGTTCATATGGCGTTATGATGGATCTTTTCGGGATAAATCGCATACCGACACAGACTCTGCTCTTCTACAGTCAGAAATAATTATTTTCTATACACAAAGCATCCCAAAATTTTTGGCCGCGTTGTAATTGTAGTGTTGTTGTTCACTGGGAGCCGAGCCGCTTGCAGACCGGCCCATGGCGCGGCGTATTTATTTGGCGCACCACCACTTCCGCCCTTTACAAGGTGGCGCCCCGACTCGTTGACCATGACGCCCTCCACACAAATAGATGCACTGGCCAGTGCCGTAGTCGCGCGGTTCCTACGGACATACGCCTACACGGAGACTTTGCAGGCTTTTATCCGCGAGGCAGGTCTTGCTCCGGACGTGGGGCAAGCCTCCGGTGATGACACTCACAATTTGACCATCCAGAGCTTGCTGGAAGAGAAAAAGACCTTTGACCACAGCGTCAACTTTGAGCGACTTGGACATGATACCAAGGAGACTGCACCATGGGCGCTTCCAGGTACGTTATCTCTTTGAACAACCATCCCCGCGCGGAGAATCAATTCGCTGTCCCATTATGAATGATCGCTTCTCCCTAGTGCGTAAGTATAGTTCGCAACGCTGACAAAAACCTAGCCCCATCTAAACCAACTATTGTCTCTATTCCAACATCGTCAAACCTACTTGCTGCATCGGTGGAGTTATGGCAGAAGCCCTGCCATAACGGGACTGACCCTGATGTCGCTACCTCACCCAGACCTTTTATCATCTCGACGGGCGCTGACAGGCAGATGCATATGCTTGAAACCGCACATGGTCATGCGGCTGTCGCTTCTCTCTCTGGCCTGTCCGACTCGCCCGTGCTTTCATTCGTGTCGATTCTCCAAGGTCGCTATATCTTGATGACCAATATGTCGGGGCACTTGCTTTTGCAGCGCGGATCTGAAGTGTTGGAAAGCAGAAAGGATCATGCCAAATACGCGGTGATGGTCGTTGCACATGAAGAAGTGAGTGATTCAGAATCTTCACGGACAGTCTGGGTTGCTACCGCTGGCTGGGATGCCACTGTTTTCTTGTACCGGGTCACCATCCTGGATGGGGACCAGGAAACATCAACACCGGTAATTGGAGACCCCATTGCTCGTATCAATTTGACTACCAACCCGGAGTCGCTGCTATTTGTCCGCCATGTTGATACCGGCGAGTTGCTGCTCCTCGTCTCACGTCGTGACTCCAGCTATATCTACTATTACCAGGTGGAGTCAAGGGAAAAGGGAACAGCAGACAGCCTTGAATGTCATCTCCTTGGACAACAGAACCTGGCTCCACGCTCCAATGCCTGGGTTGCTTTCTCACCGTCTCATATGGCGCTTAGTCCTCACGATCCAGGTCTACTTGCAGTTGCTACATCCTCAGAGCCACATATGAAGCTCATCCTTGTGCGCCTTTTATTCCCGTCAACCGGATCTTTGAACGAGCCCGATGCATCTGCCACAGACGCAGCGGTGACGCAGGCTTCCCAGGCCCTCGAAGCCCTAGGGTTGCAGAACCGCGAAGATGCTGCTATCTTAGTACAGGCGAACACATTTGCGCCTCAAACATCGTACTCGACGCCGCAGGTGGCTTGGCGGCCGGATGGATCGGGTGTTTGGGTGAATGGGGATGATGGTGTGGTGAGAGGCATTGAGGCAAAGACCGGGAAGGTGATTGTGCAGCTGAAGGACGGCCATGAACCCGGGTACAAGGTGCGGACAATCTGGGCTGGATATGTGAATGTGCCCAATGGAGGCAATGGTTCAGAGGAATGGGTTATTAGTGGTGGATTTGACAAGCGCTTGATTGTTTGGAAAGTATGATATTAGATGTCTATAGACTGGCTCGGATCCAAAATCATGACCATCATGGCTCATGTTACTTGCGGTCTGACGAGTCGACCCAAAGGTTCTACTCTTTACGAGATATTGCCGTCCATCGATCAACCCTTTCGTCATTGAGAGACGAAAAGGCAGTAGATATATGACGAGGGCAGAGTTTGTTCTTGGCACGTAATAAAAATCCTTCAGCAGGCGCGCATAAAATTAAGCACGTTGCTGTACACACATATGCCGTGAGAGATTGGGAAGGGGAGGGAAGAGAGGGGGGGAGAGGGGACTCGAAATCATGTTCGAGAGTGCTGCGCAGGCAGGAGAGCGGTAGGCCGCGATGCAATGTAATGCAAGAGCATGCGTCCACCGAAAATGCTAAAGCAAAACACAAAGCGGAGAAAAGATGGGTTTCCCGTTCGGGATTGGCACCGCTGCGCGGATATCGAATTAAGCCTTTTGATTTCTGTGTATCAAACAACCCCGGATGGATGTGCCGCGCAAGGAATAAGCAGAAACCAGGCTTATTCGACTAAGACAGCGGGGCCGGTCTTGGTTCATCGCACATAACGTTATGTTCCCCGGGTCCTTGCGCGCTCGAGTTTTTCTCCTCCCATGATTTTCATTTTCGATTTCGTCCACGTTTATGCGACCTCACGCTTGCCCTCCTTGCGCTCCTTCTGTTTCATTTGTTAGTGCTTGCATCTGGCTGGAGGGTAGGTCGTCTCAAACGGCCTGGCGAGAGTAGTGCATATCAACATACCAGGGCCTTGGCGGTGCCGTGGAGAGCGTGACGGTGGTTGCGGCGGAACTTGGGGTCAACACCCTTCAGGGAGGGGTAACGGTTGGTCAAGGGCTTCTTGAGACTGCGCGGGGGAACGAATGTCAGTGGCCTGAGTTCTGTGGCATTGCAAAAGGGCGTATAGAGGCTGAAGGGGAGAGCCGAAAGCCTTGGCTGGGATCGAATAGAGGTTCCAAGCCACCTTGTCACACCCTGATCCAAATTCAACCAGTCGGCCTCGCACTCCCCCCGTCGGGCGGTCTTCTCGTCGACTCGTATGATAATCACGATGCTGTAGGAACTGGGTATTTGATAGGGAATACACACCCGTTACGGTGAGCCTTCTGGCTGCGGTGGTGCTGGGACGCGTTCTTGGACTCTGTAGAGCGAAAAAAAGTCAGTGACCCAGCGGTATAAGAAATCGATGAATTTGGCAGCTGTTGAGCAAGGCGCCGATTAGCCGGGAGCACGTACTGGCCATCTTGACGAATGTTGTCGATTAACGTGGACGGGATGGTGAGAGGAGAGGAGTGCTGTCGGAGTCGAGCCCAAGTGGACGGGTTCGGCTAGGGCTTTTCCCGTTTGTGTGGGATCTCGCTTACCGCCGTGGGGTGCACGGACGTCATTACTCCGTACCTCAGGACGGGGTAACTATGTATAGCATCTCCTCTCCTAGTGCTGGTAAACTCGAGTATGTTAAGGATATTTCGGTTTCATCTATCTGCATAATCCAGAATTCATGTTTCTATACCCTCATGGCTATTGCAATTCTCATTTGCGCTGTTAGGAAAATCCCCGCTAATCACGTGACATAGGATTCGATATAAATCACGTGACAATACTAGTATATTTCCATAGGCAACAATTCACCCCCAAGGTTAATGGCTTTTCCAATGGCTCTTTCGCAGAAAAATGTGCACTGGAAACACATAAATATGGACTATATGACAGATTGCACTAATTTCAATTCAGGAAACTAAATAATATTCCCCAAGGCAACAACCTGACTTACCTGGAGCGCAGTTTGTTCGTTGTTTAAGTGGGACTAGCAGCAGAGGAATGGACTAGGGAGCCCTAGAACAGTAGTTTGTCTTCCTAGTTGTTCTATCATTCATGTGAACGTGGGAAAGTTGGTTGCCCTTGTCGCGGCCATGTTTACCGTACCCGCAACAGTTGATGCCGGGTGGTCTCATTCACGTGACCTGGGCCGCTAGGGAACAACCGGCGCTCCGACTTCGACCTTTGCAACGCACCCTTCAAGAGGCATTCGTCCGGCCTTTGCATCCTCCCAACCATTGCACAATGAACTCCTTCCGCTTCGCTCGCTCCGCCCTGAGGGCCCGTCCCTCCCTCTTCAGCGCTCCCATCCAGCGCCGTGGTTATGCTGAGGCCGTCAACGACAAGATCAAGCTGTCCCTGACCCTGCCTCACCAGGTATGTCGAACCGACCTCGGAATCACCATCCCACAGCTCCATGGCCCCAGGACTAACTCATATGCTCTCTTATAGACCATCTACCGTTCGACCGACGTGTGCGTCTTCCTCCCCGTCGCGCCCTCTCCCGCCGCTCCCTGAAAAATACTGACGAACCTTGCGCGATCACAGTACCCAGGTCAACATCCCCGCCGCCTCCGGTGAGATGGGTGTCCTTGCCAACCACGTTCCCTCCATTGAGCAGCTGAAGCCCGGTCTCGTCGAGATTGTTGAGGAGGGTGGCGCCACCAAGCAGTACTTCCGTACGTCCGACCTACCTGCGCCGACCGTATGAAGATATCATGGGATCACGCAGCTAACAATGGTTTTCCTTGTGATAGTCTCTGGTGGTTTCGCCGTTGTCCAGCCCGACTCTCAGCTGAGCATCAACGCCGTCGAAGGTTACCCCCTGGAGGACTTCAGCGCCGACGTACGTTCCGATTAATCTTTGCGACGACACCATTGGTTGATACTGATCTGATTTCCTTGATATAGGCTATCCGCGCCCAGATTTCTGAGGCCCAGAAGATTGCCAGTGGCAGCGGCAGCGAGCAGGACATTGCCGAGGCTAAGATTGAGCTTGAGGTACGATGCTGATTTCTTCCCCGAACTCGGACCACCCACTAACTCGTCTTCGAATAGGTTCTGGAGACCCTGCAGGCTCATGTCAAATAGATGTACATAACCATTTGCGCACTTCCCCTGCTTTGAACGTGTAGAATTACAGCAATCTTCCTTTGTTGACTGCTACTTCTGTTTTCTGTTTTTCTAGTAGACGGGTCGGTGGTGGCGCCTTCCGTGGCCGTCATCTCAACCTTCAACATTTGCTCTCACTTGGAATCTCAGTCTCCCTCTGGACCTTCTCTCCACCGTGACACGCTCGACAATGCGATCGATGAGAGCACCTCTGGGAAGCATCGATACGCGCCTGAGAATGACCGACTCTCTCCCGGACGGCTGTCCCTCCCCCTTCTTCGCGTCTGTCATCGCATTTGATGACCTGCCGCAGCGTGATATTCTGCCACTTGACGACCCGGGATTTCCTGAACCCAAGCTGAAGCAGACAGTGCAATTCGCATCTAACGAGTCTTACAAGGCGGTTTACGGGCGAGACTCTGGAAAACGGTACCCTCGACTGGAGTTGGACGTCGCCATGGATAAGTATCACTTGCTGGATGGCTTCGCCGAGACTGGGAACCCACAGAATACCCCAGCCTCCAACAGCGGAGGTGATAGCCCTAAAGACCCAGGCCGATATGTCGACACCCAGAGTCTGCGCACCAGTTCCGCACCGCAGTTACAACCGTTGGCTTTCGAGTGGCTCGATGGCAAGTCAGAGGAAGACCGGGCATACTTCGACGGCGAAAAAACAGACAACAGGGCCCTGACCTTGAAACGCCGATTCCCAGTTGATGATGATCCACGCTCGTCTTCCACATTGATCCCTTTGCAGGATATGCATCAAACCACCGACCCCGATTCTAGCGAGAAACTCGAAGGCACTACTCCGCCTACGCGTTGCGTTCGGTTCTCTCCGCCAACCGAGCCTTCTCCCAATCAGTATTCGCCTCGCTCAAACCGTCCAATCCCTACAGTGGAGCGAAAGGTTGACTACATTGCCTCACACCGTCAGCAGAAGCAATTTGAGAAGTGGAGAGGCCCAAACCGTGCTCTTGCTCAGCGAGTCTCCCCCTACCGCAGCCTACCAAAGGTGGCAAAGGTGCTGGAGCAACCCCTGGACCGACAGCCCGAGATTCGCTTCTTCTCTCTTTCCCCTTTACCATACCATCAAGGAGATCCGACAGATTCGGCTAATCAAATCAACCCAAGTCAGGACAGTCTTGTATACAGAGTCCCAGAGAATGCGAAAGCTGTTACAACTGACGCGGCAGATGTCAACGATGGCACCCCATCTCATCAAATGTCTGACCTCGTTGCCTTGTCCTTCTCTATTTATCGAATCCGGCACCCTGGAAAGCGGTCAGCTCGAGCTATGAGCGCAAATGTGTTCCAGGTACAGATGACCTCGACACCCTTCCCAGCAAGTACCTCAACCCGGGAAGGAGAGGAGGCGAAGCATGTTGTGAGTCGCATGGCGCTCGAAGATCTGGTGTTTCATACCTATGTCGTCGTGCCCGCCTTGATTACACGCATTCCTGTCATGATTTGGTCCATGGTAAAACGGGTCGGAGACTCACGGATCGGCACAATCATCCTTTACCTGGAAAAGATGTTCTGGTCAGTGGTCATTGCACTTTTCCTTGCTATACTGGCCAAGATGCGCCGATCTGGGTCCGGATTCCGTACCGCGAGAGCCTAGCATCGCTGAACGACCTCACCTTTGCCGTGGTTGGTATCGAAACCATCCTGATCAACCCAGACAGCTTCAGGGTTTTCAATATTTCTTCGTTCCTGTCAGGCACGGCTCAAATATTATTTTTATCCCGAGGCTGGTTCTGCTGTGTCCTGCAAAGTCTGTCACGCATTTTACCAGAGCATCTGTTCCGCTTATTGGATATCCACGAGTTCGTTCTGTAGTAGGACTGCTGTTTTCTCTATGGCAGGCTTGAAAACGCAATTGTTTTCTTACCCCCTTTTTCGTGATACGTTCCTGTTTGTCTACTTTTTCTTCATGTTTACTCAAAATCATGGATTATCTGAGTTGACTACGGCATTCAAAATCCATCTGTTTGACCCAAGCAGTAGCATATTCGTCTCTTACCTATTACTGCACCGTCAAAACCTCGGCGAGATGCTTCATACTTCCACTTTCGCTGCCAACTCTATCTTGGCCATGGGGCTGCATAATGGAAGCGCTGTACTGTCAAGCCAACAACAGGGCTGGATGGTACGAACACTTGCCCTTATTTTGAACCGGTATCTTCAGTCTCTCGGAGAGGAGAAGACATGGCTGACTGAAGTTGATGGGAAATGGAAGTTCGATTGACGGCATAGCTGGTCTATACTACCTTGGTTAAACGATGGAACATGAATTAGCATCATAATCGTGTCCACTCAGCTAAACATGACCTACTTGTTGAGACTATCTCGTACAGAAGGCCAGTATCAACAAGACCAATGGGTTGCCTTACAGTTATCCGAAAATCGGGGGTATATTGGCGCAAAAAAGGCAACAGTAATATAATTGACAATGACTGCAGTCAATGACCCCAGAAAACTGGCCGACGCATCCAATTCAACGAACAGAAAAGACCCATAAATTCGCTTGCCTCATAAAGTAAAAACAAATGTCCTACCTATCCATGTCATTCGTTTCCATCACATCAAACAGATCCGCATCAATATCCATAGTCAAAATATGTAGAAAAAGCCCCATCACAGAGGCATGAGAAGGAGGCCATCATATCAACAGATCCAGAAACTCATTTTGTACAGGTCATCGCAAACGAGCATCACAAAAGAAAATGAAATGGTTAGAGAAAAAGGAAATAGACTGCCAATCAGTTTACTCAAACTCCACGCCATGCTGCTGTTTGTCCTGCTTTGCCCGTGCTCGCTCGGCACGCCGGCGTCGGCGGTTATTGGCATAGGACCCACTGGCTTCGGTACCAGTCCATGTACCGGGTGAAGCGACACTGCCCGCACCGAAGGGCATGCTTGAAGGTGCTGGGGGTGGAACAGGCGGGGGAGGTGGCACATGGCTGATCTGGGATTGAGAGGGGTGGAAGGAGGATGGAGGGACGCTGGCTGAGGGCGCCGCGGATGCCGCAGCGGCGGCTGCTTGTTGTCGCTCTCGTTGAATATGCTCAGCCTGCTGGCGTTCCAATTCCTCGACACGCCGCCAGCGGTCATAATCCCGACCTTCATCGCCAGAGAGGGAGCCAGCGCTACTACCCCGACGCCGCGAGTTTCTGCGTTCACGGCGTCGTGCTTCGCGTTGGGCGGCAGCTTCCTCTTCTGTCAGGCGGCGAAGGGTGACATGCCTGCCGTCGTTGTGCATCTTCACTTTCACTGATACCGGTGGAGACGCGACGTGGTCAGACCGATGCCGGCTATCGGCACGGCGTCGACTGTCATCTCGGCGGCGACTCCCGCTGTTGCGGCGGTGGCTAGAGGCAGCAGCACTCATTGCGGCTCCCGCAGCAGCACCGGCTGCCAACTCTTCTGCATGATGGGAGTGATGAGAGTGTGGCCGCTCAGATGGGAAGTCTCCGGACAATTCTTGGTGCACTGGAGGAAGGGGAGGAATATCGGAAGGAGCACCATGAGCAGCTCCTGTTGCCATGGGCTCTGGGCTGAGCATGGAACTCACTGATGCAAGCCGTGGCGGTGCAGGCTGTGGTCTGGGGGTCAGATCCGTAGGAGTCAAGTCACTCTCAGAGTAAGGGCTTGGCCGTCGTCGTTGAGGGTAGGGTCCTGATCCAGTCTCCTGGCGCCGCCGTTTGCTGTTTGCTCTTTGAAGCGCCTCATCTTCTTCCTCTTGCCGGCGAATCATCTCCACCCGGCGCTTTTCTTCGTCGTCCTTGTCTTTATTGCGACTAAACAATCGTTTAACCGCAGCAAAAGCACCAGCGCCGAGCAACGCATCCCGGACGCCATGAGAGGCACGCCGTTCCCGCTGCCCGGACAGGTATGTGCTGTTGTAATAGTATGATGAGCCAGGGCTTTGAGGCCGGCTAGGTGGGTGGCTTGGAGGACGACCGGCGATTGGTGGGCGAGCGGGTTCTGGCCGCGCATCTTCCAGACGGCTAAGAGAGTCTTCGGTGTAGCTGTCACTTCGCGAGTGGGCGGGCTTGTAGTGGCCCGATTCGGTGTCATCTTCACGCTGTCGTCGGCGGTCCCACCACTTCTTTGCAAGCATACCGGCACCAGCCAATGCACCGATTTCAAGAAGCTTCTTTCCCCATCCCCCACCACCTCCACCATGATGGCGGGAGGATTCATCAGAATACTTATCTGAGTAAGACGTTCGGGATTCTTCATATGCCTGACTCGTGTTCCGGTGGCGTCGTCGGAAGATTGAAGCCAGTCCTGCGCCCAGAGCGCCGCCAGCCAGAGCTTGGCCAAGGCCGGCCCCGCCACCTCCACCGTGATGTTCTTCCACGACTGAAGGGCCCGTGTATCGGCTACCGTGCTCGCTTGCCATGTGGAATCCCTCATCATCGTAAAGGTAGGATAGGACAAAGTAAGTCACTAGCAGGGCAAATGCCCCAAGCGCGTAGAGGATGAAAAGAATTTTTGGGGAGCCATAGAGCGTCAGACCCAATGGGATTTGAACGATCCCCAGAATGGCTAATGCTCTGCCCATCCACCGATGAATCTGAACAATCAAGAGTTAGCTGAACTGCAAGGTGCTTAAGTTTTTCCAGTGATGCATACCACGAGCTTCAACGGAACATGGTGCCGTGTTCGTTTACTCTCCTTTCTGTGCACAAACCAGCCCCATAGTACCTGGAAAATCACCATAACATAGATCGCCAGGCCAATTCCATGGTGCGGGTTGGTTAGGCTCCGCTTCGGACCGACAGCAAACCAGCCCAGTACAAACACCACTGTCGACAAGAGAAGCGTGAGTACCTGACACCACGCGTGGAGCTTGAATGCCCAGAATGGATTCCATCGGGAATAGTATCGGATGATTAGGGTCGAGATGGGGACGAGGCCCAAGAAAACAATTGTTGCAATAACACCATGCGCGATGATTATGGAATGGTACCCAGCCATATCCTTGAAACGATTGCCCATGCCTGCGGTATGTTAGTTGGACCGCCATGTCTGCATATTGGGTGCATGTTGACTCACCATTGTATCTCATTGTCTCAAAATTCACACCCATCAGATTGGGTAGCAAAAACGTATCGCGCTGCGAGTCCCAAGTGCCATCTCCCACATGGAGTGTATTCGAGGAGTAAGTGCTACTCCCCGCAGCCGTGAGCCCCAAGTCGGACATGGTGACAGTAGTTGTGGATGTCCCGTGCGATCTCGATGCTCTGGAATGTCGGGATTACCGAAGGAGACCTATCGAAGGAGATCTATTGAGATCCCCCGATCCGAAGAATGCACCATGCGACGGGGCTGGCAACTCAATTGAGATCGTGGATGCCAGGGATTCCTGACGTATGAATCGATGGGTGGCAGTTGAATGGAAATGGGGTCTTTCCCCAGACGAGATAACGCGAGATGCTTCTGGCGGTGAACGCTGGTGAGTGCGAGCCGATATGAGCAGTAAGTAGGGAGGGAGTCGCACGAGTTCAAGAACGTCAAAAAGCGCAGGCTGGAGCAGAATTGGAGATATTAAACGCAGCCGAGAGCCACCGAATCGATGAGAATGAGCAAGAGTCGTACAGGATCAACAACAGGCGGGCTGACCGAACCCTGTCAACTGTTTCCCATTTTGGGTTTAGTGCGCCAACGCATAACCGCAGCAACGGGCAGAACAGACTGACCGCCTTTCGGAGTAGGATTACATCTGATAACATCACCTGATCTTATCGACACGGGACCTCCGGCCTATCTCGGTGTCCGCCGTATCGCTGCCATTTGTTCTGTTACCACCTCATATACATAACCGATAAGAAGGGTTGAGGAAGAGGCCCTTTGTGGGCACACTTGTCAACCATGGATCGATCTCAGTTGGAGGTTTTTGTTCGGGCACTGTCCCGGTAAGTGGCCTCGTGGAAAGAAGCCCTGACGTGTGGGGGATAAGCACTGATCCGTCATGCCAGCCTCTTGGGATGGACATAGTAAGTCGCAAGCACTCTCAAATGCCCCTTCTTGAGCGGCCGAGAGAGAATGACAACTTGCTCACACCTTGGACACAGTATGGCCAGTTGGTCATTATCCTTCTTTCCCCAACCTCTTTCGATGTGGCGACGTAAATCAACATCGGGCGTCTCGATCGATTTCGGCTTTATCAACTTGCTCGGGTTCATCTGCTACACTATCTACACATCAACCTTCCTCTATTCCCCGATGATTCGGTACCAATATGCGGCCCGACACCCTGCTGCCAATGAACCAACTGTTCGCTTGAATGATTTAGCCTTTGCGGCAGGTGGGGTTCTGATGTGCCTCTTGATGTACTTGATGTTTTGGCCCAGTCTTTCGGGTCTGCATGTTCCTCGTCGCCAGCGGGTCAGTTGGACCATGAGAGGGTTTTCTTGTGGCTGCGTGGTAGCCCCTCTGGTGGTGATCTGCATTGTGTTGGGTCGGAGCCCGGATGGAGGAAACAATCCTTTTACTTGGGCGTGGATTGACGTGGTAAGTGAGATCGTTCACCCTCCGCAGTGCCTTATTTTCGGTGTTCTTTTTATTTGGGTGAAGTCTAATGCAGGAGCTGCGTGGTTTCTCTAGATCTACGCCTTTTCATACGACAAACTAGCCATTACGACGATCAAGTATATCCCGCAAGCATGGTTAAATTACCAGCGCCAATCGACCGTGGGATGGAACATTTGGACCATTATATTGGATTTGATCGGAGGAGTTCTGTCGTTAGTGCAGCTGGTTCTGGACTCCAGTCTCCAAAGCGACTGGAGTGGTATCACGGGCAATCCCGCGAAGTTGTTGCTCAGCAACATCACCATCTTTTTCGACCTTGTTTTTATCGTTCAACACTACATCCTGTATCGAGATGCTGCGGACCCCAAGGCACAGCCCGGGCCGGATTCGACCACCCCTTTGCTAGACGATTCCTATGGCCGAGTTTAGTTGGTTGACGAAGAGAGCGAGAAAGGGGAACCTGCGAGGCAGTAAGATGGGCAGGGGCCAAATTAGAGACATTGTGTGGGGAGAAGCCCTATTTTTATAGAAGTTTACCTTTTGGGAGTTGGCAATTCAAGACATCATCATCATTTCAAGGAACCATAGCGTTGGAGACAATGGGGGCGGAAGTCAACCTGCGAACCCACCTGGTTTTGTTTCTTGGTTGCGTTGCTCTCGTCTATCATGTATCCTTTTGTTCGCGACCTTGGTGGGATTCGGGCGAGCTCGTTTTCCCGTCCTCGCCCACGTCATCCGTGCTTCAGGATTGCCCAGCCCTATACCAAGAGGATTCCCCGGCTCTACCACGGGAGGATCGTGCATGATGCCAGCTGCCAGCGCATGGCAATTTGATATCACCTGCACTCTGAGTTCAGGCAAACAATGGCTTTCAGCCCTATGCGCGACGGTCGCTGGCCAGCTGGGCAGCCGTTTGGACCTCCTTCTAGACGTCTTTCTGGACCTCCTTCTGGACCTCCTTCTCGGCCGCTACTATCCCTAGTCCGGTAGGAGCGGGCGCAGCATTCTGCGGCCTTTCGCTTTGATCTATACGGAGCGGCGCCACATCTGCGGCTCGGGACTGCATATCATCGTTAAATTGGTCGACACCGCTTCTCGCGTTTGGGGAAAGCCCCCCGACCGCCTCCATAGGGTTGTCTGACTGTCTCTGACTGGCCCCAGGGTGGGCTAAGCACTAAACCCGTGCCCCATGGCCAATCACCGCCGCCGCTCCGGCCCCGACAGGGATCTGGTCCCGGCTATATTCGTCGGTGTCGGGTCGGGGTCCCAGCTGAGGGTCCAAGTACCTTTGGGCTGATTCTGATTAATCCCTTTCCCTCGGCCCCGAGCCCCCCAGCTTGGATTACCAACGTGACTCCCCTGCTTGTTTCAGGAAGGATCGACGAGGTAGCATGCGGTGTCTCGAACCCGCCCTTCGTTGGTCCCTCTCGGCAGCTGGGCTGGGCTCATACTACCCTCGAAGCATGACCACGCAATTGATGCTACCTTATGTCGCCGTTGCGTCCAGCCCTCCGGAGAACAACAGGATGGGCTGGTCAGAGTCGCTAGTATCTCTCTTTCTTGCTTGGTTTGCCATTTATTCTATTTGATTCTATTTGTAATCTTTCAGGACTCCGGTTCGGGACCGTAAGAGGTGTGTTGATATTTGGCAAGGCGGGGACGTGGGTTGCTCCTCAACGATCTACGCGCAGTAGATGACGGCCCCATACTTCCATAGTTGGTAGCGTGTAGTGGGGGAGGCAAAAAGGGCAAAAAGGGGGTCTCTATCCTTCTGGACTCCACATGGGCAAAGATCTTCCGAGTCGGGAAACCCATTCGTGACAATGACACCCCCGACTGTCCTACGGTACGGGACAAAGTACCCCGACCCCGGCATCTTTGCTAATAATTGCCTAGGCACCTGAAAAGGATATTGTGTCGGAGGGTGGCTGAGCCCGCGCCAGTCCTCCGTCCGTCTGTACGTCGCCCGGTGGAGTCCGCATACCCCCGGCCAATCAGCAGGCGCACTGTCGCTCTGAAAAAGGTTGGACGATGCGCAGCATGCCCTCTCCGGCTCGGCCTTGCGAAAGTTGCTCTACCGTTAGTACAGCCTCGTACAGCGGGCCAATCATCGTTGACGATACCAAATCCAGTTTGGGCAATTGATGGGACTCTCATCCCTCCCCCCCTGCTAGGGCCATTCCACAGCCGGTGCAATACCGACCCCATCCTCAGCCCTACTCGAGCCATCCAATGGGCCACCAGCATATGTCCCGGAACCTGCGCCTTTTACGCTCGTACAGCTCTTACGTCGATCGTGTCTGCCAAATCATGCATGGCCGCCATGCCGGTTCCGAACGATCTGAATCACTCTGAATCATCATGGTTCTTGCGATCCGACCAGCACGTACCCTACCCATAGGGGCGGTACGCTACTACTCACCCCAGTTGTGCTGCTTCTGTGACTGCTTTCCGTGCTGGCTAGTGGCTCGACGGGTTCGGGACTCCTGCTGAGCCCTTCCCAACACCCATCATCCGTCCTCGTCTTCGTGATTCAACGGCCAGGATGCAGGATTCCCTTTTTTTTTTTTTCTATTCTATTCTAATTCTCCTGCCCTTTCCTCCCCCCCCACCACCCACTCCCATCTGAGTCAATCTGGTTGCAGATCCCATTGGAAATTCCTAAACCCGTTCTTTGGAACGCCTGGCTGGGCTTGATGCCAAGCACTGCCTCCCCGTTCTGCTCTTATATACAGATCGGACACTCCGGCAGAGAGAGGAAGTGTCATCATTCCTCACCGTCGCACTCACCGTCCCCTTCTTCAGCTTGGAAAACGCTATTGTCCGTGAAGATAAGCCCTGCCAGCCACGTGTTTAAATATCGACATTGGCTCGGTACCCTCGCAGACAGGCTTATAACTCTGACCCTGTCCGGATCCCCCATTGCTTTCTTACGTCTACCGGGCCAGCTCAACCACTCTCCATCTTCCCGTTCCATTGGTCGACTGTTCAATTGTTCAAATTCTTCCCATCTAGCATATGGCCCATCGAGGTTCTCTGCTCACCAGCCCGGAGTTTAGATCCAAACCCCGTTCTCCGAACAGTGGTTGATATTATGCGCGCCCAATACTCCCCCACAAGCACCTTACTCGACTTTGATAGGGAGGTCCAAGCTCTGTCTACGCTGTCTCAAGACGGTCTGTTGATTGACCTCGAGCGTCTCTCCTCGTTGCCGGACATGGCCATCATGAGGCCCGCGGGTTGTAAAGCGAAGGACCTGGACGCCCCCGTGCCTGGCAGCGCCGCCTGTGGCCCGTTGGAACCGCCGCTCCTGGTGGGCCTGACGGAGATCCCTGTCAGTGCCTCGTCGAGCATGCATGCAGTTGGGATCCAACCCACCTTAGGCTTTGCCAGTGCCCCTCCGGACGTCACGTCCTTCTTGGCACCCGACAACTATTTATCAGACCAGCGGGACTCTCCCGTCAGCGACGCCGTGGGTTCTCTTTACGCGTGGTCCAATGCCTCTGGTGCGGAGATGATGGGACCGTCTGCTCCGTCCATGGACCCTGCTATCGCTTCCGCCACCGCTTCGCCCTTTATGCAGTCGTACTATACCTACGGGCCTTCTCAGCCCGCGGTTCACCCACAGCTTCACGCTGTGTCTGGTTACACACCGCAGCAGATCAACAAGTGGTGCATGGAGAGTGACCCGACCGGCGGGCTCTTCCAGTCGACCACCTCCTACCCAGCAATCAGCCCACTCGCCTTTCCGTCGACCGAGCTCCCCCAAACCATCTACCCAGCGTTCACCGAGAACATGAGCACCGCCGCGGAGCAATGGTTCTCTCCTCTTCCCGCCTTTGGCGGCCCTTCTTCGGCCTCCTCCCACACCGGCCCCATGCACGACAGCAGCTTCCTCTCTCCCTCTCTCGACTCCTGCTCCGCCATGAGCACCTCGCCCGCCCCGACCGTCCTCTCCGACTTTGAATCCTCCTCCTCCCGCCACCCCTCCTCGCCCCCCTTCAACCCCGCCGACCTGACGCGCTACGGGATTCCCGCCGGCGACGGCGTCTGGCGCTGTGCCCACCCGGGTTGCACCTCGCAGGCGCTCTTCCGGCGAGGCTGTGACCTCCGGAAGCACTTCAACCGCCACCGCAAGCACCTCTTCTGCCGGCACGAGGGTTGCCCGCAATCCAAGCAGGGCGGGTTCTCCAGCAAGAAGGACCGTGCTCGCCACGAGGCGAAGCATAACCCGGGCATTGTTTGTGAGTGGGACGGGTGCGGGCGGGTCTTCAGCCGCGTGGATAACATGAAAGATCATGTGCGGCGCATTCATCAGCGCGGTGGTAGTCGCTGATGACGCGAGCTGTGTGTTACGTTGATGTTGGAATGATTTCTTTTTTTTTTTTTTGGGGGGGGGATGACGGGTTTTCCATCTGGATTCGGGGTCTGGAATGTGGACCCAAGATTTCTATCTTGACCTGTATGAATACTAAATACATGGGGGCTAGCGGGTGGTGAATCGGCGAACCTGGATGGATCTTGTTTTGGGCGTCTATGGTTCATTTTCATTTTCATTCAGTTTTCATTTTTGGCAGGGCTCGGACTAGAAGGGCGTTTTTACGGTGTTCCAACTGAAACGGGTGAAAAAGGCCTCGAAGAAAACGGGCCTGGCATCATTCACACGGGGACCGCTTTCATACATGGGATTACACATTGGTTGAGTTGTTTGAATTGATTGAGTTTGCAATGATTGGCTTCTTCCAGTTGGCTTCATTTAACCTGTATTCTATTCCACCGCGGTCATTGGGGTGATCCACCTGATGTGCCTCTGGCGACGTCCGCGCATACTCCGCCGCTCTAGTAATTATAGTACGTCGCAATAACCAATCCACCCAGCCAAATGCGACCCCGCACCCCTCCACGCCCAATTCCCAACTCGCCACTTCCATACATTCATCATAGAATATTCATTCATTCCTTCTTACATGCTTACACGCTTACATCTCGACGTGGGCGAATGCAGTGCCCGACGTCGTGTACGTCGCGGCCCGCGGCCCCCTCGCGTTCCGCCTTCCCCCTGCCAGGTGCTTACGCGGAATAGTTACCCCTCCACTGCACTCCACTGCACCCCTCTCCCCTCTCCCCTCTCCCCTCTCCCCTCTCCTTCTCCCTTGACATGTCAGACTGCATGTAAAGTATTCAAATTATTCAGAATGTTCAAAATGTTCAAGCCCAGCCAAACCCCCTGTCCTCGCTCTCACAGTCTGCGGAGGGGAATGCGAGTCGGGGACCCCACTCGGATCGGCGCCGAGCCTCCATGCCTTGGCGGGATTCCCAGCGCAGCATACACACCGAATCAGTCCGTCCCTAGCTGCTCATGCCGCCCCCGCGACCATTTCCATTTACGGCGTAGTGTACACCCTGACGAATCCTCGTCCCGTTGAGGTGCTTGGATGCTGGGGGTTTGGCCCCATTGCCCTGATTTGAGAGGGGGCTGTTTCGATGTTTACGTGGCTGGCGGGGCCATCCCTGCGTCCTTGGGACCGCGCACGCTACGGTGTACAACTTAAGGTCTTGGGAGTTGCAATCATAGATATACGCGCCGATAACTATTCGGGTAATGAGCGCGAGGGGATGCACAACTCTATCGAATTTAGTTCCCATGCGTGGGGTCCACGGAAGGCCCGGCTAGGGCGCAGGGTAGCTCTACCCTACTCGTCATGCGATGAGGTGCTTGGCTTGGTAGGTCAGCATTTGGCCCCCTTCGTGGGCGTGGGCTGTGTGCTATTTGTGGGAAGTTGTCGTCGGACCCATCGGGCGCAAGTGTATGCATTCGTTGAGAGACTGTAGAGGCGAACGTTGAACGCCGGATATGTGGATTTCCTGGTGCTAAGCAATCGTAGCGAAAGTGTCAGGTCTAGTATGTTCTCCCTAGCTAGCCCTTCTATGTCTAGCCTGTCTAGGCGATAGATAGACTAATCTGCGTGCAATACTAACTTAAGGTTACCTGGCACTGCCTAGTTGGCTCTCTGGGGCGTGGGAGACTGACATCGAACCTTGTCGAAAAGGCGATGCCGAAATGACTGTGATGTCTCGCCCAAGGACCCTTCTCATGGACGTGCAGGTACCTCCGCCCTCCGATCGACCTCTCCAGCCGATGGTAGAGCTTCTGTTGAAGAAAGGGCGTATGGTATGAATGCTAGCCCTGCTTTCAATCTCATCAAACCCTCCTCGTTACTGATCCTGGGAATTGATAGTCACGAGTTCCCCGAGTAGCCGATACCCAACATTGTGTTTGACTTTTCCGTCTCTGCGTTATGCCGGGCGAATCTAGCAATCTAAGTCGGGGCCCCCTTCTCGAAGCATAGACACAACGAGGCTGATAACAGATTTGTACAATAAGACGGCTTGCACAAAGGGAGTAGGGTCCACCCGGCAAGTTTCGCATACCGTCCAATCTGTCCCTTGTCTGCCATCTCCCATCGCGTCAAAAGCCAGGATGAACCTCCTTCCAAGACAAGCTCACTGAACTATTCTTGTATTATAAGTTCGCCACTGTCGCCGTATGCCCGGGACAAGATGGCTTGGCCGATCACTCTCTGCTGTGCAGCAGGAATTGAGTCGCCAGTTCTTGCTTTCGTAGCTTCGAAGGTGTAGTGTGAGGCAGTTCCGGTCCCTGAAAACCTGGACGTCCAGAATGATTGGATGCCAAAAGCATCTGCCACTGCTCGAGGTGGATCCACCGCGCCGGAAGCTATAAACTTCTTTCAAGGCACGTGGGGCACTTGCGATAAACAGCGTCTGCGGCGCACAATCCTGTGTGGTCGGGATGGATAGAATGGGTCGCGCATAAGGGGCCTGGGAACCGAGAAAAGTCTGTCCTAGTCAGGCGTGGGTTCAGGCTGGCGTGTTCCGTACGCTAGATTTGTATGCTGTGATGGGTGTGCTGGTGGACTAAGTGTTTCGTGTCTTGTGTGCTGTGTGACGGAAGGGTGAGAGGCCAACGGGACGTTGGGGGCTGGGATGAGGCTGGCCGTGGGAGTGTGAGGTGGTATTTCGGTTATCGTGGGGGCTCCTTGTAGAGGTTGTATTTGATTTGGGGCGGGTCTTAGTTGATTCTTGAAGAAGGGGGAAGGGGGAGATCGGGATTGAAGCACGGGTGGGTTGATGGTAGTATTCAGGGCCATATATCTACCAGCCGTTGGGTGAGTTGGGTTGGTGAGATGAAGCGCAGGTGGTGATGAGAGCAGGACAGGATGGGATGGCGTCGCGAGCGTGGTGCATGCTGACCTCTCGCGAGGCTTCTGACTTTGTGGATGGCATGGGCCTCTTGATCATCTGGGATATAACCTTCTAATGGAAACTTCCTGCCGGTAACGTACTAGAGTGATAGCAGTTCAATTGCGCACCAGAGGTATCTACAGCATTGCTATTCATTTTTTACCTACAACCATCGCACCAGGTACGTGACCTAGCACAGAACGGACCAGTTCTGAACCCACAAAAAGAAAGATGGAAACAAGATCGAAATTCCCGGAGATTTGCTGCCGCAACCTAGGATCACTTCCACATACGAGCAAGAAAGAAAGGATTGAAGGAAAAAGCCTTCGAGCTGGCACCTATGCTAAGTGATAACCACAAGGAAGAAGAGAAGTAGAAAAGAACAAAGAGTATAGTAAAACGAGTGGACCATCGGCAGAAAACTCAAACACACGCTGTGCGGTCTGAATGGAAGAGTTTGGTAGGACAGAGAAACGAATGGCCCGTGTATCATCATGCTTCTAACAGGGTGACATGTGGTATCATCGAAGGAAGAGAACAGTGCTGTGCTGTGCTGTGCTGAAACGGGAACAAAGTAATGTCGACAAGAATATGAATAAGAATAGATCTCGAGGAAGGATATCAGATGGAAATTCGTTACTCGTAAATATGGGTGTGTTGTGTCGGTTGAGAGTCGAAGGTGGGGAGGGCGTGATGCAGCGAGGATGGCCATGACGGCCACATAGGTCAGTCCATGCATATATGCTCCGATCAAGAGCCCAGAGAAAGCGCTCTCAAGGGAACCGAGGGTGTTAACAAAGACTATTCCCACAGCAGAGAAGTGATATTCAAACGGTTAACCAGAATTCATCCGTCGCCGCCGCCCTCGCGTGCTCCCAGCTGGGCGCTGGGCGAGAACCTGACGGAGGATGGGATCATCTTTACTTTTATCCACGTGGTGGACGCGGACATGGCTGCAGAAGACCTCCGATTAGTTGCTCGTCCCGCACATGGCAGCTGTTCGCCGGGGGAGCTCACCGTTGAAGATTGTCTGGCCTGGGATACTTGTGTTGCTGGTCGGGACAGAAAGGACATACATAGCCGGGCGAGTTATGCACCAGGCCATGGCGCATCATTTCATTCTTGCGCTTGAAGCCTTTTCCGCCCAACGCACGGGGACATCCTTCCACAGGACAGAAATGAGGCCGATCTTGTGAGTGCACATTTGCGTGAGAGCTGATCGTTGTGACGTTACGTTAGAGTCTTTCGTTTTCTTCGGCCGCAGACGACCGTGGGATACGTACTTGAGCAAATACTGAGTCTGGAATGGCGCTGCTGTGCATCCGGGATGCGTGCATTTGTAACTGCCCGTGGCTCCAGCCCCGTTTACCGGCACCGCCGAGCTAAACGAGGCCCGTTCACTGGACCCCGGGGTGGGCGCGAGCTGCTCCGTGGGCGTGGGATAGCTGGTTGCCGGGCTCTTGGCAGTCATTGGGGACATCTCGTAGGGCGTAGGCGCATGATGCGGGGTGTCGGCGGCTGGCGGAGGGGGTGGTGGGGGAGGAAGGGGCGGACCGCGCCAGAATGCCGAGGAGGGTTGTGATGCAGGGGAGGGGTTGTTGGAGGCATCTTTGGCGCTGATGGGGGAGAGGTGTTGGGAGAAGGGAGTGGGTGGGATATGCGATGGGAGGAATTGCCGCGGTAGTTGGCGGTCATGTGGTGAATCCGATGAAGTTGCGGAGCCTGGACAGGACGCGTAAGGGTATGGTGGGGGGAGCCCGTTGAGTCGAGTGGAAGGGAACTCGCTGGGTGAAAATCCACCGAGCGCCGATTGGATGGAGGGGAGGGTTTTGTTGTTGGGGTGGCCGGAATCTGGCGACGTGCCTGCCACTGAGGATGGGGGAGAGAGGGACTGGAGAGAAGGTAGAGAAACTCGATGGCCCAATTCCGGAGATCGTGTGAGGAGGTCCTCCGAGGGCCGTCGAACCGGAGGAATGGCCGTGATGGATTGCAGGCGTGGACGCTGTCTCGGCGGGACAAAGTCGTTCTTCAAGTCGGACGGCGGCGCTGGGGGTGGCAGGATCGCGGGGAACGGTTGGTTGCGCGGCGACAACGACGTCTCGCGGTCCCGTTTCCCTTGGGCGTGCAATTGCGATCCTCTTTGCTCCACCACGGGATTGAGCTTGGCTTCCTTCTCGGCTGGAGTTGATGCGGGAGGTCGGGCGCGTGCCTGTTCCACTTCCGTGTCCTTTCTTCCTCCGCCTGCTCCGTCTGCCGTACCTTTCCCTCCCCTAGCTCCCTCATCTATATCCATCGACGGTGGGGGCGGAGGCTGTTTCCAATCCAACGGGGGTGGCCGATCCTGTTTGGGCGACCATTCCGAGTACGGATAGTCGCGGGCGTGCGCCGCGATATCCGGACGGTCTGGCACTAGATAGCTTATCAGTACCGAGTCGCCGAGATGCGTTTGGGTCTGGGTTTCCGGCAGGTGCGGCTTACGGGAACGATCGGGCGTTCCCATAGTGTCGGCGTGGGCTTGGGCTTGGGCTTGGGCTTGGGCTTGGGCTTTGGTGTCGCCATCGTTGCTCGTCACGAACGGCGGGGGTGGCTCGTCCGATTCATACTTGATCTCCTGCGGCTTGGGCGGCGGCGACCGGCCCATGGCATCGTCCGAGTCATAGATATCAGACGTCATGGCGACGGGGAAGGGAGCATAGAGCCCGCGTCGCCTCGGGGAGGGTGAGCTCGAGCTCTGCTTTGGAGAGAGTCTCGCCGCAATGATCGAGAAAGAGTGGATGGACTTGCGTGCACAGCATCAGCAAGGGTGAGATGTCCGATCGACCTGCATGCGTGGGTTAGCTGGGAGGCCTGCGAAGTATGTCCCTGCGACCTGCGACCACATGGGACGAGAAGCACAGAGGATCGAAGACTGCAAGATGCCAGAGGCCAGATGGGACCAGTCGACCCGACCGCGATTGAGGCTCTGCGCGGGCTCGGGATCTAAAGCAGCGGATTGACGAAAGCTCTCCGCCCCTTAAGACTAGCGAACAGATGCCCGCTAATCTGAATCTGAATCTGAACCGATCCGGTCCGGTCCGGTCCGATCCGACCTGACCTGAGCTGACCTACATAGGATAACAAAGAAAGGGAACGAACATTGGGCCGGGAGGGGAAGGGGGAAGAAGAGTAGGACGAGTCGACTTACCCAGGGTGGAGGGGACGGGAAGGGGACAGGTGAGGTCGGATGAGGCTCAACGGATCCGCCAACTGACCAACGCCATCCGCACGAATGAGATCGTGGCAAGAACAAGCACGGAGAGGGACAAAAGGGAACAAAAAGTGAAGGGCAGAAGAGGCTCGGCAGGAGGGGGAGAGCAATATGAGCTAAGCGCGATAGGGGAGCACGGGCCGATCACGCTGCGAGGCCAGCAAGGCCAGCAGGGCTTCCCAGCACTTTCCAGGGCTCCCAGGACGAAGGGCCAGTCAACGAGAAGGCGCGAAAGATTGAGAATCGTCTGCAGCCGCAGGGAACCAGGGAACGAAAAGAACCAAAAAAAGAGACTGAGCGATCCGACGTCAGGAGCGGAATGAGGCTCTGAGCAGGCCGTGTGGGCCTGTCCGAGGCTCTCTGCTTGATTCCCCGCAGGTCGGCACTGCCAGTCTGGAAACGACGGGAATCCCTTCGGCGGCTCTCTGGCTTTGGGCGGGGGACTCTACTGGATCATCCTGGGGAGGTGACTCGAGTTGGACTCGAGGGGTTGACGGCTCGTCCTATGGGACGCGATCGCAGAGTTGCTCCTGCTGACCACGGCAGATGATCGCTTCGGAGGATTTGGTGGCCCTCGTCAACGCGCCCTCCTTTTCTCCTTTGCAGGCTCCACTATTCCTCGCTGTGCGTACGACTCGTCCGGTACCAGGCCAACAGACGTCGGAATCTTCAGCCGGCACATCGTGGCCGATGACTGGCACGTCAGTTGCCCACCTTTTGGGTCCTTCCATCCATGCCCATGCTGCCCCTCCTTCCCCCGGGGTTAAACCCGGCTAGGGAAGCTGCACGACTGTCGTCTCCACTTGGGAGTCCTCCCGTGCCAGATATCCTCCTCTCCTCCTACAATCCACCTCGCTGGCTCTGACCGAGAGACCTTCCTATCCCGTCAATCAGGATCCACCGGTCATCATGATCGCGCCTTCTGCGACTCCCGCTCTTTCGACCATCACCGGCTTCATCCTGCGGGCGTTTCCTCCCTTTCCCCCCATGCCCAGCCGTGGCCTGACCCGCCTGGCTCCGAAGGATTGCCAACGCAACATGATCCACGTTGTGTGTTTCAGAACCCGAACGATCCTGTCTGGCTGGCACCCTTGCCAACCGCCCATGACGGAGTCGCACTGGCTCCGTTCTGGCAATCGGCCATTCTCCCTGTTCCCTGCTACTTCCAGAAAAGGAGTGCGCGGCCCGCCCCGAGATCATTGCGCGACTCGTGTCCTGCTCCGGCCTAAATTAAACTAACCAGCCTATGTAACTTCGGGAGGTGCTAATCCGGGCAAGTGGGTTCTTCACCCCCTTTCAGTCCACCCGCCCACTCACATGGACGGCTCCTCGCAGATGGGGCCTCAGTCCTCCGCGCTCGCGCCCCCTCTTTTGTTGCTGGTCGTCAGCCTCACTTTACGTAGAGCCGCAGGGCCAACGCAGCCTCATCCCTCGGCCCCCCCGCTCCTTCTGGCTGCCAAGGCCATGCCACAGCCTATCAGACTCCGGCAGACAACGCGTCGGCGTCCCCTGGTCTGGGTGAATTCTCTCCCCCATGAGGACTCGCCCAGTTGGCGACTGATGATTTGACTTTGCATTTTACTTTTTTTTTCCACCGACCTCCCCTCCCCCACCACAACCCCCTCCCGAGACGACGACCGCATCAGCCTGTCTAGGACAGACAAGGTCATCGGTCTGCATGGTGGCGCCGCATGGACGTGATAAGGTGACCGCCAGCCGCAGGACAATACGGGCGGTCGGTTCTCGACGAGGTTTCGACGGGTTTCTGGACTAAACGTGGACCGAATGAGGCCAAGTGCTGACCCGATCACCCCGCTAGATAAAAATAAGTCTTCCATGGTCCTCATCCAGCCACCGTCCACGGAGATGACGCCCAACGTCCGTACGGACCCAAAGTACCAGGACTGGAAGTACTTTGTCCAATATTTCCGGTGCTGGAAGTACGGGGAAGTATTGGTACCTCTTTAGCCCTCTTTAGCTTGGTACGACGGTACACTAGACGACTCCGTGGAGGTACCGCGACGGAGATGGAGTCCGAACTCTGGCCAGATGTGGATGATCGGATGAATGATGGCAATGCTCCTTCTACATGCATGAGAGCCTGGCCATCTCGGAATCCGTCACCACGTCCAAGTTCCCAACCAATGCTCCGTCCTTCATCTAGTCGGCGATGGGCCTTGAACCGCCCAGCCCAGCCCAGTACATCGAGCGGGGCCTCTTGTTCTGTACTGGACCACTTGCCAGCCGTAGCTGCTGCCTCCTTCGGCTACACAACCTGCACACCGTCCTGCACGTCTGAGGCAAACGGCTGCCGTGGTTGCCGGCACCCGGCGCGACTAGTCCTGTTCGTTCTGCAAACCGGGCCGCAATGCGTGCATACACGGAGCCCCAAGGCTCGCTGGGGGGCTTGTTCTCGAAGCACGAGAGGTGTGCAAGTGGATAGGTGGTTCCCTCTGCTGGCAGCCGCAACTGGGTATTGGCCGGGGAAGTGGCCGGTTATCTGCCCTCTGGAGCTGCCATGCATGAGGACCCGACCACGCTATGACCATGACGTTCGGGAGGATGAGTGTCGGACAGGACCCTCTCGGTTGAGTTTCAATCTTGCATGATCGACTTGAGCGCCCCCGCTCATCGGTGTAAAATGAATGGGCTCTACTCCGTCGATTGCCCGCAAATCCATCCCATCCTTCGATTGAACTAGGGGTCGAAACTACCGTACGGAGGACGGATATCCGTAGCCTGGGCGAATTTGCGACTGACTACTCCGTACAGAGATGCGAAATCGGGTCAAAATAGTCACTAGCTCGTGAATCAAGACCCGCTGGGTCCGTCTAGCATATTGATATGCGCGTAAGACTTCATCGAAAGATTACCCCGAATAGGCTGACTCACTACGATGGACTCCATACGGTGTACGGTGTCCAACATGCCCCACGGCGGCTCTTCCAAGCGAGGCTCAACCATAGGACAGCGGTGAGAGCAGGCAGGTCTGGTCCTGCATCACGGGATATCACGGGATGTCATGCCATCAAGGTGGAGTGATTGGAGCAAACAACACAAACACCATCTCTGCCCTTCGCTGCGACGCGCTGCGCCGCGTCCCAGCGGTGAAACGCGCAAGGGGACCCCTCAAAAAGCACACACCGCAATTCCACCACGATCAACTCTCTAACTTAACAATTGATTTCCCAAGCTGGCCCCTTTCCACTTCTCCCCTACCATCTGCTCTTTCCATTGCTTCGTTCTCCCGGCAATGACCAGAGAGACCACCCCGCCCGCCGCCATCCCCGCCACCAACGCCGCTCGCGAGCCGCCTTCCCTCCCCGCCTCCCCGCTCCCCAAGCGTACCAAGACTAACAGCAACGCCGACATGACTGCCTCCAATGCCCCCGCGGTGACCTCGATCCAGCCGCCACTGCCCCCGCTGCTGGTCAAGAAACTGGTTGACTCAGCCAAGGCCCCGACGCGAGGCTCTGCCTTCGCAGCCGGGTACGATATGTACGCGGCGAAGGAGACCGTGGTGCCGGCCAAGGGGAAGGCCCTGATTGATACCGGGATTGCGATGGCTGTGCCGGAGGGTACTTGTATGTGGACCTGCTCCCCTGGATGATCGAAGTGGATGGCATATGGAAGCTAATTGTTCGCTTGGCTGTTTTGCAGACGGCCGTGTAGCTCCCCGCAGTGGTCTTGCCTCGAAGCACTTCATCGATACTGGTGCCGGTGTCATTGACGCTGACTACCGCGGTGAGGTTAAGGTGCTTCTGTTCAACCACTCCGATGTCGACTTCCCTGGTATGTGACAAAAAGGCTTAAGTCTTGGAGGATCTTGGCTGATGCAGATTGAACTTTAGTTAAGGAGGGTGACCGCGTTGCCCAGCTGGTTCTGGAGAGGGTGAGTGCATTCGTCCCCAAATCTCTCTTGTTTGAAGCTTCTAAAAGTTAATTTCTTTGTGTATAGATTTACACCCCCGAGGTTGCTGTCGTTGAGGAGCTGGAGGAAAGCGTGCGTGGTGCTGGTGGCTTCGGCAGCACTGGTATTTAATGAATGAACGGATGGGATGGCCTTGAATGAATCGGGTTCTGGGAATACGGACAAAAGGCATCGGAGTATATCTAGAATTGGCGGTTCTTTGCAAAATCTAACGAATTTACGTGTTGAAGACGACTCAATCTGAACTCAACGTTGGAAATCACCTATCTGATGTATGGACAGGGTCCCGGGACCGGTCAGCAGTCGTCTTGTGTCAATCTGTAGAAGACTTCTTCAGAATGTCTAAACCCATCTTTTCTATCACTACCAGGTCGGGGTCTGGGGCAAGCGGACGTTTTGCTTGCAGTTTGATGTGTGATTCGTGGGCCGCGGCAGAAGACGGCATGTAAAGTAAGCCTAGAGGCTAGCCACGCACTCTTAGAAAGGAGTAGTCGAAGACCTAGGTTAGGGTTAGAGACGACATTACCTCCATTCAAGGCCCAACCCCGGTTCACGGGGCTACAATGCCCAAGGGAGAAGAAGATCAAAGAGCATTAGACCTTGTCTAAAACATTCCGCATCATCTAGCACATTCTTGATCTCGAAAGCTATTTCCTCATAGCTCAAGGCAAGTGACACAAGCTTATAATAACCCCCAGAGTCCTCATGGTTGGTATTCTACAGTCAGATGTTTTTACAACCGAAGAGTGATGAGTGTAGGTGAGACCTTGAGCAACTAATAAGAACTCTACATCATGACGCCTTGTTTGGCAATCTTGTCTAGCACGGTGACGTCGTACTGATAGAGAACCGGCTGCCTCGGCAGATAATAAAGAACGTCACTATAGAGCGGGAGCTCGAGATATTCAAGTAAGCCCTTTTTATTAAACGACGCAGGCAAGGAACGTGGTGGTAGGCTCAACGCGGCACATATAAATTCCGAGATAGAAGATACTCATAACCTACGTGGAAGAAAGTACGTGATTCGGGTTGCGGGATGAATCTACTCCGCGACTGCCACACATGAGATTCAGTCAGAGATGACGATGAAGTGTTTGATTTTCTCTATTGCTACAATCTTGCCTCTCGCTGCGACACGTCTTGAATCTAATGTTGAATTGTCTATATAATGACTGAAATGTGTAGGCAGATTGGAGAGAAATCAACGGCAGGTCCTCTCTTTATTAGCTGTTCATATCTCGTTTGCAGGGCCACGCCGTATATTGGACGGTCTATCCGAAACAAAATTCTCTATTGCAACTGCGCGGGCAGATCCTCCTTGCGCCATTCCTGTACCCCAAACTGAACGAGCGGATCCCGCAGGAATCGCGCATTGCGCACCAGCCGCACTTCAGCGGCCTTGGTCCGCCGTAGGTGTTCCCGCTTTTGCTGCTCCTCCGAACCCACGTCTCCGTTCTGAGACGGGACTTCCTTCGCGAGCTCCGCATCACGAGCCTCCATTGTCCGCTCGAGAACGCTATGCATACTAGAAAGAACCTTAACGGCAGCCCGGGCCAATGGGAGATTACTGGATGCAACACTGTCAGGCGACACCCAGGAGCGAGTGTTGCGCAGATCATCACCTGCAGCGTCGACAGCCTCGCGCAGTCGCGCCACCGTTAGTGCTGCAAACATGTCACCTGTGCCACTAAAGAAACAGTCCAGGGCTGGGACGTCGATCCGGAAAAGGCGCGGAGATCCGTCGGACTTTGTGGTGGAGCCGATCACCGTCAGAAAATTCTTTGGTGGGCTGGGGGTAGAACCGGACTGGGACAGCTTAAAGAGTTGCACAGAGGTGATGATGACGTGTGGAACGGAATAAATGCGGTGAATGACAGTGATAGCCTCGGCCAGGGTGGCGAGGGAGGTGATTTTGATGCCGGAGAGGACTCTGATTGTCCAGGTTAGAGAACATTTTATAATTGCGTTTTGGAGATTCGACTGCCCGGGCGTGGGTGACTCACTCAGCTTCAAACTGGTTGGGGAGAATAAGGTCGGCGTGGTGAATGATTTTCTTGTAAGCGGGGACGACATCGTCGTTGACGTATAACCGGCCCTGATCGCCCATTACGGGGTCCAGTACTAGAATCGGCTGTCAGAGAAGGCAATCAAATGACGAAAGAAGGTCACCCATCTCACCCCAAAAGAATGAGCCAGGCTTCTTTTCAGCCCTTTGTTGCAGATCAAGACCAATGGCACCCACAGCTTCGACAACGGCTGCACTCGGGGCATATCCGGAGAGCATGACATCAAAATCGACCAGGTTACTCTGGCATAGGCCTTGGTAGAGATCTGTGATCTCCTGCGCAGTTGCGCGAGTACCTTTGAACTGACGATAGCCGGTATGATTGCCTACATATCCCAGGTTAGCGGCGCTGATGCTAATCATCGGTCTTGACTCATGGGAGCTTTCCCGCGGGGTTCCCTCGACGGATTGGAGGGTATGATGCGGGACCAACACCTACTGAAATTCACTGTATTCAATGCAGCAACTTCACAGCCTAATGACTGCATGACGAACGTCGCCATTGTGTTTCCCACATGGCTGGGAAAAAGGTTAGCCTCGACGTCATCTTCGGATAATGGGATGACTCCACACAGAAGCACAGAGCACATACCCGTAGGCGACCTGATGTTACGTTAATTCACTGAGCAATGTTGGTATGGTTGAATGCAGCACTCACATGGCTAGCCACGGCCAGCACTCGTGTCTCTGGAACGAGCAAGTCGGACATGATGACGATGAATAGAGAGGAGAGGGTCGACGAGAGTGTGGGGAGAAATGGACGGGACGTCGCACTGAATTCCCTCTTACCTAATTGGCCCGGGCGGCCGTTGAGGCTTCACCGGGAAAGGCGACCATGCGATAAGAGCAAGAGTGCACATAGTAAGATAGTCGTCATTGCAGAATTACCATCGTCGAGCAGTTGGGTGAAGCGAGTCACAATTGGAGGTCGCGTGTCTTGGTTGACCTTCTCCGCTTGAATATCCCTGCCTGTCCGTGACTTGCACGACTATCAGAGCTGCCCCTCCGGCTCGTGCGGGCTTCTCCTTACATCGCCGAAATCCAATTCATTTCGCGTCTCGGCTTGCGCGTGGTAACACGGCCGGGCACACAGTTCCAAATTGCGCCAGACAAATCAAAAAGCAAAGACAAATTTCTCGTCCGAGGAAAGGGAAGAGATCAGCGTTCGATCGTCAACCGTTCCATACGGTAGTTCGCGATCTCATTGCCGTCGACTGGTCTGGACCGCGCAACGATCGTCCCCTATCAACCTTCAGCAACATCATAAATCATGTTCTTCTGGGCATCACCGAGAGGCCCCGGCAAAGATGCTTGGCCCCTGCACCATGCAGCCTGCCCCTGAACCACTGAACCATCCAGTCCCGTCGCCGACTCCACAGAACGCTCTAGTCCCAGCCAGCCCTGCTCTTTCAGGGCTTAGCGCTCCGCGCTGTGCGCATGTTCTCGGCCTTGGCTGCTTGCCCATGCGATGGAGACTAGCACTAAAATCCAACTCGGTCAAGCCTGCTGCTCCATGCCCTGCCGACGTGCTTCGTGGTGGCTTACTAGTAGGCGGACACTTGCTCCCCCGGGGTTGTCATCCTTCTTACCTCCCCAACCCCAAGGTTGCGAGGGTGTTGCCTTCCGTCAGTGTCTAACCACCCGGTTGGAGACCCGACAGTAGTGTATGCCATGTCGGATCGTTCATAACGCTCGTGTCGCGTTTTTATCCTCGCTCCTTTTTCCATAGCCCGTCGAGGCTGCGTCGCTCGTTTCTACGGATTTCCCACCATGGACGCCGTCTCCAGCTCAGTGGACTGCTGCGGCAGTCCAAATGTCCGTCACTCACGCTCAATGATTTCTCACTCTCGTTCGTCTTCGCTGCGTCGCTGGTGTCCCGGGCTGCCTCGCCGACCATTCAGGAGTCATGGGTCGCTCTACTATAGCCTGTTAATTTTAATGCTTTCTCTTTGCTTCTCGCCAATATCAACGCTGGCGCAACCGACAACTTTCGCATCGGATCTAACCGCGGATGACCCCCGATCGGCTTTGGGGCCGGGTGGAGAGATGATTGTGGATGATCTCCCCGAACGATCATGGTCACTCGAGCTCCGCGAAAGCGACAGCAACAGCGACGCAAAGTCTTCTGGTGTAGATCACAATGATGGCTTGTTACTGCACCGGAGCATCCTCACTGCGACCAACTCCTCCTCCAGCGACCTGCCCACCGCGTTCGATACCCTCTCCAACAACTTCGCCAATGCCACCTGCACCGCCTTCTTCTCCAAGTTCCGCTCCAATTCGACCGTCACTGACTGCCACGCTGTTTCGCTCCTTCTCGGAAACTCCAACTCGTTCTTTCACACGCTGACCTCCGCTGTGGCTACCTCTCACGTGCTCGACGTTGCATGCTCGCAACCAGTCGCCGCATGTGCATCGATCATGACATCGCTGGCTGAGGAGATGCTTCAAGACGACAATTGCGGCCAGGACTATGACTCGAATAACTCAGTTGTCCAGAGCACGTATCAGGATTTGATGGCGTATGAGCCGATGTACCGCGCTTCTTGTTTGACCAATCCCGATACCCAGGATTATTGCTTTGTTGATGCTGTGACCAATACATCGGCTCCCGAAGATTACAATGTCTACTTCATGCCGATCGGTGGCACATTGGGTTCGTCTGGAAAACTTACCTGCAACAAGTGCCTGCAAGCCACCATGGCCATTTTCGCACACTGGGCCAGCATCGACGACCAATCTCTCGACACAACCTACCTCCCCTCTGCCAACGTGGTGAATAATTACTGTGGCGCAAACTTTGCGACTACCAATGTCACTGTTGGCTCCGACAAAGTTACGGCTGGCGCTGGACTGATGGTGCAATTGCCGAGTATCCCACTCGCCGCTTCATTATTTACAGTTGCCCTCGGCGCCACAATAGCGGGGATATTTTAACTTTTGGGGTTGAGCTTCAGCTATACCCGTTGTTTTTGTAATTGCATTTTTCTTATATATAGAAGGGTCGCTCCTTTCCCCTTCTTCTTTTCCCCCTGGGGATTACGGTCATGTGTAATGTCAGCGAACAGCGTGCCATTCCATCTGCGTGATATACACTTTCTTGTCTATTAGTTAATTCAATCTGTATATTCATACGTTCTTTTGTGCCAGAGTATCCCCTAGAGTGTTTAGATTTCTTTTTACGAACATGGCGCTTGCCCCTGACGCCCCACGATGTCGATCAGGACGCCCGGTACCTCCCTCATCTTCGACTGATCCTCCGACCGCGCACGATCGTCACAGAGATATGCCAAAAGCTGCCCCAAATGCATGCCCACATGTGGGAAGCACTGCCTCATATCATGGGGAAGGCAATTTCAAAGGGGCACCGCCCCGGGAGTTGGTAGTGGAAACGCGATCCCTGCTCAGCCTCAGCCCCCAATAAGGTGACTAGTCGGTCGCCAAATCTGAAGCGCCTACATTAACGTCGGCTTGGCGCGAAGTTCTGAAGCACAGTGCTTGTTTTCATCTCCCCTCACTCGTCATGCTTCATCATGCCTCTACCCCAGGCTCTGCGAGGCAGCCTGTCTGAACAATTCGCTGCCGTTCGGCCATTGGCCGACTCGCTATATGACTCCATCGGCCGGGAGCCCACCCTGATCAACCAAGCGCGGGACGAGCTTGATCTGCTTCGTGTGGTGCTGGATGTGACGGAAACCTCTTCGGCGCTGCTATGTGTGGACAATCCTCCAGCACTGGGCAGAACTCTTGAGAGCTGTCGATTGGCCTTGGTGGAGCTGGAAAAGGTTCACCACCGGGATGAAGTGCGCTCCCTGAGTCCACTGTCCGATATTCGGGCGCGATTTTCATCCTTGATCTTTGAACTCAGCGTTATGAATGCTGATATGATGATGTGGGTTGATTGTGAACCAATTGCGAAAGTGTTGTTATAGTTTTTAATTGACTTTGTAGATCCTCGCAAAAGAATGTCAACCGCCTGCTGCGGGGCTATATCGAAGATGTTCGAGCGGGCAAGCGAGAGTCTGCCATCGTCTCAAATGTGCTCGATGATGCTTTCCCAAAAAATAAGAAAGATGAAGCATGGAAACGGCTACAACAAGAGCTGCATGATGTTGGCATTGTGCCTGAATGGTCAGATCAGGACCATGGCTATATCATTTCAACGCTCCGAACTGCTGTAGGCGAGCAACTCCTGCAGCGCAGTGTCACAAAGCCAGTTCCACCGAAGATACCACCACAGCCAACGAAACCGCAGTTTTCCCCAAGCAATTCGCAACCATACGCAATACTTATAGCGGAGCCATTCACGCTACCACATCAACCTCCAGAACATCAAGAAAGAGGTCTGTCTGACAAAGAGGTACTACCCATGGAGGACTTCCCAATCCCAGTGGCAATGGAGCTACAAGATGTGGCCGATACAGAAAAACACGTGTTACTCAGAGACAACGTTCCTGTTCCGATCGCGCGGGAGCCGTTCTGTCCAGAAAACGGTGCCTCCGATAGACAAGTCCTGGCGCAAGAAATATTTCCTATTCCCGTGGACTCGGAGCCCAGCATTGAGAACAGCTTGGTAAACAGATCAGAAAATAGCTCTTCTGTGAGTGGCTCATACCTGCCAAAATCCATGATCCGCAGCAAAAAGCCTAGTCTCGTGAGGCGGATGAAATTCCGGTTAACTAGCAGCAAAGAGGAATTTGTCTCTCTGATCCAGATAGGCGGTCTATACCCGGTCAAACTGGCTCTGGATAAAGGCGCAGATGCGAATACGACCAATGACGAGGGACAAAGCGCGCTTATGGTGGCTGTTTCCTTCGGCCACCACGATATTTCTCAGCTACTCCTCGAGTATGGCGCGAGCATTGACAAAGTGTCACACAAGGGCGACTCAGCGCTGGGCACAGCCGCACTGATCGGCCGCGAAGATATCGCGCGGATGCTGCTCGTGTACGGTGCAGACCCCAATGCTGGCAAGAATCGCGGCAAAACAGCACTCTCGCAAGCTGCTGCGGCGGGATATGAGCACATTACTCGGCTACTGCTGGACCGTGGTGCTGATCCAGATGGGCTATGCACTAGTGGCGACACCGCGCTCGCGCGAGCGGCCTTCTACGGCCACATCGATACCGCGCGGTTGCTCTTGCGCAACGGGGCGCTGGTGGACAAAACGGCCTACCCTAGGCAGACGCCGCTTTGGAGGGCTGTCCATCAAGGCCAGACTGAAATGGTACGTCTGCTGATGACTTTTCGCGCAGATCCGACCACCAAGGACGTACATGGCCAGTCACCACTGTCGCTGGCGGCTTCGCTTGGCCGCAGTGAGATCCTTCGCATTTTCCGGCAGTATGGATACCAAACGTCGCCACTCCAGTACTACTGAGGGAGATGCTTTTATAGATCATCGTGTATATTTTTTTATTACATTTTCACCATGACAAGATACCTAGCTCGCGTTGATTCATCGTTCAAGGTGCTCCGCCTGAAATGCAGCCGCATAGATATCCATGTCTTGCACGAACCCGTTCAGTCGCGTGGGCTGCCAGTCTAACACATGCTTTGCCCGCGCAGAGGACCCTCGGAAGCTGGTGCTCATTGCTTTGGAAAAAAGATCACCGCCATGTCCCTTTAACTCGACCGTGCCCTTGAATCCCCAGGTGGTAGCTAGTGCATCAAAAATATCCCGCATACTCTCCTGGCTCGTCACCAGATCGAAGACTGGGTAGACCCCCGTGCCCGGAAGCAGATGCACTTTCTCGATGGCCTTGACAAAGGCACTTGCCGTGTCGTCGACGTGAATGAGGCCAGGTCGTGAGTGAGCGTCTAGTGGGATTTCGACTGCCTGCAATGCCTCGTTCGCGGCCTCGAATAGGGGCGTAATATATGCGGACCAAATGGTGCCCTCTCGTCCATAGAGTAGTGCAGGTCGCAGAATCATGACATCCAGAGAGCCAGTGGCCTGGAGGACCGCTGTTTCCATGTCGACTCGCCAGGCGACCAGCTCTTCTGGAGGCGTATTTGCTCCCTCCCCCACGATATCGAGATCATTGACAGGCTCGGAAGATGAACCATGCACCCAAGTTCCAGAGCAGTAGATAAATCCGAGCTTGGAACCCTGAACCCCGCGGCTCTGAGCTGCCGCAATCCGCTCGTCCCCGATAGCAGCCACGTCGCGGAGGAATTTGTATGAGCCCCCATCGGCACCAGCGACATCCAGAACCACATCGATATGCTTGGCGCGGATGATCGACAGATAGGGCTCTGGCTGGTTCTCTGGGTCCGAGCAGAGAACGGGGATGATCTCTTGTTTGGCGAGCTGCGTTGCTTTGGCTGCAGTGCGGGCCATTCCGTAGACGGTATGGTGACCGACCTGGACAAGCTGATGGGCAATCTGCCGGCCGAGATAGCCAGTTGCCCCGATGACAAGCACCTTTGGCATCTTGGCGACGAGTTTAAACTTGGTTAGGCCGTTGTGATTGCTTGGTTTTGGTGAATGTCTCGTTTATACGGGGGCTACAGGGAGCGAACTTATAACAGCCTCGGGGTCATAACTTTCGCCAGCTTCATCTTAACCCCGCGAGATCAAAAGAGAGGCAGTCAAATCCTAAACTCCTAAACTCCGGTCAGGTGAGATGATGGTAAAGGTCGAATATAATAACAACTTCCGCCAAGGCAGATGGTGCACACTAAACCCAAGGGACCAAGCGGCCCTAAATCCGTAAAATCCGCCGCCTTCCTGCAGCCTCCGGTCGACTCGTGGCTGGCATTTCCACCCCATAAACGAAGATCAATGCCTCATAGGACGCTCTGCAGTTGGGACACCAGCGTCTTGGCACCCCACAATGACCGCGGGCCAACATGCCTGCCGCCCTACGGACGCCTGGTGGCTGTTCTCCACTCCGTACGGAGAAGGTTAGTGGCGCACTGCCGCATCCATCCCTTGCGGATTCACACCGGAAGCCCGGCAACTCCTTCAGGAATTGAGGGGCAGCATTCAGCTCTCGGAGTCGTGAACCTCGTAGCCATTTGACCTCTTCATATCCCTCGCATTCGATCCCATCCCATCGGTGAAGGACACTGTACTTATATACACGACGATACGGTCCCTGTCGCTCCACAAACGCTATTATGTCGGCTATCACTGCCTCTGGCCTCCTGGGCCCCGTCGCCGCCCTTAGTGGTTGGACCTTGGTGATGGAAGTCTGGATGTATGCGACCTGCATTCCGGTATACAGAAAGCTCCAGCTTAGCAGTGGGACCACCAAGAGCCAGCTCGATGCACAGATGCCCACCTATGCTCGCTGGAAGAGGGACAATTACAACCACCTCTTCGAGCAGCCAACCCAGTTTTATGCGATTGTCCTGGCGCTGGCCATTGCCGGTGCCGGCAAGGAGGAGAAATTCAATGTCGTTCTTGCGTGGACGTATGTTGGCGCCCGCATTTTGCACAGCTTGGTACAATCCACGACAAATCATCTTCCGACGCGGTTTGCCGTTTTCGGGCTTTCGTCAAGTGTTTTGGCCGTTATGACTGGAAAGCTTGCCATGCTTGTGCTCTAAAGCATAACCGAGATAACCTCTGCGGCTCTCTGGCAGCGGTTTTGTATCGGGTCGGTGCAAGAGTATCTCAGGAGTAGATGGGAGGTTCCGCGACTGATCTGCCACAGTGGCGAGTCCAAGAGAGTGGGGCGAAACTCACTTAGATGCCTATGAGCGGACTTGAAACAAGCAGGAAATTGTGTATATGGTGGAAAGGTGGAAAGGTGGAAAGGTGGAAAGGTGGAAAGGTTGAACTTCCTCAAAAAGTGGTTTTATATATGGCCATTGAAAGCCACGTGCACCGAATGAGCGCCAAATGGAGAAGCAACCTTGCAATATATCTGATACTGCTATAGTCGAGCTTACCGCTACTCTTGACGAAGTCCGGTATATAGTCAATAAATACACTTCCAAAGTATATCTATCAAAAATAGCATTTCTACTTATATTAGCACTGTAAACGGCGGACCTGTGAATTACCTGTTCGAGTTAGTTTGCGATGGGCAGATCCAAGCAACGGAAAATGTCACCGGTATTGCAACATGTCCCGGCAGATGTCCCTCGGAGTGCTCCCGCTTTCCGAATCAAGATCCATCTCTTCGATGCAGACGACTTAACGCGAAGGGAAGGCAAATCCTGATCTCCATTCCTCTAAGCGAAATAAACCTTTCAAGTGCTGGGAAGAGAGATTCAAAAAATAGTGTTGGTCGGTCCAATAACGGGTCCGGTCGTCACAAGAGCGTTTCGTTTCCTGCCGTTCGTGCTTACTTCTCGGCCCTTCTGGTCGAAGATCGGCTATAGTTCCTATCCTAGCTATTTGAGGGTGCTTTACCTCGTTGTGTTTCTATGCCTTTGAGCACAGATGCCACTGTATCTAGATACATCTTGAGCTAAGATTCAGTCATCACATAGGTCTGTGACCAGCCAAGCTCAAATACCGAACTAGTGGATGCGCAACATACCCCTTGTACAAGAAAAGGCTTACCACGGTCGTGGAAGAGGGTTCTTTATTGGTGAAGCTTAGGGAGGAAAAGGATCTCGCTTGGCCGGAGGTGACAAGACAGTTTGCACAAAGGTTCCCTGGGAGGAGTAAAAGGGTCTTTACAGGTGTACTGGAGCACGACACTCAAGGTTAAAGGGTCCATGTTCCCAAACTACACCGACTAAATACTCTCAAGTCAATTCTGACATGTCTTTCTGACCCGCCTCCCCATCTGCTCTGTTCACCAGTGCCGCAACGATTAAACTCCATCCTCACTGGATTATGGCACTGATTGTGGAGAGCAAATAGCAGCTGCGAGTTTTTTATTGGACCACTCCAGATTCTCCTCTGTGATACGGGAGACATTAGAATCTTGCAGGAAATACAGCCTACTTGATACTCATGAACTTACGACAGTTTCCGCGAATTGGTTGGGAGCTCCAGTTTTTGCGATCGTAAGGTCCAATGCACCCCTTGATTGATGACATGCTGAGAGCGTCACTTGCAATGACCAGGGATTAAGTGCGTGGGTTGTCAAAGCGATGCTATCAATTCTTCGTGGTCGGCTTATGAAGCGCCAAGGAATTCGAGCGCGGCTCCCATCTGCCACCAGCGCAACTGATCTCAAACACCTTTGTCGCGACCAAGGACCAGCGATGAAACTCAATGTCAGACGTCCTGCCCTTTCGACTTTCCGATGTTTGAGGTCTCATGCAGCTCAAGGTCTTCAACTACGAACACCGGCCGTTTTTCAAGCATCACCACGATCATTATCAACAACTGCTCTCCCTACGTATCGCGAAAGCCTCACCGTCCGCACGATAACCACTATCTCCAGGCAAATGACAGCGCCAAACCCCGAGTTTGAGCACTTCTTTCGTTATACAAGCGGGCGATGGCTCTGGGATGAAGAACAACAGCTTCAGAACAGGTATAAGACCTTCAATGTTGCTGAGCTTCAAGCCTTAGCAGCCAAGGCCATTGGCTCCGACGGCTGCGTCTCAATAATAAAGTTGGCAGAGGGAGGATACAACAAGGTCTTCCGTTTGATTATGACAGACGGGAAAACCGTGCTTGCCCGTATCCCAAATCCAAATGCCGGCCCCCGGTTTTATACGACTGCCTCCGAAGTTGCTACTATGGAGTTCGTAAGTTCATCCTTCCACTTTCAAGCGCAGGAGGCGACTGGCTTATACTCCTGCAAGGCTCGAGATTTCCTCCATATTCCCGTGCCTTACGTGTTGGGTTGGAGCGCTACATCTAATAACCCCGTTGGCTCGGAATATATTCTCATGGAAGAGGCGACCGGCACACAGCTTGGAGTACTTTGGGATGAGCTCAGTCCTGATCTCAAACTCTCCATTATGCGAGAGGTAGTGTCCATTGAGTCAAAGATGCTGTCGGTGTCGTTTTCACAGTATGTTTACTTTATCCCATTCGCCCTCGTGTGCGGAGTCTGATCTATGTTTCGTTAGCTTTGGCAGCATATATTTTGCGAGCGACGCCGTGGAGGGTGCAGTTCCAGCTCAAGTTACCAGCGAGGCGTCCCCCGAACTGAAAGAGAAGATATACGAGAAGTTCAGTATCGGACCTACTGTTGACAGGGACTTTTGGCACAAACAGCGCTCTTCGATGGATATCTCGCGGGGACCCTGTAAGTATCACCATACGGCTATGTGATGTCCTTTTTAGTTGGTCGTCTCCAGGGTCAATTCCCAAGGATTATGCGTTATGTGTTGGCTGGCGTGAAATACAATGGATTAAAAATTACGCGGTTCCGAAACCACCCAGCGAGGCTATGTTGGTCTCATCAGCTCAAAATAGCCCACAATCACATCTGCAGCTGCTGGAGAAATACCTCAAAGTGGCACCTTCCATTGTGGACATTGAACCCATCCTCAGTCGCCCTACGTTGTGGCATGGAGACCTTCACTCCTCAAATTTTTTTGTGAAAGATGGTCATATAACGGCTGTCATTGATTGGCAAGGCACGTGGGCTGGGCCACTCTTCCTTCAAGCTCAGCCATCCCCGCTTGTTGACTACCAAGGTGACATTTTACTTCAACGCCCGGACAACTTTGACGACCTTGACCCTGAGCAACAAGCTCAGATTAAACGAAAAATATTCAAATCGACGCTATACCAGCTTTATCTGCTGGAAACCGAGAAACGCAACCCCTTGCTTACAAAAGCATTCCATATGGACCATGGAAAAACAAGGCGTCTTTCGGTTCAACTGGCCGGGAATACATGGGATGATGACATTGTCTCTTTTCGGGAGGCGCTCATCAACATTGAAAGGTACGTGCTCGATGCTCCCTCCTTTCTCCGGCCGATATTTAATGCTTTCGTAGGTTTTGGCACGAGCTGGGCATTCAAGGTGGATGCCCGTATCACTACACACAGGATGAACTACATAACCACGCGGTCGACGCAGAGGGCTGGAATGAGGTCCAGGACTTTTTTGACAGTATTGAAGGCCTTGTTCAAAGGGATGGCTGGACACATCCTGACACGTTCGATGCAGCCTTTGAATTCTTCTCAGAACTCAGAAAACGGGGTCTCGAGCGTATGAAAGGCGAAGAAAAGCACATTTTCGAAAAACAGACCCGTTGGGCCAAATGACTTGAGAGCATCTGGGATGCCACAGTCATGGCACGCGACGAGGAAATATCACCGGGGCTACCTTATCCGAACGCCAGATGGATTTAAAGAAAAATAATGCGCACTGCAATTATCATGAAAGGGACGGACTGCTGTGTCCTATATCATTACAAATGCATTCAACGCCAACACATTTATTTTCCAACCCATTTCGGGAATGGGTGGTGTTTTCTTCATATTTTCAACATAGAAACACATGTTCTGTATGAAAATTCGACCAATTCCGTGTTTGATCCCCTTGCCGACAAAACATCCTGGGTTTTGATCCTCGCAGATGTGTCAGTAGGCGTGGAATAGTTCGGTCGGTCGGGAGATAAGTGGGAGGTATGCCCTAACGATGTAACTAGGTGGCAAAGAGTTCGTATCTTGGTAGTTGAAAGGGCGCAAAGGAGAAAAAAAGGTTGAAAAGCCGCAATTGCTCCCTATTTCGTATCTATTGATAATTAGCCGCGCGCGTGTAGATCCCCTACAATGTGAAAATCCATGACACTGCACGGATTGAAACATATGGGCAGTGGGCTATGCGCCTTGGTGACGCGGCCTGCATCTACCAAAGAAAATCACGCACACCTCCTAGCCTGTCAAAGTCTTGCCTTGAGTCTTAGGTGCGGATGGTATGTAGCCGCCAACCCATTCCATGTCTGTCATTGGTCACCGATCCCTGTCGGACCAAGTTGGCGGTTTCATACCAGACTATGTATTTATTACTACACTCCCGCCCGTCCAAAGTTACGGGTGGAAAGGCAGCCGTTTCTGGCGCCAGAGGCTGTCATTTTCGGCGTCGATTTCACCGGCCCTCAGATTCTAGATGTAAATCAAGGAATATGCGCGCAGGAAGCAGAAAGGGTTGCAGGAAAGCGCTCATGAAACAGAACAGCAAAAGGAAATTCTTCTCTAGGTGGATCAACTGCTTCTGTTGAAGATGTCACCAAGGGCAACCCCGACCAGACTCTGCGGCTCGCCGCCAAAGCTGGTCCCGGGATTTGTGACAGTGGGAGAACCAGCGCCGGAAATGGGACTCTGGGCAGCGTCCCGCTCCCGCTTTACCCGGAAGTAGCCCAGCTTGGCGAAGCGGCTAAGGTGAGTCCAGAAGTGTCGGCCAGCTGAATGGGTGGCAATGCGGTCGAGCAGGTCAACTGTCGCTTCACGCACGACCTGGTCCGGGTGAAAAAGACCCATGCTCAGATAAAACAGTCCTGCCTGGTTCTCCGGAGCAACGGTCAGCAGTTGACAGATACCGGCATAATCTTTGACTGCATGAGATAGCGCAAGGTAGATTGCACCTGCATCAGCATGGGACAGCTTGAGGAACCGGAGCCGGTCATGGTGGTGATGTAGATCAGGCCGCTGGATGGGCCGTGCCGGATAATACATAGCAGCAATGTCTTGGATATACGAGTAGTATGAACGGGTATTCCGCCAACCCTCAATCCGTGAGACAGAGGCGGACAGCTCGCGCTGCTTGGCACCTTCGTCGGGCCAGACATAACCGTGACCCCGGAGAGATGTGGGATCTGTTGCATCTGTTTGATGGCCTGTCGGGCTGTCGGGCGACAGCTCTTCCCCAGGGCCAATTATATAGAGATTGGAAGCGCCATATACAGCTTCCTCGAATGCCGCAGAAACTCGAGTGAATTTGGTAATATATGCCCGCCATTTTGCCCGGATGGCGTTCTCGCCATGACGCTGGTAAATGCTGCGTAGAATGTCCTCCATGAATAAATTGTCTCCTGTGGGATCCGAGTTTGCGTGGGAAGTGGGATTCGGCAACAACGCGTTTTGTTGTTGGAAGAAGAGAAGTCCCTCAGTGACCGGGGCAGGTTCAACATGGCTTGAGATCTTCATACGACCTGTTGGCAGGTCACACATGATATCCCACCATTCTGGGTGATTGGCAAAGGTAGGGTTTGTGACGCCGGCAATGAAACCAGGCACTTTGAGGAGATCATCGATCTTGGTCAGATCAGTGTAGGGGAATGCGTGTCGGGTGAAGCCGCGAAGAATGCCACCAGATGCAAGTGCGCAAGCTGCAAGCACAGCTTCAGCCACCTCTCCTGACGGCCGGTTGTGTCCCAAAAATATCACTCGTTTTTGCGTGAGGATGGCGTTGACAAGCACAATGATAGGATGTGTAAATGGTCCACTGGTCGTCAGATGAGGATGGATTGGGAAAGGTTGTGGGGAGGTGGCATGGGGTCCGGCGAAAGTCTGAATGAGTTTGACGAGAGAGAAATCACCGACAGTTTCAGGCCAGATGACTGTAGGGATTTTCACGGGGATAGGGATGTCGTGGTAGACCACTTTGGATTCGAATTCATGCGTATCCCGGGGTAGAACGTATCGGCCTATCTTCTTCGGTGATGGCGGGCACTCCCCATCCTCCGCCTCTTGTTCTTCTCGTTGGCGAATCATTTGTTCAAACTTCTCGATAAACATATCCTTGGTGTTGCTGGATTGCAAGATGTGGCGCTCCAATATCGACATTTTCGGCATTAATGAGAGGTCCATATTATTTACTGCATCATAAAGTGTTGCGAGCGTTTCAGGGAAGGGCGACTTGAAGTAGTCTTCCAGTGCCAGCAGAAGAAGTGGCTACGATTGTCAGACCCCGTCTATATGATGTACAGGAAAGAGCTGACCTTGTAGATGTGGAGGAATGAGTGCCGGGTACAGATTGCCATGGCCTTGACGACGGCACCTCTGTTTTCTTGTCAGTCGGAATTCCTTCCGGGTCATGATGGGGAATCATACCGTCTGACAGTATTATCCTGCTTCGTGTTCACCAAGTTCAAGACATACATCAAGGGCGGACCTTCTCCACCCTCTTCGTCGTCACTGCTGTCGCCATCGGAGGGCTCATCCAAATCCTCATCTGGCAAACCCGCAGCCTCCTCATTCGCACGGTATCTTGACTTCCGCTTTTTCGTCTTTTTCCCGCCCTCTGCTTTGTCCTCATCATCGCCGCTGGTATCCTTGTGCAGGAAGAAAATGGTCCAATCCTGACTCCGCACATGCGTTTGATCCGGAAGCATCAGCTCCGCCAGCATGCTCTCATCCCCACTGATCGCCGCTGGATACTGATGCTCCATGATCGGACCGCGGTCAATATGGAATGACGCTACCAGAATGTATTCCACATGGCGCTCCGTCGAATCCAACGGATATTGCGATTTACACCGCCGCTGCTTGTAGCCCATCGCATTTTCAGCAGATGTGCGTCGGAATGAGGCGTGCGAGCCGCTCGGGGAGCGTCCGATGAAGGAGGCGGCGGGGGAGAGACGAGGGAGTCCATTGGTCTTGGGATTGGAGGTAGACAGGGAGTCATTCGACGGTCGATACGGCAGCGGCGACGCCATCTTGGGAGGGGTTGAGAGTCGAGACAGGTGCTCCGGGGTCACGAGAAGGAATCGAGGGGCATGCCTTGCTTGTCACCAGGCCTCGATTTGAGCGAAAGAATTGTGATGGGGTGGTTGTTTAATGCTGCAAGCCAATCACCGCCGAGCGGCCGAGAGTTCAATGGTTCATTCAGGGGGTTGCCGCTCAGAAAAAGGGAGATCTCCACAGCGGGGGCGATAGGCGATAACAGCTGCAGCTTGGCAGTGCGAGAGGGCCGCGGGCTGAACCTCCCGCGATGGGCGCTGCCCGTAGATAAATTCTGAAGTACATTTCTGGGTAGCTGCTGATCATGATTTTCAAATGACAGCTCTCATATGATCCATCCAACTCGTCCTCATCACTCGCAGGCGACGGTTGACAGCTCCAAAATTGTTGTTCCACGGCTCCGCACGTGCGTGGTCGGGCCGACTGTGTTGCCGGGGCATTGTTTACTTGCGATCTTCCACACTCGAGATATACTCCGCGCCACGCAACTACAGCAATCATGGTATGGTCCCGGCTTGGATGAGATGGATTTCATATCTAACATATCATGCAGTCAAATAACCCAACTTTCAAGCCCTCACCGCTGTCTTTTGGGAGCCCACGGGCTTCACCCTTCCGGCGCCCGTCGACGCCAAACTCCCCGCCGGGCTCAGCCCGTACGGGTGGCACGCCTGGGAGCTCGCCGAGTCGTGGGTATACACCAATGCAGTCGCCCAGCAAACTGAATCAGTCATACACGGTAGAAGAAGACGAGGCAGTCTCCTCAAGGAATGATCCCATCCCGCAGCCCAAGTTCACCCGGGAGCTCCCTCCCTCGCCGACCAAAGGAGCGCAGTCGCCCGGTCACTCATCGTCAATCATGGGAACTCGATCGCGTGAGCCAACGATTGCAAACACAGCTGCCTCAACCAAGCTTCCTGCCAATCAAGTCAGAGAAATCCGAGAGGCGTTCCAAGTCCTGGACCGGGACAACGACGGGCTAGTCAACAAGGATGACGTCGCAGACGTCCTAATGAACTTGGGTGAGTGGACTTGCTGCTCGTCCAAATCGCACAAGCCCTGGAAATTAATCTGGACACTGTTATAGGCCAAGACTCATCGCCTTCTACCCTCTCGCGCTTCTTCCCATCTGGCGCATCCCAAACAATCAACTTCCCGACTTTCCTAAACGCCCTTTCCCAATTAATGTCGCCCATGTCTTCGTCCCAAGAGCTCCTCAACGCCTTAGCTGCATTTGACGATGACGATAATGGCCAGATCGACGCGGCGGAACTACGCGATGCGCTTCTACACACTGTCCCCGAAGATGGAGGCATTCCATTAACGGAACAGCAAATCGACGAGGTCTTTAGCGGGTTTACAGGGCGGCGAGCGTTCGGGGGCCGGGGCGCAAAGACGGGTGGAATGAAGAGAGGCGAGGTCTTCCAGTACCACGACTTCGTCCGAGGTGTCGTGGGCGGAGGGGAAAATGGAAACAATGGACGACGTGAGGCAGATGCAGCTCAGGCTTGAACGCTGTATCAGGATTTGGTTTCCGAAGGAGTCGGCGCTGGGGGGTGTTTGCTTTGAATCTCTGTTTTGTCGCCCAGCTCCTCAGCTGGACTAGCAGTGATGAGGAAAGATAGCATATAGCAGTTGCGACGACGCTTAACAATTAACAATAAACGATGGATACTCGATAACCGACAATTCCATATCTCCAGATAGTCCGGTAAATAAAAGTAGGTACATAGTTGAGAGGCCGACGCGTGCTCCGCATTTCACTAACGGCAGAAAACAGACGGCCAGCTTCCAGCCACCGCAGCCCTCATAGTTGACCCGTCCCATCCCTACAACGAACCCTCCCCTCAACCAGAAGATGTGTATCTGTGGCCACCAAATGCGCTCCTAATCGTCCAAATGGCCAAGCCTCAGCCGTCTTGGTATCTCGGTGGCCCCGAGGCGCCATCCTCGCCGCGGACGATGCGCACGCTGCGGAAGATCCAGTCTCATCAGGTCCTGACCAGCTCCAGCGCCCTTATTGCCCAGACCCAGTCCTCCTACCCTTCGGGTGCTCGTGCTGTCGATGGGTCGACAGCAGCACAACCGAGTGCTGCGATACGTGCTCCAACCCGTCGGCCCCGATCGAACAGTGACGCGACCACTCGTGAAGTCACACCGGCAGCACCAGCCCCGACGCAGAGGCGTCCTGCTCGCAAAACGGGCTCAGGGGTGGGAATCAAGAGGTCTCTTCTAGAGAATCTTGTGCGCGACGGGCCGCAGAATGGAGACACACACGAGGCATTGCAGGAATTGAAATACCTTGTCCTGTCAACCAGAGTAGACGCAGATGGGGACGGCATGGTACGCACTTGAAGTTGTGCTTGCAGATATACCTGGCATCGATGTAACTGACAACCCCATTCAATTGCAGTCCCCATATCGAGTCTATCTATGGTCGATTCTTTTGAATGTTTCACCCGTTCCCACTGATGACTACCTCGCCCTCGTCCATCGCGGTGGCTCCCCGGCTTACGCGAAGATTCGCAACGATACTTTCCGCACCCTCGCGACCGACCCTCTCTTCAAACGCCGTGTAACCGAAGCAAGTCTCATCCGGCTACTCAATGCGGTGGCATGGAAGCTCCGGGACTCCAAAACAAGACCTCGGTCCCGGCCTTCTTCATCGAGAAGACGTGAGATGGAACTGCTGGTGAACACACCACCGAGCATTCAAGAAGAGCCTGACCTAGATGATCGAGGTTCAGTGCACAGCACCGCTGTCAGTGATTCGGCGATTTATGTGCAAGGCATGAATGTCCTCTGCGCACCCTTCTTGTATGCGGCTCGTAGTGAAGTAGAAGCATTCGCTCTCTTCCACTACTTTGTCACCAAAGAGTGCCCGGGCTATATTCGCGGGGCTATGGATGGAGTTCACAGAGGTCTCCGACTGGTCGATCGGTGCTTGGAGATCGTCGAACCCAAGCTTGCAGCTTACCTCTTTTCCAAGGGAATGTATGCCGAGCTCTATGCTTTCCCATCGGTCTTGACCCTATGTGCCTGCACACCACCATTGCCAGAGGTCCTGCATCTGTGGGATTTCCTTTTTGCGTATGGCCCTCATCTTAATATCCTGTGCATTGTAGCTCAGTTGATCCGTATGCGGGATACCCTCCTTGAGAGTCCGAGGTGGGTAGCTCCGTTTCCCACTTATTCCAGCTTGCTGTTCCTAACATTCCACTAGCCCTAACAAAATCCTTCGGTCTTTGCCTCCTCTGGATGCCAAGGATATCATTGCTTTGACCGTTCTTCTCGTGCAAAAGATCCCCAATGATCTCTACGCGGAGATGATCAATCATGCAAAGTAACCTGCACCTGAGCGAGACATGAGCTTTGTTCTGTTTTGTTTTGTTCTTTTGTTTTCATGGGCATGGCGTTTTGGGCATATAATTGATTGTTTTATTGGAAACGGCGGCTGGGTCATGGCATTTGAAAATTGCATTGGAACGACCTTTCAAGATCAACGACAGTCTGATGAAATGAACTGATGATTTTTCTCCTTAAATGTTCTTGATACATATGACATCGACACGAAGCTTGCCGTCTTCCCTCCCGCGTCAACAATGGCAAGCAAGATCCTGTCTCTATTTGTATGATGCATTTTGCCAGAGGTGTCTTGTGCCCACCAATTTGGTTGGCTACTTTGGCGGCATTTGCCTGCTGCAGGGGGGCAAACTTCACTTTGGAGCGGTCGTTGCCTGTATATGGCTTTGTTGACAAACGGGAAAACAGCAGCATGGTGTATATTGCATTGTAAATTGATTTTGACTTATAAAAGAGCTATACCTCGCATCGAGAGTTTTCTTCCTTGAGGTTCAACTTTCCTGAGAGACACCACAACCATCATCTTTTGACGACGGAGGGATTTGTCGCCATGCTTTCTCTGATTATGGGCTTAGCCTGCCTCGTTTTTGCATGCATGTACTTCCACCAACGCAAGCCCAACTCCACCAGCACGGCAACGGAACTGATATCCGATCTTGAAAAATGCCGAGATGTTATCTCAGGGAAACTTGTGAGAGGGAGTGCACACAATCGGCTGTCTAGACTAGAATCAAGGGCTCTGCCCAACCAACGGCTTCGAGCCGCATTTGGCATCGAAAATGCTTTTACCACGACACAGAAAGCGTGTGCCGACGAATATGTTCGGAGAGCCAGAAGGAAGATCATCCTAGACAATGCGAACTGGTCACTAGTTGCTGGAAAGCTGATTGAAAAGGCCCATCACTGGATTCACTTCGGGTTTGACAAGAGCTCTAGACCTGATCATGGCGGTCCTATCCGGATCAATCTTACCAGTCTTGTCCAGGCCCTTACTGTTTAAGCCGTCATCCTCACAACGTGTCGGAAGGAGGCACACCGCGAAATCGCGGATTGGGATTTGCTCACGTTGGGCCGGCTCATCTCCCAGAGCTGGATAGCTTCGAAGCAGGGACAGGACAGTACCTGTGGCACAGATCATCCCTTCACATTTTGCAGATATGAGGACAACCAGCAACTTCAGGATTGTCTTCAGGCGGTTTTCAGTGGCCATGGGGACGGCGGAAAGAATGTGCTCAATCTCGTGTTGCCTGCCTTCGAGACTATGTGGCGGATCGTCCTGCGCCTGTTTCTGGAAGTCCGGTTTGTGACCGGAGTAGACAATCCGGAATGGGGCACCGCATTGATGGAGTTTGCGAAGACGCCAACCGAAACACAATTCGGAAAGCGGCAGACTCCTCATGAAACCGGCGCGAATGATTCCCAGGATTGCTCTCCCCGTACGGCCTCTGTCAACGAAACAGTCCTGGAAGCGCTCCGACTCTACCCTCCGACGCGGCGGATACATAGAGCCTATAACTGGGGTAGTGGCTCGGAGACAAGAAACCACTCGATGGGTGACTTGGAAAATTATGACCCAGACAGGCGTATCGCCTCCGACACAGATGGCTCCCACCCGGAGGGCTCAGAGCGAGACAACTCGACAATGGATCCCACGGCGATGCCGACAGATTGGCGAATGATTGCGGCGGACGTTGTGGCCTGTCAGCGTAATGTTGACATCTGGGGCGTCCGCGCAGACGAATTCAACCCGCAGCGCTGGATTCCGTGGACCGAAGAACGCAAGGATATGAAAAAGATGCTCTTGGCATTTGGGTCACCTCCGATCGAGTGCCCGGCAAAGCGGGTCTTTGCTCCCTGGATGATTGGTATCCTGGTCGGAGCGCTTCTCCGTGGTCTGCAGGGTGAAGCCAATTATCGAACGAGATTCTGGCGACTGGACTGTCCAGACAAAAAGGTCATGGCAGCTTTGAGAGCTAAGAAGAGACTGCGACTCGAGAGAGATGTGTACGATGATCTCGAGTTGGTGGGCAGCTTCTGATATTGTCCCAGGACGAGAAGATGGGGAGGGACAACGCTGCGCTTGAGACGCAATGAGTTGATTTAGAAAGCATAATTCCAATCAATGCCTTGGCACCGTCAAACCGCCACCGCTTAATATGCGCTGTTTGCCACTCTTTCTTCTTAGAGATTGATGTTTTTACTGGCAGAGAACGCCCGGAAGCCTCTGGCCGATGGTTGCATTCACAACAAATCTGACAAAAAAACAGTTCGACCGTCAAACGAGCGTCCATCTCAACGATGAAGGTTGAAATAACGCTCGAGTAGTTACAGCGTCTGCTCAAGATATCGTCATGTGGAATCTCTACGGCTCAATGCCTATCCCGGGAACAACGATTCTCCCAGCAGCTCAATCGTGTGTCAACCCTCCAGGTACAGAAGCACTCGCTCCAGAGCATTAGCCTAAGCACAGAGTAACGCAAGAGACCCGTACATAGTTGCTTAATTTCTCCCCCTTCAGATGCGCGGTCGAGTCTCCTTTGGGCTGGGAATGTGTGGTATGTGGTGGCTGCACCTGCACTGTTCGTGGGCATGCGGCAATATATTCTCGGATGTCAGAAGAAAACCCGTAGACTGAAGTAGGCAAATGGGAGGGCCGCAAAGATTTGAACAACCGGGCAAGTCCAAGTTTATCGATATTACCTATTACAGCCTAGAATCAAGTGATCTTTTACGAAGGATTAATCAGGCAAAGGGGCCAGCAGCACTGGTTTCGAGACTCAATTTTTATTCAGAGAAATAGAAATATTTTAGACTGGCATAATACATTACTATCCACAACCATTACGCAGTAACCAGACAATTCTCCACCTACCCCTTCATACAACGCAGTCAATCCCATGACCTAGGTAGGTTCTACGTCGGTGCCGACGTCGACAACAACTCTAATGACTTCTTCTGCAGACCGCTCCCATCAACCACAAGCGGCTTGTGCGGATCCACCTGCTTGTGGCTCTTGAACAGGACATCCTGCCCACAGCCACTGCACTCAGAACTCTTCTCGCTGGCTGCTGGATCCATCAGATCGGGCTCGTCCTGCGTCACGGTGCCATCCCAGCTTCCACTGCGTGCCATATTGGGCGGTTGCTCCATCTTGACGCGGATTCGGGCGCCCATGAATGTCATGCCGTTGAGAGCGGTCACGGCGCGCCTGGCTTCTTCCACGCTGAGCATGATTGCGGAAGCGTGCGTTTGGGCTTGGGTGTCGTAGGCCTCAGAGGTCACTGTTAGGTTGCACTGTTCGACGGTACCGGCGCCTTGGAGGAGGCTCTTCAAATCGGATGTGGTAGTTGCTGCGCTTAGGTTTTCAATATAGACGGCTCGCTGGGTGAGGTCTGGAACCGGGGAGTCGGATGTTGGGTGGGAAGCCCAGGGCTTACGGGGGTGATAGCGCGGATAGTGGTCTCCTGCATGGTCGGGGAGGGGCTGAACCGGCGAGATCGGGTACATGGGCATCATGTTCCAGCCTGGTGCCTCGTACGGCGAGCAGTGCATCATGGGGGATGGCGTCACACATTGCATGGGATGGTCTGGCATCATGGGCATGTAGGGCTGCTGGGGGATGGCCATTGGGGCCCCCATGGGTGCGAACTCCGGGTATGGGTAGGGGGGACTACCGGAGTGGACCGATCTGATCAGTTCAGACAGACGTATTTCATTCACACGAGTGTAGAGGTGACTTACTCGGGTGAGATGGGCGACGGAGGCATGGTCATGTTGCCCTGAGACCGGGGTGGTGTGGAATGACCTGACATGTAGCCTTGGATCATTGCCGGTGGACTCCTGGTAGGTCCAGCAATAGGCTTCGTGGGAGCGCTGGTGCGCGCCAGTGTCACAACCAAGCTCTGGCCTTCCCACCCATTGGTGGATAATCGGTCTGCACTTTTGTGTTAAAGAAAATCACGCCCCGCCAGTAACCCCATAGGGAGAAGCATAGACTTACGGTAAGTCCGCCATGCTTCATCCTCATTTTTTACGATGATCTGACCCAGTCCTGTCGGGAAGCCATGGCTGTCATCATAGACCACAGCCTGCCGAATATGGAGAGCCGTCTGACGGACGAGATCTTTGAGCTCTTGCCAGCGACAATGGGCCGGAATCTGCTCTTCCGTAAGAAAAATGCATCCCAGGTTGCGAACCATTCCAATTCAGAGCTTACCCCCTGGAGGAAGACGACAAATTCGTCATCCGATCTGCGAGATCTCGGGCTTCGGCCCTTTTCTCGACCAAGCAACGGCATAGCTACAGATAACTCTCTCTCTCGTTTTCCAATGAACCCGGGTATCTGCTTCCGTTCCCCGATTCTGGCGCACCTCGATCCGAAGTGCAGGCAGGCGTGGGGTTGTTTGTCGTCGGGGAAGATGCCCGTGGTGCAAGTATCCCGGAAAACCACCAGCGGTGCGAGACAGTCGGAGATCGAACCTATCCGAGCAGGGCGTCGTGTCCGATTGGGTCCGCAGCTGGAATAATAGCTTTGTACACAAGCTGGACGTGACCTTTTGTTTTGTTTTTTTCTTTCTCACCAGACTTTCGAGTTAGCTCGGGGTCTTAGAAGGGAGGGTCTAAGGCGGATTGGATGGGTGGCCTGTCATTGTTGCCAGGGACAGTGAGCATGGTAGATCAGACTGTCATCGCGCGGCAATCGGCATCTCATAGCATGAAGCGTAGTTTTTTTGGGGGGGAGGGGGGGGGGGGGGGTTTCAAAAGATCACAAGAGCGGCCGGGAAGCCAACTTACCTGGTTGCAACGAAATTCAATGCAGGTCAACGAATTCGTCAGACCGACACATGCGCACTTGGCAGAAAAAGAATCCAAGCTTCCCACGATCCCAGCGTTGTCTATCTTATTATAGGGACCACGGCGATGGGGATCCAAAGGAAGTTGCAACCAGGAGTCTCTGGGAGATGTTTCACAAGAGATAAATGGCATCGCGGTCAATCATGAGCAGGTCGAGACTAGTAAGGAAATAAATTTGGAGAGACCCTATGGCTTGTCTAAAGCAGACAGCAGCAGACAGCAGACGAGTTCGGAGGCGAGACCCAGACAGCTGCAGCGGCCGACGAATCGAGATGCGCCGACGGAGAGCAGCCAACCAGTCAGGACGGGGATCCTTCGACTCCTCCAGTCTGCAATGCTGAGATATGTCATTTTCGTCCGCAACGAAGCCCGGGCTCAGCTCCTCCCACTTAATGCCCCAATGCAATAAATCGTCTCCCCGTACCACCCCGCTGGGAATAGTTCCACCCAGGGACTGGCACTGGTGTCATCTGCCTGTTGCTTTTTCTGTGAGCCGCCCGCTTCTTTCTTAACTCATAGGCCGTGAAGGGCAATCAATTTCATACAGGGTTGCCCTGGTTGGATCGCCGTCCAGGTCGACCCGTCTCATAGAGTAGGGGAAAGGGGGAGGGGGAGAAGTGGGGGAGGTGCACACAAAACGAATCTGAGATCTTCGAGGGCGAGATGCAGGCATTGAGCGTGCGTCGTGTTACACCGCCAGATCCAGATCGGACGTGCTCCCCTCACCAGAGGGTACTGACCGTACATCCTTGGGTATTGGAAGAAGAGAGGAGGGGACCCGGGTGGAGCTCTCTGCGCGCGCGCGGAGCGGCCCATATCGATCACATTGGCTTGATGGGCTGCATGATCCCCTTAGCTCTGCAGACACCCCGGTGGTGGAGGAGTAGAGGAGTGGTCGGCGTGTGTCATCATCCAGAGAGAAAAATGGAAAAGAAATACAAGCCGCTGGCGGTGGACGATCACCGATCGCCCGGGGGTTACCAGTGAACCAGTGAACCAGTGAACCAGTGAACCAAGCAACCCCGGGACCCTGCGACGTGAGCAATCAGATGGAAATGCGCGGGAATGTCGGCCGACGATTGGTTTTGCTTTTGGATCCCCTGCGATTATTGATTCGTGACGGGGGCTTCACTGGGAGTACCTGCAGCGGCGGCTCGACATCATCGTGGCTGGCTGCGAGTGCGGTTCGTTATGAGTTAGTGAAGATGGTGGCCTCGAATCGTCTCCACTTTGGGGGTTCTAGGTAGAGACTGGCCGACCTCATCTCGGGATATCTGGCATGGCTGGATGGCGTCTTCGTACGGAGCCCGGGATGGATTGATGTGTACAGGTCCCAATTCCACTTCACCGCACGACGCTGGGGCCCTGGGCCGCACGGACAGAAAGAATCCGGTAGTACGCAGCCCAGCCTATCCGGCGAGTCCAGTCCAACCGGGCAAGCTGGTCAAGCTGGTCAAACTGGTCAAGCTGGTCAAGCTGGTCAAGCTGGTCAAGCTGGCCAAGCAACCGTTAGTCATGGTCAAGCAGAGACGTCCATACTGGCGTAGGGTCCACGCCCAGGTGACACAGCAGGCTCCCTTTGGGGTCGGCATGAGGGCTGCTGGGCTCTGATCCCATTCGGACGCGACCGAGCACACTGTGCACAAAGTGGTACACCACTGAGTACATCATCATGAGGGACCAGGGAAATCGGGAGGTGCCACAGTGGGGAGAACTGAGGCTGGCGGGGTATGGGATGGATGGATCCTGGTGTTTCGTCGCCGAGGATCCTGTTCCACTGTTCAGTGGTTCAACACTTCAACAGCACTGCCGGAGGTCGATTTGGGATGCGCAATGGCTGGCCAGGGCGTATGTGACCCCCGGTAAAGCCTATCTGCTGCCCCTCACTGTCAAATGAGGGGCATAACGAGGTGGCACAACGCCCGCTTCGATGGTGGGACACGCCATCTTCGCGGTTAGTGACAAATGGGAGAAGGTTGTTGATGAACGAGGAGCGAAAAGCAAGGTGGATTGTGGTAGTCGAGTAACAGGTCGGTTTCCTTGGATAGGTGGTGACTGGGTGATCTGCGCACCCCGGGAAGGTTCAGAGCAGCAGCAGAGCAGCCAGGGGTTGTATTCTGGGGTCAGGGGAAGCATGCCGCTATTCTGAACGTGTATAACATGAGATTCTGATCCCTTGATCTGATACGGTCGGACCATGAGGTGGCTATACAATGGGTTCTAGGAGAAGGCTTATTGTTCATTGGGACGCTCGTCACGATGTTCTCTAATTTGAATGTATATGTCCAGGAGCGATCACAAAGCGCTCCTTGAAGCTTCTCACTGTGGAGGCGACGAGGAACGATGCCCTTAAGACAATGTTACCCCAAATGCGACCTCGAATGCTATCTCAAATGTATGGCTAAATGCAGAACTGCAGTATAATGCACGAAGATACGCCAGGGATGATCAGACAGCCGTGTACGGTCTAATCCGGCAACTGAAAAGGCCCATGCCGATAGAAACCAGCGACCAGCGACGAAACGCCCCCTCCCAGGGCGGGCCGAATGTTGGAGATCCCATTCACGCTGGACCGCTGAAGAGAGCCCACTCTGCGCGCGCGTTTCCCCACCTGTTTTAACCGGAACGGTATGATTCCAGGACACGTCTATAAATCTCGAGTGTCTGGCCCTTCTGGGGATTCATCAGAAACCTCCCACGGCCTGCTGCATACGAGGTTCATAGTGACTCCAGCAGAGGACTGCCCCGGCAGGTCCTTGGGAGAGATGGGTCGCAGGGGTGTCGAAAAACAAGGGAAGTGTCGAAGCGACGGTAGGAAATTCGTGGGTCGATGATCGATGATTGAGGGGAGAGGTGTTGTGGATTGCTCTTGACCGAGACACAGGCCCCGGGGGTGAGGTGGATCAGGGTAGGTCGGGGTTGGGGATTGTTTGTATGAACGGCGGGTTCGTCCGCCCGTTTCTCGCTTCATCGCACAAATCCGACCTTGGAGGCGCACCGGTGGCAGTAATAGGAGTTCATACCGAACTGGACGGCCCCAGAGCCGGAGTGTCTAGCCAGGCTGAGAGATTGTTGGCAACGCGAGCAGCGGACGATGTCAAGGGTCAGCCCCTGGGGTGGGGATGCCTCGGCTGGACGGGGCGCGCCCCCAGGTTGGGGCCGCGGCGAGACTGGGACCGCGGGCGAGTTCATGCTTGGGCCGGGGGGTGTGAGTGGTGGTGTAGTGAAGTTGAAGGGAGGAGGGGATGAAAGGACAGGACGAGAAAGAGGCCAGAGGGGCGTAGATAAGAGGGAGGGCAGATGAGCCTGGGAGAAGGGGGGGGGGGGGGGGGCGGAGCAGTACCCCAGGCAGGCAGAAGGATTGATCATTTGCGAATCATCCTTGTGATAGCGTATCCCGCCCCAGTAGGTTAAATCGCATAAAGTAAAAATGGTGCGCAAAGCTGGTTTTTGGGTTTGCTGGGAAGGCGCGTGTGACAGAGACTTGATACTTCAGTCCGGAACGCGGCAACCTTGAAGAGCTAGCGGTCATTGGCGTCATGACAGTGCCGTCTCCATTGGCCTCGTCGAGTTGCGCATGCGAGGAATCCATCATCCCATGTACTTCAAGGAGTTCCCTCGTACGCCCATCCCCACCCTCCAGCTATCTTATCCACTGCGGCTGATCTACCAATACCCGCGCTGCCCCTCAATTCAGGCTTCCAAGAGAATCTTGTGTCTCACCATCTCACCATCTCACCATCTCACCATCTTCGCTGGATTCGTGGGATCCGGCCCCTCCCGGGATTGGGTTGGCGGATTGTGTTGGACGTAGTCCACATGCCCATCCTGACGGTTTAACCCGAGCGTTTCCGTGGGGCCGATATATCCGGTCGCTCCTCTAGACCATCTGCATGATGCCGTCATGGCCAGGACAGCACGATGCAGGCGGCCCGACCGGGGGGAGATCAGGGAAACCAGGATGACGGCCCTCTCTGGGCCTCTCTGGGCCTCTCTGGCCCTCTCTGGCCCTATCTGGCCCAAGAGCCAGCCGAATCAGATCCATCCGGCCCGAATCTGAATGGGCAAGATTAAAGTGTGGCAAACATGGAATGCTGCCGATCCTGCCCTGTTTTGGGAGGTAGAGAGGGGAGGGGTTGATTGGGATTGTTGCGATAGTTGCGATAACCCGGAGACGAACCGAGTTAACTTCATGATTAGCAGCTGTGGAAATCCGTGGCCCTCGATAAGCAGAGGTGTCGAGGAGTCGGTGGAGTGTGCTCCGTGCTGCCAGGGAAGGACGACGTCATTAGTCGGACGACCGTCCATCATCTCTCGCAAGTCGCCCCGCCAACCCCGCCAGCGCTGAAGAAACCCTTTTCTAACGTCTGGCATTCTGGCCTGTCTGGTCTTCTAGTCCTTTGGTCGTGAATCGAACAATCTTCTTGGCCCTTCCAATCCACCCCTCTCCTTTCTCCTCCACCCTCCACCCTCCACCCTGCAACCATGGCCACCGCCCAACCCAATCTCTACAGCTTCCCCAGCACCGACGCTCTGGCTGGGCAACTGCGGTCCTACGTCCTCCGCTGCCAGAATGCCGCCCTGGCCCGCCACAACATCTTCCGCATCGCGGTCTCCGGCGGTTCCCTGCCCACCGTGCTGGCGCGGGCCCTCCTGGCTCCCAGCAATGGCTCCCCCGAAGATACCCCGCAGTTCGACAAGTGGCATATCTTCTTTGCCGACGAGCGCGCCGTGCCTCTCGACAACGAGGACAGCAACTACTTCCTGCTGAAGGCCGAGCTGCTCAGCAAGATCCCCGCCGAGCTCGGTGCGCCGACTGTCTACCCCATCGATGAGAAGCACGTCCACGACGATGATACCCAGGAATTGGCCGATCACTACCAGGAGGACTTAATGCGCTCCTTCGCCGCCAAGGACAGCGTCAAGCTGCCCGTCTTTGACCTCATTCTCCTGGGCTGCGGTCCCGATGGCCACACCTGCAGTCTGTTCCCGGGCCACGAGCTCCTGCGCGAAAAGGACGCCTGGGTGGCCGCCGAGACCAACTCCCCCAAGCCGCCGCCCAAGCGGATCACCCTGACCCTGCCCGTGGTCATCTCCGCCGTGAAAATTGCGTTTGTGGCGACTGGTGCGGGCAAGCAGGATATTCTGAAGGCGATCTTCGATTCCGAGGAGGGCCGCAGCCTTCCTTCAGCTCTGGTTAACCAGGGCGCCGGGGAGAAGGTCAGCTGGTTTACGGACCACTCGGCAGTGGCGGGCGTCGCCTTCCCTCGTCGAGGCAGCCTGTGAGAAGCGTCGGCAGACAGCTTCAATCCATAGCGACTGGCAGAAATTGCCCGCTCGTGAAAGCGGGCCCGGGAATGGGCGCAGACGGATCCCAATGCGGAATGCTTCACCTCCTAATTTGACTGGTGTGATACGATCAGCCTCCTCCTCTCATGAATTTGATACGATTGGATGATGTTTGCTTTGGAAAAAGTGAGATTCCTATTCAGTAGGACTTCGGCCTTTCCAGAATGTTGGTGTCTGTTACGGATAGAACACAACGAATAATATAGAGTTTCTATACCAACGAGCGGTCTTTCCTCCTGTACACCCTAATGGCATAAACAAATCACGGAGAGCAGCATGCGCCTGGCACCAGTAGGTTGCAACGATTCATCATTCAGACTGCCGGGAATCGCCAATGTGGTTAGAGTTTCACCTGGACTGTGCGCCCCCAGCTCCACCCGGCCGGGATTGTTTGGTTGCCGGAAGATCGTCGCGACCGGACGAGCCACCTTCCTCCAGGAGCTCGTGACCGACACATTGCTAAGTTGCTCAAACGAGGGACGGTGTTGGATACACATATCCCATCCATGACATTCTGCGATGAAATATGCCCATTCCAACGCGCTCGGCATCGCTGCGCGAGCCCCGGAAGCCGGTCAGTGGCCCAGGAGAGACCCCCCCCCCCCTTTTTTTTCCCCCGGGATCCCCAGCATTCCTCGCTAATTAAACTCCAGAACTCTACTCTAGCACGACCCACGACCAACACTGCGATCCCGACCACTGGAACGACCACAGTATCTACGCGCCTGACGAATGACAAGACTCGATCTTCAGCCAACCCCTCGCCGGCCGAGGGCGCGTCCGTGAGAGGCAATGCGGTTTCCAATCGCGACCATACGCTCCTCCCTCAGCGCAGCAACCTTGTTCGAGACAATGGAAATGGCTCGGGACAAGTGCGGTTTCAGCCACCAGAGAGCAGACTTCCGCAGCGGCGAGAGATATCACCGAAAAGGCAGCCGCAGACCAATACAGAGGGAGAGAAACAGGGGACGCCCTCCTCGGCTACGAGTGGTTCGGTGCCTACGCGCCGCCAGAGCTTGATACGGCCGGGGGCATTGAGAACAGCCTCAACTAGAGACAATGTCTCGGCTCCTGCAAAGGCCACTGGGCCGACTTTTGCGCCGCCGTCACCGCGAAAAGCATCTACAGTACGATCGTCCACGCAGTCCTCCTCTGCGGCCCCGAGACCCCCTTCTCCGAAAAAAACAGAAATGCTCCCTCCGCAACGGCCCATGCGGTCTGCGTCGTTCAGACAGCCCCGGAATGCTGTATCGGGACCCCCAACTGCCGCTCGAGGCCACGCCCGACACCGCAGCCAGATGGTTTTGGTGAGTACGAAGCCGATCCAGCTTGACCAATCACCGGTAGCAGCCTCAAAACCTCGCGCACAATTCTCGACCTATCAGCAACACTATTCACCCAAGAAACCTACCAAGCCTCCAACGCCTACTCCCGGAGCTATCTCTGAAGCCGACAGTCTCATTCCTACATCCCGCCCAGATATTGCCGCATTACAGACGGAGCTCCTACAGCTTAGTCTCTTTCACTCCGATTCACTCCAGCAACATGCAGAGTGGAAGTCAGAATCAGAATCTCGACTGCGCAAGAAGTATGACAATGTTTCTGACCAGTATCGGGCTCTGCGGGTGGATGAGCAGAGCCGCCAATACCAGCTGAATGTGCAGTCTCTGGGCTGTTGGCTCCAAAACTGCCGCGACCACCTCGGCCCGCATGGATTTGCTGAGCAGATCCAGGTTCTGTCTCAAGTCTTGCAGGATGTCTCTGATCTCGGTCTATGTGGGATGAGCGGGCGGTATACACAAGCGGTTAGGAGGTTTGAAGACTGGTTCCAGCAGGCACAATCTCTTCGGCACCAGCGCGCGTCATCGGGAACTTTCGATGGAACGGTTTTCATCGATCCACTTGATCGGTCCTGGAAAGAGGAGCTGCACGCGCTGCATGCCAAGCTTGAGCTATCCGCGCGACAACTCCAGAGTCTAGATATCCTAGGGTTTGGCGAGGTGGAGCTGTTAGAGCAATCTGCGCTCACTCGGGTGGCTCAGAGCCTGACTGAGTCTATGCAGCTGATGATGCAGGAGATTCGTAGCATGCAGACCCTCGAGGCAGAGCTTGTTCGGTCAGAGCAACAGTGCGTCAGACGAATTGCGACCGCGCTGACTGGTCCGCGGCGGGAGATGAGCGCACGAGTTGGCGTCTGGAGATCTTGAATTATGACCCGTAGTTAATGAATCAGGGAACTTTCCCAATGTACTCAATTGCGCCAGCCGTTGGAAGCGGGAAGTAATGCATCGTATTATTGAGCTTTATGGGACGCGTGCAGAATGCAGAGCGCAGAGTGCTGAGCATGGAGTTGATACTTCCCAAGTGCCCAGCTGCGCGATCGGTGGGGCTGTTGGTACCCGCTGCGCGGGTAGCTCGGATGAGTCAGCCCGGCAGGATCCCCCTGCCGCCCGTTCTGGATCCTGCTCGTCCCCCTCACTAAGCTAATCAAACCAACCTAACTCGCCCGTTCATTTGCTGGACTGGCCCTCGTAAACCCGTGAGCCTGTTCTGCTCCGACTGCCCGGTTTCTGCTCCCCTCACTCGACCTATTCGCTGCTCGCCACTTGCGACCTGACTTTGACCTCCATCTCTCCTCTCCACAGCACTCCTCTGAATATCGTCTACTCGATATCGTAGCGACCCGACCGTTGCATTCCTGACGTCATTCTCCAGTCTCATCTTCCGTTCGAACCAACTACTTCCAGACAAAAGTTATCTCTGCAGCACTGCCCGCCGTAGTTACTGTGGGTTCAGAATGGTTGTCGATCACCCCTATTCAAGGCTTTAACTTCGGCGACTCTGGTCACTCACAATCATGAAAGACTCGTTGTACGACCGTCTCTGGCGCCGAGAATGCGGGGACCTGTCGCCCTATGCCTCGCTCCGCGGCATTTACGGCTCCAAGGAATGGATCAACGACTTGGACATCGTCAACGAGCTGGGCGGCCATACGGGATGTGTGAATGCTCTTAGGTACGTTTATCCTTCAGTTCCTGTCGGCTTACTGTCGCATTCCCTACTGACCGGCGGTGCATTGTTGAATTGCGCTAACCCTCTCGCAGTTGGTCCAAGTCTGGACGTCTCCTGGCTTCCGGCTCGGATGACCAGCACCTGAATATCTACTCATACCAGCCAGAATCCTCGGATGCTCAGTTCACACTGAACACTACCGTTTCTACCGGCCACAGGGCCAACATCTTCTCCGTGAAGTTTATGCCACACTCCAACGACCGGACCCTGGTCACCTGTGCCGGCGATTCGCAGGTGCGCGTCTTTGACATCGAATACTCCAGCAGCAACAGCAACAGTAATACCACGTCGGCGTTTGCAGCCTCGGCTCGGAGTCGGCGCTTCAATGATTTTTTTGAAGGGACGCGGTACCTGAGTGAGGGCAACACCAATGCCAGGGTTTACCGTAGCCATGCCGATCGTGTGAAGCGCATCGTCACTGAATCCTCGCCGCACCTCTTCCTTACATGCTCCGAAGACGGCGAAGTCCGACAGTGGGATCTTCGCCAGCCGTCCGAGGCATACCCTCCACCGCGGGGTGGCCAGGGCTTCATGGCGTACCGACCCGGGTTGGATCATGACGACTCCAATGTTCCTCCGCCACTCATTTCCTACAAAAAGTACCGCCTCGATTTGAACACGATATCCTGCTCTCCGAGTCAACCGCACTACATTGCCTTAGGTGGCGCCCACATGCACTGCTTCCTGCATGACCGGCGCATGCTTGGCCGGGACACCCTGGCCGAAAAAGGTAGCCCTGGTTTGTCCACACCAAGCGCGGGTAGTGTTGATGATGAGATGATGGGCAATGCGACCCGGTGCGTGCGCCGATTTGCTCCCCGTGGAAAGCTCCGCATGAAGCACCTCGATGATGGACACATCACCGCTTGCAAAATCAGCGATGCAAACCCGGACGAGATGGTGGTCAGTTGGTCTGGGGACCACATCTACAGCTTCGATCTTATTCGGAGCCCGGATGCACGGGATGATTCGCCTGAAAATGCCAATGCATTGAAGAACACAACTCGTCGTAAGAATGGCCCGCGGAGCCGAAAGCGCAAACGCCCCAAGCCTGCATCAATGTCGTCCCAGGAAAGTGGTAATCGGCATCAGTCCCGACGCCGCTCCGGGGAACCAGATGCTTTCAGAGTCACTTATGAGAATGGTGACTCCGAGGATGTTCATTTCCCAACGATACCGGATGAGGATGAGTTGGCCATGGTCCAACGCGCGAGATACTTGGTACTCAATGAGGCCCAGCGGCTAAGCATGCAGATCGCAAAAGGCCTAGTCAAGCTTCGACGGGCGCTGTTCTCGCTGCAGGCAACCGCGCGAGAAGCCACCGCCTCTGAGCAGAACGATATCTCACCGTTTTCGGACTCATTTGCGTCTGCCTTGTCGCTCGCATCGACATATCTGCCTCGGATGGACGAAGTCATTCGCAGATGGCATTATCCAATGAATCCATCACGCGAGACTGTTGATTTCCAGCAATCACTCCGTCGCAACCGCCAAGCGTCATGGAGATTTGTGCAAGCTGCTGGTACCCTTGCCCGAGCTTTGGATGGTGATGTTGCAGAGGAAGCTGCGTCAGACGCGGTCTCGGACTTCTTACAAATTTCCCCTGCACCGAATGAGGACGAGTCTATTGACTCCGAAGCCCAGTTTGGATATGACTTCCTCAAGGCAATCTTGCTTTGGCTACAGGGTGGCAGGCAAGAGTTGCTGAAGGGATTCAAACGTGGACCCCGCCCAAGAAGGCTCGAAGGGCGTTTCCCCATCCCCGCTGATGCCACTGAGGATGCGATCGATACCATCCTTGTTCCGTATCTCCAGCTCCTCGCAAGAGATACCCCCATTGTCAACGTGGATGCCTCTCGCTTTGAACATGATTCCACTCGTATTCTGTTCCAAACGCAGAAAGCAGCCGTGACCGCGTTCGGGAATGCAGTGCGGCTGCCACTCGAGGATTTGGGAACTACAGCTGCTCGGATTGATCGCCGCCGCGTGTCAAATCCTTCCTCACAAGTTCGATCTCTGGATCGAGCGTCCGCGACCAGATTCTGGATCTTGCGGGTAGGTCGAGGCATCTTAATGGAGGCCGGTAACGAAGTCAATTTCTCCTTTGTCAATCGAGCATTTGGTGGAATCCACACTTCCACTGATGAATCGGACAGTGATGGCGAGGTGGAGAGATCCCAGGACGATATCGATCCCAATGCGGAGGAGAGCCGAGTGAAGTCGATCAATGTCCTGAGGACCTCTCACTCTTCCCAAGCTCCCCCTGGCGAAGGAGCAGAGGCGACTTCAGACCTCGAAGATTCGGAGGGCGAGGAGGACATTCCATCTGCGGCTTACCAGAACGGCGACGATAATAGTGATACCGAGGACTCCGACGAGAGCGAGAGTGAGGAGGAGCAGAGTGATGAGGGTGGAGAGGATGAAGACAGCTGGCATATGGCCCTGGCGGACTCCTCAGAGGACGACGATAACGGGAACGTCTCAGACGAGGAGAGCGGAGAGCCGCTTCTCCTACGCCGTGCGACGCGCAAGTCACGCCGGGGAGACGTCGAAACTCACACTCCAGTCTCTTCTCACACGCGGGTCTACCGGGGCCATTGCAACATTAAGACCGTCAAGGATGTCAACTTCTTCGGGCTGAATGATGAGTATGTGGTTAGTGGGAGTGACTCGGGACATCTTTTCATCTGGGACCGCAAAACAGCGAAACTAGTAAATATCCTGGAGGGAGACAGTGAGGTTGTCAACGTTGTTCAAGGTCCGTCTCAACTGTCTTCAACATGAAGCATTTTGGAGCCATTTCACTAATGTGCTGGTCTAGGTCATCCCTACGAGCCAACCATCGCCGTTTCTGGCATTGACAACACCGTCAAGGTCTTCTCTCCAGATCGTCACGCCCAAGATCTGGCCCTCAAAGGCATCAACATCCTGGATCCCGACAACCCTGTCAACGTTCTCGGTCCTGCCGCGCACAACATCGGCGGACTTCAGAGCCGCAGGCGCATCCACGACAGCTACCGCATCATGAGTCAGAACGATGTCGATCGTCGTGGTGGCATGTCCGAAGCCTACATCACGGTAAGCCCCTTCATGTTCCAGTTCCTACTCCATATAACTGATTCCTTCCAATAGAGAAGCATGCTGGCGCGCCTTGCTGCTACCCTCCGTGGTGGACAGGGTGGAGGTGGCGGCCCAGGTGTGGAAGTTGGCGCGGGCGAGGGGGCTACTGTCGTCCTTGATGATAATTGCCTGGTTCGTTCTCCTTTTTGGCTCGTTACGCATCCCATATGTGCTGAGAGATGCTGACTGAAGTGTTAGGTGATGTGATAGCTCGTGACAGTGTCTCGGGGAGTGCATTTCCATTCTGCATGCTCTTTATTATTATCGAACCTGGAATCCAGAATGATTATAAGGTAAAGTTTTGTGCATTCAAGGAACGGCGAGGGGGTTCATTTGGAAGTAATTTGAACCAGCATTGAGAATAGCATTCCGAGGCATGAAGTTTATGATAGCGGAGTTAGTATCAATAGGCGTAGTTCACCCGTGTCTTCTCACCACCGTAGGAAGCTATTTATGGAAGACAGGAATAAGATGGAAAATATAGCTAGGCCCCATGCCAAATCCAGGAACCAGGTAATCATTTCCCGAAGCATGTGCTGTCGGCGCTAAGTTGAAAATCGAGGGTTTCCCCGCCAAATGCCCGAATTAGGAAAGCCCCACATGCAGGAAAACCCACTTCGCCGCAAGTCAAGATTGAAAGATTGAACGTTGGAAGATTCCCCTTCGCAATCGCATTCGCCCTCACATTCCCTTGCAACCCCGCTCCGGGCCAACCATGGCGACAGATCTCCTGCAGGCTCGCGCCTCCAAAACCGCCCAACTCTACGCAGACCCGCACAACCCGCACCTCTACCTCGACCGCGCCCGCCTCTACGAGCAACTTGGATTCCCCGATCTCGCTGCCGCGGACGCCTACCGCGCACTGTCGCTGCTGGAGTCTGTCGTTGACCCGGACGGGTGTGAGTTTCATGCTAGGAAGATCGATACTACTGTGCACGGGGAGGACGATAGAAGCAATGAAGACGACGAGGACGCGGATGAGGGTGTTCCTGTGACGCAGGAGGAGTATAATGCGCTCATTGGCGAGGTCTATGCTGTGCTGGTGCGCAGTCTTGTTCGATGTGGCTGCTACCGCGATGCGTTCGAGTTTGGCATGCGTGGAATTGGACTGCTGCGAGAATTTGATCCAAAGACGAGTGATGCTTCCTCCATTACCGTCTTGAACGAACAGATGGATCTGATCAAGGAGGTCTACCAGTCGCGCACGACTACTGAGAAAGATATCGCCTTGGACGCAATTGACCCCGTTGTTCTGCCGGCCCAGGGATTTGCTCGTCGCATCTTGTATCCTTGGAACGAGCATGAGCCGGATCGCCGCGCGCCGGAGGAGTTGGCGACGTTGAATGAGAGACTGAAGGATGTTGCGCCCAAGTGTGAGGTGCGTGCTGTGACGTTGCCCGCGCTGCATGGTGCAACGCCTGATGAGGAAGAGGTCTCCATTCAACTTGGTCTCTTCGCGAAGGAGGATATTGCGCCTGATGAGATTATTCTGCGAGAGTCTTCGCTTTTGACGGCAACCAATCGTCTCCATGATGACCTCTGCGATGCTTGTAATGCGCCTCTTCCCGATCTCTCCGCCGCTGAGCCTCCTGTTGGATGCGAGGGTGGATGCGCCGATACAGTCTTCTGCAGTCAGACATGCCACGACACTGCCCAGGAGGTCTATCATGGCGCTATCTGTGGTCTCGAAGATGGCCTCGAGTCCATCGGCAAGGACATTCCTGACCCCAAGGATAAAGCCGACTATCTATACCTACTCCTGCTAGGCCGCGCGTTGGCCATGTCCGCCACGCAGGACGTCCACGCCCTTGACCTCCCCGAAGTCAAGTATATCTGGGGCGACTTCCATGACTTCGACATTAGCGATATATCAACCCTCTCCGCGACAGCAGATACAGACGAGGCTGCCACCCTGCCCTTCTCCTTTCAACTCAATATCCTCCAGCCCACCCGTTTCCTCGAGGAGATGGAACTGGACCCATACGCCTCGCTCCCCCGCTACGACACTTGGGTTCTGAACACGCTGTATGCCAAGTTTCGCGGCACAGCCTCTGGCCGCCTGTCCACTTGGGATGGGGGTCCAGAGCTGTGCGCCGTGCATCCGCTCTGGTGCCTGGCGAATCACTCGTGTGATCCCAACGTGCGGTGGGAATGGGGTGGTGAAATCACTTTCCGGGCGCGGAATGACGAGGAGACGGCGGTTTGGTCAAGGACGCTGGACAATGGAAAAATCGAGATGAGGGATCCAAAGTCTGGGGGGATTCGGAAGGATCAGGAAATTTTGAACCATTATTGTGATATTGGGCTGCCTGTCAAAGAGAGAAGGGAGTGGGCGTGTGGTGCGCTGGGCGGGAACTGTCGGTGTGATCGGTGCGTGTGGGAGGCGCTCGAGGACTGAATCCCATTTCAGATCTATAAAGATATAGCATGACAAGGTATGGCAGCGGTGTTGATGTAGATGAGATACCCATTTAGACTTTGGTTGTTGGCTGGCAATGGCATATGCATGGTATCTGGGAATTGGCCTGAAAATACTAGGCGAGGAAAACACAATTAAAGTACACAGTAGAAAATTTGATTCATTGGCTTGTCCATGTTTCCCAGCACCAACCCGAACCCCAAGATTGAACCCAAACGAGATCCCAAAACTATCAAATTCTGCCGTGGAACCAATCAGAGTCCCCAGCGCAGAATTCTGCTCATACTAATACAGTCGCTTATCGACGGCGAGGCGGCGTCCGCGAGTGGCTTCTACCCCGCGAGTCGTCACGTCTTCTTGAAGAGCGCGAGCGCGAGAGAGAGACAGACTGGTTACGACCACGGCGAGGCGGAGGAGACGCCGGTGCCGACGAATACCGTGTTGCGCTCTTGGCTACCGGCTCACGAGGAGGGGGTGAAACCGATCGAGAAGGTGACCTCGAGTAGCTGCGGTCTCGCCGGCTCGCTGCAGCCGGTCCCGGGCGTGGAGGGGCAACTGACCTGGAGACGGAGCGGCGGTACGGGCTGCGGCTATGTTTGCGCGATGAGGAGCGTGCGCGGATGCGCCGAGGCGGAGTGCGTGATACGGTCCTCGACCGGGAGCGAGAGCGGTCAGAGGGCGAGCGGGACCTGCTATGCGGAGCATCCCGTCGACTACGGCGGGCAGGAGATCGCGAGCGCGAGGGTGTGTAGCTCCGGCCCCGTGAAGAGGGTGTGACAGAGCGTGAGTAGGAGCGGCCGCGGACCCTGGACGGAGATCGAGAGTAGGAGTACGAGCGGGAACGGGAACGGGAGTAGGAACGAGAGCGCGAACGAGAGGAGCCGGTATAGGATGAAGACCGCGAGTATGAGCGATCCGATGGCGAGCGTGACGTCCGTGCAGGCGGAGCGGGCAAGGTGGGCCGAGGGACGTTCTTGAGATGCTCGCGCATGTCTTCCGTCAACACACCCATACCAATGCTGGTGAAGTAGTTGATTGAGAAGCGAGTGTGGCGCGGGTTCTCTGTGGGGAACAGGCCCTCGAAGCTGGGCCGCAGAACGTTGTCTCTGAAACGGACCTGCAGGCCGGGGAGACCAAGGTTCTCTGCGAGATCCTGGAACAGGATCTTGATGAAGATACGGCTGCTGGATGTGGTCTCCTCTTCGTTCATATGAACCACAGACACAACATGCCAGCCAATAGCGTCATTGCTGAGCATATGCCCAAAGAACCGCGCAATGTTGCGCAGGCGGTTCGTCTCATATCGATGGATGGTATCGTAGTACTTGGCGAACGCAGCCTCAAACAGATCAGACCAAAGGCGGTTGATCTTGGCAAACCGTTCTCCGATCAAGCCGTAGAACTTCGAGTATGTCCGTTCCTGGGAGCAGCACTCGATGATCATAGACGGCAGTTCCGGCTCCAGACCGGCTGGGAGGTTAATCTTCATCAGCTTGTGACAACATTCTTCGAAATCAATACTCGACATGATCGTCAGGTAGATGGTCCGACGAAGGTTGACCAGGTCGGTGTTCGTCTGGTCCTTAATATCTATCTTCTGTTCCTCGGTGTCCGATTCATCTTCCGAGCTCTCGTCTTCGTCCTCATCACCTTCATCCTCGTCGCTGTCCTCGCCCAAGATCTCGGCCTTCAACTTCTTATATTTCTCCTCATTCTGTTCCCACTCCGGATCAAACTTGAAGATATTCAGCGTGTCCTGAGATTCGACCTCGTCATCCAGCCCGATTTGGTGCGTGATCTGATCCTCTTCTTCCACTAGATCGAGTTCCTCCTTGATTGCTGCATTGTCCTTATACCGATCCTTGCGTACTTGGAACAGCACTTCGATCATGTACTGCACTCGTTTGTCGATATCGGCTTCGTGAAGGATATTTCGGAACTGGTCGAACACGGCATTCGCGATCTGGGGATTCATCTCCTCCAAGTGTTGGCCGGCTTCCCGAGTCAGTCCAACTGCAATTTCCACGCTGTCGTCTGTTGGCTTGTGGAGAAGCAAGAGCAAAATCTGCGCGACAAGCATTTCGTTGGCGACTTGATGGTTAACAAGGTGTGCAATAAAGGTCGTGGAGGAGATGCAGACGGCCTTGTCATTTCGCTTGAACGCCTTGCGGAACTGGATGATTAGCCGAGACACCAGCAACTCTCCGACCTGGGGCAGCTTTGTATTGACAATGGCTGTCATGGCTGCGTAGATAGCTGTGAACGGCAGACTGGCAGCCTGCGCTTTCATGATCGACCGGCAGAACAAACCGCGTCCCCGGACCAAATTCTCGCCAAACAGCTCTGGGACAATGTACTTGATATTCGAGACATTGACCTTATTGATCAAACCGTTGATCGACTTCTTGAGGGCCTCCCACGCCATGCGCTGATACTCCTTGCTCGTCTTGTCCGTGATTTGGGCCTGCAGAGCGCGGAGTCGTGCCGGAGGGATGTAGGTACCACCGGACCGCATGTTAAGGAGCTTCTCATACTCGGCTTTGGCCGCGGCCTGCTTCTCCTCCTCGGTCAAGGGCTTGCGGGCGGCTTCCAGCTTCTCATGCTCGCGAACACGCTCGGCGAGCTGTCGCTCCCGCTCAATTGCGCGTTCATCGTCGAGACGGGGTACATCGGCATCACCTATGAGCGAGTCCCCGGGAGGTGAGCGACGGCGGTTGGGGGATGGCGATCGAGAGGGAGGAGAGCGCTTTCGAGAGGCTGCGGTCGGCGAGAATGCCCCGGGAGGTGGAGTGGGCACTCGCACCGCAGACTGCAGAACAACCGGGTCTGACATCGTGAAATCTCAGAGGTTCCGGAAGTCCAGGAGAGAGGTGGTGGGGGAAGGAGACACCGGAGATGCGGTGGTTGCGAATCTTTAGACTGCGCAGTTCCACAAACGAAAGCTCTAGCGCAAGAATAGTCACGTGACTGCACCCGGGGAAGGCCAGGTAGGAGAACAATAAACGGGCGAGCTCCTGACAGCCCACACCCTTGGCCCTTCCTTCACGACCAGGGCTCCCCTGACGCTCACGGACTTTGCATTGCGCTTGCTCGCGACCACTCTTTAACATAATGGTATGATCCCGCTGATTGACTGCCGGGCCTGTTCTTCAAACTGACCTCGCGCCGTAGCTGGGCCAACTCGTGGGTTCCGCGATGCTTTTGGCCGCGACCGCTATCTTTCTCTACTATACGGCCTGGACGCTGTTGATGGTACCTATCTCTCTCCTCTCTACTACGGTCCAGCTTTTCGATCTCTTCTCACATATTGTTTAGCCTTTCGTCGACCCTGGCCACCCTCTCCACGACCTCTTCCCGCCGCGTGTTTGGGCCATCCGCATCCCCGTCATCCTGACACTCCTTGGCTCAGCCGTGGTGGGCACTTTCATCAGCATTGTGATGATCAACAGCAACAAGAAGAAGGCAGCCAAAGCCAAGGCTGCGGCGAAAAAGAAGACCTGATTGTGACGCGATGGATCCGGGGGGGGGAGAAGGATTGACTACGATCGCATTCGACGCCGGCTTCGAGGGCCCTGTACCACCACCTGTCTATACCAGGCTTCCCAGTTGATCACATCTAATAGAAATCCAAAAGAATGTAATTTCCCAGGATGTCCCAGAACATGACGTGGCTGCGAACAGGCCCGAGTTCTATGTTGTCCAGCCAAGTATGGCGCGCTCGAGACCTTGGAATGCGCGTATCGGGAGGATTCAGCACGGCCAGCAAATGATCAAACATGATTCGCGGCATTATTTCCATCACTCTTCCCAGCTTTTAATCATTGACTAAGATGCGATCATCGACCCTAGTAGTTCCTCAGCCCATCCAGTCACGTTCTCGGCCGCAGTACACGGCCCCGTGACCATCATCTTTCCAGCCCCAACCAGGTCAACCGAAGTCATCAAAGGCCACCAAAGGCAATAAAGACACGGCTATGCTCGGATTCCGCTGTTCCACGGTTGGCGGGTGGCTGGGTTGGCGGGCTTAGATAATCCCGTTGCAATGTCCTATCGTGGCGCGACGCTGGAAATGGAAATAGACCCAGACCTAGAAGGGAGTGGAGACTGGAGTGGAGAGTGTAGGGGAACAAACTAGGTAGCTATGATGCCCCTGGACGGTGGCCGGAGTTGGCAGTTCGTGCTTCGTAGTTCGAGGGGGTGTGTTGGGGGCGAGGAGAGTGACAGGCTCAGCCGGGGGATGACGGGGTCAGCGCGCCTGCTCATTCGGCCCCGTCGGTCCCCCTCCCCCTCCCCCTCCTGCTGCTGCTCTGAGTCAGGTACCGCGTTCTCAATCCCCCCTCTTCTTATCGCATTCGCTTCTTCCTCGCTTCACCCTCTACCTGACCTGAGGTCGATCTGTTCCCAAGCTATTATACCAACTTCTCTGGGCACTTACTGGATCATTAATCCAGTTGGTGCTGCGTGACGCCTATCGGCCTTATCAAAGCTTCCCCGCGTATCGAGAGCGCCTCCGCTCGAGATACGCCGTCCCAACCCCCCATCCGCCAGCAACCAGGATCAGCCCGTGCTGTGACACTGTATAGGTATGCACTCGGAGAATGGTAGCCCCTTCAGCCCGCAAATTGTCGTCCAGTGTGAATGAACCGCAACTGATGTAACAGACTGCAGCAGAACCGACCCCGCCTGTTGTACTTTCTCAGCTCGTCCCCCCGCCATCCGACGCAGACGGTGTGCACCCCTGTTCTCGGACCTCACCACAGGTCTTGAGAGTGGTGCTTCTGTGTTTTAGGACTCTTCCCGACCAGCCTCTCCTCTTGAGGCAAACGGCTAGTTGAATGCCCCCGGCAGCGCCTGACGATCTGATCCGCCAGCATAGCCGGTCTTTAGAAGACGAGCACTCCCTAGCTTCAGCCGTTCCAGCCCCCACCCCCATTATTCAGGAGCATGAGCCAAGTGGAAAGGGCAAGAAGAAGAAGAAGGGTAACAAGGCCAAGGGGGGCAAGGCAACCACCGAAACACCAGACGATTTGTAGGGCTTCGTCTTTCCCAAAGCGGAGCGCTGCTTGATAGCTGACATGGATGATAGAGTCCCTACATCGGCTCCTACTACGGAGGAGCCATCGTCGTGTCCAGATCCCTCACTGGACCATCATGCTCCTCCCATCGTAACCTCTCCCGCGCTCGACGCTCTCGGGTCAATCGGGGAAACTGCCGACAACGACCTCACCAGTCGGACAGATAGCTGGGCACAAGCAGTGCCCTATGGCAAAAGCCCGCCAACAGATCTGATGGATGGCGAGCTTCCCAACGAGTCTCCACTCAACTTTCCGACCATCCAGGAGCGTGGTGGTTTCAGTCAGCCCTCTTCGGCCTCGCCGCCGACTCGGATTCGACCGTTTAGTTACGGAGGTGGCTATCGGAGCAGTATGCAATCACGCCAGCAGTCGGTGGATCGACGCAAGAGTCATTCTTATGGCAGCCCAATGGGCAATCTGACCCCACTACCGCATCTGCCGCAGGCTCATTTCTATGGCGCCCCGGACATAGATCTTCCAACCCAGAATCGCGCCGCTGCCGATGGAGCCGCCTCTTTCTGCGGTTTCGATACCCTCCCAAGCATGTCGACCAAGACACCGCGGGCGGGATTGAATGTTCTCGTGGTCGGGTTGGACGGTGCTGTCGAGGTCCTTGCCGTTGACGATCGTCGAACTCGTCTGGTTGGGCAGATCACCGGCCTGAATGGCAGGGTCATCGAGGCAAAAATTCTGTCTGGGCACCCGTCTAATGACCCGCTTGCCTCATCTCAACCCCACGTTGCTCTGATCGTTCATGGCCCACTCCCACCCAATGAAGAGGAAGGTCGGGTGTCCGCAGCTGGCTCTGATATCAATGAGGTCCCCCCTTCTATGGTACGCGGCCAGTCAAGCGAGAGGCGATCAGGGAGAGGCGAAGCGCTCTTCTACCAGACCAGAGCTGAGGTGTATTCTCTCCGATCTGGTGAGCATATAACAACGCTGTTTGCCAGCAAACCTGTGCCATCGCCGGAGAATAGTCCGGGCCTTCCATCCTTGGCACCTGCGCCAGTGGGTAGCTTGAGACTCTACAACAGCGGCAACCATGTAATTGTTGCTTCTGGCGTCAGTGGAGAGGTTTATGTATTTAGCCATACGTTGACGGGTGTTTATCAATGTCTGGGGAAAACTTGGACTAATGTTCAGACCAGAGAAGCTCGGCGATACTCTACGTCGTCCAGCTCTACCGATGCCGATGGTTCCCACGAGGCACCTCGAAATCCAGCCACAGAGCGACCGATCTTGGCTGTTCAAGGAAGATGGTTGGCGATTGTCCCACCGTCCTCGTCCTACAGAGCCTCCATCCAGGGAACTGTTCCTCCAACTTTGATGCACACCAGAGCCCAAGGGATGGAAACTCGCAGCCCGCCAACCGTGCCGTCGGTAAACTGTGCGACTGATGTGGGCGAAGGAGAGAGCTTCCTCGATAGGGTTGCCAGAGGTGTCACACAGGAACTAGTTAGAGGTGCTCGCTGGATGGGTGACCAAGGGCTCCAGGCGTGGAACAACTATTGGAATAACCCTCAATCTCCGTCCTCGGGCACCCCACCACAGCGACCAACCCGGGGCCTAGAACCGCAGGTGCAGGGATATGGGCTGTTCCCCCCGACGCATGCCCAGGATACCCAGGCATCTTCGGCACCAGAGCCTGACGCGGTCTCCATTCTCGATCTCAAGCGATTCGATTATGGTATGGATGCAAAGGCAGCATCTCTCAACCCTGTGGCAACATTCCAGGTCCCTAATGGTTGCAGTTTCCTCTCTCTCTCTCCTGACGGATTGTTGCTCTTCACTGCAAGCAAAAAGGGTGATGTTCAATATGTGTGGGATCTGATGCAGCTCAAGCACTGCCGCGCTATGGCATTCATGGCCGACGACCAGAGTGGTCACAGCCCCAATGTGCGGCAGGTTGCTAGATATGCGCGATTAACCACATCGAGCATTGTTGATGTGATTTGGACGGCCCCAGTCGGTGATCGCTTGGCCATTATTACACGAAAGGGTACCATTCATGTTTTCGACTTGCCTCGGAGCGCATTCCAGTGGCCTCCGTTCCGTCGAGCTCGACCGTCTGCAATGAAGTCACCGAGTATTGACCCGGTGGGTGATGAACTATCAGGTCAAGCAGCGGCTGGAAATCCGCTGTCTGCGGCGATGACTTTCATGGGCGGCAAAACACAACCGTTCCTCTCAGCCGTCAGAGGTCGTGTCCAGTCTACTGGAGGTGGTTTCCCTCATGTAAGTGGATTCGCTCTGCCAACTGCGGCCAGCATCAAAGGTGGCAAAGTTGTTGCGGCCGGTCTGAGTAAATCCATGGGCGCAGCAGCTACCGGCACTGTCGCGACCCTCCGGCACGTTGGTGAGAACCGGCTTCATTTGCCGGGTCTTGCTCGAGATCCGGCTCCGTCTCGTGTGATTTGGATTTTCAATAAGGGTTCCATTTTCATGGGCCTGGTAGATGGGGGACAGTTCAAACTGTACCGTCTGAAGCGAAGCACCACTACCAACAAGAATCGTCAGTACTACTCTGTGATTGGAAGCAAAGAAATTCAGTTCAAATTGCCAGCCAATATGCAGAGCCCTTGTGGACCCGCACTTCTTGTGCCTTACGATCCTGAAAAGGTCGTCCAGGGGTCCCTTCTCTTACCTTCTGCCAGCTCCCAGCCTATCAATACGGGCAGGACCTTTTGTCAGCCGCTGTCCCAGGCTGAAATCGAGACCAACACGCCCTACCAACCATTCCACACAGATCAGCGCGTTAGCCTCCATGTCTACCCCACTGATAGCGAAGCACATGATCCTAGTGGTCAGTGGGTCTTTGGCGATAGTATCCCCACAACCAAGGTGCATGTGAGATCGTACAACAACAGCGGCGATGACCGAGAGGGCGACGAGGAGGAGAATTCTGCCATCTATGGTCACTCTTTGGGGGCCGGTGGAGATATGGAGAACCTCATCACCCTTGGCAATAGCACCGGCAATGTCGAGGAAGTGGTCATTACCACTCGCCGGAAGAAGAGGCACTCCACTCCACCCAAGGTGGATGACGGTTTCTTCGAAGATGACTGCGAGGTTCTTGACTTTGCGCGGGACCGGGTTTGATTCAGTTGCAACCCCTTTTCTTTGATTATTAACTTAGTGATTTAGAACTTGTGCTCGCGCGGCGTCGGAGATTTGCAACCGGAGTTTTTTCTTTATTGGTCCGCCCGATGCTTTCTCGATCAAATCATATCTATGAAATTGCATCACATACACCCTGGCTTGTGGACTTTTCTGCTTTTTTCTGTTGATATCTGGTTGTTCCGTTACCATCTTTTCGTTTCCTCTGGGGTTTTTTTTTCGCTCTTCGCTCACAGAAACCCAAATACCCAAACCTTGTACTGATTGTTTTGTTGCCTCTTGATAGACTGGAGGATATTTGATGATCTTCTTTTTCTTTTGCGTCTCTGCTTCTCAAGGCCCGTCTCTACCGCTAGGATTCACTCGTGCTGGCGTTTGGGGTTGGATCAGAATGATCTCTCGTCCTTTCTATGCTTTCATACCTGTCGAGCACTTACACTCGCTGGAAGCCTAGAACGGCTATACTATGAACATGAATCAATTAACTAGTGGGGCTACAACACCCCATGGTATTCCACATAGATGACACTTTCATTTTGTCCCCCTTGAGAGCCTTTTAGACCGTAGCAACTTCCATCTCCTCTTCCCACCAACCACGGAAAGTTTTAAGCCTCTCCGTCCGCACTTGTGCCATCTTCCGCCCAGTCTCCGTCTTCATCATCCCCTCGAGCCTCTCCAGCTTCTCCACAAAATGCTCAATGGAGTTGTTCATCTCCCACTTGCCATCCCCAGCAAACTTCTTCCCCTGCGCACCAAGGAAGGTGAAAGTTCGCCCGATGCCAATAGCGCCAATTGCATCCAGCCGGTCCGCGTCTTGCACAACTGCTAGCTCAGGATACCCCTGCTGATCAATCAACCGTCGAATCACAGATGGATCCTTGCACTCGGTTGTATACGAGACATGTGATACAACCATCTGCACTTTGGCGGCGAGCTCCGCCGGGGCACCGTGCTTGAGCAGCGCAAATTCCACCATGATCTTGGGGTCAAGTGTCGCTTCGGCTTGGTCGCCCGTTGCAGATGCGAGGCTTGGGAGGTATTTTCGGTCTCCAATGTCATGCAGCAGGGCTGCGAGCTTGACCACGACTGCGTCGAGCCTTGAGGCAGGGTGTAGCGCCTGCTCGGCTTCGAGGATGGTGTTCGCCAACGCAGCGACCCGGTGGACGTGGGCTGGATTGTGGGATGGATCGTGGCCGGACATGCAGGAGTCCACGAAGGCCGACATGGCGGTATATAGGGTCTGGAATTGCGCGCTGGTGGCCTCCATTTTGCTGTTGAGGTACCTAGTGGGGTCTGGGTGCTTCGTCTTGTAGGGGGTATGGAGCACGGCCCAGTTGGGAGGTCTATTTGGTGTTGCTGGAGAGCACGGCGCTAGGTGCTTAATGATCCAAGAAAACCCAAATGATATACCTCAGAGGAGTCTGTGCTGGGCAACTTTGTATACGCAGATGAAAATATATTGTCGAAATATGTGGAGTGGTAACTTACCACTAAGAACGGGCTTATTCATCAAGCGCCCAGGTTTCTTATGTTTTTGTATGTAATACTGGCTTACAGAGAAACTCAGGCTTTGTAACAGCCGAGTATCGGCCGCACGGACAGAAATACGTCCGTACAGCCAGGGGATAGCTATTCAACAGGCAATCCCCCTAATCTTCTATCATCATCAATCTGATCAATTATCTCTCGTCCCATTAGACATCTTTTATACTAGCCCATACAGAATCAGCCCATTCTGTCAGTTATGAGCCCGAGTGCACACTGAAGCATTAAGATATAATTAACGAAGACCGTTGCTCTGTATCTTGATAGTGAGAGCCTTCCTATCGCCGAATACCCCTGAACGACTATATAAAATCCTAGAAGAGATCAACAAGGACTCAGACTAGAGGAGACACCGTCAGGATCACGGCAAAAGATATATATAAAGATATCTGATGAGACTGAATCTCAAGTAATTCAACCTATCCTATAGGACTAGCGGTTAAGGACGAAGGCCTAGTGGAGGGTCTAGATTAGTCACTTTAAAACTAAAGCCATCGAAAACGACCTTTAGGAGTATCTTGACCCTGTAAAGATAGATGTAGAGATTAAAGAGCTTCTAAAGAAGGCTCCCCTGCCGCCGGTTAGCAAGATTAACAAGAATGCGACAGACGAAGTCGACCTCACCGATAATGAGTATAAGAAGTATATACGAATTCTCAACAGATACGACCGCGAAGAGGCCGAACGAGCGAGGACCGCCCGAGCCCTTAATAGGTTCAGTGATGCTATATCCCGTTCGTTAGCCGCAGAGCACCATTATATACTTATAGGTGTTATCTCTGCTCGCAAGAAGTTAGTAAAGCTAAGGCAGGAGTTCGTATAGAAGGAAGCCGACTGTATAGAAGACCTCTAAAGATAGTAGCGTTAAATACTAACGTACCCGTCTAATAATATATCTATCGATAAGTGGTTAACCGCCTAGACGTCTCTGTACGAAGAAGCTAAAGCTACGGGTGTACTAGATGTCTTATACGGTCTAACGCCTGCCAAATTCGCTATCAGAGACTTCCTCGGAGCCATCTAGGTCTAGGATAATCTCTTCTGTTCAACCTAGAGTGACAGATTAGAGACAGAGAATCCTACCTTTAGTAAGGTTATATCTGTATACCGTATACGACGAAGTCTACTAGAGCGTTTAGGAAAGGAAAGGGCTAGAAAGCTAGCTATATTAACGCTAGATAGCCAACCGGAGGTAACACCTAAGCAAGGAAACACTAAGGGTCAGCAAGATACCAAAAATTATCAGAAAGATAAGAAAAGGACCCCCTGTATATACGGAAGAAACTATCCCTAGAGATTCTGCTATTACATCGTCGAAAGTATTAGGCCAGACTACTAGAAGCTACGAGCCGAGACGGAAGAACTAGTCGCGAAGGCTATTAAGAAGCTTAGCAAATTCGACTAAGAGAAGATCGCGAAGATCAAAGAGGATGGAGGTACTACCTAGGCTACTACCTAGCTGGCAGTGACCGAAGAGAAACAGGGATCGATTAGGAGAGTAGCTATATATACAGCTAACGTATCCCGTTAGGTTAACCGAATAGCTAAGAGATATCCCCTTAAGGACTCTTAGATACTAGACTTAGGAGCGAACGTCTATATATATAACCACCGAGGGAGCTTTGAAAGCCTCACCGAGAAAGAATTCACTATTAAAACCGGTGACAGCGACTCTATTATTAAGGGTAGAGGAATAGCTATCCTCCGGTTAACAGACCTAAAGATAGGTAAGAAGCGAGAGGCAGTAGTAGAAGCGCTATACGTACCTAATTTCTATACGAATCTACTGTCCCTCGGCCGTATCAGTGAGAAAGGCTTCGAATTCCACAGTAGAATCCCCGCTATTATCAAGAACGAAGAGCCTATTAGAGCGTTAGAAAAGAGGCATAACCTCTATATCGTAGGAAACACCTAAGATAGACAGAAACTACCTAAGAGCACTCCCCTAGCGATGGTAACGGGTTACCCTAGGCACAGCTAAAAACCCCTTATATCCGTCGCTATACCGAAGCGATGGCATCAACGACTCGCCTATATATATAATCAACGGATCGAGAGGCTCTCGGAGATGGTCGATGGTATCGAGGTTAAGGGAGACACTATAGATAATGCAGAGTGTAATCCTAAGAGATATAAGGTCTATCAGCGCAATACAGCTAAGAGACAGATATCTAGGAGACCTATAGTAAGAGAGTATGTCTTTAGAAGATATAGAAGGATTTATTTCGACCTTATTTAGCTTACTACGGCCTATAACGGCCACTGCTGGATAACTTATATGTATATTAAGGGTATCCGGCTATATACGACAGTTTCTTACGAAAGAAAGAACGGCTGTTAATCGGCGATTATATACTTTATCGCCGTACTAGAGACATAGCTGAAAATAATAATCCGGGTGTTTAAAAGCGACTATAAGAGAGCGTCCGGAAAGACAGTAGACGATTTCTGTCTAGACAGAGGCATAATCATCGAACACAGCGTTATTAGAACGCCGGAAACGAACAGCCACAGTGAATAATCTAGGGGGTAATCATCGGAGTAGCTAGAGGGCTTCTTATAGAATTAGGCCTACCTAGAAACCTCTAGCCAGAAGCAGTCATAGCAGCGGTTTATATTATTAACAGATCGCCTACTAGGCTACCTAACGGCGAATAGATCATTCCATACGTTGAAGCGATGTACCAAGACCAGAATCGGCCAAAATTCCGCCTAAACCTATCGAACCTCCGTATGTACGGTTATAGAGCGTACGTACGCCGCTAGGGCGTCCCGAGGATAGCTAAGATAGAAGATCGTACAGAGATCGGCTATCTCGTCGGTTATGTAGCTTCTAATATATAGCGAATCTGGTTTCCGTACAGGGGAGCTGTTAGGGAAGCGCGCGACGTGGTATTTAATGAGAATGTCAAATTTGATCCCCGAGAGCTTCAGGTTAGACCATCCGACGATATCATCGATACCCTACCTTAGAATATTAGCCTTGATAAAGAGGAAGATAGTTAGCTAAATACACATAGTGAAGGGCTCGTAGAAGAAGTAACAGTCGTAGAATAAGACGCCCTACTAATACAAGATATCCCTTAGCCGAGTACGTTAACCGAAGAGACGACAGAAACTTAGAAGGACGGTTAGAAGGACAGACAGGCAGTCTATTAGACACTATCCCCTACACCGTCGGTAACGCAGGAAGCGTCGTAGCTAGCAGAGATCTCTATATCTCTAACACCGGATGCACCGCCAGAGGCGAGCCCGCTAGGGGCATTTCTAACTGAATTTCGTCAAGAGACCCCTAATAAACAGCTTCAGGATAAGCTCTAAGAATATATAACACTAAGAGCGCCCAGAGATATCGACGGGACGGTCTTACAGACTAATATCGTTACGGGCATACGCCAGAGAAGGGCTCCGCAGGATTATAGCTATCTCGCAATAATACAGGACCCTAATAAAAATCACGACGGAGTGTTAGCCGTATATATAACTAGCTTGAACCCTCCCTAGCCGTATCAACGGCTATACCAGGACGACTTACCTCCTGTACCTATAAATTAGCTAGAGATAATAAAACACCTACACCGTGATGTATTTATCGCCGCGGCATCGCTAGAAGTCAAAACGCTAGATAGAAAAGAGATATACTAAGAGATCGACCGCCTAACAGACCGAGGCATCTAGATCTTACCATTAAAATAGGTCTTTACGTACAAATTCGACAGTGATAGATTCCTAGTAAAGCATAAGGCTAGAATCTGCGTACGTAGAGACCTCTAAGCCGTTAGCAGTAACGAAAAATACTCAGCAACGTTGGCAGCACGGACAGCGAGGTCCGTCTTCGTACTGGTAGCTATATTCGACCTAGACATCTATCAATACGACGCCGTCAACGCATTTCTGAATAGCCTACTAGATAAAGAGATCTATATAGAACTACCTCCTGGACTATTCCCTTAGGGGAAGAAGAAGAGAGTCTGGAGGCTTATGAAGGCCCTATATGGCCTACGGAAGTCTCCTAGGCTATAGTAGCGTAAGGCCTCTCGGGTGCTTACCTCCCTAGGTCTCCGCGTCGTCTAGGAAGATCTTTATCTCTTCGTCGGTAACGGAATCATTGTATTCTTCTATGTCGACGATATTATCACTATTAACTACCCTATAAAACGGACAGCCGCAGATAACCTACGGAAGAAGCTCTGTGAGGCATAGGAACTGAGGGAAATGGGTAAAGCGCAGTAGTTCTTAGGGATACGCATCCTTAGAGATCGCCGACAGAAGGCGCTTTAGCTATATTAAGATTCCTACATCTCTTTAATAGCTAACCGATATTATCTTACCGAGAGCCGTAGGTATAATACCCCCCTCCCCGAGACGACGATGAAGCTATATAACGGTGTAGCTATACTAGAGTAGATTTATTAATACTAATAGAAGGTTGGGTCTGCCTAATATACTACTATAATCAGTCGACCAGATGTGGCTAAAGCCACTAGAGGTCTGGCTCAGTTTCTGACGAACCCTAGGCCTAAACACCTCTACGCTATCGATCGAGTTATCTCCTACCTCTACTAGACGAAATCTAGGGCTATTATATACCGTACACCCTCGTATCCGTCCGAACCATACAGAGAGATAGCGGAGGTGCAGATCTTCAGTAATACATCCTTCGCTGATAACCATAACCGGAAGAGCTCGGAGGGATATATCTATATGATATATAGTAGACCGGTTAATTAGAAGGCTTCTAAACAGACGACCGTTACTACTAGCACCACCGAAGCTAAATTATTAGCGATCTCATCGGCAGGGAGATCGCTATGTATGTAGACTCGCTTATTTAAAGCGATTAATTACCTGCCAAGTCAACCCGTCGCCTTGAGATGCGATAACCAGCAGACTGTCGGTCTGTTGACTAAGGAAACACCTTAACTACGCACCAAGCTTCGTCACGTCGATATCTACTACCACTAGCTTCGTCAGGAAGTTCAGGCCGGTAGAATACTAGTACAGTAGGTACCAACGGGCGATATAGTGGCCGATGGGCTTACTAAGCTGCTGCCTAGGCAAAAATACACTGAATTCGTTCATTCAATGGGTCTAGAGGATATTAAACGGCTATTAGAAGCTTCGTATACCTAGGTAAGATAGGCTACGCGCAGATTAGGCGAAATTGGCCGCTTGCTGAGGGGGTGTGTCGAAATATGTGGAGTGGTAACTTACCACTAAGAACGGGCTTATTCATTAAGCGCCTAGGTTTCTTATGTTTTTGTATGTAATACTGGCTTACAGAGAAACTCAGGCTTTGTAACAGCCGAGTATCGGCCGCACGGACAGAAATACGTCCGTACAGCCAGGGGATAGCTATTCAACAGGCAATCCCCCTGATCTTCTATCATCATCAATCTGATCAATTATCTCTCGTCCCATTGGACATCTTTCATACTAGCCCATACAGAATCAGCCCATTCTGTCATATATATTCGTGTAGGCGAACCAGCGGAAACTTTGTTCCCCGCAGTAAACAACGCGTCGGTTGGCGGTGAACGTCGCCGTTGAGTTTCACACATGACCATCTATTTCCCCTGCATCGTTCCCTGCCGAGCCAGTGCATATTCCAATCCTCGAGGATACCCGTTCGTCCGTCACCCATCTCCATGTTGGGAAGCAGTCCAACATGTGGGCTGTGATCAGCGGAATGCGACAGCTGGAGGCCGATCAATGCGTTGATTTTAATCCGTGGAGTGCTACGTTTTAATACTTCCCGAAAGAGCGAGAGTTGGAAAGTTTGGGCACGAACAATGATTGGTATTCGCATCGAAGATTATTATTCATATGTCATTCACAACAGGTCCTCAATCCAGAACTAAAATTAGGTATCATCGATACTATCACACAGGTGAAAAGAAAGCAAAGAGGTTGCGCTGGGCACCAGTCATGGTCTTGAAGAGACGCGAAGGTCGCGTCGTAGCACATCCAGGATCAAATGTGACCCAAATTGATGTTCGCATGCTTACAGAGCAAAGGCAGCGAGCACCAGGCCAAACAGCCCAGCGCCGGAGGCACCCAGCTTGACGTTGGCGGCGGCACCGGTAGACTGAACGGCGCCAGTGGAGGTGCCTGTGGCAGAGCCACTCGTGCTGCTGACACCCTTGTTGGCTGTAGAAGTAGAAGCGGGAGTAGTTAGTGAGGCGTTCTCTGGCAGTGACCTGTGAATATGGTGAGAGGACGTACAATTGGAGCTGGATGAGCCGGTCTCGGTGGCAGAGCTGCCGGAGGCAGTAGTGCCCGAGGAGCCAGACGAAGCAGTGTTGGTGGCAGCAGCAGCGCCGGTGGCGGGGAAGAAGTGGGAGTTGAAGCAGTTCTGCTCGCAATCGGCGTACTTCTTGGTGTCCGCGGCCGAACCGGAGCCCTGGGGGCAAGCGGCGACGCAGCTGTTGGTGTCGTTGGCCTGGTTTTCGCTAGGGCAGGGGACCTTGTAGCACTCGGCGATGCAGCACAGGTCTTTGGCGTCGCCTGTGAGCAGATACATTAGAGAAGAGTAGAACTCTGATGTATTCAATCAGGACTTACACTTCTTTGCGCATTGGACCTCTGCGCTCACAGTGGTAGTCGAAGTTTCCGCGGTGGTAGTGTCCGCTGCGGCGGCCAGGGCCAGCAGGGCAGAGAGTGCGAACAGGTTCAGCTTCATTTTGAGATGTGGAGGTAATGTGAAAAATAGAGGAGAACAGGTAGTGACTGTAGCTAACGAGTGACAGAAACTAGGACAGGGACAGAAGAGGGAGGAGTGAGAAGAGGAAGTGAAAGAAGTTAAATAAAGGCCGCGGTTGAGCTTGCAGGGTCACGCCCTGGCATGTTTGGACGACTGCTGGGACTGCTGGGCCTGCCGGCTGCTTGGCCGTCGATTCCTCCCTCTAATCAAAACTCATGGAAAACCCCAGTCCAAAAAAAAGACCCAACCCAACAGTGGCACGACTTCTCATTTGCTCGGTCTCAGATTGACTCCGCGAGAGCATCGGACTTTTTCTACCGGTTTCTGTCCCAGGAGGTCCATCTTTCGACTAATTTCCTGCTACCAGTGCCGCAGTCGGCAGGAGACCTCTGCCTTGCTTCCTTTGAAGGGTTCCCTTTGGAAATTGGGGACCGATCCTGCCCCCCTTGAAGCCCTTGAAGAGATTGGGGAGAGGGGGGAATTGCCGCTAACGTTGACGCTAAACAGCGTGCCGCAGGACCCTGACGGCGCCCCAGTGGATCTGCCAAATCTGGGGTCGTCGGCCAATTTGTCTGTGCCACATCCCTGATTGCTGCTAGGCTTGCTAGGGTACCTAGGTGTCTGCTGGCAGACTTTTGAAGATCAATTATTGGACTAGCCACATCCCGCTAGCGCCTCCTGCGAAGCAAGGAACCCTGTTTTCTTCGGACTTGTTTTTCCTTTGTGGGTTGTATAGAGCTGATCGGACGATCACCGGTAACGGGGACTGCAACGCCTTCGAGCGCCGATGCGGGACACTGATCATAGTACCCTGGAGTATCAACTAGCAAGAAATTAAGCAACCTTAATTCTATGGATCGGCTGCAATGGTAATGGCAATTGAACTACCTGTCCAACGTTCCTCGGCCGAGTACTTTCGACTTCGTGCAACCGCAAGACAAACCATGCAAACAGCCTATTTGGATCACCTGACTGCGCGACTCTTGCGACGCGTTGGCATCGCAAAAGTATACGAACAGTGTACAGAGCAGGCCGAGCAGCGCGCTGCTCTACTCCGGCGCCATGTCCGCAATAGACTCAGAGTCGGACTATTTTGACGATGACTTTGTCGTCCCCGACCCTCCGGGGATCGCGTCACCTCGCCCAGCAAAACGCCGTCGCGTCCAACCGCCGACACCCTGGGAAGATGACGATCGCGATAGCGCTTCCCGGACTGACTCTTTCTCGGACATAGACGAAGATATCCCACGTTATCGTGACCTGTCTACAGATCACGATCAACAAGCGCGATCCAAGTCACGTAGCTTCGTGCCCAAACAAAGCAATTTCCAAGATAACATCTTCGTCACTCAACTCACCCAACCCGACTCAAGCCCTGAACGAATACGCGGCCCTCGATGGAAGAAACCGGCTCCTGAGTCGGCCTTGTCCGAGATTTTGTGTCCGCCGCAGGTGAACGGGATCAATGGCACAACCGGGCAAGCCAATAATAATAATTACTACGACGACGAGGAAGGTCTGAGAGCTGCTCTGGCTGCTTCGCTGGATGCATTCGAGGAGGAGAAGACCATGCATGGAGCGGCAAATTCGACTTTGTTACAACGTGATGTTTTGCAACGACCGCAGCCTGCCAAGGAGGGCGGCAGGACCACCTCGATGGACACCTCAATGGAGGCCTCGTTTGAGCTGGAGGACATCCCTGAGGACGCGTTCGATTCCTCTCCATCGTTGTCACCGGTATCACGCCCGGCACATCTGGCAATCCACCAGTCAAGCTTTTCGCGACCCTCAAACAGACCTCAATACATGCGACAAATGACTCTCTATGGCATGGCTGCACAGAACCAGGAAACCATACCCCGGGAACAAGATTGCATGCCACCAGAGAAAGAGGAGCGTCCGACCCACCACAAGTTAAACCAGGACTCATTGAATACATGGTGGTACCCCACCAATTTGGGAACCATTCGTGATTATCAGTTCAACATTGCCCAAAAGGGCCTGTTCCACAACGTGCTTGTCGCCTTGCCGACTGGGCTGGGAAAGACCTTCATTGCCGCAACAGTCATGCTCAACTGGTTTCGATGGACGAAAGATGCACAGATGGTCTTTGTGGCGCCGACAAAACCCCTCGTCTCGCAGCAAGTGTCGGCATGCCTGGATATTGCGGGTATCCCACGATCACAGACAACAATGCTTACAGGAGGTGCTGCGCCTGGAATTCGTGCAGAAGAGTGGCAGGCCAAGCGGGTGTTCTTTATGACACCGCAGACCCTAATCAATGATCTGAAGACCGGAATTGCAGACCCCAAGCGAATTGTGTTGCTAGTTGTTGACGAAGCGCACCGTGCTACTGGAGGTTACGCTTACGTGGAAGTGGTGAAATTTTTGCGACGTTACAACCAGAGCTTCCGAGTCCTGGCACTGACAGCCACTCCCGGTTCCACAGTGGAATCAGTGCAAGCTGTCATTGATGGACTTGACATATCACGAGTCGAGATCCGCACCGAAAATTCCATCGATATTCGCGAATATGTACATGCCCGCGATATCGAAATTGAGACGTTTGAGAACTCGGATGAGATGATCTTTTGCATGGATCTCTTGTCCACCACATTACGGCCGCTGGTCGGCCAACTTCGAACTTTGAACGCTTACTGGGGAAACGATCCGATGAGTCTAACTGCGTTCGGTCTCACCAAGGCAAGGCAACAGTGGATGGGGTCCGACGCGGGCCGCAATGCCAATTTCGGGCTGAAGGGCAAGGTTAATGCGATCTTCACCGTTCTTGCCAGTCTGGCCCATGCCATTGACTTGCTGAAATATCACGGAATCGTACCGTTCTACCGCCACATTCTGCATTTCAAATCCAATACCGATGGACAGAAGGGAGGGAAATGGCAGAAGCAAGTCGTGCAAGATGAGAGTTTCAAAAAGCTCCTTAGCCATCTTGATCCTTGGACCAAGAACCCGGAATTCATTGGACATCCTAAACTCGAGTATCTCAAGTCCGTGATTTTGAACCACTTCATGGATGCGGGTGAGGGAAAGGAAACTGCGGATAGTAACGGTCGACCCGCTACAAGAGTCATGATTTTCGTGCATTTCCGTGATAGCGCTGAAGAAGTGACAAGAGTCCTCCAGCGCTATGCACCTATGATTAGACCGCATGTCTTCGTGGGCCAGAGCTCCGCCAAAGGCTCAGAAGGAATGGACCAGAAGACCCAGCTGCAAATCATTGAAAAGTTCAAGGGAGGAACTTACAACACTATTGTTGCCACGTCGATTGGTGAAGAAGGTTTGGATATCGGTGAGGTCGATCTCATCGTTTGTTACGACTCGTCTGCATCGCCAATTCGCATGCTGCAACGAATGGGCCGAACGGGCCGCAAAAGAGCAGGCAGGATTACTTTGTTGCTGATGAAGGGCAAGGAGGAGGACAACTACACGAAAGCCAAAGACAATTACGAAAAGATGCAGCAGATGATCGCCAGCGGGACTCGGTTTACTTTCCACGAAGATCGGTCTGCTCGCATTCTGCCTGCAGGGATTCGTCCAGTGGCTGACAAGCGGCGAATCGATATTCCTCCAGAAAATTCCCAGCAAGAGCTACCCGAGCCAAAGCGAAAGGGAAGAGCGCCCAAGCGGCCCCCAAAGAAATTTCACATGCCTGACGATGTCGAGACGGGGTTTACTCGGGCTTCGACCCTCGAGGAGAGCTTCGCCAAGATAAAAAGGAAGACGACGCCCAAGAAGCGACCTCGCACACCCACGCCGGAGCCAGTAGATGTACCGCTCTTGGAGGAGGTCTTTCTATCCGCAAGCGAGCAACGGGAGCTGGAGCATCACTACCAGAACATTGGCGATACCTCGCCGCAATTCATTCGCTTCCCGCGCAATGATGCATTTCCGCACTTGCAACTCGTTGCCAGACCTACTAAGACTGTCAATCATGGCTCTCTCACCCGACGCATGATCACAGCCCTGCAAAATATGGACAAGTCTGGTCCTGACTGTGAAGATCGATATAGGCAGATCTTGGCATGGGAGTCTGAGAAAGCTGCTAATAACACCGGTCGGCGCCCAGGTGCTACTGTGAAACAGCCACGTAACCACAAAGGAACGAGGCCATCGAAGAATTCTGGGCCTCGCCGATCTTCGGCATCGGTAGCTCCTGACTTTGAAGACGACCTCGGAATCTCGGCATTGATGTCGCCCAATCTTTCCGACCCTGAACCCAAACCACAGCAACTGCCTTCCAGACCAATGGAAAGTGAATTCGACGACGGCTCCGACTTCGATCTTCCAGATGCAAGTTTCCTCTTTGAACCGAAACCCAAGCCCCATCCCCAACCCCGGAGAACAAACCGGGCGATTCTCTCTGACAGTGATGATTGATGAACACCCAATCCTTGGATTACCTTATTAGACTTGATTTTTTTTGGGCATTCTGGCACTACTGAGAAACTATTCAGATGTACATATGTAGATAAATTTGAAATTGGGTGCATCCCTTGTAAAAGTTTCATCTTTGTACCGTTATTGTCGGTACATTGCTCACCGATATAGACTGTTGTTGCTCGTGCCACGCCGGCCGCGGAAACACCCACGCACCTTCGCCCTGTCAACACCGCCGTTCGGAGACCAGATCAGAGTATACACAAGCACACCCCTGCCACACCATGGCTGACGCACAATTCGATAGCGCGCTGTAAGTATCTGGCCTATAACCAGCCCATTCTCAATCCCTAAGTCTTTCCCCTGGCCATGATGCCCAGCATGGACAATGCAAGGCCGTGCCGCAACCCCGCCCCGACTGCACGGCGAACCCGCGAGCTGACCACCCCGATCCCAGCGACCTGCTTCGGCGCCTGAACCCGCGTGACACCAAGGCAAATCTGCAGTCCATCACGTCCATTGTCCCCGACCTGACCGAAGACCTCCTATCCTCCGTTGACCAGCCCCTGGAGATTCGCCGCTGCCCGCGGACCAGCCGCGACTACCTGCTTTGCGACTACAACCGAGACGGCGACAGCTACCGGTCACCGTGGAGCAATGAGTTCGACCCACCTCTTGAGGATGGCACAGTGCCCAGTGAGAGGGTGCGCAAGCTCGAGGTTGCGGCGAACGAGGCGTTCGATGTTTACCGGGAGCTCTATTACGAGGGGGGTGTTGGAAGCGTGTACTTCTGGGACTTGGACGATGGGTTTGCCGGTGTGATTCTGCTTAAGAAGGGTACGGTGACTGGACGACTCAGGCTGGGCTTGTCCTGGAATAATTATTGGGGCTGACTGTTCAATCGTCCAGGGGTGACTGCCGGTTCCCAGAGCTCCGGTGAATGGGACAGCATTCACGTCTTCGAGGCTACTGACCGGGCGCGCATGTCCCACTACAAACTCACCAGCACCGTCATCCTCCACTTGGCCAACGAGACTGACGCCCTTGGCGAGATGGACCTGAGCGGCAACATGACCCGCCAGATCGAGGCCGATTTGCCTGTCGAGTCGGACGCGAGCCACATTGCCAACGTGGGCAGACTGGTTGAGGACATGGAATTGAAGATGCGAAATTTGCTACGTAAGTGGTTTTCTCTTTCAATTTAGAGAACAATTTAGAGTCGATTTGCTGATACGGACTGTGTTTTCCAGAGGAGGTTTACTTCGGAAAGGCCAAAGATGTCGTTGGCGAGCTGCGGAGTAAGTCGCAGTCACCCTACACTTGATACACACAGTACTGACTGGTGGCTACTTAGGTCTGGCGGCGCTCTCGGAGACCAATCGGGACCGGGCGACACAGCTTGAGATGATCAAGGGCATGCAGAAGTAACCTTTTCCTAGTTCTGTCTGTTGCCGGGTGGGCAAGGTTGAAAGTGGCTCTGGGAGCCCAAGATCGACAGCCTGTTGCTGCGTTCTTTCTTTGCATAGCTTAGTTCTGTGAACATTCGTGGATAGCCATCCATCTACAGTCGATATTGATACAACGAAGGGCCCCAGGTGTAAATCATTGTTTGACGTTTTCTCCAAGCTAGCGCCTCCTGTAACCGGGGTATCATTGAAAAAAAAGGCATGAAGTCATCCATCTCCTGCTCTTGTCTATTCTACTCTCAATCGACCTGCATCATCTCGGACTCGCCCACTTGCTTGGCCGAGCCATTCTGCCCACCGGGCGACTTGCCCAACTGCTCCACAAACCCTCGTGCTGCAGCCCACAATTCGGCCTCCTTATCCTTCCCGACCGTATCCTTCCGGCTGTTCAGCCAGCTGATATCCAGAGGGTTGGCAGCACCGGACCCAGAACCCGTTCCTGCGCCAAGCCCGCCGGCGCCGGTGCCTGTTGCATCACCGGTCCTGGAGGCCGTCTCTGGTGCAAGCAGGGAAGCTTCTTCAAGGGCATAGACTTGGCGGCGTAGACGGACATCAATGGAGGATAGGAGGGAGAAGTATTGTGTGGTGGCTTCTTTGAATTGGATTTTGTGGGATTCGAGGGATCCGTCCGAAGGGGCGGAGGGGGAGTCTGGCTTCGTGTTGGTGAGTGCTTGGATAGCGAGGCCAGCTGATTGAATCAATTTTGCAACATCCTGTATAGAGCAGTGCGTTAGCATGTCAGTCTAGGGGACCTGCTGCAGGGAGATGTCCAAACGCCACCATACCTGGTCAATGTCAATTAGTTGCCGGATGCGATCCGCAGACGTGAAGGTTTGTGAGGAAGGTGCCTCTTCGCTCATTTTGCCAGGAATCCCAAGAGACCTTTGCAGCAGAGAGATCTCAGGCCCGTGCTTAGACACTCTAAATGCACGGCTGACCCGCTTGTGTGATTGAGTGAATGGCGATTGACATCTGGAAGCTCCCGCATTGGCAGCACTCAATATCACGTGTGGAATCCGGGGAGCTTATTCAGCCTAGCAACAGCCCGCCTTGCCAATATCAAATTCATCCCGACTTTCACCATCAATCTCTCCTTCGTGCCCCTCGCTTGTCATCTTCTCTTCTTCGCGCCCATTGGGATCTTCACCTGGCATTCTCTGGACATCTCCCATCGGATCAATCGCTATGTCCGCGCCAGGTGGCGCCCCCAGCCCTGCGCCGCGCAGCGGCAGCATGGGACCCGGCGCAAATGGAGGCAATATGCCTATGTCGTCGCAACAACCAATGTCTGGAACCCCTGTCCATCATCCACCTACTCCCGGCCCACCGCCGCCGCAGAGTGGTGCCATGTCACAACAGAATCTCAATCAGATTGTAAGTTGCATCTCCATGACTCCATGCCCTGCGTATCCTGGCATCCCGCCCCGGAGCAATGGTACTGCTTTTTCGACGGTTTTGCGTTCTGCATTTTGGTCTTTGTCTGTACCTTCGAGAGGAGATTCAACTGGGTCCTATATTCAAACTGTGTCTGCTGGTGCCAGCCTGGGGTACCACTTTGAACTGAAGTGGGAGCATGTGATATATGGACGTGGACGATGAAGAATGAGAGCCGACGGTGCCTGTGGAGGTCTGAGTGCCTTGTCAACTTGTGCAGTTGCCAGCCCGAGTGATCCTGGAAAGGTCCCTTCCATATTAGGCAGGACCTCTCATCCATCGCTCATCATCAGGCACGTGCTGCCCGCAAGTCTCGTCAACTCGCGGTCTGTTTGCTCAGAACCTTGTTCACTTTTCACATTCGTCTACCCTTATTCATATCTCGACCAACGTCCACTTCCTTTGAGTCCTATGGCTCGATCAAAGAGTCGCCGCAAGCCCGGGGGGGGGGATGTCTGTGACGAGGAATACTATCCCCCCGGATCGAGCCAATCAAACTCAACCGCACTCAAGCCCTCTGCCAGGAAGCGGCCTCGGCATCGTCCTCCTGCTGGGAAAAGGGGACATGGTCCTCCTACTCCAGGTCCCGAGGTACCCCGAGCTTCCGCGAGGACTGCACCTGCTGAGAGGGCTGCGCCTGCCGGGAAGACTCCAGCTATTCAGGGCTCTCAATACTCTCACACCGGCTTGCAATATGTCTCGAATAGCTCTCTCATGGACCAAGCACTATCAGTTGCGTCTCGGGCTAGTCTCAAGCTGCTGGGCCAGAACCCCCTGGGACCGGATGCAGTCTGTTCAATTGCAATTTTTTTTCTGGCACTGATGCGTTAGTAGCTAATCCAGCGCTCTTCCCATAGGTCATTGATTACCTGGCCAAGAAGGGCTACAGCCGTACCGAGGCAATGCTGCGCATGGAATCTGCAAATCAAGAAATTGATGGCCGCCCTCTCCCTCCTCTTGGAGAAGACGCCCGTCCTAAGTTTAGACAGGGCTTTGGTGAGCAGTCTTTGAGGAGTGTATTGGTGGGACAGGCATGCTTACCCAACCTTTAGATCTACTCAAGACTTGGGTTGAGGAGAACCTCGATTTGTACAAAGTGAGATGGCCCTGTCTTTTATCATAACCGGACCAGAAGTTGCTGACAATTATCTAGCCTGAGCTTCGTCGTGTGTTGTGGCCACTCTTTGTTTATTCGTTCCTGAATATGGTCACGTCTTTCTACCCCCAAGATGCGAAGCAGTTTTTTGAGTCCAACAAGAACATGTTTCTCCCCGAGCACACGGACGATGTCCGTGTTTTTGAGCCCATCAGCCTGCCAGAGCACGTCCAGGCCAATGACACCGCCAAACTTTATCGAACCAACAAGTACCGCATCGTCCTGAGCAATCCTGCGTACACCAACCTCTTGCAATTCCTGGAAAGCAAGGAGAAGGAGGGAGGCTCCGTCATGAATGCCATTCTGAGCAGCTATTGCACCATCAAGACTATGGACCGTGCTGCTGACGATCGGTTCAGCTTCGCTGCCATGCTGGGCCAGATCGGGGCAGGTCAGACGTTCCCCTCCGAAGATGAAGGTATTCCCGGCCACCATCCTGGCTCGGCTTATACCGGAGATAATCCGGCCATGGCTGGAACCCTGCCAAGACTTAGGCTCGGAAAGATGCCTATGGAGCAGACTTTGGAAGAAGATGTTCGTGCGGAACTGGCCGATGAAGATGCGAAAGACGCCCCTGGCCCGGGCCGGCACACACTTGTGCAGGAGTTTGAGCAGATGATCAAGAAGGAGGAAGATGAGGAGGCGCCAACGCGCGCTGACATCCCTTTCCCTCCATCCACTGCTCGCGATGTCGCGATCGAATGCATGAAGGTTAAGGAGAACCGAGATCGGTACAAGATTGAAGGCCGTACTGGTGGTGTGGGCCCTGGAGTCAGCGTGTGCATGTTTACTTTCCACAACACCTTTGATGGGTGAGTTACTTTCTTCGTCCACGATACCTAGATTACGAAGTACTGACACTGTTAGCATCAACTGCCTGGACTTTTCCGATGACAACCTGCTTGTTGCTGCTGGATTTGCCCAGTCTTACATCCGGGTTTGGAGTCTTGATGGGAAAAACATTGAGGCGGCCTATCCGGAATTAGATGATCTTCCTCCGGCCAACTCTCGACGCCTCATCGGACATTCTGGCCCTGTCTACGCGGTTGCTTTCCCTCCTTGCGCAACAAAGGCCGATAATGTTTCCAGTGAAGATTACGTTCCTACCAATGCTCGGTTCCTTCTCTCCTCCTCAGCGGACAAGACGATCCGGCTGTGGTCTCTGGATACCTGGCAATGCATGGTCGTTTACAAGGGCCATGACCGCCCCGTGTGGGACTTGCGCTGGGGACCTTTCGGCCACTACTTCGTATCTGCCGGCTCTGATCGCACTGCCCGTCTCTGGGTCACCGACCACATCCGCCAGCAGCGCATCTTCGCCGGACATGACCAGGATGTGGATTGTGTTTGCTTTCATCCAAACTCCGCCTACGTCTTTACTGCTAGCTCCGACAAGACAGTACGCATGTGGGCAGTCACCACTGGAAATGCCGTGCGCATGTTCACTGGCCACACGGGCAATGTGACTGCTATGGAGTGCAGTCGCGACGGCAAGATTCTGGCTTCGGCAGATGATGCCGGTTCGATTTTCCTGTGGGATCTTGCTCCAGGCCGTCTCTTGAAACGTATGCGTGGTCATGGGAAAGGTGGTATCTGGTCCCTCAGCTGGAGCGTTGAGTCAACTGTTCTCGTCTCTGGTGGTGCTGATGGGACTGTCCGCATCTGGGACGTCGCTAGTCCCCAGGATGCCAGCCAGGGACGTGTGATCGGCGAAGGTGGTGCCGGTACTAAGCTTGACTCCGGCAATGCCCCCACAAGCACTGCAGGTCAAAGCAAGAAAAAGAAGGGCAAGGATGTCGTTGTCACCCCAGATCAGATCAGTGCTTTCCCGACTAAGAAAAGTCCTGTTTACAAGGTCAAGTTCACCAACATGAACTTGGTTGTTGCGGGCGGTGCGTATCTTCCATAGATGGGCACACTCATTTACTTTGGTCCTTACACCTTGTCGACACTTTCTCATATTCCTCGGCGCAAATACCCCGGTTTCTTCGGAATCCTTCCTTCTTCGATTTGATCATGATTGGCTTTAGAATCTTCCCACCGCCATTTCTTGTGGAATCTGGTGGCGTTTAGAATCTGAAATCCGATTCTCTCTGGTGTTATGGCATGGTGGCGGCGTGGACATTACTTCGGTCTGTTTTATTAGCCGTTAAGGCTGCTTACTTTTTCAAAATGCCTTCTTATTTTTATGTATCTAATGGATTCACCTTGACTGGTCTGCGGACTCTATATGGCCGCTGCGATTTTGCGAGTTGACCCTTTTCGGAATGGAATGGATGACTTACGAAGTGCAACGACATATGCGACTTCTGTGGACCTTCGTCAGAGGTAGAATCATCAGCCATTCCAGCCTCGGAAAACTTCACAAACGTTAATGTTATTCGATTCACTCGTAGCTGTAGACATAAGAATATAGGTATCTACTGTGGCGACCACTTGTACGCGATGCATGCATCGTTCGTCTATCAAATATGAGCTTGCGTCTCCAAAAGCCTTAACTCGCTCATCAAATTGTACACTTGGTGCTACTTCGAAGGTCCCTTCTCGGAGGCGCCAGCGCCTTTCTTCATCGCAGCTGCAGCCTGCATATCAGCCACCTTGGGAGGTAGTACCAACGCACTGCGATCATTTCGTCTATAAAAATCAGCCAACACCTGCGCTGTCTTGGCCGGTTGGTCTTCCTGAATAAAATGCCCAGCTTCCGGGAAAACTTGAAGCTGATATTTTCCTACCATGGGCAAAAGGAAACCGATATCAGCATGGCTCTGGCCAAAGAAAAGAAAAGCATCATGCAGGTACCTTGCATCTGTCCAATCATCAATTCTTTATCCAGTCGATCCGTTCCTGCCAGCAGCAACAGCTTTCCGCCCCGTGCGTCCAAAAATTTGCGACTCAGGCCTACAAACCAATTCTCCCAGAATGGCTTCGTGGCGGAGAGATTGGTGCGCCACACCCAAGGGCGTGACGCGTCGATTGGCTCGCTCTCCTCATATATTAAGGACGGGACAGACACTCGAGCCGAGGTCGTATTTCGGATGGTGCGGGAGCGAGTACTATGAAGTCTTTTAGCACACGGACAGAGAGGTCGGGGAAACCACAGGCAGAGGCGCTTACTGCCACTCAATTCCTGATGCTAGAGAAGGGAAACGGATTGGCCGGGTGGAGAGATAATTCTCCATACTTTGCAGAGCGTCCATGGCAGATCCTATGAAGCCCGTCAGCATCGGATTGGTTCACTGCGTGGACTGACCGAGAGGGAAAGGAAATATCTACCTTCCACGACATCTAGCACGGCATATGCCAACAACTTCGAGCCAAGTTCACCTTTCTTGGCCACATCAGTAATAACTGCACCCCCAAGGCTGTGCCCGACAAGCACGATATCCGGGGGATTTTCCCACCTCATTTTCGCCTGGGTCTCCCGAACAATAAAGACGAGGTCTCGACTTAATGTCTCCAAACTCAGGTCGAGTTCAATCCTGCCGTCGGTCTCGGCCTGAGCAGCAGATCTAGTGGAGGGGCTTTCTTGGTCAAGCTTCTCTGATTTGGGAGTCATAGTGGTACAGCCGTGGCTTCTTGCGTCAAGGGACAAGACACCCGCGTTCGGCAGGATCTTCCGGAGCTCATCTGCGCAGGTTGCAAACGAGAGACCAGACGAGCCCGCGCCATGATGCATAACAAAAAGGGGACCTGATCCTGTTGGAGGCGTTAGATACACATGGTGAATGATGTGGATCTCGTCGATATCTTCCGGTAGGAACAGCTCCTGGGCGAAGAAGTCTGTCCAAGGCAGTGATTGCGATGATTGCCTGAGGTAGTGGGTTAGCTCAATCCCTCGAGAAAGCATGTTCGACTCCATGCAAGGCCATTTGCAGCTTTTCAGGTGACAGCTAGAGAGGGCAGGTGGCACACGTACCCGCCGCCCCTACGGGCAAATAGATTTCTTGTGGGCGACGGCATTAGAGTTCCGGTCGAAGAGACCGAGGAGGCGGAGGAGCTCTCCTCATCGCGATATCCTTCTGGGATGTCCATTGAGTCGTAGATCGGTGCTTCCGAGGGAAGCTTCGCCAACTTGGACTTGGCAAAGGACTTCTGGAGCTCACTCATGAGATATAAGTGGGGGTAGCCGTCCCCGTCGATCCGAAATGGTGTTAACAAGAAGTCGATGATGTTACGCGAGATCAATTCTTGTCCCACCAGACTTGCAAAAATATGCAGAAAGAGAGACCTCTGGGAGACGTTTTCGAGCGAAGCTTTCGAGGTTGGAATTATCCTACTGCGTTAACCACACCACATGGCGTTTCCCTGCGGGCTAATCCCACTATTGCTGACTAAGGGACCCGGTATGGTCTCAAGGGAGCAAGGAAAAAAGAAGAGAAGAGAGCAGACCACCAGTTACAATAGCAAATGGCAGTTGCGGTGAGCATATCTGATCTGATCTACAAAATAATGCCTTGATAGGAATAAGATATAGGTAGCATGAGAATAAGGGCTGATGAATACAAGTCAAGTAGTAACAGAAACAAGAGATTCAAAGGGGAGCCTTCCACAAAATGAATTATAAGCTGAGCAAGCCCTGGCTTAGCGGCCATGGAAGCCATATAACCCTCGTTCTTTGACCTCGTATAGTATACGGTGTTCAAATTAATACAGAAAATCAAATATGTAACTCTTCAGGTGACTTATTCCCCATCACTCATTTCAGCCACCAGTCCAGAAGCCGTGAGGTTCTGTTCGCATCATTATTATTGGGATTCACCTGATCCATATTCTCTTGAATGTATCCATATGGTTTTTGGTTGAAATGGCATGACGCTATTGAACGATACCCTTTCTAGTTGCCGGCGTTGTCGCCGCTAATCGCCAGGGCTAGGTACTTGCTTTCTTGTATAACTTGAGGCTGCAAAATCTATAATAGACATGACATGGGCAGTAGCAGCTTCAGTCAAAAGCCAAGAAGAATGAGATCAATAAAAAAGATAAGAAAGGAAACGGCAATGACTGAAAGGAAGAGAGAGTTCGGGGGGTAGTAAAGCACCCGAACTTGTAAATACAAAGTGCCTACTTTGTAGATCAAGGGAAGAAGACACTTTAAGTATTATTACAAGGAAGATTTGAAGGAATCTAGAGTTCAACGAAGGGTCTTCTATTTTTACGATGAGGCTACGAGCGGGTGTGGATAGAAGAGAACCCTGTGTCATACCTGCTTGTCTGCGCTGAGCACCCTGAGTGCTCCTTGGGTGCTCCAGGAGCTTATAGTACTAGGATAGGGGCCGACCGAGTTACGGATTAGTTTTATGACCAAGATTATCCTCAAAAGGACGCCTAAAATGGCTTCCATTCTCTACCCACCCAGCGTTGTGGTGTACTTCGCGATCGGCCAGACTGTTGCGTTAATTTTGTAGAGACATGTAGACAGCTTTGAATACCCTAGAAATTATAGATCTGTCTGCTCTATTCCTAACAAACACTTTGAAAATAATATTTGAGACTGTACCAGAGTTTCTTAACACATCACCAGTAAAAAAACCGATTAGTGTTATTGCTGGCAGTTATGGTCCCTGGCGTAAATCCGTGACCTAGATTGCATTTAGGCTACTATATTCATTGCCCAGCCGTTCCAACAGAACAGCAGAGGGGGATTTCACAGAGCCTGCAGTTTTTAGAAGCTGCAAACCAGTTTGTGTTTGCTCCTTACCAGCTCGCAGCTGCTTGCTTTTCCCTTCGCTCCTAGCGTGGCAAGGAAGTACATGACGTCATCTATCATATCTCATCATACTTGGCGGCGATTTTATTAAATACACCTTCTGCGGCAAAACTAGGACGAAGTAACATTACGCTCCTCGTGGTGCTCAAACACTTGAAACCACAGCCAGCTCTTGGCTGCCATCAAGATGGTCTCCTTCTGGAGTTCAAAGAAGGATGAGCCTGACAGGCCTGAGTCGTCCCAGGCCACTGGCCACGCCCACGCCCACCAGGACGAAGGGCATGGGCCTGCGCCCGAAAATGAGGAGCCGACCGAGCGTACTAGATTGCTTGCACAGCATAATGCCCAGGGATACTTGAGTCCAGATGATCCAGCCGTGAGTCATCTTCTGTCGCAATGCCTGTTTTGCTGCAGACTAACTAATCGGAACTAGGTCTCTCCGTACAACCTATGGAGTGTACGCGCCTTACGGGGACTCTCTCTCTTAGCACTGGCCGCTAGCTTCGTGTGGTGGACGTTCCTGCTAGTCTCTATCTTCGTCAGTCCACCGCTGATGCACTCTCGTGGATCGGGCTTCTTCGCATTTTCGTACACTACTTTCACGACTGGCTACCTCGTGCTTGGTCTACTATTCTTTACCGTCCCATCGAAACCGATGACTATCTGTGGCATTATCATTGCTATCCTTCTTCTGATTGATATGTGCATTATTCTCGGCGTGCCACAGATTCGGGTTGAAGAAGGGTGGGTTGGCATTGCTTCGATCGTCTGGGCCGTTGTCATCTCCCTCCACCAGATTATTCAGAACCGAGTCGTCACATGGGGGAAACGTGAAGAGGAAGAGCGACTCACTGGCCGTGAAGAGACTCGCCGGTCCATTCGAGAATGGCTTGCTGTTCTCTTCGAGATACTCATTCTTGTCGTGATGACCCTTGCGACTCTTTTGTTCACGGCGACGCTGATCCTGCGTGCCTCGGATGCTTCACTGGAGCCCGCTGGCAAACGCTATTCTGTCCGTGGGAGCGCATATCAAGTTCATTTAGCCTGTGTGGGCAACCGCACTACGGAGAACCCAGAAGAGCCTACGATTATTGTCGAGGGAGACTATGGTCCCGTTGAGCATTCACTACAGCCATTCATTGACGATCAGTATCAGTCTGGGGCCATCCGCAGGTATTGCTACTGGGATCGGCCAGGATTTGGGTGGTCAGACAACGCGCCATCACCGCATTCAGCAGGGATGGCTGCAGACGTCCTGTCCGAAGCACTGGCTTTGGCCGATGAAAGTGGCCCTTGGGTAGTGGTCTCTGCTGGTGTTGGGAGCCTCTATTCACGGCTCTTTGCCAGTCGCCATCTACTGGAAGTAAGTGGGATCTTTCTCATAGACCCACTTCACGAGGCCTATCTGGATGACATTGGTAAACCGGGCCGAGGCTTCAAACTATGGCTTCGTGGAGTTCTATCCCCCTTGGGGTTAGACCGGCTGGCGGGGGCCATCGTGCGAGGACGTACTCGGGAAGACCGGGTCATTGGACGCTCTGCGTATCAGACGGGAAAGTTCATCAAGGCCAAGCTGCAGGAAAATCTCGTTGCCGTTACTATGACTTCGGCCGAAGTGCAGTCCGCGCGCCACATCCAAATGGGCGCCACTCCTTTAGTGGTTGTGAGTTCTGGTCGTGAGATGCAAGAAGACCCCAACTGGGCGGAGCGACAGGAGGACCTTTCTCGGATTACAAACAAGCTAATTTCCTGGGACGTAGTTCATGACGCGCCCCACGAAGTGTGGACTGATGGAGAAGGGCGATCAGTTCTGGAGAGCCGATTGAGGGATCTTGTACGGGCAAGTCGTGAATCTCAGTAGTCAGCGCCTCGGTGTTGGAATGGTTCTTCTTCTCGGTTGTGTCTGCTTCTTTGGTTCATTCTTACCCTGCAGGTATACGAATGGGGAGGACTGTGAGCAAGGCGTTTTGGCTTTTTGAACGGGCAGTCTCATCGTGACGGTACACGAGGATAGATCAATTGTTGCGAGTGGGCTGTCGTTGAGTGCTGTATTTAATCAATGCTACTCTGGGTTAGTGTGAATCTGTTGGAGAATGCAAGTTTTCCATGTGTATAGAATGCGAGAAGCCAGAAATCCGTTGCCTAATCTCCAAGGGTGGGTGGTCACTGTTGAAAGCATCTATGATGAACCTTCTCAAACTCCGTGTCGACGCCAGAATGATCATTATTCTATTCGCCCTCCCCCATCTACCCACCACTGACCATGCCTAAGGACCCATCGTGGAGGCGACCGGGATACAAGGAAATTGGAGTTCTTGCGAGATATGAAGCACGGTGTATGTGAACCTCGCCATCATCGTCAGGTTATCAAGGACGAACGACATATGCGAGCCGGACCGAGTCGGACGAAAAATCTAAGAACACCGAACGGCGAATAAATAGAACTAGTCACTCTAGACTAGCTCCCTTGAACCTCTTAGCAAGCTGTTCACCGTCGGACTTTGGAGACGCGGATCGGGGGAGATGGGCGGCGGGTGAATGAACCCGCCGTTGTCCAGAATGGGAAGCCGGGCGGAATGCCTCGGCCGCGGCGGGCCAGGGGCGCTTAGGGGGGCGCTCACCACTCTCCTGAAGAATTGTCATCAAGGTTGCCCATCCGGGGGTATTCAACAGCTGAATTCCGTCGACGGGGGCGTGAGTCGTCGCAACTCGGCCGAGGAGTGCCTCCTCATCCTGTCATCAGTCTGAATTAGTACTTCAGGATCATGATTACTCCAGATTGCCCCGCATTGCTCCGGCACAACCCGCGAGAAGACTGACCTTATTGAACGTGGACAACCCATGCAAGAAGCATAGGAGATGGAAATCGGATACGCCTTGAATAGCCTTGTCGGGGTCTCCGTGTGACATGAGCTTCTGTGCCACATGTCGCAATTCTTGGCTTTCGCCAATGACCTCGCGGTTCTCGATGGGGAAGCGACTATCGGTGAAAAGAGGTGTTGATTCGGTGGGGAAACCGTGTGTAAGTGTGACCAGCAGGAAATCCACGGGGAAGCTTGGTTTAGCATTCTCCTGAACACTTGCACCATATTCGTTGATTCGCCGGAAGAAGACTTCAGGGATGTATCGTGTCTTACTGCCCAGATCATCGTCGTCCTCCGACTGCACCAACATGACGGAGGGCTCTGCGGAGGGTTCAACGATATCGGCTCGAACCATCTCCACCGCCGACACCGTCGCCTGGTATGAACTGACGGCAATGGCACCGGTCTCGTCTCCACTCAACACACAGGTGACAAAGTCCGAGCCAAATCGCCCCGTCCGGCTCCATTTCGTGGCTTTGGGGTTCTGGGCCTGCAGACGGGAAGCGAAAGCAATCTCGAGAGAAGACAGATAATATGAATCAATGTGCCGTTTGCAAACCACAGAGCCATCCCCACGGCCTGCGTCGAGAAGATCTGTGAAAATGACTCCTACCTTCTGCAGGCCGCACAGTTGAGCGACTTCGTCGATGTCTTTCTCATTATGCCAATCATGGAGTGTAACACCATCAACCTCGCCGTTCTGTGGCGGTTCGTAGATTGCCTGTACGACCGCCTTCACGCCAAGTGGCACCTCGGTGTATTCTTCGTATGTTCCGTAGAGAAATCCCAATCGCTGAGCACCTGACTTTCGCCAGAAGTCCAACAAAGAATTGATCAAGTCGGGAGACGAGAATTCCACGTGGTCAACCATGCGAAACTCTTGAGGCTGTAAACTAATCGCGCTGGGCTGGCATTTGGTGCAAATGCCCTCCGGCCACTGGGGATGTCCAGACGGACAGTCGCGCCGTACTCGATAGAAAGGCTCACTAAGTGGTGGCATGTATGAACTCTTAATTTCCGGTTTGTTGGTTGCAGCGTTGATTTTGCGCAGGTAGGAGTGGAACGAAAGGTGCTTGATCTTCTTCTCCGCAAGGTATTTCGCATCGTACGGCTCCAGAGGCATGCAGTAGTCACACATTCCCCGAGGGCCATGCTTGCACATTCGAGGGTCTTTGCTTCGCTTGATCTTGCCATCTTTCTTATCGAGGAGATCGTCCAACGGGGACTGCTGCACCACATCCCACGGGTTTTGTATATTGACCGTTGGCGAGCTCGGTTGGGGGCGAATGGGCACGGTTTGGTGTTGCTGAGGAACCAAGGCTCCATTCAATCGACGTTCGGAAGAGGTAGATGCGTATCCGTTGGAGGTGCCATTTTGTTGTGTGGCTCGTTCTTGGTATCCAAGGAAGAGCTTATCGCCGTGCCTTCCAGGTTACACCGATTAGTATAGTTCCTGCTGTAGCACAAAGCACCCATAAGAGTCTTACTTGAGGCCAACTTGTGCGATAGCGACCCCACCCAAGGCCTCTAATTCTCGTTCTTCCCCGCCGGTGCCAATGGGTTTATTGGAGAGGGTAATGGATGACGGGTCAACCTCTGCGGGAAGGTGCTCAAGGATCTGATGTTGCTGTGTTAGCCTTGATTGACCAAAGTTGGCGCTCCTGGCAGCTGGACTCGCGGTCACCTTTTCCTGGAGGGAAGGGAACTGGTCTTGCGGGTTGACGGTGACCCGAAATTGGCCGTTCCGGCTCTCGAACCGCAGAAGGATCGGGCGGGACGCCATGATGGGCGGGAGATGTCAAAGGCGGGCTGGAGATAAGCGGAATGAGCAGGAGGAATTCACAGAATTTCAGCTCAAAGAAGACACATGGTACGAAGTGGTGGTGAAGGCGTCGAGCTGCTTTCGGAGCTCCAACAAGTCACGTCACAGCATGCGGGCGGTAACGTTACGCAATGACTGCAAATACACGTGATGAAAAGTATCAGGTGTGTAATATTTGTAATACGCATACCCGCAACGGGGCTTTTGGAACTTTCTGGACAAGAGACCATTTGACTAAGTACCTACAACTTACCCCAGTGTGATTCTGGGGCTACAGGTCACATTATTCTCCTCGAACTCTTGAAGATTGAGTCTAGGCTGTACTTCTAATTATAACATTACCATAAACACATGACCACAGTAACAGATCCCAACAATATATAACTTTATATAGTCTAGACAATACAATCATTCTGGACCGCAGAAGTTTAACAAGAGCTTTCCATTTGGCGTCAATGAACTTTTATCTAGGAGAAGCCCTGAAGTTCAAAGACGGTCATATATCCATTATCATCAAAATCCCTGACGCCCACGAGAACGCCCCTGGAAATCACAAAGGAGAAGGGACATTGGCAAAAAGAAGGGAAGGCTAGACCCAATCAAAGAATGTTACACTTCTTGGGCAAGCCGCATGGCCCTTCTTCATTGTCCTTCTTCTTTGCTACTTCCTGGTTGCCCTCCTGCTGCTGAGAGGGCTGCTCAGTCGTCCTGGCAGCCGCACCTGCAGTAGAGGCCGAGTTCTCGGGCTTCGGCTCGGCACTGCCATGTAGTCACTGGTGGTTGACCTTGGCAACCGTCTCGTAGAAAGCCTTACCCTGAGCCTCAGCAATCTCGAGCTCGAGAGCAGTGGGCTGACGGGAACCGTCGGCACCCTGGAAGGATGAGTTAGCAGATACCAAGTTTGAATGGTGTTTCGAGAGGAGCTTACAGCGAAGGTACCAGCACCCCAGGCGCTACCACCGTGGATCTCCTCGAGATTGGCCAGAAGGGGGAAGGTGGTCTTGTAGCCCAGAGGCACGTAGATGAAGCCGTGGTGAGCGAGAGTGCTCATGGAGGCGATGACGGTCGACTCCTGGCCACCGCCGAGGGTACCGGTGGAAACGAAGACACCGGCATACTTGCCCCAGTAGCCACCGGAGGCCCAGATGGAGCCGGTCTTGTCCCAGAAGGTCTTCCACTGGGCGGGGAAGTTACCGTAGCGGGTGGGGATACCGAACAGGACGGCATCGTAGTTCAGAAGGTCGGTGGGCTCAATAATGGGGTAGCTGGACTTTGGTGGGGCGTGCATCTTGGCCAGAACTTCCTCAGAGAGAGTCTCAGCAATCCTGTATTAATTGTCAATACCAAAGTGAGGAATTAGATGGCTGGCACGGAGTGCCGTACTGGTGGATGGTGGCCTCGCCACCGGCGGCCTCAATGCCCTTCTTCTCGGCCTCGGCCAACTTCTGGATGTGGCCGTACATCGAGTACTAACGACAGGAGTCAATAAGGTGTACTAGGGAAGACAGTGCGAGGAATTGGCTCACGTACGTAGACGATAGCAATCTTGGGAGCCATGGTGGTTGAGTGGTGGTCTGGAGGGTTTTTGGGAGAGGTAGAAACAAAGTAGAAACAAGCTTGGGAGGGAGGATGATGGATGAAGGAGGGCGGGAGAGAGGAGCTTAAATAAAAGCGCCCCTCCCTACGACTCGACCCCACCAACAACGAGGGGGTACCTCGCCCGTCATGCGCCGTTGGGCAGCGTCAGTGGTCGCAGTGCATTATGGCTCGATTAGCAAAGCATAGCAAAGCACAGCAAAGCTTCACGCAAGCGCATCAGTCATCGATGACCGAGCAACCGGGCCGCTTATTGGCCCGCAAGCCCCACACGGCTTTACACGGCTTTAGTTATGTTTAGTCGAGTATGACTGATTCATGACAAATGGATAGCGTCGCCAAGCCGCCAGCTTCATATTTGAGATAAGACCTTGTTGGTGACATGCAGGTCAGATTATGGTTGTCGCTAGCGTCGTTCAAATCCATTGTCGATGTGATTCGAGTTGGGTATGGCCCTCAGCTTCAGTAGATTATCGATGGCTGATTGTCGATCTTCATGATGTCATGGACTTATGTCATGATGTGGAACATTCTTGTAGGCTTTCCCAGGGCATCTTAGGCGACGCCTTATCATGCCTTATCATGTCGACCCGTAAGGTGCCTTGGAGACGGCCGAATATGCAGGGACCAGCCAATTGACTTTAGTGGCGGTTCAATGGCCCCAAATCTGTATGCTTACGCTGTCCACCGCATTACTGTAGTTTGGGCGACTGCGCGAAAGTCCAGAGCCAAAGGAATTTAGCGGAAGGAACGGTTGGCATCGAGCGAGGCATAGCCATAGTAGATCTGTCAGGAATATGATTGTTGCCTTTTCATGCTATATCCTGCTATGTAAATTGCAATGGGTATCTCGACAACGATCCTCGGAGGACCGCCAGTAAATGAATCCAGAATAAAATGCTCCCAAAACACCCCTCGCCGTGGAAATGCAAGACCGCAGAAATGTGGCGCTTGAGGCGAACCCACTAGCCCCTTCCTCGCCCGCGATACCGACCTCGCATGAATCCACCACCCCGGCCACGTTCGCTCCGCCACTCGCGCTCGCGCTCTTTCTCCCGCTCCTGCTCTTCTCGGATCAGCGCCCGTTCATGCTCCAGCTCTTCCTCTGTCTTCTCCGCTCGCATCGAGGGCCGTGGGAGGTTCTCCGTCCACCGAGGGTGCGCATTCGGGCAGGCCTTGCCTTCGGGGCAGAAGCCGGCGAGGTAGAACAAGCAGAGCTGACGGCGAACATGTCGCTTTGCGCAGAGAGGGCCCAATTCACAGAACCCACGGTCGTAATGCTCGCAGGGTGGCAAACGTGCCTCTTCACGAACGTGTTGGTATAGGCAGTCATCGCCATTGGGACAGTATCCGGACCGACTGAAGGATTGGCATTCGGGCATGCGACGCAGGTTGTATTCGTGCAGGTACTCGCACTTCACCCCCTTCTTACAGAGGCCCTTGAGGAAGTGTTTGCAGACAAGCGAGCCATGTGTAGTGGATGGTGCCAACCCGGAGGCGGTGGTTGTAGATGTAGTGACTCGGGAAGGGGTGGGATGTCGGTCTGGGCAAGCAGGTCCCAATGGGCAGTGCCCTTCGCCGTAGGCCTTGCAGACAGGCACGTCACTGGCGAGGCCGAAGCCGAAGCTTTTGCGCAGGAAAGGTGTGAAAGAGAACTCGTTATAGCTGGGGTCGCGCGTGGGCTCTGCAGATAGGAGGCGTGAAGCCGCACTCTGAACATCGGCAGCCATGATGGCTTTGAGAGCTGGGAGAGGAGCTTCAACAGGGGAATCCAAAAGCTACCCAGTTCCTTCCGAAGGATGGGGTATTGCAAGATAAAAAGACTCTGAAGAAATATCCCGCGTAGGACCGAGCAATTTGACGTCGAGGGTGGTTGAAACAAGGCGCGAGGAGAGGCAAAACTGATGAAGACGATGGCGATCGCCGCGAGGTGGAAGGTTCCCGCGGTCTTAGAAATCAGCTGTTTGCACTGTTTGCACCTGTCGCTATAGGCTGAGCGCCCGCCGAACAACAAGACGAGAAGATTCTTTGATCATTGTAGGCACGTTGCGTGTTTCTCCATTCTCCTTTAGAACGTGGTGGTGGGGTAGTGTGATACAAAATTAATTCAGTATTACGTGTACAATGTGAGGCCTATAATACGAGGTCTAATGACCTCTGGCTAGCTTGAAGCTCTATTTGCCACTCCCAATTCTTCCCCAAAATCTATATAGCTGTATTTGTGGCAAAGCCCAACTGCTAGTCCATAAATTCATGGATTGTCTGCACCCAAAAGCGCCATTCCGAGCCATGGTCCTGCTCTACTTTACTAGGGTCATTTGGCATATATTATCCCTCGACGTTCGCAGTAATTTTTGCACTGACATCGGGATAATCTTTGTGCACGATTCGGGCTACCTCTCTCTAGGATATTTCTTTCTCGTCTAAGTGATACTTTTGTGCCGCCAGTAAGCTTTGAAATCAGGCTTGATGTGGGCTTCGGCGACATCCTGAATATGCACTCCGGTTATCCGAGGAGCGCCACTCGCAATGGCTTCCACAAACCATCATTGGACGATTCGCATCTGGTTTCTGCAATGAGATTGTGCCCATATACGAAGGATGCGTTACGCTATCTCCCCGATCGCGGGCCTAGATACCCGGGATTTGCAACGACACTGGGAAGCGCCACAAGATAGTTGCTGAAATCATACGGCCAAGGTAACTAAAGATGCTGTCACCCGATGCAAGAGCTACTGATACCAAGAGAATATTAATAGAAGCGAGACGGCTTCTCGCTCTGTATAGCTCGCCCAAAACGTCTCATCGACCTCAACCTGTCTGTTGCTGCGGCACACAAACTCCACAATGCCGGCTTGTATATCAACCACAGTCCTGATATTCTCTCGGGGGCCGAAAAAGAACATCTCGCCAGGACCATCACCAATTTCTACGTCTCAAAAGGTCTACCCGCTTTCTATGTCCGGGTACACTTTACCGAAGATGCCCCCGGTACTGCCTTTATCGGCGGCGAAAACCACACCAATTATGCGGGAATAACGATTTATCATCTGGCACGCACATTCCAGAGTGATGAAGCTAGACAGCGTTTCCTCTCAGGTGTTGACAAGATCCCGAATCCGGTGTTTGCACCCAAAGGCATGGATTGGGAGTACTTCATTACAGAGTCGTCGAGAGATCTATGGAGGATGAACGGTCTTGTACCTCCGGAGGCCGGATCTGATAGCGAGAAGGAATAGGTTCGACTAAACAGAGCTGTAAAGTAATAGTTGGTAGCTCAATATCAAAATTCACAGGGGGCTGGCTGCTTTGGATTTAGCCGCCCCCTGCACTGGCCATTAGAAACCCGGGCCCATAGTATTGACTGGTTTGAATGACTACGTAGTCCAATTATCACATTCAAAAAGGGAGGGACTCTGCTCGACTGAAGCCAATGTGATTACTGTGCTTCCACCTCCATTAGCTGACAGTCTCAATGTCTCGGATAACTTGCCTGGCGCCTGCGAAACATCCTGGGTAAGAGTAAGGGCACGAAAACCCTAGCGTACCGTACCGCCTTGCGTTGAATAGTCTTAGCCAATCATTCCAGTCTGTCCGGCGATCCGTGCAGCGAAAAAAGCAAACATAACAGTCACGCCTGCGTGGCGGTCGCGGTCTGGGCTAGCCCATGTCTCCGCCCCCTTCGGTCCTCCGAGGGCATCTCCGCGAAATTGACGCAGTACCCGCGTGCGACCAGCCGCCTGATTCTGGGGCCTCATATAGGTTGCCTGCGCGGATCAGGGGGTCAGATCCGAGTCTTCAGACTCAAGGGACGAAGGACTCCGTACTCCGTCCTGGGTTGCAATGCGCGCATGCGCTCCCCCACATGCAAGCTCGTCACGAGCAAATTGGCTGTGGCCTAATCGAGCTGAGTGCAGGCCCTAGTCGAATCTCACCGCACGTCATCTGGGGTCGTGAGGCGGTGCCCCTGTGGAAGATGGTAGCCTCTTAATGGGCCCGGCGACGCGTGCCTAGTGGACAATGCTTTCCCCGATGGCCCGAGATTTTGAGCGAGCAGTTGCCGGATTGGAAGGCCTAGCAGTGGCGATTGAGGGTGGGAGAATTCTGCGCCCCAGTCCCATTATCCCATTACCCCATGCTGTGCGCCGGGCGAAAATTCTGACTTCTGGCATGCCTCGCGCTAGGCCGGAAGCCCCGCACATTCGCACCGTGCGGTCGTATCCAATTGATGGTGGATCAACTGTTCTCGAGGAGGGGGCCGATGCCTCCCCACATTTGAGGTCACAGCCCCAGATGTGCGATGTGTATCTCAATCTCAGCTGACACTCTCCAATCGTGCGAGGTTCAGCTTGGTTTGCATGGAAAACCAACAGCACGTGACGCAGTCCTGATCAGGAAACACACTAGGTTCGTGTGGTGCTTTCTTATTTCTTCAATTGACCCTGCCCTTCTGCTCGCGTGCTCGACCTTTGGAAAGTTCCTCAATCCCAAGCTTTCGGGTCTGACTCTCATTCAGGATCCTGAGCTCCTTGCAAACCGAAGCATGTTCTCAGGCATGTTTCGCCGGCGACAGCCCGCGGACCTTCCCGCCGCCGCCGAGTCAGTCGGCTCCTACGAAGTGCCTTTGTACACCAACGCGGCGTACTACCCGAACTGGCGGATTTACAAGAAGCAACCTCCTTCGTCACTCCGCTTAGGGTTTATTTCTCATGTCTTCTACGCGTTTGCTTGGTACGTAGCCAATCATCTCCAAGAGATCGTATAGATAGACGCGCTAATCTCGATCTGGAATCCTTGCAGGGTGAAAGACGATGGCACAATTTATGTAAGTCTGATCCCGCTGCTCCATATCTCCTATTTGGGATATCTGGATATCTCTAACAGGAAGATCTCCGCAGCTGAGTGATGAGTGGGCTGATACCCAGATGCCGGTAGATGGCACGGAGGGCTGCCTGCGCGCTTTTGTCCAGTTGAAACAGCAGTATTCCAAGATGAAAATTATCCTCTCTGTGGGTGGTGGTGGTAAGGGTAGTGAAAATTTCGCTGCTGTGGCCCACAGTCGTTCTCGCGTGGAAACCTTCCTCCGGAGTGCACGAGCCGTGGTAGACCAATTCGGGCTAGATGGCATTGACGGTAAGTTGTTGATTACATGTAAGCTGACGGCTGAATATATGTTAATGGTCGTCTTTAGTGGACTGGGAGCATCCCGCGGATTCTAAACAGGGCAAGGACTATGTTCGTCTGCTTGCTAAACTGCGCGAAGTGCTACCCGCTCCACGCTATGTTCTCACCACCTGTCTCCCGGCCGGCCAATGGGCCCTGCGGAATATTGATTTGTCTGCGGCGCAGCAGTATCTGGACATGGTCAACTTGATGGCTTATGACTTCTCCGGCCCTTGGGAAGCCGAGACTGGGCATCAGGCCCAGCTCTATGGCTCGCCTATCTCAGGCTACTCAGCGGTTGAATATGTGTTGTCGCAAGGCGTGCCTGCGCGAAAGCTCATCCTTGGTGTTCCAGTGTATGGAAGATCGTTCCTTGGCAGCAATGGGCCTGGTCAGCGATATACAGGTACTGGCGGGGAGGATGGCGTGTTCGACTATTCTGATTTACCCCGTCCTGGGGCTCAAGAGAGCCATGATAAACAGGCCGGTGCTGCGTCTTGTGTTGGCGCCGATGGAGGCTTTGTTACCTATGACGTTCCCGCGACGGTGCGGCAAAAAGCCCAATTTGTGATCTCGTCGAAGCTTGGTGGCCTCTTTTACTGGCACATTTGCTCTGATGCCCGCGGACCACGCAGCCTCATCGAAACCGGGTATAATACGCTTCATGACATGTAATGTATCGATTGGTCCGATCAGGCTCTTAAAAAAACAACCAAAAGTGATATCAGATTCTACTCCAATGTTGTTGCTATTGAACCCTTCCGCAGAAGGCGGCTGGCTTACCTTGATCCACTTTAGGCTCGGCCCGATATGAAGCCATGTAGCAACCCATAGTAAAACGAACACAAATTCTGGGAAAGGCTTGGATACATGTCCATCCTTCACGGAAGAATGCAGAAGCGGTATGACTTTGTGGAGTCGACCTCACGGGCCATTGTGCATCAGGCCAAGGGACATTAACTCCCCAATAGCTGCTTGAACAATAACCTAGCGAACTGGTCTCATATTATTTGGAGCTCGCCGATAATTCCACGTCATATCTATACCTACCTCAACTCGGCGCTTTCGCGGCGGAGTGCGGTCCACCTCAGAAGCACGAGAGAGCCGAACGCCGAGGTACATTTCCAGAACGTGCCAAGCTGACCCAATAAGCTTTGAAGGCCCCTCACGTGGAGCGAGCGTTATTAAGGCAAACATACCCCGGATTTGGTTCTGTACCCCATCTGCACTGTTCCCTACGGAGTATAATAACTTGAGACAGCCCGCCATGTCACCGTCGCCACCCCAACCTGCGACCGCGGAGAGTGGCTACATCACCCAACCGGTCCCACTGGAGAACACGTACACGACGGACACGAGTCTACAACGAGCGCTGAAATGTGTGCCTCGCTTCTTCATTTTTGCAAAGGTGTTTCCATTCTGATAGAGTATAGGGTATCTCCCTGAGGCTACGCTTCGATCGGTGGAACCGCACTTCACGCAGCTCGGGGCTGAAGCGATATCCGAGCGTGTCCGGCGGTGGAGCGCGGACGCCGAACGAAACCAGCCCTATGTCAAGAGCCACAATGTCTGGGGTCAACGATACGACTATGATCGGCTCGTCACCACTGAGGGCTGGGAACAACTCGGGAAGTGGGGCGCTCGCCATAAGATTGTTTCCGCCGGATATGACTCTGCTTTGGGTCTGGAAAGAAGGACGGTTCAATATGCACTGTAAGGCTAAAATGCAGCCGGAAAATGTCATTTATGCTTCCCATAGGTTGACCTTACCCCAGGAACTATCTCTATTCTCCCTCTTCGGGGCTCTACTCCTGCCCCATGAGCATAAGCGATGGAGCTGCCTTCATACTTGCTTCAAAGATCCCCAGTTTACCCCCCGACCCACCCATTCCATGCTGTATACAGAGGATTGATCTCGGAAACTGATGACCACTGGACCTCCGGTCAGTGGATGACAGAGAGAGCGGGAGGAAGCGATGTTCACAACACCGAGACATGGGCAACCTACTCTCCACTGCCCAAGCCGTCAGCCTCCGACTCCCTTGGCGATGGTGACTATCTGATCAACGGGTTCAAGTTTTTCTCGTCCGCCACAGATGCCAATGTCGCGCTGGTTTTGGCCAAAACCCCGTCTGGGAAACTGAGCACTTTCCTGGCACCCCTGCGAAGGACCATTGTCGGAAGTGACGGTGTATCCCGAGAGATCTCAAATGGGGTGCGAATTCACCGTCTGAAGAATAAACTGGGCACCAAGGAACTTCCCACCGCCGAGCTGGAGCTCAAGGACATGAGGGCTCATCTGGTGGGAGAAGTTGACCAGGGGGTTGTCACTATTGCACCTCTCCTCAATGTCACTCGCATCCACACCTTTATTGGCTCCCTCTCCGGCTGGCGCCGCGCTCTTAGCATTGCTAAGAGTTTTGCAAAGGCCCGAACAACCGTGGGGGAGCCCCTGTGGCTCATTCCCATGCACCTGCGCCTGCTGGCAGACCTGGAAGTTAAGCATCGGGGTGGCATGAACCTCGGCTTCTTTACCGTGGCCGTTATGAGCTTGGTGGAGAACCGAGTCACCCAACCTTCCGTGCACACCCACCTACCTCGCCCAGGCCGGGAAGCTAATGTAGTGTTTCGCACTCTCACAGCCACCGCAAAGGCTGTGATTAGCAAGATGGCCATTTTGGGCATCCAAGAGTGCCAGGAGGCCATGGGCGGTGTTGGTTACATGGATGAGGCGGATGAGCCCGAGTTCAACATATCCCGGATCCTGCGCAACACGTCTGTCAATTCGATCTGGGAAGGAACAACGAATGTCCTGGCCAGTGAGATGGTTCGCTTCCTTCTCAAAGCTGATAATATGCAGGTCTTTGTAGGATGGATGAACCGCACGCTGGCGTTGATCCGCACCGCCACTCTCCGGAATGCTCTCAGTGCCATGTGGTCTGCTCTACGGGCACGCTTCTCCCCCAGAACCAACCGCCTACAACCATTCTTGCCGATGCACGCCGTTACATGTTCACTCTGGCGTGGATATTGTGTGGCTGTCTCTTGGCAATTGATGCTGAACGGGATCAGGACCCAGTGAGTATGGAAATTGCGCGTCGGTGGATTCTTAGTGCCGAAGGCGGCGTTGGGGACATGGTATTCCATGATATTGTCACAGTCCAGAAGAACGCTAGTCATGAAGATGGCGAGAATCATCTTCAGTGGGATTGTAGAATTGCCTGGGGTATGGAGCTTCCGACTAACCGGGCATCGGGGCATCGGTCGATGCAGAGCGCCAGCTCCAAGCTCTGATTTTCTCTTGGAATCGCACGGCATTGTAAATAGCAAAAACATCAAGATCCAGATGGGATGGCATCTTGATGTATGGTTCGTTCATCATCGGCCACTCAAGTAGGACAATGAATGTCCGGCGGAAGTGTTTGCCCCGTGAATCTTCTGCTATAACATAACTGCCAAGCTCCCTTAAATCAGCTCATCTCAGCCACTTTATGCATCGGCCGACGCAGATCGCATGATCCTGGTGAATTAGTCTTCTTATTTGTGGTTATGCAGCCTGGCCGATCCTTTTTGCAGTCACCTCGCTCTCGAGCTGCGGGACACCATTCGCAAAGGGCTGAGCAGTATACGCATGTTCCTCGTTTTGTGCGCGGCGTGCACGAGATCCCTATGACTGTCAACGGCAAAACGGTTGAGACTTGGGTTCAACAAGTCATATCCAGTGGAGAAATACCCCAAACCATCAGCAGCACGGTCGCATATCCAGCATGCTTGGACTATTTCAGACAGTACTACGAGCTGGAACTCCGCCAGGGCCACAGAGGTAAACTATAAGCCAGCCGAGGCCAGGGGGTTGGCGATGTATCCTATACTATTCAAGAGATCTTCGTCCTACTTGGCACGGGTCCTGTCACTTGATATAAAATCTGAATTTCGTCACCATTGTGCCGTATACTCGATGCATTTGATAGGGTGTATTCTGGTGTGTGCCCAGAAAACTCGCTGATGCACGTGGGTGGCTGATCGGTCGCTAGCGCAGCATTCTACGAGGAGGGGTCGGGTTGCACTTCATCTTGGACCTCTCTATTCCTACAAAGTCTCCCCTGCTGTCAAAGGTTGCATCGGGTTAAACAAGAAAAGAACATCCACAAGCATGCTGGATTCATGTGCGGCAGATGAAATACTTGATCTCGAGCCTGTTAGAACTGCAGAGGAACTAAAGCCATTCGAAGAGAAGCTGCTTGGCATTTTGAATGACTTGCTTCAACCAGATCCAAAACTTGAAGCTTCCGCCGCAGCCAAGAACATCGACGAGCTCTTTCCTTCCAATGACAACACCCCAACAGGGCCGGTTGATGAGAATGATACCGCAGAAGATCCCGAAACCTTCCTATGGTCTCTGTGGGGCCTGATCATTCAGGTTATGAGATTAGTACCTCCTAACCATCCAGGTCAAACACGCATGATTGCTTTCATGGAGTCGTTGGGTCAGATAACCTCCGGAACACTCAATGTCTGGGGTGTAAGGAAAAGCCTATTCAGCGCGTGAGAGTGACCAGACGCTTATGAGGATAACAGAGTGACCAAGAGCTTTGGTCAGACTTTCCTATTTTACGTCCTTGCTTGAGGGACCATTTGGAGTGTGAGTGAATCTACTGCGGAAAGGGTCTGTTAGTGTGACTGATATTCAGACACAATAGATATCGGGGAACCCGACCCCGATGGCATTGCAGAGTGGATCAATCAAAACTCCTTCATGGCCCGCCTCCTCGGAAAGGATCTCCTGAACTGGGACACCTTGGTGATCTGGATGATGAGAGACGCGCTAGAAGAGGAACCGCCCCAGGAACAGATTGTTCTCGATTGTTACATCGCTGTGGTGGTTCAATGGATCACCCATGCGGGAGAGACGATTTTTAGCCAACTGAGCGACCAGGACTTGAGCGAACAGCAAAAGCGCGTGACGAAAGGCGGTTCGCTGTATCATGGCAAAGATGGGCTATGTCCTGAGAGGTGGGAATTCTGGAGACAGCGAGCAGGGGAGGTCAGCAAGCTGGTGTCGAAAGACCTCCAGCCGATTGCACTTGCCGCGGCCGAAAGAATGAGTCAAATTGAAAGAGCGCAGAAAGCATGAACGCCTTTCGGGTGACTTACCGAGAGGAGAGCTTTGGTTGATTGTGATATTTGGTATCGAGAGGGGACTTCATTTTAATCCTAGTATACAAATTCAAACACTGAGCAGCCAAGAACCGCTCCAATCAAACCCGGACCCTTCCCAGTTGCTGGTGAATGGCTCCATACTGGTATCAAGAGCAGGAAAGGCGAATTCATCCGTGTCAAGCGGGTGGGTATCGAAGGGTGGAACCGCCTCGTCCGAATCTTGAACCTCCGCCAAAGTACAGGTGGTTGCAGCCGCTGGGGTTGTACTCTCTGGCTCGGCAGACTGCCCAATCAAGCGCCACTGTTTGCATAATTTAACGTCGAACCCGTCGAAGAAAGAAGCCGTGTCAAAGTCTAGGCTGGGCGGCCGACCGTCAAGAAGACCTTGCTCTCGGACTTTCCCGGTCAACTTATTGAGAGCTCGCAGGGGTCCAACCGCGGAAAGCCACCGTTCTGACAACTTCTGAAGAGACAGTTTGATGACTATCAGTTCATGTTCTGCTGTGCTTTGCAACGAGGAGTAACGCCAGCTGGACAGTAGTGACAGCCCGCTGCAGAGGGGATAGAATGCAAAGACAGGGCCAAGATAACGAAGCTCGTCACGGAGGAGGAATTCTTCGTATATCCCCGCAATGAATGAGGATGCAACTAATGACGCAGCAGGCGGGACGCTGTCTGGAGTTGGAGAGCGATGCAGAGTGGTCAGTACTACAAAGTACATGACCGACAGTTGCTGGACTTCGAAATGCGATGCTGCAGCGTTTTCCTGCTGTGAAGCAGACACGCGTAGCTTCGGGATAACCTGCTTAGCCCATCTATAGATCGCGTTTTCAAGATCAACCCGGCGTTGGCGGGATATTTCGCGTCGTAAGTAGCACTCCACAGTATCTCCTAAGTGGCAAGATATTGTGCAATATGCCAGGAAGAGGTGTGCCTGGAAGTCCTTTACGGGAAAGTCGTTCAGCGAGGGGGCAGAACGTCACTGTCCCGCAGGTTGATGGTCCGCGGCCTGCCAACTCCGACCGAGATGATATTATCTCGGATCTATTAAAAGGTTAGAGGCAAACGCCCCCAAGTGAACACCACTGGAATAGATACGCACCACGAGAGACCACCATAACCGTCGCCGTAGACCACGATCTTTTGTATTCGGAGAGGGTTCCTTGTGCAGTCCAATCTGGAAAGCCATTGCCCCGGCCGTACGGATCCAGAACCCACTTGTATCTGTCGAGACATCTTCAGGGCCTACCGGATTGTACCAGTGCAGCAGGCAGGCAGCTACGATTGAGATCAGTGAGTTATTGCGGCCGCCAAAGAAGAAGAGAAGTTTTGCGCGGCGATAGAAGACTTCACTAGAGCCGTAATCAAGATGTGCCTTGGAAACTCTGCTTCCAGCCAGGAAAATCGACTGCAGAAGCAGCATTGACGGTGGCGTACTCGCGTCCAGCCACTTAGGGTCAACAACCGGCGTCCACGGCGCACAATACGTCTGGAAGCTTTCCATCAATTCCTTTTGGACACATAACGGCGGCAGTTCGAATGCACCTTGCTCGCGCAGCATCTGAAGATCCGCCGCCGACGCCTTCGGGCTGGTATACGTTGTCTCGTGACCTGGTTTCACCATATTTTCGTCGAAAGGAACGCTGCCCCCCAAGTACTCGCTCCGCCCGCGGTAGCTTTCTTCTTTAATGAAGGGCTCACCATTGTTTGCAGGCCGTGCAGCAGCCACTCGCCCACGGGGAGGTTCATTGTCTCCCAACGACGCGGTGGACGACAGACGCGGTGCTACTCCGCCCTCAACGGGCGGGTCGGGGAGCTGCGAGCTACGCCGACTCCCCGAGTCGCTGGCTGGGGCGCGCCCTGGCGACAGACTGTTCGTGAACCTCTTGCGCTTGCGTGTGTAGGGTCTACCGGTATCAGCATCCATGCCAATGGATTTATCAACGCCCGAGGGGTCACCGCACCTGCAATCCACATCGGACTTTTTGCAGTTGGTGCAAGGGTTGTGGGTCGCCAAGTCACATTTCACCTGGAAGCCGTCAGTGAGCGATCGGCCATGATGGGAGCCCAACGGCCACCCCAGGTGCAATATCTAGCTAGACCTTTCTCTTGTGACAGATGATGCACGCGCTCGACATGGCGGGGGGTTGGAGGTTGGCAAGTGTGGGGGTGAGCCGAGGCATCTCTTGTGTTTCCCCCCAAACATAAACTCTCCCGCTTTCTCAGTTGCGATCCTGGGGATGTTGATGCTTGGTGTTGACCATGCCCACCCCTCATGGCGGAAACAGATCTAGTCTTAGCTGATACTACGTCCCATCCTGGAATCTCGATCATTACCATCAATCGACCCCAGAGAAAGAATGCAGTGGATCCCAGAACCGCCAAGCTGCTCTACGAAGCTATCATCGCCTTCGAAGCGGATGTGACACAGAAGGTCTGCGTCCTCACCGGGTCGGGAGGCACTTTCTGTGCTGGGGCCGACCTGCACAGCGTCGCACAGAAGATCGAAGGGTCTCCTCCGGGCGAGAATCTCCAACCCGTCAACAATCGCAACCTAGCTCCCATGGGGCCCTCGAGGCTGATAGTCCAGAAACCAGTGATCGCAGCTGTGGCGGGATACGCTGTGGCAGGCGGGCTAGAGCTCAGTCTACTTGCAGATATGCGTGTGGTAGAAGAAAACGCGGTCTTTGGCGTCTTCTGTCGTCGCTGGGGCGTGCCGCTGATCGATGGCGGAACCGTGCGCCTGCAGGCCATTATTGGCCTAGGACGCGCTCTTGACATGATCCTGACCGGTCGTCCAGTGGGGGCCCAAGAGGCCCTTACGATGGGACTTGCCAACCGTGTGGTGCCCAAGGGAGAGGCCCTCCAGAAAGCACTTGAGATTGCCCAGCAGCTCATCGCGTTTCCCGAACGTTGTTTGAACACGGATCGCCGGTCTGCTTATTATAGCGCCTACGAAGCTTCTTCTTTCCAAGATGCCATGTCCCAAGAGTTCAATACCGGGTTCAAAGTCGTCTCAGAGGAGGCAATCGCAGGCGCTGCCCGATTCAGCAGAGGATCTGGTAGACACGGTAGCTTCAAGGAGTTCAGCAAGCTTTGACCGGGGAGGTGAGGGTGGCGTTCGAAGTCCTCGTGCGAGATAAATACTTGCCTTGGCCCCCATTCAATTCTCTAGGCACTAGTACACTTTGGGAAGAAGAGGTTGAATGAGCAATTTTACGGGGACTGCGAGACAGCAGGAGTAGAAAAATAGTGGTGCATTAGGTGACCGACTAGTGGTCCGATACGAAGACGTCTCTATTTAATGGCTCCAATCATACATGAATGTTCGAGCCGACGCATTTTGTGAGCTGGCGGCATACCGCTCTATAGGTACAAAACCCAACACCCCAGTAATAAACCTGGAATGTATTTAATTGGTCTTTTTCTCGTCCTCTTCAACTTGTTCGGGCGCAAACTCAATCCGCTTCCCATAGAGAAGAGGCGTCCGAGAGACCAAGGAACCGAATGCGCAACCGATATACGCTCCAGCGAGGATAGTGATCGGGAACGCTTGCCATGGGCGGTCCCTATATGTTCTGTATCAGCCAATTTTGTTACATCAATCTTAGCATTTGTTGATAGAACTGACCAGTCCAGAGGGATGGGAATAGCGCCGAACCAAGCACCCAGGCCAGTTCCCAGGGCGCCGCCCCAGACCGCATCCGCCGGCCGGGCAATTCCCCATACCTGCTTCCAGATCGAGCCATCCACGCCGTGCACATAAACCAGCCCCGTTGCAGACAAGAGGGCCATATGAGCCGCACATAGCAGCGTCTCAGCGTTGTGGGTGGTAAGCGGTGCGCCAAACAGAACAAGAAGGACGGCAATCATAGGGGTGGCGAGAAGGGAGGTAAGAGCAAGGGACAGGAACGCGGACTAGAGGAACAAAAGTTAGCGGTTGCACAAATCGAGTTCCTACTTGTGGAAGCAAATCCTACCATTAATTTGGCCCAAATAGCTGCCAAACCACTCCGTCCGGAGCTCTGCTTTCGACGGTACGCAGGCTTTCCAGGGCGCAGGGTCACAGAGGGGCCAGAAGGCGAGCGAGGTGCCTTCTTCTTATCCTCGTCAGCCCCGGAGCCAACTTCTATAGACGTTGTCCCCGCTGGCGGTAGGCAGAGCATGACGTAGGAAATTTGTAGAGCAGCCAGCCATGGCAGATCCGCGAGAAGCTCCCGCACAGGATCTGCAACTACTGTCTCGAATCGCAAGGCACATAGCCCCAGCAGGACTGCGGGATGCACATAGGAATAGGTCTGCGCGAGCAGAGAGGGGAGGATGTCGATGGGCGGAGCAGAGGGTTTCTCGGCCGGGGCTTGACTCGGCGAAGCCGCGGTGTTCACAGATGAAGGCGAGGCTGGGGAGGCCATGGTGGGCGCATTGAACCTCGCGCTTCACTTTTGCGATTTTCTTTTCTCCCTGGTGCCTTGAGAGCTCCGGTTGGCTCGGAATCGAGATGGGGAAGGGGTCTCCATCGTGTGGATGTGTTTGGTGTGTTTGCAACTTTCCATCCCTGCCTGACCTCCCGGGCGAGGATTGTCCCCTTGTGTCGCCTGAGATATCAGGCGACAATCGTCAACAACACAGCATCCACCTCATCCAGAGAGAATTTCCAACGCTCAAGGCGATGATGATACATCATATAAAAGAGATTTCATAATTCCTGGCTCTCGTTACTTTGATACAAGGTTACTGTGCGATCGGGCCAATACAGGGCAAACCGAGCGTCATTCTTTCCAGCCGAATTCCAGGACTCGCACCGACCTCGTGAATCCAGGCCCCGAATGGGCAGACCAACTGCAATGACAGAGACGTATCATCATACCACATAGCTACATGACCCCAAAAAAACGAAAACAAGCTAATAGAGCCTGGCACTCAAAGAAAAGGACGCAGGCAGGGAGACAATCAGGAGGGAGATACACGGCACGAACACAAAAAAAGTGCCAGCAGGTATAAAAAGTGCTCAGGGGGCTCAAATAAAGATCACACTGACCAGACACAAACAGATATCGGGATGAAAGTTAAGTCATCCCAGTCATCCAAAGCGAATGCGCCAATGAACGCCCAAAAGAATTAGGGACTTGGCAGGTCCCCATTGAATCACATCCCCGGCATATCAGTCACAAGGTACGCTGCCCAGAGGGAATAAATGAAAAAGAATTTGCGAGAAAAAAAATGCTAATCAAAGCAATACACACAGTGGGTGAGTACAATACTCTCTCACAATGACAGGTCTTCGGAATCATCATATCTTGCATCAGCTTATGCAGATACTTCTTTGTCAGTAGAAGTCGCCTCCGTCGATGAACCGGGGGCCGTTGTCGTTTCCACCGGCACCGATGTGCTTTCAGCAGCAGGGACTGCCTCGGGCTCGTTCTTAAACTCGACAGCTGCCGCAGAGGGCGCCTCCGGGCTATTCGGCTCTTCGGGGATGGCTGGGGGAGACCCGCACCGGGCAGCGGGGAACCAGGCGAGCGAAGGGGTTCCTCCTTGGCCTGCTCGGCTGGCACATCAATAGATGGCTTGCTATACGTCTGGCTGGGGAGAGTTGGAGAGAGTGGTTGGCCGGAGGCTGATGGATCGGTATCGGACTGGTTCGGACTCTTCGTGCGCTCACGATCATCCTTCACCCCATCGCGTACCTGGGCCACCTTTGCCTTGAACTTCCCAAACAGGCTTCTCTTCTCCGGTTCGGCATTGTGGGCAGAGTTGCTCTGGATGCCAGCATCCAAACCTAGAGGTTGACTTGTGGGGTCATTAATTTGGTGCGGCCCACTGCCAATCGAACTGGTACTTTGCTCGGCCGCGGGGGTAGTGGCAACCAAGGGAGGAGATGCAAGACCCAACCCGACCTGCTCACTGCTGCGCTTTGCCGAACGGTGAAACCGCCAGCTCCGTCGATTATCACGGCGATCAGAGCGCGGGCCGTCCTCAGGCTGGTCGAGATCGGACTGATCGGTAAACGATGACCGAGAATTCATTGAAGGGGTGCGCGACTGATGTGGCTTCAGGGAATTCTCAGTGTTGGGATGTGAGGAGCCATCCCCGAGTGTGGGAGTTGATTCCAACATTGCCTCCCGGTTGCTCAGCGTTGCTGTGTTGGGAGGTTTGGGAGTAGTGTCTCCAACAGCCAGATCGATAGACTTTCGTTCGCGCCTCGGCTCCAAGGATGCATCCCAGCTCGGGTCCAAGGAAATAGTCGAACTCTGTGCGCTGATGCTTGCACTACCCGGGATGCGTTTCTTTCTGAGACGGTTTGGTTGTCGGGTCTCCCTCAAATCCCCTTCTGGGGGTGGTGATTTGGTGAAGAAACTGGACAACTTGCGCTCACGAGAAGGGGTTACAACCTGAGGGGCTGGCGAGACAGACGAGAGTACGTTCTGTGTTTGAGTGTTTTGTGTTGGGATGTTTGCAGGTGGAGGGTTCTGGGGAGAGGAGTGCGCTTGAGGATTCTCCCGTGGCGAAGTAGTACCAGCAATGCTGAGTCGCTCAGCTGTTGCGACTGGCACAGGGCCCTGTTTCGAGGTGTGCACAAAAGTGTTACCGGTGGAAGCTTCTGACACTGTACTGGGCTTACGTTCCTCCTGTTCTTCCCGTAGAGAGGGTGTTCGGCTAGCTGAGCGAGAGCTATGATGGGAGACGGAGAGAGCAGACGGGTTGGCCGTGCCGCTTTCGCCGGCCCGCGCAAAGCGTGCCGACGCCAGAACAGGGCCCATCTTGGTGGGAAGTGTGTTGCTCCGGTGAACACCACCGCCGGAGTTCGAGGTGGGTGTGCCGGGGCTGGGAGCATTGTTTGAATGACGAGAGTGGCGAGAATTGCGAGAAGAAACGGAGACATTTCTGCGGACACTGTCGAGCTTGCGGTGGCTGTCGTTGCTCCCGCTGGCATTGGAGACCGATCGTCGAACGTTCGAGGTGGCGGATGGGCGAGATCCCAGGCCGCCTTCTACGTCTTGGGCGGCAGGCCGAAGGCCTGCTTCAACCTCTTTCACTTGCTGTTCATCCGGGGTGGTTCCGCTCATACCAACCAAGAAGTGATCCTGGTTCTCAATTAAGAAGATCAGCACATCCTGACTCAGTTTGTACTCCTCTGGCGACATGTCGTGTTGGGGATGGGACAACATCCCGGGTTGGAAAATGGCCGAAAGGTTGGCTGATGTCATACGATTCTGGTCCGACTTGGACGCAAACACGGCGAGCAGATCGAGGATGTACAGGAGCAACTGCTTGTTTAATGGGGGAAGCTCGACGATCAGGCGCTGATATGTCTCGACGGCCTTGGCGTGATCAAACTTGTCTGCATCGGCTGACTCCTTTCCGGCCTGCACCTGCTTCTGATAAATGCGCAGGGGCTCGCGAAAACGCTCATAGAACTCCAGAGGAACGATGGGCTCAGGCAACTGATTCAAGTATCGACGCAGGACGTTGGCGGCATCGTGCACGGTGTATCCTGACCAGTCGAGGCCCTTCCCGTAGCGCTCGGGCGAATCGAAGATCTCTTGCAGATCTTTGATGCGCTTGGCCGACCCATTGAGGCGGAAAATACCTTCCACATCCGTGGCTGTGAGGGAAAAAGAAGAGTCAGCAACGGTTTGAACCCGTCGGTAGGGAAGTCTCGCTCTACGAACCTCGGTCTTTGAGGAATACACCACACTTGGCCACGACGATGGGTACGTATCCATAGATATGGCTCCTGCCATGCTCTCCAGTCAGAGATATGGCCACGTTCGCGTATTTGATGCTGACATTTAGCGGCACACCGAAGATGCCTCGAGGGGGTTCTGTTCCGACAACGGGTCAGCTTATGGTTCCAGAAAGAAAGTCCCTACCGCGCAACGACAAGGCCTCGCGCCGATATTCCACTACTGCCTGGACAAGACTGAAACAGGTACCTCAGCGCCACCAGGGTATGTCCATCAACGGCTCAGGGAAATCGCGAATCGACGCGGGCGCGGCCAGCCAGGTCGGGTGGTAGACGCTAACCCGGCTCGGTGCCGCCACCGCGCCCAGTTTCGAGGCACTATGGGCACCACGTACCTTTGACTTCATCTTTCCTCGAGTTTCGTTTAAACTGCCTCCACCACGAGGCCAGGTCTCGCTTCGACGGTGGGGAGTTGGCGCCGGTCGGGTTAAGTGAAGTAGCGGGGAGCTGAACTGGCTCGACGCCCGGCTGCGATTTGCCGGTCACCATGGTGAACCGGAGGAGAGAGAGCGAGACGGGATTGGAGGGGGGCGAGGGGGACGGATTTCGCTGAAAGATGACGGCGTTCGGTCAAGAGGGTGGAGGGGGTGAGGGATGATCGCGGGAATGTCGAAGGGCACCTGCGTCACCGCCCTGGTGCGGGAAATCCTGGGGCTGAGCCCAGGATGGCGGTGGCGAAAGGACAGGGGATCGAGTCGCCGAAGAGAAAGGGAGGACGAAAGAAGCAGGGAGGATGAACCAGGTGGAGAGGCCCAAGATGAACGGGGGAGGGACGAGGCGGGTGCAGAAGAAGGGATACGACAGGAAGGGTCGAACAGGGTCAAAAGGGGGAGCCGGTGGTTTTTTGGGTCAAAAATTGGGTTGCGGGCACGAGCCACAGCCACGGCTAGAAGACGAGGAGTCCAGCGGTCGTCGAAAGGGGCGAAAAGGCGCGCAGGAAGACGAGGGACGAGAGAAGAGAAGCGAGAGAAGGGAGAGAAGGACCGAAGAAGGATTGCGATGGAGGTTCTTAGCTTCATGGGTTTACAGGACCACCGCAAACCACCGGATCGACCGTCGGGCGGGTGCTATGAATAGCGCAAATGGCTGGAATGGCTGAAGACCCCGGCAGGGCGGTAATACGCGGACCCAAGGTTCCAGCTCCCAAGTTCCTGGACGACCAGCAGAAAACTATAGTTGAAACGGGCCTTTTTGCTTTTGCGTCTCTGGCCGAACCAGTCTGTCGGAACGATCTTCTACAAATCGGTGCGAAATATGGAAGAGTTGCGGAGTATGGAGACTGCCCACGGCATGGGCTACGCAGATGAAGTATAGCAATACCGAGATAAGTATGGCAAGTATGGACAGTATGGACAGTATGGACAGTGGGGGCCAGTATGGCCCAGTATGGCGCAAGTACTCCGTACAGTATTCGAACCCATTCCATCGTATCCAGCGAGACCGAAGAGTAACCAAACGGTCTGTGGAGGAACGATGGGGCGTAGCAGACATGGCCAGGAGGGTCTTGGTCTACTAATGGACGCAGACGCAGACACCCAAGGGACCGCTGGCTGGACCGTGTCTGGGCCAATTTTGAGGGGTCTCAATCACCGGATTCAGGAACTAGCTCCATCGGTTCCAGCTTTTGCGCTCGCAGCTGAGCCGACTGGTCCTGTGTGGTCAGGTACCGCCATCGGCTAGCGAGGAGAGGTTGGTCCGGCCACAACTCCGTTTGATTGATGAGTTGGCAGCCTTCTGGTGGACAAGGGCGGAAGGGATATCGATCATATAGAGATGATCGGTGGAGCAAGAAACATCATCACTTCGGAGGTTGTGAGGGAAAGATAGACTGAGGGATTGATTGTGGGGATTTTTCTGCACAGACTCGAGACTCCACCGCAAACGGCCCGATCAGGTGACTGACCGACTAGAGTCACATGACCTCGAGAATCGAGTCGATCACATGACCTTTGGGACGGCCGGCGGATAAACGTAGTTGCGCCGAGAAGCAGCTTCGGAGCTCCACGCCTGCCTCTTCGAGCCGGTTGTTATTTTGCACCAGACGTCCGCCGTTTCAACCAACCTATTTCAATTCTCTTTCCTGTTCACATCACACATCATGGACGGGTATGCTGCCTTTTTCCACATCCCCGACGCTCGATGCTGCAGGTCGATTTTCCTTGGATCCCAAGACTAATGCATGATATCGCTACAGCCTCAACGCATCGGAGCAGCGCGAGTTCGCCTCCCGCATGGAGCGGAAGCAGCTGAAGGAGTTTATGACTGTATGTCCCTTTCTTACACCTACCAACCCCGACTCGCCGGCTTGGTGGGGATGGTTCTCGGGGCGGCCTGCCATTGAACCTAAATCCGAGCCCATCTCCGTCCCTTGAGGATCTTTCCCCACGACCCGATTCTCACTTTTGATGCCTCGTGCAGATGTACTCCAAGATGGTCCAGCGGTGCTTCGACGACTGCGTCAACGATTTCACCACCAAGTCCCTGATCAACCGTGAAGAACAGTGCATCATGCGCTGCGTCGACAAGCACCTCAAGAGCTCGGCCCGCCTGAACGAGCGTTTCCAGGAGCAGAACGCCGCCATGATGCAGAGTGGCCAGCTGCCCGGTAAATAAGAATCGGATTTCAGCGGCCGGGATCCCGAGGAGGGGGAGGAGGAAAGCAGGAGATGAAGACTGTGCCACCCGGACCGAGGCCAGGGTTGACTCTCTGAGCACGCGCCGCTGGCCCGTTCGGAAACTCCCCTCTCTGGGGAGCCGATCGAACCACCTCTTTGATGTGGCTGATGCTCGTGTGGCCCACGGAGGCGCGCGGGGGAACAGCTGGGTTCTGGCTCCCTGCATGTACCATAGTGATTTGGACGGGACCGGGAAGATGAATATTCCCCCTCGTCCCGATCCCCGAAATATAAAACTGGCATTGCTCATTTTTGATTCTGATCTCGACAGTGGCCTGGGGATATCCTTGTCCTCTCTCGCACGGATTGATTCTTAACGGTAGAAGTGGAGTCATTAGGTGTTCTGCAGAGCGTCCGCCTGGAGACGGCAACGGGCCGATATCGAACCCGATTGGGGCCTCTCCCTTGTGAGGCATCACGTCCGCCGGCGACCCGCTCGTGGGTGTAGGACTCCTGATTGGCAGGGCGCTTGCTCAGCTTATCCAATGCCGGGAAACTTTGCCCTGTTGGGCGCCCGCGGTGCGCGAGGGGGGGAGGTGTGGGGGGGGAAGGGCTTGGGGAGAGGGGAGCGATGCTCGAGATAAGCCGGGTGCGGTCCCGTCCGCCGACCTAACCTCTCGTCCCCAATACGCCCGATCGATGTATGTCCTAGAAAGGCTGGCATGGTACCCACCTGTCTAGTCTATCAATCTATAGTCTCTCGTCGAGTATAAGTCAAAGTTCATGCAGTACAGTACGAGCTTTAGGGCCTGCGATCCGACGTCCATCTCGTCTGGCGGGGCTGGAGACGGACCAGACGCTATTCCTGGCCGATACTTCGCCGGAGAGCTCGAGCAGAGTCCCAAGTAGAAGAGTTGACATGACATCTTGGCCCAGGGACCAACAATCAGACCAAGGGCTCAAACTCGACTGAAACAATTGACTGGACCAGAACCGGGCGAGTCGGGCCAGGCGTCCGTTGGAGACGCCCCTCACTCCTCATCGCCTGTCACCTCCTCATCCTCCCACCACTTCCCCCCACTCCCCCTCATTCCCATTTTCATCAGCTCCCGGCTCCACTCCCCTCACAAATTGCTCTCAAAAACCCATCCTCCCCTTCTTCTTCCCGTCATCGCTGCATCAACTTTGTGAGTGAACCCCCCCCCCCCCCCCCCCCCCCCCCCCTCACAACCCACCACCACCACCACCGCGTTTCCTCTCCGTGGCTAACCACCGCCACTCCGCCACTACCTAGAGCTCTGCGTGGGTCTAGGAACACGTCACTCTACATACACTATGGCTAGCACCGTAGGAAAGGTAAATTGCGCCCCTTTTACTATGATTTGTACGAGGAGATGATCGCGAAGCTGACTTAGCTTGATTGCCAGACCATCACTTGCAAGGTAAGCTCCCATTCGGCCCCGCGATGACGTTGGCCAACCCCGCGTCACCACCGCCATGCCGCGACTAAAGAGAACTTAACTGATGATTCCCATTCACAGGCTGCCATTGCCTGGGCGGCTGGAGAGCCTCTGTCCGTCGAGGATGTCGAGGTTGCCCCCCCAAGGCCCACGAGGTCCGCATTCAGATTCACCACACTGGTGTCTGCCACACCGGTAAGCCCCGCGATCGGCTCCGCCTGGCACAATTCAGAACAAGGAACCCAGCAAAGCAAACACGAGCGGGACTGACCTCCAACTAGATGCCTACACTCTGTCCGGCAAGGATCCCGAGGGTGCTTTCCCCATCGTCCTGGGCCACGAGGGTGCCGGTATCGTCGAGTCGGTCGGCGAGGGTGTGACCTCCGTCCAGCCCGGCGACTACGTGATCGCCCTCTAGTAGGTTTCCCTTCGCCGCATGGGCTTTCGCTTGACCTTGCCGTCCCGCTGACCAATTGCAGCACCCCGGAATGCCGTGAATGCAAGTTCTGCAAGTCTGGCAAGACCAACCTGTGCGGCAAGATCCGCGCCACCCAGGGTAGGGGTGTCATGCCCGATGGCACCTCCCGCTTCAAGGCCCGCGGCAAGGACATTCTGCACTTCATGGGCACCTCGACCTTCTCCCAGTACACTGTGGTCGCCGACATCTCCGTCGTCGCGGTGACTCCCAAGATCTCTACCGACCGTGCCTGCCTGCTGGGCTGTGGGATCACCACCGGCTACGGGGCTGCCGTCGAGACCGCCAAGGTCGAAGAGGGCTCCAACGTGGCCGTCTTCGGGGTGGGCTGCGTCGGTCTGTCCGTCGTGCAGGGTGCTGTGAAGAACAAGGCCGGCAAGATCATTGCCGTGGATGTCAACGACGGCAAGGAGGCTTGGGCCCGCAAGTTCGGTGCCACCCACTTCGTCAACCCCACCAAGCTGTCGGGCCAGACCATCCAGGAGCACCTGATTGAGATGACCGACGGCGGGTGTGACTACACCTTTGACTGCACCGGCAACGTCGGTGTCATGCGCGCTGCTCTCGAGGCCTGCCACAAGGGCTGGGGTGAGAGCATCGTCATTGGTGTCGCGGCCGCTGGCCAGGAGATCTCCACTCGGCGTACGTGAAGTCCCTCATCCCGTGGTTGTTTTCGTTCCCCCCTCGCTGACTGTTGCTTGTTTAATATAATAGCATTCCAATTGGTGACTGGCCGTGTGTGGAAGGGATGTGCCTTTGGCGGCATTAAGGGTCGCACCCAGTTGCCCGGGCTGGTGGATGACTACCTGAACGGCAACCTTAAGGTGGATGAGTTTATTACCCACCGGGAGCCCCTTTCGGCCATCAACACGGCCTTTGAGCAGATGAAGGCGGGCGACTGCGTCCGCTGTGTGGTGGATATGAAATAGACGCGCGATGTGATATAGTTTGATGATGATCCCCAAAACTGGCTCGATGTGAAATATGATTTCCTTTTGTTGTGATGGAGCGAGCTTTGGACGGCACTCTTTTGACCCTGTGCACATAGATTGTGTAAAATGGCTGCTTCCCCCGTCTTGACGGGGCGTGGCCGGTCTTTGTAGGGCTGGGCAGGACACCCCAGGGTCCTCACCCCGCAGCACCTTGGGAGTGGTGTACCCATCCGCATGGCGATAGCGTGCCAACTCTGTCCATGAAGCGCCGGGGGCTTTCTGACCCTGCAGAGGACCTGACTGGCCTGACCAGTTCTGCTCGAGCACAAAAGCCTGCCATCTTGGGCCGGGTGATGGGCCGCGGAGGAGAGGTTCAACTCCGAATGTCACGATGCATCGGACCACGATGAACCGGGGGGCGCTTACTATCGGCATCAGCAGAGTCGATCCTATTGCCGCTCAGAGTGACCATCGCTCAGGGCCAGAGACGGGTCCGCCAGTCCGCGCGGGCGTCCCGTCTCCGCCTTTGCAGCAGCACCATGATAAGCAGACCGATTTCGGGTCGACTCCAGCCGGTAATGGCAGGGGGCACGCTGATGGCGATTGGATGAACAGCCTCGTGGGGTGAACCGGACGCTGGCACAGGGCCGGGCTGCATGTCCTACGCGGTCTGCGCAATCTGCATAGCGCCATGAAAACGGCTCTCCACCTGCGGACGATGGCCGCGACGAAGAGGGGAATGTATCTCACGCGCCCTCTCGGCTCACGGCCGGCTGCCGTCTCCATTGCCATCGTTGGAGTCGTGGAGACCATCTCCCCTCTCTCAGGCACTCTGATAACAGTCGTCCTATAACAAGGCCATGCATTCCCCGGACCAGACACCTTCCCAAGCCCTCCACACCATTCGAATCCCTCCAACCTAGATTTTGATAGACCCATCGCCTCTGATCAAGATGGCGCAGAATCCCATCACCCTGCCTGAGCCCTTCTCAACTATCCCGCGCACTCCCCTCCTTCTCGGCCCCTCGCCGATCCACGTCCTCCCCCGTATCAGCGCCGATCTCGCCCAGAACAGCCCCCATCCGCCCGTCACCATCTATGCCAAGCGGGACGACCTCAACTCCGCCTATGCGTATGGAGGCAACAAGACCCGCAAGCTCGAGTATCTCCTGGCGGATGCCCTGGCGCAAGGCTGTGATACGCTCGTTTCCATTGGAGGCGTGCAGAGCAACCATACCCGCCAGGTGGCGGCGGTGGCCGCGCGGACCGGGCTGAAAGCCAAGCTGGTGCAGGAGCATTGGGTGGACTGGGTGGACAAGGGATATGACAGTGTGGGCAATATCCAGTTGTCCCGCTTGATGGGCGCAGACGTGCGGCTGGATCCGTCAGGATTCGGCATTGAGCATAAGACCACGGCGCAGGCGGTGGTGGAGGAGTGCCAGGCGCAGGGCGACAAGCCGTACTATATCCCTGCCGGCGCCTCGGATCACCCGCTCGGTGGGTTGGGGTTTGCCCGCTGGGCCTTTGAGGTGCGCCAGCAGGAACAGGAGCTGGGGGTCTTCTTCGACACGGTGCTGGTCTGCGCCGTCACGGGCTCGACCTTTGCCGGCATGATCGCGGGCTTCAAGCTGCTGGAGAAGCTTCACCCGACCGATCCCAAGCGCAAGATCATTGGGATCGATGCATCGGCCACGGTGGAGGCCACGCGTGCTCAGGTGCTCCGGATTGCGCGCAACACGGCCGTCATAATTGGCCTGAGTGCAGATGAGATCACCGACGCCGATGTCATTCTCGACGACCGCTACCACGCGGGCATCTACGGGATTCCGGATCGCCAGACCTGGGACGCCATCGAGTATGCCGCCAAGATGGAGGCGTTCATCACCGACCCAGTCTATGAGGGAAAGAGCTTCGCGGGCATGGTGGACATGATCCGTCGCGGGGAGATCCAGGGCGGCAACGTGCTCTACGCGCACCTGGGAGGCCAGCTAGCCTTGAATGCGTATTCAGACCTTGGGAGGGTCAAGGAGTAGACGATGGCCCTGGAGAGGGGGATGTATATCGCCATCCATGCACTGTTTACTTACTTCGGGGTTGGTCAGATGCTATTCTGACGATTGACTACGGAGTAAGAAAAAAAAAAAAAGTCCAGGGGAATTAAGAAAATCAATTTCACAGTTCGCATCAAATAAGTAAAGGAGGGACTATAGTTAATACGATGGTCCAGTCGGACCGAATGGATCAACCAAGAACCTGAATTACAGCAGCTTGTGCTCAAGAGTCATCTCCGACTCGGGCTGGAGACCAACGCAGGCACGGAAGATGTTGATCAGCGCAGAGCGCTGCTTGCCCAGGGCGTTGACAACCGGGGTGCCGGGAGGAGTCAGGGGGGCCTTGAGCATGTAGCTGAGCACGCTCAGCACGCTGTGGAAGCCCTTGAACTCGGCACCCTCGCTATCAGCCTTCCAGCTGACACGGGTCATCATCTCAGCAAGCACAACCAGATCAATGATCAGAGGGGAAGCCAGCAGGGAGTCCTCGCAGATGTTGAACAAGCTGATGGTCTGGTGGCCACCCATGAAGATCTCGGCGTAGTACTCGTCCAGAGCGCGCTTGTTGTCACCCACAGCAGGCATGTATTTGATCACCACAGTGTGGTCCGGGTGCTCGTCCTTCTTGTACAGGATGTGGTTGGCAGCAACCATGTCATCCACAACATTGGACTTGGAGATCTCCTTAGAGCGGAACTGCTTCTGCGAGCTCAGGTTCTTGCCGTCGTTGTTGCCCAGGTGGTTGTAGCTGGCAATGGAGGTGAGCTTGATACCAGCGTTGATCAGGAAGTCCACCAGAGCGGACTTCATCTTGGTCTGGCCAGACTTGAAATCATCACCGCCAATAAAGGCACCACGCTGCTCGGCGAACTGGAGAGCACCGGGGACGAAGGTGTTCTGGGGCGAGCCATTGATGAAGGGAGCGTTCTCCAGGATGGAGGCCACAGCGAACACGGTGGACGGGGAAACCTCGGCGTGGCCGGTCTTGATCGAGTTGATCAGGTTGTCGGCAGTGTCGTTCACGCCGGGGAGGATGTCAGCATAGCGCTCGGTGTTGGCGGTCCACATGACGACGACCTTGTCCAGATCGTTCTGAGCCTTGAAGTCGCTGTGGTTCCAGTCAGCACTGATCTTGGGTGGATATTCAACTCCTACAAGGGGCACTCACCGAATGTCCTTCTGGATCTGCTCAACGTGGGCCCAGCAGGCCTTGGAACCCTCGAGGACGTTGTCGGCACGGTCCTCCTGGTTGGCGGCGATGAAATCAGGGTAGTAGATGCTGGGCAAGGGCTTCATCTCCGCCATCTCCTTGCGAACAAGGGTCTTGAGGCTAGGATCCAGCACCTGAGCACGGTCCATGGAGGCCGCGAGGTTCAGGCTGCTGATATCCCAACCACCGATGACCAGGTCATTGGGATGGGCCATGGGGAGCAGGTCACGGAAGGGGATGTTGATCTCCTCGCCAGACTTGGCATCAGTGCCGAGCTTGACGGTCGAGCTCATAATAATGGAGCCGTAGTAGTTGGCATGCTGCTGGCCCTCGCGGGTCTCCCAGGAGAGCCCACGGCGGTTGGCAATGATACCGGCGGTGACAGTGGAGCCGTTGTTTCCACCCCAGCCGACCAGCATCATACCGACCTTGCCGACCTTGCGGTCCACCTTGAAGTGGTAGTTGATGGCCTTGGGAGTGGCCACCAACTTGTTGTCCGCAGTGCGGGTGATCTCGGTGGTCTGGTAGGCATACTGACTGTTGATCTCATTGTCGGTGTAGACGACGTTGGGCGACTGAACAGTGAAAAGAGGGGAGGCGTCTGGGCGAGCCGACCCGTTCACGGTGCCATTTGCAACATCCGAGCTTGCGTGGGGAGCCATTGCGTTCACAGGGGTGTTGGAGATTGAGGAAATTGAAGTGATTGAACTCGAAGCGTGCTCGGAATTGATTTACTGCAAATATAATGCGTAGTCCGATGCCCCTCCACGGTTGGAAGTGCGTCGGCCGTTGAACGGGTGGTGCCGCCTAGGAAAAGCAGGTTAATGACTGGATTGAAGGGTTTCGGCCATAGCCTTGACGGTCTCACGGCCGGCACTGTAGAGACCGCAAATCACGGGCCAGCAGGGGAGACTTACGAGTTAAGCTGCGTGGCAAAAATTTTGACGGTTGTATGTGATCACTGTCTCGTGGAGAAGTGATCGAACCTACTGACAAGGCTTATACGAACCGAAGGTTGGAATTGGGGGGAGAAACGAGGTTGTTTGCGGGAGGAAAGTGGGCGTGGGCGTGGGCCTGCAGTTAAATAGTTGAGTGGCCCACGTGAGCTCCGCCTATCTCCGGGGATCGATCTCCTCTCTCCCCCAGCTCCAGGTTTGCCCCTCCTTCCCCCTTTTTTCTTTTCCTTCTCGTCCTAGTTTTTCCCCCTGGGTTGGTAATTTACTCCCGCCAACCAGAGAGCCTCGGCCTGGAAGGATCTTCGATGGATTTCCAGGAGCAGAGGGTCGTTGGGCACTAGCTCCTCCGAGCCGAGAGAATGCGGGCGAGTGCCTTCCGGTACCATACTTCCCCATTGACACAGGCCCTTCGTCTTGTCCTCGCCTAATGATGCAAAAAAGTGGGATCCATAACTGTCCGGCCAGTCGCCCGCAGTGCTCCGCTCGTTTGTTGGGCCCCATCGACGCCGCTATCAGGGTCGGCCATGGAACGCTCCGCTTCCGGCCAGACTTCTCGGGTGCCTGTCGGCCTCGGGTAATCGTCCCATTGTCCCATTTGCCCCTTGTCTGTTCCGATGCTTTCGTCGGTGGTTCATCGTTGGACAGGTCATGCAATTCACACCATTCTCGTCTGCCCGGGACTATGGGACGATGGAAACCGTTTTGACCCCTCGATCATGAACCAGCAGGTGATCCGTGCTCGAACACAATCGCGATGAAGGAGGGGCAGCCAGCCGTGCATTATCGGCACCCGCGCTCCTCCAAACTGGCGGTCTGCGTGTCCGGTCTCGCCCCCTGGTTCCTGCGTTCGTTCCGCATCACGCTGGTCACCGCACCTTTCGCCCCTTCCATCTTCCTTTCACTGCCCGGCCACAGATGAGCCATCGGATCCGATAATTGGGTAATGGGATCATTGCCCCTCGCAACATTGACACATATTGTATTCCGTACTTCGTAAACTGCACGAATCGCATAGATTAGGGACCTGGCCTCGATGTTCTGTCGATCATTTATGCTCCCGCCCGTCACGTTTATGAACTCGGGTAGCCCGGCACTCTCTCCGTTTGGGTCAGACCCTACATTGTCAAGTCAATCGCCAGTCTGATCCACGGGTATTGAAACAATTTTCCTTTCCTTTATGCTCGCGACCATACAATCACATCAATGGAAATCGGGTGGCCCGGCTGTCTCTCCGTTGGGTCAGATCCTACCTCGTCAAGTTACTCGCCAGTCTGATCCGCCGGTATTGTGATACTTTGACTTTTTTTTGTAGTTGTAAACTCAACTCACAATGCCGCAATCATTACGATGGGATGGAGCCTCGCGTCCCGGCGGGCCCTTTCCACCTAAGAGATCCATCTACATACACTGCAGAAATCCGAGATGCCGCGAGATAGCTTTCCCGACTGTACTCCTCAATCCGATTCACTTTGTTCACTTAAAGAATCAGCATGGCGATTGGGACTGCACCCGTTGCGCCGAGCCCAAAGCCTCATTTTGCAGCCAGACATCTATAATAAAGAATTGAGTTAGTGCGTGTGATTTGCAGCAAGAATTGCAGAGTCATTCCCAATAAGGACACGGGCAGCACAGGCATGGTGAACATATCCCACCAAGTGACTCGCTCACTGTATGTTCGAACTCGATAGAACAAGTGTTCACCTGCATTTCAACCTCCGCGGCCTCGGATCCATGAAGCCGAGTGAGAACCTCTCGCGCACATTCATGGCAATCCTGACTAGCCAAACAACGTGGACTGGGAGGCACCCATCCAGAAGGCGACCAGCTTCCCCAGACATAAAATCATATGTTCGACGGCCACGATCCGGCCACGTAGGGGGGAAACACCGCCGACACATGCTCCTACTCCGAATCCTAGAATCACACGGCCCATAGTCTGGACAATTAGTCCTGGAAATAGCTGCTGAGCCAGAAGGACCGGGATGCTCACAATCCGAGTGATTGAACACACGACTTGGAGAATGGCACCAGTAATGAACACCTTACAGGCAATCGCCAGGGTTCGCTCACGGATTAAATCAGCAAGATACCCTAAGGACATGACGCCAGTGAAGTATCCCATATCATAGAGGAACATAACGGTACCAGTCACCCCTACAGCGAGTTAGCGAGAGAGCTGCTGACTCCCAGTGGGTACAGATACCTGGGGTAGTACCATCCCCAGTTCCAGAACACCTCGGCGGCGCTCGAACAATTGATAGCGCTTGCTGAGGAATGACCTTATTGCGGGCGGAGCCTACCGGATTGACTTGAGTTGGGGGAAATCCTCCCATCGGCGCAGCCGATCTTCTCCCGAAAGCAACTCAAAGTGGCAGTTCAGCACGCGACTATATCGTTAATGTGTGGTCCGTGCCTTGCCCTGTGCGGAGAGGGCGTCTTGATTTTCCTTCGGTCTGGTTAATGCATTGACCTGGCACAGAGGAGCGTTGTAGTGGTACCCGAGAGGACGTGCCCTGCTGGTTTTATCTTTTGTGATAGTGGGGGTGGCCAGCAAGGGCGTGGCCCGCTATTGCATGTCGGGCGTTTTGGTCCAGCGTCTGAATTATAGAGGACTGGGGATGGAGACGCCGATCGACGGGCATGCAGGTCAAACATAGAAAGACTGTGCATTGACTTTATAATGCAGCCACCATTGCAGAGCCAATCAGGCATTCTGGTTGTCAACAATGACCCTCTGAACCATATCAGATACTTACAGCAGTCCCGATCAGATGACCCTCTGGACAAGCTGCGACGGCACTATGAGAATGGCTATCTCTTTTTGAAGGGACCGATCTCCCGCGACGTTGTTCTGAAGGCCCGCTATGAGTACTTTGCCATGATACAGCTCACGGGAGTTCTTGAAGCAGGCACCAAGCCAGTCCGGGCGATCATCACCCAGGACAAGTCTCAGAATTCCCAGGGGTTGGTGCTGGGGTTGGTGAGATGAATGGATGTCCAGGGGGCGAAAAAGCTGCCCAGGTTGTAGATTAAGCTATTGATGCCCACTCCCGCGACTGGTATGCCACGGATATCTATCAATATCCGGCCTCGGTAGTCTTCGTGGCTCGGTTTCGCGGGTAGAATTCCAGCACACTGAGTCTACGGCAATCGCTCTTGCGCACGATATTCCCGGGACCAAACCTATCGGATCTCACTATGACCAGATCTTTGGCGAACCAACTTGACTGATTGGGTTGCCACTTGGAGATATCAAAGTGACAGGTGGGCTCGTTTACTTGGAGAATGGTGAGTTTCCTTGAGGACCTCTATAGCGTCGAGTGGCTACTAACAGCTCAATAGGGCAATCTTCAGATTGAAGAGGAGTTCTCACTGAAGGCCAAGGTGACTGGCTAGTCGCTGAGTACGAGGCCAGAGATGTGGTTCTACACAAGCTTGTATGTTTGTCTTGTGCCCGCTACTAAGATACCACCAATACTGATGTTGATCCTTTGAGGTCCATGCTTCCACTACTAATAATGTTTCCTCCCCCGGACCGTGCTATTCGTCTTTCTACTGAACCTCAGATCCATTGATTTCTCAAAGCCTTATGACCTGTTATGTTTCTCCGTGGACCTGGCGCATGGCTCAAAATACAGATACTAGTTGATGCGGACGCGATGGAACAAATTCTGTGAGGCCGGGGATGGTGTTTAATTTAGGAAGGAATCTCCTATCAATCGTCAATCTATTCGATCAGAAGACATTGGCCAATGATAACCTCACATTGGTAACTCTGGTGTTGTTTCGCATTCCTATGAAATAATTGTTTCGGCTAGCACTGTGAGCCCCCGATCCCGGCCAATGCTCTGAATTTTATGAAAGGGCAGCACGGAGCCGGATTTCTTGGAAGACCAGAAACTGGCCGATCACGACGGTGCCCTTTCCATAATTTTCCTTGTGAGTGGCAATACGAGTTATGAGTTGTAGCAAGTGTTGACAATGACTCAGCCACAAATCATGATCTTTCCGCCAGCAATTACCCACCTTTGGGCCACGAAAGAGGCTTCGAAAGAGCCTTCGACGAAGCTTTTGCTACCTTCATCGAAGGCCCTGTTAACGCTCCAAATTCATACCATTGCATGGCTAATGGTGCGCGTTGGATTCCTGGGACGCCGAGCCAAAACATTGTTGGAATGGAATGCGGCAACAACAACAACAAGAACGGGGGCCGTAAGGGCTGATCGTCTCACGATGTCACGGTTAAAATTGAGTTAACTTGAGATGCATTAAATCTTAATCTTACTAGATTAACCTTGTATTTGCACAAACAAGCGTCAATCAGCTGTTTCATACAGATAGCCTGATACTTAACTTTGTTCTGCTCTTGATGCCGCCATTCCTTGGCCTTCGAGGTAATCGCCTCAATGTGGTAGCCATATTGGGGGTGACTATGCCCTCTATAGTGTCATTCGGTTATAACCAATCACTATTGGGTGGAGTTTTGACGTTGCATAGCTTCGAAAAGCAATTCCGTGAGATCGATGTGACCGATGCCACCCTCGCCGAAAAATCCCAAAAGTCAACTATTCAGGGCACGATAGTAGCCTTGTATGCTGTCGGTGGCTTGTTCGGTGCACTTTCGTGCATTGGCCTGGGAGATCTTTTGGGACGCCGTCGGGTCATCATAGTGGCAGCTGCCACTCAGATAGTCGGAGTAGTCTTGATGACGAGCGCTTTCAGTTTCATCCAACTCATCATCTCTCGTCTGATCCTTGGGCTCGGCTGTGGCGGTTTAGTCGCGACTGTGCCCATCTGGCAGTCAGAGATATCACCAACTCACAAGCGTGGTGCACATGTGGCAACTACCGGTCTTTTCGCTGGCCTGGGCACCTCCCTGAGCCTTGTCGTGGACCTTGGGATGTCGTTCGCTCCCGGGAGCGTGGGGTGGCGCTTCCCTCTTGCCTTTCAAGTGCTATTCTCTATCACTATCCTTGGTTTCATCTCAGTCATGCCAGAGTCACCGCGCTGGCTAATTCGGCAAAACCGCGCTGCTGAAGCTCGCGAGGTCCTAGCGGCCTTGGAAGATGCTGATCCCCGCGACTCCAAGATAGAAACCGAGATTCAAGACGTGCAATCATCACTGAAGCTTTCCGGAGAAGGATCTCTTGGGCAGGTTCTTCGAATGGGACCCCAACGAGTTTTCCATCGAGCGATGCTCGCTGCCACCGTGATGTTATTTCTGCAACTGACCGGGGTCAACGTCATCACGTTTTTTAGTATGTTATTGGCTTATCATGAACACGATCTGGTCTAACGCCTTCATTTATTTAGCCAACACAATATTTGAGCAGTATCTTTTATTGGATTCTGTAACGTGCCGGGTGCTGGCAGCCGCTTATCAACTGTTCAGTCTCGTTGGAGGCACCGTCTGCATCTTCACCGTGGAGGCCTTCGGTCGGCGTGGCTTATTGCTGGCCGGGGCGACAGGCAATGCCATCTGCATGGCTCTTGTCGCCGGGCTAGGATCCCAGCCGGAAAACAGAATGGCAATACACGGTGCAGTCGTGTTCATCTTCCTCTATCATTTCACGTTTATCGTCGGGTTCGGAGGCGTTGCGTTTCTCTACGTTGGAGAAATTGCGCCCTTAAAAATGCGTGCAACTATCAACGGGATCAGTGTCGGAACCTTCTGGGCTTTGAACGTATTGGTTGCGGAAATCACGCCCATCGCATTCAATGCCATTGCATGGCGGTTTTTCATTGTTTTTGCATGCTTGAATGCCGCCATCGTGGTCCTTGTATATTTTTTGTTTCCAGAAACGGCCGGCCGCAGTCTGGAAGAAGTGGACCAGATTTTTGTCTCCTCCACAAGCATTTGGGACTCGGTTTGGGTGGCTAAGCGCCTCCCACGATCGGGGTCGGATGGCTTGGAGAGGGACGAAGGGCACTTGAAAGTTCTTCCACAATAGATTTAACGTGGACGGTGTTTCTTGATGTCCACCCGAGATATATTTCCATTTGCAAGCTAGAGCATTAGCTGCAATCCCACTCTGGGATGGTAGGCATCCATATGGGGCCCTGTAGAACACTAAATAAACTATAGCCTGAATCTCCCAATCCCTATTGTTCCACAAATGCTACCCGCTAACTCCATCATTCCGGACGGTTTGGCCTTTCCCCAACCGACCCCACAGGCTCCAACTACTCTTCCCCGCTTCAACCTCGACATTTCAGATATCCCGTCATCGCCATGGCGAAGAGGATTAAAATGCTGGTCGGAGGGCCCCACCACTGAGCTATTGTTGAGCTTGGCTAATGGCACGGTGAATTTAGTGATCCGGGTCGTCTACTTCACCAAAGAGGTGAGAAACCCTTTCACACCGGATGTTTCTGCCCATCGCGGGAGGTGATGGCAATCTTCCTCAATGCGGTCGATACACACGGACAGGACGCGCCTGTGTGCAAGACCATCGCGAGGCACAGTTTTGCCAGGGGAAAGGACATGGGCCACGGACTCGGTTCCGCGCAATCAGGTTTGGCTCAAGCCGCCACCCGGAGGTTGGGAGTATCTTGTCTCTGAGATCGATGACTGGTGAATTTGTCTATCGAAACCCAGTCTATGGAGGGTGCCTTGCCCTTTGTCGATAGCCGACCAACTTCCAGCCCCGAAACACCGACGGTCCCCACGAGTGCACATCATTGCGGCAGCTGACGAGGACCGGACGCAACGATATATCTGGAGGGTCAGGGATCGGCGTACCCCTCAACGCCAGCGCTCGTGCCCTTGAGAAACCCGGAAGAGGCCTGCCTCTTGAAACATTTTGTGGACCGAATATCGTCGTTTCTGAGCATATGGCCCGCCGCGGGGAAAACGAGGGACTTCGGGATCTGACTGGACCGGACTAGATTGACTGTACCGACCGTCAACAGGAGTTTTGCTGTCCATATATTCCCTATCATACCCGGGACCTTGTTCAACGCGATTATGGCGTTGTCAGCGCGATATTTGAGTTGCACCACCAATTTGATTCCTTTGTCTCGCCCTAGTACTACCAAGCATGTCTGAAGACACCGATCCCAGCGATGAACGACCATGAGGTTACCATGGATGATTATTATTGGCGCCCACCGTCGTCCTCCGTCTGCTGGAGGAATTTGACTGCGAGTGGATCCCTCCCCCCACCGTACTATTCTAGGAGTTTATGTTGACGGCGATCGCAGTCCCACTGGCGGGTCTGATCACCTTCATTCAGGGTCCACCACCCTCCCCAACGACAACCCCATGTCTACGACAAGCAGTTTTGACCTAGGCCAATTTAGTGCATCTCGCTAAATGAGCCAAGATGATAGAAGCCACCATCGATAAGCTTAGCTTCGGCGCTAAGACCAGGGGGTCCTCAAGTGGTTCCTGGACACGCTGGTCACGCTTCGTATCAAAATTACAAGTACCACCACGCTTGGCCCAACTCGATCCGAGTCAAAATTGCGCCTTAAGGTGTGGAAGGTTACGGCTCTCTCTCTCATATGTTGTCGCCCCTTCTGAAACCCCGGCAGCAGTTTAATATTGACACCTATCACTATTCCTCAATGACCATCATCATCCAACGGCTTCACTTTCATCCGCGCCTACTTGGTCGCGCGAGAAAGACCCATGGTCCTCTCTCTTCGTCGCGCGGCTACTCGGAGATGACAAAGATGGATTCTTCACCTATCAAGTTGGACAACAGCGGCAATGGCCCCTTGCGAGTCCCTGGTTCCAGTGGTGTACCCCTGTACTATGAGCACTCAAAAGGCAATCGCTTTGCTCATGGAATTGCCGATTGGAGACAAATCCCCCAGTTGTTTCTCCGAGAGGTCTCCATGCTCGAGTTGATGTCGTTTGTCACGGACCAGCCAGGCTGGGATAAGAAGTCTACAGACGCGCAGACACTGGAAGACTGGCATCAGCACGCCGTTTCGCTCTTCGATCTCGACGAACCCTCATGGCAGTGGTGTGTAAAGGAGCTGCGATACAAAGCGTCTGATTTCCAACGCACGGGCTATGTTGCCGCGTTTGATGCAGACTCACGAGTTATTAAGACTCTAGTTCATGACGACCTCCTTGACGAGCTTCGCCAATCCTTGTCGCCACTCTTTTCGGAATCAAGATCTGTGTCGTCTCTTAGCTCGGGTGATTCTCCTGAACCTGAATTCGAGGGTCCCGTTCGACATGTGGTTGACCCCTTCATGTATCCTCTTGTCTATGGGCGCACTCGCGTCCTTACCGACGGGAGCAGAGTTGATCTGGACAGACCTGAGTCCTGGAGATGGTCACAGTCCCGGATTGCCCCGATTCCCGATCTACGACCCGACAGATACGAAATGCATCCCGAAGAGAGGGAAAAAAAGACCGAGGGGATACCCGGTATGTTGGGAAGGGAGACTACTGGTCCAATGCGTTTCAATGTCTTCCCTGTGACGTTGCCCTGGACAAGCAAAGAGGGGTTAAAATTACGTCCTATGTCAATGGTGTGCACCCAAAGGAAAGGAGCATATACAAAGCGCTCGAGGGGCTCATTTCGGCCGCCATACAGCCGTGGAACGAAATGCTTATCCTTGGAGATCAAGGTCGGACACCAATGCGAATCAGAACTTATGACTTTCAAGTGGAAGGTATCGATCATTACCCCAAGTTATATTATGACCTGTACCACGTGAGACAAAGACGAAAACCACCCTTCACAGAAGAATGGCCTGTCATTCAATCCCGAGTAAGAGATTACCTTGCTCTCCCCGAACCCGAGAAGCGGCATCGCATAATCCCTGGCACTAGGAGCCATGATCTTCTCGCTGGTATGCAGCCATGGCAATGGGATTCTCTTGAAGCACTGGAAGAATTGATCATCGAAAAAAATGACCGGCTGTACGCCGTGAAAGGCGTTGAGCCGGGGATCTCCTTCACATACGAGGAATGGAAGACTGGTAAAACCACAGGCCGCGCGATCATGCCCAAATTGAGTGAACCGGATTACCCTGAATATCTCCCAAGTCCCGATCCAGATCACCAATACTACACCATAGCACTCCAAGATCAATTTGAGGGTCTGCAGGTCATAGTACGAGTGTCAACTGTTGAGCTCACCCCGGAAAGGCCTTTGTATGGTGGTGATGCCCATCACAACATTGCTGGTATCCTCAATGAGCATATCGTTGCTACGGCCATATGCTACTTCGATATGCACAACATCAAAGATGCAAAAATTTCATTCCGACAAGAGACGAAGATTGATGGCAATGATTACAACGTTGATGAGTTTATGGCTTTGAATCAAGTGTTTGATCTTCCCGAGTCCGACTGTGATGGTCCTTTCCCGCCGGCTCCACAGACCTTAGGATCCATCCCGATTTCACGGATTGGGCAGTTTCTTACTTGGCCCAATACACTACGGTCTAAGGCCGAGCCTTTCGGTCTCGCAGATCCATCGCAGCCAGGGCACCTTCGGTTTGCGACTTTGTGGTTGGTAGACCCGCATTATCGAGTTTGCTCAACTCTGAATGTACCTCCCCAGGACCTCGGCTGGGTCGAGATATCAGAATCCATGGAGAATGCAGGGAAGGACGACTCAATGACATTTGCGCAGGCGGTTGAGATTCGAAACCAGATGAGGCACGAGAGGGACAAAATAAGCATGCATTTTCTTTTACATGCACATAAGCTGCACAACTATTCGTGGGATCTATGGAGGCCCTGCGGCCGCGGACACAACAAGTAGATTCCACGTCGGCTCAGGCTCATCAGTTTCTGGTTTGTGTGGCAGCAGCTGGCCCTGGAGGAAGAGTACATTGTTTGAATACAGCCGAACGCGTAGTGCTTCCAAACCTTCGATGCTGGAACTCCATCTTTAGTAAAGGATACCCCATTCCCTCCAGTCCCAAGGCATCAAGCATGATGGTAAGCGACCATGTACATACAGATTCGAATTGGTATAGCATCCAAGTTCTGATCATACATATTTGTCAAAAACACCAACGGCCCAACATTTGAGCTATCATCTGACGCCTTCACTGTATGCATGATTTTCTAATCACAGCTGTCCACGCTGTCCAACTCAGTCAAGCTACGAGCAATTGAGGTGGTAATCTTTTGATGACTGATGTATTTCCTCGCATCATCCGTTTTGCTGTTCCGAAGACCAACATACTAGGTTATCCACTCCCCTACTGTTTCGACTCGACCATTAATGGCCGTCAATGTCAATCCCCAGTCCACCCGATCCTATGAAACGTCTGTGTCTAGTACTGGAAATGGCGAAGACTGCAAAGTCTTCCCGGGATATTTATCTTGGCAGAGGTACATTGGAAGACAGATCTTCGAATGATTGGATCCTCAAGCATTCCAAGGCGAAGCCACTCCCAAGGTTACTCAAAACAGCTTTTATAGTACTAGAGATTTTTATTAATATAGACTATAATCTTCTAAACCTAGAACATATTATATAGTTAGTATTAAATAGAGAAATAATAGTAGAAAGGAGATATAGTATATTTTATTTATGGGTTATATAATCTTTTAATTCTTCTATTAGGTACTGTCTCTCTAATTAGCCTATTCTATCTCTTCCCTGTTAGGTATTTTATAGATTCATATCTATTTAGCTAAGAAACTCCTTAAAACTAGGTAAACTATATATATACTATATAGTATGTAAATAATTAGCCCCAATATGACCATTTCTTCTGCCCCTCTGCGATGCGATTCAAATGCACCAATGCACCAATGCACCAAACGGCGATAAGACTGAATGCCGTAAGCCGAGCAGGGCACCAGGAACCAGAATCCTTTGCATGGCCCAAATCGGGATAGAAGGCAGGAACCGGCATAGTTCGCTAGCTAGCCTTATACATTTAGTAAAGGAGGATGGGCGAAGGGACTTGCAGGACTTGGGGGCCTCGGGGGCCAAGCAGCAGCAGCAGCAGCAGCGACGGCAGTTTGGGGGCCCAAATGGACCCGATGGATGGTTCGATATTTTATTCTTAGTTGTTGCTGTCCTTACTCCCCACGACTACTATTCTGATAGATCTTGTGTTTATGTCCACAGGGTGACCCTGCTGGAGTTATTTCCTATTCACGCGTGGTGCCCGACTCGATCCAATCGTCTGGCCCCCCTTGGTGCCCCGCCGATGGGCGAGTTGGCCGCTTCGAATGCGCGCGAGGTTCACCATGATTGGCAAAGAAGGGGGGAGGGGCGAGTGGCATGGGGCACAACATGGGCAGGCATCAACGGTGGGACCGAACATCAACCTTGAAAAGGAGCTGGGTGAAGCAGCCAGTGGGAGGACCAAGAGCAAAGGAGCAAAGGACGGCCAAAAGGAAAAGCGCTCGGGCCCCACTGGAATGCGCCTTCGCCCCTGAAGGCCCAATCGGCCCCCGTGGGACGGCAGAGCAGAGTAGTCAAAGAGAACTGCTGCCACGGAAGAGGGCTTGATGAGGCAGAGATAGTGTGCAGCACAACAACCGCACGAATTGCATCAGAATGGGGTGGAACCCATCTCAGTCAATGCAGGCAGCTCGCCTGACCTTTATTGTATGGAGCAGAGGACGGGAGTATGGGCGGGATCCATGGCGAACGGGCCATTGTGACTCGGCAACCCCTGAACCACCGAACCACAAAGTAACCGACTTACGAATCCTCCGTCCGCACTGGAGACGCTAGGCACTAGCGCCGTCACACTGGGTCCTGGCGTCTCCTGAATGGTTCTCGCATGGGCCTAGCTCGGAACTAGCACCGCGAGATGCGCCCGCGATCGACCATAATCCCTGGGAGACTGGGGTCGGCCATTTGAACCTCCTCCCTTCTGGAAACATTCCAATCATCCTTCTACAGGCACGACTACCTTTTGACTGGAACGGTGTTCCCCAGACCACTCCCCGCACCGACTTCTTTGGATATCGAAAACAGCCTCCGGCCTGCAATCGTGACTCGGCGATGAAGGCTGGGCTGCCCCTCTGAAACTCGATGACCCCGGTGGTCCCGACCATCTGATCCGAATACCGAATAGCATGGCGACGATGAATATGGGCTTTCTGCCCACGATCAAATGCTCCAACTGCGGAAACAATGTTGAGATTTCGGCCATGGGCGACCATGTGTGCACCCCTAGTGATCTTGGTATGCTTTCCCCGCTGGATACGACCACCATAGATGCATCATGTTGACTCTCGACCCCTCCCGGACAGCCCCTATTGCAACGATTCCTCCATCACCACCCCCTCCGCGGGGCTGGACGCTCCAGACCGACTGACGACGGCCATGGCGGCCAAACCCGGTCGGTCTGGAGCGCCCCCTCGCATCGACCCTTCGATCGCAAGTATGTCTTAACTCAGGCGCGGGGACAAGGTCCCTCTCGGACCTGCGGGCTCCTGGATCACTAACAAACCATCTAGATCGCGCATTCCTCCAACCAAACATGCCCACGCCGGCGAGCAGTATTGGGTCGCAGATGCCGTCCCCTCTTTCGATTCACTCGGCCCTCCGTTCTCCAATGCATTTGCCGTCGCCCACCACCCAGGTGTCGCCGGATGACGAGTCGGTGATCGACCTGGATACAGTATTTTCCTTCCCCATGCCTGGTAATCGGTCGCCGGCCCTTGTGGGAACCCCTGGGAGAATGGGTGATGGCCCAGTGCCCCCAGCGCGGTCCCCAGCGCGATCCCCAGCACCAACGCCGTCTCCGCGACTGGGGTTAGAGCTGGTCCCAGAGAATATAGAGCTCCCACCCAGTCCCCTCCCACCACAACCGGAGTCGACAGAGATGGGACATCGCCGGGGTGATTCAATGGCCAGCCACAGCAGCTACCGCACCTCTCTGGCGAGCACTCGCTACGGCAGTTCGACCGCGCGGTCGTCGACCCATAGCTTCACTCGTGGCTTCCGCTCATTCATGGACGATACTCCGCCAGTGCCGCCAGCACCCCTCCGCACTCCCAACAAATCATCTTTTCCTCGCGACTCAAACCACTCGGTGAGCTCTGCCTATCCTAGCGACCGAGGAGAAGCCTACAGTGGATTTAATTTTGGCACCTCGCCCGCCCACAACCACAACGCGACTGGTCTCCATGACCTTCCGGAGGAAAGCTCGCTCAATCAGTCTAGAGTCAACCATAATCATGATTACCAACCCTATGTATCGAGCCGCCTACACCCGGCAGATGCAGAGGCAGGGAGCGACGCCCCCAGGAAGAACTCGGACGCGACGAGCGAAAGTGCCATTTCAATAACCAATTTTGCCCGCGCTCTGGGCTTGGACGATCATCAGGCTCATAAGCCCGAAGGCTCGATGTCGTCCGAATCGTCCCCGTCGGACACTCGAAGCGGAAGTTCCATGTCCAGCCTTCCCTCCGATACCAGCTTGAACCGGCATAAGACATCTGATCCCCTCAACTTGGGCCCTTTGGTGGAAGCACTTCCTCCACGAACGCGACAAACCATCCTGGAACTGCCTGGCCGCATCCGCAGCACAATGGACGATGTGCCCCCGATTCCTGCGGTCTTCTTCAGCCCTGATTCTCCGACGGATCCGGCGATTGGCCGAGGCGGTCTATCACTGATTGCTGAGAAGCGTGAGATAGCCCCCGCCAAGCAGCAGCAACCCCAGGAGCCCCCTTCACCTCGTCGGCCGATTCAGCGCTCGGCAACAGCACCGATTCCTCGGCCCGCAACCAGCTCAGGAAGCCGCTCCAAGGGTAACTGTAAGGGGTGTGGCGAGGCGATCATGGGCAAGTCCATCTCGTCATCGGATGGCCGTCTCACCGGGCGATATCACCGCGGATGCTTTGTTTGTTTTGAATGCCACTCCCCCTTCCAAACCGCCGATTTCTATGTCCTCAACAACCGGCCTTATTGTGCCCAGCACTACCACGAGCGCAATGGATCCCTGTGTTCGACTTGCCACCATGGTATCGAGGGGCAATACCTCGAGACAGTCGAACAGAATGGCGGCCATCCCGATCGACGACGATTCCACCCCGATTGCCTGCAATGTCGAACGTGCCATGTGTCGCTCAAGGGAGACTACTTCGAGTGGAACGGCGAAGTTTACTGTGAACAAGATGCCCGGCGTGCTGCAAATGCCTACTACCGGCCACCACCGGGGCCGTCGGGATCGCTGAGACCGCCAGGCCCGTCCGGACCGCCCGGTCGTCGACGACCCACGATCGGATCTTCTCCTCTGGCACAACCTCGTGGCAATCCGCCGGCCGGTTACCCACCTCCACCCTCGCCGGCGCCGAGCAGCGCGGGGGCTCGCCTCGGTCCACGGTACCCATCCGGGGGGGCCAGGCGCTTCCCCGAGCGGAGAACCACCAAGCTCATGATGATCTGAGTTATGGCCACCCTGGCTACAAAATTCCTTCCGACAGTCCTCGACTCTACAGAGCTGTTTTCCTTTTACCCCTTATTTTCCTTAATCTCTGTATTTGGCCCTTCCCTCCCCCCAACCCCCCCAGAGCTTGATATCATCTACTTGCCTGGGTTTGTCATTCGTTTTATAGACCGCGTTATACCCTCCGTGCCCTTTCTCCTGATTATTTCATTCGGCTGCCGCCGACCATGGCGCTGGTCGTTCTTGTCCCTGCTTCCGGGGCTTCTCCTCATCTTTGTATCTATTCGACTCCCTATTTTTGGCATGTTTTTGCGTCGGAATCGTCATGTGGGTCGGTGTTTTCACGTTTGTTATTTGTTGGCTTATGGTCATGTGGCCATGTTTCCGATGTATAATTCTATCGGTTCGGTGTTTGGTCGGTTCGGTGGATTCTTCTTTCTTTTCTCTCTGCTTGGCACAGGGCCGAATGAACATAATGTTGACTACAAGAAACCCGAGATGGTGGTAGTGTGCCGATATCTCCTATTTGACAAGAATTACCCCACCAATCTACTCTCCATGATGCTCATGGTCATCTAATCATCATGCAATCTTGCGCTCCTCAAACTGGATGCGCTCAACAGGCAGTAGGTACTTGCGTTTGAGAACCCAGCCAAACAGCAGGACAAATAAGGTCGCGACCAAGATCTGCGCTCGCTGGCCCCAGGACAACTCATCCGAAAGTATATCCGGTGAAACACTTGTTCTAGCTCTCTGTCCCCTGTCCCATTCCTCACAAACGTTCCGGCATAGAGCGGGATCATCCGTGATGACCCCATCCACCTCATGTCGAATGCCCCAGCGCATCAGATTCGGTGCGTTGACCGTCCAGAGATAGACTCGGCGACGGGCAGCGCGTGCCTCCTCCAGGAACCCACGACCCAGCGGACCCATCAGGATCCTCTGGTTGACGTTGAAGGAAACTCGCGGCACCTGCAGGAATTGCCGGGCATAGCTCAGGTCAAAGCATATCAAGGTCATTTCATAGCGCGGCAAATACTTGTCACGCAGAGGCAGGTATCGAGCCGACCAACAACCGAGGACGATTCGGCGGTGCCAGTCTGGTCCTACGGCGGGGATGGGCACTGATTCAATTGTTTCGGCGATGCGCTGCATCATGGCCACCGGATCACTGCTAACCTATTTATCGACATCAGGACGGAGTGCTTGAGGTGCCATACAACATTGCCCCGGATATGCACTTACTTTGATGTCGAGCAGGACCCAAATGTGTTCTCGCCCTGGCTGCCGGAGATATTCAAGGACATCCACCAGCCGGGGCATGGGCTCATGTGGCGCCCGCAAGGTGCGTAGGGTGTTCAAATAGGCCCAGTCACAGTCGGTGATCTTTTTCTTGATACCATAGCATCGCCGCAACGTTGCGTCCTGCCCCGAATCAGTTATGGTAAGTACGCTTATCTCCTCATCGTCAGGACTTACGTGGGATAGCACAACCACTCCATCTCGGGAAAGGTGCAAGTCGAGCTCCAAGGCATGGGTGCCTGCTTGGATAGCGCCCTCGATGGCTACGATGGTATTCTCAGGGAATTTCCCCTTATAGCCGCGATGAGCGATAGTTTGGGGTATGCGCGGCGCACCGTGCCCACCGGGGGAGTGTAGAAAGTGCGCTTGAGAGAGATGAGTGGACCGTCGCTGTTCGCCACAAGAGGTTACCGACCTGGAGTGGTGAGGGAATGCCCCTTCTGGACAGGCGACTGAGGTTGAGACTGAGACTGATCCTCTGCCATCGTGCATATGGGTGGGTAAGCAAGAGGATGTACTTCCCCCCGTCGTTATAAGCGTCAGGCCACCGGAGTTTGGCGGAGTTAAGTCGCCCCGCGTCAGTCGGCAGGCTGCGAGGTTCTTGTTTCAGTCAGAGCTTTGCTGACAGTGGCGGTCCACAACAGCCTGCATCGACAGGTGATCAATGAGGACCGAATCCTGCCACAAATGTTAGCACTGCCCTCGTAGGAGCTCTTTGCGGCGGTCTGTTGACTCTTGCTGCTTGTCTGCTTCTGCAACGGCGGGGAATGGATTCATCGCGGGATGACTCAGCCGCGTCTCCAAGTTTCTCCAACTCGGCAAATCATTAGCAAGCCCACAGGACGACTCAATTGCACTGGGACACCACGGGTCGACTTCGTGACTTCTCGACATACCCCACAGCATGTCGATTCAACAATGGGTGACGCCTCTTGAGGGTCTGGACAGTCTCCGGCAGACTGAGGCTCCAATGCCCGCACCCGGACCGGGCGAGGTGCTGGTGGAGATCCATACTGTCTCCCTCAACTACCGGGATGTGGAAGGTTCGATCGAACGATGTTCCGGGGACAATGGCAGACTACGAATCTAACAGTCAGATAGTCACTAAAGGAGAATACAAGCACCATAAGACCGCGGAGCAGAACGCGACTATTGTGCCTTGCTCGGACATGTGCGGTGTGGTCGTTCAAGTTGGTTCTGGCGTGACCCGGTGGACTGCCGGGGATCGGGTTCTATCTACATTCCTGCCTGAGCATCAGACCGGCCAAGTCACCGAGAAGGAGCTGGCGGGCAGCATTGGACTGCCGCTGGATGGAGTGCTGGCCACCCACCGGGTCTTCCCCGCACACGGCCTAGTGCAGGTGCCCAGCTATATGTCCGACGAGGAGGCATGCACCTTGCCTATCGCGGCGGTCACGGCCTGGATGTCCATCAATGGGATGCGGCCCATCGGCCAGCATGGCGGCAAGGACGAGTATATTCTGCTCCAGGGAACGGGTGGCGTCGCCATTGCCGGCTTGCAGATCGCCAAGGCGGCAGGGGCTCGGGGTGAGTAGTAGCCTATTTGTCTATCAATGCGAAGACGCGAAGGGCAGGCTCCGGAGCGTCGCGCTAATCGGTTATGCAGCCATCATTACCTCTTCATCCGATGCGAAATTGGACCAGGCGAAACAGCTGGGCGCCGACTGCACCATCAATTACCGCACCACGCCCAACTGGGAGAGTGAAGTCATGCAATGGACCCAGAACCACGGCGCGGATATCATCCTTGAGACGGGGGTGCGCAAACTCTGCGGAAGAGCTTTGATTGTATCGCATTTGGCGGCCTGATTGACTGCATTGGCTACGTGTCGGGCAAGGTGGATGCGGAGGATGACCGGCTGAATGTGAACCTCCTGGCGCTGCGTCGCACGGTGACCTTGAAGGGTATCATCAATGGGCCCAAGGATCGGTTTGAGGAAATGATTCGATTCTACGAGGCGCATCAGATCCGCCCGGTCGTCCACCGGGTGTTTCCCTTCGCCGAGGCCAAGGAGGCATTCAAGTTCCTGGAGAGCGGCCGCCACTTTGGCAAAGTCGTGATCAAGATCCAGCCATAGCAGGGAAGAAAGAAGAAGAGCCTTGGATGTTTTGTAAGCAATGTTTCTAATGTTGATCGGACGAAAGGTACAATCCCCAAAACCACGTCTTCCTTCGTCCTCTCGTTCGTACTCGGTTACTGGTCGTTCCGGCTGGGCTCCAACACCCCCGTGGCAATACCCAGGTCCTCCTTCAATGCGGCGCCGTCCACGGTGAGCGGCTTGCAGTCCTGCAAGACAAAGGCCATGCGTGCCCACTCGGTGTCGCTCGGGTTGCGCCACCCATGCATCGTTGCGCGTTGCACAGCGATGTCCCCGCGTTGCATCAGGGTGGGTTCCCCCTCGTCCAGCACCATCTCAATCTGCCCCTCCAGCACGATGCCATAGTCTAGACTCTGGGTCCGGTGAACGACACATGGGTTATTGGGGGCAAAGTCCACGACGCGACATACGGTGCCCCGGGGGTTCACCAGACCCAGCTGGCCCGACTGGACGACCTTCTCGTGCGCCGTCAGGTCGGCGTCCTCATTCAGATCGGCGGGGAACTGGGAGGTGGTGTAGATGACATCGAAGGCCATATGGCTCTCCTCGAACGATTTCCACTGCCCGGCTGTGGAGGAGTGCAGTACTGCTTTGCCCTCGGCATTGTGAGTGGTGATGTGTCGAGTGAGGGGCCGGAGAGGCGAGATCTGACCGGGGTTGGACATGGTGAAAATGGGCCAGAGAAGGACTCGTCAGGAGAGGAGAGACAGGAAGCGTGATGTAGTGATGTAGTGATGTGGTGATGTGGTGATGTGATGATTGAAAGTAGCGTGCTGATTCCCCCTGGCAACATTCGCAGTTGACCCCGACTGCAGCTTCGTCGTCGCACGTCCACTTGGCCCAGCACCGACCAGCGGTGAGCGACAGTCCTGCTGCACTCTGCGAAGATGCTTGCCGGTGAAAGGGCCCCGGGATCACCGGCCTGCAGAGCCCTGCAAGAGCATGCAATGACCGAGACGGGGAGTCAGTGCTTTTTCTCTGCCACCGCGTCAGCTTTGGAGAGGTCGCCGCTCTCGCTGTCATCGTCCCCCCTTCAAACCAAAAACCCCCACTCCTGGGGAGTCCTCCGCGCTGATAACTGCGAGCTCCCCGCTCCGCCACTCCCCAGATTTGACGGGCCAGCTGGTTCGCCGTCCAAGTGGGGCATCCCACATCCCGCGCCCCCACTTGCGTGGCATTTCTCGGACCCTCGCCCACCCCGAGAACTTGCGACCTTTGACCAGCCTCTCCCTGGTTGTTCGACGAGGCCCGAGAGATGCCCCCGTTAGGCCCCCCACGCTTCCATTGCGCCGGGACGGACGCTGCTGCTGCTACTGCGCGGGATGCTTATCGGACTCGGGTTCCCAGCGTACTCCCTCTTCCATCCTCTATACGGAACAAACCCAGACGGCTCGATGATACACAGACAGGATTTCATTTCTCGGGATAATTACATACAGGCACGGCGACCCAATGCCGCTCCCCCTCTTTACAGGAACCAGCGGAATTGCGGCGAGGACGGCCCGTCTCGCATGCGGTCCGTGGGGATATCCCGCGCCTGGAGCGTCACTCCATCCCGGCGGTCCCGGCGTTTGTTATCCAACCACATATACAGTCCCAGGAGACCGGCCAGGCAGGCTCCCACTGCGCCAAAGGCGGAGACGGTAATCAACGCCGGCATGTACTTAGGTGCGTCCTTGTCGAGAAACACGTTGCTGCTCACCAGCCCCATCAGGTTGGCCAACGGCACGCCGATGCTGGTCAACAGCACCCGGCGACCCTCATGCGCAATGTTGTTGTTGTACCAGGTGCTGAGGATCACCGAGGGGGCCGAGGTGCCCCAGGTCATCATGAAGGTCGCAAAGTAGGCCACCTGCAGCTGCTGGTGCACGTCGTTAATCGACGCGTAGATCATAAAGCCGGCAAACGTGAACAGAAAGCCAAGCACGATGAACGGGGACCGGAGACGGGTGTAGTCCGAGCAGAAGGCCAGCACCAACAGCATGACCGCCCCGGTCACGTTCGGGGCCACCGTGTAGAGATTGGTCTTGACGGTCGAGTAGCCCAGACGCGCCACAATCTGCGGCATGAAGAGGGCCACGCCCTGCAGGGGCACTCCGAGGCAGATTTCAATGCACAGGAAGACATAGGTGGTCGGGTGCTTGAAGATGGCCACTGCCTCGCGGAACCGGAACTGCTCGTTGACCACGGCACTGGAGTCCACCTGGATCCGGTGGAAGGCCAGCGCCTTCTCCTCCTCAGACAGAAAGCTCGCTTCGGCGGCACTCCGGGGAGGTACATGTACGCGAACACGGCGAAGATCACCGTCATGGCGCCCTCAATGATGAACAAATAGCGCCAGTTCGGTAGACTCGATCCCTGGATCTGGAACACGCCAAAGGCAATCAGCCCCGAGAAGGCATTGGCGATGTTGGACGCGGCGTAGAACACTGCCAGCCGACGGGCCAGCTCGCCTCGACGGTAGAAGGTGGTGAGGTAGTAGATGACCAGCGGGAAGAAGGCGGCTTCGGACATGCCCAGGAACCAGCGCAGGGCAAAGATGCCGCCGAAGTTGTTGGCTGCGGACGAGAGCAAGGTGAAGGAGCCAAAGGAGAACATCAGAATGGGCAGCACGCGCGCCGGGCTGAACTTCTTGCCAAGCATCGAGAAGGGCGGCGCAAAGACCACAAAGGGCACGAAGAAAATCGACAGCAGCAGATTGTACTGGTTCGGCTTGAAGTGCAGGTCTGCCGCGCCCAGGGGATTAGTATATCGGATTCTTGTTGCACCCGCGAGGAGGCATGCGTGATGTCCATGGGAGGTTGAGCTGGGAGCTTTCAGCCATACCTTCGGTCATTCCATCGGTCTTTGCATTACCCAAGTTCCCCTTGTCGAGGGCATTGAAGAGGTCTAGCATCTTTGGTCAGCGCTGCTTCAACCTGACTTCCCGTTCATCCCGCGACTTGGACACTTACACATCACCGCCAGGATGGGGAGCAGCCGCATGTCAAATCGCCGGCACAAGCGTCGCTCGGCCTTGTGGTCCACCACGCGGGTGACCTCATCGACCACCCCCGGGGCCGACGCATAACCCTGTAGCTTATTGGGCTCATCGACAGACCCCAGGGCGGCCGACTTGGCCGTGTCGTCCAGCGACGACTGATACGTGTGGTCCGGATTCATCTTGGAAGGGAGCGGGCGAGGAGGAGAGAGCAGGGATGAGGCGGAGGACGAGGCGAGGGCCACGGTATATGAACAGAATGCCCTCCTGGAAGTTCACGGACCATCGAAAGAGCGGAGAGAAGACGTGTTGCGAGGCGGCCATGTCTTATCAAGTCGCTGTAACGCGGGCATCCCTTGCCAGGCCACGAACCCACTTCCAGCTGCGATAAGAAGAACGTTGCATCTGGCTTTGCCGGGACGTCTCGCCCCCACGCAGCTTCTCCACACAAGCAGACCGGTCAAATGCTAAGCTAGCATCCACTCAGGGACGTGGAGGAGGAGGCGGTTGGATGGGGGGTTGGCGCCGATCCCGCCCTGGCCTCTGCCACGGACGGGTTGCATCCACGTCCGCCGCCAACGTATGGCTGGACCCACGACACTAGTTCTGGACTCATCGCTGGGCCAATGGACTGCTACTGCGCTTTGGGGTCAAGCTCGTCTGCCGCAGCCGAGGTCTACGCCGTTAGTGACCTTCGCTACATACACTACGCATAACCATGTCCTCCATATACTTCGTCCTTGGTACCTCCACCTGCGGATGGTCTTTCATGCCCCCTCGGATCTCATCCTGCTGGGCTGTTTTTCGAAGGGCTTCCGCTCCAAGGAATTTCCACAATCCTTCTCAATTGCAGCGAGCACCGAGTGATTCCGTGGCCCGGAGGAACAGCCGAAACCTTCCTATTGCGGCTGTCGACGAAATTGGGTTGCATCCTCGCCAACACCCCCCGCCATTCTCTGGTTTTTGGATTTCGGGATTGCTGTGTATGGGGATCATACATTTGCTCATCGTTGAATTGATCGCTATTGTTCTTCAGACCTCCTGTAACTAGTCGATCCGTGTCACGATCAATGATCCACGGCCCGCGCCACATCCCTCCCGGATCTCCGCATTTCCGCATTGGGATCCTGCCATCCCTTCATCGCCCACAGGAGCACAGCTCGTTCAATCCGTCAATTCAAGTCAATGCCGTGAACGTGAGAGCTCGTTCAGAGCCAGTGTAAAGCTGTCAGTTTGCATCCCATAGGAACTGCGTGCTCCGCGGCCGGACGGGAGTGCATCCCGCTGGTGCCAATAGTCACCATCGCACCAGGGCTTGTGTATACAGGGCCAGTCTCCTATCCCTGGGGCGTAGATCCTGTTCCCGGCATGGAACACCACCAGGTCGATCGACGGTAACAGCTCGGTGATTTGCTGGTCGGTCGCTTTCCAGATCTCAGTGTCCGCAACACGGATCACAAATACCTCCGTCGTCACCGTGGCCAGATTCTCCTGGTCGATGTCCAGAAGTGCCCAGGTGCATGCCTTTGCTGCGGCAGAGCTTCGCAACTGCGAATCACACCCCCGGCGCGGCTCCGGTGATGAGGGCAGTCTTCTGGTCCTGAAGCACGGATCTCATCGTTCACGGCGATAGTGCAGGTGGCGGTTGTTTGAAGCCAAAGTACGATCCAAGAACGACGGTGCACAGGAGGGGGAAATGCCCATCGGCCACGACCACAGCGATGTCATGACGGGATTTACCGGAGATACCCAGACGGAGTATACCCACCGACACGAGAGGCCAAATACCCCCGTACTTACTCCAATGCCCACCTTTTTATCCAATTTCGCCGGAACTTCTTCGATCGCCTGTCTTGATGCACTTAGAACGGACTGCGGATTGCGCTGATCTTGGTATTTTGCAGCCGTGTGGTTGACAGTTGCCTTGAGTACATGTCCGGCATGATGACTTGCAGAGCTCCGCTTGGGCCCTTGTTACGATCGGGATATTCCCTGCTTGTGGTGGTTGCATTGCTGGCATGGATGGCCAGCGCTCGACCATTGCACAGACGAGCGGTCGAGGATCGCTTCCACTGGGTTGGGATCTGGAGTGCCATGCCCCAGTTGGTCGAGCCGTCCAATCTCCCCCCAGTGCCTTTTGTATGTTGCAAATGAAGGTCCGATAGAGAGATCCCGATCACTCCCCATCCTCCTAACGCCCACTCTAGAATGGTGCCGCGGCGGTATTTAGCAACAGCACCATCCGCCAGACTATTCAGATTGCACTCGACGCACAGGATATCCGTCTCCGCGTGTCGAATGCCTTCGGCGTGAATGATTTGAGCATACCCAATGTGGCGTTGAGCCTCCCGGCGACACAGCAGGCGGGAACCAGCGCCCTGCAGGTCGGCTCCACAACCGACGTTTTGTTTAGTGGCATTCCGAGTATCATCATCCCCGCCGGGGGGCTGGCGGTCTCGGATCCTATTCAATTGGCCGTCGCCACCCAATCGGTTGTGATGATCGACATGTATCTTGCACACGGCCAAGAAGGGGTTTTGATTACCGGTCACCCAGGCTGCCGGCAGGAATCGCATCCTGCATGACAGTCTGGGTCCTAATGTCGTCAGTCGCATCGATCGGGATGTTCTTGCCCAACCCGGGGTGAAATATGCCATGCTTTTCGAGGGAGTGAACGACATTGACGTGGCAGACACGGACGTCCCGTCTCAAACGGAAATTGGAGACCAGCCCATCTTTGCCTATCGACAACTCGCAACGCGAATCCACGCTGCCGGTCTCCCTTTCTTTGGTGCGACCATTACGCCGTTTGGTTCCCCCTCGACCTCTGACTATGTTCAACCTTACTCGGAGGGGAGAGAGAAAGTACTCGACAGCGGATCAATGCCTTTAACCGAGAAAGTGGAGTTTTTGACCCGGTGCTGGATTTTGACCAGGTCCTGAGAGACGCCGAGGCCCCCGGGCAACTCCGGGCTCAATATGATTCAGGGGATCACCTTCATCCTAATGAAGCCGGCGATCAAGCGCTGGCGGATTACTTCCCACTGGACCTTTTCGTGGAGTGGGGCGCAACTTGAATCAGGACGGACAGGGGCACCGACGAACCGGTGGTAGAGAGATGGATGCCGGGCAGGCCATCCCACAAGGGGCATGTGTCTCTGGGTTTACTCTAGCGGATGGAAGGGGTTCCGTTGGTGGACCGTTTCTCTGATCTCGATTGAAATTACATTTTCCATGTTCTGGGAGGGCTTGCATATCTAACTGACCCCGAGTGGGTGATCAGCCGCGTCGTCGGAGGCGGTCGTTCACGCTTCTCTTCTTGAATGCACCGCTGTCGACCAGTGCCTGAGCGGATCCCGGCCCAAAGTCCGGCTCGCCACCCAAAGTACCGAAGATGTCACCAATGTAGTTGCGCGGCTTGATACCCTTGGCGAAAGTCGCGTCCCAGCCACGCAGGATGCCTTGGACCACCTGGATGCCGGCCCGGTAGATATTCTCCAACGCGGGCTCAAATCCACCCTGGTCCGAATACAGTAGATTGTACGTCGCGGAGGATCCGGGGTACGGACGGTCGAAGTCAGAGGCAGTGCGCATGACAATGATCCGAGCAAAGTCGGTCAGCTTGTGAGAAGAGGAACGGACGAGCACTTCCAGGGTGGCATTGTCTTCCTGCGCCGTGGAGCAGTAGTCACCCGTGCCATTGGTGAACAGTGTGGTCGTGTTCTCGAAGGCAGTTCCCAAAATGCTGCCGCTATAGTAGACGTCCGAGGTCGCGACGTCACACTCGACCACCCCGGGGGCCAAAGTCGCAGCATGGTACTCACTCGAATTGGCATAGTGCGCCCGGTAGACTTGGGCAGCGGCCGAGTCAGAAAACCGGGCGTGGCGGGCAAAGTCCGCCGCGATACTGCGCAGGTCCGCGTTGAGCTCGAAGACCTCGGTCCCGTAGATGCTGGTCGGGTACTGGTCCGGAAAGTCCGAGCCGAGGGGAATGTAGCCGGTCGAATAGGTCTGGGGGAGCTCGCGGATGTCAATTTCATACTGCAAGGCCACCTGGACCGCATAGCGAGCAAACATGGCCGAGCCAGTGGTGGCTCGCTTGGGGTTCACGCCCGCGATTCCTGCCACGAAGAAATAGGTTCGCGTGAGGTCGAACAGCGGCGAGAAGGCCACTGCAGAGACGGAGGTGGCCGCATTGATTTCCGATTCTCCGGTGATCATGTGGCAGACCTCATAGTCCTCGGTGCAGTGCACATCCGGATAGAGAGGCGACAAACCCGGGATAGTGATATTGTGTGCCAACAGGTTGAATTCCGGGATGTTCCACCATGCTTGCCCTTCCGGTTCAAACTGGATTGTGGGATCAATAGAGTGCTCGACAAAGATTTTTTCCCCAGCTCGGGCGACACACATACCATGGAGACGATGAACACCTTGGGCGCCATCTTATGGCCATGGGCGGAGGGCTCCTTCGCCGCGGCTTGCGCCCCGAAGGTGCTGCCCGCCAGCAATAGCGAGGCGACCAGACTCGGCAGGGATGGCATTTTGAGGGAAAATAGTGGTTGTGCTGTCCCTCGAATCTCCGCAGGCGTAGCCGTGTTTATATTTCCCTGGGGTCCATCCTGCAAGCTCGGTCCGTCGGGGGGTCCAGGAACGCGAGCACGCTATAGATCGGTCAAATTCTTCCAGTGGAGATCGGACGTGCCCAATGAAGGAACGATCCGCCCCCGTTTCCTCACAAGCTGGGGTCCATAGCGGCGAGTGCCTGGCTGATTGGCGTCGCGTCGGACCAGCTCCATGGACTCAGCCCCTGGAGAGAGAGGATAATGGGAGATTTGACCTGCGCATCGCGCGTTCACTGGCTCGTCGCAATCAGGAGTGGGACCTGGTTATCATCGATGCGGCTGTTATCGCGGGCGTCGCGTGCGTTAAGCGTCGGAGCGTACCGGGGGGATCCACCAGAGAGAAATTTCTTCGCAAACCCCAGAGGATGAGAGGCTGCACGGAAGATCTCGCCAAATCGCAGACAGCGGATGCCACCGGACCGCGAAGGGTCATATGCCAAGTTGATGGTGGCAGATTCATGGGATCGACCTCTCCGGCATAGACATTGCGGAGTATGCTAGGCTCAATCCGGGATTCAAAGGAGCAAGAATGACTAACCCTGCTCTGTCAAACTGCAAGCATGCTGCAATTTCCACGCCAATCACAATCACGGCATCTTTGTTGATTGCGGCCCTCGCGTGCGGAGGCGTTGGAGGGTCATTGGCAGCCTCAGGCCATCAGGGGCTCAGTCACGTGCTTGGTTGCGTGAACGGGTGGCCGAAGCTTACTCAGCGTGAGGCCACAGCCCACCAACAGCATGATCAACCCGTGATACACTCCCCACCCCGAGGCCGGAGATCTTGTTGAAAATCGCACGATGGGCTCGATCGATGCTATCGCAGAAGGGCTGGTCCTGGGTCGCCGCCTCTCCCCAGACGACAATGCAGTCAACCGTGCCCGATGACGCGCGGGGCTCAAGCCACCATGGCCAGACAGCGTGGGGCATGACGCATGTCAGGAGGGGCCCTGAGAAGCCCCAAGAAGCCCTGGGCCTTTCGTGGGACCGGAATCGACGATCCCAAGAGGGTTGTGCAATCCCAGTCTCGCAGGGATTCAACGTCATCCCCATGATGTCATTTTAATATATTGTTCTCTGCTGTACAGCCACCAGCAAAACCAGCAAACCAGCAAACCAGCAAACCAGCAAACCAGCAAACCAGCAAACCAGCCAACCAGCCAACCAGCCAAACTAGCAATTAAAACCACCGTCGGTTCCCACCTCCCCTAGGGACGTGCGACCCTCACAACCGCACTGATCGTGTCGCTACTGCTCTCTGGTTGTCCTCCGGTAAGTTGGCCCCCAGAGTGAAAAGTAGGCTACAGCCTCCCTGTCGTGCTTGACCAGCGTCGCTCATTCGTCTAGTATTTCACACACACCCCTCCCGCACCTCTTGCACCGCAAGTGTCTCGACCTTATCGATCTTATATCCGCCGTCATGCCATCCATGCACGATCGCATTCGGGAGGATCTCCTCAACAAAGAGCGTGCACTATGGACTGCACTCACCTCGGCCGACCCAGCCCCCGCAGTACAGAAACTGTGCAACCCGGAAGCCAACCTCATGTTCCCGCAGATGCCCATCTTGACTCTTGAGAACGAATCCGATTTCCATAATGCGCTCAAGCCCCCCTTCCATCGGTTTGACGGGTATCAGCTTGATGAAGTTCGGATCATCATCATTGATCTCATGGCGGGTGCTGTGACATACAAAGTCCGCGCGGTGAGGGGCCAGAAAGAGTACCGGGCCACCGGCTCAACCACATGGGGCCAAGGGTCAGATGGTGAATGGACAATTTTCTCGCACTCAGAAACACTGTTGTAGAGAGAGAGAGAGAGAGAGAGAGAGAGGAAGGAATCAGGGACACTGGATGGATGGACCAGTGAGCGTCTTATACTTGTGAACGGTAATATGATGTCAATGCATCACGAAATGATGAACTGGTCTACATACTTTCTTGTTATGCTGCCTGTATGATGCGATTGAATACCAATGGACAACATGGCCACACCCCCGTCTCTTGCTTGATCACAACCTCAGACTCGAACTGCGCGAGACATGTGGTGATCAGAATGATCGCCCGTGCAGACCCAGTTGGGACCGGCCATTCCGTAGCAGTAGCGCGAAAGGCCCCTTGGTGCTGATTGGTTATGCGGGTTTGTTTCGTGCACGGAGCGAGCACGGAGCGAGTGGACTAAAGGATTTCTCCCGACTCGCTTCCCAGCGGTAGTATTTTGTTTGGCATTAATCAGAAAAGAGACGTGCATGCATTGGTCGCCGCTAGCGCCTCTTCGATTCTGCAGAACGGAATCCGGGCCGGCGCCTGGTGCTGCCAAGGATGACGACGAATAAACCACAAGGGCCCCACGGAGGTGGAATAGTTCGATAACCTCGTTGGCTCGAGGATGGCTCCACAAAGAATCATATAGCCATTTTCATTCAGGTTATACTTAGATGTGCTGTATATCCCATTCGGAACTAGCATCCCCGTGGAGCCGAGCGGGGCCGAGCGGAGCCGAGACGGGCGCTGCTGCAAGAAATCCAGGACTTGTTGGGGTTGGACGGAGTAGTCAGCTCGAAAAATAAATGCCTACATATCCCCCAGGGCGCTTGCCGTCCAACTTCTGCCTGGCCGGAATGCCTGATACACAGCTGACGGCTGAGGCGCTCGCTTTCAGCGATCTTTTGTGTGGTCCATCGCTTTGACGTACTTCTGTTTGGCCTGAGAAGGGAGATAGCCCTTTCTCGCCAAGTCTTCCGGACGCAGGCCAGTCCTCATCCGGCGCTGGTCTACTCGGGCAGACCCACCACGGTTCCACAGATGGTGCCGTTGGGGGCAAATGCCGAGCCATCGCCTCGCCCGGCCGAGGAACCTTGAGTTTTCCTCCGGCCGGGGCTGTTGAATCAGTGGGCTTGGTGGTTGGGCCTGGATCTTTTTTGTAGACAACGAATGGCAGATCTGGACGGGCTGGTTGTGTCATATTTGGATCCGTGGCGGCGCTGGACGATTTTATATATTTTATATATCGTGTCCACCCTATTCCCCCGGCCCAACAACGGATCAAGTGTAAGGTGGATCGGATCAGCCATTCCAGCACACGGTATTGTTTGACGACCCCGATCCGACGCGTCCTCTCCGCCGGTGACTATCGAGACCTTCGTCATCTCGGCTGTGTCCTTGCTCTCGAGAAGATGGATCCTCCAAGCCCGCCTCACAACATCGTCATCGTGGGCGCGGGTATTGCCGGCATTGCCTGCGCGCTCGCCCTCTCTCACGAACTCTCACCATTCGTGCCGGGTCTCAAAATCACCGTTTATGAACGACATGATATCCTGTCGACATCGGGTGGCGCCATCAATCTGACCCCGGTCGCTCAGCGACATCTGGCGCTGCTGGGAGTCTTGGATGAGCTGGAGCGCATGGGGTCCGATGGTGGAGCCGAGGTGAATGCAGTCGAGCTCTTCTCGATGCGCTCCGGTCGCTCGCTTGGTTCGATCGACTTTGTTGATCATGATGGAAACGGCTTTGGTGGGTACAAGGGCCGCCGTGTGATGCGGATTGCCCTCTCCGTGGCCATGATGACGGTGGTCGAGAGGACGCCGCACATCAATATCATCTTCGGCAAGAAAGTGGTCGGCGGCGAAGAACTTGGCGACCAAGCCGTCGTCCATTTTCAGGACGGATCGGAGGCCATTGCCGATCTTGTTCTGGGCTGTGATGGGGCTCATTCGGCAGTTCGCAACCGCTGGGTTGATCCTGACAGCCCGTCTCAATACACGGGCATGTCTTTCCTCCAAGCCAATATCCCGTCGGACTCCTTGTCCTCTCCAATCCATTTTCAGTCCGCCGCCTTGAATATATCCCGTCATGGCTCGCTGTTGACGAGCTTTTGTGATCGGGACCGTGAGCAAATCTTTGCCGCCGCAATCGTGCAGTTTGATCAAGGCGAGTTGAGCTCGTACCGACTCGAGCCGGGCCAAGACTGGGCAACGCAGAATCGCATCCGTCGTGCTCTGCGCAGTGAGATGCGAGACCGCTTCTCCAAATCAGCGATGCCCTGCATTCGAGAAATGGTGAATAGCAGCGCGGATTGGATGCTCTATCCGGTCTATCAAGTCCGACCGGGAGGACAATGGTGTATGAACCGCGTCATTCTCCTTGGCGATGCAGCTCATGCGGTATGCCCCCTAGATACCAGACAACGGGCTAGACCTGCCTCCATCTACTAACGGTACACGTTAGATGCCCCCCGGGACGAATCGGCATCATATGCGTTAGATGATGCCATTCTCTTCGCGCGTATTCTAGCGCGCTACCGTTCAGAACCCTTGTCAGAGGTTTTCGATGTGTATGAGCGGCTCCGTCGCGATACGATCAACCGTGCCTTCAAAGAATCTCGCCGAATGTGGGATCGAAATCGCGACATGGGCCTGCTTGAATGTCGACTCACAGAGTGGATGACCCCCTTCTATCTTCGTAGCCACCGCGAGGAGCGAGAGTCTGCATGGGAGTTCGACGCTACCAAAATCATGCTCCCAACTCCAACCCCAAGTGAGGATCTGGTGACGCTGCATTCATTTCTGAAGGAGCATACCGTGTAGGCGAAAGAGGTTCTACGAATTTCCTTCAGTTAGTGGTGTTCAGCTGCGTTGCATGGGGCGTCGAATTGGGTTTGATTTGGTGGTATGATATCCTACAATAACTTGATTGCCTTGCCTTTTTGCACCCGGAGGGTGGTCAGGCAAGTGTTGCTGTTTTGATTTTGGGCTCTGAATTTGATTTGATTTGATTCGATATCATTTTGTTGGATCACAGCAGCCTTTCTCTAACCCGATGCTCTTCTTGACTCTATATCTGGTTGAATCATTTACAAATTCAAGAGATTCTGAGAGATATCGCACGGGTCCCTTTGTCGTTTTGTCACCAGAAGAGACCTTCGATGGCTTCAATTACTATGACCGTCACTGCTGTGAAAATTGTCCTTGATTCTGGAGTCTTTGGTAATTTGGTCTTCGCTGCCTAGCGGTTGTCTGCCTTTGCTCTAGCTCCTACGCGTCATTCGTTGTATGGAGGTTTCACACATGACAATACTGGTAACTGTAAACTACAGTAGCAGGGATATATACATATGGTTATTGTGGCACAATGTAATCTCATTTCACCTGCCCCTACATTCTTCACGACACACTTCTCGGCTAAATCACTTTGCGCAAGCTAGATATTGGCCGCCTCAAGTCCTTAAAAGCTCAGCGTCTGACCCGCAGTACCGACGACAGAGCTCTTAACTTTTCCAGATCCCAGCAGGCTATAGCTATAGGGGACAGAGGTCAGAGTTCCAGTTTCGGCAGTGTTCGCCCCGTCACCAAAGTCATTGTCCTTTGCCACAGCATAGCCAGCGTCAGTCGAGTAAAGAGGCTTATCACAACCCACGAACGTGTTAGATTCAACAAGGACTTGGGCACCATCGCGAGTATTGATTCCGTCGTTCACTTGCTCGAAATAACTGTTGTAGAAGTGACCCGTGCCGAATCGAATCGATGGTGTCCGGGAATTGATGTTGTACCAATAGTTGTTGTTTTGAGTAACATGCAGATAGCCAGTATCCTCATCACCGTTGCTGTCTGAGTGCCCGATCAAGGATGCTTTCCAGTGATCATGGAGGAACGTGTTGGACACCGTGACATAGTCAGCTGCATGGGTGATCTAAGGCAATGTTAGTATGCTATACTCATACTCCATTTCGCTGTGGTGAAGAATCTTACGTCGATAAGGCCGTCATAATAATCCTTGTCGTGATCCATGTCGGAGGACACATCGCAGTGATCAATCCAAACATTGTTGGAGTATTCTCGTGGGCGTTAGCCACGAGATATAGAGCCAAAAACAGAAAGACAACTTACGGACTCCAATGGCATCTCCGTTGTCTGCCAGAACCTTCTCGATTCCTAGATTGCGAATGATGACGTTGGATTCTTCTTTGACGAGACTAAGCATGGGTCAGCAACCGGATAGAAGCCCTGAGGATATTGGGGACACCGACATGCCAAAGTTCACAAGCTTCGCATTCGAGTTCTTGCCGATGATACTGGTGTTGCTACCCACGCGGGCCTGATCAGCAGTTTTCGTTATGGTGCCGCTGACAACCACCACCTTGGCGGCATCTCCAGACACTGCCGACGTGAAGGCCGCGTATGATGATACAGTTGTGGTAGTACCACCAGCGCCACCAGTAGTGCCTCCATTCTGACTAGCGTAACCGGTCGCGGCCTAAACCTCGTATGCCGACCAGTCAGTGCGAGCATAGAACACAATCAAGACATATCGACAAGATTGTCACTTACGTCATTAATACTGGCGCGCTTCACAAACGGTTTGCCCACATTAGTGGTTACAGTAGGGGCTGCCAGGGCTATCCCGGAGAGGTAGCTAGCAAGCACGGCGGCAATCAACTTGGAAGGAGCCATTTGTGAAGAAGAGTCAAGAAGAAGTCGCGGTTTAAATAGAAATCGAGTCGAATTGTCGGGCAAGATTAAATCAAAGCCGCAAGAATGGAGCTCGCAAGGCTTTTTATACCTTTCAACCTCCCCTGAGCCTCTCCACTGGACCCCATTCAATGCTCCTGTCCATCATTGTGGACGGCATTTCTTCGCGGTGTCATTTATTCCACATTAGCGCGTGAATTGGAGGAGAGAGGTGGACTCGTCCGCCATAATTCTCCGACAAGAAATGTATCAATGCGGCTACGAAGAATCTGCCTTCATGCAAGAATTTTGGCTCTAGTCCCTCGGAGAAGACATTCCGCGCTTGGCACCCCCAACACATGGCATTAGCGCCGCCTGCAGGAGGAATCTAGGTTTTATGGGGAAATTATTCACCCTCTGGCAAGTTGCCTACGCACCCGATCCCACGAGTAAAATAACTAAATCACCGCTGGGGATCATCAAAGGTAAAAATCAAAACTTCCACAAATGACCTTGTGGCGGCTTCACCTCCGGGGTGCAGTGGGGCGCCAAGATCGCTGGGGTTTCATCACGTCCCCGGGGATCTTGGCACCAGTCGATGAAGGGTGAACTGGGAGATTTCCATCAATTGGCAAATTTGACTTGCGTCCTTGTTAGGTAGCCATCACTCTTGGGTCTGTTTCATTCAATACTGGTGGTCTCCACAAGGATGATTTGGCAAGCATTATCTGTATTTCCAATCTATATTTGTACCTCAGTATACATCTGTGCATTAATTTTCTACCACCACTTGGCCACCCCTTGAGATATAAAATTTTATGTTCCAAATAATCCCGTGGACCTTTAAGGAAGTGCACCTGTGAGCTCAACAGTATTATTGCACGTGCCATAGCGACACGACAGACTGTCCGAGAGGGAGCAGCAAGTCGAGATCGACGGTGAAGGCGGTGAAAGCCGAGAGGTACCGGTGCAAATCGGTGGGACGCCGCGGTGGGGAAACGTAACCGCGGCGCGGGGAAACGAGTCGAGTCAACTTGGAGTTCTCCGCGTTTAGGAAGTCCCGTCGTGCAAAGAAAGCTGCGAACAGGAGGACAGGATTATACAGCCACCAATCTCTACAGACATCAAGACGGAGAACACATTCTTGGCACGTGTTTGGTATACACTAGATGCGTTGTGGCGCAGGGTGAAACGACGACATGACGGACACATTTGCGTCAGTGCCCCAAGTCGATTATTCTCGTCTGAACTCCCTTTCCACCCGGGATGATGAGCTTGCGAAGCTCCGACGGGCGATCTTTGTCGTGGGGTTCTTATACTTGACTAATACAGGACTGGAGGTTCGAAACTGATAACCGCTTCCCCCAATTATAAATTTGCCTGTGGAGAAGGACTGACCCAAAGCTAGGAACTTATGCGTCGGACGCACGATGCAATCCCGCCACTCTTTGACCTGTCTGCCGAGGCCAAGGAGAGCTGCAATATGATCCACTCGCCGTCCTTTCTGGGGTATACCCGCCTCGGGGCCGAGACCACAGCAGCCAGAACGGATATCAGGGAAGTACGTCACACTTCCACTCTAGCCCTCATCTTATGTATACCGGCACTGAACCAGCCAGCAATACGACTTTGGGACCCCAGGGATGGAGGAGTGGACGACGCAGGATCCATTTTGGAAACGGCTTGAGGGCCCGAATCAGGTAGATGACGTGTTCTTGGCCGAGCTGGGCGCTTCCTGGCCTTCCAATGCTCTAACGAATCCATACAGTATCCGGACCATCCTGGTGCGCAGGCGCTTGTTGAGGAATACATGACCAAAATTGATGAGTTAGCCCAAAAGTTTGTACATCTGGTGGCAGAATGCCTGTCCCTTCCGGCCGACACATTTGACGACTTTAAAGGCAAAATGAGCCGGCTGAAGTTCGTCAAGTATCCCGCATCCGCACCGGACTCTCAAGGTGTCGGCCCTCATAAAGATTCGGCTGGTCTTTTTACTTTTCTTTCCCAGGACAACATCGGCGGGCTGCAAGTTCTGAACAAGAACGGTGAATGGATTGATGTCCCACCCGTGGACGGTAGCTTGGTGATTAATATCCAGCAAGGATTTGAGGCAATCACCGGAGGTGTTTGCGCAGCCACAACCCATCGAGTGATTGTAAGGCGTGATGATATCGGTTGACGGCCGAGGCCAAAAACGCTGACTGGGTCATTCCAGGCACCCACCTCCCAGACGCGCTATAGCATCCCCTATTTCCTGGGGGTCCGGCTGGATCTGACGTTGGATGAGCTGAAGGAGTCGGCCGCGCACATTGTGCGACGTATCCCCGCCGCAGATGACCGGAAGAAGCGAGCAGTCGATGTCCCAAGTGAATTCTTGTCCCCTTTATATGCCTGCGTGCGTTAAAACCCCCCCCCCTTCTTTGTTTTGTCCAATTGAGAGTGAGACTGACTCGACTGTAGTTTGGCGAGGCACACCTGCGAAATCGAATTCTGAGCCATCCGGATGTCGGGCGGCGTTGGTACCCCGACCTGTACGCGAAGTATTCCCAGCAGAGCTTAAAATAGAATGAAGCGGGATGAGAGAACGTATAGTGTGAGAAGACAAAGCATCATAGTCCCAATTTTGTAGGGTAGTTGTCGGATTGAAAGGCGAGTCCATTGTTCCGATCGCGGCTGCGGATTCCGATACCCCGCGCTGCTGTCTGACCGGACGACCGACCGAACACACAACTCGTCGTGACTAGCGTGGGCCTGATTCCTGACCCAGACCTTTCCATAACACGAGGCAGGTTATTTCAACGGCCGGTGTACTGCTCCACCATGGCGGGAATTAGCTCCTCGGCGATTGAAACACTGCGCGATCAGCTGGCCACTGCGACCGTCCATATCCCGGGCTCCAAAGGGTACGAGGATAGCCTCATCCGATGGTCGGACACCGGAAGGAAGCAGGCAGTATGGAGACACTCCCCCTCCCCTACCGGGATGCATTCGAGGCATTAACATTGGCAAGGGAATCGTGGTCCAACCCGTGGATATCGCTGACATTAGCGTGGCCCTGCGATGGGCGCAGGAACACACGGTGGACCTCGCGGTGAGAGGTGGGGGACATTCCACTGCTGGCACCAGTTCCAGCGAGGGCGGCTTGGTTATCGACCTCTCGCGCATGAGCCAAGTCACCGTGGATGTCTCCCGCACGACAATCACGGCTCAGGGGGTGCCACCTGGAAGGCCGTCGATGAGGCTGGCGCAGCTCACGGCCTGGCGACCGTCGGTGGAACGGTGAACCACACGGGTGTCGGAGGCTTGACCCTCGGTGGAGGGTATGGCTGGTTGAGTGGCCAATACGGCCTGACAATTGACAACCTGCGGTCTGCCACGGTGGTTTTGGCGGACGGCCGCGTCATGACGGCCTCCGCAACCGAGCACCCCGATTTATTCTGGGCCCTGCGAGGCGCGGGATACAACTTTGGGGTGGTCGTGGACTTCACCTACCAGGCATACCACCAGGGAAATCGGGTCTATGCCGGCATTCTGGGATTCTCCCCGGACCGGTTGGAGAGCATCATTGAGCTGCTGAATAGCCTTTTGGCAAATCCCGATGCGCGGTCAGGGGCCATGTGCATCTTCGCCCAAGCGCCAGACGGTTCGGGCCCGATGATCATCATTATCTGTTTCTACAATGGCACTCGCGAAGAGGGCCAAGAGCGCTTTGCCGGCTTCCTAGCTTTGGAGCCCGTCCTCAACACAGTGGACATAGTCCCTTACCCGGTGGTGAATACCCTGCAGAATCCGCAAGCCACGTATGGTGATCGCAAGTCCTTCAAGGGCATCTTCTATGAGCCTCCACTAGATCCCGGGTTTATGCGAAGTGTGTTTAACGAATTCATGGCTAAGATCCAGGACGATTTGGATCTGATGCCCTCCGCAATTATTCTCGAATGTATTGACATGCGCAAGATCTGCGAGACACCCGTGCCGGCAACCGCACTGGCAAGTCGCAACTTGACCCAAAATGGTATTCTGTATCTACGCTGGACCGATCCCGCAAAGGATTTGGATCATCGGGCGTGGGCGCGCGGTGTCCAGGCTAAGTGGAAGGCCGAGCTGGACGCGAGGAAAAGAGACCTGCAGGGTGGGGTGGAGGTACCTCAGTACATCAATTATGCTGAACGTAAGTGGCTCTGCGGTGCGCACTCCCGACGAGGCCAGTGCCGATGCTGACCCTAGTGCCAGCGGGTGACTCCGTCGTACCCAATATCTATGGTGAGAACTTGGGCCGTCTTCAAACCCTCAAGGCCCGGTACGACCCGAACAATGTGTTCCATAAGATGCACCCCATTCCCCTGCCCCCTTGAAGGTACGTGAGGCAGGAAAGGATTTCGTGCGCACGCTCGGGTTGTAGATCGTTCGTGTATGAAGACCGTATCTTAGAAAGCCACATGCAATGTGAAATGACAAAATGTGGGATCCTCCTGGAATATCGCTCCACCTAGAGGCAAGCTCCCGGAAAGGAGGAGTTTATTTTCTCCTGGGGTGATCTACAGCCGAGGAAGGATATGATACTGGAGCCGCCTTGATTCTGGTCCAATCTTCCCGGGATTCCTTACATTTGCCGCGCCCGAAATCCACTTTCCTTGACTCCCCCGGATGGGACATGCGTAACCTTTCGCCCGTGGACGATGGGACAAACTAATTGTGAATGAACAGCCCCGAAGGAACTGTAATAGATAGTTTTAGCCTCGAGAAGCTTCCACATCCGTGGCCGAGGAATTAATCACCGGTAATTCGGCGGCCTTGCGCTCCCACCACTATTAATGATACCAGACATCCTGAACAGGACGATCCGACTACTGGTGGCAATGATCCCACCGATCCACGAGGTATATATTCTGGGCATCAATTTGAACTGTATCCCCGAGGATCCGGTTTTGAACTGTTTCATGAACGGCTATCGGAAGCTTCTGTGGGCATGGCCGCAACAAGCCAGCCCGAACCAGCCCAACACCGGCCGAAACAGCGGCACCCGCGCAGCTTCCGCGATGCGTTCCGAGATACGGTCCGAGCCGCAGCGGGGGCGCTTGTCGGGCCGCTCTGTGTGTATGACCGAGCGAACTGTACAAGCGAGGTGGAGGGTTTCCATTCCATCGTGAAATCGAAGGTTAAAGGTCTGTTCCGACGATTTGGCCTACTGCGTCATGCAGATGTGCATTACCGTGCGGAGTCAATTAGGATTGTCTTGCTGTCCTCGCTCCATCTTGGAGATGATAACTCCCGAGGCCATCTACCGACATCAGCCATTTCACACCTTGAAAGTCTAATAGGTAGCGCGTGCAGTAGGCAGCAGAATGGCAGAAGGACAAAGATTGGTGTTGCTTTAGAATATGCACTGTATATTATCTTGACCAACGCCCGGCGAGATCAATGTTGTTGCTTGCCTTGACGGCCAGGCACGACCGTGAGGGCCTGAGGGCCTGACGGCCCGAAGGAGATGGCCAACTGCATCAGCTGCGCGTCCGCCCGCCCATCTCTTCCACACTTGTGTGGACCGTTGGATATGATGGCTTCTTCTGTACATCTCCAGGATGAGCAGCAATCGGCCTGCCTCGTCCCTCACCGAGGTCATATTATGACTTGGTTTCCCAGAACCCCCATGAAATTGCCACTATCAACTTGATCCCCGCCGACAACCAGAGTATCGGCGCGATTTCCTGGGTAGCCTTGGTAACCCAACCCCCAGCGATGGCGCCCAGCAAGGTCCAAACAAACGCAATGATGCGCCGATCCCGCTTTTTGTTTTGCAGAAGGAACAACTTGGGGTCTGACATCAGGTCACAGAGGAGACTGGTGATCACGACGGTCGGGATCTCGTTGAATCCCAGTGCGCGACTGGCGACGATCTGACCCGCCGATTGAAAACTGAGAAGCACAATCGGCACCTCCTGGTCCCACTGAGGTGTTTTGTGCGACTGACTGTCATCGAGGGCACTCGAGACGACACCCACCTGAACAAGAGCGGCGGTGATGAGGATGATACTAGCCTGGATGAGAAAAGAGAGCATCAAGCACCCTCGACGCCGCGCTCCAACAAGACGATTCAGCTGCGCAAAGAGGAAGCAACCGATAACAAAGCAGCCGATCGATGTCAACGAGCGTGCCCATCCATACGCACGCGGATTTTGATTGGAAGCGCCCAGTCCCACGAAGATGGTATTTCCTGCAGCCAATTCAACACGCGATATCAGCATTTTTCCTGTAGGTCAGGCGACGCCGACGATGGTCAGATGGGGTCTATACCCGTTTGCATTGACACGAAGGTGTTGTAGGCTGTGTCCAGGTCAGTTCGATGGGCTCACCCTCGCACGAGGCAGACGGGGGTCGCACCATTGTATATCGTACTATCCACGAGGCCCGATGTCAAACAACAGCTAAACAATAGCCGGTCAGCGTGACGTGGTTCGATCTCCCCTTCTAGGAACCTGGATATTCTAGGAAGCAATTTCTTCTGCTGTTCCATCGCAGATGCCGGCTAGAGTGGCCACTAGAGTGACGCGAGAAAACAGGGCTGAAAATGGGAGAAGAAAAGGCTCGGGGTCTGAAACTCGCGGGGGTATGGGAGAAGTCTCGTCAGCGGTGGGATTTTCCCCTCCCCTTCACCTTCCCAACCGACCCGTTGACCTCGCATCCTGTATGCATTTCCTTCAAGGCCCGGAAGACAGAGAAAACCCCTCCTCCCCTCCCCCCCGGAGATAGGAGCTCGCTTCCCCCAGGGGCATCGATGTCCAAGAGACGCAAGCCCATTCAACATGTGCACAGGGTCCGCACCATAAGAGCAGCCACCGTCACATCATTTTCCGCGCCAAGGATGTTCGTTTCGGCAGGGGATTGGATGCAGGGCCCGACCTGCCGCCCGAGTCGGCGACTTCGTCTTGCAGGTCGGATACATGCATGCCCAGAGTGCCAAGAAGGACTCGGGGTAAATCAGTCACGATGCCGAGCCGCTTGGCGCTATGCCTCCTCTTGTCCCGAGATCTACCCCTCCGCGGCGGAGGTGTGTCGCAATGGTCTCCCACCAGGGGGGTGCTAGCATGTCAACTTGGTTGCTAGCCTAGTCATCATGCCCTCTTCGCGGGGGCCTAAGGTTAACCCTGTGAGAGCTAGCCTTGGATGTACTTCACACTTGAAAAGCTCAAGCACTGTTGGTTTCCCGGATTCACCAATGTCTCGAGTCAAGAGATGAAAGGAGGGGGGGGGTTTCCGGGGCATTCACGCCTGGCGTAGCTGTTGATCTCCCGAGTGACGAACTGTAGAAGAGGCTTGGCGGAGTGGGGTTAGAAGGATCCGATCATTGCTCCTAGTCCATCCGACATCTCTCTTTGCAAATGCAAGTGAGAATATAAGGCCCGAGGGGCTGCATAAGCATTCGCGATCCCCGGCATTTTCATGTTGATTATTCCGCCTGCGCAATCAGACAAAAGTACCTCTCCATTGCGTTACCAGACCATGATCCGTTTATTTCTTTTATCCAATTGGATGCGACAGGTGCTTTATTAGCCGAGCTGATGCTGGGACTAGAGTTCCATCTTCAACGGGTGGCGCAACTGGCTTGAGCATATCGGTGCCGGTGTCTACTGCCAGGACGCTTCGGCAGCCTTCACGCCCTCACTCCAGCAGGGGGTTCCATCTGGGCAGCAGGTCATCTAGGCGTCCACCTTGGATCGGTACGACCCAAGCAAGAGCAAATGAGCAATTTCCGTCTTGGCGCATCATGAGATGTTGCATCTCCAAGACACCCAGGCCCGTTCCTCGCGATCATGGCCTGAGCTGCGAATCGGTGTTATTCGGGTATCTGAGGTTAATGTTGGAGTCGGGTGATATTATCCCGAAAAGAGTAAACCTGGAATTATAAGTAGCGAGGTCCGCATCTCCAATCTGAAGTGTATAAGCTCCGCGTCCAGATCCGCCAATCAGCCCTTGCTTCACGCTTTAGACAGTCAATAACCATGACAATCACTATTACCGTCGAGAAAGATGGCTATTATGAGGTCAACGGGATGCGGCATGAGCCCACTGTCTCTCTTTATGTGATTCCGGCCGCATCGAAACTACGCCGAATGTTGAAGGACACCAAGGCGCTCATCGTCTGCCCCGGAGTATACGATGGCCTCTCTGCTCGAATTGCTATGGATCTGGGGTTCAAAGCCATGTATATGGTATGCCACACCTCTTTCAAGTTATAGTTACTCACTGGACATATGAGTCATATAACTAACCATTGTAGACTGGCGCAGGAACGACTGCCTCACGCCTGGGGATGGCGGATCTTGGTTTAGCCCAGCTTCATGACATGCGCACCAATGCGGAGATGATTGCCAATCTTGATCCGTTTGGCCCTCCCCTGATTGCGGACATGGATACGGGTTATGGAGGTATGAGAGGCCCTACCCCTTCAAAGACTCTGAATGGGCTCAATAGGGTTTCAAAGCTGACACGTTTAACCCCAGGCCCTCTCATGGTATCCAAATCGGTTCAGCAGTATATTCAGGCTGGTGTGGCTGGATTCCATATCGAGGACCAAATCCAGAATAAACGCTGTGGCCACCTTGCTGGAAAGAGGGTGGTGAGTCTAGAAGAATACATGACGCGTGTTCGGGCAGCCAAACTGACCAAGGACCGTCTACACTCGGATATTGTTCTCATCGCACGAACTGATGCCCTGCAACAACATGGATATGACGATTGCGTCGCCCGCTTGAAAGCGGCCAGAGAGATCGGGGCTGATGTGGGTCTCCTAGAGGGTTTCACGTCGAAGGAGCAGGCATGCCAGGCAGTTCAGGACCTAGCTCCCTGGCCTCTTCTTCTTAACATGGTTGAAAATGGTGCCAGCCCGGTTATTACCACCAGAGAGGCAGAAGAGATGGGATTTCGCATTATGATCTTCTCGTTTGCGTCCCTTGTCCCCGCCTACATGGGCATCCGATCAGCCTTGGAGCGCCTTAAGACTGACGGAGTGGTCGGAACCCCCGATGGACTTGGGCCTCGTAAGTTGTTTGAGGTCTGTGGACTCATGGACTCTATGAGGGTAGATACAGAGGCAGGAGGGGATGGCTTTGTCAACGGTGTCTGAAGTAGTATCGGCTACGGCTCATTCAATTTATAGCACCGTCATTTATTCGATAGCCAACTTAACCCGACTCTTTCATGAAGCTAGCCTGAACTTTGGATGAACCTTGAAACGTGAGTAGCAAAAAGCGAAGCTCTCAATCCACAGGGCACTGCAAGAAAAAGTACGACCTAGTTTTCATCCCGGGAGTCAATTGGAAGACGCTATGTGATGAAGGGATGGACTACTTGTATACAATCCCCCATGGCCTAGTATAATAGTAAGCTATCTATCCCTTCACCTTTGAGAACATTGAGCGGTGCAACAAAAGCCATCTGACTCCAAGAGAAGACTCTGTTCTTTCCACCGTACACAAAAACTTCGAATCTTCCCATAAATTGACCATCAACCCATACACGACTTCCGATAGTTTCGTTGGTGCTAATGGTTATTTGGCACCTCTGGGGAAGTTTGACGATTTCATGTGTTGAGCCGGTAGAATTGGCCCAAATTCTTCCCGGTGCATCAGGGTCGAACCCGTCTCCCTCAGCAATAGAGCGCAGCGGATAGGGCCAACCGTCAGCAGTGAAGGTTAATTGACCATCCTCAGAAAGGGAAAGTCTTGCATCATGCGACTCGAGGGAAAAAGGGCCCGCAACATTGAGCTGCAGAGTGTAGTTCATTCCTTTGCTACCATACCCCAATGCAAATTGCTGCTGAGGCTGATCGGAGTGCGGCTTCCTCCAGGACACCAATGGCGTCCGGGACTTTCCAGTCTGTAATAGTTGCCTTTCCAGGTTCTCTCCTACCACATTGGAAATCAAAATCTCAATCGCCTCTTCGAGGCCTTCTTCCCTTAACCGTGGCCCCCGACTACCCGACCATGAGCGAGACGCAACCACGGGAATGCCATTCCGAATTGCATAATATGATTCTAACTGGGTAGTCGCATCGGCTCCATTATCGTTCCAAGCAGCAAGGATCGCACCCCGAACGGAATTCTGATTGGGCTGCTCCGTAATGTTAACCGGATTGAACAGTTGTGGGGTCCACTGCCAACCTTCTTTGTCGGCAAAATTCAACACTCGGGCATTATTGAAAAATTGCGGATATGGTGCCGGAGCTATAGGAACGTGGTTGTTCTTCAAGGACATATAGGCCCACCAGTCCTCAGAATTGATGATCTGATATCCATCCTGGGCCAGCAGCATGGGGTCCGATTGTCCGTACTGCCAGTGCTGGATCGTGATATTTCTATTGATTGATCGGGTATCGGATGGCTCGTAAGTGCCCCAAATGCGAATCTTCTTTCCGGAAGTTTGTTGGATAAAGCGGGCCATTTCATTCACGAATGCGATGTAATCATTTGCCAACGCGGCGTCATATTCATCGGCCCCGATGTGGACTTCTTTGGTGTGGAACCAGGGCAGGAACTCCGACCATATGGATTTCACCAGGGGTACGGTATCCGGATGAGAGAGATTGAGAAGATCCCGAGATTCCAAAGCCAAGTCTGGTCTCCATTTCGTGATGGATAGACAATGGCCGGGGCTTTCAATTTCGGGAACCACCGTCACTCCCCGAGCAGCACAGTGACCCTGGAAGTCGTTGAACTGGGCACGGGATAATGTTTCATTCTCTCTTTGGACAAGAGGGAGGAGTTCCGGATTATTCGGTCGCAAAGCAAACTGTGAGTAGACCTGGTTCCATGAAACATTAGGTCCTCGGCTCAGCGGATAGTTGTCGGTCGCATGGTAGTGGAACTCCGAGAGCTTGAAGAATGAGGCGTAGGTGCAAAGGTCCTTGAGGTAGTCCAACGAATACCATTTCCGCCCGGCATCGAGCATGAATCCTCTTGTCGCATAGGCCGGCACGTCCTTCACCCAGCCGGCTGGGATCAAAGAATGTGGATTCAACGCGAACTGTTGCAGAAGAGTCCGCGTCCCCCACCACATTCCTCGCGCACCCGACCCGTAGATACACGCACGGTTCTTTTCGACAATCAGTTCGTATCCCTCTTCGGTTGCTGTGCCATCTTCGTATGTGAAGTGGGATTTTGGCTTTGTTGAACGGCCCAGGAAGACCCCTGATGCCTGCTTCGGGAGTTGCTTGACTGTTTGTATTTCCCACGAAGAGTTGGTGATCTCGTGAAGATCGTCACGAAACGTCAGGGCAAACTCTGACGCCGATGGAGGAATTAAAGTCAGACCATCTTGATCTCTCCAACTAGAAAACCCATCCTGGATGTAGATGACATTGTCAGCGTTTGCAAGGGAAAATCCTTGGGCGGCAGCTGAATCTGGGCTGTGTGGATGAAATGCAACCGGGGGCAGAGTCTGCAGGGACAAGGCGACCGCCGCAAGTGCAAGAATGGAGAACGTCGCCATTGTCCATTTCAGCAGACAGAACTTGAGCGGGTAGGTGGCTTTTAATGTTGTGATGCGAGGGGCGCGCACGGTTCCTGATGGCAGCGTTGCATTCTTCTAGTTGGGCCAGGGATCGATTTGCGACTATCCCGCGTGGGTGCTAGTCTTGGAAACGTGGGCAGGGAATGCGTGGTGTCGGAGCGAATCATGAGTAAAGAACAGTACTTTCGTTGCAAAGCTAGTCAAACTCTTTATAGATCTACCCTGACTTCCGTTCTAGAATTTAGCAAATGCGAATTAAGCCAGGCGGGCTATGAACTTTCAAAGTCAAGAAATTCATTTTCAAAGTTATATACTTTCTCCCACGAGGATCACCCACCACCACGGCCGGAACTTCTCAAAAGTTCCTTAGCATCCTTCATGTGATAACTGTTTTAATAGCCGAGAGTCTCCGTGGTTAATTACCACCCCTCAACAATCAATCTCAAGATATCAGTTGTACTTTGTCACAAATCCAATCAGGGCCTCGTCCACTTCGATCGGATTAGAGCCGCTCAAGAAATGAGCCCCGCCTTCCACAGTCACTAACTGTGCATCCGGAGAGTTCACGAACATCTTGATCTCCTCTTGAGCGTTTGCAACCGAGTACACCACGTCTTTGGTACCCTATACATCGCAAGACGGAAATTAACCAAAGCCCCCTCTACGCAAGCGAACATGGAGCTGCCCAACGGCAGAAACTTACGTGTAGCCACAGCACAGGACAACGAACATCGGACAGGCGGGAATGCAGCCCATCCCGTTCAGCAAGATTAATGGCCGCCATCCGGATTCGTCGACGACCGTCATCACCACGATAGTTGGCCTTGATCGTCTGCCGCCAGAATTCGCGAAGCTCCGGGGCACACTCATTGAAACCGATGTCAATGAGGAAGTCACAGTATGCGGTGTCGGGCTCAAAGTCTTCAGTAGGCTGTTTTGTGGTCCACTTTGCAATATTGGGGCGCAGGAGCCCGGGGCCGTTCCAGCAATGAAGCTCGCGCGTGCGCTCGGATTCGTAGTCCAGCGAGGTTCCAAGCGGGATGATTCCTTGAATCTACTGGAGGTTTGAGATGGGGCCATGTCATACGCGTGTGCCTACCCGGGATTCACATACCTTCTCCGGTCGCATAAGCGCCATTCGAACAGTGATCCAACCACCCTGGCTCGTACCGAGCACAAAGGCCTTCTCAATGCCGAGGGCATCCAAGACCTGCAAATTCATCTCCGCAGTATCCCAATAGGTCCAATTCTCGCGCTTGGCTCGTGTTTGGCCATGGCCAAGCAGTTCTATGGCCAGTAGGTTCATGGAGTCAGTCAAACCTTTGTCATCATATTGTTTCTGGTAGAGATCCACGGAGGTCGTAAAAGAGTTGACGAGTACAAGAGTGGGCTTCTTCGGGTCGTACGCGTAGGGCATATGATATGAGGCATCGATACCCCCCAAGTGAGGGACTCGTACAATTTGCGTACGAGACATTATGCCTATCAATTGAGCCTTTTAAGCCGGTATGATAAAAAGTGAAAGTGATAAGGAGAAGGCGTTGAATCCTGCTTATAACCTGCAGTGAAGCGAGTCTACCGAATATTCAGTTTGCAAAATCCAACTGGGCTCTATATATACTCACCCGCGAGCAGGCTTCCTATGGTCCCATGAGGCGGGACGCGCCCCGGACGAATGGATGGGTAATGATGTCAAACCGTCGAACCGGGATTTGGATGCGACCGGGGAGTTAGGCCGATGCGGGGAAATAGCTTAACGGAGCTCAGTCGGATGCGGTCATCTCTTTCCTGTGCTAGAAAGGGCTGGGTTTCTGTGGGTCGCCAATCATTCCCAGAAAAGGACAGCGGGGAAATGCGACCGGGGAGAATTGGAGTCTCCGGGGAAGAGCTTCCTGTGACTACGCATTGCCCTCAGTTGCATCTGAAAGAGAACACCTGGCAATTGCCCTGCGATAACTGCAGAGCATGCATGTGTTCTAATACCCCGAGCGCCCATTTAAACCATGTCTTCATCCGCGCCGCAGTCGAATAAACGGCGCAGGGCCACTTTGGCCTGCCAATCTTGTCGGCACAGGAAATCCCGGGTGAGGATGCAGTCCGCGTCGATTTGAACAGTACCTGAAAGCCAGCCGGCTGACCGGAATCCAATCTAGTGTTCAGGTGATCGGCCATGTGGCCTATGCCGCGAACTGGAAGTCGAATGTTTGTACTCGGAGGGTGCTGGTCCGAACAATCTGACCATGGGGAAAAGGTGAAGAGCATTCAATTCCCCTCGACTACCGTCGACAGGTTTTTTGCGAGCCATCTGTAGGCGACGATGTTAACAAATGTCCAAGCTATATCCTGCAACTGGAGCAGCGACTGGAGAAGATGGAAGCGTCAATACGGCAGCTCCAGGACCATAGGTCATCGGCGCCCATAGACGGCAAAGAATCGAGAGGAGGCCCGAGTAGGGGGCCAGAAGACCCACTGAAAGATGTACAGGACTCTTCAACCGGCTCAGCAGCAGCACCAGATCCCAGGGACCAGAATACAACAGAGCCTCTGGGAGAAATTGATGCATCTGAGAGCTCGGTAGACGGTATGGGAGCGCTTCAGTTCACAGACGAAGAGGATTGTGGTTTCTTCGGTATGCTAATTGTCTACCTATATGGGATTGTCGGTGGCACCACTAGGCGCTAATTGTGCAAGGGCCTTCTTCTAATATTGCATTTCTGCGCTATATATCTCGAGCGATAGCAAAGACAAGTCCGCATAGGGAGCCGGCCCTTGTTCCGTCTCCGTCGCAGAGGAACTGCACGGTCAACGGTGCCAAATCCCCATCTACAGGCCATCCAGTGAGTGTTGAGAACCTTAATTTGAGCGCGGCAGTCAACATCTACGCTCTACCAAGCGAGGAGCGTACGTGGAGTCTTATTCAGCAGTACTTCTATAAGACCGGACAGCTTCTGCCTTTTATCCATGAGCAATCATTCTGCGAGACATACTTTCAGATGAAGAAGGAAAGATTTCGCAAGGTCCGTAGGACCTGGCTCGGTCTGCTCAACATCGTCCTCGCTATCGCAGCAAGTCTGTCAACCAAAGGTGACATGCCAGCGGAGAAGCGGATACAGGAATCCGACGTGTACTATCAAAGAGCAAATGGCCTCTGTGATCGAGATTCCAGACGAAACGCCAGCTTAGAGATGGGTGAGTGTCGACGCGGGAGCTGACCCTGTTCTTCGCAGGATGTCAAGGAGCTAATTCTGATGCAGTGCAATATCTCCTAATCCTGGGTCAATACCTACAAGGTACTCAAAAGTCAGTGCAAGCTTGGACTGCACATGGGTTGGCAATATCTGCGGCGTATCAATTGGGTCTACACTCTCCAGATGCAAATCGGGGATTTCCTCCAACGGAATGTGAGACTCGTAAACGCACCTGGTTTGGATGTGTCCTTCTTGACCGGTGAGGACAGCTCTGTGTGAGGTCTTCCGCATTGCGCTGATTCGATCATTCTAGTACTCTGAGCATGACTTTCGGTCGCCCGTGTACTATCCCTGAATTTTACGTGAAGCTGGAAATGCCCTCTCAGGACTTGCAAATGTTAACCTCGCCTGTGGGGTCTGATACTCATCGAATGTTGGACGGCTCTTTCTTTACGGCTGCAGTGTGAGCTCAGACTTGCGTTCCCATGTAATTCAGAAGACAGAGATCTTTCGCTGATAATATACAGAAAGCTATACGTCATACTTTACAACGTGCTCGAATCATGCTATGGGGCCAATCTAGGATTCGTTGTTTCCACGAGCCCCATAGACGCCATGTCCGGGATCCTCGAAGGGCAGCGCCAGCTCGATGAATGGCGACTTCAGCAATTGCCCTCCCTGGGCCTGAAAGTCTGGGATAGCCCCTTAAGTCTGGAGGATGTTGAGAAGATGGATACAGGCTCGATAATCCGTCATCGATTTGAGGTTGTCCTTTCCGTGCGCTATAATAACCTTCGAATCCTCGTGCATCGCCGCTGCTTAGAGAGCCTCCTTGACCCAACCCAGACGCAAGGTGACACGCTGGTGAAATCTGAAATGCGGCTGCTTCAGCAAATGGGACTGAGCAGCGTTATCAGCTGCGTTGAATCCGCTATGTCGATTATCTCGACTGTACACAATATGTCTGCCGGTAGTGGCTGGCGACGTGAATTCTTGGGTGCATGGAATTATTCACTCTACTACAGTAGGTGGAGTTCTGTTGATGTTCGACTTCAGGGAAGTTGAGACTGATTTGAAACAGCCTTCAATGCAGCACTAGTTATTTTCGGCTCTCTCATCGTGGCATTGAAGGAGCGTGACCGCAACCCGTCAGCCTGGTTAATGGTTAGCCATTCCCGGCCCTATATTGACACCGCGGCTGAAGCACTGCGTCAGCTTGACCCGGGAAACCCTGTTGTTGAGCGGTGTCATGAATACCTTTCGCAGCTATCTGCAATATTGGACCCTCTAAGTTAGTTATCCTGGCGTTTCTATTGCCACAGATGCAAATCGCTCTTCCGTCCCGTCCTTGCCATTCCAAGGCTGGCCCTGTCCACGCTTCAGCATTCGTCTCAACGCACCGCTAACAGCTTTCACCTGCACAATGCACAGTTTCTGAAGAGCCATGTTTTGATAATAGGCTTGTTTTCGACTTTCCTACCGAATATTCAACCGGACTCTTTTCTCTTCACAGCTCCGACTTGGTACCGCCCATGGACTTTGGCGAATTCATGATTGGTTAGGGTTGGAGCTTCTCGGTAGGGTCCTGAAATAGTGAGGCATTGACTACTAGTTAGATGTAACGGAGTAAAAAGAGAAGGGGTCACGTAGGTACAAGCTGGGCTGTTCGGCAGTTCGAGCCTCTCGAGATGAGTTCGCCGGGGAGGGAAGGAGCATGGTCTTAGGATCCAGCATTGCTTTAAAGGTGAGAAAAATAAACTTAAGGCGGATATCCTAGATTACCTTCTAATAGAGCATGTAGAGGACCTTTTACAGAGAAAGATGGTATGGTAGGATTTAGACCCGCTGGATAATAGTGCGGCACCGAACCCCAACGGCCCGGCGGCCCGGCGGGTCAGGTAATGGCTATGGTGGTAAACCATTCAGCCAATGCTATGATCAGTTGACAAGGCACGATTGTCGGCATTATTATTTTTAACACCTCAAATCTACCCCAAATGCGCCACCAATTCCGTATTCCTGTGAGTTTAGAAGTCCCACAGGCATACGTCCCGTCTAAAGGTCCTCCTGAGTTAGCGGATGCGGGGAATCCGGGGTATCGTACACTCCCGTGGGCTGGGCCGGAATGCCTAACTCCCCGAGCGAGCAGGGCCGGGTGGGTTGGGGGGTTTGCGAGAAAAAGAGAAATTGCATGTATATATATATGCTGCGGGATCCCATGGCTTGGTGCATCACGAGCAATCAATCGGACGTGTCCACACGAGTATCTTCTCGTTGTCAATCCTAAGTTATCTTCTTCTCTACCACAAGTAACTCTATACACCTGAACGTTGAACATGGTGAGAAGGCTGCTTCCCGAATGCTTGGCGTTGTACTTATACATGCAGGCCAATCAGCATATCCATGTTGGAATCATCGGAGCTGGAATAGGAGGGCTGGCAGCTGCCATTTCCTTTCGACGTGCAGGGGTGGATGTCACTATCCTAGAAGCAGCGGATGAATTGCTCGAAGTAAGTTAGCCTTACCGGTCAGAAAATAATGCCGCATGCAGGAGCTCATAGCAAAAAGATTGGGGCCGGGATCCAGATGACGCCGAATGTATCGGTTCTGCTGCAGAAATGGGGCGTTGCGGACGTGATAGGAGACAACTTGGTTCAAATCGAAGAACTGAATATGCGCCGCAAAGATGGCACTCTTGTCGGACATACCGAAATACCGATTATTGAAAGGGCATTGGGCAGACCGTGGTGGCTTGTGCACCGTGCTCATCTCCACCAAGGTCTTGCGGCCGTGGCCACCCAGCTGGGAGCAGCGATTCATATAAACAGTCGCGTCGTCTCACTTGAGTATCAGGAGGGGAGTGAAGTTACGCTCGAAACGCAAAAGGGCGATACATATCATTTCGACCTCTGCGTGGGTGCAGATGGCGTCAACAGCATTGTCCGAAGTACACTGTTTCCGGACATAAAACCGGATGCCAAAACCACCAACTGTGCTTACCGGGCGATTATACCATATGACCTTATCCGGCAGGATCCAATTGCAAAGGAGCTTATTCAAAAGTTGACGATGGAGGTCTGGATGGGCCATAATGCCTACATCATCACTTATCCCATTAGTGGAGGCGAAACCTTCAACCTGGTGCTCTCGCATCATCGTCCGGAGAAGGTCTATAGTACCCAGACGAATGTTTCTATAAAGGAAATGCGGGATGTATACAAGGAGTTTGATCCTCGGATTAAACGCATTGTCGATATGATCACAGAGACTGTTAGCTTTACTTCCTTTCGAGAAACTCTGGATTGCTGCTGACGATCTATATAATGCCAGTCACGCTGGCCGCTATTAGTGACCGGACCCTTGCAATCATGGTCCTCTCCGCAGAAGAATGTGGTCCTAATGGGGGATGCAGCGCACTCAATGGTAAATCACATGGCGCAAGGAGCTGCTACATCCATGGAAGACGGAGCTTTCCTCGCAAAGTGCGTCGGGGCCGTTACACATGGGAAACTGAGTCTTCGCGAAGCCATCAATCTATACGAGCTCGAGCGGATGCCAAAAGCCTTTATGAAGCAACAGGTCTCATTTCTCAATGGTGCCATCTGGCACTTACCAGATGGCCCTAAGCAACAGGCTCGCGATGCGGCAATGGCACCGTCGCTTGAAGGGAAATACTTAGTTCGCAGCAGCAATCTCTACGATGACCCTCAAACGGTCCTGGATATATATGGATATGACGTTGAAGCGCATGCAGAACAGGCACTTGCGCGGTTTGTCCACGGGCGCGAGGCCGTGTACCCAGGTACTGGTATAGCACCTTACATCGAGGACAAATATATGGGGTGGTTTTCAAAGTGTCGACCAAATGACCGCTACTCTGGAGCTGGGAAGCTTTAGATTATTCAACCATCGTCGATTACTTCTTCTTACCAATTCATTTGTGACATTTGTGATTGAGCTCAATTCTGACGAATACAGCGCCTTTTCAGATGGACTCAAGTATTTAGAAGACTCATCCTTCGAGACAGTTTAGTAACAGAACCTCTCACTCATACCTTCTTTTTTGTGCTATTGGATTACTAGTGTATTTAAAATAACAGACTGTTTTACACGTCGAGATAGTGGTCATTTGGTTGACAACGTGCAATAAACTTGCGCCACCACCGACATGATGAAAATTCCCCACCACCAACACATTGCTTTTCTACCCATCCAAACAGCCACAAGAAAGCATGGAGAACCAATGGAATAAGAGGGCCGTACCTTGGTTGCTATGGATGCCTTCCAGAGCAGTCAATTTAATAGTATACTTGTTACCCGTTTCACCTAACGTACTTCCCGCTTACGTCGGCCACCCGCCTATATCGGCCATCCCAAAACACATCTTAAATACGAAAGATTATACTGAGACTCAAATGCTCCCTAATGACCACGACAATTTATTATTAGGGCGATGGTTTCTGCGGTAGGAGTCGAGCTGTACGACGGCGGCTAGCTGGAGCTCTAGCCAATGTCAACAAATACATAGTCAAGGCGGTCTGTATTGTTAGCGCCGCTTGTATTTCGTTCTTGTGGATCTAGGCTCATGCTTAGTGTAACAAGATATCAGGGTAAGCTGATACTGTATAGCCTAGTATGCGAAGACGACGAATGATATCAAGCGGAACCAATATAGATGAATAACATTGATTGATTGAGAAGGAAAACAGGGGGGAAGCGCTGCTGTAGACTACCCCTTATAAAACAGGTAGACCTCGCCAAAGACCGGGTCCGGTCCTAAATCTTAGGACCAGGACCGGGCCCTCCGGTCCTTAGTCTTTTTTTAAAGTACTCAGGACCGCACTACGGTTCCCTATAGTCCTTTACAGTCCCCCGTACGGTCCCCCGTATATTTATAATTCTACTAAGACCTTCTTTTTTCGGCCGTATAAACTAATAATTTAGCCGTATTTATTACTATTATTAAATACTATTTTAGTATATATACTAATATTTATAATAAATTAGGCCTAATTATTAATAAAGTAGGTAAAATAAGCTTATATATTAGAATCTTATTTATTAAAGTATAAGAACTAACTAAAATTTAAGTATTTTACTACTCTAGTAGAGGAGAGGTTAGGGGGGGGGTATAAATTTAGTTAGTTTTTATAGTTAGAAATATATATTAGCTAGCTAATATCTTTAGCGTTATTTTCTAATAGCTATCGGAAATTTTAATAGCTATTAGAATTTAATACTATATACTACCTAGATCCTATTAATTTCCCTAGTTATAAAATATTTAATAGCTATTAGAAATCTAGGCTATCTATAAAGATATTATTAGTATCCTTAGCTAAGATCTCTAATAGCTATTATATCTCTAATAGCTATAATAGCTATTAGAAATCTCTATAGGATCCGCTACCTCTAAAATAGTAGTCTTTAAATAGGAGTAGTAGTCTTTCGGCGGTTTTTAAGGTTTTTTAGCGATCCTTAAGATCTTTTAGTAATCTTTAAGATCTTTTAGTAGTCCCTTCGTAGTTCTTATAATCTTAGACTATAAAGATTATAGTAGAGTACGTTTTATTAGCTAATTACTATCTAGAATCTAGTTAGTTCTATCTTAAATTATCTATCTATTACTTTTCCTTTCTAGTAATCCCTCTAATTATTTATTTACCTAGATAAAAAGATATTTATATATCTTTTCCTATTACCTTCCTAGCCTTACTTTTTATTTTTATTATCCCTGTCCTATCTTCTCTTATATACTATTTATTAATATATTATAGAGCTAGATATCTTAGTTCTCTAATAACTATCTTTTATTAATCTTTAAAGATAACCTTATAGATATACTCTCTCTTTTTATATCTAATAGGCTATTTAATCTAGATAAAAATAAAATACTAACTTTAATACCTAGTATAGCTTTTATATAACTAGTAATACTTATACTAATTCTAGAGACTTTTTAGCCTATTAGACTATATAGGAAGAAATAGTTTCTTTTTTAGATAGAGATAGTTAATAAAGATTTTATTAATTAGTAATAAAAGACTAAGTATAAAAATAAAGAGAAATACTAGGTACTATAGTATTAAGAGTCTTTTAAGATTTATATCTAGTCTTACTAATAATATTATATAAAGATATAGTTAATATTAACTATTTAGTTATTAAATAATAATATATCTAATATTAATATCTTTCTATAATCTATTATTTTTCTCTAGTTAGTACCGACTACTCTAGATAAATTTATAAGATATCTTAGAAATAGTAAGTTTAATTTTATTTATATCTTAATA